TTATTTCAATTAATTTAATTCTCTGAGGGGGCCGTCAGTGCAGATGCATCGCTGCCGTCTACCCGCATTGGGCAACGGCAACTATTGCGCCGAGTCTCGCAGCTTTGGGCCTAGGGAGCGTGGGCCGACATACGCAATTGCCAGCAAAACCCACCAATTTCCGAGTTCAGTGCTTACAAGAGCGACTTCTTACATTTCTTCCACTGCCATTCCTGCACTCATGTCGACCCTTCCATCAATATGGTCGAGAGCTTCCGAGACAGCTGTGTCGACAGGCCGCAGATGACATCTGCGGCTTACGAATGATGGGACACCGTAAAACTCGTAATCGGTTTACAGCCATGCTTCCGCGCCCACCTCGGCCACCTGGGCCACCCTGTCTCTCCTCGCTCTGTTCCTCTCCTTCCTCTATTGGCATCTTGCAGGTAAGCACGGGCGGTGGCTGAATGGCCGACAGAAATAGCACCGACCGCGCCAGCCATGAGGCAAGATCTAATCTAATTTGGTCCACGTAGTCGGTGGTCCCTGTCTGATTTGCTTACCATGTCGAGGACTTTGTGCTGGTTATTGTTCCCTCGCTTTGCTCCGTCAAGTCCAGGTGCCCTGCTTCCTGTCTTTCCTGGATTTGCCGCTTCCCTCCCCGGCATGGGGATGGATGGTCAGACATATCTGCGTCAGAACAGCAAGGAGTGGAATTGCAAAGCAAAAGCCGTCTCCGGGGCCGCTGTCAAAAACAACAATAAGCGACCCATCTGCCATGTCCTCGGCATGGTTCAGTTCAATCTCTGGTACTGGTAGAGACAGAGCAGCCGGCACAACTCGGTACTATGCAGCAGCCGGAAAGATACTACTTTAATGTATGTATCTTACGTAGCCTACGGAGTACAATTATCATCATCTTGCTCCACCTGCTCGTACAAAACCCTGCTTCTCCCCGCAATGATCTCTTCCAGCTACCCAGGCTAGCACGTTCAGCGTTGCGTTTTAATCTCGGCTTGGGGTCTTCTGAGAGCGCCCTCGCCTCCCCCGGAATGGTATGGGACGCAGGAGGTGACGCAATACTTTCTAAAAAGAGGCCCACGGGGCAAACTGGAAGACCGTTGACGTACAAAGTACGGAGTACTCCGTAATGTACTCCATCTGCGCAGCCTACGACATATAGGGGGAAGCGGTAAGGGGGCAGGGTGGCATCGCGGCTTCTCATTGATGCAGCGCAGACCAGGGGAGACGTAGAATCTAGACGCAGGTCTTACTGCACGGCCCCTTTCTCCTTCTTTGCTTTCTTCTTCTCGAGGTACATTGTTGACAGCGCTACTGCCATCCCCTGACGACGCTCGTTACGCCGCTCCTTATATATCTTACGTGCTTGTAGTACGCAATGCTATCTTCGCCCGAGTTGGCGGATCAGCCGATCCTCACTGCCAGGATCCCATGGTATTGGCAGTCTCGGAGCTTGACCCCAAAAAGAACGTCCAAGAATAGAATAAAGGACAGCGCGAAGTACTGCATAGCATGGAAAGTAAAACGGCCAAGACGCGAGCAGAAGGAGCAGGGCGCCGAGGAAAAGAAGAAAGCATGCAGGGACAGCAGTGAGATCGACCGTTACTCTAATTATGGGGCACAAGCGCCTCAACGGCCGAACAGAACCACTGCGGGTACCGAGAGCTTTCAGCCTGCGATACTGGCCATACTACGTATGTAGTCGCTTGTTCCCTTCCTGTCTTGCTCGCGGGCACCCCAACAGCTAGACCATCCGTGTCGACTTGCTTACGGCAGAGCTTTGCTCCTTTTTCTTCTTTCCTTCTTTCCTTCTTTCCTTCTTTCCTTCTTTCCTTCTTTCTTTTCTCGTTCTCTCACTCTCTCCCTCTCGTCTTCTGCTCTGTTCGGCTAGCACTTCCCCTCGTTTCAACGTGATGCCGCCTGGCCGGCTTCACAGGTCGGCGACCAGAGGATCGTAGGCGAGTATGCGAGTATGTGTTGTACTGGTATCGGCATACGGGCAATGCAGCAGCAAGACGCCACCACGTCAGACAGCGGAAGATGGCTGCTTTCCGACAGCCGGCCCTCCTTCCCAGGAGCCGTATGCCTAATACGAGGTACGATACCATTCTCGTACGCACTAAGCCACATAAAATGGCCAATGGGCTGTAGTACGCGTCTTACTTAGGAGCAGGAAGAACATAGGAAGAGGCAAGCTCGGGGCGATATTAAGTACCGCGGGAACCAGGAGAATGAGCTTATTTGCCTTACCAGAGAGAGTGTGTGTGGGGGAAGGAACGAAGGAGGGGGGTGCACGCGTATAAACGGCAAGGCGATCGTTGCAGCAGGAGCTGGTGGCAGGCTGAAGTGGGATGGAGCGCGACTTCCTTTGAATACCGAAACGTGCGTCAACTTAGTTCCATGTCTTCCTGGCCACCATTTCGCAGCCAATGAGCGTTCGCAAATACTGCCCTACTGCCTGCACTTGTTTATCGTTTGATCGCTTGCTCGTTTGCTCGTTTCATCGTTTTGATCTCTATGGAGCGGTGGATCGATAGTCTCTCGTCGCCTGGCTTTGTCAAAGACGACTGGGAGTACTCGGCGAGTTGTGAGGTACAATCCCCCCTTTTTCGCCCCCTGTCTCCCTGCCCATGTCTTGGTCTGCTCGGCTGTTTGGCCCTCCCTGCCCACTTCGTTTCGATTTTGACAGCGTCCAGTTCCAGGATACGCTCTCCCTTTCCGAAAACGTCCCGGACCTCGAAACCCTGCAGCTCTTCTCCCATGATATACGGAGTACGTCCTCGCGCCGATACTGGTACCAACAACGAATCACGACGTTGAGCTGCTTCTGGCTTCTCTGTCGACAAATCGCGACAGCTACTTCCAGCACGACCTGGCTGCCTTCCCCATAAAAATGCGTGCAGAAACGGGCAGAAGCGAGACGCATCCATTCCTCTCCCAGGCACCCCCACCTCTGGCTGTCTCTCGGGGCTGTGTCCGCTCCCTTTCTCTCCACGTCGACGGCCACTCGTTGCCTTCTCGTCGATATTTCCCCGTGGCCCTGTCGTTTTCGCCTGTGCAACGTTATCAGCCTCCAGTCTAATTCCGGCTCTCCCGTGTCTTGAGATGGGCACAAGAGACCCCTAATTCTGGCTCCAGATGGCCTTGTGCTCGTTCCATGAATGCGAGTTCTCGTATGAAGACGTATAAAACGCCCGAGTGTGAGTGGAGTCTGTCACAAAGAAAACACATAATGAGAAGAGCTGATGGCAGCCTCCTGCTTTGCGTCGGCCTGCGTCATTCCATCCTCTCTGTGCACCCTCGTGTGCATGCTGCTCTTACTGGTGACTCTGGACTGTACTCGAGATATACGAGCTCTGCTTCCCCTGTACGGTACACCCATCCTCTTCGTCTCGCCTGTTGCTACCGTCTGTTGTCTTCGCTGGTTATGCCCTTGCTTGGCTAATTGTCATGTCCTGCCATTTGCCAATCCAATTCAGACCGGTGTCGTCTTGCTTGCTTTTCCGGTCTCCCCTACCCTCCCTCCCTTTCGGGTTGCCACCCGCACTGCTGCATCATCCATTACCAATGCAAATCATTATGGATATCAACCCTGATCCACTCATCGACGGGCGAAGACAAGCCACAAGAAACACCCAAGCTGGAGCCAGCCTATCTTCTCCCGGTGCTGGCCAGACGCCACCGGCCGGCCCGTGACATGTCCACGCAGCTCTTCCCTTCTGTCTGGACCATGAATTTATGGCACCAATGATCCTCTCAAACCACTCTTGAACACGCCTTTACGGTACCGACATCTACAAGTTCACAGTACTTTTACACATGCTAGTTGGAAAGAACTCTATACTTGCTCTAGACTCGTCAATGGCTAGCTAAAGTGGCTTACACGAGAGTCTAACCCCCCTCCTTCTCCTCCTGCACCCCCCCTCCCCCCCGCCTACATCATACGAAATCGCAGCAAAAAAAAAAAAAAAAAAAAAAAAGCCCCCTCGGCCCTAGTCAGTGGCGGCTGAACATTGACAACAACAACCTGGTCGGGAAGATTCATGTCTTGTACCCAGCCGCTACGTTGACCGTACCCCTGTCCCCCTGTTCTATGGCCCGCGGCCGTCCTCGACTTTTGGCCCCCTTGGGCTTAGCTCGCTCTGACCATGGCACCGCCTCGACCTGACGGTGAACCTCATATACAGCATGTGCTTGTGTCTGATAGATGTGAGTTATCTGTTTAAGTGTTGCCAATTTTATGTCTCTTGTTATCTTCGTGTCCCTTTTCTCTCACGCGTGCGCGCTCTCTCGCTCTGGCTTTCTTTTTCCTCGCTGTTTTATAATGATTCCCGAGTATATGAGATGTCAGCCGGCCGCTAATGCCTGAAATCCATCTGCAGAAGCCGATCTCTGTCTTTCTCTCTCTCTCATTCTTATCTTTCTCTTACCAGCTCTCTGCACGTCACCAGAGTCCCTGTGCATGCTGGCTTTCCTTGGCCTTGCCTTCCAATATATACACACCTACTTTTCGGTGCTCGTTTTTATTCTCTCTGGCTTGATCCTCTTCCTTCTTGTGACCCATATCTTCCTTCTTATTGCCCATTCTCTTCCTCTTTAATTCCTCCCATCCTCGTTCTTCTCTTCCTTCATCATACCGCCGGCTTGACTCACTATTTCTCTTATCTTTGGACACACCTGGGCTACCTGACGCTCGCTTCACGTCTTCTCTACGTTGTTGGTAAACGGTCTTCGCGAACTAGCTAGTGCTCCTACAGTGCCGTCTGTCTCTCCCACAGCTGGGAGAACTTCATATCAGCATACAAGCTTGTCGTTGCATCTCTGCTCGCTCGTCTGCCTGTTCCAAGGCAGCCCTCACCAGCCGGCAAACTGGAGAAACGAGTCAACATGGTGTTTTGCGCATACTGCGGGAAGGGTTTCACCCGCAAAGAGCATCTTGAGAGACACATACCTAGCCGTACGCTCTCCATCCCCCCTCTGTCGTCCTGCACGTTTCTAACATGTGGACAGACACAAATGTGAAGCCTCATCGCTGCAGTGCCTGCCAGCTGTCATTTGCCCGAAGGTAAGTCGGGAGTAGAAAATGCTCTCAGCAGGAAAATTGCATGATCATTGACAGTGTACCGTCCGCACAGAGATCTTCTACAGAGACACCACTCGACATACCATGAAGCCCGGGATCCGATGGAGCCGCTGCCAGGTGGTGTTCCTACCGTGGCCGGCCGCACGCCCATTGCCTGCCAGAACTGCGCGAATGCTAAGACAGGATGTGACAAGCGAGTGCCCTGTTCTCGGTGTGCCGAAAAGAACCTCCCCTGCGCTGCTCGCTTCGCACGGCGATCGTCCAAGGCGGCAGTGCGTGCAGCCCAGGCCAACGCGGCAGCAGCAGCGGCCTTCACTGCTCAGATGGTGCCGGTGCCTTCACCACCGCAGCCAGGACCGCCGTTGACGCCGGCCTTTATCGAGCTGGATCTACATGCGGCCGTTCCGAAGGCAGACTCGCCCATCCGGTCACCACTTGGCCTGGACCACTTGATGGTCGGGGGCGCCACTGGTGTCGACATGTGCCTCCCCGACAACAGCGGGCTCCACCAGCCTTCTCCACTGCACCAGCAGTTGCACCACCACGCATACCCGCCTCAGAAGAAGTCGCCGGCACACACACACGGCCACCTCAGTCCGGAGGACTTTTCCTCGCCACACGGGCGGATCGAGACATTAGACGAGTTTATGGGCTTTGGAGCTACGACAAATGAGTTCATCGGTCCGGAGACGAGCTTCCAGGACCTGATTTGGACCGAATACCACATGGACCTGGACATGTACCCGCACCCAATGCAGCTCACACGGCCTGGCGATTTGGCACCTTCTGCTCTCGTGCCGCCATTCACAGCGGCCACGGAACTCAGCGACATGTCGTCCAGTTCCGAGCCCATGACGGTGTCGTCATCGCGCAACTCGGTGCACACACGCTGCACCAGCATCTTCTCGACTGGCGACAACGACGGCGCCAGCGGCAGTGGTGTGCGTGGGGTGAGTGGTGGCAGCGGCGGACACATGCACGAGCACAGGGGCAGCGTGTTCAAGCCCAGCACGGTGGTCGACTTGGCTGCTATGGTGCCAGCAGCCGACGGAGGGATCCCCGAATTTGAAGTGGTCGTGGCCTCGGATGCAGCCTGGCCGCTGGCGCGTTGCAATCCACCAATCTTCTCGGGATCATGTCCACGGACGGCGATCGTGCATCTAGAGTGCCTGGAGCACAAGTCCAAGCAGGAGGGGACCTGGGGCCCGCTGGAGCACTACCTGGACGGCCAGCCAGAGTCGGCCGATGCAGCGCAGGTAATGCCGCTCACGTCGCGCTCACGCGAGAAGATGCTGGCCATCACGCAGAGCTTCCTGCATAAGGCGCTCGACATCCACCGGTCAGGGCTGTACCCCAAGAGCGGCATATCAGGAGCCTCAAGTCCGACGGTGGACTTCAACTTCTTGGTGCTGCCGCCGTCGCGCATTCTCGAGTACTTTCTGCGCAACTACGTGCACAGCTTGGCGATCTATTATCCGCTGGTGGTCGGCGGGATCGTCGATCCCAACGAGATGCTGGACAACAACCAGGCGTCGACGCTGCTGGTGCTGTTGATGATTGCACAGGGCGCTGCATCGGTGCCGATGGCCGAGGCGCGCTACCTGTCGGCCGGCCTCTCGGAGACCTGCCGGATCTCGCTCTTCGATATCATCGAGAAGAACGTGGAGTTGTCGGCCGATCCGCTGGCTCTCCGCTGCGCCCTGCTCTTCACCCTGCTCGGTGCCTGGGGCGGTGACAAGTGGCACATGGACATTGCTATGGGCCAGCGCAGCATGTATCTCTCGGTTAGTGCAGCTTTGTCGGGGTGGAACGGAAGGACGAGACGAGACCGGAATGCTGACGCGATTCTCGCACGTGCAGATGTTGAAACATGCCGGCATGCTTGAGCCACAGCCGTCGATGGTGCCCAGCTTGGGCAGCCAGACCAACACGGAGCTGCAGTGGCGCTCATGGCTGCACCGTGAGGCCCAGAACAGGTAAGCCGGTCTCATGTTCTTTGCGGACTGCCTTGCTGACAGGTGCCTCAGGCTGGTGTACAACTGGGTGATGGTGGACCAAGAGCTGAGTCTGTTCCACGACACAACGCCGGTGCTGTCAATCAGCGACCTGCAGTGTCCGCTGCCGAGTCCCGACGTTCTCTGGCTGGCTCCCACGGCTGATCGCTGGCTGGCTACTGCCCAGAGCCTCTACGGCTGCACAGCTGTGCATACACATGCTCACGGCCGTGGTGGATCGCCGATGCTGGTGTCGTCAGCACTGACGCCGTCGCTGTGCGACGTCTTCCAGGACTTTTTGCACGATAATCTGGCGCGGCGCAAGAGCAGTCTGACGCCTCAGCTGCTGCGGCTGTTGTTGCACCCGCTGCAGACGCTGCTCGGCCACCTGCGCACGATGCTCTCGTGTCTGTCGGACGTGACGCCGACGCGACGGACGAGCAACCGGACAGTCACCAAGGCGTCGACGCTGCAGCGGTTGGAGGAGGCGCAGGCTCAGCTGCAGCAGTGGTACGAGCTGTCGATGGCATACTGCAAGGCCAATCCAGACTGTGGTGTTACGCACTGCAATCTGGTGCTCTACCATCTCATCTCGCTCAACGCCGTGACCAACTTCCCGGAGGTTGAGCGTCTCGCCCGACGCGACGGTCTGGGCAACACGCCTTTCTGGGATCTGGCCCTCCGGCACAAGCTCTGCATCTTGCAGCGCGAGGAGGCCATTTTCCACTGCGGCCAGGTCCTGCGGCTGCTGCGCCCGATGGCCCTCAATTGCCGTCCCAGCTGGTGGAGCACTGCTCTATACCGGGCCGTTCTCATCCTCTGGGCCGACAGTGTCTGCCGGCTGGACCCCAACTTCGAGCAGCAGCGTGCTGGTGCTGGGATGTCCATGTTGTCTTCTGCTGTGGCGGCGGCAACAACGACTGTCGCTGCTGCAATTCCTAGCGGTTCTGTGGTACCGGCAGGTGTTGGCCCCAGTTCTGGCGCGAATCCTGGTGCTGGTAGCGGCCCCGGATCTGTGGCCTCGGCCTCTTCGCCTGTGCAGGCAGGCTCGTCCCCCGGCCTAGGCCGAAGCAGCAACAGCCGCAGCAGCAGCGTGCACAGCTCGTCTGCGTCACTCGTGGCCATTGACCAGGTGACTCCCGAGGACCAGGCGGTGATCACGTATCTCTGGCAGGGCGACGGGATTGCAGTTCTCACTCGTCTTGACGGAACGCATTTTACCCTGGACAAGCCTACGGAGATTCTCACATACGGCGTCAGACGGATCGAAGAGACCAGGAACACACGGATCGGAGACGGCATTCGTCGCAAGCTGATGACTCTGGCGACAAACTGGGCCGGCCAGACGGGCATGTAGTCTTGCTGGCTTTCATCTTTATTCCATTCGGCATTTTCTTTCTCGTGCAGGCGGACGGTACTACAAGTTCTCTACGGTCGGTTTGGGCTCAGGAACCGAGGCAGAGTGCCAAGACGGATCGGTTCCAGGGGATGGGATGCCAAGAATTGGGGCTCTGGCAGGATCATTTTGCTTTTAGTATAGGCGTTGTTACCGGGTTTTAGTGCTTGCTCTGCCGTTTAGAACTCTATACTCGAGATCGTTCCGTGGCCCTGCGTGGGCTATAGGCTAATGCTTACATTTTCTGTTCTCGTTCGATCCGGTGCCATCCGATGCAAGGGAAGGGAATCAAGGACGTCTTTCTTAGCACATTGAGAATACGAACAAGACCGGGCGGCTGTAGCGAACGAAGCGGCGAAGCCGTGCCTTGCGGTTCACTCAGACGGATGGCTTCAGCGCTGTAGCACGTCATTTAGTGCTTGAAACTGCCTCTTCCGTATCTTACCTGCCCCAGCATGGATAGTGCGCAAGCCGTGGCGGCCTACTACACACTAACATTGCCGCCTTCTCCGTTGAAGAGAGATGTGAGGAAGGACACCCGCGAGCAGCGAATTCCTGGGAAAGAGAAAGGCGCGGGCAAGCGGAAGAGACGAGTTCCCGCTTTGCGATTCAACTTCGTCGGACATCCGTTGGGGTCGTGCCAGAAAGGCAGACGAGGGATTTGCCCTGGATCGGCGTCGGGCTCCTCCAACAGCGTGCGGCAAGGCTTGCTACTACGACCTATCCATGGTCAGCTTACGGGCAAGAGCTTACCGTTTGGTGTCTGACTTTTTGTGGCTTGGAATGAGCCTTGGCTCTGGTGTTGTGCAAACTTGCCGTGAGAACATCCTGGCGGAAGGTCCTGCCGATGACAGAGGATATCTAGAAGACGGTCTGTACAGGCTGTTATCGGAGTGCCATACTTTCGGTGGACGTGGCGGCCTGCAGAGAGAATGCCGGAGGTATGCTCTTTCTCAAGTCCGGCCTGGCAGAGAGACAGAATCCGTCCTGTCCGGAGTTTGCAGCCCGTCCAGAAGGAGCTGCATCGGCTCTTTGCTCGGCTCAAGACATGCTGGCAGATTTCCCCAACGCAGAACCGCCTTACTTACGGATCTTCCTCCCGGACTTGCCTGCCAAAGTACCGTGGCCCATGTATAAGTACCGTAATTTCTCGTTAGATTAATCGATCGATCGGGACGAGAACAGAACAGCATTCTCATCACTCTGCATCTCTCTCTTGTCTCCTCGCATTCGACCAGTCCCCCCAACGCCCAAGGCTTACCCGACCTTGCACGCTTTCTCTCGCCAGACCGATCATGTCTCCGGCAGCCACGCTCGACGTCACTCCTCCAGCCGGTGCACCGGTCACGGGTGCAGACTCTGGGGCTGCTGTCTCGCCGAGAGACCCGGCACGGCCGCTGGCCGGCAAGGTGGCTCTGATCACGGGCTCTGGCCGGGGCATCGGCCGGGGCATCGCGCTGGAGCTGGGCCGGCGTGGAGCCAACGTGGTGATCAACTACGGGCGCAGCAGCTCGTCGGCCGAGGCAGTCGTGGCCGAGCTGGCCGCGTTGGGATCCAAGGCGGTGGCGCTGCAGGCCGACATCAGCAAGCCGGCCGAGGTGGCCGGCCTGTTTGACCGTGCGGTCGCGCACTTTGGCGGGCTCGATATTGTCGTGTCCAACTCGGGCATGGAGGTCTGGTCGCCCGAGCTGGACGTGACGCAGGAGCTGTTTGACCGCGTCTTCGACCTCAACTGCCGCGGTCAGTTCTTCGTCGCCCAGCAGGGCCTCAAGCACACCCGTCCGGGCGGCCGCATCATCCTGACCTCGTCCGTGGCCGCCAGCCTGACCGGCATCCCGAACCACGCGCTCTATGCCGGCTCCAAGGCCGCCGTCGAGGGCTTCACCCGCGCCTTTGCCGTCGACTGTGGCGAGAAGAACGTGACCGTCAACTGCATCGCCCCCGGTGGCATCAAGACCGACATGTTTGACGAGAACGCCTGGCACTACGTCCCCGGCGGCTACAAGGGCATGTCCCAGGACACCATCCAGGCCGGCATCGCCAAGGCCTGCCCGCTCAAACGCATCGGCCTCCCCAGCGACATCGGCCGCGCTGTCTCCCTGCTCGTCAGCGAGGAGGGCGAGTGGATCAACGGTGAGCCTCTTCTTATTCCTTTTCCCGGTCCTTTTCTCTCTGCTAACTCTCTTCAGGCCAGGTGATCAAGCTGTCTGGTGGTTCGGCCGTGTAAATCGAATGCGTGCATATCTAGTCGACGAGAAAGCACGAACATGCTGCGAAAATTGTAAATGTATGCTAGAACGGGAATAGATTCTCCTGAAAGCTGCTTGTTCCTTGCTGTGACATGACCAAGCGTACGGGGCGACGTACCTTCTGTTTTGGGAGAATAAGGACACATGACTGAACCGAAAGTCGTCGACGAGAACCCTTCGTGGCACAGCTTGCATCATCGGCCACGAAAACCGACTTCTCGCGACAAATAGACACAATCGGCCAAAGCAACCCAGCAGCAGGCCTATAAGACTCTTTTCGTACGGTGACACCTATTGTATCACTTTCTCGTATGAAGTCTAAATAATGGAAGGCCGGGTTATACTTGGTGGCCTATAGCATCACCGAGAAATTTCAGCATAAGCACCAAGGAACGCATATATTACTGGCCCAATTTCAGGCACAGTTAAAGGCAGCAGCCCAGGTTGAGCTGAGCGAGCTGAGTGAGCTGAGCGGAGAGCCTAGGTTCTGGCCGAGGACGCACCACGGAGAGAGCAACGAGCAAAAAACACGAGCCTAGGCTAGTACTACTATGCATGCGTTCGTTTTCTCTCTTCGCCTGTTTCTGTTCCTGTGCGTCCTGGCTGTTTCCGGCTGCGGATCAGGCCGAGAGTCAAACGCGAGAGACATCTTGTCCGCGGAGATTTGTCGACTGGTCACGTTGTACGGTGAGGATTGGAGGTGTGGAGATGGTGATAATGGAAGTCGTGAGGGGGTGACACAGAACAGGGGGAGAAGCTTCTCGGTTGAGCCTACGGCAGGCCTGAAGTGCTGCCATGCTTTTCCCCTCTCGTTGATCCGTCCTACGGCCATCGTGCCGGATACCGCAACATGTCCCGATGACGCTGTCGTGACAGGCCAAAACAGAAAAAGCTCAGCTGAGCAGCTGATCAGTGCTCCCAAACGCAGGCCAGCTTCAGTCTCAGCCAGCCACTCGGCCGATGAAGATGGAAGCGATCTCTGCACGGCCCAGCTCTTGCCCCTGTACCGGCCGCTGGGACATCAGCAGGCCTTTTTCTCTTAGGCTTCAGAAGGCGTCGTTGAAGAGGGTGTTCCCCATCACTTCACATAAAGGGGTGTGAAGCGGGCGCTAGAGAAGACCTGCCTTTGCATGCAGGAGTGGGACCTGGCGATGTTTCAGTCATCTGGCTGATGAAGTGGTGTGAAGCTTTGGCCAACCGTGATGCCGTTCTGCTCGCTGCCTTGGGGTGTCTCGGCAGACGCCGTTCCCCAAAGTCTACAACTCCGCACGGGCACAGAGACGAGAACACGGCATTCGACGAAAACGAGATTGATGATAAAAAACATGTGGCAACCCGAAATAGATCATACGCCTTTCCAGCCGGGAAGGCCTACTGGGTCTTTGATCGCCTCGTGCCAGCCCGGATTCTGAAATTGCAGGCTCTGTTGCTTTGCTGCCCGTTTTTGCCAAACGATAAAAAAATGATTGCGAAACCCGCAAAAAGTTTTGGCTCCGCTGGGGCTCGAACCCAGGACCTTCTGCGATCTCAAGATCGCTTGTGAAGCAGACGTCGTAACCAACTAGACCACGGAACCCTATACTTGATTGGCTGTGGTCCGGACGATTAGACATATAGGGCCAGTTCCACAATTAACCTAGAGCTAAGAGGCAAATAGAAGCTTGATTGAGAAACCGGCTTCTCACACGCTTGCCCCCACTAAACCGTTTCCAAAGAAGCAATGCGAACATGAAGCAAACTCAGACAGGATGTGGGGAAATAAGTAAATACAGGATCAGAACCGGACCAGAGCTGGGGTTCATCCCGCGCCTTGCGTTGTAGTCGATTCTCGAGCACAACTTCAATGACTCGAACTCGTCAAAACAGCCCTGCTGCCAACAGTCATGTTCATGCGCTTTGGCCCTGTAAAGGCAGCAGCTCGGAACCGGGAAGAACAGGAATCTATCGCTCGCCAGGGCTAGCCGTGTTGGGAGGCGAAAAGCAGGAGGCCTTTCTGAATGGAGATAAAGCGAGACGCTCCGGCCGCGGGATTCGCTTTGCAGCTGACATTTTTCGGAAAGGTGCATATTGGGCTTGTGGTCCGAAATGGAGCGACTATCTATCTCGCCCTTCTCGTCCTTCTCGCCCCTTCCATGCACCCACGTTGACCGGTGCTCTTGACTCCGTATTTGATCTTCTTCCCCCACTCCATCCCCATCCAATAGCTCGTGATTCAGCTGTGCGATTCGACGAACATTTGCCTAAAACGACACACAAAGCAACTGCTGGGCCCTTTTTTTTTCCTTGTCACATTGTCAGCGCCCATCCGTATCCAGAGTCTGGCCCGCTGCGAGTCGCAGTTGTGAGCAGGTGGAGACGGGAGCCCGCCAAGATGCATGACCGATGTATACGAGCAGAAGCAAGCGTGTACGAGTACTCCGTAGTCGTACACATTCTACTATGTAGGGCTCTGTCCTGAACAGCTCGAATTAGCCCAGACCTCCGGCCCCGCTGAGATTCCGTCCCGCGTGCACACAGCCCAATTCCAGCAAGAGCCACACCATCTCCGATGGCCACACTGTCAGCCCTCTCTTTCGTTCCCGCACTATTTGCTCTTGTTCTTTTTGGCATGGAAGTCGTCTCATGCTCACCCCAGCCGGACATCTCCACCGTTATTTCTCCACGAGATGGAGGGTGTGTGTCGCCAAATCCAGCGGACCCGTTGATGATCAACAAACCGAAATCCCACATGAATCTTACATTTCTCCAGCAATTTTACCGTTCAAGACGTATCACTGGTGCCTGCTCTTCCGTGTGGTCTGTTGGGTGGGGTTGTATGGTGAGCTATGTATTTGTACTTCGTACCGTCTGTCATATTGGAGCTCAGCTAGCATCAGGGACAAATGGACGACGGAAAGGTACACGATATTGCATCAGTCTAACCAATAATGATATGAATAAGATAAAACCAGCAAGTTCGTTGCGTATTTTGGCATAAGTCGTAAGCAGTCATCTCATTAGCGAAAATCCAGTCCCTCACGGCCAATGGAAATATACCACCGTATCCTGTATCCTCTCAACGACCTGAAGTCCAGGAGCTTGGACTTTACCAAGCGGGAATGTATATAAAGAACACCCACAATGAAATAAATAGAAAAACAGATGATTCCATAAAGACAGTGATGCTGAGAACCGAGCGCAAAAACGAGGCTATGCACAAAACGCCAGCGCCTTATTCCTATGCAGGAAGAGAGAGAGGGAGAGAGATGTTGGCACAGGTGGCGAAACATAAAAGATGAAACGCAAAAGGAGGAACAAAACGTAAGCAATCAGCCTGAAACATCAGGCAGGCAGAGCAGCGAAAGAGGACGTGCCAGCTCATAGTTTCATTCCGGTCATGCATAACGGAGGTCTCCCTTTCGGTGGTTGACCAAATCCAGTGTCGAGCCAAGTGTCTGTCCCAGGTAGCCGATCATGGCCTTGGACATCTCCACGTCCTCCGACAGGTCGCCGCATACCTGTCGAAAGCGCGTGTAGACGTCCTCCAACTTGTGGAGCTCCCGATTCAGGATCTGCAGCTGTAGCCAGCGGCCATCCTCACCCTGCAGCTGATATGCACCCAGGCTGACGCCAAGACCTGTAGCCATTGTAGCAGTTGGTGCGGCTGTTGTCGCTGCTGTCGCTGACTGTGGTGACGAAGAACTCGAATAGCCGCTGCTGCAGTCGACCTCACCAGTTCCGCCAGTCCCCATGCCGTACATGGCTGAGTCCATGCCGTTGGAAGTGTGGCTGAAGTATGTTTGCGAAGCATACTTGTAAAAAGACGTGATCTTTCCGATGACCGTGGCCAGCAGCATGGCGGCAGTATGCGTCCCTGACCGGCTCATGCAGCGTGGGCACCCAAGCATGGCAGAACAGCCCTCGACAGCCTTGCTGTTTAGCTTTAGGACGACGTCAAATGCCGGCGCCGTCGGGCTGGAAGCGTTGTGTAGGGCCTGCAGCGAGTTTAGGCAGGTGGAAAAGCATGGGCAGTCACTTCTGCTACGGTGACGGTGACGCACGCCTCCGCTGCTGTCGTGGCTAGCCATCATCGGCACTGACTCGTGACCAACAGGCGGGCTTTGCCGCATGCTAGGGGTTGTAGCTGGACTGGGGATGTAGTTGTTCGACGAGGAGTCCATGCTGGCCGGCGTGTGCATGGGATTCTGACCGTAGCCGTACATGTCCACCATGGGAGAGTCGATCCAGCCCACGCCAGCCCCAGGAGTTGCCGGCATGGAGAAGTCGAAAGATTGGGATCGGCTGTGGACACCCATATGCATCCCCAGACTTGCTTCCGGAAATTGAGAAGCGGACAGATCCGCGGGTGATGTCCACGGAAGATTGGTTGCGTAGAGATCTCCACTCCGCGCAGTAAATCCAGAAATATGGCTATGCTGTGTCTGGTCGTCCATGCCCATAATGCCGAGCTCGGACGAGATGGAGTGATTTCGGGTCAAGCCGCCGTTGCTGTCCATGCTGCAAGGCGTCTGCCAGCCGGTTTCGAGTCCGTAGCTGTTCTGGGCACCGACTACCGGCACAGCTGGCGTGGCATAGAGGAAGCCTTTCTCGTCGGAGATGGGCGACAGTCCGATAGGACCGGCGGCCGCTGTGCTGGCTGCCATATTTGATACAGGCGAGTCGTGCTGGTGATGGGATTGACTGCTGCTGTTGGTCCCGTTGTTGCTGTTGTGGTCGGACCTGGGCTTTCCAGCCCGGCTGGATGGTGAGTATCTGCATTCGATACCACAAGCCAGGCAGCGGGTGCAGATCGGCCGAGCTTTGGAGCATTTGACCTTGGCCAGAAAGCATCCGTCACAGGATGCACGTAAACGCGGTTGGCGAGGCTTCGATGCAGTTGCCATTTCCAAAAGATGAAGACAGCGATGATTGCTAATGATGGGAGGGGTAGGTAGATTTTATCTGCGACTCGACAGAATGGACGAGGAAAAGTTCAGTCTGAGTGATAGCTCATATGCGGAGGCGAGCGGGAACAAGTAGTCTCATCAGACCACAGAGCAAGGATGGGCGGCAATATGGGCCGAGCTTTCCATCTGCATTCCAGACAGGGAAGCAAATTGGTAATGAGAGTCTCAATAGAATAGTGGGCAGATAAACGGAAGCTGACGGGGGTCGGTTGGGTCAGGGAAACGGGAGAGTCGACCAAGGTGGGTAGTAAGAAGGGCAAGGTCCGGGCTCCGCAAGCCAGACAGGAATAACAAGCTGTATTAAAACGAGTTTTGCAGTATGCTGCGAGCTTCCGAAGAGCACAGCACCTGAGAAGCGAGAGCGGGGGGGTAAAGAGGGAGGAGTAGGAGATGGACGTTAAGACACGAAGGAAGGAAGAGTGAGATTCGAGACGATACGAGAGCCCGCTCAAACGGAATGAAGGGTGAGGGGAGGAGGCTAAGAAATAGAAACAATAAGGCTTATGAGCTCAGAACGAAGTTTAAGGCACAGGGAGAGGTCGGTTAAAAAGAACGGAGAAGGCACCACGCTAAAACCTGATTCAGACTCGAGATTCGTTGGAGGCTGGTTGTGGCCCACGAAAAGGTAGAACAGGAGATTGGGGAGGGGGGTGCGAGTGGACGAGCGTGTAAGTGTGTGCAAGAGAGTGCATGTGTATTTCTGAGACAGCCTGTTGAGGCATGAAGCTGTGCTGGGTGGTGTGCTCGCAGAGTAGATGAGAGAGGCAGGTGGGAGTGACAGCAGAAAGCTTGCGGTTCAGCTAGGATGAGCATTCTTTTTTTTTCTTTTTCTTTCCTTCTTCCCTGCTTGTTCTGCATCGTCTCAAGCGGAGTCTGGAAGCCCCAAGTCGGACTGCATCAAGCCTCGTGCACATGAACGCCGCCAGAACACAGGCCACATCCACTCCGAACAGCCAGAAGACGCTCCTAGTGGAAGCTGTAGGGGTGTGTTGACGACAATGAGAAGGCGAGGGAACAGCAGCAGTGAGAGAACAGATGCAGACCTGCAGGCCAGGGAACCGAAACGAAAAAACGGGCGGGTCTCAGCCCCCCTCCTAGCCGTCATAATCCCTGTTCCCTGTCCCTCTGCCCCCCGGTTTCTTACTCATTCCCCCACAGCATCTGGGAACAAGGGTCTTCCGAACCAGGCCCACACCACGTATGCAGACGCCATAAATGTGGGTGGTAGAGTGTACTCTGCATGCGCTGGAGGGGGAACATGCTGGAAAGGGTACCTGTGCAGATCGATGAAGGTCTTGTTCCTCAACCTGGCTGGCCAAAAGAGACAAGAGCAAGAGGGCTAATGCGTCTCTTGCGCCACTTGTCCATTTTCATCTTTCTCGTCTTGGTCAAATGGTGTCTTAACTCTGCAGTTTGAGACAACGTCAATTGCCTTGTTTATCTCCTCTTCTTTCGCCTGCTGTCGCTGCCATCCTGCTTACTTTCGCTCTAAAGTTCTGCTGTTCCTGCCTGCCGGCTCGAGGGATTCCTCCTTGTCTCCGGCATGTCAAGTGCTGACAGTGATCCGACTTTCTCGGGCTTCTGGCATGAGCTGGATGACAGCCAAGGCACACACCGGGGCGGCGAGAGCGTGCCACGGCTGCTTCGTCGTAACGACGGAACCGAAGGGTATGGTATTATCTGCAACAGCTGCAAGTCCAGCCCTTTCTGTCCTCTGCGTCCTCGGAACGTTGTCGGCTGCTCCAGTGGCGAATCAGATGCAGTGTCGCCATCTGCAGAGGGTTGTTATCGATGTGCACAGAGAAGCATTTGGTTGGCGTCCCAGCTGATGGCCAGGCAATTCTGCCGTTGAGCTCCATCTGGCTTGCCAAAAGCGGACCTTGTATCAGATTGGCAGACCAGGAATAGGAGGATTTGCGATAGCGCGCACATCCCGTCAGCAGTACATTCTCCCACACTTCGCTCAACGTTTTGAAGGAGGGGGGAGGGGGGCCTACCCAACCAAAGCGTCCAATATGCCTCACTCCCGCTCCTCCACTCCACTCTTTCTGTGCCACCTGGCACGCTACAGAAGGCGCTGGAGGTGCCCATGCAGAGCGGCACCTTTTCTGCTTTCTGTCCGGTCCAGCTTTGAACGAGATAGCGAAGCGGGGGGTGGGGGTCGGGATAAGTCGAAGAGTTGAGAGTCGAGCGAAAATGGCCGAGATGGCTGCTGCAAGCACCCTGTGCAGATACAAGCTAGCAGATGCAGACCTGCTACAGACATTTCAGCAAGCTCCTCAAGTGTCGTGCAGGGGAGCAAGGTCTCCATCAAACCTGGACTGCAGCGTTGTTGCGTTTTCCCGGCAGCTTCCCCAGAAGCAAGACTAGCTGTCAGGCCTGGCGGTCTGGGCATTGATATTCGGCTGGGCGAATCGGACAAGGATGGGCGCCATTCCAGGACGATCCCACTGAGTGATACCGAGACTGTGTTTTCGCCGCGTCTAGATAGAGCTAAACTAGCAGCAGGGCCCAAGGGCAGATCGTGGTGATCACTCCCGAAGATCCCTTCTTGTCAGGCCCCTGGACGGGCCTGAGCGGGCTGAGCTTGGAGACGTGTTCGTTATGGGGCTGCTCTCTGGCGCTGTAGCCGTCTTCTGCCATTGTTTGACTGCAAAATGGGCGTGGAGGGGGCTGGCAATGAAAATCCTTGCCTCCGCTTAGCTTTTGCACAAGTCTCTCCATGAAAGGCCCCCCCTGCCTCCTTCATGAGAGACAGCAGGAGATTGCCAGCACAGCAAGTGTCTCACCTCGTATTGCATACTAATCACCGCTTGCCAAGGCTCTATGTATGGCGAGTTCTGTCAGAACTGAAGAGCTAGTCGAGGGACGAGAAGAAGAGCCGGAAGTGAACCCCTGATCAAGTGTGACAAGGCGATCGACGACAGAAAAAGAAAGCAGAAAAGCGGAATGAGACAAGTGTGGCGGCATGAGCTTAACACAGAGACAGATCAACAAAAAGGACACCCTCCGCGCTCTCAAGATGGACGAAACGGCGAGACGGCGCAGGAGAAAAACGCGGTGAGCAGGACAGCCTGGAAGAAGGAAAAAAGGGATCTGGAGGGGCAATTGGACGGCAGTCTCTCCCTTTGCCTCTCCCTTTACTACTTCTTGCAAGTGCATAGCAGGGGCGAAGGTCTTGCATGGCAGGTACGACTGACCAAAAACGAACAACGGCTGGTCTGGGCAGGTGCGCAGCAAGAACAAACGAACACAGGAAAGAGCGTCGCTTCTCACATGACCGGTCACCTGGCTGGAGAGGTCTTTTCTCGGGTGGCTGTGCGATTGTAGGAAGAAGAAAGGCCTTCGGGTATGGCCGCATACGACATGGACCAGAGGGAACAGGAAGGCGCTGGCGGCACTGGCGTGGGAAGATGGGGGGTATCCCAATGCCACGGACGGCCCTGGGCGGCCCTGCACGACGAGTCATGGCAGCAGGGGTTGCCTGTTGCATACCGCTTGGGCACATCGCGTCCAGGAGAACGGCATCCTCCACTGCCTCGAGGGGGCGGGTGGCAGGTGAAGGTGGTGGGCCGGCTGCCGGACTTTCCCCAGAGAACGCTCACACTTCACACTGTCTTGCTGCTTTCTTCTTCCTGCTTTGGGAAGGTAGGTGACGATCTACGCAGTCATCAGGAGAGGGTTTCATCGGTGGCGGAGGAGCCCTACGGATGCTTTGTGCGAGTGATCGCGCCACCGTACTTGCACTTGTAATGGAGATCGGCCACCTGTGTTGCGGCAAACGAGACAAATGCAGGCAAAGACTGCTGAACGGGGAAGAAAGAAGTGGAAAAAGAAAACAAAAAAGAAAGAAAAGTAAAAAGAAAGAATGGAAAAAAGAAAGGAAAGGACAGGAAAGGAGAATAGGCGAAGAGGAAGGAGATGAAACGAGCAAAAGTGGACAGGGCATCGACACGGACCACAACTACCTCGGCCTCAGCTGTCTAGAACTCGCCTCATCGACGCAGCCAATCCCGAGTACTGCCCCTGACTGACTCTCGGGCAACTCGTGTGCTGTCGCATCGGAGAGGAGTGACAGAGCAGAGGAGCTTGAAACGACCGTTCACCGGCTTGTCTATGATCCAAGAAGAGGGGAAACGCTTCGGTTTCCATCCCAGTGAGGGCCATATGTCCTCAGGAGTAGCTTATGGCAGCCGTAGAAAGAGACGGACGAGAATTCTCCCGTCAAGCCCCTCCGACGTTTATCACCAGTCCATCCCCGTGACCGAGTCCTCACTTGCTGTGGTTCGTACACAAACTCAAAAACCATAATTGGATATCCATGGACAAGCAGGCCACAGCGTGAGACTTGGCATCCATTGGAAAGTTCCATCCTGATTTCCATGGCCTCCTTTTGGCCGACAACGGTACCATAAAAAACAGCATGGCGTGGCCAGTATACAGCACGTCTGTTCTGGCTGCCCCTCCACCACAAAGCATGTTTCATATAGTAGGCTCAAACGCACATGCCCCTGTCTTGAGGCAATAGCTGACCTGGTGATGTCAGAGCAAGCTCGGTGTGTGAGCCCGTAAACGATGTATGCCCAGTTTCTGGGTCGCCTCTTCCTCGCAGCTGACACGCAGCTGCCAACTTTTAGAAGTCCCGTCGGTGAACCAGCAGGACCGGTCGGACGGGGTGTGGCTATGGCAGATCTGATTATATTGTATTTTCATGTTTTTCAATCTATTTTCTTTACCCTCCATGCCTCTTTTCGGTTTTGAATATCCACCTCGCTCTGCCCTTTTTGAAGCTCCATCCACCACACAACTCTCGTCCCAAGCACAGTGGCCGTCTTGCCTTTCTCGTCGTTCCGGTGGACCGGTTGGGCTCTTGTCCACATCTGTCCTGGCTGTACCGGTCATGCATCCCGATCCAGCGGACTGCTGGAGCTGATACATAGTACGAGCATGTTTGCAAGCCTGCCTATGGGATCTTTCTGGGCGCCCTGACCTGCTCCGTAGTCTGTCCGTCACCGCTTCTGAGGCAAGACTACCACTCACCGAAAGGAGAAGGGTGTATGCAAGCCAGAGATCAGGTCCTGCGGCTACCCAGATCACCAGCGAGGGTGGCCCATGGGAGCTGGACAGAAGAGAGAGGCCGGACCAGAATGGGCAGCTACCTCTCCGGCTGCCTCTCTCGCGTGCCGCCGCTTGGGCTGTCTTTTGTGGAGAGGGTTGCACAACAGCTACACCGCCCCTGTGAGTTGTCCCTATGGCTATCAGCACAGTCTTGCTCTGGCTGCTGGCCCACAGGGGTCCATTGTACGAGGCAGGATCGGAATGCATACGAGGTTGGGGCTGGACATCTCGATGTGCACAGTCGAGCTCGTCGCCTCCCTCAAAGCACTTCCTAGCACAGTAAGACGGAAGATTGTTGAATTAGACGCGTTTAGGCCACTTCCTACGTTTTCCATCCCGGATAAGCTGATCGGGCGATTGCTAAGAGTGGACATACGTGTTCTCGGCCAAAGAACTGGCTATCCTACGTAAAACACGTATATCTCGTATTTTGGGCCTGTGACCATTTTATACGTTTTAACGTCGAGCAGGACAGGAGGAGGTTGTACCCTCGACACGAATCACTCAAGTAATCTGAAATTCAAAAATCAATCATAGAAACTGCTGACATTTTATAATCTGAAACTAAGTACTAAAAACAAGGCAAGAATACAACTCAAGTCTGACGAGTTTCAGTTTCTTCCTCCAATCTGTTGACCGTATAACCAAAAAAAACTAGTAACACAAAAATCATGTACAATACAATCTCCTCCTATGCCTTGAGCCCTTCACGCATAAACTTTCCAAGCTGTTTGGCCTAAAGATGTTAGCTGCTGCCAGGAAAAAGGACACGGGTAAAGCAGACTTACCAAGTCTCCGTGCATCATCGAGAAGTGATTGCCCGGCATGTGCCGGATCATCATCTTGTCCACGTCCAGGAACTCGTCCCACCGGTTCGGGCCAAAGTCGGTGCGGTTGTCCAGCAGGAAGAGCGCATGGCCCTCCGGATACGGCTCCGGGCGCGGGTCTGTCGGCAGGTGGCACACGCCGTCCTCGCACCAGATCAGCACGACCTTGGGGCAGCGGTCCTTGGGGATCGGCTCGGCCGTGTAGTTGGACAGGGCTGTGACCGAGGCGGCAAAATGCGGCAGCAGCCAGGCCGGCACCTTGTCGGCGTCACCGTCACCCAGCAGCCCGATGCTGGCAAACCAGGCGTGCAGACCCTTGGGCAGCGGCTCGATCGTGACGGGACACGGCGCGTCGATGAAGACGATGTGCGCCACCTCATCACCGGCCTTGATCAGCTGGTGGACAATCTCGTACGCGATCACGCCGCCGGCCGACCAGCCCGCCAGACTGTAGGGTCCGGTCGCCTGGCGCCGCTTGATCTCGACGATGAACTTGGCCGCCATCCCGTAGACGCCGCAGTTGTACTCCTCTGGCGTCTTCATAAAGGGCGAGAAGAGGCCCCAGACGGCCCAGTCGCGGCCAATCTCGTCGATCTCGGTGTAGGATGTGGCGCTGCCGCTGCCGTCCGGCACGATGAAGAGGTTGTGCGTCGCCGTGCGCTGACGACCCTGCAGCAGCACGGACGTGGCCTTGCGGTGTGGGTAGTGGTCGACGATCGACGTGGGTGGCGGCAACTTCTCAAACGGGTCGGCTGACTCCAGCCGGATCACGCTCTGGGTGAACGACACGGTCTTGTCCTCGGGCGTGGACGAGGCCTTCTTCTGGGTCGTCGTCGCTGGCCGGTCCTCGATTCCGAGAGCCCGCTCGACCTCCTTCAGCGACGGGTTCGACACGAAGAGGTCTGACGGGATGTCAATGCCCGTCTTCTCGCGCAGAGATCCCAGGATCTGCAGGCTCATCAGCGAGTCCATGCCCAGGTTGGCCAGGTCCGGTGCAGCCAGGATCTCGTCGACCTCGACGCCCATCTCCTCGGAGATGGTCTCGCGCACGGCCTGCTGCAGACCGGCAGGACCTTCGCCTCCCCCCTTGACCGAGCCGTTCTCACTGTCGTCCATGGGCGTGGTCACGTCCGAGTCCGACTTGAGCTCGTCGACCTCCGAGTCGTCGCTGGAGCCCGAGTCCTCGGTCGACGGGTTGCGCTGACGTCCGGTCTCGAACTGGGCCAGATAGCCCTTGAAGCTGCCGATCGTCGGCTGGTCCACAAACACGTTCGAGTGCAGGTCCAGGTCGAGCTCCTCGCGGATGCGCCCGCTGACTGTCAGTGCCATCAGCGAGTCGACGCCCAGGTCGGCAAACGCAATATTGTCGTCCAGCTCGTCGTGCGACACGCCCACTTCCGTCGCCAGAATGTCCATCACCTCGCTGGTGATCGACTTGAGCTTTTGGTTGACCTTGCCAATGTTGGCGTGCGTCACCACCTTCTTGTTCCGGGCTGCCGCCGTCTTGGCTGCCGCTTTGGTGCGGGCTGCCGGCACAGTGGCCGCAGCTGCTGCTCCGGTCACCGCAGCCGATCCGCGAGGCGGCAACACCAGGTTGAGCACCTTGCGCGGCACCGCGGCAAAGCGCACGTCGCCGGCCACGCCGATGATGCGGTCGCCGTCAAACACATACGCATCGCCGGCATACATCGTGGTGCCCTTGACCGGCTGCATCCGGATGTAGCTGCGGTACGTCTTGGCCACGTCCGGCCGCTCGACAAAGCGCAGCGAGCCCCAGCCGTGCGAGATGAAGACCTGGTTGCGTGAGTCGATCGCATCCGTGGCGTTGACGATGAAGCCCGAGATGTGGCACATGCTGTCGATCCAGTACGGGTTGAAGAAAAAGTTGTCCTGCATGCCGGCTGTCTGGAACTGGACCTTGGCCGTGGCCTCGCACTGCTGGCTGTCGATGATCACCTCGTCCATGCCGCGGTAGTAGGGAGCGTAGTCCACCAGCGCCGTGAAGAGCTTGTAGGCCATACCACGGCTCACCTTGGATGCCGTGCCCTGCGCCTCGCCCGCGTGCAGCGCGTCGACCCGTCCACGGATCAGGTAGCTGACCCGCTCAAACTCGTCGCACCACCGCTCCTTGTCGCCGTAGAGCACCCGACAGGTTCCGTGGACTGTCCGCTTGGCGCCTTCGCCCGCGCTGAACGATATGTCCAGGTAGCCGTCCGCGATGCTGCCTCTGGCCGCGATGTACAGCATGTGGCTGCTGCCCGACTCGTCCAGGATCAGCGTCTTGGTCACCTCCACGTTGGCCACGTTGATCCCGATCTTGGCCACGGCTGCATCGTCGGCCTCTGGTCGTGCCAGCCGGTACGCGTAGTCGCCCAGTGTCAGCGCCATGTCGGCGTACAGCGTAGATGGGCAGAGCGGTGCCCCGTTGACCAGGTGGCCCATCAGTGCCGGTCGCAGGTCTTCGCGCAGCAGATCGGACTCGGCGTCGATCGTGATCGTGTCACCTTTGACCAATTCGTGCACCACCTCCTGCACGCTCGACGTCGACAGCTTCGGCTTGGCTGGCTCGATGGCCGCCACCGCCGTCTTCAGCGATGCTGCTCCGCGGTTCTTCGTCAGGCTCCAGTCGCCCGAGTACTGCAGCCAGTAGTTCTTCTCGTCGAACGCGTACGTCGGCAGGTCCAACAGCCGTGTCGATGCCACAAAGTCGCGGTGCAGCTCGTTCCAGTCCACGTTGAGTCCGGCCGCGTGCAGCGTGCTCAGCGTCGTGCTCAGCGTCTTGTCAGCCACCTCGGCCCGCCGAACCGTCGGCACCGCAATCGTCGTCGCCCCAAAGGCCGCCTTGACCATGTTGGCGCATACTGGATGCGGCCCGACCTCGAGCCAGACCGTCTTCTCGTCGATCGTGCCGGCCTGTTGTGCCGAAACGAGTCCACCGAGGAAGTTGACCGCTTCGCGCGCGTGGTCACGCAGATACGCCCCGTTGATCTTGCCCGCACCGTCCTCCACTCCGATCAGCTTGCCTAGTAGCGGCGAGATGACCGGCACCGTCGGCTTCTGGAAGCAGACCCCGCCGGCCAGACGCTCAAAGTCGTCCAGGATCGCGTCCACCTGCGCCGAGTGGAAGGCGAACGGCACCTTGAGCTGCGTGCACTTGAACCCGTTGTCACCCAGGATCGTGGCCAGCTCGGCCACCTCGGCTGCTGTGCCGCTCAGTACTGTCTCGCGCGGCCCGTTGATGCATGCCACGTTGACCGTCTCGGCCAGCTCGCCGAGCGCGTCCTTGACCACCGACACCGAGCCCTGTACCGCCAGCATCGCGTGCGTGCCTGCCGTGCAAGCCTTGACTAGCAGCTGCGCCCGCGCGCCCACGAGGTAGATCGCGTCGCTGGCCGAGAGCACGCCGGCAATGTGCAGCGCCGCGTACTCGCCCAGGCTGTGGCCCAGCACCGCCGCCGGACGCACGCCCCAGGAGATCCAGAGACGGGCCACCGCCATCTCGAAGCAGGCTAGGCCCAGCTGCACCACAACCGGGCTGAGCGACTGCACGTCCGGCTCGCTGCCGTCAATCAGCGGCAGGAACGACGGGAACCCGTGCACCTTGGCCACCTGCTCGAACTCGTCGATGCTCGATCGGAACACCTGGTAGTGAGCGTACAGGTCCTTGCCCAGTCCGGCGTACTGCGAGCCCTGGCCGGTGAAGAGGAAGGCCACCTTGGGCTGCTCCGGCGAGACCGGTGCAAAGGTGCCCTGCAGTCGAGTCTTGAGCGCGCTCTGAGCGCCAGCCAGGTCGCTGGCCACCACGTTCATCCGCCAGTAGTGCTGGATTCGCCGTGCCGTGGTCGTGTAGGCCACGTCGGATAGCGGCGTGGCGGCGTGCTCGGCCATCCAGGCCACCAGGCGCTCGGCGTTGCGCAGCATCGACGCCTTGGACTTGCCCGTCACTGCCACCACATGGCTCGTGCGTGGGTCTGCCGTGGCCGGTGCCCGGACAGGGCCGTCCTCGAGCAGCAGCCCGGTGTTGCCGCCGGCAGCGCTGAAGTTGTTGACAAAGATCCGCCGGGGAAGGCCGTCGTGGCGCTTGAAGGGCGTCATGTGAAAGGCAATGTTGACGTTGCGCTCGCTCAGGTCCTTGGGGAAGCCCTTGTTGATCTCCTTCTTGATCCCGACGTGTGGCGGGATCAGGCTCTTCTGCATCATCATGAGCACCTTGATCAGCGCCGTCACGCCCGAGGCCGCCTCGCCGTGGCCGACGTTCGCCTTGACCGCGCCCAGGTACAGCGGCCGGCCGGCCGGTCGACGACGTTCAGCTGGAGCAAACACGTTGGTGACGGAGAGCATCTCCGTGCCATCGCCCGCCTGCGTGCCCGTGCCGTGCATTTCGACATAGTCCACGTCCAGCGGGTCGACTCCGGCATCGTTCAGGATCGCCGACGAGAGCACCGACTGTGTTGGTCCGTGGGGGTGTGTGATGGAGATCGCGTCAGCCGAGTGGTTCGTAGCCGTGCCCAGAACCACGGCCAGCACGTTGTCCCCGTCTGCCTCGGCATCCTCCAGCCGCTTCACGATGACAGACGCGCAGCCATCGCCGCGGCAGTAGCCGTCCGCACCGTCGTCAAACGTTTGGCAGTTGCCCGTCTTGGAGAGAAACTGTCCTCGGCTGAGGCCGGCAAAGATGTCCGAGTTGGTCATGCACGACAGCCCACCCACAATGGCCGTGTCGCAGTCGTGTGCCCACAGCGACGTGCAGGCCACGTTCATGGCCGCCGCACTGCTGGAACAGGCCGTGTCGATGTTCAGGCTGGGACCACTGAAGCCAAAGTGGTAGTTGATCCGGCCGGGGCCAAACGCCCGCACGCCGCCTGTGATGTAGTATGTGTCGACCTCCTGGGCTGCGTTGATCTCGCGCCAGTCGTCCGACGTCTGTCCGTAGAACGTACCGATGCGGTCGAGCCGCGTGCTCGGCGTCCGATTGGGCACATAGCCCGACATCTCCAGCGCTTCGTAGGCCGTCGTCAGCGCCATGCGCTGCATGGGGTCCGTCTGCAGCGCCTCGCGCGGCGACATGTTGAAGAATCGCGGGTCGAAGAGACCCGGGTTCTCGATGAAGCAACCATACGGCGTGTGGCTCGTGTTGACCGCCTTGCCGCTCGGGTCCACGTGTGTCTCGGCCGGGAACCGCTCCTTGGGCACCACCCGGTGCACGTCCAGGCCCTTGGCCAGCAGCTCCCACAGCTTCTCATGGCTAGCTGCGTCTGGGAAGCGCCCGGCCATGCCGACAATCGCCAGCTTCGGCCGACGCCGAGCCCCATGGTTGCCAATCGTCGGTGCAGGCGCTCCGGCCACACCAGCCGACCCGAAATCCGGCTGCTGCACAACCGACACCTTGAGCTCGGTCTGTGACCGCACCAGGTTCGCCAGTGAGCTCGCGTTCTGCGTCGGCCCAAACGGAATCACCACACACTCCACGCCCGTGAATTCGCGGGCTATGTCGAGGCAGCCGTCCACGACGCGCGAGAACATCAGCGGTTCGTTCAGGATCTCGTACACAGCCGCTTCAAACAGCGACGCTGTCGATGTCTCGCTGAACCACGTTCCAGTGGTGCAAGACATCACCGCCGAGCGTGGCTTCGTCTTGAACAGCGCATCCACCACCGCTGCGTCTTCGAGCCGGAGAATCTTCTTCACGTCCGCCCCCGCATGCAGGTGGCTGGCGTGGTACGGTCCATACACTGGAATCGACGTCGACCGGCCCAGCTGGCCCGTCGCTATAAATGCCTCCAGAGACGGCGGCGGCCCAGAGACCGCCACGCTGCTTGCTGACACGGCGCTGATGTAGATCTGGCTGGCTTGGGGAAGAGACTGTTTTGGTAGTTTGTCAGTTTTGGCTTTGGCTTTGGAAATGTGGAAATGGAATTGAGGGTTGCCGAGAGGGGATTAATAAGCAGTGCCGGTGCATCAAAGTGGAAGGAACAAACCTTGCCATGGCAAAACTCGGAAAGAACCTTCCGGGTCTCCTCCTCCTTCTGGCTGGGGAAGATGTATGTCCAGCTCTCAGAGCGGCCGGTTGCAGGACTAAGGCGGTCGGCAAGCTTGGCCACGTGAGAGCCTGTCCGGAATGCCATCAGCACAGCCTGCACGCCCACGGGCACAAGCGAGGACAGCGACGGTGTCGAGGCGATGGCCACAGCCGCAAAGAGGCCCGAGCATAGACCGGCTAAGAAGGTCTGGTCGTGTCGGATGATATCCTCATAGTGCTTCTCGCCATGGCTGAAGGACAGTTAGCCAGTCGGTACGGTTCATTTACAGCATGAGGACTGGCTCTTACTCAATGTAGTGTGCAAGCTGTGTGATGCAGAGCAAAGCTCCGTCCAGGCCGGGGTGCTTGATATCTTGAGAATGGTACTTCTCGTTCAGCTGCTGGATGGTCTTGAACACCGGGAGCTTCGCACGCTCGATCCGGTGGAGGCCCTCGACTTCCTTCCGCAGAGCCTCAGTGGCCTGGTTCAGGAAAGCCTGGGCAAGGATGCCTGTGTTGTCCTGTCGGCAGAGTCCGGACAGGAAGGCGTACGTGTCGAGGGACTGATCCCCAAAGAGAAGGAATGCCAGCCTGTTAGCCATGGTGGCTAGGTATAGAGGAAAAGACTTCTGGACTGGAACTTTCTGGGTCAAGGCGTGGTTGTGGTGTGAGAAGTTGCCGAAGTGCCAGAAATCGTAAAGGCTGTGATGAGTTCAAGGCATGAGTGATGATGAAGGCGGATGGGTAGGAGAGACTTGACGGTAGGAAAACAGGCTTTCCACCTGTCTTATATACGAGACTTCCAGATGAGCAGTTGACCACCAGGACCGAGCGATAGTCAGAGAAGGAGAGAATCACAGACGGACTGAGCCCTAGTGGATACCATCCAACGAGGTATCCCAGCCAGCCAGCCAGCCACCCCCATCGACCAGCTTCCGCTCCGTCCTCTCGTGTCTCTCCTGAACTCTCTCAATTTCCAGTTCCTCCTAGATCCCATACTTGCTCGTACGAGTTACGGAGGAGGGGTGTGCGTGTCGATAAGCACACGCCCTCGATCCATCTTGCCGGTGGAAGGCCGCAGTCCGGACCTGGTAGGCTTTCGGTCACCGAAACACATCCAAGGTAGTCAGGCACTTGCCGTATTAGGCGAAGTGAACGTCCAAGAAGACCTGGCCGCCGCTTGGATCATTCCTACTAGCACCCTAGACTCGACTACGAGACGGGTACTTCTTTGCAGAGTATTGGGTGGGGGTGACGGTTGTAAGTGCCCGCACAGGGGTGTATGAGATAGGCTCATCGCTTGGGGCTCCAGTGACGTACAAACGGGACCAAAAGGCCAGAACAAGAATAGCTACGGTACAGGTACGGAGTAAGCTGCTCCTGGCCGACTACGGCCGCTTCGGTTGGCCGGTTTGATATTGGCATTGGCCTGGCTCTTCCAGTTGGCGCCCTGCCCTACTCCCAAGCTCAGGAATCCCTGCCATGTAAGACGAGAACCGGCCGGCCACATAGTATGCAAGTATCTCGTTCATCAGGGGGGAGTCGGAGCTGAAAGACGTCGGGTATCATACGAGATGCATACGGGCTTTACAATCCGATCTAACCGCTGTCCGTCTCCATTATGCGTTGGCACCGCAGGGAGGCCAGACAGGATGTGCCAGTGCTGGTGCTGTTGTCCATCCCTCGGGCAGCCTTAAGATGCAAACTTCCTCGGCACAAGTCCACATGCCCACGAGTCCTGCTAAGGAGGGGAAGATCTCGCTTCAAAGAGCAGAAGGTCCGAAGGCCGCATCTTGACAGCCTCCGCATTGCCTCTCCCTTATCGCGAATCCTAGCGGGTCAGAACGAGAATGGAGGACTATGTACATACCACCCACGAGTGCACGCAGAAGACAAGAGATACCTGGGGCGGCGGGAGGGTTGCGGCAATACGACAGAACTGCTTAGAAGGGAGGCGGTTTGTCCGACAGCTTCGGAGTTCCCCATGTTATGCGAAAGGAGCTTCCACAGCGCGAGACACTTGCTCGTAAGAAAGGTCGTCGAAGCGACCGTTTCTCCAGTTAATCGTAAGATAGCAGCATCCATAGTAGCCGGTGGGAAGTCCAGCTTGTGACGATTGGGTCGCCGTCCGAATCGCATCACGCCCTTTCCATCGGTACTTCAGCCGATACCTCTTGTTTTTTTGTCAAAAAGAAAGACCGTGACGTTTCATCCAACCATCGGACATGGCAAACACAAGCTAGACGGGAAAGGAGCCTTGCACGAGCCGGACGGGAAAATGATATATCCGCTGCAGCCGCTCGAAGTAAGTTAGGGGCAAGCAAGAAAAGGTTCTTCGGTTCTTTGGCCGTAGACAAGTCAGGCTGCTAGTTGCCAGCCTCAGCAAGTCCGAGGTTTGAGTGTGAAATCAACCTGCCCCACGTGCAGACTCGTATGTGCCTTGTGCATGGACGCCTGTACACCGGTTCACTTGTACACTTGTACACTTGTATACTTGCACTCCCACAGCTTCACAAGCTGCGTACGGGCACTGTAGAAGGCAATAATTCCGCGAGCAGGAAAGGCAATCCATCCGGGCAGCAAGGGGATCTGCAGCTGTGTTTCCCGGACGGGGCAACGATCGTCCGGGCTAGCGGTGAGATGCCGTGCAGTGTCGTTGTCACAGTTTTGCCTTTTGAAGCCCCGGCCAAGCGGAGAGGCGCAGCCGTCAGGTCGTGCGATGGAAGAGGCGAAGAAGTTTGTGTCCGGACGGCAGTGATGGATGGTGTGTGGCATCAAATCTTACATCCCACATCATTGCATAGCAGTGCAGCCGAATGGGACTGTTCCGGACTTAGAGGACGCCCTTCAGCCGCCGGCTGTGCCGTGTTGCTCGCTTTCTATTTTCATTCCGCCTTTCTTATCACTGGTAGCCCTGCGGTAAGGCACAGCTGCTTGTCCGAACAGCTTCCTTGTCCGTTTGATCTAGTCTCCGCTGTTGCTTTGTATGTAACTGTTTGACAAGGAGAGCATGTAGCACTGATCGCAAACCCACCGTGGTGGATCGGCCAAGCCTCGCATCATCCGTCAACCAAGCTGGCGGCTTTGGAAGACAGCAAGAAGGGCTGCCAGCTGCGGCTTGTGGCCGTCACCTCATTTAGACATTCGCTGTACATAGTAGGATCCTAGTACGGACTTCATTGCTTGAATCGATCGGTGCGAGATGATCAGGATCAGGACAGCGGATTAGTCCCCTGGCTCACGGATGGGTGAACTATGCCGTCTGTCTTACCCGTCTTTGGTCGCCGTCCTCGCCTTCCTGACCGGGATCATTGTCGCCGACATATATCGTGCAACCAATACCTGACCGTATTAAGCCATCAGGCTGTCCCGAATCTGCCCTGGTCAGTATCGCAGTCGCTCGGGCCCACAACCGGGCAAACAAGACACTGAAGAAAAAACGGACCCTAGCCATAAGCCGCATCAGAGGGGTGTCTTGTCAGCGAGAGAGGCTCCGATTGCATCAGCGGAGGGATTAAGGGCGGTGTGAAAAATAAGAATAGCGCCATCTCGCGCATGCCCAATGACATCAGGTTGGTGCCGAGGACAAAAGCTTGTGCATTCTCTGTTGAGGGTACGGGGAGCCGATGTGGAAGAATCGGAAGTCGGTGCTGCCAGGAACAAGCCAATTGACTTGTGAAGGGAACGTGAGACGATAAAGCTATGGCAACGCTAACCGCGTTTGATAACTGCGGGACGAGGCAGTGGTCGCTCCTTCCAACCAATCGCTTTCGGGGCAGCTACGAGTCCGGGATCATTATCGCCTTTTCATCCTTTTGACGGTCTGCGCATGCAGTCTTCTGTTTTTCTTTAGTTTCACGCAGCAAATGCACTGCCTACAGCATGGTGAGATACGAAATTCTACAGGCTACCAGCAACCAGTATACGCGGAAAGCAGGGGTACAATTGACAAGATCGCGGAACGACTGATACGAAACGATCGAGAAAGCACGGCGTGATGGCAGTTGCATGACGGAGTCGATGACCTGCAAGTATCTCAGCCACACTCTGTTCGTCGCTGGTAACGGGGTGCTGCGGTTAGCGAGCTGCTTCCGTTTTGTTTCAATGTAGGTCCGGCGGAGCAGTGCATCGAACGACCACACGGTATGATATTGGCTTAGTCGAATATCAGCTCCGGCGACATGACATCCGGGATGGCGGCTGAAAGTAAGGGAACATGGGCCGAACTGGACAAATCGCAGCCCAACAACAGACGGCTGGATCGAACGGCGCCTTACCACATCGAATATCGACAATACAAGACATGGCCTAACATTCGGTCTGTGCTGTTGGGCTCGTCCGGATGCACCTTGTCTATTTCTGGACATGCAGCAGCCTGGAACACGTTTCTCGTTTGGTTCGGTTCCAAGACTCAACAAGCAGCTCATCCAGCCAACAGGTTTGGGCAAGCAGTCATCTACACTGCTGCCAAGCGACGATCCGCCTCTCATGACCACACGAGTGGAAAGGCGTGAGCAAAACTACGGAAAGAAAGAAAAAGTACCTCGTATGGGGCAACAAAAAAGCACTTCGGACCTCCGGCCAGGGTTGCAGCTAATACGAGCACATCACAAGAAATGGCACTAAAGCCAAAGCCCGTCTGGCTGACTGTGCCCATAGTCAGATAATATGCTGCGCCGTATCTTCGGGCCTGTTTCCACTGTTTGCTGGGCAGCAGCTGCTAGCCTGATTCTTATGGAGCGCGTCAATGGGTTTTTGGCGTCTCATATTCGGTCATGCACTGTCATGACAGCAGTGAGGCCGTCAGGCCTGCTGCCGGGATGTCTCGGTGTGTGCCTGTCTACAGGACAGAAGTTCAGCGCAAGCAAGGAGAGCAGGAGACATGCACACTGTCTCATTTGATTCTTTCTCGACATCGTTGCTGTGCTGCCAGGTGGCTGCGGAAATCATGAAGCGCCTGCATGGCTCATGTCTCGGCCAACAGGTTGGCTCTAAACTGTCAGCCTCTCTGTCCCGCTCTCTCGCACTCTCGCGCCATTCTCACCTTGCGGTGAGCCAGGCCACCAAAATTGGTGCACAAAGAGCTTGGGCCGAGGCACTTCAGGATACAGCAGACGGCACGAGAACGCTTCCAGTGTCAATATTGAGAGGATGTGCAGATTTCCGGACACGGCGTGTTTTCCGCCCATTGGCTCGGTAAAAGATATCTGCATGTACAACTCGGGGCTGTTCTGTTCGCTGGCTGCAAAACTGCAAGACTGCAAGAGGCTGGTGGGGAGGACCTATTCCGGGACAGACAGCAAAAACGGACAGCACACGAGACAGAATCCTAGGCCGGACAGGCAGGTTGGGCGGCTGGTGTCTCCGGCCAATGTGGCAGTCTGTGCCCAGAACGCTGTACGACGGCATGGGCTTCCCTGCCCAACCTCCTTCGCCGCCTCTTCGTGCTTGTGCAAGCGTGAATGACCCTGTGTACCGGTGACACCTCGTTCTCTCGTTTAAAAGACGTCTGGACGAATGGATGCCTCTTCCTGTCGGAAAGGGTCAGCTGGCCGTCCAGCTCACGGACAGGAAACACCGGTGATGTTTTCTCGAGCTTGTTGATCCTCGATATCTGGATGTCAGCTGACAGGTGGGGGCCAGGCCGCCCATTTCTGATGCCTTGGCACTCTGCCATCCAGGTCTTCCCTCTAGATTGCCTGATGGACAAGGGTCTGGGTCGTTTTTCCCCCAGTTGACCTCCGAAGATACGGTCCCAACTACTCCGTACGGTCCAGTATTTGCCGTCTTAGTGGTCTCCGGCCACCAGATATTCGTCCTTCTGGGGCATCTAACCCGTTCGGACAAGCCGTGTTGTTGACAGTCCGTTCCGCTCATCCTCCTGCTTCTCCCTATTCGTCACTTCCGTTTGTCTTGTCAGATATCTAAAGACGTCGTCCGGAGACCGGCAGCTACGGGACAACAAACTACCCGTTCTGTATCCCCTATGCCCAAAATGGCTGCGAGTTACAGCGCACGAGCCTCTCCTGCTTCACGGCTGCCTGGAGGAAGACGAGCCGACGAGGGACAACACAACACCGGCGGGGCCAAAAGAAAGCTCCGCTTCTCAGAATGGATTGGTTGCAGAATCATCTGTAATATGGCATATGCTTCCTAATTCAGGGCTGAGAGGCATTGTAGAATACGTACTTCGTACACTCCGTCTATGGGTACCTTGCTAAATCCCACCCCTCTTCACTCTTTGGCTGTTGGGTAGTGTCTTGGCATCTACCTACCAGAAGAAGATGAGGTTCTTTCCTGTTGGACGGGGGGGAGTGAAACAAGGGGACGGCCAGCGTTGCCATGCTCTATAGAGCTATGTACGACTGTGATGGGGGTCGATGACGACGCTTCCGCGTCAATCTGTAAATCTCGAGCCGTATATCAAGCAGGTCTTTCCTCCCGAGTGTAGGGTGGAGACGGAAAGATTGACTAGGTCTTCATTTTCTCCAATACATCCTACTGAAGCATACTTTTCAACTATCTGATCAAATCTAGAAAGAAGCAATCTTGAATGGATTTACAGGAAAGGCCGCTTCTTTTGTCTTTGGCTGCATTGCCTGTATAAGCAGGACGTCGGATAATCAGGTAAGCACTTTAAAACATTGAATCTACGAGATCAGCTTTTTGATTATTACAATCTTGAGTGCATACCCCCGCAGCCGCTCATACGTTGGTGAGAAGACGACACGCACAACAGCACTGCGTTTCTTGGAATGGACGAATGGAAACTTTATTAACTTGGTTCATACGACGAGTCTGAATATTTTTCTTTAGGGGAAATGGCAGACAATTTCAAAAAGAGAAAGCCCTAGACTTGCACATGCAGAGAGGGGTGAGCAGAAAAGAAGAAAAGAAGACCCAAAAAGAAAAGAGAAAGCATATTCTGCCGTCTGTAGTGCAGAGCGGCTCTAGGATGCGCCAGCTCGGGGCTTGTAGCGGACGGCTGGAGCTGTTGTTGCTTCAGACGTTGACGTTGTTGATACGTACATCGCACTGGGGAAAGGTCAGCGGCCAGGGAGAGAGAACAAGAGAGGGGACAACGCACCCAAGATACGACGTGGAGGGCACGGTCTGGAAGCCGGTAGTGTTCAGGGGGTCCACGGTGTTGCCGATAGCATTTCCCTGATAAGGAATGCCCATCTTCTTGCAGTTGGCAATGTGGTCGTCGGGGAAGGTGAGGCCCTTGAGCTGGTCGGGCTCCTGGATGATGGTGACGGTAAGGCCCATCTCGACATGCCACTCGATGTGGCAGTGGAAGAGGAAGACGCCGGGGTTCTGAACCTTGAAGCGGATGACGACATAGGAGTTGCCGTTGACGGCGATGGTGTCACGACGAGGCGGCGTAGCCGGAAAGGTGCGACTGCTGCCGGACCAGAGGCCGGTGTTGCTGGAGGGCCGGTCGAGCACTTGGAACTGGTGGCCGTGCAGGTGGAAGGGGTGGATGGCGGCGTCCTGGTTGTTGACGACCAGCTCGACGACCTCGCCGTCATCGACAATGTAGGGCTGGACGGCGCCATAGACGAGGGGGTTCGTGTTGTTATCGCCAACAGTGGCGGCGGTGTAGAGCGTGGGCACGGTCTGGTCGATGTACGTCTTGTTGTTGAAGCAGGCACGCGGATAGCCGTTGACGTCGTCGCAGAAGCTGAAGTCGAGCGTGATGGTCGTGGTGACCGGACTATAGGCCGCGAGGCTGTCGTAGGGCTGGAAGTGGGCATCGTCGACGGGCTGCCACTTGGCGACGACGTCGTCAGAAAAGGTGCCGTTGGGCTTCATGACGAGCTGGCCGGTGTAGTTGTGCGGCCACACGATGCCCGAGGCCGCATCGACGGCATAGTCGCGGTTGATGTCGAGCGACAGGAGGAAGGGATAGTTGCGGTGGTCACGTGAGATGCCTGAGATCAGCACGTCGTAGCGCTGGGCCGGGCTGATGCGTAGCTGGTAGGCCTGCTTCTGGGTCACGTACGAAGCGTCGTTCATGATCACCTGCATCGTGTGCGAGTCAAAGTGCAGCATGGCCGAGGCAAAGGCCGAGTAGCAGATGATGCGGAAGCGGTACGTCTTGTTGACCTCAAAGTCGATCTTGGCACCCTGGCCCTCGTTGACGAGGATGTTATCGGGGAAGGGCGGCAAGAACTGCGTGTTGGACGTCACGAGCATGTCCTGCACCAGATACAGGCTCTGGGTGTGGTACCAGTCCGAGACTGTCAGGATGACCTCCTCGTCGTACTGGCCTGCGTACGGGTCGTTGGGGTCGTGAACGATCATCGGGCCTCGCAGTCCGTCCGGGTACTGGCCGAGGTTGTGCGAGTGGTCTGGACCGTCAGCACAGGGCAGTCACGCGAAGAACGGGGAGGCCTTACACCAGAATGTGCCGGGCTCGTCGGCCTGAGCACGATTTGTTAGCAGCTGTTAGCAGGGAAAAGGATCGCATTTACGTACCAGGAAACTGTACGTGATCGAGGAACCAGGCGGCACCGGACACTGGTCGACAGCACTGGGCCCGTCCATCCAGGTCGACTTGGCCTGGCTGATGCCGTGAAAGTGGATGCCGGTCGTCTGGTTGCCCAGCTGGTTGTTCACGTTCACTACAACGGTGTCGCCCACCTCGGCCTCGATCTTGGGACACGGCCACGCGCCATTGATCCCGATGACTGGGCGGCCATAGCCATCCGGCGCGGCATACACCCAGGTGATGTCCCAATCGTACGTCACCGTGGCCGCCCAGGACCCGGCCACCATCAGGAAGAGGTACACGGCCGAGAAGAAGCCGGTCTGATACATGGCGACGGCTTGTACAAGGAAACACGGCAGAACGAGCGGTAGAGGAAGACGGCCCCCTGCGGGCAGACAGGATGGTGCAAAAGAGCAGGCAGAAGTGTATACCTTACGTCAGCGAGAGAAGACGTGTATGGTGTTGATAAGGAGAGAAGATGTAGGCCAAACGAACGGGAGCCTGTGAGGATTAGGTATTATTGGGCAAGAAAGGAAACAGAAAGAGAAACAGGCAGTCGGGCAGTCAGGCAGTTCCCATGGGGGAGAGTGAGCGAGAGAGTGGAGTGGGAGAAAAGTGTTGCGTCGTCGTGAGCGACGTGGGAAGAGACTGCATTATAAGCTAAATAGAAAGCCTCATGTTTCTTTTTTTCTTTTTTTTTTCTTTTTTTTTCTTCTCGTTCTTGGCCCCCCCTTGCTCGTGCCCGTCTGTAAGTCTACATCGTACAGGCAGCTGCTGTCCCTGGGCAATATCCAGGGACCGAGAGCAGCGAGGACAGACACGAAAACCAGCATGGTGTGGGCGCATGGACCATGCTTGCGAAGCTGGCAAAATCAGCCAAGTAGACCAAAGTAGTAAAGTACCACCGCTTGACAAGCCTCACTCTGTGCTTCCAGAAATGGGTGTCTACTCTGGGTAAGAGGGGGCAGAGCAAGGCGTCTGAGCAGAACTGCCCGGCTCCACCTGAACAAGCTGACCAGACAGCCACGCTCTCTTGGCTCAATTCTCTCCGAAGGAACAGGGGCTGCAGCTGCAGCAGCCGCAGCACCAAGGATCATGTATTGAGAGAGCAGAGGAGCGAGACACGAGACACGAGACGCGGGAGGGTGGGGTGGGGTACAGCACGGTGCCGACACTGCTGCGTGGTAGCCCGGAGGACATTGTATAGTTCCGGCGAGCACGGCTTTCGGGGCTAGCTGGTGACCAGACTGGCCATTTCGCTGGACACGATACGCTATGCTCGGGCAGGTGGGAGCCTCGCTGGCAGCAGCAAGAGGAGGTGGAGCAACGGGCAGACCACATGCCCGGTAAAGGAGCTGGTTATTCTTTTCTTGGTCTTTTACTCTTCTTTCCCGCTCGCTTTTTTTTTTCTTTTTTTTTCTTTTCTTTCTTTCTTTCTTTCTTTTTTCAATTTATTTTTATCGATGGGTCCTGTTACTGCAATTGGCAACAGACCCACCCAGTATTGACGGCTTGGCCGACGCTGATTGGTTCTGCCCAAATAAAGCCTTCGGATGTCCGTTAGCTGGCGCAACCAGGTGACGTCAAAGCAACCCGAGCTAGGTAGAGTGACTGCAGCTTAGCAGCAGCTCATCGTGGGCAGCGACTAGCAGCGCTGTGGGCATCTGGCGCCGGCCGCGCGAACACGAGACGGAAAAAGGGAAATTACAAGAGCTAGAAACAAAACACTCGACTAGCAGGAGAAGATCGTAAGCTGAGAAATCCTTCAACACGGCTCGCGCTGACCAAAAGACAGGCATGGCCTGATGCTGGTCCTCTTACGAGCAGTGTAACGGCGTGCTAAGCCATGTGTGCTGTGCTGTGCTTACGATTTTTAAGGGATGCAGTCAAACCAACAGTTAGGCTCTGTTTTTGTTCGTCGACGTTTCGGCCTGAGCGCCATGTCTTCGCCTCCATCAGCCCTCAGCCATTATTAGCCATCAGCCGTCGGGGAGGTCTATCAACAAGGGTAAGCTGGCAGCCTCGGTGTGATGACCAACCATGTATATACATAGCATGCGAGCATGCCAAAAGAAAGAAAAAGCCTAAATAAAGTAAAAAAGAGGAAAATAAGAAAAACAAAAGCGGGTGGGTGAGCGGGTGAGGGTCGCGGCGATGCCAGCAAACGGCATACAAAAGCTGGCCTGTGGGGAGAAGCACCCGTGAGACAGTCTGTGGGTAGGCCAAAGACAGAGGCAATCTGAAGATGCACCAATCCGGCGGCGGGACTGCATGGAAATGGCCTGGTCGGTGCATCTGGCCTGCAGGCAGCCGCAGCAGTCCTCGGCATGGTGACATTCTGTCGCTCGTGTAGCCCACCCCTCGGGAAAGACAAGAGATGCAAGCATGTATCCTGCCAGCACCAGGTCTTGTTTTCGTCCTTTGACCTCGTGTCCGTCTTGACCGAGTGTCAGATGCCTCTTGTTAGTGGCGGCCGAGATATTATATTGCCATTCTCTTTCGGCCCATGGCTGGCGCCTCTATTGTACTCGTATGTACCCAATTGTACCCGTTACAGCATATTTGATTCCAAGACAGTGGCGTAGCGCCTGGTGGCGTCTGGAGAAAGGAAGTTTTCATGAGAGCGAGCGCTCAGACTAGGAAGGCTGAGACTCTGTCGTAGACAGCGGTGACAGGTCCGAGAGAGGGACAAAGACGGTCTGTTGGGATCTCCTTTCTCTGCCACTCTGCCACGCTCTCTGCCGGCAAGCCCTTGTCATGAATCTTTCAGCCGTAGCTTCTTTGCGCTCGTATTTCCAGCATACGGATACGAGTGATGCTGCTCGTGTGCTCGCACAGAATACGGCGAAGCGATTGGTTCTCGGGTCGACAAATTGGTCAGGGGAAACTGTCATCGCAGAAAGTACCAGTGTATCCTAGGCCCTGAAGAGAGAAGCACGAAGTTGCAAGGAAAAGAAGGGATGAAACTAGCTGAACGACACAATGGGCTGAGCAACGGAGTACGGTCAAGGAACAAAAAGTAGCTCCCGGACGAGACAGGCACAACCATCCTTCCACAGTCCAGGCTGAGGCAGCGAGATGAGGAGGGAGGTGAGCGGGATCAATAGGAAGTACGGAGTACACAGGATATGCAATTGGCGCGACCAGAAAACCAGAGTGCGGTTATGTAAGCTATATAGAACAGAAGACCATCTCGGAGGTTTTTTTCCTTATTCCCCCCGTTCTAAACGCCGTGCCAACTTGTTCGTCTCATCTATAGCGTAGGTGGGTAGAACAAGCAACTTCTGGCGAGTGGATCCGGGCGATGCCGCCAAGAGCAGTTGGACCGTTTGCCTCTCGCGAAAGGCTGAGAGGCTAACGATGGCGCTCGTGTAAATCTACCCTAACTACGAAAAGCACGATACGACCATGCAGCTCACAATCAGCGGAAGTCCTAAAGTGCAATTTAAAAACGTATGAGCGTGCGAGCAAAGCTGTTGGAACAAGTCGCTGGATTGGACGCCAATGCTGCTGCAGCTTCTCCTCATTCCTGCCTGACAGACCGCTTCTTGAAACCGGTCCTGTCATGGGTTGCTGCTGCACGAACAACAGCGTGCTGGTCGCATGCAGCAAGCTTTCCCCATGCTCGCTTTATTGCCCGTGCCAACCGGAAATAAGGGATGAAAGCACGCCAAAACAGCCATGGCTCTGTACTATTGGACAGCAGGCTGCCAGCCAAATGGCGTTGTCTCGTTGGTGGGCCGACGGCTGAGCTGCCCTCGTCTCGGCCACCTGGTGATAGCTTCCTGCCGTCATGGTGCGTGAATTGCGTCTTGCATCCTCTTCTTGTGGCCCGCAGTGAGAGGACGCAGATCAGTTGTGATTAAATGATGAAAAGGACGGGGGAACAAATGAAAAAAAAAAAAAAACACTGCACGAAAGGGGGGTAAGGCAGTTGGCCCAATCACAGCCATGGCGCTGCTCGTATTTTTTGGGGAATATAATTCAATACATGTGATCCTGTCCGGTGCCGTTGGTTGTTGGCCAGCCAAATACGCCGTCTTACTCCCGATGTGGTTGAATTATAGTTTTTCTAAAGGCAAATCGGCAGTGCGAGAGGACGCTCGGACCATGCAGAGGTCGACCGAATTGCCGCATCGGGCTACGGCACAAGTGTAAATTAAGTCAACAACGGCAAGCGCAAACGAAAACACGCAATGTTGGTATTGAGCATTGCCACCCATCCAAATAGGCCCTTAGATATTAGGCCTAGAAAGGCGCGCTGCAGGCTAATCAAGACCGTCCGCGCCTTGCTGACGGTCAGACGATCCGCACGTCTCCAACACCCGTCCGGCACCAGCGCTAGATGTAAGATGGCAAGTGGGCCGTCTGACCGTTATCACAGACGAGAGCTGAGTGACGGTGGCGTCCGTAGGTGACAAAAAAAAAGACGAACAAAAAAGGAAATCCCGGCTGTGTGATTATTCATGATACTCAGGTCACGTGAGTATCTTTGACTCCGATCCTACTGCAGCAACATCGCGTCTTCGTCTAGCACGCCAAAGAGGCCCTCAAACTCCTTGGCAATCGTCCTGAGCTCTTCGGCGACCTGGCCGGTGATGAGGGCGTACGCATAGAGCAGCGCGTAGTCCTGTTCCTCGGCCGCGACGCGAATCGACGGACCGGGTGGTGGCGGCAGGTCCGAAAACGGCGAGGCCAGCAGCGACGACGGCGATGCGGGAGGAAAGCTGATGAGCTGGTCCATGGTGAAGGTCGACGTTGTCCCGGCCGTGCCCGCTGTCCCGGCCGTTGCGGCCGCCTGTTCCTTGCGAAAGTGGAAGATCTTGGCCAACAGCCGGTCACGCACAATAGTGACACTCGGCAACGCGTCAGCCAGCGGATACTCGAGCATGAAAGAGCTGGCCAGAACCTGGAAGACGTGGCAGATGCGGTCACATAGCATGGCGCGCTCGGGTGCCGTGTAGAGCAGCAGGGCGCGCTCGCCGTCAGTTAGGCGGGCGGCTCGTCGCTGAGTCAGCAAGCTCATGGCGTAAAAGCCGTCGAGGATGCGATTTGTCGCCGCCATGACGCGGCCGCACGCCGTGAAGGGAAAGGGCCCGCGCAGCTCGAACTCGGATCCGGCGCTCTGGCGCAGCGTTTCCAGCCGGGCTGCGTACCGCTGCAGCGCCGCCTGTTCGCCCGACCGCAGATACGACGGGTGAGCGATGCCGCTGCCGTTTCTGCCATCCGGACTGTCTCCTCCACCGTCGGCTCGTAGGAGCATCGCCAGCGGTCCACGCTTCCAGATGAGACCCATCTGCAGGTACAGCACCGACACGCCCTCCTGGAAACGGTGCCGCGCCGAATTCGGCCACACGACCCGGCACACAATCAGCCCCCACAGGATGCCGGCCGTCACGGCAAGGAACCGATGCTTGGCAATCTCCATGATGAACGGATGCACACCGCCCTCGTCGTCATCGTCGTCGTCCACGCGCTGCGACAGCAGGTACGCGTACAGTGTGATCACGTTGTATGCCAGCAGCGTCGTCCGGCCCACCGGCGTCTTGCCCCGGTCGATCATCACGTAGAAGCTGTAAAAAGCCACCAGCCAGCCGAGAAGCAGCAGCGGCACCGCGTGGCCCTGGCTGATGTTCCAGTTCAGCACCGCCACTGCTGCCCCCGACAGCGTCGCCAGAAACCGCGCAATGGCTGTCGTGTTGGAAGCCCCGACCGTGTTGGAGCACACAATCATGAACGACAGCAGTCCCCATTCGCCTCGCCAGTGCATGTACACCTTGCGTGTCTCTGGAGTAAAGGCCATGCAGGCCCACAGCATTGCTCCGATGCCCACCTTGATTCCAAACCGTACTGTTTTATTAGAAAGAGAAGGAGAAGGAGAAACAAGGAGACAAACAAACTTACTGTCATCTCGCATCAGCACACGAAGGAGTCTCAGCAGCTCCTGTGCAAAACTACGCACGAGCGTGTTGGCCTGTGGTGCCGCCTGCCAGCTGAACGTGTCCCGTCGTTGCACCATGGTGTCGGGGATGCCGCGCGGCATCTGAGACTTGCGAATGGGCCGCACTGCTGGGGTGCCCACCGGATTCGGCATGCTGGCCGTGCCCGCTGCCGTCGCCGAGGCCACGGCCTCGTCAAAGGCCGGCTCGGCCGGGCTCTCAAACGGCAACACGGACGGGAAGCGCAGCTGCGGTGCCTTCCAGAAGAGCAGCCAGCGCCAGCTCCGACGGTCGTGGGTGCTGACGATACGCAGGTCGTCCAGCACGTCGAGGTACTTGGTCATCTCCTCGCCAAAGGCTTGCAGGCTGAAGCTGAAGTGGCCGCAGGCCGCTGCCACCTCCTCAAAGTCGGCCTTGATCTTCTCGGACCGCGGCCGCCCAAACTCAATCGTCTTGTAGAGCTCCTGCAGCGCTGCCGCCCGCGACCCGTTGTACAGCACCAGCGCGTCCGCCAGGCTCTGCCGGTAGTGCCCGTTGACCGTGATGGCAAAGTCGGGCGATGAGCCGAACGGCGGGTCGCGCAGCACTCCCGCCAACGTGAACGCCAGCGACTTCATCGACGGGCCCAGCATCCCGATGAACAGCTCAAATATCTCTGTCGACGTCCGCAGCGTCGCCGTGCTGCCGCGTCGTGAACCGTTGCTATCGCCTGCTGTCGTCGTTGTTGCGCCGATGGACCCGGGCGATCCGACAATGGTGTTGATATTGTCAAGATTGTAGATGATGGTGTTCTTGGTGTTACCAATATCGTTCTCATCCTCGTCCTCGCCATCCTCTCCTGTCGCCCGCCGGCCACCACGCATGCTGCTCTCGTCTGTGCTCTCGTCCGACGCCTCGTCAATGGCTGCCAGCGGCGCTGCCGCACCACTGCCACGCTGAAAGTTCGAACTTGTCCGCAGGAGACCTGGCCGGCTGGCAGCTGGCGAAGATGGCATAAACCCGTCCATCTCTGCGTCTGCAGCCGCCATGGCCTCGCGCAGCAGCTCAAACTGCGTGTTGGCAGCGCTGCGCAGCCCGCCGATCGACTGCGCCAGCGTCTCCATCGACTTGTACACCGACTTCTCCAGCTGGTACAGGCTCGCGTGGCCGACCGCGTAGTGCTCATACTTGGCCTCCCTCAGGTTCTTGGTCATCTGCGCGTGGGCCGCCGTCCAGCTGGCGCTCACCGCCCCGTACTCGGCCGACATCGTCAGCTCGTCCTCGGCCCCGCTGAGGAAGCCGTGTGTGATCATCGCCAGCATGTCGCCCAGCGATGTGGACGCCCGCGTGAGCGACTCGCGCAGCAGTGCCCGTGCTGACACGCGCCACAGAAGCAGGCTGACCGACGACGTCGTGCAGATGCCAAAGACGAGGATCTTGAGCACCTGCACGATCTTCGTGTTCGAGAACACGCTGCTGTACGTCGCATTCTCCTTTGTCACCACAGTGATGATCGCCAGCGACGCCAGCGTGCAGCCCACGTTGACCGATGGGTTGTTCAGCCGCTGTTTGACCCAGCCGATGAATCCAAAGGCAAACCCGATGAAGAACACCAGCACCACCGCGTACGCAAACGTCACCCATCCCAACACCGACCCGAACAGTACCGATGCCGCCATCGACAGCACCGAGATGATCTCCGCGTATGCAACCGCCACCACGCTGATCGCCCCGGCCTCGATCATCGACCCGGCGCTGCGGGCTGGGTGGAAATACACCGTGATTGTCGCCACCAGGTGCTTGCCGTCCGGTTTGCCCAGCAGATCTGACAGCGGCGCCCAAAACGTCCAGAGACTCGCAATCGTGTATGCCACCGTGCACTTGATCACTCCCCGCCCATTAGGCGACTCCATCCACGCCCGAAATCGCCCCAGCCCGTCCGAGGAGGCCCGGCCGATCGCCTCCATGCGCATGCTGAATCCTGACGCCGTGAAGAAGGAGGATGGGTCGTCTTCGTTTTCGTCGCCGTCGTCGTTCTCGTCGTAGTCTCTCCGTCGTGTCCTGTAGCCGTTGAGCACAGAGGGGCTGCCATTGCGAAGAGTGAACTGGCGCCGCGAACGCTCGCCCGTCGACGGGATGATAAAGGTCGAGTTGCGCAGCTTCTGCCCGCGTTAGCCAGCCAGATCAAGTCATGTGTGCCCAAGCTGTGTCACACGCATTCGGCACATGCAGCAGAAACAGGGAACGCTAAGAGCAAAGACGGGAGGATCATTCGTACACTTCGCTTTGACGGCCGGCGAGGCGGCCACTGCTGTGCCGTGCTGCCGCCAGCCCCGGCCGTCGATGTCCCCCCATTCACCGATGGGCTCATCGCCGTGCTCTTTCGCCCGTCTTTGTCGTCGTCAAATCGCCCGCAGACTTTGTCGGCGCTTTCTCTGCGCAGCCGCCTCGCAAGAGCCCAACAACAGAGGGTGTTCGAGACTGAATAATCATTTGCGAATGAAAAATGCTCCTGAAAAGAGGACAGCCACCTGGCAGCCGCGAATGTTGACGAAATACACAACACGTCGCGAAAGGTTGCAAGAAAGGAACGACAGAAGCAATGCCGTGAAGCTGTGGGGCCCCTCAAGAATGAGCTTTTAGCGCGTTGTGGCCTGTCAGGAAGGCACAAGCCCCCCACATGCCACTGCCTATTCCGTCGCTCCCGCCCGCTGGCGCCGATTTGCAGCTGCACAGTGCTGTAGCCATGTGCTAATGGTCCTGTAGCCGGAAGGATGACGCAAAATTGCAGTCCTTTTTCGACTTCCTCACGATGCGGGTTGCCCGACTTCACAGATAAGACCTGCCAGCCCTGCCAGCCTGCCTGCATGTTCTCCCGCGTTGCTCAACCCGCTCTCTGCCGTCTGTTTCTTTCAATTGCCATACGAGCACGTTCCTGCCGCCAGCCTGTGCTGTGCTGCTTCCAGTCAATCTGTACAAATTCAGACAGATCACCCCTCATCTCCAACATGGCCGCTCAAACATCCCCCGCGGCAGCCTCACGGAGGCTTTTTGCTCCGCTTAAGGGCTACACAGCTCAGGGCCGGCCGTCTGCACCCGCCCCGGCTCCTGGCCAGCAGAAGCACCGCCCGCGAGTCCTGAAGGGTGTGGTGTTCGATGTTGACGGCACTCTCTGGTGAGTCACGTCGACCATGCCTCCCACACGAACAGCTTAGGCTCTGACGGCCTTTTCGGACTCAGCATTCCCCAGAACTACATGTTTGGCGAGATGCGTGCGGTCCTCGGCATCGACAAGTCCATAGACATTCTTGACCACATCTACTCCTTGCCCACTGAGGACCAGCAAAAGGAGGCCATGGAACGAGTGCGAGTCGTTGAGCGCCGTGCCATGGCCCTGCAGCAGGCCCAACCAGGCCTGCCAGAGCTCATGGCTTACCTGGATTCGCGCGGTATCCCCAAGGCCATCTGCACCCGCAACTTTGAGCAGCCCGTGAAACATCTGCTGGGAAAGTTCCTTGACGGCCACACTTTCGAGCCCATTGTCACGCGCGACTTTCGCCCGCCCAAGCCCGATCCTGCAGGCATCCTTCATATCGCCCGCAGCTGGGGACTGACACGCTCTGGAGCAGCTGAGGACGCCGCATCCCGCGTCTCGGACGAGGACACGGTCGATCCCGCCGTCCTTCTGGCTGAGAAAAAGGAGGAGGCCATCGAGCAGGCCGCGTCCGCTTCTGCGCCTACGGCAGCAGTTCTTGAGGCCGATGCCTCCAGTCTCATCATGGTCGGCGACTCCATCGACGACATGACGGCGGGACGCAGAGCCGGCGCAGCAACAGTTCTGTTGGTAAACGACGTAAACCGACATCTGGCTGAGCATGCTCACACAGATATGGTGATCGCACGCCTGGACGATCTCATCGATGTGCTCGAGAAAGGCTTCGTCGGCCGGGAAATGTCACACCTTGAATCATAGTCTGAACAGAACGAGGTCTCGCAACATCATTATGGCTGCGTCCAATTGCACTCACTCGGGGCGTGAGCCGTGTCTAGGAACAAAACGGTCCGCCATGCGCCGGCTTATGCTAGGAATTATAAAGTGCATCCGCATCCAGACAGAAAGTACCAGGGAAAACATAGAAACACTGATGCGGGAAAGATACGATCAGTAGAGCTACGGTAGGCAGCACATAAAGGATTGCGTTGTATATATCCAGAGAAAAGGGGGGAGGGCAAAACAAATCAGAAAAAAAAAAGTAGAAAACCCCGCGAAAGGCGGGAAATAAAAGACCAAGCATCGACGTCCCATGTGTAGATTTTTGCTTATTCCACCTCTTATGTTAACCTCATGCACAGCGCTGTCGGGTTTACTTGTTTGGATATCCATTGGGATATGGTTCCATTTTTGAAGACGCATACAAGATTTGTTGCTGCTGCTGTTGCTGCTGTTGCTGCAACAGCAGCTGACGCCGCCGATGCTCGTCTGATGTCTCCTTTTTCGGTGGCAGGGGTGGCGGTCCGCCAACCTTGGGCGCCGGGCGAACAGTAAGGCTGAAAGTACTGTGGCCGGCACTGGATGATGCACTAGACATGCCGTTGCGCAGCCCAACCGGGATTGGTGGCGGGGCACGTGAAACACTCGGAGGTTCCACGGCCACTACTCGCGATCCCAGGCCTGAATGTACAGCCTGTCCATTTGGTCGGCCAAGGCTGTTGTACCCGGAGCCGAAGCTGATGCTATTGCTGGGGACATCCCGACTGGCGCCACCGCTGGTGATGGCCCCGCTCTCGATCCCGTTGCCAGTCCCGCCCCGCGTCGGGGTCCGGCCCGGAAGGCTGGTACTATGTTGGTCACGAGGTGACAGAATATCGCCCACAATGGGGATCTCACCTGAAGTCGGTGTCTGTGTCTGCGTCGTACGGGCATCGCCGTTGTTGGCCGTCGACGTGTCGGTGGAGCGGAGAAGCTCTTGTGTGGCCGGCGACAGCTGCGGCGCGAGGTGGGACTTCCGGTTGTCCCTCTCCATCAAGCCCACTGCCCAGTCTTGCAGGTCGACCGGTGTTCTCTTCGCTGCTTGTACAAATGGGTCGCGGTCCTGTAAACCAACCGAAAAGAGGATTTGTCAGCTGCCAGCTCTTGGTGGAGGAGAGAGAGGGGTCTTACAAAGAGGTCTTGTGGCGTTGGCCTCTCGTCCGGGTTCTTGAAGAGACACTTCTGGATCATGTCTTCGAGAATAGAGGGAAAAGCGTCGCTCTTGGGTAGACGCGGCGCCGGTTCGTGGACGATCTGCTGCAGAAGGTCGAGGATACCAGCTGGAGCACTCTCGGCGTCCGAGAGCTGCTCGCTAGCAGCAAAGGGGAACTTACCAATAGCAAGTTCCATTATGGACAGGCCAAAACTCCACACATCCGACTTGACTGTGTAGCGCTCGCCCTGGATACGCTCCGGAGCCATATAGGTAGACGTGCCCACAAAGGTGTCGGCGATGGAGTTGATCAGCTCGCCAGAGACGCCAAAGTCACACAGCTTGATGGAGCCCCGAGAGTTGACGAGGATGTTGGACGGCTTGATATCGCGGTGCATGATGTGGTGCTTGGCGTAGAGATAGGTCAGGCCGCCGAGCGTGGCCTCGGCGATCTTGCCGAGAACGTCGACACGTATGGGGCCGAAAACGCGGGAGACGCGGTCAAGAGCGCTGGGCGAGGTGCATGCATGTTAGCAGACAAACGGTCACAACTTGCACCGACTGTCTCTCTGCTCCTGCCTTTCCCCATCACGTACCCAACATCCATGTATTCCATGCACATAATCACGTCATTGTTGTCGTTGAGAAAGGAGCCATAAAACGTCACGATATACTCGGAGTGGCAGCCACGCATGATCTGTAGCTCTCGTACAATCCGCTTCCGCATCTCTCGCTTGGCCTCGACATGGATAACCTAAGGGAACGGACGGCCTGGTCAGCAACAAGCCAACAGCAGACACTGCAGAGAGAAGCCGACGCACCTTGCGAGCCATGGTCGTGTTGGTGACAATGTGCCGGACTTTGCTGACGGTACCGCCATTGCCGGAGCCGAGCTCTTTGATGAACTCGAGGTCGCTGGGACGCAGGTCCAGGTTGTACTCGATGCCGATCTCAAGCTGGCCAGACTGGTCGTCGCCACGGCCGCCATTCTCTGCCGTCGGAGGCGGCTTGGGGGCGGCCGGCGTCAGGGCGAGGCCCTTGACGTTTTTCCGCTTCATCGAGCGGGGGGCGAAGGGGTCGGCCATGGCAGTGATGAAGTCAAAGGACGAAGGGTTGAGAGGAGGCGGTCAACGGGAGAGCGATTTGACGAGCTGATGCCAGAAGAAAAAGGGGCGTTGTCGTTTGTCCAGCGGCAAATTGGCAGGCAGCCAGAAGAGTCGCGAAAAATGACCAGAGGAGGGGCGACGGACGGGTCTGCGAATCTGGAAACTGCGACCCTGCAAGCACGAGTCTGAGGGCCTGAGAGCCTGGGAACCCGAACCTGAGGATACCCACCCCACTTTTTGCTCCTGCAGTAGTCACAAGCCGCCAGAGATGCTGTTCTGTCTCGATCTTGGAAGTTCCCAGGCCTCGTTGGCCGCGAGCTGCTGGTTGCTGGTCGGCGCCTAGCGTCCCGACCTCGTCCGGATGCGTTTATCTGCTATCCTCCCGGTTCCCGGCTTCTCGCTGGTTTCGTAGTGTCCGGGGCCGACTGGTAGATTGCCTTCACACCGTCACGAAGCTTTGTTGCTGCTGTTGCTGCTGTCTAGAATGGAACTGGCCGAGGTGGCACTGTCTCGATGATTACTACAAGGCGGCTGCAGGAAACGTAAGATGGGATGATTCCCCTTTCGAAAAGGGACTTCTGTCGTGATCGCCGTCGTTGGCCTTACTTTGCCTTGTGCTTGGCTTGTATATTATAGCGGTTCGTTCTGTCTCCTACCCATTTTATGGGGACTTTCAGGTCGCTGTGAGCTGCTAGTGGTGGCTTTGCCCCTTGGTTGAAGTCTGTAACGCGATAGGGGGCTTCTGTGCGCTGGAACGCGCTGTTGGTGGGCCGTTTTCATCCCGCACTTCAGCGCATGATGATTGCCTAAGCACCCCTGACAAGTTGAAACCCGTCAAAGAGACGCAAGCAGCTAAAGCCTCCAAAGTGCGCCCACCAACATGTCAACCTCTCACAAACGCTCATAGGCGCCGACGTGCGTCACACTAAGCCAAGCTGCCATGCATTCATTCCCGCTTAGAAGAAGGCTTCTCTAGTCCTTTGTTCATTCGTCCAAACGTCTATCTTCTGTTGCCACCTTTGTCTTATCTAGAAATATCTAGTCCATTCTTTCCCCTCTCCATCTATACAGACTCTATGCGCTGGACCACCATGGCCGTTGCCGCCCCGCCGCCGTTGCAGATGGCTGCCACGCCGTACTCGCCTGGCTTGAGCTGATGCAGCAGTGTGACCAATATGCGCGAACCCGAGCTGCCTAGCGCGTGCCCCAAGGAGATCGCACCGCCCAGCAGATTCACGCGGGCGTTTTCCAGACCCAGGATCTTCTCGTTTGCCTTGATCACCGCTGCAAACGCCTCGTTGAATTCCCAGACGGCCACCTGGTCCTTCGTGATGCCGGCCCGCTCCAGCGCGAGGGGAACGGCCTTGGACGGCGCAATGGGGAAGTCGATCGGATCAACGGCCGCGTCGGCTGAGGCACAGATGCGGGCCAAAACGCGGGACCGACCGCCGGCCGCATATTCGCGCGCCACGTCGGCGCTGCCGAGAACGATTGCAGAGGCACCGTCGTTGAGCGTCGACGAGGTGGCTGCCGTGACCGTGCCGGTGCCGTCGCGGATAAAGGCCGGTTTCAGCGACCGCAGCTTGTCCACGTTGATGTCCAGGAAACCTTCGTCTGTGTCGAGGATGGTCTCCTTCTTCTTCCTGTCCACGATTGTCACCGGCGCAATTTCCTCGACAAATGCACCAGCCTTCCATGCCGCCTGCGCGCGCTCGTATGACTGGATCGCGTAGCTGTCCTGATCTTCACGCGTGATGCTGTGGTTCTTCGCCGTCTTCTCTGCGCAGATGCCCATATGAAAGCCGCCATAGACGTCCGTCAGCCCGTCCTTGAGTAGGCCGTCTGTCATCTGCACGTGGCCAAAGGCCGGTAAGCCGCTCGCCCGTGGCACGTAATACGGCACGCGAGACATATTCTCCATGCCACCGGCCACCTGGGCATCGGCCAGGCCCAGCTGGATATTCTGTGCTGCTAGCGACACTGCCTTCAGGCCCGAGGCGCACACCTTGTTCACCGTGATAGCTTCGACGGATGTTGGAAGGCCGGCGAGTATGGCTGCCTGTCGTGCGGGTGCCTGGCCCACGGAGGCTTGCAATACGTTGCCCATGTAGACATCGGTAATCTTGGAGATGGGCACGCCCGACTTCTCGATCGCCGACTTGATGGCAACAGCACCGAGTTGTGGGGCCGAAACGTTGAGAAACGAGCCGTTGAACTAACAGAGGTCAGTACGAGCATGGCGGAGGGAATAAACACGTTCTGCCAAAAGACATAGAGCTGATGTACCTTTGCAGTTGGTGTCCGCGAAGCGCTCAAGATGTATGCTTCTCGAACTTCGCGCCACAGCGGCGACTGGGAAGAGAACTGGCGTGTTGTCGTTGTCCGGCAACGACAAACCAGAGACGGGCGTATTTGGCGAATCATGGTATAAATGGCATGGAAGCAGAAGTTGGGAGACAACTCTGGAGAAACAGCACCGGCCAAATCTGGGGTCGGCCCTGTGAGACTACATATTTATTTGAGCCTCGGTATGGCAAATCGGTTGCTGATGCACATGAAGGGCGGGGGGGAAGGTCTCTACATAACCACGCCGTTTCTAGCCGAGCTACGCCGTCGATAATCGATGGTATAACCGAAAACTAAGCCCGGCTCCGGAATGTCCACACTCATGTTCACACTATATCTTGCATTTCTCCGAATGCATCTGGGAAGTACCACAAGCCGAGACAATGCGCCCCGTCCGCATCAGTTGATCATCATTAATCAACCTGCTTTCTTGCCCATTTCGGTTAGTGATTTGTTCGAGACGGCGTCTACGTAGAGAGCAAGACGCGAGAAGCATCCTCTGCAAAGCCACGTGACTACATTTTCAGCCACAGACGATGTCGGTGGCGACCGTGGCGTAAGTCGCCATCGCTATCTCTAAGATCGCCCAATTCGCGCCACTTCCCGAACGATAACTTGCCTCGTCATGTTCATCGCGTGCCCTCAAGCCTACTCGCCTACAACGCCAGCTGTATACGGAAGTATCTTATCAGCTTTACCTGTGGACCGGACATCCGAACGAAGGAAAAACGAACAATTTGAAGCCAGCTTAGTGACGTTGGAAGCAAGATCCCCTGCCCAGCGATAGGAGCTGTCTACCGTTTGCATCGAACTACGTTGCCCGTTCACACCGGCGGAACCGTTCGTGAGAAGCATTTGTATCTCAGAATGTCTACAGCGGCTCGTCGCCGTCTCATGCGCGACTTCAAGGTTCGTGGACATGGCGGCTCGGGACCACCGCTGTTTGTTGCATTCCCAGACTGACAGGCGTCCGATACCATAGCGCATGCAGACTGATCCACCGGCCGGTGTCTCCGCTTCGCCTATCCCAGACAATGTCATGACCTGGTCAGTCCCAAGAACGGCTCGACTAGGGTTTGACTTCTTAGCCGGTTGGTACACTGACAGCTGACGCCGATATAGGAATGCCGTTATCATTGGTCCTGGCGATACGCCCTTTGAAGACGGAACCTTCCGCCTGGTCATGACGTTTGACGAACAGTACCCGAACAAGCCGCCCTCGGTCAAGTTTCTGAGTACAATGTTCCACCCGAACGTGTACGGCTCCGGCGAGCTCTGTCTAGACATCCTGCAAAATCGGTGGAGCCCGACTTACGACGTGGCTGCCGTACTGACCAGCATTCAGAGGTACGTAACCGTTGCCCGTCTTCACTTTCGCTGTTACAGCGCTCTAACGTGCCGTTGCAGTCTTCTGAACGATCCAAACACCAGCTCGCCGGCCAACGTGGAGGCGTCGAACCTGTACAAGGACAACCGCAAAGAGTATCACAAGAGAGTGCGCGAGACGGTGGAGAAGAGCTGGGACGATTGAGCGAGCATGACAGACACGGAGAGTGGTTTCTACCTTCATAGCCGGCAGTTTGTGTGTCTGCATTTGCTTTGCTGCTTTTTGAATGGCAATTCAAAGGAAGTCTGCTTTTTTTTTGGCCTTTATCTTTCGTTTGGTATACCAAGAGGCCGACACAAGGATAGGAAGAGGGGAGGGAGACACAGGGAAGCCTACGAACAGAATCACCACAGCCCTGCTTAGATCCGGGGAGAGAGGGGCGTTCTTGGGGCTTTTCCAAATGGGATCCATGTATCCAGATACCACATGTGGACGAGAGAAACACATCTATCCGTTCTCCCACATTTTCTGTCCATCCTTGTGGCCTCGACCTAGGTCTCCTGAGACAAGACTGCATTGCTATTGGCCACGCTCACCAACATTCCAGTCGGGCTCTGTTATGAACGTATAGATGCATGGCAGGGATATGCGATTATGCATTTGTACATATAGACATAAATACAGAGAACATCGCACCAACTATCTTACTACCTTGCGTCAGTGTGAAACAGACTAGCCCCAGGGGGGGCTTTACATTCTCGAGGCCTAGTGGGACAGCGTCCTTCAACGGAATTTAGCGTGTCACGCTGCCTGGGCGGTCCTGCAGAAAGTTGACACATGCACCAATAGCTCAGTAAGCTAGCATGTAAATAAACGGTTCAATGCAGGGCGCGACAAATTGCCGATCCGATCAGAGCCCAGTGGCATATCACTACTTCAGACGCACATACATCGCCTCCCGTCGCGGCCCCCCCTCTGCTCTTCCCCTCCACAACAAGCTCTGTACGAGCCAGTGATTCTTCCGTCAGGCCGGCGGCAGCATCCAGCGTCTGCATTCGATCAGGCCGTCTCTGTCCACAGTTTGCCTCCTTGGCCATTGTCGGGTCCTCACCGCAATTTTACCCGTCCGTCCCTGCCAGCGGGCTCGTTTCGAGGCCACGGTCCGAAAGGCCAGCAACGAGGCGCAGCGTGACGCCGGTTCGATCACGCGGCCGAGTCCGCAGGACGAGTGGTTGCCACCACGTGCGGATAGCCCGCGTCGACCGCCAAGATGTCTGCCGCGAACAGCATCAAGGTCGTGGCCCGGTTTCGGCCACAGAACCGGGTGGAGAACGAGTCCGGTGGCCAGCCCATTGTGCGATTCAACGGCGATGACACCTGTACCATTGACGTATGTCGTGTTTCCCGGGAGTCGCCGTCCGCTGCAAAAGGCCAGAAAAACTAATGTGAGCAGACGAAAGAGGCCCAGGGGTCCTTCACGTTCGACCGGGTGTTCGACATGTCCTGCAAGCAGTCGGACATCTTCGACTACTCGATCAAGCCGACGGTGGACGACATCCTGAACGGCTACAACGGCACGGTGTTTGCCTATGGGCAGACCGGTGCGGGCAAGTCCTACACGATGATGGGCACCAGCATAGACGACGGTGAGGGCCGCGGTGTGATTCCCCGCATTGTGGAGCAGATTTTTGCTAGCATCCTGGCCAGCCCGGCTACGATCGAGTATACGGTCCGGGTGAGCTACATGGAGATCTACATGGAGCGGATCCGCGACCTGATGGCGCCGCAGAACGACAATCTGCCGGTGCACGAGGAGAAGAACCGGGGCGTGTACGTCAAGGGTCTGCTGGAGATTTACGTGTCGAGCGTGCAGGAGGTGTACGAGGTGATGCGGCGGGGTGGCAACGCGCGAGCGGTGGCGGCCACCAACATGAACCAGGAATCGTCGCGGTCGCACTCGATCTTCGTGATCACCATCACGCAGAAGAACGTCGAGACAGGCTCGGCCAAGAGCGGGCAACTCTTCCTCGTCGACCTGGCAGGTTCCGAAAAGGTCGGCAAGACGGGTGCCAGCGGCCAGACGCTGGAGGAGGCCAAGAAGATCAACAAGAGTCTGAGCGCGCTCGGCATGGTGATCAACGCGCTGACAGACGGCAAGTCGTCGCACGTGCCGTACCGCGACTCGAAGCTCACGCGGATTCTACAGGAGTCTCTAGGAGGCAACAGCCGAACGACGCTGATCATCAACTGCTCGCCCAGCTCGTACAACGACACAGAGACGCTCAGCACGCTGCGGTTCGGCATGCGGGCCAAGTCGATCAAGAACAAGGCCAAGGTCAACGCAGAGCTCAGCCCGGCCGAGCTCAAGATGCTCCTGGGCAAGGCGCGGACGCAGATCACGTCGTTTGAGAGCTATGTGTCCAACCTGGAGAACGAGGTGCAGCTGTGGCGGTCGGGCGAGGCGGTGCCGCAGACGAAATGGGTACCGGCGCGGGACGGCAGCAGTGTGGTGACGCCGCGAAACTCGATGGTGGTAGCGGCTGCGGCTGCATCTGCGGCGTCACCACGGCCGTCGACACCATCGCGACTCATTCCGGAGGGACGGGCGGAGACGCCGGGGATCTCGGAACGGGCAGGCACGCCGTCGCTGCCGATGGACAAGGACGAGCGGGAAGAGTTTCTGCGGCGCGAGAACGAGCTCCAGGACCAGATCGCGGACAAGGAGAACCAGGTGGAGGCGTCGGAGAAGCAGCTGCGCGAGGCCAAGGAAGAGCTGCTGATGGTCAAGGAGCACGACGGCAAGCTGGGCAAGGACAACGAGCGGCTGACGAGCGAGACGAACGAGATCCGGATGCAGCTGGAGCGGCTCTCGTTTGAGGGCAAGGAGACGCAGATCACCATGGACGCGCTGAAGGAGGCCAACGCAGAGCTGACGGTGGAGCTGGACGAGCTGAAGCAGCAGCTGTTGGACGTGAAGATGAGCGCAAAGGAGACGAACGCGGTCCTGGACGAGAAGGAGAAGCGCAAGGCGGAGAAGATGGCGGAGATGATGGCGGGCTTTGACCTGGGATCGGACGTGTTCAGCGACAACGAGAAGGCGATTGCGGACGCGATCGAGAACCTTGACGTGCTGCACCAGCTGAGCAGCGAGGGCGACGTGATCCCGCCAGACGACCTGCGGGCGCTGCGGACGAAGCTGGTGGAGACGCAGGGGATCGTGCGGCAGGCGGAGCTGGCGGCCTTCAGCGCGCAGTCGAGCGAGTCGGAGTCGCGGCGGCGGGCGGAGCTGGAGCTGCGGCTGGAGGCGCTGCAGCAGGAGTACGACGACCTGGTGACGCGCAACCTGGGACCGGAGGATGCGGGCGAGCTGCGGGCGCGGCTGGAGAAGTCGCTGACGGACCGACAGACAGCCCAGGCCGAGCTGATGGAAGAGTTGCGGTCGGATGTCAACCGGAAGGCGAGCGAGAACGAGCGGATGAAGGTGGTGATTGAGGATCTGCAGCGACAGCTCAAGGCGGGCGCCGTGGCGAGCGGCAGTGTCGGTGTTGGTGGCAGCGGCAGCAACGGCAGCAACAGCAGTGGTGGTGTCGGCAGCGCGGCAGCACAGGCAGCCTTGGCCAACGGCAAGACGGTGGCGCAGCAGATGGCCGAGTTTGACGCGATGAAGAAAAGCCTGATGCGCGACCTGCAGAACCGATGCGAGCGGGTGGTGGAGCTGGAGATCTCGCTCGACGAGACGCGCGAGCAGTACAACAACGTGCTGCGGTCGAGCAACAACCGGGCACAGCAGAAGAAGATGGCCTTCCTGGAGCGCAACCTGGAGCAGCTGACCCATGTGCAGCGACAGCTGGTCGAGCAGAACTCGGCGCTGAAGAAGGAGGTGGCCATTGCGGAGCGCAAGCTGATTGCGCGCAACGAGCGCATCCAGAGCCTCGAGAGCCTGTTGCAGGACAGCCAGGAGAAGATGGCCCAGGCAAACCACAAGTCTGTTTTCCCTTTTTTTGTGTTTTTGTTTTTTTGCTTGTTTTCCTTCTTGTTTTCCTTGTCCATCTCCTTGTCCTTGTCCTTGTTTTTCTCCTCGTCTGTCTTTCTCGTCTTCTCCGTCTTCTCGCTCGTCTCGGTCGTCTTCCTCCCCTCGCTGACACGCCCAGGTTCGAGGTCCAGCTGGCAGCCGTCAAGGAGCGTCTCGAAGCCGCCAAGGCTGGCAGTACGCGTGGCCTGGGCTCGCCGACCGGTCAGGCCGGCTTCAGCTTTGCCAGCGCCGGCAGCCGCATCGCCAAGCCTCTGCGTGGTGGCGGTGGTGATGCCCCGGCCGCCAACCCGACGGTGGCCAGCCTGCAGACCAGCGAGAATAAGAGATCCAGCTGGTTCTTTCAGAAGTCGTAGGCAGCCAGACGGACAGTCGTGCCAGGAAACCGGGAACAGGGGCTCCTCTCGTCGATGGCCAGCAGCGCCAGCAGACATGGCCTCTTTCGTCTCTCGTCTTTCCTCATTTCTCCCCCTCTCCGGCTCTCGTCCTGTTTCCTGCCGCATGTCCGTTTCCTTTGTCCCATGTAACGAGGTCAAGACAGTTAGAGTGCAGAGCAGAAATCTACAGCTTAAACCAAGAGCGAAAGACACGTGAGATGTAGGAAGGAAAGAGCTACGGAGTACAGAGCATGGGCGTACTGCACATGGAAGGCACGATGATGACTAAGCAGACTCGGCGAATAAAGCGCTAAACTTCAATTGTTGGAAGAGTAAAGACATATCCCAGATTTCATCACGACAACGACCACGCCGACCAGCCGCCGACCGATAGATACCGCACCGCGTCCAGGCGATGGGCCGTGTTTTCTTGCCCTAACTATTGTTGCCACAGCTTGTCCAGATCGGCGGCCTGCGTGGGGAGACGCGTCTGCCCGCAGACCCCGACCGTTCTCACGAGGACGAAGAACGAAGAAGAAGAGAGGGTGTGGCGAGCCGGAACGGGCTTTCAGGTCTCGGAGCTAGTCGTTTGGCGGGGAGGCTCATTGCGCGTCTGATCTCTGGCCATGTCGTCAACGGCTAAGCCGCCAGTCAGGACAATGTCCAGCCGACCGCCGAGAGCACAACCGACGACAGGAAACGGACCTCTGGCCATGGCGACAGCGTCTGCAGCTGCCAGCAGACCGCGACCATCCGCGACAGGGACGCACAGCAATGGCATAGGCAGCAGCACGGGTAGCAGCACGATGGCCAGCCACACACAACAGCAACCGCAACAGCAACAGCAACAGCAACAGCAGCATCACCAGCATCACCATCCGACACAGCGATACCGCGAGATCTTCATCGCCCGGTCGGACGGCATGGGCTACTCGACACAGCAGATCAACAGTGCCAGCCGGAGCACGCAGCCGGTGGGCGAGCCGCTGGCCGACACGCACGACTACGCCCGCTCGTGGGCCGTCAAGCTAGGCAAGGCGATCAAGTACAATCTCGGGGTCGGGGCGACGACACCGGCGACGGCCGGCAGCAACAGCAACGGTGCGTCCACGGTGGCCGACACGACCAGCTACCTCGTGCGGCTGCCCCAGGGCTACTCGCTGCACGTCCGGCCGCATCGCGGCAGCCGCGACGGCCGCAAAGGCAAGAGCACCGGCAAAGGCGGCGAGCGAGACGGACCCTTTGTGTTTGGTCACCCGCTCGGCCCCATTGCCGCGTTTCGCAGCCCGGCCGAGCTGGCCCTACATCTGCTCTGGCTGCTGAGCGACTCGACGTCGCGCGCCGACTGCTCGTGCCGCCTCTGCGTCCGCATGGTCAGCGATAGTCTCCCTCCGCTCACCGTCCTCCTTCCGGTAGCAACAACACGAGCACCTACGCCAGTGCCTGTTCCCGTGCCAGCAACAGCAGCAGCACCTACGCCCGTACCTGTTCCTGTACAAGCATCAGCACCAGCGTCCGCGCCTCCACCTACACCCAAAGCTACCCTGATAGCCGCCTCTTTCGCCATGTCCACCACCTCCACCTCCACTACCTCCACCAATCCTCCACCCATCGGCGGCAGCGCCGATCTCTTCCGGCCCTGGGAGCTCGTCTGGTACCAGCCGCCGCAGAAGAACGCTTGGCGGCTGGGCATCGTGCTGCAGCTGCTACAGGCTCCGGGCGAGAGTCGCAGCGCGGCCACGGCGGCTGCTCGCATCGCCCCCTTGGGCGCGCCCGGCCTGCAGACGGCCGAGCTGACGCTGGGGGCCGACGTGCTGCGGCCGTTCCTGTCGTTCAGCGTGCCCGACCTGCGCGATGGGTTTCAAGGCCAGACGTTTGACGCGCTCGACTGGCCGCGGCTGGTGCGCGAGAACGCCCAGGCAGCTCAGGCCGTCCAGGCCTATGCCCAGGCCCAGGCTCAGGCCCAGGCTTGTGGTCAGGTGCTGCCGCCTGGCTCGGTGGCACCACCGCTGCCGCGCTTCGACATGGCCACCATCTCGCTGGAGGCGTCCAAGGCGGCGGCCAACCAGATCAACGCCTGTTTCTCCGTCTTTGGCGCCCGGCCCAAAGTCTCGCCCACCCAGTGCATCTACGGCGGCGTGTTTCTAGGCGCCGAGCAGATTGTCGTCGGCGACGCCGTCCGCGTGGACGCCCGTCGAGACGGCGCAGCCGATGGGAACGGCAACGGCAATGGCAGCAGCAACAGCAACAACGGCGGCGACCTCCCGCCCGGCACCACCGACATTATGCGCATCAACCTGATCCTGACGGACCACGATCACCTGCGCTTCATCGGCGACGTGTATCGGCTGGCTCTGACGACGGCAGCTGCCGGCAGCAACAGCAACGCTTCTGCCACGGCGCCTCCCGAGGGCCAGCTGTTCGCCGAAGAGCTGGAGGACCGCAACGGGATCATGCTGGCAGCAAATACGCAGAAGAACCAACAGCAGCAACGTTGGTATTGGCACCTCAAGGAGCGCAACGGCCATCGGGCCGAGAACGAGGTGCACGGCCGGTTCTACGTGTCGATGCGGCTGGCGGCCAACCTGCGCAAGGCAGACTTCTTGGCCCAAGCGGCGGCCGGTCACGTCGGCGACGACATGATCAAGGCGCTGAACCGCCGTCAGCAGGTAGCCGGCTTCCAGTACCAGGGCCAGCGGACCAGCCGGACCGCCACGATCGGAGGCGCCATTGGCGTGGTGCTGCCTGCTATCAGCGGCGTGATAGAAGACGCTTGAGAGGAGAAGAGAGTGGAGTACGCAGTGGAAAAGAGGAGAGAGAGGAGGAGAAGAGGTGGAGAGATAAAGGCGGCGTCGAGAGGTGGAGCCATATGCAGAGACAAACGACGCAGACATGCAGAATGCAGCAGACGTGCAGATAGACACAGCCTCGGGCAACCGCCTATTCGCCGCCCCGCTGCCTTCGCTCACCGCCACTACGAGTCGACAGCGTTCGGCTTCGGTCTAGGCACCAGCTTCTGCCTCCGCTTCCGCCGGCCAGCATGTGATTTTTGCAAATGGAAATGAGACATGCGTCAAGCGCTGTTCGCGCACAAGAATTAGGATACATTCGATAGAAATGCATTCGTTCCCTCCCAGCTTGTCCGTGCTTTCGCCACTCCTATCTTACGAGGACACGCCCATAGCATCGCTTCCCTTTTTTCCTCATCCACTTCGCCACTTCGGCTCCCCTCTCTTCGCCTTTGTTGGGTCCTTTTTCCCGCTGCCCGAGCTTCCCAAAACTCTTCACCGGTGGGTTGTCCGGCCCCGCTTTTCCTCTGCTCGTCTGACCCAAAACACCGGTTCGGCCTAGTTTCGCGCAAATCTAATATCCATGCAGGCCCTTCTCACTGTTGGTTCACGCCTTTTTAGTCGGCCTCGGTGGAGCCTTCCAGTCGGTTGGAAACGTCCGTTCGGCTCCGTGTTGCCACTCCGTCCTCGCTGCGGAAGTGCCCCTCCCTCAATGGACCGTGTTGGCGGTGGCGTTCCCCAGAAACATTCATCGCTGGGACTTTGTTTCCACTACTGCACTTTGCTCTCCAATACCATTGGTGGTATTGCGGGATGTATTGATGCTATCTCTAGCTGAAAGTACATGTTCGTCTCAATCTCTCGTCTTCTTCCACCCATCACTTGATATCTGTAAACTGTCTGTGCAAAGGCCCGTTGTACTTTGTGCTAGCCACCAACTGTCCGCTATTGCCTCGCAGCGAACCAAGTTGCCGCTCGTGTGCATTACTGTAGGATGGGAGATAGACGGCCGTGGTCCTCCTACATCGAGGTGGTGCACCAATGTCCAGGATAGGATGAAGAGAAAAGTGTCGCGAAATAGCCGAAGATAGCGGTCGCTCCTCAACGTATGCCACAATCGCCCGCTACCAACAAAAACAAGAAGCCGTTCGCAAAAATTATCCCATTTCGCTCCAGATAAATATCAACGTCGTGTTCATGTCCGTTAGGGACGGGTCGTAACCCGTGACCCATTCGTCGCTCGAAAGAAAAAAAAATGCCGTGTCGATACACCCAAAGCTCAGCCCACCTTCATCTTGGCCATGCGAATCTCAATCGACCTCAAAATCTCCGGATCCGGCTCAGGCTCCACACGCTGCGGCAGCAGACGAGGGCAGTCTGCACATTTAGGATGCGAGCACTTTGCGCATTCCGATCCATTGTCTGTTTCGGCCGGGAATTTGGTCTTGCACACCTGGCATCTGTAGCGAGGTATAGACTTGGCACCAAACTCGTCGCCTGGGTAGCCATACGGGTATTTGTTTTTCTTGGCCCTGTTTCATGTCAGTCAGCACTCGTACAAACAGGACGGACCGCAAGGCAGTGAGAACGTACGGGTCCCGAGGGCAGTCGGTGCATCGGGCGTGTTCGCAGCCAGGGCACTTCTTGTTTCCTGCGAGGAACATCTTGTTGCACTGGCAGCAGTTCCGGCGAACACGCTGGCGAGGCTTCTTGTAGACCAGGTCTCGGCCGCCATTCTTGGACGGAATCGTAAGAGTGATCGGCTTGCGAGTATGGTCCCAGTCCGGAACGATGGGAGCATTCTCCTTCCGCTCCTTGACAATCTGCGCGCGCCGCTCGCGGCTGGCCACCTTCTCGGCCTCCGTCCGCTTCGGCGGGTACCGAGGACACTTCTTGCACCGGGCATGCTTGCAGTTCGTGCACTCCTTCGAACTACCGAATTCCGTGTTGCACTCGTGGCAGACGCGGTGGACGCGCATGCGGATCGGCTTGTTGACACGCAGAGCCTCGCCCTCAGTCGAATGCCACTCGCTTAGCTGTATCTCCAGGCCGAAGCGCTCACCTAGCTTCCGAGCACGCTCCTCGTGGAGCTTCATTCGCGACACTTTTGTCGGTTCCAGACCAGCTGCCTCGGCCTTCTTCTTGGCTGGGACTGTGGCCGCCGCAGGGATGACGGCAGCAGTAACAGGAGCACCACCAGCACTACAACAGTTAGCCGGTACGACAGGTAATAGCCCGAAAAGGGGTCATGGGAGCGAACTTCGTGAGACAGATACGTACGGTGGCTCTGCAGCTGCAGGGGACGACGGACCAGGCTTGCTGGGTCCCGACAGCGAAATACGCTTCTCTGCCTTCTTGATCATCGTCTTCATTCTCGTCAACACTCGACTGCTAACGCCCTTCTTCTCCTTGGGGGCCGACGGGCCGCCCTGTGCTGGTGAACTCATTGTGATGGGGGGGGGTTCTGGTCGGTGCCCGGCTGTGAGGGTTTATGGTGTGTCGATCGAACTGACTTGCAAGTCGAGCTCACAATTCCATGAGTTGAAGGAGGTGATGTGAAAGTGCGAGCAAGTGCGAGCAAGCATACAAAAGAGACAAAGTGGCGCAAAATCCCGACGTTGTGTTTGCTGGGAACAGACCCGTAGATAGATTCCAGGGACTTGGGAGCAGTATTATGGGACGGCAGAAGGGGGGGGGGGGGGGTGGGGGGTGTGAATGCAAAAAGGGGAAGGGAAAATAGAGGGAAGTTGCCGCTTCGGTTTCGGGCGGTCAGCTAAATTTGGGGTATTATTGAGGCGAGCCTAGTGGGTATTGGCGAAGCGCGCGGGAAGAGAAACCCAGCAGCCAACTCGAAATATCACGGTGGCAATCAGCGTGCCGCAACCACGTTGTCTGCCTTGTCGAGGCAGACCGATGACAAGGAGTATCTTGTTGGTTGATGGTGTGCCTAGTTGTCGGTCATTTCAACAGTATCAAACGGAAGTGCTTCTCTGCGTGTCGACGAGCGGCAATGAATTGTCGAGGGCGGGCAGATGAGTGCTGCAGACGAACAAGATGTATTGCTATTGTCGTCGAAGCTGTCGTCGCCCGAGGGTAAAAATGGCAGCGTTGGTCGGGCGTGTTGGTAAACACTCAACGGACTTGTTTGTGAGGCGGAGGTGAGAAGAGGAAGAGAAAAAGAGGAGCACAGACGAGACATAAAAAGGAAAGAGACGATCAGCTGTTTCCCTGACCGGAGAGGGGATAAAGAAGGAAGGAACGACAAGGCCGGGGTGGAGAATAGGCAGGTGCACAAGCAAAGAGGAGCAAGACAAGGGGATCCGCTAGCTGGCACACTCCGTACGGAGCAGTTATTGGAAAGGGAAAGGACAGGAGCAAGCTAACTTGTGGTGCTAAGCGACAGGTGCGCCAGTAATACCTACGTAGTGTCCAAGTGGGGGATGCACAGTGCGGTGCAAGAGAAGGAGCATTTGGCAAGGGGGCCTAGTGAGCGTTACGCTGGAGAAAACAGACAGCCCCGGGGGGGGGGCAATATACAGAATAGTACGAGTACTATGTACGTGTAAACTAGCCATACTACGAGTATGTAGGAGAGCGGCCGAATACGACACTGGGAGCAATGCGGCCGTCTCGACACCACGCACGCATCGAGAGAGCAGCGGTCTGCAGCGACACCGGCGGTCCGGTTCGGACGCCTTAGTTGTGCCTGGTGTGCGAACGCTGACGAACGACGGGGCGGCGAGGCAGAGCGTGCCCGTACTGGCAAGATAGCATACATTGTACGGAGTAAGCGTGTGCAGTGTCAGGGAGCAAGTAAGATCGTCGTCGCACAGGAGGCGGGCTTGGGGGCCTTCGGCCTGGAAACAACGCCCCGCTTGTCTTATTTTGACCCGACCGCCCCTTCAGGACTTCTGCTAGCGCAGGTTTCGCAGCCTGCGGCTAGCCCAGAGGGGCCAGAGGGGAGTGCACTTCTGCCCGATGGAGTTGGGTTCGATGTTGTATGTAGAGAAGAGATCGAAGGAAGATACTTTGTACAGAGACGATGTGCTGCAACTCGGGGCGACTGGGCAGAAGTGCTGCTCGTATGAGTCGCCAGCTGCCCGGCTGTCCTGCCGTAGCGGCTGCAGCGGCAATACTATGTACAGGAGCACGGAGTATTGGGAGCGGTCCGTATACGGCGTTGCAGCCCGCTCCCTGTAAGAAATGGTAAGGGCACCCTGTCGCCTGTCGGGGTGCTGGAAACAATTGGCAGGCGAACAAGTCGTGGGAAACCCCGTCCAATTCGAGACCTTGCTTGTGGAGCACAACTCAGATGCTCCCGTACTCGTACGAGAAAGAGAGTACGAGAGACCGGCGCCACGGTACAGGTGGTGGTTACTGAAGCGTCGCCCCAAAGTGCGCTAATCCGCCCCGAATGAAGACGTACGGAGCTTTTCTGGCCGGATACCCAAGCAATTCTAGTCTCTCCACACACCTCCGCCGATCAGCAGCAGCGCCAGTCTCTTCCAGGAAGCATTTTGCGCCGCTAGACAGCAATCCAGCATATGTGCATAGAAGTAGGATATATGGCCTAAAGGTATGGAAATACGGAATAGAGACGTACTCCCGTATATGCGCGCCTGTCGTATTCTTCGAGCGCGTCGTGAAAGGGAAAAATAAAAGTCTACTCGTATCGTTCTGTCGCATCGTTCGCGAAAATTGCCGGTAGAACTCGTGGCACGAAAAAGAAAGCAATACTCCGTATGAGCGCAGACTATTGGGTCTCATCCTCTTGTATGCCGACGAATAGTCCGTACGAGTACGGAGTACTCGTACAGGGAACGAATACATGCACAGAGAACGAATACATGCACAAGCAGTTGACATATCGTTTTTGTGGGGACAGACCGTTAGAGTGGTCTACCAACGTCCTGTAGGATGTCGTAGAATCCCCCCGAAAATGACTGGTACTATGTAAGACAAGGCATCCCCCTGTATCTCATATAGTACGGGTATTGTGCATATCTTTATTGGGCCAGGACGCCTGCTCCGTACGAATGCTGACTTTGTGTTCCGTACAGCGGATAATACCGCGGGTATAGTTGTCAACGTATAACCAACATCCAGACAGTCTGCCGTCCATTCAGAACACGGCCCGCTCACACGGAATAATGCAGTCATCTGCAGGGTAGTTGAATCCAACCTATCGTTGGAGCTACGGGACGTCCCTCCTGCCCCTGTAAATGTGGGAGCGACTCCAGGCTTCTCCTTGGAAATTCCAGTAATATGACGATGTGCTTAGAAGGGGGGTCTCGTCTGACTAAAGGATCGACGTACGGAGCAGTACGGTGTATTGCTGTGGACAAGCGAGTGAGAGGTCCGCAAGATGCTCCGCCTTTCGAGATGTTCGGGGCCAAAAACTGATCCGATGGGTTGTGCTACATATTCCACATCGTGCTCATATCTTGCTATTTCGCAGCATGTGCAGGCGACCACGCGTTGCTTGCTGTAGAAGGCAGCTCATTGTGAGCCGAGACTGCTTTGCTGGACGTCATAAACTCGGGACATGTGCTGTTTCATTCATGCACCGTGTGCACTACGCAAAACACTGTGCATGCTTCTGCAGGTGTTCCACTTCTGACTTACGAGTCAACTAACGAGGAAGGTTCCTCCGTGAGGCCCCTTCCAGCCTGCCGGGATGGCAGATTTAGATGTTCTATAGCTAAAGCTTGACTGCGTCATGGTCTAGCCAGAACCATACATAGCCCCGAGAACAGCGCGGGTTTTTCTTTCCCGAAAATGACACCGACCAATTATGGCGACCGGGGGCTGGCACATTAGGGAGGCAGGAGAGTTGGGCGGCCGGGAATAGGGGGAAATAACATGAAAAAGACATCAGAGATAAGCAGCCGAACCGAGTGCGTTGCTACACAGGACGGCAAAACGGTTCGGATTCGGCAGAGAAGGACGCTATGAAATGGGATGGGGTCCGAACCCAAAGCAGTCTGTGCCACCCCTGTTCTGGCTCTCTTTTCATAAAGTCGATCCCCCCGTCCAGAGAAGGCTTTCTACGGAGTACATAGTACGCTGTGAACCGTCTCTCTTGGCCCAATGGGCTTTCCTTTGCAGCCATCCCTGTCTGATCTCACCCAGATACGGAGCACAAGGCTGCACGAAGACCTTGCTGTGAGGCCCAACACATACCGATACGCTGAGTAATAATACGTGCCTCCATTCGTACCAGCTGCTCGGTGTTCTCTGATCCCTTCTTCCCTCGTGCTTGCTGGCCCGCGACGCCGAGCCGTGTCGCAGTATCCTGATGGTGGAATGTTCCGTTCTCCTCGTTGTTTGGTTCAGGTCTTGTGGTCAGACCGTCCCGGTTTTCTGCAACCGTAATACTGGGAAGCAGAAAATCCGTGACACACTACTACGACAGTGCGATAAGTCGGGATCGAACAAGGCAAGAGCCCCCACCCGGTTCTGGTTCTAGCCCGGGTGGCTCGATAATACACAGTAGCCTTCTGCGACAGCTGGCAGAGCTTGCCGCCTTGCGTTGGGCATCAAAAGTTGGGTTCTGCCAACGAGCAATGCACGATACCGCAAAGACCGGTGGCTGCACCTGCACAGGGGTACAGGGGCCTCAAGCCTTTCCAGGGCGTATCGCTGTACAGAGCAAGGTGTAGAGAAAGCGCCACCGTTTCAGCACATGCGCCCTCGAGCCAGCGCTTTTTCTTCCGCCCTCACAGCCGTCCTCGGGCCAGCATGACGAAGACGATCACCTGAGCGGCCGAAGCAGAGACCTAACCCTGGCGGCACGGGTGATGTGCAACAGGGAGCCGTTTTGTCTGCTTGGAGGTGGAAAAACTCTGTGGCGCACGTACTACTCCGTATGTGATAGCCGACCCAAGAACAAGCTTTGGCTTGCCTGGCAATATTGAAAAATAAACCCAACGACCGTTGATCTTGCTGAAGGAGGCATGTCGGATCCGATAGCGCAGCCCTTGTCTCGTAAACTCTGACAAGGCTTTTGATTTGGGATCATGCTACGTCGTACGGAGTGCTCCGTACTTTTTCTCCCGGGTTTCTGCTTTTGTTACTAATCAAGGGAAACGTAGCGATAAAATGATACATAAAATATATATATATAAATAAACACCTCCTAGCAGTGCAGCTATGACCCCCCCTCTCCCTTTCGGTGGCCGGTCAACAGGTAACACTGAGTATTGGCATGCGGTGACGAGAATAGCTGCTTGGCCACGGCTGCTCACTGGTCCTGATACAGCTCACACCGGCCGGCTGGACCAGAGATCCTGCCCAGCAGTCACAGCGATCCGGAAGACCGATCAGCTGATTCGAGCGGCAAGTCCGCGGGACGTCCTAACCAGGAAACTCGCATGGGGCAGCGCATGCATTCTACGAGCTACGAGCTACGAGCTATGAGGACTCTACGGAGTACGTCCCATGGCTGCAGCCGGCCAATACTATGCAAACACATCGTACGTGGCAAGGTTAGCCTGGCATCCCCCGCACGGGTCTGCCGCGTAACATATCCGGATGGAACAAAGGAGAATGACAGAAAAAGTAGGTAGGATAAAAATACTGAACAGCACGACACAGATGGCCTGAAAGAGTCTGTTCTCGTGCCGTGTATTGCGGCACATGGATGCATGCAAGTGTGGGCCTGATGAGAAATGTTGGGAGACCACTCGTATTTGCACAGGACGACGCCTTTTCCAACAAGGCGCCCGGCCAGCATAGAGAATTGGGACGGTCCTTGCGCGGTTTATTAAACAAGAAGGAGGGCATCCGACCGGGATCAGGCAGCCCATCTCCTTCCCGTCTTGGCCACCAGCTCGCCTCTTCGTATACAGAGCCCACCGGATGACTCCGTAGACACGTACTCTATCCATATCCACCGCGAGAGCCGTCTCACGGAAGACCCCGTCATCTCTCGACTCCGTGTCGCCTCTCCTTCGCTCGGGATAACGACGAAACGGGCCGGAACGTCTGCCTCCAGCAAGAGCCTACTCCGTACATAGTAACAATCTTACTCGTAGTGTTCAAGGCCCCACAGCAAAATGAACAGCCGTTTTTGCGCCACGGCAATCATGCTTTGCACCCTGTAACGCACTGACGTGTACCAGCACTGCTCCTTTGATGATAAGTAATCAGCCACCCTGCAAGTCCCAGGCGTCCGCCCCTTAAGCGACCCGACTGGACTGCGCGCTGCTGCGCCTCCACTCCCCGTAGCAGTTGCTCCTGCACCGCGCAGGGACTTTATGTTCAAAGCAATCTCGCCCTAGCGGACATGGGCCAAACCAGACTGCCGTATTACCGCTGGCATGGAGTACATACGAGTATATGAGATACGCAGGGCAGAGCAATGTTTTGGATGTGGAAGACGAAAAAGAAAAAAGAAAAAACAGAAGAAAAAAACAGAGTCGAGCGGCAGGATGCAACCAGGATAAGCTTTCCATATTTCTTCTTCCACATCTTTATTACGGAGCGATGTGCCCCGCCATCAACGGTCGACGGTTTCTCACTATTTTATCATGTTCCAACAAGGGACTCTGCATTGGACTTTGGCCCGTCCAACTTTTTCCGGAAATATCACCATCATAAGTCCGGAATGCAGTTCTGCACAGTGCGTCTTGTCCGCTACCCACTCACACCTGGCAAATCGTTTCGTCTTTGGAACCCTGTCTTAACAGACTACTCCGTACTTCGTATTTGTGTTGTGCGTGAGCTGCGTGCGACCTCCTTGCGATACTATGTAGCTTCGCGCACAAGTCTCGTGGTTGACAAAGCAAGGGGCTCCGCGTTTCTAGCCCGAGAGGGGTTCATCCGAGAGTCTATTGGTGTGTCTCACTCTACTCCGTACGCTGTGCGAGTACGCACTCGCAAGCCCCATGACTTCACACGACATGTGCGACGAATGCCTCCATACTCGTACGGCGTCGTTGATCCATGCAGCTGCCCGGAACCGTTTAGCTGGAGGCCCTGTTTATTACTTGTTGCCGTGGACAGGCACTTTCGTATGTTCAGTACACAGCGTGATGGGGCTTCTCGGCGGCCCGTGTTCCTTGCCCTATTTCCGAGGCAATCTGTCAGATGTCAGAAAGCGCACATCTGTATGGAGAAGGGTTAAATATCGGATTGGGGGCGCACTCTCCGGATAGCTTTTGCAATTTGGGGTCCTATAGTACGGAGTAGAGTGGCTCGAGCGCTCCGTGGGAAAGAAATGCGATCAAGATGACAACATATATCCTGTATATTAGAGTACTCGCAATAGGAGGAAGTCGGGTACGGAGCACGGCTATCGGAGAGGACGGTCGGAAAAATGTGCAGCCGATTCGGGAATTGGAAAATTGCCCGATTTGAAACTTCATCGATAGCTTTTTGTGTCAAGAGTCATAGAATCATCGCACATAGAGAATCGACGACACAGACAGGGCCATTGCCGCAACTTCCTCCTTCCGCTCCCATTGCTCAACTTAGAATTAGATATCGCTCGCAACCAACTAGACGCTCCCGTCTTGCCTCCCGCCTGCCTGCATTCGACCTGTGCCCTTATCGTTGAGCACAGTTTCGGACGTGTCTTTCGCCTCAATAATACCTAAATTGGGGTCTTCCCTTCCAGTTTATTTTATGCAACGCGCGCTTTCCAAGGCTTCAGGACAGACGAATCAGACTACCATCTCCCCGACTTTAGCATCCTCTTCTACCCAACATGGCCTCGACCATCCTTGTCCGGGCGCCTCTGACCCCCGCTGTTCTGAGCATGGCGAACACCACAACGACCCCTCTTTTCCGGTCGGTGACGTCGAGTGCGCCAGCACTGGGGGTGGCTTTGTGGGCACTCGTGCCGACACAAACCCTGTGGATATCAAGAAGCTCGACGAAAAGCTGCGTCGATTGAGCGTCCAAGCTACCCGGCCTGGAGATATCCACTCGCAGGCGAAAACGCATTCTGGGGAAAAGACTGCCGAAGATGCTGTTGTTGCCGCTTCTGCTGCCGTCACTCCTGCGGGCCAGCGTATCGCCGAGTATGAGCAGGCTCTTACCCCTTCGACATCGAAGCGTGGACATGGTACACTGCCGGATGCCGGCCTTTTTCCTGGCTTTCCTTCACAGGGAAGACAGCTTGTCGACTTTCCAAATGGTGAGACAATCCTGAGTCTGAGTTTCGGCGATTCAGTTACCCATTTTTCGATAGGTCTTGCTCACATGCTTTTTTAAAAACAGAAATCTTGACGCACATCTTCTCTTACTTGCAGCCTGGCTCTCATGCTGCAGTCGCCCTCGTTTCCAAGCGGTTCTACTCTCTGATCACCACCCCGCATGCATGGCGCATGGCCTTCCGGCGCTATTTTCCAGGACAGGAGCCGGGTTCGCATTCAGACACTTCCAATTCGCCTGTTGTGCTAGAAGATGTGGCCAAGTCGGAAGCTCCTCTCTTCTCACGACTGACGTCTCTAGCATCGTGGCGGAGCGAGTATCTTTTGCGAACCCGCCTGCTTCGAAGCATTGCTTCTGGGAAGCCTGGAGCTATCATTGGTGCCAATGGCGAGAGCGTTGGGGCGGTGCGGCCTGGTGGAGGCGTAAAGAAGGCCACGGCGGTGATAACGTACAGTTCCCAGCTACCATGGATGGTAAATCGCCTGCACGCCGTGTTTTCCAGCACAGGAAAGAAGTCGGCCCGGGTTGTGCATGGAGCCTCGGATTTGGGCGTTGCCACAGCAAGCAACCCAGCCATTGGCAAGCTCGAGAGCTGGGGCGCTCGAGAATCCTTCGCTGCTGCACAGCTGGACGAGATATTCCCCCAGCTGACGCCATACGGACTTCACGACGGGCCGGCAGCAGTTCCCAACGTCATGGATATCAGCCAGCTCTATGGCAGCATCATCGGCGAGGGCTTTCCTGGAGGCCGTCCTCTGTATCGCGCCATGGGCAGCCACGGCTTTTCCTACCTGGAGAACCATGCGAGAACCCGGAGCACGGCTCAGGACCAAGATATCCCCAACATTTCCGAAGACTCGGAAGCTGTCTCTGCAGTGTGGGTAGCAAAGTCGGCTGCTGTCCCCGCGGTGACTCGGTCCATGATTGCGATGCTAGCAGGCACGACATTGGGTGTTGTGTCCGCCTACTCCTTGGCAAAGGCAGACTCTGGATCGCGGTACGCGCACAACCAAGTGACTGCGCGCTGGGTGCTGTGTCCGGGCATTCCGATTATCGCCATACAAGCCGATGACAGCTTCAGCGAGAAACGGAGGGCGATGGGCCGCGTCTGGGCCGTGGCACTGAATGCCCTGGGAGAGGTGTACTATCTCCAGGATGTCCCCACGCCAGCTGCGAGTCCGGCTCCTGCACTTGGCCAGCGTTTGTCTGACGTGCATGAGAAGCTGGCATGGCAGGCCGGTCGCACAGCAAGATGGGAGCTCGTGGAGCTGACCCGTCGGTCACCCACGTCGGACTGGTTTGATGCCAAGAATGCATCGCTTGTGTTGGCAGCATCTCCGTCACCGCCACGCTCGTCGTCCAACTCGATGAAACTCAGCCAGGAGCAGTTAGTGGCTGAGGCTCGCGAGATTGAAAAGTTTATCGATCTCACGCCTGCTACTTACAGATCTGTGTACGACGACGGCTGGGACATGCGACGGAAGCTCGAGGTGGATTTCAGCGGTGGCCGCAGTGGCTATAGCACTGAAGCTGACGGCAATGCGGGCGAAAGTGTTTTCGTCATCAGTTGTGGCATCGAGCCAAATGGACGCCCAGCCACGGTTACCCGCTTCACCCGCTTTGCCACGAGCGCGACGACACAAGCGCCCTCTCCTGCCTTTCCTGCCTCTCCTGTCCGCTCAGAGTTGCAGCCCACGCCAAGCCACGTGTTTTCAGTCTTTGGTTCTGGACTAAATACACCAGCCCCTCAAGAGCCTCGCGTACTTGTAGTGCCTCGAGTACAAGCGGCTGCAGATGGACGGTCGACCCCCACTGCCGGTTGGCAATCGACGGAGTTGTCGTTCAAAACGGGCAATAACAATATGCACACGGAGATCACTTGCACTGCGGTAGATCTAAGTGTCTTCTCCCTGTCGGCGCCCTTTGAAGACCCTCTGGTCCAGCAGATGGACGGGAAGCTAGATAGCGCTTACAGTGGGGAAATTCCTGGCCGTCGAGCGCGATGGATTGCTATTGGAACCAAGACTGGCGCAGTGTTTGTGTGGAACATGCGCGAGACGTCATCATTGTCGTCGTCGGAAGCAGCTGCAGCGGTGCCGTCTGTGCGGCCGCTGCGAGTGATCCAGACGGAGTCGCCCGAGGTTTCAAGCCTGGCTGTGTCGTCACTGTTTCTCGTGCATGGTGGAAGCGACGGGTTGGTGCAGGCATGGGACCCTTTGGCGTCTACGGTCGAGCCGATCCGGACGCTGAACTCGAGATCGCAGGGGCGAGTGCCACGCCATCTAGCTCACACACGTCCCGAGTTTTCGCGGGCCAGTTTTTCAGTTGTGCGAGCCATCTTCCTCGACCCGGACCCGACAGCCCTTCGTGGCGTGCTGGCCGTGGGCACTCTGCTGCGGTACTGGTCGTACAGCTCGAACAGTTTTGGATCGAGCCGGAAGCGATTGCGCCGTGTTCGCCACGCTACGGCAGATGGACAGCTGGTCAGTCGGCGATTAGGCGTGCGGGAGAACGGCTATATTGCTGCTGAAACGGCCGAGCTGCGGCGTGAGCAAGAGGACGACTCGCGGCACCGCTCCTGGATGTGCAATCGTTTCGGTGTCGGCCTGGCCGATCTGACCGAGGAGGAAGCCGTTCGCTATGCCGAGATCATGTCGCAGGAGACGTTGTTGGATGAGCAGGTCCGCTCGAGCGGTTTCAGCGGCCCCGACAGCGCCAACGGCTCGTCGGCCGACCAGGCATCGTTGACATCTTCGATCTCATCCAGCGCAGCCGAGACCCTGACGCCCGCGGCAAGTCTGTCGGAGCAGCAGAGTCCTCCATCAGCCACGAGCCCGTCTGTTCTGGCTGCTTCCTCTGCTTCGGCCACATTTGTCACCGATGACGGCTTTGAGCTGCAGATTCAGCGCGCCATCCGACTGTCACTTATGGAGGGCGTCAATGACGACAGCAACGGTGAATTTTCTGTGACGTATCGACCGGCAAAACAGAGAGAAGACAAGGGAAAGGGAAAGATGCAGGCGCAGGTGTGGGAACCTGCGGTAGCAACAACGTCATCGTCCTGGCCCGATGCTGGCTCGTCGACGGCTGTTGATGGCGGCAGCGGTGGCAATGAAGACGACGACTTCCGGTTGGCGCTGGCCCTTAGTCTGCAAGACGAAGAGCAGCGACAGTTGTTGCTGCAGGAGCAGGAAGAAAACGATGCTGTCTTGGCGGCGACCTTGTACCAAGAGGAGGAATTTCCTGCACTGGAGGTCAGAGGCAAGGGGAAGGGCAAGGGCAAACACGTTTGAGGAGATCGAGATAATCAGAGGCTGGAAAGAAAGAAGGACGTGTTGTTGTTGGTCGTATCATTGTTGCACCTCCCTTTTATATGCTTTGCTCGTTCCATAGTTCTATCGATAGTTAAAGTGACTACTGCAGTTTGTCTCTCCCTGTCAGTTTTGGGCATCAGCTTCATCAGCATCAGATATTGAAGTGTCGGCTACGAATCGAAAATTCGGGATTACTTAGTGAGAGTGACAAGAGCAGAGCATGGATTTTCTAGGTACGACCAGCAAATAGCACGGCTCTCTTCATGTGAGAATAGACAGAAACAACAAAGAGTGCGCGCTCCTTCCCTTCCTTACCTCTAACTTCGAGTTCTAGCTACTTAGCAACGAAACACAACCTCGGCTATCTTAGATAACATCTTCGTCGTGTCAAGGACGCTTCTGCAACGCTATATCGAATTTTCTGTTTGCCGTGGAAAAAATACCAGACGTCAGGCCACGTAGATCAATAACCAGGTAATATCCTTAGTATACGCTCACTCGTGTGTTTCTTTGAGGCGAGCCTTTAGTAATTTTCTTTCGTAAAAAATATGGACGATAAGCAGACGACCCTGTGTGAAGATCCTCTGCAATTTAAGTATAACCATCTGCAACGGAAGCCTAAACGTGATGTATAAAAAAGCAATTAGTAACGCCGCATTCCAAGCGGAATAACCATCCACTCTGATAATCCAACCGTCTACCAGGTTTCTTCCCAAAAGGTTATGCTTGTTCCAGCTTTGTCACTGAAAATTTTCTGTTTGACCTCTGCTTCATTTTTGCAAAAGCCGCCCATAATAGCTGCGTCCCGTAGAGCCTCCCGCACCGATTTAGGCATACGGCCACTGTTTCCACAGAGGCAGATAATGGCGTCCTGAGCAAGTAATTTGCATACCTTCTCCGAGTGACGTCTGATCAGTTGTTGGACGTAATTCTTTCCTTCGTCATAGGCGTACGACAATTTGCTAGTCGACAGCGCGTCCAGTGGCGGAAGGCCAGCTTGCATTCGCAGATAGTGGTCGGATGTGTTTCCGACCAGATCATCCATCTTTTGCTGCTGGAACAAGGCGGCCTTGCTATCCGTCTTTGGGTCCCGAGAGAATGCAGGAATAACAGTGAGGGCTTTTGTCTTATCCCATTCCTCACTGAAGTAGAAGTCGGCAGCCTCATTTCGACATCCAAAAAATAGCAACGTTTCGGCAACATCGTCGTGAAGGCTACGATCGTGAATGAGACTTCGGATCGGTGCAATTCCCGTCCCTGCTGCGATTGCAATTAGAGGGCGCCGCGCAGCAAGGTGCCCGTTGGGCGGCGGTGTCTGATTTTTTATGCCAACTCTGAGCGGTGTCCCAACAGGTAGATGCTTGATGTAGTGCGAGCAAAGGCCTTGGCGTGGCTTTCGGATAATCGTCTTGTACTCAACTAGAGCAATCAAAAGCTCAAATCGATATGTGACAAGTCCGGTCACCTGTGGGTTATACGCCGTGGGCTCGCTCTGGGTGCTGCTTCTTTCTCCACGAGGCAGCGAGGCTTGCTTCGGTCCTCGTTCTGGGTGCTGGCTGCTCTTTGACTTCGCTTCTTTTGATTCAATAGTCACTTTATTCCAGTAACAACCACCGTTGGCGATGCTGTACTCGCGTCCGCGAATTATCGGAAACATGTCGGGTACGTGAGTTACAGGTATCTTTGCCGAGTAGAATTCGGCAAGCACCTCTAGTATTGTGCGACGAGGTCGTGATGTGAAGTCATAGAACTCGTTTGAAAACTGAGGCATGACAAGCTCCAGCAGCTTTTCCTTTTGGTCACCGTTCGTTGCAAAATCCGCCAGCTTTTCGAGAAACATTCGTGTTGGCACTGCGGTGAAATCAATGTTGTTCGTGAGAATATCTCTCAGAGTTGCCCCCTCTTGTAGACGGAATCCCTTGGGCATGTATCCGTTGACAAATTCCATCTTCGCATCCGCAGCTGCCCCCCATTCCATCATGTCAATGAGGTTTTGCACATCTTTTGGATAGTTCTGGGGGTACAGCACAATCACATCCCCTGGGTGAGCGGAGTATTTGAGGTTGTCCATTATCGGAATGGCGACTTCCAACGTAAGCAGGCGAACATCCTGCCAATGACCTAGAGGAGTCACTCGCGTGTTGCTGATGACTCTGGCCAACGAAGTACCGGGAATGTTGGAAATCACGGCTTTTGGGAACTCTATTGGTGCAGGAGTTGCCGGTGACTTATGAAGGAGATACTTTTCTGGAGCATCCTTCAGGATGTTGGCTTTATCGAGGATATCAACGGGCGAGCTACCCAGCCAGACGGGAGCGGTCTTTGTGTCCTGCCGCGCTCTCACTGCTAAATTTCTCTTGATGCGATCCCAGTCTTCGTCGTCTTGTTCATGCCTAGATCGTGGCCTTTCTACATGAGACAAAGCTGCGTTCCTCTCTCTGTTGGCGATGAATATAGAAGTGGCAAGGTCAGGAGACTGCGCGGCGGATGCGCTATCAATAGGCATCTCATCTGGTGTATCTAATTCCATCTTGGGCATGATCCTCAGAGAGTACCGAGGTGGAAGAGGATGGTCGGCTGGGATGAGGTCAATAGAAGCGGGTAGTGGAAAGCTGGACAGAAGATATTCTCTCAGATTCTGAACCCACGGTTGATAAATGCTGTCAACTCTTTGAGGGTCAGGTTTGTCAGCTGGGGCTCAAGCAAATATCATGCACAGGTTCAGGAGGTGAAAGACTACTTACCCGTCTTCGTGTCTCTCATCAGCTTCACCGCGATCAAAGACCTCCTGGGCTCCTAGATGAAGGAGGCGACTGCGAAGCAACCTTGATGCCCAATTGTATCTATACAGGCGTGAGAAAATCGACAGGAAAACAAGAATGGTTCGGGTAGCACACTTTTGATAAGAGCTGTCGCCAAGTCCAAAGGTGGTGAACCGAACAGACGAGAGACAGTTTGGTGGAAGTTTAGCTCTGCGCAGACTCTTCCAAAAACCCAAAGCATTTTTAGGAAACTGTCCCTGTCCAGTCGTGGATATGACGAATATGACCAGGCTGAAGTCCGAGAGCAAAGTATTCTGTCAGTGTCAGCACATTGTAGTGTCCTCAACAAAGCAGTTGGATTCGGCTCTGTGTACTGATAGAAAAAGGAAAGAGTATGTTGTATAGCTGCAAGCAAGCAAGAGTAAACGGGTATAAGATTGGACATACCAACTTGATACCATCCATCTCTTCCAACTCCGTGCTGAATCGTAGCCTTTGACATAGCCTATCGATCTCTCCTGCCTTCTCCTGAGCGTTGCCCGTTTCTGAGCCATACAGGATGAGGATTCGGCGTTCTGAGAGAGCCATTGCTTTAAACAAAAAATTGGATGCTCCTGCCGGTCTGGGCCGTCGCTCTATTACACGCAACCAACTTGATCGCCCTACTGATACGACGTTCTGAAAGTGTACAACGGTCGGCTTAAAACGATACGGTATCGCCCGTTGCCAACCGGCCGCTATCAGGAAGAAAGATGCTCCGTCAACCTTATTTGGTTCATGCAGCTTGACTTGGAAAAAGAGACTCTCCTTGAGTATAGGATTCTGATTGGTGTGATGCAGTCTGTCGGGTTGCAGTTTGTGCAGCTTGCATGTGAAGATACGAGAAAACTAAATTATTGCAAATTTCGCGACTTCCAGATACCAAAATTTAGTTTGTCCTAACGCAAGTACTTGCCCATACGTCACTATATGGCGGGGTACTTGTGGCGCTCAATGTCCACCGCTGGCCGATTTCGGCCGTTGTGGAAGCGAGAAACGTCGTGAGAGGGCTGGCGAATTGCGCCGCACTGCTCCGATATTTGGTCTTCTTCTTTGAGCTACGCAGTCCAAATAGTGGTACGCTTTGCGAGCAGACATTATGCACCTGATGTTGGGCCGTAATGGGAAGCTAAGGGTGTTAGTATGTGCTACCATGGTCGGTGCTGCCCAATTCGCATGATGACGAGTTGAGCCTCTGCGAGTATTCTTGTCTCGTTCTTCTTTTTCTTCTTCGTTCTGCATGAAAGTTTCTCGAATGCTACATCTGAGGCCTGCCCCTGGTGAGTCAACGGGTATGTTGCCTTGTCACTTTTTATTAAGATCTCATCTGCGTTAGAATTGAGTTGCGGGGTGGATGCGCAGGGCGGCATAGAGAAGCGACGCGCTTGGGCATGTATGCTGCTGTCTATGTTTTGATTCGTCCTTTTCGCCCAATCAGACGGGTTTGGGTTACCTGCCAAATCGCTATTTCCCCGGATAAGTGCACAGAATGGGCAACTAAGGGAAAAAGGGCTATTATTCTCGAAGTTAGCTGCCGGTTTTGGACGAAACCTCAATTGGGCTGCTGCTTCCTTTTGCTTGCAGCAGGCAACAGCAGGCAACAGCAAGCGAAGCAGGGGCAGGTGCCACCCATACGTTCATAGCCAGTTACGGGTGGTCCTTGGTTGGGCCCATAACCATAATTCTGAAAACCGCATGCTCGCAAAGACGTAGCAACCTAGGAGACTTGGCGGATCAACATAGGATGATGCGCGTGGGTGCTTTACCGACAGACGTCGACGCATGACGTGAATTTTCGGCCGTTCTGGCGGTACTCTGATGTTGGATATCGGCGGAAGGAGCTGTCAGATACGTAGCCATAACATAATAGTACAGAATCCTAGGGGAAAGTGCGACCTGGTCGGTGCGCCAGAGCATGTCCTTGAAGAAATTTCGGTGCCAACGGCTGCCCAAACGCACTGAATCGCTAATGCAATGCGCTGGTTGCGCCTGCCCCTGACGTTTGAACGTTGCAAGTCACCTGTACCTTCCGTCATAGAATGTATGATCTGGTACCTTCCGCAACCCCTGTCAATGTGCGCCACCTTCCCTTTCTCGAAGAAAATAGAAAAAAAATAAGCTGGACGAAGCCAGCTCCCGTGCGACAGCTTATTTTGCCTCCCCTATATAATTTTCGTCTCCTTTTCCCTCCCTGTCTCCCTTTTCCATCTTACACCACCAACCTCCAAGATCTTCATCACAAGCAAATCAAGTCAATAGACAAATTTTGTCTTCCGCCTCCCCCCCTTCTCCCTCTGTATTCTAGGGCACCAAGCTACCCTGCTCGCTCCCCTTCGTCTCCAGAGTCAAATCCGTGTGATCTCAAAACGTCAACTCGTCCAACCACCACCCAAACGCCAAATAATACCAGTTAATAGATCAACCGATCTCATCGCACACCAGCATCACAATGTCTGTCACCGCTGAGAAAGTCACTGACGCCGCCGTCAACGACGTTGCTGCCACTCTGGCCAACACAACCATCTCTGGCAAGCCTGACGAAAAGGCCAACGACGCCTTCCTTGCCAGCGCCGCCGAGGGCCGCCGACTTTACATCGGCAACCTCGCGTACGCGACAACTGAAGGGGAGCTTAAGGAGTTCTTCAAGGGATATCTTGTGTAGGTCCTTTTCACCGAACCTGCTTCTGTCTTGCGTGCGGGTGCGCAGCAAGCATGCTCACCGCCGCCTTGCTCATGCTCCGCTCTACTTTCCCTTCCCGCTCTTTTTGTGATTTGTATGCCTCTGCCCCCACATCGTGGAGCACCTGACTCCCAAGTTGGAACTCGTCTATACGCCGTGGCTAGTGGCCTGTCATCTGTTCATCTCGTGGTGGCCCTGACGAATAAGGAGCGCATGCTGACTCTTATTTCTCCGCTAGCGAGTCGGTCTCGATCCCTAAGAACCCCCGTACTGACCGCCCGGTTGGCTACGCCTTTGTTGACCTGTCAACCCCGACCGAAGCCGACCGTGCCGTCACCGAGCTTTCTGGTCAGGAGATTCTGGAGCGCAAGGTGTCCGTCCAGCTTGCTCGCAAGCCGGAGCCCGCTGGTGAGAAGGACGGTGCCAACGGCGAGGGTGCAGAGGGCACACGTCGCCGCCACTCTACCCGCGGCCGCGGCCGTGCGAGCCGTGGCCGTGCTGGTCGTGGCCGAGGTGGCCGTTCTAGCGTGAGTAAAGCGTTTGTTCCTGCATGCCGGGCTTCATACTGATATGTACAGGGCGAGGAGGGAACTGCTGTTGAGGGCGAGGCATCCGAAGCGGCCGCTACGGATGCCCCCGCCGAGGCTGCGAACGATGCCACGACCAAGGACTCCGCTGAGGATGCTGCTAAGAAGGCCAGCCAGCCACGCCCACCCCGTGAGCGTCGTGAGCGTGGCCCGCCTGCGGACGGCATTCCTTCGAAGACAAAGGTCATGGTGGCTAACCTGCCGTATGACTTGACTGAGGAGAAGGTGGGTTCAGATTCGCGTATTGCTGTTGTGCCAGGCTGTGAGACGGAGCATGACTGACACACCTTGCGTTTACAGCTCAAGGAACTCTTTGCAGCTTACGAGCCGTCGACTGCTAAGATCGCTCTTCGCCCGATTCCCCGGTTCATGATCAAGAAGTTGCAGGCCCGTGGAGAGGCGCGTAAGGGACGCGGCTTCGGCTTCGTGACCTTGGCCTCGGAGGAGCTGCAGCAGAAGGCAGTGACTGAGATGAACGGAAAGGAGATTGATGGTCGTGAGATCGCTGTCAAGGTCGCTATTGACAGCCCGGACAAGACCGACGAGGAGACGACTGCCTCCGAGAGTGTTGAGGCCACCAACGGTGACCCCGTTGAGGCTGAGGCTCCGGCAGCCACGGCCTAAGCACTTCACTGTGACGTGCTCTCGCAACGGCAAATGATGGCAGGTACCTCGAAATATTATTTGTCAATTTCTCCTTTGGGGAGCTACCATCGTTAAAGACAGATTATTTTGCCTTGCGTGAATCTCGGCTCGGTATTTGCTGTGCTCCTGTTGACAGGTCTGTTTATGATGGTGAACATGTTTCGTGAAGGAAGAGCTGGAGAGTCAAATAAACAAGCAGTGGACTTGGTGGCAATTTTCCTGGCGTCTTCTGGAATGGGTGCTTTATTTATCCTACATGGCTGGTACAGAGTAGAGACATTCGGGAGACCTGCGCTGCATCTGTCTACGGCTTCGCATTTTCTTTGCCTATTCTTAATCTTGCCGTGGAATCTTAGCACAGCGACATCTAAATTAATACGGGTTGAACCTTGATGCTGTTGCTGTGTAGAGCACTCCGTACGACGTCAACGTAGCAAGCCTCCTATTTTATGTCCAGGCTGTAGACTAGCGAACAGTGGGTCGCGGAGGAATCCGTAACGAGTGGTGGGAAGTCATAGCGGCGATCTAGACCTTAATAACCCCCCGTGCTAAATTGGCGGTTCTCACATTTGTTTCCCTGGAGACACAGAAGCAGACGGCAAACTTCCGCGTACGCTCTACTCCAAAACGTCTAGTGCACGCACGATCCGACGCCATCGATACTGCGACTTGCAAGAACAAGCCTGCCTGGACAGACGAGGACAAGGGGCCGTCATTTTTTGGCACGATGGCTTCCAAGGCAATGTGGGAGGTCGACCCGGAGACGCGGTCGAAGGTGCGTTGGTGCATATTCCAGCTGGAGGTGATTGCGCGCTGGTTTGTGGCGAGATCCTGACACTGGCGCTCTCTGCAGCTTCAATCGATCCAGAAAGAATCCAACAACGGCCTCTGCTGCGACTGCGGCGCCCCATCGCCACAGTGGGCGTCGCCCAAGTTCGGCATCTTCATCTGCCTGTCATGTGCCGGCGTGCACCGCGGTCTGGGTGTGCACATCTCTTTCGTACGATCTATCAGTATGGACGCCTTCAAGTCGAGCGAGATTGAGCGCATGCGCCTCGGCGGCAACGCTGCGTGGCACGACTTTTTCGAGAACCACGCGGACACAAAGATGCGCGGACTGGCATGGGATGACGCGACGATCGCGGAGCGGTACTCGGGCGAGGTGGGTGAGGAGTGGAAGGAGCGTCTGAGCGCCAAGGTGGATGGCCGTGAATACGTGCCGAGCGAGCGCAAGAAGACCACATCGTCAGCCAGTGCCCTGGCGAACAAGAACAGGCCGCGGGACAACCGTGGCAGCCTGGGGGGCAGCCGCACGGCCAGCCCAAGTCTGAGCAGTGGGACGGGAGCAGGGGTCGGGACGGCCGGCAAGATCAAGGTGGACGAGAAATACTTTGCTCGTCTGGGGGCAGAGAACGCGTCTCGGTCAGAGGACCTTCCTCCCAGCCAGGGCGGACGCTACGCCGGCTTCGGCAACATGCCGGCATCTTCAGGACGGACTAACGACTCGAGCCTGCCGGCCTTTGAAGACCTTCAGCGTGATCCGGTGGCAGCCCTGACCAAAGGCTTTGGCTGGTTTGCCAGCACGTTGACCACCACGGCCAAGACAGTCAACTCAGAGTACATCCAGCCGACGGCAAAACAGGTAAGTGAGAGAAGAAGCGAGGAGGACAAGGAACGTGAGAAGAGTGCCGACTGACGCTCTATGTAGCTTGCCGAGTCGGATCTGGCTGCTCAGGCCCGTGTTGTTAGCGGCAATGTGGCGCGGTCGGCTCAACAAGGTGCGCGCACCGCCCAGGAAAGCTTCAACCGATTTGTCGAAGGTGGTCCCGGCACCGGCGGCACTTCCCGTGGGTACAGCTACAGCCAGGTTCCGATTGATGATAGCAAGCGCGACTTCTGGGACGACTTCTCATCGATTGCCGAGCAGCGCAAGGCCGAGTCGAGTGCTATCGGCACGGCAGCTATGGGCAAAGGCGGGGGCAGCAGCAGTGCTTCAGTAGGAAGCACAGCCGGGGCAAAGAGCAAGGACGAGTGGGACGACTGGTGATTAGAACGGAACCGACAGAATAGACATCTAAATAGCCGAGGGAGCAGAGGGGGGGTGTTTTTGGGGTGCTACCACCATGCGTTCTTGGCGTTCCAGACTACGATTCGATCTGAATGTATTTCCTTCGTTCTTGTCCTTTTACACTGCATTATTATCCAGACAGGCTGCGGCTGTGCTCCTTGTGAGTGCAAGGCGTCATTTTGGTACTCATGGAAGCGGCTGTCGGCAGTGGCAGCCTGTGCATCACGTGACACACCGCTGTCGGCCGAGGTATGGAGCCGGTCCTAGCCGCGGCAGCTTTCACAAGTAAGCGCGAGAATCCAGCGGGCTTTTGTAGCCTGTGTCTGCGCAAACCATCTCTAGCAAGGACGTTCCGGCAGAGCCATTGGATTTCACAGTGACCCGACAGCGACACGAGCAAGAATGTCTGCGCTTCGGATTCTCGTTCCCGTCAAGCGGGTGATTGATTATGCGGTGAGCTGGTCTGGGGGGGAAAAGGCGCAAAATGCACAGCGGTGCCAACGGCCGAGAGCTAACGAGAGTCGGGGGCACAGGTCAAGCCGCGGGTCAACAAGGCCCAGACGGGGGTGGAGCGGGCGGGGGTGAAGCACAGTCTGAACCCGTTTGACGAGCTGTCGGTGGAGGAGTCGGTGCGAATCCGGGAGAAGAAGCGGGCGCCGGGAGGAGTGGAGGACATTGTGGTATTTTCGGCCGGTCCGACCAAGTCGCAGGACGTGCTGCGGACGGCGATGGCGATGGGGGCGGACCGGGCGATTCACGTGGACACGACGGTCAAGGGAGCGGACGAGAATGCGGCGGAGCTGGAGCCGCTGGTGGTGGCGAAGCTGCTGCAAAAGGTGGTGGCCGAAGAGGGCAGCAACCTGGTGATCCTGGGCAAACAGAGCATCGACGACGACGCGGCACAGACGGGTCAGATGCTGGCCGGGCTGCTGGGCTGGCCGCAGGCGACACAGGCGTCGCGCATCGAGTTTGGCGGCGACGATGCCGTGCAGGTGGTGCGTGAGGTGGACGGCGGCGTCGAGACGCTCAAGGCGCGGCTGCCCATGATCATCACGACGGACCTGCGGCTGAACGAGCCGCGCTACGCGACGCTGCCGAACATTATGAAGGCCAAGAAGAAGCCGCTGGCCAAGAAGACGCTGGCCGACTACAGCCTGGCCGATGAAGCTGCCAAGAAGCGGCTCAACATTCTCAAGGTCACGGGTGCGTATTTTCGTCTTTCTCGCTACATACTACAAGGCGCGCATCCAGCTAACAGGGCAGAACCGGCACCGCGCCAGGGCGGTGGTAAGGTCGAGGACGTCGACGGCCTGATCTCCAAGCTGAAGGAGCTGGGAGCGCTATAGGCGGCATCTTGAAAGTAGGAATCATACTCGTTTCTTACTCCATACATATCCCAGAAGTTGGGTCGTCACGTGAGCTCACTGCAGCTGAGCAGCCCTGGCCCGTAGTGGTGTAACCCCTCCAGAGGGTCTAGACAGCCCCACAGGCTATGGCGTAGGGGGAAAAAAAATGGACGAAAAAGTTTTTAGGATGGCGAATAAGACCGAAAAGAGTCATTCACAGGCCGGATTTTTCCCCTTTGCTGTTCCCCCTTTCTCCCCACAGGTCGATTGCAGCAAAATTTGCCATTGCGTTCAGCGTACGCAAACTCATTCCGAGTCACAACCTTACTTTACTTCCCACCACTTGAGCTGTATCGCCCAAACTAGCCCTTATGAACGGGCGCTCGTCGATCTTCACTTCCCAGGTACGTTTTCCAAGCTGCCATTGCCGCTTTTGCACAGCTCCTGGCTTCCACTGGGACTTGCATACTGACTCTTGTCACTTGTAACAGGACTACATTTCAGGTTCGTGCACCCAATGCGTCTCTCGATCAGGCTCTTCAGGGTTTGACTCATCTTCCACCACGACCCCCGCATTTTCACTCTTTTGCTTCGAACTGACAGACGTGCAACAGACCATCTGTGGAGGGCACTTTCAGCTTAGGACAGCAGCAGAAGCTCAATTAACCTCACCAAACCCCTCTCGACCAAATGTTGTCCAAGCTGTCTCTCCGACTGGCCAGGCCGGCCGGCAGCGTGGCGGCTATGTCTGCTGCTCCCCGGATGTCGATGCTGCGGATGTCGGCGGTGCAGATGGGCACGCGGACAGGCACGACATCACAGACGCGGCTGAGCAGCAGTGCAGCGTCGATGGATGGCAGCAAGGGCCGAAAGATGCCCTCGAGCCGCAAGCGGTCGTTCACGCCGGCCAAGAAGGCGGAAGCGACGTTTACGATCCGAGACGGTCCCATCTTCCACGGAACGGCATTCGGGGCCAACTCGAACGTGTCGGGCGAGGCAGTGTTCACGACGTCGCTGGTGGGCTACCCCGAGTCGATGACGGACCCGTCGTACCGCGGCCAGATCCTCGTGTTCACGCAGCCGCTGATCGGCAACTACGGCGTGCCGTCGAACAAACGGGACGAGTACAACCTGCTCAAGTACTTTGAGTCGCCGCACATCCAGTGTGCCGGCGTGGTGGTGGCCGATGTGGCCGAGCAGTACAGCCACTGGACGGCGGTCGAGAGCCTGGGCGACTGGTGTGCGCGTGAGGGCATCCCGGCCATCTCGGGCGTGGACACGCGGGCGATCGTGACGCATCTGCGCGAGCAGGGCTCTTCGCTGGCCAAGATCTCGATCGGCGACGAGTACGACGCGGACGAGGACGAGAGCTTTGTCGATCCGGCCCAGATCAACCTGGTCAAGCGCGTGAGCACCAAGGCGCCCTTTGTGGTCGAGTCGCCGGGTGCGGCCTTTCACGTCGCCCTGCTCGACTGTGGCGTCAAGGAGAACATTCTGCGCAGTCTGGTCAGCCGCGGTGCTTCCGTCACCGTCTTCCCCTTCAACTACCCGATTCACAAGGTGGCCGAGCACTTTGACGGCGTCTTCATCTCCAACGGACCCGGCGACCCGACCCATTGTCAGGAAACCATCTACAACCTGCGCCGCCTGATGAACGAGTCGTCTGTGCCGATTATGGGCATCTGTCTGGGCCATCAGCTGCTGGCTCTCGCTACTGGCGCCCGCACCATCAAGCTCAAGTACGGCAACCGGGCACACAACATTCCATCGCTGGACGTACGTCTACCCCTTGCATCGTGAATTTTTGGCAGCCAGACTTGTGCTAACTTCCCCTAGTTGACTACCGGCCAATGCCATATCACGAGCCAGAATCACGGCTATGCCGTCGACACGTCCACTCTGCCTAACGAGTTCAAGGAGTACTTTGTCAACCTCAACGACGGCAGCAACGAGGGTGAGCACAACCACGCCGTACACTCTACACCTTACATCTGTATCCTGACCTCTAACTCTCCCAGGCATGATCCACAAGACCCGCCCCATCTTCTCCACGCAGTTCCACCCCGAGGCCAAGGGCGGCCCTATGGACAGCGCCTTCCTCTTTGACAAGTACCTCGCCAACGTCAAGATGTACAAGGACAGCGCCAAGGTCTACAAGGACAACCGCCCGTCCCAGCTGCTGCTGGACATTATGAGCCGCGAGCGCGTCGGCGTCGAGCCCGTGCCCCTAGTCCAGGCCGTCCAGAACTAAGCCTGGCGCTCTGCAGCATGTTTACAAGCGATTGGATGTGGCCCCATTGTGCCTTTTTGTACTTTTTTCCCCTTTTTCATCGCCCCTTTGGCGTCGTCGAGTGTGCCCTGTGCAGATAAAGTAATTCGATCCATTGCATAGTCCGTTTATCTTTTGCAGCCCCCAAGTTACCCGTAACTTTGATTGCTCCCTGCCCAATTGCCCGAATGTCCCGATTCCGTCTCGTGTCCGTCCTCCGTTTGTCTATCCATGTTTCTCACCATCGATCCCGGTAACCTCCATAGTGGCCATCTCGATCGTCTCGTGGCGGCGGCCGGTAATCGTAATCATCGTATCGCGGCCGCCTACCACCACCGCCTCCTCTCCCACGATAGCCGCCTCTACCTCCGCCTCCCTGCGCCATTTGGCGCTCCCGCTCGCGATGTGGCGGCCGGATGCCGTCAAACATCTCTGGTCCTCGGTCCACCAATCGGGCGCTGTCTTCAAACGTGTACCGGTTGTTGTTTTTCGAGTAGTCGCCACGCGCGGCACCAGCAGCGCCGGCAGACGTCTCCTGGGGCCCTTCCAGGGCTTGTATGTTGTCTAGCCGCCGTTGGGCGAGATCGGGATGCGCCGTCTGGTACTCGAGCCGCGGCCGTGCCTGTGTGGTTCGCACGGCGTCCAGGTGGTAGCGGCCGCCACCAGCACCGCTGCCGCCGCGTGGATTGGCGCCACCGGCAGCCCGGGGTCCCTTGGGAGCATTGTCGAAGCCAGCGAGCTGGGGTGTCGCCGTCGTGGGGGACCGTGGCAGCGATGCGGCCCGTTCTGGCTGCTGCTGCTGCTGCTGCTGGGCCGGGCCAGACGAGGCCTGGCCGCTGCCCACCACCTGCAGCGTCGTGGTCACGCTGCCATCGTCGAGCTCGGTGTAGGTGACCTCCCACTTCTGCAGCGTGCTGCGCGTGTCGCCACCGGACGTCTCCTGCTCGATCCAGCCCGGCACTGACGCCGGCGGGACAAAGTCGACCCAGAGCGGCCGGCGGTTGCTGTCGTCGGGCCAGACGCGGCCGTGCAGGGCGCTGCGCACGCGGGCAGCAGCCGTGGCGCTGCTCAGGACGACAAAGGCGTGCGTCCGGATGGCGTCCAGGTACGAGCTCACGAGCACAGACGGGTCCGGCGTCGCGCTGCTTCGACGCGCAGCCGGCGACGCTGCCAGGTAGATCAGATGCTCGTCCAGCGCGGCCGGCCGCAGCGGCCGCATAAAGTTGTTGATGTACAGGGCTGGCGTGGCCGGGTGGATGGCCGGAGAGACCACGACGTCACCGTCATCGGTGGTGCCCGCGTAGTCCATGTCCACATCGTGCAAGGGGCTCGCGGCCTCGACCAGCGGCTCTGGCTCGACAGCATCTGCTGCTGGTGTTGGTGATTCCGGCTTCATCGCCGGCATCTCCTCTGCTTTCTCGTCCGCCACGGGCTCCTCCACGCTCTCGTCGACGCGCTGACGCTTGCTGTCGGTCGAGCCGTCTTCGCCGTGCGTCGCTAGAGGCGGGCTGGTGGACCGCCGCTTTCGCTTCTGGGCATCCGGAGATGCAGCCTCGACAGAAGCAGAGCCACGGTCGAAGTGAGGGCCGTCGTCCACCGTCTGGGTGGAGGGGGCCGTCTCGGGTTCTTCCACAAGAGCCGGCTCTGCGTCTTCAGTCGCGGAATCATGCTCCGAGAGCCGATGGACGAGCTCCTCTTTGCGGCCGGCAACAGAGAGGCCGCGTTTCTTGAGCTCAGCCTTGAGGTCGACCACCTTGAGCTTGCTCCAGTCGGTTGCAGCGGTGACCATGACGGGCAAGAGACGCGTGGAGACCCGCGTAGACGTGCAGAAGCGAGGGCAGATGGACCAACGATGTGTTGGGCGACGACGGTTGTGCTGGCGTTTCGACCTCTTTCTTCTCGACTCGGTGCAGACAAAGGTGCAGCAAAAGGGAGGCCAAAGGCGTCGCGCGTCGCGAACCACTTTCAGCTAGCAGGAGCCCAGTTTGGACTAGCGCGTTTCACTGGCGGTGACGTTGGTGCACAGACCATTTGTGCCTGCCCAAGGCAAATCGTATTACTACATACTCCGTACTCCGTACGTAAGCCAGCGCAATGGCAAGCTCACGTCCACGTTGCTCGTAAGACGCCCTGTGAGGGCCACCGGCTCTAGGCAGGGGTGCTGCTGCGCGGAGACGGTCTCGGCAGGGACACCGCTGGCACCACATGCGCGTATGCATAGCCGCTGTGCTCACCGACAAATGAGGAAAGAGCAGCGGCGGGGTCTCTTGGCTCCCTCCTTCCCCCATGTCACAAGGCATCGAGCGCTGCGGCCCAACCAGAGGTCGCGAAAACGGGACAAAGAGAGGAGAACAAAAAATAAAAAAAAAAAGAAAGAGAAGAAAAGGGGAAAGGAAAAAAAAAAAAAAAACAAAAAAAAAGAAGACGGAAGAAAGAAGAAAGAAGGAAAAGGGTGAAAGAAAGGTGGCGGGCAATGCAACGTCGCCGAAAGCGTCTGTCTTATCCCTTTCAGCCCGGCTTTTCCCTCTCTGATCTCTGATCTGGATATGTAGGGCTTGCACGGAGCACCTTGGACTCCACGCCGCTGTATCTTCCTTTCCAGCGCACCCTCTTTCATCAACGCGTGTGAGCGAGGTTTCCGACTACGCCAACCCCCCTGTCGCCTCTGGTCTACTTTTTATCCCATATTTAGCTACCTGCCCCCCTCCCGACGAGACGGTTCTTTCGCCAGGCGATCAGACTAGCTCGACAGACAACCGATCCGATCGGTGAAGCAGCTCCACGTCGTCTTCTTGCGGAGCACGCCAGCCATGCCTTCAGGCCTGTTCAGTTTCTTCCGGGGCGCGCAGCCCAGCGCCACGAATGGTGCCGACGGCCGGCGGGCGCCAGCATCTTCCACGACGCTGACGTCGCAGCCTGACCGCCTTGCCGGCACCAAGAGGCAGACAGAGCCGCCCGAGAGCGGCCGGACAGCGGCGGCCGTCAAGGGCCGGTGGAAGCAGCTGGCCAACGAGCACGCGGCGCGGAAGAAGAAGTCGGCCGCGGCAGCAGCCAAGCGAGCCTCGTCTGGCTATGCCTCGTGGCTGCCGCGTTTCAGGCCGCCACGTTTCGCCAAGTCCGAGCCGATCGACTGTGCAGCGAGCGATAGCGGAGCGATGACGACGGCGGACGTGCACGAGAAGCCCCAGCCCGACGGCGGCCGTGCGTTGATCGACGTCGACTCGATGATCGTCGACACGGTAGTCGTGAACACGGGTCTTCCCACCGACGGCATGGACGAGACGGACGACGAGCGATACGAGTACACCGACGAGGCCGACGAGGCCAACGAGGCCGACGAGGCCGACGCGGCTAGCAGCTGTGTTAGTGAGGGGGAATACGACGCCGATAGCTGTGATGACGTGCTCAGCTGCGACATGTTCCCCACACCGCGTCCGGCCAAGGGGCCGCGACTGGGCTCCCTGGCCGCCAACCTGGCGACGCTCAACGGGGGTGGCAGCGAGCTGACCGCGTCGGCCAGGGATGGCAACGGCCAGCAAGAGGAGGGAGAGGAAGAGGAGGAAGACGAGCTGGACGACTACGAGGACGAGGACGCGGACGAGGACGGACGGATCGGGCCCTGGTCCGACCTGTTGGAGGAAGAGCCGGACAGCGACACCGAGAGCGAGTGGGAGGTCGACGAAGACGAGCTGAGCGGCTATGAATCCGAGGTTGGCGCCATTGCCGGCTTCGCCAGCTGGACACACGACGAGAAGAAGCTGCACCGGCTGATGTCGCTGCGTGGATTCCACCCGCTGATGCCGGCTATCTGGTCGCGTGACTTTCTCGGCGTCCCCATGTACCCATCACTCTTTGCGCCGCCTGACCGACCGGACAAGCCGACGCTCATCAGCAACAAGAGCAGCCAATTTCGGGGTGAGTGTGTCTCGGATGTGTTGGGGTTCGCGTTTTTTTTTTCTTTTTTTTCTTTTTTCTGTCGCGTTGGTGCTGACTAATCCGTCCTTAGCAACGAAAGCGCTGCGCAGCCTATTTGACCTGCAGGTGCGCGTGAGCGGGCTGCGTCAGGCGGGCAACACGCGGCGCATCGACATCATCATCGAGAAGGAGCTGCAGCGGTACATTGCATGGGCGGCCGAGGACGCGGGGCTGGACCGGTGCGCGCCGTTTGCGGCGATGCCCAACATCACGGCCAAGCGATTCTCCAAGGCGAGCAGCAGTAGCAGTAGCAGCAGCAGCAGCACGCGAAAGAGCGGGCGACCGGGCTCGCCGCAGTCGCAGAGAGCCAGCACGCGCAAGTGGACGCTGGCCCGGCGGATCCAGGACTACTTCCGGGCGTGGGCGACGCAATACCGCGAGTACTATGCGAGCCTGCCGCCGTTTGCCGAAGCCGACGCTGGCGACGACGCGGTCAAGGAAGAGGACGACGACGTCGGGACCAGCCGCTGCCTCCACCTCCGACGGCTGCGACCACCGCGCATGCTCTACGGCTTTGTCATAGTGCAACACGTCGTGATGCTGCTCGCGGTGGACGCGGCCAGACCGCGAGCCCGTCCACGCTGCTTTGCTGACTTCAACATGTCGCTCGGCGGCCATTGGCTCGATGCCAGCCTCAGCGTCGCCATCCCCGTGCACCTGGCCCGCGCGGCTCAGCTGCGGGCTGCTCGCGGCCTGGCGCTGCCGGTGCGGCTGGACTTGGACGAGGACGAGGACATGTGAAGGCGAGTGGAGATTCGTTGGCGAGACGGGTTGCGAAATGTAGACACGGGACAATATGGATCCACGGCAGAGCAGATCTGCTTACGACATGAGACACGACCAAGACTGGAATGAGTAGTTATGAGATACGGCTATGCACAATGGATGTTTCAAGTTTACACGGCCAATCATCAAGGCTACCACCGACGCTGCCAGGCTGGATAATGGCGGAAGCCCTACTCGGCCTTTGCAGCCGGCTCGTCGGGGATGGTGATGGGCTTCGGCATGGGGACGTAGTCGTAGACGCCGCCGACGCTGGTCAGCCAGGTGTCCTGGGGGTGTTGGTTGCCCTTGGCGGTCCAGAGAAAGTTGTGGGGAAAGCCCTTGTCGAACGGCACGGCAGCCTCGATCTCGGCAATGTCGTCGTCGCTGAGGCGCAGCCGGAGGGCCTCGATATTGCCGCGCAGGTGGTTGACCGTGCGGCCACCCACGATCGGGAACACGTACGGGCTCTTGTGCAGGACATAGGCCAGGGCAACGCTGGTCAAGAGGCTATCGTGACGTGTGGCCACGGTCTCGAGAACGCGGCTGATGGCCACCTGCTCGGGCGATGCCGGCGAGGCGCGGCCCTGCTGAGCCTGACGCTGCTCCTCCGTCTTGAAGGCGCCACCGCCGAGAGCACCCCAGGGAGCCAGGGCCATGCCCTCGTCGCGGGCCATGGGCAGGATCTCGCGCTCAAAGTCGCGCGAGGCCGCCGACCAGCGGCCCTGGTACACGCTGAACGGGCGCAGACCGTGGTTGCGCGCGTACTCGTTGGCCTTGCTGACCACCCAGGCCGGCGTGTCCGAGATGCCGAGGTAGAGCACCTTGCCGGATGCGACCAGCTGGTTGAGCGACTGCATCAGCTCAGGGATGCTCGTCGAGTAGTCCCACCAGTGGACGTAAAGCTGCTTAGTCAGCAAAACAAACCACAAGGTCTCGCCAGTCCACAACACACGACACCCACCAGATCGAGGTAGTCCGTCTGCAGCTTCCGCAGGCTCGCGTTGACCGACACGTGCAGGCTCTTGGTGCTGTTGCCCGCGTAGTTGGCCGTGATCTCGTCGGTGCGGCCTGGCCGGAAGCAGGCCGTGTACTTGGTCGCCAGCACTGCCGAATCTGGTCAGCCTTGTTTTGGTCGGTGGCCGTCCATCGGCTGCGCTTACCCAGCTGGTCCCGGTTTCCACGCTTCTTCATCCACTCTCCAATCCACTTTTCCGACTCCTCTGCCTGCTGTCAGTGGCTGTCTCGGGACGAGAACGGATGCAACAGGGGGCTGCAGACAGACCGTTCTGGTAGTTGTTGGCCGTGTCGATAAAGTTTCCGCCCTGCAAGCGAGTCAGCGAGGACCCGGACTCGGACCCGGACCCGGACCCGAACGGCCGGTGGCTGCCAGACATACGCTCTCGTAGAAAAAGTCGAGAATCTCCTCGGTGTTCTTCTGGTCGCAGGCGCCCATGTAGTCCTTCCAGGCATCGCCAAAGTTCATGGCGCCGAGACACAGCGGACTGACACGCACCGACGCCGTGGGCGACAGCAGCCGGTAGCGGCCCAGCGGCGTCTTGGCCGTGTTGTTCACGACAAAAGGCAGAGACATGGTGAGATGGGATGGTGGGATGTAGCTGAGCAGGCGAATGCAGGTAGACCTCTCATATCCTAGAGGACACACGCCATATTTATAGCGTCCCGGTGAAAAGACAGACGTAATGCGCAGACGGGCAGCTACCCGGTAGCTCTTCCCCTGATGCCATCATACTTCCCATTAAGTCCGATTGCCGACACGTCGTAGTTAGCCTTTTAACCCCGGCGTCGTGCATGATTGAGGGCCCAGGCAGCCGTGATGGCGCCAACATGTGGAAAATAGCACGGAATCTTTGTTGCAGAATGGTGCCGAAACAGCCGCTGACCCATCCGTTGGGACAACCAACCTTCCAGCCTACTTTTTTTTCCATTTCCATCGTGACCGGTGCACAGTTACAACATAAATCGAACAGAATCGAACAGATCCGCCACATGTCCCACGTCATCTCAACCTCTCCCGTTCTTCCCCCTTCCCCCTCAACATGTCCATACACCAATGCGGCCGTCCCGGCGGCCTTCGACCAGATAGCCGTCGCGTATCCGGGTGTGCTCGACAATGGCTGGGCTGCGGCCTTCCTCGGCCGCCGTGACGCCGGCGCCGCAGTCCCACTGCCGGGCCTCGATCTTGTCGTACACCTTGGCGACGTCTTCGCCGGCGGCACTGACGATGCGTCGGGCGTCAAAGGACATGCTGGTGACCGGGTTGTCGTAGGCGTAGGCGTCGTAGATTGCTCCAGTTCGGAGGTCCCATATCTGACAAGTTAGATGTACCCAAACACAAACACACACACACACACTCACCCGTATACTCCGATCGACACTCCCCGTCACCAGATGCACATCGTCAAACTGCAGACACGTCACCGGTCCTGTGTGGCCGACCAGGCTGCGATGCACCTGACCGCTGCGCAGATCCCACAGCCGCACCATTCCGTCGGCCGTGCCGCAGGCCAGCGCAGCGTCAAACACCTGCAGCGCGCCCACAAAGTCGGCGCGCTCAGTCAGCGACCGCGATGCCTGGCGCCACGTGCCCTCGCCCGTGTGCAGGCTGGCCGATGCCTGGGCCGCCGCCCACATCACGTCCAGCGTCTGCACGCACCGCCCCTTTTCCAGGTCCCACTGCCGCAGCGTCTTGTCGGCCGATCCCGACACCAGCACGTCGCCCCGGAAGTGCAGCGCCGTCACCTCGCCCACGTGCGACTGCAGCGTGAAGAGCGGGCACTCCGCCATGCTGTCAGCCGGCGGCTCCACCGGCTCGTCCTCCGGGTTCTCAAACGCCATCCCACTGTCGTCGTCGTCGTCGCCGTCGTCGTCGTCTGCCCCGTCGTGCACTCCGCCATGTTTGTTTCGTCCGCCACCACCGCCCCTGCCAAACGGTCCACCATGGCGATATAGGCTGCCATGGGGATCGTAGCGCGCCCGGCTCAGATCCCACAGCCGGATCGTCGCGTCTGCCGATCCTGTCGCCAGGATGTTGTCCTCTACCTGCAGCGTCCGCACCGACGCCGTATGGCCTTCTAGCAGCCCGATGCACCGGCCCGCGTTCAGGTCCCACACCCGCAGCGTGTCGTCCATCCCGGCCGACACCAGCGTGCCAAATGGCGCGTCAAAGTCTAGCGCGTTGATCGCATCCTGGTGTGCCCGCATCTCCCGCACCGCTGCCCCCGGCTGGAAGTGTTCCGGCACCACTGCTAGTGATCGGCTGCGCTGGCTCTTGCCTCGCTTGTGCCCCATTCGTGACGGCGTGCTTCCGGCTGATGACAGCTTGCCGTAGATCGACTGCGTCATGAATCCACTCACGCCGCCGCTGCTGCTGCCATTCGCCCCGTCGTCGTTGTCCAAGGCTAGGTCCACGTCCGATTTGGTCGGCGTGTGCAGCGCCTCCCTCTCTGCCTCGTCTGCCACCTCCTGCGCAATGTCGATCCGGTTTTCGACTTCCATCAGGTCGTGCTCCAGCGTCGACTCGTCCTGCTCCAGGCCCGCCAGCCGGTCCAGCAGGATCTGCCGCATCCCCGCCAGATTGCCCATCTTGATGTCGATCTCGCGCATCTCGCTCGTCGCCATGTTCTTGCGCACACTCAACATCTCAAACTCGTGCAGCATCGTCGCCTTCTGCTTGCGCATCCGGTGCAGCGAGTGCGCGCTGTCGTTGTCCGGTGTGCCTGGCTTGTCGTCCAGCAGCTTGCGCCCCCGCGAGATCCGTCGGTGATGTCGGTGCCCGTGGCCGTGGCCGTTCGCGCTGCCGTTCAGCTGCTTCTTGCCCTCTTCCGTCATCTCCGGAAAGGTCGCCTGGAAGCCTTGGAAGAGCGAATACGTGTTGTCGTGTTCCGGTATGTTCTGCAGCATCTCCTCCGGCACATACGACATGGCCCGGTACCGGAGTTCGTTGGCCAGCCGTGTCCGCACCATTTCCGTCGTCGGCGCCGTGCGCGCCAGCGTCATCACTCCGCGCTGCACGGCCGGCCGCCGCAGCTGCTTCTGCACCTCGCCCATCGCGTTTTGGTAGTGTGGGCTCGCTGTCGGGTCGCTCAGCGGGCCAATCAGGTGTGTGGCTGTGGTCGTCACTTTGCGCCCAAACGCCTCGATCCCTGCAGTCTGCACCTGTTAGAGGGGCTGCTGCCGTCCCATTTTTCTTTCATGGAGGGGCTGCTCACCGAAATTATGGACGCGTCCTCGTCCGGATCGAGGTCGTCATGGAACGCATTATAGCCGTCTGCGTTGGCCATGCGATCTGTCGCGTGCACAAATACACTCGTGCGCCTGCACCGGCTCTTTGCCTACGGCCGTGTGCCGCCCTGCTGCCTTCAGCGGCTGGGTCAATGCGGAGTCCCGGGGAGCACCACGCTGTCAGGATGCGAATCCGCCGAGTGACAGGCCAGCGAGAGCCGTTCGGCAGACAGGAACGAGCCGGAGAAAAGCGGGTGTCCAATTCCGTCGAGCCGGAACACTGGAAAAACGTGCCGGAACCGAGGCAAAAAAAGCCTGCGATCGAGGCCGGATGTCCGAAACCGCTTCTTTCTGCTGACAATTCCGATGGATGCGCTGCGCCGGCAAATCTGGCTGGGGCTGCTGAGTTCTCGTGTTGCAGCGGAGCGAGACCAACCCTTCGGACGGATGCAGGAAGAACGAGTAGCAGCAGCGAGCATTATTTTTGGGATTCCACGGCCAAGACGTGCTATGTGCCATTATGCGTTTAGTGTTTTAGGGTGCTTTCCCCAACCGGACAAGCCACACACGGCCGAAGCTGCCGCCACAGCCCTCATTGGCTCATTGCGTAGGGCAAACGAAATACGTCACCTGTTAGTGGAGGATTAGGGGACTTTTTTCCATTGGCTCACCGAAACAGTATCTTACGTAGCACTCTGCAGCGACTCAGCTGCCTGTTGGCCAATGAGCTTCGTCCGGCGCCGGAAGCCGATTTTTAAGGCGCCGAGCCGCGTTTTGACCTACTTCAGGCCTCATTCTTGTCGCGAACTTCCGACACCCGCCACACGCCGGCTCTCCTTCTTCCGACATCCTGGCTGATGTCTAGACTGCCACCATGGATTCTGCCATTGACATGTTGGACTCTTCGCTCGCCCTGGACCTGTCTCGGATCCGGGTTCAGCTGATGTGCGTGATCCTTGTCCATTCCTTCTCTCTCCCTGCTTTTCGCCCTGCTGACCGGTCTCGCGTCTGTCCAGCCGGCTAGAGGATTCCATCACCTTCCACCTTATCGAGCGGGCGCAGTTTCCCCTCAACAAGAGCATCTACGAGCCCGGTGCTGTGCCCATCCGGGATTCGTTGCTGCCGTGGCCGTGGACCCGACCGCTCTTCGGCAAGACGTACTCGTTCATGGACTGGTATCTGCGCCAGCAGGAGCGTCTGCAGTCGCGCATCCGGCGCTTCGAGTCGCCCGACGAGAACGCCTTCTTTCCCGACGCTGTCGTCGGCCGTCCAATCCTGCGCCCGCTCGACTACCCGGCCATCCTGCACCCAAACGACGTCGTGGTCAACGACGAGATCAAGGCGTACTACGTCCACAAGCTGCTGCCGGCCGTCTGTCCCGATCTCGGCCACGGCGACCGCGGCGAGGTCCAGGAGAACTACGGCTCGTCTGCCACCTGCGACATTGCCGTCCTGCAGGCCCTCTCGCGTCGCATCCATTTTGGCAAGTTTGTCGCCGAGTCCAAGTTTCGTGCCGAGACCGACCGCTTCACCCGCCTCATCCGTGCCAGCGATCGCGACGGCATCGGCGAGGCCATCGTCAACAAGCGCGTCGAGCAGCTCGTCCTGCAGCGCATGCGCAACAAGGTCGAGACCTTTGGCCAGGACATTGCAGCCGACGGCGCCACCGGCGCCCCCAACAAGATCAACGTCGACGCCGTCGTCGCCCTCTACGAGGATTTTGTCATTCCCCTCACCAAGGTCGTCGAGGTCGAGTACCTCATGCAGCGCCTCGACGACGTCCACATTCCCTGGTACAAGAACCTGCCCCGGCCCATCGCCATCGACCCCAGCCAGGCCGCCCTGCTCTGCGGCATGGGTCTTGGCGGCACTATCGTCGTCGTCGCTGCTGCCGCACTGCGCTGGCTGCCTCTGCGGAGATGAGGGAGTGGTAGGGCGATCCTGGCCGATTTACAGATTGAAGAGCATACTAGCCGAGCGACAGCGAGATTGATGTTTGAACAAAAGTGCATATCATGACCAAGTCTATGTACTGCTACCTGTAGGCCAAGCCCGTCACTGCGGCGTCTGCAAATACTCACCCATAGCCTTGATGGCACCTGCGAGCTTGTCGGCTTCGATTAGGATCAGCAGTCCGTGTGCCTGGACGCCCATATCCTGGAAGGCCCGCTTGCTGTCAGCCACGGCCTCGTCGGCCTTGGTGAAGGCGTACGTGCCGTAAGCCAGCGCGTGTCGCTGCAGCACCTCGTCCTCGGGGTGGAAGTGGAAGATGGGCGATGCCCCGTCGGCGCCGGCGCCGCTGCTGCGTGCTTTCTTGCGCCTGCCGCCGCCCCGGCTGCTGCCGTCCTCCTCGTCTGAGTCGACCACCACGGCCAGCGACGACTGCACTTCCTGGTACGTCTTGGACAGCACGAGGTAGTGCGTAAACCCGTACGGCTCGCCGTCCTCGACTGCCGCCTCGATCTCATCTGCCAGCATCGTAAACATGGGCGGCGCCACCTCGGCCGGCATGTTGACGAGTCGCTCCGATAGGACGAGGCCGACGTGTGGCGCTGTCGCGTCCGATGACGCCGTCTGCTGCGCCAACAACCCCGGCAACAGGCTGCCCAGCGCTGGCGGACCCGACACCTGGGCTGCTGCCTTCTCGGCCAGGTACCGCGTCAGCGTCGCCATGGCCGGCTTTCCGCTCAGCTCGCGCATGCTCAGCGCCGTCACCAGCGCGTACGCGTCGTTGGCCTTGCCATCCACCTTGACCGTCGACCCGATCGTCGGCTGCGCCAGGATCAAGTCCGCCAGTCCCGACACGTCAAACAACGGAGCGTCCACGTCCAGCAGCTGCCGCAGTAGCGTCTTGGTGCCGTGGAAGTCGACGTCTGCGTCAAAGTTGAACCACTCAAACTCCACGTTGACAATGTCAAAGTTCTGCAAGCTCGTGTTAGCCAACGGACGGTCCGCCCACATCGCTTTCACATGTCGCTTTCCCGTCGGCTCACCTCTTCGTCGTCCGAGTCTTCGTCCATCCGGTCGGCATCCTTGGACGCCGCCTGCTTCCCGTCAGCCTCTCTTGCCCGCTTCTTTCCCATGGCGATGTGTTGGAGCTAAGCTGCCTGCTTGTTGGAGAATTGTCGTTCTCTCTGGAACAAGCATCTCAACTTACGAAAATATCAAAAAATTCCATCTGATACTATGCATGTGATTGGTTAAAGCAGACATGGCTGGCCCGCTTTAGTTAGATATGTACGTACACAGAAAGTGCTAGTCTTATCTACCCAGATCAATGCGCTAGGCAATAACGGGGGCCCTTGTGTTTTCCTCACTGGTGCAGTGGGAAGCTGGGTGAGACAGGTTATGAGCCGGGTTGACGCCGCCAAAGAGACACACTCAGCTCCTGTCAAGCGAGCGCAGGAGTTCGAGCCCAGCCGGACTTCTGATCGAAAGAAGTTGCGCCCGTGAGTTTAGTCGAGCCTAGATGTCGGTGGTGTCAGATTGGTACAGCCTTGTAGGTCACATAAACCCAGAGTATTACGCTAGGTAATAATGGGGCCCTTGTTTTTTAAGATCTATGGAGTAGCTTATATAATCACTTACTCCGAGTTTAGACCGCTTAGTCAGCTTTGCTTGACAGTTGTGTAACTATTGCCGAGTCTTCACTCCGTACGGAGTACTCCACTCTGGAACTCGTAATGTACCTTGCTCCTTTGGTAGCCTACCAATGAAAACGATCGGCAATGCTAATAGAACACATACGCGGCATCTTATCTATGGAGTCGCCAATACATGCTACGTACTCCGTACAAATACGCTTTCTTGATTTGGAATGCTCCATTGTGTTCCCGAGACAGTCTTCGTATTGATCCTTTAAGAATCCTTCTACTGTGTAGTGTGTCTCCTTCCTTTTCTTTTGTTTGTTCTGGTGAGACTGCTAATGCAGGGCAGACCGTCGCTCGACGTGAAATGGCACGGCAGCGTATCTCGTAACCAGCTGCTCTCCCTGGCCTTAGCCCATCGGAGGATAAGTTGGACCCCGGCTTTTAGAGTTCCACGTCCAACTCCGGAATCAAGATATCCTGCCCCAGGCTAAGCTAGGCCAAGCCAGGCTACTCGTATGCATGTGTGTGCATCCTGCCAGCGATGCTAGCTGCGTATGCAACGCTAGACCTTGACGTGGTCGGTACGGCCGGTGCCGTGCGTGCACAGCCTAGAGCCATGTCAAGGAGGAATACGGCCAGCGCCGGTCGCCGACATAAGGCTTGACAGATGGGTGCATGGGTGCAAGCAGTGAAAGATAGTGTGTTCTATTAGCTTCCGCGTGGGTATCTGCTATGACAAGCCGCATTGATTTTGTGTTGTGATTGAATTAAAAAAGTCTTGGGGAATCTAAGCTCCGTCTGGAGAATATGTACACGCTGCTGCAGCCGGATCCCCGGCTCAGTGCTTTGCGAGCTTCGACCAGGACCGTATCCGGGGACCGAAAAAGTAAAGGACGTAGACCAGGGCGACCAGGCCGAAGGAGACGAAGCCGAGCGTGGCCATGGCCCACTTGGCGCTCATGTTGTCGAACATGACAATGCCGATATGAGCAAAGGCAGCGGCAAGGCCGAAGGAGGGGATCAGGAAGGCAGCAATGGCCGAAGCAGCTACGTTGGTGTAGACGTCGGTGATGTAGTTGAGCATGGCGAGGTAGAGCAGGGGGTCGCAGAAGCCGAGCACGCCACCGGCGACGACGGGCGACCAGAAGGAGGTGTTGCCACTGCAGGTGAAGGCGAACCAGAGCAGCGAGACGGGGAAGAGCCAGACACAGACGAGCGAGGTGAGGAAACGAGCTTCGGGGCGCGGCGTGCCGCCGTTGCTCTGGCGATCGCGGGTGAAGAAATAGGTCTGGACGGGGACGAAGAGGAACATGACGGTGACACCGACGATAAAGTTGAGGTAGGTCAGATCAGCGCCGATGTAGGAGAGACCGTTGTTGACGACGAAGACGTCAAAGACGCCGTCGAGGTAGAGGAAGAGCAGGCCATAGGCAAAGCCGTTGTAGATGGCCAGGAAGATGACAATCGGCTCGGTGCACATGATGCGGAGGGCCATGGTAGTGACGAAGCGCATCTCGCGCACGACGTCAATGCGCTCCTCGGAGATGGCGATCTCCTCGCTGTCGTTGACCTGGTGCTTGCGCACGGCATCGCGGATGACAATGCGTGGCAGAGTCTCAGGCACGAAGCACATGCCGAGGGAAAAGGCGCCGCCGATGATGACACTGGGGATGTTAGCATGATGGACGGATGAAGACGTCGGAAAAACGAAAAGCACAAAGCAAAACCTACTTGATCCAGAAAATCCAGTTCAGACCCATGTGCGGATTGTCTGCAATCCACTCGCCGATGGGCGAGCCAAGACTGGGGCCACAATTGGCGGCGAAGACGAAGAGAGCCATGGGCTGGCCGGCATTGTCAGCATCGCCGTAGAGGTCGGCAATAGTGCCGGCGACGTTGGACAGGGCGGTGCTGCCGGCGGCACCACACAGGAACTGGAAGATGATGAGCATGGCCATGTTGCGGGCCAGGGCAGTGCCGATGTTCAGAATGGCGAAGAGCAAAATGGAGATGACGTAAACCCATTTGCGGCCACCGATATCCCTGTGGGGGTTAGCTGTGCGGTTCGCGCGTCCGGGGATTTCTGCGCCTCGCCGGCATCATCGCTAGACATACGACAGGGGGCCGAGAAAGGCCGGTCCGATGGCATTGCCCAGGATGAACATGCTCTGGCCGAGAGTGACGATCTGGGTGGACTTGTTGAACTTTTCCTGGACGAGGAACTCGGCGCTGACGTAGCTGGTCGACGTGATGGTGACAAAGACCTGCAGGGCACAGTAGATGGTGATGATGGTCCACTTCTTCAGGCCGCTCCAGTGGACTGGATGCGCTGCATCGGCCGTCCTGACGCGCTGCAGCGTGTTGAGCGTGGCATCGGTGTCCATTGGTGTGGCCGGGCTGTCGAACGAGCCGGCCTTTTCCTTGTCGTCAAACATGCCTTTCGGCTCGGTCGACGGGACGGACATGGTAAGGCGAGAAGAACGAGACGGAGACGGGGGTAAAAAACTCTAGACGGAAGGACAAAGAGTCGAGGACAGACCGCGAAGAAAGGGAGAACGGCTGGGCAAAAGAGGGAGAGAAAGCGCAAAGACGGCCCACCGCATTGATATATACAAAGTCTCTGCGTCTCTGCGTCTCGCCAGGTCGCATCGCATCCTTTCCGTCAGCTGAGCCGGAGGGGCGTCCCCCCGCTGCGATTAGAAAAATTCACGCATGGCCAACCATTACGAATGTGTTTTGTTGTCGGATGCGACCCACGTCGGCGTGATTGGCGCGCTGCTATCAGCAGCCATGCCGACTGCTCCGAGTGGGGACATGTATCAGTGTGTAATCCTGGTGGTGTAAAAGACCGGGGCGGCGGCAGATAAGCTTTGTGTCAGGATGAGCACAAAGGCAGCCCGTCCTGCCGCGGTGCAGCCGCCAAAACCGCTTTTTCCATCCGTGAGGGTCCACGATGGCAATATTACGTGTACGGAGACTCCGTAGTTTGCCCATTCTGTCAAATAAAGAGCCTTCCACGCTAGTCCACGCTAGGCCGCGATAGGAAGGTGTCGTTTCAGCCGTCTTTCCATGTCCAATGTGCCTTACGTATTCTGGATGACCTTCTGCAGATGGAAGTGTGGCCGAAGTCTGCTGCTGTCGACTAGGATGAAAGCAGAACTACAATGTACGATACATAGTGGACAAGCTCGCCGGCAGCCTGCAGCGTGCATGCGACATGCCACGCAAACGGTCAGCACGCGAGACAGCGTTCCGCACAGACGCTCAACGGGCGAAAAGGCGTTGACGACCATCTCCATGTCTCTTGTGCAGGGCAGTGCCGAGCACAAGGCGGCCATCCGCGCCAAGGTGTGGGCAACGCTGCGCGCCGTGGCCCGGCCGGACTCACGCTTCCACTACGACTTCTCGCGCTTCATCGCTGATTTTGCAGGCGCCGATGTGGCCTGTGATCGCCTGCTGGCCCTGGACTGTTTCCAGCACAGCCGCACCGTCTTCATCGCGCCCGACAACTGTCTGGGTCACCTGCGCGAGCGCGCCCTGCAGGCCGGCCTCTGCGTGCTCGTCACGACGTATGGCATTTGCCGCGGCTTCTGGCTGCTCGACCCGGCCACCATCGCGCCCGCGCTGTTTCGCTATGCCGCCACGCTCGACGGCATGGAGCACGTTGGCCGCCCGGTGTCCCTGCAGGATCTCGTCGACCTGCAGCCTGCCATCGGTCCCATCGGGCTCATGGTCACCGGCACTGGCGCCATCAATACCCGCGGCGTCCGCTTCGGCAAGGGCCATGGCTTCTTCGACCTCGAGTGGGCTATGCTCTTTGCTCGTGGACTTGTCCGTCCCCACACCGTCGTCGCTGCCGTTGTCCACGACTGTCAGCTGCTCGACGATGACCTCCGCCCTGAGCCGTTCGACACCGTCTGCGACCTCGTCATCACCCCTACCCGCGTCCTTCACGTCGGTCCCGTTCAGAAACCCACCTGCGGCATCCTTTGGGACCGCCTTCAGCCCAACATGCTCGCTGACATTCCTCCTCTCCAGGAGCTGCAGGCTTTGGAGGCTCAAGTCGTGTCTGCTTAGTAAGCAGGTCACGGGAGCATACAGGACTACACCACTATAGAGTTCGTACAGACAATAGCGGAATAAACACACCCGGATGCAACGCGTGCTTCAGTCGCATTTGTCAGCCACCAATAGCGCTCTTGGCGTAACCCAATTGGGCCAGAGTTCTGTCACACGCTCAGAGACAAAACCTTCTCGACCCTCGAGTTCAATAGTAACAATGTCTGCCAACAGACCAGTCCTGATTGCCGGCGGCGGCCTTGCATCGCTGCTGCTGGCCCAGTCCCTCCGGCTGTCGGGTATCCCGTTCAAGATCTTTGAGCGAGATGCATCCTTTGTGTTTCGCGCCCAGGGATACCGCTTGCGGCTGTCGACGGAGGGTCTCGACGCCATCGAATCCGTGCTCGACCCCCCCGCATACCAGCGGTTCTGGGACAAGTGCGGCAAGACGGGCGGCAGCGTCTTCTCGGTCCTGGACGCGGTCACCGGCGAGCCAGGGCCGCAGCCCGAGATGGGCGCCTCAGCACAGCAGCTGGCCTCACGCGATGGCCGCGTCATTGGCATTGCGCGTGGTGACATGCGCGCCCTCTTTGCCGACCGCTGTACCGAACACATCGAGTGGTCCCGACAGGTGGTCGGCTACGAGCTGAGCGTCGACGGCGTGCGCGCCACCTTTGCCGACGGCAGCTCCTCTGTCGAGGGCTGTCTGCTGGTTGGCGGAGACGGCCTCTCGTCACGCATTGCTCGCCAGCTGTCAGGTGGCCGCATCCAGGTCTACGACACCGGTGCCCGCGGCATTCACGGCCAGGCGTCCAGCACCGCCTTCCAGGGCCTTGGCGAGGGCGTCTTCTTGCTGGCCGACAACAGCCGTCGAGGTCAGCGTGTGTTTACCATCACCAACGTCCGCTCTGGCGATCGTGACGATCCAAGCGTGCAGCTCGGCTGGACGCTCGGCGCTCAGCCTGGCGTCATCGCGGCCCCCAATGATGACGACAGCATCGTCGGCAAGCCGGCCGCCGACATTGCCCACGCGCTCACCCGCGATTGGCATCCCCGCTTCCGGCCGCTGTTTGCGCAGATGAACGAGGCTGACGCAGCATTTTGGAAGATCACGTGCTCCCCTCCCACAGGCGTACCCCACTGGGCCAACGAGCCGCGCGTAACCGTCATCGGTGACGCTGCCCATTCCATGACGCCGGCTGGCGGCAACGGTGCCAACACGGCCGTCCGCGACTCTGCTCTGCTCGGCCGGCTGCTGCGTGAGGCCGGTGGCTACCAGCCCGGCCTCACGGCCGCCTACGAGAAGGAGATGCGGGTCTATGCCGGCGAGGCCGTGCGGGCAAGCTATGCCATGGCTGTCAGCCAGTTTGGCGTGAACATCGATGTCGATACCTGTCCCACAGTTGCTTGACCCAATCCACAACGGGTGGCAGACGCTGGTGTAGTGGAAATCCCTAGTATGATTTATGTCTAACGCTATCGGTCTCATGCTGTCTAATGCCTTTTGCCCTTGTCCAATTCCCAGTATTCCATCCGATGTCAATTTACACCGTCTCAAAGCCCCACTGTTTGCACCAGTTCTGCATCAACTCTGGCGTCACGGCCGTGCTGCTCGCCATCGTCGGGCTGCTCGCCGTCGTGTGCTTGACCTCAAATGGCGGCATTCCCCGGTTCGCCGCAGCATCGGCCGCCATCGCGCGGTACGAGTCCAGCAGCTTGATGCCCGGGTTGCGCTCAATGTCCTTGGCATCGTCTGTCTGGCTCTGTTCCAGCCGTGCGATCCACTCGCTGAACGGCACCTCCTCGGCGATCCGCTCGACGCCGTAGTACGCCCGGATGGCCGGCGCAATCGTCGTCCACGTCGTCTCGGACGGGTTCACGCCGTGATAGTAACCGCTGATGTGCTTTGGGTCGACTGGTTGCGTGATGCCGTCCACCTCGAGCACCAGCCGGGCGATGCGCTCGGCCGGCGTCCAGTCGATCCGCTTCATCGTCGCCAGGTCCGCCGGCAGCGCCTTGAGGTACAGGCTCGACGCCACGATCGATGGGAACCACTCGTGCCGGTTCCACGCGCCAGATGTCGCCTCGGGACCGGCAATCTGGCCCACGCGCACCACCGCCAGCGGGAAGTCGCCCGTCCTGTGCGCGTCGTCCATCACCAGGCTGCCCACCAGCTTGCTCGACCCGTACCCGCCGTTGGACAGGCGTAGGTCCTCGAGTCGCTCCTCCGGCACCGCACCCTTGCTCTGGTCCCAGTGCTCGGCCGAGGCGATCGACGAGATGAACGCCACCGCCACCCGCTTGGCCGACTGCGACGCAAAATCGGCAATGTTGCGCACGCCCTGGATGTGCGGCTCAAACGTCTCGACCGGGATGTTGAAGTTGACCGACCAGGCGTTGTGCACGAACCGGTCGGCCTCCTGCAGCAGCCCGCCAAACACGTCCGCCGGCAGCCCAAAGTCCGAACGAGACAGGTTCGCCTGGTAGAACTCCGCCTTGCCGTTGTAGCCCTCCAGAAGACCGCGCTCCTTGGCCGCCCGCGCCTGCTGGCTGAGCCCGCCGTCGGCCGCCCGGTTCAGACACACGATCCGCTTCACTGCCGCGCTCTTGGCCATAAAGTCCAGCAGGTACGATCCCAGCATGCCGGTCGAGCCGGTCAGCACGACCGTCTGGTTCTCGTCCAAAGCCTCCGGTCGCCCGGTCTTGGCCTGTACCAGATCCGTCGTGTACTTGTCCCACAGCTGCTGCATCGCTTCCAGATGGTGGGCCTCTTGGCTCTCGGCAGTCACGCCCTGGCCGCCCACAATCGTCGCTAGAATGTACTGCGCCAGCTTACGCGGCGTCGGGTAGTTGTAGATCACACGCGACGCCATCGTAGAGCTGTCTGTGGGGTGACCTGCCGACTCGAGTCCGGCTCGGAGCAGCTTCGCTGCCTCAATCGTCTGCAGAGAATCGACACCGGCAGTGTAGAACTGCACGTCGGGGTCAATCTTGCCAGCCTCTAGCTTCGTCTCGAACAGGTCCTGGATGGCCTGCACCAGGTTGTCCTCCGAGCTGACGTCGATGGGCGGCACTTCGCCGTGAGAAACCTGCCCGGCTGTCGCATACAGTTCGTCGATCTCCTTTTGGTAGAGTGTGATGGTGGCCTTTCGCTGCACCGTTCCCTTGGAAGCACGGGGGAAAGGCTTCGCGGGATCCGAGAGTATGATAAACTCACGCGAAATCCTTCCGTGCGCCACCGTCTCCTTGTTGGCTTTGACAATGTACGGCCACACATTGTCGATGAACCGCTTCCTCTCATCCGCATCTTGGGGAGCCCTCAAAGGCTCGAGAATGAGGCCGGCCTGGAACTTGTCGGACCCGATGACCAAGGCACCCTTAACGTCGGCATGCGCTGCGACGGTGTCCTCGATCGTGACCGGGTTCAGCTTCTCGCCTGTAGAGAAGACAATGATGTTGTCTGCACGCCCGTGGTAGGTCCAATGGTTAGGTAGCGTGGGGTGCGGCCGGTAGAGGTCCTTTGTCGAGTACTCGGTGAGGTCTGGAAAGGTGTAAAAGATGCCTTGATCGGTTGGGTGATGCTTGTCCTTGCGCACAACCACCAGCTCATACACCTCTTCTGTGTCGCTCGCCTTGCGCCAGTCACCGCCCATCATCTCAGTGTTGAAAATAAAGTACTGCCATAGCTCCGGGTTCGACTGGAAGAAGAGCGGGAAAAGCCCGGTCTCCGTTGCAGAGATGAGGTTGATTAGCACAACACCGTTCTGTGTCAGCTTGTTGCCGATTTCCCGTGAAATGTTCCCTGTATTGATTAGTAAGCATGGTCCACACAGATTTCGTGGCCGAACGTACCTCCAAAAGTCACGGCGAAGTTCAGCTTCTGCAGAGCGGCAAGCTGCTCGGGGTTGTGGCTCATGTCCTCCAGAATCGCCGGTGGCAGGCAAGCAGACTCGACATCCGAAGCAGCCAGGCACTCCTGTGCGAAGTCGGCAGACAGTGGCCGTTCGCTCGAGGCTAACGCAAACGGACTTTGCCAATAGATCCACATGGAACTAAGCATCAGACCGCCGGCGTGGAATAGTGGCACTAGCATCTCGTTAGCTGCAGCTTTGCCGAAGTCACATCCAGGGGGAGACCTACTAGGATTGAAGATTCTCTTGGACCTTCCAGTCAGCACGCGGATCACGGACTCTTCTCCCTGGAACTGCCCGACGTTGTGGTAGTTGTCCAATAGCGCCAAGAGGCCCTGGGCCACGACGATGGGCTTTGGCAGGCCGGTGCTGCCGCTAGTGTGCAGGACCACTGCCGGCTCCCATTGTGCCTGCTCGTACGTCTTGTTGAAGGGGAAGGCAGGTGACTCCTTGGCGTGGAAGCAGCTTGCTACCGAACCGATCGGGACAGGCACCATTTCTCTCTGCTCCCGCCAAGCCTGGGCCTTTTCTTCGTACTGGTCGGCGAAGGCGACAAATCGGCAGTCCGTTTCCTCAAACAGCTTCATGTGTGCCTCCTCTGAATTACGAGGTGACGTGAAGAGAGCCTTGTAGCCGGCTTTGATGCATGCGACAAAGACAACCAGGTAGCGCGCATCGTTGGGTCCGATGTAGGCTATGGTCGGGAACGTGTCCTTGGGAGCCGGCCCACAGGTCTCGATAATATGGTAGGCATAGCTGTTGATTGCGTTGGAAAATGCCTTGGCCGTGATGGTCTCCCAGCCGTCCTTGGCGTCCGACGAGCGCGGAATCTGAAATACCTCTGCCAGGGGATCGTTGCGGGCGAGATCGTCGACAACGTGGGGGATCAACCGCTTGCCGTAGGCAGGGCCTTCAACGGCAGCCAAACCGCAGTCCAGAGATCCCATATTTGCAAGGATGTTGATGGCGATGTGAAGTTGACTTGTGAAAAGTGTTGGTTCGTGTATAGCTGAGTTGTTTGCTGAGAATTGTTGAGACTGAAAGTTGTTTGAGAGTTGGTGAAGAGATGCAAAATTGGTGTTGGTAGATATCGGAGAAATACTGGAAATAAGACTGAAAGCGAAGCTGGAACCGAACCTGAGAGCGAAACTGGGAATGATGAGAGAAATCTCCCCAACTACTGCCTGCACAGTCGCTCTATTATATACAAAAGCTGTTGTGAAGTCTTCACCCTCCGAAGGCGAACATGCGGCTATAAATCAGTCGCTCTCCGAACAAGACGCGAATCGCGATGCTGTCTTTCAACTTGCAGTGGAGGGTCCGAGTATGCATCTTTTGGTCGTACCCACCCACACGCAGGATCCACTTTGGAACAGACGTCACGGCGAATCTAATGCATCGATTAGCGAAGCACACGTCTTCGACGACTGAACTAGTCAATCATTGCAGCGGTCGTCTGATATAGCGCGGGCTCTCAGGCAACTGTGTTTTTAATGGAGAACAAGACGCGTAGCCTTTCCTAAGGGACAGCAGAGTTCGAGCGAAAATTGTCGCTCTGTCGCTCTGAGAACAAGGATTGGAAGAGCGCCTAATCTGGCCAAAAAAAACGTTCTCTGGACGCCTGCTGTCTTTGACGATGAGAACCTAACGAAACACGGCTTATTTCCATGCTTCAGTTCATGTACAGTGACGTATCCCTTACGGAGTACGCAATGGCAGACCCGCCCAAACCGGCTTTACTGGCCTCTCGATTGGTGGCAGTTAAGTCTGGGCCCATAAAAGGTACCCGAGCCTTCTGGAAGAACCGCGCCGTCCTTCCCTAACAAACGCGACTGAAATAGAATCATCCGAGCTGTGCCGAGCGAGCGACGCAAGCTACTATGTATGTACATATTATGTCCATCGGGCACTGATAATATCTCTGGGCATCTAGCTGGAGGCCGGGTCTAGAGGACGATCGATTTCGGGTCGCTGTCCTATTTGTCCAGGGGCTCAAGACCCCTGCCAACGAGAGCTGCGGACATGTATAATCGAGAGGCATTTTTGGACCTGGACAGGCTGCTCGACCGTTCGTTGGTCCCCAGTCCCTCGCGACTCCGTTCGGATGCTCGCATCCCGAGAGCGTATGCGGCAGAATCAAGATGTCGCAGGCCACCAGGCATCCACTTTCGACCTAAAAAAGACGTTGTCTCTTTTGAAGTGGTATTCTGTGAAGCAAGGGGGACACTGAACTCGCAAGCTAAAGCGATCGTGGAAAAGCAAACTGCAGAAGAGCAGTAAAAGTCAGACAAGGGTCACCCGATGATCGTACAATACATCCGTCACTACATCTCCCTCGTACGCTCACCGGGCGTTGCCATTCCTGTCATCGCTGCTCGGTTGAAATGTGAGCAGGCACGGCTGTTGCCTTCTGTGATGCGATTATTAAGCCAGCGCTCTGTTCGTCGTTTTGACTTTCACACCGAATTTTGTTGGGCCACTATTCTCGGGACGCAGATGGTAGCGAAGTCCACTGTGGAGCCGGGGAGTTTTGCCAGATAGTAAGAATCTAAGTACTTAGTAAGGTTCTGGCATGCAAGGTTAAGATCGACGGACCTGACGGGGCAAGGACAGACAATAATACGAGTTTACAATAGGGGCTGGTATCTCGCTATGTAAGATACGTAGGAGAGGGATCAGAGTTATTACACCTACTACGGAGTATGTGAGTCCGTCGGCAGAGTGGAACTAGACTACGGAGTACGGAGTACGGAGTACGATAGTAGGATACCACTGCAAAACCCCTTCCAACCCACTCTGTCCCACATCCAACCCGCTATACGGAGCCGTTGTGCGTCGTATGCACCGGAAATACGACGTTCGGAGGCTCCGGATTTCTCCAGCATCGCTGGTCGAGCACGTACGGAGTATTTACGACTCGGAACCTCCGAACGATGCATGTACATACGACGTAGTAAGGCCACAGTTTCAACAAATCGACGGCTCCAGCAGTTCGACAGCATGACGTTGCAGAGAAGATCCCCGCTTCTTTGTGGCAATGAAAATTCTGCAGCGGTGCAGATCCTCTTCGCACAACAGGTGGATATGCATCGAGATGAGCATCTACGTCGTACATATGTAGTAGGGGTGCGAATTTCTGTGGCCACGTACGTCGTAGCTCAACATCACATGGACACGGCAGTTGGTCTAGTCAGCGCGGCTTATCCCGCATCGTTAGACGATTGCCAAGAAGAGCAAAGATCGTATCCCCGCACATAGGGCGACCAATCAGATGGTCAGGATGGTGGCGCCAAATGGTTAAAAAAGGCTTGCAAAAGTTGGCGAGCCTGCATACATGCGGGCCAGTATGCAGTGCGATGACTGAGCAGACAGAAATAAAGTACGTATATGACATGTGATCTCGCCACGATCAGATGTGTGACGTAGACAAGCAGCCGAATACGACAACAGGCACCCTCTTACTCAACACTTTGGTCTGCTAAAACTCGACGTGACCCTTATCCTTGACAAAAGTTGCAAACCACGGCACATTGCCCTCGTGGCTGGCCAGCTGCGCATAAAAGCTCGCATTTGCCTCGCCGCCAAGGGCCCCGCCCATGGGAGCTCCGTCCGAGAAGCGCTCGTCCACTAAAAGAACCTAAAAAGTGCTTGTTGGAAAAGCACAGACGAACATTGCCGTCTTCAGGTCTGCCTGGCACCACGCACCGGGAGCCAACGTGTCCCAGCCGCTGACTGCCTGCTACGCGGCCACGCAGGTGCTGATGGTGCTGATTCTCAGGTCCAAAACCACTGCCTTGGTAGGTAACGAGAAGAGGGTGCCCTCCACCGGTGGCGGCATGAATGTGGCAGCATTATAGACGATGACGCTGGGCACTAGTTTCCAGTCGGCCCAAACCGCAGTAAACAAAGCTAGCACCGAGCTAGGTCTAAGAAAAGTCGGACTTTAGCGACAAGAAGCCCTCGGCCGTTCGCGGCGAACTTTTTGGCCACGCAAAGACCAATTTTCTGCCCGGGGCCCAGGATGGACGATTGGATCGGAAGCCATCATATGAATGGGTATTTTGGATGCCTGGATCGGCCAATAGAGTGGCTCGAAGTGCGGGTGGTTCAAGTAAAGATATATATCAATATCGCCAGGAACGGCCTCCAATGTAGACATGCGATTGCGCAAACCGACGATCAATAATCAGCCGCTTGTCGGGCTGACAACCGTCGTTTGCGTCCGCGGAATTCGTTGCAGACGATGGGAGTTTCAAAATTTTATATTTCTGTATTACTCCTTTTCGCACACGTGTAAGATCTCTTCTGTTTCGCCAATACTCGTATGGACATCCACGTGGTGCGTTGCTTGTCAATAACTTTCTTATAGGCTCTCAATACCATACATAGTAACCTGTGTGGTAGATAATACAGATATGGCCTTGGCAATGGAGCAAGTCTGCACTGGTGAAGTCTAGCGTCGTGGAGAAACGGTCTGGTCGATTCGTAAAAGCCACGTGCGCGGCAGCACCATCGCAATGGTAAGATGGCTCTAGCGAGCTGCAGATCGTATTCAGGTCATCCAGGCAGAGGAGACCATGGTTTGGTTCCGTAAAGGCTTATAATGATGCTTAATATTGGTGTCCTTCGTATGCATGTAGCAGTGATGACAGGCCGGTCATCTATAGTATATCAATATATAAAATACCTTGTCTCGTTGGGTAAGTTGGAAAGATGTGGCAATTATAGTCCATTTTCTATAAATGTTTCGATCTTTCTCATTTCAACTTCAGCTCTTTAGCCCCTTATAAAACCAATAGAAATACATATAGTCTTTTAAAATACATGATAAACTATCACTCAGAACCCTGATATAGGGTCTCCAACTCGGCAATCAGGTTATCCTTGAGTATTGCATTTTCATGACTGATTCTAGAACCAACTTTCCCAGCTGCAGTTTTCTCGACCAAAGACGCCGGCCCAGTTTTCAAGTAGACTTCCAAACTGTGAGCTCTTTTGGGGGCTTCTTCAGGAAGTCTTATGTCTTGGTCAGCATACTGGTCAGAGTTGGTTTTACTATTTCGCTTTGAGAAGCTCTCACTTTGTGCTGTCGTCGGAGACTAACATTGTCTTGAAAGATTTTGTTGACATGGTAGGACACTGTGTGGAATCTATCTTGCTACCTTACTTCCAAACTGACCAGCTCTAACTGTGTCAGGGTGTGCATGGCTATTTAAGCTAAGAGACTACGGTCTACTTTTTGTTTACAAGTATAGAAATAACAAACTGCTCGCCGCAACTTCTGCGGTGAATAGATCTGTGCTGAGATTTAGTCCTGGACACTTCGGCGGTATAAGTATATGGCAGCCCAACATCATGCATCTGCGTTGATAACCGATCCCAGAAAGTTAGGTTTGAGCACAATTGTGTGCTCCCGTCTTCTTCCTGCGGGGTGGATGCTCTGAACTATCTTCTAATAGGTGCAAAACCACTCCGTACTCTGTACAAAACAGGTCTAGCTGCCTCCTGCTTAGTTATACGTGCTAGGGTGGGCTGAGCACGGCCACTTCTAAATAATTGTTTGAACACAGTAGTGTCTTCAGGACTGAGGGGCCAAATGATGCTCATACAAATACGCTTTTTTGTGGGACCGTGACCAGATATATGTCTCTCAAGTGATACATATTGCCTCAAAGTCTCGTTCAAAGCGACTAGAATTATTCCACGGGCTCCTTTATTTTATTATAGGCGCGCTGGTATCTTCATTGTTTCTGACACGCAATACTGATTCTCCGTCGCAATGAACTGGGCGAAAAGACAAGATATGAACCAGGAAGCATCTCCTAAACTACAAACTACTCACAATGGTCCAGCTGACTCCGGAATCTCCAACCTTTACAACTTCTATGGCCCCTCTTGTTTTCGGGATACCGACAATCCTGCCCGGTGTGACCTCTCCAACCGCACAGATTATCACACGAGATGTATTGCCCTAGCCGCTTACCTCGAAAGCCCGAGCATTACCCCTGACATCACCCCTGACATCACCCCAGACATAACCCCCGATATAACACCACACTGTACACCCATAATGAACAGCGATCCGGGGCGGATGTACATGTGCAGAGAAGACGACGTGTTTCGGATGAACTTTTCACAATCTTTTCCCATGCCTGTAGCTAGCGACCGAGGCACTGGGAGCTCAATTTTCGATAGTACCGACGGGCAAAAGTATGTCTTTCGTCAAGAGGGTCTACAAACTGAAAGCCATGTTCAACATAATGACCTCGAAAGATTTTTTACCAATTGCCAGCTCGGCAGTGCGAAAGCCTCAGTTGTGACAGAGTCCGATAGCGACAAGAATACCCCCCTATCGCAAGTGATCACGTCCTTGGAACCAGCCTTGCTGGACAACGAGGATGAGTTGAGTGGCTCTGAGAGCTCTTGGTGTTCGAGTTGGTCCGATAATACTTCAGACGATGACGAAGGGCATCCTATTTTTTAGCTAAGAGGAAATTACCTGAAAGTCGTGACGGCAGCATACCTTCAACACCAATCTCGAATTCAGACTTGTAACAAGCCAGGCCCGCTACAATCTCCGACTTTTGCATCTGTGGGAGGCCAATTCGAATCAAGAGAGCCATATTGCAGGAGTGGGCTACTCTCAGGTCACTTTGCATACGGCACACCCCTGGACTTGACAATTGTAGTCCCTACAGCGGCTGATTCTGCAGCTGGCACTTCAGCATGTACCCCTTCCCCAAGCGCACCGAACAATGCTGAAGGTAACCGAGACCAAAACGCGTCAAGAAAGCGCGGGCGGTCATCTGGTTCGACCCCTGGAAAAGACGAGGCGAAAGTAGGTGCTAGGACTCCAAAGAAGAGACGTATGGCGACTCAAGAACTATGCTTCGCCTGCCCGTTTGCGAAGAAGGACTCCATACGCCACCGGGAGTGTTACCGGTACTTCCTGACCAGAATTGGAGACGTCAAGCAACATCTCAGCCGCTGTCATCGCATGCTAATACACTGCCCGCGCTGCTCGATGCAGTTTACCGAACAAGATTTACTGAATGTTCATCTCAGAGATTGGGATAGATGCGAAAACGGCCCGCTTCCCGATATGGAAGGCATCTCCGAAAGCCAAAAATCTCAGTTGAGAAAGAGGGTGGCGTCTCGACTGTCGGACGAAGAACAGTGGTTCACCGTATACGAAATTTTATTTCCAGGTCACCCGCGTCCCAAATCACCATACTTGGACAATAGTATATCAGAGGAAATGCAGAGGTTTCAGGATTTCTTGTTGCTTCGAGGCAGTATATTGCTTTCCGCGTTTTTAAGTTCTAGTGGCGCAATAACTTGGAACTCTCCGCCAGGAGAGAGGGACCAGGAGAGGTTCCAGCAGAGCGTCCTCTCAGACGGACTCCAGGCCATATTCGATCAGTTCACAAGCGCAACCCCGAGTCAGGAGTCATCGCCTAGCTCCAACTCTGCTAATCAGAGAACGTCCCAATCCGCAGACTCTGGTATCGGGATGCACAATATCCCCAACGAGATTAACGGGTCAACGGATGTTATCGAATCATTGAGCAAAGTCACAGAGATCCTGAACGCAAGTGAAGAGTCTATTCCAGAACCCAGCATGGCTTATCTCGAGGACCTAATGCCTCCTACAGATACGAAGGAGCAAATAACCAACTTTTCTACTGAGCCTCTTCTCAACAACATGTTGCCTGATGACCTCAACCTAGGTCTACAAGGCAGTTCCGGAGCCAATGCTGCGACTCTCGAATCTGTGCATGATCTCGATAGCATTTCCCTGTATGACTCGTTTCCACCGGGCGAGTACACCACTGACGCCTGGTTAGAAGAGGAGTTTTCATTCGACTCGTTCTTTTCATTAGAAGGTTGTGAATAAGTGAGCAAGTACACTGCAGGAACTCCCGTCTGAATGTATCACACAGCAAGTAAATTTTCTTAGGAATGAGCATTGAGAGAGCGGGCTACGAAGATAGACCGAGAATGAGACATGACAGCTCTTATGAGCCATTTTTTGTTGACCCATCCAATTACGACTCTGAGACGTTCGTTCAAGTGGAAGCCCGAAAATCATGTGGGGTTTTCTATGACGAACTGAGATGTTACGTCAGCATCTGCGCACGGATCGCGTTTGTCCGTCTTTGCGCTTTGTCCGGGACTGGTCGGAATTGTGGCGCTTGCTGGAAGAGGTAAGCTCAGCTGGGTGACGGAAGAGGCCAGCCACACATTGTCGCTCCAGCATTTCCGACACCTGGAGCTCTTGTTTCTGTTTCCTTCTGCTGCCGCCTTGTCGAACTCGCTCTCTCCAGCCTCAGCAATCGCAACTCTCATCTGCTTGATAGACAACGGCTCCATCCGAAAGCACATCCGAATATTCTCCTCTATCCTCCAGGCTCCGTCTTGCCCGCACAGAAACAGGACACCCCTCCAAAAAGCGGCAATTTTACTTTGTCCCTAATTGGCAGCCATGGACTTTTCCAACATCTTGTGAGTTTCGACTCCCTCCCCATGTGCTATCGGACGAGCTCCGACGAGTGTTTCTGTATGGCCGGTGTCCATTTTGCTGGCCGCACAGGACCGCCGCTGCCGCTGTGTTCCCGGCCGTTGGCATGGCCCGGGAGAAAGCAGGGATGAAGAAAATTTGAAAGAAAACAACAGCTAGCTCACAGAATGCCTGTCAACAGTCGCATCGTCAACCTGGTGGTTGGCGTGATTATGGTGCTCGGTGGTATCTCACAATTCTTCCCCGCCCACTTGTATGTACTTCCCTTGTCTCCATCCCACTGTTGCTCTCCATGTGAGCCAGAGTGTCCTCCTAACCAAACACTCAGCCAATCCATTATCATCGGCGTCTACGTGATCCTCTTCGGTCTTGGTAAGTCGCTCTGTCACTTTCTACCTGACCTTGGCTCGGCTAACCACAAACAAATCACCCACAGCCACGGCACTGCTCGAGTTTCAGATCCCACTTCAGGTTTCTCGTTACGCCTCATTCCTCTTCTCCTTCATTGGTCGTGGTATCTGTACGTACTTCCCTCGCATTCCGCAGCATTGGCAATGTGGCCTTGCTAACGTCATGTCTTACCTGCAGTCTACATTTTTATCGGCTCGATCTTGCTCCATGACGGCACCCTGCGTATCATTGCCGGCTCGATCATCGGCGTGATCGGTGTGATCTACGCTGTCCTCGAATTCATCCCGTCCATTGAGCCGCCCGCCAACATGCGGGAAGCCGATGCCGGCTGGGGTGCTGAGCAGGTGTAAAAGCCTTGGTGCACTTCATGAGAGGTGGAACAGCTGTGTCCATCTTTGTTTCTGCTCAGTTGCCAGATGCCGTTGAGGACGGTGAGTGAGACTGGGAGATGCTCTTTGGTAGGACTGGTGCCTGAAGAGCCTCCTCTACGAACGGGCTGGCCGGTGTTGCCGGCAGAGTCGGGATTGCCCAATATTGGGCCGTGACACCTGTACGTTGTGGGGTGGGGTGTCTTCTCTCTTTGATATACTTCGTATTGCGTATAGTCTATAGATAGGTCTGTAACTGGCCATGGCCAAAAGCAGGAGGTGGGAAGGACGGACAGGGACGCGAAGTGGTTTTCGATATTGTAGCATGTATGATGTACGGAGCATTTAGGCCGTGATTTAAATGGTACTGGGTTACATGCGAGGTACCGAGAGTTGCAGAGTCGTATTGGCGGACAGGTGAAACAGGCGCGAGTAGAGGAACTCCGTAGTACTGCCTGCTCCGTACATCGTTGCTGGCGATGTCTGTCCGCACTGCATCTGCCGAGCTATGCACCTCGTATTATGCATAATTACACTTGTTTTTTCACGACAGGGACCGACTAGTGGCTTCAGCGCTATGACCCAAGCTGCTCAGCCTCTGATCACTGCCCAGACAGCTTAGCGACCAAGCTGGTTTGGGGCAATGCCAAGCCAATCAGCCAGGACGAACTCCGTAATGGGGCATTGTTTACACGACACTGCTGCAGGCCTTTCTTCCTGCCAATCCCGTCTGTCAGCTCATCGTTGTGCCCCGACTACTCTGTGCCACGCAGTCCTGTATAAAGGACAGCTTGGAGGACTGGACAGAGAGAGGCTGGATAGCTACTGCATCATCCGTTCTCACCCGACTTCTCTGATCTCAGCAGCACACACTCCCAACAAGCATCCGTCCTCCAGCTGCAATGCGTCTGCTGTCCACTGTGGCGGCCGTGGCCGTGACTGCAGCCGCTCTGCCTGCAACGACTCCGACAGCCGTGGCCTCGGCACTCGCCCGTCATCGTGCCGCGTATCAAGGAAAGGAATGTCCGCCGCTGAAGCGCGGCAGCTTCAACATTGACCAGTACCAGCTCTATCCCGAGAATGCGGACTGGGACGAGGACTCGTGTCTGGTCTACTTTGGGTAAGGCCGTCTGATGTCCCTGGCTCTGCTTCCTGTCTTCTGACTTGCTGCAGCGCCCTCTGGAATGCCAGCGTGGCCATCTACGACCCATATGCCGACGACATGGTCGCCATCCTGAACCTTGACAACGTCACAAACACCGGCACCGAGCACGTCGGTGGTGTTGCCTGGGACCGGTTCACAGGGCTCATCACGATCCTCGTAGACTCGGCAGCGCCCTGGTCGACCGGCGGTGCGGATGTCTCGGGCTCGAACCTCGTGCTCAAGTGGAACCCCGTGACGGCGAGCACGCTTTGGACGGCGAACCTCACGGCCACGACGCAGGGCCGCTACGGTGCCTTCCAGGACGTCGAGACCGATGACCGCGGCAACACCTATGTTGTCGGCACGTTTCCGCGCAGCATCGTGCGCGTCAGCGCCGACGGCGTCGTCGATCCGTGGTATGCCCCCTCGATCGCCAGCAACGAGACCATCGACACGACCGTCCCGGGTCTCGGCGGCCTCGTGGCCCTGCCGCAGACCGGCAACGCAAAGGTTCTGCTCGCCAATGATGCCGCCAACGGCAGCATCTACCGCTTTGATATCAGCACCACCTGCGACCACGTCCCCTATGACAAGCCGCTCACACCTGTCGCCATCGTGCCCGATGTTCTCTACAACGACACCGACGCCATCTACGCACCCCCACGCTACGACGGCACCGTCTTGCTTGTATCCAGCCATGCCAGCGGTATCCAGGTGCTGCGCGCCCGTGACGCCTCCTGGACCACCGCCGACTACCTCGGCACGGTGCCTATTCCGCCTGCTGGCACGTCCGCCGACGTCGTGGCCGCACTCAAGGGATCCTTCACCACGGCTGCCGTGCAGATGGGCAATAACTCCGTCTACATGGTGAACGAGTGGTTTACGGACGCCTTTGTCGCCGGCGGCGTGGCTGGCAATCGCACGCTGTTCCCGATGCCGGATATCACGGCGGCCATCGACGCGCTGCTGGCAGCATGAGGTCGGGAGGATTTTTACGTGTATATATGCATATATGTTAGCCACTAATGGCATCAGTCTTTCTTGACGATATCGTATGTGAAATTCCTCTCGTAGGTTGCTGGTCTAGATGGCAGACTGCAGCTGCCGCTGATATATTCTTACAGTATTCTGGCTCTTTAGCAGGCAGAGAAACAATCCCTAGATTGGAGAGCTAGCAGCAACAGACGCCGATCGGCTTCCAGGTCTATCGGCACTAGAGGTCTGGGTCTTCGTCTTATGGCTAGGTTGTGACACCAATCTGACAGGTTGCCTCATTAGGAGGATGTACGATGCATACTCTCTGCAATATGCTAAGGGCGGAACAAAATGGCGGGGCCAGGAGAGTTAACGTCTAAATCAAGCGAAAGATCGAGGGCAGTCCATGCGTAACGTGTAGGTCTGTAATCAAAAGTTGAGCCCCGGCTCTGTTGACCTGCCCATACTATCTTATATCATTGAGCAGACACAACACGACGTGAACACCTTAGATTCCTTCTCTTGCACATCAAAGATACAAAAAACACGGTTCCGTTCTCGCTCCTCCTTTTCGTAGCGACTCGACTCCAGACCAATATGTAAGCCTAATGCGTAGAACCAGCGCCTTTGCTGCCGTCGTTATCCATTTCGCCAGGTCTCCTTTTGTTGCCGCGCCTCCTGTAACAATGCTCATCCTGCACGCCTTGCCCTTGATGGGCTGGTAGGGTAATAAAAACACAAATTAGACCTTTCGCAAACTCCTCGGGACAAAATCAAATTCGTCTAGTTCGTCTTTCTGCAGAGGCTTGCCTTCAGTCAAACTCGGCCAGCTCTCTTTCCTTTGCCGCGAGCATCTGCCGCATGCGTTCGGCTTCTCTCCGCAGTGCCGCCCGTTTCTCTGCTCGGACACGGGCAGATTCCTCTTTGTCGTTATTGCCGTGGCTTGAGTACGGGCCTCCCATGCCACCCATGATAGTATTGTCTTCGTCGTCGGTCGGAGCGTTTAGGATCGACTTGATCGACGAAAGCCGCTTTGTCACCGCTTCCTGGTTGTTGTTGCCACCGCCGCCAGCCCCTGTGCTGCTATTGCCGTCGCCATTGGCCGAGGTCTGGTTGGCGTAGTCGGTCTCACTTGACGAGAACGAGCGCTTGCGCGTGGGCGAGAGAAAAGAGGACGGTGACAGCGACGTTTGCCGCTCGTTGTTAGGCATGGAAGCGAGTCCGGTCAGAGGCGCCAAGCGATTGTCGTCGATAAGAGAACCAGATGCCTCCCTTCGATAGCTGGACGGCTGCTGCGATGACGACGAGTGGTATTGCGTCAAGTCGCCACCCCCATGTCGTGGCGGGGCCAGGCAATTCTGACGCAACAGCGGCTCGGGAACGAGTGACATCGGGTGATCTGGCCGTTTCCGGAGGCCCAGGTTGACCGAGCCGTCCGAGTTCAAGGTGCCGCGTTCCAATGCCACATCAGCTGGAGAAGGCAGCGTCGGCTGGCCGGCAAGACCGGCTGACTGTGCAGACTGTGCAGATGCGGCTGGCGGTGGAGACACGCCGTGTTCGCCAGACGAGGAGTACTCGTCGCCCTGTGCGTCCTGGGCCGTTGGGATCACCCGTTTCCGTCGCTTGATGATGGATTTTTTCATAAAAGTCGGCCGGTGCACGCCGTGCAGTTTATAGTATAGGCCTGCAACCACTAGTCAGCTCAACAAGGATCATGGTACGTAATATGGACGCAATGTACAGATATCAGCATACCGCAGGCGTTGCAGATCGTCCGGCCGTTCTCGTCTCGTCGCCAGAGTGGCGTGATGGTCGTGCTGCAATTCTGACAAGCGATGACCACAGTGGAGATCTGGCCTTGCAGGCTGGCCACGTCGATGGGTGCTGTGGAATCATAGGACGCTGTAGTGGCAGTCCCTGAGCACTCGCCATTTGCTCTTTGCGACCGAATTTCCACGGCGTGGTCGCCTTTAATGACACTGATGTTCGCCGTCTTGGATATCCGGTTGTTGAATGCTGGACAGCCGCTGCATCCTTCGGCACCGCCGGTGCCGTTGCAGTGTCCACCACCGGGGCATGTCCCGGGTGCCGTCTGATCTGCGGCAACGTACGTGGCTCCAGGCGTGGCGGGTAGCAGCTGCAAGCCAGCCCCCGGCGAGGTGGAAGCGGCATCCGGGGTTCTGCGGGACCGCGCACTGCTGCCTGCAGTAGCATTTGACGGCCTCTTCAGGTAGCTCGGGCGAGCGGTGTTCCTGGCCTTCTGATATAAACCACATGCGTTGCATATTATGGCGCCTTGTGGTGACCTTCTCCACAAGGGTGTTCGAGTGATGCCACAGTTGCTAAAGGAAATCGGTGTCAGAGGATCTAGACTCGACTGGAAAAGAAGGCGTAGATGAGATGCTTACCTGCAAACTTGACCGCTCAGGCCCTGGACGACACTTGCGCCAGCATCCGAGTGCGTTTCCGCGTCTTGGTGCGACGGCGAGGTGGCGGCGGTGGAAGAGGCAGCCTCAGCGGCGGCTGACGCTGGGCTCAGCGGCTGGACTAGAGACGGAGGCGATGCCGGACTTGGCTGGCGATGCGTCTCGGACATGGAATATGCTGGTGGTCCGGCCGAGCGACGGTCCTCTTCCTCATCTGACGAAGGCGACCGTATCCGGGAACGGTAGCGGCCGGACTCGGAGCCGTTCTTGCTCTCGCTTCTCTGGGTCATGGGCCTCGAAGGAAGAGCAGAACGCATGGGGGCGAAGTGAGAATGGCCCTGGTATTCCCGGTGCCCAGGGAATATTTGGTGTCGATGGAACGTAGCCACTGATGCCTGGCCGACTTCACTCAAGGCCATCGCCGAGAATCCACAAGCGAGGGTGGCAATGACAGAAAGAGGCTAGATCCTGGGCCAGCGCCTAGTGTCCCAGGGGGGATAGGTCGACGGTGACGGCGATCCAAACGACGCACAAAGATAAGATGAGACGATAGCGTAGGGTAGCGAGGGACGATTCGAGGACGAGATCGATCGGCTTCGGCTTCTACTGCGGTAGCAGGGCCTGTCCGATGCCGCACCGTAGGCACTGCAGATGCGGGATGGTAGGCAACAGGAATCAAGTTGGATCCGTAGACAAAAGCGAGAGCGAGAGCGAGGATGTGGGCGTAGGCGTACGGAGTAGACCTGGACGGCGGGGGAGTGGGTGGGCGGAGAGGAGAAGGAACGAAGAAGAAAGAGAAGATGGGAGAGAGATGGCGAGGGAAGAAAAGAGACGGTGAAAATCGACGGGGGGTGGCGGTGTGGCAGGGGGACGAGGCGAGAGAAAAGCCCTGGTGACGCAGTTTCCAAGAGGAGTTGAAGGAAAGACGTCCAAAGAAACGGAATGGCAGAGGCGACGATGTGGAGGCAGCAGTGCAGGGCGACGGAGGCAGGCAGTGGCAGCCGAAGCGTTAGTTCCAGTCCGGATGAGCTTACTGCGGCGGCAATGGGATGACGAACGACGGTGAGCGATGCAGACGAAGCAGTTCAGCACAACGGATTAGGAGGATGTTGGCTGAAGAAAGGCGGTGGTATCGTTTGTGGTTGCGTGCGCCACAAGAGGAAGGCATGGGGGTGGCAGTTGGCAATGGCTGGCCGGTCGTATCTGATAGGGTCTCCACAGGGGAAGGAAGGAAGGGGGGTCGCATAGGACAAGGGTGGTGTTGCTTTATCTGATGACAAGCAGTGCCAGAGGGCAGCTGGCCACTGTGCAGGTCGCATACGACGTAAAGTTGCTGCTGGGCCTGTCTTACAAACCTTCCTTTCTCCTTCCGCCGGCTGTCGTTCTATTACTATGTATCTCACTGTTTCTAGGACTCAACATGCTGCCCTGCTGCCAGCCTGTGGGTTTGCACCGCAAAGGGGGGCAGACAGCACAAGACACGTTCCCGAGACCTATCGCACGGCGATGTCGAAAATGGCAAAATTTTCACCTGTTTTTCCTCGTCCGTTTCCCCCCTTGCTTTGCGCTCGCTTTTTTCTGGCCTGCCAGCAGTGTCTGCTTGTTGGACTACGGCGAGTGGTGCTCGACCCGATCGCGTCTCCGTTCTCGGGTCCTCCCCTCGTCCAATCACAAGCCGTATAAATGTAATCCGCTAACCACCCTGATTGTCATCATGTATAGGCCTAGCCGTAATCACTCGTAGTAGCGGACCTAGGAGGCGGGTTCATGCTAGAATTTCGACTATTCTCTGCGAAATTGTCTGGCACGCTAGCCAAGCCCACTGCAACTCGGCCTACTCGTACGGCTGCTCGGTGCATTGCGGAGAACTTGTAGGTATATATGTACGGAGTAGTAGTATTATCTTATTAACCGTACGGAGCAATAGTAATACGCTAAGACCCTTGGAAGGGCCTAAGACCTCAAAGGGAAAACTGGATCTGTTATTTCGGGGCGCACTACGGAGTACGAGTACTATGTACGGAGTACCGCACCACATGTCTCTCGTGCTATACGCTCGTCAGATGGGATTGTTTCGCCTCGTGGAATCATTCACAACTATCAGGCAATCAACGAAGCGCCAAGTACGGGGCCCAGAATGCGGCTTATAATGCTGCCGAGAGATTTACATGGCATCTGAAGATACGTGTACGGCTGGTGTGATGCTAGTCTGACGAAAGTCTATATTCACTCCTATAGACCAGCTGAGTCTATCAACAACATCAACAGCGGTGGACTACAACACGCAAGTCATTTTTCTCGCGCTTCCCAACGCCGCCGGCCATGCGAGCCTATCCAAACACGTCGCCCGGTCTTTTCCTTGGTTTTCCCTTTCACGCATCTCACCCAGAAAAGGGGGCAAACCCCTCACCCAGATTGCTCACTATTGCGTCTCACTATTGCGTTGTCTCCTCTTCTCTTTCTTACACTTTCTTATCTAAACCTTGAGTCCTCAACGGCTTTCTGCTTCGCACATACATAGATGGATCCATGCAACATACTCCATAATACATGCAGATTAATAATACGGACAGCCCACTAATCACACTTTTTGCTCGGCGAGATGTTCATTGCACCGACCGCCCCATCTTCGTATCTTACATAGTCCTTTCCGTCCACTTGAATGCATAATCGGAGATGGGATTGATTGCCTGTTTCGCATTGCGATTGCCATCAAATCGGGCCCGAGAAAGACCGAGCAAGGCAGAGAGTTGGCGAGGACAATCATTGCGGTTCCGTGTTACATACTCCGTACTCTATGGTTTTATTATTACGGGGTACGCAACAATCAGATAATACGAGTATTACATACGAGAGGGGTGCAAATAAAACTGTGGGCTCACGTGGTGTGAAAGACAAGACAGGCCGAGCTGTATTGCTCGTTCTCCGTGTATGCCGGAAATCGCCGTCTTTTCTAGGCTTTTTCTCCTGCCCACAGCCAGTCGGATAGATGCCAACACAAGTCGACTTTATTTCAACAGCGGCTTCTTAATTCGCTCGTCTGGTTGCATCTAGTCTAGATCACCCCACCTTTCTTGTAATAGCAGCATTGCCATTCGCCGTGCACGAATTTGGGCGAAAGTCCTGCCAAGCACTCCTAGGGCTGGGGTTGTGTCTCCGTACGATGCATACGACCGGCATGTCGAGGCACAAAGACGCCTTAGACTCGATTTATTGGCAAGTGCGCCTCTAGCAAGTTGTGTCATATCCACCACTCATACCCCGTATCTCATCTCCTCCAGCCTCGTGATGCGAGTCACGTGCACCATTTGATGCGTGGGAGCTGTCAGATGAATTGGACCGAGAATCAAGCTTTTCTGCCCCGATGTAAGATATCTCACATTGCTAATCAGCCTTATCAGACAGCGTTATGTCGATCCGCGCAGTACTCCGTACTCACGACCCGAAAATATGCCTCATCCCACCGGTCTAGTTGTGTTCCTCTGTAGCCTGCCCGACCAAATAGCTCAAGCCCACCTTAGTGGTGGCAGTTTCAGAACGGAATAGTCCTCTCCAGGCTCGGCCTGCATGCTGTCGTGGCTCTCCACACTGCAGGATATGACCGTGCCACTTTCTTTGACGTCGACCTCGGCTTCAAAACGGCCGTCGCCGGTAGGGTATGACGTTTCCTCTGGTTCATAGATCAAAGCTACCGCATCGGCTTTTCTAGGCGGCTGTGCCGGAGGCGGCCGGAGAGATTCTAGGATTTTCCTGCAAATGCTCCCCGAGCTGCTGTTTTTTCCAGATTGGACAGAAACATTCTCTTGACAGTAACTCACCAACACTGCGTCGAGAGTGCCGAGAACGGGAGAAGGCTCGTGTCGCTTCCGTTTCTTGCTGCTTCCATCGTATTTTTCTCTCAGTGGTCTGGCTTCGTCGCTAGAGAATCCATCCCCTAGACTGTGTCTCGTAGAAGATGTGCGATAGCTGGTGCTTGACCGGCTCCCAATGCACTTTTCTGTCTTCGTTTCTTGCGTCTTCTTTAGCGTTTTGTAACCAGGTGGTGGTCCTGGATCGTAGATTTCACATTGTAAGTCGAGCGAGTCGCTGCCATAAGCAACTGGGCAATACGCTAAAGACGTTCTGTCTGGATGCTGAGCTGACGGTGATGAATACAGATCGTCAGGCTCTACCAATGCTCCTCGAAAGGAGGCTGCATCTGGGACTGAATCTACAACCGTTAGCAATCTATGCGCCATTGCATTGAACATAGCACAACAGTTGGTGGCACTTTTCGACGATCGGAAAAATATCAGACTTGCCAGTGCTTGGGGCGTCGGTTCTTGCTTGCCTCAATTTGACAGGCCACCGCAACAGGAAAGAGCATTCTCTGTCAAAGATATAGTCGAGGTCCGAAGATGTCGAGCTCGACAAGGTCCTTCTGAACTTCTTTGAAGGCTCGGCAAGACTCGGCGATGGCGGATGAGTGCCAGAAGTCCGTACATGTGGTTCCTCTGTTGCAAGGTCAAATGGACTCATGGCTAGCCTCGAGCGTTCTGACAAGATAGCTCTAAAAAGCTGGTGTCTGATGACTGATAACTGGATCGCAATTTCCGAGCTCTGCATATGAAAGAGATGTCCAAATATGTAGATTTCGACTGCTGAAAAGCTTTTGCGCTACCGATGCAAGTGGAATGCATCTGTCGAGGAAGGAGCGAGCCGAGCCTCATACACGAGGTTTGGTTGAAGGCGCACGAATAGAGAAGGTGCATATGTTGATTGAGATATATGGAGACCATGCACTTGCTACACGTTGAAGATCCTGTGTCCGTGGAACTTTAAGTAAGGCCAAAGTAAAGCTCCATGAGATCGATCTCGGCAACAAGCTCATGTCTAGGCATAGACAACAAGTCACCCTACACACAACACTCAAGCTCACAGGCCCAAGAAGTAATCGTGATAACCCTTCTTTTTCCAAATCCCGCTGACGCCATATCGCCCCTGAGATCACTAAATCTCTCGATAAATAGCAAACATTATGCAGTTAAACAGACAGATTCAACCGTTCTTCTCTTGTCACTGTCTTCTCGCACCTCCGCTCTTCTCACTTGGAGCCTTTGCCCTTGGCCTCCGTTTCGGACAGTTCCCGGACGATGATCTGGGTCTTGCCAGCGCCGCTGTAGTCCTCCTGGCCGGTCTCGAAGCCAGGCGCCACGCCCATGGCGAGGTACTTGCCGTTGTTCGAGAACGCGAGCGCCCACACGCTGTTGGGAATTTTCTGGTACTGCTTCATGCGCCGCTTGGCCCCGGCATCCCACAGGGCGACGGTGCCGTCGCCGCCGCCGGACGCAAAGGTGCCGTATCGGGGGTGGAAGGCGAGTGCGTTGACGGGGAAGACGACGTCGCCGCCGCCCTCCTCCTCGGGGGCGGTCTGGCGATGACACTTGAAGGCATACTTGCGGGCCTGCGACTCGGCGCTGTCCTCGAACCACTCGACGGCGACGCGGCCCTCGATGCTGCTGGTGGCATAGCCGGCGTCGTTGGGCATGCAGGCGACCGCGCGGGTCAGGAACTTGAGCGACGACTCCCGCTGCTGCCACGGCTTGATGGCACCGGTGGCATCAATCGTACCGTTGCCACCTGCATGTGATGCGAGGTATTCTGCCACCGTCGGCAGGTCGTAGATGTGGACAAGGCGGGCCGTCATGGCGACGACAATTTTGGTCGGGCTTGCGGCCAGCGCGTGCACCTTGCCCGGCAGCTGGATCTTGACCGGTCCTTGCGACAAGTCCTTGGCATTGTGGAAGTGGAGCGTCGCATCCCATGACCCGGACACGACGATGCTGTGCTCCGCGCTGTAGACTACAGAACTGACGCCCTGGGTGTGCTTGCTGATGACGTCCTGCTTGCCTGACTCGAGATCGATCCTAGACGAGAGGGAGACCGAGTTAGAATTCGCGGCAAGTCATGAGCCCCTAGAACAAAGTTATGTAGACGTGCGCCGTACCTTTGTACGGTGTGATCCAAGCCGGCCGAGAAGGCTTCGGTGTCATCCCTGCCAAAGCACACGTCCAGGACAGGCCCTTGCTGTGAGTATTTCTGAATGAGAGTGCCTTGAGCACCTGACTCGCCATCCTGTATGTCGTAGAGGTACACGCTCTTGTCCCAGCAAGAGGCCAGCAGGCGGGTCGATGCGCCTGGCGCAAAGCTTAACGCAGAGACGGCATCACCAGGAGGCGGGGAGACATCAAATTGCGTTGCTGTGATTGTACCAGTCAGCGAGGGGCACACATTGAGCCCACACAGACGAAGGCGGTTCAAAATCGGAGACATACCTGGCGCCATATTCGTATGCGAGAGGAGGGGGTTGCAGGAGAGGAGGCGGGACGTCGCTGGCTGAGAATGGTAAAGGAAAGCTGTAAACAAATAATTGCAAAAACAAAGCCGCTTCTCATCGGATGCGCTAACGCGATAAGATAAGGTTCAAAGGGGGGAAATTTCGAGGGTGGGGCGAAACGGCAGCTTTGCTCTGGTGTTTTACGCTTTTCTACTCTCTATTGTCATTTGCCTCGCATTTTCTTGTCTAGAAAGCGGAGGACCTGGATGCAACATCCTGGAGCAGAAGACAGAAACTCTGCACAACTCACCCGATGCCGTTTGCGCAGCTCGTACTCGGCAGCCCCGGCGCGGGCAAGAGCACATATTGCGATGGCAGTACGCAAACCTCTTTCTATGCTCTCCTCTGTTTTGCCTTGTGCATGAATTTTGGCTTACAACGCGCAGTGCATCAGTTTATGGGCGCTATCGGCCGACAGTGCTCGGTCGTGAACCTAGACCCCGCGAACGATCAGACAAGCTACCCGTGCGCACTTGACATCCGCAGCCTGGTCACGCTGGAGGAGATCATGGCCGACGACAAGCTGGGTCCCAACGGCGGGGTGCTCTATGCCATTGAGGAGCTGGAGAACAACATGGCCTGGCTGGAGGAGGGCCTCAAAGAGCTGGGCGAGGATTACGTCATTTTCGACTGCCCGGGCCAGGTCGAGCTCTACACGCACCACAACAGCCTACGGAACATCTTCTACAAGCTCCAGAAGCTTGGATATCGGGTGAGTTTGATATCGCGATACCACACGGTTGTCCGAGCTCGTCTTTCCATTGCGTTCAGCTAATAGTTTGAACTGTTGTAAGCTTGTCGTCGTACATCTCTCCGACAGCTTTTGCTTGACGCAACCGTCACTGTACATCTCAAATCTCCTCTTGTCTCTGCGCGCCATGCTGCAGATGGACCTCCCACACATCAACATCCTCACGAAAATCGACAAGATCTCGTCGTACGACCCGCTCCCATTTAACCTCGACTACTACACAGAGGTGCAGGATCTTTCGTACCTGGAGCCTTCGCTGGAGGCCGAGTCGCCGGCGCTGCGGAGTGAGAAGTGGAGCCGGCTGAACCGAGCGGTGGCAGAGATGATTGAGGGGTTCGGGCTGGTGCGCTTCGAGGTGCTCGCGGTGGAGAATAAGAAAAGCATGATGCACATCTTGCGCATGATCGACCGGGCCGGCGGCTATGTGTTTGGAGGTGCCGAGGGTGCCAATGACACGGTGTGGCAGGTGGCAATGCGCAACGAATCGTCGATGCCGGAGGCGGTGGACATCCAGGAGCGATGGGTCGACAACAAAGAGGAGTATGACAGGCTGGAGCAGGAGGAGTGGGAGGCGCAGGAGAGGCTGCGCGAGGGCGACGAGGCTGCTGTCCGGGACATCGACAGAGCCGAGCCAACAGCACCCCCAACAGCAGTATACGACGACGACGCCATGTTCGACGACGACCTACCCAGGCCCCCGGCCGATGCCAGCGGTGGCGTCAAGGTTGTGAGGAGGAGCAACAAGGTCGATCAGAAGTAGGGATGGGTGGGAATGCAAAGAACGGTCTGTCAGCTTCGGTCGGCGCCGTCTTGTTTGCCGTAGTCGTCATCGTCCATGTCGGCCAGCTCTACTCCGTCGTCTGTGTCTTCACTTTCGCTGCCCTCTTCATCTCCGCTTTCGTCCGCGTCCAGGGCCACGGCGGCAGGGTCCTTGGCTGCAGTCTTGGTGAGCAGATCAAAGGCCGAAGCGGTCTGGCCGGCTACGTGAGCCTTTGTGGCCAGTACCAGGGCCCGCGACTGCCGGATGGCCTCCTCCTCGACCTTGCGGATGGTGCCGCTAACATGGGCAACGCGGAAGATGCATGGTCTGCCGCCGCGGATGGGCACGTGGCGCATAAAGGTCAGGGCAGTCCAGACATAGCGCAGATGCTCGCGAGTGATGCGCAAGATGGCTGTGGAGGTTGTCTTGGACAGGTATTTGACTTTGCGACGCGTCAGCCACGGAGTCTTGCGGGGGGAGAGGGGTACGGCGGGCCAGCTTACCAGATAGTGTACGCTCGACGGCACCGGCGCCACAGTCGCCAAACAGGGCAAAGACTTCGTTCTTGATAGCGCGCAGAAGCAGCTGTGGCGTCAGATCGTTTTGGGTAGGCTGGCGGAAGGCAACAAAGTCGGGAACGCTGCTCTTTTCAGTCGGCGAGCGTGGATAGAGGATGTTGACCAGGATGTAGCGCTCCTTGATGCGCACCATGGTGACGATGCCTGGTGTGTTGTGGGCCGATGAACGTGTACTATGTATAAGCACAAGTACTTCGTAGAGAGAAATTGCAAAAGCTGCAGAAAGTTTGGTTGAAAAATCGCCAGTAACGATGTCAAGGCCTTAGCGTGGAAGTGGGGAACGGCTGGTAGTCGCCGAACGGTTGCTCTTGCCTCTTCGTAAATTACGTAGAGCACGCAGATATTACATCGTCCAATCGCTTGGGAAGTCTGGTCCTTTTCTCTATTGCAATCGTTTACCTTTTTCTTTTCCATTGTATCGTATGCTCAGAAGCGATCGGCAGGCAGTTCTGAAAGGGAGTTCTAGAGCTGCTCCCACAAGTTGAGGAGCTCAACATATACGCTTGCAATACAAGTCACCCGTCGCTATCGCTGATCAGAAATTGATTCTCGCTTGTTTCAATGGCGTTTCGGGCGGCCATTCTGGTCGTCTCAACGACGGCATCCAAGGACCCGTCGACGGACGCCGCGGACGCCACTCTGCGCGGCGTCTTTGACGTCGACGGCGAGGGCAAGTGGGACGTCATTGAGACGAAGATTGTGAGCGACAACGAGGACGACATCCGCCGGGAGGTATTGCGTTGGACCGATAGCCCTGAAGATAGCTCCGATACCCCTCTGGTCCACCTCGTGGTGACCACTGGCGGGACGGGCTTTTCGATATCTGACGTCACGCCAGAGGCAGTGACCAGCCTGATCGAGAAGCCAGCGCCAGGGCTCGTGCACGGCATGTTGGCAGCTTCGCTGAAGGTCACGCCGTGTAAGTGACAGCCTGAGGCTCTGTTTTCACGCACCTGGGTTTGGTGTGCTCTGTCAACTAACGCGGAGATGCAGTTGCCGTCATGGCACGACTGGTGGCCGGTGTGCGGAAGCACTGTCTAATCGTGACCCTGCCAGGGTCGCCTAAGGGCGCCAAAGAGAACCTGCAGGCCATCATCAAGATGTTGCCACATGCGTGCATGCTGGCGTCTGGGATGGACTCTCGTGCTCTGCATGCCGGCAGAGCGAAGAAGCTGGAGCAGAAGGCCGGCAGCACAGCAGTCCCTGTGGCCGGTCAAAAGCAAAACTACAGTCACAACCATGAGCATGATCATGGACACGGACACGGGCACAATCACGGGCACGACCACGGACACGGACACGGACACGGACACGGACACGGGCTCGTTCGACATGGGCAGCCACCGGCGAACCCGCTGTCCAACGATCCGTCGCTGGGTCCGTCGCGGCGATCCCGGGCGTCGCCATATCCGATGATCAGCGTGGAGGAGGCACTGGAACGCATTGAGCAGCACACCCCGGAGCCGGTGGAGGGCACGCAACCAGTGGACGAGGAGCTAGTAGGATATGTGCTGGCAGAGGACGTGTACGCAGCAGAGGACGTGCCAGCGTTCCGAGCGAGCATTGTGGACGGCTATGCGTTGGTAGTACCGGAAGACGACAAGGGCAGCGACGTGTCGGGCATCTTCCCGGTGGTGGCGGTGTCGCACGCAGCGCCAGAGGAGGCCAAGACGCTGCGGACGGGCGAGATTGCACGGATCACGACGGGAGCACCGCTGCCAGCAGGGGCGAGCGCGGTGGTAATGGTGGAGAGCACTTTGCTGCACTCGACACGAGAGGTGGATGGTAGAGAGGAGGAACAGACGATTGAGATCCGGGCGACGGGAGTGCGAGCGGGCGACAACGTGCGAGAGGTGGGCAGCGACATGAGCAAGGGGGCGCTGCTACTGAGACGCGGCGAACGAATCACGGCAGTGGGCGGCGAGATCGGGCTGTTGTCATCGGTGGGCGTGCAGGAAGTCCGGGTATGGCGACGGCCGGTGATCGGAGTGCTGTCGACGGGCAACGAGATCGTGGCGGCCAGCCGAAAGGGCCCGCTGAGGCTGGGCGAAGTGCGCGACACAAACCGACCGACGCTGCTGGTGGCAGCACGTAACTGGGGCTTCGAGACGGTGGACCTGGGGATCGTGCAGGACCAGCCCCAGACGCTGGAGCAGCGGCTGCGCGACGGGCTCCGGTCAGCGGACGTGGTGATTACGACGGGCGGTGTGTCGATGGGCGAGCTGGACCTGTTGAAGCCGACGATCGAACGGGCGTTGGGCGGCACAATTCATTTTGGGCGCGTGTCGATGAAGCCGGGCAAGCCGACGACATTTGCGACAGTCACGATCAAGGAGGATGGCGAGGCAGCTGGAGGTAGCAGCCGGCGAGTGGTCCGACCCATCTTCTCGCTGCCCGGAAACCCAGCCTCAGCCTTGGTGACGTTCCACCTGTTTGTGCTGCCAGCCCTGCGCAAGATGGCCGGCGAGCAGCCGCGAGGACTGCCGCGTGTTTCGGTGGTGCTGGCCGACGACTTTGCGCTCGACCAGGAGCGTCCCGAGTACCATCGCGCCGTTGTCAGCACTACGGCTGATGGCACGTTGACGGCCACCAGCACTGGTGGCCAGCGCAGCTCAAAGGTCAGCAGCATGCGCAGTGCCAACGCGCTGCTCTGCATGCCGGCTGGGGCCGAGCCGCTGCGGAAAGGCGCCCGCGTGCATGCCCTCCTCATGGGCAACGTGCGCAGTACTGCGAACAGCTAGGAGCTTAATACGACAACGAAGAGCGCCAATTTGTTTTATATTACAGAGTCTTCTACAGAGGACAAACGCCCTCGCCCAGCCACCCTTTCCTCCCCGTGGCAGCCCCATTATTCTAAGCAAGGGCTGCAAAAGGAAACGCCAATATGATGAGGATGCTCTCTGGCCCTTTTTGCTAGATCGAACATGTTCATGTGCATGCCAAAGGAAAAAAAACACGTTGCAAAAAGCCCCAGCGCGCATTCTGCCCATTCGTGTCCTGCTCCATCTCGTGTCCTGCCGTGCTCGCTGTAATTTCGTTCTCCCGGGTGCCTGCAGTCTTGTCGTTCAATGTGCTCCGAATTCCCGGGCCTTGCTAGAGACGAGGAGGCCGACGATAAGGCCAAAGAGGCCGAGAACGGAGCTGAAGATCTCGATGACGAGAATGCGGACGAAGCTGTCGTGGTCAGTGGACGGACAGCAACAACGGGAGAGAGGGAGAGGACGAACAGAGTCGGGTCAGCGGCGTCGGCCAGAGCAGCACCGCTGCCGTTGATGCCGACAGCCACGCCGCAGATCAGGTTGCACATGCCGACGGTAATGCCGGACCAGAAGAGGGCATAGCCGGTGTAGTAGGTGTCGCCCGAGTACAGGTCGGCACCGGTGACGTCGCCAATCTTGGCGGAGAAGACAATGGACATGATGACGCCGTAGATGGCAACGACTTCACAGAAGATGATGGAGATGAGGTTCTTGGTGCGGATGCGCGGCGCCTTAACACCACCGCCGAGGATGGACGAGCCGGTGATGAAGATGCCCCTAGAGGAGAGTTAGAGAGGGTTCCCAATCCTCAGTTTCTGTCTTTTTCTAATCGTCTTCTCACCATGCCGCTCCAACGACTGAGAGTCCGATGCACAGGGCAATGCCCATCGATGCCCAGGCGTAGGGCGATATCGACTCGAGAAAGGCGCCGACGTTGAAGGCCTCGCCGCTGCCGGTGAAGAGCATGTCTGCAGGAAGGAAGGAAAAGCAGCACTGTCAGCCCAGAGGGTCACATTTCGGTGGACAAGACGACGGAGACGACGTACAAGCTCCCACGACGGCCAGCGCGGACCCAGTGCCGCCCAGTCCGTACTTGATGCTCATCTTGGTCGCTGCTCGCGGGTGCTGTCGAAGCTTGGCGTCGCGTTCCTGTCGTCGGACAGAGGAGGTCGAGCTTGAAAGAGCAGCAAAAGCAGGCGAGACGGAAGGAGTCGGGGCCCTGCGATTCGGCGAATTGATCGAACCGGTTCTGTGTCTTGTCGTATGGGAGCGGAACAGCAACGGAAGCGCAGAGCTTGGTGGGATTGTTGCTGGGCGGTTGCGGTGGTGTAGGTTGCAGTTGCGGCCTTTTTTCCCCAGGATGCTTGGAGATGATTGAATATTGCTTGATAGATATTACGTCCAACTGGCGTCGTTTTCAGGCAGCTGCCAGATCCGCCAATGGGAACGTGTAGCGTGCAGGAAGCTGTGCAGTCAGGTGTACTGTCACGTGACTGTACGAATTAGCGGCATCTGCATGCGGCTAGACATGCTGACATTGGGTGTCCAAAAATGGGAGCCGCAGAAAAACGAGCAATCTTGAAGTGGAAGCAATTCTGACAGCCATTGCCTGCAGCCATTCGCCATGCCTCCGAGACTACCAATTTTTCCGGCGGTGCACCGGTGTGCGGACGTGTCTATTGCGTCTGTTGTGCAGCGGTTTTCAGCGGTGTCGCTGTCGACCAGCGCGTACCGGGCAGCTCGTAGGTATCCGGATGCGGAGGAAGCGGGTGACGGTGCGCGTGGACGGTCTTGCTGACAGGAGTGTGCATGGCAGCGCCGCGGAAGAGTCCGCTGGCCTCGAGCGGGGCGTCGTTTCTGGACCTGGACGGTGAGCCGGCACGAGGGCCGGGATCGACGGCGGTTCCGGGCCGGAGCCGAATGGCCGGCAGCAGCAGCAGCAACAACAGCAACAACAGCAATGGGTATGCGCCGACGAGCGCGAGCGGGGATATGACGAGCTCCAACGCGGCGCTGAGCCGGGTGCTCTTTGACAGCGGCATGCGGCGGCGGATGAACGACCGGCGGGAGGAGCAGAGCCGGTCGACGCTGGAGCGGATGGCAGAGCGCAAGGTCAGCGAGGACTATGCGCGACAGATGCCACGGCGCTGGCGGGCAGGTGACGTGTATGCGCCGCACGATCTGAGCGCGGCCGAGATGGCCAAGTGGCGGCGGCCGTCGCGCACGACGGCCGACGTGGTCGACATCCTCGGCATCAACCCGCTCGATGAATACCGCAACTTTGCCATGGTCTCCGAGTTTGTCAGCACAATGGGCCGCATCAAGCACAGCCGCGAGACCGGCCTGCGTGCCGTCAACCAGCGCCGCATGGCCCGCGCCATCCGCCGCGCCATCGGCCTCGGCATCCATCCCAGCGTCCACCGCCATCCCGAGATTCTCACGTCCGAGATCGCCAACATGCCCAAGCAGAGCTACGCCTCGTACGACAGCCGCCAGCGGCGGTAGGCTGTGCTTTGGTCTGTGTATCTTTATATAGTCACGTGTTTGTCACGTATATATAGTCACGTGCACAACTACACACATCAATCACGTGAACACGCTGTATTCATACACTATCTGGCTCAGGCCCGGAGCTCGCGCGTGACGTTGTATCTGCGCAGGCCGTCGACGGTGGTCCTGCAGCCGAGCTGAGTGGTCTGCTGCCACAGGTCGGCATACTGCTGGGCGGCCCACTGGGCAAAGTCGTGCTGCAGGACCTGGCCAGGAAGGGCGTTGTGGGCAATGGCAAGACTGATGGTCAGCACAGACAGAAGACAGGAGACAGGAGACAGGGGATGTGCTCACGTTGTGGCGGTCGGCCCGTAGCCGGCGGACCGGACCATGCCACGGATGAGGCGCTGGACGTCGTCGACATGGCCCTGGCCGGCGAGGGCACCGCAGTAGGCGTCGTAGACGGCGGGCGGAACGTCAATCTCCATGCGCATCAGGCGGGCCCAGATGCGGCGGGCGTGGGCATCGCCAAAGGGCAGGCCCTCGCAGACGTAAAAGACGGCGACGAGGCTGGCGTACGAGGGGCCCTCGGCCGAACGGCTGATGTCGTGCCAGAAGTCGAGGGCGCGGGCGCGGTCGTCGGCAGAGCCGGCAGCGGCATAGGCGAGCATGAGGGCGTTGAGCAGCCGCGTGTCCGGCTGGACGAGGGCGTCCATCTTGAGCATGTTGTGGACCATGTGCAGCGAAGGCGCCGTGGTGTCGGCATTTTCGGCTGCTGAGTAAGCAGACCCACCACCCGATCCCCAACCAGCACCAACACCAGCACCAGCACACGCGGCCAATCCCTCGAGACAGCGCACGTACATGTCCGCGGTCGGGCGCAGGGCCGGGTCGGTGGCGCTGCGCATATGGCCAAACACCATGGCGGCCATGTCGGGACGGCGACGGCGAAAGAAGGCGTCCATCAGGCGGACACGGCACGCCGACGGGGTCTCGGCAAAGTACTGGCGCAGCAGCGAGTACGCGTCCCAGGCGCGGGCGGTCGAGGTGGTGGCGACGTTGGTGGCATAGGCGACAAGAGCATCGCGCACGTGAGCCCGGTCGTCGGCCGAGTACTGCAGTGCATGGACGGAGAGCACGTCGATCACGTCGTACTGGCGATCCAACCGCAAAAAGGCCATGCAGAGAGCCACGACGGTTGTGGGCTCGAGCGCGATCTGGCGCCGCTCGACCGCGTCCACGACATCGCGCAGCTGTGTCACGCTGGTCGTCTTGTCCGTGAGCGCCCGCACATAGCGGTTGACGGCCCGCTCGGCCTCGTCGACCTCGTCCTGTCCGCCCATGGCCTCGTCTTGGCTGCTGTCGCCGAGTGCGAGAAAGGAGGCGTGTGCGCCGCTGAGATCGCCCGCCGTCACGCGATAGTCTAGCTGCTGCACATGTGTCTGGCCGTCGGCCGCAATGCCCAGATCGGCGCCCAGCCGTACAAACCGCTCGGCCAACAGCACGTCGCCCCGTCTCGCTGCCGCTGCCACCAGCCCGTTGATCGTCGCCGCGTCCGGCTCCATGTCGGGCCGCCCGGCGTTGTGTCGCGCCATCGTCGCCATCATGTGCCGCACGTCGTCGACACCCTTGTCCAGCAGTACCACGGCCCACTGGAAGATGACGTCCCAGAGGTCCTTGGGTGGGTTCGCGTCGCAGAGCTGCTGGAATGTCGTCTGGATCCACTTCTGTCGGCCATCTCTTTTATCTTCCTTCTTTGTCCCTTCCGGCTTCTTCCCAAAGGCCAGCAGCTCCCGGAAGGTCCGAGCTGTCGGTAGTAGCAGCCGCCTCGCCATCGGACGGTCGAACCAGGCCCGTGTCTGCGCCAGATTGTTGCGTCGTGCGTAAAATGTCGTCATGATCTCGTGGAAGGCCGGCATGTATTCCAGCCCGGCCGCCAGCGCTGCCGTGGCCTCACGCAGCAGCGCCTCCTCGCGGCCCTCCTGTGCCAGCCCGCCCAGCACCACCAGCCAGAGCTCCTTGTCTCGTCGTGACCGCTGCACGCTCGCACCAGCCGCTCCTTCGCTTCGTGCTGCTGCTGTCAGGTAGCTCGACAGCAGCGACGCTGCCTCCAGCGAAGCCCCGTACTGACACAGCACGGCTACGTGCCGCTTAAAGTCCACCGCCGTCGCCGCGCTGCGTCGCTGCATCTCCCCGTAGATCCGCCGGCACAGCTCCAGGTGGTGCCTCGTCGTCGTCTCGTCCGTGTCGCCTGGTTGCCGCGCCAGCGCCTCGCGTGCTGCCCGCAGCTCTTCTAGCGTCAGGTCCACCACGCTGGCCGTGTCCCGGCCGTTTCGCCTGACCCGTCGCAGCCCTCCTCGGAGTGGGTCGCCCTCCATCGCCGCCAGCCCGTCGCTCAAGTACTCAAACAGCCGCAGCATCCATTCTGCCTGCGTCGCGTTCACCCGCTTGCCGTACTGGTACTTGTACCCGAAAAAGTCCCGGAACGCCTGCACCAGCTCCTCCCGTGCCGGCCGCCGTGTGTCCTCGGCCGTGCAAGCCCGAAACTGCAGCAGCACGTCGTAGCCTGGCTCTACCTGCTGCTCCTTGAGCTGCCGTGGTGGCGCTCGCCGCAGCGAGCCCAGAAACGTCCGTCGCTGTGTCGGCGTCGGCGTCGGCGCTGCTGCTGCTGCTGCTGCTGCTGCTGCTGGCCTTGACAATGGCCGTCTTGTCGTGCTGCCTGTGCTCACTGTGCTTCTGCTACGCCTTGGCACGCAGCAGGACGAGCTGCTCGCACTGCTTGCCGCAAGCAATGGAACCACTGGCACGGCCGACACGCCGTCGGAATGTGTGATGAACCGTCGGTACACATTGCGCGCCGCAAGATGCGACCGCATCGTCGTCGTCCGAGAGGCCGGTCGGGTTCAGAGACGAAAAAAGAATATAAAGAGGATCCAATTCAAATCGGAGACGACAATCTGCCGCCGGAAAAACAAGGTCAGCTCGGCATTGGTACAGAGAAGCGCGCACACACACCTACACACAAACAGCTTACCCACGCATCCTTGGCAGGTGTCGACGGGCCTCGGAAACGAAGCAATGGCAGTGAAGCAGCTGGGGAGGATGCTGAGCCGCTTGACCAGGGTCGAAGGGTCGACCAAATTTGCAGCTTTTTGGCCAGTTCCTAATTGGACAGATGCACCTGTACTGTCACGTGACCTGTAACACCGCACTTGCCCCACAGAACAGCTTCAATGAATTATTATGGCTTCTATCATGCACGAGCCAGGCCGCTGGCATCCTTCAGGCTGTCGTCAAGGTCGAGCACTTCCTCCTTGGTGACCTCCTGCTGGTCCTTGTCACCGTCCCCCTTCTCCTCTTCGCCCGGCTCGCTGTCCTCAAAGTCGTCTGCGAGAAGTGGATTTGGCCGTTCGACCCACATCTTCACGACATCGCCGCTGTCACCCTCCACCTCCTGGTAGTAGACGCGTAGGCCCACCACTGTCACCGCGTTCCACGGGTCCTTCTCGTTGTCGTCATCGTCACCACCCGGCGCCATGGGCTTGAAAGGAGCTCGTCGCCGTGACAGCGGCGATGGTGACCGCTGGCGCATCGGCCTCTCCAGGAAGATCTTCTCCAGCTCGAGCTCGCTCACATCCGACTCGCTGATCTGGCTGTCGGCACTCCACCAAGGCGAGCACGATGATTTTGGAGGAGGAGCGTCGGCTTGATCGCAACCCAGGTTTTCCTCGAGAGTTTGCCTGGCTTTTTCCTCGGCTTGCTCCTCTTTCTGTTCCTTCTGCTCCTTCTCTTCCTTCTGCTCCTTCTCTTCCTTCTGCTCTTTCTGTTCCTTCTGCTCCTTCTCTCCCTTCTGCTCCTTCTCTTCCTTCTGTTCTTCATCTTTTCCATCTTTGTCTTTTTCTTCCTCCTTCTCTTCCTTCTCTTCCTTCTCCTCCTTCTCCTCCTTCTCTTCCTTCTCCTCCTTCTCCTCCTTCTCCTCCTTCTCCTCCTTCTCCTCCTTCTCCTCTTCTTCTCCCCTCTCCTTCTCCGCACTCTCATCCACATCCCCTGACTTGCTGCTTGTGGGCGTGTTCTCAGCCGCTATACTACCCTCTTCACCAGCCGAAGCCTTGCCGATCTTAGGCCCCATCAACTCCTCCCTGGCTTTCCGTCTGGCCTCTTTGGCCTCCCATCTCCTCCGGATCCTGCGGGCTACGTTGTGCTCGTGCTGACGGCGCATGTGGTTCAACCGGATGTCCTGCAGGAGTTCCTGCTTGAGCTGCATCTTGTCCTTGTCCCGTCGCCGCGCCATGGCCGCCGCGTGGGCCTTTTTTTCCTCGGCCGTGGCCACAATGCGGCCCTTGCTGTGGGCGAGATCATAGGCCAGCCCGATGCGGGTCAGCTTCTCGCGCTGACGCTTTGCAGTCTGGCGGACGACCTCCTCGGGTGGCATCACGTTCTCGTTGCGGGTCGCGTCCACCTTGACCAGCACCAGATAGCTACCGGCATCTAGGTCCAGCTCGACGCTGGTGGACCGCTCCATCCGGTAGCCGGGCTGGCTGCGGACCACATAGTCGAAGCGATCGTCGAGCTCGTCGTGCTGTCCGTCGCGCCGTCCGTCTTCGTCCGTCTTCTGCAGCCGGAAGCTGAGCCGGAAGCGATATTGGCCCTGAAGGCCGCGGAAATAGCGGTTGTCCAGCTGGCTGAGCACCAGCACGACCGGACCGGCACGAGTCAGCCGGAAGGCAAACTTGCTGGCGTTGTACTCGACCATCCAGGGGACCGTCATGGTGGTCCAGAGGCTGGCCAGATGCCAGGAGGCGTCAAAGAGCCGGGTCCGGTCAAAGCACTGGTACTTGCGCAGCAGGTCCTCGTACGAGATCCAGAACGCGCCATCGTCACCGAAGCGGTGGTTGAGCTTCTGCATCCACTCGGCCGTCCACTCGCGCGACCCATCGCCCCATCGGCCCTTCCACTCCTCGTGGCCCCATGGATTCTTCAGCAGGACCAGCCGCACGCCGTCCATCTCGACCGCTCGCAGGATGGAATAGGCGTGGCGCATGATCAGGCCGTCTCGGCGGCCTTGGCCGTCGTTCCAGAGCCCGGTGCTGCAGCCGAAGAGGAAGCTCTCGTTGACCCGCAAGATCTCCTCGCGCCAAAAGTGCTCCTTGTTTAGGATGTTGGTCGTGTAAATCTCCGACGTCACGCCGCCTGTCAGGTCCTCGATGCCCTCGCCCGTCAGCCCGCCGTCGATCGCGTTATAGTCGCCGTGCGCCTTGGCATACGCCTTCTCCAGCAGCGGCAGCCAGGTCTCGTTGGCGTTCTCGCACTGCGCAAAGAACAGTGCCCCGCTGTTCGCCTGGTACAGCTTCCGGTACTCCTCCTCCGAGTTGATTCGCACGTGTTCATCAAACACCTCGCGCTCCCGCAGAGCGTCGTCGTAGTCTGGCTGCTTGAGGTAGAGCTGGGCTGTCAGCGAGGTAAGGAGAAGAAGGCAAAAGGCAGAAGAGCATGAGCAAAAAAGGCAAAAAAAGCAAAAAAAGAAACAAAATCAACATCCACAAACCTTATCGTCAATCACCTCGCTGAACCACTCGCCGTCACGATGAAAGACAAATCCATACACACCCACGATCTCGTCCTGGGCCACACACACCCGCTCAATCAGTCCTGGCTTGTTGCCCATCGTACATAGCGCTGCCATCAGCCAGCAGTCGCCCGAGACGCCCTGGCGCACGTCGTTGGCCGTCGGCCCATCGATGAAGAACTGCGGCTTGTCAAAGATGTCCGTCACTCGTTTGACCGCACCCGGTCGCGGCCGACGGTCATCCTCCTCGTCCTCGATTCTGGCCGGCCGCGCCAGCCGGTAGATATTGTGCAGGCCCTGTAGACAGTCGTCGATGCCGCTGTGCAGGTCGCGCTCCAGGTCAAAGTGCGGGTCGTAGTACCGCTGGTTGACCCTCCGGCACTCTTTGACAATGTGCGCCACCTTGGCCCGGCACTGCGCCGCTGCCTCCTCGTAAGACGTGCCGCCCGGCTGGCTGCCACGGGCTGCTCTGCTTCTGCCGGCCCTTTGTGGGATCACTGATGTCGCTGCAGCACCGGTCAGTGTGTCTGCAGGCCTCTGTTTTCACGTGCAGGTGCTTGGTGCATACCTTTTCCTGGCGTCTTGGTCGTGAATCTCGACCAGAAATCGTCAATCTGCTCTTGGGGTGGGCGCTGTTCGGCAATGCGTCGACGAGGCCGCAAAGGAAAGCCCCCGACAGACATCGGTTGCCGCGATCGAGACTGGCAGCGGTCGCGCTCGTTAGACATATCTGTAATCGACCGGTGTCGCCTAGCCGTGTGAGTGGAAACGCAGTACAGAATACCTAATCCAAGATACTCACGGCGTCAAAAAAATGGGGGGAAAAAACGGTAATCAGAACAGCGTTTGACCAGTTCTTGTGCCACAGATAAAGAGCCGCAAAGTTGTATGGTGCTCGACGAAACTATATAAAGGACAGGACAGCAGGAATACAAGCTTTTCCAATTTGAGCCCAATCTGTCAGCATGCTTGGGAACGCAATCCTTGCATAATGCTTCCAATCAGTCACAGCATCCTGCCTGGCAAACGATTGAGCTAGGCTGACAAGGCGTAAGGCAGAATCCTGTTCGCTGCGCTTCACTCGAGCTCGGGTCTAGCTCCATGCAGGATCTCATGCCCGAGCTTTCTTTTTTCATCTATCGGTCCTGTGCTCTTTCTTCTGTTTATTTTTCAAGAACACACCCAAACACATCAGATATTCGTTCCAATCCCAATGCTCCTGATATCCCAAACAGTTGCCAACAAATGTGAACAACTGTGAACAAATTTAAACAAAAAAAAACAGTATTAGAATGCATACGTATGTACTCGTACACCCAAAAAGAATCTCAGCGGCTAGAAGGAGTTAGTTCCGGGCGCTTAGGCTTGTGAACGCGTCAGGGCTGTGCCGCCCGTTGCTCCACTCCAGACCCAGTGCCATTATGCTGTCACGACTCCGACTGCCAGCAAACGGGTCTGCCTTAGTCGCAGCTCCTGCAGAAGGAGCTGGCGGCGGCGGCGGCGGCGGTCGTGATGCTTGCATCGTGGCCATTGACGTAGTAGGCGCACCACCAGCCATGCCAAAAAACGGGTTGTTGGCCGTCGGCAGTGGGGTCGTAGCACTGCGAGTCAATGATGGGAACGGTGCTGCTAGGTTTCCTCCTCCACTCTGTCCGAGCGTGTTACCAACGCCTTGTGCTGGGCCTGTCACAGCACCTTGCAATGAGCTAAGCTGTTGTGGTGCTGCTTGTGGCATGTTGTACAGTGCCATGATAGAGGCCGTTTGGAACGCAGGTTGAGCCGGCTGTGACGGAGCCGCTGGCTGCGTTGCGAAGGGGTTGTTCAGTTGCTGCTGCTGCTGGTGTTGCTGCTGCTGTAGTAGTTGGCGTTGTTGCTGCTGCTGCTGCTGGAGCTGTTGTTGTTGCTGCAGTTGCTGTTGTTGTAGCTGCTGCTGCTGCATCTGCAACTGCTGTAGCTTCTGTTGCTGCTGCTGTTGTTGTTGCTGCTGCTGCATTTGTTGCTGGGATGCTGACGCCATAGCATTACCGTAGGGGTTTGCATTCATCAAAGGGAACGAGTTTGTGTGCTGAGATGTGCCGAAAAAGTTTGGCTGCGATTGCTCAGGGATCTGACCAAGCGACGGGGACTGCATGAGACTTGGCGATCGTGTAAACGGGTTGGCCGCAAACCCTGCAGCTGCAGCCGTGTTGATGGCCGATGGAGGCTGGTGCATTTGCTGCGAGTGCATCATGGTCTGCTGACCCATCTGGTTGCCGTTGGCATTATTGTTGAGGAACGGGTTGTTGTATTGCGATTGCTGAGCAAATGCCTGCTGTCCATTCCCCGCCGGAGCGGTTGCAAAGTAGCTTAGTGCAGCGTTCCCCAGAGTTGACGCAGGAGGTGTCTGGTAAGACTGCTGAGCCAGCATCTGCTGCTGTAGTTGATGCTGCTGCTGCTGCTGCTGCTGCTGGAACGACAGGCCCCCTGTGTGGTGTGGAAACAGCGGCTGAGATGGGGCCAGGGTCATGCTCTGGAAGGCCTGGTCAATATTGAGCGCGTTGATGAACGACGGCGCGGGCTGGGCGAACGGATCGTTTGCATGCGGTTTCGGAAACCCGTACTGGTCGGTCGTGCTGCTGTTATACGGGTTCTTGTTCTGCAGCGTGCCCGTCGACTGCGCCGACTGCGGAGGCGCCGGAGATGGGAGGTCCAGCATATCAAACGGGTTGTAATTGCTGCTCGTAGCCGAGGGTGAAGATGGCGTCGGCCATGCCGACGCCGGAACAGCTAGTCCAGAGGATGTAGCCCTGCCAGTCGGTGCAGCGAGCGAGCTGTCGCGCATCGCCGTCAACGGATGGGGAGACAAGCGGCCCTCGGCCGTACCTTCGCCCATGCGCACCAGGTTCTCTATAGCTCTCTGCATGTTGCCGCTGACACCCTTGAGCACAGCCGCGTTGCGCTTTTCGTCGGCGAAGCCCATGTCCCGTAGCCTGGTCAGCTTCGTGTCGAGATCGGCACCCGAGTCGTGCTGCACGCTGGCACCAAACATCTGGGACGTCTTGCTGCGGAGCGGTGGCGAATCGGCAGAGCCCGGATGTGTGTAGGAGGAGGAGCGCGGGAGCGGAGATATCGGACGCCGTGAACCGCCACCCATGTCGTAACCGCCGTCGTTGTTGAAATCACCGGACCCGGCAGACTGAGACGCGTCGCGTTTTGCTCGCGAGGAAATCGGGAAGATGGACGAGGCAGACCGGAAGCCAAACCGGCTCGGTGTCTTGGGTGGGAGGGGTGGCGGATTGTCATCGGAGTCAGAGCTGCCCGTGTTGTGGCGACGGGTCTTGGCATTGCCCAGGGCCGATGTCACGTACTTCTGTCGAATGAAGCGCTCCATGGCCGAATCGGCCTCGTCCGCGTCGACAGGAACAGGGGGCATCTGGTTCTTGGGGTTGTATATCTTGTTGGAAGCCATGTTGCCAACCTTGCGCATGTTCTGCCGAGTGTCAGAAAGGAAGAAGAGTACGGAAAGAAGCCGGGACCAGACACGGACCTCAACCTGCTCGTTGGACCAGCTATCCATGCTCAACGACTTCACCTTGGACACATGAGTCCCGAGCTTGCGATGGAGGGCGGCACACCGCATACACAAGAAGACACCGAGCTGCGAGTGGTGTTAGCTCGAATGGAGGGCGGAGACGGCGGGTAACGCGGATGCGATGCGTAATCGTCGCGTCTGGGTCGACGGTCAAGTCAAAGAGGAGATCCCTAGAAGAGCGAGCGAGGGTAAAAGAGACACATACACTCCATGATGCCCAGCCTGTCTGCGGTTAGCACGCCGTCGACGGGACGAGCCGAAGAAGGAGCGCACGGGAGGATGCAACATCGGCTTACCTGGGTTGCGCGCCTGACAGTCGGCGCAAATGTTGTTGCCCGGCACATTTTGAACGAGGTCGTGGAGCTGCTTCTCGTTCCGCGCCTGCTGGCGCTTGCTGAGGGCGGACGACATTGAAGAAGAGCGCAGCGGGATGCGAGGCGATGCAGAGCAAGACTGTGAGAATCCAACGGGACAATGGGTGAGCACGAAGGCTCGGCCACAAAAGACAAGGAAGGGGAGCAGAGTAGGCAGAAGCAAAAGATATGGGGAAGAAAAAAAGGGGAAGCAAAATATGCCAAAATTATATCAGTAGACGACCGTGCCAAAAGGGAAAGGGCGGCCGAGTCGCTGGGTTAGGGGTACGACGGCTGTCCAAGCTGCCAAACAGTAGCACGAGCACGCAAAACTTTAAACGACGTCGTCGCGGCTTCCGGCGTTTCAGTAACCTGTCCCGTCTTCTCGTTGCGTCTGTCGGACTGGGTTTCATGCGTTACGGTGTCTCTGGGAGGAGGCACAAGATTCCGTGGCAGGAGCGAGACCACGGAAAGCCAGGATTAGAGGCCCACTAAAAGCGAGTGACAAATGCAGCCAGCACTGACAACCAATGGCGCCAAATGCCCGTGGAGTCTGGCCCGCTTTTGGGCCAGGAAGCCGGAGCACGAGATTTAACAACAACAACAACAAGGCCGGGGAATAAAGTGACCTTATTTCCTCTGTAAGATGGCGGGTCGTTCAAAAATGCATTCTACCTGCAGCAGGATCTGCCCGCGATTCTGTACAAGGTGGAATTCACACGGGACTCGGCCGCTCACATTTCAACACGCATCGCATCCAATCCTCCTCTCCGAAAACCGTCCGGCCATGGTGATCCCTCAGACTCGTGTGGCTGCTGTCCCAGCACTGGTGGCCTCGGTCCTCATCTCGTCCACATTCGGCTTGCGGCCCCATACTACATGGAAGCAGTGGTAGGTGTGGGACCGCTGATTGGCAACTTCCTTTCGCACGTTGACCAGAGACACCTGGAAATCGACGTCAGCACTACACATGGGGCCAAGGGGCCAGGGGGTGCACTCTCCAGCATACCTCAATCTGCTCCTTGGTTCTGCCCATTACGCGGTGCATCAGCGCGTAGGAAATGGCCGCGAGGCCCATCTGCAGGTTCGCCTGCCACAGCTCCCCGATCTCCTTGAGCCGGCGGTTTCGGGGCCAACCGCTGGTCGGTAGCTTGTAGGCCTTTTCCTGCACGTCCACGAAGCCGGCGTCCTCGAGCCAGCCCTTGAGCTTTTTTACCACGGCCAGAGGCCGGTTGGCGTGAAGGCTGGCCTCGTAAAGCTCCTTGGACCAGACACTGATGGGCGAGTTCTCCGCCATCGTGCCGTCGTCGCAGTACACCGTGCCGTCGACCTCCTGCATCTCGAGCCAGCCGCCCGGCTCAAGCTTCGCGAAAGCCTGCGCGATCACCTCCGTATAGACGTCTGACCAGCAGCCGACCGTGACACGAGTGTGGACGTAGTCGACTCCGGTCTCTTGCCAGTCTTCCGTCCTGTACCAGTCATGCGGTCAGAGCTGCTGCATCCCGAACTGAGGGAGGGAGGAGGGAAAAGGGATCGGACAGGCTTACGCATCCTCGACAAAGAAGTTGACGTTTGGCGGGACTATGGTCGGTTGGATGGGAGAGAGATCGATGCCGACAATCTCGGCAGTGGGAAATTCGTCGCCCATTTCGACGGCCCAGCGGCCAGATCCGGTGGCCAGGTCGAGCACTTTTTTCGGAGGGTTCTGTTGCGACCATGGTGCCAGGTAGTTGCGGCCATCGAGGACCAGGCGAATAAGGTCATACAAGTTTTCTAGCCGCTCCAATTCGGCTTCGTCGTTTGGATAGTAGTAAGCTGCCAGACACAAAGTATGCGTGTAAGAAAAGTGGCAATGAACAGAGGTAGAAGGGGACACGAACAGCCGGCACGGTAGGCATGGTAAGTGCGGCCGTTTTCATTGTGGTAGTTGAATACGCTTTCTGTCAAGGAGGCGCTATCTCTAAGCACGGTCAGTCTATCCAGCAGGAAAAGCAACGAGGGCGATACCAGACAAACGGAGCACGTACGGGTTGGGATGATCTCCTGGGTTGATCTAAATGACACAGTCAACACACGAAATATCGAGACAGAAGATGAGGCCGGACGCATACATCAGCTTCGATTCTTGCCGAAACGTCGAGGTATCTGTGAAATGTGAATTCGAAACTGCCAGTCTCGGAGTCGGAGTTCCTGGCCGGCGAGGACGAAGAGCCTTCCATCCTTTCTGTGGCGCACACGAGTCGAGTCGGGTGGTGCTACCAGGGCAGGCAGTGCATTTCTACCGGCGAGGACCCGACACAGCGGAACAGACAGGGGTGTGTTGTGCGAGGGGCGTTGGCAGAACTTTGATTCCGTATCGGTCGTAGCAGCAGACTGCAAAACAGCCTAGAGGTCGGAGCGGAAGGGAGATGAACAGAGAACGAATATCGAGGATGGGCAGATTGAGGGCAACCGAGGGAGGATATGAAAGATGGGTATCGCTGATGGGTTTAAACACAATAACCTTCTCCCAGAAGATGGGGGCGTATTCTTTTAGGTTTGGACCCGGCCCGAGAAAGCTAGCAAATGATATCCTACCTGGTCAACGCCACAGAGCAGACCAGGATACGAGCACCTGAATGCAATAACGGTCAGAGAGGGCGGGGGGGAAATGCTAGTCACCGCCTGCCTGGATCCAGGCCTTGGGCCAAGCTCGGCGGTCGATCATCCAATATCAGCAGAGCTATCAGATTGGCGTCAGACCAAGGGCGAGAGCGGCGGGAGCGGAAATTTTCACTTGTCATTCCTGCCGACGAAAGTGCAAAGATAGGAGCTGAAACGAGAGAGCCCATAATTCGTAGTCACGACGTAAATATGTACGACTAGTCGACTACGTGCAGGAAGATCAACATGTCATTGCTGTGTATTGCGGTACAGAGTACGGAGTACGGAGTACGGAATATTACTCGTAGAACGGTGGCGCATTTCCGCAGTGTCCACAGGTCAGTCGGCGGCAGGAGCGGAAAACCCCGACGCATCTGGAGTCGAGCCAGGGGTGTTGTGTGGACACGCAACGTAAGAAGAGGGAATTGGCCATTATCGGGGTTGTGACCGTCTGGGGAAAAGATCAGCACTGCATTTGTGAGGGGGCGACATCGAAACAAGGCCGGAGTGAAGGAGTGGCGGTGACAGGCGGTCGGGTTCGTGGACCAAACCATCGGGACAGTTTTTGTTGCTGATTGGCGTGGTGATGGGGTTTGGCGATGCACATATGTGAGATGCAGAGGGGTGACAGCGATGTCAGGATTGGTGGAAAACGTGGAAAGTAGGTAATAGGAAGAGAGACGGCAGAAGACAGAGGCGACGGAAAAGGCAGGTACAACACTCTGTGCAGTCGGCGCTTCTCCGAGCAAAGAGCGAAGCGACGGCTATGGCGCCTGGTAGTTGGAATGGAGTTTATACACCCGCTTTACAGTGAAACATGACCTGCAGGAAACCAGGCGAATTACGGAGTACGTGCTCCGTATCTCAAAATACTTACCGAGTGCTCCGTAGACGGTGGTGCTGACAGACCCCGTGTGCAGACTTGCCGGTTTTAGACGGCGGCGAGACGGTGCGCTCCTTCCTGCTGGGACATGATGCTTTCTTCTTCCTCAGCGAGAAAATACGGGAAAAGGGAAGCAAACAAAAGAAAAAAGGCAACAGGAAACAGGCAAAAGGACGGAAATTCGCTCGTCTTGCTGGCCTGCAATGCCGCGTCACGCTATTGATTTATAGCTCATCATTTGTATGCGGACCGTCTTATCGGGCGTGCTGACGACAGCATGAGCCAATCATGGCGGATCCGCCAAAATGAGCATCACTGTCGAAGCAGCTGCCTGGGCTGTCTGCGGCATTGAACGGCACCCGATGACGATGACGGACCAAGCAGATCACGCAGACCACGCAGACCACCGGGTGGAGCGGCGCTTGCTGACGGAGGCGTATGAGCGGCTGCGGTCGGCGGTCGACGGTCTCGGTGAAGCCACGCTGCCGAGGGCCGACCGCATCGAGGACGCGCTGGCGGCTTTACCACGGGCAGGCCAGGCGGACTATCTACAGCCGCGGGGGGCGCGTGCAGCACTGGAGCACATTGTCGACACGGTGGTGCCGGCACTCAATGGGCAGAACCGGAGCGGACGGTACTTTGGCTTCGTGACGGGCAGCACGCTGCCGGTGGCCGAGGCGGCCGACAACGTGGTCTCAGCACTGGATCAGAACGTGGCCGTGCATCTGGCAGACGAGACGGTGGCGACAGCGGTCGAGGACGCGGCCCTACGGATGCTGCTGGACGTGTTGGAGCTGGGGCCAGCGAGCGAGGGCGAGTCCGCAACCTCGACCACTCCCTGGACCGGCCGCACCTTTACAACCGGCGCCACGGCCAGCAATGTTCTCGCGCTCGCTCTTGGCCGCGAGGCCGTCGTCAATGCCCGGCTGAAGACACCCGACAGCGTGGCCACGCTCGGACTGCTGGCGGCCTGCCGCAAGGCCGACCTGTCCGATGTCCGGATCCTCACCAGCATGGCCCACAGCTCGCTCTACAAGGCCGCCAGCATCGTTGGGCTCGGCCGTGCCGCTGTCGTCGACATGCCCGCCAGCGCGGCCGAGCCGTGGCGACTCGATGTGGCTGCCGTTGAACGCGCGCTCGTGGCTGCCCGTGCGGCTGGCGATCACGTCGTCCACATCATCGCCGTCAGTGCCGGCGAGGTCAATACGGGCCGCTTCGCTACCGCCGGGAAGGGGGACATGCAGCGGCTGCGCATGCTCGTCGACACATACGGTGCCTGGCTTCACGTCGACGGCGCCTTCGGCCTGTTTGCGCGCGCGCTGCCGCACACCGACGAGTTTGCCCGGCTGCGCGAACACGCCGACGGCCTCGAGCTCGCCGACAGCATCACGGCCGACGGTCACAAGGTGCTTAACGTGGTAGGTCCTCGCTTTATTCATGGGTATATATATGCCCTTGGTTCTTCTCCTGCTTAAACAATGACATCACCCAGCCGTACGATGCCGGCATCTTCTTTTCCCGTCACGGCTCCCTGCAGGCTGAGGTGTTCCAGAATGCCAACGCGGCCTATCTGACAGCAGCACCGGCAGCACCAACTTCCACAGCCGCCACCGCCATCGCGAGCCCGCTCAACATGGGCATTGAGAGCTCGCGTCGGTTCCGCGCCCTACCCATCTATGCCGTGCTTCTGAGCGAAGGCCGCGACGGTCTCGCTGCCATGATGGTCCGCATGGTGCGACTCGCCCGTGCCATCCACCGCTTTCTTGCTGACTCGCTCGTGTACGAGTGTCTCCCGGACCACGAGCTGGCCGAAGAGCGGCAGACGAACACGCACATTGGTGTGCTCTTCCGCGCCAAAGACGAGGCCGTCAACAGGGACCTGGCCGCACGCATCAACGCCACGCGGCAGATGTATGTCAGCCCCACGAGCTGGCAGGGCCGGCCGGCCTGTCGGGTGGCTGTCAGCAGCTGGAGGGTCGACGTCGACCGGGATCTTGCCGTGGCCCAGGAGGTGTTGTCTCGTGTTGTCTCGTAGGTGGACATGAGGCGAAAGAAGCGAAAGAAAGAAACCCCCCAAAATGAAAGAAAATGGCGAAAGACAAAAGAAGATGCATGCCGGAAAATGCCAGCTGGACGTCCTACCCAAGAGTCCGGCTCTTTCCCAGGCTTAACCAAACTTGCGCGAGCCTCCGGAACTGGGCATCTTGCCCTTCTTGTCATTGTTGCGCTGCTCTCTACTCTTGGCGTCGGGACCCTTCTTCTTGCCGGGGCCGATGAGCTCCAGGTGGCCGGCACGCTCGCCCAGCATGGCTTCGGTCTTGTGGATCAGGCCGGACGTGAACTTGCGCATCGCCTTGTCTGTGGTGGCGTGGGCCTTGACGGCTTTGGCTGAACGGGGCGCCTTGGTGACGCGGGCGCCGCGTTTCGGGGCTCCGTTGGCACCCGTCGCCACGGCCAGCTTCTTGGCCTTGTGGCTGCTTGAAGCAGGCTTGACTGACTTCTTGACCGCACCCTGGACCATTGTTGCTGTCTGTCGTTGTCCGGGGAGAAGAGCAGGGAGAGGGCGAAATTTTGTGGGAGCGTAGTATCGTAATTTTTTGTCATTTTCTGCCGTTCCATTCACCGCCTTTGTGTCTGCTGATTGCAGCACAAAGTACGGAGTAGAGATTCTCATAGCGCAAGAGTGCTGTAAGAGACTCGTCAACGAAAAGCGCATTCCGAGATTCTTGGCTCCCATGACGCCAAGCCGTGCCAAACACCTGTAACGCCAAAGCTCCTTAATCGTATGCCGTAGACTCCGCACACTGGAAAGGCAGAACCATAGCAAGAGACACCCAGTCCGTCAGAGGACGGCGCTCAGCTCCAGAGCAGCATCAGAACTGTTCGAGCAGAGCCCGAGTCCGTCGCTGGGCCGCGGTCTCGACGTCAGTATCGTCGTCCTGCCTGCCAGCCTGGTTCTGGTTCTGGCTCTGCTGCAGCGTGCCCACCCGGTCGCCCACCCGGGCCAGCAGCACGCGCATACGTTCGAGCTCGCGCTCGATGGGACCGTTGCGCGTCACCACGTTGTCCTGTCGGCTGTTCAGCGGCGGCTGGTCCCCGGCCTCCTCGGCCTCCGTCTGCGCAAGCGGTGCCACCATGGCGGCCAGCCGACGCAGCCGACGTACGCGGGCCTCGGCGGCAGCCCGCCGTGTCGACAGGTCCTGCAGCTGTGCGACGAGCTCGGCGTAGCGACGGGCCTCGAGCGGCAGCGCCTCCGCTTCGTGCACGTCCTCCCAGGCGGCCGGCAGGGCAGAAATCACGTCGGGGTTGGCTGGAGGTCAGCATGGTGCCGTGGCATGAAGCAGATGAAAAATGGAAATGCGAAAAACACCCACCATAGTCTGTCCCCCGTCTGAATAGGTCCGTGCCGGTCCTCCCGTCTGCTTCTCTTCCCTCGCCTCCGTCCGCCTCCTCTTCGGCTACCGCCCGCTCGCTCGCTTGCCAGTACAGCTGGTCGAGCTGCTCGGCCACGTGGCGCACTGCTTGGGGCGCGTACACGCGGCGGGCGTGCTGGCGCAGCAGCTGGTTGGCGCGGAACAGCGCGTCGTCCACGGCGCGCTCTGGCAGAGGCTTGTGCGCGTGGCCGTCAGCCCCGGTCGCTTCGTTTGCACCGCCGGGTTCTGCTTCGTCCGCTTGCTGTCGTCGGCTGCTGTGGCGACGCTCCCGATTAGCACGACGCCACGCCCGCGATGGCGCCAGCGGCTGCGCCAACCGCCGCGTCTCCTGCTCGAGAAAGGCCTGCTTGAGTGCGAGGATGGTGGGCGGCGGCGTCGTCATCCTGTCGTGGTCGTGATGGAGAGGGAGCGTGGTGCTGCTGCAGATGGCCGTCCGTGATTGTAAGCGAGAAATACGGTGGAAGTCGCGTGCAAACGCGTTGAGTGCTCGCTATAAAATTGCGGGGCATGTCCTAATACGTTTTAGATCTTCAGGTCTACAGTACAGAGTACTGAGTTACGAGTACTCGCTTCTTCGTCCTCATTATACCACATGGAACTCTTTAGACATGACGGCAGCGACAAATCATGAGCAATACATAAAAATCGAACAAACAAACAGAAGCCAAATTTGTATATAGCAGCATCAGGCCAAAACGCCAGAAACAAACGTGCGTCGTCGAATCCCATCCAGTCATGTGTGCATCCAGCCTGTATTTATTTGCAGTCCGGCCAGTTTGCCTAAGCCGCCGCAGCTGCTGAACGCCCACCGCGGCTGCCGCCCGTCCCAGCACCCAGTCGCCGTCCGGCGCCCTGACCGGGCCGCGCCAGCGTGTACTTTGCAAACGAGCGTGCCAACGCCTTCTTGGCGCTAATCTTTTGGCTGCCGATGAAGCTCTCGACCGTGACTGCAATGGCCCGATCAATGTCCTGAGCCGTGCAGTACTCTGACAACCGCATGCGGCAGAAGGACTCGGAGATGCGGATGATGGCTTCCAAATGACGGACCTGTAGGATTAGCATGGGAAGGGGAAGCGACCAAAAAAAAGAAGAGGAAAAAGAAAGACAAAACCACCCCCCATAAAACTCACCGTGATCGGATACGCCCCCGTGGCCAGCGACTCGCGCCGCATGTCGGCAAACAGCCGGGCCACCTTGTCCTCGTCCATGTTGTACAGCTTGGGCGAGCAGCGCTCCCGCGCGTACAGAATGTACTTGCGCAGCAGCTCCTGGGGAATCTGGCCTTCGGGCGTGGCTGCCGCGGTGCCGCTGCTGGTGCCCTGCGTCGCGGCGCCCGAGTCCGGCTGCTCCTCGCTCTCAACCGGCAATGCGGCCGGGTGGCTGCGACCGTGCGACTCGACGATGAAGCGGGCTAACCGCTCGTCCTCGGCCGGATCAACGGTGTCGCGCACGACGCACAAGATGTCGAATCGCGACAGGATCGGCTCCGTCAGCTCGACGTTGGACGAGAAGGGAATCGTCGCGTTGTACCGGCCGGCGATCGGGTTGGCTGCTGCAATGATGCCGCAGCGCGCCTGCAGCGTCGTCACGATGCCGGCCTTGGAGATGGAAATCGTCTGCTGCTCCATCGCCTCGTGGATCGACGTCCGATCCTGGTCGTTCATCTTGTCAAACTCGTCAATCAGACAGGTGCCCCGGTCCGCCAGCACCAGCGCGCCGCCCTCCAGCGTCCACTCGCTCGTTAGCGGGTCTCGTCGCACGCTCGCCGTCAGACCGACCGCGCTGGCTCCCTGTCCCGTCGCAAACACCGCCCGGTGTGCCGTCTTCTCCACGTATTTGAGCACCTGCGACTTGGCCGTGCCCGGATCACCCAGCAGCAGCACGTTGATGTCGCCGCGCACGTGATGTGCCCCTTTGCGCGTCTTGGCCACGCCGCCAAACAGGGACAGCGCTACGGCCGTCTTGATGTCCATGTGTCCGTAGATGCTCGGCGCGATCGACGCGATCAGCTTGTCCACTACCTGCGGATCCCGTGCCAGCTTGCGGATCGCTTGCTCATCCTCCTCCGTCAACCGGAAGCCCGCTAGCTGGTCGTGCGCCTTGACCACATTGTTGGCCTCCAGGATCGTCGCAAAGACCGGGAATCCGTTACGGTTGTTCAGCTGCGCGTCGTAGTTGTTGCGGTAGATCCCCGTCACTTCAATCTCCTCACCCGGCTTCGCCCGGTCGATCAGGTCCCACAGCAGAATCACCTCGCGGTGCCGCGGCAACCGGCCGGCCGGCACCGTCCCTGGTGACTCCTGCAGCGTCAGCTTCTGGTAGTTGCGGTACACCGTCTTCTCCGAGTTGAGCGTGAACGGTCCGCGCGACTGGCAGCTCTGGCAGTACGACACCTTGACCTCCACATTGGCTTCTTGCTGGAACGGCCCCAGCGTCACGCCGCACTTGGTGCAGTCGAACTTGACGTATTTGAGCTGTGGGAACACCCCGCTGCGCCGCGTCACCACTCCGCTGACCCGCACCAGACAGTTGAGGTGTGACTGCCGCAGCTGCCGCAGCGTGTAGTGCACCGGCAGCTCAAAGATCCGCACGTGGATCTCCGAGTGAATCCGCTCGTAGTCTGGGTAGTGCAGCAGCACCACGTCCATCGCCACGTCGTCAAACAGCTTGAGCATCTCTGCTGGCGCGTTGGCCAGAAAGTACGCCAAAATCGCCTTGGCTGATGAAAGATGGTCATACGACACCTCTAGCGACTCTGCGTTGATCTCGCCCAGCGTCCGGATCCGGCTGCCATACACCGACGACCCGCTCTCGTCCGTGTACTCTGTCAGGAACGCCTTGAACTCGCGCTTGATCGTCCGCTGCACGGCTGGCTGCGACACCCATTCCGTCAGGCTGCCGGCCTTGACGTCCTGCAGCGCCTCCAACGACAGCTCCTCGTCCATGATGTCGCCGTCCAGCATGTCGTCCGGGTCCTCGTCGTACCGATGGCGCCGCCGCCGTGGCTGTGCCGTCAGGTCCATGTCGCCGTCCTCGTCCTCGCCCGGCAGAAACGCCGCCGGCATCCGCTGTCGCCGCACCACCTCGCGGTCACGTCGGTTGAGCTGCGCCTCCAGTCGTCGTCGCTCGCCCAGGTCCATCGCGTCAAAGTCCCCGTCGTCAATGCCGATGCCCTCGTACTCGTCCGTCTCGTCCTTCTCGCGGTAGTCCCGCTCAAAGCCCTCACGGAACAGATCCACGTCGTCTTCCGCCATCTCGTCCAGGTCGTCAATGTTGTCCTCAATATCCAGCGCCTCCTCAATGTCGTCGTCATCGTCCCGGCCGTGTGCAATGTCAAACCCCGGCGGTGACGACGGCATCGGGCTGGACCCCATAGCGGCCGGCGATACACCGTCATCCGCAACACCGCGAGCCCGCTTTCGGCTCAACCTGGGCGCCGCCCCGCGGTTCGCCGAGGCCATGTTTGGGCGTAGAGGGGAGCTGCGTCAGCTGTTAGCAAAGACCGGCACTTCGTCCTACAAATGATCGCATGCCCACCTCATCTTTGCTGGCCGCCTTTTATGCGTTTTCAATATTTCTTCACAGGTGCGAAAGTGCTGGTGTTTGTGCGTTCCTGGCTGACGATGGAACAACGAAAAAAGGAGTTCTGGCAAATCGACAAATCGGTGGGGGAAAAAAAGAAGGGGCGAAGCGCCCTTTGACGCGTCTCGTTCGCGGCCTGACGCGAAGTTTAATTGACACCAAGCCTATTATGGAGAGCGCGTTCATTTGCCGGGTGTTGCACTTGCCCCACCCATTAAACATGCTTTACCTCAGCCACGCGGAGTTCTCATTCTAGTACGGCGTTGATGCGCAGACGTGAATGCATCCAAAGCTGGCTACAGTATCATCATCTCATTCTTTTCTGACACCTGGCGCAAACCGAAGGATGGACTCACAGACTGCACATGATGGGTCGGCAGAAGTCGTCGATGCCGTATTGCAACAACAGGCGCCGCCAACAGCGCGTCGCCAGAGCTCATCGCAAGAGTCCGAAGACTCTCAAACAGCTGCCGAGTAAGCTCTTCATAACGTCTGCTCCTACTGCGGACGCCCTACATACTGACTGGATTGTAGTTTCATCCGCAGCCAGATGCAGCTCGAAGCGGACGCTCGCGAAGCTCTACCTTACGTATGTTCACTCATTAAAGCGCCTCAATAAAGTCCTGCGTTTGGCTGATCGTTCTGCGTTTGTCTGCTGACTTTTCAGAGCATCGAAACATGCACCAAGCCATTGGGCCGACTGCGCCAAAATGTGTTTGCCTGCTTGACCTGCAACCCGCCTCCCGACAACCCAGACCAGGCATACGAGAAGCCGGCCGGTATCTGCTATGCCTGCTCGGTGCAGTGCCATGGCGAACACAAGCTCGTGGAGATCTTCACTAAGCGCAACTTCACGTGCGACTGTGGCACCACGCGCTTCCCTGACACGAGCCCATGCACCTTGCGCATCAACGAGGAGACGAACACAAAGGGCAACGTCCACTCGGAGGTGCCTGATGCGGGAAACAAGTACAACCACAACTTCCGCAATCGGTTCTGCGGCTGCGCGTGCGACTATGACCCGTTCGAGCAGAAAGGCACCATGTACCAGTGCTTAGGCCTGGGCACACATGAGACTGGCGGCTGCGGCGAGGACTGGTGGCACCCGGGATGTGTAGTCGGCCTGGGCCCTAAATGGTTTGAGGATGTCGCGACAGCGAAGGAGGACGAGAAGTCCGTGGCAGTGCCGACCAGCAGTGCCAATGCTCTGCCTACTATCTCCGAGGACGATGTCGAGGGAGCGCAGAACGACGGTACGGAGACGGCAGCAGCAGCAGAAGATGGAGAGGGGGGCGAGGACGACGATCCACCGCTGCCGGCAGGCTTTCCCAAGGAGGAGGAGTTTGAGGGCTTCATCTGCTACAAGTGCGTGGAAGCCTATCCTTGGATCAAGCGCTATGCAGGGGCTCCCGGTTTTCTGCCTGCCGTCTTCTTGCGCGAGACAACCACGGATCTCCCTGTTTCTCGGAAGCGCAAGGCTGAGGACGAAGCAGACGAGGGGCTGGCGGATGGAACGACTGCCCAAGAGCCTAAGCGGATCCGCAGCGACGACCAAGCGAAAAGCGGCCCGGTTGGGGGTGAGGAGCACAAAACGCAGTCTGAGACGGCGCGCATGCTCGCCTGCAAGTTCCAAGTTCTGCCGCCGGCGCCGGCGACCGGCCGCTTTTCGCTCTTTTTCACGGAGTCGTTCCGCGACCAGCTCTGCCGATGTGCCGACTGCTTCCCGAAGCTGCGGCCGCATGCGCAGCTGCTCGAGGAGGAGGAGACGTACGAACCACCGGTGTCGGATGACGGCAGCGCCGACGGTGGCGATGGAGGGTCTGCAAACGGACGCAACAGCGGAGGCGGGCCGTCGCAGGGCAGCGGTAGCCTGTACGATCGCGGAGAAAGCGCGCTGCAAAACATTGACCGGGTGCGGGCCATTGAGGGCGTGATGGCGTACAACCAGCTCAAGGACAAGCTCAAACCGTTCTTCCAGCAGTTTGCCGAGAGCGGGCAGGCCATCTCAGCCGAGGACATCAAGTCGTACTTTGCCAAGCTGCGGGGTGACGAGCAGGCAATCCGTGAAGCTGGCGAGGCGGCCAAGTCGGCTGACCACCGGCAGGAACAGAGCGGGTATTAAGATCAGGTAGGGTAGCAATGGCAGGCAGTGGGTAGCTGGACTGCAGGTAAGATACAAAGGCTTGGGGAAATCGGTGGGCTTTTTATGTAGGACTTGTACTTTCATTAATGTTCTTGTGAGATGGTGGGCAAAGGTACCAGACGGTTAATACAGGAACGTCTTTACGGGAACGGAACTGGACAGTACTCGTCAAGCTTTATTTCTGCATATGCAATAAAACGAGGAGGACTTCATAAACAGCCTGCTTCGTTCAAACCAGCCAGTAATTAAAGCTGTTCAGAAGCACGTGATCTCCCAATTGTTCCGCGTCTTCAATCAAAGGCCCCCAGAAGAGCCGGTGCTGCTGGCAGCACTAGACGGTCGCGGCGGCAGCATCGGAGCAGCGACACTGCCGGTGCTCTCATCCGAGTCCGGCACTGCTTCCCGCAGCTGCGCGGCCGCGCTGCCCATGCGGCTGATGCTCAGCGGCGTGGGAGCCGACGACGGCGCCTGGGGCACGGCGGGAAGGCCTGGGTCGCCGGCGCTGTTTTCGTAGTGGCTGAGGCTGCTGTCGTCATCATCTTCATCGTCGTCGTCATCGTCGTCATCGTCATCTTCGCCATCGTCGTTCTCGATGCCGTCTGTGGCAGCTGTGGCGGCCAGGGCCAGCTCGTCCAAACTGAGGCTCTCACCATCGACAGCTGCTGTGCTTGCCATCAAGGCAGCATCTGACGGGACGTCTGCCACGACGGCCACGTCTGCCTCGTCAGCCACATCGGCCTCGTCGGCCTCCCTGGCCCGGTACGTCGCCTTGGCTGCCGCCTTGGACGCGGCCTTGGCGAGGTCGTCGTACTGGTCATCGTATTGCTGTCCGTACTGCTGCTGCTGCTGTAACTGCTGCTGCTGATGGAACTGCAGGCGCTGCTGATGCTGGTGTTGGTGCTGGAGCAGCTGCTGCTGTTGGTGTTGCTGGTGCTGTTGTTGCTGCTGCAGCTGGATCTGCTGCTGCATCTGTTCCTCGAGGGCCTTGCGCTCGAGCTCGCGCAGGCGGATCTTCTCGGCCGGATCGACAAGATCATCATCGCCGCTCCAGGCGTCCGGATCGTCGTCAGGCAGACCCGGCATGGCCATGCGCTTCCAGAAGCGCAGCTCCTGGCGCTGGGCCCGATCCTGCACCCGGCGCTCCCAGCGGCTGGGGTCCTCGTCGTAGCGTCGCCGGAAGTCGCGCAGCATCGCGTTGGCCGTGCCGGCATGTCGCTGCAGGTCCCAGATCTGATCACGCAGCCGGCTGTTCTCGGCACGCGCTTCGGCCAGCTGGTGCCGGTAGCTGCGGTGCCACGCCGCCACGTCCGCCACGTGCCGCTGCTTGTACGCGTGGAACTGCTTCAGCATGTCTGCCAGAGTCGTCGCGTACTGTGCCGCCAGCGCCGCGTTGGCCTCCTTCGAGTGCTTGGCTGCCTCGAGCGCCTCCGACAGCACCGAGATGGTCTCGTCGAGGTTGAGGTCCTGGTCTGTGACTTGTGCGTCAGCTTCCGTCTGCCTCGTCTGCCTCGTCCCTCCGTCCGCACTTCTCGCCACTCACTCTGCAGGTCCTCCACCGCCGCCGCAATCAGCGACTCGTTGCCCACCTGCTGCGTCCTCGCTCGATTCCGCACACGGCCCACTCCCGTCACCACGTCGTCCAACACCCGCTTGTTCTCCGCCAGCTGCCGGCTCAGCTCCTCCACCATCGCGTGTATGTAGCCCAGCTCTGCTGAGTAGCCTGCCGGCGCCGGAAAGCCGCCCATGCCGCCGCCCAGGCCTCCGGGCGCCTGCGCTCCAGCGCCGCCGTTGAGGCCGTTCATCGTGAGCGATGCAGTCGGCTGTGCTATCTCGGTGCGGTTTGTCGATGCGGGCGTCGATGCAGGCGTCGGTTCCGCCAAAAACCCTTTTGGATGATGGCGCAGAGCAGACAAGAATCGAAAGATGCAATGTGGTGTCGTTGGGATCGATCGACCAGACGGTTACTGTGATGTGGGCAAAGATCCAATATTCGCGTCTGGCAAAATGGCTCCAAGCTGCTGATTGGCTGGCCAGCTATCGCCCGGAGTGTAGCGCTTCGGGCTGTTGCGAGGGGCTGCCAGCTAAGAGCTATCGATGAGAATTAGCGCTCCCTTTATTATTCTACACCTCCGCAACAATGTTTTGAAGCGTTAGATTTATTGCGCGGCAACGTACTCCATACTTTCGTAAAATTCATTGGCCATAGTTAAAACAGGAAGACGCAGTGGATATAGTGAAAGCAAAAGATTCAGAACCGAGCGCCATAGTCATCCCTCTCTGCCGCTATTTCAGTGGCAGTTGAATGAAGTCGTCAAAGTGCGACCAGTCTGTCTTCAGAAGACCTTGCACGTCCTTGTCTACAATGATACGGCAATCTTTCTTGTGGCCGTTCTCGGTCCAGCCGACTGTCTGGCAGTCCTTGACAAGTCAGCTGGATAAGCACAACGCGCAGCTGGAACCAGAGCATGGAACAAACCTTGTTACAATACCAAAACATGCCACACTTTGCACATTTGTGCATCTTTTCCTTTCGTGCATCGCATCCATGGCAGGTTTTCATACCGTCCGCACGGTCAGTTGAATATCTAATCACCCGGTCGCTGAGCCGCAACAGGTCGTCCAGCGACATTGGTATGATCTAAACAAAGTGATGTCAGGGTTACCGAGACTGCCTGTGACCATTGTACGATGTGCGTTAAGAAAGGAACGTATATACTTTCACCGAATTGATAATCTCCTCGCGGATGCCAACGCTCCCATTGAAAAAGTCGTGCTGCACTCCGTACAAATTCAGCACAGTATGCCCTGGTTTGGTCAGCCGACTATCTATTTCTAAGCCGCGGCCGTCCGTATAAAATGCGACCCGGACAAGGTTTCCAGCCTTGTCCTGCACATTGAGAACGAGGCGGAAGAGCCGTTCGACTTCGACGATCTCAGACAAAAAAGCCCAGTGCTTCTTGTAAGCCGCATCATCGGTAAAATAGTCAGGGTCTAGATCGTGCTCTTCTGGTAGCCTTCCATAGGCTGGAAACACCCTGTTGTCTCGGAAGCTAGCAAATTGCTGGCCTTTGGCTCTGGTGGCTGCCATTCTAAAGAGGGCTGAATTCGGTGAGACTGCAGTGACAACAACCTGGTGGAGCAGAAACGGTGAGCACAGAAGATGAGCAAGTAGCACGTGATCTTAAAGCAATTATTCGGTAAGCGCTTCATCAGCGCAGCGCGATTACCCGTAGGTCACAGCTCTCCGGCTAGAAGTACTAAACGGGTTTCTGATAACGATCTTACGACATGCTACTATGTAAGAGACTCCCATCGTTTCTGGGCAGAGTGTATAACTCGTACGATGTACTCCGTACGGAGTATGGAGTAGTCAAAAGATCGTTGATTGTCAGTCATGTAGTCGCGGCTTGGCTAGAAAAAGTGGAGCGAAATTCGAAGGGAAAGATAAGAAACAGAGTACACGAATTTGTGTGGCCTTACATATGTATCTAAGGTACATCTCTTTGTACAAATACGTATCTATCGTATCATCTTATCTTTCCAATTTTAGACTTCCATCGAGGATATCTTACTCTGAGTAGGACTGTTGACTAAAGACCTATTATCTAAGCATGGGCAGTTTTCTAATTAGCTCTTATGTTTTATTAGGTACGATAGAAATCAGCATGTGTTATATACATTTACATCAAGTATGTACTTGCGGACCGGAGATCGAGAGATGGAGTATTGTACTTTCGTTACCCGTACGCTACATATTTTCCATACCTAGATCCATTGCGGTTAGAACCGTAGGCTAACCCATTCTTTGGCATTTCTAGAATAAGTTGATTCCCGTCTTGGTGTCTTTTAAGAGTCCTGTAACTAGCTGACGCCCTCGTGGAAATAGGCCTAACAACGAGGCAGTGAATGTCACTCTAGTTTGCAGCAGCGAGGCCAACTCGAAAGTAGCTTGTATTCCTATATGACTGACTTCTATCTAGCAGAATCAGCGCCTTACTCTATTAAAGCCCATAAATACTTGGTCCATCCGACGCGCTCCTTCATGGGCTTTTCTGCGTCAAGGACCTCCTGCAGGCCAGTTGTCATGTCAACCTCCTCAGCTGGGATAGCCCATTTATCTTTATAGAACCACGCGCGGTGGCCAAAGTACATAACGAGGAATATGGGAATACCGATGTAGTCTGTCAGGAAACTGCTGGCGGACCATTTGTCCGGCCAGAAGACGGTGAATCCGTTGGTCAAACAGGCCAGGGTGAACATGAAGATGGAGATGTACGACCCCCACGGCTGCAGCCAGTGCTGATACGGTGTCTCGATGCTCTGGGCCTTGCAGGCCTTGCGGAAGCGCAGGTAGACTATCGAGCAGCACACCCAGGAGATCATGCCCCAGGTGTTGGTGAGGTTGACGAACCAGTTGAACACGACGGAGCCGGACGAGGCGACATTGAGGTAGCCCAGACCGCAGAAGAGAGAGCTGATGCCGACGGCAACGTAGGGAACGCCCCAGCGGTTGCAGGCGCTGCAGAACTTGGGCGCAGAGCCCTGAAGCGAGAGCGTGTAGAGAGAGCGGCTGGAGATGTAGAGGAAGGAGTTGCCCGAAGACCAGGCCGAGATAAGGATGACGGCGTTGATGATGTGCGGGAGGACCGGGATGCTGGCGTTGGAGATGGCGACGACAAAGGCAGAGGAGCCCGCACCGGCGCCTCCGTCGGTGAGCCGGGGGTCGTTGGCCGGGCAGATGACGCCGATGGCGAGGACGGAGAAGATGTAGAAGAAGACGAGACGGTAAAAGTAGCGGCGCGAGGCGATAGGCAAATTGCGGCGCGGGTTCTCCATCTCGCCGCCGGTCACGACGATCAGCTCGGGCGCAAAGGTGAAGGGGAAGACGCAGGAGATGAAGGTGTGCCAAAATGAGACGAAGAGACCGGTGTTGCCGGTCAGATGGCCCCAGGTGAAGGCGGCGCCCGGATGCTTCCAGTAGCGGAAGCCCAGCCGATCGCGAGACGGGCCGCCACCCCAGAAGAGGATAAAGGAAAGCATCAGGAGGCCGATCATCATGATCACCTTGGTTCCGGCAAACCAGAACTCGGTCTCGCCGTAGAAGCGCACGGGCATAAAGTTGAGTGCGACGATGACGACCATCATGATCGTGATCCAGACAGCAATGTTGACGTCGTTGGGCCAGTAGTTGATGACCAGACCGGCAGCGGTGATCTCGTAGGGCACCAGGATGCCCAGGGCGTACCAGTACAGATAGCCGAGGGCGAAGCCAAAGGACCGCGACACGTAGCGGTAGCCGTAGTAGGACATGCTGGCACCGTGGACCGGCAGATAGGCGGCCACCTCCGTGATGGCGGTCACGACACAGAGAACAAGGAACGTCATCAGGATGTAGCCCGCCAGGATGAAGGCCGGACCGCCATTGGCAAGCGTTTGGCCGGACCCGACGAAAAGACTAGGGGTGTCAGTGATGGAAAGAGAGAATGAAAAAGTTGAGCTGGAAAGGCAAGGACAAGTCGCATAATGACAAGACGTACCCTGTTCCAATTGTTCCACCCAGGGCGATCATCTGGGCGTGACGACTCTTGAGGCCACGATGCGTGATCTCGGCAGTGTTCTCCAGATCGTCGCCGCCGATGAAGTGCGTGACGCCGGTCTGCTCGTCCAAGGCCAGCTTCATCGAGGGGCTGGGCCCCTTCTCGGGGTCTTTGATCTCGTATGCAGACATGCCGGTAGTGTGGCAGCTCCTTGACAGAGCTTCGTTATCGGGGAGAGACAGTAGGATAGCTGCAGCTCTGACAGCAAAGGAGACGAAACTGCACGGCACAACCCAGAGAGTCGGGACGATCTACGACTAGAAAGGGACGAGCAGCAGCAGCAGCGCAGGGTGCCACCCGTTCCTTAAGAAGAAAGGCACCGCGCATTGAGCAGGACCGGGCGCGTAATATTCCGCCGATCCTTTGTCACCACAAAGTACGGGAAGCCCGTCTTATCTCGCCAAGCCACTGGTGGCAATCGCGAGTAACATCGCTTATGCCGAGACACCCACGGATCAAACAGCGCGAGCGATAAGAACGGAGACACTGGCCCGGTCCCCATTGTTGTACATGGTAGCATAGGCCTCTTTTCGGTGCCTGACTTCAGGTACCCTTGACACGTGTTGACGTGGTTTGGGACCTGTGTTTTGTACCAAGCAGGACCAGACGCACCCTTGTGTGCCCTTCCTCTTTGATGCAAGCGGAGCGTGCTGGGACGCTATTGGGATGACTGTACTCAGCTTCTGTCTTGCCCGTGGGGAAAAAGTGGACCGTCGGCCGATAAGAAGGCTCGGATCAGGGACTTCCACTAGACGTAGGACCATGGTGGCGCATCTGTCCTCTGTAAGCCTGCGCTGAGGAGCTAGCCGGAAAGAAGAAAGTACACACGAACACTACATAGTAAGATACGTTCCGTGGTGGTCTACTCCGTACTCGTCTGGGTATTGTGGCTAAGCTGCTAGGCGTGCTCTGCTATTTTTGGGGGGCGAGCATCAGATACCGTGAGTGGATCATTCTTCCCACGCCAACCTTGAAAGGCCAAATTCGTCCCTTATCTTTCTCTTTCCTTATGTGCTGTATGTATGTATTCCGTATGACTTATCTCCTCTAGTCTCCTTTTATTGCTTCTTACCTCTTTCTTTATGTTAACGTACGGGCAACTCAAACAGGCCTTTGGAAACTTGACTATTGACAGACAATACGTACTCTGTACGCGATCCCCACGCATTGGACGCGTACAGAGTATTGTTAGTATGTGACGCAAATTGACCAGCTCGTTAGTCGAGGAGGTTGTGCTACAACCGGACCAGAGAGTTTGCGCTGTATGCCACGTTTGTCACACTGGCCAGATCTTTGGCTTAAGGCCACATACTGCTTAATACCACCCAGACGCTGCACTCTAACGAGACAAGTGCTGACTAACGTCAGGTACTGGTTCACGTAGTGTGTTGTAGACGCAACTGTTGCTGGTGCTGTCAGTGCTTGATTAACATCATGTAACTATCAGGCTGGATATTATACGTTGGCATGTTTATAGGCTTAAGGAACATGTGTCAATGATTTTTTTAGGCTGGCTTGCTCCTGCTAATTTGGGTAATGTCGACTTTACGCCCGTCTTGATTATCAAAGCAGGTCTCTAACGGTCTCTTCGGATATGTTGATCGTTAAAGAAGACACTACAGACCAATGACGCGACTGAGTCAAAAATAGTAGGCGGTACTAGTGTCCAGGAGCCGTTTCAACCCCAGGTTTTGTTACTTAACGACGGGCGTCTTCTCCACTTTAAAGGACGGCTGTAAGGTGACGGTAGTCAATTCAATTCCCGATTCGCGAGCATATTTCATAGCGTAACTATAGATCTGTGGAAGTCAATAGAGAAGTACACGTGGCCGCGGCGGGTAAATACTGTCACATGTGGCAGGCAATTAGAGGGTTTTTGGTTCAAAGTTAGCAGACAGTAATTGACTTCGGTGTGAATGGTGTGAAACTGGATTTAGTTTTGTAGCAGTAAAGGCCACGTATAAGTTTCCTACGCAAGACACGTTTACAAATTAAAGCCTTTATATTTTCCCCATACTAAGAGAGGAAGTTGGCAATCAATCATCACTTGTTACAAAGAATCATTGGACGGACACACAACCGCCTTGATGGTGTCGTTAGACACAAAGGTAGTCTACATTCATTGAGCAGCGGCTTGTCGATGGCCTTGTTCTTAGGCTACTGTGATACAGAATTTAAGATATTATACATATTATCATCATATTGAGCAGTAGCTACCAACGAATATACCAATGGTTTGACTGATATCTACATGGTAACATCACACATATAACTAGCAAGAAGTCCTTGGTTCGATTCTGCAAAAACTCTGTCGGTGTAAGTTTTCGCTTCGTGTTTTAGCCAGTCGTTCAACAATGGCTAGACGAGTATGAAGCACCTCCTAATCCCAGCTCTACGGGGACGAGACTATTGACAGATTACAGAAAAGCACTAACAAGACGCCGCTTGGGTTCTCAGACGTTGCGGACGTCTGTGTTATACAGTGGAACCACGTGGCTATGTCTTCGTGTAAATGCATCGAGTATAAAATAAACGAGAAACGGTATTGTGCTAGCAGACCAGATATGGCACCAGAGAATTTCAGACTTACAAGCCTAGAAACTAATTTTCTATTATTGTCGGATCATGTGAGTGATCCCAGGAGAGGATTATTTCTGTTAAGTCTCCTGCCAGCTACGGAGTACTCGAATAAAAAAAATCCCGATCTCGCTCTCAAATCAAATCCAACCCCGTGGGGTTGAAACAAGTTAAAACAAGTTACGAGTACTAACGAGCAACAGGCTAGTCACATAGTGTCTGACGGAGATCGGCCTGCAGGTACAAGTAGAGCCGGTCCGCGCAGACCACCACCCGGCAGGGAGAAGCGCCGCGGTGCGGCGCTTTAACGACGTCGACTGTTGATGCGTCTATAACGTCTATGGCACTTTCGAGCTTTAGTGTAAACTTAAGCCATTGCTGCCATCAAGGCATCCTCACGCAGTGCAGGCAGTCGTCAAACGGCATACTCCAGTCCGTTGGACAAGTCGTCCGGATGGGGGAAGGCAGATTTTGCAGGAAGTGGCTCCGCCAGCTTATGCCAACAGTTTCCCTGCCGGCATGGGCTGCCAGAAATTTCTCTTGAATTATGGTATGTGAGCCGATTAATGTTACATAGGGCGAGCCGTTTAATCCTTTCGGCTGGTATCTTAGCCCGCCGGAGTCGACTGCGTTGTACGGGACTACCCGTTACGGAATGGTCGGCAATTGCATGTCCCAAATTGCAGCCGCAGTGCTCGACGACGGGGCTGTCGGGTCCGAAAGCCTTGGAGCGGCCTTCAATGTTGGGTATCAAGCTCTGTAGGTCTGGTAGACTTTAGACTGTGAAGTATGTATAGAAGACATGGGATACGGCAACGTCCCTTGATCTTGCACAAATTGTTTGCGACTACATGACCGAAAATGCCTTATTAAGCATTTAGTTCTTGTAATCCACGAAATTCCGCTTTGGTGTATCTTCTCCCCTGCACTCCTTAAGTAATACAATCAACAGTCTTATAAGTCATCACGTTATTCGACAATCTTCCCATCCTGCGCCACACGTCTTCATTTCACACCCATTCTGGTCACCCCATTCGACAACACTAACGCCCTTGCTGAATTTGTTGCGCCAGCCTCTCTGGATCGAGCTAGCTTCCTAAGAGAGTATAGAACGTCCTGACCAATGGCAGCCATAAGAAAGAGAGACTGGCAACGGTAACCGGCACATGCCGTCCAAGGCCCAGGCCTTCCCCATGTCAGGTCCGGTTTAGTTGACTGCAGAGGGCTCTCTGATAGGGTCGAGCAATTCCTTCTGAATGCGGTTAGGGAACATTTCAACAATTTGTTCTCCACCCGCTGGCTCCGATTGGATGGCAAGGATCAAGAAAATAGCGTCAACAACAAGCTGCAGACAGAAGGTGACGCCTAAGACCCAAAATGTGATAGCCCCATTAAAGGCCCCAGCGCCGTATTTGCTGAATTGGATACCGGTGGACCCTGTCCAAAAGAATGGGACAATAAGGTTGTAGACAGCCAGCTCTTTGGGAAACAACGGCTTTTCCCGCTGGTCAATAATGATAGCATAGGAGAAGCAGAAGTTTTGCACCATGAACGTCTGCCACGGCATCAGGGTGCAGATCCAAAAGAGGTCGTTTAGGGACTGGGTGATGCCTGGGTCCCGATCCGGGCGGTATGACGTCGTTGCGAGCATAATGCCCGGCAGGACGAAAGTCCAGAGTCCGGCAGCCGCGGCGCTTAATTGGAGTTGCTGCACGACATAGTGAAGGTTTGGGATACGACGCATCTGGCTGGAGATGGCAGCGCAGAACGGCATGTAAAACAGGCCAGAGAGCACAATCAGAGATGCCCCGATACGAGCTCGGTGCGTATGTTCTTGAAAGAAATACGCGGTTCGCTCTGCCGTCCACCATGGCTTGACAGGGGGCCAGAAATTTGCCACGATAAACCCTAGCCCAAAGAGGATCGAAGATAGAATCCCACTAGCTGCACAGACGTATTGAAAGGCATGAGGGGACATGTAGCGCGACCGGGCGAGCCTGGCCCACATGCGATTCACGGATGCGGGACGATGAAGGCCCATAATTGTGGTTGAGGGAAGTAGGTAGGAGAAAGAATGATGTTTGTGAGAGGGAATATCGGATTCGGATTGTTGTGCCGAGAGAACAACGCGTGTGACTGGGTAGGATGGAGACGCAAATTAACGAAGACTCTAGTTGTTGGATCTGGCTGACCTCCAGCTTATACTCCTGCATGGCCAAAAATCGACCCAATTGCGGTATAGTTTGTTTGCATCCACTTTTTCTGACGGTCAAACTCCTATGTGATCTGCGTCTTCTTGGTCGCATGCGAGCGACTGTAGAATATCGGCGCCGAGAATCAGATTCTGGCATGATTGCACAGACCGTGTCTGTAGTTTACGCAGCACTTGAAATATCGGTGCCGAAGAAGCTCGGCACCGAGGTCACATTACAGAATTAAACATACAACTGGGTTGCTTTTTTGCGTCCGTAAGTCTGGAAGTCATACGATGGTGACGTGTATTTAAGTGCCTGTCCTTATTAGAGTTTGATCGTGCCACGCCCCACTATAGATCACTTTATATCGTTCTACATATTACTATCGGTCCCTTTCTTAGTAAGACTCCTACGATTTAAGAGCTTATTCTAGGAAATCTTATATTTTTAACACACTAGAATTACACTTTAGAGTTCTAGTATCCTCGCTAACTCGTTTCTCGAATCTCTTTGCTGGACGTATCGACAGCCTTCTCCTCCTCGAGGGACATGCCATTTACATCGCCAGTCTCTTCCGCGGCTGTTTGTGTCGCCCGCTGCTTATCGCGCCGTTGGCAGATTGTGATAACAGCGACATTGACAAGGAAGAGCCCACTGATGCATGTGGCCTATTTTGATTCGGTGTTAGGAAATCAAAGGTAGTCGGGAAAGGACTTCAAAACTCACCCAGATGAAGCCGCCATGGAAGGTTGGCGAGTGCGACACCTGCCAAACCACCAGAGGAACCACCAGGCCTGCAACCTCGCCGAGAGTATTCTGAACGGCAAACACGATGGAGCGGGTCTCGAGATCGCCAGCCAGCGCCTCGGCCGTCCAGGTGACCAGCAGCGGCCCGACGCCGTGCGCGGCACCTAGCGCAATGTATGCGTAGAACTTAAGGCCATAGGGGATGTGCCACACGGCAAGAACAACGTTGGAGAAGACGCAGAGAATGCCGGCCAGAGTGGCAGCCTCCCAGCGCGAGCCGCTCAGGTCGGTATAGTAGGACACGGCTATGGCACTGACGACAGATACGGCTGAAGAGACGGTGCCGAGATCGTTGACCTTGGGAACGGAGTAGCGGCCATGCTGAGACTTGAGCCAGAGGAGATAGGGCGTGTTGTAGCCGTAGAGACAGGTAAAGAAGATGACGGTGAGCGGGACGAAGATGTAAAACTCTTTGATCTTGAGCACGCGGGCGAAGAGACTCTTGTTCAGCCCCAGCGTCGGCATGAAGCCGTCGGCCTCAACACGGCTGCGTGCGAGCTTCTTCTCGTCCTCGGTCAGCCACCTTGTGGTGGTCCGCTCAGGGATGTCGGGGAAAAAGACAAAACCGCTGTTGTATCTGTTAGCTGAGCTTCCTTCAGCAGGATCCTAGAACGACCGCGTACACGATGCTGATAGGAATCGTAATGATTGTGCATATAATGAACAACCATCTCCACCCCTCGAGGCCGTGGTTTCCGTTGAGGTTTTTGTAGGCGGCCGCTTGCAGATAGCCAGCGAACATGGTGCCGAGCGGGTTCGCGCACCAGAACAGGGCGTTGCGTCTGCCGAGCTCATTGCGCTTGTACCAGCTGACATTGGAGAGGAGTGATTAGCTTGTGGTTCCTATAAATGGCCTTTTGTGCCGTGCAACGTACGAGTTAATAACATGTAGACAGCCGATGTAGCATGCAGTGGAGCTTAGGCCGACGAAAAAGCGCATAACCACCAGTTGATTGTAGTTTTTTATGAATGCCGTCCCCAGAGTAAACATGCCCCAGAAGATCTCCACGGCCGGAAGGTAGTAGTGGGCCGGGATCTTGGTGACGAGGATGTTGCTTGGTACCTGGAAGACGACGTATCCGACTTCGTCTACACAATGTGTGTCAGAAAATTTTCTCATTTTTCTGGTCCATTACAGGAGGTGGGTATGGGGCATACAAGCTGCGTTGATGTAGTTAAGCCGGTTGCCTGTGAGGTGCAGATCCTCTTTCATGCCAGAGACGTATGCGTTGCCTAATTTGTGATGTTAGTTACTGGTTTGAGATAAGATGAGATGAGATGAGATAAGATACCACGCACTGAGAGCGGACACGTCCAGATACTTGGTGAAGAACGAGAGACACGCGTAAGTCAACACAAGCCAGTCAATTTTGGCGACAAGACGTCTCTCCTCGGCCGACATGCCACGAGGATACCAGCGGATAAACTCCGCAAAACGTGTGCCCAAACCCATGGTGTTGGTACGGATGCAAGACGGGACTAAGTAAGGGTGCCAAGAAGCAAGACAGTATGCCACGCATGCACGTCTGGGATCTGATGCCTGTCCGGTCGGTTTATAATGAAGTATGCAGGCAAAGAGTATGAAGAAAAATGTGTCAAGGTAATTGCGCCATCGATGCCATAATGTCGTTTCCTTACTTCTTTACCATTTTCTGTCTACGTCCCCACACAAGCTCGATCAGACGGGGCAGGAAGTCGTCTTGCCCACAAGGCACACCAAGCTAAGCCTGGCTACTTACGACGGACTAGGTGGAATAAGGCTAGATGGGGCGCTGTGGTCGCTTCCCTGCAAGGCCGAGTGGCAGATATCCGTCTCCGTCGGGATATCCGAACTTTGACGCACGTGGAAGTTTAACTTTGACTCTTGAGGCTCCGACTATAAGCAAAAAAGCAAAAGAAGAGTGTTCATGGCGGACAGAATGGAGACCCAATTGTATAAGGAAAAACGAGACTGTCTTCTTTCCGGATGGGAGTCGACAAACACTCTTCCGGGATGTTCAAGACATCTGCACTACAACGGAAGATACTGCAGATACTTTAGCGCACGAGTGACCTGTCCGATTTTAGCATGCAGTAGCCGGATTTGAGTCGGCGTACGGCGCGTTTGACCAATAGGCGTTTGTCGGAGCCGCTGTCAGCCGCCGGAACCATGTGGACCGGCAATTATTGCACGTGGTGTCCGGCAGGCAAAAGAGGTCCACTCCTGCCGTTTTCTTTGTCACAACTGCTCCGACCTCGCGTTTTGCTCGATTCCGCTATCGCTATGGTGTGCTTGATGATTCGTTTGGCCACGTGATACTGATGCTAGACAACTGCATCAATCGTCCCATCCGTTTCCACTCAACACGTCTGCTTTGGAGAGCTGTGTGTATATCTATGGGATCAGTTGCTAAGTTGCTGCCAAATAAACTATCGCCAGCTAGACTTTTTGTATCATGGCTCCCACAAAGCAGAGCTCGATTATCGTTGTTGGTATGCCGCCCGGTGCTACTAGCTCTACGTGTGCGTGTCTCTCTTTGCTTACGGATCCATATACGTGCTCTAGGTGCCGGGGTTCTGGGTCTATCCACAGCTCTTGGCTTGCTCGAAAGCGGCTACGAGAATGTCACCATATTCGACCAGCAAGACTTTGAGGAGTCGGAGTATTCGCCATTTCGAGGAGCCGACTCGGCTTCAGCTGGTCAGTTTGATTTTTGGCTTATTCTCCTGTTCTGTTTGTTCTTTCCACTTCGTCCAAGTGTCAGCTCCCAACACTCCCAGACACCCTAAAAGTCATCCGCTCAGCGTATGGCGGCGCCTCGCTTCACCACTCGCTGGCTACCGAGGCCATTGCCGCCTGGAAGGAGTGGAATGGCGAGGCCGGCCGGGAGCTCTTTGTCAACTGTGGCTGGATGCGCATGAGCGGAACAGGCGACTTGGCCCCCGTCGACGTGGCAACTTTGGCGACCATGGCCGCGGCCGGTCAGGGCGCCACGCAGTATCGCGTCGGCGATCCGGAAGACCGCCAGCGGGCAAGGCAGGACGGCTGGCCGACGACAAAGGTCGACCCGTTTGACCGCCTACGTCGTGGCTTTGCTTTTGACGGCGTCCTCGACACCCTCGCCGGCTATGTCCACGCCAGCAAGGCCTGCACTTTTGCGCTGCGGAAAGCCAAGCGCCTGGGCGCAAATATCGTCCTCGGAACGGCTGGCCGTGTCGATGCCATCGTATATGCGCCTGCTTCTGCTGTCAGCATCGGTGACCACCAGACCGTCGAGCGTGCCATTGGCGTGCGTACGGGTGACGGCCTGGAACACCTCGGCGACGTGGTCATTGTCGCCGCTGGCGCCCGGACTCACGGACTCGTGCCAGATCTCGCCCAGTCCGTCACAGCCTCGGGTGCAAACATCATCCACATCGACGTCCCACCTAGGCTCCAGGACAAGTTCAGGGCGGACGTCTTCCCGGTCTTTTCCTGGGGATACACGGGATTTGACGAGGACGGTGGCCTCAGCGGCTTTCCCCTTGACGGTAAGACAGGACCGGTCCACTCACCTTTACTTCTTTCAGAAGCTGCTCTGACAGAAAATTTCCAGATGATGGCACCCTGAAGTTCCTCTACCGCTCTCCGAAATGGACAAACCCCATACAATCAGCAGCAACGCCATCGGCTCGGGCTTCCGTAACCTCACGTCCAACAGCCTGGACTAGCAACACAAGGACAAATGTGCCGAAGAATGTCCTCGACGCCGTCAAGGCTTTTATTGCAAGCAACATACCCGACCTGGTCGGCTGCGAGATCTTGATGGCCAAGCTCTGCTGGGATTCCTTTGCATTGGATCTCGATTTTGTCATTGATTGGGTTCCTGGACGGGAAAACCTCCTCGTGGTTGCTGGCGGATCTGGGCACGGTACGTTGCGTTACTACCAACAGTTTAGTGCGTGATCTAATAGCTCTCCCTCTTCTAGGATTCAAATTTCTACCAACGATAGGGAAATATGTTGTAAAGGTGGTTGAGGATCGTCCGGACCAGTATACACAACTGTGGAAATGGAGGAACCCTTCGCCGGAGCAGATGACAAAGTTCGAGGCCTTCATGCTAGATCCACAACACAGATTGGGCCAACAGCAGATGGCTACCATCTCAGATCTTAAGTGGGAAGATAGTCTTGGTGGTGGAGCAAAATTGTAGATGAATCGTAGTTCTATGTCATCATACTACCTTTTCTCCTTAAAATTAGCCGACAATGTAGCATCTGCAGCTGTCCTTGGAGCGTTTCTTCCTGTCCAAAGCCGGAACAGTGCATCGGCATGACTCTGTAAAACATCCAGTGCCGAATATGCCTTCCACTTTGAAATGCGGTCTAGTCTTGCCTGCTGTGATGCTGGCTTAACAACAGCCCCCACGTCTACCATGACTCCCGAGAACTGATCTAACAGACCATCTCCGTCCAATGATTCCAAACCAGTTTCGTCACCGAATACGGCGAGGCTCGAACCTGGAACAAGGGCCGCGCTGACATCCTTCAAGCGAGCGTAGATCTGGAAGGAAATGTGAGGAAAACGGTTACATATCTGACTTGCCGCCTCCTCGTCCTGGCTAACAAGCATGACGTTTTGGATTCCGAAACGTTCCATGGCGTAGTACGCTGCACTTGAACGCGGCTCGACTCCCAGCACGAGGGCAGTGCTGTTTTCCGAGACAAAGCTGCCACTGCTCTTGAGACAAGCCAAGACAGCCATCCAAGCTGTGTTATCACCAGACAGCACCTTTTGGCCACTTTCAGTCGAGATCAAGACCGTGTCGGCAATTCCAATCTGTTCGGCAACAGGAGTCCATGATTGCACATATTTACCGATGGGCTGATTGCAAAGGCTCGGCACGTATGCGCCGCCAAAGTCAGGTCTTGCAAGCAACGCATTGAGATCCTGGCCCACCTCTTCCAGATGGCATGTACTGTAGGGAAAGCCCAAGTCCTCAGATGCAGAAGTAAACAGCGGGGACAGCAGCGAGTCGTATGTGACGGCGGGGCCTGCGAAATAGAATCGCTTACTCGGGAGCTGTCCTAGAAGATGCAAGGCCCGATGGATATCCGAGAGGCACAGCTGGTCGCTTCCCGGAGGCGCAGGGATCAGCTTGTGCGTGACAAAGGTGACGGGCGCGGTGAATCGAGAGAGCTGGCCGCTGGTGCCCATCGCTACAGCAATGATCGGCTTTGATGTTCGCGTCTGATAGTCGCGGACATAGAGGCCGAGTTCGAGGCAGTCATTGATGTCCACGGATTGGATGCACAGCTTGATGATGTCTAGTTGGACAATCAGCACTCAGTGCCACCACATCCCAGACATGGAGCAGACATACCACCAACTGCATCAGCTTCCGTGCACATGGCACGCACAGTCTGGCTTGTCCATTTGATGGAGCCGTCAAATTCGTGGAACGAGGCCACAATTTTCGCCGCTCCCTTTACTGTGAGAATGCCGTCGATCACAAACGATGGCCAGCTCATTTCCACGTCAATGTACTCGCAGCCTTGCTCGGCAGCAAGCTTCATGAGCGCCAGCGCTTCATTGGCAGCATCGTCTGGAAAACGTCCGCCCTGTGAAACGGTGCGCACTGTAAATAAGATGGGCAGCTTCCGGGGCAAGTCCCGGAGAACACGCAGCTGCATCCGGACATAGTCGAGGGGCGGGATAGCGACCGACGATGGCCCCAACAAATCCACCCGAAACTCCCAGCAATCGCCCCCGTAGCTGATCTTCTCGAGGCGATCAACTGCCGCTTCTAAATCGGGGAATTTGAGAGTGACAATGTATGTCTTAAGCCCGGTCGAGTATCTCGCAGAAATCAGGTCCATACTGTGAATTGCGATACAGTACGATAATTGGTAGTTATAGTTGATGCACAAAACATAAAGTCCGTTGCTGTTCTCGCTTTGGTAATCGAAAAGCTACTTTGGAAAAGCCTGGACGCAAGAGCTTTACTGCTGTAAGTTTCTGGTGTTTTCGCAGGATCCACACAAATCCCACTTTCTTGATCACAATTTTCTCCGGTCCCCGCTAATTTGATGTATCTTAGCTGGAGAAATGCAAGTCGATACTTTCTACAAGTGATTCGCGCACCGGCTCCGACGCTCTGACCCTATTCCGTGTTAGTACTTTGTGCAGTGGAAATTCCCGATTTTTCTTCACTAGCTACTGATCCGCGCAACCGATGATCTGGAGTGATGGCATGTTGGTATGTGCCCTTGCGACCATGTAACGACAGCAGTGCAAGAGGGTTACAGACGTCCTCGTTCAGTGGTCTTGCGCCGACTCGTTGACGAGAACGTTAAGGGAGCTGCCCGTAATATTGTCTAGCCAAGTCATGCGAAAGAGGAACCGTTTGTTAGTATCAATAATGCACATACACACTGCATATTTCCTACTAAACAGGCAGGCCTGGACGGCCTGCATCACATAGCACAGGTATCGGTTCATTGCTCAGTCCTTTAAGTAGTCTTCTTTACACGTTCTGATAGGTCTTGCTCAAGAGGAAGGATTTTTCAAAAATGGCGAATGGCTTCCCCCGATCTGACGCCATTAGTTTGCTTTACATGTTTTTAGGCTTACGGCCGGTAAACGTCCGTATATCTTCTAAGAGCCCAATTTCTATATACTGAGAGCGGAGGTAGGGTGAGGCCTCAGCTCGAACCAACAACAACACAAACACCTACTAACGTACGTAAATGTGCACGAAGAGAGGTGCTTGTAAAGCACCTTCCTTCGTCAGAAGGTAGGGGCAGTATGTGGCTGGCTCGAAAGGGAAGAGGGAGGAAAGCCATGCGGGCTTGTCTAGTGATCCCGAAAGGGTTGACAAGGCGAGCCCGCCCGGCGAGCTCTTGGGCGTAATATAGGATTTCACAAGTGTACGGTGTGTATGTCTCTTCGTATGTGATTAATTCAGTGTAAGCGTGCCTGCCTGTTCTTCTCTTAAGGAGAGGGAAGAAGAGAGGGTTTTTATATACATGAAGTGTGTAAGTGGTGACAGAAGGCATGAATTGTTCCACATCTGATTGGTCAGGAAAAGTGGGGTAGGTCATGTGACGATATAGCATCCCGCGAGGGTCCTAACATGTCATCCCGTGCGGCCAGAATAGGTGTTCCTAGGGTGCACTTTTCCTCATCACTCAATACTTGTGAATATGAGAGCCAAAAAAGCCGCGCAAGAAGCGATTATACTCAAAAAAGGGACCTCCCCAGCTTACCTGCGTTTATAAAACTCTCTTTCCCGGCCTATCAAAGCCTCCACAAGACAAGGCATTATCTTGTTGCGCCTTTGCCAGCCACAAACTGCACAAGAAGGGATGTGCGCGAAAGGAATCCTTTCAACTTACCTATGCTTTCAATCCCCCTCTTTCCCAGCTTATCAAAGCCTGCACGAGACTAGGCGTTCTCTTGCTGCGCCTCTGCAGCCACAAACCGCGCAGCTTCGAGCGTTGATGGGGTAGGAGAAAGACTGAGCAGGGATCGGGCTCAGCATATGATAAACCTGGTTCACAGCTTGCGTCTAGACGCTAGAACGGCATCACAGTTTGTGAAGTTTCGACAACACAATCTCTGCCATCTCTGTCGTTATGCATTCGACATTTATTGGAACCCCTTACGACACCCTCAAGGTGGCTCACGCGATCGTGTCTGAATCCCTCTCCGCACATATGAAAGCTTTTCAATGGGCCAACTACAACATCACCACCACGCTCTACAGCAAGCTCGATCTCTGCGATGTCGGCGCCGACTTAGTCCTGAGCAGTACATTGGTCTGGTGCCCTCGCTCAGTGTCTGCCTGGAACTTTCTCTTCTGGCTGCTTTGCTTCGCTACAAATGCCTTCAACCAGCCGACAGGCCGTGTGCTCGGCCTCTTCCACCCCCGGCACGCCGTACTGCGCTCCATGCCTGTCCTTTACGCGACCGACGGCGTCTACTCTCTGCTCACCTGGATGGGTCAGGCTTTCGTAGCTGGCCACGGCATCCGCGTGGGTGCCTCGCATGTCCTAGCCGCCCGACTAGTGCACCCCGATGGTCTGGCCAACGTCGACGCCTTCACGGGCACACGAAGCCACGCTTGGCTGCGCTGGTCATCCTTTGTGGTGGGCGTGCTGCCCCAATATGTCAAGCTCCTGGCTAGCCGTGAGGGCATGCCGGCATGGGTTCTGGCCGTTGAGATCCTGTTCTTGATCCCGTGGGTTGTCTTTGAGCTGCTCACTGCTGCGGCCTGTCCTGACAATTTTAGGGCTCTTGCAATCACCGCAAGGAGTGAAAAGGAGATACGAGAAGCCGTACGTGCGCAAGAAACTGCGGCCAACTGGAGACATAGCTTTCCGGACAGCTGGCTGCGGTCGCACCTCCTCCCTACGTTTTACCCGCAGATAAGAACCCTGCACTAGGACCGCTATTGGGTCATCCTCTCCTGGATCGGGAACCATGCTTTCAATATGTATGTCGTGGTTCCCAAGGTAGTGGCCGCCCATATACGCCATATGAAGTTCCAACGGTCTAGCCTCAAACTTTTCGTCCTGCCTCCAACAATTCTTCAGGTAACAGCGTGGAGTCTCGAGGAATATATCAGCTTGAGCCTAATACTGCCCGACAGCAAGTTGCGGCAGACCATTTTAATATGAGGCGTGTTTTTTACTCCTGTCTAGGCTTCCAAGCAGTCAAGTCAATGCTCCTGCATCTGTTCATTGTTGAAGTTTTGCTCCAAGCGAGTTATGGGTTGTGGACTATATTAACTTTTTCCGACGTTTACTTTGTTTAAATTCTGTTGCCTGTCTCAGTTGTGTTGCTGTGTCAAGGTATAGTTTCCTTTTCGAACGATACTGTACTGTGGCTTGCAAACATTTGTCTCCTGTTAACTATACTCTTAGCGGACTACAGTCCGCAAGGAACCCATCCACCGGAATGGCTGGATTATTTAGGGTGATGTGCGCTTGCTGCGATGGTCGTGCACATCAGATTGCAAGTTCATATTTTAATAAAATGCTGAGAATGTGTCTTAGACAGCAACACAAAACACACTTCAGCACGTTTGGTAACGCTACTCTGGAAGAGGGCGATCAAACTGGGCAGTCCTAACATTTAGTTTTCTTTCCCTATGAGCGCAAAGCACAAGCGGCTCTAGCTAGACGTTGTTAGCTAGGTAATCAAATGAGAGGAGGGCCTCGAAGTGGACGGAATTTGACTTTTTCATGGCAACTATCCTAGTGCTGTCAGTTTTTGATATGTTTCCCTATACGGAATGTTACATACTATCTTTGGACTTTTTATAGTAATCATAACATCCAAAGCAAGCTGTTTCGCAATTATAGTTCAATCGGTTTGTCCCGCCGCGTCTGCAGTTGTCCTTTGGGATCCAGTCGAGTTCGACACACTGTTGATTCCACTGTGCGCGCCGAATTCGGTTATCTCCACGAGGCAAGCTCTGCCATCGGAAATCCTGTGCCCCACACTATTGTCTCAAACCCTCGTTTACGTCGTATACAGAGTACTCCGGGTAGCTATTCGCTGAGCGGATTGCGCTGAATCCGTTTTGGAGATAGGCCTTGGGGCTGAACCAGTCTGCCTTGGCAGCATGGCTTGAAGCGGGGTACGCCCATACGAGCAAGGCGTTATCGTGCCATTATGTAGGGCTATATAATTGGCAGCGGGAACCCGGCCTCGTCATGTATTTATCTCCATCGCTTCGGTAGTGATCCTCGACTCAATCTCCTAGCAATGGCAGCCTTTTTTGCCTGGGGCAATGTGCCCAGGTCATTCGTGGTTGGCAAGGGGTCTGTGCTAGATTAGTAAGTTTGCATCTCATCGCAAATAACTGGCCGGTGTGGTATGCTGAAATTCGTTTTAGCCAAGGCCTACCACCTGATTATGAAGGAATGTTCAGGTCGTATGAATGGAATGCCATGAAACTATCAGCATTCTGCACCGGTCCTGGGGGCTATCACTGGGCCATGAAAGTCGATGGCGGTTGTAAGCTGCTGTCCGGCCATGCTTGCCACCTGTGTATTATTCTGACGTGCCTCTGCGACAGGGGCGGCCCGAGGCCCTAAAGATATGATGGAAGTCCTCCCGACTCAGCTCGTCACGCGTGGCTCAAACGGACTCGCCAATCCGGGTCGAGGGCGCGCAGCTTATGTAGCTTTTGCCCCAGACGGTATCAGCTGGTTCGTCCGCTATAGCACAAAGATTTGCATTTGGGGTCCGGAACTACATACGTTCCCCTCGACGTGGCAGTCTCTAATACGTGAACTTGAAAGAAACCACCCGCGTAAGGACGAATGTATTGATTTCGTTGCATTTGGTCTGCATGAATTCTTGCTGGTTCGGTATGAGAACGGTAACTCTCAGATGTTGCTACCCGAGAACCCTGCGGTACGGAGCCAGATATCAACAGAGCTTATCCAGGAGGTGGAGCAGCGATTGCAGGCAGGTTGGACGCTGGGAAACCGCACCATGTTGTGCGCATTTGACACCCATCGCTGGTTTATCGAGTGGAGACGTGGAAGCAGTGCGGACTTTAGGTACAGTATGGGGATCGAGGAATCAGAAAAGGAAGACCTAGAGCGGATTACGAGGGTCTTGTCAGGAGTAGGCAATGATTCTGGTCTTGTGGCGAATCAGCAGACAGCTCAACTGGTACGTTCTGTCATAGTGAACGATCAAAAGCGGTTGCTGACTCTACCAGATTGCGGCAAATGCGAGATTGGCCCGAGTTCGTGCTGTTGGTAGAGCTATCAACGGGACATATTAAGTAACGTGTGTGCAAGGGAGAGCGGCTGCGGTCTGTATATATGCCACATCTGCAACTGTATTACATGTATCACACTTTTGAATTGCTGAAGGGTTGCGCACTTAAACGGGCCAAATACACTCTCGGATTGTGAGCCTGATACCATACAAATCGCGTACACTGTCTGTGTGTGTGGGGGGTGTTAACCTGCTGTTAATTATTTTTATTTTATAAATACAAGAAGTAGAAAGCGAAGCTATGTTTACGTACATCGTCAAAATAAAGTCCAATTTTAAGCGCAGGACGAGACGCCTGCTCTTCTTGGCTACTTCCTGTCTCTAATATTATATGTTTTCGTAAGCTTCAATTAGCGTGTGTTTCTGCTCGCCTTCTGTCAGAGCCCCGCCTGCAATTTTTTTATCCTTAGGTACTCCGTACTACCGGCTAATAAGTACTGCGAATTAGATCATCAGCTGCCTGATCTTTCTACCCCTCTATTCTGAGAACGGCCAGAAAGGCTGCTTAGCAATCACCTTCGATGACGAGTTGGAGACTATAACACAATCGTTCCACCGGGTCGGCCATTTCACATGCAGCAAAATGCTGCTTTTATTTGCAAATGCGTCCGGGATCTGCTTCAGATTCTAATACAGTCTCTAAGTATATAAGCCGAGAAAGTGGCGTTTTGCTGCTACAGCCCACCATCCATCCTAGAACCTAGCTCAGGGGTTTTTAGTAAGATATAAAACATCACCATGCCTCTCAACGATGCTGAATATGTAACACCCCTTACGCTGGAGCAATAGGAGAAGCTAACCATTACCTTGACTATGGTTCATGCGCGACGCTTTATTACACCAAAGTACTTTGTCAACGTCAGTTACACTAACGTTAGCGACCAGGTGGTGTTCAGAGGCGGCATCTGACGGAGATACAATCGCCTGATCTTACGTACGCGAGCAGGGAGCAATCGGTCCATTGAAGTCTACAATGAGCACTGCAAGGAGCTCGTAGGCGGATGGGAGAAGGTAAGTCGGCACGGAAGGGGACAAAAAACTTGGCACAGTATGGGTCATGGGGGCCCTGACGACGGCTCTTGAGGCCGGTATTGGCAGACCAAAGGTACGGACCTCGACGTTGTTACTCTCTTCCAAATTTTGCAACTTGATGAAACCCTGGTCATTTAACAGACCGGTGAAGAAGACGAATGGGTTCGGACAAATATGCCGCGCTTTAAGGCCTTGGCTGCCGCTGGTGACGAGGAAAATAAAGTAGGCTCAGATGGAAAGCTTTAGAAGTTCAAGTGCAATGTACGAAAAATAGATTAGTAAATGACATTCCCGCCATTCACAAGTAGACGTGTTACAACTTTTCAGTCGTTTTCGCAGTACATCTGCCATTTCTTGTGAACCTGAGTACTAGCACAGACTGAAATCCAAACTGTGAGTGTTGCGGACAGCTGATGTGCAAAGGTAAGTCTGCGCCGCAATAGTATAAAGCTAAGACGGACGTAGCCATAACCGCTGTCCATACCCTATACTCCGTACAGACGCCAAGATGCCAGTGTCAGCAAGACAAAAAGACAGTTGTCGAATTGGACCTCACATTCAAGGCATCTGATTGGTTATTTACCGTGCACAGCAAGTACTCCTGCTACATAGGGCCCATCGCTCGCTTCTTCCAGTATTCCGCCTCGCCGAGGTGCATCTCTAATTCTTCCGCCCTTTTGTCCAGGAGAAGCTCGAGCCGACCCACCTCGTCCCTTAGGTTCTTTACCTCCGCAAACAATCGTCTTTCGCTAGATGTCGACTTAAAGTAAGTCTTCAAGACGTCCAGATGTTGCCTCCGCTCATCCTCATTGAAGGCGGCTTCATGACTTAGACGGATGACGAGTTGCTGCAGATGCATGATTTTCTGCGTGTCATTTCGTATGTTTTCCAACGCATAAGGATCCATACAATCGAATGCGCCTTTCATGCACTCGCATGTCTTTCTCAGACTTTGGTATCTGTCTTCCGTAGGGGATAAGCCTGCGTATGGCGACTGTGACGGTTGAGAATCAGATGAGCCCGGGTCCACAATTTTGATCGTATTTCCCCGAGGGTCCTTCCAATTTAGGTTAGCTTCGGTGTCGGACTGATCGTCGGGGCCCGTAGAAGGGACACAATCGACGAGAACAAAATCGTCCATGCTTTCAGTGCGTTGATGCTGTGGATAGCCGGTGGAGTTGCGAGTTGTGATGGCACTCTGGTTTGACAAGTCAGATGGAAAAAGAGAAAGCTCTGGGTTGACCTCTGTTGGGGGGTGACTAGCCATTTTGTTCACCGAGTTGTAGAGAAGTATGTCATCTTCCTCAGCCAACAGCCATTCTGTAGGGCTCTTGTTGACAACGAGGGGGAAACAGTCACATGTACTGTTGCGTCATAGAAAGCATTTCCAACCTCTTGTAAGCTGCCAATGTACTGTATTTACGGTGCTACTAATCCAAGTTTGTCAGATAGCTCGGCAGGCAATTGCGACTGCGAGTTATGTACAAAAGTAAACGTAGAAAAGAATCGTAAGCTTCGTAGATCATGTTCTCATAACGTCAAGAGCTCATGTGCGTGACCCGTCGTCTGGCTTCAGTCTTTCGCATCGACCGGCTTCTGAGCCACCCAGATATAGTAACAGTTGTAGCTGTGGACGGACCGGTCGTACAGTGCCTCCAAGACGCTGGACATGAATGCTGAAATCTCCTCCTCAGTCATACCAAGTGTCCGAAATGGCTTCGCAGCCACGGCGTCCAGGAAATCTTCCGTCACCTGGCGCATGTACATGCCCACAAGGCGCAGTGTCCTGTTGGCCGGCCATATCCCCACGGGCACCTTGTACACCTTCCGCGTAAGGTTAACGAAGCCGGCTTCCTCAACGAGTTGTCCGACCTGTGGCGCAATCTGTATATCTTTCCCGAGGTTGTGCATCGCCACAGACAGCTTACCAAACATCTGTTTCAAGGGCCAATCCGGGGGCATGGTGCCGTCATCGCATAGGACGTCAGCGCCAAAGTCGCTCACTTCAATCCAGGCCCCAGGTTTCATGTTCCTTTATTGGAACCACATGTCAGCTGAGGTCGACCAGGTGTATCTGGTGGTGACTCACTCGTAACATCGGGCCAATAGTTTGGAGGGGTTGCCGGTGAAGGATATCAAGTTCCGAGCATGGACATATTCGTATTTCCTGTGGACCGTCTTCTTGCCGTTAGCCATAGATACGATTGGCGGATTCGGAATTTGCTCTTACCAACCACTCGTCTTCGACGTCATCAATGATGAATTTGACGTTCGGTGGCAGCCTGGTTTGACTTTGGTTAGAATGTGAGCTATGTGGAGTGGGTGGCAAACAGCTTACCAGACTGGCTGAATAGGGGAGAGGTCAACACCGACGACTTCGGCCCTAGGATACCTATCTCCTACTGCAAAGATAGTTAGCAAGCTTGTAAACGGCAAGTGATTATTATGAAATTAGTCTCAGCTTGCCATCAACTGCCCAGATGCCTAAAACGGTGTTAGTACACGGTGCGAGGAACACTCTGAACCGAGGTAAATACCTGTTCCAGTTCCGATATCAATGATTTTTTGAGGGTTGTCACCGATAGGGGCATGGATCAGTTGTCCGCCTGTGAGTTCCAGTAGGAGGGCATGCTTCATGTCGTCGCGGGTCTGCTCAATGTCGTCGTTGGGTATCGGGTATTTCCCATTTCGAAAGTAGTGGTACCTGATGAGAAGAGGACATTTGTGAGCTACTATTGCTTACGAGTAACGACAGCTGGAAAAGGGGGGCGGGATAAGGAAGAGTAGGGCCACCTTCTGCCATTTTCAAAGGAGTGCCTGTAGATTGCCGAGCCAAGACATTGGTGCAAACTTGGCTCGTCGGCCGTATACTCGAGCGGCTCGAACTCGCCGGTGCCACTGGAGTTGTCTTCGAGGCCAGGCTCGATGATATCGGCCGGGTCCGGCATGCTGAGCCGGCTGATGGGCGTGTCCGAAAAAGCCGGAGCGGTGTCAGGTGGCTGGCAATCGAGGATGGTGGTACTAGGGGGTTATGCGGCTGAAACAAGAGCAAATCGACGTTTTATCTCAGTTGTTTCTGGTGAACCAAGCTGTCGGGTCGGGTGACGAGGGGTATTTAAGGCAACGCGTTCAGAAAGCGGTGGGCGAGCACGGCGAAGGGCTAAGAAAAAGAAATAAAACCACGAGTACGGCGTACACGGGTACAGCAATATTTTATGGGGAGACAGTACCGATGGACGGCAGAGAACAAGACCCCGCTGGCAATTTCGAGGGCGCTTGTCACAAGCACGGTCGAATACGGAGGAGTTGCAAGGGCGAGGACAATAAGGAGCAGTTTTATGGTCTGACGGTCCGCTGAGGCAAAACTGGGACACAACGCCATCTCCCAGAAGCAGAAGGGGGGGCTTTGGTTGGGTCTAGCCGGTCGTGCCGTCTGCCAACAAAGCAGACTACCCATGCTGCTAGTATAGTGTTGACGTAGTTGCAGGACAAAGGTGTCGTTACTCTGCAGGCGTAAGATACGGACGTGGGAAATGGAATAAAGAAGAGGACCGAGAGTCCCCGCAATCTGGTTCGCTTCGGCCGTCGTTAGCTCTTCCGGCGAAAGGGTGTTTAAGTGGGGGGAGAACCACGCTGGCGGTTTGACAGTGTGCCACACACTGTCCGACCCTGTCTGCGATTTGCTCGTAAGATACGGAGTAGAGTAATCCGTATTGCTGTCTTTTGTCTGACGCGCGAGCGTACCTTGCAAGCTGTCCCGGTAAAGGAAAATTGCAATCCACCTGGATGGGCTCGCCGTCGATCATCGCCGGCAGACAGACCGACACGTACGAGAAATAACTGCTCCGTCTCCATACCGACTGTGACGTTTGTAAGATGTCTCGTTAGAGTACGAAATACTCGTACAAGCCCCCACTGGCATCCAATAGTTCCCAGTTACGCAACCGCTCCGTTGGAACTCTCCTGCAGCGTATCCTACCATTGGTGCTGGAGCTAGCCAGACAGGTCGAATGAAGGCGACATTATCGCACGAACATGGCTTTGTGCACCTGCGTCTCTGAAATATTGAGCCGGTGGGGGCTTCGGCTCTTGCAACTATCTGTGCCAGTCAGAAGCTTCTCGGCCGAGGCTAGACGGAAAATGATATCTGTCGTTTGACAGCCATTCCCATGGGTTATGGTAACCAATTTAACGGCCTGTAGGTCCTGCATCTCTGCATAAATGGCCAATCAAACTTTGACAGTCAGCCTAAGGTAGGATGCAATGCTGTTGTGCTTCCTAATTACAAATACGAAGCAGTTTGCTGCAACGTCAGCAGAGGAAGCTGCCAGTCGGATGAGACAAACGCAGAATAAGAAGCTTGGTCTCTCCTTCTTTACGGTAAGGCTTTTTCTGGCTGTTGCAGGCGTGATGTCGGAGTCCGCAGTGTCAGCGTCGATGCCCAACACGAAAAAGAAGGTTTCGAACCAAATTAAATATTGGCCGAGGACGAAAAAAAGAACAATCCAGGCAGCTGTACGACTTGAGGCTGATCTTTCTGTCTGTCAAAGTTGAGGTATGAATCACTCCGTACTGGACTCCAGACTTGCACTAACAAATGCAAGTGTATTATTAGAATATTACGTACATATGTACGGAGTATTCCGTACGGCATGTACGCAACCTTCACCTAGCCGCAACGGGAAATGTCTACTATATTGCTTTAGAGCATAAGTCCACCCCAGCTCCCTACGGAATATTCGCATCGAAATTTCGCAAGTTGCGAGGCGGCGGGATCGGGCCCGTGTTTCGCCACAGCATGTGTTATGCAGCGGTCCACTGAAAATGGCGTTTATGGTGTGTGGAAAGGTGCCGCAGTGACGGAACGGCTGTGGAAAGATTTAGAAGCAACTCGTCAGAATGCCGGGTTCTCTCGGGGAATAGCGCCCCCGAGATTCTGGTGCTAGTGAAAACGACAATGGCGTTAGGGAGGTAGACACAGCCACAATTGCGCCTCTTAGCGGGGTATCGGTACCCGTAGCCTACACGAAAAGGCGTGGCCAGAAGACGTACTTGTCTACATGGCCACACAAACGGCTGCCTAATGATGACCCGTGATAGATTCTAGGTGATATCGAAGGCGAAAACAGGGAATTGAGGGAGAGGCAGCCAAAGCTCGTATTCCTGCTGAATACGGATGCTCAGGCCGAAGGCGCTCAGCTTATGCGCCGGAAGAGGCCGTCCAGCCAGATGCGTCGGGAGGCCCTATATTACAGGGTCATTGCTGCAACTGCCCCTCTTTCGGTCATTAGCTCGCAGACGTCCCCTCGCTAAAAGCGCGACGTGCGTCACCTCCAGCGAAAGCAGCCACTCAACAGTGCACAGAACAATACGCCTGCCATCATCTGGACCTTGAGACCTTAAGACGTTCGCCTGCGCCTTCTTCGCTTGACCTGCATCACTACCCGCGCAGCAGCTAGGACGAGTAAGCAGCCAGCAAAGCGTTCCTGCGCAGTTCCTTTCGTTAGGCAATCTACAAGGCGGTCTCTTTTCTGCCCTTAGCGCCGCGCCAAAGACCGTCGCCTTTCCCTCAATAGATCGAACAAGTCCTCTTCTCCGACAAACACACATACACACTTTTTCCCACACACACTGCAACGCAAGCTTACTATCCTGTTACAAAGCATGGATTCGAACAATTTGAAACGAAAAGATACCACCAAGGGTCCGCCTTTGCGGATCCTATCCCTAGGTACGTCTGTGGGCCGACTGGGATTTTGGAGGGCTGGACCGAGAGAGAGAGTTGAGAACGGAGGACTAACCGGGACTGTTTTTTTGTTTTTTAGATGGCGGTGGTGTGCGCGGCTACAGCATCTTCATCATCTTACAGGAGGTCATGCACCGCACGTTTGTCGAGATGGAGGGGCGTGCGCCTCATCGCAACGAGATTCCGAAGCCGGCGGACCACTTCGACCTGATCGTCGGCACGGGCACGGGCGGGCTGATCGCACTGATGCTGGGGCGGTTACGGCTGGACATTGAGACATGCAAGGAGCTGTACGTGCGATTAACGCGGATGGTGTTTGAGACGGACAAGACGATCTTGGGCATCCCGACACGGTCGACAGTTTTCAAGGCGTCCAAGTTGGAGGAAGCCATTATGGAGGCAGTGCGCGAACACACGGTGAACGAGAACGAGGGCAAGGATTCACGGTCGGGCAGCGGCAGCATCAGCAGCCCTTTGGGTGCGGGAGGTGGCTCGCGTACGAGCTCGGTACCAAGACGCCATGCCAGCAACGCCAGCGTGGTCAGCTTCAGCGCGCGCAGTCCAGCAGCACAAATGGCACGGCCTTACTTTTTCACGAACAACTACCACCGGGGGGACCCGAATGCGTTGTTGTATGACGCGAGAGAGTGTCGGACAAAGACGTGAGTGTGAAGGGAGGAAAAAGAGAGGGAGGAAAAAAGCTAACTGATAACAGAGTTGTCACAGCCACCTACAAGGGAGCACCACGAGGCGAGGAGCCGGTAATGCTGCGATCATACGACTCCCGGCGGGAACCGGCACCAGAGTTCGACTGCCGGATCTGGGAGGCTGGACGAGCGACGTGTTCGATTGGACTGGCGTTTAAGCCTATCCAGATTGGACAATCGGTGTTTCACGACGACGGAGCGGGGACGTTCAATCCGTCGCCGTTTGCTCTGGACGAGGCGACGGTGAACGAGTGGCCCGGCCGGGAGGTGGGAGTGTTTCTGAGCGTGGGGACAGGCAAGCGACCGGCGGGCAGTGACAACAATCCGATGTGGTACGAAGGGTTCTTGGGAGAGTTTGCCGAGGCCCGTCGGCGGCTGGTGGCCAAGATCGAGGGCTGTGAGAAGACGCACAACGAAATGGTGCGTGAGCACCTGTCGAAGCGCGGCGTCAACGTGGAAAACTACTACCGGCTCAACGTCGAGGTGGGCGTGGGCGAGTTCGGGATGAACGAGTGGCACCGGCTGGCAGAGATCAGCACGAGCACGAAGCGGTACCTGTCGCGGCACAAGGAGCGCGGCATGGTGCAGTCATCAGCGGTAAAGCTGGCCAAGATCCACCGAGCCCACACGCGGTTGAACAAGCAGATGACGGAGGCGCCAGAGCAGAAGCAACAGCAGTACATGCAGTATCTGCAGTCGCCGGAGATCTCGATGCCGCTGGCCGTGGAGCTGCCCGCAGACGTGCCGACGGTGTTCTCTCCATCCGGCAGCTCGGCCGTGCACACTCCGCGGCAGTCGTACGAGTCCAACAACACGGATCGGCTGTCGGTGGCCAACAACGGCAGCCCGTCGCCACGGAGCTCGGCCGATCGGTTTCAGCAGCAGCTGAGCACGACTTCCGAGCTGGCATCGACGACCTATGTGCCTCCCAAGTCCTCGGGCAGCAGCGGCCAGACGCGGGCGCATAGCGCGGGAGGGCCATCAGGCGGTGACGACCATCTGACGGTATCGGCACCGACGCCGGAGCAGTGGCGCTATGCAGCGGCGGACACGCGCAGACAGGCGGCAGCCCAGGCGGCAGCGCCGGCAACATACCGCGTCGAACCGCCACCATTGCCGCCCAAGACGCCGCTGCCGGAGGGCAACGGACGGCCGAGCAGCCGCGGAGGCGAGCGGGGTGGACGACGCCGGGCGACATACACGTCAACAGGAGTGGCTGGAAGCGCGCCCTACCCACTGGACGATGACGAGAGGCCGCCTCCAGTCAACAAGGCGAGAAAACCAGAATACAGGAGTCGATGAGGCGCAGGAGACCAAGGCGAAACAAGGAGATACCCAGGGATAGATGATGAATCATGAGAAATGGACAACGGACATCTGAATGTATTTGCCTTTTTGGTTTTTTGGAGACAATTGGGGTTATTTGGGGTGGTTTTGCCCCTACAAATTGTGGGTTGCAGCAGCTGCTACTGCAGGACGATGACAGCTGATTTATGCCATGAATGCGTTTATATTCTACAATTGTTCCGTTTGCCGTCATTTGCCGTCAATGTGCAGCAGGGTGTGATCGATCAGACGTCCAGCAGCACCACACCTTACTCTGTCCGGAAGTCTGTGCCGTCCCTCGGCTGCAGTCCACAAAATACAGCACATGTGCTCGGTGGGGAAAGAAAAGGCAGAAGAAAGGAGGAACCGGCCTCAGCTTTCAGCTAACAAGCGAGGCTGGTGTGTTGGAGCCAACAGAGACAGTATTCTCTCGTGGTTTCGCAAGCGGGATGACTTTGCCAACCGGCACTATGGGTGAGTCTTTGACGAAAAACAGTCCACGGATGGTCATTGTGGGTGCCGGCTTGACGGGGCTGTTGGCAGCGCAGGGCCTGAAAAAGGTGGGAATTTTTTGTTGAAGCACGTCTGATCCTGACCTGACTGACCTGGGACCTGCTTCAGCGCGGCTTCGACGTGGCCGTCTACGAGCAGGAGCCGCATGAGGGCGCGCGGCCGCGCGACTGGACGATCGTGCTGCACTGGGCGCTGCCGGCGATGGAGGCGCTGCTGCCGGCCGACGTGCGTGCGGCGCTGCCGCAGGCCATCTGCAACCGGCACCTGGTCTTTGACACCGAGGCCGAGTCGTTTTTGTGCTACAGCGGCCTCACCGGCGAGCGGCTCTTTGCCAGCAACATGCCGGGTTCGCGCCGCGTTTCGCGCCAGCGCTTGCGCCACGTCCTGGCAACCAGTATCGATGTGCAGTGGGGGAAGGCAGTCGAATCGATAGACGACCGTGACGGCAGGGACGACCAAAAGATCTGCCTCTCCTTTGCTGACGGCACCACGGCTGAGGCTGACTTCGTCCTCGGCACTGACGGCGCCTCGTCCAGGGTGCGCTCGCTGCTGGTCGGCCCCGAAAAGGCGCAGAGCACGCGGTCCGGCCTCATGTTCGGCACGGCCATCGTGCAGTACAAGGACGCGGACAAGGTGGCCGCTGTAGTCCGGGTACATCCCGTGGCTGCGGCGTCGATGGGCACCGATGTTGTAGGGGCATGCTGTGGTGGGTTTGTTTTCGTTCTTGTTTTTGTTTTGTTTTGATTTTTATTTTGGCGTGGGGTCTCGAATCATATTCGCTGACGGCACAGTCATACACGCCAACAAGCCCGACGACATGACTGACTGGACCACCTGTTGGATGAAGATCTGGAAGGACAGCATGGCCAGCTTACAGGGCGAGGCCGCGCTCGAGTACATGCGGACGCACACGTCCAAGTTGTGCCCCATGTTCCAGGACCAGGTCGACTGGACGCCACCCGGATCTGCCTGCAACGTGGACGAGATGCGCTACTGGGTGCCCGTGCCGTTTAACAACCACGACGGCCGCGTGACGTTGGCCGGCGACGCCGCGCATCCGATGCTGATCTGTGAGTGTTGGCTTGTTTTCGTTTTCGTTTTCGTTTTCGTTTTCGCCCTCGCCCTCGCTTTCGTTTTCCCGCTCGTTTTCCCTCCTCTCCCACTCATCCGTTTTAATAATAAAGACCGCGGACAGGGCTACCAGCACGCCATTACCGACGTCGACAACTACATCAAGGCCCTCGTCAAGATCCGCGACGCCGGTTGGGCTGCTGGCGTACGCACCAGCGAGTTCGCCACCTATGACGACGACCTGGTGACGCGTGGCGCCGCTGCCGTTGAGCAGTCCGTCCAGGAAGCCGAGCTGTCATTTGACAAGGACTCCATCAGCAAGATGCGGATGGTGCGCAAAGGACACGGCCGATCAGCGTAGTATCAGGCTGATCTACCCCGCTCAGCGCCCTAAATGCTTACTAATACGCTTTTGCGAAGAGGAGCCCCAGCGTCCGTCTGGCGGGGATGCACGCTAGAAGAACGCTAAACAATGTTGTTCTGGGGGAGGGGATCTCTGTCAGCATTCGCCGGCGGCCCTATGCTAGCGCTGTTCGTATTGTCGTATCACGGAGTATGCTAAAAGTAAGATACATTGTTGCCGAGGGAGATCAAGGACGACGCTGCAATAAAAGGAGAAACAGAGGCAAATTCTTCCTGCAGACGAATAGCGAGTTGCTTTCAAGCTACGAGAGTAGCATTTGTGCCTCCCAGGCGAAATGCTCTTGAATGAATTGCACATACTTCCCACGTGACATTGAATTACAATCAATTGACGTACGGTACTTTCAAACATATCGCCAACCCATTTGGGCAAGAAGGCCCCAGGAGGGGGGAGCGCTTGCCTCGCAAGAGACTGCCTGTCCTTTTAGAAAGCCTTCCCTATTCTTCGCCCCAAGGGGAAGGCTTCCATTTCCCGTCTTTTGCATCCCTTAACTTGTCTACCCTTACGGCTCGCGGGTTTGACGCAGATCAATGTGCCCGTCTTCCTTCACACCCACAGTTAAAAATTCGCTCGTCGTGACCTAGCCTGTGTCCGTTGGACGTCCTTTTCTCTGCCTCCACCGTCGATTGGCCAAATCTGAATACAATCCTGCCATTCTGCTTCTCCCTGTTTTCCCGCGCCACCTTTTCAGGAGACGATTGCACATCCGCACAGTAGACGGCCACAATGTGCGACTGTTCGGAAGCCGCACAGCCCGACAGTCCTGGCGCTGCTGCTGCTACCACGCACGTATATGCAGGCATTCTCAACGGCTCTGCGATCGAGGCCGCGGGCAGCCAGGAAGGCGACCCCGACGAGTTTGAACGGGTCGACGGCTACGAGACCGGCTACGAGTCTGGCAGTGGCGAGTCCCTCGGCTCGACCAGCGCCACTTCCAGCATCTACGCCCACACGTTTGAACACGGCCGGCGCTACCACCACTTCAAGAATGGCCGCTACCCGCTGCCGGACGACGACGAAGAGCAGAAACGCGAGGACATGAAACACGCCATGATGCTGGAGCTGACCGACGGAAAGCTGTTTCACGCGCCCGTCGGTGACAATCCCCAGCAGATTCTGGACATTGGCACCGGCACCGGTATGTCTGATGTCCCCTCTCCGGAATACGACGTCTGCACAGTCTTCATAGCATGCTGATTTTCTCAAAAAGGCATCTGGGCCATTGACGGTAAGATTTGGTCGCCTCTTCCCTCTTCTTCCCCTCTCCTTCGCTCTCCCCTTTAACGATGCAGTCGGCGACAGGTATCCAGGTGCACACGTCCGTGGCATCGACCAGACACCAATCCAACCTATCTGGGTACCACCCAATGTCGATTTTCTCGTAGATGACTGCAACAACGACTGGCTCGCCCGCAACATCGATCTGGCTCACTTTCGCTTCATGACTATCGTCCTGCAGGACGTCCCCAATGTACTTGGCAATTGCTTTGAGTGGGTACCCTCTCTTTCTTCATCCTTCACTTCCTTTTTTCTCATCTTCCACTTCCCCTCCCTACCCGACTGACCTGAACAGGAGTCTTAAGCCTGGCGGCTGGGTCGAGCTGCAAGAGCTGCAAGGTGAGATCCTCTGTGACGATGAAACAATGCTTGACGACGACCCGCTCAAGTACGTGTACGAGCTCGGCGCCAAGGCCTTTAAACTGTTCGGCATGGACGTGTTAATCCCTCAGCAATTGGAGGCTATTCTGCGGGCTGCCGGCTTCGTCAACATCCAATGCATTCCTAAGAAGGTACCCATCGGTGTCTGGGCCCAAGACAAGACACTACGCCTCGTCGGCCTCTACCAGAAGACGGCCATTTCTGAATTCTTGAGTGCCATGGCTGGTCGTCCGTTTGAAGCCCTTGGAATTGATGCTACTGCGCGTCAGGCCATCGTTGCCCTTGCCCGCCGCTCCCTCGAAGACACAACGATCCACCGATACATGCCCTACTATTTTTGGTATGCGCAGAAGCCCGAGAATTTCTCTAACAGCACTCGCGGGAGCGCTCCCGGGAACACAGGCGCCAGCCTTGCAGTCAGCCCACTCGCGGATGCTTGATTAGCTACCTATGATCGTACGAACCACGATCAAGCTCATTGGATCCCTTGCGCAGTCTCTTTTCCAAATTTTAATTCTTTTGTAGCTAGCAGCAGAGAATCAATAGTTGGCGCATTTCAGGACAAACGAGAAACAGCGAGCATTGCCGTGCTATGAAATAAATCAACAACGACCCGTTCTCTCCCCCCTGATATCATACTGCGCGTTTTCCTTGTGACAGACGTCCTTCTTTTGAACAACAGGCACTCACCTAAAGCCACTTTGAATGCAGGCATCACCTCGTTCACGTTCGGGCTGCATTTCACGTTGCCAGTATACCGGTTTTCTTCATCTAACTCAAGCGTCCTAATCCAAGCTGTCTCCCCCCAAGACGCAGTCAAACACTAATCTTGACAGCAGAGACGCGCCACCGCCAGAGATAAGCCTCGTCTTTCGACCTGGAGGATGCTCTGCCTCTTTAGCTAAAGTCGTTGACCGTCCTTTCTCTCTATCTATATGCATGTGGCTTCCATTCTTACATAATCTATCCGATCTTACGACCGATCTGCGCTTCGCAGAAATACGAGTATAATAGAGTAGACCTTGAATGCCGTTCTTGTGTTGCCCCAATTCCCCCCTGTAGTCAAAGCCAGCTACAGCCGGAAGACATTGCTAATGGCCCGCACCTCCGGCGCCGTGAGCCTCGCAGTACTGCGTATCCATCGGGTCGATGCCGGCTTTGGCGTACGTGTGCCGGATGAGGGCTTCCTGTGCCAGCGAGCTCGGCTGAGTCAGCGGCGGCGTGCGACCGTCCTGGTTCGATGCCGTGGCCCGCATGGCCCCTGTAGCCGCCTGTCGTGGAATCGTGCCGCCGTCGTGGAACAGGATACGTGAGTAGTCGTCCGTCATCGTGGCGGCAAAGACCGCAACGTTGCTGCCACACATGCTTTCGATAGGCACGCCCGCTGACTCAAAGGCGTGGTACGCTACCTCGAGAGCTGCTGCTGTGGGTCCACGGCTGCCCCTCAGTGGCATTTATGGAGAAGAAGGGTGCATCGAATGCCACTGGGTCTTGCTTGACGAAATGGTCTCCTCGGGCGCGCAGCTATGGTTGTCAGCGGGCCCTTCTGCTAGACAGGGCGATGCCATCCTAACATGTAAGTCTTCTTTAGCCCGCCATCGTAAAAACCCGGCACTGCTGAATCGGTCTGCTGGATACGTGGTCATTGTGTTGTGTCTTGTCTCCAATATCTACTAGAAGCCTTCCTTTCTGTCTCCATATTGTAGAAGCCGGAAGGAATATCCTAAAACGGCAAACGGCTCTGAAGCATGAAAACCCATGGAGCCCATGATGTATGGCATGACTAGGTAAATGCAAAAATAAAATGAAAAATAAGAACAAATGATAAAGCCGCAGACCAAGATGACGTCAAACAATCAAATCTAGTGATGGCAAGCCGTCTAAATCGTCTAGGTAGGGAGCACACATCAGTCAAGTCCTGTATATATTATCCGTTTAGTGGAGCAATCAACGGAATGTGCCGTAATTACGTCTGGTCACCCAAGAGCCTTGTGCTGGAACCCGGGATCCCGTCGCAGCACGCTCGGGTTATTGGCGGCTTGCATGCGCGCGGATGCCATACAAGCTCCGTAATTCACCCGAGGCCTCTCTCAGTGATCATTATTTAGTCACCGCGTTCCAAGCCATTCTCTATCTCTTAGCCGACACGGACACAAGAAACCATGTTGCGCGAGATTGCATATGCCCTTCTGGGGCTGACTGCCCTAGCCTACACAGTTGAGTTTATTTTCAGTTTGTTCGACGATCCACGCGAACCTCCTCGTGTGAAAGCCGCCATCTCGCTGATTGGCCATATCATCGGCATGATTCGCGAGGGAAAGCTGTACTACAATTCGCTGGGGTAAGTGCGTCTGCGTGTAGAGTAAGCACAGCTACTAACCAAGCCAGCGCCAAAGTCGACTCCGATATGTATATGATTTCCATCTTGGGTTTCAAGATCTACGTCTGCAACTCGTATCGTCTCATAGGTGCCATCCACAAAAACGCCAAGACCCTCGCCTTCAAGCCTTTTGTCAAGCTGTCCATGAAAAAAAACAGTGATGTTTCTGATCACGCCTACGAGATTGGCAGCGGCATCATGACCGACAAGCTCGAAACCGCACAGCGGGCTGCCCTGGCCCCGGGCGCCCACCTAGATGCCGTGACGCTGCGCACGGCCGAGGCGATGTTGTCGGGGCTTTCTGCCCTTGAGGCAGCTGTCGCCAGCAAGGAGTCCGTTATGCTCTTAGCCTTCCTGCGGCACAATATCGTGCAAGCGTTGGCGTACGGAATCTACGGTAAACCCGGCCTCGCTTAGCAGTTGGCAGCACCTTGGATCTAACGGTTGTTTCTGCTGGGAAAATGATAGGATCAACTCACCCTTGGAAAGACCCGAAAGTCGAAACAGCATTTTGGTAAGTACAGAAAAAAAGGGATATGGATTAGCAGGACTTTGGCAACCGCCTGAGTGAGATCGACTCTGATAGTTGGCTGCAGGACTTGGCACGAGTATCTGCCCAAGATGTTCATGGCGAGCCTCTTGGCTGGAAAGGGCTTCCAGAATCGCCAGGTGGTGTTTGATGCCTACCATAATTTTTTCCAGGATCTGCCCGACGATACTTCCGAGGTGTTCCGCGAACGCCAGCGCGTGTACATCGAGGCTGGGATCGAGGAAGCTGACCACATCAAGCTCGAGGCTGCCTGGCCGTTAGCTATCTTTTCCAACACGGTGCCGACGGCATACTGGTTTATGTGGGAGCTGTGCTCGCGGCCGGCTCTGCTCGCTGAGGTGCGCAGCGAAGTAGAGGAGGTGGTCATCAAGACACAGAAGACAGCAGATGGGCCGGAATTCTGCCTCGACATTGCGGCCCTGCGCACCCGCTGCCGCCTGCTTCTATCTGTGCTAGAGGAAACCCAGCGAACGCGCCATATTCATGCATCTATGTGTCGCGTGCTTGAGGACACAGTGCTGGACGAACGCTACCTGCTCAAGAAGGGGTACGTTGTCCAGCTGCCCGGTGGCCCGATCCACCACGACCCTAATGTCTACGGGAGCAACGCGGGCCAGTTCGAGCCCCACCGCTTTGCCCCGAGCGACACTCATGGAAACGAGGGGAAAGTCCCGACACACGCTCCCACCAATAGAGGCTTCCTGGCCTGGGGTGCACCTCCTCACCTTTGCCCCGCCCGCCAGTTTGCGGCCACTGAGCTGCTGCTGATGGCATCGTTGCTCATCCTGCGCTTCGACATCCAGTTACCCAGTGGCCGTGATCGGGATCCCTATCCGGCCCTACGTGCAAGCGAGATTGCTACCCTGCTCAGTCCTAAGAAAGACGTGGCCCTACAGATGACGGTGCGGGAAGAATGGCGCGGAAAGTGGAGTGTGGCGTTCGGCAAAGAGAAGAGCAGGGTATTGCTTGCGTCTGGTTAAAGTCGGGCACACTATTGCAGTTTATCTGTCGACCCGCATGTGGCAATTTACTTCTTATAAGAGAAAGGAAAGAAGACAGGGAGGAGTTACAGAATATAGGTTGAGATTATCCGTCTGTACTTGTACTATGTAGTACACGCACTGTGATCTACTGTTACGAGATAGTACGATGAAAGATTGGCTGTACGGGTTATTACTCAGTACGGGTAAGCAGGTGGTAGGGGTCTAGTATAGTACGATATGATAATGACAAACTGTACGTTTCACACAGTACACATGGCTAGATTAGCCATTGCTTAGGTGAATTCAGCGCTTCCGCGCATTTAGTATCTTACGTCGTACTTTGCTTCAAGTGCTGCGTCAGCTAATTTAGATTTGCCAAATGCGACAAATAATCAAAAATACTTGCTGGATGTACTAATACAGATACGCTCAATGTATGAATGCACTGAATGCGTAAGTTTACTAAATACGCTAGATATGTGAATGTATTGCCTTACAGTGCACCCTTTTTTTCTCTCCTTGTTTCTTCTTTTTTCTTTTTTAAGTCTCCCTGCTTACTCTACTTAGTATCCCGAACATTCTCCCACATCGCCGCAAACCCAGTCCCCCACACCCATTTCTTCTGTCCGTCAGCATACTGATAAGTTGTGTCGTAGCAAAGCTGGGCTAGTTTGAGCCACAGGTCGCCGTGCACAGGCAACCAGTCAAGGGTTTCGGCCAATTTTTCATATGGTGCTGTCGCTTCTTCTCCGTTGCGACACGCCCGCACAAACTTGGCCACGTGCCCGTCATCATGGTGCTGATTTACGGCTGCATACAGTGTCTGCCAGTTTGTGCCTCGTGAATTGACTGCGTCAGGTGCCGGCACATAGCCTACGAGGTGTTGTTCCAAATCAACCTCGGGGGCAGCTGACCCTGCATACCAAACCAGATCGAGACGGGCCTTGTATTCAATCAGTCGTGCCTTGTCTTCGATCTTGATCCACGACTGCTGGTTGAGAACACTCAGAGACAGAGAAGCCGTGACGTTGTGCAACAGAAAGAAGTCAATTTTGCGCTCTTTGTCGGGTAGCGGATGCACTCCGCCGCACGTCGCCGCCGCACAACTGATCATCTCGGCAATGGCACGGCCGACGGCCTCTTCGGTGGCAGGAACTTGGATCTGGGCGGCCAGGTGGATCATGTCCTCCATGCTGCGACCGAGCACGCCGTCACGCACCTTCCACGGCCCATCACTGAGAAGGGCGGCGGTACGGACTGCTTCGTTGGCCCGCAGCTCGCGGTAAATGTCCATGAGCGGCTTTGAGGCGACTTGTCTTTTTTTGACTAGTACCTCAGTACGTTGGAAGAAGACATCAATGTACATGGTATCATGACTTGCAGCCTGCCATAAGATAAGCTGATATTTCGAAAAGAACCGAAAAACGGCGCCTATGAGAAGGAAGGAGAGGTGGACGTACCTGAGCCAACCCTTCAGCCACAAGCCCTTGAAAGCTCAAACTCGACACCGAAACTCAAGTGGATCAGCGGGTGGTAGAGGCCTTCGAACATCTGCGCAAGCAAGAAGTCCGACTGCGGATTGCGGGCAAAAACGAAGTGATTGAAAACATCCTGCCACTGCCCTTGATTGGCCTCAAACTCCTTTTCAAAGAAGGCAAGAAAATTTGAGTACTCTTCGATTTCCTGCATGCGGTCGAGAAATTTGAATGGATCTTCCATCTCGCCGACGGCAATGGGATCAGGTGCTGTCTTGGGCCGCTGGATTGCCTCGCCATCGTCGTATGCGCGCCGCAGCTCCTTGACCGTACCGCCCATAGCCATAGTAGTCAGAATCGCGTGCGGAATGTGGTTGTGGCCCGCAATATCACGAAAATACATGTGGTGCTTGTCATGGTTCTGCTGCAGAAGGACCCCGACGATATCGTGGGAGCCGGGCTTGTCAGGCCCGGTATCCAGACGAGAAATACCTAGCCGTTCTCTCGGCAGGCGAAAGTTGTCCGGCTTGGTCGGGACGATACAGACTTCTTGAGTAGGCATTGAGAGTGGTGAGGGAGATTCACAAGTTCTGAAGACAAGGTAAGAAACTAGAAAAATGATTTGCTGTTCTGTTTTATTGCACCAAAATCATTCGATGCCGGTTCGCCCCTACATATTACATATACGAATAGTCTAGGACTTTCAGTGTTAAGCTATCTCCGCGACGGAAAAGAGGAAATGGAGCATCTGCCCGCAAAAGGCTGGTGCATATCAAAATTGGCCCGGGTTAGGAGCGAGAGCCGAAAACCCGAGCCTCATACTTTAAACCACCAACGTCCCGGTTCATACATTGGTTGTTCATCAGGCAGCATCCAGTACTTGCTTCTATACCCAATTACTCCTTACACCAGCAAATATGGAAACCCGCACGTATGCTGTGGTGGGTTCGACAGGAAACTGCGGCACAGCCTTGATCGAAAACCTGTGGAAACGGGACAATTCTATAATTCATGCCTACTGCCGCAACCGGGCCAAGCTACTTCAAAAGCTCCCTTTCACCCAGGGCAGCAAGCGCGTGGCCATATTCGAGGGCGGTATCGACGACGTCCCGCTGATGGTCCAATGCGTCACTGGCTGTCGGGCTATTTTTCTGGTGGTCTCAACCAACGACAATATCCCGGGCTGCAGTCTCGGCCAAGACACAGCCAAAAGTCTGATCACGGCCCTCTGTGATATCAAAGATGAAATCACCACCAACCCCAACCAGAACGGCAGCACCGGCACTCTTCTGCCCAAGATTGTTCTTTTGTCATCGTCGACACTGGATGACCATCTGTCGCGGCATTTGCCACCAACACTTCGCCGGCTGCTGGTTCGGGCTGCATCTCACGTCTACAATGACCTTGCCGAGACTGAGAAGCTGCTGCGGGCCGAGAAGGACTGGCTGACTAGTTTGTATGCCATGCCCGGTGCGCTGTCGGTCGACATCCAGCGGGACCACGCTATTAGCCTCACTGATCATGACGGGCCTCTGTCCTATCTAGACCTAGCTGCCGCCATGATCGAAGCCGTGGATGATGAGGCCGGGCAGTATGACCACAAGAAGTTCTCCGTGTTGAATACGAATGGGAAAGGAAAATTCCCTGCGGGGACTCCCATATGTCTGGTTTTGGGTCTATTGCGGCACTACTTTCCCTTCCTACGTCCTTATCTTCCAACAAACACAGGACCGTAATATGTATGAAATAGATATGTTTGACGAGTGATATTGTTTGCTCCATGATATCTGGTTCTGTGTTAGGCCTCGCTGCGGAAGATAACACAGTTTCAGCAAATGATGAGAGTCCTTACCTGGCGAAATAGCCCGACATTGTCGCGAGGGAGGGACATTTTATACAACGTAAATAGCCCATTATTGTCCCGGTAGTTTCCTCGATGCATAGAGCCATCATAATTACCAGAATTAATGAAGAGCAGTTACAATGGCCCAAACGTCTACGCGCGAGATCCAGGCTGCCACGCTACAGCGCTTCATCGAGGGCTGGGCCTCCTGGACTCCCGAGGGCTTCCTAGATTCCTGGTCCGACAACTGCACGCAGCAAAACCTGCCCTTTTGCCAGAACTCACCAGTCAAGACCCGCGAGACCGTCGTCCTCTTCTTTCCCATTCTCATGTCGATTTTGACTAACTTCAAGGTAAGACAGTAACCGAACGGGGAAAAAAGCAAAGAAAAAACAAAACACGGAGACACCATAAACAAGCAACAGATAACAAAACTAACTTCTACAGCTCAAAGTTCACAATATTGTACACGAATCGGAGACGGGCAAGGCGGCCATATACGCGCAAACGACGGCCGACTCGCCGTGGGGCCCTTACCAGAACGAGTATGCACTCTTTTTGTGGTTTGACAAGACTGGCGAAAAGGTCCAAAACATCGAGGAGCTCTTTGACACTATCGTGATGGACACATTTCTACCCAAGATTCAGGCGTGTACGAATGAGATTATGGCCAAGAAGAAGAGGGCAGCTGCCAGTGGCACCAATCCAGCTGTGGCCACTGAAACGGCCGTGGTAAACAGCACTGTAGGAGAGCTGCCGCCAACATAGAAATTAGAATGGGCCTTGCACATAGCTCATAGAGGAATTATCCGTCACAGTATCCCCCGGGTGAAGTTCTCTATATGGCGTCATATTGGATGTTTGGTCCGTTCTGGTGTACCCCCGAAGTGGGTACCGGAACATTTCCCAATACATCCTGTCGAACTAACCGTTGGCTTTGAACCGGACCAGCGATAGGACATAATACAGCAGCATATGAAGCACCTTATAGAGCTTCGTCATGTTTCGCTGTTTCATGCTTCCACGAATTCTCTGTCCTCAATGTCCAGTCTCTTTTTTTTTCAACTCAACAACCATGAATTACACCATCATTGCCACGTATGAGACGATACACCAAGCAGTGGATCTGGTGGCGATCCCGTCCCAATCGTCTCTTTTGGTCGTGATCGGCTTCTTGACGGCGGGCTTTGCAACCTTTCTGGGCTATCTAGCCAAGAAGCCGCCTGTGAACTACAAGTCGCCGGCCTTCATGGGAGACATGGTGCCAGTTTTGGGGGCTGTTGGGTTTACTCTTCGGCCATGGTAAGCTTGCACCCCTACCATAGCCTTTCTATACTCTGTTGATTTTGCTTACCGATTTCCAGGCGTTTCTGGGAGGCTACGTCGGAACTCGCCAAGAAGTCCACGGGCAACTTCAGCTTTTGGGTGGGCAAGCGTCATCTGGTCGGCCTCACCAGCTCGGCCTCACGCAAGCTTTTCTACGAGCACCCCAACCTCGATCTTGTCAGCGGCGGCATGCTGCTGCCATGGGGCGCCCACTTCTGGCCGCCTGTGCACGACATTTTTCGAGCCGGCTACGCCCGCGGCATCAACAACACGTACTTTTTGCGGCGTCTCGTCGATGCGCAGACGTCGCGCCACATAAACAGTTGCCTGCCACAGCTGCAGAAGGATGTGGTCCGCGGCCTAGGCGAGCTCGTGGAGTGCAGCAAGTCGCGTTGTGTCATCAGTCCGCCCGACCTGTGGCGCATCATCTTTGACCAGAACAACCGCCTCCTGGTGACCGAGCAGATCGTCGACGACGCCAAGCTGCGCCGCTTTGTCCACGCCCAGGGCGACACGTTGCTTCACACAAACAGCCCCTTTAATGTGCAGCTTCCTTGGTTGCCCTCGCCGTCTTGGGCTCGCCGCCGTCTCGCTCGGTACCGCCTCGAGTCGCTGGGTGTCCAGCTGATCCAACAGCGCCAGCAGCACGGCACATCGGAGCGCTATGGTGACAGGGATGTGCTACAGTCGCTTGTGGACCACGGCGACCGTCGCGACTGGATCATTGAGTACTTTACGAGCGCCATATTCATCGCTAGCACCAACGCCGGCGTCATTGCCAGTCAGGTACTCAACATCATGGCCATGTATCCCGAATGGCAGGAGCGCGTGTTTGCTGAGGTGCAGGCTGTGGCTGGGGCGCACTCTCTGGACAAAACAGTGCCACTGGTGGAACGTCTGAACGCGGTGCCCCTCGAGGGCTGGGAGTCGGGCTTCCCCGTCATGTATCGGGTCTTGAAAGAGTGCATGCGCATGTGGGTGTCGTTCAATGCGTCGCGTTTTAACACCTCAAGTGACCCCATCTTCATCCCAGGCTCCGACGAAGTCATTCCGGGCAACACATTTGTCATCTACAACACAACCGAATGCAACTTCAACCCAGACCTGTACCCGAACCCGACCAAGTTCGACCCAGACCGCTATATGGAAGGTCGCAAGAAGTTTGAAAAGGAGCAGTATGGGTGTAAGTCTCGTTTCAATCTTAATTTTTTTTTTACAGATTCTAACCTTCAGATCTCGGATGGGGCCAGGGCAAGCACCCTTGCGCAGGCAAGCGCTGGGGCAAGTTACAGCAGACACTGGATTTAGCGTATGTCTTGGCCATGTACAAGCTCAAAAGTTGTGACAAAGACGGCAACATTGACGTCCAATCCATGCACCGGAAAGAATTGGACTCCCGGGATCCGTTTGTGCTGCCTCCTTCCTATGTCAAGCTGGAGCCGAGAGAAAAGGTTTAGCGGATAGTATGAAATTTAGGATGTGCCGCATTGAGGACGGTTTTCAATCATGATTTAGAATGTAGAGAAATTATTTTGTTGTCTTGTATTGTAAGTGCTTGATGGCTTGCCTATGATGAACGTCTGATTGCGTACAAGTCGTCACTCGTGTCCTTCGCAGGTGACGTTTAGATTGCCTATGGACATGTCCCAACAAGCCAATCAATAGTAGTAGTCCACAGAACCTCCTGGCACAAGCTTTCCCTCCTTGTTCAATTCTGCCAGCTTTGCCTTGGCCCGCGCGCATAATGTCCGAACCAGCTCCGGTCCAATGGGCGGCGCAGGAATGCTCCGATCCACACGCAGCCAGGGCAGCAGCTTCTTGTCATTTTCACCACTGGCATCACCTGTCAGCTGGCGATAGGTGTTGATGTCGCGGTCATGGTAGGCGGCCACAAACACAATGACCTTGGGCGGGTTGCTCCAGTCGCCGGTGCCGTGCGGGTTTCGCGGGCTGGGAATCTCACCGCGTGAGAGAATTGGGATTTCCCGCCGGGCATCGTTGATAAAGGTAAAGTGGACAACTATTCGGTTAGGGTCTATTTTTACCGACAGCGGCAAACCACATACCATCCAGCTCGGGCCTCATGTCTCCGATTGCTTCCTCGGCCACAAGCTCGGATTTACCAGCCAGTATAATGGGAATAGCGCCTGTCATGATGCTTGAGTATTTTCTGGGAGGAATACGGAGTATCGTAGCGCAATCTGCAATGCCTGGAGCTGTGTATCATATGGACATTCATAAAGACAAGGGATAAGTCCCGACCGGAGTTGCGCCTCGGTGCATTGACCTCGGGGGATTATCTCAATTCCGTGCAGTCATTGTGCAGCGGCACTGCGAGGCTTTTGAACAACCAGATACTATGTATCTTCCTGACTTTTTAGTGGCTCTTCGATCGTAGTTCGTCTAACAACATCGCCAAACTCACCCAACCATCATGCCACAAAAAAAAGTCTACCAAATACGGCCGTCGGGCTGGCAGAACCCCAAGGAGGAATGGAGGCGCATGTCGCCTGTCGATTACGGGACATACTGGTGGATGAACTGGATTTGCATCTTTCAGGTCCATAACGATGCAGACAAGCCGGAATTCCTGATCAACTTCAAGGCCGGCCTTGAAGCCACACTGGGACAGTGCCGCCATGCTGCTGGCACATTTGAGCGCAATAAATTCGGCGACTTTTCGATTGTGACGCGGCCCAATAGCACGGCCACCTTTGTCGAGCTGTGGCTGGATAGGCCAAACGACACGGAAACCTGTATCCCCTTCAAGGAATGGAAAGAGCATCACAACTTTGCCAGCGAATCCCTTATGTCCAACCCTAGCAGCCTCGTGGTCTTTCCGAGCTCCTCACCAGCTTCGCCAGATATCCCCGGTAGCCCTCAACCGACGATGGCCTTCCAGCTGACTTTCATCAGGGGCGGTGCGATTTTTGGTCTCAGCAGTCACCACTGGTTCATGGACGCACTGGGTTGTGGTAGTTTTATCAATCAGCTAGCGGCTAACTGCGCGGCTGTGGCCTACAAGACAGTCCCGCCTGCCTTCGACGAGAATCTCATGGACCGCTCGCGCTTTATCGGCCCATCGCTGCCTGAAAATGACCTCGTGGACGTGTCGCCACCGCCTGCTCTCCACACAAAACGACTTCCCTACGCCTATCTCCTGTTTCGGCTGCCGCACAGCAAGGCGGCCGAGCTCAAGATGTTGGCAACACCTACTGACGGCAGCCGGATTTCGACTTACGATGCCGTTGTGGCCTACCTCTGGCGCATCAATTCTAAGAACCGGGCATCTATCTACAAGCCGACGCTGTGGTCGAAAGCTATATTTGGGGAGCCGGTGAATATGAGGAATAAGAGTGTGTATTTCGGTTATCTCCCGTATCAAGTTTCATTATTGTAATGTCCTGTTTCTTTCTAACAAACCAATCACTCCACCCTTGCCTAAAGACTACCAAGGTATCATGGCATGCGGTTCCTTGTCTCTCTTCCAAAAGAAGCCACTGAAGCTGTCGGAAGTCATCTCCAAGGCGCCTCTGCCCAAGGTGGCCTCCTTCATCCGGACCATCACTGACAGCGTCGATGCCAAAACACTCGAGAAGCACATTGTTAAGAACAGACGTGCACGCGATAAGGTCAAACTTCACAAAACTTTGGACGTGGGTCTTTCTCGGTTTCTGTCTTTCGTCCCGGATTTCCTTGTCTTTGCTAACAAACAGTGGCTCCCTCCCATGTCTCTCGTTTTGACCGACTGGCGCGGCGTTGGCGTGTGTGGCCGGGACTTCGGCGTCGGTCGCTGTGTGGCATTGCGTGCGCCTTCTGACGATGTCGTGGCCAACCTTGTAATTTTGTATCCGCTGCGCCAGGTTGAAGATAGCCCCGACCACGGCTGGGAGATAGTGCTGCCGTTTGAAGAGGCGCATGTCTACTCGCTGCTTTCGGACCCCGACCTCAAGCGCTTTTTCACTTTCTGCGGCTACGAGGCACATGCTGCCGAGTAACCCGCTGACGAGAGAAAGAGTAGCCCCAAGGCGAAACTGGAGGAGCATTCCATGCGCGTCAAAACATGGGTTTTTCTAAATTTGGTGTGAAGGGTCGTGATCAGTTTTTTAGTTATGTTTACTTTTTCATCATTGCTCTACTATTGGAAAATATCTAATCAAAATGCACCATTTAATTTAAAAATACATATAGTTACAATGCACCGTTCCAGTTTATCTAGTCTGAATGCCGAGTGGCCAATATGATCTTGACCGGAAATGTACCACGTACTTTCTTGTCGCCAACCAGTCTGTCCAGTTCCGCATACAGGTCCACAAAAGCACCAGGAAACTTAGAGACAAATGGAAATGATGCGAAGTGTTCCTTGATACCGACCAAATCCGTCTCGAAGTCCCAGTCTTTGTCCTTGGCAAAACGTTCAACGTCATCGGGTCCCGTGTAATCTAACTCTTTAACGGAGTATGTTTCCTCCGGTGGCAGCATGCCCTGGATGCCACGCTCTCCGTGATCGCCCATATTGAAATGTAGTCGCTGCGCACCAGCCTCGAACAATCTACTCGACAGCGGTGCCACGTTGTATTTACCTTGGGTTCGAGCCATGACGCGCTTGGTGTGCTCTGGCTGGTCAGCTCCACGCAGCAGCTCTCGCCCGCCCGTCTGGCTGATTTCCCCCCATAGGGCTTGTACCTCATCATCGTCAAAGTTGGCCGGACCAAATAGGGCGGCGGCAAAGGTGCCTCCGGGCCGCAGCTGGCGGGCGAGGACGGCCATGGCGGTATCTTGGGGCTCGGCAAAGTGCATGACGTTTGTGGCAAAGATCAGGTCAACCGATCCAGGGGGGATATCGTAAGCTGACTCGAGACTGGCGACACGAAAGCTGTAGCCTGGGGACGGGGGGCGTGATTCCGGGGCTTCGGCGAGAAGACGAGCCCGGGCCAACTTGATATTTTCAGGAACAATATCAGATACAATGATATGGTCGAACTGGGTACGCAGACGCTGAGAATATGGACCGACACCAGCGCCAACATCGTGGACAACCCCAGAAGAGCCACCCTTGCCGCGATGTTAATCAAATACGCGCGTGAAGAAGGTGTCTGGGACCTTGGGACGGCCTCGGAGGTATGTGGACCAAAAGAGGTCGTCCTGACCGAAAATTGTACCGTCCGAGTTCATTGAGATGGACGATGGATGATGGAGATTGGAGAGTGATGGGTGAGAAAGGGGTAGCCAAAATTCTGATATTCATAAAGATCGCAAGCTACGTTAAATGTTGACAACTACAACAGCCCAATCAACCATGCAAAGGCCCGACACTAAATAACTAACAAACGTACACAAACGAATACACAAATCATTGAGACCTTACGACGGCTAACACACCATTCCAATGCCTTCTCACCCGTGGTACTTGTGTTTTAGCACCAAGGCCAACACAAGCCCGTCATGCGACCGCAGCTCACTGGCCACCACCAGCTTGCCATCGTTGTCTGTGACCGACTCCACAATATCGAGCAGCTCGGCCATTTCCATCTCGCCCTCATTGGCTAGCTGCAGCATGCTTAAATCGCGCACTCGTACTGCTGCCTCCAGCCCCCAGTGACCGTCTAGGCTGCCGGGCGCGGGTAGCAGCTGTGCCGTAAGCACGAGCATGATTCCACCACCAATCCGCAGTGGTGCGAGGGAATTACAAAGTCATACAAGTAAAGTCATACAAGTAATAGTATACCTTTAGCAATAAGTGTAGCTATTTTATTTAATTACCCATTATTCCAAATATTACCTTATGATATTGCAGTTTTAAATAATAGTATTAACTATTTAAATAAGATCTTCGCCCCACCCAAAGGGAAGATTTGACCGACTCGCAGCAACCCTTGGAGCTGTGATAATGGCTTACGGAGATGGCTGACGATGATGGCGGAAGATGCAGGATGTAGACAGTCGCAGTGGTGACGGGCTGCAGCGAGCCAACTTGGCGCAAAGTGACCTTTGTCCGGGTGTCGGCGTTGCTCTCGGTTGCGTTGCTATTTTGATCGCTGTCCCTGTTTTTGCCGTTTATATGGTGCAGCTCGTCCCCACTGCTTCTTTCCTGAATGCAGGCCAACGTATTGCGGTCGGTGACTTGCACCAGCACCTGCAGATTGGCGAAAGTCCTTGCAAGTTTGTGGGCCAATGACGTAGATTGGGCCCCGACCTAAAAGCAGTTAGTCTCGCTGTGATTGGGAGTGAAGCGACTGCTGTGAGAGGGAAGACAACAACAAGAAACCCCAGTAATAGCGCAAGGAGAAGGATGAGGGGAAGTGAAGCGAGAATTGGTTGCAAATCGGTTGGCCTTACCTCCACTATGCAGGTATTGCCTAAGCTCGGCCACTGAAGACGCAGGAAAGCATTGATGAGCTCATCTTCGGAATGCAGATGTGCTGCGTGCGTAAGATAAGCAGTCCATTGTCGTGCGAGCTTGGATGGCTCCTGGAGTGCAGCATGAAAAGATTGCATGGGCCTGAGAGCAATGTCATAGGCTGTCTGGCCAGCTGGGTGGTGTTCGCTGTGGCTCCGCGAACGGGGTTGCTTTGTGCTCATGCCTCCATCCGTGTCAATCGAGGCCATGGCCAGACGCGTGGCTGTGTTCATGTGTAGAGCAGCTGGGGCAACCGTGTTGGCAATGAAATTCGTCGCGTCGCAGAGAGGCTGGCGGGCCAGGAATTGTCCCGAGAGCTCTGTATGTGATACGCAATTCGGCTGTACCTCACGCAGAAACCGGCAGCCCGCCGTCAAACGGATCACCCGGCGCAACTGGTCCTCGGGTACCCCCGCTAGATCGGCCAAATCGCTGATAGGCAAGCTTCCCTCTCGCGGGATGCAGGCCAGAATCTGAAAGTCGCTAAGCCATTTCAGGCAGGCCAATATCTGCACCTGCACATACCAAAGATGTAGGAGTGTCAACCCGTGTCGCTAAAAGCGCCAGAAAGCTTATCGGGGGTTGTATTCGTGCGAATACGTGGTACCCAAAGGAAACGTGCAGATGGGATCTGACCTGGATGGTGAGACGGCTCAGGAACTCGTCTGGACCGTCTAGCAGTGCCCGGATGCCCTCCAAGCCGGCAAGGATGTCAGCTTTGGCCTTTGCAATATTCGCTTTTGTCTCCGATAGTATGTCGCCCGTAGCCTCGGAGGAGAACGCCTCTTGCGAGTGCAGATTATAGCCTAGCACCCGAACAGCTGCTGCCAGCTTGTCGCTCTGCGTCTGCAGCTCATCCAGCGTGTGGGCGTTCATGGTTATATCGTCACGCTCTTGTCGGGTGCCAGATGCCATCTTGATTTCCTCTCTACCGGTGGAGCTTGTCCAAGAACTCAGACTAAGTTAGCCATACATATTCTTTCGCCAAGAGCAATGTGCTATCCCATATATACATGCGGAATTTCATGCTGGGGCCCCTGATAGAATCGGCGTCTATCACTTTGATTGAAAGTTGCGAGCTAGGGTACAAACTTGTGTTTCAAACCTTGGATCCTACCCAAAGTGGCTTATGATACACGTACTCTGTATGGAGTACACACATGTTAAATGTCACATACCAGCACTGTTGATAGTGCCTCCCACCACCACGCTAATAAAATGTAGTCCTTATGATCGGCAGGTAGTTAAGCTCCCACCCCTTGGAAGTACTAAGCTTCAACAATACACACATGCTTACTGGATATCCATCATTTTATAGTACTTTTGCCAAGGCCACGCGTAGAATAGCCTAGTACTTTCGACAGGTGTGCAACCTCGTTTGTTATTTAGCATGGTATTTTTAAATTGAAACAGCCCATGCAAATAAAGAAAACGTTAGATAAGCTTAGCCAACATAACCAGGTAAAATGTTATGATACCTAAAAATATGGGACAGAGGATGCCAATAACAGGACGAATCAAGCTACTTTATTTTACGAGATGTATATTTCTCGAGAATATATATATATTCACGGATATATCGGTCTACACTGGAAATTGTCTGTTATGATATCCCCCTCGTCCACTAGCCTTGTACTTTGCACTTTTTTCTACCCCCCCAAAGAGCCAATGAGTGCGTGGGAGCAGGCATCAACAGGAGTATTGCGATGTCTTCGTCAGTAACTGACAAAATCCGAGATTCGTGCAATGCTTGTGCCCGTTTTAGGATCAAGTGCCCCAGGGAGCGACCAGCATGTTCACGATGCGAGAGTCGCGGCATAACCTGCTGCTACGCATATACAAAGAGGCCAGGCAGAAAACTTTTGAACGGGAACAAAAACGTAAATATCAATGGTAACAAAGATACCGCCGTTGGAAATAGCAGCAGAGCCACAAAATCAATATCCAGCTTCGACGACAGTATCACTGTTGATTCTGCACGGACGCCTCGAAGTGCCAGAATTAGTGATAGAAGCGAGGGAGTTAATGCGCCAGCGTGCAGCAGCCACGATATCACCGACATTCGTGAGGACAAAGATAGCGACGATGCAGCGTCCGCTTCAACCAGTGTCTTCGAGCAGCCAGAATGCCAACTGATGACACATAGCCCCCGACCACCAGAAATGCAGACGTCGCCACATAACCAGGGAAGTCTCGACCCTGACGGCGTTGTCGTGCAGTTTGAGGACATGCTCTGGCCAACGGCAGAAACCCCTATGTTCATTGCTACCACAGCTGGCAGCGCTACCCATGCAAGCACCCGACGCAGAGGGAGCTTGGCGGCTACAAGGGGAATCAACAGCTTCCATAGTATTAACAGCAACAACAGCAACAACAGCAACGCAACCACCAGCGCCAATATCAACGATGGATTTGGTCCCCAGCATCGCCCTGAGAACACTGCCAACCAATACACAGGTGTCATGGCTTCATCACATAGTCTTTTCAGCACCACTGACGACGTTATGCACAATAGCGGTGCCATGACCCTATTCCCGGGTTTCAACGAGTCGAGCGTGTTCGCCGACATCGAAGCATTTGACCCAAAACTGGACGCATTCTCGGAGTTGGTCATGGACTTGTCATCTTTGACCGCCCTGCAGCCTCCATCCGAAAGTACCAGCAACACTGGCAATATTGCAACTATACCAGGTGACGTGGCGTCTCTTCTAATTCCCGACATACAGGCGACATCTTCAAACTCCGACAGAATGCAGACAACCATAAACGAACCAACAGGTTGCCTTGCGACCAGCTCCCTGTCCTCTTTATTCTCATACACTGCCTCATCTAGGACCCCCCCTTGGTCGCTAGTACCATTGCATCCGTCGTCCGCGACAACACCCTCTTCCATGTTTACGTCTTCGTCTTCGTCGGCAAAATGGCCGTGTGTGCGCGAGACGGCCGGTAGCAATGACAACGGCACCAGTTCTGGCGGCACGGTTGCCTCAGGCCTGTACGACAAAAGTCTGGCACGAGCTGTCGATCTTCTCAGATCGCTCTGTATCTCGGATCTGGTAGTTGACAGTGCCAGTGCTCCTACGCAAGGGGGCGACGCACCAACTAGATACATCATTCAAGAGAACCATAGGACCATCGATGCCATTGGCTCCATTTTGTCATCGTCGTGTGTTGAGGATGGCTTCTCGCTGGCCGTCTTGGCCATGGTGGTGCTCAAGATCTTCGAGCGATATGACGCCGTGGCGCGCATGTCGTCGGCAGAAGCCACTAGTAACACGGGTATGTCGAGTGGACCTGTACACACCCGAACTCGATCGATGGGTGGTATACAGAGCGCACACAGCGTCATTCAATCTCCCCTTGGGGGTACAAATGCCGATCCTTCATCTTATAAGCGCCACCAGCACCATCACAAGCACTGCTACGATACTATCACAGCCAAGCTGGTGTTGGGCGAGCTGCACCGCATGCAGCGCTTGATCAACGAGCTTTCGCACGAATTTCACAAGTATCAAGAAGACGGCGGACTGCAGGTTGAATGGAGCGGTGCCAATGGCGGAGGCGGCCTAGGACCAAGAGGCAGTAGCGACGAAGCAAAGTCCGGCACCGACACGGGTACATGGAGTCCACAGCGGCAGCTGGTGGCTTTAGAGACGCTTGCGCAGCTGGAGCGGGACATGCGACGGTGTCTAAAGACGCTCTCGGCAGGGATTATAAACTATCTGCGGCGGCGGTGACCTATGGGTTTTCATGGCTACTTTGAGGGACGTTAACACTGACGTTAATTTAAGTCAGGGTTAGAAATATTACAGATACACATAGGAGTATCTACTCCATCTGCACGGGGTCCTCCGCATCTACAAAACTGCTTACAAACCAAATCGTGACCGTCTGCACCGCTTCCGCTTTCATATGCATATTCTTACCTATGTTATGGGTAAGCCCTGTGTGGTCAATTTGCAAATACATACATAGTTCAAAGATTGAATAAAGGCATTTGTTACTACAAATTGGTCACAAAGCTTTCAGCTCAAGAAAGCGTTAAAATAAATTTATGATAAAAAAGGTTATAAATAAGAGTATATGGTATAAATCATGCTAAGTTATAGCTTCATATAGGATAAATACTAAATTTGAGTAAGGCCTTGGATTTTATAATTAGTTTTAACGTGTATTGTAACAAGATCACAGCATATTTTTTGATTTGATTCAGCGTATATATCTTTTTCAAAGAATAAGGTAACCTAATCCTGCCCAAAAAATAGTTCCAGCAACTAGCAGCAGTGTCGTCTTTTCCCAGCCACCTACTATACGTTTCGGAGCCTCGAAGCTTACGGAAAACCCATCGACTACCTTTCCATCCCGGACAAACTCCTCGGCCCAGCCAATAGTCATCCTAGTCCAGTTAGGCACAAACGCTAAGAAACGACTGTTCGCTCACATACAAGCTCTTCCGAGTGTCGGCAAAGTTGCCATGATCGCGGGCCAATTTTTCCTTATACCAAGGATCTTGCTTCATGCGCTTGTAGTCGTCGACAGACCGGAAGACAACCTGGCTAAAGCAATCGACATCCGAGGTGTTGACCATTTGGGGGTCAATCAGCTGCTCCACAAGCTTTCGCGTGGCAGTGCTGTTATGGATCTGTGTCCAGCGCTGAATGCCGTACTTGACCATAAGGTCCTTTGTCATAGGGGCCGACACGTTTATCATGTGGTTGTGGTAGTTATCTTCGCTCATCCCTGGCTTGCGGTAGCCCAGGATGGTTAGACAAAAATAGCGCGGCATTGTTGGGATGTTGGCATGTACAGGATGGCCTGAAATAAACAGGATGCAGCGTTGCTGGGTGGTGGATTATGGACAACCATGGAAAAGCAAACGGAATCGCCAGTTCCACAGACGCTCCCACTGTCGGTGTTCAGCACACCGACACTGGCAGTTGTGTCTGGATCAATTCTTTCTGGTAAGGTTGTTCGCATGCTTTTCCACTGTCATACAATGCTCATAATCTTTAGGTGCCATGATTAGCCTTTCGGCATTCACTATTCCCGTGTTGCTCAAAACCAACGTGAATAACCCGCTCCATACCGTCCGCCAATGGTCCGTTCTTTACTCTTACGGGCACACCTACTTACCGAGTCTTGCTGTTGTCACGTGCGGACTTCATTTCCTTTCTAGCGTTAATGGCCCGACCAAGGACAAAGCCCGAAAGCACCTGCTAGCCACCGCATTAACCATCAGCATTGTCCCTTTTACTTGGTGTATCAGGGCACCCACCAACAACATCTTATTCGCGATCGTGAAAGCTGGCACAGATGTGGAGGCGGCCCGGGTGTATGAGTTAGCCATGCGGTGGGCCTGGCTACATCTGGTTCGGTCTCTGTTCCCGTTCTTCGGGGTGTTTGTGGGGCTAAAAGCACTTCTAGGGTAGTGCGGGGTAGTTAAAAGAAGACGAATTTCTAGCACATGCGGAGTAGGAAATCCGCTATGCCCGTTGTATCTTAATTTAGTTCACCGGGTACGGAGATTTGCTTTTATGTATTATTTCAAATCAAAAGTAACCCCTATATTCCGATCTTGTGGCATAGCACCGCGAAGTTTGTCGTGGATGATTAGGTAGTTTCATTGGTTTCCCGCAGAATCAACCCGACTTTCAACACGTCCGACTCTGGCGTTAGCTGATCCTGCAGAGCCAGCAGCTCATCGACGTCCCATTGTGCCCACACAAACCGCCCGTGCAAGAACCCACTCTCGGACCCTGCTAGCCACAGCGCAAAATGCGCCGGCAGATCGATATCCTCCCAGTGCTTGGCATCCTTGCTGAAGATCCCGCCGAGTACTTTCTCCGTGCCCGGTGTCCAGATGGTCCCTGGGTGAAAGGAAATTATCTTGGTGTTGCCATCGTCCTTTCTTTCGGCCGCAAAGTGCTGCATGACCTGTGTTGCTGCTGCCTTGCTGGGCCCGTAGCCGATGCGATAACCCGAAAGCTGTAAGGCGACGGACGACACGTGCAGCACCGTCTTGCGTATGGGTGTGGGCTGCGACAGGTAGGCCTTGGTCAGCGCAAAAGGACCGATGATGTTGGTATCAAAGGCCTCTTGCACTTCGTCCACAGTGATATCGGTGCCAGCTGCCCGGCGGTGGGCGACGGCTGCATTCAGCACTAGAACGTCGACAGTCCCTAGCTCCTGTAAGATGGCAACGACACAGGCTGTATCAGTGATTGAAACAGCATATATCAGAATCTGCGTGGCGGGAAAAGCCATATCCAGTTCGCGTTTGGCTATTGCCTGGGCGTCTGCCGAGCGGGACAGAATAGCAATGCGTGCAACGCCCGTACCAGCAAATGCTTTAGAGATGCTATAGCCCACACCACTGGCACCGCCGGTGATTAAAATGGTTTTGCCGTGGTCCTCAAATCCATGGTGATTGGCTATGCGGCCGTACGACGATGTGTGGTAGGTCTTGGTGAGTCTGGGAAGGGATTGGAAGAATGACATTTTGTGCGTTCGTTGTAGATAATAGATTGATTCGATATGGTACTGTGAAAGAGCATGTCGTCCCTGATGTCAATATATACTATTTGTGTCGGCAAAATAAACGACCGATCGGGATCTGTCATTAACAAAGAAAAAGAACACCCGGATAACAGAGCACAAGCGAGTTTAAACTTGGTCTCAAATCCCTGGTGCGATTTATGCCTTGCAATTTCTGGCTCGACACTAAGAGAAGAGAGCAGTGGCGTACTATTCATCAAGCCACCAGCGGATATATAATACCTTTCTTATATACACATAATAAACCCAGTAAAATTATGTTCAAGCCCTGTCCCCTACTTTCCATGATGCCGATTATACCGCACACTTTCTTTCTTCCTTATATCTTCCTGCCTCGGCCGATTCCTCGGCTGCTTCATTCGCTTTCGCGTCCTTCTCTTCGGTCTTCTTTGCCCATGGTGCAGCCACGCTCTTCCATTCCAGGGCGCAGGCACCAGGGACACAAACACACGACAGGGCCATTCCGATCTGAAAAACTACACGCAGCGAGTCGTTGTAGGCGACAAGTCCGGCCTCCTGTAGGTTGGCCGGCAGGTTGTTCAACAGCGTGGTTGCACCACTCTCATATATGAGACTCGGGTCAATAGGGCCTCCCGTCAACTTGGACAGTCGGCTAACGAGCTGGGTGGCAAGCACGTTTTCACCTACTGACACAAAGACAGACGCCATAAGAAGGCCGCCAAAGAGAGCAGTGGCGAAACCTGTGGGGGCATCTTTCTTAGGCAAGACCGCCTGGATGGCGAGATTAGGAATCTGGTAGACAAACCCGACGCCAATGCCGTTGACAATCTGGTAGCCGATCCATTTCGACATCGGTGTGTCGACAGTCCAGGTAGAGATGAGACCGCCGCCGATGGAAGAGAGGACGGCACCGAGGATAGCAAATGGCACATAGTACCCTATTTTACTGGTCAGGATACCTCCAAGAATCAGGCCGACAATGGATGAGGCCATGAGCGGAATAGTGCGGATTCCAGACTGCACGGATGAAACGTGCGTGATGGCCTGGAACCAGTTGGGAATGAAATAGACTTTGGCTTGTTAGTAGGAGTGACGTCCGGAGTGAACACTGAAGTACATACTGAAGACAAAGTTAGAGCAGCTGAAAAATACAAACAGGAACCAAGCCGCGACGACGCTCCTGTTGCGGAATAGATACAGGGGAATGGTGGCGGTGTCTGGGCAGAACACTTGGATGAGGCCAAAGCCGATCAGGCAGAAAATGCCAATGATGAGAAGAGCAATAACGCGACCATTGTTCCACTATATGCAACTAAGTTAGTACGCATCGACAAGGCACCGGTTGCAGAGGCAAACAACGCACAGCATATGTCTGGCCGCCCCACTGGAGAGCCAGCAGGATGCAGATGGCTCCAGAAGCCACCAAAATGGTCCCGGGGAAATCCAGCTGCCGCATCTTCCACTTCAGGGGTTTGTTTTTCAATTGACGTTGCTGGGGAATTTCGAGGAAAAGAAGAATGACAATCATGGCGGCACCACCAATTGGCACTATTCGACGAGTTAGCAGATGACTATCAGTAGTGCATATATTCGGGCCTCACGGTTCACATAGAAACACCAGCGCCATGTGACGCGTGATGTAAATGCTCCTCCGATCAGGGGACCTCCAATTTGTGCGACAACCTGCATCATACCCATCTAAGATTGTTAGTATATTACATTTCTAAAACAAGTCTTGGTTGCTCACTGCCGCAAAGAGCTTTGGCTTGTGGTGCAGAGGCACCACGTGAATCATAGACGTCATCTGTATTGTCAGTGTATGCCAATCGAGAAAAGAAAAACCAAATCATAGGAAAAACGAACCGCCCCAGCAAAAATACCAGCGGCACCGATGCCCGCGATGGCCCGGCCGATGATAAAGGCAATTGACTTGGGTGCCGAACCGCAGATAGCCGAGCCCACCTCAAATGTAAGGACACTGAGGAAGAGGGTGTACTTGACGGAGAAAAAGGTAAAGACCTTGCCAAAGAGCATCTGCACGGCACAGCACGATAGCATGTAGGCGCTACCGTACCAGCCGTAATCGTTGAGGGCGTGAAACTCGTTAGTGATTTGGGGGATGGCTGTTGAGACAATGGTACGGTCTAGAGCCACGAGAAACATGCTCATGAGAATGCCCATCACCACGAGGAGAACCTTCCAGCCAGACATCGTTTCCGTCAGAGCTTTAGTGTCTTCATCCGCATCCTGAGGGTTGCTTGTCTTGGATCTTGAGATACAGGTTTCAAAGTCAGTTCCAGCAGCAGTGGCTGCAAGTTCGGATGGTGCAGCCGTTGCATGTTGTACGTTTCCCGGCAGATAATTGGAAGTCATGCTTTGGGTGGAAGTCAAATTCGCTAATGTATAAGGGAGTTGGACGCAGTATATTAACCAGCAAAGACCGGGAAAGCAGAAAGAAGGAAGTATGTGCCAGGCTTTTATTTTTGAGCGCAAATATGTCTACGTTGCTCTGCCTTGTTCTGTTCCTAAACCTCGCGTGGTGCAAGTAGCTTCGGACATTAGGAGCTGCGAAGAGTCCTTTTGTTGAGCACAGCCCTGCAGAAATCTAACATAGCTGAACCGTTTAGGATTAGTGTGCAACTATCCTGCAGGGATGGGCCCACTTGTTGAAGACATGCCGTCATTACGGAGCATAGGTATTAGCAGGAAATGCGGTATCACTTGCTCTGTACAGAGTATATGGAGCAAGAATGTACTCCGTCTATTTGTGCTTAGTAATCACATTATGCTAATTCTATTGGCAGTTGTGGCCGCGTGGTATGTCTTACTATTCCGTACATAGTAATATAGAAATAGCGCGTTGAAGAAAGACGAGACCGACTTTGTTACGATCCGGCCTCCTCACCTCTTCTCCCGGGAACTACGGCAACATTAATCAGAGGAAGTGCCCGATACCTAATTTACATTAGTTTATTAATCGGATACATAGCCTTTCCCCCGGCTTGAAAAACACGGTTACAATTTAAAATTGTGAAATATTATACTTTGTGTAGACAATACAATGGTAGGACAGAACGGTTTTGTTGCTGCTGAAGATGTCAACAGTGCTAATTACCCCAAGGCCTTAAACGGGAATCCTGCCAGCACAACATTCTTTTCCATCGGAGACAAGGATGAATTCAACCCGGAGAAGTGGGTGCCGTGTCTCCCCCCCCGGCATCCTGAGACCGGTATAAAAGTTCTTATTGTCGGTGCCGGCTTTGCTGGCTTGACCGCGGCGCTTGAATGCTGGCGCCAGAGACACACAGTGGTTAGCATTCTCGAGCGTAGTGCTGGCCCCAACTACAGTGGCGACCTTATTATTGTGCAGCCTTCAGCGCTCGAGATGATGCGACACTGGCCCTAAATGCGCGCCGAGCTCGCCCGCGACCGCGTCGATGCCGGTACCTACTACTACTGCTTTGACGGCGAGCTGATCGACGGGCCCTCGAATCCCAATTTCAACGAGCCGACCTTTGTAGCAGAACGTGCGGCCCGCCACGCCAATATCCCGGGCGGCTTTCCCGAGACCGGCGCCGTGCAGATTCGCAAAAAGTTTTTCTGCATGCTTCTACGGCAGGTTGCCTGTCTGGGCCTCAGAGTAGAGTATGGACAGCATGTCGAGAGCTACGAAGAGGAGGACACTAGCAAGAGCGTGGCAGGTGTAGTGTTAGCCGACAGGTCAAAGCGTCAAGCACACGTCGGTACGTTTTTTCTCTCCTTTTGTGGTTTCATTTGTCTTTCATTCCTGCTCACTCTTACCTTAAGTCATCGCTGCCGATGGAATTCACTCGCTCTCCGGGGAAGTCATGCTGGGCGACCACACAGCAGGCATGCAGCCGAGCGGCATGTCGGTGTACCGTGCGGTGTTTCCAGTCGAGCACGCATTTGCTGGCTCAGAACTGGTGCGCCAGCGCTGGCAGGGCCGTCACACGTACGAATTCTGGATGGGTAGCGGCATGCATATTGGCCTCTACGTGTCAGACGAGGTGGCCGCGCTCGGCATCACACCCCGCGACGAGTTTCTCGACCCTGCCAACGCTTTTGCCAACAATGAGTCATGGGACCCCCAGGTCAGCCCGGACGAGGTTGTTGCGGTCATGCAGCGGGCCATGTCTGGGAGCGGCGAGGGGAAAAATTGGCACCCCGTGCTTGAGGAGCTCGTTCGCACCGCTCCCGAGGGAAGCATCATCCACTGGCCACTTTTCTGGCGCAACCTGCAGCGCAGCTGGGTGTCAGCCACGGGCCGTATCGTTCAGATCGGTGATGCAGCCCATTCCACCGTGCCTGCATCGGCGGCCGGTGGCACGCTGGCTCTTGAAGATGCCGTCACCGTGGCCGCTTGCTTGCGGCGTGCAGGTTCGGCTGATAACATAGCACTTGGGACACGCATCTACAACATCCTGCGCTATGAGCGGTCGAGCTGCACGCAAAAGATGGCGTTTGTTAACGCGCAGACGCTGGGCCACACCACCGACTGGGATGAATTGCGTAAGGATCCGGCCAAAGCGCGGTTGCGGTATCCCAAATGGCTGTTCCGACACAACCCGGAGGTATATGTGGAGGAGAAGTGGGCAGCGGCGGTTGCTTATGCAATTAACGGGGTCGACTACCACAACACAAACATCCCACCCGGCCACCATTTTACACATTGGACTATCGAGGACATCAGTCGACAGATTGCGGAAGGAAAGCGAGTAGAGGATCTCCTAGATGGAGACTGGTCGTAGAGTCCTGTTCAGTCAATTCCATCTTCTAATACTTACATCAAATCGACACTATTATAAGATCCGGTTCTTATGTTAATGGTATTGCGTTACTACTCCGTATGTACGGAGTATCTAACTCCTTTATTCCAAAAAAAAAAAAAAAAAAAATGTAACCATTATTAGCAAGTTGTAACGCCCGCCTATTAGAGAAGACGCCGGCGCAGGCGACGCACAAGCCGTGCGCAGTATGCGCACAGCTTACGGAGTACTAAACGCGCATTATAGTCTGTAAGCGGTGCTTGTGGCGCAGTCTGCGTGGCGCAGTCTGCGCACGGGCCAAGTAAGAGCGAGGTCTCGCCTGCCCTGCGCACCTACGATATTCTGTCTGTAGCCTTCTATTTCCGTATCTTATTCTCGCGAAATGCGCGCCGTACAGTTGTACGGAAGGGCTGACAAACTATCTGGTTTGCTAGCTCCTTATAGGTGGTTTTTTTGGGTAGCGCCTTGCTTGCTAAAGAAGGTAACGTTCATCTCAACGGCTACGTGACGCATTCCTGCCGCGGCCAGGTCTATCTTCGAAGCTATGGGTTTCTGTGTAAACCAATTAATTGTCTTAGTAACTGCGCTGCGCGTAACGCTAAAAGCCTTTGCAACGGCGCCTTATAACTGGCTGGCGTATATAGCGCCATATATAGCAGCACGCGCAACCAAACTTAGCCATCCTTTCGGCCGTCAGAATAGCACCAAATCCAGCTATTTTGGACATCTTTTTTTTTTTTTTTAAAAAAAAAAATTATGGTGATTCTAAGTTAGGGTAGGTGCTAGAAGTTGAATGAGAAACGCGAAACTTCCGTACTTTTGGAGCCATACTGTACCTATAAATACCGATAAAACGACTTCAAGAATACCCTTTTAGTCTACTGTATTATTTTAAATTATTTTACTGTATAAAATTCGTCTCTAATGCTTTTTAAAGTATGACTTGTAGTACCTCTGTGCTAACATTCTCAAGCACGCCCGGCTTATTGTGTTGTTACCTAGGTTGACATGTTAATACTTGGTGCTAACTAAACTTATAGACAAATCAGTAAGATACTACCCTGGTTGCTCTACAATATTAAATAGCATTACTCCGTAATCTATAATTATTTACAATTAACTGACTAAACTTTGTTTGAAAACCCCCAACTATCGCCATTATGATTCTACAGCTAGTCGAATCAAAATATGAATTAAGTTTTGATTTTAATCATATCGGAGTTTAATATTTTAGCATTGCTATTACATTGTTGTTGCCCCTATCCTAATAGGAACACCAAACCTTACACGTAGTAGGCGGGGTTGTATAACTAACTCTTATCTCAACATAAGCTCATCCCTCAAGCCGCTCCTCCATCCAGAGTTAGAACTTTTCCGTTAATCCACTCGCCGTCCTTACTAGCCAGAAACGCCACCACCCGCGCCACATCCTCGGGAAAGCCGTTGCGGTTCAGCGGTGACGCAAATGCCGCCATCTTCTGCCGCTCTTCAGCCGTGTACTTTTCGCTGCCCGGGATGTAGCGATGTGACACGGTGTGGAACATGTCCGTGACGGTGCCGCCGGGTGCCACTGCATTAACCGTGATGTTCTTGTCGCCGCAATCTTTGGACAAGATGCGCACAAACGAATCGATGGCCCCCTTGGAGCCGGAATAGAGCGAGTGATGCGGCACACTGAAGTCGCGCGACGTGTTGGACGACGTTAAGATGATGCGGCCACCACCGTCGCCGCGCAGCGTGCGGTAGCCTTCACGGGCCACAAAAAATTGGCCGCGCGTGTTGAGATTGAAAATGCGGTCATATTCTTCCTCGGTGACGTCCTTGAGGTGTCCAAAGCTAACAACACCTGCGTTGCTGACTACAATGTCGAGCGGCTTCCCAAAACTTTCGACGGCAAAATTAAACAACCTGACCGTATCGGCCACATTGCGCACATCGGCCTGGAACGTGTAGGCTTTACATCCAAACATCTTGATTTTGGCAGCGACCGTATTGGCAGCTTCGGGCGAATGGGCGTAGTTGACCACGACGTCGGCTCCTAATTCTCCCAGCTGTAAGGCAATAGCTGCGCCAATGCCGCGACCGGCACCAGTTACAACAGCGACTTTGCCATCAAGGCGGCCGGGGATGTAAGGAGAGGTCATGTTGCTTGTGGATAGATGCAATATGAATAATGTTGCTTGACTAGGATAAATGCAAATAAATGCAAATTGTCAAAGCTGTAGGTTTAGATAACAAAGGGTGTTTAGATCGGGCCTAGGTATGTGTCGCGGAATAAGGTTCGGTACATTTTCGGGGATCTCATAGGTTCGGGCTATACGACGGACCACTACGACCTCGTAATATTCGATTCAGGAAATGTACACATTCTCAGTCATACGACACTCGAATCCCTTAATTTACTTGGCGACGTTGAAATATATGTTAGTCAAATGGTGCAGGAGGCATACCGATTCAGCACCATCTCTGAATATGGCTTTCGCAGAGATAACGCAAACGGCCACCAACGGACCGGTGCCACATTTTGAAGGTGACTTTGCAGCGGCCTCTTGTACGAGTCTGTCACAATGATAACTGATAGAGTCACAGATGTGATCAGCTGCCAGGCTGCTCTGTTCGAATGGGCAGAAAGCTTTGATACGAAAGATTGGGGCCGTCTCTCTGAAGCCATTGCACCTACTCTTCACGTCGACTACACAGATGTCATGGGAAAATCCTGGAAGGCCTTACCAGCGGCCGATTTCGTGCAGATGGCTTCGAACACCCATTTTCTTGGCAACGTGCGTATCAAGACGCAGCATCTTATCGGTGCCGAAAAATGGATCAGCACTGGTGCTGACACGATCACGGGCTATCACCAGATGCGCGTCGCCCACCAAAAGTACAAAGACGACGGTTTAACCGAGGTGCTACGTCAAGGGCACGCACATGGAAATGCCACTGTGCGCTACCGTAAGGTCGATGGGGTGTGGAAGTTTGCCGGACTGACGCCAGACATTCGCTGGTCGGAGTCTGAGTATCAAAAAAATTTCGACGAGGAGTAAGCAGTATTGTAGACAGAAATCGAAAGTGTTCTTGCAGTATGTGTCCGCTCAGAAAACCCGGAGATCCTGCCCTTGAATATCGAATCCGACTACAGAATGATGATCCCACCGCTGACAGAAACTACTTGTGCCGTGATCCAGCGGCTCTTCTCCGACACGAGCAGGAGAACCGCATCAGCAATGTCATCCACGGTGCCGACGCGCCCAGCCGCCCGCGTCATATTGATAAAAATCTTGTCTTGCTCGTCAGCAGTCGCTGCATCGCCCACGTCGTTACTAATGTCGGTGTTGACTGGGCCTGGAGCAATCGTATTGACGGTAATTCCGCGGCTCCGTCCGAGCTATGTTGTCAGTGAATTCGAATACACAGAAGCAGAAATAGAATGCATCGGCTGTTACCTCCATAGCTAACGTCGCCATTAGCGAGTCTGTGGCCGCTTTGGCTGCTGCATAGACGCCTACATTGGTCGGGCCCATGGTGGACGCAATGGAACCAATGTTGATGATGCGGCCTCCCGGGGGCATCTTGCCGAGTTTGACCACTGCCTGAGTCATCTGCTATTGTTAGCACCAGGCAAAATTGTCCGGAGACAGAATTAGCGCACGTATAACGCGCCAAAAACCATGACGGAAAACTCCTGCTGCAGTTGCTCAGGGGTTACGTCGACGAGATGACTGAAAGATCCCAGCCCAGCATTGTTGACTGGAAGTTTATTAAAAATAGGAAAGGTGCCACTGGAGATGAAAACGTACCCAGAATGTTGATATTGTCCACGCCGAAATATTGTAAAGTCTCGTCCACAAGCCGCTTTGCTCCCTCAGGGGTGTCGATGCTACCCCGGACCACAGCAGCACGGCCGCCGTTGTTGCGGATGCTCTCAGCCACCGCTTTGGCCCGTGGTTCTGTGGCCTTAGAAACGTAGTTTATAGTAACACTAGCGCCATGGCGGGCAAGAGTTCTGCAGATGCCGGCCCCAATACCGTTCTCCTTGCCGGAGCCTGTGACGATGGCCACTTTGCCGACTAAAGATAGGGGATTTGTTTGGATGCCACTGGCCACCATTTTCGGCATTGTTGCGACAAAATCGAGAACAGCAATTTCGCTGCTAAGAGTAAACACAAAACCAGAAATCGACAAAAGTGTTGTGTACCATTTCTCTATAGCGAGACCATGATATACCCTAGGCCATCGAGCCTTTTAATCTGTTCACAGGGGGCATAAGCCTTTTAAGCGACCCCAACAATGCCCCGTTCCCCACATCCCCAAATCTACACAGTCGATGCCCGAGACAGGTTCAGCCGCACGAGAAACCACTTCTTCATCCTGGCTTGTATCTCAAATGCTACCGTGCCGTCCTCGGCCAACTTGCGCAGCACTTCTTCGGTAAACGGCTCCAGCACGGTCTCGCGGATGCCGACGTCAAGGTTAACATGCATGTGGGCCACAAGCTGCTTTACCGTCACACTGCCACGACGCCTCCCCTGGTCTTGCTCTTTCAGCAGCCGCAACGATTCGACGATGCGCCGCTCACGACGCCGCTTTTGCTCGAGCTCCTGCTGGATCTTGCCATCGAGGTCGGCCACAACAACACCATGAGCCGGGTAGCCTTGGTGGCAGTCATGGGAGTGCATGATGTGCAGACTCTTCATCCAGACACCGAGATGCTCAAAGGTGGCGGTGCCGTGGCCCAGGATGTTGTCGCCTGTAAACATGGCCTGTTCCTCCTCTAGCACAAAGCACATGTGGTCATGGGCGTGCCCGGGCGTGTGGATGGCGCGAATCGAAGCACCAGGCACCACAAACTTCTGGCCGTCTGCAATCGGCTGCTGGGTTCTGGTGGGACTGTGCTTGTAGATGCGGGTTCTAAGATGCGGGTAGAGACGTAGGAGGTCCGGCACACCGCCCGTATGATCACCGTGCCAGTGTGTTAGCAGCACATGGCTTACGGTGATGTTATGCTCCGACAAGGTGGCCGCGATGAGCTCGGCCCACGTGGGGAATCCCTGACCGGTGTCGATGAGGATTCTTTCCGGCCCGGTGCCGATAAGGTAGGTGTTGGTTCCTTGAAGCGTAAACTGTTTGTTAGTTGACTTCCCATGATACATCCCATATCACCCCCGACCGTACCTTCTCCGGGTTTTGGCCCATCACACGAATGCCCCGTGGGCTGATCTGCTCAACATCTGCGATCGTAGGCAGAAGGGTCTGCTGTCCGTCGAGGTAGCCTTCGAATGCGCGGACATCGAGAGCCTTATTGATTTGCTTGTAGCCCCCAGCGGTTGATGCCATGTTGAACGACAGGGGGGCTCAGTCTTGGAAATCCGACCGTGTCAATTTCAGGGCTCGAAGCCGATTTTCATAAACGACGCGCGAAATCGAAACGGCAGCGGACATTTCGTCGTTGTCCTGAAGAAGTGTCCCGGGGAGAATACGAGCTACGTACAATGTGATGTTGGTCCTTGGCGACCCGATCCCGCGAGATTGTCCCGAGGGGGTTGAGAAAATCCGCGGCATATGAGAGCGAGTGAACCCCCTGTCAGTTAGGGCATCGACAGAATAAGGCTTTGTTGCCTTATAGTGAAGAGCCCAGCGACAAGGATAATCAGCCACAGGTATAAATTTTCCCATCCGTCCTAATCTTTCGGTTCTCGACGTATCCCCCAACCATGTCGTCTCACACGTCCGAATCTCTGCTTTCATCTGGACAGATGAAGGTGATATACTTCAGTTATGAGTTGCCAGAAGACCTCAGCGGTCTTCTGCGTCGGCTTCATGTTCACAGCCAGTGCAGGAAGCACCACATTTTGGCGCAATTCATAAGCCAGGCCACGCTAGCTGTGCGCGAGGAAGTCCAGTTGTTGCCAGCCTCACTACGCTGTCTGGTGCCACTGTTTGAAACCATATTCAGCCTCGCGGGCTACTCGGATCTGAGAAGCGGGCCTCTAGCAGGCTCGATGGACGGTGTTCTTCTCTGTGGATTTCAAATCGCAACCTTGATCGGGTGGGCTCTTCCCTACCTCCTGCGTCCATGCGCTTCTAACACGCTACCATAGATACTATGAGATCAACGGATTCCATGATGTCCACAGCGGAGACAGATATCTTTCTGGCCTCGGTCTTGGTCTGATCTCGTCTTTGGCCGCCTCGCTAGCCCCTGACTTGGCCAGTCTTCCTACCATTGGCGCTGAGGTGGTTCGGATAGCGTTCCGTTTGGGGGTGGTTGTCAGCGAGGTGTCAAACAACCTGGAGCCGATATCGGGACAGCCAAGCCACCATCACAGCAGCTGGGCATACGTCGTTCCCGATGTGGTTCCTACCGACGTTCAGAATGAGCTTGAGGTGTATCATGCTGAAAAAGTGAGTTCGCTGTCCCTGCAGTTTGAGCATCGTGGTTTCTGACTATGGCAGAATACACCACCATCCAGCCGGATCTTTATCAGTGCTCTAAGCCGCACATCTGTTACGGTCAGCGGACCGTCATCCAGCCTGAAGACACTGTTTCTAATGTCTGATTTCTTCCGTGGCCGCAAGTGGGTACATGTCTCTCATTTCTCTTCTTTGTCGCCATCAATCGTGCGCACTCACACAATCAGGTTCCCTTGCCAGTGTTTGCTGGCCTCTGCCATGCCAAGCATATTTACGACAACAGCTACACGGCAGAGATCATCCAGACAAGCTCCATTGATGTCATCGACACCACATTTACGCCACAAACGGCCATATTCTGCTCAAGCAACGGCCAGCCAATGCAAGCTTGGACGGCACGGACACTCTTTAGGGACGTCGTCTCGGAGATCCTCACGCAGTCGATCCACTGGGAAAAGGTGGTACAGGGCATTATGCAGACGGCGCGTGGGACCGCGGCGGTCAAATTCCAGCTTGCCATATTTCAGCCGTCGCTGGCAGACCACGAATTGATGCACACGCTAAACGCCGAGCTGGTAGGGCTTAAGACGTCGACGAAGAACCTGGCATCGTGGATCACGGCAGACGATAGCAATCACGAGACCACAGCCAACGACGGCATTGCTATTGTCGGCATGTCCTGTCGTCTACCCGGTGGCGCTACGGACACGGACACGTTTTGGGCCATTTTGGAACAGGGACTCGACGTGCACCGGACCGTTCCGGCGGACCGCTTCGATGTCACCACGCACTGCGACCCCAGTGGCAAAAGTCTCAACGCCAGCTGGACCCCGTACGGCTGCTTCATTGATGAGCCAGGACTGTTCGACGCAGCCATTTTCAACATGTCGCCACGTGAGGCCGTGCAGACGGACCCGATGCAGCGGCTGGCCCTCGCCACAGCGTACGAAGCACTTGAACGTGCTGGCTTTGTTCTCAACCGTACACCTTCGTCGCGAGAACCCTGTGTCGGCACATCCTATGGCCAGGCTAGCGACGACTACCGTGAGGTCAACACGGGTCAAGAAATTGGCACCTACTTCATCACGGGTGGCTGCCGCGCGTTTGGCCCTGGGCGCATTAACTACTTCTTTAAGTTTTCCGGACCCAGCTATAGCATCGACACGGCGTGCTCGTCGGGGCTGGCGGCCATCCAGGTGGCGTGCACGACGCTCTGGGCCGGCGACGCAGACACCATTGTAGCCGGTGGTGTCAACGTGCTGACCAACTCGGACGCGTTTGCCGGCCTCAGCAATGGGCACTTTTTGTCTAGTACGCCTAATGCCTGCAAGACGTGGGATAGCGAGGCCGACGGGTACTGCCGTGCAGATGGCGTGGTATCGTTTGTGTTGAAGCGGCTGGCCGATGCCAAGGCCGACAACGACACTATTCTGGGGGTTATTGGGGGTGCTGGCACGAACCATTCGGCCGACGCCGTCTCTATCACCCACCCCCATGCGCCCTCACAGGCCTATCTAATGCGACAGGTTCTGGCCCAGGCCGGCGTGGATCCCCTGGATGTGAGCTACGGTAGGTCCCCTCACAGCGTGAGATGTACATGCGATTCTCCTTCAGTATTGATGACTAATTGACAAAGTGGAAATGCACGGCACCGGAACGCAGGCTGGCGATATGCAGGAAATCCAGTCGGTGGCCGACGTGTTTGCCCCGACCAACCACCGGCGAAGCGCCAAGAGCTTGCTACATATTGGCGCTGTCAAAGCTAACGTCGGCCACGGCGAGGCAGTCGCTGGCCCTACATCCTTACTCAAGGTGCTGTTGATGCTGCAGCACGAGGCCATCCCACATCGGCATCAAGCACCAGCTCAACCCAGGCTTTCCGAAAGACCTAGACAAGCGGCACATGCACATTCCCTTTATAAAAACAGCCTGGCCACGCGCATTGGGAGATGGCAAGAAGAGGCTAGCTCTAATGAACAACTTTAGTGCTGCTGGTGGCAACAATTGTCTGCTTCTGGAGGAGGCGCCGGCGAAGACACCTTGCAAAACCAGCGACCCTCGACCTGTCCATACGGTCGCAGTCTCCGCCAAGAGCAAGCAGTCGCTACTAGGAAACCTCGAGCGCCTAGTAGCCTATCTCGAGGCCCATCCGCAGACATCTATGGCTAACGTCGGCTACACTACCACAGCACGTCGGCACCATTACAACCATCGCGTGGCCGTCGTTGTGTCCGATGCCGCTACAGCCACTGCCAAACTACGCACGCAGCTGACTTTGGTGGACGCCCTCAAGCCCATTCTGCCCATGGCACCACCCTCGGTCGTATTCGCCTTCACTGGCCAGGGCGCATCTTACCCTTCTATGAATGTTGAACTGTTCCATGACAGCCCGGCTTTCCAGGCCCAGATGCTGCATCTTGATGTTCTTGTCCAGAAGCAAGGCTTTCCTTCTATAGTGCCTGCACTCGATGGCAGTCACGTGCGAAGTCACGTCCATTCACCCGTGGTCACGCAGCTGGCTCTCGTCTGTGTCGAAATCGCCCTGGTGCACTACTGGGCGGGACTGGGCATTCGGCCGGATGTGGTCTTAGGTCATAGCCTGGGCGAGTATGCTGCGCTGCATGCGGCTGGCGTGCTATCAGCCAGCGATGCCATCTTTCTAGTCGGCAAGCGGGCGCAACTGTTAACGGAGCTCTGCGAGGTGGGCAGCCATGATATGTTGGCCGTGCGGGCGTCGGTTGAAGACATTGAAGCGGCCGTGGGCTCCGGTGACTACGAAGTGGCCTGTTTAAACAGCCCCCGGGACACTGTCTTGAGCGGTTCAGCAAACAAAATCGGCCGTGTCGCCCACGCCTTGGAGACCAGGGGTATCAAGCGCTTCCGGCTCGACGTCTCCTTTGCCTTCCACTCGTCCCAAACCGACCCTGTACTGGACCGCTTTGAGCAGGCCGCCTGTGCTGGTGCTGTTACCTTCCACCAGCCCACGCTGCCTGTTATCTCGCCGCTGCTAGGCCGCGTTATCTTTGATGACAAGACAGTCAACGCCCGCTACATCCGCCAGGCCACACGCGAGCCCGTGCGATTCCATGAGGCGCTGGGGGTTGCATACAATATGGGCATTATCGACGACAGCATGGCCTGGGTTGAAGATGGCCCCCATCCCGTCTGCCTCGGCTTTGTCAAGTCGACCCTAACTGCGGGCCCGGTGGCTTCGGTCCCGTCGCTGCGTCGTGGTGAGAACAGCTGGCAGACCCAGGCTCTTAGCCTGGCCGTGCTGCACAACGCCGGGCTGCCAGTCAACTGGGACGAGTTCCACCGGCCCTTTGAGCCGATGCTGTCCCTAATGGACCTTCCAACGTACGCTTGGAACGACAAAACGTACTGGCATCAGTACACGGGCGTCTGGGCGCTAACTAAGGGCAACACCTTTTACACGGACAAAGCAGAAGCCCAGAAGCCGCTCAGCCCGGCTAGCTCGGCCATTCAGACAACGTCTGTGCAGCGGGTCGTCCAAGACGTCTTCATGACTACCACTGCCAAGGTCGTGATCCAGTCCGACCTGATGCAGCCCGAGCTGTTGGCTGCTACTTACGGACATAGAATGAACAACTGCGGCGTTGTTACATCTGTAGGTCTTGCATTTGTTACTCTGCTCTCCTTCTTTATTTCTCTCCATCTAACTCTTTAGTCTATCCATGCCGACATTGCCTTTACGCTTGGCCGCTACCTGCTCGACAGGCTGCGCCCAGGTGCGCAAGACACCAGCATTGATATTGCCAATCTCCAAGTGGTCAAGGGTCTTGTTGCCTACAAAGACACTTCAGTCCCTCAGGTCATCCAGGTGTCTGTGGTTGTTGATGATGTTTCGACACTTTCCGTAGCTCGGCTAGCATGGCACAATGTCCAGGCAGATAAGACTTTAGAAGAGCTTCCCTTTGCCACAGCCGAGTTGCACTTTGGGTCCCCCGCTGGCTGGCTACAGGCCTGGTCTCCTTTAACTCATCTCGTCCAAGGTCGCATTGACGAGCTCACCCGCCTCGCTGATCTCGGGGTAGCCAACCGCCTGTCTCGTAACATGGCCAACACGCTGTTCGCTGGCAGTCTGGTCGACTACAGCGAAAAGTACCGCGGCATGCAGTCGGTTGTCCTGCACGGTCTGGAGGCATATGCCGATGTGACGCTGTCGACAGCCTCTTTGAAGGGCACCTGGACCATCCCGCCCGACTTCATCGATAGCGTGGCCCACCTGGCCGGCTTTGTCATGAACGTGTCCGACGCCCACGACACGCACGCCAACTTTAGCGTCACGCCCGGCTGGGGTTCTATGCGGCTGGCCGTACCGCTTGTGGCTGGGGGTCAGTATCGCTCGTATGTGAAGATGGTCCCGACCTTCGAAGACCCGCGCATCTTCCTAGGTGACGTTTACGTGCTACGTGCTTTAGACGGGGTTATTATTGGTGTCGTGGGTGCCATTGAGTTCCGCCAGTATCCGCGTCTGCTACTAAACCGCTTCTTCTCGGCCGATGCGCCGACTGCCTCGCCTGGATCGGCTCAACAGTCCACCAAGCCTGTTGAACCTGTGGCCCCTCCTCCTGTACCTGTTGTTCAGAGCACATCTGCACCAGCGCCGGCAGTTGCGGCAGAGAACAACACAGATAGCACGACGTCCAAGGCCATTGCCCTGGTGGCTGCCGAGGCTGGTATTGAGCTTTCTGAGCTGCAGGATGATGTGCACTTTGCCCATGTCGGTGTTGACAGTCTCATGAGTCTGGTTATTTCCGAGCGCTTCCGCGAACAGTTGGGCGTGCAGGTCCGGGGCAGCTTGTTCTTGGAATATCCGACCGTAGGTCACTTGCGGGCGTGGTTGGCTGAGTATTACGGTTAAGCTTAAAGAATGTGCAGCGTTTTTCTTGTTTTCCGTCTGTTTGATATGATAGCTTAAGCAAATATTTCTCCGTACGAAGTACACTCCGTCCGAAGTACGGAATAGTACACAACACTTTTCTGCTCACACTAGACCCTATTCAGCCTCCTGCTCCTCACAGTGCATCACGTTATATGACCGCCACGTACGGAGGTCCCTACCAAAAGTTCGTTCTCACCGCTTTTCTATAACTGCGGCAATACATAGTGCAGAGTGTAAATCATACGGAGAAAGCTATTAGCGATGATACGCTAGAGCTTAGTGGATACTATCGCTAATGTAACTCAATTACTAATATTTGTACAGGGCGCTTAGCACATAGAAATACGCTAACACTGCTGTAGTAAATACAGTAGCAATACATTACTAGCACTATATCCACCTTCTTATTTTGCCAAAGCGGTGAGAAAGAACTTTTGGTAGGGACCTCCGTATAGCCTCCTTAAACCTCCACCAATTTCAGTACAATCCACGGTGGATCCACTTATGCGCGATACAAATTAATAGATTAATAACACAAGACTCTCACGCCTTTAATCATATGGCCTGTCGCCTGACGTATCACGTGGGCACTACCAATTAGCAGCTGTCATGGCTGTGAATCCATAGCGTAATGTGCAGAGATAAGCTACAAACAGAAACGGTTTTGTTTGGTCTCGGCATTTGTCTAGCCCGTCTTCGTGCCTCTTTTGTTCTTTATCAGAGGTTTCCATTGCTCATGCATTCACGTCGTCCAGACGCCTGGCACGCAAAACCGGGCTAGTACCATAGCATTTTATCCCCCATCCTATCTCTGGCGGCAGCTTATTGCTTGTTGCCGCGCTGGCTTCCGGCACTATACGAGTACGCAGAGATGCGCTTCTCGGAGCGGCGTTCCCTCTTACATAAGAGAAGGGCGGCGTTATCTCTGCGCCACGGCACCCGTCTTTCCTGCTGTCACGGACATGGGTAACTTTTGCCTTAAATCACTATGTATGGCCAGCAAGGAAGGGCCGGATGCGGGAAGTTGGGTTATAATTCAGTAATTCCCCAGGATCTTGTCGGATCTCTGTTGTGCTCCCGCAGTCTTTCTCTCGGTGCTGTTTCCTGAGCTTTCAGACGGTCGTTCTGATTTTGTTTATCAGCCACAGACAGTCCTGCTTGTGTCTTACTTCTGGCGGTGAGCTAGCCGTGTGAAGACGCGGCACAGCCGAGATTCTTTTTTTTTTCTCTGTTGCCCATCATACACAACATGTCTGGATCGATCTCGCCGGGTGGCCTGACGCGGCCTGACGAGCGGAGCGCCCTGCTGCCCAAGGTCGCCTCGGCCGGTGCCTCGTCTGAGCGGCCGAGTGTGACCGGTGATGGCTATGGCTCGGATGGTGACGACACGACGGCGGCAGCTTCGTCGGATGAGACGACCGAGACGCCGTACCGGCTGTGGCTGGCCGAGATCTGGCTGCTGACCAAGGCGTCGGTGCCGGTGATCCTGGCCTACACGCTGCAGAACTCGCTGCAGACGGTGTCGGTCCTCATGGCCGGTCGGCTCTCGCCCGAGGCGCTGGCCACGGCCGCCTTCTCGTACATGTTCGCCATGGCGACGGCCTGGCTCATCGGACTTGGTGGCACGACCGCCCTGGACACGCTGGCTTCGAGCAGCTTCACCGGCTCGGCCAACAAGCACGACCTCGGCATCCTGCTGCAGCGCGGGCTCGTCATCCTGTCGGGCTTCTATGCCATCGTCTCTGTGCTCTGGTGGTTTTCCGAACCCGTCTTCCGTGCCCTCGGCCAGGAGGAGTTCATCTGCGTCCAGAGCGCCATGTTCCTGCGCTGCCTCATTCCCGGCGGCCTCGGCTACATCTGCTTCGAGGCCATGAAGAAGTATCTGCAGGCACAGGGTGAGTCTCCTTTTTCTCTTGATTCTTTCCTTTGTTTTTCTCACTTCGCCTAACTTTTCCAGCCATCTACAACCCCGGCACGTACGTGCTGCTCATCACGTCGCCCCTGAACGCGCTGCTCAATTACGTCTTCATCTACGTGCTGGATATCGGCCTGTACGGAGCGCCGCTGGCGACCGGCATCGCCTACTGGACGTCGTTCTTGCTGCTGGTGGCCTACGCCGTCTTTGTGCGCGGCCACGAGTGCTGGGGCGGCCTGGACCTGCGGCGGGCTCTGCACCCGGAGCACATGCTCCCGTTTGCCCGCCTGGCCGTCCTCGGCATTGTCCACGTCGGCACTGAGTGGTGGGCCTTTGAGATCGTCGCGCTGGCCGCTGGACGTTTGGGCACCATCCCACTGGCTGCCCAGAGTGTCATTATGACGGCCGACCAGATCATCAACACGGTGCCTTTTGGTCTCGGCGTCGCTGCTTCGGCTCGCATTGGCAACCTGCTGGGCGCCCATAAGCCGGCCGAGACCCGGCGTGCGGCCCATTGTGCTGCCGTGCTCAGCACCATTGCCGGTTCTCTCATCTTGGTCATCCTCATGAGCGTGCGCCACGTGTTTGGCCGCCTCTTCAACGACGACCAGCGTGTCATCGACCTCGTTTCCGCCGTCATGCCCTATGTCGCCCTCTTCCAGATCGCCGACGGACTCAACGGCAGCTGCGGTGGCGTCCTGCGTGGTATGGGCCGCCAGTGGGTCGGCGCTGCCGTCAATCTCATCAGCTACTACGGCGGTGCCCTACCCGGTGGCATCTACCTCGCCTTCCACGGCTGGGGTCTCGGCGGCCTCTGGATCGGCCAGTGTGTCGCCCTCTATCTCGTCGGCGCCTTTGAGTGGGTCATCGTCGGCCTGAGCGACTGGGACAAGGAGGTCGACCGCGCCATGGACCGTCTGCGTGCCGGTGGTGTCGGTGTCTCTCTGACCGCCGATGACGACGACATTGACGAAGCTGCTACTGTCTAAAGCGACGTCTGCGTGAGGGTTAGATTAGATTTGAAAGCATGTATAGACTGACAAAAGTGTAGATCCCCAAAATAGGGGAATAGCAGCATAAAGTAGGCTATCAGGTAAGGGTCCAGTGTTGAATGACTTTGTATATTCGTGCATCAGTTCTAGGCCGATGGGATGGGTGTGAAATCATGATCTTGAGACTGAATTGTGTCAAACGCAGCCAGACGCTCTTTCCGCAGAAGAAAATCTGTACATCCGAATCAGAAAGCACCTCTTCAGTTGGAAATTGCTTAAAATATATGCAAACCAGGAAAAAATATCTTTCCTGAAAACCCTCAACACGAGACAAGTGTTGACAGCATATAAGCACAGAGCTCACCTTAAGATCTTTCTTCGATATGCGTAAAATAATACTAAGTAATTAAGAACCCCAACACTATCGTTCCACAGTGTACAAGCCTATTCCGCAGCCCGCCACTCAAACTAGTTACGGCAGTGTCCCTGTTATACAATCGCCATAAAGCGGTACTCCTGCATATAATGCGTATAACACGGAAATGCACGTGCACCTTGTATACGCAAGTTTTTGTATTGATTATCACCATAGAAGACCCTGCAATGTTTCTGTTAAGAATAAACTGCCATCCGATGAATAATAGACGAGTACGATTACTAAACGGATGCGTGTTCATACATTATATCAGATTAGAGTCCTGATTACTCCGCTGGTCGGACTGCAACGAAAAAAAGAATTATTCGCAGTCATCCGAAGGCTGGGGGAGAATAACGGTCTACAAGCGGTCTTGACTCCCACGCCCGTAAACACGATACCCCGAGTGCCAGCTTCGCTCGTGTGGAGCGGCCACGGCGGTGAGTCCCAGGAAATTGGTGCGGCAGCTGTGTCGGTTGCGTCTCAATATAAGCCATTCACCTGATGGGGCTGAGTCAGCGATGTTTATCACGGAAGAAGTCGAAGAAAGCCTAATCCCATATGTTCCAAGAATTTTGACAGATGAACGCAGTGGTGAAGCCATAGATTGTGCCACTATTGCGGAAGTATCACACCGATTTTGTCAAACAAGCACCAACAAAGAGGAGAGGGCAAGCAGCCAGTACGCCTTGTTGCACGCGATCCTGTGGGTTACGGTGCGGTTTTACTACCGTAGTGCCCGCGCTAGACTAGTATACCATTTATAAGGAGAAGATCTCAATTATAATCTTCAAGCCTCCTTTCCTTATACTCTCTTTATAAAAAGGGCCATACACAACAGTCATCGGGGCTTAGGGCTGGGAAAACATTTACCGTAAAGCAGCTTCTGTTTGCCACGGGCTCTACGTAGCATACTCCAACCTTGCTTCTGATTGCAGAATACCTTGTCGATGCTGACCTGGCGAAGCGCCCAGCGTGGGCACACGCTCCGTCGCCGGATGGCGTAAATTCCCTAAGGGGTGGGCGCTGGTTAGGCAATGGCTAATCGAAGGCAGGCCCCGTGCTTGAATTGCGTGTTAAAGACGTAGTTGGACGTGTATCACGAGTTTTCGTGCGTGGGCTGCAAGACCGACAACGCGTCTTGCCTTCCGGTGCATACCAAGGTGCATCCTAGTAGGCGATGGCTAACCAACAGATTACTGAGGGAATTAAGGGCCTAGCCCGATACATCTGGCAATTCTTGGCAGATACCAATGAGCTGTTCCTACAGGTAGGAACTGTGAACAGCGTCGTGACTGTGCCAGCCGACTGCAAAGCGGTCGCTAAGCGGGTGATGGCACTTAGCGCCGTAAGTAAGGAGCTGGGGCGGGCTCTCAGCGAGGACAAGCTGGAACCTCCTGCCATTGACCAACGCTCGCGCCGCGAGTTCTTGCAGTTCGCCCAGTGGGCCGCCCTGCGGCTCGGAGTACTCCATCAGTACCGGAGCGAGCCGGAGCTCAACTACTCAAGCAGTTTGGCAGCTAACAGCTTCAGCGCATTCATGCATGTGGGAAACACTACGCATAGATTCAGTATTGAAGAAATTACAGATACGGACGAAGTTGTCGGCTTGCAGGACTATTCAGACTATATCATTAAGTCGGATCGAACTATCTTCGGTCTGTAATATATCTTAAGATACTAAATCATTTTCTTCAGTTACCTCTAGCTCTCATTATGCCGTTTTTGTCAGGCTTAGACCGTAACTATCTTTGGTTACAGACTAAACAAGTACTTGTACTCTCCATTTAGAACGCGTCTTTGAGTAGAACCGTCGTCTTTTTGAAAGGATTAACAGTAAAAAGTCGATCAATCCTTGTCCAACCAGAGGGCCGCAGATTATAGCCACACAACCTGGTCTGTTTGCAAACGACGCAGTCCTATGGCGAAACCAAGCTCCCACTAGCCATAGCCACTCCCGATAGCCTCCAGTGGCGCCACCAACGTCCTGTACCGGAAAATGCAGTGCCGCTGGTGGCAGGCTTTTCTAGCGATTGAAGCGAGGAGTCACGATGCGAGTCGTAAAGAGGAGGCCTAACGAGGGCGTCAACGCAAGACCAAACCATTTGTGCCCAAAGGATAGCCGCGGAGCAGTTGTAGTGATAAAATACTGTCCCCAGGCCGGGGGAAATTCAATGGCCAAAGCCAATCCTCTAGAATACAAGTATCTAGAATAAGCACTTTTTATAGAATTGATGGAAAGAACTTAGCTATAGTCTTAACAACTTTAGCCCTCTAAACTAAAAGGAGAAGTCTGTCTTGCAAAAGTTGCAGATCCTGCCAGGGACCATAATAATGCATATATAACAACTTGAACAGAGCCCGAAGAAGAGTTGGCAAAGAAGCAGTTGTTGTCGTTATCGCTGGAAAGGTTGTAGTGGCTCTCGAGGATTGCGTCATGCTCTCTTTCTACGGGAGGTAAATGGCCTACTCTGGCAATGATATCCGGTCGTTGAACAACTTCTGTCACCGTTTTCTCGCTTTGTGACAGACGCATACGCAGGCAAATGCATATACTGCGAAATCAGCGACATCGATTCTCCAAATAGCAGACAAACAATCGTATATATAGCGTTCCGTTTCAATGTTGACGGTCTCCTTCTGCATTCCATTACAATCTATATACTGAACACGATTACCGCTGCGTAATCACTCAACCAACTAGCCCTCCAATAACTGTTGAAAGCGAGAGTTACTCTGCTGAAGCAACACGCTCGACGAGGAAAATTCAACCAGGGAACCATCGTCAAAGTAGGCAATGACGTCGTAGTCCAGTAGGTTCTCGAGATGGTGATCCACGCAGAGAACCGTGTGGTCGGCAAACTCGCTCCGGATGAGCGACTGCATGACCTTGTTTGTCTCTTTGTCCATGCTGTCGTGGATCATCAGCCTTAATACAAACGAAGGAGAGCGAGATGGAATTCTACCTGCTGGTCGCCTCGTCGAGCACCAACATTTCAGCCTTGCTTAGTAGGGCTCGGGCGAGGGAGAAGAGCTGCCGTTGCCCGTGGGATAGGTGCAGATCGCCAATTAGCGAATCCAGTCCGCTGCCATCACTGCCCGGCCGATTGACGAGGTCCCAGAGCTGCACCTTGCGCAAGGCCGCCTGCATTCGCGAGTCCTCTACGACGCCGCGTGGATCGAGATTGAAGCGGACGCTGCCCTCGAAGAGCACAGAGTCCTGTGGAACGCTGGCAAAGACTGATCGGACGGCCTCGCGCGTTATTTTCGAGAGGTCAACATTGTCGATGGTGATACTGCCGTCGTCAAGGTCTAGCATCTGTAAGAGACAGAGGATGAAGGAGCTCTTGCCGCTGTAGCGATAAAAAAGGGTTTAGCACGTATATAGAGACTAGTATTGTTTGATAGCAGGGCCACATACCTTCCAGTCCGGCCGCAGATGCCAACTTTCGACCCGGGTAAGATAGAACATGTCACATCTTTTAGTACAGGTTTATCAGGGCTAAGTAAGAAGACAGCGGATTAGAGTAAGTATGCAATGTAAAGAAAAATGTGTAGGATGAAGAGGCAACTCACCTGTATGATGCACTAATGTTCTGCACCAGAATCGACCCGCTCTGAGGCCAGTTTGCCGGCGGCTGTACGACAGCCTCCCGCAGCTCCGTCGGACACTGTAGCGAAAAGGCCCGGATCCGGGAGACCGCACCGATCGACGTCTCCAAAAGCGTCCACCGCAGGACAAAGCCAGCCAGGTTTTGGTGGCAGCTTAGGATGTTCACGAGTGCCACGCCCGTCGTGCCGCCGGTCGTCTGACTGCGCAGCCGCACGGCAAAAAATACCACCAGAACTGAGACGCCCGTCAGCAGCATGTCCAGCACGAAGCCGAGCCAGCGCTGGATGCAGTTGAGCAGGTAGAACGGCCGCTGGGCACCGTCGAGCAGTTCGTGGCCGTGGCGGCGGAAGGACCCCTGCCAGCCAAAGGCGCGGATGGTGGCGAGGCCATCGAGCGTCTCGACAAAGAGTGTGTATATGGGGGCCTTGGCCTCGAGGTCGAGGTAGCGGAGTTGGCGCGAGGTCCGCAGATAGCCTTTTTGGATGACGTAGATGACGAATAGGCTAAGTGGCATGACCGTGGCCACGTATTTGGCGGTTATACAGACGACAACTAAGCGGAAGATAGCTGTACTCAGCGCTGACAGGAGGCGTCCCAAGAATGTTAGCGGTAACGGCAATGATAGGACTCAGCGGCATTCTTCACCTTCGGCAGCACTCATGCTGGTTAGGGTGACTTGGAAACCAATGAGCTGTATGTCCTGGCTAAACCGATTCAAGATGGTGCCCACGTCGGTTTGCGTAAGTAAGGACAATGGGGCACTTTACATGTCAGTCGTATGAGGCTGTTAAGGGGGGGGGTCAGTTTTCTTACTATAATGCACTTGTTAGAATAGTCGAGTGCAGTTTCCGTCCAGCTTGCGGGGCCAGAACTTGGACCATTTGCCTATGATAGAAGAAAACCGGATTAAGGACGATGCAAAGTAGTTGGGAATCGCCTCCTGCACCTACCAGCAAAAGAGACTGAAGGCTGCTAAACCTAACACGCCTAGGAAGATGTAAATTCCAAGATACATGCCTAAATTATGGCCAGGACGTTTCTCGTTTGCGGTCGACCACCAATCAAGCCATATAGCTGCAAGGTATCCGGTCAGAGTAACTCTTACAAACGTCACAGCTCAGACCACTCACTTGGAAAGACGATGCAGAAGGAATAAACAAATAGCGCGCAGACGGCGAGAATAAAAGTGCCTGTGCCAGCGAACTGGAGGTAGTACTGGTACAGCGAGATATCTCCCGTCTGCCGAGCAAGCTCTGCGACCCGGTCGGTGTTGGAAGTAGCCGGAGATGCCCGCGCCACAATAGTCTTCTCTACGCTTGTGAGGTCGTCCTGTTCTGCGGCTCCCGAGCCTGGCTGGCTTGACAAGGTCTGGACGTATCCCCTGACGCAACAGAGCTTGTCGTACGCTCCTTGTTGTGAGATGCGGCCAGCCTGATCGAGAGCGATGATTTGGGTGCTCGCCGCAAGCTGGTTTGCTGCAATATATGTAAGATTCCGTTTTTGTCTTTCGTTCTTGTTACTTACCTCTGTTTGTGACGAGAACAGTAGTGATTTTCTGCTGCCGAAGAAGTCCGGAAGGACCGAAAACACGCGCAAAAACTTGACTCTCTGTGTTTCTGTCAAGACCCGCGAAGACGTCGTCGAGAATGACGAGTTTCTTTCTTGAATACAGGACCCTGGCCATCGACTATGGACGTTTTAGCGTGCTATGCCAAAAGGGAGAGGAAACACAACCTACCACTCGCTATCTTTGGCCGCCACTCAAGGCAACTCCCTTGCTGCCCATCTTGGTCTAGCCTCCATCCGGAAGCTGCTCTAGATCCTTCTCGAGCGCACAGGCATGAAGAACAGTCCGGTACCAGGTCTCGTCAAAGGCATGCCCCGTCATGCCCGTAATGTTGTCCCGGATGGTGCCAAACATCATCCACGGAGTCTGGTCCGAGAATGCCACCTCCTCGTACAAAACATTGATAACGCCCTGGCAGACCCTGGTCTCGCCGAGCATGGCCTTGAGTAAATTCGACTTGCCGCAGCCCACAGGACCAATGACCATCGCCAAGGCTCCGTGCGCAATGGTGATGCTGATATCGTGGAGGACCACCTTATCACCGTGGTCGCCCCATCCCATGCTTGCTTCAGACATGGTGATCGGGTCGTCGACCTTGCCGTCGCCGCGGCTGGGGCCTTGTTTGCTGGCCGATCTATTTGTTTCGAAATCCACCATGGGAATGGCCATATCAGTACTACTGCCTAGGCTTTGCGGAAAAAGCGTCGCGTTCTTCCCCTGCTGACTGTCTTTGCGGCAGGGCTGATTAAGGAAGTCCTGGATACGAGTCATGGATGCGACAGCGGACTTGAGCAGTGGAAGCGCCTGGAACAGAGTAATCAGAGGGGTCGAGATCAAGGCTAAGACGGCAATCGAAGTAAAAGCCTTGGAGGGCAATAGCGCGATGGCCCCTCTGACGACTGAGATGACGGTAAACGTGGTAATAGCAGTAGCCGGACCAGCCACAGTCATCACAAGAGCTTTGTGTTTTAGATGTTAGTCGCTAGCTGTTTAGGAAAAGTGGACGTCTTTGGGGTGGCTTCTTACAGACAACAATGCTAAGGACCTGGAGCTTGCGATAGTGCATCGCCTGCCGAAGCTCATCGATCCGTAGGCCCTGTATGACATTTTGCATCGGCTCCGTCCAGCCCATCATCTTGATGCTCTTGATCGAACCGAGCGTCGCTTCCGTGGCCCGGAGCCTCTTCTGGGCCGCCTTCAGCCATGCCTCCTGTCTTTTCTCGATCGGTTTTGTGAGGAGCAGCGTTCCAAAACCGCAGGCTAGGATGCGTCAGTCAGACCATCTACGAAGCTGTACCTTATCCATCCTTCCCTGCCAGACTCACCCAAGGCTAGAAAGGCAACAGCAATGCAGGCGCCTCCCAGCTGCGTCGCCAGGATGTAGATGGCTAAGCCCACCTCGAGCACGTTCGCCCACAGCTCATGCAGGTTCACGATACAGGTGCAGATGCGCTCCACGTCGGTGCTCATCAGCGTGCTCGACGACGCGTGCGACGGCGCGCCCAGGTCCAGGTCCAGCGTGCGCGCGTAGACCACGGCGATCAGGCTGCCACGAACCATCGTGATGGTACGATACGCCTGGTACCAGTACAGGCCCGTCGAGACGGCAACGCCCGAGTAGACCAGCGCAAATGCACTGATGAGGCCGTGGCCGCTGCTGTTGTTGTTCTCTGGTGCGGCATCATCGAGATACCGAATCAGGCTGCCGATCAGGAACGGCTGCGCAAACTTGAAGCCGATGGCGCACAGTCGCGGGAACACGGTGGCTGCCAGGGGGCGCCGCAACGTCCAGGCCAGCGTACGTAGCAGCGCGTGCGGCTTGTTTCGGGACGACGGCCGCTGCTCCGTTTCTTGCAGCTTGGCCCAGCTCTCCTGTAGATTGCGCTCCAGCGCCTCGGCGCGGTGTGATTCCTCCATGTCGTCAATATCGGCCAGGACCAGGATCTTGTGGTAGCCTGTGAGAAACAGGCTGTTGAGCCACTAGTACATGCTGCGGTTCACAATGCCGCAAAGGGCCTCGGCTTTCTCGTCGCGATACTGCGGCTTGAGCCAACGGCGCTTCTCCACCATCTCGAGGCACAGCAGGACCAGCTTGAGCGCTGTGATGGCCGTAGAGACACGCTCGATCGCGGAGTCCCGCCCAATCATCCATAGCGTCCGGCATAGAGCTGCGTCAAAAAGGACAGAGAGGAGCAGGTAGCTCTGCAAGAGCGTTGACGGCCGGAGGGCCCGTAGGTGCTCCAACGGCGATAGAGCCAAGACAGCACAGCCAGCCAGCACGGAGAGCGCGGCGGCGGACGTGGCAGCACGGGCAGGGAAGGGAGGCGACGCGACCCATCGTACGAGGAGATACAGCTGCAGGGTCGTATAGGTCGTCGCAGCCAGCTGTTTGACGTCAGCATGGATACCTATGTTTGTGTGCTCACATTTATGTTTGTCTCCTCTCAAGGCCAGATCTCACAATCTTCAGCGGAAGGAGCCAGCCGCCGCGCGCCTTTGGAGATGCTCGATACAGTTTATAGATCCTGAACGGTACCAGGAGCACGAGCACGGCCGAAGGCACAATGGCCAGAAACAACTGCTCAAAGAAGACGGTGAAGTCGAAGCCGTCTCGACAGTCGCGAACTGTTGGGCCGAAGGAGTTCTCAACTTCCTCTCCACACCACCGGAGAGACATGATTGGGTCTTAGTGGAAGCAGACTGTTGTCTGTCTCGCAGGTGGTCGGAGATTGAATGCGCAGTGTTTGAGTGGATTGGGGCAGTTGCATCTCAGGCACGGGAGGTACCCCCACGAGCCATGAGTCAGCATTTTACTGTGGGCAAGGATGGCGAAATGAGTTGTCCTTATCTGCACCGAATCATTCTGCATGACGCGAGACGGGGAGAGTAATCAGATCCAGGAAGTAGTCCAATTAGCGGCTCAGCTTCGTTGTTATAACGGTCTTATAGGACCGACGTCTAGATTTGACAGCCCGGCGGTAGTACCACGGAAACTTGTTCATCTCAGCCTCGACGCAGAGAAACCCGCTACTATTCCGATGCGAACTCAGCCTCGCTCAGCCTCCTTTAGAGGCCGGGTCCTCGGCCTAGACGCTAGACAAGCATCACACTACGGGATTGTTCGACGAAAGATGCGCCTGATTGAGATGTATAAGTTGTCAAGATGTATATGTTTTGTGCCTCTAACTCCCCTTTGAACGGTCGACCCTTCCTGAGTATTAGTGGTCCATGCATGTGTATTATGTATTCCACACTGCACTCCCCCTCACATTCTGGCCGCACCGAGGACGACTTTGCTGGCGTCAAACTCCACCACGTTGCCGTCGGCGTCGGTCATGGCAGCCACTTCTGCAGGCACCTCGCCCTGGGCGTTGCCGCTGTCTACCTGACGCTTGACGAAATCTGGACAGTCAGCGGGTTGAACGGTGTGTAAAGAACATTTGGGCTTTACATACCCTGGTGATCCTGCATAGAGCTGGCGACGGCGACAGACACAAGAGCCGCAATGCACAGAGAGAACTTCATGTTGGCTAGAAGGGTATGGTGTTGAAAAAAGCTATCGGCTAGCGACGAGCAGAAATAATAGGTAAAGCAGAGTGCTTGGCTAAACCGGGCCAAGATAGAAGATATAGTCAAGAGTAGACAGATGAGGATAAGATGTAGACAAAGATGCAACTGCAGACTGCAGACTGGTCTTCCTTTTGTATTGCTGCCAGGCCGCACTGGCCGGCTATATGAGGAGAAGGCGTTTCAATGGTGCACGTTTCAGAAGTCTCAAATGCGACCCAGTCGCCAAAGCCAAGCCTGCTGTCATCCGGTGTGTAAGTTGACCGTCATAGCAAAGGAGTAAGGAGTCCGTGGATGTGCATATTCTGTTTGGCCTGCCGACGATCAAACGCTTGCGAAAGGGGTGCTGGAGAAGCTAGGGCAAACATGGGAGGAAAGTCGGATTGTCGTAAACAAGCTCGGAAAACAGGGTCTGCCGTGTCTCGAAATAGCCCGATGCGACCTGCAACACGGGGTTGACAGGGGAAAAGTCCGCCCTGTAATTAGGCTTAAACGAGGGTCAGACATCGGCTGCACAAACGACGAAAACCGTCAGTCTTTCCTTGCGAATTCCTCGTCGTCTTTGGCCAGCGCTAGCTGCGTCACAGCAGTGTTGCAAACTCTCAACTTTAACTGCAGCCAAGGAAGCTTAAAACGTGTACCTTGAAAGGCCGTAAACAAGTCCCTGCAGTCTGCTAACCTTTTCAGGTATCGCGCATGGCTGGCTCCACTGTATACTGTGCTATAAAGTGCAGCAAAGTTTGGAATCAGCGCCTATCGTAGAAAAGTTGGGAAGCCTTGAATGTTGAAGGGACACCAATCAGTCTTCAGTTAATTACTTAGTGGATACGGAGTAGGTAGCGAAGTAGTCTCGAAATAGACTGGGATTTAGGTCGTTTTTGTTATAATCTATAAAATCCAACTCGTCCAACTCGTCGCTCGTTAAGTCGACAACCATTTTCTGTATCATAACACTCTCGACAAATCATACACCCACCTACTCTAGAAACACCTCTCGGACGATTGCTTGCCGGGGAGTTTTCCGTAGATACCTTTCGTGTCGATGTGGTGTGCGCTATGGGCATAGCTAACCTGGTACTTGTCCCAGTCCTTGTCTTTATCCCTGTGATCGTTTTCGCTGCTTTCTCTGTTCTCTCCTTGCATCTCCACCTTGACTTCGTAGACATAGTTCTTCTAAAGCGGAAAGTCTGCCGTTGTTTGTCCTCGTGGTACAAGGAACATTTCTATCTATCTTCCTTGGTGTTCACGTCGCTCTCTTGCTTTCGGTATCACCTGCAGATAGTCACCCGGATAGAGAAACTCGAGCCATGTTGAGTCTGGGCCTCCCATTTCCCACTTGTTTACATGCTCTCGCTTCACAGGGCTTGCTGTTACATTGTGCTGGAACGTCTTGGCAGGTGCGCGCTCGTAGAAATCGGCGCTCATGACTTCGATATCGAGATACGATTACGACGCTCCATTCGCGAACCCTTGGTCGTGCGACACAGTCGTGATAACCAGACGCCGCGCCGCCGTCGAGTTTAGCACTGTTACTTCTAGGTACGGCTGACGCGGACAGTGCTCGCCCACATCAACGTGGTCTGAGCGCGCGGCCGACACCGTCCAGATTTTCACTTCCGGAGCAGGATCCCGCCAGCAGCATGGCTGGTCCAGCCAGTGTCTTCTTTTTTTTTAGAGGGGGCATTTTGGGACGAAAACGATGTTTCTGCTTTACTGATGAAGGAAGTGGGGAGATAAGCAAAGAAGCGAATGATTAAGAACAGAGTATTAGTTGTCTGAACAAAACAAAAAAAAAAAAAAAAAAAAAAAAAAGAAAGGTAAGGAGAAAGATGCCCAATCTGCATGTATAACCCTAATGCGAGCCTGAAAATATAACGATTGGCCAAAGCCCCTGCACGATGCTGCAAGTGAATATACGAATGACGACCAACTTCTAGTTTCCTCTATTCGAAGTGGGAGAAGATAAGGGTTTTATGCAGTCTTGGTATCTAAAAGTTTGATTCATATATTTACAGGTTGTTATTTACTAGTGTACGTAACGTGCTTCCAAGCCTAGCTCGTAGTATCAAGAAGTCGCTATAGAAGTGTGAGCAGAAAAGAACCCTCATTTATGGTCAAGTAATAAAAATCAAAGATCAAATCGACTAATTGGCGGAGGTCGAGGTTCATACATAGGCATAATCCGGGCGCAGGCGGCCAGCATTCGATTTCATCGCGAAACTGACATGAACGGCTTCAATCCACAGCCACGTCCCTTCCACTGCCACATACGATATTGAGCGATGATCTGCTTGATGATGATGAGCCTCTCGGTGCCAGTTACGATGGCACAGATGGCATCGATGTGCCACATGAGTGGTAGCCGAATCTAGAGGCGGCTGTTTTTATAGGGGAGCGAAGTCGAAGGAGAGAAGCAGCCGGCCTTACACACAAAGACCCATAGGATAACATATCTCCACACGACGAGCAACAGACATCTATCTTCCACACCACCCACATTACCACAATGGCGACTACAGCTAATCCGTCTATGCCAAGCGAAGAGTATAGGTAACGGATAGAGGATTATAATGTTGGCCAATGTATTCCCCGGGTTTCACGTCTGGGCAAATAACTCGTATATTGTTTGCAAGTTCAACATCAAGCTTCAATGAGAAGTAGATACAAGGCAGCAATAACAAAGTAGTCAAATACGCCTAAAACAAACCAATGTCATCAATCCCGAAAAACAAATGTCCTTCTTACACTTTAGCTCTACGTTTCTTTATCTGAGAACCTTAGTCCTCTGTTGTCCTGCCTTCCCTTTGCTACCTGGTAAAACCCAACGCCTCTAACTCAACCCTCCTACGTTTCTGCTTCCTCTTCTGCTCGCTGCTCTCCCCCGTTCTTCCGTTTTGTGCCCTGACCTAGCTGCTTCCTCGGACATAACTTCGGTAGCGTTGCTTCTTCTGCCGCCAAGTAGGATTCGCACACTCATCGGTCTTTGAACTCCTGACGTCACCATCTTCTTTCTGAGGCATGCCCCCTATGTTTGCCAACAGTAGGTCTCGGCCAATCAGACCGATCCGGCAAGCTCCGCCTGCAGCGATGCTACCACATACGAATCACAGTCTACGACTAGGTAGTGCCTGAGCACAATAACGAGGGTGAAACATCTGACCAGGGGCAATCCATACGTAGTACAACGAGAAAACCAGATTCTCAACATGACCTGCTCTGGTCCCTTGCCAATCCCGGCTAGCTAGTCCTCTCTTGAGCTCGCTGCCAAGTTGGTGACAAGGACCCCGTCGACATCGCGACCTGATGCTAAAAATGCGACTCTATGACCACGGGGAAGCCATCGAGAATGAGTCGCAGGATGGAGCTGTCAAGGGTTTCCGTGGCACCAGCCAGAGCGACATGGGCAGACCCGATCTCAAGCGAAAGAAAACAAAGGCGAGTGTTTATACCCACTAAGGGACGATTGCAGAGACAGCGTTTGCACCAGTAGAAAGAGCACATCAGAATTGGCGTCATTTGTCGAACGGCCCTGAGATATCGGAACCGAGCATCGGGTCCGCTGCAGCTATACGAAGACAGCAAGGACATATTGCTCATCTCTACTACCTGGCATACCGTGCGGCACAGCACCAAGCTCGTCGACGTGGGGAAAAAGGAGCGTTTGACTCCGCCAGCCAAGAGGAGTGGACGACCCGCTTGCTCTGACCCTTTCAGTCTCTGCATACTACATAATGCCGAGAGCGCGCCTGCTGGACGGCCAGCGATGACAGCCTTCTCCGGACAGTCTGGGCCGAAGACGAAGACAGCTGCCGCATCGTGATGACTATTCGGTCGGGCTCCCAGAAAGATACGAAGGCCATCGCATCTTGGGCAGAAATGGGAACCGATGGCGGTGTGCTCCACCTGAGCGGTCTGCTGACGATGGCAAAGGCAAAAAAAGAATGAGCAATGCGGCGGTGTGCAAGGATGGACACTGGTGGCTCCTACGACGTACAACGGCTATTGCATTCGCAGCCGGGCGTCTACATAGTACGCCGTAGGAGCGTAGCGCTGCCACGATGTGCAGCTTTTCGCCTAGCAAGACGCGTCCCCACGAAACGGCAACGTTAATAACGTTCCCCGACGGTACCATACTTGAAAAGTCCACAAGACGGGTCCCGATCTCAGATACGATGCGCCCTGTAGCAAGCTAGAGCCGCCTGGTTTCGTCTGGTTTCGTCTTGCTTCGCCTCGCAGGATAGATGGTGAGATACGAGAGTACTTCAGACATAAAGGCTGATACGAGGAGCTCTGTGCTGAAGAAGTGGCCACCAGATACACAATACGAAATGCGCAATTGCATGCAGGCGACGGCTACTATGTATGGCTGACCTTTGGCGCTTGGCCGGTCCCTCTATGGAGAAGGAAACGTGTCGAAGAAACAGCGAGGCCGTCTCGCACGGCATCAGCCCATGTCCCCATGTGGCTGGTGGACAAATATGGAGCGTACTCGCGAGGCGGCTTGGCTGTGCTCCTCTAGGACGAGGCAGCCTGAGCCGTGCGCCGTAATCAAACTATGGCTGCAATCATAATAGCTCCACCAGTGCTATTCTCAGCCCTGGGTAGCTTCAGCACAAATCCGGTCCTGCACTATTCTGCATCCGTTCTTGCCCGGGCTCCCTCGCGAGGCCATCTCTTGCTGGGCTGGACTGGACTGGACCAGCTGGGCTTCCCCCAAGCACGAGTGCTCGAGTGGTGTGCCTAAGAGAGTGATCCTTACACGTCTGCCGTCTGATATGCTTCAGAAAGGACGAGGCTCATGGTGGAGGACTGGCTGATAAGGCTACTTGGTACGGAGTACGGAGTAGAAAAAGACACAATGCCTGGGGGGTCAAAGGTGGTGGTTCGGTTTGCTCGCAAGAGAGACGGTAAGGCCCAAGTGGTCAAAGAGTGAGGAGAGGGGTGGAAGACATGGGGGAACATTGGGTGGGAGGACGTCCTAGCTCGAGGAGAAGGGGTGGACTCAGCCACGATGCCCAGTGTAAGAGGAAGATCTTTTGGCAGGCCGTCAAGGTCTCGGCCAATGGTTCAGTGGTAAGACAAGAAACGCCTAGCGCATGGCTGCCAAGAGAAAGAGGGGCGGTATGTCGGGATTTGCGTCGCTGCGATGCTTCCGTGTCGGGGCAGCCATGATCCCGTGCTCAAACGCAGAGCGTAGCTCATTTTAATTAGATCGGACAATGAGCACTTTGTAGCAGAGAACAGCCAGACGTCCTGCACATGTCCCGAGTACGGGGACATGATATATTATGGGGCACGGCCAGCAGATATTGGCAACGATTCTCCAGTCCTAACTCAGTTTTGCCGGGAGGCGGAAACGAAGCGGGTTTTACGGCCCACTTGATGCACTGGATGGTATGAGAGGACAATCCACCCCAGTCGTCTGCTTGTTTGGCACCGAAAGTTGTGCGAGTAGAGAGAGGCCAGGCTGCCAAGTCGCCGGCATTCTGTTGGGGCTCTGTTTCAAATTTGGCAATCTCGTTTTCGGCCGACTGGTGGGACGCACAGGTCACACCAGCCTTTCTCCACGTTCGTGCACTGTTCGTGCTCCGTATTTCAGGCCTAGATGTGCTAGCAAGCTCGGAGAGGGGGGGGGAGGACACGCTGGTACTTCCTCTTTGAGAGTAGAGCCCTTTGCGGCCTTTACACGTACTATGTAGTACTGGCGGGCATCGTTCTGCACGTCTGGAAGGCTCGAGCCAGAGCTGCATATCCCGCCGAAGGAGAAAAAAGAAGTAAAAGGGGAATGGAAGGAAAAAGCACGTACTCCGTAGAAGCGAAATAAGAAAAACCAGACGAAGATGGACAGCGAGGAGACAGAATAAATAAGGCGAACAGTAGGACAAAAGAAAAGAAAGAAAAGGAGCATTTGCGGCCAGGGTCACATGAGACGGGCAGGATGCTTGCGTCAGCCTCCGGCACTCGGACGGGGCTGAGGCGAGCGAGCGAAAGAGGAGGGCGAGCCCAGGCAGCGGGAACAAGAGGAAGAGAAGGAGAGACAAATGAAAAAAAAAAGTGCGGCATATGTGCGAGACCGGGTGACCACCCTGGACGATCGATGCATGCCCAAGGAAGAATGGAAGCAGAGCAACGGAAGCGTGGCACGACCATGGCCTGTCTTCCGTCCGTCTTCCTTTTTTTCCTTCTCGCTCTGTGGCCAGCGATCTGGTTCGCTGGCTGGCTGCTCTCCCAGTCGCCTGTCGTGTCAGCCAATCAGAACTGCAGTCGCTACTGTGCAATCGTGTACGGAGTACGACAATCGCCGCAGAACGGCTGTGCCGGGAACGACGGGCTGTCAGGAAGTGGTGGAGACAATCTTGTTTTGGCCCAGTAACTGTCGGGCTTCTTCACCGGATGCGTTGTTTCGTCGATTCGCTGTTTCGTTGTCTCTTCCTCTCGTCCATTCGTATCTGCCTCTCTTTCTCCTCTCCGCTGCAGTCTTTTTCGCCTTGCGCTGCTGCGAATTCCCGTCCCATCGAATTATGTCCTCTGCTTGTCTGCCGTCCCGATGCCGTCTGTAGGTTATCTGCTGTTTAGCTGCTCCTGGCGGGAAATAGCGCAATGCTTCTAGGCTTCCACGCAAATAACGGGCGAGCTCGCCCCCCCTCCCCCCAATTCTTCTTATTTTTATACTGTTATATATGTAATTATTTATTTATGTTTATTTTATAATAATTCATATTTACACTATTGATTACTTTGCCTACTCCGTATCGCGCCTTCTTCAATGGGCTCCGCCAAAAAAAAGACGCCAAAAAAACACCACCCCCCTCCTTCGGAGCCCCTCTCTCATTCGCTCTGTTAGAAATACAAGACAACCCGTGCTCCGTATAGGTTACTCCGTAGCGTAGGGCATACCTGCCTCTGTGGTCCTGCACGTTCCGGCTGCGCTGCTTGGGGCGTTCCTCACCGCCAATGACTGCTAGGCTATGGGTCGCCGCTGCCCAACCCGTTAGCGCGTGTTGCTTGTGGTTTTGCAAGGCTCGCTACATAATAGTATTCAGCCCGCTGCGCCAAATGTCTAGCCAGGGTCCACTTGCCTCTGGCCATCCGTGGCCAATCAAGATCCGCCTCGCAGTCAGCCAAGGCCGGACACAGCCTTACGTTCTGCTGGTCTTTCTTGGGCCCCTTAGACAGACAGAAACAGCAGGTGCTTGCATGTCTGCCACCCCTCTCCATTTTTTTAAAAAAAATCCCAGACAACACCGTGCCTGCCTTTTCTTCCCTGCCTCCTTCTGTCCACTCCTTCCCTTCCCTCCATCCTTTCCTCTGCCGTCGACCTCGTGGTCTCTAATATCTCTATTTTCCCTTTGCATCCCTCATCTTCTTCTTCTCCCCGTCCTTTGCTCTTTTCGTCTCTCTCTTCGTCCCCGATCCCTCCGCCCACACGCCCCCCCCGGGCGACGTCTCGCATCGCCTGCTTTCCCCCCGGATCCTCGGGCCTCGCCGCCACACCTGCTGCCCCGTCCGCTCCCAACACCCGTCCACCGAATAAATCGCTCGCCGACAAGACAGCAAGATCGTCGAGATAGCTTCGAGATTCGGCAGCAATGGACCCTCCAAGCAAGCGCCGTCGACTGGCGCCGAAACTCCCCGGCCCTGTTCCGCCTTCCCAGAACCACCAGCCCATACTTCCTGCCCGACCTACCCCTGAGCAGGTGAATAACTTTCCCGGAGACAGCCTTGTCCTACTCAATTGATGCTACCCGACAAACTTCCCTCCCCTCCACCCCCTTCACTCTTTTGCCGCACGCCATCTCCGATTATCGCGCTTCCACTCGCCTTCACTAACCTTGCTCGCCGTCTGCTTCTAGGCTCCGTCGACGAACCCTCCGAACCAGCCTGCCCACGACACGCCCTCACCCACGCATCCCGAGAGACATGAGTTCGAGACCTTTGCAAAACACCTGCAGGATGCCGCCATGTACATCTACCGCCAAGGGCAACGCCCCCCCTACGCGCATGTGTCGGCCCTCCTGCTGAAGTGGGACGACGATGTCACCGCCTCGGCGGATGTCTCCTCCATCGAGCGCGTCCTTCGCGACCGCTACAATTTTCACACCGAGCGCTGGGGCATTCCCGCCGTCGCCAATCCGTCCCCCAAGCTGATTGCGCGCATCGCCGAGTTCCTCAACCAGGCTGGTGCCGATCATCTGCTGATTATCTACTATGTCGGTCATGGCTTCGTTGGCCCCGATAGCCAGCTGTACTGGGCCTGGTGAGCATGCCTTGCCTTTCTTTGATGCATACTTTATTTTGCTCGTTATCTCAACCACCCTGCCATCCGTTCATTCTGCCTCCTTTTTGCTACTTTTGCTCGGAGCTTGCGCGTCCCGCTTTGCCACGCCACAGCCAGCCAGCTGTTCGCCGATGCGCTAACCAACACCAACTCTAGTAATGCGAGAGAAGACTCACCCAAGCTCAGATGGGATGGAGTGCGCTATCTCTTTGACGATGCGCAGTCTGACATCTTGCTGCTGTTGGACAGCTGCGCCTCTAAGGATACACCTGTCGCCGGCAGCCACGGTGCCAAGCAAGTCATAGCCGCCAGCACACCCGAAACCAGCCCCCGCGAACCCGGCGGCCGAACCTTCACGTCCTACCTGACCGAGGCCCTGCACAGCCTCTGCAACGGCCGTGCCTTTAACGTGCAGCGGCTGTACGACGAGATTCTGGCCTGCCAGCACCATCAGGAGAAGCAGTACCCTTCCCGGCCCACCAATGGCGCCCAGACTCTTGCGCATCCCCATTTCAGGGCACAGCCTCCTCTTTTCCTCACACTGTCGCCCGGCAAAGACCCAACCATCGATTTGGCACCCGTGCCCAGGAACCATCCAAGCCACTCCCCCCCACACTCCTCATCGCAGCACGGTAGCCACTCCGAGGGCAAGGCCCGCAATGGCTTATCTGTTCTCGAGAGCGAGTCTCCAATAGTCAGCCCTGCCGCCGTGGCCGACCTTGTTTTCGACGAGCCCCGCGTGCTGGTCTGCACCACCTTTGTTGGAGATGCCAGCCCCGACATGGCCAGCTTCAAGCAGTGGGTGGCCAGCACGCCTAGCCTGACCTCGAGAGTGGCTGTCGAAGGCATGTTTCTCGGTCCTCCCACGGTGCTGCTGATATCCATACCGCAGTCGTTGTGGGGTATCATCGAGAGCCACAACATATGCTTCTCCCTCGGCTATATTAACTCCCGGAACCTGATCCACCTGTACGACGGTCTGATGAAAGCGGCCACCCTGCCGACATTGGCATCTGCGTTGCATGCGCCGGCACCTGCATCTGCACCACATGTCGCCATGCACGCCTCCCCAGAGGATGTTGAAGACGGCCGGACCCTTCTTGCAGCCAGGCAGGCGGCTGTTAACAACAGCCATGCCGCCAGCCACATGGACGACCATCTACACTCCGCCTACTACCAGCAACACCAGCAGGGGCCGCTTCCTGCCCCATCGCTGCCTTTGCCGCAACAGTCGCTTCCACCCCTGCAGCATGGGCAGCACTTGCATCACCACCTGCCCCCGCCATCATATCACGAGGGCGGCAGCCCGAACCGTTACCAGTCCAACGTCCAGAGGCAAGACCCAATTGCCCCTCAGCAGCATCACGCCCGTAATCAGCAGCATATCCAGCATCATCATCAGCAGCAGCAGCAGCAGCAGCAACAACAACAACAACAACAACAACATCATCCTCAGTTTTCTGCGCCGCGAACGCCTCTACCTCGCATTATCTCTAGGGCTGGCAGTCCCGTTCCTAAGGAGGAAATTGAGGACTCTGCCGAGATGAAAGAGGCAGCAGAGGGGCTGAAGGCATTGAGCCACATCCGCCCGACGAACGGCGATTCTACGTCGCCGACGCTACCATCTATGACTAGCAGTCACCTCTCGAAGATCGCACAGGACGTCATCAAGTGCCGGGTAGATGCAGCCGAAGCGGATGATGCTGAAGCAGCAGCGGTCGGCGGAAGCCCTTTACCGAGCAGCAGCAAAAAGGCAAAGGCAAGAAAAGACTACCGTTTTAAGGCGTCAAAATCCCATGACGGCCAGGCTACCTCACGGCCCCGCGCCCAGTCTGAACGATCGGCGCAGCCACTGGTACCGCTGCAGCCTCAGGGCGGCCTGCAGAGTGATTCTCAGTGCCACTTCTGCGACCACGAGCCGTTCAAGGATGCATCGTCTCTTCGGAAACATATCGCTGCCGCACATACGCGGCCGTTTCCCTGCGCCTTCGCCTTTGCCGGTTGCACGAGCACGTTTGGATCTAAGAACGAATGGAAGCGTCACATTGCATCCCAGCACCTCTGCCTGCAGTACTATCGCTGCTCCGGTTGTTCGCAGAGTGCTGCCGATGGCAAAGGCAACGAGTTCAACCGCAAAGACCTATTTACGCAGCACTTGCGTCGCATGCACGCCCCAGTCTACATTCGAAAGGCGGTGCAGAAGAAGGACGGCAAGGTGGAGTCGGAGTGGGAAGACTACGTTAGGGAAATGCAAAAGACGTGCTGTATTGTTCGGCGCCGGCCACCACAGCGGGCAGCCTGTCCGAAGCCAAGCTGTGTTCGGCCCTTTGAGGGCCGCAACGCATGGGACGACTGGACCGAGCATGTTGGACGGCACATGGAGAATGGCGAGGGCGAGCTACTCGGCGTGGACGACCTCCTGATTACATGGTCTCTGGAAGAAGGGATCATTACACAAACAGAAATTGGTAGCTATCGGCTATCCAATCCGATGGGCAACGTGGGTAACAACGGCGGCTTGATAGGCAGCAGACGCAGCTCACAGAGCGTCAGCGACGGGCTTAAAAGCACGGGTCTCTCGAATCTGTCGGCGACGTCGTTCCCTTTGGACGCAGATCAGTCTCACGCGAACCGACGGGACGAGAAGCTGGTGATGCCGCCAACACCACCACCGACGACAAACCGGCAGCTGAACGAGGAGCAGGCGGAAAGGCACCAACCAGAGCCACCGACAAGAGAGGCACAAGAAACTGACAGCGCCAAGGACAGTGTTAGCCAGACGGAGGAGCGGGATATGGAAATGGTCGAGATACAGCAAGCTACACAAAACGGAGGACAGGACGAACAGCAGGGCAAGGAGGCCGTGTCAGCCAACGGAGAACTGGACACAAAGGCGGCTGAACAGGAAGCGGAACAGCCAAAATTGGCGACAGTGGTGGAGGAGACAAGCCCACTCACATCGATCACAGTGGCTTCGCTTAATGCTGCTGCGGCCTTGCAAAAAGAGAAGATGGCTAGCAGTGCGATGGAAGTTGACGGGTAAAAAGGCGTCACAGAGAAGAAAAGCCTGCTTTGGGTAGGGGTTTCTTTGGCGAATGTTTTTTTTTTTCTTTCTTTTTTTTTTTTTTGTGGGGGGGGGGTTTGGTTGGTGAAGTGATTAGCAATGCTGATTGCATCTTTCATGACCTTTACGGATTTTTTCAAGGCGGCACACTCGGAACATTCCTGTATGCATTTTGGGTGTTCCATTAAACGTTGGATTTGGCTCTCACGAGCAGCTCATCAAAAGCTTCCTGCGATAAGCATTACGTTACCGGTAGTGGATTGATCGTGTACGATATAATTACCATGGATGCATACGTGCGGCTTTGTGAGACATGCTGAAAGACGATTCTCTGTCACAGTTTGCTGTCGACTCCATCTCCTGGTAGCTGGACGAGAATGCGTTCGAGGCCGCTGCGGAGGGTAGGATGCATGCCGGTCTCGGCATTGGGTCTGTCGGTAGCGGCGTCGACAAAGACCTGGATGAAGACGCCGACGGCACGGACATCGGGGCTACCGCGGACGAAGAGGGCGATCTCGTAGTGCACGCTGGAACGGCCGAGCTGGATGACGCGCAGGCCGAGCTCAGCGACCTGGGGAAAGGCGATGGAGGCGAAGAAGTCGGTGTGCGTGTTGACGGCCATGCCGTACTGGGGCTCGCGGCGGTCGGGGTGGAAGTCGCAGTGGTCGATGAGGTAGGCGTTAATGATGGAGTCGAAGAGTACGTTGTAGACGGTGTTATTCATGTGGGCGTACATGTCGTTGTCGTTCCTGCGAGCGGTCAGAGTAAGCTTTGTGAAAAAAGGAGGCAAGCAGCCGAGGTAGCACTCACCATCGCGTGCGGTACTCGAGCTGGAACGGGTAGTCCTCCCGACGGCGGGTCTTGAGCACTTTGTACGGGGCCATGTCTCAGGGGGAGGGAAGCCGTGCTGTCTTGATGGCGATGTCGTGAGATGAGAAAGTGTTGGAGACTTGGAGAGAGCAGATTGCACGTGTTTTGGGGAAGCTCCCCCACAGACGAAGACTAGCGTCCAACAGGCCTGTCGAGGCTGCCTTTTGCGGGGACTGGCCAGGCTGACAGGCACCAGGGCGATTCTGCCGTGGCTAAGAGCTCACCGCCTAATTAATTATTTGCCAAGAAAGAAGTCGAGCTGAGGGGGGGAAAAGAGGCGAAAAAAAAAAGGAGACAGTCGCGGTATCTCTTGCTCGTCATTTCTGCGAAGACTTTTCAGGGCGTTTGTGAAAGCAGCACAAGACGGCAGCACAGCAGTTTTCTGCCGACGAGACAATTGGGGGAAGACCACAGCAGCAGGGGTTCTCTGTTTGTGAGGGGCAAGAGACAGAGCGGAGTCGAAAGTGGCATTGCGCCTGATCCGGGTTTGTGTGGCTCGACCGTCTGGCGGGAGCAAGGTGGACGGGACATTGGGCATCGGGAAAGGCGGGTGTCTGCACGCCAGAGGAATGGCAACAGCAGCCATGACCGAGACGACGTCTGTGGTTGAGAAGACGGTCGAGGCCAAGGCCAAGGCAATGAAGAAGGACCTTGGCGACGATGCAGCAACGGCAGCACACGCCCCCTCGCAGCCAGGCCGGTTCTACATTGAGGACGGGCTCCGGCGGGTGGAGCCGTACTACTACACGTACAACACATGGGTCAAGGAGCGATGGCGTGGGCGGGAGGTGTTGGCGGTATTTGAGAGCGAGTTCCGCGACCGGCCGCTGGCCTACTACCGAGCGGCGCTGGAGGCCGGCACAGTCACGGTGAACCAGCAGACAGTCGGACCAGACCATGTGCTCCGGAACGGCGAGCGGATTTCGCACCGAACACACCGCCACGAGCCGCCGGTGACGGCAGAGCCGATTGTGGTGATCCACGAAGACGACGACATGGTGGTGATCAACAAGCCGGCCGGGGTGCCGGTGCATCCGGCCGGCCGATACCAGTACAACTCGGTGGTGGAGATGCTCAAGGCGCAGCGCGAGCCCGGCTTCATGCCGTACCCGTGCAACCGGCTTGACCGACTGACCAGCGGCATCATGTTCCTGGCCAAGTCGCCGGCCGCGGCCAAGCGGCTCAGCCTGCAGATCCAGGCACGTGCCGTGCGCAAAGAATACCTCGCCCGTGTCGTCGGCCGCTTTCCCGACGGACAGCAGGTGTGCGACCAGCCGATCCTGCAGATCTCGCCCAAGCTCGGGCTCAACCGCGTGCGGGCCAACGGCCGGTCCGCCCGCACCGTCTTCCAGCGGCTGGCATACTATGAGGGCAGTGCTGGTGGCCGGTCCGAGGGCTACTCCGTCGTCCGCTGCCTTCCCGTCACCGGGCGGACACATCAGATTCGCGTGCACCTGCAGTACCTCGGACACCCGATCGAGAACGACCCGATCTATGCGAATCAGCGGGTCTGGGGCTTCGAGCTGGGTGCCGGTGATGCGGACGCGTCCCGCAACACGGACGAGGACGTCATCAGCCGGCTGTCGCGCATGGGCAAGGAGGACGTCGCCGATGCGGTCGCCTACTACGACGAGATGGTCGACGAGTATCACAAGCGTCGTGCCGAGAAGATGTCCGGTCAGGTCTGCGCCGAATGTGCCACCCCGCTCTACACCGACCCTGGCGCCCACGAGCTGTCGCTATGGCTGCACAGTCTGCGCTACCAGGCTGCCGATGGCGCCTGGAGCTACGTCAGCCCGCTGCCGGCTTGGGCCCTGCCGCCGGCCGGCACCAGCGGGCCTACCGAGGTCGGCGCCCTCGACGACCTCGTCGGCGCTTCCGAGGCTCGCGGTGCCATCCAGGGCGAGGACGCCGGCCCGCCACCGGCCGTGCTCGAGGCGCTCGTGGCCAAGAGCAAGCCGCCCAAGAGCAAGACGATCAAGAAGAGGGCGGCCAAGGCGGCTGCTGCTGCTGCTGCTGCTGCTGCTGCAGAGGATGAGCCGTCAGGGGAGACAGAAGCAGAGGCAACAGAGACAGAGACAAAACACTCACACTCTGATCCAACGCCACCAGAAACAGCAGAGCCAACTGCAACAGACAGCACACTCACATCCTGATCAACACCACCAGTATAGACAAGCAATGATATTTGTGATGCATGAAAGCCGGTCTCCCTACTTGTGTCTGACACTGTGAACCAAAACTCCGTCGCCTTCCTCCACTCTCATTCTTCGTCGTCGCGCGCCGGTGGCGGACCACAGGGCTGTACCATGTTCTGCAACCCCTGTCAGCCTTTCACGCGACTGCAATCCAAACAGCAGCCACACTCACCTTGAGCAGTTTCAGGCGCGTCTTCGTTGCCGGTTCGTTCTGTGCCAGCGACAGAAACGACAGCATGGGCTGGTGGCCCACCATGCTAGAGTACGTGTCGCGCATAATGTTCGACTTCCACTCCCAACTGGTCGTGTCTGGATGGCCCGTTCCGATGTACTTTTGCTGAAGCCGCTCGAGTTCCTGCTGCGCTCGAAGCTTGTCCGCCTGCACACGTCCATCGTCAACATCCGGGTTCTGTGACAACGGCAGCAGGGGAATCGGGATGGCGCATGATACCTACCATTGTGCCGTCTGTGGACGGAGTGCGCGTCGGGCAGAATGAGTATGCAGCGAAGCGAAGCAGAAAAGTCGGGCCAGCGCGAAATGCAGGCTGCAAGATGTGGGTCTGGCCGGGCTGATAGCTGTACTGCGTATGTGCATATCTGAAAGATAGCGCTTTAGGCGATGGCGATCTTTTTGCCAAAAGACCCGACTTTCTCTCGCACATCCTCGGACCTCTCGACAAAGCAGGACACAACCGCTGCGACAGCTTGCGCCGGCCCCTTCGCCTTCGCCTCATCAGAAAGTGCCGCTTGCCCCAATGGGATGCTCACACCTCTGCCGCCGGTAGAGAACCTGCAGAAGCCGGCCGCAGAGCGATTGGCGACCTGACCGGGTGGCAAACAACCAAAATTCACCAAGAGATAGCGACGACCGATTCGGCTCAGCTGCACAGCGCAGAGCCCTGTCATCACGCCTTTGAGCGCGCTCTCTTACCGACATACCGCGCCGACGACGACGACACAAGGCACGACCATGGCCGACGGCCGAGAAGAGGACCTGCTGGACCTGCTGCAGGCGATGCAGGCGCAGCAGACGGCCCTCGCCACCAACACGAAACAGCTGCTGGAGCGGTGTCGAGCCGAACATGCCGGCAGCGCTGGCCGCAATGCCGATGTTGACGCCGCAGCAACGGAGAAGACGGCCGGCCCTTCGGAGGATGTCGCCATGGGCGGCATGGCTGACGCCACAGAGAACAGAAGACAGCCAGGACCAGGAAGCGAGGACGAGAAGCAGAGCCGGCCGCAACCACCGCCACAGCGGCTGCCGTCTCTCTGTCGGGGCTGCTACGACGTCTTGCTGACGCTGGTGCACGATGCCTACGCCACGCCCTCCCACACGCAGTGGTATGCCGCCGACAAGGACGCCTTTGCGGCTGAGCTGGACCGCCGCCTCGACGACGTCCGCCACCTGCGCGACGGCGCCACCCTTGCACGCGTGGAGGACTGGATCGACAGCCAGCGACACGCCTGGCTGCGACGCCGTCTGCGCGACGCCGTCGGCATCCGCGCCCTCGACGAGGCTGTCGATGGCAGCAGCAGCAGCAGCAACAAGACCAGGCTGCAGCTGCAGACACGGCTTGCCAGCCCGGCGACCGATCTCAGCCAGCTGCTCCGTGAGCTTCTGGACAGACGAAACGGCCGCAAGACCGACGACGTGGCCGCCTTTGTCGACCTCGACACCGCCCTCGGAAGCGCCCGGAAAGAGGCCGAGACGGCCATACGGAAACTCCAGCTCGAATCCTCCACATCTTCCGCTTCAGCAGCTGCTCGCGGCGCCATCCTGCGCGACATCCTCTTCGCGCCCGGAACCACGCCGACCGGGTCGGCCGCCCAGAAGCTCGAGCGCGCCCTGCTCGACGGCTCCGTCGGCCTCGAGCAGGGCCTCCGCGAAGCCGTGCGCACAACCAACACCGGCTCTGCTGCCATCGCTGGCAGCGTCGTCACCAACGCTGCCGTCACGGCCAAGATCGAAAAACACCGCAAGCGCCTGGCTGAGCTGCGCCGTGCCAAGGCCGCTCATGAGGCCCAGAAGATGAAGCGCCTTCGGCCGCCTGAGATGCCCTACTTTCTCGAAGGCGACAGCCCGTGCGCCACCTGCAGCCGCACCACAATTCCCCAGCAGAGCCCCTTTTGCATCGTCTGCTTCCTCGAGGTCGACTACTGCCTGCGCGAAAATCACACCGTCTGGTGCTCGCCCTCGTGCATGGCAAAAACTTATGTGCGTTCTTTCCGAAACCCATGCTTGTTTGCTTATGTAATCCAACTGACCTGTTTTCTCCGCCAGATCAAGCACTTTGCCGCTGACCATCCATGTGCTGCCGGCGGTCGCTGCTGTCGCACCACTACCACCACTTCCTCGGCCTCGCGCCAGCAGCACTCCGGTCATTACTTTTGCCGCGAGTGCGTCCTGTCCTTCAGCATCAACACCTTTTACTGCACCGAGCTCTGTGCCGGCCGCGACTTTCAGCATCACCGCGAGACGGTCCACCTGCCAAAGCGCGAGATGCGAGCCGATCTTTACGACGACCGCGCCGATCTGTCCTACGGGCCTCATGGCGGCAGCAATGTCGTCGCCGCAGACGATCGCACCAGCAGACCGTCCGACGAGTACACGGCTGCCAACATCGCGAAGCACGTGCTCTCCATGGACGAGGCCTTTGCCTCCTGCCAGAAGAAGCACCCTGACTGGCAGCTCGCTGAGACAAAGGTCGAGATCGTCATGGCCTCATAATTCTCTCCCGCTATCAGGCACCTCTCTCTTCCTGTACTGTCGGCTTTCGGCTTCACATAGAAAGGCTCAATGATCACACAAATGTATACACTCTGTATCAATAAATGTTTAACACGTTATCTTGCTTCGCTTCACGTCTAATGCACCAGCAAATCAGATGTCTGAGGATTCGAGAGTTTCTTCGTAAAGGGTATTCATATTTCCAATCCCGTGTCATCGACGTCAAATCAGGCAGTGCCAAAAATATACACACAAGACAGCGCCATCTACACACGCAGATCAGAGACAATATTGCGACGCGAGGTGGAAGACACAATCGCAACAACATTGCTCTTCCCTTCCACCCCAATATCCCGCCTCCCGCAATATGCTCTCAAGCAGCCCGTATCCAAAGAGCAATCCATACTAGGGGTATCCCACTGACTCTACTGTCCGTCCCGGCTCTAACAAGAGACCAAAATGAAAACAAATACAAACAAAATATGAACAGACACGAGTACACCGACACCAGGGACTCGTCTTTCCCAGAATATAAGACCAGAAACAGGCCTTAGGACAGTTGGACTAAAGAACACCCGTCAGGAGGCTTCTTCAGAAAGCATGCTCCCAAAACAAAGCGCAGTTGCTAAATAGAAAGGAGATGCAAGGTAAAAAGGGACTAGACCATTGAAACGCTTCCGAGAAGCGCAGGGGAATGGTAGTCCCATAAGCAGTCGCAAAAACAACGTCGAAATAGTTGCTCCGTGATTTTCTGCTCACAGACTCATCGTGAGCCACTCCCACTCCTGGGGTCCGCCTGCAGTGCCGCCAGGTGTCATCATCGATCCTGATGCTGCCGGGCCCATGCCGATCATGCCAGGGCCGACCATCGGCCGCTGAGTAACACCAAATGCGTTCGCAAGGCCGAGGTTGTTGGTATGCTTGTCCAGGAAGCCCAAGCCCGTACTGGCACTCATTGAGATTGCAGCTTCGTTCGAGCCCGTCGAGTTCTCGGGACTGTCAATGTCCATTATGCTGCTGCCTCCGAGGCCGACGTCATTGCCCGACATCGAGTTCTGCTGCATCGACGACCCGGCGCTCTTGCTGTGACGGCGTTGCCGCTTCGACGTCGACACCGTGATTGAACGCGTCATCGCCGCCGCACCAGGACCCGGGACGCTCTTCAGCGGTGCCGCGGCAATGGGAATGACTCCCTTTCCACCCGTAGCACTGCCAGACGCTGAGCCCGAGTAGCTGGCCGGCGTGCTGCCGGCAGTGTTAATACCGCTCGTCGGGCTGTCCCCGTCGTTGACGCTTCCAGAGCGCTGTTGGGCTGGCGGCGTCGTCACTGTCGGTGTTGCCACCGCTTGGCTGGCATTGGCCGCAGCGATGGATGAGATAGACAGTGTTGAGTTCTTGCGCGTGCTAGTCCCCGACACCGCTCCCTTCTTGCTCGATCGCGTGCTGGTACCACCAACAGGAAGCTGTGCACCCGAGCCCCGGTTTCGCTTCTTGATGACATCTGTCTTCAAGCTGAGCGGACGGACGACGCCATGCAGCTTCAAGAAGAGGCCACAGGCGTTGCACAGCGGCTGACCTTCGGGGTTGCGCCGCCAGAGCGGAGTGGTCTGCGTGAAGCAGTTGGTGCATGTCGTCGGCGCCGAATCGCCCTGCCCTTGAGCCTGAAGGTTGGTCGAAGACCCTTGCTTTGAGTCGGACATGGGCGGGGAGGATGGTCGGCTGTGAGCCACCGAGCTGAAGCCAGATGCGTTCACATTGCCGCCCATCCCGTTGGTATCATTCGGCGGCGAATCTGGCATGGTTTGGCCGGAGCGGTCAAAGTTGCCTCCCATGTTGTTGACGTTGGGCGTAGACGCATTTCGTGATAACTTGGGGTGGCGACGATCACCGCTGATGCTTCCATGACGGAATGACTGCGATTGGGTGCGCGAGAGAGACTTGTTGGACGACGATGTGTTCATGCTATCCCAGTCAATGCCGTTTACATCGCCAAATTCGTTCGTAGTCGTCGGGCCAATGGTAACATGCTTGCGAGTAGGCATGCCACCAGGGTACCGCGCCGCCTGCGTGCTAAATTGGCCAGGCAGAGTGGCGTCCCAGCCCATGCTGCTGCCCGTCGGCGTGCTGCCACCGAGAGAGTTGCCATTGCTGTCCAAGCCCGAAGACTCGTCCATGCCTGGAGAAAAGTCGCCGCTGAGGCCGAGGGTCCGGTCAGCAAATGCCCCGTTGTCCTCCTCATCGATATCTGAATCAGTGCCGAATGAAAAAACAGCGTCGCCCAGCAGGCTGTTTCCGTTCACACCAGGTGACCGAGCAGACATTTGGTTGTCCGGTTGCTGCTGGTGAAACACCTGGGTGGGGTCGACGTGACTCAAAGACGTCGAAAATACCGAAGCTGAGTCTGGGCCGGTGGTGGAAGTAGGGCCGTGGAAGAGAGAGTTGCCGGCGCCAGATCCGTACATAATAGACGACGTGTGGGCACCAGCAGTAGCAACACTGCCGCCGACCGAAGTGGCCATGCTTGAAGGCGCCGAAGGCTGACCGGAGCGGAACGGCTGTGAACGCTGCTGACCATGGCGCATGTCCATAGAGCCCAAGTAAAAGTTCTCGGTGCTCGCACTGTTGCTTCCATCGTTCAACGGGTGAGGCGTTGAAGCCGTGGACTGGTAGGCAGAACCTGGGGGGGAATAGTAGTCGGCAGTGGTAGGTATAGAAGAAGATGGCATGGACGGCCCGCTGTTGCTGTACATGCTGGTAAACAGGCCGTGGTTCACCATAGGCGAAGTGGAGGGAGAAATGCAAAACTGCTGCTGGAAAGGACCAGCAGATGTGATCATGTTGTCGTTGTCCATAAAGGAGTCCAACGCGAACGAGATTCCATTGTGACCATTGGAGTCGTGATGGTTCAAGCCATTCGACAGGGAAGGATCCAAGGCATATTCATGCAGGTCCACGTCCAGATCCAAGTCGGCATTGTTCCCAACAGCCGGGATATGAGGAGAGAAGTTGGCCGGCCGTTTCCGGGTCTGAACAGTTAGTTTTGGGTGCGGGCTTGGGTGGGACGTTGAGATGGTTTGGGGAAAACGAACCCGGCGTTCATCGATGCTCGTTTTCCGGTGGTGTCGCGTGACATAGCCAAATTCGTTATGGGCAGTCTGGTGTGGGGGGACAGGAACACTCTGCGGGACAAAGTGCTTGAAAGATTCGCGGCGGTTCTTGATGGGGATTGCCGAGGCCATAGTGTAGGCAGATGTCGGGTCCTTGCTACCATCGTTGGCCGATCCGTCGTCAAGCAGCAGCGAAGTTCCGGCCTCCGGAGTGGCGACGTTCCTTGAGTCAATAAACTCATCCAAGGTCATGGGATCCAAACTGGACAATCCGTGGTGCTGGTCCTGTCTGGCCTGGGTCTGCTCAGACGTTTTTCTCAACTGAGCGATGCCGCTGGGGGCATTGGCAGCAGCGTGTATATGTTGCGTGGACCTGGTCGGTTGTTAGTCTAAAAAAGCTACCGTTGGAGAAGAACGAGAATACCGGGAGATAACGTACTTGTCAGAGTGTGCACTCCGTAGCTTCACGTGCATCATGCGCCAGCTCAAATTCGCCATGCGTTCCTGGTTCGGCAGCTGCTGCTTAGTTTTGGAGAAAAAACGCCAGACCTCAGTGGCTAGCGAGTCCTGTTCTGGGCCATTGGCCGTGGTACCAAGGCGCAGGTCCGCAAACACATCGTCACGCGAGGGGCGCTTCTGCACTGAGCTGCTATTGTATTCGATGTCCAGCCTCAAGCAGCCACTGGAGGAATCTGAAGGCTTTGTAGAGAGATCGTGATCGGGAGCAGCAGACGCGCCAACGGTGGTCAGGTTCATGAGCTCCTGCTGGAAAGAGTCATCGGTGAAGTGGGAGTTGTGTTCATCATGGTGCATCGGCGCATGCTCCATTGGCCTGCGAGGAAATCGGTAGTCGTGTTCTGTGATGGTATGCAGGCCCATGGAAGGGCTCATAGTCGCTATTGGCGACGCCATGCTGGCGGCCATGGCGGCGGGTGGCGCAGGCGCGAAGGGGAGTCGTATAAGAGGAAGAGTGGCTCAAGAGAGATCGCAGTCCGAGAGCTGGCTGTGCTACCGCGGGAGCGATAGACGAAGAAGCACGGAAAGGAGAGGTGACGGAGACGAAACGCGGGGAGTGGGCGATGATTAACGAGATAAACCTCTCGGTCCTTAAGTCTCCACGTCCGAGTCGACCTTGGCGTGTTTCCGAAAATGGCTGCTATTCCTTTGCGCAAAGCGCACGCAAGGTAACAGGGGAGGGCGGTTCGAGGAGCGAGGGGGGATGCTTTATATTAAAGAAACTTCGTTTTCGTGTCGACTTTGTCGCACTCGTGCAACTATTTTCCCGGCTCTGGTTGGGGGGCTGGCAAGTGAGCCAGATGGGAGGTAGAAATGGCTTGATAGAACAGAAGGGGAGAAGGGGAGGTGAGGTAATGGAGAGTCACGGCCAAGATAGACGATTGTTGGAGAAAGAGAAGGGAGGGAACTGGAAGAAAGAGGGGAGCAGATGTCTGCTTTCGAAATAGAAATGGGGATGCGAAGATGAAAAGCAGGAGACGGGAAGGAGGGGGAAGTAATGGTCGATCTGCAAGAGGCAAGGGCACCTTTTCCCTAGTTTGTCCCTTCTTCAACTTGGATCCTGCCCTCCGAGTCGTGGGTGTCAGACGGATTGGAAGTGGTAGGAATGGTGGGAGCTCATCGTTAGGGGGGGGCAGGAGCGTGGGCGGCGGGGGTCTGTCGGTCTTCAGAGAGGCAAGAGCGAACGAGAACCGGCTGGTGGATATGTCCTGGTGGTGAGAGGAGCCTTGGGAAACTAGAAGGACGGATTGGCATGGCAAGTCTGGGCCGCATGTGGGCAGACGGGCCAAGGCAGAAAAGCGGATGCAGTGCATTTCGCAGAAAGAAGGACGGACGAGAACGCCGCCAGAGGCAAAAGAGGGGAGGGGTGTGGGCGGCATCCAGGACCGCCCGCCAGTGAAAGGCAAGGCAGCGAGCCCGCTGTAGCAGCTAACGTTTAGCGCAGGTGCGCTAGGCTGGGTCTGTTGCACAGTAGCATCCACCGCGTACGGGGATACTGGACGCCCAACATCGCTTTCGACACTAGCGCGCGAGGGCCAGGAATTAGGGCGAGAAAAAGAGCACGGTTGCTGGCTTGACGAGCGGACGCAACCAAGAGAAGGAGGGTGGGGAGGGGGAAGACGCCCCAAAACGGCCGCGGACACGGAGCTACAGGCGCTGGAACAAAATAAAATGCGCATCTACATGAAATAAAATATCTTACAATGGGTGAAATGGGGCTGTTCCCGGTACCCTTGCCTGCACGAGGCAGAAGAGACACTAGTGCATGCACGCTAACTCGACAACGTACTTTGCTCCGGTACAGTGGGTTTGTTTGGCTGTGGCTAGTGGCTGCTGCTGCTGGACGGGTCCGTTTACCCCCTGCTGGCTGGCTCCGTACGGAGCTTCGTACTCCATCCAGAGTCGGAAAGAGGAAGGGAACAAAAAAAAAAAAAAAAAAAAAAAAAAAGAAAGCGCCGTGACGAGAACGAGCAGGAGTGGATCGGCTCCGTACGTACGAGTTCTGATAGATTTTTAGTGGTGATGCAGTAGGTGTGGGTGCGTTCCTACATAGTAAGGGGTGGGAGACTGTGAAAACAAGCCTGCAGGCTGTGCGTGAGATGAAGAAAAGCGTACTGAGGAAAAACGATGCTTCATGCTAGCGACCCTTGTCGCAAGAGGAGGCCGACTTTTTCGAGGCGGCTACGATGTTCGGGTAACGAGTAGGGGGGGGGGACTTGATCTCGTGCCCACCGACATCTGCAGGTAAGAAGCAGAAGATGGCGGGAGAAACAGGAGAGCTGGAGAAGCTGGAGAAGCAGGGAGTAGCAGGATAGGCCGAGGGTATCGGAAACAGGAGTACGGGACAACAGGAGAGCATGAAAGCACGAGAGCATGAGAAAATGAGAGCATGAGAAAATGAGAGCATGGGAACAGGAGACCACGGCTGCTGGCACGGTCTCTGTTGCCTCGTTTTGCAAGGCTTGTCGAAGCACCCGTTCATTAGCCCTTCCCTCTTTCTGCATGGCGGTTCCCCACGCCCTTCTTGCTTCGAGATGCCGCGTCGTGTGTGAGCGCTAGGTCGCAGTTCCGTGCTCGTAAATACGTGTACGGGTTACATGGTCGCCGTGTTCCTGTGCGAGTCGCATGTCCTGCGTCTGGCCTGGCGAAATTGGCCCGCTCCCAGCATCGTCATTACTAACCATGGCCTAGTGGCAGCGGTTCACGATCGGCAGGTGGCCCATCAAGCTCGCGTACGGAGTGTCGTAATGCTCCGTTCGGTTACCTCACACCTCGTGTGCGTACGGCGTGCACATGGCACACTACGGAGCCCCCGTCTCGTTCGCCTGACTGCACTGCTTTACGACGAGTACTATGCATGCGCATGTCGCGCTCGCGCTCGCGCCGGTCGGTTGCCATGACCTTTTCGAGGCGCATGTCTGGCCGGTGCCCGGATGATGCCCAGACGGACAACGCTCGTGTAGCCTTCTGGTGCCTTGTTTTGCCACATTGAGAGGGCAAAATCGCCGGCGGCAGAAGGGTGGTCCCGATCCACTTCGTCCTCAGGGTCAAAAGGGAAAAATGCCACAGGGTGACAGGATTGGCAGATTTGATTGCCTTCTGCAATAAATTAAATGCAGATTAAATCAGTAAAAGACGTAGTCTGGGGAGGCGTCAAAGGGAAATACATGGGGAGGCAGGCATGTTCATACTCGCGTGGCAACATGCGACTAGTGTGCAAGCTGCTCGTAAAGAAATGCGCCTGTGCGAAAACATGCTCCGTCCTCGTAGGTCAGGTCCTTCTCACACCGGACTTTGTACCAATTTGGATTGGTGGGGCGTGGCCGGGCTCCATTCTTCGTACTGTATTTTACTGCCAGGCCATTGCCCGGCCAGCAATTTGGAGGCGTAAAACCGTTTTTTACTCTCCCGTGTACACGCACAAGGTACTACTCAGTATGTAGCACGCATCTCACTCGTGCATACGAGTAGTACGTATTCTGACTACGTCGTACGTATCTTACTATGTAGTATCTATATTGGAGGGGCCGCATGGCCCTCTGCGGAGACGACTCAATCTATACTACAGCTAGGGGGGCAAGCCAGACTCCCTCCATCGAGAAAGGTTAAACTGAACATATGTCTCAGTTCCGACGACCTTGTAGCTTGTCTCGCTGACTTGCTCGCAGATCCTCGAGGGAGAAACCGACCTGCAGCCGACACATATGCCAATCAGAAGCGGCTGCGCCCTCTGTCGCATCTGCTCGTACCGCGTCCTGGATGGCCTGAGACCTGCAATGTCTTGGTCGAACCTGGCCCGGAGGCTTATACCGGCCTGCGATCTCAGCCACTAACGCGCACTGTGCATGGGCTCCAGCTTTCTGCGTTCAACTCGTAAGATGCTTTCGTATGCAGCGCTGATGAAGGAGGAGCTAGCGGCGCGCTAAATTGGCGCCGCTGCCTTGGTGTGGACTGGGCGTGGATACAATAGGCCCTACGAGTACGAGGACAGGCCGCACGGTTGCCAGACACAAAGGCGATCTTGCTCCTGCCACAGGCCACCTAATTTGCGGGCCAACATCCTCTTTTCCACAAAACAAAGGCATTGGACGGCGCAATACGAAGAGCAAAAGCGAAATACGCAAGACGATTCAGGGAATTCCAGGGCAGGCTCGTAAACAAGAGCCAAGCAGAGGTTGGCCAGGCAGAAGGCTGGCTGTGCTAGTGTACGACGTACTACTGTAGCATCCATTCCCTGTTCTGTCACTTCTCACAAACTTCTGGCGCATCTAGGCCAAAGCTTTTTTGCTTTTCCTCCGAACCCCATTTCTTCAGCAGCAAATCCGAGACAGTACAGACCTGTCTGGGCCTAGCCTGCTGTCCTGTTAGTCAGTTGGCCTGTCTACCCGTCGCCCAGCCAGTGCCAATCTGCCCGAGGTCAGTACTTATTGCGCACGGGAACTTAGCCAAACTCCGTCAAAGACGTCTTTTTCACCGGCCAGACTCGTTCTCCCTCACCCTCTGGAATGTCTTTGTCGGATTGGGTGGGGCCCATATGCATGCTACGGTCTATGTATATCCTCGCACACGCTCGTGCTTATATGTACGGAGTATGCGATACACCGTTGCAGATGAGCTAGAATGATGGTTGGTAGCAGCAGCTGTGGGGCCCCTTCCCTATCTGCATACCCATAGAAGAGCAAGGCTCCCCCTCTCTTCAAGGAACTGCACCCCCACGGCATCGAAACGGGGGACAAATAGAAAAAGGAAAACACACTCACGACATGCGTCGTATGCAGACGCTCTGGCCACTTGCAGGCTACTACTGAGTATGTACGAATTGTGTGTGTACGACGTACTTGACCGTCACCCGCATACGGCAGCAGGCTTGGGGAGACATGCGGCGGGAACAGAACGAATAACGGCCTCCGCAGTCGGATCGTCACTGTTTTCTTTCGCGCAGGTACGTACGGATTTTGCGCGGTCTGGAGAATGCGAAAAGCGAGAATGCGTCCTCGTACCACGGACTAATAAGGAAGTGCGTGATGGGGCGAAGGAAGGAAGAGACGCAGCTGCCAGACGAAGCTACAGCCACATCACATGCAAGCCAATAAAACACACCATCTTTCGATGATTCGATGAGACGATGGGAAAGGTCTTCCGACCACCGGCCGTGTACGAGAACTCGTACTCTAAAATACACTGCAGTTTGCAGGACGTACGGCGTAAGATCCTTCGCTGACAGAATGACAAAACATTGGGGGGGAAATGTATTTTGGTCCCTGGCCTTGCCTCGGGATGGGAAGGGCCTGTGGCTCCACCCCACGACCGTCTGCATTTCCCGTCACCCATTTCGCCTCTCGTAGTACATAGTAACGTCACCCTCCCAATTGGCCGGCAGGCAGCCAGAGTTATAGTCGTAGTACCTGTTCGCCCCCCTTCTCCCCCCCACACAGATGTATGTGCCATGGCCATACCCGGACATGCTAGGACAGGAGGAAGGGTGAAGCAGGGGATACGGGACAGGGGTCAAACAATGAAATGTCGTCAGTTAGACAATCTGATTAATGGGCTGTCCGTGGCCTGCGCCGCTGCGGCCACAGCTTTTGTTTCCTCGAAAGGAGCGCTCTTGTTGGCTGCGCCGTTGCATATGCGCATGAGCAGCTGGGAAAGTGAATGTGGGGCTGTTTGGCGGCCTGCGCCGTCCAACGAGTTCCGCTCAGACCAATAAGAGAAGGCGATCTGTCATTGTATTTTATTGATTCGGATTACTATTTGCTTAGAAATTTATGGTTTGAGGCTTCGTATTTGCCTCCTACATTTGTGGTCTTACAGCCCAACCTCGGCCCGCCCTCCAGCCCTGCTTGTGCCCAAAGTCATTGCCCCGTTGTGTCGGTCATTTTCCTGTTGTTTCTCGTTTTGCCCTCTCGCTTTTGCCCTGTCCTTTAATCTTCTCAGTAATGGGCTGCACGTTTGAGATCGTCAACAGCGCCCATGCGAACAGGTAGCGCCCGAGTCCATTGGCTGTGGGTCTGTGTGGGAGGAAAATAAACGATAGATCGTACTCCGTGCTCCGTGCTCGTATGTAGGGGTGATTGTACTCCGTACATGTTTCTGTCGTGCAGTCGAACGCTGACGAGGGAATGTCACCACATCGCGCAGCGGAGCCGCTCCGGCCCTCGCACAAAAATAGGACCCGTCTTCATCTCTCCCGTGTTGGCGAGTCCAACCCCATGCCAATAAGACTCGGTAGTACTCGTTTGCAACGAACGAGCGTCCACCTAGCCCTTTTCGCTCTTTCTCGCCGGCTTAGTACACTTTCTGCGCAAAGAATAATCAACAGCTCGACGCCGACGCGCGGACGAAACGGACGGTCAACCGTCTGCAGGCTTTAGCAAGCCACATTCGCTGCACTACCCAGGAGGATGCATCATGATGCACGTCAGGTCGGGCAAAATGAGCTAGATCGAGGCTTCAGAACAGATAACCTTGCTGTCATGGCTGATAACAGCTAGCACTGGCTGCTGGCAATCAATTACTCGATTGCATTGACCAACAAATGCCCACCCACCGTCGTCATCCCTCCCCCCTCTCTTCTCTTGAGACGTGAGAATGCTGGTAGACTCATCCCCACCCAGACCGGGTCCGGCTGAAGCCAGCTACTCCGTATCTCCGGCCACACAAAAGCGGCAGTCGAGCTTGCTTGGCCGGTTCGCTTGAGGATCCGCCCATAAGTTGCAGGGAAGCTCTCGTATCCACGATGGCAGGTCGGGCCCGCTCGCCATAAACGGCCAAGCGAGGCGGGAAGAGCAGTGGGGGAAACATCCAGTCACAAGCCAAAAAAACCACGAAAGTCGGGTTGTACTCGAAAGGGGAAAAGATGGCAAGAAACGAAAAACCAATAAGGGACACGTGAGGCACGGCCAGAGAACTTCCAGAAAAATCGAGGCCGATCTGCGAGAACGGAAGCAGTTCGGCGAATCCTGCGACGGCTGCACGGCTTGGCAACCAGTCGAGGCCCAACCCATCCACTGGGACAAAGCGATCGGCATGCAAGCCACCACCGTACTCGGCCTGAGGGATTAATTGAAGGCGGCGCCTCTGCGCTTCGGTACCGCCTAGCATCCAATCACAGCACTGGTAACTGTTTGTACATCAATGGATGCAGACCCACTGCAGGCAGGAAAGTAGTCGTGGGGAGAAAGCAGGGAGTCGGTGGAGCGCCTTCGGCGGCATCTTAAACGCAAGTCCCAAAACACCCCAGTTCACGGCTCGGTTCTTCCTCGTACGAACAAAAGATGACGCAGACGACAAGCGGGCGCCTCGGTATTGGTTGGTTGCTCGGATGATGTCGGGACATGTGTCCTGTTCGGTCGGCCCTTCCCCTCCACCAATCCCCAAGATTGACCCCCTCCCCAGATCCCAGCGCAAGTCGTCATGGACCCAATCGGTTAATTCTCAGGTAGTTTGGGGAAGAGAGATTGGCCGGAGGTCACGTGTCCTGTCACGCGACATATGTCGAAAAGAACAGGTAAGGCTGAAGTCAGATATGCAGGGCAACATCGAGCCGGTTGAAGGCACGCGAGGGCTGACGAGTAAAAAGAATAAGAGGTGGAAGAGTCAAAGAGAGACAGAAACTTGCCGGTGGCGACCGAAAATATGGGCCGAGAAGAACCATGGTCCTGATATATGCATTTCTGGTGGTCTAGAGTCGATCCCTTCGCATGCTGAGTCGTCCGTGCTGCCCGCACAAGTTCGGGTTCTTATCTCTACTGTTGTGTTGTCTTTCTTTTTTTTTCGCGTCTAGCATATCAGAGGAGGGGATTTTGAAAAATTTTCCGCTCACGTTGGCTTCGTGTATCGGTCGAATCTTCCGTAACGGGACGATCTGTTCCCCCTCTTCTTATCCCCCCTCTTGTTATCCATCTGTGAGGCCAATGATGTTCGCCAATCTTCCTGTATGCGATTGACTTGCATCTCGGCACGACCGGTCAGGTTTGTGCCTCCAGCTGTCTGCCTCAGCGTGCCTGTGTTTCCATATCGTAGCTACGAGTACATTCGGCCTGTCTTTTCTTGAGTCACCGTCCTTATATGAATCCGCATTTGTACGCATTGACAGTAAATACCGAAGAAATAAGGGTTCCCCTATCCCAATCTGAGTACCAAGTCGTCGGCCGTGTATCGATGGTTGGGCATATCAAAGATATGGGGATGATCGGGTGACATGGTTTGGCAAGACGATCGTGACCGGTGGAAGGGGGGGCCTGCAAAGATAGCGAATAGCTTCGTCGTGAGCGAATCGGATTGCCATGATCGCCAATCTCTCCCACTTCCATCAATGCCATGAAGTACCCATGTTATCTGTTCAATGCGGTCAGTGGCTCAGCCCCAGATTCGTCTTCCGGTCGGTCGCCGACCGTTTCCTGTCACGCATGGGGGCCGAGTTATCAAGGGACCGCGAAGCCAGATAGATGCCTTTAAAAGACAGGATCCGGTGAGAGATAGGCGCGTGTGATACGGGTCCCAGGATAGGAAACTGGCTAGGGACTTAACTGGACAAAAAGTGGTCAATCGGAGTGCTTATCTCGATGATGCAACGGCCATCATGATAATGGCGTCTTCTTGCGTATTTCGTTATCTGGTTTGTGGTTGGAATAGGAAAGTGAATAAAGGCCACGCGGGAGAACAGCACCTTTATTTTCTTTTATTCCGCTATCATTTCGCCATTTTGATATGGATTTAAGACAGCATTTTGTGCGCATTCGATCTCGATGTCTTTTATCATACGACGTATGTGTACTTAAAGGAAGGCGCAACCACTTCCCCATAAAGTGGCTTCTGTTCTTTTCCTTTCTTCTTTGCCGTGCTTCCTACTTCACCGCTTCTCGTACGAACACGTAATACGACTCAAATACGACTCGATTTTCTCTGAACCAGGCTCCGTCTACAATGTCCATCGCGACCGATCGTTTCGACATTACGAACGAGTACAAGAATACTGGCGAGCATTTGACTCTTTCACGAACAGTCACTTGGAAACGACACCAGCCTGATACCGACGACTGTTCATAACATCGATGACATCTAGCCTCATAGCTCGATATGCTTGACGGTCCCAACAATTCTTCAACATGCGTATGGATACAGTTTCGCCACTATGACGACGGCCCCACGCCACGACGGGGTGAATGCGACGAGAAGAGGGTGAACACTTTGATCCGAGCAGATGGAAACCCGTCTCGAAGCTGGACAAAACTGACGGCTCGAGCCATGCGATTCTTATGCGAAACATTGTTGGAGGTTGGGAGACTGGACTTCCGTCATCAACCCTAGGACATTTTTTCCTGGCCAGAAGGGACAACTGCTACTCGAGACGTATCCTCTCATAGGAGGGATATGCACAGCCAGAGCTAGCCCTTCGAATGGTTATTTACTCCCAGTCCAAGTCTTTGCAGAGGATCTGCCTACAACGCCCTACGGACCCCCCCAATACAACCCGGACTGGGGAGAACGACAAGTGCAAAAGATCAGCCGCAGCTGGGCCATCTTTTGAGCGTGCGGCTCTTCGTCTGATCCAAAGGTTGATCTGTTAGACTTGGCAACGTAGGGGACGAGCCTTGCTCAAGGTAGGCTCTTTCTCGATTTCGTGCGTACTCGGGTCAAAACTGCGTAGTAGAAACTCGCTCGCAAATTTTGTATCACCTCGGTGGTCTAAGTTTTCCATTTCAACCTTCTTGCATCGCTCCGGCCTCCCTCCCATCGTTGCCACCGTCCGTTGGTGCAGCCGGATCCTTATTCGTGACGTGCAAGCTTGTCTTCAGTCTGCGTTCCAAGTCGTCGCCCGCAGCCGGTCCGTACATGTGCCGCACAACAGCCGCCACTTCGGCCGGGCCGATCTCGAGTCGACCACGCGGTCCAACATGCCAGGTGACCTTGGCGCCGTCCGACATGCCAGGCCCTCCGGACCGGCCACCGCCCGACCCCCGTCCATCGACCGCCGATGCTTCCACAACGCGCACAAGATAGCCATGGCGCACGAGATACTGCAGCGTGCCGCCTTGTGTGGCCGTGCCGTCAGTGTCGTGGTGCTGGGAGGCGTCGATGCCGTGGCTGGCGCCGGTGCCCCCGTCGTCATCGTCAATGTAGTCTCCCAACGCAGAGGCCACGGACAGCAGCTCTGCATCAGCCCGCACGGGTCCATGCCGTGCGCCGTACAGCATCGTGAGGTACTTTTCCAGCTCGGTCTGGGCGAGAGCACCGCCGCTCAAGGTGACCAGGGAGACGACCATGGTGACAAACCCGATATAGGCTGAGTCTGGGGCTGGCGGCAAGGCAGCTGTCGGGAGGGCGGTGAAGACGCTGGCGCGATAGGCATCCGGAAGAGTCGACACGAGCACATAGCGGTCGGCACGGGTAGCAGCGCCCGTAGCAGTGGTGGGCTTCTGTGTCTTGAGGGCTGCCACAGTGAAAGGGCACGATGCGGGTTAGCCAAAGCACCTGTCCTGTCCGTCGTTTCGGGATGGCACTCACCCTTTCTCCGCTCTCGCAAGCTCATCGTCGACTCGTCACGCGACGGCCATTCGACCATTTCCATGCCGAATATAGCTCGCAGCTGCTCTTGCGCAATGGGAAACGCCTTTCTAAAGTTCTTTCCCTGGTTCTCCAGGACTGTTGCGTGTCAGAAAAGCATCCAGTGCATCGAGGCAAGCAGCACGTACCCTGTTCCTTGATAGCCTGTCTTCGTATAGGCAGCCGACGAGGCTCACAACTCAGCGCATAGCGGATCAGCTTCTTGGCAAGGATATTTGTGTAGAGTTCTTGTCGGTCGGCTTGCGTCTGAGGCGCGTCATCCTCTTCGTCTTCGTCGTCTTCATCAGCGTTTCCGGCTGCTGTCCCTCCTTCCATGTCTTCGTCCTCGTCTTCCTCATCCGCTGGTCTCCGCTGGCTTGCGCCATGGTTGAGCCGCGGTCTCCGGGGTGCTTCTTCCTCGGGCTCTTCGGCCGCAGGACGTCGCCGCGGTCTCCTTGACTGTGTCGACATGGTGATTTCGTTGATCTGTTCGAATATGGTAGCACACTGGACTCGCTTCAAGTTTGTCGTTCTCGCTGTAGGCGCAAACTGTAGACGGAGGGGTATTGGGTCAAACGCGTTTAGACGCGCTCTGGGGACAGCAGCATCGACCTGTCCATTTAGTCTGGCCGATAAGAGAGCCCCACTGTATACTGATAAGCGATCGCGAAAGTTGACAGCTGCACCCAATTGCGACATGACCGCATCCTTCTGCCTTCCTTCTAGTTATACGGCGTGCCATGGGCCATAGCCCTCTCGCTCTTTTGCTCTAGCGATTCAAACTCTTCCATTTTTTGATACTACACTTGAGGCAGTACTCGGCGCCCCCATACTTTCGCTTTCAAGCCAGCTGGGCAAATCAGACGACAAAGGATGGTCTGTCTCGCTTCGATCTCGACTTCTCTGTTGTCTTTCTGCGCCTTTTACGAGCGACGGTGTCGCTGGCTGATGCCCTCGGTACGACTGCGCTTAACTTGGAGAATCCGTGCTTGATTTTACATGCGATGGCGTCGAATTCGAATCCTCCATATGCACCATCGGGGCAGCAGCATGTCCCATCCCAGACGCAAACTTCACTAAATGCACAGCACACGGTGCCACTCCTCTCCGAGCTCGACGACCCGTTCCCCCCTCTGACAGAGAACTCAGCATTGCCAGAGCCAATAAGCTATGCTTCCATAGAAGTGAAGACCACCAGAGGCAATCCTGTCACCCAGCGGGTTGATCCCTACCATCTCGCTCCCGAAGATGCATTTTACACATCCGCATCGCCTCCACGGCACACCAACAATTGCACTACTGGGCCGGGAAGTGAGCTTCCAGATTCAAGGCCTTCAAGGCAGTCTCCTCGTCTCGCATCTGTCGTGGGGGGAGGCGGCATTGCCCGCGCAACCAGCGGTGTGGGGAGTAGGAGTCGCAGCCGGCGACGAAGGAAGCGGACGTGGAAGAAACTGCTTTGGGTGAAGCAGTCATGTACGACCGACATTTTCTATTCCTGCACACTGCTACTGGAGACCAGGCTGACCAGTGCAGACCCCGACAACTATACTGACCAGGCCACATTTCTGGAGAATCTTCAGCGTAACCCCCGCCTACAGCCGTACGATTTCTGGCCGCTTGTCGCCGACTCCACCGTTATAGTGCAACACGTGTGCTCGGTGATCATCTTCATTGTGTGCTTTGTAGGCATTTTCCAGGAGCGCGTGAGTCCGGTCTCCGTGGTCGGGGGGGGCAGCTTTGCGACCTGTTTGGGGTGGCTCCTTTGGGAGAGATGGGCCAGCGATGAGGATCCCGATGCGGAGACAGAAAATGCACTTCGGCTGGCAGGTGACAGCGGTCCGAGCGGCGAACACATGCAGCAGAGCCGTGCTCCTCGTGGGGCCGATGTGCTAGCATCCCGGCAGCAGCAAGTGGCGACAAGTCTCTCTCGCTCTACAATAGGCCTTGCGATGCCACACAGCCACAAGAATGGGCTTACAAATGGCAATGGCCATGTGGGCGGCAACGGCAGCCCGTCGTGGCAACCGCTGTCGCAGTCCACACCGGCATTGTCGCTCGTCTCGGCGGCCTCCGAAGCGGTTAACGGACACGGACGTAGGCCAGAACAGACGCCGGCATTTCCACCGCCACGACGAACATTGGCTCCGATGCGGCGGGGACGAACTCGCCGCCGCGTTGCTGCGATCAAGTCGGGCATGCTGATCTACTTTACGCTGCTAGGGCTGTCACCCATTCTCAAATCACTGACGCGGTCTACGTCGTCCGACAGCATCTGGGCCATGTCGTTTTGGCTGCTGGCCATCAACATATTCTTCTTCGACTACTCGGGGGCCTGGGTGGGCGCGCACAAGTTCCCGGTCGCGTCGCTCTCGACTAATGCGGCGCTGATGGCGTCGACAGTGCTGGCCAGCCGGCTGCCGTCGACCGGACAGGTCTTCAGCCTGACGCTCTTCAGCATCGAGGTGTTTGGGCTCTTTCCGGTATTCCGCCGCTATGCGCGCCACCGCAGCTGGCGCTACCACGTCTCCCTGACCGTACTGCTCGTCCTCGGTGCCGGCGCTGGCGTCGGCATCATAATAGCGACGGGTGGCAACAAGGGGTGGCCATGGCGACGGGCACTTGCAGGCATGACGGTGGCCTGTGTGCTCTCGGCCGTGGCGATGGGTGGGTGCAGCTGGTGGCTGATTGGGCTGCAGAAATACAAGAACGAGATCTACGGGCCGTGGGATCCAGCACGGCCGGTCATCATCAGCCGGCGACACTGGAATGACGTGTGAGGAGGACTGTGGAAGTGGAATCGGGACGAAGAATGGACGTTGTACATACGGAGGGCTCCATAGTAACAGCACTACTCCGTAGTTGTGCGCAGAGTCCCCGCACGGGTGCCTGTGTGGCTGCACCATCGAGATAGCAGGACGTTAGTTTCATTGGATGCATGGATGCAGGGAGTGAATCGATATACGAGCAGCTGAAACGGACGAGAGAGCGGCGGTCCAAAACACCCCGCCGAAATGAAGCAAGCCACACGCGCTCAGCGGGCGATTGTTGCTGCAGCAACTGTGGCTTAGCGGGGCAACAAGACGTGCGGGCGCCAAGCCGGTTGGTTGTCTTGTGCGCCATAGCGACGAGAATTTACACATAGCACCTAAGACGTGCCCCTGTCGCCTGGACAAGAGCGAGGATCAGCTTCCAGCCCTGCAGCAAATAAGAAGGCGCAAGTCGAGATTATCATCCTGGTCGATTGCACCGACCCTTTCCCTGTTAGGACAAACGCGCATTCTTTCCGGGACTTTGTTCTGGTCGAGATATTTGTTTAGACTGCGAGCAGCAGGCTCCCTTTCCTATCTTCTCGTCGCATCTCCTTCTTTTCCCACTCATTGCCCATCTTTTTACCGTCTCTCCTTCGCAGCACGCACGCTCTTCTCTCCCGCTTTCGTACCAGCCGGTGGTCTTTCTGTTTGCCCCGCCACTCCTTCTGCAATCCATTTTCAGCCATCGTCATCGGTCATCTGTTGTCTGTGAAGAACAGCTCGCACGACCATGGCCAGCTTTGTGGCCAGTCTATTTGACCGGACCGCCGCGGTCGCGGGCGCAGCATCGGGCGGGCAGCCGTCAACGCCGCCCAAGAACAGCTTTGTGGCACCGGCCATGACGCCGCAGGGAAGCCCCAGCAAGAAGATGATGCCGCCAGGAGCACACGAGCTGCCCGAGGCGCACGAAGGCAGGCTCAAGATGGGAGGCAGTAGCAACGGCTACGGCATCAACAGCGGCCAGAGTAACGGCAGCAACGGAAGCAACGGAAGCAACAGCAGCAACAGCAGCAACGGCAAGGCCATTAGCAACATTGTGGTGCCAGTGCCCAGCCTGTTTGACAATGCGGTGCGGCTGGGCCGGCCGCAGCTCGGCGGCGGTACAAGCGGCAAAGCTCTGACGCCGACCAAGGGCAGCAGCAATATGCTGCCGCCGGGCTGTGGTGGTGGTGGGGGTAGCAGCACAGGCCTCGACGATCCATTTGCCACGGACGACAGCAGCGGCCTGCACAAAACAACAGGGGCTATGAGCGGGGCTGTGGGCCATCTGGCGATGGGGTCGTCCCAGAAAGGAGGAGGAGGGAGAGGAGCAAACAAAGAAAACAAGGATGAGGCGGGCGGCATGGCGACGCACGGCGACGGGGCGACGGCCAAGGCCAAGGCCAAGGAGAACATGGTACCGGTGCCACACCACAGCCTAGGCCCGCCAGCAAGACTGCCACTGCCGTCAGAGGTGGCAGCAGCAGCAGCAGCAGCAGCAGCAGCTGGAGGACACCATCACAACCACGCCGCGCTCTCGCGGCACGAAATGTACCAGACCAAGGAGCGGCCGATGATGGCGACAGTCAAGCGATTTAACACGTCACGCGGGCTGACGGCCGACGAGCTGGAGATCCTGAAGCGGCCCAACATTCGGCGGATGGTCAACGTGACACAGCTGTACTTTCTCGACTACTACTTTGACCTGCTGACGTACGTGGGCAGCCGGCAGAACCGGCTGAACGCGTTCCGGGCGGAGTTCCCAGCACCACCCGAGACGGACGAGGAGACGTACCGGCACATGTGGCAGAAGTACGCAGGCCGCGAGCGAGCCAACCTGCGCAAGCGACGGATGCGGCTGCGTCACGGCGATTTCCAGATCCTGACGCAAGTCGGACAGGGCGGATACGGACAGGTGTTTCTAGCGCAGAAGAAGGACACGCGCGAGGTGTGCGCGCTCAAGGTGATGAGCAAGAAGCTGCTCTTCAAGCTGGACGAGGTGCGGCACGTGCTGACGGAACGCGACATCCTGACGACGGCCAAGAGCGAGTGGCTGGTGCGGCTGCTGTACTCGTTCCAGGACGACAAAAGCATCTACCTGGCGATGGAGTACGTGCCGGGTGGCGATTTCCGGACGCTTCTTAACAACACGGGCGTCCTGTCAAACCGACACGCGCGCTTTTACATTGCCGAGATGTTCTGCGCAGTCGACGCGCTGCATCAACTCGGCTACATCCACCGGGACCTGAAGCCGGAAAACTTTCTGGTGGACTCGACAGGTCACGTGAAGCTGACGGATTTTGGGCTAGCGGCCGGCATGCTGTCGCCAGCCAAGATCGAGTCGATGCGCGTGCGGCTGGAGCAGGCGTCGGAGACGGCGGTGCCGTTTGGCAAGCCGATGGAGCAGCGCACGGTGGCGGAGCGACGCGAGGGCTACCGGACGATGCGCGATCGCGACACAGCATACGCGAAGAGCATCGTGGGCTCGCCCGACTACATGGCGCCCGAGGTGCTGCGCGGCGAGGAATACGACTTCACGGTCGACTACTGGAGCCTGGGCTGCATGCTGTTTGAGGCACTGACGGGCTTCCCGCCGTTTGCGGGTGCGACGCCCGACGAGACGTGGCGCAACCTGAAGCACTGGCGCGAGGTGCTGAAGCGACCGGTCTGGGAGGACCCCAACTACTTCCTGAGCAACCGGACCTGGAGTTTCATCACGACCTGCATCAACGGCCGGGCCAAGCGGTTTTCGCGCATCGACGACATCCTGCACCACCAGTACTTTGCCGAGGTCGACTGGGCGACGCTGCGGGCGAGCAAGGCGCCCTTTGTGCCGGAGCTGGACTCGGAGACCGATGCGGGCTACTTTGACGACTTTTCCAACGAGGCCGACATGGCCAAGTACAAGGAGGTGCACGACAAGCAGGCCGCCCTCGAGGACATGGCCGAGCGCGAAGACGCCATGCAGAAGGGTCTGTTTGTCGGTTTCACCTTCCGTCACCGCAAGACGGCCGGCGGAGCGGCCGACGATCTCAATGCCGGCCTGGCTTCGGTCAGCAACGGCAGGGCCAGCCCGCGGAAGCCGCTGACGGCCGACACGTTTGGGGGACCGGCCGTTTCTGCGTCTGCTTCTGCTTCCGCTCCGGCCACACCACAGACGGCTTCCCCCCCTTTTGGCACGATGCTGTAGGGCGAGCGAGCCGGGGATGGCGTCTGGCTGCGGCGACAGCGACCCGGCCATATGGCCGCCCACCCACAACAGCAGCTGTGGATGTGCAGGCCGTGGGCCATGCGTGGTGGCGACTGGGCCGTGGCCAGAGGACGGCCAGCGTGAGATGGGCCATGTGCGAATCGATGTGTCTTGTTTCTTTTTTGTCTTTTTCTTTTTTCTTGTTCTCTTCGCCTCTGTCGTTCTTTCCTCATTTGCGCCGGGGCAGCCGCCACTGCCTGTCCCGGCTGTTATCATTACTTGACTGCTGTCTTTTCTCCCTTGTCCCTTTTCCTCTTTTCTTCCCTCTTTTTCTTCCTCTTTCTGTTTGACCTTCCCATTCCCCCTTAATGCAGAGACGGAACGGCGACGTGGATGACGACGACCGGATGGGACACTACTATTTGATTTTACTTTCCTTTGTTCGGTAGAGAGGAGGGATGGGTCCCTCGCCGTCTTCGGCCTCTCTCTGTAGGTGTATTTGGTAGCTGCGGATAAAAATCCATGTTTTTTGCACGACTTTCCGAGAGTCGTCCTCAGTGAAATAAGCATATGCTGCGGCCAGTTGATCGCCGCCCGATGACGACGACGGCTGGCGAGATGGGCCACATGGTCGAGAACGCGTAATGGCATCGTCAGCAGAGCGGTCGATGATTCCGTCTGCAGGTATTCGCTGGATGGACAAGCCAGCTTTCGTCTATCCAAACTGCACACCCGTAATCCTTTTTTAATCACACGCATTCGCCTCTCTGCCCCTCAGCCTGCTCGATTCTGGTCCCCAAAAAGCACGCTGCGTCCAATTGTAAGGCCCCACAGAAGTCTGCGCCTCTGTCGTCCGGACATCCCCAACTCCCGAGAGGCTGGGCTGGTTCTCAGTCGCCCAGCGACCCCTCCTCTCCCCATCGCCTGTGCCACGGTCCTCGCTCGGTCCCGGGGGAGCCCATCTCCCTTTTCGCTTTCCTCTGCTGTACGCTGTCTTGCCATGCATGACCGCGCGGCCGTTCTCACTTCTCACCGCATCTCACTCGACCAGATGCAGTCTGCGTGCCGCTGAAGATCCCATCTCAGTACTGTTTCCGGCAGCTGCCGTGCTTGTAAAAGCTGCAGGTGGGGCAGGCCAGCCGCTCCTTTGCTCCTGCTCCCAACGCTGCAGAGCACCCACACAGCCAGCTGTCGCCTTCGGACACGCCTGCCGCGCTTTTTTCGCACGTCTGCAGGAGCAGTTGGGTGACGAATGCATTTGGGGGCCAATGCAGGCTTGCAGCAGGACGATCGACCCTACGTCACATTTTCTCTCTCTCTCTCTCTCTCGTGTCCCATCCTCTGTCGGACAGCATAAGCGTTGACGTGGAGTGGAGCCTCGGAACCAGAATCAGCAGCAGTTGTCCATTCGCCATTCTCCCAGTGAGCTCCTGTGGCTGGCCTGACTGTCTCACGGCTCTTCCTGTTGGAGACCACGAGACGAGCAACACGAAGCAGCAGGGATCGAGTATATGAGGCGTCTGTCGTCCGCACCTGTTCTCGTCTTCCTTTCTCGTCCGGCCCATCCACCTTCTCCCATCTTCCCCACACACGACATCCGACGACGTCATACGGCCTCGTATCCACCCACGTCTTCCACCTGACACAACAGCAGTCCGTTCATCATGCGATCGCTGTCCGTTGCTGCTGCTGCTGCCTGGCTGCCGGCCTTGGCTGCTGCTCAGTGGTGGTCTGGTGCTCCGTCGTGTGCAGTAAGTCCTGTTTTCGTCTGTCTCTCTTCCCTCTTCTGTCCTAACATCACAGGCCTCCTGCTTCTCCTCGGTCTGGTCCTCGTCCGACTGGCCGTCGCCGACAGCCTTCTGTGTCGCCTCTGCCACGCCCATTGCCAGCTGTCTGAGCGCCAGCTGTGGTTCTGCCACCTCGGCCGCTGCTACCTTCTCGTCCATCTCGTCGTCCCTCTGCAGCCAGTACTCATCCTGCTCGTCTGGCGGCAGCACCGGCGTGCTCACCGTCACGGCTACCGCTCCCTGGGGTGCCTACGGCACCGGCACCGGCTCCTTTGGTCCAGGCAGTGGCTTCTTCGGCACCCGCTCTTGGGACTCGGCCGCCACGGCTGTCGCCACCTACACCGTCACCGGCTGTCCCTGGGACGGTTCGCCCTGGGTCGCCGGGCCTGGCGCTGGTTGGGGCGGCTGGGGTCCTGGCGGTTTTGGCTGGGGCGGCGGTGGTCCCGGAGAGTTCTGGACCAGCTCGTGGACCGGCTGGTCCTACCACACCCAGACCACCACCGTTACCACCACCTTCACCAGCTCCGGCTCCGTCTTCACCACCGCTGCCGTCATCCGCGTCGAGGAGGCCGCTTCCGGTACCCAGACCAGCACCACCACCCTGGCCACCAGCACCACTACTGTCACTGCTACTGGCACTGCTGCCACCGCGAGCGCTGCTTCCACCAAGAGCTCGGCTGCCGGCGGTGATGGCGGAGACTGGTTGGCCGTCAAGGTCGTCGGCCTCGTCCTGGCTAGCATGTTGGCTGTCGTCGGTATGCTGTAATGTGCTCGCAACGACTCTATGATACCCAGCCGACTCTGTCTTTTGCCTCTTCTCGATCTGCATCAACTTCTACGAATCACGTTGTTTTATGGTTGCATTGTCTTGGGGTTTTCATCTTAAAAGCTGTGTAGTAGGATATGAAGAATGTTTCCAGACTATTTTCTCAAAGCTATTGCCAAGAAGAGAGTCATGTGAAAACAGTGCCCGTAGCCTATAACTTGGTAAAAACTGCGTTAGAATTTATCGATAAGAAAGAGTAAAGATATAGCAACTCTTTGTGAGCGCTTTTGATGCCCGAAAGCGAAAATCCATCAGGTGTGTGATGGTGTTCTGTGGACATTTGGGGGAGATACGTAATATGTAGAAAGTGCTGAAAAAGTGAAAAAAACGAACTGTCTCGGTTTGACCCTCTGTGTTAGTCAAGCTGGTGACGCTTCTCTGCTTACTCGGACAGGTGTATTTTTGTTGCCCAAAGGCAGATTCATTTTCAATGAAGTAGTATATAAAGCTTTGATCCAGAGCATTGGTGTTATTCGTTGTTATTGAGCGTCTAACTGCCACCAATATGTCTAAAATAAAAGCCCCACAAATCTTATCACTTTTGGATAGGCTATGTATGTGTTAGCCGTTGCCTGCATAGAGCGATGCCCGTGCCTCCTCTTGACGGAGTCTGTAAGAAACATAGTAGGCGCAGAGCACACACTCGATGCCGTCACATTGGTGTGAGACGAGGCGCACAAGAAGCTCTTTCCGACTCGCCTCCTCCTTGTCCGCCTGTTTTCCTACAAGCACGATCCAAGTACTTGTGATTTCTTTCCCGCGAGGTATTAGGCCTTGCTTCCTGGCTTCATGTAGGGAGGTTAGGTTGACGCTTCGTTTCGTTACTTTTACGTTTTGACAACCATTTCGTGACTGTAATTGCGTCCCTTTTTGTTTCCATAGTATTGCAATGTATTATCTTTGAATTCAACAAGCGTTATCATCCATCCAGAGATCCAGACCTTCTGCCCCTTGTCCCCCACCCATGAACGCCTGTATCCAAAGCAGACGCCCTGGAGTCTTTTCTTTACTGGTCCGTGTCCGCGGCCGGCTTCAGCTCGCCGTTGATGCAGCCCTGGACGATGTCGTGCAGTGTCGACGGCGAGGCGTCCTCCTGCTTCTGCTGCTGAGGGCTCTCAGCCGTCCAAGCCCAACGGCGATAAACGGCCGACTCGAGCGTCCCATGAGGCCACGACGCGTACAGCCGCAGCTCTGGCGGGCAGAACTTGCGGAGGGGGCTGTCGTCGTCGACGAGGGCCGTGTCGTCACCCCCATCCTCTCTGGGGCCGTCTTCATCTGCGGTTTCGGATTTTGTGTTCAGGTTCGGGTTCCCTAACACGTGTCCGTCTCCATCTGCTTCTCGACCGTCCCCTTCGTCCACATCCGCATCTAGGATCTCGTCTAGCTCCGTGATCGTGTCCGTTGACGTCAGGCTGAACCGCATCTCCCAGAGCGGATCGTTCTGATGCTGCAAGGCCGTCCCATCCACCGTCCTCGACCAGATCACGCCCGTCTGGGATGCGTCCTCGTGGGCGATGGCTGCCTTGCGGGCATCGGCCGCGAGCACGTGACCCACGGCGCTGCTGACATAATCAAGCACGTCGCGCAGCGTCGCGTAGTTGTCCGCGGGCGGGAAGCTGTCCTGGAGGGGGCTGCTACCACCGGTCGGTGGAGGATGCAGCTGGATGAGGTACTGTGTGCGAAGTGGCATGTTGGTAGTACGGCTGCGGATGGAGAGGCGGATGTCGGGCGCAAGGGTGAGCTCGAACGTGAACTCGCGCGGGTTCAGAAAGGCCATGCAGACACCTTCGGACGCGGCCAGCTGGCGCGAGGCAGATCCGGCTGTCGGGGGGGGGATAGACGAGGCCAGAGGACGCTCGAACAGGGTAAATTGGGCAGTAGTGTGGCCAACGCGATGCAGGATCGAGCAAAGGTCCGAGAGAAAGCGCGCAATGTGCTCGAGGGCCTTTTCGTACTTGAGGTTGGCCAGGATCGGCCGCAGCAGGTAGTAGGCTGGCGGCGGGGTGCCGGTGCTGTCGGACGGCGGCGCAGGCACCGAGCGCAGACGGTAGTGGTGGCGGTGGCCGTGGGCGAGAAAGAGGTGCAGCGACGACGCGGTAACCTCGGCGACTCTGTCCATCTCGGCGGTGGCGATGGCAACCGCGCCCGCATCAGAAGCAACTAGCTGGAGGGGTTCGAGGGCGATGATGCCCTCGGTGTGAGCGCCGGCAGGAAAGACGATGAGGGGGCCTCGAAGTGCGATGCCGTGGGCCACGAGGAGACGAGCCTCGCGGTTGAGCTCACGCCAGAGCTCCTTGGCGTAGACGGTGTTGCGAGCCTCGAGGATTCGGTTCTCGAGGGGAGCCGACGGCGGCAGGCGAATTGGAGGTGACGAGCGGCCGATGATGTCGACATTGCCGGCTGCGTTGCGGCGACGAAGCGTGACGACAATGGCCGAAGGCGGGCCCAGCGCGGTGATGTCGAGGGCAACGTGACCACGCTTGACGCGGCGCAGTGGTGCAAAGCCGGCAGCGCGCAGATCGGCGGCAGCCTCGGAGAAGCCAAACTTGACGCGAAGGAGCCGTCGTTGGCCGGGAGTGCGGGAGAGAGCCCAGCCGCGATCGCGAACGGCAACGACTTCGGACCAGTACATCTGCTCACGGCGCAGCTCGGCGTGCAGGCGCTTGCGGCCAGCGGCCAGCAGCTCGGCCGCCCGATCCATGGCCAGAAGCTGCCATCCGACGCATTCAATCTTATGGTCCAGCACCCGCTGTGCGTTGGACCGTGTCGTCTCGTCCAGGATCTGCCCACCCGCGAGACCAGGCCCGCCTCCACCGCCCCGGCCGCCACCGTGTCGCGTCTGCAGTGCTTTGGCTGCTTGGGCCGCGTTGGCAATGCGGCCGGCACTGAGCGTGCCGATGCCAATCTTTTCGCGCAGCATCGGCGAGAGCGACTGCAGCGCCTGGGTCGGCCGGTCTTTCGAGAGCAGTAGCGAGACAAAGTCGACGACGATGAGACCGTTCTGAAGAGCAGATCTGAACCCATGTCAGCACACATACGAGCACGGACTCGGAGCCGTTTGCACTCACTCCAACGTTCGCAACACTTCGTCACGCTTCGCAATCATGGCTTCAATGCCTTTGGTGCGGTGAGCCAACGTGTCATTCGCTGCCTCTTCATTCTCGTCGGCACCCCGTCCAGACGCTTCGTCCGCATCGTCGCCATCGCTCCCGTTTCCCGCCTCTCGCCTGGTTCGTCGCTCTTCGATCTCCTTGCGCAGGCTCTCTTCTGTCAGCTTGCGGAACTCGCCGCCTTGGGCCTTGATCCGCCGCACAAAGTCGCCAATGTTGGCTGGCTCCTGGCCTGGCAGCGGCCATGGACGGAACACCGCATCACGCAGTCCAAACAGTGCAGGGGTGTCGGCTGTGCCGGCACTGTCCGCCATTATACCTCGCTTGACCGGGAGAGCGGGTGGCTGTCGTGGGGGGTTGAGTTGTCAAAGAGATACACGAATAGAGGCGAGTCCGCACCGCCACAGTTGAGGCTGCTAGCAATGGTGGGGCCTATGAGCATGACTAACGCGGGCAAGTAGTAGATCTGGTGCGGTATTTCAGCTACTTGCCTCACTATTCGGCCCATTTACCAGGGACAATGTACCCTTACGTGGGCTCATAACGGCAAAGCACGTAATTGCGCACAGCAAAGTCTCCCACCATCGGGCCATAAGCCGTTATTGCAGAGACGAAACCCCACAGGATTCAGACCACTGGCATGTCATAGTAATGTGACTACCGGCGTCCAGCTAAAAGCATTTTTTTTTTTGCCGCAGCACAGCTTCTCGTGCTGTCGTACTCGTACTGAACGTAGCAAGAGACCTGGCCCGGCGCGGCCGTCTGCCATCTCGGCTCAATCAGCCCATCGAATCTCCTGTCCAGGATCTGTCGGGCCAAGACTGTAGATTCCGGGAGAGACAGTGATCGAGACAGCAGCAGAAAAAAGAAACAAAGGTTGGACAGCAGTCTCACCAGCACTACGCACATCAAAGAAAGCGAGCGATTTAGCGCGTGGTTTTACGAGCTTTACTGCGTTATTTTCCCTGCCCCGCCGCAAAACCCCCTCCTCAGCAGACGTCGATAAGATAAGAGCTTGGTTGCTTGTGCCTCACAATACGCCTCATTAAGACCGCCAACGCTCCTTCCCCGGGCTGTTCCTTCTGTCCGCCCTTGCTGTGATCTTCTCTACTTTTTCGCCATCCGTTTTGGGCATCTGCAACGGCCTCTTCTATTCTCCATTTCCCCCCAACAAACGCCTGCATCATCGGCATCTCTGGCCTCTATACACGCCGCAGCAGCAGCACTGTCCGTTGGCTGACGACCCCGCGCTTCCACGGATCCATCTTCACCTCCGCTTCCTCATGGCAAGCGCCTCCGCACCGGGAGCGGCAGCTCCTGCCAGTACGGCACCAGTAGCAGCAGCAGCATCCAAAAAGAAGATTGCCATCATGACTTCGGGCGGCGACTCGCCGGGCATGAACGGCGTCGTGCGGGCCTGTGTCCGCATGGCCATCCACCTGGACTGCGACGCCTTCTGCGTCTACGAGGGATACGACGGTCTCGTCCGCGGCGGCGACTACATCCGCAAGATGGAATGGGACGATGTGCGTGGTTGGCTGTCTGAAGGCGGCACTCTGATTGGCACCGCCCGTTGCATGGCCTTTTACGAGCGACCCGGCCGTCTGGTGGCCGCCAAGAACATGATCATCAACGGCATCGACGCGCTCATCATCTGTGGCGGCGACGGCTCGCTCACCGGCGCTGACAAGTTCCGTGCCGAGTGGCCTTCACTGCTCAGTGAGCTCGTTCAGACTGGCGAGCTGACGGCCGCTCAGACCGCCCCCTACCAACACCTCAACATCGTCGGCCTTGTCGGCTCTATCGACAACGACCTGTCCGGTACCGACGCCACCATTGGCTGCTACTCGGCCCTCACCCGCATCTGCGAGATGGTCGACTACATCGAGGCTACTGCCTCGTCACACTCACGCGCCTTTGTCATCGAGGTCATGGGCCGCCACTGCGGCTGGCTCGCTCTCATGGCCGGCGTCGCCACCGGCGCCGACTTCATCTTTATCCCGGAGAAGCCGCGTGAGGACAACTGGCGTGAAGAGATGTGCGCCATTGTACACAAGGTACTTTCTTTCTTTCTCTTTTTTTTTTCCTTTTTTTTTTCTCCTTTTCTTTTCTTCTCTTTGCCCTCTCTCGACTTGCCCGCTCACACAGATAGAACCGCCAACTGGGCAAGAGAAAAACCATTGTCATCATTGCCGAGGGCGCCCTCGACCGCGAGGGCAACAAGATCTCGTCCGAGATGATCCGCGCACTGTTGGCCGACAAGGACGGCCTGGCCCTCGACACCCGTATCACCACCCTGGGCCACGTCCAGCGCGGCGGCACGGCTGTCGCATACGACCGCATGCTCGCCACGCTGCAGGGCGTCGAGGCCGTTCGCGCCGTGCTCGAGGCCACGCCTGAGTCTGAGACGTGTTTCATCGCCATCACGGAAAACAAGATTGTGCGCAAGCCACTCATGGCTGCCGTCCAGAACACAAAGTCCGTCGTTGCTGCCATCGAGGCCCACGACTTTGATCGCGCCATGGCTCTGCGGGACACTGAGTTCTCCGACCAGTACAAGTCCTACATCATGACGACCGCCGTGCAGCTGGACCAGCACATGCGGCTGCCCGAGAAAGAGGCAAGTCTGCCACGTCACTAGACGCCAGAGACGTCGTTGCTAACACGCGGGCTGTAAGCAGAGAATGCGGATCGGTTTCATCAACGTGGGAGCTCCTGCCGGCGGCATGAACGCGGCCATACGAGCGGGTGTGGCCTACTGCATATCCCGTGGGCACGAGCCGCTGGCAATCCACAACGGCTTTGCCGGCTTTGCACGGCATCACGCCGACTCGCCGCTGCGGTCAGTCCGGCCATTTGACTGGCTCGAGGTCGATGGCTGGGCCAGCAAAGGCGGGTCCGAGATCGGCACCAACCGCGAGCTGCCGAGCGATTCCGGGATGGAGACCATTGCCAACTTGATCGAAGAGTACCAATTCGACGGGCTCTTCCTCATCGGCGGCTTCGAGGCCTTCCACGCCCTGTCACAGCTGCGCACGGCACGCGAACAGTACCCGTCGCTGTGCATCCCGATGGTGCTGCTCCCGGCGACTATCTCGAACAACGTGCCCGGCACGGAGGCCTCGCTGGGATCGGACACGTGTCTGAACGAGCTGGTCAGCTACTGCGACAAGATCAAGCAGTCAGCGTCGGCCACGCGGCGGCGCGTGTTCGTGATCGAGACCCAGGGTGGACGGTGCGGCTACGTTGCCACGCTGGCCGGCCTCAGCATCGGGGCCAGCGCTGTGTACACGCCAGAGGAGGGCCTCAGCCTAGACATGCTCGCGACAGACGTGCGGCATCTTAAGGAGGTGTTTGCCAACGACAAGGGCCAGTCTCGGGCCGGCCGGCTGATCCTGATCAACGAGCGGACGAGCAGCGTGTACACCGCCAAGCTGGTGGCCGACATCATCCGGGAGGAGGCGCACAACCGCTTCGAGGCGCGGGACAGTATTCCAGGTCACGTGCAGCAGGGCGGCGTGCCATCAGCCATGGACCGGTGCCGGGCGGTGCGGCTGGCGATCAAGTGTATCGAGCACCTGGAGGCCTTTGGGCGCAACGCGCACAACCGCGTGAAGAAGGACCCGACGAGCGCAGCCGTGATCGGTATCAAGGCCGCCAGCGTCGTCTTCACGTCGGTCGAGGAGCTCGAGAAGACCGATACGGACTGGCCGAACCGCCGGCCGCTCGATGCCTTCTGGCTGAACATGAAGGACGTCGTCGACGTGCTGTCCGGCCGGCCACCATACCATCCACCGAAAGAGATCTTGACCGGGCTGCAGGCCAAGGACGCGAAGCGAGGCATCATTTCATAGGAAAGCAGGACAGGGTTTTACGGAGTACGGGGGGAGGAAGGAGGGCTGGGAGTTTCTCCATCCGATCTGATCTAATCATGGCTTCTTTTGTTGATGGGCATGCTTTCTTACGATACCGAGCAGGAATGTCCAAATGCTTTGTAAAAAGGGACGAGTTTTTCCCCGCCATGTCTCGGAATTGTCTGCTGTCGTGCATGGTCCCATCGCTGAGAGCTGAGCCGGTCTTTCACATAAGATGTTTACGACGTGCGACGTACGTACAGAGTAGCAACGGCTGAACAGATGTCCTTCGGCAAAACAGAAGTCGGCGCCGACGAACAGGAACGGGACAGGCCTCTGCGTGCCCTGATTGGCCAGCAGGCCTTTCTCCACGTTTTTTTTTATAGGTCCGTTTTAATATCGGGATTCGGGCCTCGGACATCGGTGGCAGCGGATTACAAACACCAAAGCACCAAGATTATATAGTCCAGCAGCAATTAACCTATTCGAGAAGGAGGGTGTGTGGATGTCCGTTTTTTTTTTTCAATAGTCGGGCCTCTACCGGCCGTTCTTGATGTTGATCTCTGTGCGCAGGCACAAAGCGAACTGAAAGGGGTTGGAATCAGCTGAGGACTGGTCTTCATCACGATCGGGGGCTTGTGTGTTAGGGCACGCCGCTGACAAAGCGCCGGTGGGCCCTCGTTTTTTTTTCTCCTGATATCGTGCTGGAATTTCGGCCGTGGCAGTTCGAGCTATCCGTATTCCCAGCACGCTCAGCCTTTCTCTAACAGCGGTGGGTCGGGTTATGCTCGGGATCCATTCATTCCGGAATCCGCTCCGTCGTGACAGCACAAGAAAATCGGCTTGCCAATGGAGCTAGCATGCAGATACACGTATATACGGATATACGTGTGGTAGCAACGGCACACCAACTCGTCAGATGGACGCCATGTACGAGTTCCCCAGACAGGGTCAGACGACCTGTCCTGCACGCCTGTCTCACGCGCCATCGCCCGGCTGCTCAGAAGGCCGTCCGGGGCGGGAAACAAATCGAGTCCGACGGGCTGGGAACGCGAGGGGTGCGTGTGTGTGACGCGTGGCGCAGACTTGTACATAGTAGCCTGGGGGGTGGTCATCCCCCCCCCCCCCCTGGAATGCTTAAATGCCGACCTCCTCGATACAGCGCTTGCAAAGTGTGCGAAGCGCTGCTAGTCCGTACGGCGCATCTCGATGTCGCGATGGTATGTATCTTATGATACGACAGCCCAGCCTCTGCTGGCACACCTGAGCCGTTAACCCCTAACTCCAGCTGCAGAATGCAACGTCAGTCCTGGGCCGCCAATCAGACCGGCGCGGAGAGTATTTGAGAGGGGTCCAAAGTAGGTTCGCCCGCCCTGCTTCGACCTAGTACTCATACGGAGTACATGCTCATACATATACGAGTCCATGCTATCGGCGGAGGAGACCATCCCCAGTCTCTCGCCCCCGCGGCTGGCCAATTCCAGCGTGGGCTGGCCTGCAGAAAATAGGAAATAGAAAATAGAAAATAGAAAAAGAAGCCAAACGCAAACATTGCAGGTCGAGTCGACGCAGGTGAGGCTTATATCTGTACGGGTACTAGACAAACGATATCCTACTATGTAGTAAAAATCCTAGGGCCTGAAACAGCAGGCACAGGTCCTGCCCGTTTTGCCGTTTTGGACGGCCCCCACCGTTTCAGCACAGACAGAAATGCCGGATGGTTTGCGCGCATGGCCAAGCGATTCATGGCTGTTAGTGCTCGGCAAAGAGGAATTCCGCATCATTTCGGTTTGCGCAGCCCACTCGACCTGATCCGACAGGCACTACCGAAAATCCGAACCAGCGATGGCAAGAAGGTTGTTCTTCCTTCTCCCTTCCTCCTCGTTGATCACGTAAAGTCCCCGGTGGACCAGAGCATTATTAAGGAAGTGGGGGGATTTGTCTGGCTTACCAAGCTCCCGCCCACGAGTTTGCACCTTTGGTGCCCGATCGTCCTTAAACGTGGCGCATACTATGTAACGGCCCGTTCGTTTTTTTTCTTCTGTAAAAACCCCTGCCCTACCTGTATCCTTTACGAGTAGTGCCGTGCTATGTGGTATCTTACCGTATGGGATGTCAGAGACGAGTGATGCAGCGACATCTTACGAAGAGGAACAGGGCGTTCTCCAGACCGCCTTTCGTGTGTGTACTCGTAGTACTATGTAGCATCTTGCTCGTCGGGCACTCGGCGCAACGTCTGGGCGGATGACGGAGAGCCAAGGATAATCAGTGGCGTCTGAAGCACACAACATTTCGTAACCTAGCTTGGCCTTCTTTGTATCGTCATGGAGCGTTTTTAGCCTTATCTCCGCAGCGGGAAGAAGAATTGGTCATCGGGAAATCTGACTCTCCGTTGTTGTGGAATCTGTGGGATAGTCTTACGAGAAATCGGACTTGGATTGGAATTGCCGACAGGCTCAAGGCGGTGGGCAGAAAGTTGGTAAGGAGGGCTCTCAAGGGGGTGATGCTCGTACTGAGAAGCTGCTGTTTGTCACCCAACACGCAGGCAGGCAGCAACGACGAGACTGTCCAAGGGCGTGCGGGTACGAGGACGGCCAAGGGCCAAAGGTAATGCGTATCTTAAGATACTTGTACAGTGTATACGGGTACGGAGCAAAAAGATGCTTCGTGAACACCGTCTGACAAAAGCCGAGCCAACGAGACGCAGCAGTTCTACCCGTAGACTCTTCGTACATGAAATCAAACTTTGTACAGACACAGTAAAGTCGGCCTTTGGGGTGGGGTGGGGATATTAAGATACTTCCAGAACAGGCTAGTCTGGCCCAAGCAGACGCGGAAAACGATCTCACCTGTATAAAAAGATACTGTGAAATACGGAGTACTTGGCACAAGCAGTAAGACCCCCTGGTCCTACATTGCTTCTTTGGGGTTTCGCTTCTCGCCGCTCTTGTTTCCAAATGGCGCGCTCTGGTAAGATATCTTAATTCCCCGTGTTGCAGACTTGTGCAGGCCCGTCGTTACATCTGGAACGGTCGTCCTCCCCAATCTCCCCGCATGCCTCGCATAGGCTTTCTGATGATCATCACCTGATGCTGTTTAACGCTGAGAAGCCGTCTTGATTGGACAAGGCCAGCCTGCTAGCCTGCTAGCAATCACCGCTCGTCTTGGTTTGATTACAGCCTCTTAGCGAATCTGTTTACGGGTCTGCTTTCGGTGTCTGGTTGGCTTGTATTATGCTGCCAAAAAGTTCCGTGATGGCCAAAATGCCCAACTCCCTGTAAACAGCGTTTGGTGGAAAGTACAGCCACATTGACACCACCATTCCAAGACTTCCGCCCTGCCAGCCCCTCTAATTCAAGCCCGGCTGTCAAGAAATCAATGCCCATATACTAAGCGCCTCTAATTTTGTCTCCTGCTCTGTTGCCTGGTCGTAAAATGCGAAATGAATGGTAGAATGCCCGGAACACCTCCCCCCAGCCACCCTTCAAAACTCCAGTCTCATGCCGAAATCCAGATTATTTTCAATGGTTTCGGTCTATTCGTATCTGGTGCTTGCAGTGTACGGTCTCATGTCCGTTCCTACATCAGCACATCGTCGTAGCCGCCGGAGAAGATCATCGGGTCGCCCATCCCCAACATCGCCTCGGGATTTGGGCAGGACAGCACATGAGGCTTGATGGTGCCAAAGTTGGACTCGACCAGTCCCTGGCGCAACATGTCGACGCCAAAGTAGGATGTCGGTGAGGCCATGTAGGGCATGGCTGTCGCCAAGGCCGATGGAACAGACAGCGATAGTGGTGACTGTGTGGTCGCGCTTTGTTGTCGCTGCTGAAGCGAGCGCTTCTGTCGTTGGCGCTGCTGTTGCAGTTTCTGCATTTGCTGCTGTGCCTGCTGTTGCTGCGCCTGGGCCTGGGCCTGGGCCTGGGCCTGCTGTTCCTGCATCTGGGCCTGCGGTTGCTGTTGCTGCTGCTGCTGTTGCTGTTGCTGTTGCTGCTGCTGGAGAGTCTGAGCACTCAAGTCCAGCGAAGTCCGGCCGCCGATCCAGTTGTTGAATTGGGCCGTTTGTAATGTCGGAGAGGGTGCGACGAACCCATCAGACTGGGTGGACACGGCATCGAAGTCGTTGAAGGAGAGACTCTGGGGCGACATGGTCGTGCTGGCGCTGTTGACGCTGCTGTCGTTGCCATTGCCGAAGACATTCTTGCGGTAGTCGTCCATGTCCGAGAAGGTGTCCAGCTCTTCGGAAGAGCTCGCACGGTCGAAACGGCCAAGGCCGGCCATATCGAATCCACCGCCACCGGCCACCATGGCGGCAGGGGCAGAGCCAGGCACTGCAATGGGGACGGCGGATGTCTGCGAGCGGATCTGGGCCTGGGCTTGTTGTGCCTCGACCTGAGCTTGAGCCTGGGCGGCGGCAGCCTGGACGGCCTGCTCGGTCTCCCGCTGCTTGTGTTGCTCCTCGAGCTGGGCGGCGAGCTCGGCCAGGTCAGACTCGTCCTCGGGGAAAACCGAGGTGCCCATTGGCAGGTCCGGATCGTTGTTGGGGCGGATGCAACCGAGCTTGGCAGCGATGCTGTGAATCACCGGCTGGCCACGCTCGTTGAGCTCGGGCTCGCCGAGATCCCAGGTCTGGGCAGCGCGAACCATGCTGTAGAGCTTGTGCACGGTGGCTACTAATGCGAACTGTGTGTTCTCCAGAACTTCGGCATATCTGATTCCAGTGGGAGGCCGTCGTCAGCTCGCGTCCCCGAGAGGGAAGAGGGGCGATGGAGGCCAAGATGCTTACCCTTTCGGCAATTGCTTGTATTCTGTCTTCTTGCGCGTGCCAGCGGTACAGACCAGGCCGTCATCCTTACACCTCTTGCAGGGAAACTCTCCGTCACACTGCACCAGTCAGCACGCTGGACAAAACAGCAGCAGCAGAACCTCGTGACGGACCTTTGTCTTCTTCATACGACAACGCTCGCAGGCCTTCCATACGCGCTTGTGGCGACCGTCGCTGTCGTGATGGGGCGAGCCATGATGGCTGGAGGTGGAGTGGTGGGAGTGAGAGTGGGATGTCGACGGGGCGGTGGCCGATCGCTTTGATGCCCGGTGGCTGTTGTGGTGGGGGGTGTGGCCATTGATCGAGCTGGTTGGGGTGCCGGTATTGCTGCTGTTGCCATTGCCGCTCTTGGCAGAACGGACAGCAGAGGCCAGCGAGGAGGACGTGGACGACGGGCTTTTGCGCGAGACAGGCTGCGGCCGCGAACTGTGGTCGTCGTACGGAGGAGTTGGTATGCTTGTTTCCATAGCTGGCGGCTCTTGTTTTAGCATGGCATTAACGAGGTCGAGGTGGCGGCTTTTATTATTGTGTCATGCAGTGGTGCGGTAGGTGCGTGTAAGTGGACGGCGTAACCAATGCCAGCAGGACTACCACGACACCAATCCAAGAGAGAAGCCCGGGAACAGAACGAAACAGATGTCTAAATCGTGAACACAAAAGGACAGGAAGACGAGGACGTGAGGGGGGAGGGGGTAGGAGTGGAAGGGGAAGGGGGAAGCAGCGACTGGACGGCGAGGGCAGAGATATTATAAAGGCCAGGGAAGGTACGAGGGTACTCGTACGAACGTCACAGCAAGCAGGCCAGAAAAAAATCCCCATAAATCATACATAAATCAGGAATTAAGAGAAATGTGCTAGAAAAAAAGACGACTTGGGCGTGCGACTAAGTCGACTGCACGCCCCCCTTCTCGTCCCAGGACGCGAGGACGCTAAGACGGACGGTCACTTGGGTCGAGGAGCAACCGTTAGGCCTTCGGCTTCCTGGCCAGGGAGAATAAGCAGTGTGCATGACCATTAGTAATCGCCCCAGGGCCGGTGTACCAGTAAGCCGGTTTGCGGATTGGCAGAAGACGCTGCGAGCTGTGCTTGCTGGGAGATGGGAATTCGCCGGGCTCGTTTCGGGGGACTCAGCGCTTAATCAGCGCGCTGCTGTGGGATGTTGCTGAGAGCACGGGAGTTTTCCTGAAGCAATGCATAACAATGCTGGCAGCAGAGCGAGAAACGGAGAAGCCAGATCGGGAAGTCCGTTTTGCAGACTAGGCAGGGTGTGGGTCTATTATTGACAATCGATTTAGGGCGTTGGACCAGCCAGATGGACCTGGTCAGGACGGAACGTGCGAGAAGGACGGGAACTCTCCAGGCCCGGCACACCTTATCGGTCGGTCTGTTGTTTATGTCCGAAGCGCGGACCAACGAGAATGCATTGCCCCCGTCGTCCGGACGGAGTACGAGCAGTTCGCATCTTGCCTGCTCTGTACGGAGTACTTACGATACTCGTAGGCAACTCGAAGCCGTCTCTGACATGGAGCCTCCTGCTTCTGCGGTCCCTGGCCTGCGGTCCCTGGCCTGCGAGGCTGTGTCAGCTCTGACATCCCGACTCGCCAGTGAATCAGCAACACAAGTAGCGGTATTCCCGCGCCAATCATGGCCACAGCCGTTCGACTGTCCTCTTCCACAGCTTGAGTAAGCCGGCGGCGTGCACCAGCTCGCGACATGGTCTTTCTTTGCAAGTAAGATGCATTCATAATGCCCTAATACGTGCATGCAGTGGCTCCTAGGATCGGCAAACAGCTGGGCAATCGAATCAACCGCCGTCGTTGAGACACTGCGGCACCGAAGAGAGACTCCATCGCACCGCACAGCGCGCACTTTACTGAGTACGATACTGCTGCCCGCTAATGGAGAAGGGGATACGGCGCTAGTGTCGCCGTTCTCCGTTCAAGCCCCCCTTATTCTTCTGCTAAGTGACTGTGTATGGCTGTGGTTCCCCAACCTCGCCCTTCGCGCCTTCGCGCTGGTGGCCTGATGACGGCCGGGGGTTAGAGGGGGACCACCACAGAGCGGGATGGTGTCCAGCAAAAAAGAAAGACGAAAAAAAAAAGACAGACGAAAAAGAAAGCCGCCCCCGCATGGGAACTCGTGCGAGGCGAGCAAACAGGCCGAATCGAATGCAGCGCAACCCCCCTCCTCCCCCAAATGTTACATAGCAAGAGAAAGAGAGTGAGAAAAAGCTTGTATCAGCATCTTGCAGTTTCGTCCAGGGGTTTGTGCGAGTCAGGTGGTGCCACGGCTGCAAGACACTGAATAAGCTTTGTGTACCATTAGTGGCCACATGCATATAAGTGCGGTATCTTACGTGGTTGTGTCCCTGTGTTCTCTTACATAGTACTCCGTACGATATAGGATTGCCCGTACGGGCTTCAGCCACGGTCCTTCACCGCATCTTGGCCTGCCGGGACAACACATTGCTCCCTCACGTCGTGGCTGCTGAGGACCCTGCACGCAAGCCATTATGCTGTCCCCGGCCCCCCCCCCCCCCCCGTCGTGCGCAGCCAAGAGGGCGGCGATGCGGTTTCGTGGTCAGCATCGCATCGTCTCGTACTCGTATTTCCAGAATCCCATGTTTTATTCCCATCTCTGCAAATATGCACTCCACAGAGCAGTCTTTTCGGAGTCGGAATTTCAACCGGATGGCCACCAATCCGGTCCACTTTAAACTGCGGGAATACACCGTTTACCTGCACCACTCAGTTCTTGCAGCCCGTCTTGGCGACGGAGGTCGACAGGAATGGTCCTGAAAGGAACGGAGATGGAATAAGGGGCTTTAGGGGGAAGGAGTCCTTTCCCCCAGCGGCATGGTGCAAGAAAGGCATCGAGATTGCTCTTAATGCCTCGGTACGGAGCATGTGTGGGCCGCATATTTTGTGCATACTCGCTTCTGAGCCCTACTCGTACGGAGTATTACTCGAAAGAATGTTGCTATTATCTTACTACTCCGTATGTATCGTGCTTGCCCATTACGCCTGTTTTCACGTAACGGAACGCCCCTGATAGCAGGGTCAGTGTGGGATTATGGAGACGATGGTTGCCCAACAATAAAGCAAATTAAAGCTTCGAAGTTCGAGAACATTTCGCCTCGCGCCTTGGCGATGAGAGCGAGGCAAAAAACAAATCGCAGGTACCGCAGAATAGACGCTACCAAAGGCATGACCTCTGCGGCAAGGCTACACGCCGACCACAGCAGGTAAGTCGGTGGCAGGCGGTGTGCTACGCGACAACTGTTGGGACATGGCTCAACGTCGCTATCAGCCCTGTATGAGCAGTATATCCGTGATATCCCGCAAAGAGGGGGGCCTCATGACCACAAGAGCGCTTATGTAGGACCAACGTCTCTCCTTTCGCTGCTCCGCGCTCGTCACTTCCTGCCGAAGCCAGGCACGCCGTCATATCTGATGATCGAATCTTGGCTGGCGCCGCGAGCCTGGAAATACGAGTACTTGTTCCCAAGATCTCGATGAAACCAGCCGGTCTGATATTCTGATAGATGAGCAACACCACCCTACCCGCAGAGAGCCAAGCTTCGTGCGAGGACGAGATCGTACCTCTGCCACGCTCTGTCTTCTCCCTTTGTTAACATCTTGATATCACAACATGGCTGCCTGCCACTTCCGCTTTAGGCTGTCTCCAACACGTCTTCCCAAGCGCTCCATCTGCGCCCTCTCTGGGCATCGTGACGAGGGCAGAGCCGGTTGCAGAGCATGCGTCTGGACCCTTCAGATTCGTCTTTACCAAACACGCGGCCCGACAGCCCAAGGTGCGATGGCGATGAATGCTAGGCCGGCATGCACACTTGCAAGTGCAAGTGTCATGGCCCTAGTCCGCATCCAGACTTCTCCACTGCACATCGAGCTGAGGAAAGCGCGAAGCCGCGAGTTTTTGTGGGAAGCTTTTGTCCATGCCGTTATGTAATCGTTGGACCTGTCTGTGGTATCTTACTATGTACGACGTAGGATTTTATGTGCCTTTACTCCGTATTACACCCACGCCTCCTGTTTTTAGCTTACGCCCATCCCTGCCGTCTCGACAGCGGCTTCCAACAATATTGCAAGGTGGATTACCAGACCTTGGACGAGGACAGAACATAATCACAGGAGCAACAAGGACGACAGCATCGTTCCACATCACCGTGGCCGAGCGGGGACGGTCCGCCAGCCAACAACCACGTCAACGGCCACCAGCACCAGCAGAAAATGCACACACCCGAATGTGAGCAGTATATAATATTGCTGAAAGCGACGCTGGATAAGGCAAGACGGCAAGACCTAATTTTGCGTCTTCCTAAACAAAAAAAGACGCCAGGGCGGAAACGATTCCTGACGGTAGGAGCCTCAGACTGGTGACGGTCACGAGGTTACAGATGGCTTCTGATGCCACAGCCGGTCTTGGTGCTGATGGAGACCGCGTTCCAGAAACGCCGAAGAAGCCAAACATGATCGATACCTAAGCTGGGCGTTGCGCTGTACTGAGACAGCCCAATTTCAGATCTCATCCGCTACAGGTTCTTGACGTCGTCCGGAGATGCTTATTCGAACGAAACATTGAAGCTGCAGTTGCTTACTCGGTGCTTGACGATTATATCAACGAATACGTGGGGTACTCCATTTTGCTGCTCATACTCGTACAGGCAAGATCGGCCTTTTGCTTATAGAAAAACCCCGGAGACCAGGTGGAGGGATGGTTGGGGTGGTGGTGGTGGCCAATTTGAGCACCTTCCCTGGCAGCCAGAGAACTTTTTCAGTCCACTTTTGAGTGCTGCGATGCAGAACTCGAACGAGGCGCATGCTCATTTGTGTGTTGTTTGTCCAAATGCCATTTCACGCCCCCGTAGCGAAGATCGCATTCCACATCGGCCACACAGACCGGGCTGGCAATTTCTCGAAAGTCTCCGTCGATCAAGACGTGCGATCTGAACGAAGAACCAGACAAAAAAAAGAAACAAAGAATCAGAGGAACGGCAGGGATGAAAAGTCCGTCCTGGCACCGCTCTTCATAGCTCGATGTGATCCAGGCGCGCGCCCTCGACAGTAAACCCAGATGCGTGATCTCAATCTTGCGAGGCGTAAAGAAACAGAGTTCGGTATTCACCGTACTATGGAGCGAAACCAAACCGCACCAGAGCCTGCGCACGTATCTTACATAGCAAAGCGGGCAGCTGTCTCAAGCGCTGGCGGCATACAGTAAGGCACCGGCTACCCGCTAGTCTTGGGGATTACATTGCTGTCTCTGACATATCATCTCTCATTCTTAGATAGATGCACCCCATAATCGGCAATACGGCCAAAACGTAGATGGGGGATACGTTGCCGAAGGCAGTCTGCCGTATGAGACTGGGGAGTAGATTAGACTGTCTCATATCTGCTTGTCTTGACGGAAGCCCGGGCAATCACTCGTTCAAACATCGTGATGTCGCATTTCTCTCGCTAAGGACCAGCTCCACTTGGTTGAGATTTGGCAGTTAAGGGCATGTGCATACGTCTTTCCCCAGAGTTGGCAACACAACAAATGATAGCATGTAGTGCGGATACAGCATGTCGTGAAGCCGTAATGAGGGTCCAGGCAGTCAATTAAAACTGCGCGAGAACACGCGAGAAACTGAGCGAAACGTACCATGCATAATACTGTACGGCCGATATCCCATGAATAAGCAGAACGCAGCAACAACGCGATTGGGGAAGACACCACTCTAGTCAGGCAATCTACGTTTTGTAAGTAATAATGGAGCGCACGTTGTGCAGAAAAGTTGTGTATTGCCTGCAATGCAGACCACCCGTTCCCTTCGACCCCCCCCCCCAAAACAAGAGTTACGTGACAGTCACTTTTTCTTCGTTCATCAGATTAAGATAAGGAAAATTTCACATTGGATATCAGCGTCGTGAGAGAAAAGGTGAGAGATGTACAGAAAACAGTCGGAGCGACAGCCGTCGCCATACATGAGCCGAGAAGGCCAATCATAACCCACCAGCCCAGACAGCAAACAAGCATCAGTCGACCAGACGTTTGGCCAGTGGCCCCATCCTCCTCAACAAAACGGCGAAGTCGTCTATTTCTTGGCAGCCTTGGCAGCCGACTTGGTGACCTTGGCGGCACCAGCAGCGGCCTTCTCGACGGACTTGATGACACCGACGGCAACGGTCTGGCGCATGTCACGGACGGCGAAGCGGCCCAGGGGCGGGTAGTCGGTGAAGGCCTCAACGCACATGGGCTTGGAGGGCACCAGCTTGACGATGGCGGCGTCACCAGACTTGATGAACTTGGGGTTGTTCTCAACCGACTTGCCGGTACGGCGGTCGATCTTCTCAAGGATCTCGGCGAACTTGCACGCAATGTGGGCAGTGTGGCAGTCCAGAACCGGGGCGTAACCGGCACCGACCTGACCGGGGTGGTTCAGGACAATGACCTGAGCGTTGAACGAGGCAGCGCCCATGGGCGGGTCGTTCTTGCTGTCACCGGCGACGTTACCACGACGGATCTCCTTGACGGAGACGTTCTTGACGTTGAAGCCGACGTTGTCACCGGGGACACCCTCGGTAAGCTGCTCGTGGTGCATCTCGACGGACTTGACTTCCGTGGTGACGTTGGAGGGAGCGAAGGTGACGACCATACCGGGCTTGATGATGCCCGTCTCGATACGGCCGACCGGGACTGTGCCGATACCGCCAATCTTGTAGACGTCCTGGAGGGGCAGACGCAGGGGCTTGTCGGTGGGGCGCTTGGGCATCTCGACAGCATCGATGGCCTCAAGCAGAGTCTTGCCGGTGACCTTGCCGCTCTTGCCCTCCTTCTCCCAGCCCTTGTACCAGGGGCAGTTGGTGGAGGCAGCCAGCATGTTGTCGCCGTTGAAGCCGGAGATGGGCACAAAGGCAACGGTCTTGGGGTTGTAGCCGACCTTCTTGATGAAGTTGGAGGTCTCCTTGATGATCTCCTGGTAACGGGCCTCAGACCACTTGGTGGTGTCCATCTTGTTGATGGCGACAATGAGCTGCCGGACACCAAGGGTGTAGGCCAGCAGGGCGTGCTCGCGGGTCTGGCCATCCTTGGAGATACCAGCCTCGAACTCACCCGTACCAGCAGCAATGATCAGGATAGCGCAGTCGGCCTGCGACGTGCCCGTGATCATGTTCTTGATGAAGTCACGGTGACCGGGAGCGTCAATGACGGTGACGTAGTACTTGGGGGTCTCGAACTTCCAAAGAGCGATATCGATGGTGATACCGCGCTCACGCTCGGCCTTGAGCTTGTCAAGAACCCATGCGTACTTGAAGGAGCCCTTGCCCAGCTCAGCGGCTTCCTGGTTTGGGTGTTAGCGGCAAATCTAAATGCAAGCAGGTGGGGATGAGATGGCGTAAATAGAGTATGGGGTTGGGTTGGATCTGGTTGTGGTCCGTGCACCAAGATGATTGTGCTTGGAACCTGACCGCCCAAAAAATTTTCAGGGTCCACAAGGCAGAAAGACAGGGAAGAGGATTTGCCCCTCCAACCCCACATTCTGATAATGAGAAAAAGGAAGTGGACGTGTCGTGTGCAGTAGGGTAAGGTAGGGTAGATGCGAGCAAGAGGGAAAAAACGAACCTTCTCGAACTTCTCGATGGTACGCTTGTCGATACCACCGCACTGGTAGATCAGATGACCGGTAGTCGTAGACTTGCCGGAGTCGACGTGGCCGATGACCACGACCTGTAGAAAGAGAGTTAGGAAAGAGTCGCAGGTATGATATTGCAAGCCCAAGCTCGATGCTTTCGAGTTGGACGAAAGGCAGCGACGAGCAGAGCGTTAATGGACGGCGGATCGATATGATCGTAAACTTACGTTGATATGCGGCTTCTCCTCCTTACTGTAGACATATGTGGTTAGCATGAGCAATAGCTGGCGGATTGGGCTCGGATCAGGCAGCCTCGATTCCTGAAGGCGAGGACCAAAGGGACGATGAAGATGCTGCTGATGAACGAGAGGGGCAACGGGTGAAGAATAGAACATACCCCATTTTGACGGATTGATGTGCGTTTTTGTTTTATTTTGGTATATCGCGAATGGATACTGTTGGGGCGGTTAGAAAATCAAGGATCGACGAGAGATTGAGACCGGAGGCCGTGGTGCGGACGCCTGCGACGATGCGGACGATGAAGAAGAGGATGAAGGCGATGTAGAGAAGAAGGAGGTTCGACGGAGATACTCACTGAAATTGGCAGATCAGAATGCTTGATTCAGGGTGTGCCGACGAGGAGAGAAGGAGGAAAAAAAGGTTGAAAGACAAAGTGCGTGGAGGGGTTTTTATGGAGGGGGATGGCAGGAGAGGAGAAAAAAAAAAAGCGAGAGTGTAAGAGAGAAGGCGGGGCTGCGGTTGGTTGCCAGGGCTCAAAGCCCCACAAGGGAAAAAAGTGAAAACAGACTAAAAAAATTTTGTGGCCTGCCGTAATTTTCGCCTCTTGCCTATTATTTTGCCCCTCAATGGAGAGGAAAGCGGTGGCTACCCCTCCAAGCGCGGGTTTCCTTTACGACGTACCAATGTGGCAGGAAGCTTGACGAGCAGGGAAGGAGCAGAGCAAGCTGCAGGCAACCACGGCGGCGTGCTGTTTAAGCAACGACACACCGCCACCGGTTGACAGAGGCGATATTGGCATTAATGATAAGTGATAGTGGCATATCTACACTCAGCAGTGGCACACTTGCGTTTACGGCTAACCGGTCTATGTCTGTCTTCCAGAGACGCTCTGCCATCGGCTTGATCTCCTATTATCGTATCTTACAAAAAAGTCTACATGCTAGCTGCGACCCTCTTGCGGGTTCCACCCGCGTAAATCCTCAGCTCCACAGGACGATACGTAACTCGTGCAAGTACGGGAGTTTGAGTGTTCTAAGCGCCGCCAAATGTGGAAACTGTTCTGTTAGGCTCCTGCTTGGGCAAGGATAGATGCTGCCCCTCGTTTTGCCCTCGGCCTCGTTTGTCTTCATGCCTTGGGCAGCGACCAAGTCGCCGGCATGAGTCACTGGGCAGCTTCTTGACGAATGTTGCCTTCCTGACTGTGCGGTGTTGCTATTCGAAGTTCGTTGGACGTGGTTGGAAGTGTGTTTGCAATGAGAACTCGTTGCAATGCATCTATCTACTCCGGACTCCGGACTCCGTATTCTCTTCTATCGTGGGTTGGAGATGCTTCTAAATCGTCCCAGACCTTTCACCTCTTTCGTAATCGCTCGTACTTGCTCGTATTCACTCTGACCCTCACGACTCCCGACCCGGTATCAGCCAGTGGATTGTGTCGCTGTGGACGAGCCGGCCGACGGCATGGCGAAAGGCCGTCTTGCTGAGGTCCCCGCCAGTGGCGAGAGTGACCCCGGACACCCCAGACTCCGTCCCCGCAGGCGTTGCGTCCAGTGTGAGGGCTGTGTGGCGGCCGCCACCACGCCCGGCGTCGACGCTGGTCAGGGCGAGCGTCCAGCCCTCAAAGGCGGTGGCGACGCGGCGGCGCACCTCGAGCCCGGCAAAGACGTAGTCGACGGCGATGGTCTGGTGGCGCCTGCGCGGCTGTTCGCGCAGCCTGGCCCCGTCGCCGACCGGAAGCAGCACGCGTGCCGGCAGGCCGAGGCCGGACAGCCGTGCCGGTGTCGATAGCGGCAGCGGCTGGCCAGACGGGCCCAGCTGGCCCAGCCGTGCCTGTGCGAGAAAGGCGCGTAGCGGGTCGAGGGCCGGATCGGCGGCGATGTCGGCGGCCGGCAGCGCAAAGAAGCGCTTCTGCGTGATGCGCACGTCCACAGGCTGTGTCGGGAAGAGCACGTCGCTCGTGTGGGCGGCCATGACCGTGTGCAGGGCGGCCAGGACCGGCCGGCCGTCTGAGATGTCCAGGTAGACCTCCAGAGGGGGGGCACAGTCAGCTAGGGCTGTGTTGGGCTGCGGCTGGAAGAGCAGCAGGAGCGTGGTCGTAGTGGTGGTGGTGGTGGTGTCAATCAGCGGCTCATCGGCCAGATTGAGTCCCAGCAGAGGCGGCGCTACCGGAGTCAAGATCCGTTCCAGGCCTTGAAGCGCAGTGGCCGGACTGGCCATGTCAGACAGGGTGCTGGTCTTGTCTGCGGACGGCGGGCTGTGGAGGACGCGACCGAAGGTAGCGACGGTGGAAGTGCGGATGAGACGATACCACCTTTGGCTGTGGTCGTCTTCGGCGTCTGCATCTGCGCCTGCATTTGCGCCTGTATCGGTCGTGGCCGTGGCCGTATGGGGGGAGACAAACTCAAAGGGCATCGAGTGGGCGCCGGGCAGCTGGACGGGCAGCCGAGTGCGCGCAGCCGATGCGTCGGCCAGAAAGGGTTCGACCAGACGGGCCCAGTTGCGGTGGCGATAGGGCCAGGACCAGGTGTCACGGCTGAAGCTATCGAACTCGGCGAGCAGGCGAGCTTTTGTGCGCTTGAGGGGTTCGTAGTCCAGCTCGGTCGTCTGGGGCAGGGTGGAGGTGCCAAAAGCTGTGAGCAGAAACCGGTGTACCCTGTCTCCGGTATCTTCGAGATGGTGGTCGTGGTCATGGTCTTGGGCGATCCAGCTGACCAGTACTTCGTCCTCATCCGCACTCAGCCGCACCCAGCTCTCAGTCATGGCACCGACGGCCCTCAGCATGTGAGCATCAAGAGCACCGACAACACGCGTGTCTGCCACGTCAGCCAGGCGAAAGGCGCGCGTGGTGGCGCGGGCCAGCATGCAGTCAATGTCGGCCAGGATGGCGTCGGCCGTGACGGCGGGGGCGGAGATGCGCAGCAGGCGCTGGCCGGGGTCTAGCTCAATGTGGCGGTGCTGGCGAGTTTGGCCACGACTGTGGCTGCGACTGCGGCTGCGACCGGTGGCAGCAGTCGTCGTCGTGACGGTCGAGTAGGCAGTCGAGATGTCGCGCAGCCACGACTGGGCACCGGCAGCCAGGAGGGCAAACTCAAGCTCGCGCACGGTGACGTCCAGCAGTCCGGGAGCGTCCATCAACTCGCGCACGGCGAGGCCCCAGCACTCGCGCATCAGCTGCACGGCCAGCCAATCCTTGCTCAGCATCGACGACGTGGTGTAGCCGCGCAGGAAAAGAGCCGAGGAGGGCGTCTTGGCCTTCAGCTCGCTGGCTGGCCCGCCCGGAACCCACGGCAGCTGCTGCACTGCCCAGGCGTAGGCGGCTGGCCGGACAACCGGCTCGCGGTGTGCGTCAATGTACTCGCGCAGCTGTGCGACGGTGAAGCCGGCCGTCAGGCTCTCCCTTCGGCGCTGGAAGTCGGAGCGGGTCACGGTGGTCTCGTCTGTCGGCCGCAGCGCGTCAATGTGGCTGGACACCTCGTCCGACGTCGCCTTGATACCGTCCGCCAGCAGGGAGTCCCATATGTCCTCCATGTCGGACTTGGCTGCCGCCTCGTCTGACTTGGCAGGCGGCTCGCTGGAGTCTGGCAGCAGGACCGGTGTTTCGTCGTCCCTGGAGAATTTTGGCTGCACTGCGGCCTTGCTGTCGACATCCTTAGAGGCTGCATGGTGCAAGCGTCTTGGGCTTGCCACGATCACCCTCGCCTTCCAGGCCTGGGGTCTGGCAAGAGCAGCATAGCCGTTGCGGCTTGTCTGCCGAGAGAGAAGGTGGGGGGTGAGAAAGAGAGACGGCCGGCGAGGTCGTGGCGAGTGCAAGAGTCGCAGCTGGCACCGCAGACAGACGATGCCGCCGGATGGTGGCGTTTTGTATACCATGGAAGGCGGGGTGTCCTGTGGTCAACGACTATGGGTGTGGTAGAAAACGTTGTCGGCATCATGGTCGTTGAAGTTTGCAGCACTTTCCCTTTCGCGTTAGACGGGCATTGTATGCGTATAAAGGGAGTTGGTATGCATGTATCAAAAGGTGGAGACAGACGCAGAGTCACGTGCTAGTGTAAGAAGAGCATCCACTGTGTAAGCTGTCACCGGACCGGTGCAATCATCGTACGGGCGGTCCATGGAAGGCTGGACCGGACCGATTGCGCAGGAGAGCGGTAGTTAAAGGCAGGGTGCGCCGGACATGACCAGGAGACAGTTTGTCAAAAAGCCCAAACATCCACCATGGCCACAACGACGACCAGCCGGCTGCCGTTTGTGCTGGCAGACGCGAGTCTGCTGCAGACGCAGTGCTACATTGACGGTGCGTGGACGAGCAGCAGCAGCGGGGCGACGTTTGGGGTAGAGGATCCGGGAACGGGGCAGGAGTGGGCGCGCTGTGCGGACGCGGGCACGGTTGAGGTGGCGGCCGCCGTTGCGTCGAGCGCGGCAGCGTTTGGGCAGTACCGGAAGACGACGCCACGGCAGCGGGCGCAGTGGCTGATGACGTGGCAGCGGCTGATGGAGGAAGCACGCGAGGATCTGGCGACGCTGGTGGTGCACGAGACGGGCAAGCCGCGCGCCGAGGCGCTGGGCGAGCTGGCCTACGCCTGTTCCTTTCCCTGGTGGTTTGCAGGCGAGGCAGAGCGTGTGCAGGGGACCGTGAGCCAGTCAGCGACGGCGGGACGACGCGTGCTGACGCTCAAGCAGCCGATCGGCGTGGTGGCGGCGCTGGTGCCGTGGAATCTACCGGTAGCCCTGCTGGTGCGCAAGGCGAGCGGCGCGCTGGCGGCTGGCTGCACGATGGTGGCCAAACCGTCGCCTGAGACGCCGCTGAGTGCGCTGGCCATCGCCCTGCTGGCGTCGCGTGCCGGCTTTCCACCGGGCGTGCTCAACGTGGTGCCGGCCGGCCCCGAGAACACGCCGGCCGTGGCCGAGCAGCTCTGTCTGGACGAGCGGATCCGCAAGGTCACGTTTACCGGCAGCACGCGCGTCGGTCGGATCATCGAGGGTCTCTGCGCGCGTGGGCTCAAGAAGACGACGCTCGAGCTGGGCGGCAACTGCCCGCTGATCGTGTTTGACGATGCCGACGTCGACCAGGCCGTCGGTCAGCTCATGGCCCTCAAGTGGAAACACGCCGGCCAGGTCTGCGTCACGGCCAACCGCGTCTACGTCCAGCGTACTGTCTACGATCGCTTCGTCGCTGCCCTCGTCGCTGCGGCCCGTGATCAGCTGCGTGTCGGCCATGGCAGCCAGCCCGGCGTCACGCTTGGACCTGTCACGACGGCCCGCAGTCTCGCCCGGGTCGAGGCTCTCGTACAGGATGCGCTCGGCCATGGCGCCCAGACCGTTTTGGGTTCCGGGAAGCGATGGCAGGAGGACTCGACGACTGCGAATACGGGCTCCGGCTACTTTATGGACCCCACCATCCTCGCGCACGTCACCGACGATATGGAGATGAGCCAGGACGAGGTGTTTGGGCCGCTGCTCGGCGTGGCCGTCTTCGACTCCGAGGACGAGATCACGCAGCGCGCCAACAATACCAGCATGGGCCTGGCCGCCTACGTCTTCACCAAGAACGTCGATCGTCTGTGGCGGATGTTTGAGAATCTGGAGTCGGGCATGATTGGATTGGTGAGTTTTTTTGTTTTTTTCTCTCTTTTTTTCTGTTTTTTTCTCTTTCCTTTTTCTCTTTCATATTTTTTTATTTTATTCTTGTGCTTATTCTCAGAACTCTGGAAACTCGTCTGCTGCCGAGGCTCCCTTTGGTGGCTTGAAAGACAGCGGTCACGGAAAAGAGAGCGGCAAGGACGTAGCCATTGACGAATATCTGATCACGAAGACGGGTACCCTGACCGTGGACGGCCATTACTAGCTACGAATAGATGGGGTAAACTACAATAGAGATCTCATATAGACAATTCCACATGTTCCGTCGCCGGAACGCTTATCTCGCCTGTCACTCTTAGCGCTAGCCGGCATAAAGTGGGCCCAGCAACAAATATCGGCAGGTGCCATAGATAACGGAGAGTATGCCATCGAAGCAGCACAGCACCGGGAGGGAACGACTGCAGGACCGGCAGATGACAGATTACAGTCTGAATACGCACACACGCAGCCCTACAAGCGAACAGAATGAGCGGTAGGCCAGCAACCGGACCGCAGCTGGCCACGTCGCCGGGAGCGATGCCCACGGATGTGGAGGTGGAGGTGGAGATGGAGATGGAGATGGAGCAGCAGCCGCAGTCGCAGCCGCTGTTGACGGTCAGAAGCCAGGGGATGCTCGAGAGCGCGACACGACGACCGCACCGACGGCAGCGAGTGGCCGAGGAGGCACGGCGGCGAGCCGTGCGAGCCTGCACGGGCTGTCGACGACTGAAGGAGAAGTGCAACGGGCGGCAGCCATGCCAGCGATGTGTGCGCACGGGACGGACGTGCGAGTTTGCGCCAGCAGGACAGGCCGGCCCGGCGGCGCAGAAGGCGCAGCAACAGCAGCAGCAGACCAGGGGACCGATGGCTTCGGGTCGAGCTGGCGATGGAAGCCGGGGGGCCAGCAGCAATAGCACCGGCACTGGCACCGGCACCGGAACCATTGCGGCCTCGCAGACGACCACTGCTGATGAACCGATGCGGTCCAGCGAGCGGGTGCAGTACCTGGAGAAGCTGGTGGCCCATCTGCTGGGTGACGTGCCGACGGACCTCAACAACCTGCGGCGGATTCACGACCGGATCAGCAGCGCCCAGCGAGCCGGAAGCGGGCCGCGGGATGCCGTCGGTGACCTGGACGATGTCGCGCTCAAGGACGAGAACTTTACGGTCAAGACACTGACGCAGAGCACAGCGCGTGAGTTTCTCTCTTCTGTCTTGTTACGGTCACGTGACTAAACAGCAAACAGACTATTCGGGCGAGTTCTCACACTGGAACTTTTCCCAGCGGCTGCGCCAGCGGCTCGTGCAATTTCTCGGCGGCGAGCCCGGTGGCCGTCGTGAGATCCTCGAGTACTGGCGGGCGACACAGCTGCTGCCGTCACCGCGGATGGCGGTGCTGCGCGGCGCTGTCGGGGGTTGTCTACCGCCGCGTCACGTGGCCCATTTTTTGGCGCAGGTCTATTTCCGATTCGCCCAGACGAACAGCTTCTATGTCGAGGAGCGCTGGCTGCGGGCACGGCTGGCACGGCTGTACGACGCGCCGGGCGCTGTGACGAGCGGTGACGCCGCCTGGGTGTGTGCGGTGCTGATGGTGCTGGCCATCGGGACGCAGTTTGCCCACATGGCCGAGGGGCCAGGAGATGGTGCTGGCGTGCCATCCCATTCCCATTCCTATTCCCAGGCACCCCCCGACGACGTCGGCCTAACGTTCTACCACACAGCGGCACGGCTGATCCCTGATATCATCACGATCGCGTCGCTCGAGAGCGTGCAGGCCTGTCTGCTGCTGGCACACTACGCCCTCCCACTCGACACGCACGGACTCGCATACACGTATCTCGGGCTCAGCATCAAGATGGCCGTGCAGAACGGACTGCACCGGCGGTGTCCAACGCCGGCTGACGGCGGCGAGCTGGACGCCTGGACCGTCGAGACGCGCAACCGGCTCTGGTGGACGGCCTACTCGGTCGAGCGCCGCATCGGCGTCCTGCATGGCCGTCCAGCCTCCATCGCGCCCACTGAGATGGACGCCGACCTGCCACGCGATCTGCCCGGTCTGTGCTCGTCGTCGCCGCGCTTCACCAACCTGTCGGCCCTGATCGACATGACCGTGCGGTTGAGCGACATCGCCAACGCCATCGGCCTCCTCCGTCGCTGCCCCAAACCGCTGCAGCCGACCTATTTTGAGCGCATCATCGAGACCTGGCAGAAGATGCAGGCTTGGTGGGCTCTCTTGCCTCCCGACGTCCGCTGTCCTGATCCGGCTTCGCCCATGTTCCGGCCCAATGCCCACCTGAAGCTGTGCTTCCACCTCGACCAGATGTTCATCGGCCGTCCCTTTATCTTTCGTGATGGTGCCGCCGATCGCTCCGGAATTCTTGCCGCCTCGCCTGTCTCCACTGCCTCGCCTTCCCACGGCTCCTCGTCCCCGTCCTCCTCTTCAAACTCGTCTGCTCGCCCCAGCCGCCGTGCCCTCCTCGTCGACACCGCCGTTCAGGCCGCCTACGACGTCCTCGCCCTCTGCCAGCGCCTTCACGAGACCACCGGCCTCGCCGGCGCCAGCTACACCGAGTTCAGCTCCTGTCGTGCCGCCCTGCTTCTGCTGCTCGCCCAGAGCCTCAACGAGAGCCCCGATGAGTATGACCGCCGCTCCCGCGACGCCATCGCTCGCGGCTGCCGTCTCATGCGTGCCATGGCTACCGGACGCGGCAGCAGCGTGTCTACCCGCTCTGAGACTTCCGTTGTCGAGGCCCTCGAACATGCTGTCCGCCGTCTGCATGCGGAGAGGACTCAGCGCGCTGCTGCTGCTGCTGCTGCTGCTTCTTCTTCGACCAACATGGCCAGCGGTGACCCTGTCCACACAACAGCCACCGACGGCCCCCCTTTTCCTTCCGAAAGCACGCTTCCTCCCGAAGACGAACTCACCGGCAGCGTCGGCACTGGCAGAAACGGCTACGAGATGTTCTGTGCTTGGTCAGCTCTCGTCAAAAAGCCCGGGGTCGTTGCCTCGGATAGCATCACCTCCAGCGCCGTTGTCGGTCCCAACGCTGCTGCTGCTGCTTCAGACTACCGTCACCATTATTATGGCCACCATGGCGATCCCACTGTTGACCCTGTTCTCGCGTCCTTCCAGCCTGCCACTTTTGGCTGGCTGCCCGGTGTCGCGTCGTCGGCCAGCGTACCCCAACCCCCGCCCATGCTGCCCGACACGTCCTTCCTCTCGCCCTGGGACGCTGGCGGCGCTGGCAGCGATCTTGGCATGTCTGACATCATGCAGGCCTTTCCGCAGGGCATGCTGGACGTACTGGATAGCGGCTGGCCGCGGTTGGAGTGATGTGTATAAGTGGTTGCTTACTAAGCAATATCGCCTATAAAATAGCGTCATAACCTATCTTCTGCTATCGCGACTCGTATCTTTGGCTAGACGACCGGCCCGGTGCAATTCTAGCGGCCAAGTGCCTCGGAGAGCCGACTTCGGTAGAATTTTGTATTTCTGAAGTTGTGTGTATTTGTTCTGAGTATTTCTGAAGCTTTGTGCATCAATGTCAGTTCCGTCCCTAAGCCTCCTGTCCTCCTGTCCTCCTGTCCTACCCCTCCTCTCCTCCTCTCCTCCTCTTGTCTTCCCCACACCATGTCGAAAAATGTGGTCTTCGACGTGGTCGGCAGCCTGGTCTCCTACGACCACCTCTTTGACGTGATCGAGCAGCGCTTTGGCGCCGACCGGCTGCGCGCCGCCAACATCAACGCTCGCCTGCTGGGTCAGTGTTGGATCGAGACGGCCGAGCGCGAGTACACCTATCTCAGCCTGTCGGGCCGCTATGCCACCTTCTTCCGCGTCTTCGGCTCGCTCTTCTACCGCATGCTGCGCTATGCCGGCGTGGCTGACCCGCACGCCTTCGCGTCCGAGGGACGACGTCCGCTATCTCGTGGCCGAGTGGCGAAAGCTGAAGCTGCGGTCCGGTGCCGCCGAATGCATCGCCAAGCTGCGTGCTGCCGGCTTCACCGTCTGGTGTCTGACGGCGGGCGACCTGGCCCGCGTCGGCGGCTACTTTTCCCTCGCCGGCGTCGACATGCCGTCCGACAACTTGCTCTCCTGCGACAGCACCGGCGTGGCCAAGCCCGACCCGGGCGCCTACCGTCCGCTGCTCGCCCAGCTCTCTGCCACCGGCGCGACGCCCTGGTTTGCTGCTGCCCACATGTGGGATGTGTCCACGGCACGGACGATCGGGTAGGTTGTTCTTTGCTGTTCTTATCGTTTGTTTTCTTTTTTCTTGTTTCTTTTTTCCTTCCTGTTTTTTCTCCTTCCTTTTCTTTCTTCTTTTCTCTTTCTCCCTTCTCTCCTCTTTCCTCTATTTCTTCCTCTCCTTTCTGTCCCAGGACTGACCTTTAGCTTCCGTGGTGCCTACTGCACCGTGCTCGAGGCCGATCCCATGCACGACATCTTTGGCGACATGGATGTCATAGCACACACGCTGCCCGAGATGGCCGACATGATCATTGCGGCAACACCATGAGGTGGGCAGATGAGCAGACTGATTGGCTGTACAAATTTCTGCCAAGGTTCAACAGAATTCGAATCCTCCTACATAGAAGATATAGTCTGCATAACGATAATGAAAGCATGCACAAACTCGGAAGTTGCCGCTGACAAACCATGCTCCCTGCACCGGATTGGTCCGTCACACAGCCGCGCTATCACGCAGAATGGCGACTCTCCCGGGCCGGTGCCATTAGTGCTCGTTCGATGGAGTTCGGTCTCGCGAGATCTAGGCGAGCAGCTGATATAGTTGGACGGACTCTTGGCTGCAAGCTGAGCATAGATTCAACTGACTATAGCCTTTCTCTGTTCTTTCGGCTGTCGCCTTTCCTTGTCTCTACCATCTCTTCTCTTTACATCCCTTTTAACCGTCTCATTTATCTCATCCCTCTCATCCCTCTTCCAACCCCCCATGGCTCCCTCTCCACTGCCGGTCCCCGGCTCGACGACGTCCTTCTGGAGGACTGATCCGCTGCCGCTCGACAACCATCGCAGCACACCCGACCTGCCAGCCGAGGTCGATCTCGTCGTCATTGGCGCCGGTTATGCGGGCGCCTCCACCGTCCACCACATCCTCAAGACGTGCCGGGACCGCGGTCTGGCGCCACCGTCCATCGCCGTGCTCGAGGCCCGCGAAGCCTGCTCAGGCGCCACCGGCCGCAACGGCGGTCAGCTCAAGCCCGACCCCTACTATCGGCCCATTGCCATCGTGCCGACCCATGGCCTGGCCATCGCCGCCGAGTGTGCCAACTTTGAGGCTGCCCACGTGCCGGCCATCAAGCAGCTGGTCGAGGACGAGCAGATCGACTGCGACTTTGTCCTGACCCGCTGCTGTGACGTCTTTCTGGATGCCGACCACTGGACCCGCACGCGGACGGCCCTCGAGCAGCTGCGTGCCCACAGCAGCCCTGATGGCCTGCCGTCGCTGCGGGACCTCTTCGTCGTCGCCGATGCGGCCGATGCCGAGCGCCTCTCCGGCGTCAAGGGCTCCCAAGGCCTCGTCACCTACTCGGCCGGCCACGTATGGCCCTACAAGATGGTCCACGCGCTGCTCAGCAAGGCCGTCGCCCAGGGCGTCAACCTGCAGACACATACGCCCGTCATCGCTGTCGCCACGCCCGACGGCCCTGACGGCCCCGTCTTGCTCACTACGCCGCGTGGCTCTATTCGTGCTCGCCGCGTCGTCTACGCCACCAACGGCTACACCTCGTCTGTCCTGCCCGAGTTCGCCGGCCGCATCGTCCCCTCGCGCGGCATCTGCAGCCACATCGCCGTGCCCGGCACCCCGTCCGCTCAAAAGTCCCCCCCGCCTCTATCTTCTACCGTGTCGGCTACCTCGGGCCCCTTCACGCGCCCGGCTCAGCTCGCTCACTCGTACATGGTGCGCGCCAACTCTGTCGCCTACGAGTACCTCATCCCGCGTCTGGACGGCGGCATCGTCGTCGGTGGTGCCCGCTCGGTCTTCATGAACGACCTCGCCAGCTGGTACGACAACGTCCGGGACGACGAGATCATCGACAAGGCCGCCCACTACTTTGACGGCTACATGCAGCGCCACTTCTGTGGCTGGGAAAACAGCGGCGCCTACACCTCCAAAGTCTGGACAGGCAGTAAGTCTCTTGTCTTTTTTTTTCCTTTTTTTGTTTTTCCTGCCGTCTCTCTCATTCTCTTCAACTCTAACAACCAGTCATGGGATACTCCACCGATAATATGCCACACATCGGCGCCATTCCTGGCCGCCCAAACCAGTTCATCATCGCCGGCTTCACCGGCCACGGCATGCCCCAGGTCTTCCTGTCGGCAAAAGCCGTCGCCGCCATGGTCCTGGACGACGTTCCCTTTGAGGCTACCGGTGTGCCGCGTCTGTTCAAGGCCAGCCAGGAGCGGCTAGACAGCACCCGCAACCAGGTCTTGGAAATGTGGGAGAGAAACACAAAGGCGTCTGCGAATTTGTAATGAATAGGACCAAGCATTAATTAGCGTATTAGCCAGAGCATGAGACAGGCAGAAAGCCAACAGATAATATGAGCCCAGCCTCTTATAGGCATATGGGGTGAAGCTCGCGTAATGGAGTAACCGGATATGCAATTATCCGCTAGCAAGACGATCTGCCCCGCTATATCGATGAGAGCAGTTCTGATTTTCGGCTCGGACGTGAGCCAATCTGCTTTGCTATATTATTCTCCAGCACGCTTTGATCTCCTCGTTCCCACAACCGTTAGCGATCACGCAGACACAATTCACATACAGGCTTGTATTCCATTGTGAGCCTCCGCCTGCTGCCTTCAGAACTGCTGGCTGTCTCACAGCTCCCTCAACGACTCGCGTACACTTTGCTCTCCTACCACTTGCCATGCATGCCACCTTGAGTCGCCCGGCCAAGGGTTTCTGGGGCCGGAGCTTCGACGAACTACGACGCCTTACGGGAATTGGTACGTTGGCCTCCTGTCCGGCTCTGCCTCTGCTCCTGCCAGGGCTGACCAGCCTGCGCATCCACAGTCGTGCGCTTTGAGGGCATCAAAGGTCCGTCTGGCCCCTACCAGCTGCAGTCTTTCCGAGATGCCGCCTCGCTCGACGACTGCAAGATCATGACGGACGACGAGATCGGCGGCTTTTCGACAGCCCAGATCGACTGGGTGCCTTCCACCTCCTCGTCCGCGGGCTACGTCCGCTTCCACGGCTCCATCTCCACGCGCCTGCCCGACGATCGACCGGATGTGAAGCGTACCGGCTACGCCGCCTGGCGCACGGCTGACCGACTGCCCACCGTCTTTGGCCGCTCCGTCTGGAACGTTGACTCGTACGCCTACCTCGCCATGCGCGTCCGCTCCGATGGCCGCAGCTACCTGATCAACGTGCAGACCGATTCCATAGTCGCCCCGACCGACCTGCACCAGCACCGCCTGTTTGCTCGCCGCCCGGGCCAGTGGGAGACTGTCGTCGTGCCCTGGGGCGACTTTGTCCGCACGAACCACGGCTTCGTCGTCGAGCCGCAGACCGAGCTGCTGCGCCAGCGACTGCGCTCCGTCGGCCTCGGCCTCACCGACCGCGTCCCTGGCCCCTTTGAGCTCTGCATCGCCGGCCTGTGGGCTACCAACAACCCGGAGGAGGCCGAGCACGTCGAGGCCGTCCAGTTCCGCGAGGCTGAGGAGGCCCAGGAGATCCAGGAGACCCAGGAGATCCAAGAGGCCGCAGCCGGCCGTCTCAGAAACAAACACGGCCGTCCGGTGCGATGGGACTCAGCACCCCTGCCCCAGCCACAGCAGAGCGCACAGTAGGACGACGCTGGCTGAGAGACGGCTGAGCCAGGCGCTCCTCTATCTGCAAGGCAAAGCTCTACTTATAATTCAAGTCCATTGGACAGTGCTGTTACAGAACGGCAGAGGTCACGTGCTTGCTCGGAAGAGCTTGAACACGAGCAAGAGGGCAGCAAGCTGAAAATGCTCTTTGAGCCTCGACAAACTCACGAGGTCCGAGCCGAGGATCGTCCTGAAGCAGAAGTAAGGACTTGGGCCATGAGTGGCAAGCACGTAGCTGTTTGAGGGCAGTAGGTAGCTCTTAGCATCGACCATGCTAGGGCTCGTTTGGATGGCTTTACTACGGAGGCTAGCCACAGCGAACGTATGGCAGTCTTGTATCTTGTCTGTGTTCCACTTACCTGGTAGTGCCAGCTTGCAATAGATTACGGACATGAACAGCTCGTATAACCATTTTATTTCGTCTTGCTTTTCAAAAACGCCGTCATATCCCGCTGTGTTCCACGTGATCTTTTTGGTTCTAATGAGCAGAAAAGGAAAAAGGAGCAAGCCGTCATGGGAAAGGCCGCCCGAACAGCCCCAGTGATAACATCCAATGTAGCCTCGTCCACGCACACGCCTGCCATACATGCGTCTCTTTACCGCCGGTTCGTCTTGCCCATACCACGCTTGCCAGCCAGCTGTGATGATGTTAGTAGGGACACAAAATCAGGAAAAAAAGTAAATAAAACATACCAGATGCTTTGTCAATGACGGTGCAATATGCCGGTCGGCCTCGCCCTGCCGTGCGTGGCGGTTCATGTTCTTCTGGCCGAGCTGCTTGAGCTTGGCCGTCTTGACGTCGCGCTGCATCTTGGCCGCCTGCACGGCAACGGCGCCGTCGTCGACGTCCATCATCTCGTCGTCCTGCATCTCGTCTTCGTCCGCGTTGTTGCCGCCACGGCCGCGCAGCTGGTTCTTCCGGCCGGCCGCCTTGGACAGGATCGAGCGCGGGATGAGCGCGTTGTTCTTGAGCGACCGCTTGCGCAGCTTCGCGTCGTTGCGGATCAGCGCCAGCTTCTCGCGGATCTTGTCCGCCTTGGCCAGCAGGTCCTCGGCGTCCTCAAACTCCGAGTCGTCATCCGACTCGGTGTCGTAGTAGCCCTCGGCAATCAGCTTCTCCTCCTCAGCCTCCAGCTCGGCCATCTTCTGCTCAATGTCGGGGCTGTAAAAGTCGAGCACGTTCTGCCCGTTGTACACCTCCGGCATCTTGTCGTGCTGGTGCTCCGGGTCGATCCCGACGTAGTCCCGCTGCAGGTCAAAGTTGTACACACCAGGGCCGCCCTGTTCGGCCTCCAGGTCGCGCTCCAGCCGCTCCGGACGCATCCGCTCCTTGGCTGCCTCTGGCACAAATGTCTCCCGCAGCGGCAGCGCCTCCTCGTTAGCACCACCACCGGCCACCATCGGTCGCGCCACGTGAATTCGCCGCAGCAACGCCTCGCCGCGCGTGCCCACCTTGTCGACGCTGGCCGACACCGCTCCGAGCTTCTTGGCCACGCGGTCGGCAATCAGCCGGCGGCAGACCACGTCCTTGACATTGTGCAGACCGTCACCCGTGTGGCACGACGCCTCGAGCGTGTCGACCACGTGAGAGGCCGTGGCCAGCGCCTCGATCTTGGCGCGGGCTTCCGGCTCCAGGTCCTGCAGCTTCATCAGATCAGACTTGTTGCTGACCAGGTACACAGACCGCTGCGAGAATATGGGCGCCAGGCTCTTGAAGAGCGCGCACTGCGCGTCCAGCGTGTAGCCGCACTGCTCGGATGGGTCCAGGAAGAAGAGGACGGCGCAGTTCAGATGAGCCAGGGCCGAGATCGACTGCATCTCGATCGTGGTCATATCCTCGAGCGGCTTGTCCACCACGCCTGGCGTGTCAATCACCTGGAAGCGCAGGTAGTCAAAGTCGAAGTGGCCACAGAATAGGCTCTTGGTCGTGAAGGCGTACGAGTCGACCGGCGTGTCCGTACGGCTGACGCTGCGCACAAAGCTCGACTTGCCCGTGTTGGGCAGGCCGAACACAAGCAGCGTGCGGGTCGTCGGGTCGATGGACGGCAGACGGCCAATGTGCTGCCGTACCTCCTCCAGATACGCCAGCGAGTCCTTGAGCCGCCGCATCACCGTCGACATGCGGCCGAGGCCGGCCCGCTTTAGCGACTTGGCCTGGTACAGCGATTGCGCATACTTGATCAACCGCACGTAGTCACGGGCGATCGTCTCGATCGTGTTCTTGGCACCCGAGAGGTGCGAGAGTGCAATCTTGTAGTGGTCGGCATCATACAGGACGTTGAAGAGACTGCTGTCTGGACCATTGTTAGCGAGAGAACAAGCGGACGATGGGATGGAGAGCAGAGCCAAAGACCGTACAGAAAGGGTGCAGATCTGCGAGACGGGGGAAGGCCGTCAGGATCGACGTCAGCTTCTCCGAGAAGCCTTCGGCCGTGAACTTGACCTTCCGTGTGTAGAAAGCTCGAATACGGGCAATCTGGAAGCCCGCACGAATTTGCGTTGGAAGCCGGCGCTGTGTTGACGACAGCACAATGTCGACAAACTCTGCGTTTGTCGGCACTGGCGGGATATCTTTCCACGAAGTCTTCATTGTGTCTGTCGTGTCTGGTACGCTCCTGTCTCGTCGACGTTTGTCGTGGTGCAGAAAGAGCGGAGTAGACGAAAGGGAAAAGGCACGACCAGAAATTTTCCAAAAATTCTGCCGTGCAAAAAAAAAAAAAGTTGGCGGGGGACTATCTGCTAATCAGTGGGCACTTTATTTATGGGTCTTCGTGCGTCCTGCATACCAGCTGTCAGCAGCTGTCTTTCATTGGTCATTTGCATGCTAAGTACTCCGTAGTCACCGCGCACACGGCCTTCATTATGTGAATGGACGTTCCTCCCCCAATTCGGTGCTTTGGGCACAGCTGTGACTCTCATGGCCGAGCCGATTGACGAGTTTGCCGAAGATGCGGATCCGGTCATCATCCAAACGTCGACCAGCCCCGAAGTAGGACATGTCTGGACATGGGCACCGCTGTGCAGCCGTCCGTGTGCGTTTGGACCAGAGGACTTTTCCGCGGTGATGGACAATCTGATTTACAATCCGAACCAGCTCTCCTCATGGCTGTTCCGTGCCGACATTGTGTATGAAAGCGGCAAAGACATGGGCTCCGTCTCGCCAGCACCACTGCCTGTTTTTGCCGGCTTCAAACTGGCTCGCGAGAGGGTCATTGTACGGCGAATGATCCCGCGCAACACGCTCCGTGACAAACCCATGCTGCAGACATGCCTCTTCTATGAGAGTGCTGAGGCACACGATGTCGACGACACGGATAGCACGTCACACATTGGCAGCGGCGACGAGCCAGTCCGATCATCCTTGGTCATCTACCTGCCCCATGTGGACTGTGCCGCCGAGATGCCGTTCTACCATCCCATGGTCCAGGGCGTTGCATTTCTGCACCAATGGCAGTCGATGGCCAGCACTGGGACCCTGTCAATGCATTTTTCATTTTTCCCACCCGCTGCGATCCAGCCGGGTCTGGAAAAGAAGGGCAGCCATGCGATTCTGGCCCGTGTGGCCCTGAACCTCCTCAACACCGTTCACAAGCATGGCCATGGCAAGGCCAGTGGCTACGTCAAGCGCGTGCATCATGATCGTTTGGTGACGCAGGCTCGTGTGCAGGACCGCTACACCTACCTCAAGGAGAAACATGCGCGCCGACTGGTCGACTCTTGGCAGGAGACTACCGATCCAGCTAAGCACGTGTTCGAGGATCTGGCCATTTCCGCGTTCCTGATGGAGCTGTGGGCCGACATGTACGGCGACGACAGCACCGACGACACGACGACAGCCGCAACGGCGACGGTTCCGGCCAAATTCCCTGGCTTTGTCGACATTGGTTGCGGCAACGGACTGCTGGTGCATCTTCTGAACGAGGAGGGATACCACGGCTGGGGGTTTGATGCCCGCCAGCGCCGCTCGTGGAAACAGTATGGAAACGACGGTAAGATAACGACAGATGCAGAGCTCCCGCTACAGCAAGCTCTCCTTCTGCCCACCTTTCTTATCAAGCACGACAAAGACGCGCCCGTCGACGATGTCTTGGCCACACACAACGGCACGTTTCCGCGCGGCACATTCATCATCGCCAACCACGCCGACGAGCTGACGGCCTGGGCCCCTGTTCTGGCCGCGCTGTCGGACTGCCCCTTTCTGGCCATTCCCTGCTGTAGCCACAACTTTACTGGCGGAAAGTTCCGGGCACCACCACCCTCGGCAGAGAAGCAGGCGTTCCTGTCAGCCGTGTCTTTGGATGCGTCTTCCTCGTCCACCTACGCATCGTTTGTGTCCTGGGTCATGGACGTCGCGGAGGACTGCTCGTGGGAGGTGGAGCGCGAGATGTTGCGCATCCCCAGCACACGCAACGTCGGGCTGCTAGGGCGTCGACGGCGCCGCGTATCCGACAGAGACAGCCGTCCCTTTACTGTAGACCAGGCCTGGGAGGTCATCAACAAGTATGGCGGTGCATACGGTTTTGCCGACAACGTAGCCAAGCTATCTGTAGAGGGGAAGCAGGCGTCTCATTAGACATGTCCGGAAAGAGTCTGCAGGCATTGCAAGTGGTGGCATGGGGAAAATTGTTTGGGCTAGGGGCGTTTGCATACAGCACAGTCCAGTGCGGAACCACGAATGAAAATAAACACGCTCAATCCAAGTCAGGCACAGGCAAGTGGTCCACCAGCTTCATGTGTAGGCCGAGCTTCTTGAGCGACTCGACAGCGTTTTGGTCGCGCAGGTTCTCCGTCTCATCCTCTGTGACGAGCACAAACTCTTGTTTCAGCAGCCAGGAGCCTTCAGCGACTCCGTGTTCGGCGGCCGTGGCTGCATCGACCCGGTCAAGATCGATAATCAGGCTCTTCTTGACGCCGAAGACGGCATCCGACGTCTCGTACGGGTCGCCGCGAAGATAAAGTGCGCTGGCAGATTAGAAGGTGGTTCTGGTCCCAATTTTACGGAGAACAGAAATGGAGATGCCTACGTGATCAGATGATCCCAGCCCTTCTTCTCAAACATGAAGTGGACATGGGCCGGCCGCCAGCAGTGTCGGCCGAGGCGCTGGAGCAGCTTGCCGACCGGTCCATCATGGGGAATCGGGTAGGGCACAGGTTTGATTCCCTTGAACGAGAAGCGACCGTCGGGGCCGGTGACCATGACGCAGCGCTCCGACGGCTCGTTACGGTCGGCATGCTGGACGTCGTAGTGGCCGGTGCTGTCCGTCTCCCAGATGTCGACCTTGACGCCGGGCACGGGGCTGCCGTGAGGGTCGACGATGCGGCAGAGTGCCAGCAGAGGCTCGCCCTCGGGATCGGATGTCATAGAGGCGCCATTCGCCAGCGTGGGAGCATCATGCGTGTGAAACGGTCCGAGGACAGATCCCTCTGTGCAGCCAGCCGGCTTGGGGTGGTTGATGCTATCAACGAGGAGAGAGAGGCCGAGAATATCGGAGAGAAGAATAAATTCCTGTTTCGGGTGAGCAATAGACGCATCGGGGGGTGAGAAGACATACGTTGCGCACGTCGCTGCAGATCTGGCCGGTAGCGACGAGAAAGGAGATGGCCGCCATCCATTCGTCCGTGCTCAGGCGGGTCTCACGAGAAAAGTCATGCAGGTGGCTGACAAGACGGTCCATGAGGTAGCGAAGGCGGGCATCGGGCGTCTGGTCATTGATGCGGATTGTGTTTGGAGTGATGTTGTCGATGGTGAGATCGAGCAGAGAAGGGGTGCCACTGGCAGCTGCGGATTGATGCGTTCCTGACATGGCTGAACGGCTGCCAACGACGAGAGAAGAATGAGTTGTTGAAGGTTGAAGACTTTGTATCAGAGCATACGATATACGGCTCAACAGTTACAAGCCTGTTAATATATCTTGCTACAAAGGCAAGCACGACTAAGAGCTGACAAACATTCAGCTTGCCGGCCAGAATCCACTTCAACACATATAAACACGAACAAGAGGTCAGGAAGGTGCAGATCGCAGGGGCACAACGTTGTTCCCCCTCAAAAGCCGAGACGGGCAGCAATGCGGGGGATCCTAAATCATCGGTTCAGACCCCATCTAATTCTGGACTATGTAATACTCATAATTTTATGCTGTCGTTTCCATCATGCCGATTCATCATAAACGAAGAATAATCCAAACACAATCTTAAAAACACCAGACCGGTACATGCTTACAGCCGTAGCAACCAAAAAGGAAAGAGCGGAAATTCGTCTCTAGATGCACGTGACATCAAAAGAACTTCTGCCTGCAAAACAACATCATCGCCGGCCTCAGTCCAGAGGTGCTGGGGGAAATGGTGCCGGTGGAGGCAGCGCCCGTCGCTCGGAGGCATGTCGCCGGAGAGTCTCTCTTGTGGGCGTCATACGATCGGCGATGGGACCAGCAGTGGTCGGCATCATGCGCCCGCTTGACGGCACATCCGCATCCGAAAACAACAATGCTGCAGATACCGGCCTTCTGGACGGGCCTGACGTATCTGCAGCGCCGCTACTGTTGCTGCTGCTGCCAGCCAGGACACCCGGGGTGGCCCGGTGCAGGCTGCTGGACGTCGAGTGCACAGAGTGCAGCGAATTCATGCTATTCGTCCGGCTGCGGTTGTGCCTCGCAATCACCCGAGACGGGTCAAAGATCTGCGGCCCAGCAGCGCCGGAATTGTTGCCACCACTGCTGCCAAAGCCGCCAAGACCGCCGCTGTTCGCTCGTCGCCGCTTGGCCTTCTGTATCGCCATATCGCCCAGGTCGCCCAGCGTGTCCCCTTGCTCGTCGCCATCGGCCTGTCCATCGGCCATGGTCATCATAGGAGCGTGATGAACATCTTGGCCACGTTTCTTGCCCTTCTTGGGGTCACCTTCTGCGCCGTCTTCGGGTCTGCCAAAGTCCAGGTCCTCGATCTTGGGTGCTCGCCGCACCTCGATGACGCTAAAGGACGGCGGCATGGATGCCGCGCGGTGATCGGCCTCTCGACGGGCCTTGCGCTCGGCATTGCGATGTCGCTGTCCTGTCTCCGGTCGCGGCGGACGCGGCGCTCCTGTTGCACTGGCCAGCAGGGTCTCGAGGTACCGCTGGCGCACACCTGCAAACACCTCCGAGTCGAAGTCGTCCCCGTTGCGGCTGAGCGACAGCCAGGACGTGATGACGCCTGTGACCACCAGCGCCAGAACAGCCAGAAGCTGCAGCACCTGGACCACTAGGATCACGAAGCCGACCGCCGTCGCGCCGATCCGGCTGATCTTCACCTGCGGCAGCAGAAGAAAGCACAGTACTGTCACCAGGGCTCGTGCCGAGCACAGCAGCCACACGCCAAGTGCCATGTTGCGGTGGCCCTCGAATGGACGCCAATATGCATAGAGCGCCAGCATCAAGATATCCAGTAAGCACAGTGCCACCACCTGGGCTGTCGGTGGCCCGCTCGAGCCGACGTTGACGTTGTCAATGTTTGTTGCGTTGTTGTCCGCGCCGCCTCCGCCTAGTATGCAGGCACGGATCAGCTGCAGGAACAGATATACGGCCGGGAACCACCAGCAGCTTGTGCGGAACCGTGCCACCAACCAGCCGTACTGCTTGACAAAGTTTTCGTCCTGGTGCACACCCACACGTATCGGGTCTTCCGTGTTTGCTTTGCCCGTGGTGAATGGGCCGCTCTGCTCCTGCTGCTGTTGGGGGTTAACGACTTCGTTGCCCTTAGTTTTTGTAGTCGTGAACCTGGCAAAGAGCCCAGCACCCATGGTGGGACCATCGTAGTTATCTGCTGCTTTCATCTGGTCGCTTCGAAGTCGGTCCAGGACAATGCGGAGAACCAGGTACGATACTGCCACAATGTACACTACAAACACCACCGCCGCCAGTGCTGTCGGCTTTGGCGAGCTGCTGAGGGTGAACTGAAACACAGCCATCACCATGATGGGAAAGAAGGTCAGCAGCAGTGTTCGCAGTCCGATCTGCACGGCATAACGAGTGTAATGGGTGCGAAAGTACGCCATCGAATCTTGTCGAATGCAGTGCAGCTTCGCCAGGACCTCCAGCAGACTCTTCACACCCAAGAGCAGGGCTGGGAACGCCAGCGAGGCCATCACCAGCCAGAAGAGACTGAGCGTGAAGGCCGATGCTCCCGGTATTCCCAACTGAGACAGCGTGCCAGCGAAGCTCTGCCACATGCCTGGTAGTGGAACACCAGGACGGACGGGATCACCTCCCCAGGCGTAATCGTAAGGGTCGCTGGCGTTGAAGTATTTCCGGCGTGAGAGGGCCGAGGTCGTGTTGTAAGTGAGGGCTGGAATGATGTCGCGCTTGTAGACCTTTCCAGCGAGCCTCCCGCCACCGTTGTTGATAAAAGTCGACCCAGCCCCGCCAACCTGGCTAGAATTGCCTGTGACACCTGCAAAAGCACTGATCTTGTCGATGAGAGGTGTCACGTTGACCAGGCCGACTGTCCAGGCAAAGTTGCTCCACCAGGCCACCAGGATGCTCGGCCAATGCAGCGAAAGCGCACCGGTCAAGAAGATAGACTGTAGCGTTTCAACTAGAAGGAGGACAGACAGCGAATGGGCGTAGTGGGCGCGCATCAAGGGCACGGAAACGTCGTAGGCCGCGGTCATAAAAGAGGAAACAATGGCCACCGCGACAATAACCCCGACGATGGGCGCAATGATGGTCGGAAGGCTCACGGTATTGCCGTTCGTCATGGCAGCTTGGAAACAACCGATCAGAGACTGGGTCGAGTTTGCAAAGATCTGAAGACTGACATAACTGTCAAAGTCGGGAATGCCCATGGCAATCTCCGGGATCGAAGCAGTCTGTTCTTCCGTGAGAGGGAACACCGCATAGCCCATGATGGGGACGCCCGCTGTCAAGGGACAGAGACTGTGGTAGTCAGCAAAACACCTGTTGTAAAATGCAGACGGTTACGTACTGAGCCATATTCACAAAGCACGGATCAAAAGTCTGCATGTAATGGGTTGCGCCATCTAGATACGTAAGAATGGGAAGAGTTTGAAATGGGCGTAAAGGAAAACTTACAGGCCATCAACGTGATAACCACTGCGACGAGGGTCAGCAACCTTGTCTTATGCACTTGACGGAGAAGATTGGAGACTCACACATCAGAGATTCGTTGCGGACGCTGCTGGTTCCATCCAGATGAAAGAGCACCGTCATGTTGTCGGCATAATACGCAGCATCAAACTTGGTAATGTTGAACAAGCTCTGACCGCCGAGGCAGTCGCCGAAGCTGCTAGTATAGAGCGAAGGTGTACGATCGACAGCTAGTTGTCGAGTGACGCCTTTGGAGTCAACCCCCGAGATGAACACGGTTTCATGCGCCGGTCCCATGGCGGCAGCGGTGGTTGGAGAGACAGCCAGGAATAGTGCGAGGAGGAGGCCGATATAGAGAAGAGGAGAGCCATAGCCGGGACGTCGCCAGCCACGTGGCCGTAGTGGTGCGAGAAGTGACATTCTATGAGCCGAACGAAGGTTGAGGTGTTCTAGGGGCGGCGAACGGAGAGAGAAGATGGTAGAGGAGCGCAAAGCATCTTAGATTGCTTTACTGGGATGAACGCCTCATCTGGATAGAAATGACGTCCTATGTAAATATGGAAGCGATTGGATAAGCTGAAAGAGGCCTGGCGACAGAGGCAGCGAAGATTTGGGGGATCTAGTGGTAGGCTCTCGTTTTTTTGCCGAAATAAACAGGCCGTTGTCCTCCTGGCTTGGCTTGGCCCGTACCGTATTCATGTATTGAGCCGAATCCGACAGTCATCAAACAACGTGCGCGACCAGCCACCCGAGCCGGCACGACTGCTGTTAGGGCCGGGAAACAAAGAGGAAAAGGAGCGAAACGGAAGAAGGTTGAGCATTCGTAGGGCGACGTAGAGTGCGGGATCTGTATCGGAACGGTTGCAGTCAATCTGTCTGATAAGGGTGCAAACCGATGTAAGATACTAGGGATATGGCAGAGGGATGAGTTGGATAAATATGAGGTAGAAAAAGAACCCAAGCAATGATATATAACAAAGAGGACAGAGAGCAGGCTTTCGGACGAGCTTCCTCCCTTCCGTTTAAATTTTGCCTCTGCACGCAATTGATGACGATAGCAGCTTTCAAAGCAGGGACACGAGATAAAAATGACTACTCTTGCTGATAAAGTAAGCTGTCTCATTATGGACTTGGCAAGCGGCGGTGACAAGAGGGCGCCAATGCCTGCAGGTAAAGGCTGTAGTACAGAGTAGATGCGAGACACAATAGCAGATAGTCGTCCTATTGGACGCCCCGGTCGTTGCAGCAGCTGGCCCGCTTAGGAGCTAACGATGGCTGGGCCGCAGGCGTACTACGGAGTCTCTTAACTATATTTGTCAACTGTCCGGCCCCTCTGCCAGCGTTTCTAGCGTCGAGAATGGTCGATTTTGCGAGTTTAGGTATTTAAAGTTTGCTGCTGGCTAGAGCGCAATCTCGCTCTGCCAGGCCTAGACGACATGATCAAAGGTCGCTGGTGGGGTACACTAGGATACCTGCAAGCACTTTCAGATCTGTGATGTTGCTTCGGAAAGGCTGAGCTATCACATTCTTTTGTGCGCAATGCGCGATACCGAAACCCCATGTCGCAGGATGGCAAGGCACAAGGCTCTGTCGTGCCAAGACAATCAGCTTTCGGGTACTGCCTTTCGGACGTGATCCTTCTGCAGCAAGCCGGGCTATACTTCGTATCATCTCAAACCCATCCCAGCCGGTCGCTGGGCTCCTCTGTAGGTTTTAGTCCCTCCACCCCAAATAGACCCCACCAAAACAGCTGCGGCTGGCAGGGTTCCCCTCCTTCCTATTTGGTTGTCATCGCCGCAGACAGCCGGACAGCTCCATCTCTCAACTGATTTTCAACCCGTTCAACGCTGTACATTCTGCTTTTATATGCCACCGTCGATTCGCCCATCTGCAGATACCTTTATTGATCTGTATCGCAAGTCAATTCCAAGACTAGCTGTTTCATCAGCATCTCCCGCCCGCCCGTCGACTTCCTATCGTCTTGCCGCAAATTCTCGGAACACCGTTAGCTCTCATCCCCCACGACAACATCGTTCTTTCTATACCTCTATCACCATGTCGTCCATTCCCTCGATCCACGGCCACAGCGCGGTAAGTCTGGAACTGGATGCCTGCCCCAAGTTACCTCGTCCGCTTAGCTAACTGTCTGGTCGCCTTCCAGGCTTGCTGCAACATCCCCCCCATTGGTACGATGCCAATGCGCATTCTCCAAAACTGCCATGCTGCTGACTGACTGGCCAACGCCTACAGTGACGGATGGATACAAGGCCCAAGGAACATACGAAACCATCGGCGGCAAGAAGACCTGTGAGTCTCAACGGCGCCACGAACCGACATCCGCTTGGATCTCCGCACTAACACGGTACAGATACCGTTGGCCCCGATGATGCCACCAAGGCCATCGTCTACATCTTTGACATCTTCGGCTTCAAGAACCAGTCCATCCAGGGTGCCGATATCATTTCCAGCAGCGATCACCACAACAACTACAAGGTGTTCATTCCGGACTGGTTCGACGGCGAGCCGTGCTCTCTCTCCATGTGGGTGCATCCTACGGACGTTGTGATTATTTGACCAGTCTGCTGACCTCTATCGCCAGCTTCCCCCCCGACACAAAGGAAAAGAAAGAGGCGCTCGGCGCTTTCCTGACGAAGAACGCCCCGCCCAAGAACGTCGAGCCTCTACTGGCCTTTGTCAAGGTGCTGAAGGAGAAGTACCCGACCATCAAGTCGTACGGCGTGGTCGGCTTCTGTTGGGGTGGCAAGGTTGTCTCCCTCGTCACGTCCAGCGATGAGAACCCGTTCGCCGTCGGCGCTGAGGTGCATCCGGCCATGGTCGACCCCTCGGATGCGACCAAGATCAAGGTGCCGCTGATCATGCTGGCTTCCAAAGACGAGAACGCCAAGGACGTGGCCGACTTCGAGAGCAAGCTGACCGGACCGCACCACGTCGAGACCTTTGCTGACCAGATCCACGGCTGGATGGCCGCCCGGGCCGATCTGTCTATCGAGCGCAACAAGGCCGAATATTCGCGTGGCTACAAGCTCCTGGTTGAATTCTATGGCAAACACCTGAACTAGGCGACTGAGGAGACCGGAACAGTGACAGCGGCAAGCAAGCTCCACGTATATGAAAGCTACCATTTCACCAAGTTGCTAGAAGACTTGTCGAATCGAAAACGTCCCGAAGACGCGACTCGTGATACTGCCTCGTGGAACCAGTGCCATCTGTCAAGCCAAGTGCATCCGTAGAAACCCCGCATACGACGTACTGTCCAGAATGCAGTATTCTGCTACGGGCGCTGCAAGGCACCTATCCGTACCAAGTAATACGGAGTAGCATGCAAGTTCTGGAGAAACAAATGCTCCGACGCTCGTTCCCCTCTGAGCAGTGGAGTTGGTTGGGTGGTCATGGCGCAGGCCAAGACTATTGAATCGTACCAACAACGATACGACACGGTCCACGCACTATATAAAATACTGTGCTTCAACCCGGTTTTGGCTAGCTTGCTGGCCCCTTTTAACAACGACAACTTTACGAGGACGGCTTTCTACTCGTACACGTAGATTGCTCGATGCCACGGCCTCTTTTCTTTTTGCCCAAATTATTTCATTTTTGTCCTGTAGCAGCCGTCAACCGTGAGCACTGCGCAGTTCCCGCTTTGGATGGATCTGTGAGTTTCCCGCGCAGTGGATGGTTAAATACGAGTATTTGGATCTTACAAGAGGTCACTCTCCAATCTCCAGTGCCGTTGAGACTAGAGCCCAAAGAGGAGATCTAGGACAGAAAAGGGAAGAAACAAAACAAGGGGTCCCACACCAGGTTTTTTTCTTGTACTCTGTGCTCCGTCTATCATATCTTACGAGAAAGACACCTCCCCTGGCAGCCACTGCTTCCGGAGTCTCCTTATTTCTGCATCTTTCGTGTAGCCGGTGGCGAGAAAGCCAAACTATGTATACGCGGGATTAACCTGCTCGAGAATGGTGATCGCCTCTTCAGCTAAGCCGGCACCAGTGTTGATTCGGTTTCAGCGGCACACAAGAAGATATTGCAAGAGGATCAGATAGACAACCGGAGAAAACGAACCCCTGGGAAACAAGTCGGTGGGGCCTTCAAGCACTGACAGAAAGCCTGGAGGCGGCCATTCTCGGTGGTCCTTTCCCTCTTTTGCTCCCCAGCCTGTCGGCCGAGCCCCGGTTTTCCTACTTACTCTTCCAACCACCGTACGAGTTCTCCGTACGGTACTATGTACACTGCGGCTTCACTTGCGCTCTGCTCACATCTCGCCTTCCTCTGGCACATACGTCGTAGCCTCTCGGGTTCCCCTGTTTTTCCGCCGGTCGTTCATGCCACCCTCTTTCCCCCATCTCCTTGGAAGGATTACTGCCTCAGTAACTTCGCAGAAGTTTGTCCTCAGCAGCTGACTATTATACGTCCCCTCTTTCTCCATTGTAAAACCGGCCACCAGGATTGAGCAAGACCGCAACAAAGTGAGACCACTTCCAACCTGGCTGCCCGACAGAAAATAAATATACTTTGATGGGAAGCAAGTCGAGTTGAGCCCCCAAGCTATCTTACATACGACGAACGCCTCTACGCTATACCCCTGATCGCTCTCCAGGGCCCTCATTGCTCTTTTGGTCATCCGTCGTCTTGGTGCCAATCTTATTACGCGTCGTCTGCCTTTTGCAAGTCGAGATTCTCCATCAAGACCCTCTTTCATCAAACTGCAAACATCTTTCTACGTCGTACGCCTCCGACCATTCCACACGTGCCCCAGCTTTCATCCTGTCGCCGAGCCCACTGCGCCTTCAGCAAACTCCTACGCAGCACCTCGCACAGCTGCTAATTTAGAGCAAGCTACTCGGGACCCGCAAAAAACACAGCCTATTCGAACCCTCCAGTCGGTCGACACGGTGATACTCCCAAAAACATTCTCGTCGCCGGCCTGCTCCGTCGTGCTTCATCCGAAGAAATACGCACGCGACTGTTCACCCGGAGTCAAGTGCACGTCGTTTGCACGTTAGAGAATGTCAGCCGCAACTACCGGCTCAGCTACCACGACCATGGTGGCAACTAAAGCTCCCGTCAAGCGATTCGAGCTCCCGGCGCTTGATTTCAACTTTGCCTCGCTGACAGAGGGCACCGACATCCCGCCGCCACTGCCGTCGCCAGTCGAAGAAGCACCACCAAAGGTTGTCAAGGCACCGAAGGTGGCCGTGGCCGTCAAGCCCAAGCCAAAGGCAGCAGAGCCGCCGAAGAACAACACGAATGGCGTGAATGGAGTGAACACCAGCAGTAAGATCAATGGAGCCATGAACGGCGCCACCTCCACCACATGCACCACTGCAGGCCAACTGCCCACCCACTATCGCCCCAGCACCAACGGGAGCCTGAACCGCCGTGTCGATAGAGTCCCTGCGTCTCCCACGCTGTCTGCACACGCTGGAAGTATCCGGCGTCTCTTCAGCCGGAATCTCATGAACGCCGCATATGCTAACGCTGAAGCTGAAGGCCTGAAAAACACACCTAACAGCATTGACATACACCACAGCGTCGCCCGCCCGAACAGTCGAAACACCACAGGCGCGATAGACGAGCGCAAATCAAAGCGCTCGAGCGGCTGGTTCCGCCGGTTACGAGGCGGCGGTCTCACCAGCTCCAGCGATAGCATCAACGGAGACTACGCCGTGTCGAAGCGTGCCAGCATGGTGTTGGAGGAGGCGCCAAAGCCAGCAAAGCCGGCAAAGTCGCCCAGCCCGCCACCGCCGATGATTCCAGAGCTCGCAAAGCTGAAGGCCAAAGTTGAGGTCGACGATGACGGCAGTCTCGGCAGCGACCTGTTTAAAAACATCAAGTAGTTTCAGCGCTGGAGAGAACCGTCCGAGGGAACGGACCTGAAACCATCCGAACAACGCAACTGCTCCTCACTTTAGGGACGGAATGAAGCACCATGTTCGAGCTCTTAACAACACCCTTCGCGACACATTAATACACGACGTACACTTATACATCACACTCCTACAACTATACTACAAATGCAACCCTGTTGTCTCGGTACTCGGGATGGCTTGGCGCAACTACCGACATGAAAGTCTATCATGAGAAAGGGAGGGGAGAGGACAGAAGGTGGTGAAGCAGTGATACCCAAGCTCGTTCATCGGCATCGCACGAGGAATGGACTTTTAATGTGTTTCTTCTGATTTTTTTCCCGCGTCCACTTTGGACACTCTGTTATCACCTTTTTCTCTTTCAAGACTCATGTCTCATCCTTTTTTTCACGACATCGACAACTACACTCTTTTTGCTTATATATTCTGTCTTACTGTCTGTGGCATCTTGTTATCTTTGGTATTCCCCAACCCGATTGCAGCTGTAAGCTATGGCTACGTCGCCCCTAGTGGCAATATTTGTAACTTTTTGTCTTACGATTCATTTTGCACGTGTCTACCCGACAATCATTCTTGGATGGAAGTTTGTTTCAAGCTGCAATTGCTCATTGGGAGCTCTGCTGTGTGCCCCACCCATTGAGAGGTCTGATTTGTGTATAGAATTGACGGCACAACAGTTCTCCATCAATCAATTAGCAAAATGTACGTTTGGACTCCCTGAAAAGGATGCGAGGGAGAAAGGAAGTTTTGTAAATAGCTACAGCTGTCCGTATCAATCAGTGTTGGTGATAAGCCAGACCTCCGCTGAGTTGCGGTGTCACGTGAGGAGTTCGGACCAGGACCTTGTTTCTCATTTGCCGAAGCTTGGACAACCGACTAATGCCGTCATTAGGTGGGTTATATACAGCTTCACGATCCGCTTGAAAGAAGCTTGAAAGGTAAAGATAGCAGAGCAGCCACTTACCTTCCGGTCCCTGCGAATAAAATACGGCCGCAATTCGATAATTTAGTTCAGCTATTGTTATTCACGACCACGATGGCAATGGCTCGACCAGCGCGGCTCGCTCTAGGGTTCGGGACGCGGAATATTCCATTACACTACCGGCCAACAGTCAGTAATGTTTTGGCACGGGGTCCCCGGACGCAGACTGGCGCTCGATTCAAATCTGGGCCGTACGGCTATACTCAGGCAAAGGCCTTGGTGTTTTCCAAGTTTGGCGAGCCGTCTGAGGCCCTGAGGTGAGCGGGCTGCTGTCCAGTTTCTTGTACGGCACTCTGATTGCTGATTCGAATCATTTTTTGCATGCAGCCTCCACACGCACTCCATCTCCCCCACACTACCACCGAAGGCGGTGCTGGTGCGCAACCTAGCGGCGCCGATCAACCCGGCAGACATCAACACGGTGCAGGGCACGTACGGTGGCAAGCCGGCGTTCTCGTCACTGATCGGGACGGCGGAGCCGTCGGCGATTCCGGGCAGCGAGGCCTGCTTCGAAGTGGTGTCAGTGGGCTCAGAGGTGACGACGCTGACAGCGGGTGACTGGGCGCTGCCAGCAGCACCGGGACTGGGCACGTGGCGGACACATGCGCTGGTGGAAGATGCAGACACGGCGCTGGTGGGCATCCCGGCAGCGAAGACGGCTGGTCTATCGCCATCGGCGGCAGCGACGGCGACGGTGAACCCGTGCACGGCATGGCGGCTGCTGCGCGACTTTGTGGACGTGGTGGAGCTGAGCGTGCGCAGCGGCACCGGAGCGGGCGCGTGGTTCATCCAGAACGGGGCCAACAGCGGCGTCGGCCGGGCGGCGATTCAACTGGGTCGGCTGTGGGGTCTGCGCAGCATCAACGTGGTGCGGGCACGGTCGACGGTCGAGGAGACGGCAGCGCTGCACCAGGAGCTGACGGACCTGGGCGCTACTGTGGTCCTGACCGAGGACGAGGTGCAGGAGCGCGGCTTTGCGGCGCGGCTGCGCCAGGACTACATGGGCGGCGAATCTGAGCGCGACAGTCCGCTGCTGCTAGGGCTCAACTGCGTCGGTGGGCGGCCAGCTCTCGGGCTCGCCAAGTGCCTCTCGGACGGCGCCAAGGTGGTGACGTACGGTGCCATGGCCAAGCAGCCGCTCACGGTGCCGGCTGGCATGCTCATCTTCCGCGACCTCTCTTTTGCCGGCTTCTGGTTCAGCCGCTGGGGCACGGTCAACCCGGGCGGCCGCAAGCAAACCGTCGAGGCTGTGCTCGACCTGATCCGCGACGGCAAGTTCCATCCCGGTCCTGCGCAAGACATTCCCTGGACCTGGGACACGCCGGTCGAGACACTCACGGCGGCCGTCAGCGGCACGCTCGAGGGCTACCGGTCAGGCAAGGGTATCTTCGTGTTCAAGGACACGTGAGCGGAGGCAGGATCAAGTCGTGGAGCCCGTGGTCAATAACTCGTAATATCATCTGCAAATAATAGACCGTCCCCTACGCTGCCAATCTATGAACACGCAATAAAGGAAAACAAACAAGAATCATGTTCTGACAGGCACGAGAGGCAGATGACAGCTAGCCAAGTTGTGGTGACTTTGGCTCTCGGCTTCGGTTGCCTGTATAAATGTCTCTCTTGCAGTTCATCTCTGTAAAAAGTCTGCCGTGCTATTTATTGCGGCTTCGGGATCGCGTACTTCTGTGTCCACTCACGCGCAGTTTCCACTGCGGCCTTCTCGTTGTCTTTCCAGGCCTTGGCAACATCGGGGGCCAGTGGGTCGTCGGGGTTGGGGGCGCCCAGAAGGGCCTGGATGGACAGCAGGATGGTGCGAATCTGCAGGGCAGGGGACCAGTTGTCTGGACGAAGAGGTCAGCGAGGAGGGAACAGATCATGTAGATGGAAATATGCAGGCGCGCATACTCTTCAAGACGTCCAGACAAATGCGTCCCAGCTTGTCAACGTTAGGATGGTACAGCTTGGTGAGAAAACGGATCTTTGGCGGTGTCATGGGGTAGTCGTCCGGCAGGAACAGCTCTAGCTTAAAGACGCCACCTAGAGGAGGCACCGGTCAGATCGGGGGCCACAGCCAGGAGAGAACGGCACTTAGAGGGGAAACGAACCCTCGTACGGAGACTGTGACGGCCCGTAGATCTCGACGTCAAAATATCGCAGGTTGTCGGAGTGGGGAATGGCGCTGATGCCGGGGACACTGGACAGAGGGGTGGCGGCAAGGTTAGTGCATAGTTAGGTGGAAAGGAGCCGAGAGGTCTGATTTCTTACGGTTCAGCCATCAGCCGCTCCGTCTCCTTGATGATCCTCTTAGGCAAGGCCATGACTGTTGCACAAACGGTTTTTGGGTGGGTGAATTTGCAGGCGAAAGGCGCGAACAGCTAGTGGGATTCGGATGAGCAGGAAGATGACGGATCTGCTCGTGTTGGATCGTGAGTTTTGAGTCGTATAGAAAAGATAGTCTGTTTGTAAGAGTCTGGGAGGGAGAGACGGACAATGGGGAGAAAAATGCAGTATGCAAGATACGTACGGAAGTAGAGAGGTGCTGATGATCACGGGCAGCTGGTAAGGCTCCCCGCCCTTCTAGCGCCGAAAGCCCCACCTCGGTGGTCTCTCGCCGCTATTGGTCCTCATTCTCTGCTGTATCTACAGAGACCGACCAGCTGGAACTAGCACACCCACCCAAGGCGCATTTGCTGCAGCGTCCTCTAAGAAGTTCAGACTGACAGCTAGCACGTGCATTGAGGGACCACACGCTAAAAGCCACCAAAAGGAAGCTCGCGTGCAACATTCGATTTGCGCATTGTCGCGACCTGGTTCGTACTTTTGCGAAGCCGAGATTGTCGCAAGCGAAAGTCGCAAGCGAAACCCGCAAGGTGCAAGCACACACAAAAAAGACGACACACGGCGGATGCAGCAATCGATGCAAGCTTCGAGCTGTGCTTGCGTGCGATCGTGAGCTTCCGCCATGGCGGCATCGGACCTGGACGGTCTGGACGAGTCGGACGGGTCGCAAAGGTCGAACAAGATCATCAAATCGGCGTTTGACAGCGACAGCTTTGACTCTGATGGAATCATTCACGCCGGGGGGTTGAAGGGCTCGGCGACGATCTCGCCCTGTGGACGAGACGTGGCCGTAGCATCGTGAGTTTTCTGTCTTGTTGATGTTCTTTGATATGGCCTCGTCTGGCTGCTGACAGCAGGCCAGGCCCGAAGGCCTCGCGATCATCGACCTCGACAATCCGTACAGCGCGCCACGGATGCTCAAGAGTCACGGGATGCCATGGCTGGTGGTGGACGTGCAGTGGTCACCGTTTGCGGCACGGGACTACTGGGTGGCATCGACGGCAAATCATCGGTGCCTGGTGTGGAACCTCAACCGGGCAGACGACTCGAGTGCGGGCTCGGTAGAGCACTCGCTAACCGGCCACCGGCGGTCGATCACGGACGTCAACTTCTCGGCACACCACCCGGACATGTTGGCGACCTGCTCGGTGGACGGGTATGTGCACTGCTGGGATCTGCGGCGGGCTAACACGCCGGCACTGACCTTTATCGACTGGGCGGCGGGGGCGACGCAGGTCAAGTACAACCGGCAGGACGAGCACGTGCTGGCATCGTCGCACAACCGATGCGTGCACATCTGGGACGACCGGAACCCGGCGATACCGATGCGGACGATCGAGGCACACACGTCCAAGATCTACGGCCTGGACTGGAACCGCACGCGCAGCACGTGTTTAGTGACGTGCTCGCTGGACAAGACGATCAAGTTCTGGGACTATGCCAAGCGCGGCCACGCGGCCGTGGGGGGCACGCGGACCAGCCTATCGACGCTGTCGACGCTGTCGGACCTGGTGGACTTGTCGGCGAGCGGCAGCATGGGAAGCGGCGGGCCGATCAACGATGACGACGTGCCGGAGCGGGTGATCCGCACGCATTTTCCGGTGTGGCGCGCCCGACACACGCCCTTTAGCGGTGGCCTGCTGGCAATGCCGCAGAACGCACCCGGTCACCTGTACCTGTACGATGCGCGGCCGACGGCGGCCCAGCAGCAGACGGAAGACCCGGCGGCAGCCAACGAACCGGTAGCGGTATTTGGCGGCCACGGACACCACAAGGTCAAGGAGTTCCTCTGGCGGACGCGCGGCGAAATCGACAACGACGGGAGTGACAACCGCGAGTACCAGCTAGTGTCGTGGGGCAACGACAGCAAGCTAAGGCTGCGGCGGTTCGACGGGCCTGACCTGGCCACGGTGGGCTTTCATCGCGGACAGCCGGCGCCGAAGAACCTGAGCATCACGCGCAAGGGAGCGGCGTACAAGACTTTCCGCGTGCTGGAAGACCTGGGCGATTACGAAAAGCGGAGCGCGACGATGAGCAGCGTGCGGCCGTACAGTCGGCGTGAAGCATCTGCGGCGGTGGCAGCAGCAGTAGCAGCAGCCGCAACGGCGACGACGACGACGGCGACGGTGACGACGATGGCTGGAGCAGCATCGTCACCACCGCCACGGGCACTGCTGCCGCGAACAAGTTCGATGCGTGACGTGCTGGCATCGCCAGCGGCGACGCCTCGGCGGGGCAAATACGACAAGCGAGCGTCGTGGCGGAACCCATCGATGCGGGCGACAAAGGCGTCCGGACGGCGAGAAAGGGATCGCAGCAATGCGCAGCTGGACTGGATGAAGGGTGTGACGATGAGTAAGCGACGATGGGACGACGTGATGGACGAAGGACACCGGCGACGGGCGTCCAACGAACGGATGGAGGACTCGACAACGATGACGGCAATGTCCGGGATGTCAGTGATGTCGGGGCTGACAGGGACGGGAACGGGAACGGCTACAGCATCGCTGTCGTCGCCGCTGCAGCTATCAGCACACGGGACGTCGCTGAGCGGTGGAGGCGACTACTACGGAGGCCCAGAGACGATCCAGGAAGAGATTGTGCGGATCACTGACAAGCTGCCACGGGTGACATGGGAGGAGATCGACATGGACAACCTGTCGCTGACGGCGGCAATGAAGGGACCGTGGGGAGCCGAGGGCCAAAGCGTGTACGTCAAGGTGCGGGTGGTGGTACCGGCGACATATCCGCAGACGCGAGCACCCCGTTTCTACGTGGAGAACAGCTCGCTCATGCCGGCAGCGACACAGGACCGGGTGGCAGCCGAGTTGCACGTGATTGGGGCGGAGTTTCTCAAGCGGCGACGCAACTGTCTGCTAGCAGCGTTCCGGTATCTGCTAGGGGCAGCAGACCTAGGAGCGAGCTTGGCAGTGCTGGAACGGCCGACGGTGGCATCATGGCTGGCGGGCGAGGGAGCAGGAGGAGGAAGTGGTGGTGGTGGTATTGGAGGGGGAGAAGGTGGTGGTGGAAGTGGTGAAGTGGGAATCGGGGCCAAAGGAGACGACAGCAGCAGCAGCAGCAGCAGCAGCGGAAGCGACGGCAGCGATAGCGATATCGACTCGGCCATGGCAGCAGCAGACGCAGAAGCAGCAGCTGCAGCAGGCATTGGGCCGGAAATGCAGCCACAGGGACCACCACCGCCTCCCCGGAGCTGTGGCGCGCGCTTCAGCCGCGACGGACGGCTGGTGTGCTTCTTCCTGACCAAGGCAGGACGGGCGAGCGCGAAGCTTCTGTTTGAGCCACCGCCACCGCCGACAAGCGAAGAGCTGGCCGAACTGGAGAAGCCGGTCTTCATCGGGTTCGGCCGGGTGCTGACGACGGGAGCCGGCAGCGGACACAGGGGCCGGCGACGGTACAAAAACAACAACAACAGCAATCACAGTCCCGGTCACAACCAGTCGGGACGAGCACGATCGCCTTCGCCGTTGTCGCTGTCATCCTCGCCGTTGTCGTCGCGGTCAGACGGGTCGGACAGCGACTCGGCATACTCGTCAACCTCCTCGTCGTCCTCGTCATCCTCGTCCTCGTCGGAGACGGCGGGCAAACACGGCAGCAGCGCCTACCAGCAATCGGTGCGGAACATGGTGGACCCGTGGTCGATGAACATGGGCTTCCAGCGGCGGATTGTGCGGCGGGGAGGCGGCGGCCGGGCTGCCCGACGACGGATGCTGCTGCTGGGTGGCGGTGGCAGCAGCGACGGCGAGGGTGGAGGGGTTGGCGGAGGTGGAAGCGGAAACAACATTGGTGACGGAGGAAGCGACCTGATGATGCGGTCAGGAACACTGGATGCCGACCTGGAGCTGCCGCAAGGGCCGAAAAGCACGGTATCGGTGGTGGACATGCGGTCGTGGCTGCCGTCGAAGCGGGAGCTGGCAAGGGAGTACGCCGTTTTTGGCGATGGAGCAGAGGTGTGTGTGCGCACAACGCCGGCGTGGCCGACAAGTACGGAGAGACGGATCTGGGCCACGTGTGGCGATATGCGGCGCTGCTGCTCAAGTCGGACGTGCCGCTGCGGCTGGCGACGATGCTGGCGGACGGCGGACGACGACAGCGGTCGGTACTGGTGATTGCACGAGAGGCGACGGCAGCAGCAGCAGCAGCAGCAGTAGCAACAACAGGCCGGAGCAGGACCGGAGAGAAGCAGGCCGGACGAACCGGCGACAGGCTTGCAGGCCGAGTGAAGTGGGGCCTGCATCCATTGGCACGTGACTTTGTGGACGACCTCTTTGAGCACTTTGAGCAGCGGGCCGACATGCAGATGCTGGCGATGCTGTCGTGCATCTTTGGCGAGTCATTTGAAGAGGACAGCGTGGCGTATGCGGAATCGCACATGTCGCAGCCGGACACGCCGCTGCCGATGAAGGCGCCGTCGTTCTCGCTGGACTACGTGCCGACGACGCGCGGGTTGGTGCACGGGGCGCCGTCGTGGCAGCTGTTGCCAGCCGGCAGCGGTCACGGGATCAGCCACACCAGCAGCAGCAGCAACACGGCACCGCCGACGGCCGTGTTCTACGACGGGTCCATTGACCCGGACGACGGCAGCGGTGGCAGCGGTGGAGGTGGTGGTGGTGGTGGTGGGATGGGCGAGTACGACGTGGACGACGACGGCTTTGGCGACTACGACGACGTGGACGGCTATGACGACGACGATTTCGGCTACGGCGACGACAACACGACCGTGTGGGAGGATGCAGCAACAGCAGCAGCATCGGCGACGGTGTTCTCGCACAACAACTCGTACTCGGGCGGCGAGACGCCACCAAAATGGGGAGACACCAACTCAAACGGACTGTCGTCGTCGCCGCGCTTCAGCCTGGCGGCCAGCCGGTTCTTCCGCCGCGGCAACAACGCGGTTGTGTCGGCTATTGCAGCCAGCATTCCACAGACGCTGACGACGCTGTTGTCGTCATCGCCGCAGGATCGGGCTGGAAGTGCCGAGGCGAACACAGGCTCGCACACGCACACGCACACGCACACAGCCACGACGATTCCGACACGGCGGATGTCGTCGGCCGCCATGCAGCCACGGCTGTCGCCTCCGGCCGGCCGCCACCCGCTACCCTATGCAGTGCAGCCGCTGAGTCATGCTTACAAGCAGCTGCTGCTGCACTCTACGTCGGCCCACCGAGACATTCCCATTCCGTCTCCGGCCAATGGACGGCGGCTGGCAGCGTCGACGTCGACATCGCCGCGAACCGGTAGTGGCGGAGGGAAGACGGGCAGCAAGCTGCTGTCGTCGTCACCGCTGTCGTCGCAGGATCATGCAGGGCCGGCACGCAAGCGGCCGAGTCCGGCCGAGACGATCTTTGGCAACCTGACGTCGGGCAACCTGACCTGGGCAGCGTCAGCGCTCTTTGGAGGAGGAAGCGGAGGCAGCGGAGAGGGAAGAGGATGCGTGACGGTCGGGGGGCCGTCGGATCCAGGCACGGCGGCGACGTCGGTGTCGGACGACGGGCGACGACGCGAGGACACATTAGCGGCAGCAGCAGCGTCAGCGGCCGTCAAGGGGGCACGAGCGCAGGCCGAGGCAGCCGGCACGACGCTGGTGGCGGTGGACATTCATGTGCGGACGTGCAACGACCACCTCTTTGACGACGACGGCTGGATGGTAGCGTCGCTGCTGGGAAGTCCACGGCGGCGACGGCGGCAGTACGCCGAGTACCGGTACGCATATTCGGAGCTGCTGCAGGTATGGGGAGAGCCGCTGGCCCGGTTGGAGGTGCTCAAGTTCAACGTGTTGCGGGAGGATGCCATGAAGGCGGTGGGCCGACCGGCCATGGCCAGTGGCAGTGGCGGGACGGCATCGCCGTCGAGCAGCCGACGATCACGGCTGCAGGCAGTACGGGACTCAGGGCGCGGGCTGGATGCGGTGGGCGTGTGTCCGCAGTGCGAGATGCAACTGGAGCCGGCCGAGTACGAGAGCACAGCCACGGGAAGCACAGCCACCGAGAGCACAGCCACAGCCACAGCCACGGCCACGGCCAAGACACACCGACACGCCGCCAAGAACGGCGGTGCGGTGGGTTCCTGCCAGCGATGCCGATTGACGCGGGCGCAGCTGCGGTGTGTGTACTGCACGGAGCCGGTGGACGCGTTGTACCTGCCATGTTTTGGGTGCGGCTGCGCCAGCCACCCGACCTGTCTGCGGGCCTGGTACGCGGCCGGCGAGCGGTTCTGTCCGGCCGGCGACGAGTGCGCGTGCGCGGAGGAGGCGACGAGCGGCCGGGTCGAGAGCTGGACGGCGATGCAGGCGGAGCTGGCGTGGGGGGGTGGCGCAGGAGGAGGAGGGGGTCTGCACAGCATCAGTGTCCTCGGGCCGTCAGCACCTGTCAGCACGCACAAGGCCAAGGGCCTGATCGAGCAGGCACGCCAGTCGGCCCACTACGCGGCATCGTCCTCGTCGGCCTCGCTGCTGTCACCGTACGGACAGCACGCCGGCGGTGCCGGTCGTTCCTCTCGACTGCCGCCGTCAGGCCTGCAGCAGCAGCTCTACAGCCGACGACAGCAGCAGGAGGAACAGGAGCGACAGCAGCGATTTCCACCCTGGGACGAACGGCCACAACAGCAGCAACAACAACAGCCACAATCCCAGCCACAGCCACAGCCACAGCCACAGCCGGCACGCTTCAGCCTGTCGAGTCGGCTCTTGCGCGGCCCAACACTACTGCGACAGAGCAGCGGCAACCAGCACGACCAGCACGACGGCAACAGACAGGGGGGATAGGATTATTGGTCGCGTTGCGTTGTCTTTTGGTATTTTGTGTCTCTGGCGTCTCTTGGTCTTGGTCTCTTGTCTTCTTGTCTATCACATCTTCTAATAATACATCCCCCTGCTTACCCTTTACGCCCGGAAAGCCTGGACGAACTCGTGCAGACGATCGATGACGACGGGCACAAAAGCGTTGAGGTTGTCGTCGATGACGCGCTCGAGGTGGCGCATGGCGTCCTCCTCGTTGAGCTCGAGGTGGAAGCGGTCCTGGACCTTGAGCACGGTCTTGTCGGGTTCCCAGAGGATGTCGGGGATGTTGGCGTCGACCATGAGGCTGAACAGGTTGAGGATCAGGTTGCTGGACTTGCGCAGGGCCGAGTAGGCGAGAAAGCAGTACTGCTTGAACTGGCGGTAGTGCTCGGACCCGCTGCCGCCCATGGCCTCGACCATCTCGCGGCTGAGCTTCATGGCCGGGGCAAACGGCTTGGGATCACGGCCGAGGATGAAGCCAAAGTCAGCGTGAAAGAAGCGACCGTCCGGCGCGAGCAAGAGGTTGTCGAGATGGCGGTCGCCCACGCCGAGAATGTACGTGATGACGCAGTAGCCCGCGCACGACCGGACAAACGTGTCGAGCGTGCGGGCCTGCAGGCCCAGCGGCCCGTTCGGATCGCCGCTGTGCTGCCGCAGATACGCCAGCGCCGCGTTGGGCGCGCCACGATAGCGTGCGGCCAGGCTCTGCAGGCTCGCCGACGGCACAAACTGCGTCAGGCCCATGCGGCTGCTCGTCGCCAGGATCTTGTACGGCGTCAGCCGCAGGTCCAGGTTCTCCTTGCGCAGCAGCTGGTCCATCAGCGTGATGATCTGGATCACCAGCTGGTCCTGCCGCAGATCATCGCCCATCTTGAACAGAATCGGATACCGTCCCCCGTCCACGTCCCGGAAGGCCACCTTGATCGGATGCAGCGACGACTTGAACACCGCCACGTCGTCCGGCCCCGTTGCTGCGCCCACCACCATCACCGACGGGTCCAGCGGCAGTGCTAGCGGTGGCTCAATCGTCGCCAGCTCGTTGCGTCCGTCCGTCAGAAATTGCCGCACTCGCTCGCCCCGACGGGCCATCGGCTCGTGCGCCTCCTTGACTTCGCCCGCAATCTTGGCCATCACCGCCACCCATTCGGCCTGTCGCCGCAGCATCTGCCGCGTCTCTGCTCCGCCTGGTCGTCGCTCCAGCTCGGCCATGAAGTCGTACGCCACCTTGCGGTATACTGCTCGGTTCTCCGCCGTCTGCGCCATGCTGTGGTCGTCGCATTCCACCATCAGATACCAGTAGAAGTAGTTGCCTAGCATCAGGTTGCCAGCTGCCCGTGCGATCAGAAATCGTGCCAGCGATGAGTTGTGAGGGTTGTGTGTGTTCGCGTTCGCTTGTGCTTCGTCTTGCGAGTTCATCTGTGCTTCCTCCTCTTCTCCTCCTCCCCCTTCCCCTCCCCCCATCTCAAACTTCAAGGCCTGCACGAGCTGCAGCAGGTACAGCAGCAGCTCGCTGTCGTCAGCCTTGCGCAGCCGCTCGACCGCATACGCCCGCACCGACCGGTGATCAAATGTCGGTCCCAGCAGCTCCAACGCGTCATCCACGTCGATGTTGGTCCACCGCCCCAGCACCTGCACCGCCTGCTTCGCCTCCGCCCCGTCGCCCCAGCTGACCGACTTGACAAACTTGGTCACCGCCTTCTTCTCGCGCGTCAGGTGGTATCGGAACTTCCACACGAGGTCCTTTTCGTCTGCCGTCAGCACCTGTGTCGGTGGATAGGACATGATCACGTTCAGCTCGTCCCGGTTCTTCGCGTTCGGCTTGAGGTCCTTGTCCAGCGCCCCGTGTCGGTGCTGCGTCCGCACCAGTCGCCGGTGCTTGCTCTCCGCTGGATTGTCACGTGCTCCCACCTCAGCATCGTACACCCGCATCAACCGTGCCATGCCCTCGCCTCCGGCACCAGCACCTCTACCGCCGTCGATCCCCGGTCCAAAGTGTACTTCAGGTGCCGGCTTCAGCACGACCCCCGACTGTGACGCCGACATGTTCTGCAGCGCTGAGATCGCTGGCGGCGGGTATTCGTGGTCCACAAACACCACCGGGAAGTCGAACCGCGGAAACTCCACATTGAGCAGGAATCGTGACGGTCCTGGACGCCTGTTGGCCCCGTGTGCCTCGTCCGTTCCGTCTGCTCGGCCAGTTCCGTCTGAGCCCCCCTCGTCGAGCCCCCGGGGCTGCCGCAGCGACGACGCCGCTCGCTGCATGCTGCGTCGCTCAAACCCCCGGAACACCAGCTGGTCCAGCCATTCGACCCGTGGGATCTCGCCCATCTCGTGCTTTTTGAACAATCGGTCCATCCGCTCGACTTCTTCGGCCTCGGCGTCGTGCTCGCTAATGTCCTTGCCGTCCTCCTCCTCGATCGTGTTCTTATCCCTGTCGTCATCGCCGTCACCGTACGCCACCACCCGCTTCTGCTCGTCCTTCTGCCGACTCTGCTTCGTCCTCTTCTTGCGGGGAAAGGCCGGTGTCTTGCTGTTGTCGTAGCCGTCTGCCTCGGCCAGCCGGTGCACTACGCACTTGTACCGGCCCTTGTGCAGCTGGTTCTCGCCGTCAAACAGCGGGATCGTCGTTCCGCCAAACGGTACCGCATGGCCTCTCGCACCCGTTCCGCCACCCGTTGGCGACACGTCCCATACCGTGATGGCAACGCTGGCGTCACCTGGAAGTCCAGAGTAGCGGATCGGCAGCGTCAGCCATTCGTTCCACTTCCGCTCCGCCTTGAAAGCTCGGTACGCTGTCTGCACCGGCACCGTCAGCGGCTTCGATCCCGCCCACACCTGTGCCGTTGCATACAGGTCCGAGTGTAGACTCGTGTTGGCCCCAACATGACGGATCTCCGGATGCGTCACCAGCGTCGAGTCGAGAAAGGGCGTCTCCTCGCCTTCGAGGCTGACAATCCGGATGCTGACCTGGAGGTTGAGCGCCTCGGAGCTGGCAAACGAGAACGGCTCCATTCGCGCTGTGGTGTGTCTGCTGTCGTCGAAATGGCGATTGTGTATGTACCCAGACTCGTTCTTGTCACATGCAGCAGCTCCTTGAGCTGCTTATCGATACAGGTAAGTGCTTACGTAATATATCCCCTCCTTCTATTGACGGTCGACCGCGTTTAATCAGCGCGTCTAATCACAGTAGCCCGTTTTCAGCCAGCAGCAACCACAACTCACCATGACCGACATGGACATGACCCAGGACAGCTGGGATGGCGCGAACACGGACCAGATGCTGGGCGTGGAGCAGTCGCTCGAAGATCGGCGGCGGCTGCAGCAGGGTTTCCGCAGCCTGATCAAGCAGACGACGACGGACCAGACGCGATTTCTGGACGCCAAGGCCGAGGCGCTGCACACGGTGCTGGAAGAGTCAGACACGCTGCTGCAGCGGACCAAGCAGACGAGCGAGGCAGCCATTGATGCGGCACTGGTAATTCGCATCTCCGAGCTGGCTTACAAGCGGACGACGCACTTTCTGGCCGACCGTGCCGACGACAGCGGCGTCAACCTGGAGGACTTTGTGTCGCGATGCAAGGACTACATGCAGTTTGGCCGCGGTATTGACGATGAAGGCTCGCCAGATCTGTCACGGGAGCAGCGACGGCGCCGCAAGGTCGAGGCAGCCGCCCACCGGCAAGGTGGACGAGAGGAGGTGCACGACGGGAACGAAGAGGACGAGGCACAAGGAACGGACGACGACGACGACGAGGCCGGCACATCCAGCAGTGCTGCCAAGGCCGATCTGGACTGGACGCACTTTGGCCAGTACGCCTGTCTGCCGCATGTGCGACGGCCTGGACTGGCACGTTTCTTGCCTCGGGCCACACTGGCCGGCGACGAGAAGACACGGGTGGTGATGCGCAAGCGCACGGCGGCTCTGCGGCTCAACGAGCTGCAGGAGGTCCGGCCACAGGTGCTGCGACCCGGCGACCTCAATGTGTCGCAGAACAGCGACCTGACGGCGCTGGCCACCGACATCCTGCAGCAGCTGCGGCGCGCGGCCGAGCACGGCCAGGCCAAGGTGCAGCGGGCGTACGAGCAGGCCGGCGGCGACGGCGACGACGAGGACGACGAGGCCCTGCTGCGCCGCCTCATGGACCGCTACGGCATCCGCAGCGACGGCGGCGTTGACCTCATCCGCTTCGCCATCAACCCACGCTCCTTTGCCCAGACAGTCGAGAACTTCTTCTACATCAGCTTCCTCGTGCGCGACGGCCGTGTCGGCCTGGCCTATGACGACAACGGGCTGCCATCAATTTGTGAGTTTTGTTTCCTTTTTCGTGGGTTTTTCTTCCTTTTCTTTCCCTCCCCTTCTTTTTCCTAATCACCCCTCAGACCCCATCTCCGAAGAGGACACCGAAACGGCCAAGGACAGCTCCGGTCCCGAGGAGGACACGCGGAAGCACCAGCTGATCCTATCCATGGACATGGCCATGTGGCGCGACGTCATCGAGACGTTCAACATTAAGAAGCCCATGATAGCCCACCGCGAAATAGCGGGTGAGAAGCATCCCAACGGCCGGGCCTGGTTCACCTGAGAGATGTGCCTTAACAAAACAAAAAATGAATACGAAAACGCTGCTGCTAATCTACCATATTCCGTCGTTTCTGCCGGCTCGTGCGTATGACGGCTCTCCATCCCACTTTGGCACGAGGTTCGCGAACATCTCGTCCCGGTTGTCCAGCAGGTCAAAGTGCGTCTTGCCCTCGTACAGCCAGAAGACAGCGTGGGGACCTCGGCGACCATGGGCCGCACCCAGTCGAGCAGTGCGTTGACGTCCTCGTACCGGAGCCATACTTATTGGAGAAGGCGGCGCCGGAATAGCCCAGGATGGCAACTCGGGCCAGCTGCTGCAGCGGCCTCGAGCGCGATGACAGAAAGCAGTGGAAATTTGAGTGCACATGCAGTTTACACATTTCGCTTGTCGAATACAGCACAAATGCAACCGTGTAAGCCTAGTCCGAATCCATGCATATGCATGACCGCGCCGAACTGCTGCAGGCCATAATATGGTCTGGTAGTCGGCAATACTCTCGTCCCAGGCTGGAAACGGAGCAGCCTCGACAAGAAAGGGCTCTCGTCTTCATATGCTAATCCAATGGAGCATTTCCCCTGGTCCCGTGGCTTCTTGTTCTTTGTCCAGAACTGCTTCCGTAAAGGGAAGTTGCCGCTTCTGGTTAACACGGCGCGCCTTCCTTCTTTGTCTCCCACTCTCATCTGCGCAGCTGTCCTGTAACTTCAAATATCGAGTCTGTCTCGATTAATATGAAATGCGCAATGCGAGGAATCCTCAGAAGCTCAGCCGTAAAATTTTCCGCCAATCTCAAGGGTGACAAAACATACACGACATCATGACCGAGCCAGAACTACACGGTCTTAGCAAAGGCAGGGAAAACTTACAAGAGACGAACGTCGATGCCGGAGAGAACAGAGACCAACATGAAACCTTGGGCACAGAACAGAGTTCGCCGAAGCTTGCAGCACAGCGATCTCAGTCACGTCCACGACCAGGCACACGACCGAGGCGATTTCAGCTCGGTCACTCCCGAAACGCCAGTCTGTATGGGAGCAGCGTTGGCTCTGCGCCAAGTGTCGAAGACGACGGTGATGGCATCGTCACTTCGATGCAGCTCCCGAGTAAGACGTATACAGAAGCGCTCTTTTCGCCGCCGCCACCGACGCCTGCTACAGACGTAAAGAAGATAGAGCGGGCACCGACTGCAGGCTCTGAGGGGATTCCGACATTAGTAGTCTCCATCCATGAAGACGCTACAGATGGTCGGCGATCCAAAGCGGAAGCGAGAGAGGAGGTAGAAGAAAGAAGAAGGGAGAGCGAAGAACCAAGACACACAGAGGCGAGGGAGCCAAAGATGCGCCATGATCTAGACGACGACAGCTTGGAAGATAACAATGAACAGCTAGCCCGCCTACAGGCTGAGATTGCAACGCTACGGGGAGAGAATGCACAGCTTCACGACCTCTTCAATGCCGTGAACGGAGAGCTAGAAGAACTGATGCTCGAAGACTCGGATCTGCAAGATGCGCTAGCCGACGACGCAGCAGCGAATGACCCCCGGAGTGCGTTTCGAGACGGGTCCGAGTTCGGCTCTCAACGTGAGGCAACGAACCAGTACCTTGACGACCAAGATCTCTTGGGCCCTCTGGCACGACTGGTGTATCTTGTGAAGCAGTTCTGTCGCATTCGCAAGTGGCAGCGGGAGCAGCAAAAGACAGAGCAGTCAGTCATGGCATCCATGGACGATCCGGAGAGCCTGGACAACCCCGGCAGCCCTGGCCTCTACCAAACGGCATCGCATCAGTCCATACAGCTGCAGGACGTGTGGCAAGACCTGCCGGAATTGATGATGCAACAAAGTCTCTCCGAATCGACCAATTTCACTGACATCACTCTGCCCGATGTGCTCGATACCAAACGACCGATTCAGGCCGAGAGCGCTGCAGTCACAGGCGACGAAGGCGAGACAGCAGACGAAGACCAGGCAGCATCAGACGGTCTGTACGATAGTAGCAGCCACAGCTCTGTCAGTGACAACAGCGGAACCGAAGGCAACATGAGCGACACAGAACTGCCAGCGATGGACCGTCTCGCACGAGTCCACGACGACGACGAGGGACAGGATGTTGTCACCAGAGGAAAGAGAGACAGTACAGTCAGTAAGAGAATGCCGGAGAGCGCAGAAGAGAGCGAGACCGTACGGGAGCTGAAGGAGGATATCAACCGCGTAAAAAACGAACGGGACGAGGCTCTTGGGGCAACCGAGCATGCCATGACCGAGCGGGATGTGGCGCTGGATGAGAGGGAACAGTTCAGCCAGGAGAACGAGAAGCTGCGCAGGGTTCTGGCCTCACTGATCGACGGACAAGACGACGACGGCTCCGCTTCGCTTTGGGGTCTCTGGCCGTTGGTGGAAGAGGACGAAGAGGCGGAGACCGGCCACAAGGACGGGGACCATATTGTGGCCGACGATCTGCAGTCGGCCAAAACGCCCAAGACGCCCTGGATGCCCAAGACTCCCGGAGCATCCAAATCACCCAAAACACCCAGAACACCATGGACGAAAGAGGGCCAGCGCCGACAACAAGCCTTGCGCGATGCTCGGGTCCTCCTGCAGACCCCTCCTCCTCTGAAGAGCCCCTTTCCCCTGTGGCACATCCACACCGGCCACGTGGACCGCAAATGGCAACGTCGCCAGAATGCAGGGTCGGTGCTGGATATCCCGCAGATTACCCTGCACCTGGCCACGGCCCAGCAGTGGGAGAACCTTGCAGCCGTGAGCGTCTGGCTGGCAGTCTCGTGTGGGGTCAAAGATGGACCCGAGAGAGTGAGGGGCCTCTGGGAGGGTCTGCGGGGAGGCTGGCTACGGAAGCAGACGAGCCATATAAAAGACCACGGCCATTCCGATAGCAGCACCGACGTCCAGCAGCTCGACACGCCCACTGTACTGCCACCACTGTCGACGAGGCCGTCGCCGTTGCCTCCCCCGACAACCAGCAGCCGGAACATCCGCGACCTGTCTCTGACTTTGTCTCCCAGTCCGACTTTTCCGCTCTCGCCTCGGCCGTCTTCTCGGCCGTCTGTTGCCGAATCCTCTGCCCGGCTGTTGACTTTGCTGTCAAACCGGCGCGCCCATATGCAGACTACCTTCCCCGCCGATGCCATGGCCGAGCTCCTGATCAGCCTCCTTGTCCTCAGCTCCGTCTCCGTGGCCATCTTCGTGGCCTTTTGTACTGCTGCCGAGCGTCGTCTCTGGCTGGACCACAACGCCGACTGTCCGCGCACCTATCTGCACCACCATCTCCAGCAGTATCGCCCAGACACCAGCACCAGCACTCGTCTGTCATTCGCCGGCTACGATTCGCTACAGGAGTTCTCTTCAGCCCCCGCCTTTCAGTGGTGCGTCTGCATGCCGGTGCCAGTCGACCCGCGCTTCGTCACGGTGCCGCTGGCCGAGCACGCAGCCTACTGGCGCGACTGGGCCGGCGATGTCGTGCGATGGATGCTGGCCCCGTAGGATAGACATGCGCAGAAATGTATTCTCATATAGACAGAATCGAAGTATCATGTAGAGGCTGTGCTGCTGCGTCGATCATCGAGTTTCTGTGCCGCTTCGCTTAGAAGACTCGTATCCTGAAAACTACGAGTAGCCCATCCGATCGATATGCATCCGATCCGCCTTAATTAAGATAATCATCTGTAGGTCTCCATACAAGCCTGTATCTTACAAACACAACGCCGAACATTCCAGCTTCAAAATGCCTCCTTCCATAAAATCCAATAGCCCCACCACAGAATCCAGACCACATTGCACACCGGGAGCCGAACGGTCGACTGGTTAATAGGGTGCGAATGTAAGATGTATGGTGCGCTCATCCTTTCGGTGAATGATGATGCTTACATACTCGCATATATGCAGTGCTCGTCGCACTGCCAGGGTTCGTCGAATAATAGTACAATTACAGACAAAAAGTCGGCTGATCGGATCACAGTTCTCTAGCCAGGAAACATTGCAGTTTCTTTTATGATTCCAATTCATCGCTTATACCAAGACTTGCTTACAGAAGGAAGATTTGTTTTGTTGTTTTCCTATCAGCTTCAGCCAAAGTGTCGTCACGTGAAGCATAGCTTATTAATACGGGGCGAATGCGTGGCGCGAGGCAACCCACTCCTCACCCCTGTTCGATTTTCCGTCGCGCTTTGGCTTTCTCACTATTCGCCTCAGCCTCTCATCACCAACGCATAATAGGCACGGAATCCACCAAACGTGTCCACGTTTTCTGGAGAACTGTTTTTATCGGCCTTTTTATTTCCGCGAGCTGTGCTACTTCGCTCACGCTCGCTCATCTCGCTGTCGCCGGCACACACCAGCGACTCGTGACCATTCGTTCACTTTTTCCTCACTCCCTTTTTTATTGCGCCTGGCGCATAAGCAAGACGAGATCCGTCTTCTGCACGCGCGTCCCGACGAGCAGGCCGGTCCCGACGTAACCCTCCCCCCCTCGTGCAGCCACACCGTCTGGCCGTTTTGCTCTTGCCACCGAGCATCCGTCATGGCGCCGTCTGTATGTGGATTCCTTTGCTCTGCTGTCTCGCCATCCGATGTGGACTAACGCCTCTGGTTTGCAGTACAGGATCAGCACGCAGACGAGACGAGGCGCCCGCAACACGTATCCAGAGCACGACGACTTTGAGGGCCTGCCGGTGCGCCAATGGCGCCACGAGTGGATCAACGTCGACCCTCCCCAACCGGCCCACGCAAACGACTCGAAGACGAACAATCGGTGGTCCTACGAGCTGCCACACGGCATGCCTAAGGACTGGCAGCTGCTGCCGCCGCATACCCAGGACTTGCTGCGCGCTGCGCGCTCCGGCATCCTGTACAAGCGCCGCGCCCCGGCTGAGGAGGACGAGGCCGATGCCGACGTGACCGCAGCGGCTGCCACGGCTGCAGCATCGGGCGGGGGCCCGATGGCGGACGCGTCGAGCTCCGTGGCGGACTTGACGACGGCCGATTCTGCGGCTAGTGGCGCTGATGCGGCAGCGGCTAAGAAGAAGGGCATCCTGCTGCTGGCCGGACAGGCAACTCCGGCAGCCAGTGCCGTCACTACGGCCGCTGTCACGGCCCCGGCCAAGGACGAGACTCTATTGTTGCGGGTGTGGAAGCAGGTGTCGCGCGACGTGGAGTCACCACTGGCGTCGCATCTGGCCAAGCGCCGCAAGAACACGGTGGTATTGCCGCCAAAGCAGACGGTCGAGATCGCCAGCAGCGCCAGCGCCAGCGTCACGAGCATGCCGATGCCCATGGTCACCGTGGCCAAGGTGCGCAAGCTCGACGCCGCCGGCAATGCATACGAGCAGACGGTGACGCTGGCTGACGGCCAACAGACCGTTGACGGCGGTGAGATCCTGTCTACCACGCTCGTGCCCGCCTCCAACCGCGACCTGCCGCCACAGCAGCAGCAGACGACACCCAGCCGCAAGCGCAACCCACCGCCTCGTCGCAAGGGCAAAGTCGGACGCGGCCGAAAGAAAGGTGTTCTTCCCATCGGTCTGCAGCGCAGCAGACAACAGCACGCAGCAGCGGCGGCAGCGGCAGCAGCGGCAGCAACAGTGACACCAGCAGAAGCAGGAGTAGGACCGTCCACGGTGGCGACAGAAGGCGCAGAGGCAGCAGCAGCAGTAGCAGAGGCAGTTCCAGAAGAAAACGGCTCTGCACAGGAGACAGTGCTGCCTGCACCTGCAACGGTAGTCAAGGAGGAGCCCAGCGGCGATGACAACGGAATCAGCGAGTCACAGGACCAGCCAATGACCGACTTCCTCGAGGAACAGTCCGAGCCGGCATCGTCGGTTGTGCAGAGCGGCGCTCGGTCAGAGCCGGAGCCAGGACAGCAGGCCGACGATCAGCCGGACGTGGCCATGTCGGATCAGCCGGCAGAGGAAGTGGCTGTTCCAGAGCCAGAGGTGGCGGCAGAACCGGAGGCACCAGCAGCAGCGCCAGAAGCAGAGCTCAAGGTGGAGTCTGTGTCGGCAAAGCCCACGCCAGAAGCAGAGGTCACACAAATTGCAGAAACTACAGAAGCTGTAGAGACTGCAGAGGCTGCACCCGTCACAGCACCAGAGTCCACAACAGAGTCCGTGACAAAGCTGCCGGCAGCAGACCCTGCGCCAGAGGTCCAGCTGGATGCGGAGCCAACAACGATCGAACCTCTGTCCGAGACGCCGCCCCCAAAAGAAGAGTCGCTGTCAGATAAGGTGGACAGTCCTGCCGCGGCAAATGTGGCTGAGCCTGTGGCTGAGCCCGTGGCTGAAGATACCAAGGGCGAGACGCAGCCAGCCAGCGAGGACTGAGATATGTGGGGATAGTCTGGGTCTCTTCCTGGAAAGCCTGGATGGTTTCGGTTCGCTGGGCTTTCCGCCCTTTGCTGGAGTTTACCGAGTTGTGAATTTCCATGCTATGTATATCATGTAGCCGTTGTCTTTTGCCCTCTTTTACTGTATATTTTGGGCCAGTACTCCGTACTTTCTCCAAAGCGGGTTTTCACTACCCCAATTCGAAATAGGTGTCATGCAAGCTGGTGTATTTTCAAAGTCTGGTCGGGTCAACTGGCGGAGCAAGGCCGGACTGCTGCTCCTCTCTTGTCGTCGTTGCAGGGGCTGTTGTGTCGTCGGGACTCTCCCAGTTGCAAACCTAAATCGTATCTAACATAGAAAGTGCACTCATAACAGTACGTTTGTTCCAGAAAGGCAGGAGCCACAGGGTTCACGTGCACGTGCCAGCCCAAGTCTGCTACTGCGCAAGGCAGTTGCTGCTGATTTCTCCGCCTTCTCAGAGGACGGAGCAAGCGGCTGATTCCCCATTTTTCATGTAGGCGTATCTTACAAATTCCAAGTGCAGTTATCGGACAGCCGGTACGCAAACGCTCTCCCGTCATACCACAACCTGTTTCCACCCCCGTAAGAACGCCGCCAATATGCCATGTCATCCAATTGCCGTCTATAGAGAGAAGAGAGAGAGAGAGAGTGCAGAATTGTCGAGGTACTGTGTTCCCGCACAGGGTGGCTTGCCGAGATTGATCTCCGTATCCTCTTTGACATACCCGCAAGCCAGCAGGCGCCTCTGCAAGCCGTGACATCCCGGCGGCTGAAAGTTGATAGCACAACCGAGAGACGTGTCGATCAAGTTGGAGTGGAGAGGTGTGCGTAGCTTGACCGGGAAGGAGGCGTCTGATCAGGACGCGGCTGATCAAGGCGTGTCATAGAGGCTGACTCGTGTCATACGGCCTCCTGTATAATCACGTAGCCGCATCGAGCCTCCTTAAGCCAGGGTCGCCATTCAGTCTGATCCCCGCGCTGGCAGCAATGGCGCGTTGTGGCTCTTTGCCTGGCCCTGGGATGTGTGTTAGGAAAGAGGACATGGGAGCATAACAGGTGCTGCATACGTACACTTGTCTCCACGACCAGTCGTTCTGACCGGTAAAAGTTGCCGATCGTGCTTTGCCGCTGCAGAGAAGAGAATTGGTCAGCTGGACAGGTTCACGGCATCGACCCGGGCCGTCTCTCTCACCTGCATGACCCGCAGGTCCTTGAGACCCTGCTGCACAAGCTCCTGGACCCGCCGCGGATCCGACTCGGCGCGGTGCTCGCGGAAGGCATCTTGGGTGCGGCGCCTGGCGTACTCGCGGAAGTTGTACTCGGGGAAGCGATCGGCCTGGCGGAGCAGCTGGCGATACTGCAACGCAACGAGCAGACACATTAGCACAGGACCGCGAGGACAGCCTGGACGAAGAGGCAGCTTACCAGAGAGAGGATCTGCAATGCCTCGGGCCGGCCGGCACGTGCAACAGACATGGTGACGAGGAGAGGGGGGGAGCGATTGCGGGCAGAGGAGCACAAAGAGGGCCAGAGGGTCGCGCCGTATCTGGCCGTTCGGGTGGGTGGGGGGGGGGGGTGCAGACTGGCCACAGGTGGAGCTGCGGCACAGGGGAAAAGAGCACAGAAAAAAAGAAAAAAAAAAAAGAGATATGGGAGCAACAGGGGGGGTCTCGTCTGGGGAACCAGCTGTTGGTTGGGCCAAATTGTCGTCCCAGGCGAGCGAGAAATCGTACGAGCAGCAGGCGATAGGGTCCGGGGTCCGGTGCGTGGGGTGGAAAAAAACAGGATGCAGCCTCTGTTTTATAGCAAGGTGTGTTTGGGGCAAGACTCCCTCCACTGTGATGACACCGATCTGAAATCAGCTCTCTGGCTATGGGAATTTTTCTCGCTTTCGGCCTTTGCTCAAGCAAGTCCGGCGTCCAGCCCCGCTCTGATAGCAACGGAGCACCGTGATTCGCTGCAGTGCTCGGCTCAGAGATGGCCTCGGACTTAAGACGCACGGCAACTTCACCTGGAATTGCGCAAAACAGTCTTACAGTCTTTATTACTTGTCATCGTCTCGGTGACGCCTTAGTTGTACACACAAACTCCGTAGACATATACATTACAAACAGACAAAGAAAATATGGTGGTGAGGCACTACTCGTGCTCGGTGGCAGCCAGTCCTGCCTTTGCCCTTCCGGCGCCCGTCAAAGGAGACATATCAGAAATAGAAACGATAGGCAGACATGGAAAGAAAGAGAAGGAGAAACACATGCCGCTATGGGCAAACAGCAAAGGGTATGTAGAGAAGAAGGGAATCGGAAATGGTACAGGTACAGAGGGAAAGAAAAGTCGGGATATATGGAGAAATATCAGTCAAGACAAAAGAAGAATAGAGAGAGAGAGAGAAAAGGACTCAGAGCCCGTCTCCCAATGAAGCTGTCCCCTGGAAGCTGGGGGCAACAGGATCAGTCACGGGTACATGCTTCAGCTCAACCGCGTCGCCCCGGCTGCCGGTGCTGTCGGTGGCCTGATGCTGCTGGCGCGCCGTCTGCCTCGTCGGCTCGGCCGCCAGCCGCTGGTCGCCGGTCATGTGTGGCTGCTTGAAGCGGTAGTATGTCGGCGTCCTCGCGCGGCACAGCACCGCAACCCAGTTCCAGAACGCGCTTGTCTGCGAATAGGACCGGTAGCGGTCCTTCTTGGGGAACTTTTGCGAGTTGAGAAACTCGCGCGTCGTCTCGCCGCGCGTCATCAGGAACATGTGGTAGCCCATCAGCACCATCGGATACGTGCAGCCCAGCACGCCGTAGATGGCCATGGCAAACGGCACGCGGAAGTGGCTGATGGCTGCTCCAAACGAAATGTGTTCGCGTGCCCGGTACACCAGGATCTGCACCAGCGACGCCGCCGTCAGGTATAGTGCCAGCACTGCGCACGACGTCACAAACGTGAAGAAATACCGGTAGTTGCGCCGGCCTACGCAGTTGTTCAGCCACACGCAGTGGTGGTCTGCCGTCTCCACGCAGTTGTCACACACCCGGCAGTGATGTGCCCGCGGTGGCCGCCACAGGTTGCACGTCCGGCAGTACTTGACCGGGACTTCCATGGCTGCTGTCGCCGACTCTGCCGACTTGATAAGCACCCAGTCCGTCGTCGGTGCTCCCAGCCGCAGCGGGTCGTCGCTGTCGTTCGGTGTCGGGAATTGGTGCAGGTTACGCGGCAGGATCTGCATCTTGTTAGCCATGGGCCCTTGCAAACAACACACAAGACGTCTTCACGGCACTCGGGCACTTACCCCGGGATCCGTCACGGACGCGTGCACAAACGATGACAGGCAGATGTAGCAGACGTAGGCAAACGTGATGGGGATCGCTGGCGACACGTGGTGCCACAGCCAAGACGCCGAGAAGACAAAGAAGAGGATCGAGGGCACGACGACCAGCGTGCCGGTCGCTACGTTGAACGGCCGTGACTTTGTGTTTTCGAAGCGTCCGCCCAAGCAGAACACCGTGTTGCCCTCAAAGTACTGGTAGTTCTTGCCGTCGTACGTGATTTCCGCCTCATCCTGCGGCTTCCTGCGTCCGGCTGCCGCCAGCTTCCAGTCCCGGTCACGGCCGTGTGCCTGCGAAGTCGCTGCTGACATGGTCTGTGGTGGCGTCGAGGCCACGGACTCGAGCTTCTCCCCGCCTTGGATGTCACGGTTTGCCCCCGCAGACTCGGCTCCCAGCAGAAAGCTCGACCGGAACGAGCGAGGCGTCCGCGGCGTCCGCACAGGTGTCAGCGGATTGCCTACAGTGCTGGGCTTGTATGTCTTATCCACCCTGACCGTCAGCCCGCCTCTCCGACCGGCACCGCCCTCGCCCTCGACAGGAAATCCGCTGCTGGCTCCAGCCTGGATTCGCTGGAGTGGCCGCACGCTGTCGCTCAGAGAGGCCGCGGCGTAATAGCCCGTCGTAGGGCTGGTGTTGGCCGTGATACGGTCGACCGTTTCCTGCTCCGTAAACTCGGAGCCCCGGGAGACGGGTCGCGCAAAACTTGACTGCTGCACATGCGACATGATGTTGCCACCAGTCTCCGTGCCAGCCTCATCGCCAGCTCCTTCCTGTTGCATCTGCAGCAGCTGTGATTGACGCGGTCGGTTGATGGCTCCACGCTGAGCCTGCAGCTTTTGGGAGCTCATGGGGTGGAAGAAAGCGTGTGACGTGAGAGAAGGAACGTGACTCCGCGTCGCTGAGCTTGCAGGACGTCCGCCGTATGCAGAAGACCCGGAAACAACACTGCTTCCACTGGCGCTGTACCGCTTACCGGAAAGGCCGGGACGGAGAGGTTGGGAGTGCCGTTTCTGATGTAGCAGCTGCGAGTTCCTGGCCGAAGACAGGCCCGTTCGCGCCGTCGGTGGTCTTGAGGAACGGTCTCCGGCCACACTCCCGCCGACCGTTGCCGTGTCTTCCGGCACACCGCCGACCTCTTCGGGCATGTCTGTCATGCGTGACGAAATAATGCTGGGCGCGCCCCCCGGCGCATCGGATCGGGACGAGGAAAAGTGCGGGAACGTGTGCTCCTCATTACTGGCGGTCGGTAAGGCGCCACTGGCGCCCTGCTCCTGGGATGACATGAGCCGGACTGGAGACGGCAAGGTGGAGTGTATATAGGGGCACACGGGCACTGCTCAAAGGCCTTGTACGTGCTAGGTATTGCGTATTTCTGGGGAAAGAAAGCCGGCGAGGGCGTTGTCACCCAAAATGTCGTCGATGGTCGTTGCCTGTCGTGTGCTGGAGATTTCAAGATAAAGGATAGGCTACCGTGCCTGCGTGTTGGTTCTGATACAAAAAAAGGAGACGAAAAACAGAGGGCAAGCAGCCGGACAAGGAGAGTGGTGAAAAATAATTAAAAATTAATAGAGAAGGAGTCTGTAAAGACCAAGGCAGCGTTGCTGAGATGCGGCTGTTCTGCGCGTGCAGTTGTACGGGTTTCTGTGTGTTTTGTGCACTACGTCTCGTCGGCCGTCACGACGTGAACAGGGGTTTGGTGAGAAAAAAAACCGATTGCCACCGTGGGTGTTTGGCCGCCTATTAGCTGGTTGGGCAGTGCCTTTTGGCAGGCTGCAGACGGTCACTGAGAGAATGAAATGAGGGTCCGAGGGCTGGTCTGTGTGGCATCCCTGCAAGAAAGGGGGGACGTGATGGGATGGCTAAGCCGTCTCTCGTCTTAGCGGCTCTGTAATACGCTGTCCAAGCAAGGGGAAGCCGCGCTTTTCGATGTCACTGGAGAGAGTGTGGTATTTCCGACTCATGGCTGGGTTGCATCGCCAACCACCGCTCCAACTGCGGGAGGAAAGTCGAAAAGAGGCCGGTGCGCCGCCCTGCGTGCGGTTTCTGTTCAGCCAAGATGTTTCACGCGTCCCGAAAGATGGCGGGAGGCCGTTATTACGCCTCTGAGATAGCGGGCAAAATGTGGTGTCTCTGGTGGAGCAGTGAATCTCGTCTTAAAATGGTAGATCATGGCTCTATGGAGCGCCCCCCTTTTGGATCCAGTCTCCACTTGTATTTGAGCCTGTGGCAGAAATTACAAGCGCCCCTCTCTGTGCCTCAGGCAGCAGCTCCTGCACAGTGCCACGACTGCGGGTGGCCATGACTGCTCGTGGGATTGGCCAATGGCAACGGCCGATTCGTAACAGAACAGCCCACCCATACACCCGGACCACAGAGAGGCAAGCTTTTTTGCTCGTCTTTTGTGAGCTTTCCGAATCAGACCATTTCCATATCCATATTAATCGTCGATTCCGCCAGCCGCCGCAACTCACCACTCGCCTCCGTCGTCCGTCCCGGTCAACCGCGTCGTCTTGCGTTCTTTCCCACAAACAACCGAGTACTTCTCTCGCCATCACCCGAATCCGTCACCATGTCGTTCATCGCCCGCCGCGCTTTTTCGACGTCCGTCCGTCGGCTGTCCTCGGACGAGGCCCTGAAGAAGGATGCCAGGCGCAACCCCGAGCTGCTGGTGGGTTCCTGGCCCCTTCCTATCGCCGCGTGGGCGACAATTCGCGCCGGTTGAGCTGGAAATGGATATTGACCTGTGGGCAGATTCTCGGCGGCGTCATGGTTGCCGTGCTCGGCGGTGCCGGCTTCTACTTTGGCCGCTCACCCACTCAGGCCACGGCCGAGACCCCCGTGCTCAAGGCCGGCATGCCGTGGGAAACCGGCTCCACCGGCAGCAAGTACCGCTACCACCCCGGCGGTGACGCCGGCGCAGACCCCAAGGACGCCCCGAGCGCCGTCAACGTCGTGATCGTTCCGGATGTCAACCTGCCCAAGGTGAGATTGGTTGGCGTCTCCCCGCGTGCGTACAGAGCAATGCTTACTGACTGCCCAACTCGCAGAGCCTGCACGACAAGTACAACAAGTGGGGCAAGGACGGCTATTAAGTCTGACAGCCAGCCAGTGGTTGTGAACAACGCAACCGGAGTCGGAAGCTGTCCGCTAAAGGATGCAGGCCAGGGCCATAGTCCAGGCTTGCAAGACTTGGTGCAGTTGTATATAATGCAGACACGTGATGGGGAAATGCGTGGCGTCTGTAGGGAGCAATAGATGATTGTGCACGCATGCCGGTTTGCTGCCATGCAGCGCTCGAGAATAGTCAGGCCTTCTGATCTCTGTTTGCCTAGCAGTTCCTCCTCTTTCTTCGCCTGCTCGGTCATTGCATGGCCCATACCCACTTTCATCATATTCATATACAACAAACGGTCAACACCAGACAAAGACCCCTTGAACAAATTCCTCCCACTCGCTCGAAACAGTCCCTATAGGTCACAACAACTCAGTAACTTTCACTCAAGCGAGAGAGCATGTTGCTGGGACAAAGAGAATCTGCAGCAACGCTACCGCAAGGCGGCGCTTTCAAGCCCGACTGCAGCCAGCTTGGCCGAGTGGTTAATGGCGGTAGTCTTGAGAACTGCTATCTTGAAAGAGATGCGCAGGTTCGAATCCTGTAGCTGGCACACAATCATATTTTTTGACTATCGTCCTACTCTTTTGACCTTTTCAGTTGAGTGCTTAGAGCTTTAGTCTGTGCTGCTGCCCACGCCCATCTACATCACGTTGAAACGATTGAATCCTTGAGCAGGCCAGGCTTTTGTGATCTTGTATGCTCAGGCGAAAACATTTGGTTGTTTATGGCCTGTGCCGTCGTGTCCGGAAGATTGCTCTTTGGCCAAACGATGCAAAATCACGATATTTCATGATGTATTTCTTGACCTGCTGTAACTTCTTCTTTCAAATAGCCGCTAAATATGTACAGAAGCAAAAAGTAGCATGTGATGAATTATCTACAAGAAACGAGGAAACAAGAAAGAAAATGGTCAAAAGAAAAGCAAATGATTGAAACTCCCCCATGATATGAACGAAGATATTATCAGGATAGGCAACAGAAGCAGCGTAAATCATGAAACCAAAACAAAACGCCTACCACGTAAAGCTCTCTTCCACGAAATCCACCACTGTGCCTTCATCCAACACATCCCGCACTGCCGCTCGGACATCATCTGCCATTGCTCCGGATCCGCACACAGTAACGCACATGGCGCCCTTTTGCTCGGCCACCTCCTTCTTTAGAAGCGTGGAAATGTTTGGCCGGCTCGGAAATACCTGAACGGATCGTGATGCAGGGTACATCTTCAACGCATGCTTGGGGCGGGTGACAAATAGCCGGATGTGAAGAACTTCAGCCCGGTGCGGCAATCGCAGAATCTCGTCCATCCAGGGCCGGATCCATTCGAAAGCCTCCTGGTCCCGTACAACCCATATGAAACTAATGCGTCGCGTAGCAACAGTTCCCGCAGCGTATCCCTCAATCAGGTGTCGCAAATAGCTGATCTGGTGTGTGATTCCAGAGGCGCCTGCAACCAGCACGACATGGCCGTAGCTGTCGAGCGAGTGATGGCCGGCATAGGGACCTTCGAACAAGGCCTTCAATGTGATGGCTTGTTGCCCCTGTTCTCGTGCGCGGTCGTATAGCTTGCGCGTGAAACCGTGTTGGGCCGAGATGATAAAAGAGACTGACGTGCGCAGAAGGTGGGTCTTTTTGTTGTGTCCATCGACAGAAGCTTCCATAAAAATTTGTTGCTCACTTTGTGCCTCCTTCACGGATACTGGCAAGATATCGTCGTTGTCAAAGCGAGGGTTGTGTTTAACCCAGGCGATGCTAAATGGATGGCACTGCCACGGGGCGATATTCAGGAAGCGCAAGTAAGCATGAGTGCCCGGCCGCACATTGACATATCTTGGCAGGTGGACGGTGACGCGGCAGGTTTCGCCAGGAAGCGCTTCGACCACTGCGTCAGCCCAACCATGACGCGACCATGAGGAATAGGCACTGAGGGCCACACGAGCCAGACGCTCAACGACCCAAAGGATAATAATCGCGACGACGTAGGGCAGTTCAGGAAGTCCACCTGCAATGCTGGCTGTTGCGCAGTGGATCCAAGTGCAGGCAAGAATGATGATCGCCAGCAGGATGTGTGTAGCCAGGAAAGTCTCATAAAATGCGTGACGAAGGGGAGACACGGACACAACGACGAGCACAGTTAATGCCACCACGCCAACGGTCCCCGAGGCGATGAAGCTGTCGTGAATTATCTTAAAGCTCACACTCGGCCAGCCACCATCGTTGACCTGAACCACCATCCATGCGATCGTGTGGATTATAGTTTCGATGGCCACAGTGCGGCCAACCCAACGGTGCACAATATTGAAGGTGTCGAAGCTTATGCGCAGCATGCTGATCAGCGGGTTGTTGCGACTTGCCAGAAGCACTAGGGGCACCATGTTGACTGCAGCCAGCGTGCCGGAACGGCCTCGCACCTCGGCCCAAAGAGACCAACGGTTCTCTCGGCCATAGTCGAGAACGAGCATGTAGGCCAAGTTGCTACCTAGGTAGCCGACGAGGAGAATGGCTTGCAGGCGAGTGGGCAAGGTGCCGATGCTGAGAGCCGATGAAATCTGTATCTCTCGGTTGTGTCGCTTCCGCGAGATAGGTGCATAAGTTAGGTGCTTCTTGATCCACGGCATGTAGCCCCATTGGGCGCTGCGCCAGTATGCTTGGGCAGAGGCTGGGAGTGCCATGGCGGAAACGTGACGTATGTGGGCCAAAGCGATCTCGAAGAAACGGAGGCATAGTATGCTGAGAGCCACGATACCCAAGCTCCACCACAGAACATCTCTGAAAAGAAAATTCTGGACTTGGTCGACACCGCCGAGGCCTGTATCGAAGTTAGAAATATCGTCAGCAGACGACGCTGTCGTAGAAGCGGCCATCTCTGCAGATACTGTCGAGTTGACAGGAGATTTTGAAATCAAAGGGGGGTTGTTTCGTGAATTTGCTTGTTGATGATGTGGTGAATTCGGCTTGGGCTAAGTGGCTCGAAAAATAAACATAAGGAAATAATAAAGCAGAGACGATCGGCGCAGGTAACGTATATGTGCTCAAAGTGTCGAGAAGAGAAACAGAAGTTGAACGTGGATCGTTGAGCTACCGAACAAGCAATATCATCGTGTCTGCTGAACAATAGAGGTGACTGTAAAGGACTTTGTTCTGGTAAAATGAACGTTGTCTAGACGTGTTTTTTTCTCGGTGAACAAAGCGATTATTTTGTGTTTCGAATGGCGAATTAATGAGCGTGGCTTGTTCCCCTTTCCCTTATTGAAGCGTGAACCGGTAGTTCGATGAGTCGTTACTCAGTCACCAATTGTTCCTGTCTTTTCGACCTGGCTCGGCCAAATTTCTGCGATTGATACTTCCGATCGCTCACGGTCTGTTCCTTTCCACTTGAAGCAGTGACTACCAGCTAAGCAATGGCCACTTGTCTCGCCAAAGCCAGGGAGGAAGAAAAGGCCAGACGTGAAAAGTAGTGTCGAGATGACGAAGGAAAGAGGCGGCGACGAGAACAGCAGAAAAGGGGGACAGGAGAGCAGCGTTTGCGGCAAACCTTCCTTGATTTTGTGCCACGCCGTGATCGCCAAACGGCAGGACCCAGATTTAAAAACGTAAGAGTGCGATCAGCACGCTTTGAAAGGCAAGTTTTCTGCCTCAGTCGAAGCAAGACCGATAGACTGTTAGATTGAAAGAAACGAATTGCACCGGAAGCCGCCGAGAAGTGGGAGGTGATTCCGCAGCGAAAAAGACTAGGGCGAAGTATATGAAGTATTCGGGGCCGATTTCTTCGCCGTAGTAGGCTCTAATAAAAGTAAAATGGAGTACAGAAAGAGCGATAATGTCAACCCAACACTCTGGGGTGAAGCCGTTTCGTGTAGGCGGCAACTTTGTGAACACGGTCTCTTGCCTGCAGCCTGTGCAACAAAAGACGGGATGAAGATACAAAGGGAGGCGGAAGGTACGACGACAACAAGCCAATCCAAGCCAAGCCAAGAACACGAGCGAGAAAATCATGAAGGAAAAAAGGAAAAAAAGGGAGAGAGCAAGACAGCATACGGAGTATAAAAGGTGGCTGAGCGAAAGTCCATCCGCTCGTTCACCTATGCCATATCGGAAGACCAAGCCTCTGCCTGCATATCCACAGGTTCCATGAACATTTCCGCCTACTCCATGCATGTGTTCGTACTCGTACTCTGTACCCATGGCCGGCATCTACATACTATGTACGACGTACGGAGTACGATGCCGGTTCGCCCCTTTTGGCGCTGCATTCCTGGCCAGTGGTGACGACAACTGAGAGAAAAGCAGGCCGTTGTTTCCAGAACGGTGGCCCCTTCAAAATTCGCGTGTTCTGATTGGCTATCTGTTTCGCTTGAATGCCTAGCGCCCCGTAGGTCGCAGATCTAGTGTCAGGGGCTGGGTTGCCTCGTCTAGCAGAGCTTGCCCGCCGCCACGGCGCGCTACTGTATACGGAGTAGTAAAAACCATAGGCTGTGCATCCAGCGACACCGAGACAAGGGAGGTAGATTGGCCTCCATGTGTACGAGATGAGCTTGCCAGGACCTGTCTCCCACTGATTGTCGGAGAGGCGGTCGAGCGGGGTGTCTACATGGGAGGTGAAACATTTTGGCTGGTAAAAACATCTTATGTAGAGACATATGCAATGGGAATAGACATACGGATTCAGGACGACATCGTAAGATTTCATCACAAGAGAGCCTAATCCTTGCCCGTTTCTTATTGCAAGGGCTTGGGTTATGCTACGGAGTACACATGCAAGATCACCCTCTTTTCTCTTTTCCCCAACTGAGATTTCCCGGATGGAGGCAACTGGGCTCGTTTGGCTCCCCAGAAACCAGCCGATGATGGAACTGTCTTTCCTCTTACAGCTGCTGCGACACAAATCTCGGCTTGCGGCGTTAAAGGCGGTGAGGATTCGCGTGGTAGTGTGGTATCTGACCTTCCACGCTCTATGCATCATATCTTCCTTTGATTAGCTGTACTCCGTATGTGAAGCAGCAATTAAAGCCCGACAAATCGGCTTAGACCATGGCCTATGGCTTGTCAAAAGTCTGTATTCAACGCCTTGCTTTCGAGCGTATGTCATCGGCACACCAGGAAGCATTCGTTTTCCGCGGATGTCTCGCAGAGACCTACGCGACCAGCTTTTCGCCAGGTATTCATGTCATTTGGCAAACAAGCTTGTACTATGCAGTTCTATTTTGTCCTGCAAAGGGCTTGATCGAACACTCAAAGTCGTCTCCTTTTGTGTCATCGGTACCTTTCCCTTCGCGTAAGTCTTATCAAGATAAGCAACATTTCTGGTTCATCCTTCAGACACGCGTCACCTACGACGTAAGACGATCTCGACAATCTGATTAAGGGCCACACCACGCTCCGCAGATGCCGCGGAAGCCTTTGATGGTGCGAAGTATGGAGTATAAAATTACGCGAACAAAAGCAGCTTCCGTCGATATTGCACAAGGCATTACTATGCATGGCAAATGATTTTAGCGAGTGTCGTTATGGGAAGACTGAAGGGCTGACACCTTCCAGAAGACAAGTGCAGTATTTGCACTGGCTGCTGATGCTGCATGCTGCACTGTGACGACTCATAGTAGCCAATCATTGGTCTTGAAGATGTATCCCGCCAAAGGAAAGCCCTCTCCTCTGTTGTGCACGGTCGAGGGAGGTCTTGCGCAAGTGGAGGGTTACAGTCTGTGCCAGGAACGCTTGCTAATAGTGGGTTTTGGAAGCGTAAGATAGGTGCCCAAAACGAGAGCAATCAATAGGCCTACGTCGACCGTGTAAGTTGAGTGGTCTAAACCTACGACGGACCTAATGTCACCAACGTTGTGTTGCATCACAAGAAAATAAAGAGTGTCGACCTTCCCAAATATGGAACTTTGAGCTGCGGCAGTGGGCATGTCCAAATGGTGATACGAGGTGAGCTGTAGGGTCAACAACCCGCAACAAGAAGTACGCATGAGTACGGAGTAAAGACACGAGTCTGCATGGCGACACCCTTGTCTGAAAGACTGTTGCTGTCACACAAGTACTGAGTACCCTCTGTAGTAAATGCAGGGGACCGTCCGTGCCTTGCTCTTTGCCGTTTCACAAGACAGCGATAGATCTCGACTTGTCTGCAGCCTGAGGTGAAGCCAGAGAGAGAGCCGAGAATGTTGTCAGCAATTAGTCCTTACGTCCTTGAATGTCTTCGTGTGGTGCTCCCTTCACGCGAAGTGTTCACTGGGAGCAAGTCTCGTCGATGCCTGAGGCATTAAGCCCAAAGCTGTACTCAATGCGCACTAGCCTAATCTGGCCACGAATTTTGGAAAAAAAGCATCGGCTGCATCGCGGGAAATTCCCGCCGTGCTTTTCTGCGTGCCACGCGACAATCGGCAGCGACTTATCTGCTTCCTCGCCCCTTGCCATTGTCCACGAGTGTACCGGTACGTCTTCCCAGTCGACAGAGCTCCTACACACGGGCCACGGCTCTCTGCAAAGCTCTAGACGTGCTAACCCTAGGCGCTTTCTGCCCCTTCCCCAGAAATCAGCCCAGTTTGGCCGCTCTACCGAATTCGTCATTGACCGTGCAGCCGACATCTCGGAACGGCGGAAACACGACTAACCTCTCCGCCGAACTTCTCTCTCGCCCACAGCCCTCCCCTTTATTCCTGCACCGCTTCACACTCCCACTCGCTCCCAATGGGCTCCAGCGCATCCAAGCCGGCCTCCCCACACGTGTGGAAGGGCACCGGCCCCCCGACCGTGTCCCAGGACCTGCTCGAGACCCTGCAGTCCAGCACAGAGGTGAGCAGGAAGTTGCCCAACTCGACCCGGCCGGAATTGGACGCTGATGGCTGACCTGCAGACCGACACGACCCGCGCCCAAACGGTCGAGCTTCACGTGCAGGCCCGCGTTGCAGAGGAGCTGCGCCGCCTGCAGGCCGAGCAGCTTACCAAGCTCAAGGGTGCTGGGGCTGCCCTTGAGGAAGAGACCGTGGCGAAACCCATCGACCCCTCGGCTCCCTCGTCCGCTGCCGTTGCCAAAGACATTGCCGGCCTGCGGGCCCGCCTTGAGGCTCGCCAGCGCGAGGTCAGCCAGCCGCTGCCGGAACCCGTCGAAAAGGCCCGCGGTGAGGTCGTGCGGTGTCTGCGCGAGAACGACCGGCGGCCTCTGGACTGCTGGCGGGAGGTTGCCGCCTTCAAGGACGAGGTGCGCAAGCTGGAGGCGAGCTGGGTGGAGCGGGTGGTGAGGACTTAAAAGTGAACCCAGGAAGAAAGATTGACCGTCTCTCGTTCATGTCCCGCTTCTTCATCTCGCTTTTGCGCTGTAGCTACGGACATTGAGTGTATATATATAAAAATCCGAAGCATAGATTCTTTTTTTTTCTCGTCTCGGTTTCCTGCTTGCATGCTGTCCACCTATTCGATGAGATGGAGTGCTTCGTTCGCATCTGCCCCCTCTCGTTGGGTATCGGTCGCCTTTTCCACGATTTGCCGCTGCAGGGCCGCCTGTCTCTGCAGCCCCTCGGCGCGCAGACGTGCCTTTCGTGTCGCAGCATCTTCCCAGCTCGGCTTGTTGCCCCCACTGCCCCTGGAGGATGCCTGTGGATTCTGCTCTTTCTCGATGGCAGCTGCTACGGCAACCCGGAATCGCTCCGTTCGCTCTCGGTTGGTGACGAACCGCTGGTCTGTCACACGTGCCAGACGTGCCAGATAGCCTCGAGAGACTATGCATTGTCCCCTAGCTGATGCCGGACCACTTCCTTCGATGCCTACTCCAACCACCGATGCCAAGCCAAGGCCCATAGAGCGCACCGCAACGACGGGCATAGTCGCCTCGTGATCCAGAGTAACCGTCCCTAGGTCCCCGCTATTCGGGGCCACACTGACAGCCCCGCTCTCGCGGAAGCCGGCCGCCAATGCACAGCGGAGCAGCAGCTGGGCGTGTGCGAGTGATGCTGTCAGCACGTGGAGTATCTGTGATTTCATCCGGTGTTAAATACTGCAGTTGACAACATCGAGATACAAAAAACTGCTTACCATAGGCTCAAACTTCAAGTGAACCAGCCTTTGCTCGCCCTCGTCCTCAATGCTCAAGTCGGAGTTGATGTCTTCTCCCACCTCCAGACCGAAAACCGTTGCCCAATCTGTGTCCGCATAGCTTCCCTGCGTTCCATGATTACTTCCGTTACGACCCTCGTCCCGTAACAGTGGATTATGCGAGACAAACAGCCATGTGCCGCCGCCACCCTTGCCGCCAGTGGAGGCCGGTACCGTTGTTGGGGGAGAAGCTAAAGGCACAGGCAATGTAGCGCTGCCGTCACGGGCGTCCATCTCAACACCACCTCGTCGCCCCTCTATAAAGACAGCTACACGCCCGGCGCAACTGCTGCTAGTGACAAATCCGTCTAGTCTGTTTATTGCTTCTAGCAATGGCCGAACGCCCTCATCCACGGTACCCTTGGGTGAGGCATCTGCATATTCGCCTTCTGGCTGCGCGAGTTGAGCTAGGATAGCTGCCTTCTTGGCTGCAAACCGTGGCGGGCACGGTGGCAGCATCATTTCATGTCGAATTTATGTATATTCCTTAAGAAAGTTAAGAAGGACCCTGGGAATCTGACCTGCTGATTGTAGTCGTTTGACCGTGGGACCCAAATGTGGAAGTTTTATTTCTAGGCTATATTACGCAGTTGAGAGCGGCAAATCCAATCACGTGGCCATTGCAACTACCTCCAACTTTTCACTTCCGAACACACGTAAAACACAACATTTCAAAAACTTGCGCTCCGGCTATTATCTGCGGCTGGCTGTTACTTTAAAAGCCCTGCACTAGCTACCACAATACTCTATCTGATAGCCATATTCAGATCAGAATAGTACGTCTGCTTTCTCGAGGTCCATGTGCAACTCAAGGGTCATGAAGGAGCAGCTAAAGTTCGATTTTTGAATTTTTTGTGTATGTGTATGCCTTCCGTATATTATCCTGTTGTCTTACATGACGTTGATTCATTCCCAGCCAAACAATGGCGGGTATGTTACATGATCGTTGCTGTTTTCACATCTCTCTCTATCAAAAACCGGGGAAGCTTCGTACATCAAAAAGATGGACCGTGGATGTGTGAGGGCAAGGGGTAATGCTGGGGATCGGGTAGTGGGTAGTGGGAAGTAATTGCGAGGGCAGGAGAGGGCACTGATTACATGACTGGGGCAATAAGTGGGAAGTGATATGGAGTACAGCTCTAGAGTCATTCGTTCTTGGAGCGGGATGGGTGAGGGGGTATCTGGGAACGGGGCCGGGGCTATAAATCACTATGATCGGATCAGGTGGAAAACAAGAGAAAAGCCTCTTTGCGCAGAGACGCGGACCTGGCGGCGACTACGTAAATAACGGACGCGATCTGGAAAAACGACACAGCCAAAACGCAGACAGCGCTCTCTATTTCTAGAGAAGGCAAGGCGAAGAACAAGGCGTTTTGTTCAAGTTCATGTCTGAATGACGTTTGTCGTACCGCCGATTTGGTTCTTAACAAGCTCGCGTGCCCACTTGGCAGTATCAATCGTGCGTTGCGCATACTCGCGGTTGGTGCGAGTCTCCTTGATCAGGCGGAGCACCCAGTCTTGCCGGAAAGCCTCAGAAAGCTCGCCCTTCGAATACGCACTCGCAAGGTCACTGTAGCCACTGTTAGTTTCTCGCAAGCTGTCAATGCTATCAGACTGAAGACAACGTACCCAATGACGCCCATTGAAGACCGCATGAGCGCCTCGCTCCGGTTTCCGTCAGACGAGATAACGTTGAGCAATTGGAAGATAGATTGCACATATGGTTGCAGGATGGCAGCTTGAGATAGCGTGTTAGCAGGGCACACCGTATTTCTACCCGGAGAGGACCGTGAAGCTTACTCTTCTGGCTAGAGGTCATAGCACCAATGATGCCGCCCCAGGCATCCATGATACCTTCCCGTAATGAGACGACGTAGTCGTACATCTCATAGCTACCGTCAGTGCCAGCCGACACGGTGGCCGCTTGCTGCAATACCTGGGCAACAACTGAGAGATATGTCTCGAAATGGCCGCCGATGGCACCAGCAATATCGCCAAAGCACTGCAGAATGGCTGGCTTGAACTGGTTCGACAAAGTGGTGCTCTGAACACATTAGCACAGAACTAGGCAAACACGAATGGAATATTTGTGACGTACGCGCAAGTTGTTCAGCAAGAGGTTCATGAAGTTGTCACACCACGGCTGGCTGCGAATGCCCATGGAACGGGTGATGTCGCTAACAAGCCCGATGGCCATAGAGCACAGGCTAGGCTCTTCTTGGTTGTCGAGGGCCTTGAACAGGTACGGTGAAAATGCATCCATGTACTTGACAAAGTCATCCTCAAGAGCATTCGCCAAACTGCTAATAGCGGCGAACACAGCCTCAGGCACAGACGACTTTCCACCAGAGTTGGACAGGATCTGAAGCAGACCGGCCATGATGCGGTCACCTTGGGGAGCGATCTCCTTGTCAAGTCGACCGACAACGGCCTGCAACACAGTACACAGACTAGTCTGCATGTCTTCCAGGGTGATCTTATCCTCGACACTAACGACCTGAGTCTGCAGTGGGGCAGTCTCTTCAAGACGCTTAAGCACAACATCTGACAGAGAGCCGATGTCTTGCAGGCTGTCCTGGGCGGAGTTGGTGACAAAGGTGTTGAGAACCTCGTATGCGGCAGTGCGCACAGCAGGCTCGGCGCCAGCATCTGGTGCAGTGACGGTCAATAGATGACGGACACTGGTAGTGAAGTGGCGAGTAAGGGGGTTAGTAGAGGCACCCGGCTCGCCAGCAAAGCGCTCCGCCAAGTTCATCAGGGCCCAGCAGCAGGAGGCAGCCATCTTCGGGTTGCTCAGCAGGCCGCGAAAAAGCGCTTCGATAAGAGGGTCGAGGTGAACAGCGGGGTCGATGGCTTGCGAGCAATTTTCTGTGATTCGTCCCAAAGTGAAAGCTGTGGAATCACGCACTTGGATCGACGGATCATCGATCATCGAGATCAATATAGCCAGAGCAGACTGGACAATGGGCTCGAGCACCTTCTCATCAGGTCCCTCCATGATCGCGCCGAACGCAGAGACGGCAGCATCTCGTAGATGCCAGTCTTCGTGACGCAAATGCGACTCAACAAACTGGATGACGTGTGGGATAATGGTGGGACCCACAGCCTGTGCGTAAAGGGTCAAGCACTGATATGCCGCGCGTGAGATGTTGTACTCGTCATCAGCAGCATCCTCATCTTGCTTGGAGAGTAGCAGTAGCAGCACTGGCACCACCTCGCTCGTGGCAACGCGAGCAAAGTTGTAAAAAGGACGCAGCTGGTCCTGGTCATCAATCTGGACAACACGTTAGCAATTGCATGCAAAATTTGCCAATAAAAACCTGCAAGGAGAGGGGGAAAGTACCGGTCCAATCTGTGCATTGTCATCTTCAATGGCAATCTCCTCCTCGCAAACCGTGCTCCAGAACTCGACAGCGAGCTTCGCGACATCCTCGTCCTCGGACTTCATACCCATTATAGTGAGCCCGAAGAGAGCCTTCTCCATGTAGAAGCGCATGTTGTCGTAGTACAAGGCCATGATGCGGTTCAAGCAGCCAAATGCACCCTGTTGGATGCGGCTATCGGGAGCCTGTGTGGCTTCGCAGACAACCTGCATGATATAGTTGCGCTCGCCCTCGTGCTTGAAGTTGTTGCCGACGAACTCGAGAGAATCACTGAGAGCGGTGATGGCAGCAAACCGGACGTCGTTGTTGGTCTCCTCCTTGCGAGCACCCTGGACCACGGCAGTCAAAATTGAGTTGGAGAAGCCAATCAAGCTGGTGCGCAACTCCGGATCCTGGCTCTACGTCAAACGAAGCCTATTGTTGTGAGGGAGGCCTGCTTCTGGTGGACCTGGCCGTCGCTAACACCCTGTACGAGCGAGGGCATAAGCTCGGGCCATAAATTGCGGGGGAGCTCGATAGAAGCAATAGAGGCGACGACTTGGGCAGAGGCCTGGCCAGCCTGAGCGTTGGTCGATGATAGAGTCTGAAGGGCGAGCTGCTTGATGTTCGTCTTGGTTTCCTGGTCGGTCTGGTGCAGCCATTTCGCCTGAAGGTCAGCCTGCCGTGCCGGGTCCCGGCCAGTGAATGCATTTTTTAGGGCTAGACCAGCAGCGGCTCGGATGTGGCCCTGGGCATCTTCCTTTGCGAGTTCTTGGACGAGTGTTGCGAGGTACAGAGACTAGGGAATACGCGAGCACAGTTAGTGAAGAACTAAGAGGGAGGGGGGATGAAATGGATGGGATAGATGAATGGAGTGATTGTGGGGAAGACATACAAAGTTTGTAACAGCCGCCTGTTCGAGTTGCTGTTCAGCATGTTGACGCAACGTGTTGTCTGCTCATCGTTAGCAAGTCGATAAAAATGCGATGAGGCCATACACGGGGCCACTAGCTCTGATGACGGGACGGTATGTGAGGCGCGCATGGGCGCGTAGCCGATGCCTCTTCGCAGATCGTCCCTCGTCGCCTCCTCACTCCCACCACTGTCCGGCTTGATCGTGGGTGCAGGCGCGTGAATACGGCAAAAGTCAAAGAAAATCAAGGCAGAGAATACGTACCTGGCGACAACGAATTGGTCAGGATTGTGTTGATGTCCGAGTTTCCCTCCATGGTGTCGACTTGTTGATGCTTTCCTCCCGCTGATCTGGGGTGGGAAGAAAAAGACGGTGGGATAGTTGCTCGCGGTGGGGAAGGCAAACGCAGTCCAGGAAGGAAAGGGCCGGGCAGAGAAGCAGGACGAGAAGATAGAGCAAGAAGGAAATGAAGGGAAGCGGGGGTTGGCCCAAGAGATTGTCGATGACAGGAGGATGAGAGTAGAAAGGAGGGAGGAAGAGGAGTGAGGGAGTTGAGGTGTGAAAACGGGCGTATTATTTTTTTGTTTTCTTATTGCCCCCCTCGGACTTTTGGTTGGCGAGGTAGAAAGTGGGTATTCAAAATAATAACATAAAAATACCAGCAACAAAAGTGGGAAGGGCGAGAAAAGGGAAAGGGCGGGAGGAGAGAATGTCGAAAATCCTGCAAGAGGTTCGTTCTTGCCGAAAATTGCTTTCGGATTGCCAGCGGGATGATTGATGCAGAAGAAGGTGCTCTTCAGAGGCAGCAGCAAGGGATGACGATTATGATCATACCGCAGAAAACGGGTAGCAGCGCTGAGGAGGGGTTTTGCGGGTCGTCCCTGCCTTTGCACTCAGACCAAGAGGACGGGCTTTGGTTGGCCTGTTGCCGCCTGCGTCAGTAGCGCAGCAGAACTTTGGGGTTCTTTGTTAGGCTGAGTCACGGAGAATGCGCTTTGTTAGGCATCCTTCCTGGGAACAGATGTGGCTGATATAGTCAGAATCTGGCCACACCGCGACCGCATTCAATATATCTAGTCATGCATACTTTCATGCAGCGTGTTGCGTGCTCGCCATTCCCCTCTCTCCAAAAGCGGAAACGACGTCTCGTGACCGTTGCTGTTTGCACTTTCGAACAGTGGAGCGATGGCAAGATACTTATAATGGCTAAAACCTCTGCCCGAACGAACCAAGTCATCAAAATACCGTGACATCGTCACCACAAACGACAGTTCGTGGTCTACAGTCGACCGTGACGGGCCATTTATTTTACATGCGTACGAGAGACGAGGCCAGCAATGAGAATGAGCGATGCACACCGGGTTTAACCGGACAAGTACCGCAGTCCCACCTTCACTGTGCTGTAGCTAGTGGTCAAAGCGGTATAATAATTAAAACGGTAGAGTACTCTTCCTTTCAAGGCTGCGTACAGAGTACTCCGTACTGTGGGGTGAATTCCATCATCGCCGTCGCCATTACTACTTTGTAAGATACAGGGTTGCATGGTTGAATACGGAGTACGATCTCGAGGCACACTTTGGGCTACCCCTGCAACAGCCGCAATGAAAACGGCATCGTATTTTTATATGCGACATGTCCTATTGACGACCCAACTAAGACATTGCCGTCTGTTTCTTTTGGCATCAAGCTTGTTTAGTCTGATCCCTCACACCTTGGTACTCTGTATTTAGCCTCCTGACATACTATTCAGATTTGCAATACCCTCTTCCTGCATCCTCCATTCCTGAAAGCACTAGATGCTATGGCGATTTCAACAAATTTTAAGACATCATGGTGGCAAGTGCTCCTCTTACTTTGCATCTTGTCAAAAGGCAGGTCGTTTTTGGGTGTTTTTAACGGGCATATATCCGGCAAGTTCTGCTGAGTATGTTGTATGCTGCAGACTCCTCGGCGTAGTCATGGTGCCTCTCTGCACGTCTCAGCATAGTTCGATATGCTTGGCAAAACCAGATGCTTTGCCGTATTCATACATTCACATAGAGATATCTACGCCTATTGTATCTATCGGTGATGGTTCAAGCTAAATTTGTAACACCTGCTTCTGCCAGGGCCTCATGCATCCTGCATCTTTCGCGCCCCATCCCTCCCAAAGAAAGGCTACATACTACACCCACAACTAAAGTGACTTCACAGATGCAGGGGCGATCCTTCATGTGCAGGGGTAAGACCTGGGGAAGTGGGTCGGGGAGAACGCGAAAGAACAGCACATCCGCTCGAACTTTCATGGCTATGTCTTCGTCTTGTTGCCGACTTTCGAGCCTTTGTGCTATACCGTTGTCTGTCTGTCTGTCTGTTAATGATGTCTCCGGAACTGTTTTCTTCTCAGCCGTGGTAGGCCTGAAAGAGTCAGAGCTCCAGTTCCACCAACCTTTCCAGCTATGTCTGACCACTTTAGTTTGCCCTCTATATATGCGTATGTCCTGAGCTAACATATCTAGACCGGCTCGGAAAAGGGAGGAACCATTTTCCCAGTAGCGAGTGAGTCATCATAATGAAGCTCGGCCAGACGTGGACAAAGGAGCCTGTGATGACGTCGACAACTACTTCAGGCTACCTATGCGGTTCTGCTAACTTCAATGACTTTAGCAGGCTTCACGATAGTGCCACTATAGGCGTGCTAAAATGGAGTAGTATCACAAATGCCCGTAGATGGGTCTATTTCTAATTTACTGGACCAGCATGCCGATATCCGTGGCTCTGCTTCCGACGAAGAGAGCCCAGGTTCTTAAAAGCTGTAACTGACACAGGAGTTACTGGCGAGCTGGCTGCTGTGTCTCGAGCTGGTTGCACATTTCCGTCTGATGAAACTAAATGTGGTATTGTTGACGTGTTCTACTTCCTGCTATCAAAGCAGATCTGCTCTTACTCAAAATCGCATCAGAGGCAGTATCAGTATACCCAAGTTTAATGCGACGTCCTAAAATATGGGGGGGTTCAAAATTACGACAGGGCCGGAACAATGCTCCTGCATGGTCCATTCATTTCTGTGGTTATTTTGACAGCCCTGGAACGGTACAAACCTTCTTGGACAACAACAGCTCCAGCTCCAAGCTCAAAAGGTACCCAGCAGGAGATCTGTTGAAATCAACGGAACTACTCAGAGCCGTCTTCACCTTTGACAACGCAGACATAGAAACGTCTCGTGTTAGCGTTTCGTTTTTTTTTCTGATCAAGCATACAGCAACGTCAGACACACTCGTACCCGCGAGCATGACGCGGACTAATTTTGTGGACTAGGCATGTGCTCTTTAGAACGGCAATGTGCTAAGTTCAATCACGGCAACCGACAGAGACCATTCGGCTATAGTTAATGTACACAATCATGTACCACTCGTTTCTACTTCCGAACACTGAAACCGGCGAAACCCGATCTGGGCATCGTCAGAACCGTGTTATGATTCTTTCACTCTCTGGAATCCGGTAAGAAATTATTTCTGTCTCCCGTATCCCACCTTTTGTATTGTCAAACAACTATAGTTGCTTGCAAACCCTCGGATCGTTTTTAATAGTCGACTATGCATGAATACCATATTTGGGGTCTTTAGTCCACGCCTGGCACCATGCTGGCTTCCTGTACTATGGTCAATCATTCTTTTCCAATGGCACCGCCCAGAGCGGCTTCAGTACCAACAACGTTCTAGCTGATGCCCATTCAAAGGGCGTCAGGGAGAGCGTAGACTGGAAATATGCTTATGCTGCAATGAAACGGACGCCGATGTGGTCCCGACAAACAGACCGACCAACAGAACAGACACTTGAGATCTGACTAGCCTGTCGAAGATGATCGCGGTGCCCGACCCGACTGGCTGAACTACGGTCGATCCGCAAGCTGCGCTATAAAGTACTATGTTATCTTAAGCCCTCGCACTGGTCTTCTTTTAACGAATCAATCCTCTCACCTCGGGCCTTTTGCCGTCAACGAATAGCAGGTATTGGTTTCTAACAGGCTGCAAGTGGCCTGGGCAAAATTGAGGTTGCGGCCACCTATTCGAACCGGTCACGCAGTTGGCGGAACCGATAGAACCCAAATGCCACGTCTCTCGGATTCTTTGAATTTCTGGTGCCGCGCAACACACCTATTATCACTCAGGACACCTTGTCCTGTGATGGTTGCTACAGGGAAAATGACTGCATATGCCGATTTAGCAGATGATCCTTTCTGGCCCACGTTGCTGATAGGAACCATCAACTATGAGCCACTGCCTTAGACGTAGTCGAGTACTCGGGCGGCAAAAAGTACCTTTTCGGACCGCCTGTCTATTATGTCAAACCTCGTAAAACAAGCCCAGTTTCATGGCTCTCTTCCTGTTCAACTACGTCGGGCGTCAAAGCCCACCGTGAAGCACAGCCACTTTGTTGCTGGCACCTACTACAGCGCAACGAAGACCGGTCTACCTGGGAAATGACGCCGGTGCCATAGAGTCATGGCTGTTCTGAGTCGTGATTGGATTGTACCCCATGACGGGACATACGACGTTCTTGATTGGGTACCCTTCATCTAACGACCTCGCGACTGACCTGGCAGATTGCAAGACGCTGAGCATCTAAGCAGACAGCACTTCAACAGTCTATATACACCCAATCACAGATATTCAGCGGCAAAAAGTGGACTCGTACGTGGCTTGCTTACGACGCCATTTGTGCGAAGGGTGGCAACCTTCAAATTTTTCTGGATTCAAGTCTGGCTAATTGGACTATGTCTAGGGACGACTGTCTAGTCCAGGCAGCGAATGAGCATATCCTTCATAGATCGGAGCCCTGACAGACGTGGCCACCATTTGTGTATATAGTCTTTCTGCCACTACCAACTTCTTGCATGTGTATATCTCTCTCATTGATCTAAATTTGCTGTAAATGCCTGCTGGCCTCATCTGAAACATACCTCCATGTGAGCAAGTAAAGCAAACGCCGTGCTATGGGAATCAATACGTAGATGGCAACAAGTACCGTGTGGCAAATTAAAAGCAAATCATGCTTCCGCATTCTCTAGTGTCCTGCCGGGCTGTCGCCGCTACCCCATACATTCTGAAAAGCTTCCCCCTGAAAGTCATATGCCGGCGATGCGATTGTGTCCTCAGGCTCTGTTGCGGCTCCAGAGTTCCCTCCAGTCTGCTGCCATAGCCGCGTTGCCTCGTCGTCGGCCTTGATGTTGTCTGTTTCCGGACTTTTGGGAGAAACTGGCCCGGTTGCATCTCTGCTTACATCATTGACATCGTCACTGGGTTTTACTGGTGCTTTCTGGTCGTGTGACAGTGTTCGTTTTCGAGCTGGCGCATTCTTGGGCTTTGGTTTGCTTTTTTTCTTCGTCACTGTGACCGTTGGTGGCTGTTCTTGCGTTGTGCCTCTATCGCTGGCTACTGTTGGAGACATTGGCGCATCGTAGCTTGGCACCCAACTCGGCACTTGGCCATACGAGATGGGAGTCGCCGCCCTCCAGCGGTCCTCTCGTGATAGGCCGTTCGCAGGGACAACAGGATACTGCGAGTAATGTCAGAAATGAAGCAACCAAACACGTTATAGAACAGCTTATCACATACATTCCAGTCACCATACTCGAGTTGCCGCGCCTTGGCATAGAGGTTCTCCATATCCGGATCTAGCGTGGGGTCTTCAAACGTGCTGCTTTCAAAAGACTGGGAGTTGTTACGGCTCGGTCCAGAAACGCACTGATCACGGCTGTTGCCCCCAAGCAAAGGAGTATACGGATCCACATCACTCGCATTCGCCTTGTCAGGACTTGCGATCCAGTATTTTCCTTTGCCACCGCGTTCGTACCGCATGCCGGCTCTAAGCCGTGCCATTCTCGAGCGAGATGTTTCATGAGCCAATATCTTGTCATTTGAGTCGAAATCACGATACGCGTAGTTGTTACCGTGAAACGTCAGCTTCGAGTCTTCGATAAGATCACGAATGCCGAAGGCGTCGCGGAGAGCATATTTCACCGGCATCCGGGCGGCTGCCACCGTATCATCGGCAAAGTCATGCCACGAGAACGCATACCAATGACCCACTGCAAATGCTGGCATTTCGATACAAATCAGTGCATCCTGAATAGCAAGCGCCAGATTATCCGGTGTGTACCCATCCATGTCGGTCGGGAGAGCACCAAGCCAGACCAGGACGGAGAGCAAAAATCCTTGCCAGTACGACGCAAAGATGATGAGCTTCACGCACAAAAATTTCGGTACTGGGCGAAACGGCTTCAGGTCCTCGTGCATTATAACCCAGAAGAGGCCGAGCGAGTATAGGCTGATGGTGACACTGAAGTTGTAGATGATGGTGCTCCAAAAGTATCCCGACTTCAGCTCAAGTTTCCCTTCATGATATGTGCCTGTAGCCTTCATGATGACGGCCGACAGACCAAGAATCGGCTTCAGCCATGCGTACTGAAGAATGCCCCGCTTAACCGCCAGAAAGGAGTGTGGATCTGAGATGTCGATTGGAGGGAGACAGTGGTTCAAGGGGAACAACAGTGGTTTGGGCTCACGGCCGTGGGTCATTATGATGAGGGCCCGTTCACCGTCGAGGTAGTTGATAAGGAGTTGAAAAAACGTGAAGATTGTGAAGGCCTGAACATAAGGCAGGTCGGCTAGTTAGATTCGGTAGAACCGGAAGACTGGGTGTAGCACAAACCTCGTATATGTCACGGATGGGGTCGAGGCACTGGGCTGCAATTGTTGATACCATACTCGCCCAAGATGCTATGGAGTAAATAGGAACCCTTTAACAGTCAACAACCGGCGCATATGGTGGCCAAAATATGTATATATAGGTCGAATAACATACATGAGGAGGATTCGAACGACGTATCGTTGAAGTAACGGCTTGCGGTAGTTTTTCCTGAAAGCTTGTCAGCACGTGGCGCATGGGGAGACGAAAGCCCAAATCAACTCACAGCTGAAGCCATATTGAACTGATGTCGAAGCACAAAGGTAAGAGATTAGCAATCAATCAAGTGTCCTTAGGTGCGATTCAGCCGACATACACAATCGACATGAGAGTAGCTGTGAGAGACCCAACCCCGGCCACAATCGTGGTGGCCTCCGCAAACTTCTGCCCCGTCCCTTCAACCATCGTGATGGCTGAGCTTGAGCTCGATAGTGTCGGGTTCGGAGAGGATCGCGTCTCGGAGAGACTAGATAGGAGGAGATACAGAGAGATGGAGAAGCTGCTAGCGGCTCTTCGCTTTGTTCCCTATCAAGCGGCCATAGCAGAGGGAATATAAAACAAGAGCGGTAAATCCCCAGGATTAGATTTAATCATGCTTGCCGGCAAGGCAGCAGAATTGTCGTTGATATCAGTGATGACGAGCATTTAGGTTGTTTGGTGCTTTGACAAGTATTAGCGTGTCTGCGTAGAGACCCATAGATAAGTATTTATCGGTGCGCTCCGATAGGCCAAGCTAATAAGCCTTGAAAAAAACCCCAACTAGCAGCTAGAGCTCCTTTTCAGCCACAATCAACGCGCTTTCGAGGTGTAAAGTCAGCAGCAGATGTACAGCGCCCCTTTCGTGGAACGAGCCCGTTGCAAAGCTTCACCTTCCTCCTGTCTATCTAATCTCTCGAATACGCGACTCGCAAATCAGCTGCACCAGGGACCAGCCAGCCCTCGAGACCACATCTAGCAAAACTATTTGAATCTGAGCGCATCGTCTGCTACAGTCAAGCCGGCAGCAGGGTTGCACTGGAACACATGACATATCGCATTACGAGCACACCTATACCGGGATATGACGGCCACTTATCCAAACTATGGAGAATAGACTCCGCGGCGACTTATAGAAACAGATGAATCTTGGAGCAGTGCTCGGAGCGTGACAGTATGGCTGACGATACCACGTTTGACCTGGACAATGGTCCTCATTTCAGTGGGTAAGCACTCGACTTCCCCCTTTCTCGACGTTCACGCACTTCTCACGATGAACTCTACTGACAACCTTCTTTTTGAAATTTAGACTTTTCTTGACGTACATGGTCGTTGCATCATTTTTGTACGTCTACTGCACTTTTGGCGCAACGTCCTGATCGAGAACTAACAGACATCTGCTATGATTTTAGGGGGTTATTTTTCTTGTTATACTTCAACAGAGCAATTGCTTCCTTGGTTTTCTGGGCATTGCGACAATGGACCTGGCGCCGCTATGGCATATACATCGACGTACAAGCAATTCAGTTCTCGCTGCTGGGTGGCCGCATATTCTTCGTCGGACTTCGCTACCACGGAAACAACGAGACCATCCTCATACAGAACGGCCACGTCACATGGTCGTACTGGATTCGGAGAGTCCGGCATATTAACATCGGCAAGCCAACGAGCGGAAAGGACGTGCGTACAGACGATGTGAAAGGGGCGAACGCCCATGGCCACAGCAAAGCCGAACCTCAGCTGCCTTGTCGCGTGAACCTGGCTATTGCAGGCTTGGAGTGGTTTGTCTACAATCGCAGTGCGGCATACGACAGCATCATTGCAGGGTTGACTACTACACCTGTAGATAGTGGAGAGGAATACAACATCGCAGAGCATGACCACCTGGACCATGACAACAATGGAATGCACAAACTGCGAAAACGCCACACAAAAGAGCACGACAACGGAGATAGTTCTAGAAAAGGGAAATCAGATGAGAAAGCGACTGGTCTTTCTGAAGAGCCTGATCTTCGCTTCTCATCGGCAGACAGCTATGAGCATGGCGGTGCAGACGGCGACCGAAGGAAGCCCGGAACCGATGATGCCGACAAAGATGCGCTGCCGGTGGTTCTGCAACTGTTTCCTATTCATTTTACATGTGACAAGGCGGCTGTTGTGATGGGCAATGAAAATACGTCCGCAATCCTGATTGTCAAAGCCCAGTCATTGTCTGGCGAGATTGACGCCGTTGAGACCCAGACGCCCGATCCCTACCGGCAACTTTTCAAGATTCGATTTATACAACCTGTCATTGAAATGAAGGATAATGATGATTACCGCGAGGATCAAGTCAGCAGGGCAGTGAGGGAAAAGGCGGCGAGGGAAAAGGATATTGCTAAAGAATCTAGGCCGCTTCCACGGCGGTCTTTTTTCCACCACCAACGTCGTGCTGCTGTTAACCAGCTTCGCAATATACTTCCATATTTTCGGAGATCAGTCGAATCCTTCAATTCAACGAGTCCCGGTTCTGCACAGGAGACTTCAGCCTCTGCCCACATGCCAGGTTCTGGCCATTGGCAAGGCTTGTCTAGATATCTTGATGGACCTGACGGCGATGAGAAAACGCGCTGGGCTAGTACCGAGTACGCAATACTAAATCCCATTCTCGAGAGCCCGGAGGCTGTTTTCACGATGTACTGGGACTCTGTGGGTAAAGTGACTTCTACTGCGGTCGCTGTTGAAGCCATCCCCAGTGGCCCAGCAAAGATAGAGGAGAAACTACTACCAAAAGATCATGAGCACAACATCAACGGCTTTGAGCCCCCGCCAGCATGGGGAATGGCCTTGTCAGTCCGCGGGGGCAGTATAAATTACGGGCCCTGGGCTGATCGGAAACGAGCCGAGCTGCAGCGTGTTTTCTTCCCAGGTTTGAGCAAAGATGCAGAGCCAGCAAAAAATCTTCCAGTCGGCGCCCTGCGGGTTCCAACACAATTCAAGATGTACGTGGAGCTGGACGAAGAGGTGACCCTGCGCGTTCCTCTCCGCGAGTCGTCAAAGAACTGGCGTTTCAAGAACAAGGATACGAACACAAAGTTTCGTCCGGCGCGAGACAAACGCCGAGCTCGTTCACGGTTTAAAAAATCGGAACCTGCTGGTGCCGCACCAAGTCAGCGGCCATATGGCTGGCTTGATATAAAAATCGCTGCAAACGCCACCATATCGTACTCCATGGACATGGCGGCTAGCAGTACCGGATTCTCCTCGATTCTTAATCTTGATTTGCCGAAGGTCGAAATCTCTAGCAGCGTCAATCAACAGGTTCTGTGGCGGTCTGCAGGTCTACAGGTTTCTTGTGACCTATCGACACCCTTGAAATGGAACGATTTGAGACATTGGCATTTCCACATCTCTAGCCATGAACTGGAGCTGTTTTTGCTTCGCGATCACGTCTACCTGATAACAGACCTGATCGATGATTGGGGCAGCGGCCCCCCATCTCCTTACTTGGTATTCACACCATTCAAGTACTCCGTTAACCTCTGTTTCCTGAACGTCAAGATCTATCTGAATGTCAACGATGCAAACATCATCAACAATCCGACAAGCCTGGACGACAACGCCTTCATCATCATCTCCAGTCCTCTTTTAGAAGCAGCTTTGTGTATCCCCCTGGACCGATATCGACCTCCGAGTAACGCGATTCCTTTCACTGTCCAGACTGCCTCTGCATCTATCGGACTCCACGTCCCAACCTGGAACACACAGACAATGTTCTGTCCTTGCAAAGACGTGGGCCACTTGAAGGATCTTCTTGTGGATGGAAAGTATCACTACTGCGCGACCACTTCGGCTGGCAACACTGATACCCTGATTCTCAATGTATCTGGCCGGGAGCCAACATTCTGGGCACATGGGTTCGTGGTGCGCTACTTCCTCAAGCTCAAGGACAACTACTTTGGGGACGACGTCCACTTCAAGACCTTGGAGGAATATCAGGACAGTCTTCTCCTGAAAGAGGCAAACCCCGAAGCTGAGCTGGCTACTCGGCCTCCCCACAAAAGTTCCAATGACATGGATGTCGTCCTGAGCGTCCATACAGATGATCCGAAGCTTTTCCTGCCTGCCAATCTTTATTCTGCTTCTCGTCATGTTCAGCTCACGGCTGCATATGTCGCTGCTGATCTGCGCTTCACAAATTATTACATGGACTTGGATTTTGTGCTGAGTCCCTTGAGCATGTCCCAGGGCAGCGACAGTGACGATGACAAGTATGCGCCCGATGCTTCTATTGACGCCATGCCTAACACCCAGCTCTTCATTGATGGAATTCACGTGTATGGTAACCGTCTATTTGGCCTGCCACCTACCGAGCCAACCTATCTCTGTAACTGGGATATTTCTGTTGGGGCCGTCTCCGGGGAGTGCACAACAGATTTTCTAACGGCTCTAATGAACGGTGGCAAGTCCTTTGGGTTCACCTTTGATGATGACGAAAATGCGTTGGTAGCGTTTTCGTCCGTTGTGATGTACGATGTCACGTTTCTTCGCGCCAACGTCAAATCTGTGAAGCTGTGGCTCCATCTCGACGAGGCAGCATTCTTGTTGTCCCTTTCAGAGGGCGTCGATGTCAAGTACAATGACTGGGCTCGAACTCATTATTCGAAGCGTGCCGACATCTCGATTCCAGACTTGCAATTGTCCTGCGTCAACTTAGAGTCTGCGATGCGCCATAGATCAAGACTTCATATACCTGTTGAGACAGATGCTCATTTAAAGACTGGACTTAGCATTGCCATCATCAGCCGCAAGTTTGATTTCTCAAGCGAGAGGCGAATGCAGCAGAAGCTTTTACAACATGAGGATCAGCGGACTAACCGTGTTGGATTTCTCTTGTTGCCAGCTTTCTTGGAGCATGGATTCGTTCCCGACAAGATTGAACCTCCTGCGCAACCTGTACCATTGGTGCCGCAGCCTGTCACCTCGGCTGACATCGAGGAAGACGGAATCTCTCTGTCAACTGAGAGCATGGCCAACCAGTCCCAACGACGTATGCGGCATCAAAAATCACGAAGCTCGTTTCTTTCGGTGTCCGCAACCAGCCAGCGCAGCGTTATTCGGGCACAAGGCTCGATACTGTCCTCCTCAAAGTCAAAGCATTCGGCTCAAGATCAGCACGAGTTTAATCCCCTTCCGCTGATAGAGCCGCAAGCCACTGATCAAAGTGGACATCTGTCAGCTTCGCATAGGCGTGACGTTTCATCATCGACCCGCCATTCTGGATTCTACAGGGCGACCGGGGACTTTGCCGATGGCGGATCTCACAAAAGCCCGTGTCGGAACATGTCAGCATTGCACAGCCAATTCTCTGCTCCAAATTTTCCACTAGACGACATCAACCCCGATATGAGAGAAGCGACTTTGCTGAGCCTGGAGAAAGATGAGCAGCCCGTCTATGGGGGTGCTGGCAGAAGGTGTAGCAGCGGAGACAGTTTTGACAGCCTACCCACTGACTTCAACTTGGGGGATGTCGACCCAGATATGCTGAGTGAAGACAGGCTTCATTCTAGTGTTTTGATCCGAGTCCGCGAAGGTGTGAGCGCTTTCCTCAACCCAACTTCAGTGAAGCATATCGCCTCCTTGATCTCTGTCCTTGAGCCTCATGGACCTGAAGATATTTTGGATGCAGTACAGATGAGCTCGGTGGGCGACATCGCCAGTGCCATCAATCATAGAAATATGAAAGGGCAGATTGCAGACTTTGCCATTCAGCTCCCAGAGGCCCATCTTCGCCTGCTCAACTGCTCAAATTCGGACTCCGCCAGTTCTTCGAGAGACGAGAAAGACCAATATGACGTATCTGTTTCCAGAGTCACTTTCATGTCTCGGGCCACAACAACTTGGGACGCCACGTTCGGGCTTGATCGTGTGAAGACGAAGAACTCGTTCCAACTCCGACTGGGCTCGCTAGGACTATCTGCGTCAGAACGGTTTGCCGATATGACGGGATCCCAAGCTGCATTCACGGCAGAGCTTTCAGACGTGCTGATTTCTCTAGGCAACAGAGATCTTACTTATCTCGACGCAGATGTCGGTGCTATAGAAGCGCAACTGAGCTCGGAGAGAATCGGATATATCGCATCTCTGGTCGACCGGACCGGCGCTCTCACTGCTACCATTGCAGAATACTTTTCAGGCCCCCTCTCTTACGGTGATCGAGTCCGTCCCCTCCTGGCACGGCGATTGATTGCCGCTGGCAAGGGGGTTCCCGACCCGAGCTTTCTCGTTCGACCCTCTGCAGTTCTTCGCTCGGCCAACGAACACTTGCGAACTTTCGACTCGTGGAAGTTAGCGGTGCGGCTCCGGCAGATCTGGTCTTTAATGAAACATACCGACAAGGTTCAGTTGATCCGCGACTGTATCGGCTGCGAAGAATCTCCGTCGAGTGGAGGACCATGCTCATCAGAATCTGCTCCGACCAGCATTCACGATGTTCTCTCTAGCCTTGATCGATGGAGAGGCTGGGATTTGACCGATGTTGGCCGGTCGATTCTGCTGCGAAAGCTGTTCGGTGACCTCGCAGGAAACCCAAGCAAAGCTGCCAAGACCCAGCCAGTCCCACTGCCTTTCATGGCTGTCACCAGGTTGCAAAGACTACAGATGATATTGGATCCAGGGCTGAAACAGAACGAAATACAATTCCTAGACCTCACAGTCAGATTCGAAAACAATGCACCGACGTCGGTTGGGTCAGCTACGGGAATTCCCACTCTTGTGGCTGGCAAGGCAAGCTCTAAGTCGATCTCCGTACTCAACATCTACTGTGCAGATTCTGCAATCAGACTGAACTGGGAGATCTGCGAGCTTGTCGAAGACATCTTGAAGCTTTATAATTTGAGGATGCAAGAGATGGATCAGCTGTTTGCCAGCAAGACCAAAGCCAAATCCAGAGGCAAAAATGACTTGACGAAGAATCCGGCGTCTGCTCCCGCGTCAAACGAGCAGACATTCCACATTGTGCTTGCCATGGACCGCGCTGCTATCATTTTGGACACGATCAATCTTAACATCCGTATGTTCAGCGGGGATCTCAAGGCGTCTCTGCTTCTTCGACAGAACAGGCTGGGAGCAATGGACACAAACGTCGTCATGAGCGGGGATTCCATCACTTCCCGGATTAAGAGCCATTCGGAGCTGTTGATGTCTTCCGAATGGCGCGGCCCTAGCATTTTTGTTTCCTATGACACGCCAACAACAAACGGCAAATGCACCCCTGCTTTCAAAGCTACGGCTAGCAGCCGAGACTTTTTCCTTGATGTGATGCAGGACCCGATCGTCTTGATGGAAATCCTAGATCTGCTCGTGAGAGACGAGTTTGCGCAGATTTACCGGTTGAAGGCACAGCTCCCAGTGGTAGCAGCAGCAGCAGATGCTCGTACCGAGGCATTGGTTTCTGATGCCAAGACAAGCATGACGGACCGCTTCCCGACATTCTATGTAAAGATAGCGCTCTTTTTGGATCACTACGTGATCAGCTTGCCGCTTCTGCGTTCCCTGACGTACATCATATCTGGTGTTGTGGCCAGAGTGTCTACAACGGCCGACTTTGGCAGAGAGTTTATCTTTGATTTCGACGTCAAAGAGAACTCCCATGATATGCAGGTCTCTGTCAATAATGCGCCGCGCAGCGTTTCATTGCTTCAAATCCCTCCTACCAACGGGCGCATAACGACACAGATAAGTGACGTGGAGCAGATAATCACGGTGTTTTCGTCTTTGGAGCTGGTGCAGCTGGATGCCTCCGCCGTCTACAGTCTGCTTTCGGCTCTGAATCGCCCAGAGATCTCCAACACGGTCACGGACATGCAGCAGCAACTGAAGATAATTCAAAATCACCTAACAGAGATTCTCAGGACTGACGAGCAGCCCGTGCAAGTTAACTCTCGCAGGTCATCAGCTAGCAAGACGCATCGCCAGCTTATATACTCTGTGCATTCAACATTTGCCGGCCTGGAAATCTTTGGAAACAGTCCGCTGAAAACCGATGTAGCACCTCTAGCTCATCTCTCATTCTGTCTGGACAGTGTGAAGCTGGAAGTGTCCAATCGACTTGAAAACGGCGGTCCGGTCCTGCCGTACCCCGAGCTCTATATCAACCTTCGTCGCATCGCATTTGAAATTATGAAGGGGACTGAGGAGTCCATGTCGTCCTGTGGAAGCGTCGTGTTTGCAGCTCTGATAACCGCAACGTCCAGGCTGATGGATGATGGCACAGAACGGCGGTCCCTTGCTGTGAAGAGCGATGGATTCGATGCCAGTTTTTCTCCAGAAACCGTTTCGACGGTGGTAGACGTGCTCGGCTACATGGGAGACAAAATCAAAGATCTTGACACGTCGCGGGAGATTGAATATCTCCGCAAGCTGAGACAATCGAAGCCTCGAATTACAATCAATGCCCAGGAAGAGCCCGAGGAGGGAGTCGAGCCGGATATCATCGACGCGTTCCTTTCATCAATGGCTTACTCCTTTGAAGTCAAGAACATTCAGGTCAATTGGCTTTGTGCACTGACTGCTATCGAGAGACCTTTGCCGGCATACTTCAACGGTGCAAAGAAATGCTTGTCACCGTCTGCCGCCGGAAAGGAGGACCTGGTGCTGCTACTGGGACGTATTGAACTGGGCACTCGGAACAGGAATTCGGCACGGCTGACAATCGAGAATTTCCAACTACAAATGGTTCCCCCGACACAAGATAAGCGAGCTCGGTCTCCCATCTCAGCGCTTCTTCCCGAGGTTATCTTCAGCGTTGCATATTTCTCTACCCATAAAACTCGTCGATTTGCATTCCAAGCCATCGGAAAATCGCTTGACGTACGGCTTTCTTCCGAGTTCATCGTCCCGGTAACCCATCTGAAGGAATCCATCCAGCTCTCGATCAAGAACGTGAGACAGGCATCGCACCAGTGGAAGCCAGCAGCATCGCCGAATGGGGCCTCATTTCCCGTGAAGCGGGCCGAAGCCCCAAAGCAGCCAGCCACCAGCGGCAAGAGGCTGGAATCGTTTCTGGTTGATATGGATTTCGCCGGTGCTGTGGTTCACATTAGTGGAAAGAAGCATGGCAATTATCTGCCTTCGCATTTTGCGCATGCTTCGCCTGAAGATGCCAGTAGGTCTCGAACATCGCGTCGACCTTCTGTTGCCGGAAAATATGGCCAATTCAATCCAGACGAGTCTGGCGGCAGCACGGTGTTGCGCTCTCCTGGCCTTGTATGGAAGGCAAGATATCAGGACAACGGCCGGGAAGATCCTTCGCTATACGCCGAAGTCCGTGTTGACGCTTCAAGCAATGTCCTCTACCCGTCTGTTGTACCGTTGGCGATGGATATGACTGCGAGCATAAAGGAGGTCGTCAAAAACTCGGACAGTGCAAGATTTCGACTAGACGAACAGGAGGAAGTTGACAAGCAAGGTGGGCCTGTGGAGTCCCCTGACGAACCCCCAGTGATCAAAAAAGCGGAGCAGGAGGAGAGCATTCTGTCGTCAGCGGCCAACCGCAAATCGATGCTTGGGCGTCTGAAGTTGAACCTCGGCCTCCGAGTTTGCAGACAGCAATTTTCGCTCAGCTGTCAGCCGATTGCACGCGTCGCTGCTACGGCAAGTTTCGACGACTTCTACCTCACTGCAAACACGGTCCAGTCAGCAGAGCAGGGCACGTTTTTCGCAGTCTCTGGGAATCTCAGCGGCCTCCGCGCTTCAGTGCAGCATGTCTACTCGCGCGAGTCGACAGGCAGCTTTGAGGTCCAGTCCATGGTTCTCTCTCTCATGAACAGCAGACACGTCAGTGGTGTTAAGGGCATGTCAGCATTGTTGAAAGTCAGCCCGATGAAGGTTTCCATAAATGCAAAACAGCTACAGGATTTCCTGCTCTTCCGGGAGATCTGGACAACGCGCGACCTCCGCAATGTCCACGTTGCTCCAGATGTGGCCGAGCGGTTGCCCGAGACCGCCTCCCTGTCTTCCAGCTCCCAACAGCAGACTCATCTGGTGCAGCGCTACCAGCAGGTGGCGGCCACTGCGGCATTCCCGTGGACAGCAACGCTTGCCATCTCTGCGCTGGAGATCAATGTCGATCTAGGACAGGCTTTGGGCAAATCGGTCTTTTCCATTTCGAATCTGTGGGTATCCTCAAAGAAGACGTCTGATTGGGAGCAAAACCTCTGTCTAGGCATTGAGAAAGTCAACGTCGAGAACACAGGAAGAATGAGCGGGTTTGTCTCTCTGGACGACCTAAAGCTGCGGACATCGATCGAATGGCCGGCCCGAGTACAGGCCCTCAACGAGACACCACTAGTTCAGGCATCTGTGAATATCAGCCAGCTACGGTTGAAGGTGTCCTTTGATTATCAGGCCTTCCTAGTGGCGGACATTACAAAACTGGAATTCCTCATGTACAATGTGCGCCGGCGCAAAATGGGCAGAGGAGACCGCCTTGTGGCGATCTTTGACTGCGACTCTGTTCAGGTAGTCGGCACGACAGCATCGGCGGCTCAAGGCGTGGCACTGTACCAGGCAATCCTGCGGCTGGTCCAAGAACGCAAGGCCAACTTCGAGGCTTCGCTGCGGGAGATCGAAAGGTTCATTCGAAGACGGTCATCAGCACCACTAGTATCTGCTGCTCTAGCAGAGATGGGAGATGCGAACAAGCTAGCTCCCTCGACGTCCGTGGAGCTTGACTCTTCAAAAGAAAGCATCCCACTAGGAATCACGGCTGAGGACCACAGCAGCGACGATATCATGACCAAATCGCCCATATCTTTGGACACAGATGTGGTCGTGACACTCAAAACACTGAATTTGGGCGTTTTCCCAAACTCATTCACTGAACACCAGGTGCTCAAGATGGAGGCGATGAATGCGCAGGCGCGGTTCACAGCAAACATGGAAAACAAGCGGATCCACAGCAATCTCGGTCTGACTCTGGGACAGCTACGCATTGGGCTCGCCGGCGTGCGTCATATACATACGACGACAAGGCAGCCCGACGGACCACCAAAAACAGTCAATGACCTGTCAGTCGAGGATGTGGTGCTGAGTGTGACGGGATCGCGAGGCGGAACGATTCTGAAGGTGCCTCGCGTCGAAGCCGGCATGCAGACCTGGCAGAGTCCAAACTCGCGCCAGATCGACTACATCTTCAAGTCTGCTCTGGAAGGAAAGGTGGAAGTGGGCTGGAACTACTCGCGGATCAGCTACATCCGAGGCATGTGGGCTAACCACTCGCGGGCTCTGGAGCAGACATGTGGCCGCGAACTGCCGCTGACGGCCATCAGGCTTACGGGCGTGATGGACAACACTGATGCTGGTGTCGGTAAGGGGAAGAAGGGAGGCGAAGCGGAACAGCAGGCCAAGATCACGGCAGAGGTCACGATGCCGCAGTCCAAGTACGATTACAGAGCGCTGGAGCCAGCAGTCATCGAGACGCCCCAACTGCGCGACATGGGCGAGGCGACACCTCCACTTGAATGGATAGGCCTGCATCGCGATCGGCTGCCGAACCTGACGCATCAAATCGTGATAGTGTCATTGTTGGAGCTGGCCGGCGAGGTGGAGGATGCGTATGCTCGAATTTTGGGGTCGCACTGAGGCGATCAGACCCAGGAATGGTAGCGATACAAAGACTGGAGGTGTTTACTGTGTATGATTCTTCCGTGTCTCATATAGCTTGCTGGTGTTGTGAACAGCGATCTATTTTATTTGACTGAGCCCGCTTCGAGTCATCCGGCCGGTGCGAGTCAAACTGAGTTAGCGTCGAAATAGCTGCAGAATAAGTGGACCAACAGCTTCCTCAGGGCTCAAGTGCTCTAAACCCTGGAAGGAGGACTGCGATACTGCGGCAGCCAGTAAAGAAGACCCTCTCATCTGTACGCCCCACCCCCGCCTTCCTAATGTATCGATCGATCACCAACTGGTTTCCAATTAATAGCAAAACCCTTGGGAAAGATCGTAAACCATGCCAATTGCCGCTCATACTATCTTCCTCCCGCTCGTCTTTGTGACATGCTCGTTTGCAAGGTGGCGAGAAAGAAGCTAACGATACATATTGTTTCTGCCCGGTGCAGTAACACGCCGGTCTGAAAGACTTTCCTAGTTTGTCAGCGTCGGCTATACACGCTTGTTTGTAAGATATCTACTATGTAACAGATTTTGCCCCACTGGCTGTGGAAAAATATATGTACGACGTATGATATGCTCCTTCCCTGTCTGAGGACCGGGATTACAGCATCTGGAAAGATAAAGCGCAGCAATTGGTGAAAAAAAAGAGACCGCAAAAATACCCCGCCGCCAAAAAAAAACCTTTTCACACTTTACCCGCCCTTCACCCAACCCAACCCTCTTTTTCTTCCTCCTCCCTCCTTCCTTTTTTTCCTCCCCTCTCCATCATCAACCCTCTCTCCCCTTGTTTACTATTTAGACGGGATCGAGTAAAATACCGCCAAGATGGTTGCGTAAGTGCCTTCATACTCTCTTTCCTCTTCGTCACGATGCTCCTCACTATTTGATGTCACTGCCTTTGTGATTATCGTGACTTTTTCGTCCACCATGAGATCCAAATCTGCCCACATTACCACCCGGACTTAACACCAGTTTGTCCGGGTGCCAGGATGTGGAAGAGGATAGAGCTGGCTTGGACGCCTGCTGAGGTTGCTTGAGCAATGAGACGGAGCCGCTACTAACGGTATCTTCTCTGCAGCTTCACGATCGACGAGATCCGTCATCTCATGGACAAGCCGACCAACGTGCGCAACATGTCCGTCATTGCGCACGTTGATCACGGCAAGTCTACCCTTACCGACTCCCTGCTGGCCAAGGCCGGTATCATCTCCACCGCACGTGCTGGAGACGCTCGTGCCACAGACACACGGGCCGACGAGCAGGAGCGTGGTATCACGATCAAATCCACTGCCATTTCCCTGTTCGGCACTCTGGACGACGAGGACGACATCAAGGACATTGTCGGCCAGAAGACTGACGGCAAGGACTTCCTGATCAACCTCATCGACTCGCCCGGTCACGTTGATTTCTCATCTGAGGTCACGGCCGCTCTCCGTGTCACTGATGGTGCCCTCGTCGTCGTCGACACCGTTGAGGGTGTGTGCGTGCAGACCGAGACTGTGCTGCGTCAGGCTCTTGGTGAGCGTATCAAGCCTGTTGTCATCATCAACAAGGTCGACCGCGCCCTCTTGGAGCTGCAGGTGTCCAAGGAGGATCTGTACCAGTCCTTCTCGCGTACCATTGAGTCCGTCAACGTCATCATCTCGACCTATCTGGACGAGGCTCTCGGTGACGTCCAGGTCTACCCTTACAAGGGTACCGTTGCCTTCGGCTCTGGTCTGCACGGCTGGGCTTTCACCATCCGCCAGTTCGCCACCCGCTACGCCAAGAAGTTCGGTGTTGACCGCAACAAGATGATGGAGCGTCTTTGGGTAGGCAGCGTCCCATCCCTGACAGACAATTTTTGTCCCAGGTGCTGACCATCTACTATAGGGCGACAACTACTTCAACCCGGCCACTAAGAAGTGGACGAAGAACGGCGACTACCAGGGCAAGCAGCTGGAGCGTGCCTTCAACCAGTTTATCCTGGACCCCATCTTCAAGATCTTCGCTGCCGTCATGAACTTCAAGAAGGACGACGTTGCCAGCTTGCTGGACAAGCTCCAGCTGAAGCTGTCCACGGATGACAAGTCCAAGGAGGGCAAGCAGCTGCTGAAGATCGTCATGCGCACTTTCCTGCCCGCTGCTGACTGCCTGCTGGAGATGATGATCCTCCACCTGCCGTCCCCCGTCACAGCTCAGCGCTACCGCGTGGAGACCCTGTACGAGGGCCCGCAAGACGACGAGTCCGCCATCGGTATCCGCGACTGCGACCCCAAGGGTCCGCTGATGCTGTACGTGTCGAAGATGGTGCCCACCTCTGACAAGGGCCGCTTCTACGCCTTCGGCCGTGTCTTCTCTGGTACCGTCAAGTCTGGTCTGCGCGTGCGCATCCAGGGCCCCAACTACGTCCCGGGCAAGAAGGAGGACCTCACCATCAAGGCTATCCAGCGCACAGTCCTGATGATGGGCGGCCGCGTCGAGCCCATCGACGACATGCCTGCCGGTAACATTGTCGGCCTGGTCGGCATTGACCAGTTCCTGCTGAAGTCTGGTACCCTCACCACCAGCGAGACGGCCCACAACATGAAGATCATGAAGTTCTCTGTCTCGCCTGTCGTGCAGCGCTCCGTCCAGGTCAAGAACGCCCAGGACTTGCCCAAGCTCGTCGAGGGTCTGAAGCGTCTTTCCAAGTCTGACCCTTGCGTCCTGACCATGACCACCGAGTCTGGCGAGCACGTCGTTGCCGGCGCCGGTGAGCTGCACTTGGAGATCTGCCTGAAGGACCTCGAGGAGGACCACGCCGGTGTTCCCCTGATCATCTCCGACCCTGTTGTGCAGTACCGCGAGACTGTCACGGCCAAGTCGAGCATGACTGCTCTGTCCAAGTCGCCCAACAAGCACAACCGTCTGTACATGGTTGCTGAGCCCATGGACGAGGAGCTGGCTGGCCAGATCGAGTCCGGCAAGATTGGTCCCCGTGACGACTTCAAGGCCCGTGGCCGTGTCCTGGCTGACGAGTTTGGCTGGGATGTCACCGATGCCCGCAAGATCTGGGCGTTTGGTCCCGACACCACCGGTGCCAACCTGCTGGTTGACCAGACCAAGGCTGTGCAGTACCTGAACGAAATCAAGGACTCTGTCGTGTCCGGTTTCCAGTGGGCAACCCGCGAGGGTCCGGTTGCCGAGGAGCCGATGCGCTCTATTCGCTTCAACATCCTCGATGTCACCCTGCACGCTGATGCCATTCACCGTGGTGGCGGCCAGATCATCTCGACCGCTCGTCGTGTGCTGTTCGCCTCGGCCCTTCTGGCTGAGCCGGCTCTCCAGGAGCCTGTCTTCCTGGTTGAGATCCAGGTGCCTGAGCAGGCCATGGGTGGTGTCTACGGTGTCCTGACTCGCCGCAGAGGTCACGTCTTCAACGAGGAGCAGCGCCCGGGTACCCCCCTGTTCACCATCAAGGCGTACCTCCCCGTCATGGAGTCGTTCGGCTTCAACGGCGACCTGCGCGCTGCTACCTCTGGCCAGGCTTTCCCTACGATGGTCTTCGACCACTGGCAGATTCTGCCCGGTGGCTCGCCGCTCGACTCCTCCTCCAAGGTCGGCCAGATCGTCCAGGAGATGCGGAAGCGCAAGAGCATTAAGGTTGAGGTTCCGGGCTACGAGAACGTAAGTCAAGCTGAAAACATTAGACAGACCAAAGAGAGGACGATGATTGCTAACTCTGTCAACAGTACTACGACAAGCTATAAACGCCATCACCCTTTTCTTCCTCTCCCCGAGCTAATTCGCGGTTTCCTCTGCCGCTCGGTGGCATATCCCTCACGGAAGAACTGCTGCTGCGGACGAGCGTCTTTAGTTTAAGAGGCGGGCATCGATCATTGCAGAGGTTTTTTTCGAGGCGACCAAAATGGGTCGATAAAAGAAAAGAAGGTGCTGGTGGTCAGACAATGAGCAGGAAAAGCGGGTGCTTTTCTCTGCATGTTAGTAGTTTGTACTGGTTTAACGCATTATTTCCCTTAGCTGCTACGGCAACATGTATGGTTCTTTTTTTGATGCCTTTCCGTCGTAACATGAATAAAGATTGGGGCAAGCTGAGTTGTCTTATGAGCACGAGGCGTCTAAAGCATTGTTCCACGTGCATTGCCTGCAATGTTACTCGTTAGAATAAAAGTTACAAACCGTATCGGAAATACAGCTCAGGTATCACGTGGAGATAAGATTTATGTAGCATAAGTGGGGCATTCGGGTGCCTACAGGAAGCTCTCGAAAAAGTTACTTGGAAGTAATTGTAAGCTGTGATATACGAGTAGTCAATTCTGGATCGCCTATTTGCTATTCGCCAACAACCCAGCCACTGCAATTACCTGGTCCGGATATCAGACAATAGGCGTATTCGATTATTTATTTGCTCTTGAATGGTATTGTTAGATTAGGCGCTGTCCAGGCGGTCGCCGCAGCGGGCACGATGTTGTTCCCCGAGCAAGACGCGCCGACACTGAAAACGTGGATCGTGAAGCGCCTCGAGACGCCGTGAGTTACGGAGGCTCCATGTGGAGGTGGACGCTTGCCAACCCCCTGAGCCGTTCTCTAACAAGCGGGTGTGATACACAGAGCACGCACGGACAGTGACGTCGATGCGGATGTGCTCGCGGATTACGTTCTTGCGCTGCTCCGACACGATGGTGAAGCGAACGATGTGCGCCAACTCTGCGAGACGGAGCTGTATGACTTTCTCAAGGATGGTATGAACAGCCACACCTCTCTCTTGTCACATGGACAGCATCCCTTTCTACGAGTGGACACCCAGCTGACGGACCTCGTGCGAATAGAAGCAAAGCCCTTTGTCGACGACGTCTTCCAGACTGTGACCTACAAGTCCTACATACCAGGCTCACGACCGCCTCCGAAGCTACCGCCGCCGCCGCCACCAGCAGCAGCACCCACACAGATAGCATCAAAAGGATCTGCCTCGCTGCAAGGGGCAATTGATGGACCGGTCCCGGGACTCCCTTGGTCATATCAACAGCAGCAGTTTCAGTACCAGCCCAGCAACTCACGAAAACGTTCCTACAACGAGTCTTCGATTCCAGAGATGGGCGCTGCATCAGTGCCACCGGGTATGCCATACTACCAGCAAGGCGGTGGACGGGCGTTCAAGCAGGCACGTCGTGGTGGCGGCACCCGAGGAGGACGAGGAGGCGGCTATGGCGGCGCTGGGGAGACGATGGGCCATGTTCCTGATGCTGACCTGGCGATGGGGCCTATGATGCTGCCGCCACCACCATTCGGCGCGCTTGGCCCAGGCACAACGAACAGCCCCACACCTGGATCCATGTCCCTGGTGCCGCCCAACGGCGCGTCCCCTTACGACCCATCTGCGGGGCTCTCTATGGAGGCTTTGATGCAGATGCACCAGATGGGGATGCCCGTTCCAATGTACGGCTTCCCGCAGGGCGTTGTGGGTCCTTGGAACGGCAACGGCAACGGCAACGGCAACGGCGATGATGGTGGCAGACGCCGGCGACGTCGCTGTCGCTATTACGAGAAGAAAGGCTTCTGCACACGGCCCAACTGCCTGTTCGACCACGGCGAAGCCCAAGAGAGCGAGGACGCGGCGGCAGACGGGCACGGCGGGGTGTTTTCCATGATGCCACCACCAGCGGTAGCGGCAGCCATGTTCCAGCATATGATGCCTCTACCACCACAGCAGAGGGACGAAGCACCGACAGAGATGCCAGGAGCACAAGGGGCGACAAGGCGGGCACGGAAGGGCGGGCGGGCGCCGTTCTCTGCAGACGGGCCGGTGTACGACAAGAGCAACTCGACAGTGGTAGTGGAGGGCATCCCGGACGAGAATCTCAACGAGGCAGCAGTGCAGGAGTTTTTCTCACAGTTTGGTCCCATTGTGAGCGTCTCGATGCAGGCGAAGCGGAAGCTGGCAGTGGTAAAGTTTGACGAGTGGGCGGCGGCCAACGCGGCGTACCACTCGCCTAAGGTGATCTTTGACAACCGTTTTGTCAAGGTGTTCTGGCACAAGGAGCGAGGGAGTGGAGGAGGCGGTGCGGGAGACGAGACAAGCGGCTCGGGCGCCAAGAAAAACGGCAGCAGTGCTGCAGGGGTGGAGGAAGGCGAAGTGGTGGAGGGAGAGGACGGCGAGATGCCAGAGATGGACATGGAGGACTTCTTGCGGCGACAAGAAGAGGCGCAGAAGCGTCACGAGGAGAGGGAGCAGTTGAAGCAGGAACTCGAGCGCAAGCGGCAAGAGCTGGAGCAGCGGCAACGATCACTACAAGCGCGGCAGCGGGAAGAGAGACAGCGGCTGATTGCCAAGATGGCAGCGGTGGCGACGCGGGCGCGACAGGGGAGCGAGTCGGGCACGCCATCGGAGTCGGGAGGCGGAGGTGGAGGCGGAGGTGACGGTGACAGCGGGAGCAGAGCGGCGTCGTCATCGTCGCGGTCAGCCGCGGCGATCTCACAGACAGAGATGATCCGGGCTCAGCTGGCAGCGCTTGAGGAAGAGGCCAGACAGCTGGGACTGGACCCAGATTTGATCGTTGGTGGTGACGCTCTCTCAGCACCGCTGCCATCGTGGCGAGGCCGCGGACGCGGACGTGGTGGACGGTACAGTTCCTATACGCCTCGGGGCCGAGGCCGCGGTGGTTATGCAGCACGCGGTGGGCTTCATGGCAGCGTCAGCAGCAGCGTGGCCTTGGCTTATGCGGCATACTCGCTCGACAACCGACCGCGGCGGATCGCTCTGACGGGGGCCGACTTTACGGCGCCTGGGCATGACGAGGCGCTGCGGCAGTATTTATTGGTAAGTTTTTCTGTTCTTTTTGTCTTGTCTTGTATTTATATATCTTTTCCTTCTTCCTTTTTCTTTTATTTTATTTTAACTGCTTACTAACTTCGTCAGGGCGTTGGTGACTACGTGGCCCTTGACACGACAGCAGAGACGACTACCATTTCGTTCACGGACCGACGGACGGCAGAAAAGTTTTACTATGGCCTAGCCTTGGCCACAGATCAATCGGACAAGCCGACACGAAGGATTGTCCCGGGCGTGGCGGATCCGGTGGAGCTGGCCTGGGTGGCGTGCAGCGCCGTCGGGAGCAATGGTGCAGGGACGACATCTGGCGGATTATCTGGGCCGTTGACATCTAACAATACGCTGTCTGGTAATGGCGCGGCCGAAAAGAACGGGTCGTGGCAGCCGGACGAGGAAGGCGAGCTGGATGCGGCAATAGATGGCGGAACGGCCAACGGCGATGAGGACAATGCAGACGAGAACCTGGACGAGGACGTGGATGGGATAGACCAGCAGCAGGACCAGGAACAAGAGCAGGAGCAGAAGCACAGCCGCCACGGCTTTCCGCAGAAGCAGCAGCAGATGGACTTTGACGTGGCAGACGAAGGAGACTGGGACATACAATGAGCTGGCGAAGAAAAGGGATACCCAGCCATTCCGCATTGTTTGTCAGAAAGGGTTACGGCATTGTTTGTCAGAAAGGGTTACGGCAGAGTTTTTTGCATAGGCGATTGGGCACGAGAACAATGCCAGGCTGGTTGGTTCTGCGGGCTCTTACGGCCTCGATGCAAATTCTTATATTGCTTTATCTGTTGTTTTTTTAGGTCCTATCTGAAGTGTCCTGCTTCCCTATGGGGTATCGTTGAGATGTTTTTGGAAAGTGTGTTTCGAAAGGCTCCCTCAGACGTCTGTGTCTTGTTCCATGCATGAGATCCCTGCTGCTTCTATGTGAAGTGAAAGCAGCCAATACATATAGTGCTCCGATTTTAGTGGTTCCCGATTTTGTTGAAAAAGGTACTTTTATTCTCGCGCCCGAGAATCCGGCAACACCAAGATATTCCGAAATAAAAAAGACCAGGAAAGAACCAAGAGCTCCAGATGCTGCCTGTTCAAACGCCATGTAGGCTGAAAAGTCATGATGAAAAAAGGAAGACGTGTTAAAGCAGAGTCCATCCTGTGTATGTTGAAGTGTCGTTAAATAGAGTAGATGCGAATGAGACAGAGAGAGAAGAAGAGCGAAGCGCAAAGAAATCAAAAGGAAAGGGGGGTGGGCTGTCTAGATGGCGACGGTGGCGGCACCGTTGACCTTGACAGCCGAGGCGGTAGTATCGGCGGTGCCCTCGACCTCTTTGTCGATGTCAGGCAGTGCGAGTCCGTCGAGGACGGTGAAGATAGTCCGTGGCTGGTGGAAGTTGTTGTTGACTGGATTGATTAGTAAGCATATAAAAGTGGACCCGGTATCACACGGCAAGAGAAAGGGATGGACGGCCTACCGATTGTGACCAGATGCCACTCGTCCATCATCTGGCTGATCAGGGCACGGCTGGGGCTGCCGACGTCGTAGCAGCGGGCCCATTCAGCGCCAAGCTGAAAGGCCTCATCCTTCCAGGCGAGAAAGCTGATGCTCTCGACGATGGTGGGCTGGACGATCTCCTTGCCGGGAAAGACGCCCCAGGTGACAGCATTGGGGCCATCAGCGGGGGCGTTGGTCTCGAGAGGTCCATGACGGGAGCCGGCGTGGAATGTGAGATGGGGATGAGCGCGAACGCGGTCGGCGAGAGCCGGGTAGAGAGCGGGTGGGACGAGAAGCTCGAGGTAGGACTTCTGGTAGACGAAGCCGTTGGGGGGGCCCCAGCCATGAACAGGATCGGACGAGGGAACGCCGTCGACGGCAGGCTGGGAGTTGACGGTGAGCAGGCCGCGGCGATTGAGGGCGACGAGGTCGGGCTGGATCAAGTCGGCCTCGCCAGTGAGGGGAGAGTCGCTCCAGGGCAGCGAGGCGAGATCGCCGAGGAGATAGCGCACAAAGAGGGCGGCAACGTCGGCGATGCAGCGAGGCGCACCCCAGCGAGCGCGGTTCTGGGCGCTGGACCCAGGCAGACCGGCGCCGTAGGCGCTGCCGAGATCGCCAAAAGCCGGCGAGCGCGAGTCGCCCCAGCGGCCGTTCGGAAACTCGTCCCAGTCAGCTGTGCGGGCGACATACGACTTGCCGCGGTGGCGCCAGAAGATGGGCCGCACGTCCTCGTCGCGGCGGCCGAGAGCCAGCGACTGGCGCCATGGCAGCGCCGGTGGAGGCCGTGGCCGATCGGCCGATGGCAGCCAGCCAAGATCGTCGAGAACCATGCGTGTTGCCTGGGCCAGGTTCATGGTGTAAAAGTGCAGGTGGACAATGTCGCCGCCGGCCAGAATCGCGCGGCAGAGCCCGGCCACGAGCGTCTTGCCGATCTCACGCACCGCGTCGTCGTTGTTCTTGACCGGCTCCAGGGCGGCCAGCCAGTCAGCCGGCACGCGGCAGCCCATGTGGTTGACCCGCCGCCAGAAGCTTGCGTATGTCGCAATCGGCATGATGCCCGGCAGCACCGGCACGGTGATGCCAGCAGCTCGCACGCGCGCCAACCAGCGCAAGAAGTTGTCGGCGTCGTAGAACATCTGCGTGACGATGAAGGAGGCGCCGGCGTCGACCTTTTGCTTCAGGTGCTCCAGCAGCTCGTCTTCGTTGCTGTTGTCGTCGCTGCCCTCCGGATAGCCGGCCACGCCAATGTCAAAATGGTCGCCGTAGTGCCTCTGGATGTGCGCCACCAGATCCTTGGCGTAGCGGAACTTGCTGTCGGCCGCCACCCAGCCGTCGCTGTCGGCATCCCGCGGCGGATCTCCGCGCAGCGCCAATATGTTCGTGCAGCCGGCCTGGTACGCCCGCCGCAGCGCGTCGTTGATCCCGTCCTCGCCCATATCCGTGCACGTCAGGTGCATGCACGTCTCCAGCCCAAAGTACGTCTGTGCCTGGGCCACCATCTCCGTCGTCAGCTCCGCGATCCGCCCGCCGGCGCCCCAGGTGATGTCGATGAACTTGGGTCCGAACAGGTGCATCCGCTCCATCCGCTCATACAGGTTCTGCACGCCCTGTGCCGTCTTGGGCGGGAAGTATTCGAACGAGAACGACGGCTGTTTCGACCGCTCGGCCTCGGCCACCATGTCCCGGATATGCATCTTGGATGCCGGACAGAAAAAGGGGAGACCAGGACGAAAGGGGAGAAGAATGAGTAGGTAGAGAAACAGGAGAGGAAACCGACGCGAATTGGGTCAGCGGAAGCTCAAGATGCAGGAGAACTGATCTGGAACGAGTTAGCAGACGTCGGCACATGCAGACGTTGTCAACACCGCATCATCACCTGTGCCACCTCGAAATCAACAACAATTGGAGAACCTACCCGAACAGCAGTCTGCCAATGCAGATACCCGAATGGCAAGGAATATAGCCGCCGTATGCTCGAACTGGAGGCGAGATTCACGCAAGAAATTGCAAGAGTTCTGGCCGCTGCACCGTCTAACAGCTTCTTCGTGTCGGCCGTTCCTGCAGGCACATCCTCCTCAGAACTGCGCGCTCTCTCTCTCTCTCCACTGCCTTGGTTCGCACAACCCCTTGGCCTCTGTCCGTATTCGAGAGCTGTTCTTGCGTGTACGGTGTGCAGAATCCTAAGGCGAGGAGAAGAGGCCAACTGGAGGAGGGGGAGACGGCCAAACGGAAAGGATGAGAACGCAGTCAGGGAAAACGGTAGAGAGATAAAATTTGCGGAGAAAATGCCAATGGTTGCGATGCAGGCCCCATGGAGGGGTCAAATGCACTAAGACGGGGCGGCCGACAGGCACTCAATTGACATCGGGCTGGCGAATCAAACGCCTGCAATTTTCTTCTTTCTCCTTTCTTCTTTACAGTGCCGCCAGACTGTCAGCCACTGTAGAAGGCTAAAGTGGAAATTCGCATGGACATGCAATGGCGGTAATGCACGTCGAAAGAGGCATGTGCAGTGATTAGACCAGTGCAGTAACTGATCTTGGGTCTGGTGGCCCGTGGCCTGAAGCTGCAGCTGGAAGTATCGTAAGATTGTAGACTGCCGACGTCCAGGCCAATCACCGATTTTCTGCAGCGGAAAAGGTACGGAGTATTGCGACTGCACGGGAAGACAAACGAGCTTAGCCTGGCCAATCCATCGGGAACTGGCCGGCCAGCCGTAAAAACAAGTATTGAGCTGCTACCCCGGTCTGACGTTATACTCGGCCGCCAGCTCAGCATTCCTCCATCTCCTCGGATTGCGAAATGATGACTGCGGCCTCTCGGAGCTGGTCAGACGGGACGGTGGATGTCCGATATCACGTGATCTTCTAGAAACATCCAACAGCCTTGGTCCAAAACTGGGGATGCGGGCAGCAAAGATAGGAAGTGTATGCGGGGCCGACCGATGGAAGCTAAAACATTGCTATTGATAATTGTCAGTGTTCCTCCGAATGGCTTGGAGGCATTGGGCAACTACATGTCTGCTATCAAAGTCTTGGGCCACCAATAATTTTCTTCTCGTCCGGATTGCGGAGCAAGTAAGAGTCACTTTGCGGTGGGGCAGCACGCCCTTCGATTGACATTTCCTCGGTGGATCCACACACTCACACCTCCTCTGGCCTAGGAACCACGCCGCAGGAAGGCACGGCCGTGTGTATTGCTCTCTTTCCGTCTCTACGGAGTACCTGTCTATTAGTATTACCTGTCTTCTTGTTACCCTGCCGAAGATATCTCTCGCCTTCCGTCCTGCTCTTTCTTCTTCAACATAGACTTGCTTCAACTGCCGGCGTTTTTTGCACCAATTTCAGAGACACTATCTTCGAACTGTGGGGAATCCTGCAATCTGGGGAACCCTCTAATATCTCTTTTCGGAAGAACCTCTCTCGCACTTCTGTCACAGGGCGTGATCTGGCAAAAACGTATACTCGCCATCTTGAGTGTCGTGTGCGCCCTTCTTGCAATTCGCTAGCCCAAATCCAGCACGTTGCCATTGACAAGGTGCTGCGCCCTTCAGTCTCAGTCTCAGTCTCAGCATGCCCGTCATTCCCGAGGAACATGTCTCGCCCAACATGGACGACTTTGTCAATTGGGACAATGCGGGCTCGCCTGCTGATGCCATGATGGCCGATGATGGTGGCTCTGCTACTTTTTGTGCTGGCATCCCCCCAGAGTTGGTCGCTGTCGCTGTCGCGTCTCAGCCGTCTGACGACAGGGCTGCCCTGATGTTCGAAAACCCCGACGCTGACGACTTTTCCTTCTGGGCCTTGGAGCACTACGACCAGAGCAATTCCCCAGGCGCAGCTAAGCCGGTCGGCCTTCTCGATGACGGCATCGCCGCTGCCGACTGTGCTCACGCCGATGGCGGCGCATCTGCCATTCCGGAAGAAGCACACGACTTCTGCCCTATCGAGGTCTGGGACGTCCCCGGCGAGCCATGCACCCACTGCAAAACGGGCGGCTACCAGTGCAAGACGATCCAGGAGGGTAGCTACAAGGGCTACTGCACCAGCTGTGTTGCCCTCCGCTGCGAATGCAGCTTTGGTCTGGCCTCGGGCGGCCCTCTACCCACTTCCATCTCTTTCCCTCCCAACCCGTGGCCGACCCTCGGCGATCATCCTGACCCCATCCCCCATGACCATGTATCTCTTGCCGTCCACAGCTCGTCTGCACCGGACAACGCTGGCTGGGCCGGCCAGACTGGCTCGCAGCCCAGCGATACGGCCGCACAGCCCAAGTTGGGTGCCCGCTTCTCGAGAGATTCCGTGAAAATTCTGAAGAACTGGGTGTCCACGCACAGCCGCCACCCCTATCCGACCGAGGAGGAAAAGGAATCGCTCCAGCACCTTACCGGACTCAACAAGACTCAGATCTCGAACTGGCTGGCAAATGCTCGGCGGCGGGGAAAGATCCCGACCACCCGATCAACCTCGCCGCACGTCAGAAACAGTTGGTCTGGCACCGGCGCTGTTGATATTCCCCAAAACCGCCGGAGCGGAACACCCTCTCCGTTTGACCGGAAGCTACAGCAGCTGGACAACATCCTGCTGCAGCGATGGGCTAATTCCCCCCCCGAAAACGAGCCTGCCTCTGTGACGGATATTGCTCGAGCCATCACCTCATCATCCTCGGCCGTGTCCTCCGGCCTGAACAGCCCTTACAGCTACAACTTCACCGATGACGGTTCTGGTCGCTCGCTCTTCAATGGCTCCTCGGCCAGCAGCGCCGGCACATCGCATTCCAGTGGTGGCGGCTCCTTTGCGTCTGCCTTCTCTCACGGGTCGCGCGGGTCTCTGAATTCCTTTGGCTCGCTCGGCCGTGGCCGTCGGCGTCGTCGTCGGCGGTCGGCACCTCTTTCTGGACTCGGGTTCGGAGGTGGAAGTGGTGAAGAAAGGGAGCCCGGGAGCGCATCTTCTGGTAAGGGATTGGGCGGCGACAAAGGCAGAACGAGACCGACGACACTCCAGCCACTCCTTAAGACTTACCAGTGCACTTTCTGCACGGAAACGTTTAAGACCAAGCACGATTGGCAGAGACACGAGAAGTCATTGCATCTTTCCTTGGAAAGATGGGTCTGCGCACCACAGGGAGCAGTGGCCGTGCATCCAGACACAAAGCTGCCGAGCTGCGTGTTCTGCGGAGAAGCCAGTCCAAATGAAGGACATGTCGAGTCCCATAACTTTACCGCCTGCCAGGAGCGCTCCATGGGCGATCGGACCTTTTACCGGAAGGACCACCTTCGCCAGCATCTTAAGCTGGTTCACGGAGTGAACTTTGTCGGCTGGGCAATGGACCCCTGGAAGATAGCCACGCCCGAGATCCGCTCTCGATGCGGTTTCTGTGGCATAGTCATGGACACATGGTCCTTCCGAGTAGACCATCTGGCTGATCACTTCAAGACTGGTCGTACTATGGCTGACTGGAAGGGCGATTGGGGTTTCGAAGACCCGGTACTGCAGATGGTGGAAAACTCCATTCCGCCGTATCTCATTCACAATGAACGCAATACGCCCCTGCCTTTCACGGCCAATGCGATACCGCCACACAGCCCTCGGAATTCGTATGAACTACTGACGGGCGAGCTATCCTACTGGCTGCAGATGCGAGCCGAGGAAGGTAAAACACCAACGGAGACCGAGATGCTGGTTGAGGCATGTCGGGTGATCTTCGGAGCCGACATGCTGGCTAGGAACAGTAACAACATCAATAGTCCGTCGTGGCTCCGTGACCTTCTGATGTCAAATGAGGATTGCAAACAACATGCCCGCCTCAGCCCCATCCGATCAGCACTCGACAGTCAGATGGCCACAATACGCATTAACGGAAAGGGGAATATATTTGACTCCTGCCCGCTGGAAGCAGGCTTGCAGGATTTTGTGGTACGTCGGGCTCAGCTGGGCTTGACGCCAATGAACGCAGAGCTGAGGGCAGAAGCAACACGGATCGTAGGTGAACTGGAGGCCCAGTTGGTGGACGAGGCCGGCAAGTCAGCAGATGCGGGCTTCCGTCGTGCACCCTTTGACAAATGTGTGGTAGATTTTATTCTCCGACTAGTCGAGAAAACCACAAGCTGGCTCACTGCGTTCCGACAGCGAGCTCACCTACCCCGGGCCGAGGCCATTGCAGACGAAACTCGACGGCCGGTCGACGATCCCAAGAGCATCGATGCCGCTGTTCATAACGAGGCTCGCCTGGAGGCAGAGCTAAGCGATTTTGTGCGTCAGCAGATGGAAGCTGGCAAGCCAGCTCCAGATGACGCCGCTCTACAGCGTCAAGCACGACTTATCATCTACGAGCTTGACGATGGGTGGAACCAGACTGCAGCTGATGGCCCTGAGTGGCTCACATCCTTCAAGTCGAAGCATATCCCACAGTTAGGTATGCGAGGTCCAGGTACTTCAATCAGCCCGTCAAGCGAGAACGGTCTCGGATTCCTCAAGCCTTCGCCATTTTTTCTAAACGACACAAACTGCTACCGCCGACTAGCCAGAGAACTCACCCGCTATGTCACGGCGGCCATGTCACCAAACAACCCCAATTGTCATGTGCCCACCGATGAGGAGCTGCAGCACCAGGCGCGGTGGATCTTATATGACGAGTGAGGCATTTTCCGCTATTAATCGCCTTTTGTTTGTTCTGGGGTTCCTCTTTACTGACCTGTCCAGCGATGACCCTTGGAACCAAACGGCAGCCGACAACGCAGAATGGCTGATGCGATTCAAGCGCGACTCCGGCATTTTGCCAACCTCCAGTGGTCCGGGCCTCATGGTCGAGAGCCAAGCCTGGAATGTCAAGCAGGGCGGCACGGGCTTTGCGCCACCATACTGCTTCCCCAACATGCCGATGGCGCCCTTCAAAACGCCGCCCGGTGCAGAGAACAGCTCCGGCGACAGTGACCACAAGATGATCGTCTTGCAGCTACAGGATGGAGATGTTCATCGTGGTGTGCAGTACGAGCTGGCGTCTTCCGCAGCCAACAAGTTCTTGCAGTCGTTCAAGACGCGCTATGCCAAGCCAGCTACTGTGTTCTGCTCGCGTGAGCTGGAAAACGGCCTGACGTACTTTGTGCATACAGCTGTGCACAACGGCGATACCTTCCCGGATGACATGGCCCTGAGGAACAAAGCTCGCGAGATCCTGGGCTGCAGCTCGAGCAGTGGGATTACACCTGCAGACGACGGCGTACTATTGGCAAAGTTCAAGGAAATGATGCGCACGAATCTGTCAGAAGAGAGGCAGGAAGCCTCCACGTCCGAAACTGCGATACCTGTGGACACGAACATAGAAACGAACTTGGACTTTAGTTTTGACGACACCGCCATGGATCTCAACTTGTCTTCAGTGACACAGACGGACATTGATACCATGCTGCAGGACATGAATTTTGACTTTGAGATGGGAACAGAATATACGAGTGCGCAGTGATAAACAGATGCAGGTGGATTTATTATTACTCTTGGGTAGTTTTTCTTAGATAGTGATATCATGAAATACATGAAAAATCATGGAGTACCCCGTTATGCAAGAATGAGTGAAGTGCAAAATGAAGAGCCAGCTACAGTGTGAGAATGCGTATAATACACAGTACCAGTAGGACCCGTCTTGAACGGTGCCAATCTTTAGCGCCGCAATTGCATCGTTATCGCGGGGCTGGAATTTGTATACCGCCGACGTCTGTTTGTAAAAAACTGTTGCGACGGGAGACCACACAACAAGGACAACACGAGACGAACGGCGAACGACAACGGCGACGGGGGACTAGAGAAGCCACCGAGACGGTAGAACACAGCGAGACTTGATCTTTCGGAGTTGACGACACGCTGCGGCTGGGTGCTTCTTCGGGACGCTTTTCGACGGGACTTGGAGCTTTGCAGAGCGAACATCCAAGCAGACGAGGCACAGGACACTGGCCTCTTTCGTTCGCGACTCGTAACCACAAATACACGTATCAACCAACGCCTGCGGCTGTGTACTCAAGATGCGTCTCACCGCAGACCTGATCAACGCGTCATTGTCATACCTGAACCCGCTCAAGGAGCGCGAGCTCGACCTGCGAGGTGGGTTGTCGGGTTGTTGGGGGGAAGGGGAGAAGAAATACAGGAGAGACAGTGCAGAGCCATGTTCGATTGGAAATGTTGACCCAGAGCTTGATGTATAGGACACCGGATTCCGCAAATCGAGAATCTGGGTGTAGCAGGGGTAAGCTTCTCCTTTCCCGTGCCGGCATTTAGTCCATTCTGACCGTCTTGCCTTGACAGCCCCAAGATGCAATCGATCTCACGGACAATGACATCCAGGTGCTCGGCAACTTCCCTCTGACGCCGCGGCTGCGCTCGCTGCTGCTGGCCCACAACCGGATCGCGGCCATCCAGCCGGGCCTGGCGGACGCGCTGCCCAATCTGACGAACCTGACGTTGGCGTCGAACCAGCTGTCCGAGCTGGGCGACCTGGATCCGCTGGCCCGGCTCGGCCGGCTGACGCACCTGGTGCTGTTGGAGAACCCGGTGACCAAGCGAGAGGTGAGATCTGGGCCGTCTTGGTAACTTACTGCACAGGCACGGACTGACCGGATGACAGCACTACCGGTACTGGGTCGTCTGGCGGTGTCCGACCGTGCGCTTCCTCGACTTCCAAAAGGTCAAGGACGCCGAGCGGCGCAAGGCCGAGGAGTTTTTCGGGACACACGCATTGCCGACCGAGCTGGCAAAGAAGGCAAGCATTTCCGCGGATCTTCGTACACGACAGATTCTGTCTCTAACGAGCCATGCAGATCATGAGCACCAAGTCGAGAAAGTTTGATGTGGTGACGGGTGTCGGTGGACGCCGGGCTGCCGGCGGTGCTGCCGGCGGTTCCGACGGCACGTCCAGGCTGTCACGCATCAAGCTGACGGACGCCGAGCGCAAGCGTCTGCAGGAGCGGATCAAGAAGGCCAGCAGCCTGGAGGAGATTGCCCGGCTGGAAAAGGAGCTGTCCGAGGGCCGGCTGCCGACGGGCATCTACGCAGAGGGCGATTCCATGGAGGAGTAGACGTGAAGGCAGCGGTTGCAGCGGGAGGAGGCTTGCTTCAATATCGAGGGCGACATGCTCAGCACAGACGTGGTTGGCGCGATATCCTGGCGTTTGGGTCTTTAGGATGGGATACAAAAAAGTTGAGCTTGGCGAAGAGAATCAAACTACTTTTTTTTCTGCATGAGGACTCAGAGAACTGCAGCCAGCCATCCTCCATTCGGTGATCAGGGTGTCTCTGCGACATAGCAATGCGAAATGTACATGCTTGCACGAGAGGAACATACTGATATATAGGGAGGTGGGGGGAGGGGGAGAGAGACACAACATGAATATATATATATAGCCCAGCGCAGATTGACCACAAAACGCCAAGCAGAGGGGAATTACTCCAAGCAGACAAAAAGATCATATGACAAGAAACGGTCAAGGAAAGGACTGAAGACGCAAGTGGGAATGGCAAGGGAAAGATGGAAGGCAAAGGTAAAAGCAAATAAATAGTGTATTTACAGAAAGGCTGAAAGAAAGACAAGATGCATCAGCATCATGTGCACGTGATCAAGGATAGAAAAGTCCTTTTTCTCCTCCACTCACGACCTCTGGCCGGCAGTGGCGGCCCTTTCGGCGGCCAGCTTAGCCTCCATCTTGCGTCGAGCCTCGAGGATCATGTCGTCCCGCCGCTTCTTCAGCAGGGCCTGGCGCTCGTCCTTGTTGGAGCTCCAGCTCTTGGACTTGCTGTTGCCCGCAGGAGCTACAGTGTTTGGCAAGGGCGACGGCGGTGGCGTGATGACGTCTGGCGTGTCTGTGGAAGCCACACGGTCCTGCAGGTGGTAGCGCTGGATCAGGTTCGGCTGTGTAGACCGCGACAAGGCCAGGGCCGACGAGGAGCTGCTGCTGCCTCGGGAAGCGATGATGGCAGCGCCACTGCTGCTGCTGCTGCTGCTGCTGTTGCCGGCGGCAGCTCCGGTGGCAGGCGGTGTCGGCCGTGCAGGAGGCTGGAACGAGACGGGCGGCTATCGATCGGGTCAGCAGTGTTAGGCCAGCGGGAAAGACCGACGAGACTCACCGTTTCTAGACGACCGGCGAGGATCCGCTCCGTTGTTGCGGCCACGTTGAGGTTGCCACGTCGTAGATCCCACCAGATGGCGCGGCGGTCTGCGGTGGGAAAGATCTGCTGGATCTGGTCGACGGCAGCCTCGGTGCGGCGGTCCAGCGCCTCGGCTCGCCGCTGGTCCTGGAGGGTCGATGGCTGTCGGGACGACGTCCTCGTCGCAGCCGCAGCTCCTCCTGCAGCAGAGGACGGAGCCGGTCCCCGGAAGAAGAAGTGGCGCAACAGGAGGCCGGAGACAACCAGGATCAGCACCAGTGACGGCACGTTGATCTCGTCGTTGGCCATGGCTTCCCCCCGATATATCTGCTGCTTGCTGTTCTCTGTTCTGCGTTCTGTATGGCTTTCCTGCCGATCCGATCCTCTGTTCTCGCCGGTTTCGTATCACGTGGCCTGCAGCGTCTGGTCTCAAGGATAGGACAGAAATGGCGGCCAAAGACTCCAATAGGCGACACGGGATTTTACCGCCGAATCTCGGACAAGGCTGATGGGTCACAGAGTGGGCGGTCGTGAGACATAAAAGACGTGCTCCGGGGATCACATTCGAGAGGGGACGGCACGAGGCTCAGACGAGGCCCGGAATAGCTGCGAATGAAGGAAAAGTCAGTTAGAGAGAGCTGCCCAAGCGGAACCGGCCGCAGAATTGGCAGACAACCCTTACGTGTAGTGACGTCGAGCAAAGTGCGTTGCTAGTGCCCGTATGGGAAGAGGTCGAAAAGAGAGTGTTTGCACGTTGGCCTACACGTACTCCGTAGATTAGCAAGGTGGGGCAACTTTGTAAGGTTGTCGAGCTAATCCTCCGTGCTGGCGCACAGACCAAGCACATGCTTGTCTTAATAATCCGAGCAGCCTCAGTCTTGAGCCGGCCAGACATAAATCTTGAAATCTTACGGAGTACCAGTGTCCCAGTTTTATCCCTACAGAGCACTTGTCCACGTTGCCTCCTGTCTATGAGCCCCCACAGGACTGTCATGCCTCCACGTAATCCAGCACACCTACAGAAGAAATCCCAGAACACCAAGAAGACCAAGCGAAAACGTGAATGAATGAAGACGGACATGTGCCAGTTGAATCCGCCTGAAGCCCCTCTGCCGTCTGCCGTCTGGCTGGTGCCAGCCGCTGCCAGCTGCTGTCGAGTGCCACTGCTACCACTATCGTCTATCGTCGACCGCCTCGGCCACCGCGGCCACCTCGGCCACCACGGCCGCCGCGACGCACGCCGGCCGCGGGTCCTGTTGGTGGTTTGGACCCGACCAGATCGTCACTGTACAGCTTGCTGCTGCTGAGCCCGTCCGTGTCCATGGGGTCGTCGAAGCCGAGCGAGCCGTCCACGACGAGGCCGTTGCTGCTGCTGCCGTTGCTGTTGGCCACTGCCAGCGCCCGCGGTACCGCCATCGCCGGCTGACTGCTGCTGCTGGCCCCCATCGCCATCTGCTGGCCCGCTTTGGGATACACGTGCAGCAGCCGGCCGTCGGCCGTCTGGTTGTTGAATGTCTCGATCACGCGCAGCGCGCCCTCGCGCGTCTCAAACACAATCTCGGCAATCACCAGCGGCGCCGTCTTGAGGATGCGGCAGCTGCTCACCAACCCGCCCACTGGCGTCATCGCACTCTCAATGTCTGCTGCCGTCGTGCCGGGCGCAAAGTTCTGGGCCATCACCACGAGCGGCTCGTTGACGGCTGTTGCGATGCCGCGAATCGACAAACCCGCAGCCGGCTGCTGCTGCTGCTGCTGCTGCTGTCGCGTCTGCCTCTTGCCGCCCGTCAGCTCCTCTCGGAACAGCGCCCGGGCCACCTGCGCGGCGCGTCGCTGCTGACCCCGTGCCGCCACCACCGTTGTCGGGGCTGCTGCCCTGCCTGTCCGAAGGGGCTGCTGGCCCGGCCGCGAGATCCGACTGGCGAGCGAACCCGCCGGCAAGGCTGCTGCTGCCGCTGCTGCTGCTGCTGCCCGTGGCCCTCGTGGGATGCTGCCAGCGCCTCCGTTGTGCAGGTCATGGGTCCATTCGCTGTTGATGTTGCCCGTCGGCCGAGGGACAGACGACAGGGAGACGCGCTGAGCGGCGGTCAGCAAGCCTGGCTGCAAGCCGTGAGCGTCATGGCAACGTACCTTTTTCACGCCGGCACGACTCGTGAGCAAGCCGGCACCGGCTCCGCTACCGGTGGCCTTGATCGGCGCGCTGGATCGACGGTCTTTGTTGAAGATCCGGGCCGCAAGGGCTTCGTTCTTCTTGCGATTGCGATCTGCGAGAGAAGACGGGCAACAGTCAGTTTTCGGTCACACAAACCCGAGGCCAAAATTAAAAATGCGTCTCGATAACGTACCGGCGTGGATCATCTTCTCGAAATCAGATGCAACTTTCGCCATGGCTGCGATTTGCTGCGGGTTGACGCGTTTTGGTCGCGTCCTGTTGGAGACGAAGGCGTCCTCGAAGAGAAGTCTGCTCAAACGGCCGTGGCGAAGGACTATCCGGCCAACAATGGCTGGCCTCTGAGATGGATGATGGACGGGCGATGCACGGCGACAGAAAATCAAATAGTTCGGTCTACTGGACAGAGCGAAGAAAAATGGACGCGGACCGGACTAACGTGGCGGTGCCTATCGAACGTGGCAGCTCTTCTTTGGCGCGCGCAGCCTTCTTGACCAGTGCTATGTACCCCTATTCAGCAGGCGGCTCCGCCAGCGTTCGCAACACCCCAAAACGGCCCCGTCACGTGCCTTACTCCGAACTCTTGTACGAAATACACCGTACAAATGGGTATTGTCTTCATTTGTCTATTGAGATGGTCGCCATTCCGTCCTCCTACTGCTCGCCGGCATTCCGCCTCGCTGTCGCGAATCCTTTTGTCGTGCGCGCTCTGGGAAAACTGGCTCTTCTCTCCCGCCTTTCTCGTGCGCTCTTCAGATTCGGCTCCATCTCCTCCCGGTTCTCGTAGAACCGCGTGACCTGTCGGTTCAACAGGTTGCGGCTGGTTCGCACGTCCTTTATCGTCGCCTCGTCCGCCATGCCCTCCGACACCACCATGTCGGCCGCCGACACCATCTGTCGTATCAGAGACACCAGCTCCCGCCGCCCGTTGTACGTCTGCTCCCGCTTCTCCGGCCCTGATGCGTACGGCTGTTCCGGGTAGGTGAGTGCGTTTCCAGCCAGTCGCAGAGGATCCCACAGTCGGCCCAACGCCCGCACAATCTGGCGCCCAAACGCAAACTTGGCCACCTCTCGCTCTCTCGGGTCCGCCACCTCCTTGAACTGCCGGTTGTTCGTAATGGCCGTCTGCAGGTACATACGCATCGTGTGTGGGTCTGGCACCAGGAGCGTCCGGCTCATCAGGTCCAACACCTTCCCTGCCGATGCAAACGCACCGTCGTTCAGGTTGTCTGCCGCACACGTCGCCATCGCCAACTGGAGCGTCCGCTCGTTGATGAGCTCCTTGGGCATCTTCTGTAGCAGCTCCGCCGTCTTGGCGCTGTTGTGTCCCCGACGTAGCGCCTTCAGCAGCCGGAACCAGTTCTCCGAGTCTGGCACCACGTAGTACGGCGGGCTTTGGAACACTTCCCAGTACCGCGCCGCAAGGCTCGTCTTCCGCGTCGCGCCGAGAGACGTCAGGACGAGCGAGAGCACGTTGCGGCCTGGTTGCGAGTACAGGATCCTGCTGCTGCCGCCTTCGCTGCCCTCGATACTGTTGTGGTTTTTGGAACCAATGACGCCAGCTGGTAATGGTACAAACTGGGTCTTGTGCGCGACTGCTACAGGCGGCGGCGGTTTCCGACCCTCTGAAGGCGGCCTTTTTGCGGCTGTGTCTTCTGCTGCAGTCTTGTCCTCTGCCACAGCTTTCTCATCAGTTGACGAGATTGGAGTAGCAGCCGGCTCCTTCGGGGCTGTCTTCGGTGTGGCCGCCAACATTGTTGGGCGGTCGAATCGTGGGATGCCCATGGTTTGCTCGACGAGAGACAGGACGTCATCGTTATCGTGGTAGTCTCCCATAAGAAGAACTCGTCCCATGGCGCACACCAGTTCCTCATCAATAATGATCCGTCCCTGGCGCCAGTTTGTCACCACTTCCTCCCACACTGCTCTGGCCCTCTTGATCGACACAGACACCTTCTCCTTGTCCACATGAACCTCTTCCTCGCCTTCTTTGACCGTCCGGTGGTGGGGGAGCGCTGTGGAATAGCGCAGGCCATTGAAAACGGTGGTGTAGGTGAGGTTGTTGGGCATGCGCAGGCGGTCGTTGGCTGTCTTGGCCACGCTGAAGAGTGACTCCACATCCTTAGCACGAGCACAGACCTGCAGGACTGCATTCATATGAATAGTGTTGGGCTTGATCCGCTCGTTGTCGAGCATGGAGTAGTAGAGCCGCGTTGCCTGGTAGACGGCAAGGCTGGCATGGGGCGACTGCGCGCAACCCTTGAATATGATAGTGTACGTCTGTGCATTGGGTAGCTGCGCCCGTTTTTTCATCTATTTTCCACCTGGGTCAGAATGCCGGTCCTTGCATCTCTCATCAACGATCTGTTTGGACTTCTCACTTCGTTAAAGAGCTTGACAGCGGCAACAAGCTTCCCTTTGCGCATGAGGTACCCTATCAGATGATTCCAGCTGACCGTGACCTGCTTGTCTTTGCTTGCCAACCGAGTGATGCTCAGAGCCTTTTCAAATCCGTCCCTTGCATCCTTCTGCAGAATACCTTCGACGTGCTTGCCGATGGTATAAGGGTCCCTGAGGAATTGAAGGCGCCGCTTCGAGATGGCGTCCACGCGCGAGCTGGCTGCTGCAGATAGCGTGGAAGAGGCCTCGGAAGCGTCTCCCTCCAACTCCCGGTTGAATTCCTCGGTCGTTATAGGTGCCGAAGCTGTACGTCTTGTTGGCGTGGCGGTTGCAACGGTCAAGACTCGTCTTGGAAATCTTGGAAATGGTTGTGCGGCTTGCGATCGTGTTGCAGCATACGCAGTCGGCCGAGGGTTGCAAAAAGCCCGCTGAGCCTGAAGGGATATGCAAGGCAGCGTGCGCCACCTCCTCGAACATGACCTGCAAATAAACATTGCTTGATCAATGCGCAGCTGAGAGCTCATATCGAGTCGTGTAAGACGTCGTTGTCTTGCCGCTCGTCTGGGTTTTTTCACGTCTTTTCCTTATCCCGATAAGCCGATAAGGTGGGCTGCCGTACAGTATAATATACAGTATCAGTACAATTAGCACTGCCTCTAAAGCTGCCGCAAAGCGGGTCGAAGCGCGTCTCAAGCACTAAAACACGACGCATAAACGCGTTATGGCGCGTCCCAAAAATAGGGATCATTAAACAAATTGCCTGTCACTATTGCCCACTAATAACCCACCAATCCATTGGCATACAACTCTGGCCACACGATTTTCTGGAAATGTGTTCGTCTTCTGTTTAGCGATACCTCAAACGCTGCTGTCTCTGGCTTACTTCTGCATTTGATTTATTTTCTCGGCCTTGTCTCCTCTCGTCGGTGACCACAGCATAGCGACGCCATGTCGAAAGTGGCTGGCCGACGGAGCAAGTTCGAGGAGCTTCGGGCCCTGCGGAAAGCGGGCAAGAAGGCCTTCGACTCGTACGAAGTGGAGGATGCCGACAAGCTGTACGAGTTGGTCGACGATGATCAGTACAAGAACATTGTCCGCTCGCGCCTAAACCAGGATGACTTCGTCGTTGACGACAATGGAGAGGGCTATGCGGACGATGGCCGAGAGGAATGGGATCGTGCACATGTGTACGAGTCCGACAGTGACGACAACATGGTTGCCCGGACAAAGGACCGCAAGTCATGTAAGCTGTCTTTTCTTCAATCCTGTCTCCCCATGCATCGCACATCTGCTAACCTGACTGCAGCCAAGAAGTCTCGCGAAGAGGACCAGGCAAAGAGGGATGCCAACGATCGGAACATCGCCGAATACTTCACAAAGGGCGCTGCAAAACCACAGGCAAAGACAAAAGTACGTATAGGCCTGAAGCCCCTTCGTTCTTGCTCCTTCTCGGGCTATCAAAGCTAACCGTGACAGGTTGTAGTTACAAAAGACGATGACAGCTTCATGGCCAGCTTACTAGATGAGGTCGACACCAATCTCCCCACTGCTCTGCCAGTCATAAAGAAGAAGAAGCGGACGGTGGACCAGCGCAAATCCCGAGACTTTTCCCCCCCTGCGGGCATCCGACAGCCTCTCCCCAAAAGAGCGAAAGTTGAGCTACCACCAGCGCCGGCTAACATCAGCTTCGCGGACGACGACGACGACGACGATTTTGCCGCCCTCCATGACGAAAACATTCCCGCCAGTGACGACATCCCGATGAGTGATCCGATGCCTTCATCGCCTACCGTCCAAGTTGCCAGGCGCAAGGCTCAGCCTGCCCAGGCTGTTGCGGAGCAGATCACGACTATCAAAGAGGAGGAAGACGAAGACGATGGCATGATGGAGGTGGCCCACGCCGGTGCTGTGACTGCCGCGAGCGTGAACTTGTCTGCGGCACGGCCATTGAAAAAGCTGGTCAAGGAGGAATTGTTCCTATCGCCGACCAAGGCTGCTGTCGCCGAGGACAAGGTCGACGCGTCGGCCTGGAACAAGCTGAACGATAAGCTCAACGTGATGAGCAGTCCAAAGACAGCAGAAGCAGAATCACACACGATGGGAGGCAAGGTCGACTACAAGGACGCCATCGAACAGGACGGCAGCCTCAACTTTTATTGGACAGACTACACCGAGATCCATGGAAGCCTGTGTCTGTTTGGAAAGGTTCTCAACAAAAAAACCAAGAAGCACGTCAGCAGCTTTCTCAAGATCGACAACATCCAGCGGAAGCTCTTTTTCCTACCGCGCCAACGGCGCAGCCAAGACGGCGAGGAGACTGGGGATGAGGTCAGCATGGCGGATGTGTACGGTGAAGTGGACGCTCTCATGACGAAGATGGGCGTACCGCAGCATAAGACGAAGCCTTGTACACGAAAGTATGCGTTTGAGTTACCGAACATTCCCAAGGAGGGCCGGTACTTGAAGCTACTGTACCCGTACACAAAACCAGTGATTGCCGAAGCAGGCGGCGTGACGTATTCGCATGTCTTTGGCACGAACACTGCGCTTTTCGAGCAGTTTGTGTTGTGGAAGAACGTGATGGGCCCTTGCTGGCTCAAGATCGAGGATGCAAATTACAGCGCGCTGAAAAATGCGTCACACTGCAAGCTGGAGGTGCTCGTCGAGCACCCCAACATGGTGTCGACGCTCAATGATGCCGACGCTCCAGAAGTACCGCCGCTGACGATGATGAGCATGGCGGTGCGGACGGTGTACGATGATAAAGCAAAGCGACAAGAGGTGATGGCGATCAGCGCGCGGATATACGAAAACATTTCTTTGAGCGACACGACACCGGCTGAGAAGCTGCCATGTCGGACATTCACTGTGATCCGGCCGAGCAGCGACGGCTTCCCTCTGGGCTTCGAAACCTTGGCGCACGACAAGACACGGCATCGCGGTCTGGTGCGGCCAGTGAGACAGGAGGCTGAGGTTCTTTCGTTCTTCCTGGCACAGGTCTCGAGCGTCGATCCAGATGTGATTATGGGTCACAAGCTGGAGGGCGCCGACTACAGTGTTCTCCTGAGTCGGATGCGTACTCTCAAGACGCCAAATTGGTCGCGACTGGGGCGGTTCCGGCTCAACCAGTGGCCCGGATCGCTGGGACGAGGCGGCAGCGACGTATTTGCGGAGCGACAGGTGATCGCGGGCCGGCTGCTGTGTGACCTCGCAAACGATGCCGGGCGATCGGTCATGTTCAAGTGCCAGTCATGGACGCTGACGGAGATGTGCAGCCTGTATCTGGGCGGCGACAACCAGCGCCGTGAGCTAGACAACGAGGTGGCGCTGAAGACGTGGGCGAAGACGAAGGAGGGCCTGCTGGACTATGTGGGCCACCTGGAGGCGGACACGTACTTCATCGCAGCGCTGGGGCTGCGAGTTCAGATCCTGCCGCTCACAAAGGTGTTGACGAACCTGGCAGGTAACTCGTGGGCGCGCACGCTGACGGGAACGCGGGCAGAGCGCAACGAGTACATTTTGCTGCACGAGTTCCACCGCAACAAGTACATCTGCCCGGACAAGCAGAAGTTCCGGGGGCGCGGACAGGGTGAGGACGACAACGCGGACGGCAAGAAGAAGGACAAGTACAAGGGTGGTCTCGTGTTTGAGCCAGAACGAGGCCTATACGACAAGTTTGTGCTGGTCATGGACTTTAACTCGCTGTATCCGTCCATCATCCAGGAGTTCAACATCTGTTTTACGACAGTCGAGCGGGCCGCTCTGGTGGGTATTTTTTTCGTGGCTCTTTTCTCCCATATCTCATCGCACCTGCTGACATTTGGACTTGCAGTCGGACGAAGGGGACGCTGTTCCAGAAGTGCCGACGGAACAATCACAGGGCGTGTTGCCGAGACTCATTGCGACACTGGTGTCCCGACGTCGACAAGTGAAGAGTCTCATGAAGGACAAGACGGCGACGGCCGAGGAGCTCGCGACATGGGACATCAAGCAGCTAGCACTCAAGCTGACGGCCAACTCGATGTACGGCTGTCTGGGATACACACAGTCGCGGTTCTATGCACGGCCGCTGGCAGTGTTGGTGACGTACAAAGGCCGTGAGATTCTGCGGAGCACCAAGGAGCTGGCGGAGAGCATGTCGCTGCAGGTGATTTACGGCGACACGGACTCGGTCATGATCAACGCGAACGTGGACAACGTTGCGGACGCAATGCGGGTGGGACAGGAATTCAAGCGGACAGTCAACGAGCGATACCGGCTGCTGGGAGGATTTGACATTGACAATGTCTTCCGGCGGATTCTGCTGCAGGCGAAGAAAAAGTACGCGGCCATCAATATGGTGGAGGTGGGCGGCAAGTACGTGGAGAAGATGGAAGTAAAAGGACTGGATATGAAGCGGCGCGAATACTGCGCGCTGTCCAAGGAGATGTCGACGCGGATCCTGAACGAGATCCTGTCGGGAGAGGAGACGGAGGTGTCGGTGACGCGGATCCACGCGTATCTGCGGGAGATGGCAGCGAAGATGCGGGGAACCAGCAGCGACGAGACGGAGGACAACAACGGCACGACGACGACGACGACGACAGCCAGCAGCATCCCAGCGGCCAAGTACATCATTTTTACGCAGCTGGGCAAAGAACCGACCGACTACCCGAACGCGGAAACGATGCCACAGGTGCAGGTTGCACTGCGTGAACGATCTCAGGGCCGAAAGGTCAGCAAAGGCGACGTGGTCAGCTACCTGATCGCGACGGGCACATCGGCACCTACATCGGAGCCGGCAGCCAAGCGGGCGTATACGCTGGCGGACGTGCAGCGCAAAGACTCGGGCCTGACGCCGGACGTGGAGTGGTACATTGGCAAGCAGATCTTCCCGCCGGTCGAGCGGCTGTGCGCCAACATTGTGGGAACATCGACAGCACAGCTGGCTGAGAACTTGGGGCTGGATATGCGGCGATATGCGGCTGGTGGCGGCGGACAGGGACAGCACGGTAGCAATGGCGGCATGGGGGTCAACGGTGAGCTGATGGAGGTGCACCCGCTGGAGTCGCAGATCCCGGACGCAGTGCGGTTTCGCGACTGTGCGCGGCTACAGCTGCGATGTCGCAAGTGCAAGGCCACGGACCAGTTTGAGGGCCTGTGGAGTGAAGACGGCGAACAGACGATCCAGGCTGAAAAGGCGATGCACGTGACTCCGGCAGGTGTGGCTTGCAAGTGTGGCGCAGCGCTGTCGACGCTATCGGTAGTGGCGCAGGTCGAGCACGCAGTGCGCATGGCGACGTCACGCTACTACGAGGGCTGGCTGGTCTGCGACGACCCGTCATGCGGCCAGCGGACACGGCAGATGAGCGTGTACGGGACGCGGTGTCTGGGGCCCAAGGGACTGGCTCGCGACTGTCTGGGCCGCATGCGCTACGAGATGGGCGAGCGCGACATCTACAACCAGCTGGTGTACTATGCCGGCCTGTTTGACGTCGACAAGGCGCGAACAGCCGTCCTGGCAGCAGCAGCCGACAAAGACGAACAAGATCGCGTGCTGGCGCTGGCCGAGCACAACCGCGTGCGCTTTGGCAACGTCAAGGCGGCCGTCGAGCGCTATCTCGACAAATGCGGCCGGCGCTGGGTCGCCATGGACACGCTGTTTGCCAAGCTGGGCTTTGCGGTGCCTGCACGGTGAGGGATTTCAGCATATACTATGTACTGCTTATAGTGATAACGACTTGGATGCATCGTACTCGGTTACATGGCGTATTCGCATAATGGCCTAGATACATTACATCACGTGCATCCAGCTAGTATCAAAAGTGTCTTGCATTTCGAATGTAAACAGCAGCAGGCCTCATAGGGCAGCGGTCGATTCCTCCGTTTTCGTTCCCGTCCCGTTTCTTGATCGCCGCGGCCTCCCTCCTCCTGGGCTCGCATCGCCCCCCCGCCTTGTCCTCCCCACAACCGGGCCTGCAACTCTCTCGGTCGCACGTCACAGTAGCCCGTAAGTTCCTCTCCTTACATACGGGCCCGGAAAGCAAGACAGAAAGATAGACGAGCACATAGAACATTAGGCGTAAATAGCAGTTCCTCCACAACGGATCGTAACAGGTATAAAATAAACACATACAGTCGGGACTGGTGCTCAAAGAGGCACTGCGTAACATGAAAAATCTTCATTGGACGGACGGCGTCATGACCAGGGAGACTGCGCGTCCGTGCCAGAAAGCGGGTGGGTAGCGGAAGAGGGAGAGAAGGATGGGGAGGGAGGCGAGGAAAAATAGAAATCTTGAGAGGTATCATGCAGAAAGGCAACTTTTAAGCACACTTTTTGAGAACCCCGTAGAATGCAGAGCGCGTCAGGCAAAACAAGCAGAAGCAACAGGAGACGTAGGACAAACTCGCAGACACGAAATGCACAACTCAGAACCCCCTCGCCGGTCTATGCATAAGACGGTGGAATGCAGCGGACACTGGTATGGAAAGCGGAAAAAAGCGTATTAAGAGGGCGTCGTAGAGACGAAGCCTGCTGGCTCAGTTGCCGTCCTTCTTGGCCTTGTCCAAATTGGCCTTGGAAATGGCAGGCGAGGCGGCCGTGGAAGGAGGCGACGTGGGCGTGTCCGTATCCATGGCGAGGGCACTGGTGATGTTAGCGTTTGTGAAAACGAAAAAAAAAGAAGGAAAAAAAAAAAAACACAACATAAGACAGAGAAACTCACGAAAACGCATTCGCATGCGACACCGAATTCGAGTCGCTGCGCGTCAGCGGTGTCCCTGCCCGCGATCCCGGGCCCGAGTCGTCGCCAGGACGGCCAAACGAGCCACCAGGGCCGTTTCGCCGACCGCTGTTGCTCCGAGACGCAAACATCGATGTCGGCCCCAACGTCGGCACGCTCGAGCTCGCAATCCGGCTCGCCGACCCCTTCAACCGCCGCAGATCGTCCATGCCGACCTGGTTCTGTACCGGCTGGCTGTACGAGAAGTTGCGGTTGTCGTTGCGACCTCCCATGCCCGACCGGCCACCCGGTCCCCGTTGGCTCGTGCTCCGGGCTGCCTCGGCCGCCTTCTGTGCTGCTGCCGCTTCGGCTTCCTGTCGCACTTCCTCCAGCGTCTTCGGCCCCTTGTTCAGCTCGGCCGCCGCCCAGTTGCCCGACCGCAAGTCCAGAATGTCCATCAACATGTACTTGAGCCGGCTCGGCAGGTCCGGAAAATCGACCATGTTCTTGATCCGCACAAAGTAGGCGTCCATCATCGGACGGCCCTTCTCTGTCCGGTCCAGATTGCCTCCGACTGTCCGCAGCAGCTTCGACAGCGACTCGATCTCGGCCTCGTCTGGCACCGACTCGTAGTCCACCAGCTTCCGCACACACTCGTGCATGATCCGCTCCGTCAGCATCCCTAGCTTGTACAGCTCGCCAATGAACTGCACCAGGCCTAGGCCGCGTCGCTTCGCCGCCATCGCCTCGTAGTACTCGTCCGACAGCATCACTGCCTCGGTCGACTCGCCCTCCTTCGGCTTCGGCAGGTCCACCTTCCAGCCTCGCTCAAACTCCTCCTGACACCGGTTGAGCAGATACTTGCGGAACAGAGTGCCGCCGCTGATAACGTCGCCCTTCTTGTCCTTGATCGTCGTGTCCCGGATCTCCGGGCTCATCATGTCGAGCATTCGCTTGCAGAACCGCGCGTACATAGACGCCCAGTGCGCTTCGTCCGTCGCCTTCTCAAACGTCAGCTGAATCACCTGCCGCAGCGTCCGGCCGTCCTCCTCGTCCTTGGACTGCAGCGCAATCTCCAGGATCTGGTCCGAGATCTTGTCGAACTTCTCCGGCGTCATCTTGTTCAGCGCCGCCTTGACCTTGCGCTGCACCATTGTCGGGTCCAGCATTCCGGCCGCCGTCACCATCGGCGCCTGCACCGCCCGGCTCCCAATGCTAGTGGGCTTCCAGCCGTTGGATGACACCGCGATCGGCTTCAGTTCCTGACCAGCCGTCAGCGGCATCGTCTTGGCTGCCTGTGCCTCATTCTTCCCGCCAAAGTTATCCCGCCGGCTGTTGCCGCGCGTCGACCGGCTGTTCTGCCGAGGCGAGTTGGGCACGCCACCCATGCTGGCCGACGGCGTCCGCGACATGTGTGCCGGGCCCGGAAAGCTGCCCGGACGGCCGAACGGACCCATGCCCGCCGTTGGTGGCCGCTGCATCGACCCGTTCGACATGGCAAACCGCTGGTCCGACGTCGTGCCCGGAGGCAGCGTCTTGGACGCAAACTCGCCCATCACGCCCATCGTGAAGCCAGTCGTCCCGCCGGCACTGCGCGAGTTCTGTCGAACCGAGCCCGAGGCCGGAGTGCGTGAGCCTGCCCGAGGCGTGCTCTCGCCGTCGCCGATCAGCTGCTTGACCTGCTGGTCAAAGTCCATCGATGGCTTCTCGACAAAGACGTCCTTGAACTGCAGCAAGAAGCCCGTGTCGTACTTGAAATTGCCCTTCTTGTTGACCGCCGGGTTCAGCGCAGGGTTGGGCGACATCACACCCTTGGGGTAGAGGATGCTGGTCGGATCCCGCAGGAACCGCGCCGTCTTGAGCGACTGGAGTGCTGCGCTCGGCTGCGGCGCCTCCACTGACTTGGTGTTGATCGGCGCCAGGTTCAGGGCCGATGGCTTCGTGCGCTGCTGCTTCACCGTGCCCGGTGCCGTCTCCGACGATGTCACCGACGATGCGCCCAGGAGCGTCATGTTGCTCAGCTTGCTCGTCACCGTCTCGGTGCTGGCCTCGGCCGTCTCCTTGCGGTCACCCAGAGTCAGACCGGAGATCTTCTCCGCAAGCACCTCCGCCACGCTCTTGACCCGGACGCCAGCAGCCGCAGCCGCCTCGTTCTCGTGCCGTTGGCGCTCGCGCTCCTCCTCGACCCGCTCCATCTCGCGTTCCTGCTCGCGCAGCTTCCGGTCGTTTTCGGCAGCCGATGCGATCCGATCTGCGTCGGCCTTCTTCTTCTTCTCCTCGTCCAGCTTCTTCTTCTTCACAGCATAAGCAGCCTCCTCGGCCTCGCGCTTGGCCTCAGCCTCCTCCATCTCCCGAATCATCCGCTCTGTCTCGTCCTCTTCGTCGACAACAGGAGCAGCGGCAGGGGCGGCAGCAGGAGCAGCAGGCGCAGCAGGCTCTGCCTTCTTCTCCGGCACAGCCGCAGCCGTCTCAGTCTTCACCACTACAGGGGCCGGGGCCTTCTTCTCCTCGACCGCCTTTGGTGCAGCAGCCGGGGCAGTCTCCTTTGCGGCCACCGGTGCAGTCTTCTTCGGCTCGACAGCAGCGTCCGTCTTCTCTGCGGGTTTGACCGTCTCCTCTGCCTTTGCAGCAGCAGGCTCGACAGATTCAGGAGCCTTCTCGCCCTCGACCTCGGCAGTCTTCCGCACCTGCTCCTTGAACTCATTCCGTAGCTGCTCAGCAGTCTTTGCCGCCGCAGCAGTGCTCTCAGCCCGGCTGTGAGACGGAGTGACCGACTTGGGTGGTGGTGTCGGGGTCGACGCGATGACCGGAGGCGTCTTGGAAACCGGGACATTCGGTCCAGGAGATGCAGGAGCCTTCAGGGCATTGAAATCCTGGATCTCACCCTGTGCGTTCTTGATGATGATGGCAGCACTTTTCCGGGGAATCACAAAAGAAGGTCCGTTGGGAGCACTCTTCGGCACACCTGCGACAGAGGCGCCGACGCCGGGACCGGCAGACACGACCTGGCCCTGGCCGGTGCTAGAGTTCGGCCGCTCCGAGACCTGCGACGAGTTGCGGGACATGGGCTGTGGGCCAGGTGGGGCGTATGGGTTCGGCACGTAGGCTGGCGCGTATGCCGGCCCTGGAGACTGTTGCGGTCCAGGCATGTAGGACACCTGTCCGTAGCCAGCGTAGCCCATCATGCCTTGGTTGTTATACTGACCTGGGTACGGCTGGTACGTCTGTTTTCTCGCAGTTAGCAGGCGCTCGAAGTTGCCACTCGTCGGCGATAGATCATCCAGTACACTGTTGCCGGTCGTAGGCTGATACTGTAGGGGCACTGGCCCCTGCCAGTGCTGAAACGGTGCCGAGGCCTCCATGGCCGAGGCTGCCTCGAACTGCTGTGTCTGGTTGGGCTGCTCTTCACTGGAATCCGGCCAACGCTTGATGGGCCGGCGAGATGCCTTTTTGTTCAAGTCCTGGGGGTAAGCATTGCCGAGCACAGCTTCAGACTCCAGAGCTGGCTGCGAAAACGATCTCTCGCCGCGAATTAGGCCCTTCTTCTTGCCTCCGCCCCTGTGGAAGGACGACTGGCCCTTCCGGCTGGAGTGGTGAAACTTTTTGGGTTGTTGAGACGAAAAAGAAAGTGGAGTATTTACGTTTACTTGCGGCGGGAAGCCGGCCGCTTGCTGGTAAGCGTAGTTGATGTATCCAGGGCTAACACCGGTGTTGGCGGGGATAGCAGTCTGCATCATCGGCGTTCCAGGGTTCGGGACGGCCGGTGCCATAGCCGGGCTTGCACGTGCTGCCTGAGGCGAGTTCTGAACAAAGCCGGGCTGCATGCCGCGGGGCTGGAACTGTGGTGGCATACCGCCACGACCCTGGGATGGGCCACGAGGGTACGGACCACCAGCGGGTGGGTAGCCCATAGACTGGTTGCCAAACTGGTGGCCATTGTTATAGCCACGGCCGCGACCAGCCTGAGGTCCATAGCCGCCTCGGTTGGGGCCAGGGCCGCCATGGTGGCCGTGTCCATGGTTGCCGTGGTTGCCATGGCCGCCGTGGTTGCCAATGTCGCTGTGGATCGAGTGCGTCGAGCCGCGACGGAAGTGTGGCGACTGATTGCCAACGGGCAGGTTGTTCTGGCCCAAGTTGGGTGTGTTGTGCTTCATGTGACGCTATAAGTCATGTTGTCAGCAAGTCTGGTGGTGTTTGTAATAGAGGGGTTACAGCAAAAAAAAAAGTTGTGGGTGAGGAGGGGTGAGGGTGAGGGTGAGGGGGAGGGGGAGGGGGAGGGGGAGGGGAGGGGGGTAAACAAAAAAAGACGTACATCGCCATCACCGCCAAGGCTGCCAAACTTCATGGACGAGCCATCCTGGGAGATAGTGGATGGCGGACGGCCACCACTTGCAGACGGCTGAGGGATGGGAGACGGAGACGGGACAGGCGAGGGTATCCGCTGGTGGCCTGGAATAGGGATAGGCGCAGCAGTGTTCTGAGAAGGAGTGCTGTGAACGACAGCAGGCGATTCGTAGCCGAACTTGGGCATGCCAGCCTTTGGGCCAGCGCCAGCCGGACCTCCATTGGCGACATAGCCGCTGGGGCCCGCGGCACTGATGGTCACAGAGCTCTTTCGGGCGTGGTCGGCAGAGCTGCCGTTGATGACAGCAGGTACAGCAGGCACAATGTGCTTGCTGGTGGCTCCGGAAGCCATGGTGGCGGTGTTGGATTTGTTCGCGGCGTTACCGTTCAGAGGTGACACCGACGAAGATTTGGCATGGTGACCCGGCTGGGTAGGAGCAGACGTAGAGGAGCTGACCACGACAGGAGCAGAGGAGCCCGTCACGATCACCGGCGTCGCAGCGGCCTTGCCAGAAGCACCGACAGCAGAAGCATAGGATGCAGTGGCAGAGGGAGCGGAGGAGTTCGGCGCCGGGACGTTCTGCGCGTTCGCAGCAGAAGTCATAAGGGAAGCTGATGATGTAGCGGAAATCGTATCGGAGCGAGATATCGTGATGGGAGGGTGGAGGCGCAAAGGGTTCGCAAATAATGGCGATAGCCTTCTACGCTTTGTTGCCTGAGAAACCCGAATAAAAAAGAGGTCCCAACTAAGAGGTCTCGAGTCCAAATCCAACTAGCGGGTCTGGTATTTGAGGATGATGGAGGAAGCGGTGATAGAGGACCAGAAACAGAATACAGAGGTATCCTGTTTGTAGCTGCCTTTTTTTCGTCACAGGGTATGTCCGTAGAGTCGGGGAGGCGATGGCCAACTCGAGTCCGTTTGCGCGAGAACAACAGGATAAAACAGGTCGACGGCAACGAGGGTTGTCGAAGCAGGTTCCGCGTCAGAGTGAATGAGTGGATGTCGCGTTGACGATGGAGAACAGTGCAGTCCTGATCCCTCTTCCAACTGCGCACAAAGTTGCGCAGCAAACGAAGAAGAGAAAATTCGTAATTAAATAGGCAGCACGACGAAGACGTCCTGGGTGCCTTATCCCTCACACGACTCTAGAGAGTGCTGTGTGGTGTAAAACGAAAAGGAGATATCACAGCGGATCCAGAGGACTGACCTAAGAATCTTCCTGTGACACTTTTTCGGAGGGGGGAGGTGAGGTTGTGATGAATTTCACTTGATGTGAAGGGTAGAGGGAAAAGGGAGAAAAAAAAAGGCGAGAGGAGGAACAGAGAGGGAAACCAAAAAAATTTAGAAGGAGGCGAGGACCCACCCAACCAAGTCGCTGATAGCGCGTGCGGGTGAACAGGGCAACTTTTTTTTTTTTCGCTGAATCACTGAGACGGTAGGTACCCATTTCTCGCGCACCAAATGCACGGCCCGCCCATAGCAACCAGGATAATTCGCTGCTCTTGTGTCCTATAGGCCACTTGTGGGTTCATTGACGAGTACAAATGATGTGTAAATGACCTGCAAACGGGCGGACTTACGGAGTAAGCAGGGCTTTGAATACCTAATGCCTTTTAGGTTGCCAGCTTCTCTACTCCGTAATCTGCGAGCTATTTACGGGTACTTGAAATAAAATTACGTGCTTCTCCTCGTACAGAGCCCGTGTCGGGCTGTCATTGCAGGCATACGAACACTCGATGGCATACGAGTACGCAGTGTCGCTTGCATCTTGCGTGGAGCGCGCAGGGTGAGTGCGTGCAAGCTGCCCGGCAGATATGCGACTCACATGCGAACAATGTATACGGACATATCGTACGTACGAGTGTCCAAGGACGTGCACACACCGGTGTACGTCAGCGAAGAGTGCCATATATAATGTTGCGCGCTGCAACGTGCGTCATTACATAATGTCCAGGTGAGGCAAGTGGGATATGCTTGATACAGAAAAGTATTATCGTTGGCCTGTGCGATACGAAGAGGGGTGATAAACAATGAGAAAATAAAGATAATAAAATTGGAAACCCAAAAATCCTCCGTACGGGGAGTACTTGGGAAAGAAGTCGAGGAAAAGTGGACAGACCAGGTGGAGCCACCGTTCGTCATTATGGAGCAGTGGTGTCCTAAAATATCTGATATCTGCCTAACTACCTCGCGGAGCAGTCAGAGGATGCACTTAAGCGGTCGTCAGAGACGACATGTCGCTGGTTCCGTAGCGCAGTGGCACAGAAGGCCGGTAGAAGAGAACCGAACGAAGTCAGAGAAGTGGCGAACCGCGTCTGGCTTTTCAAGATACTCCCGTACGAGTACGGTACGAGTTTGGTGTAGTATAGCACGTACTCGTATGTACTAGTAGATCGTACTTTGGAGACTGTGCGTCTAATATAAGAGCAGTAGGAATACATCCCGGTATTGGTAGCAGTGAGTACTCCGTACGTCGTAATTACGCCGTGTTAGGGAATTAAATAGAGCGACAAGACCACGTGACTTATATGGCGGTCACAATAGGCAAAATGGGATTGCGTTCTTACGTCGTAGTGCCCTAAATGTTATTAGATAAGCGCCCTGCACATAAGTTTAATAACCACAGCGTTGACAATACTATGCAATCACGTGTTGCGACACGTGACCTATCATATACTCGTACCTGTTCCAGCAAAGGGATAGATAACCTCGCTCTTTGCGGACAACCTTTCCGCTCTACAGACAGATTTCTAGTCAAAAGGCTACGACGTAACGGTTGTACTCCGTAATACCTCCGTATTGCGACAGACACAACGCTGACAAGCAGGAAACCGTTGCTGAGGCTGATCTCATAAAAGCATTATCGACACGGTGCCCCTAGGCCACGAACCAGCTAGCCGTAGCAGCACTCCTCGAGTGGCAATGTCAAACGCACAGGGCTATATAGATGCTGCTCACAGTCTGCTTTTCATTCACGTAGCTCCGCACGTGGACAGCAATGAGATGGGGGGGCCGCGCTAGCGGATGGTAAGTCGCCGACAGGCTGTCGGCGACAGCACAACGTTGGAACCGGTTGGAACCACCGACCAGGAAGGGAGGAGGGGAGTGGCGTGTAAGACACAAAACGGCTAGGCCCGGATACACCTGGTCGAGCCTGGAAGCTGGAAATACGACGTGCTCCGTAGGCCCGGTCAGGCCTTATCGAACCAACAGCCATGCCAAGGTTGACAGGTAGTCACACCCTGCAAAACATCGAATAAAGGTTGAAGATCAATTAAGGCAAGGCGGAACACACGTCGCTCAGGGTATGTGCACACCCCGCGATCGCAGCAGAACCAGCAACCTGGTTGGATGAGTGTTGCAACGCTCACGTGACTTGGCTGAAGCAACTCGAGGTTGTGATCGACAGACAGTGGGGCCCCTAAACATTGGGACGGGAGACAGCAGCGAACACGAAGTGGTTTATGGGGTAGAATAAGATACTTAATCTGCTCCGTCTAGACGTAGGAAGAGGCAAAGGGATACAAGTGAAGAAAAACCAAATCATGACCCTCCGAAGCAGGGAAAAGGCGACCAGAAAGGAGCACAAAGAGTGGTGCCAATGCGACTAAATGGGCCGTAAGACAACAATAAGAGCAATTCGGTCAGTGCCCTAGCGCCGACTATCCGTACATGGTATCCCACAAAGCATCGATTGTGGGGAGGAGCAAGATATGTACGCTGTACGGGCGATGCTGCTCACTTGCCAATTGGTTCGCTAGCGTGGCCAGCGTGCAACCCACCCAAGCAAAGGGGGTGGAAATACTCCCGGCTTCTCTTCTCGCTTTCCATTCCACTCCGTCTGAATGGCCCCCTACTCCGTAAATGATCTGCTACTAAAAAGCGATTCAGCCGCCAATCCAGAAAGGACGAACCACACGGACGCACGCACCGCTTCGCACACATACTCACATCGCACATTCGCACACGGCTCCCAACTCTACATATAGCACGTCTGCCCCGCCGGATGCAGAGCCCTCGAGAGGAGACGCAACGCGGCCGGTGAGGCATCCGAAGCAAATGGTAGCCGCGTTCGCATCCAAGTGAAGGGAACCGCAATGGTCGGTGTTCCAGGACGATCAAAGGCTTGCGCGACCTGCCGCCGCCGGAAGAAAGGCGTGAGTTTCCCAATGTGCAATTATTCCCATTGTTCTCTATCGTGCCCCCCTGTCTTCCCCCCCCCTTAAAACCTGTATCGACAACTGCTCCGTCGATGTGGAGAGAAAGGCATGCCCGCTACCAGGGGCAAGCAACCGCGCGTTCCATGCACAGTCGGCAGTCTGCAGCCTTAGTTTATCGTCGTTGGACATCGGCCGGTTTGCCGGTTCGTCGAAAGGCCGTATAGACAGGACTGGCTTGTCGAGTCAGATTCGCACACTCCTCTTTTTCACTTTGTTGCTTTTTCTACCGTCACGTCGTCCACCTCCTAGTCTTTGCCCCTCTCCCACATCCATCTTTATCGCTCCGTCTGTCCGCCCCTCATCCCCCTCATCGGCCTTTCCGCTCCTCTTTCGGCCAGCCGAAGCAGCCTAGCTCACTGACACAAACATCCAGTGCGATCTCAAGCGGCCGTCATGTACGCAATGCCGGCGAGCCGGCCTCGAGTGTGGCGGATACGAGCGTGGACGCATCTTTGTACATTCGACGCATAACCATCCCCTTCGCTTCTCGCGCGAGAGAACCTCGACGCCCGGCTGCAGCAGCAGCAGCGACGGTGTCGACGATGTCCTGGCTGCCTCGATCGCTGCCACCACCGCCGCCATCCAGGCAGACAAAGGAGCGTACCGCAGAACCAGCACCAGCCCCGGCACCATCTCCAGCTACAGCAGCAGTCCGGTGCGGCGGCCGGCAGACTACCGCATTGTGCCGGTATGCTTCGGTACCGGCCAGGTCCAGCTGACGGCAGAACCGCGCTCCGACAGCGCTCTGCTCGGCTCGGCTCGTGAGGAGAACATGCTGGCCACCTTCTGGCAGTCCTACCTGCCCAACAGCACGCGCTTCTCCAGGCAAGCGGCCGGCTATGCCAGTGGCGGCTGGACCAACGTCGTCCAAGCACTCTACCGCAAGGACCACGTCCTACACTACAGTCTCATGGCCAACTGCTTTTCTGCCATGTCCCGCATCACCGGCTCCCGCGCCATGGCCGAGCAGAGTCTCCGCGCCCACGGTCGTGCCCTTCACCAGCTGCGCCTCGCCCTCAACCAGCCGCAAAAGGCTCGCAGCGATACTGTCTTCTCGGCGCTGCGCCTCATGATTGTCTTTTCGGTGCGTTCATCCCTTGCTTCTGGGCTCTCACGCTAATTTCGCTTACTAATCATGCGTTCAGATGTTCTTCCCCGATCGCTACGAGGGAGACCGGACAGCCCGCGTCGTCGGCTGGAGGGAGCACAACCTCGGTGTGCTTGCACTGCTCCAGGCCCGTGGACCAGAAGCCCACGTCATGGGAGACGGTCACCAAATGTTTGTCGACTGTCGTCTACCTCTAGTATGTCTCGCCCGGAAGAGCCTTCCCCCCTTTCTTTGAGCAATGCTGACAACTAACCTTGCTCAGATCATCGCTGCTATTCGCAGCCGCAAGAAGACGGTCCTCAACAGCCAGCCATGGATGACGATCCCGTGGCGGGAGATCCCCAAGACGCCCAAGGACCAGCTGATGGACATCATGGCGGGCATCCCCGGTGTCCTCGAGGACGTCGACGGGCTCGCCGGAGTCTGACCGAGAGCAAGGTCCGCGAGGCGTCCCGCCGCAAGATTGTCAACGCTTGCTGGATTTATGACCGGCAATTGGTCCAGTGGTACGATGAAAACGTGCCGATTGAGCGCATGCAGGCCCTTGAGAAGAGCAGGTCTGACGGCCCGGTGTCGACCGAGGACCTGTCCATCATCTACAGTATGATCACATTTTATACTGCCCGCTTGCTGCTATCCATTTCCATGCGCGTCCTCGCCGTCCCCGACCTGCCACCCCGCGCGAACCTGGTCCTTTGCGTCCGCATGATCGGCCGCTACCTCCGCTACTTCTTCCACCCCAGCACCGGCCAGTACGGCCTCGAGATGATCGCCTTCCCGTTCGGCATCTGCCTCCAGACACTCTACTCCAACCCTCACAACACGGACAACTGTGAAGAGGAAAAGGCCGTCTTCCGGGAGCTCGCCGAGACCGACCGTGGCCACGAGATCATGGAGTTTGTCGGCACCATGCTCAAGACCTTTCCTGTATAATGTGTGTGTCCTATACAGCCATAAGCCGTGGTACCTTCTCTCTCTCTCCTTTTCTCTTCCTCCATCTCCCCCCCCTCTCTCCCCCCCCCCCCCCCCCCCCTCGTATCTGCTTCTCTCTCGTCACCTCTGTATGCCTTTCCACACACATATTACTCTTTTCTCACGCTTCCCCTCCCCACTCTGTCATCTACGACTTTACGGAATATCTTAGACGGTCACGGTATCCGCATACCACGGCAAAGGAGGAAAACACACGCGATGCACCCCGCATCCACCATACCATCACACACAACGACAGGGGTATCAAGGGCGAGTGATCTCACCGACACGCGGCGTTTTTTCGGAGACAGCTCATCTCGGTCCATGGCGTCCCTTGCTAGGTTTTCTGGCGTTTTCTGTCCTTGTGCTGCACACTCTTGTCTTGCAATTCCTATTATACTCGTCTTACTCGTTCTTATTTCCCGATTGTTTTGTTTGACTCTACTTTAGGTCTTTTGATTCTTTTTGCGTGGTCAATTGCATCTGATTTGGCCCAGTTCGGCTTAGGTCATTGTTTCCATATCCGATGGAGATTACGGGGTTTTTATGTCATGGTAACCACTATTTCGGACAGACTTGAGTTGTTTCCTCTTTCTCATGTTTGTCTCTCTTTAGCAACACTGGGGTGTGGCAGGGCAATACCGTGATGCAGTGGGGATGTGTTACGGATGTTTAATGCCTCGTTAGTTTCTGGTAACATAATGCGGCCGGTGCTTCTGACACTCGTATAGGCTGTTTCTAGGACAAACTTGTGTAGTGAAATTAGTTCACTACACAGCAACTGTGTTCTAATGAGAAGAAAGTGGTAGTTCGGCGTCAATTCATTCAAGGCCTCTACTTTCTGGTTTAAAGATAATGCCTTACTGCATTTCAAAACACCAGGCCTTCCCAGGTTCATTAATTGACGCCTGATTTGTCCGAGCCATATAGGCAGCAATTTGCCCAAACCCACCCTTGTTACTTCTCGTCCTTCGGCCTAGTTCTGTTCAGGGCTACTTTTTGAATCGGTGCTTATCCTTCCCAGAAGAGCGTTTATTGAGTCCGTTGAGAGACGCCTCTGTTTATGCATGATATTTCTCCGGTGAAAGATAGTGTTTGTAGCAATGGGGTTTGTATAGCGCATTCTCAGCAACATTGCACGAGAATAGTGAGGCCCTGGGCAATTCAGTTGCTGTGCTGCGGTCGGCCAGATGCCACAGCTGTCCGGACGTGGCCCCTTTATCGCTTGACGTTTCTACGGTTGCAGATGTTGCCCAGTCGGCTGTGCTTGGTGCTCTCCCGACAGCCGGTCCTGTTGCTTCTGCTTCTGGTGCTGTTCGCGGATATTGTAGAATATGAGACCTTCTGGAGGCGTGGTGTTCTTGGTCGGGTGAAACTCTTGTTGCAGCAGAAGCTCATTGTTTTCCTCAGCCTGGTCCCGCGCTGCTGTGTAAAGGTTCTCGTTGTTGGGTTCCTCTTTCTTCAATTGTTCCAACCAGGTCTCGATCTGGCGTTTCGACTCTTCAGCCGGGACACCAATGACACGGCAATCATGACCGCGATAACGTTCCAGGCGATCCAGAGAGTGTTTGCAGCTGTCACAGATAAGCGTGAAAGGGCCAAGATCATGGGCGGCTTTCGCAGCTATTTCGCATACATCCCCGGTCTTTTGAGCGGGGGTGCAGAGGTCGTAGTGGTGGAAAGATATGGCACGGTTGAGCCGGCATACTCTGCACTTAGCATTGAAGCCTATTGCTTGGCACATGCCTGAAACTGTCCTCTTCTGAGGTCCAGAGTCTCTTTTTGTCGTATAGTAGCTTAAGGAATGGGTGACAGTAGAGGTGAGCTTGATCGCGATGTTGTGCGCGTGCTCCGGCTTTCAATAATATATGCAGAACAAAAAATGATTAAGTTGACGGTATGCTATTTATATGGTGCGAGCTGGACAGACCCAGTAAAGCTATTTGCGAACGTCTATGCCATGTCGCAGAAGTCTGGAATGACTAGACCTTCTGGTAGGTGACGCGAGAAGTCTATCTCGTAAACCAACGTATTCATAGCAGTCTTCCGCTTTTGGAAGCTGCAGCTCATGACGGCGCTTGCCGACAATTGTCGACATACTTATCGGGCTTGTCACTCGAATGGGTTTCGCATAATCGAACAGGTTCTTGTTTCGCTTCCGTGCAACTACATCGTCGAGAGGCATTCCTGAAGCCTAGCTGCTTCTCTTTCAAGGACAGGGATAGATACTTGTGTGCGATCTATTAGCTCAAGATAAGGAATGCCTCCGTAAACTGCACCACAGAAAAGAAGGGAAAAACAGGATATACAGCCAAACGATCAAGATAAATTGTGTATCAAAACAAATCCATATTTCTACCGCATCATGAGCAAGTGCACCAAGAGAGAAAGAAGCAAACGAGAGAATAGAAGCTTCCTCGCCGTCTTAAAACTTCCACTCGTCGCGGCCCAGACGCACAATATCCTTGGCCTCCAGCACCCAGTGCGGCGACGGCGCCTTGCCTTGAGAGGCCAGAAGTGCGGCGTGTGCGGTGGCCCGCGCGATGACATCGGCCTCCTGGCCCAGAGAATCTTGCACGCCGGTGGAGATCCAGCGGCCAAAGCCGCGCACGATGCCTGCCAGGGCATCGCCGCCGGTGTGCTCGCGGCCCTTTTCGCGCGAGCCCATGATGATACCGGGGTGAATGATGATGGTCTGGGCGAAGCCGAGCTCCTTGATCGTGTCCTCGACGCCGTTCTTCATGCTGGCATACGGGCTGTTGCGTATGAGAGGGGCGCGGGTGCCGGCGCTGGACACGAAGATGAACGTGGTGGCGCCAGCGGCCTTGGCGGCGCGGGCAATGTCGACGTTGAGGTCGTGGTCAATCTTCCACTGATTAGCGAGGCCGCCAGCTTGAGCCCGCGTGGTGCCGAGGGCCGAGAAGACCAGAGACGGGAAGGTCGATTTGGAAGCCTCGTCCTTGTTGCCCAGAGCCTGCAACCGGTCCACCCACTTTGCCGTTTCCGGCTCAACGATCGCGTCGAGCTTCTTGGCATCTGAAGACGCGGCCTGGACGGGGACGCGGCGAGTGATCGTGTGGACGAGACCAAAACCGTCCAGGGCGAGAAGAGCCGTCAGCAGATGTCCGCCGACAAGACCGGTGGCGCCGAAGAAGGCTGAGGAGGGAGCGGCGGCCATGATTGTTTTCAGAGTGTATGAGCAATGTTTCGTCTAAGAATAGGCGTGGTTGGTCTGCCAATGTCGGGAGAGGCAGGCTTTTGTGCTGCGAGCTGCAGACGACTTAATTCCGGCAGGTGATGGAATCAAAAAGCTTGATGACGAACCTTTGACAGCCTGCAATGCTGCTGTAAGCATCTTTTTAGAGTGGGGCATACATGTGATACGGGCACTTTTGCAGTGGTTGAGGCGGGGCTTCGCTGCGTCGACATGCGAGCTGCCTGGCCATTGGCGCTAAAGAGCAGGAAAGCCGTTTGTCGAAATCGGGACGCTGCCCTTTCTCCTGCGGACTCTTGAGCTTTTGGCTGCAGCAGCGACGGTGTCTCCTACCGCAGTCCACCATGGCTACGCAATACGAAGGTGTGTGTGTTGTCTGTGTATCTTTGCTCTGCGGCAATGGCGTTTCTCTGTTCTTCTGTTCTTTGGTTGCAACTGACGGATGGGCCATGCAGTTGAGCACAACATCAAGACGGCCGGCGGACCGCGGCGGCGTCGGCAAGTGGACATGGCGACGTTCACGGCGCATCTGAACAACGTGTCGACCAGCGAGAACACGGCGGCGCACACCCACAACAACCCGCACGCGACAGCGACGCCGGTCGACGTGGCGGCGGTCTACCGGCTGGTGCAGGACCAGATGCTGACGCTGTTGCCGGACGCGCCCAATGCGGCCAACCGGGATTTGCTCGAGCAACTGGCGATGCAGCTGGAGCAGCAGATTGCCGATCCGCCGCGTGAGATCGCGGGCGTGTCGCAGGCATATGTGGACGCGCTGGACCGGGTATCGCGGCGGCGGTTGGGCCACGACGAGACATGTCCGATCTGCGTAGAGCGCTATCTCGACGACGAGTACGCGCTGGTGGTGGAGCTGCCGTGCCACGCAAGCCACCGGTTCGATCTCGAGTGCGTGGGCCCGTGGCTGCTGGCCAAGGGCAGCTGTCCGCTGTGCCGGACAGACCTGACGAAGAAAAAGGAGACGGTGGTGGCAAAGGACGACGAGGACGAGGACGAGGACGACGTCGGGGGGATGTTTGGCTGAGCAGGTACAATTAGAGCCTGGGTGGCCCTGTGGAGAGGGTGGCGGGGATCTGAGTTATGAGTACATGATGCACTATCACACAATTGCGGTATTGCGCTATCTCTGGAGTGCCTGCCATGTACGAATATCTACGATACGTGGAGAGACTTTCTCGCAGCGCCGTCTCGATGCAGATATTTACTGTGGCTTTTTTCTTGCTAGCCTCATCAAGATGTCTCTGTTTCCAGCTTAAAAAACAAATTCCACGTGGCGCTGCCGCCCAGCTGCCGAGGTGTGTTCCAGAACACGAAAGAAGGGGTTTTCCGGTTGTGCCCCTGCCGGTAAGAGACATTTGCATTGTCGCCAGAGTACTCCGTAAGGAGTGCAGCCGAAAATAGATTCGCAAGAGTCAATGTCATGCAGGAGAGGTGCATATATGGAGCAACTCACATTCCTGTTTGGTGGTACGAGCGGCATACGAGCTCGGCTACATAGTACGAGCATTCATCTTGCAAGAAAGACTGGGCAACTGGTCATACATAGCCTCGCTCGCAACAGGAACCGCTTTCCCCTGGCTCCTGCGTCTCTACGACGTACCCAAGGACAAGTACGGAATATTCGTATACATTACCATGTAACCTACGGAGTAGGACCTGCTTACATAGTAAGCCAAGCCGGGAAATATAGTTTCGCGCGTTGGACCGCGAGATCTGGACATGTGCGATTCTTTCACACGTGGTAGCGAGCAGGGGGTTGTCCGGGCTAGAGGCGCCGGGCTTTTGCTGTTGGCACGCGCAGCGCGACGAAACACCCAGCCAGACCCCTTAAGAAGCCAGAGTGGGCCCTGCTTCTCGGGGACTCCGTTCGCCTACGGATGCACTACTCCGTACTCCGTCGCTACTCTGTACTATCGTGTACTTGCGCATACATAGTGTATAAGGTGCCCGTACACGGAAAGGGCGGAGAGTCGCAGGCGATGAGGCTGCATCGGCCAGCGGAAAAGGTCTCCTACGCGTACTCCGTGTGTGCCCGTATTAGCCTGGTGCGAAACCTTTTGTTCCGTCTCGGCCTCTCTCGGGTAAGGCGAGACCAGACTTGGCAGCACGATATTTGATGGCCAGTTGGCTACCCAGCGAGCCAGCGAGCCAACGAATCAGCAAGTGAGCAATGAGAAAATGAGCAGAACCAGCCGGCCAGCGAACCAGGATTTCAGCCCCAAATGGCATGATTCTAGACGGCTTCTGCAGCTTCTCCGTACTCCGCAGACAAATCCGCTCACATGGCAGAAGGCCCCTTTGCCACAGGTGTGCACACCGCTGAGCCCTAGCCTGACTCGGCATCCCCTAAATAGGGGGCGTTGCGTGCTTCTTCTCTTCTGCCGCATTAGGCAAGCCGGGCCAGCCAACGAGAAGGAGAAGGAGAACTCGCTGGACCCGCTACTGTGCACACCGTGCCAGCCATGACACGCGCGTCCTTGCCATGTGCGCCGCAGCGTGCTTGCTGCTTTGCTGGCCGCTAATTCACAGTCTGCAGGAACGCACGCACCCCTCCCCACAACACCTCCTATTACCACGTTTTCTACAGTTCCGCCGCAGGTCGCACCCGCCTCCTGCGCCAGATACACGCCAGTCACTCCCAAGATTTCTTCGCCTTCTTCCCGCTAAACGCTGCTTGACCATTATTCGTCACCCACTCCGTACCGTGGCAATTTGCTTCTGCTCCAATCCTGCAGCCCTATTTCCCTGGCTCAATTCCTTCTTTGTTTTCTAGCCTTCTTTCCCTAAGATTGGTTTGTCTAAGCCGCTGCCGGAACATTGCGAAACGACGAGGCCAAGACACTTGCCACCCCGTTTTAGCGACAGCTAGAGTGATTTTCCCCAAATGTTTCACGTCGCATACCACCTACAACACAACTGGGTGGAGCCTTCTCAATCATAGTGGTGACGCCCTTCGGCGGTGGGTTGTCTCTTATTTTTTCTCTACGGAGTATTGACGGCGTCACCCGTGAAATGATAAGCAATTGCACCTGTTTTCGGGGTGGCTGCATGCACGCCAACACGTCCAGCGCACGTAGCCTTTCATGAAACTGAGGGGGATGGACTCTTAGAGTTAGGACGCTTTTCAGCCCACCATAGCCAAAGGCAGTCAATCAAGTAGGGGCGATTTGTTTAATGAAGCAGCCGCCTGCAAGATGATTGTACGAGGAACACGTCGTAGGTGAAAGATATAAGGAATTAACACGGCTACTTTTTGTGTGCCATCAACAAAGCTCTATTTCTTGGCTCCATTTTCGTTCCATTGACCCACAGAGAAGGCGCCCCTCTGTCGCGCCCTGCCCCCCTTTTCTTCCCTAATTCGGACGATCGCCCCGGCATTCATTTCTCTCTGCTGTCTCTGTCCGATCTCCTGTCTTCCATCTTTTTCTTCGTCATTGCTCCGTACATACATAGTACGAGTACGAGGAAGGGCCCCCTGTTCTTACATTGCCAGTTACACCGACTTGCTTCGACCCGCCATACCGCCCCTCCTGCCGCGACCGCAAATCTGCAGGGAAACCGATCGCCACTACCTGGCAGCCGCTTTACCGCCCCTATTCACCATTCTCCGACCACAAGCTGTCCTTCTCCCGGTACTGCCGCAGATCTCGTGCCACGCCGCACACGTTCCACTGTCCAGATCACACGGCCGATCAGAGAGTCAAACACATATCTAGCCAAAAACGAGACAGACGACACGTGAGCGAGCGACGACCAGAGCCCTGGCCGATCCGACAATGTCTGCGTCCTGATCTCGACGAATTCGCAACAGCATCGTCTAAACCCTATCTCTGCTTTTTTTCACGCATACCTGTCCCCACCGCTGCCTCCCCGAAGCGGCCATGGGCAACGGCCAAGGAAAACTCTCCGATGTCACCGGCGAAGGTGAGAATGCTGGAGGTGTCGGGTGCATGAGAGGCATATACGACGCGGAAACATGGGCTAACGTGGCTTGGAACTGGCAGTAAATTTGAATCACTTCCGCCTTCTCCGGGTCGTCGGTCGCGGTGCCTTCGGCAAGGTACGCATCGTCGAGCGGAAAGACACCGGACTTTCCTTTGCTCTAAAGTATATACGGAAAGATGAAGGTGCGGCCAAGTCCTAGATATGAAAGAACGGTGGCACGATAATGGGCAGACAGGCCAGAAGCTGACGCCGCTCCTCGTTTTATAGTCGTTCGCTCAGAAAGCGTCCGGAACATCATCCGTGAGCGTCGTATGCTCGAGCATGTGAACCACCCCTTCATCTGCAACCTGCGGTACAGCTTCCAGGACATTGAGTACATGTGCGTGCCAAAAATGCCAAAACTCCCACCCAGCAGCTTCTGCGTTCCTTGACAGACAACTGACAGGCAGCGACCAGGTATCTTGTTGTCGATCTCATGAGCGGCGGCGACTTGCGTTTCCATATTTCCCGAAAGACCTTTACCGAGGATGCTGTGCGCTTTTGGATCGCCGAGCTGGGTTGCGCTCTGCGTTATGTCCACCGCCAGGGCATCATCCACCGCGACGTCAAGCCGGACAACGTTCTCCTCGATGCTGACGGCCATGTCCACCTTACCGACTTTGTACGCCAGTCCCTCAAGCTGTGTCCCTAGGGCCTTCTCTCTACCGTACTGACACTATACTCCAGAATGTTGCGTCCGACATTGTTCCTGGCCGGGTGATGACCAGCAAGTCCGGTACTCTCGCCTATCTTGCTCCAGAAGTGTACTCTGGACGTGGATACGACATCCGTGCCGACTGGTGGTCACTAGGCGTCTTGTTCTACGAGTGCATTTACAACAAGGTAAGTCTGGCCAGTCCCTAGCAACGGCGAACGGGTCCTTACTCTTCTTAGCGCCCGTTCGAAGGCACCTCTGAATCGTCACTGGGCAATGTTGTTCAAGCCGCCAATCCCAGATTTCCCATTACTTCGCCACCTGTCACCCTTCCCTGCCTCTATGCCATACGAAGTGCCCTGAGTCTGGACCCGTCCAATCGCCTCGGCAATACTTGGGATAGTTTTATATACCATGATTTTTTTGCCATGATCGACTTCGAGGCTTTGGAACGAAAGGAAATCGAGCCTGTCTTCATCCCGTCGGCTGACAAGACGAACTTCGATGCGACATACGACCTGGAGGAATTGCTCTTGGAGGAGGCACCTTTGGAGGCCCGTGCCCGTCGCCAGAAGCCGCGCGAGCGCCTAAAAGACGATGCCACCGATAAGGAGATCCGAGAGGACGAGCTGTACCGCATGATTGATCGAGACTTCCGGCCATTTGACTACACTGTGGCCGCTTACAAGAAGTAGGCACTTCTGCTCTCTAGTCGTCTTTCCTCGCTTGATGTAACTCGACTAACCCCATCCTTCTGCAGGTTGACTGAACAGGCGGCGGCACAGCAGAACGGTCAGCAGAACGGCCCATTCGCCGGAAATGGGTCTTCTGCATCCACGCCGCAACCGCAAGCCATCACGACCGACCAAGCGTTGCCAGCGACTCGGATCGGCGGGATCGCAGATGGAGACACCTCGGGTGCGAGTGTCGCCTCGACATCCCCGCCGATCAGATCAGGGGCTGATCGTGATGGCCAGTCCATCAGCAGCCAGCAGCCGCGACGACAGCCGGGTGCTCCGCCAGGACGCCCGCCTCCAGTGCCGCCACCGCTTGCACCCTACGCAAATCCATACACGAACTCGGCTCGCAACAGCAACTACCGCCCCCTACGCAATCTGGGCTCCGTCTCTGTGCCAAACGGCAGCGTCGTCCTAGGCAGCCCGACAGGCGGCGTGCAGGTCCGCTTAGATGGGCACAACACCGTTGGTAGCTCCTGGTCGGAGTTGGCCCGGCAGGATGCGACACTTCCCACCGATGCCGCGGCCGGCGGCCTGCTAGGTGTCGATGATGGTAGCGGGGGCAAAGCTGATGGAAGCTCCAGCAGCGGCGGCGTGTTCGGATTTTTGAGCCGCAAGAAGGGCCGTGGGAATAGCCCCAAGCCAAAAGAGCGCGGCGTACTGGGCAAGGAGGGAGCCCGCGTGGTGATTGGATAAGAGGTCAGAGGGCCTGATAAAAGGAAAAGACTGAAGTCGACTGTCTCTTCTGCTATAGAGCGCTCTGTCTGTGTGTTCTGTGGCCAACAAGACGGCGGCCATTAGGAACGAGCCACGGCCGATAGCTCCTTACGGAAAGTTACATATCTTGGCCAGGATCGTCCGGTATCTTCAACAGCAATACGAGGTTTGCGTTGAAGTGAAGGCAGTTTGAAGACTGAAAGCCGTCACATAATAATTCTCAGGAGATGAGAGCGATGTGTTTTTATGTTTCGATTTGGTTTTGCTTTTTCTGGATGTATTTTTTGTGTCTTTTGTTATGTTTTTGTTCTCTTGTTCCCCTCACGAGTTCTGCTGTTTGTTCATTTTTGCTTCATTTTGCTTTCCTCTACTACGCATTGTATTTCAGTCAACCGGCATACGTACATAGCATGACCATGAGGAAGGGCGACACACACACACACATACACAAACAGCATGAGATGGGGTAGGACAATGATGTGATACCCTTCGAATTTACCGACTTTTTTTCCGACAGCTGGTTTGCAGTGCATAGATACGATCAGACAGTACGATACATCTCATTGCTGTTAGGTAGAACCTAGGAAATAGAAATTGGCTGACCGAGAAAATAAGCAAGCATAGCCAGCATAACAAGAAGGGTGGAACATGATAAAAGTCGTCAAAAACAGCCCTGTTGTAGGCAAATAGAGGAGATTTGTAAGACACACAAACAAGAGGTTGAATGGTATATAAAAGCAGGTGCAGCGACAACGCCCCTTCTCTCGCATATGCTCCGCCGAAGCGCTCATCAGGGAGGATCTTCTTAACTGGCTGAGCACCTATCAAAACCCCGTCGTCCCTAGAGTTCACTCTTTGAAATATAGCCAACACTAGCAGCAAATAAAAGCAGCATATACCATTCTTTCCACCCGTGACGGAAACGCCATCAAGCCGTGTTGTAATTCAAATAAAGCCAATGACACCCTGAGCCGCCCAAAAAACAGTGGATCTGAACGTGACTATCCCAGGTTTGGCCTCCGTATAATTTTGGTATTTGGTCTCGAATCTTTTTTTGGTACAAAAGGATAGAATCAGCGTCGGTGGTCGTCGCGCATGCGCGGAGATCGTCGTGCCATCGTACAAGCTAGCCTCCTCGTAAGGATAAGCTCAATGCATTGAAGCCGCGAGATTCTGCACGCAGGCATCATCGCCGTCTTTGTTGCCGAGATACTTATTCATGACAGCCTTGAAGTCCGTCTCGTCAACGACAGCACCAGAGCCAGAGCACTTGGCCTTTTTCTGCAGATCAGAACATAGACCATCCAGATCAAAGTCCCCGTTCTGAACCTTGGGACATGTTTGGAGCCGCTCCCTATATTGGTGGTAAGCAAACACGTTTACGATAGGGAGAGTATTCCTTTTTTTCGTTAATGCTCAGTACTACATACCATATTGTGTTGCACGTGAGTAGAGTTCCATGAGGGGTAGTTTGGCCGGCCGGCAGCTTGCCATTGAGAGAGGACGAGGAAAACTCGCTCCTCCCTTCGCAGCATCGATTTCAGCAATTATATCCGGCTTGTGGGGCACAACAGGGCTTGGGGCTATGTTGAAGGGGGTGACAAAGTCAATGTCAAGCGCATCGTTGAAGAAACTATCATCGAAGCCGCCATTGGAGAGAATGTTCTCCTGCGACTCGCGGTAATCGCCGAAGAGCTGCGGGTCGAAGCGGAACCCGTTCTGGGGGCCAGACCAGGCAATGTCGTTGATATTGACACCACCAAACTGCGAATGGTCTTGGACGCCATTCGAGCCCGTCAGCGCAGTCAGCTGTTCTTCCCCGATGGTCGTCAACATTTCAAGAGGCTTGGAAGCAGACGGAGACTGATTAAAGGGCTCTGGCGACGTTCCACACGATGAGCTTGGGGCAGTGTTGCTGTTGGAGGAAGCCGAAGGAGAGCTTGTAGCGCCTGAATCCAGGCTTGACCTCGCCGCAGTCGCGATGCTGCTGTTAGGGAGAGGTGGCGTGAAGGCATTGGACAGCTTAGACAAGTCATCTTTGGTCGTCTTCGCTGGACTGATACGAGACGTGTCCTGAGGACTGGTTTGGTTGCTGGAAAAAGCGCCAACACTAGTCGTCGACCCATCCAGAGCCGGGGATGAGATGTCCATCGTCGACGACCGATATGTGGAAGCAGCGGCGACAGCGGTCGGGCTGCTCTGGCTGTTGCTTCGTGCGGCTGCTGTTGCTGTAGCTGTTGAGCCGTTCGAAGGCCCTGGTAGTTGTCCAAACTTTGGAAACTCAAATTGAAAGTTGACATCGTTAATGTTGCTGAAGATTTTGTTTCCAAATTGTTGATGCCCAGATCCGAGAAAGCCACCCCGGGAGGAGCCGACAATGGCAAGGCGCTTCTTGTACTCATTCAGCTGGACACTCATCTTCTCCACCTTTGATCGGAGCAGACTGTTCTCGCTGCTTGTGATCGCCGAGGTCCGCTCCAGCTCCTCAACCTTTAACTCGAGATCCCTTACATGCTTCTCCTTCCGCTCGCGGAAGGCTCGCTGGGCAGCTCGGTTTTGCGCTTTGCGCTTCTGTAAGCCGATAGCCATGTCAGTCAGTCATGTTGCACCACTGTAACACGGACAATCGATTGCTTTACGCACCGAGCTTGGCTCTGACGTAAGCGGCTTGCGGCCAGGCTTCTTGGGGACCTTCTCGCCACCCTCGCGACGCTTTGCCGAGGACTCTTCTTCATCGTCGTCCTCGGGATGGACTCTCTTGTCAGGAGAGTCGTTCTCAGTAGTGCTGGGTGTAGATTCAGTTTTGCTATCGTCATTGGCGCCATCGCCCAAGGCGTCAGCCATGTTGGTGTTATCGCCGTGGTTAAGGCTGAAATTCAGACTGGAGTCGGCGGCATCGAAAGAATAGTCGTAGTCCAGGAACGAATTGTCTTGGTAGCTGTCGCTGGCAAGCTCGAGAGCCTTGGAGACAGCAGGGGATCCATCCAGAGAAGTGGGCGACAGGGTCAGCGTGTTTGCCGAGTTGGCTGGCCGATTGGCATTGAGAGCAGCGAACAGAAGCTCCTGTTGCTGGGGAGTAAGGAGGAAGTTCGGGTTGGCCGACATTTTGGGTAGATCAGAGGTGTAGTGGCAGTCGGGTATATTTAGAGGAGGCTGAAGATGATGAAGAGAGACGGCGTTCAGAGGGGATGGAGAGACCTGAACTCGTCGAGATAAGTGTAGTGGAGTGCGGTTCACCGTTTTCGATGCGAAGAAAGGGCAGAAGAACACAGAGAGCCAGTAGAGGGAGGCGATCGACGGGGAATATCGCCTCCCAACAACAGCAGCAGGGATTGGCCCACAACAGGACAGAAACGGACGGGATTGATGCTGCAGGCCTTCGGGGAAGAAGTATTGCAGATAAAACAGAGTCGATGAGGTGCTGCAGTCGGAGCGGAGATCGGGACGAAATACGATGGACAACAGGAGGGGGTGAGCAGATAGAAGAGAAGCGAGGTGAGGCAGAAAGAAAGTTGTGGCCTGATGCGACGGGCCTTGTTGCCTGGAGGTTGGGTATTGGATGTCTGGAGCAGGAGATGAGCAGTGGTCAGTGGTCAGTGGTCAGTGGTGACGTATGGATTGCAGGTGTGGGCAAAAAGGGTAGCGTCGAAAAGGCCTGCTGATGTGATCTGTGGGATGTGTCCGTGTCTCATGCGCGGTCTACTCGTGTGCGGAGTACACACAAGTAAATCTCTGGGGACAGCGGAGGGCACTGGACAGGGTGAGAATGAGGCTTCAGGGGCTTTGGAAAGGTGGTGGTAGTGAGGCAGGTTGGCATGAGAGAATCCGATGGATGAAGGCCGATGAAAAAGAGGGGCTCTAGAAGGGTCTCCATGTGCAATTTGTCAGCTGCAGAAAAAACGTATCTTACATAGTAGCGAAATAATACGAGTACGGAGTACATGATGCTCCACCCAGCCACCAGGGCCATAAGCCGTCAGAAAACTCGGCCGTATTGCGCGGAGCCCGGAGAACTAAGCTATAATACAGGATGCTTACGGTCCGTGAAGAGATTCTAAAGAGTATGAGGGTGAGTCACAGGTTATGGCCTGGAGCTGCCTCGAGTGCTGTCCGAGCGGCTCTGTTGGAGAAGGAAACGGAGATAGGACGTAAGGTACTGACGCCATTGACGGCATACATATGGAGTAGTAACGGCCAGACAAGGTTCAACGGCTAGTCTCAAAGCAGATATACTGTCTGTGGCTGCCGATTATGAGTAATCGCCGACTCGTTGTTTGGGGATAACCGGTAATAAACGTCACTTACCGTAGGGTTCCCACCTCAACCACATTGTGTTGAGGAACATAAGATACTGACACTCCTGCTCAAAGTCCCGGTCCAGTAAGAAAGCCGAATAAGAGAGTGCACAACAGGCTGCATCGCCGAAAAGCTCCTTCCTGAGAAGGAGTATTAGTAAGATAGTTTCCCACCCGTTAGCGCCTATAGTTCGATACGGTTTTTATCAGGTACGGCTGCGATGTAAGTCCAAGTCCCGATCACGTGCCATTGCCTGACGGATCGAATCCGCCCCGCGGGAAAGCAGGCACCGATCACATGGGCAACGTCACAACCTCCTTTTGCCGCCCGCTCGACCCTCCGACATCAACAGAGTGGCTGCATCCAATAGAACGGCAGAACGACAAGCAGCAGGACGCGGCTTGGTTTTCCGCATTAGCTTCGGCATCTTGTCCGCTTGGGAATTCACAATAGCCTGCCCGTATTGACTTCTTCCCCCCGTCCCTCGTTGACTAGCGATGGATCTCGCGTACGACCATATCACCGAGCAGTCGCTCCCCAAGGACGGGGAGAGCAAGGAGACGGCTAGCGGCAGCACTGCCGAGCCTACCTCGACTCTCAATGCAGACCTGCAGGCGGCCTACAGCGCTTTGTCGGCAAACCCTTGGGCCAGCCGGATTGGCGGATTCTTGGGCAATGTGGTCAAGCAGGTACTCTTTTGTTCACCTCCCCCTGACCATCAGGGTTGATTTCTGACCGTGCTTGTTCTTGTTCAGGGCGAATCAGTCTACCGCGAGGCACAGCAGGAGGTGACAGCGCTCGGCCAGGACGCCACCAAAGGCCTGTCGGACCTGCGCACCAACATTGTCAACCGTACACGAAACCTGTCGATCTCGACTCGGGGCCCCTTCATTCCAGCCGGCGGCGGCGAGGCGACGACGGCATCGACCGACCGGTCGATCACGCCGACGGCGGGAACGGCTGCAGAGGCAGCTGCTGGCGGTGAGGACGACAAGAATGTGTTGGCCCTGCTCAAGGGCGAGGCCGCCAAGAGGCTGCGTGACCTGCAGCGGGCAGAAGATGCGGCAGACGAGGCGCTGCTCAAGTTTGGCACCAACGTGCGGGACTTTCTGCGGGAGGCCATTAGTATCGCTCCACCGGTCGAGGGCGGTGCAGCAGGATCGGCAGCGGGCACTGGAGCGTCAGGTGGCTCTGGCGGAGCCAGCGGCGGTGTCCTGTTTGAGAGCAGGGATGCACAGGGACGGCGGGTGATCCACACATCGCGGTTCGATGCACAGCTGCACGTCATCCACACGAACACGGACAGCTTCGCGCGGGATCCGACGGCGAGCGACGAGTTCGCGACATGGGCAGCCGGCTTTAACGTGGCGGCTCAGACGGACAGCATTGCGGGCGATCTGAACAAGTATCCGGAGCTGCGGGCAACGATGGAGAAGCTGGTGCCGGACGTGATCCCGTACGCAGACTTCTGGACGCGCTACTACTTTTTGCGAAACGGCATCGAGACGGCTGAGGCGCGCAGACGCGATCTCCTCAAGGCGGTGTCGACTACGGAGGAGATTGGCTGGGACGAGGACTCGGACGAAGAGGACGGGGCAAAGGGGAAGGGGAAAGAGAAGGAGGGGGCCAAGGTGGAGAAGGCGGGGAGCAAGAAGGGGGAAGAGGTGAAGGAGACGAAGAAGGAAGAGGAAGAAGAGGAAGACGAGGAGGAAGAGGAAGAAGACGAGGAGGAGGAAGAAGACGAGGAGGAGGAAGAAGACTCGGAAGAGGAGGACTCGGACGAAGAGGACGAAGAGGACGAGCAGAAGAAGATGGACACAACAAAGACGATACAGCGACGCGGTTCGACAGAATCGTCGATGACGATCCACCCTCCGGCAAAGAACGAGGCAGCCAGCACCACGGCTGCCGTGGCTCCTGCTAAAGAGACTGCTGCGGCGACGACGCCGACGGCCAAGGCGGCGCCAGCCAAGATGCTCAAGGCGCCGCTGGCACCGCGCAAGTCGGACGAGAAGTCGCAGGCGGACAGCGACGCCAGCTACGACATTGTGGGAGCCAAATCGGGAGCGCCGAGCCAGGCGCCCAACAGCCCTCGCGAGGCGCATAAGGCGGACGACGACAGCGAGGAGGAGGACTGGGAGTGAGGGGCAACTAATCATCTCGTCACGTCTTGTCACGTCTTGGCTCCTTTTCACATCCATTTCGCCTTTCCTCCTGTCTACTTTGGCGTTCCCTGGCTGCACACTCCAACCCTCAGTTTGGCTTATCGTTTGTTTCCCTTGCGGGATGTCGCTTGTCTCTTCCTGAATAAATGAGCCAGAATACTTGTTTTTTTTTTTTTGCTTTTGAATGAAGAAGGAACAACCTTGTATATGTCGGACCGTGTCTAGACAAATGAAGCGTTTTTATTATTTATTGCCCCAGATGAGGTGGATACGAGCCCATTCTCACTCTCCTCCTCACCTCTTCTTACGCGTCACCGTTGTGAAGCCGTCCTCATCCACCTCTGGCGCCGCCTTCTTCTCGCGATCGACGAGCGCGGGCGCCTCGTCCATGTTGACGTCAGCCCCGCCGTCCTTGTCGTCCTCATCGGCGTCTTCATCATCATCGTCGTCATCGTCGTCGTCGGTGCCCCACTCGTCGTCGTCGTTGCCCGTCCGCGCGGCCTGGAAGAGACCCGAGACGCTGCGACCTCGCGAAGCCTCCCAGCGGCGGCGCAGGTCGGCAACGTTGGCAAACTGGCCGCGGCGGCACTGGGCCCAGAGGTCGACGATCTGCTTGGCAATGTCGTAGGCGCTGCCGTCGTCGACGACGGTGTCGAACTCGTCGTCCATGATCTGGATCAGGCGGGCCTCGGCGTCCATGAGCAGGTCCTCGGCCTGGGCGCTGCTGGGCGGCGCGGCCAAAGTCCAGATCCAGGACTCCTCAAACAGCTCGGCCACCGCGCCACCAAACCAGTCACGCTTGTCCGAGCCGTCGCCACCGCCCAGGTGGTTCTCCACCGCAAACGAGAGCGGCTGCCACAGGTGCAGCGTCATGGCGATGGCCGACTCGAACTCGTTCTGGCAGGTTTCTGCTCGCAGGAGAGACAGTCAGCAAAGCCGCGTCGTCCACCAGAGACAGTCGTACTGCTCAGTATACGCACCCCGCGAGGGAGCCGCGCTGGCGACATCGGGTGCCATGATGTGTTGCTTTCAGGTGTGCGTGCAGAGGAGCTCTCTCTCGAGACAGGCAGGCAGACAGACAGACAGATATCGGCTGTGCGACGAAAGTCGCCATTTAGGGCGCACGACCAACTGTATTTTTCTGCCATGCTTTTTTTTACCGCCTATAGCTGACTAGCAGTACCCCAGGAGGGGTAAGTTGCAGGCCCCGATAAGATAAGCCCCAGCCGAAGTGCTCTGACCAGCGGAGAGGACGACGAGGCTGCAGATATGGGACTTGTACAGAGTGTTACCTGCAATATCTTCGTGCACCATGGATGATTCCGAATCTTTAGACTAGCCAATGTAATAAATAAAAGAATTCACGAGGCGCCTTGCGGCAGGGACCGGCTGTATGTTCCTGTTCGGCCTGGTTTCCCCTTTCTTTTCATTTATGTTTCCTGTTCCCGATCCTATGTTTTCTTTGAAGTTTTTTTCTTCATTCTGTACACTGTATTCCCTCCTACAAGCCTGTTCCTCTCTCCTAGGCCTCATCTTCCTGCGGCCCGGCAAACTTCTGCGGCCGGGTCTGCTCGAGGTAGGCGACGAGGTCGGCGATGGTGCAGGCCTTGAGCCCCCAGGTGCGGGCAAAGGCGATGCAGCCGTCGGCGCGAAGCATGTCAGAGCCGGTGCGGATAGCCTGGCCGGGCACGGCGTCACCGTCGTCAACAAGCTCGGAGATGACGGCGACACGGCGCTTGCCGGCCAGCCGGCAGAAGTCGACGGCAGCCTCAGTATGGCCGCGACGCTCGCAAACGCCACCGAGACGAGCCTGTAGCGGAAGCACGTGACCTGGCCGACGGAAGGCCGAAGGGCCAGAGCCGGCCACGGCAGCCAGCACGGCGTCGTCGTCAGCCAGCCGCCGGCATGTCAGGGCGCGGTCGTGGGCGCTGATGCCCGTCGTCACCACGTCGTCGGCCGCGTCCACGGTCAGGGTGTAGGCCGTCCCCCGCACATCCTCGTTGTCGGCCACCATGGGCGGCAGGCCCAGGCGGGCTGCCCGTGCCGGCAACAGCGGCGCGCAGATGATGCCCGACGAGTGGCGCACCAGAAAGGCCATCTGCTCGGTCGTCACGTCCTCGGCCGCGATGATCAGGTCGCCCTCGTTCTCCCGCCGCGGATCGTCTACCACGACGATGAACTGGCCGTCACCTGCGGGCAGATTGTGTCAGCGACGCCGACAGACGACAGGTTGCCCGCTCGTGCTCGCTCCCTCTCTCCGCTCTCTCGCGACTTACGGAACGCCTGGATCGCCTCGGGAATCGAGTCGAAACCCTTGCTCTCGGACGGGCTGGCCATGGCGTGTGGGAATCGTCAAGAATGACTAATCGTCGGCTAAACCGCTTCAGTCGTGCGCAAAAGAACGGCAACTGCTGTCGCTTCGGAAATGCTGCTAAACACACACAGCGCTGACGAGAACTCCAGATACAGTTTTGCGATCGTGGGCTGTCAATGGTCCAGGGCGCAATGGCTTTGCAGCAACGATTCGCAACGCGGAAGATGGGGTCATAGGCCACGCGCCCACTCGGAAATTCGCTGTAACAAAATTCTCCTCCGCCAACAGAAGCCGCCCCGTTAAATACAAAGCGTGCGCTCTCCTCTTTTTAGACCCTCAGTTTGTCTAGCGCTGTCTTTCAGGCTTGCTTACCGGGGCTTACCAATACGCATCCCCCTAATAGGTCAGCCGGACAGCACACTTTGAGGGCTTCTCTGGGCTTCCATCGCCCACTATCCGTCTTGGTCTTGCTCCGGTATCGTCAACCTGAACACAACGGTCGGTGTTATCGCATTCAAGACGCCGATACGATGCTATGTCCTGGAAGAGAACAATGTCGAAGCCAGTGGCTTGGCTCTTTGGCTTGATCAGAACGCGCACTGCAAGCATCAATACATAATACCCGCCAGCGATGTTTCTATCACGTACGGCCATAGATACTGGAAAGCACGGGATCCCGTCCGCTCTCCCCTAGGTAAACCAGTAATTCGCGTGCCGCTGCCGAGGAGGCCGGTTCCTGATTCGCCCAAATTGCATCGTCATGTGCGATGGCCGCTGCTGTTGCAAGTACCTGGCATGCCCAGCGCAAAGTACCTCGCAGTACTGCGCAGTGTAGCCTTCCCCTTCTGTCAACTCACCCCTTTTTTCTTACATAGCGGCTGCATTAATGCATCCTTTACGGCGAGAGGACTAGAATGCGCTGCCACGGAGGCCGTTTTCTAGTTCGCCCACTGCTGTGATCCCCCACGGCCAATAACGGCCCAAAAAGACCTTATCGAAAGGCGGTCAGAAACGGCAATGCAACATCGCCAAACGGAAGGGATTATTATAACATCCCGAGGATTGTCGGAAGTAGGGACTTTTGATCTGACTCCCTGACCTATATTTCATGAGGTCCAGAGAACTAATCAGAGGTCCGTAAATGCCCTCTATATGGGACCCCTATAGTAGCCCCTAGTTTGGGCTGACCTTTCTGGCGTACACACATACATACACATTCGGAGTACTCCGTACACGTCCAATAGAATCATTACGTCTGACAAGGATGGATAACTAAGCATAATAAAGTGTGGGTCCGGACAGCAGACCCATGTATTTTAGATATGTGATTGTGATTGGTCAGTTCAGCGTCAGTTATGACTAAGCAGGTTGAATGTGAAATGAAGAAGAAGGCGAGATTATCGCGATGTTTTGGTAAAAGAAAAATTTATAGTAAGTAAAGTATATACATATCTAACGACGCCTTAGTCGGCGTTGGGTACTGTCTGTCTGACGCGCATTTGGTAGGCTGCCAAAGCCGTGGGTTTGCATATGTGCTAGCATAGCCTCCTCGACCTCCCCATCCACCTTCCCCGTAATATGTCATGGCGGAGGGGAACTTGGGTGTCTTCTTTCTTTCTTTCCTTTCTCTTTAATCTTGATTTTTTATTTGAATATAGCACCATCGCTTCGAGTCATCCTAAGCCTTTGCTACGTGAACCGTTACAGGAAAAGCTGAATGATGAGCGTGCGAGGACGTACGGCCTTGACAAGGCTTTTCCATTGAACTACAGCCGCAGCTCCTCGAGTACTACGAGTGGGCCTCGTCTCGATGGCATAAGTTTTTTCGTCTCCCAAGCAAAGACCTGAGACCAACATCGGCGGCTACACCAGCTGCCGCAACGACCGAGCTTTGCTTTTCAAGAGAGCGTCTGCGGACAGACCGAGCCGACCGGGACGACGTGTATTGGGAGGCGGGGCCAGTTCAGGTACAGGAGCCACCTCGACCAGCAGCAGCCAAGCGCGTCTGTCTTCCCCGAGAAATACAGCAACTAGAAGACGAGTTCCGGTATAACAGCGAGCACCGCGTCGTTCTCTGCCGGGCTTGCAAGGCTTGTATCGTGCCTACACAGACTGGTCTAATGCGGCATTTCCGGAAGTCGCCGCATTATTTGACTGGTAAACTTCTAAAGGCTGCGATCGACCTCGTATTGACGTACGATCTGCGGTCGCAAGACGAGCTACTCCCGCAGAAAGACCCCGATCGAGCAGGCTGCAAATCGATCGATGGGCTCCCCATCAAGCCTGGCTACAGCTGCCTGGTAGGCGATTGTGACTTCTGTACACCGTCCGTGCTGAGTATGCAGGAGAACATGCGTACGGTACACTAGATGAAGAAGTCGGACCAGTATGAGCTGTCGTGGAAGACATGCTTTATACAGACCTACTTTTCAGGCACTACTCGCATCCGCTACTTTGTCGTTCGCCCTTGGTGTTTGTGTTTTGCCTGTTCCGCTCCCAGTGCCAGATAGATTCCCCAGTCTGTTCCTACTGCCCGCCATATATCTAGCCGAATAAAATAGATGCCCCAGTGCCCGTTCCCGAGTTTTACAGGTTTGCCACGCCTGTAAGATGTCCCCGAGAAATAGAAAACATATCCCCTGCTGCACACAAGAGCCCTCAGTAGATCCGCAGGAGCCCTCAGTAAATACAGGTTTGCCACGCCTGTAAAATATCCCCAAGGAAATAGAAAACATGCCCCCCCGTGCCCGCAGGAGCCCACCGTACTCACAGGTTCGCCACGCTTGCTGCAAATTCCCCAGAAAAGAGCAAATTCACACTATCCACTAAGGGGCCGCTTCTTAAAGCTCGGCTTTACAGCGTTAATCAACCCATAGGGCGCGACCCCGCTCTTGGTGCCCGACTGCGGGGTCGTCAGCCTTACGGAGTACCAAGCCACCTTCTACAGTATCCCGCCCGACTGCGGAGTCCTAAGCCCGGCTCCAGCCTTGCGAAACTACATTCCTACAGTAATACTTTTTTTCTTTATCACCTCCCTTACTTTTCTCCTATAACAATCGCCGACATAACAACACTCGTACTTCAGTGGCTAATAACAAGAAATCCGTCATCTTCCCCCCGTTCGACAACGCTCTCCAGCACTATGAGGCTTCTGCGCTGTACCGACGATGGGTTCACTCTGACAAAGGACTTTCGTCCTCACGAAGAGTGGCCGGAGTACGCCATCTTGTCGCACAGATGGGGCCTAGACGACGAAGAGGTCACACATGCCGATCTGGTCAACAACGTCGGGGAGACCAAAGTCGGTTATGAAAAGCTACGGTTCTGCGCCCGGCAGACGAAACAGGACAACCTGCTACACTTCTGGGTGGACACGTGCTGCATCGACAAAACAAACCAAGTCGAGCTGCAAGAGTCAATTATGTCCATGTTTTCCTGGTACAAACGTGCAGCCCGCTGTTATGTGTACTTGCCAGACATCGACGCTACGCGCTACAACCTCAACGAGCGCCGCGAATGGGAGCCGGCACTTCGGGCAAACGAATGGTTCAGACGCGGCTGGACGCTCCAAGAGCTTATCGCCCCAGCCTCCGTCGAGTTCTTTACAATGGAAGGCCGGCGACTGGGCGACAAGCGGTCTCTCCAACAACTGATCCACGACACCACGACAATTCCGATTTCGGTTCTTCAAAACAGCGATCTTTCGAGTTACGACGTCGAGGAGCGGTTTCGATGGGCCGAGTCTAGGCGTACGACGCGCGAGGAAGATGCGGCGTACTGTCTCTTGGGCATTTTTGGCGTGTCTATGCCGGTCCTTTACGGCGAGACAAAGAACAATGCTGTTCGTAGGTTGAAGGAGGAGGTTGCTGCGTCCATACAGCGTGGTGACTTGTTGCTGCACCAAGGTACGATCCCGTCTTCCTTTCCTTCTACCGCGTACTAACACCCGGCTGCTTATAGAGAAACGTGTTTGGACGGTGCCGTTTGATCGAAATCCTTGCTTTACCGGCCGCGATGATGAGCTCAAAGCCATCCGTCAGATGCTCGTCGTCAAAGACCGAACGGCAAGGGTCGCCATCACGGGCCTTGGCGGCGTCGGGAAAACGAATATCGTGCTCGAGTTGCTTTACCGCATGCGGGCTGAATACAAACATTGCTCGTTCATCTGGATTCCGGCAACAAGCGAGGAATCCCTCTCACAAGCATACCTCGCGGCTGCTGAGAAGCTGGGCATACCTGGCTGGAACGATCCAAAGGCCGACGTTAAAAAACTGGTGCAAGCCTATCTTAGCAACGAAAATGCGGGTCAATGGGTTCTTGTATTCGACAACGCCGACGACCGGACTCTGTGGCTTGAGAGGCCTGCGAATGATCCGCACTCGTCTCGTCTCATCGATCATCTGCCAAAAAGTAGCCGCGGGTCCATCATCTTTACGACGCGTGACACAGGTCTAGCAGTGCAACTTGCTAGTCCGAACAATGTGAACGTATCCGATGTGGGCGAGGCTGGCGGCAAGAAGCTGTTACGAAAATACATACATGAGCAAGAGCTTCTTCAGAACGAGGAAGACACGGCTGCTTTGCTCAAGTGGTTGACATACCTGCCACTGGCCATCGTTCAAGCAGCAATGTACATCAATGAAATTGGATTAGACCTAAGCGAGTACTTGTCGCTTTTGAATGACCAAGAGGAAGGCGCCATTAAGCTCCTTAGCGAGGACTTCTTAGACTACGGACGGTATTCTGACGGAAAGAACCCGATCGCCACGACTTGGCTTGTCTCTTTTGAGCAAATACGAAAGCGTGATAGTCTAGCGTCCGAGCTCCTCTCTTTCATGGCTTGCATAGATGCCAAAGACATTCCGCGGTCACTGCTGGCACAAGATCTAGGGCGAAAGAAGGAGGCCGATGCGATCGGAACACTCAAGGCCTTCTCCTTTATCTCGCAAAACCGCGCAAGCTCGACTTTCACTATGCATCGATTAGTGCACCTGGCAATGAGGAACTGGCTCCAAAAAGAACAGCTGCTACTTCCCTGGACCCAAAAGGCCGTCACGAGGCTCGCGAATGTCTTGCAAAATCCCGATTACCATCATCGTGATATTTGGAGGTCGCATATGTCTCATGCACAGTATGCGCTCACGATGTCACGGGCGCAAGGCCTACACGTGGCTCAGGCACCCCCCCACATGTCCACGCATGCAAGGTGTCTTCATGGATTGTTAGTCTCTTCGAAGATGCCTATTTCCTCAGAGCCCATGCCGACAAAACCGTCACACACAACAGGACTTCGTGAAAGCGATGGCACAGACAGACAGCGTCTGTTATCGGCTTACGGGACATGCCTCTATTACGATGGGCGATACCGAGACGCGGAAGCAGCAAGGAAAGAGGTGATGGAGACGAGTAAGGCGAAGCTTGGAGCCGATCATCCCGATACGCTGACTAGCATAAACAACCTGGCGTCGACGTACAGGAACCAGGGCCGGTGGGAGGAGGCTAAGAAGCTGTTTGTGCAGGTGATGGAGACTCGTAAGACGAAGCTTGGAGCCGATCATCCTAACACGCTGACTAGCATAAACAACCTAGCGTCGACGTACAGGAACCAGGGCCGGTGGGAGGAGGCTGAGAAGCTGTTTGTGCAGGTGATGGAGACTCGTAAGTCGAAGCTTGGAGCCGATCATCCCGACACGCTGACTAGCATGAACAACCTGGCTTATACGTGGTTTTATTAAAATAGACACGTTGAGGCTTTCACACTGATGGAAAGTTGTGTTTAACGTCGTTAACAAGCTCTTGGTCTAACGCATCCTGATACACTCTCTTCTCTCCGATGCTTAGAAATAAGGAAAAGCCGAATATTACGCCTAGAAACATAAGACCTATAATAGAACTAGTTGAGTCTTTGGGAATTGGTTAGACAACAACCACCAACTTATCTTCTATTTTCCCATGTTACTAATTGTGCAGTTCCAGCTTCTAGTACGAGAATTTCACGTATCTCGGAAGCACTGCGCATCCTGTGAATTTCCCTTTATTCTGTGAACCTTATTTACTACATTAGGACCATTGTACATGCTTACGAAGAACAGCGCGTAACATTAATAAACTCGTTAAACACCGACTCGATGCCAAGAACCACATACTTCTGCGGTATATTTTGAAGTTATGAAATGACGTCTTTAGTAGGCTTTTTCGGCCAGCCAAGTAGCGTACGGCTTATGTGGAAGGGCTCGTTTGAGAAAGAGACGGAGGACATAAATCAGTGCAGACAGCTTCGGCGTATACAAGGAAACTTCCACCAAAGAGTCCGTTGTGTCGGAAAGTGCCAAGACGTCATTGAAGTACACAAAAATCATCGACTCGGGCTTGTCGTTTCGTGGCTTCTGTAACGGCTCAGGCTGGCGATGGCGCACCAAAAGCTCATTTGATTCGACATGAGTAATCTTAAGGAACAAGATGTAACGGTTCACGTAGCTGAAGGCAGTAATCACGTGCGTCCTCCCGGTACTCCTGTACGGCACAGACGTGTGATACACCAACCACAAAAAAACCCCTGCTTCCAGGGGACGGAGCTGTCAGGGCAAGACAGTCTCGTCCCGCAAAAACTGGCACATCTAGCAGATCGACAAAGTCATCAATAGTGCCGCCCGGGCGGCTCTCTAGTCTGGAGGACCACGCCCAACCTCGCGGTCATTCGAGATGTAAGTCTATCCAGTGCCGCCATTGCACTGGAACAAGTCCGGATCAGACAAGCACTACGGCTTTCACAGTTTCCGGGGACTCATCCCCTGGCCCGCAGGACCAAGATACAGCTGAGCGTGAGAGATAAAGGGCACGGCCGACCGGAGAAGAGAAGGACTCCCATCCAACTTCTGGCCGGCAGCGTACCCATCACTTTCCCACGGCTGACACCAAGTCCCCCACACTTCTCCCCTGGCTGCCGGACTGACCCCACGCTGGGCCGGTCCAAGGAGGAGGCCGATGGGCCCAGCTACAGCGGCGTCCGAACTGCTATGGCTAAAGCCTTCCGAGCGTTTACGGAAGACTGGTGGTCAAGCCACCAGTACAAGCTTTTCCTTCGTACAAAGAATGAGGCCTGTAGTACACGCTCAAAGAACCCCCAGAGCTCGCCCTCCCCAGGACGGCTAAGCACAGTCACGGAGTTTATGCCCGGTACCACGACAGAGGCGAGATCTATCAGTAACGTCTGTATGCAATGCTGCTTCGGGTGTCGATAATGGACTGGCGAAGATGGGCTGCTTCTCTTAATCTCTAGCTTCCAGGCGTAGTCAACCCAGGCGTTAATTGCGTCAATTTTACATTAAACAAGATTCAGTTTTCAATTTGCTTTCTGCTTGGTTTACGTGGGAGATAACTACGTCGTAAGATACTTTTGAGCGCTTTTGAAGATACTTGTAATTTTCGCCATATGTACTTAAAGGGGCTGCCTTAGGGGCTGGAACTTTGCGCCGGGGCAGGCCAGAATTAGCCTTCAGGACAGCGGCACACGATTTAATAGCGTAATCGGCGGATTAGTACTTGGGTCGGTGACGACCAGCGAATACCCGCTGCCGTACGTTTATTTTTTAGGCCTCTTCCCTTTTTGGCTCTTACACCAGCGTCACGGCGAGGACTGACTCCCTCTGATAAACCGCTCTGGCCTTCCAATTACCAGACTCGCTCGCCAATGATAGCTGTTAGGTGGACATGTCTGAGCAACGAGGCCAGCCGCTCAGCCTACGACAAGCTGGACAATCTATATTCCTGATTAACTCTCGCCTTTACAACACGATCAGAATGGACTATCTAGCTCGTCGTATAGTGGGTAGATTGTAACTCATTCACTTGGCTGCTTTAACTTGAAGCATAAGAGCTACAGAGTTCCAAACAAATAGACAATCGAAATTTCTTTTTTGAAAAAAAAAAATATAAAAAAAATAATTTCAACAACCATATTAACACAAATGGTAACAAGGTCCTTACAATCAATGCCAGGCCGTATAAGAGCTCCTAGTGGCCGGGCCCCACTTTACGATGTCCGGGCGGTCAGAAACGGCAGAAACGGCATCGAGGTGGGAGGATAGCTTCCTCTGCCAGGGAATTCTGCTTGGCCATCCTGCAACCGCTCAATCGGAGCCAGAGCCAACGCTGTACGCTGCACGCTGACGATACACCATGCTGACGCTGCGAGCAGCCGTGCCGGTGCTGCGCCGCGCACAGCGGTGCGTGCGTGCGGGCGTCATCACCACGGCGGCCGCCTGCGTGGAATCATCGAGAACAGCCAAGCTGGACAGCAGACGCAGCCATTCATCGAGCTCGACAACAGCCTCATCGGTCAGCCCGGAAGAGGTGGCCCACTTCAACGGCCTCGCTGCGGCCTGGTGGGACCCACACGGCTCCTCTCGGCTGCTGCACCAGATGAATCCGCTGCGGCACGACTTCATCCGGCACTGCCTCGGACAGGAAGAGCCGCTGCCGGGTCGCATTCTCGACGTCGGCTGCGGTGGCGGCATCTTTGCCGAGAGCGCCGCACGGCTGACGTCGACGACAGCCGTCACGGCCATCGACCCCTCGGCCGAGGTACTGGCCGTGGCCCGGACCCATGCCAGACGCGATCCCGTCCTGCAGCACAAACTGCACTATGTGCAGGCTTCGATCGAGAACATGACTGCGGGAAGCCACGGCTCTCCAGATGCTGCCTCTCCCTCATCGGCATCTCTGTCCTCTACCACCGGCCCCTTCGACATGGTCACTACCTTTGAGGTCGTCGAACACGTCGCCACAGATCCAGGCGCCTTTCTGGCTCAGTGTGGCCGGCTCTTGCGGCCTGGTGGCTGGCTCATTGGCAGCACAATGGCCCGCACCTGGATCAGCTGGCTGACAACCATCGTCGCCGCCGAGGACGTCTTGGGCATCGTCCCCCACGGCACTCACGATTGGGCAAAGTACGTCAACCCAGACGAGCTTGCTGCCCATTTTGCTCCCGGTACAGGGGCTGCCTGCTCCCAGGGCACCACCTGGGAGACCCTCACGTTCCAGGGTGTTGCCTATATTCCCGGCCTGGGCTGGCAGGTGGTCCCTGGCAGCGAGGAGCTTGGAAACTACTTCTTTGGCATCCGGAAGGGCCGGAGCGAGTCGACTAGCACTTAAAGACCCGAGAGAAAGACACATGTGTAAGAATGAGAAGCTGTGAAATAATGATTCAATAAATATCCGTCTCCCGCTGGCCTTCCAAAAGCGGCATTGGCTGAAAGAAGCGAATCTGCACTTTTTCAACATTCCTTCTTCGTATGCTCTCCCTGTTTCTTGTTGTATTCCGGGCATTATTCAGCACCGAGAAATTCCGAACAAACCCAAGGCTCTAAAAAATAAATATGCTCCTGGCAGAAGTATAGACTGGTGAATCCAAAAAAACATAATAGGAAAAATACATAAATGTGCATGACGCATTAAAGAAAAGAAGAAGAAGAAAACAACAGCCGGATAGTTCGTAGAAATCAAAGCACGCCCATCTCTCCCAAATGCACATATATAATCGTCGACATCAACTTCCGCTCAGATCCCCAGATTTGGACGTTAGTTCAACAAAAGAAACCCCTCGCGCGTCTAATTCTGGCTCTCCTGGGGATGACCGCAATGGCTTTCTCGGCACGGCTAAATGTCCCGCCCCAGAAGCAGACCATATTGCTGCTGTGCCTGGATAGAAATTGAAACTGTTGCTGGTATTGGAACCACTTGCTTTTGTTCTTGTTGGGGCTCCCAAGTTCTCTTAGGTAATAGCCCAATGGCCTTCTGTTCTGGTATGGGGTTGTTGATGCAAGCACTGGCTCGTATATAGATTGTTTGCCAAATACTGTTCGCTTACTCGAGGAAGCGACATAAGGCTTCGCGAACCTGAACTTCCATTTCCGTGCAGTCCTGGGTTCCAACGTGTAGGATCATGTACCAGACCAGAGACTGTCGCTCTGTCGGAGAATGCTGCCATGGTGCCATTCGTAGGAGAGCCTCTGTTCATGATTGGTCTCCTGGCGGCATCTTCTTGGAAAATCACCAAAGTTCTCAAAGCTGCCCGGAGTATAGGTAGCTGCTGGAGATGAAGCCGCTAGGCATGTGCGAATGCATCATAGACGGCATTGTAGGAGACTTCTTCTGGGCCGTGAAATGTTGACTCTGCTTCGGAGGAGTCACAGGTCCTTGTGGAAAACAGTCCATATATGGCCGGCCTCTTTCCCTATGCGTGTATTGGCTCTCGTAATTGTGGTATACATTTTGGGGTGGCATCAATAGGGGACTGTTGGGATAGGCGCATTGAGGCGGGCCTCCGAATGACGACCTTATGGGGAAAGGTGCTGTCTGCATCCCACCACTTGTCGCATGTTAGTTAAAGTCAGCCAACGCGGACTTCCCGAGAGGATGCGCAGGCATGCAATGATCCTTATCATGACATAGGAGAACCAAAGCTTGCTTGAAAGCCAATCGACACAAGGCGAAATATTTGGCTTACTTCTGATGGCTTTCGGAAAATAAACCATGGCCTCTGATAATGTTCTCGCCATTCGGACCATAATACACGCCGCTGCTGTCGCCCGGGGCACTGCAAGGGCTTTCACGATGGTCAATGTAGCGCGCAGGAGGTGTTGGTAGCCCATTCGTGTTCTGTGGGTAAGGCATCGCCCCGTGTCCCGGCAAGGACTTCTGAGCATCGGGTGATGGAGGATACAGGCAAGGCTCCATTGGCTCACGCTTCACCGGGACCGACCGGGGACGGGAGTGAAGAATCGGACCGGGAACTTCTTCTGTCTTTATCATCTTCGCCCCTTCGCAGGGGGGTCTTGGGGGCGGCTCGATGCTTCCCCATCGTTTTCGCGCACTCCGATTGTACTTGGTGACACCCCATTTTTTCAGCCAGCTTCGAAACGCTCGGATTCTTTCAACCAATCAGTTTAATGCTTGCTGCTGATTGTAAAGAAGACGCAGCATGGAATCATGAGCTCTAAGCAGACGGAAGTAATGACTCACGATGCGTCGAATGCGTAATCCTCGTGCATGATCTTCTGTACGCGGTCTAGTGCATTTCCCTCTGTTTTGTAGAGGCGGATGATAGTGTCCCTGTGTGGTAACCAGTCTTTTGTCATCTTGACAACTCGTCAATACGCATACACGATGAAACGGATGTCGAAACCAGATCCCCGGGATATCCAAATTTGGCAACAAGGTATGTTCCAGTTGCGTCAAGCTCGAAACCAAGTACGAAGAAAAACGCTCCCTTCACGGAGGGAGTGGTGTGAAAACAGAATACAGCCCAGGCCGAGCAAACGGAAAACAGACACGAAGAAGCAAAGGAGGGAAAAAGGCGCTTAGATCGATAATGGTAGATACGACTCCAAGAAATGAGAGGCACTCGGTAGCAAGTTTGAAGGGATCTGGTGTAAGGGCTGAAAAGGTTGAAAAGGTACACAACTGTGGATGCTACTTTTCAGAAAGTGAGAATACAACCAGTATGAATGAGCGTAGAAAAAGGAAGGAGCGATTGTTGAAAGGACTAAAGCAACTGCGGAAGGTGTGCAGTCTTTAACCCAAGAGGGCAGAACAACCGGGCTGCAAGACTTATTTGAGCGCAAGGCAGAAAGAATACGGAAGGCGGACTGAATATATGCAATGCAGTATGTAGAGGAGAGCACAGCCTTCAGGCATCCATCCCACCTTCTTTACCCTTCTCTTGTGATCATCTGTTTGCGGAATTCTATGTACATTTTTCCGAGAGACTGGACGGAGCTGGCTGCTCTCTCGTAGGAGAGATCTCTATCACCGTCAATCCCTGTTTCTCGTCTGGAAAAGTTTAAGAATCTGTACGAACATGGGGCATCTTCCCTTGACGGGGCGTCAAAGTGAGGCGCCCAATCAGGCGGACACTCGTCTCCCCCCAAACGGAAACGGACGTTCCGCACTGACGCCCTACTGTCTGTATATCTCCTTGCTTTTCCGGGAGCCTTCACGGCGCGTTTGCTGACACGCACTCGAAACAGCACGCCGAGTTCGGGCCTCGAAGTGTGGCAGTCAAAGGGCAGCAAACGCGGCGAGAAAGTCAGACTTGGGTGCATGCATCTGTCAAGCGCGCTGTAGGGTAGACACCCAGCGAGCTATGTATACTGGCAGTGATGAGATAAGAACAGCATACCGCGAAAAAAACTTTCTCAACCGGTGAGAGGAGAGCGAGGCGGTCAAGCGTGCCCAGTTTCTTCAATTTCCAGCTTCATTGGCCAGCCATCAGCTACCCCTCACCCCTGCTGCTACCAACGCGTAACCTCATGCTGACTTCGCGGAAGAGCAGCGTCGACATCATTGAAGGGGCGGGGAAAAGCTGTGGTCGTCATAAGTGGACAAACAAAGCACAAGGCTGAGTCTCAAACTTGAGAACCCACGCGACCGCAATTGCCACGGAAAAGCAAGCAGAAGGAGCGCCAGAATTCAGCAGAGCACGTCACGGGTGCTGTACCCGATCACTGATTGTGGAGCGTGTGCTCGTGGGAAGCTGTTGCGGCTCAACCGCTGGCATGACATGACTGGTCTCTTCAGTTGAACTCCTTCTTGGTGTGGGATGAAAACTGTGTAAGTCCGAGTGGGCTAAGACAATAGAGACCGGCCAATCAGACGTGCAGACGCTGACAGGCATAAGGCAACCCGTATGCCCGATGCAGTGAGATGCCTGGCTGGCGACAACAGGCACCCTACGTTGTGTGGTGGTGGCATGTCAAAAGCAAACAGGACATGCGCTGGCGCTGATGGACATCTTCCTGAGGTGGCCGCCATGCAGGGGCACCTGTTTGTGTGTGTGCCTTACGGTGACAGACCGCTGGCCTTGTGCTTCGGTCAAGACCGAGCCAACGCTGCAGCTTTGGGCCGCCCGAGGCGAACGGTTGGCCACGCCGACTCGAATCCTACGACATAAAGTCGACTGGGCCAAGCTTGGCCGCAGACTGGACAATTCCTCGACGGCAGCTGTCGGGTGATTGGACTGGCCGCAAACGCCTGCATGATGTCCGCACAACTTTAGGCGCAATATGCCATCGCGTTGGCAGGTGGCAATGACATGCGCGCAATGCAACGACTGCGATCATGGTAGCATTGTGCTCTGGTCTTCTAGAGAACATGTCACGTTGTATCTTGCTTTAATCCCTTTCGCCCAGATGGAAATCTGTGTGGCTGCTGCATGCCCAATTCGCATTCACAGAGGCCAACTGCCATTGCCATGGGAAACGGCCCTATTCAGCTCCAACGCCAGTCTTACATGCCGCCTTGTTTTATCTACGGAGCTGCCAATGCGCTGCGTGTCCCTGTTTGCCAAACGGTCTATGCCGACTACCGAACCGAGTGCCGAGTGCCGACTTCCGACTTGCGACAGAATCGCGCCATACTCGATCTGTCCTCCCGAGGTGAAGCTTGGCCTACGCAACGTCTCATGCAGTCCCAACTAGTGCACGTGTTATACGAGCCCATAAGAGCGACAACAATTGGATCGGCTGTGCCGCTCCGCACTTCCGGCCAGCTATCTTTGCTCTGGCTTGCCATGGCTGTCACCACCGACAAGGGGCCGAAAAGACGCGAGGTCGTGGCCTGCAAGACCAAGAGTCGGTGTGCGCAGCCAGGCAAGAATGGTAGACAGCAAGCACAGCCTAAATGGGAGGGGGAAAGAAAGCTTGTTTCTGCGAATAGGTCAGGCAACATACGGGACATATGTGATGTACTATGTATGCCGGCCGATCCAACAACATACCTTCGTACAGAGCAGAGAGGTGACACGTGGTGGGCGTGAGTAGTACGCAATTGTGTCTTTTTATCAGACGGCATGTTACATTGACAGCCTCAGCCTTGACTACGCCATGCACACCGCGTCTGTACCCTCTGTAGATCCCGATGGGATCAGTGCAGATGAGAGATGGGCTCCAAACCAGGGTTGAAGGACGACTGAATATCAGATAAAACAGGTAGTGAAACAAGAACGAAACGATCACGAACACGAGCTCTAGCTTCTCTCTAGACTCGTCACCCCCTAGAAGCCAACGAGAGAGCAAAACAGACATTAGTAGACACCTATTACAGCGACAAGTCCATGATATGGAATCCCAAATCTCCCACCTCGCGCTCGCTCACTTGCTCGCTCGTTCGCTCTATAATGGTGTCTGCATTCGGCCAATAACACTCTTGCCACATGCCAGTGGCCAACGCATGCAGAGGCAGAGGAAAGCAGGAGCAGTTGACCCAGCTCAGCCCCTCCTCCTGATCGATTGAGCCTCAGGTTTCTGTCTCCGCTCTCGTTCTTGGCGACTCGCCTTGCTTTTCGTACCGTCCGGTGCCAACCTGATCCCTCCGTCGTGGTCCCGCTGCAAAATGAAGAAAAAAACAGCAACTGCGATGAAAAGCAGGGCTTCGCTAGCTCCATCTCAGAAGCCCAGCCGCGGCGACAGGAAGACGGCCGGCCCGTCCGGCTCTGCAGACGACGCCAAGACAGACTCCTAGGCTGACGTGGCTTTGCTTGCATTCTCGACCGCCGTCTGGGCAGCCACGGTGGCTGGCGGGAGTGCGGCCTTGGCAGAACTGCCTGACGTGACGCCGGCCTCCTGGCCCTTGGAAGCGAGGGCACCACCGGTGACGCCCGTCGAGACGACCGAAGCGGGCGAGGCAGGCGAGGGCGAGGCTGCCTTGAAGGAGCCGCCAGAGGCGATGCGCGACATGTTGCCGGGGGTGGGCGAGGCCAGCGTGGGCGAGGTCGGCATGCTGTCGACGCCGTGCGAAGGCCCGGCAGCGGCGATGTCGCGGATGATGTAGAACCACTTTTCGGCGTCATCGGGACTGTGGGCCTTGAAGTGAAGCTCCGAGGTGCCGGTCAGCTTGCTGCTGACAGACTTGCTGCGGTCCTTGCCCTTGATGGTGAACTTGTCGCCCTGCGGCGAGCTGACGGTGGCGTCGGGGAGGTAGATGCTGAGTTCAGGCACCGGATCCTTGCGCACGTTGTCCGAGTCGCGGAACTCGTGCAGATAGCGCGACGGCGTGACGACGTAGTAGCCGGCCTGGAAGCCCCAACTGAGCTTGTTGCGGCTCTTGCGCTCGAGGCTGCCCTCAATCACCGGGCTCGTGCTCTGGTGGTTCTGGTTCGGGAACGTGATCTGGGCCACGTCGCGCGGCGCATCACGAGCGTCCACCAGGATGTCCCGGTTGCGCTCAGAGAAGCCCTTCCACTCAAAGTCGGCCGGGATCTGCTGCACCGTGCTCAACATGTCGCTGTACAACGCGTTGACCCGCTCAGCCTGGCCGCCCACATACTGGTGGAAAGCCTCCATCGCTTGCTGCAGCACCAGGAGCACGTGTGCCTCAAACGTCTCCATGTTCGACTGCACCGACAGCAGGTCGTTGCGGTGGTTGTTCTCCTCCACCACCTGGTGGTGCAGCCGGTGCAGCACGCCACGGTGCAGCACGTACGGGTCTTCCTGCGGACCCATCTTGCCGCCCATGGCCTCGAACGCGGCCGACTGATGGCCCAGAAGCTCGATATGCTTCTGCGTCGTCTGCCGCGCCTTCTCCACCTCCTTGGCACCCTTCTGCGCACCCTGCTGCAGCTCCTTGGCCTTGTTCTTGATCTCCTTGTGCAGCCGGTCGAGAACGGGCAGGACAGAGCCCTTGATGTTCTTCTCCGTCTCCAGGTTCGTGTTGATCAACGCCTGCGTGTTAGTACGCATGTTCTCAAAGAACCCGCTGATGCCACCGAGGTTGGGATCGAAGTGCTGGCCCTCGCGCAGCGGCTTCGAGATCGTCTTGAGCACCTTCTCATACTCCTTCGCCTGCTCCTTGTGCGACTTCTCGACCGCACCAATGTACTCCTCCAGAAACCCACACACGTGCTTCCATGCCTGCAATCTCTCGGCTAGCAGGCCGGCAGTCTAGGGAGGTAGGCTGTCAGCCTGGGTCACATCAACGGCCCAACGGCTCCGCTCACGCTGCACCGCAATCACGATCGAGAAGGATCGAGAAGGGAAGGGGGACGACAACGTACGCTGGTGGGGTCCGCATCGGGAACGGCCTCGTCGCTGAACGTAGAGGCCGACGTCAGGTTGGTGCTCTGTCGGGACGGCAGCTGCTGGGTGGAGAACTGTGTAGCCATGACTGGTAGACTGGTAGACTGATACTGGCCGATCGTTTGGTGGTGTTGGCAGTCTGGCAGGGAGGTGGGAGATTGATAGAGAGGAAAGCGAGCAAAAGGAGATCGCTTGGCACACAACAACCGCCGATGGAGCTAATCAGCGCTGGCTCAGGAGGCTTGATCGAAAAGGGGGCGTGTGGCGCTGCAGAGAAGAAGGCAGCAGACTTCGGGATCAGGACCTCGGATCCGCTGGGAAGAGCGGGGTTGGAAGCAATGGCAAGATTGGAAGTAGAAAATAACGAGCAGCAAGGGCAGCTAACTTTGCCAGTATGGGCTAGCGTGGGTGCAGCCGCAGTTGATCACCGTAACAGCTTGAGATGCCAGGCAGATGATTGTCTTGATCGGCAAAACTGCTTTGGATCAGATATTGAGATCAGGAAGAGGTATGGACGTACGCAAAAGTCACGTTGTCCAGAGTGGGCAATCCTGCAGAGTGCGGCTGCCCCTTATCGACCATCGTCGTCATTGCCAATGCTTCCTTCCTCTGTTGGGAAACTCCGACTATTAATACGGCAGGCACGAAGGAAAAATCATCTGACGATTTAGGCGTCCAAGGCTTCTGGCTGCAGTGACGTCAGTCATCACGCGGGGGCTATAAGACGCATCTTATCCGGTACACGGACATTCGGTTCTCAAGCTGCCCGAATACGATCTGTCTCGTAGTGCCTGCCACCTGACTTGGACGGCATTGGGATGCATCGACATGAAGTCCGTATCTCACTTGTGTCTGTGTGAAAAGAGAAAATGAGGGTATTCTGCTGCGTGCTATGTGGCATTATCCTGATCTGTGTCCTATCCATCTAAACGCCTCATCCAGTATCCCAAGCCGTTGTGTCCTTGTAACCCATGTCTATGTATATAACGAGAATGCGTGCGTGCATGCGTGAACGAAAACAAATGAAGCAGAAACGGGCACAGCCCCGGTGGAGCACTCCCGAGGTGTATGAGTACGTCGTATAGTACGCGTGCCCAGTGCACGTCGGTGGCCTCATGTGGCTACACGGTTGCGTGATTGCCGCAGGTGCAGCCAGCTGCGCTCGTCCGAGTCGCCGCCCTGCGTGTTCTGCCGACTGCTCGATGGCGTGGTACTTCCCGACTGATGGCGCCGCCGACTGCCGACAAGGTTGGTCTCGCTGTGGTAGCTGGCATTCCGCGGACGCATGCCCACACTGTCGGCAGCATCCTGCGGTGTCTCGGCGATCAGGGAAAGCGGCTCGTTTATGAGAGAGGTTCCGGTATAAGACGACATCAAGGCGGGCCTCATGACGGGGGAGGACGACAGCGACATGCTACCCGAGGCAGCTGCCGTGCGGTAGTCGGGAAGCTGCAGTGCGCTGTCACCAATGGCAATGGCTGCCACCCGCGTGTTCTTCATGGCCGTACCGTAGGATGGGACCTTGCAGAGCTCTGACATGTCGGAAAAGTCGACGTGTTCAGGGTCGCTGTGTTCGGTGTGGTGCGACTCGCCACTGTTGCGTCTTGACAGCGAGTCTGTCCCGCTGTTGCTGTCTGCGCTATTGAGAGCCTGCTGCAGCTGTTGGTTCTGCACTTGCTGCATGTGCTGGTAGTAGAGGTGCCCGTGGACGGGCGAATACGGCGTGCTGACACCGGAGATGGGAGGAGTGATATGCGTGGAACTGCGGTTTCTCCGGATCGTCGCCTCGCGCAACGAGACATCCTGCAGCCGTGATGTGAGAGCTGCGGGTGGCACCGGTATGCTGGCGGCCGCGGCCATTGATGCCAAGTTTTCGCTAGATCCGGCACGCGAAAGCCCGTACAGCGGACTGTGCATCGCCGACATGGGGGCCGGCGTCTGCAGGTTGTGGACGTCCATCTCGTCGTAGAGCTGGTCCAAGATGTGCTCGCCGTAGCCGGGCGGTGCAATCGTGGCCTGTGTGGCGGCTTCCTGCGGACTCGCCGAGATTCGGGCCGGGCATGTCAGGTTGCCCTGTTCGTCGAGGGGGATGTTTGGCGAGATGAACAAGGTCAGGGGTAGGGTGGCGCGCAGCTGTGCGTTGAGAGTCAGCGATGCCAACCAAGCATGCAGGCGGGCGCATTATGCGATAGACTTACCTCGGAGACGTGCCCGTCAGGATTCTTGAGAGCAACGACCATCTTGAGCTTGTGGCGAACCTTGATGCCGTGCACGTTGACGTCTTGGATGCACGGGCCCAGCTTGTGCGGGAGGTCGAGGGAGGTGTTCAACACCCAGCCTTCCTGGCCGGTGTCCTCAATCATGTCGTTCCAGTGGTCCTCGTTGTTGACGCTCAGCACCCATGATGCAACGACGCGCTCGTTCTTGTACTCGCGCAGGCCGGTCATGACAATGTTGGAAGAGCCCATGGGCATGGACACGAACTCGTGGATCTCGAAAAGGCGGATGGTGATATCGCCGAGTTCGAGGCCCTTGAGCAAAGGGCTGAAGCGGGTCTCGAGAGGAATGGCGCTGCCAAAGACGATGGCTTTGCGGGGAACGACAATGGAGTACTCAATCTTGTTGGGCCAGACGTTCTCGACGCTCATAGCGTGGAGGAACTCTAGGGCCGAGGACTCCATGGTGCGTACGAAGCGGACGTGCTTGTACGCATGGAGGTCGTAGGCGAGCTTGCCGCGGGCGATGGTGGCCTTAAGCTTATACGTGATGCTGGCCTCGTGCAGACCCTCAACGCTCTCGGACGTGTCGCCAGGGAGTAACAGGTCAAAAGGAAACTCATAGTTGCCCTTTTCGAGAATGGCGCTCTTGCCAGGAGTACCCCAAAACGGAGCCCATTGGTGCTGCAAGATGACGTTTGAGCGGTCTATTTTGGATGAGGACAGACCGGTTGAAGGCGTTGATCTCGGGTCGTTCCATCTGGAGGCATAAGTTGACAGTCAGCTTTTCTAGTCTTCGTCTGTCTCGCAGCATAGCATCTCGGGTAACACTCACGCCAAACGTTGCACGCCTGTCAGGCGTAGGTGGATGTCTTCGATCTTGATCGGTGCCGGGACGCAGATGGCCAGGACGCCCTTTAGCATCTGGCCGCTGGCCTCGTGCTCGTTTCCACGGAATACCAGGAAGTCGGTCTCCAGCCTGGCAGCAGCATGGTTAGCAAGTGTGGCAGACAAGAAAGGCGACGCCCAGGGCTGTCGAGCGTTCCAAGCCTACCGGATGTCGAAGAGAGTGAGGGCATTGCGACCGGTCACCGAGGTAAATGGGTTGAAGGGCATGTCTCTGTCGGATGCAATAGATGTGTAGCCGTAATTGCGATTCGACGGAAGGGGATGTGTTTTGCAAGGAAAAAGCTAGAAGGCCTTGCAAGAGAAGACGAGAGACGGGAGAGAAGGTGTGTAGGAAGCGGCGACTGATAATCAGTCTAGCTGGCCATGAAGTGGTATCGGGGCCCGGTTTTTACTCTGGATCTGTACGAGCGTCAAGATGTGGAAGGTTTCTGCACAGTGCTGCAATGCAGCCAAGCTGGCCTGTTGCCTGTTGGCTATGGGTGGCAGAGTTTACGCCGAGGAAGACAGCGCTGTTGGGGCGAAAGCGGTCGACTTGTCGGGACGGGTTGCCAACGTCACCGCGGGTACGAGGGGCAGGAGCGAGCCAGGCACATGCCAGACGGGATAAATTGGATTAAATGATTAGCCGGGGGTGGTGTGGACATGCGAATGACAACGTGATGTGCTGTGAGTGGTGAAGACGGCAGAGAAGAAGGTGCAGCTGTGCAGCTTTGCGTGATGCCTCCCAGTTGGGAAGGAAGAGGAGAGGCGACGCAAGGGTAAAAAAGGAAGGCTTTGAGGACAGGATCGCGGGGCGATAGGCGGTAACGTCTACGACTAGGCGGCGACTAAGAGTACGAGTAGAAAAAGACAAAGGGGATCCTCTTAGTTTAAGGTTTTCTTTTTTTTGCCTTTCTATTTTTTAGCATGGTTATCAGTGACGAACAGGACAAAGCGGTCCTCTCATACCGGTCAGGACGGCGTTTCGTGGCAGGGCTTCCAAATCGGAGAGGGTCGGAGAGACGCTAGAGGGACTCTGTCAAGGCCTTGTCATTGCGCTGCGGAATTTGCAGCAAAGGGTACCGGACAAGGACATTCTCCGCCAGACGCCGAATTGCGATGATCCTCCTTTCACGGCCAGGAGTAATCGCGGCAAGGAGGTCTGGAGTCGGAGTTGCTGTGCTGAGCATGGTCTCACACCACTGACCGCTTAGGCTCAGAGTGGCCTAGACACAAAAGTCCTGCCTTGCGATAGTGGTTGTAAGATATCTTACATAGTAATTACGGAGTAGCAGTATGAGATACGATGGGCGTGGGGGCATAACCCCTTGCGTGCTCATGCTGTCTTGCCTATGCACATTCTGCCGTAACTTCTCCCGCCTTGGCCTCGCTTACTGTCGGCATCGGCCGGTGGACTGACCAGCAACAGTGGGACGGCGTGTGCTGGCGTCCTGCGACACGGTCCAATAGGAACAGAGGGAAAGTTGCGCCAGAGGTGAGAGGGTCAGGCCATTTAGGGCACTTCCGAGAGCCACGAGGGGATATGTTTACGAGTAGGCAGCCTAGCAGACTGACTACACAAGAGCCTTCCGTGAGCAGACCTATCATATCTTACATAGTAAAAGGCGCGACAAATGCAGCGACTACGCCTAGGCTTCTCTGCTCTAGACAGACATCAGGCAGCTAGTGCTGGACGGCCAATGTCAGGCGTGTGTTTGATCAAGCAAAGGATATCTAACAAAGGACCAAAGCCCAGAACGTCCATGGCCATGCAGCCCCTCGACCGTGCATTCCAAGTGCTGACAAACGAGGACTCCGATAATAGGATAAATCGTACTCCGTAGGGAGGTCGCCAACCGAGCGAGGCCGGCTTCGAGCAAGGGGGGGCAGGTCTTGATCTGTCAGTCTGGTTCGATTTCTTGCACGGTTCAGAAGGACACCATTGCTCAGGCTTTGGAGCCTGTTTCAGCGTCTGGTAATAATGCAGGTCCAGACGGGAGGCAACGCAGGCCGGTGGGTGCAAACGTGCAGGCAAAAAGGGCCCTCATCGAAGTGTATTAAGTAGGGGCAGGACGGCGTCTTTCGGTGCAGCGAGCAGCGAGCAGCGAGCAATATTGCGGAACTCGTAATACGGAACTCCGACAACCGGAAAACACAGCCTGCCATCCTGCGCTGCGACGTCACGTACGGAGTACGATCAGGCAAAAACGGGCGAATGGTTTTTAAACCCCCCCTCCCCTCCTAAATTATCACCAGTAAAAAAAGCCACCCCTACAGACAAAACCTGGCCGCACGGCAATAATGCGGCGAGGCGACGGGTATAAGCCGACGACGACGGGAAATCGGCGGAGTTACATGGCGACGGCAAGCAGCACAGCCCGTTCCGAATCTCGCCGACCGGCTGCAGTCGTGTGTTGTTGACATGCGTATTTTTTGCACTTGTTGCCTCTGGTCTTTCTTGCACGCGAGACATGTCGCCACAAGGTAAGTGAGTCAGGATTCGTACAGGCAAGCATAGCTTTCCAGAGCGAGAGCGAGCGAGGAAGTGGCAACCCGACGGACACGCAAGGCACTGGCGTAACTGTCTGCGACGAAGCTAATCGGGCCATTACTATGTACAAATCTGGGTCTCCCCCCTTCAGCCGCAGGACAGATCATTTCCAGATTGCGTCGCAAAATGGGCTGCGGATCTACGACGTACGTCGTACATGCGCACTTGTATCGTGCTACATAGCACATGTGTACTCACCAAAGCCTCGTATGAGCTCCTGAAGAGGACCACTTTTGGTGACAACGGAGCAATGCAAAGTTCTCGTACTCTGTACTCCGTGCAGAAAAGTAAGCTCGCCATCTCCACAACCTTCGCCCAAATGCTCGAATCAATAAGATAATACGATTTGGCAACTCTGAGACAATACCTAAACCATTCCTGTGTGGTCTGTCGTCATTGGCTGCCGGCCGATGCGACGTTGCTTTTCCAGGCTATTCTCGCAAAAAACGTGCAAGAAATGGAGCACAGAGCAGACGGCTCAGCCCACCATGTGCTCCGACTCTGAGTGGATGAAGCAGCCAGGGCAAATCCCGTCTAGTCTCTTTTTCTGACTCGCGGAATTACTGCATTACGGATTTTCCCTGCATGCAGCAACTCCACCTCTATCTTTACTGGGCCTGTGTTTTTTTTACTTGCTTTTTTTTTCGTTTTTTTCTTCTTTGATCGTAATGACTCGCTGCGAAGTCCGTCCTCCGTGCGCTCGCTTCTTATCTCGCGTTCTCATTTGCTTGTTGCCCGTGCCATTTGCCAGTGATTGCGTCAGCCGAAGCTGGCGACAACGCCATCTTCCTGTCCCAACAGATGCTGTTGGATTCGATTCCGAGGCGGCCAGACAGCAGCTTTCACATGCCAGTCTGCTAGGCGAGATCGGGTCCCAACGGCGTCCGCGTGAGATCGACAAACACCTCGGCGCCGTGTGTGGCGCTGCCGTATTCTCACAGTGCCGTCTAAAAACGGGACGGCAACGCTAAAGTGTTGCACGTGACCTTGTGGGTCACGTGCAGACTTTTCACTGCCGCAGTGCATCCACTAGCTTTAGCTTCCTTTCAGAAAATCCCATGCTTTTCTTCCATGATAAAGTGATGTTCATGGTAGACGGTGCAGGCATATAAGCCGTGTATTAAGATGACACCGATAAATCCTTACTTATATTGATCAGATCACGTGAAGAAGTCTCAACTCGTACAGACGCTCGTATCTACACACATCATACTCCGTTGACATTGCCTAACTCGACGCTCCCTCGTCCGTCTGTGCCGTGTTGTCTGTTGGCCTCATCCACGTCCGAATGTGACCTGAGTATTATGTCAGCAAGCTGTGATCGTGCTAGGGCTAGACGTAACGCACCTTTCTTGTTGGCTGTCAAAACAGACTTCTCCGTGAATCCAAGCCAACAGAGCGGCTCCTTGCTGACCACCTGGGACTGCGACGTGTTAGTCCGATAGGAACGCGCATAGACCAAAAAGAAAGACGGTTACGCACGCAGACTGGTGGCAGCAATGCAGTGCGTGCTCGCGGCTCCACGAGATGAACGCGCTCGTCCATGTCTGCACCTGCATCTCCGTCTGCATCGGCCTCTGCATCAGCCTCCGCATCCGCGCCGTCGCCATTCTCGCCAGCACCGGACGACGTTGCCCGGAGGTGCCGAGAAGCCACGGATCCCTTGCGCGCGTAGCGGATGGACGACGCATAGACAGCAGCAGCAGCAGCAGCAGCGGCGGCGGCAGCCTTGGGGCGGATCAGCATACCCATGCTAAAGTCCCAGAGACAGAGGCGGCAGTCCTCGCCGACGCTGCCGAAGCGGTAGTTGCGCTCGTCGCAGCGCCAGGGGTCAAAGGCGACCGAGGTGACCCACGAGTGGTGGCCCTGACAGCGGGCAGCGAGCGAGGCGTCGGCAACGCTCCAGATGGACAACAGGTCGTCCTGGCCGCCAGTAACGACGTACTTGTCGTCGGGGGACCAGCAGACGCACGTAAGGCCACCGTAGTATGAGTAGAAGAGGCCGAGCAGTCTGTCTGGTGTGAGTAAGTCGTGCGGGAGGATGAAAGCCAGTAAACAGAAAACAAACAGAAAAAAACCCACTCTTCCCGAAGATAGTCAATGATGCGCAGCGAGCCGTCCTCCGACACCACGGCCAGCAGGCTCTGGCCCGGCGCAAAGGCAAACGCGTTGATCCGCTGGTTGGACAGCTTCCAAAAGGCTACCGGGTTCGCCTTGTGGCCGCGCGAGTGGATGGACCGCTCGACTTGGATGTGCGTACGGGCGTCGTGCTGGTGCGACGCCCGCTGCCGCGTGGCCTCTTCCTCGTCCACGGCAAAAGCGGCGTCCTCCTTCTCCTTGTCGAAGACGACGAGCGAGCCGTCCATAAAGGCGGCCATGAACAGGTTCTCGGACCCGGGCACCCAGCGGATCTCCGATACGGGCGTGCCGCGAATGATGCCCTGCAGCTGTCAGCACGGGCAGAAAGAAAGACAAAGACGGACAGACGCACGTTCTTGTTCAGTCGCGTGTACCGCTGGGAGATGGGCTCCCACCAGATGATCTCGCCCGTAGAGAAGCCCATGATTACGTCAATGTGCGACGTGGACTTAGTCAGCATATTGATATCGTGGCACAGGCAGTGAGCCTTTGTGAACAGGATCTTGGTGAGGTAGTCGCCCTAGACAGTCAGCAACCGTGAAGCACCTCGAAGCGCCTTGACACACACACACACCTTCTTGTCGGACGCGAGGTCGAGCCACTGGAAGGCGCGGTTGACATTGGCAAAGCCGAAGAGGCCGTCGGGCGGCCGTTCCTGCAACCGCTTAGTGAGGCCGTCGTGCACGATGACGCGCGAGATGAAGGACGAGTTGCTCTTGGTCACGTTGTTCTTGGGCTTGCGCAGCTTGCCACCGACCGGCCGAGGGGTGACGCCGCCGAGACCAGCCACGACGAGGCCGACAGCAGTGGCGGTAGCCGTTGTGGTGGGAGGAGGGGCCGGAGAATCTGTAGTGGTCTGTCCTGGCAGGGCCGAGTCGCTGGAGGTGTGAAAGCTGAAGCTGAGCCGGCCGGTGGTGGCCGAGTCGGTGTGCTGGCTGCTGCTCCCGGTGGCAGCCGCCCCGGCCGAGTCGTTCTCGGTCGGGTGCTCCTCGACGGGGGAGAAGGCAGCGGCCGGAGATGGATCTGCTGCTGCTGCTGCTGTTGCGGCTGAGCTGGCCAGCAGGAGCGAGAGGGCCGGCGGAGACGGCGGGTCAACGATGCTGGTGAGAGAGACGCGGGTGCCAGCTGTAGCGGGAAGCGGCGTGGTGGCGAGCGGGTTGATGTTCACCACGGGCGACTCGGACGGATGAGGCGGCGGTGTGGCCAGCAAGAGGTCCTCCTGCAAAACATAAAGACCCTCGCCGACGAGGAAGCGGCAGTCAGGGCCCGTCGGATGGGTCAGCGTGTTGTTGGTCTCGACCATCGGCATCGCCTGGCCGCCCGGATACATGCCGCCATACATCATCTGCACCGGATAGCGCGGCGGGGGCGGAAGGACGCTGCGAAGGGGGAGTGGCTGGTCAGCTATGGCAACACGATGGGCAGACGATGAGACGATGGGGAGAAGACGGTCTTACAACATGGCTGCTGTGCTCTGCTTTGTCTGTGTCCTCGGCAGTATCGCCGGTCTGTACTTTTGCAAGTCTGCACCTGCCCTGTTCGCACCTCCTCCTGCTCACAATCTTCTTCCCTCTCTCTCTCTCTCTGTGCTGTTACTCTTCTGCTTGGCTCTATAGTGCGATTCGATTCCGCCGGTCGATCGCCTGTCCGTGTCGATCGCTCAGCCCAAAGGCAAGAGGGTGTGGTGGTGGTCTTAGCTGCTACTGCTGCAGACTCCTCCTTCCCGCAAGCTCTCGTTCTGGCTGCCGGCCAAGACTCCAATATTGAGAGGAAGGGAAGACGACAAGGGCGGGTCGCTTGTTATCTCGCGCAATCCAATGCCAAGATAAGATGGCCAGAGGACAATGCAGCCAGAGAGCCCGACTCTCTGTCGGGGAACTCAATGTGAAAGATCGCTGCGCGAGGTGCTGGGGAGCCGGAGTGTGTATGTGCTTGTCGGTGGGGGCGGACACGGCTGGACGGCGTTTCGTTCTGCTTCTTCAGATCGTCTTGAGGATGGACGGACTCAGGCGGCCGGGACGCTCAGTCAATAATGCTGGGGAATGTGAGGCTTTGTGAGCTAGTGGCGGGCTTAAGGGACTTCCACTGCTATTAGCTAATAGCGTGGGCCAGTGGTGGTTTTTGTGGGGTAGGCATTGAGCGGGGAAGCCTTGAGAACACTATCGTTTATTATACAGCTCGTATCCTACACGCTCTATGCTATATGGATGCTACAGACCAAATTTGTCAAACGACAACGCCTCAACGCCGAGCAGTAAATTAGTGTTGGGTATCATTGCCGGTCGTCCTACGGCTGGCTGGTGGACCTACGCCAGCTGAGATGTTAGTGGGGAGGGAAAGAGGGGAGGGGAAAAGGAACGAGAAAAAGGTAAAGAAACGGGAATCGAAAGAAAGAAGAAAAGAAGAAAGAAGAAAGAAGAAAAAGAAAAAAAAGAAACAACCCCAACAACTCACATCATAAATGCCGCTGCCGCTGCGCAGGCCACTGCTCCCAGCGCCACGTACAGGCTCGTCCGGTCGGCCGCCGGCTCCTCACCTTTGGGGAAGCCGAGGCTGGGATTCGTCGCCACTTCGGCCAGGTGCTCAAACAGCTCGCCGATGCTCTCCCAGGTCGCGCTGACGTGCAGCGGCGCGCTGACCCGCAGCGCCGCCGTGTACGCGTCCGGCTGCAGCGGGCTGCGCTGCGTCGTCTTGTCGCGGTCCGCCTTGAGCGCCGCATACACCGTCGGCAGCTCGTCCAGGAGGATTCGTCGGCCATGCAGTCCGTTGTCGCCACCGCTGCTGCCACCACCATGCTCGCGCTCCCGCAGCGCCACCAGGTGGCCAAACGAGTCCGGGTCGGACGAGTCGTACGCCAGACAGAGCAGGTCGCAGGCGTCCAGCCGGGCCGCGTTCTCCAGCACCGCCGGCTCCAGCTCGCCCAGCTCTTCCAGGATCAGGTAGCACTGCTTGCCCCCCTCCAGCTCGACGCTGTTGACCGCCCGACGCGGCCGGATCGTCGGCCGGTGCAGCCCATCAAACGGCCGACCCAGGAACGCGTCCAGCAGCGCCGACTTGCCGGCACCCGGCGCTCCCACAATGTAGCACAGCACTACGTTGCGGTCCACACGTCCGGCTCGGCCTGTCCGCCGCAGCCGTCGCTTCCGGGGCCGCGTCACCTTGAGCGCCGCCGTCGTTGGGCTCGCCGCCTCTTTGGCCCCTGCTGGTGCCTCAAAGCCGAGGTAGGCCAGATACTCCAGCGTCGTCTTCGGCTCCAGGAACGTCGTCATGCTCCACTGCGCCAGCCAGCCCTGCAGCGTGATGTAGCCGGCCTCGTTGCGCACCGTCGACGCCGGGAAGCCCTCCTCGATCCACGAGCCTGGCAGCCCGGGTGTTGGCGCAAACAGTGCCGCCAGCTCCGCGTCGTTCAGCCCCCCGTCGTTGTCCTGGTCGAACAGCAGGAACAGGTCCATGAAGAACCGGTAGCCTGCTGGGCTCAGCTCGGCCGACGCGTACTCGGGCACCTCGAAGCGCGGGTGCAGAAAGTTGTCGGCCAGGCTGAGGCTGTCGGTGTAGCGAAACTTGCGCAGGATCACCCAGATCGTCTCGTGGCGGCCCTTTTCTGCGTAGATCCGGTTCAGCTGCAGGAAGCCGGCCAGGTCGATGCCGCGGTCGAGCGGCGGCTGTGCTGCGGCCGGGCCGAGGCTGGATGGTGGCCGATGGGAAGCAGCCGTGCTGTTGTTGCTGCTGCTGCCATTGTTGGCGCCACTGCGAGCCGTCTTGGCCAGCGTCAGCTTGATGCTAGCCAGGTCCTCAGGGGCCAGCGGCCGGTTGAATGTCGTCTCCTGGAACGCATGCATCTCGCGGTCGTTGAGAAAGCCGTCCTGGTCCTTGTCGCAGAGATAAAAGATGCGCCGCAGCGCTGCCACACAGGCTGGCTTCAGGTCGCCCTCCTTGTAGTCAAACAGCGGTGCAATTGGGTGCGTCACTGCTTTTTGGCACAGGAAGAAGACCTCGTTGACGTTGTGGTGCTTGCGCGCGCTGGCCCGGATGCACGAGTCGATCTCGCGAAACTCCTGCATCACCGGCACCATCTCCTCGTCCAGCACCTGTGCCAACGTCGCATCGTCGCCGCTGCCGGGACTTCCAGGACTGCCGGGCCGCCCGGGACTGCCAGGCCGTCCGCCTCCGCCTCCGCCTCCGCCATCCCCTGGCCCTGCCAGGTCCGACTTGTTTGCACACAGCACCACGGGGACATTAACGCCGAGGGAGCGGAAGTAGGGCATCCAGAAGAGTGCCACCCGCTCGTAGCTGTAGTGGTCTGCATACACCAGCAGAATCACGTTGCACTTGCGGATCTCTTTGCGCAGGGCTGTCCGGTCCTGCGGCCGCGCGGACGTGTCCACAATCGTCGTCGTCACGTTCTCGGGCGTGCCGATGTTGGGCGGAATCGCAATCTGTGGCAGCACGGCCTGGATCTTGTTTGTGATGAACACGTCCTTGACCAGAGAAGCGATCAGGCTGGACTTGCCCGTGCCCTCGTCGCCACAGACGCAGACGCGCACTGTACCATGTTAGCGGGTAAGAACGCCGTCGACGGGCGCGCAAGCAGAGTGTCACCTTCTTGAGCCATCTTGCTGTGCTGCTTTCGGCTTCGCTGGCGAGACCCATATGCCCAGGATTAATGCAAGCTGCGAGAATGCAGGCAGACGAGCTGAGGTGTAGAGCCGTAGGGCAGGAGCTCCGGGCTAGTTGGAAGAAAAGCAGGTGGCACAACGGCAGGTGGCAGAACGGCAGGTGGCGAGCAGAAAGCGGTGGCGCAAAGTGGAGAACTTCCTACTTCCTAGTCGGGAGCAGGCACTTTTACACGAGTACCAAAGTACGGAGTACAGAGCAAGACGGCTTGATTGACAGTCCAGCTACTTAATATCCAATATCAAACCAACCCACGAGACCGTCCTGCGATAGCGCTAAAGGCATTGTCGCAAGGCTCCACGACGTCTCAGGCCTGAATGCGCCGTCCCAGCGATGGCGTAAAAGCACTGTCGCCGTCGAGTGTATGTGTGTCGTAAAAGTAAGTGCAAAACCGCAACTCGGATCGACAGCGCATCTAAACACAAATGGGGTATCATCTGAAAGCAAAGACACAAAGGAAAAACAGAAAAAAAAGTCCTCCAAAAGACCGGCCAGCCATGATTCAAAGTAGCCCTCCCAATCCAGTCGAACTGCCCTCTCGACTGCATGATCCGAGACGTGTCGAGTGATAGCGTAGAAGCATTGTCACCATGACACAACGGACCGATGACAGGCGAAGAGCAGAACGGCGGAAGCCCAAACGAAGTATAAAAGCAATTCTGCTCGCCGGCGACGAGAAACAGGTAAAAGTGGCTGGCCGGTTGCATATCGAATGAAAGTTACGGTCGTGTCGAGTTGTGGAGTAGTGAAGAAGCAGACAGAGCCAGGAAGCTGGGCTCCCCAAAAGCGACAGGCTGAGCTCTGTGGGATACTAGCCCACTGTCGTCGACCTCGTCGACGGCTGCTGCGGCTTGCGGCCCCAGCGCCACATGTGCTGGAAGCCACGCTGCTGGGTCTCGCGGCGGGCAGCACCATCGACAGGGTCAAGGTTGGCGTTGCCGTCAAAGACGCGCAGCAGGACGACCATGGCGAAGCTGCTGGCGATGCTGACGCAGAGAATCGCGATCATGGCCAGGTTGCTGTCGCGGTACTGATGGGGTCCAGGAGCAGCGTCGGCCGGCCAGCCGGTGTAGAGGGCATAGGTGGTGGTGATGCTGCCAAGATTGCCGAGGCCAGAGACGAGGGCAGACGCAGCGGCCACGCCGACCTCGCCGTGGCGGCGCTGGAAGATCTCGTTGGTCCAGGTCATGCAGATGGGCACGGTGGGGCCGAGGCCGAAGCCGAGCATCAGCATGCCACCGTAGCGAGAGTAGGGCTTGGAGGCGGGGGCGAAGCTGACGACGAGAAGACCGGCGATCTGGATGCACACGGCGGCCGAGAAGAAGACGGCGCGGTAGCGGTGGAAGCGGTCGGAAACGGGGGTGACCAGCAGGATGGCGATCAGGTCCATGATCCAAATGGGGGCGAACAGCAAGCTGACGACAATGTCGCTAAAATGCGGGTTCATGGCGGCGATGATGACGGAGCCGTAGAGCTGGGTGCCGATGCCGACGCCGACGACGCCAAAGTACATGAGCACGAGCGGCCAGAGGCGCCAGTCGAGCAGCACGCGGCCTAGATCGCGCAGCGTCCAAGGTCGGGCGTGGTAGACGCGTCGGAGATCGTGGTAGTGCACGACGGCGTCGTCGCCGACGAGTGCTTCGGCCGGCTTCGGCACCCAAGCAAGAAGCCAGTGCGCAGGAGGTGGTCGCACGGTGCCAGGAACCAGCGGTCGATCAGGCAGCCACCAGAGCAGGGCGACGCCCAGCACAACGGCCAGCAGGCCGTAGACGAGGAACATCCACTGGAAGCCGGTCAGGCCGCAGCGGCCGTCCATCTGCTGGAAGCCGGCCGAGACGAGTCCGACGACGGCGGCCGACATCTGCGCAGCCGTAAAGTACATGCCGATGCGCTTGCCCGTGCGTGACGGCGGGTAGAAGAGAGTGAGGTAAAAGGCCATGCCCGGCCACATGCCGGCCACGACGACGCCCAACAGGAAGCGCAGCAGCTTGAGGCTCCAGGCGGCGCCCACGGCTGTGAAGCAGGTGCCGATCACGCCGACGGCAAAGACGATGCGTGCCATCCAGATCCGTGGGCTCAGCCGGCTCATCACCAGGTTGGACGGGAAGTCGAAGAGGACGTACGAGACGTAGAAGAGCGTCAGGGCCGTCGACGTGTCGTTGGCCGTCAGCTTGAGCTTCGTCTTGAGATCGTGGCCCGCGCTTTCGTTCATCGTCTGGGCGATCCCAATGTTGGACCGGATCGCCGAGCAGAGAAAGTAGAGCACCCAGAAGGCTGGAATGATCCGTCTGTCGAGTTTCCTGCTGGCCTTAGCAAAGAATGATGCACGTCGCCTTCAGCCAAACTCACCGGTACACCTGCTCGACCCGGGCAATGTCATACTCGACAATCTCCTGCTCAGCAGTCCCCAACGCCTCCGTCTCGGCTGTCCCGCTCACAGTCACGTCCTTGTTGTCGCCCATGGTCATCCTTTCTGCTCCTGTACAACACCTGCTAAGCCAGACCCAGAAGAGCAATGGAGGTGCCTGCTAGTCTGGTCTCTGTCCTGCGCAAGAGACGGCGAAATCGGATGCAATCACGATCTGCTAAGAAATGAGAGGGGACAAAAGTCCGGCCCATATATGCTTGTTAATCGGCTGAAGGGAGCTCTGGTGGGGAGAGATATGGAGCTAAGGCAGCTCATTTTTTCTCATTTTTTTCTCATTCTCATTTAGTGGCTCCCCTCTGGACGACCGATCCTTCCTCAACAAACGGGACGAGAACCGTTGAAGTGGCTGTAATTTTTTGGAACGCATTACGTAATCAACACTCTTACGCCGTGAGCCGTGGACCTCGGCTCTACTTCAGTCTCCAGTCGTCTTGTTCTGTTCTTGTTCTCATTCTACATGTGCCTCAAACTCCCTGTTTGTTACACGTCGATCAGGATGCCGCCTGTCGACAGCGGCAGCCGCTCGGCCGTCGGGTGCTGGTTCTCCTGGTTGCGGTCCAGTTGGGTGGCCCTGTTCCTGGTTGTGGCCGTGGCTCTCGCTCTGTTCCTAGCTCTGTCCCTGGCTCTCTCCTTAGCTCTTTCTCTGACCCTCTCCCTGGTCCTGTCCCTTTTGGCTCTGGCTTCACGCCTTATCCTCCCCCCCCCGAGGCTGCCCTCCTAGGACACCAGCAGCGACGGGATGGCGGCACCGTCGGCCTCGGCCACCCATAGCCGTGCCAGAGCCCGGCTGAGGCCCTGGCGCATGCGCTGCAGCACTTCGGTTGCCGTCGTGCTGGCGGTCAGGTCGCTGCGCCAGTCCCAGCCACGACGGACGGCCGTGGATGATGCAGGGCCTGCTGCCCCCCCCAAGCCCCGATGCAGCTGGCTCGCCACCATCGAGCTGCCCGCCAGCACATACGACGACGACACGCTGCCCGACAGGTTGGCCGTGCTCTTGCGCAGTAGGTCGGCCGGCGTCGCCCCCCACAGCCCGCCCGGCACGCTCGCCAGCACGACCTGGAAAAACTCGTCGCAGGCCGCGTACACGCGCGAGCCCGCCAGCGTCTGCAGGTCCTCGACCGCCTTGAGCAGTACATCGATCGTCTCGGCTGCCATCACGGGCGGTGCTGTCGTCAAGTCGGCAGTGGTGAGGGGTTTCGATTTTGATCCCGTGACTGGTCCCGTGACTGATCTCACTGCCAACACCGAAGACGCCTCTGTAAACACCAGAGCCTCGCCTAGCAGCGCCAGCAAAAAGTCCTCGGACACGACCGAGTCGCGCGAGCTGTCGTACAACCCGCCGCGGACGTTGTCGTCGGCACTGGCAATGACAGCCGTCAGCGCAGCTGCTGCTGCCGGCCGCCGTCGCGCCAGCGATACCGTCTCGTCGTCCCGCAGCTCGTAGAACCGGCGCAGTGTGGCATAGCCGCTCAGCATGCGGCCCAGCATTTCGGCTGCGTCTAGATCGCGACGTGCCAACTGCTCCAGTGTGGCCCGACGCCGACACAGCAGCTGCCGCAGCCGGTCGTCCAGCTCCGCCTCGGCCGGATATGCCGCCGACTGCAGCAGCGAGTATGATATCAGCAGGTTCAGCACCTCGCGCACTTTGTCAGCTCGATGGGCCACGGCGTAATACCACACCGACTCGCCGTATCGGTGCGATTCGTTCACCAGCAGGTCGCCGTAGTGCTCGGCCACCTCTTTCGCAAACGTTCCCATGTCCAGGTCACTGAGCAGCCGCCAGATCTTGTCGATCGTCACGCCACAGTCCACGTCTAGTCGTTTCAGCATCGTCTGCACCAGCTCGCCAATCGTGTCCTCTGATCGCTCTGGCGAGTTCATCCGGCCCAACACCCGCACTGCCAGCTCCCAGCCCTCCATCTGACTTGGGGAAGTCTCTTCGTTGCTGTCGCTGTCCTCCCTGCTGTCGTCTTCGCTCATGTCGTCGTTATCCCCTCCATTCCTTCCGCTCTTTCCACTCTTTCCACTCTTTCCACTCTTTCCGCTCTCCCCCATCCCTCCATTTCCCGGTGCCAGCTCCACGTCGTTGATTAGTGCCTGTGCATACTGCACTAGCGTATTGTCCTTCAGCCCGTCTGTCTCGTCCGGGTCTGTCGGGTCGACTCCTAGCACCTCCAAGTCCTCCATGTCGAGGTCGCCCAACGCCGTCGCCAGTCCGCCCGCCCCCATTCCCGTGGCCATCGCTGCCATCGCTGCTGCTCCCGTCGTCTGTGCCGGAAGCCAGCCCCCCAGTGACCCGATCTCTGCCACCGCCGCCGCCACCGGCAGCGACCACGCCCGCAGCATCCCCACCAGTCCACGTGCGTTGTCTTCCAGCACGCACGCCACCGCCACCTCCAGCGGGCTGTTCGCGTTGATCTCCAGTCCTGCCTCGCCTGTCGCCTGGAATGCTCGCGCCAGTCGGTCCAGGTAGCTCTCCCACGTCGACACCGTCCGGAAGCCATGACCGGACCCAAACCCCATCGACATCGTCAGCGACATCGCCGGTCGCAGACCGCCACCACCGCCGCTCTGTCGGAACGACGGCAGTCCGCCCTGCTGCAGCCGTTGGTCTGCTGCTGTCACCTTCGTCTCGTCCCACCAGCCAAACAGCCCCAGCACTGCTTCACACCAGTCCTGCGACACCGCCAGGATTCGCTCCCGCGATCCCAGCGCAATGTCAAACACAATGTTCAGGCTCTCGTAGATGTCCCATGGCACCTGGCTCTCAGCCTTGCGTGCCAGCCCGGCCATCGACCCTCGTCCTCGCTTGCTGCCACTGCCACCACCACCACCACCACCACCGCTGCGCTGCGACCCCGCAAAGCTGTCGCCGTCTTCGTCCTCGTATTCGTACTCGTCCTCCTCGTCCTCCGTCCTGCTCTGGCCCTCGGCAAATCGCCGCAGCTGATCCAGCGTGCCCTTGGCCCGGATCCGGAACATCGTCCACTCGCTGCTCCAGATGTCCCAGTTGTCCGCTTTGCCCGGACACATCTCCAGCATCCCAATCGTCTCGCCCACTGCTCGCTGCACGTTGGCCAGCGCCCGTCCCGTGTAGGCCGCCATGCCTGCCCGCCGCACCGTCTCCCATCCTCCCGCCCGCAGCAGCGCAATCGCCGAGTCCACCCGTCCCTGCAGCAGGCTGACAAACACTGTCTGCCAGAACATCCCGTGCGATGCCGGCCCTGGCTGGCACCGGAGCACTTCGTTCACCTGGTCCGGGTACATGTTGTGGTACTCCGACATCCATCGGAACAGCGTCTCCGTCAGCGGCTCCGGCTCACTTGTCCCATCGCTTGCCGTGCTGCGTGTGTGTCGCACCTGAAGTGCCAGCGTCGCCACGTATGCTGCCTTCTCAAACGCGCTGGCCCCCGGCCCTGGCCCGATCCCTGTCGTCTGCTCCTCGTCCTGTGGCAGACTGTCTGCGTACGCCTGCCACAGAGACACCAGCTGGCCTGATGCGTCCGCCAGTGCCTGGTCCAGCCGTCCCGCGTCGTCCTCTGCACCCACACCCTCGCTGTACAGACGGCTGATGTGCAGCTCCGTCTGTCGGATCAGCTCTGGCGCCTCCACAAGCAACGCGTACCCCATTTGCGTGTACATGCCCTTGGCGATTGACGCGTACCGACACTCTCCCGGCGGCCGTTGGCCTCCATTGCGCGCCACCGACGCCCGGAATATGTCTTCGGCCTCTTTGCGAATCCGGTTGTTGACTGCCGGCGTCGCAAACATGAGCAAATTCGACTCGTCGCCCAGCGTCTCGTCCGCCTCGGCGTCTGCGCCAAACGTCGACATCCACGGCCCACGCTTCACCGGCGACGCTGTGCTGCCGCCGAACGTTCGTCTCGACTGCATCCCGCTATTGGCCAGATCGAGCCATGGATCGCTGCCCTGCATCTTGTCGTCGTCGTATTCGTCTTCTCCTTCTGCGTCTTCCTCCGAGCCCTCCTCTTCTTCTTCTTCGTCGCCGTCGTCCTCCTCTTCCTCCTCCTCTTCTTCTTCTTCTGTCCCTTCTTCTGTCCCCTCCTCCGTCCCTTCTTCCGTCCCCTCCTCTTCTTCGTCTTCTTCATCCCCTTCATCGTGCACAACCTGGCTTAGCCGAGACGGTTGCCGTGTCCCAAATGATCTTCCACCCTGAATCGACTGCCCGAGGGGCCCGCGGGCATTGCTGAAGCCTCCATTGTTGCGTTGGCCGCCCGTAAATAGATTCCGGGGCTCAACCGTCGACCGGCCTGTCTCCGTACCGCCTCGCATCACAGAGCTGCCAAAGTACGATGCCGATGGCGCGCCCGCTGGCGTCGAGCTGCCTGCCGATGAGGGCGGCGGTCCTGCCGGTGTCGTAGATGGGTGTTCACCGTCAAAGCTGAAGAGATTCTTACTCCGGGCGCCTCGGCCAGTTCTGTGCTGCGGCGTCGCCGGTGATGAGAACTCGTCGTCGTCGTCGTCCGGGAAAGAAAAATGGTTGGACATCTCTTCACCTTGGCACAGGCCGAATTACAAACAAGGCGGAAAGTATCAGATGCAGATTTTCGAATGAAGAAGCGTCTCTTTGCACATTTGACCGTGGAGAGGCTGACTTGCTGTTTCGCGTAAATAGCGGTTGAAGCTACTGATATGGAAGTTGTAAAACGCGACCGCGATTTTTTCCCATCCCCTGGAAAGAGCTAAGCTACGAAGTACTCCAACGTCCCCACGGTTACCGCGCAGCACACGTGACCGGCCTTTTCGCTTGCCACTATCGCAACATATACCACTTTTTACATCGAGCAAATTTAAATATGATACTTTTCTTTCTCTACGTGACATCAACTTCTCATGCCCCTCCTACTGGAACAGCTGGTACCAGTCGGAAAGCAGATGCCCTCTATCACCTACCAGACATCACCTCCAACCGCCCATACCAACCCAATCGTCCTGCCTTTTCCTTTCCTCCTTGTCCCGTACACGAGGGGGATAGTTTCTGCATCAAGAGACGGACAGCTCCCGAACGCCAACAGCACCTTGCCCAGTATTCAGTCAGGTGTGCATCACACAACCGTCATAGAAATATCCTTCACATTATACACACGGCAGCACTCGAGATGCCGAGAACGGAAGCATTGTGTCAATGCAAGCAGACGCTGCCGCGCTGCACGGATCCAGCAGAGGCCGGGTATCCTCGTAGTATTTTCTCGGTTTTTATCCTATCCGCTCGTGTCGTCGGCTCAAAGCCTTGCTCGGAGACGTGATCGCATCGAACATGCCGATATGTCTGGTCAACCTCTCATGTTCGCGTTAAGAGGCGTGGAGTCTTCGATATGTCCAGGCCAGCCCGCCGAATTTCCTCCTTTTTTGTGATCGCATCGGCAACTTTATTGCCGGCAACCTCCTCTTTTTCCCGATCAGGCACCATCGCCTTGTGTCCCAGAATCCAGTCCTCCTGCCTAGTTCACGCGCTGATAAAACAGCAGATACGCAACCTTATTGTCTTTGATGCTGTCCTTGTGTTGCTTGGCCTGGTTGACCGGGCTCGAAGAGCCGTTGGCCACGCTGCTCCATTTTTTGTTGGCACCGTTCACAGGTGCCGTCACCTGCCGCCAGCCATTTTCGTTGTCACCAGCGTCTTCATCTCCCATCCCAGCGAATCGGTTCGCAGACCCCACGCCGTTGCCCACCACAGAGGAGGCCGCCTCGTTCTTCGTGCCATTGCCGTTCACCACATTCGATTCCGTGCGTCCGGAAACTGCCTCTTCAGCACCCGACTCGGCCACATCCTCGCTGCGAATGCGACGAATCACAGTGTCGTCGAGACGAATCCACTCACGTCCATCCTCACGGAGCACGTCGACAGTGTAATGGCCACCGCTAGCTTGTTTCCCGTGGTGGTACACCACCGCATTCAACCGGTACTTGGGAAGACGTTCCGTGAGAAGCTTGTTGCGTTTCTGGCGGCCAAAGATCTCGCGTGGAATTTCCAGCTCCAGAGGATAGCCAATCTTCTTCCAGATTTTCACAGTCCCATTGCCCTGCCAGTCAAATTGGAACCGCTTCAGGTGAAGAATGAGAACCGGTGGGAGAGTCTCAATAAACACCTGCTTCGTCACAGACACATCTTTGCCATGCGGAGAGCCAAAGTCGCCATTTAGAACTTCAGGCTTTGTGAGGCCACGCAGGGCATCCAAGATGTTTCGTACCTGGGGTGAGTCGATGTCAAGCTGCAGAGACTGGTATGGCTCCAGGGTCACGGAGTCTTTCAGTCCAGGCACACGTAACTCGGACCGCAGTTTGCCACTAAATATGCTATTGACTGGTGAGCTAGACGTGTGGCCCGAGGAGCGAGTGATGGCTGCACGTTGGCGCGGGCCAACCTCGAGCCAACCGTCGCCGCCAGAAAGGTCAGGGATTTCAGACGTGACAGAGGCAGTCGGTGTCGTCACTTGTGTCGATGAAGGGTTTGTAGCACGAGACGAATCCTGTACCACTTTTGTGCACTCCTCGTTCAGACACTCCAGTAGAAAGCCAAGGAATTCCTCTGCATCCTGCTGGTGGCCACGCTAAAATAATACATCGTCAGTATTCAGCTACAACCAGAAGCGCAGACAATACGGGCACTCACTCTCATGCTCTCGAAGCGAGATAGTTGCTTGATCGCCTCGTACACAAACTCGGGAGTAAACGCATCACCATAACGTTCCAAATCGTCGTTCTTTAAGCGTCTGCGCAAATCAACCGGATCCGCGGTATCAATGACTCTAAACTCACGGATAAACATAATCCTAAAGCATAAATTAGTATTTTGCCGTTCGGAGCGTAGACAAGGGGATTCCTACATGGCATCGAGCAGAGGCGTCTCGCTCTTAAAGCTATAAGCAGCCTTTCGGCTTACTTGGTCCAGAAAATCGTAAAACGGGGTACAAAAAATAAGCACTTGAAGAACCGAATTCATGTAACACATGTTTCCAGTGTTGATCAGGCCACGCGGTTCAATAAATGCTACGCTGCTCGAGGTATCAACGCGGTACGCGACTAGAGCCTCTGCCAAAGAGTTCGCCTTGGCCTTGGAGAATGCGCCGGTGCTATTGGCGCCATTTGCGGCTTGGTCACCCCCAGCAGCTGAGTCGTTCGATACAGCCTGTGCGCTGGCTGCGGCCGCGGCCGCTGCTCTGTTGAACAAGCCCGACCAAAGTTTCGGTCCCTGTGGCACCGAGGGAGTGGTTGTGGTAGGTTCCGCAGACGGTTTCACCGATTCCAATTGCTCCTCAGAAGTGCTGGCCTTCTGTCCATTTTCAGCCGACGACACAGGTACCGCCATAGCAACTTCCGTTGTTTCTGTGGCGGAAGCCTTATCGGATGGTGACCGCATAGGAATGGCAGGGATTATAGGAACAGCCGTACGCGTTGTGCTGCCGGTGGACTTCGGGTTCACAATGGTTGACTTTGTTGGCGTTGGGGTCACAGATGAAAGCACCTGTCCAGCGGGCTGAACAGAGCTCGGCGTTGTCGGCGAGGTGGAAGGCGCGTCCTCAAATGGAATGTCCTGTGTGGAAGGCGTCTCCGTCCGCGTGATGGGCTCTGTCGTGCCAGACTCTTCCAGGGTTGAAGCCACCGTCGTTGCAGTAGTATCGGAAGAGTTCTGTGGGAGCTCCACGTTATCTCCCATTGTTTTCCTTCTCCTGCGCAGCTTTGGGCTCTTAGCAGGGAATGGGACATCAGGTCTGGACAACCAAGGAAGCTGTACGTCATTGAGTATGTCAGCAGACAGGTCCACGGCCATGTCGCCGAATTTCGTTATATCCTGAACATTGACAAAACCGCTTACAGGGGGCCGAAACGCTGCGGTGGGCACGATGACGGCAGCGATGCCCATCGTAGCTGCAAAAGCTGCTTCAGAGCCCACGGCTGTAGTGTCGATGGCCACCTTAGGTGCTTGAGGGACACCATCTCTTTGCGCCGTCTCAGGAGACAGCGGGGTGGGGATAGCATGTGATGAAAGAGTGGATGAAGGGGTCGGAGATAGAACAGGAGGCTGTAGAGGCGGTTGCATTATATGAGGAGGCGGTTGAAGAATGTCGGCGCGCGCTAGGAGAGGCATGTGTTGATGAAGACCTGTTTGGGGTGGTTGTAGCGGAGCATGCGCAGGTGGTAACGGTGGCAGAGATGACGGCAGTGGCTGCTGAGCCAAGGAGGTAGACACAATAACGGGATCATTTCGAGAGTACGGAGACAGATGTGGCGGTGGTGGTATGTGGTGTTGGACTGGGTGTTGTGGATGCTGGGAGTGCTGGAGATGCTGCGGGTGCGGAGGAAGAGACGGATGCGGCGGTTGGTGCACAGCAGCCGTCTGGGGCATCGGCAAGGCACCGGGCGGAATCAGAGGTGCATATTGGGCGGGTCCTCCGGCCATCGGTCGGCCATAGGCATGCTGGAAGGGCACAAAACCGTTTGGCATTGCGCCATTCTGTGCATATTGCGGCGGGATTGGGGCATAGGCGTAAGGATTGTTGACATAGGGACCCATGTAGCTGGAGTACATTGGCTGTCCAAGCTGCTGTCCCAGTTGCTGCCCGAGCTGGTGGCCGTACTGGTTGTGGTGGTTGTTCTGGTTGTGAAACCCGTTCTGGTTGTGCCGGGGGTTCTGGTAATGCGAGCCGTACTGCCGTCCACGCCGTCCGCCGCCATTGCGAGCACCGCCACCACCGCCGCCGCCGGGACCCATTCCTCCACCCGGTCCGCCTCCACCCCGGTCGTCATGGACCGGAGCATCAACAGCGTTTGCGCCGACTGCTCCTCCACCTTGAGCAGCTCGCCCAGCCGGCAGATGACCGTTGCTCATCATGCCGGCTTAGGATATGTATAGAGAGATGCTACTCGCAATCTGCAGCGACTGCAAGCAGCAAGTGCAATTTCGGATAGCTTTCTAACGTGTCTGAGCTATAAGAGCAGATGGGTGCTCGAGGGACCGCTGATCGGTGCGGTGGCCAGGCTCGTCAGGACGCGTTGCGTTATCCAAGCCAAGCTGAGCGCGGTAGGACTTTATCGACACAGACACAATGGTTGGCGCAGGCGAAAAAAGCGCGTCGCAGAGTGATGGCAAGGGGAGCCTGTTGATAGATGCGGAAACGATGGTTGAGGGCGAAGCGGGAAAAAAAGGGGGGAGGAGATAGCGAAGAAAAAGAGAGCGCAGTAATTAATAAAAAAATTATGCCCGCTTGTCGTTTCTCGTCAACTTCCCAGTTCCTCGATTCTCTCGTTCTCTCCGTCTTTTTATTTTCAATACAAAGGAGAGACTGAAGGGAAAGGGGCGTCGGTTGGCAGAAGGCAAAAAGGCCAGATAGTAAGAAGCCGAGATGGTGACGGGAAGCGAAGATGCTATTTGCGATGGTCATGACTTGCCTACTTTTTTTCCAGGTCTTCTGTCAGTCACTCTTCCCCCCACAAAAAAGGGCCTAGTGCCTACATAGTAGTCATTACAATTGAGTCGCGCACGTGCCACAATGTGGCTTCTACTCCGCTTATTGCTTACAGTTCCCAACGGCAAATAGCAATTCGTTCCATACATCAAGTTCAAGCTTAGCTCATGGTCTGCAGCATTCTGCAGCGCACAAAAGTCCCATCGAATTATATTGCGTCTACAATAAAACAGAAGAAACAAGAGTTTCAACGCCTGTTGCCCAAACCTATGCTTCGCTATGCTGACTCATTCATCACGGAAAAGCCAGCGGCCGTTTGGTCGCATCGCTTCCCGATACCGCTCTTGCACGGCTGTTCGCTCGGCTCTCTTGGACTCTGCCCGGTTGTGCACCTCCTCTTGTGTTGTCGGGAAGTCGGCATCCCAAAATCCAGGTGGCGACGCTCGTCGGTGATACCGATGCCGATGCTTACCGTATTTGTCTGCCAATTGCTTCGTCTTGGCCTCCAGCCATAACTCCTTCTTCTCGTCGGGCGGCATTCTTGCCAGCACAAATGCCTCATCGCCCAAATGTCGCTCCATCATTGCCACACTGTCCGGTCGTGACATGTGACTGGGCCCAGACGCATTCAGCTCTGACTCGGCCATAGCACGGAATGCTTTGCCGCAGCACTGTGGATCGGTGCAACCGGCCAAGTTTCCACGGTCTGTTCGACTTCGCACTACTTCGTTGAAGGCGAAGGTCTCCCCGTCGTTCCAGGCGGGGTTGACTTTGAAGTCGTCCAATTGTAGCCGGTCAACTCCTCGGCCTCGTAGACTGCCCTTCTTGCTTGCGTGCTCAGCCGCTGCTGCTCTAAGAGCCTCTGTCAATGGCGTTATTATTCGCCGGCCGGCTTCGCGAGCTTTTGGCGTCGTCGTAACAGAGCTCGTCGTTCCAGTGTCCGTTCTCACGCCCTTGGGGGCCCTGGATGAAGGTGTCACATCGTGCTTCTGTGGCAGGGTGCGCACCGGCGGCGGCTCCCCAAAGCCTCCTGATATAAGACTGTCCATGTTTTTTGCCTGGACTACCGCCCGCGGTACCGACAAAATCGGACTTGGCTGAACCGGCCGCGAATTAAGCAGCGAGTGTAGCTTGGCAGATTTTGAAGTGCTGGGTGGGTTCATCTGCCCACCAGTCATAGGTCGTCCTCCGTTGTCTTCGGTTATGGTGTCTACTCCACGCTTCAACTGCTGCTTATCTTGTCCAGTACCTTTCGTAGTGCGGCGCATATTAACAGATAGCGGCGTCAGGGCAGCAGCTTGGGCAGCTGGGCGTGGGGTTTTGTCAGTCTCGTCTAGACTCTGCAATGTATTCCTGTCCAGTGTCGGGGTATCATCTGCCTCTGAGGAAGGAATATCGTGATACACCAGCTGTCGCTTTCTTGGAGTTGGCATGGCAAGCTGGCCCTCGTCAAGGTCCAAGCTCTCTTGGGACGCAGGAATAGGCAATCCAGACCCATGACAGATATAGTCTGACGATTCTTTTTTTATTGTCGCGTACAACTTTGGTGTGTGTGGTCGTGTGTTCTCAGCTTCAGCGTCCCGCCTCGCTCTCTTCGCTGGTCGCTCCCAGACCACCTCCGGGCCGTCTGACGATGGTTCTTTCTTAACGACAACATCGTCTTTGGCCTCCTTAGCATAGGGAAAGACTACCGGAAGCTGCGGCTCAATCCCGTCATCCGAAGACGGGTCACCTTGTGTCGAGCCAAGTATTGCCTCGTTGGCCGTATCTGTAGCGTTTAGTTGATTGGGTAGTGACGATTTTGCTTTCCTGACAGGTAGTTGTGCATCATCATCTGCGTCACTGGCGTCTCCTATGCCCTTGTCTCCATGTGAACCAAAACTGTCCAAAAAGGCAGTGGCTGACGTAAAACTTGCACCAGATTTCGACCGAGAGGACCCATGCCCAACGTCTTTGAGGACATCGGCCAGGGCATCTGTCAATGGCCGTTCTGGTTGAGGTCTTTCTGGGACGGGCAGCTCGGTCGCCGAGACATCAGCAAGAGTGGATGACTTACTCGCTGCATCCACCGTGGCGGGATTTGCAAGACTTTTGACTGCCTTTTTCTTCTCCAGCTTCTTGATTTTCAGTTCCAAGCTGTCCGCATATTTGACCCAGTTCAGCGCCTCGGTTTTTCTCTTCCTAGCCAACGCCACTGCGATTTCAAACTGCTTCTTGACGGCTCGATATCGAGACTGGGAGATCTCTAAGTCACGCTGAAGCTCGGCAGGATCAATCTCTATGTCTTGCCCATCGCCACTAATGCCCGTCGGCTTAGTATTCGCGTCGGCAGGCACATTCTGTTCCGCCTCGGCTTTTTTGATGACAGATGTTAAGGAGACTACTTGGTCTTTCAGCGCTCTGATTTCAGCCTGAAGTTGTAGCTGTTTCTTGGCATCTTCGGCTTTAGAGTCGTCAAGTTGTTTCTTGAATAGCAGCCCCTGTCTGGTGGCATCTACAGTCACGACTATCAGACAAGTGCGCAGGATAAATAACGGGGAATACCGTTGTTATTCTTACGCACCTTCACGAGCACGCCTTTCCATCTGTTCGCAAGCTTCGTCAAGGGCCAGAAACATTGACGCCCGCTCCGCTGCGAACCAATTGTATGCCATGTCGTCGCCCCTGGTAGCATATAGGCAGGAGCCTGGCCTTCCCAATGTCCCGTCTCTCAAGTATCAGTTTTCGGATTCACGCCATTTCAGGTGGCTTTGTAGATTCGCAAGGCTTGAATATGAGATGTGCCTTCGTTATCGGTGTCCAGGGTCAAATTGATTTTGACGCGTTCGATATCAATACACGGACGTCGGCGCGACTTTACGCGCCACGTCACGTGTTTCTCTTTCATCGCTCTCCACATCAGCCTTTTGGTGATGCTACTCTGTATAAGGAGTACTTCATACAACAACTCACTCTAACACTCCATTTTTAGCGCTCTTTTTTGTTGACTGATAGCAGGCGAAAGCGGGTTGAATCCACGAAATTTGTAGCCACCTTCATCTGTAGACCCGTCCCGACGTATCACTCCTAGCAGACACCGTGCAGAGTAGGTCGGTCGAGTTCTGGCTCATCTTCATCCCGTTTGCCGTCTTTGTCGGCTTCTTCAACTCAGCTCTTCAAACTAATACCACAAACAACTTGTGAAAGGTGAGCAATTGAATGGGCGATCTGATGGCTGAATAAACGCAAAGCACAGAAATACGGTAGCATTGTGTCTAACCGGAAGAAACGACCGTAAATAATATCTTCGTGGTGGCATATAAGGGCAGCCCTGCAAGACTGTTCCAGCCAACCGCAGTTCCAAGGCTGCTAGCAACGAAGATTGCTGCGTTAGCCTCTACATGAAAGAAGCAGCCAGTATACTGCTATGGGTGAACGACGTCACACATTGAATTTTTCTTGTTCAAGAATAAGATCTAGTCGATTTATGGTGATCAGGTCCAGCTTATGGTCTAACCAGGGCAAGCAACAGACAATGGTAACGTAAATAAGTCTTTGAAGCGCCTTACTATTTCAGTTGTAAATTTTTTAAAACTGCATGCTCATCACCGCTTTCCGACGAAGTGTTGTCGAGTGTGATTACTGCCCGGGCTTCGAGAGCCTTTGATCTTCGTTTCGTATATTGGGAAAGGCGGTGATATCTACAATCTTGTGTAACCTGTTCTTGTTCAACCACCAATGATCACTGTCTTCAATAAGACATACGTTTTGAGTCACAAGTTGACAGTGCAAGCAGAGAAAATACCCGACAATAGACAGCCGGGATGACCTATTTGGATAGAAGAAGATGATAATGAAGTGTTTCGGGACGAGCGTTTGGGGAAGAGTCCAAATTTAGAAGATTTGAATGCCAAATAACCATTGCACTGGCGGAAACGATGACCTGTACTCGAGCGTAATTCTCGCAGCAGAGCACAGTATCTTACACAATTGGGAACCGTTAGAGTCTCAGGCTCCGGAGCGACCCATCACACCAAGGCACAAAAAAAAGATAGGACTATGCATCCGCTGACCACCTGTCTAGTTTCTGAGGTCAGGTACTCCGTATAGACGCAGAGTTTGTGACGGACTTCATACTGGAGCTGCATGTTGCCTGCTAGGGCTTCTTTTCTTTTTACTACATAGCTGAGTCACAGAGGTTGGTGCGGCTCCAAGTAAGAGTGATCACAAGACGCACTGTTTTAGAATACGGGTACGAGCGTACCCAGAAAGACGGTGCCAGGGGAACGCTTACATGCTGCAACTCCTAAGTCACATTCTAATCGGCCATGCCTATGCCACCCTTTTTTCCGAGCCCGTCTCTCGATATGTTTTTCTTATGGAGATCTGCGCCATTTGTTTGTTGGCAAGCCGATGCTTGTGTATGTATCCAGCGGAAAATACAAGTGATTTATATGACCACATTCCAAGTCCTAATTCGGGTCTACTACATCCGTTATTTGGTTTTTATTTTGCCGGGCGCATTCGTTTTCATACCGACGGTGGATCCACTTATTTGGCAAGGCACGAATCGACCTATAAGCCCACCCCCAGCTCCCAGGCTTGTTCCTTCCTCTTGTCTCCGTCTCTCCATACGACGTAAGATACTCCGTAGTTCCTAGCCTTTCCCCATATCCTTATCTATCTCACCAGCAGAATCCCTCACTCGCTCCTGCCACCTGAACGATCACTACTGAACAAAAGAGGAAAGCCCTAAAAAGTTGTCTTGACCAGACAAAACTGAAAAGCCGCCACTAGCCCCGAAAAAAAAAAAGATAAATAAAATATCTTACCAAACAATAAAATCTGGACCTGCCCCTCATCAAAATCACACTTCCCATTTTCGATCTACTCGTCCTCAACTTACTTCCCACACCAACAAAACTCACATTTTCAGATTTTGGTGAGTCTTGACTGTTTTTTTTTCACCCGCGTCGCCCGACTGGATTGTTCATGTATCTTGCTTCTATTGTAATTCGAGTGTCTGGCCTTATCTGTTCTTCTTATTACGCCAATATGGAAGGTCTCGTCAAATCGCGAACGACACTCAAGCTGCTTCTTTTTCTCGAACAACTGTGCCGTTGTGTCCCATTTCTGCTTTACCTACTTCCCTTCACCCTGACGATTCTCCCGTAATCGTTCCTGTCTTTGTCCTATTCCTTGATCGTTTCAGCCAGTCTGATTTGACTCTGCATCTCGACTTACCTCGAACACTTGGACCCGAGACTGACCTCCATAGAGTGCGCAACAAAAACTCGATTTCTCGACTACAATTTGAATACTCTCATTCAACCACCCCAATCAAAATACATTATGGAGTTCCAGGGAAGAGCTTGCTTCAGTTGTGAGTGTTTTGTCAATGCCTCTGCATCTATGCGATAACATTTGAAAAAAAAAAATACCGATCTACGCCCAAAACGGACATTCCCCTCCTAGTGGGGCCAACTGTTTGCGCGCAGCAGCATCGCCTCACATTTCACATATTTTCTTATCACATCCTCACCCACACTTGTATATCCATGTGCATCTGCATATACCCCATACTCCATTACCATGAAAAGGGCGAATATTATATGCTAGTGTCGGGTCCTCCCGAGTGAGGCCGGGCCAGCAGACCCCCTGTGCTTTTCTATGTACAACCTTGATGGCCAGAGATCGAGCAAAGCGCTTTTACTATTGGCTCCTGCATACCACACTCTTCCACAATGTCCCCATTTTCCCTTTCAACTGCCTAAATCCCGAGTTCGGGTCAGCCCGAGCGGGCTACGACCTTCTATCTCCTGCCTTGGCATTGTCAGACATGCAGATCTGGGGAGAGATTATCTGACCAGCTTGTTATTTATAGGCGGCGCTACTACGCACCAGGTATGACGAACATTCCACAGTAAAAACTGGCGGAAGATGCGAGGCCCTTTTTCGAATCGCCAGGCCATTGTGAGACTCGTAAACTCTGTACTGACACCCCGCCTTGAAGGCCAGAGACTGCCCCAACCGTGGTGCGGCTAAGTGGTATGTATCTCATAAGGCCGCGTGTGATCTTCATCAGAAGCAAATGCTAACATATATATCAGCTACAACTGTGGTGGTGAGTGCTCTCATACATAAAAAGGATTGAAAGTCGCGCAATCGACGGAGAACGGGAATCAGCTGACAGTCTATTTTCCTATGCACAGGCGAGGGCCACATGAGTACGTTATCTCTCAGTACTCACTTTTAAATGTGTCAAAAATATGCGGACTAACATCATTTCGATAGGCCGTGATTGCCCGGAAGGTCCTAAGGAGACCAAGACGTGCTACCGGTGCGGCCAGGCTGGTCACATTTCCCGCGACTGCCCCCAGTCTGCTGGCCCCGGTGGCAGCGGCCCGTCCGGCGCGGAGTGCTACAAGGTGCGCATGATCTCCCACACGAATGATTTTGCCCAACGCCATAGCAGCGAAGCGACTGAATCTGACAATTTGACAGTGCGGTGAGGTCGGTCACATTGCCCGCAACTGCCCCAAGGGTGGCTTCGGCGGCAACCCCAGCGGCGGTGCTGGCGGCTACGGCAACTCGTACGGCGGCGGCGGCGGTGGCGGCGGCTACGGCGGCAACCAGAACAAGACCTGCTACTCTTGCGGTGGCGTCGGCCACATGTCCCGTACGTGTTACTCAATTCCATTCTTTGTTGTGGGCATGACACTAACTAGACTTCAGGCGACTGCGTGAACGGCAGCAAGTGCTACAACTGCGGCGAGACCGGCCACTTCTCCCGTGACTGCCCCAAGGCCTCGACCTCTGGCGAGAAGATCTGCTACAAGTGCCAGCAGCCCGGCCACATCCAGGCCGACTGCCCCAACAACTAAGGTAATGCCGAGCCTGTAGCCATCGCGAGAGCCAGCTCACCGTGGGCATGCCACACCTGAGCCACGGAAGAACGAACGAGCCAACCAACCCGGTATACCACAGAGCGAACGAATCCACTCTTTTTTGCGCTTGGTCACGAGATCGATGGAGAGAGGTCGGCAAGGTACACTTCTTTTTACTTGTGGGAGCTGCTTTTCGCTCACGCGAGGAGGTCCACAGAGGGTCTGGCACGGTATGATCATGGGCATCTGGATAAACAAAAGCGGATAGGATCTGTTTGTCTTTTCAAGGGTTGTTTCTTTCTTCTCCCGGTTTTCTAGTTTTGTTATGTTATTCACCGATTGTCTTTTCTCATATTGCTGGCTTTTCTTAGTCATCTCCCAGTTCTGTTTGTAACAGAAACAGCCCCCAAACATCTACAAACAACCTCACTGCTTTGCTTTCGAGACGAAGTCGACAACGCTGGTTTATGGGCAAAAGTTACAAGGATTTACATGGAGTCTATGGTCGGGCCATAACATTCTGTGGTCTTTTTTCCTGTTAAGAGGCAAAAGTTTCATCTTGGACCAAATCTACTCCGTGACAGTGACAAATGCATGTTGTGTAATATGGCGCAAAGGCATTGAGCAGTATTAGACAATGTTCTGTTCAATGCGAAGGTAAAAGGCTCACGACTGTTTGTAATGTGGACGTCACCCGCTGGACTTAAGACTATGGGCAGATTGCTTCCTTCTGATATGCTTCCTCAAACTTGATATGGCTACGCAGATGGCACAAGCCTTAGACCTATCTTTTTCCTCGTCCTTCTCTTTGCTAGCTACCCTTCCTTCATAAGACGGCCTTCGGCATGAACTTCATAGCCTGTCTGACGCCCAGATCGCCTAGCACTTCCTCGGCACCGCCCTGATTTTGTTAGAGGAAACAATGAAGTAAGAATAAGGAGCCGTCGAAAGAGAGAACATACCAGGATGGCGTCAAACTTGTAGGTACGGTTGAAGTTTTCAATGACGCGGCCCATTCCAGTCTGCGTCAGGCCGCGACCACCCCAAATCTGGACAGCCTCGTCGGCAATCTCGTGTGCCATGCGTGTTGAGCTCATCTTCAGCAGGGCAATGGGCCCGCCCATGTGCTTGGACTGCATCTCATAGGGCATATTGCACATCTGGTAGGTGATGGTCTCGAGCCACGACTGGTGACTCTCGACGAGGGCGATCATCTTTGCAAGCCTGCCGAAGGGTGAGTTGAGGAGCGGGTCTCAAAGAAGCTGTGAGAGAGATGAAACTTACTTGAGTCGAATGACGGGCTGGTCAATGAGTCGCTTGCTGAAAACTAGGCGCTGGTGCGCCCACTTGAGGCATTCTTCAACGATGAGACGGCAAGCACGGTTTGTGGCACCTGTGTTCGATGCGGGTCAGTCTGAAGTGGGACAGGAGGACGGGAAAGAAGCGGGAGAAGGAGGGAGAGCGGGTGCATGGACGTACAAGTCATACTCCAGCGCTCGTGGTTGAAGTTGGACAAGATGACGTAGATGCCCTTGTTCTCCTGGCCGAGCAGGTTGGAGACAGGTACCTTGACATTGTCAAAGGTGATGTAGGTGGTGCCAGCAGCAGCGGAGTAGCTCGTCTTGATGGGCTTGGTCTCAATGCCTTCACCACGCTCAATGAGCAGCACGCTCATGCCCTTTCCGGTTTGGCAGCCGACGACAAAGTAGTCGGAGAAGACGCCGCTGTTTTGATTAGTAATCGTTTTAAGCAGGACCAAAGCGTTTCGCCCACCGATGAAACTCACTTTGTGATCCACTTCTTGGTACCATTGACAACGTAGTGTTTTCCGTCGGCGGTTTTGACGGCGGTGGTACGCAGCTGGGCGACGTCGGAGCCGGCGAAGGCCTCGGTGATGGCGAGGCAGATTTTCTTGCGGCCGGAGAGGCAGTCGGCGAGGATGCGGGCCTGCAGCTGGGGGTCGTTTGCGTAGTGGAGGATGACGGAGAGGCCGATGGTGAGGCCGGCCATGTTGCCATCCTGGAAGCCGCGAGCGGCGGGGCGGACCATTTCCTGGGCGAGGATCATGTCATGGAAAAAGTCAAAGTCGCGGCCATCGACGACGCCGTCGGGATTTTGGGCATCGGGCAAGAGTGGAACACCGTGGAGGTGTTTACCGGGGCCGAGACGCATGTGCAGGATGCCGGCAGCGGCCATCTTGTCGATGAGCGGTTGGCTGATGTGGGTGCCGGTGCGCTCGCACTCGAGGGCTTCGGGGGCGACGTGCTCGGTGACAAAGGCGCGCATGGCCCGCTGCAGCCGGCGGTGGCTCTCGCTGTAGAAGGGCGGCGTGCTGAAGACAGGCGAGAGCCAGAGCGGCTCGGCATAGGGCACGGGCGAGAGGTCAGCCGGCGGGACGGCCACGATGCTGGGTGTCTCGTCGACGATGGTGCCGACGGCCAGGTCAGCCTTGTAGCGTTCCAGCGCCTCCTGGCGGTGCAGGTTATAAAAGGCCGTCGTGGCATCGGTGCCGGCAACTTGGCGCAGCACAAACTCGCCGCCCGGGTGGGCATCGAGAAAGTCGGACACGTCGTAGACGACTGTGTCGATGATGAAGAGCACGGGCGCCTGCTCATCGGCGCTGCCGGCGGCGGCTGCCTTGGCCGACGCGGCCACCTCGTCACGGGTAAACGTCCTGGTCTGGATCGCCATGGTAGTTGAAGTTTTGTTGACACGGGAGTGGGACAGCAAGCTGGGCAGAAAGGCAGAGGCCAGATAAACAAAAGACAGATGCCAAAAGTCAGAAGACAATAGGCCAGAAAGACAGACGCGGCAAAATGAGCAAAATGAGAACCGAATCCGTAAGCGAGAGGTGAAAGACAAAGTGAAACAGAAGGCCGATGGCAAGCGTTTTTGTGGTGGCCTCACGGCCAGCAAGGACAAACTGCCCTTGTCTCTGGGCCTCGGCTTACAACCTGAATACCCCAGAGGGCAGGTCGGGGCAAGGTGGGTCGGATGACTTGTGTGGGTTTAGGGCGGCCATGATTGGCTACGTAGTAGTGGCCGCTGTGGCTAGTCCGTGTTCAGTGAACAACCGTGAACAACCCCGGACTGGTCGGGGCAAAATGACAGTAGCGCCGGCGTTCCGCAGCAACCTGACGATAAGAGACGGCAGGGCAATGTGTGTGTTTGCAGGTCACGTGGGTGCATAGATGCTATGAATTATATGACTAAGCTAAATAATACGACAAGGAAGGAGAACGTTCCGATTGTTATGACCGCCTGGCGCCGAAAAAAGAACGGCCGCTCCTGTGAGGCGTGATGGGTGGGCTGAACACGGTGGCATCAGAGGGCATAGATCCGGGGCCAACGGCATGTTCTCGGCAGAGACGGGGGCGGATCTGGCCCTGCGACTCGTAAAAGAAGCGGGAAACGGCAAAGCCGTGCTGGGGGCCGGGGGCGAGACAGAGGACCTGCTGGGTAGTGGCGGCAAGCTGGGGCCAGCAGGTGGTGCACCAGTAGAAGGCGGGGGCAGTCTTGCGGGTGTCGTCGGCGCGGAAGATGCGGCCGCAGAGTTTGTTGGCACAGCAGACGCTCCAGCCGGTCTGGTGGTCGGCAGCAGGCCAGTCTTGGCGGAAGACAAAGGGACCGGTGATGAACATGTCGGCCGAGGACTGAAGGCGCAGCCGCTCGCAGAGGATGTTGCACTTGTGGGTGGCGAAGAAGAGCTTGAAGCCCTCCTCGTTGAGGTTGGTGTCGGTGAGCCGGAAGCGGGTATGATCTCGGGTGTGGACGGCGGGGTCGGTGAGGACACCACCAACGCCCTGGAGGTCGCAGATGAGGAAGCGGCCCTGGGAGCGCTCAAAGGTGAAGTGGGAAAAAGCCTGGGCGGTGGTGTTGTGGTTTGGTTTAGGGGTTTTGGGGGTTTTGGCAGGTTTGACAGATTTGGTCAAATTGGTGGATTTGGTGGTGTCAGTTTTCGACGACTTGGAGGCATTTGTGTCGATCCCGTCTGAACTGACGCCACCGCAATTAGAATTGTACTTGACAAAGGTGCCTTCGAGGAGCGGCTCGAGGGCGAGACAGGCGGTGCCGGCCGCTGTTGCCGACTTTGGCTGCAGACAGGTGACGACGGTAAAGTCGATGGAAGTGCTGCTGCTGCTGCTTCTGTTGTCGGCATCGACACCGACGGCCAGGGCGTTGAACTCGAGCACAAAAGCCTTGCACAAGGCCTGGACGCGCATCTCCTCGGCCATGTCGACGAGAGTCTTGCCGTCGGTCTTGAAGGCCTTGACGACCAGCCGGTTGGACGACTCGGGCGTGCGGGCATACATAGCGACACGCAGCGCGCCCTCAGCAAACGGCTGCTGGCGCCGCAGCACCGTCAGCTCGGTCGTGCTGATGCGAATATGGTCGTCGCTGGCGAGCATGCGGTCGAGCAGCCCGGGCGCAGCCGTGACGTCGGTCGAGAAGGCCTGGAACTGCTCGGCCGTGTCGAGCCAGCCGGCCACATCCCACTGCGGCGGTATGGTATCGATCTGAGTGGGGGGCAGCTTTGCTGATTTGATATCTGTATCCCCTTCATCCTCATCGTCGTCCTCCCGCACTGCATCCAAACTCGGATCCGCACTCACGCTCGGCTTGATCGTGTATCCGCTCGACATCCGGCTCGACCGCGCGGCCGTGCTGGCGGCTGATAGCCGGACGGCCGTGCGCGAGGCCGAGGCCATCACGCTGCTGACGACCAGGTGACGCATAGCGCTGTACTGGGTGCCGAGCGCGACCTCGTTAAAGTGGAGACCGCCCTGGGCGGAGGTGGTGGACTTTACTGTTGTGGCCGTGCTGCTGGCCGTCTTCAGCGTAGGCGCACCGACGTACAGCTTGTTGGCCTTGAGCAGGACGGCGTCGTGGTAGAACTTGTTGGTCTTGAGCAGCTTCGCGTCGGGCGCGGCGGCGAGGTAGTTCTGCAGAAAGACAAAGGCCATCTTGTCAGTGTGCGAGTTGATGCGCATCAGGACGTAATTGAGCTTGAGCGCGACCATGCGGCCGATCACGTCCTCGTGCTGCAGCTTGTGCGGCTCGCTGCTGGGAACGAGGTAGTTGTCGTGCCGGTCCTCCATGTCGTGGAGCGTACGGCCATGCGGCGGAGCGTCAGTGATGTGCATAACGCAGCGCGTGGCCTGTTGCCAGGACGTGTGCATGGCCGCATCGAGGGCGCCGAGCACGTCCTCGGCCGCGTCGCCGCCACCGGTCGCCCGCACGCCGTTGAGGAACCGGAACATGGCGTCGGTGTCGGTCGTAAAGTCGAGCGTCTCGCGCGGCTTCTTGTCACCGTGGTCGCGATACGCTACAATGGCCACGCGCACGTCGGCCTCTTGGAAGAAGGACCGGTTGATGTCGGTCACGATGCTGCAGATCTGCTCCTTGGCCGAGTCGATGTACGACCGCATCGAGTTGGTGGCGTCCAGCAGGAAGAGCAGGTCCGTCGCGCACGACATCTTGAACAGTCCGGCCGATGGTCGCGGCCCCGTCTGGCTGTTCGCCCGCACCGAGTCGTACTGCAGCTGCAGGATCCGCAGCTGTGCCTCCGTGGCCGACGGGCCGGCTACCGCCTCGCGCTTCAGCCGCTCCACCAGCTGCTCCATCTCGCGTGCCCTCTCTTCGGCCGCCCGCAGCCGCTCGTGCGTGCGCGCTTGCGATGCTGCTGCTGCCTCTGACGTGGGCAGAAACGTCGACGCCAGCGACTCGCGCAGGCTAAACACCGATTCGCGCAGGCTCAGTCGCCGGCTGGCCCGCGGCGATGGCGTGTCGCTTTGTGGCAGTGGTGTCTTTTCCATCATGCGAACGTAATGGTTGCTTGATCGCATAATGAGATCCCAAAGGCCACAGCCCGTGCTTTATATGGATGCATCACGCCTGCGGTAACGCAGGGCTGACAGACGGACAAAGGGGCTGACCACATGCACACACGCTCATTTTCTCGCTCCCGTCGTATCTGCGACCACCAGATAGCGTCAGCTTTCTGTAAGTCGCTCGTCTCATGACTCTGTCGTGGCCAAGCGCCGTCCAACCAGCTTCGGACTGCGCTTTGAAAGGCGCCTGACCAAGGCACAATCGCCGTCTAGCTCACTGAGGCTGAGTTGCGCCAACCACAAACCTCAGGCCTGCCATTCCCTTCTCGTCTACCGAACGCTCCAGAGCTGCTTTCTGGAAGCATATATGCAGTTGTGATACTGTCTCCGCTTTTCTGCATCTGTTCTGCACCGACGAACGGAAGGAGACTAGAGTCTGCTTTCTTATCGGACAAGCCAATTGGTATAAAGGCATGAGGACTCTTGCCGTCGACCTTTGATCCAGGACGCTCTTTGAGACGGTCCCTCGGGCATGGTGGTGGGAATCTGTCGGTAATGACGTAGTCGTAGCCTTTTATCAATAGAAATGTTGGTTGTTGTCGTTGCCAAACAATCTGTATGAAGAAGCAAAACCTTGGTGGGCCTAGCTTACAAAGCTATCAAACCCCAGCGACTTCCCTTTCCGTCGACCGCTTTCTGAGAGCATATCTGCAGTACCGTTACCGATCCCCACCTGCCGTTTGCAAGTCTCCATGTCAGCTCTGTTATCGACAGCTCGGTCACTATCTCTCCCTAGCAGGTGAGTCCTCATATTAGCCCATATCGTGCCGATCGCTCGTTCCAACCACGATAGCAATTCCTTCTAGCTAGAGCCTCATCCCCATGACCCAAGCCTCCTTCTCCACCCTCCCTCCTGCGTGGCACGGGCAACCGGACTGAATACTACGTGGCCTCCACCGCTCTTGCTTTTGCCCAGGCTGTCTATACGAAGTCCATAACCCCACACCTACGGATTGGGTAGACAGCTGGGCTGCTGGGCTGCTGGGCTCCCGAGCAACATCTAGAATCCTCAGTTCCTTGGCTCGCCGTCTCCGAATACTTTGCACGCCAATGGAAGGATGGACACTTACGCCGTTTTCAGCTGCAGCTCTGCGCGAAGAGACGCCTCGCGGCTGGTCCAGGACCTGAAAAGCATCCGCCGAAGCAGCATGGTCGCCTCCGATCGACCGGCGATCAGAAGCCAGGTAGGACACGCCGGATACAAGCCTGTCAGAAAAAACCCGGAATCCTGCTGACTTGTGTTTCTGTCTTTTCTTTCGTCTCCCCCGCCGCAAGCCAATCCACTCTGCCGACGGTCCTCACGCTAAGCCCCACATTGGCGTTGTCGGTGCTGGCATTGCCGGACTCCGGTGTGCCGACATCCTGCTTCAGTATGGATTCCGGGTGACCATCTTGGAGGGCCGGAACCGACTGGGTGGCCGCCTGCACCAGCAGCGCCTCTCAAACGGCCACCTGGTCGACATGGGCCCCAACTGGATCCACGGCACCAAAGACAACCCGATTCTAGACCTGATTCGTGAGACTGGCACCATCACCAGCGGCAACGCCATCGATGACCACGGGAAGGAGCTGGAGGGTGCCGTCTTCAGCGAGAATGGAGCCATGCTCCCGCCGGACGACGGCGCTGCCCTGTCGACCCTCATGTGGACCATCGTCGAGGAGGCCTTTGTCCACTCAAACAAGCACTGCACCGAGATCGACCCGGCCGAGAGCCTGCACGACTTCTTTCTAAAGCGGCTGCCCGAGCACGTTCCCGAAAGCACGGCCGACTGTGAGACCCGGCGCGCGCTCGTCATGCAGATGGCCGATCTCTGGGGGGCGTTTGTCGGCAGCCCGGCCAACACCCAGAGCTTAAAGTACTTTTGGCTGGAAGAATGCATAGAAGGAGGCGAGTTTTCTTCCTTACTCAACCCGTTCACTTTCTCGGCTGACAGCAGTTAGAAAACCTCTTCTGTGCTGGGACGTATAAAAAAGCCCTCGAGAAGATGGCCCAGGCAGTACGACAAGATGCCACGATCCACTTTGGGCAGACGGTAATCAAAGTCGTGAGCCGGATGGAGGATTGGCCAATCGGCTGCGTCAACGTGACCACGGCCTCGGGCGATGCCTTTCTCTTTGACGAGCTCGTCTTCACCGCGCCGCTCGGCTGGCTGAAGCAGCACCAGGCGTCGACCTTCCAACCGCCACTGCCGGCCCGCCTGGTGAGTGCCATCGATAGCATCGGCTACGGCTGCCTTGAAAAGGTCTATATTTCCTTTCCCGACGCCTTCTGGAAGCGACCGGACGCAACGACTGGCCGGGTCGTGCGCGGCTTCTGCCAGTGGCTGGCCCCGGGCGTCTACGCGCAGCCGTCGAACCCGGAGCACTGGCCGCACGAGGCCGTCGATCTCAGCACGATGCCTGCCTCAACCGCCCATCCGACTCTGCTCTTCTACACGTTTGGCGCCCAGTCACGGCATATCACAGATACGCTAGAGGCACTCAGAGCGAATGCGGACAAGACAGATACGACAGACACGGCCCAGAACAACTTCCTCATCAACTACTTCCGGCCCTACTTCTCCCGCCTGCCACACTACGATGCCGTTGAGCCGGCTTGCCAGCCCGTCGCCTGTCTGGCCACCAGCTGGCTGCACGATGACCTCGCCGGCAATGGCAGCTATAGCAACTTCCAGGTCGGCCTCGAGGCCGGCGACGAGGACGTGCGCACTATGCGCGAGGGCCTGCCGGACCGTGGACTCTGGCTGGCCGGCGAGCACACGGCCCCGTTTGTCGCCCTGGGCACGGCCACAGGGGCACATTGGAGCGGCGAGTCGGTAGGCCGACGCATCGCCGAGTCCTATGGACGGCAGAGAGAGTAAGGAAGGGAGCGGGAGAAAGCGCTGTACAGCCTGGACATCCCCCCACAAGTAGATACGGAGTATTCGTATATATAATTGAATTCGCGTCGCAGACTTGCGTAAACAGGCTGCAGTCGACAAAAAGACATCACGTGTCAGAAGTGTGCATAAGCTTCCTGATGTGGCCATAACATGGCCAAGACACGTCAGTCGGCTTATCACTTATCGTGGGCGGGGTGGACAGTCATAGCTGCCTGAAGCAGGCCCACCCAGCGCAAACAGTGCGCTATGGACAGCCAGTGGTCAGCGCGCCACTGGGCTAGGCGCAGGAGGGGGAAGGAACCACCAGCCTAGGCCAGTCAGACCAACCTTTTTCCTGTCCGGATTCAGGCGGCAAGCACACTGAGCACTGCAAAGAGAGACAGGCAGACGTCCGCATCCCAGAAACCTGGTTGCATTCACCACCAACCCAGCGTCCCATCCGGTCTTGTCCCCCCTCCCGAGCTTTTTTTCCTCTTTTTCTTTCTGCAGGGTCTTTTCCCTTCCCTCCTGACCTTCTGTCGCTTATCTCTCTCCACCCGGACCATGTGCACTGTGGAGAGCTCGGCCTCTATATTTTGAAGGCGGCCCTCTTTCCCTGCTGCCTTCGTTCTCGCATTCCGGCTATCGCCACTATCTGCTCTCGGGCTACCACCCCTTACGAGCACACAGGCGTCGTCCGCCCTATACCATGCCCGGTGCTGCCAGCCCTCTGCAGCCCCCGATTTCCCGCTCGGCGGTATCTCCGCTGACGGTGTCCTGGTGACCTGGTGACGACTCTTGCTTCTCCATCTCTTGCGAGTCGCAGCCGCCAACAGCAACAGCGACGACGTCCATCTTCGCCAAGAGCCAATCCCGCCGCCATTGCCACCATGACGTCCCTGTTCGACTCCTTCCGCAACTCCAGCATGCCCAAGCGGCTGCTGCGCTATGCCCTGTCTCGCTTCGATGTCCTAGATGCCGACGCGCTTGACCTGGACAATCTCGACCTGGCTTGGGGCAGGAACACCGTGCTCGAGTTTCGCGATGTCGGCCTGAGGGTCAAGGTAGGCCGGTCGCCGGATGGTCGGATCGCTCGATCGGCATCGATGGCCATTTGCAGCTGACCCGTTCTCGTTCTTGCTCTCTAGAAACTGCAGCAGATCCTCCAGCTGCCTCCGACCTTTCACATCCGCCGCGCCAAGGTTGGCCTCCTCCGTGTTACCCTGCCCGTCGACATCTACTCGAGCCCGATCCAGATCCGCGTCAGTGGCGTCGACGTCCGGCTCAGCGTCTCCGCCCGGGAGGACGACCACGACCGGGACAGACGCAAGGACAGCAAGACCGCCGGCGGTAGCTCCGGACCCACTGCCGAAGACGCCGCCGATGCCGATGCCGATGTCGTGCCCTCGGCCGTCGACTTGGCCCAGTCGTTCCTGGAACACGAGCCGTCGGGCGAGGCGAGGGCCCTGGAAGCAGTCCTGGCCGCTGAGGCTTCACTCGACCAGAGCACCGAGCTCGACAGCGATGACGACACCATCTCGTCCTCATCTCAGGTCCTTGGCACCGGCCAGGCCCTCACCCTACCGGCCTTTCTCGCCGACTTCTTGCAGGGCATCGTCGATCGGATCCAGGTGATAATCGAGGGCGTGGCTTTTCAGCTCGAGGTCGACGTCCCCGTGACCGACGACGCGGCATCCGCCACCGCCAACGGCGGCTCCGAGCCCGTCACCTTCCAGTTGACCCTCGCCCGCATCAACGTGGAAGGTGTCACTACCGCGGCAGCTGCGGTGCCGAAAGGCCCCAGCGGTGGCAGCGAGCCGGCAGGATCGTCAGCCCGGCCCAAGATCGTGCCAAAGGAGGGCAAGCGCCACATCTCGCTGGATCATGTCCGCGCCTTTCTCATCTCCGAGACCAACGTCTTCTCGGCTCTCGACCCTTCTCCTTCGATGCCGTCGTCGGCCGCATCACAGTCGCCCGTCTTGTCTTGTCACGACCTGCCATCACTAAATCCTACGGCTCCGGCTGACCCGATGACCGCCTCGTCTATACTGGCTCGCAGCCAGTACCCGCTGCAGGATAGCGAAGACGCATTCAATATTCCGTATGACGACTCAGAAGGCTCCGGCGACGACAACGAAAGCAACAGCCTGGACGGTGCCGAGCCAGAAGTGGCTCCGGCATCGTCTCTGTCGACACCGAGGGCATCCGTCTACGGTGAACACCCGCGCATGGGATCGTTCCCCCCGACTGCAGGCATTTTGCATCATGCGCAGTCGGCCATTCTCGACCGAGACCGCAGCGGTGCAGAGTGGAACGTCCCAAAGGCCACCGAATGCATGGACACACGGTCTGAGCCGTCTTCTGGGCATCTTCTAGGCACTGCACGATCGACTGGCGATATCCATGGGCTTCATGTTGGCTTGGGCCTGGGTCTGTCACCAAATGTACTCGCAACTTCGCTTCAATCCATGGCCGGTCCTGGAAGCGCCGGGTCTGCAGAGCATACGGACGATTACTTGAGCCAGTCGCACGTGTACAGCCATGAAGAGGCGGAGAGCATGTACTTGAGCGCTTTCTCACAGGCCGACTCAGACCCCATGGACAATCCTATGCCCGGCGGATGGCATACGGAGGACGATGATGCGTCTCAGTTCTATGGCTCTCCGCCTGCCGGCCTGTGGCGCTTTGGAACAGACAACCGCACTGCACCGGCTGAGTCAGCTGAGTCTGCTGCGTCGGGAGATGCGAAAAAGGCTCCAACAGCGCTCCCTGGCCACGAATCAGAAGGACCATGTTCTTCCGGGGCCGAGAGGGCATCCGGTGACGGAACAAAAAGCCCCGATCTAAGCGCTGGAGCACAGTCGGACGAGGCGGCAACGCCAAAAGGTCCCACGCGCCTGGTCAAGGAACTTCTGTCGCTCGAGTACATATCCATTTATGTCCCGTCAAACCACAAGCATGACGGCAATCCGCAGTCGGCCAAAAAGCAGCAGGAACGGCTGGAAAAGTCCGTCTCTCCGCATTTTCCGGGCGCGTTCTCGATCTATTCGTCTGCTGGGATGGCCTCCACATACGGGCATGTCTCCATCCAGGACCGTCTCAAAGACAGCTACTTCGACCACCGTCAACCTACGGAAACGCCACCGGCCGATAGCGAGTCCGTGGAGGTGAATCTGGCCCCTCTGGAGATTTGCTTCGACGCATCTATCGGGTTTCTTTTGGCCAAGGTCGTTTTAGAGATCCTTCAGTCGCTCAAGAGTGGCTTGGCATTGCAGCAGCAACAGAAGAAGGCGCCTAGAGCCTCCGCGACTCCAGTCGCCCAGACGGCCCTGCCACATATCAAAATTCATGGCGACAAGATCGCCCTCCTGTTCCTTGACAAGCTGGCAGGCGTGACAGACACGGCCGAGCGGTTCTTCGAGTCGCCTCAAGGGTCTGGAATGAAGAGCCTTGGCCAGAGCCGCGATGTGCTTCTCCAGGTTGTCTTGGAGAATCTGACAGTGTCCCTGTCGCAGCGTCTAGAGCCTTGGACAAGTAGTGTATCTGTTGACCTGCAGCGGTTTCGGTTCGGCTATGCCGATGCCGACATCATATCGTTTGATCGGCGCATCCAGATGCGATCTTCGGTCCGAGATGCATTCCCGCCGTCTGGAGACGATGTATCAATCAAGCTGATCCAGTCCTCCGACGCCACCAAGTGCGAGATCAGCACGTTGCCGTTACTATTCTCCATGGATCTGCAGAGGCTTGACGAGACGTTCAGCTGGTTTGGTGGCTTGAGCAGCTTCCTCAGCTTGGGATCGTCCATCTCGTCGGCAGCTTCGGGCAATGGAAAGGCGGTGGCATTGCCCAAGGCCAAACCAGAGGCGGCCAAGGCGGCTCCAAAGGCGCGCGGTGTCCGGTTCGAGACGCCGATCAGTCCTGACGACAAGTCGACAGCAGCCGAAAACAAGGTGGACATGAGGATTGGGGGTGTCCATCTGGAGCTGGTCGGAAGGGATTGCCGGGTGGCACTGGATACGAGCGCGGTCAAGCTGGTCAGCCGCGAGGAGGGCATCGGGGTCGGCGTCAGCCGGATTCGCCTGGCCGGTCCGTATCTGCGAAACTCTGGCGGCACGCCGCCTGTGACTGCGGATATTGCCAACACGCGGCTGGAGTTTCTGAACGTGCCCAAGGATAAGGACCTGGAGCGGCTGCTCGAGCTCATCACGCCATCCAAGGTCAAGTTCGACGAACGTGAGGACGTTATCATGGTCGACACGCTTCTGAGACAACGCCGGAGTGGGCCTCTGCTTCGCTTGAACGTGGACGATGTCAGCGTCCAGGCCCACAATCTTGCGCAGCTGTCGTGTCTGCCGGCTCTGGGCGAGGAGGTGGCACGCCTGGCGTCCGTTGCCAAGTATCTGCCCGAAGACGACAGACCCGGTCTTCTGACACTGGGGATGATTCGCCATCTTGACGTGTCCGTCGATATTGGAGGGCGGATAGGACATCTGCAGGCGGTGCTTGCGGACCTCGAGGTGGCACATATTACGTTGCCATCTCTCGTCTCTACTGCTGTCGGGGCTATCTCGGTGCATCGAAACCAGACGGAAGAGTTGATAGGCTCCTCATCGGTGCCAGCGCATGTTGCGACTACGGGATCAACGGCAACAGCTGGGCGTTCGGCTTCGTCAGCCATGGGTGCGCCACCGCTGTCCGGCGGAATCTCACCGGCTCTCATGATGCGCATTATCGGTGACGACCTCGAGCCGGTGATCAAAGTGAAGATGTGGGGGCTCAACTTCGAGTACCGGGTGCCGACAATCATGGATGTGCTGGGCTTGGCCGAAGATGCAACGCCGCAGGATTTCGAAGAGAGCCTGGCGGCATCGGTGGCCAACCTGGGCGAGCAGGCGCAGACGGCCATCCTGAGCGGGCGGGGACCACACGGCAGCAGCGCGGACAAGAAGGACGGCTCGTCGACTGCTACTGCTCAAGCAGACAGAGAACGGGCGCCAAAGCCGACGACGGTGGACGTGTCGTTCCGAGACTGCGTGCTGGGGCTGAACCCGCTCAACCTGACGTCGAAGCTGAACCTGGTGCTGGTGGACGCCCGGCTCGAGGTGGTGCTGCCGCAGGGCGAAGAGGTAAATGCGGTAGCCCATCTGAGCAAGATGTCGCTGCTGCTCATCGACGACGTGACGGAAGTCGGGCCGCCAAGCCGGGCGTCATCAGGCCAGACAAAGGACATGGTGCGGCGACTGTGCTCGCAGGGATTTGTGGACATCTGCCAGCTCTCGGCAGCGAGAATATCGGTGCACGTGTCGGCGCCGGACGTGACCGAGGAGGGCCAGAGGATGGTCGAGCTGGAGGTGCGCGACGACCTCTTGGTGCTGGAAACGTGTGCGGACTCGACGCAGACGCTGATCGGGCTGGCCAACGCGCTCACGCCGCCGACTCCTCCGAGCACGGAGATCAAGTTCAAGACGGAGGTGATGCCGGTCAAGGATCTGCTGGCGTCGATCTCGATCGACGCGTTTGGCCGTGCCGAGGGCAACTACGATTTCGACGAAGACTTTGTGCTCGAGGAGGGCGCCGCGGGAGAGAAGGAGCACGGCACAGGCAGCGACGACGACTTCTTCTACGGCGGCGGTGGCGGCGTGCACGGCCAGCTCAACAGAGCAGCAGAGCAGTCGGTAGCATCGCTGCCATCGGTGACAGACGACGACCTGATCCTGGACGACGAAGACGCGGACCTGGACATTGAGGGTGTGGCGGGGACGGCGGCGGAGAAGCTGTTCAGCGCGTCATCGGTGTTGGAGGAAACGACGAGACCAGGTCAGGTCGTCGAGTCGACACAAGGGGTCGACGACATCGAGTTCGATCACGGTTTCTTCGGCACGGCGACAGAGACGGCAGCCGAGGGGTCGTCGCCAGCCCACCGCTGGAACTCAGTGCAGAACGGTTACGACAAGGGAGCCGGTGGTGGCAGCAGAGACAGCAGAGACGGGGTGGCGGCCAAGGCTCCGTTGCGGCTGCGCGTGCGCGATGTGCATGTGATCTGGAACCTGTTTGACGGGTATGACTGGCAGCACACACGAGACGTGATCACGCAGACGGTCCAGGAGGTGGAGGCCAAGGCGTACGAGCGACGGACACGAAACCGACGGCGGTCCGGACACGACGAGTTCAGCCCGTACGCAGACGAGGAGGAAGAGGACGCGGTGATTGGCGATTTTCTGTTCAACTCGATCTATATTGGCATCCCGGCCAACCACGACCCTCGTGAGCTGACGCAGGCGATCAACCAGAACATCTACGGCGACACGGGAGCCGAGACGGAGTCGGTGGCGGCGACGACGGTGACAGCGACATCAAGCCGGGCAGGCGGTGGTTACGGCGGTCATGGAGGCTACCGCGGCGGCCGGCCGTCATCATCGTCGTCGCGGACATCTCGGCGGCTGAACTTGCAGCGCAGCCGGCGGCACAAGATCACGTTTGAACTGGGAGGCGTGGGCGCAGACGTGGTGGTGTTTCCGGCAGGATCGGGCGAGACGCAGACGGCGATCGATGTGCGGATCCGCGATCTAGACGTGTTCGACCACGTGCCGACGTCGACGTGGAAGAAGTTTGCGACGTACGACCGGGATGCGGGAGAACGGCCGATTGACGGCGACATGGTGCGAATCGAAGTGCTGGTGGTCAAGCCAGTGCCGGAGCTAGCGGCCACGGAGCTGGTGCTGAAGACGAACGTGTTGCCCCTACGACTGCACGTGGACCAGGACGCGCTCGACTTCATCACGCGCTTCTTCGAGTTCAAGGACGACTCGAAACGAGGACCGACAACGGCGGAACCTTCGACCGGCGACGAGCCGTTCATCCAGCGGGCCGAGATCCACGACATTCCGGTGCAGCTGGACTTCAAGCCGAAGCGGGTGGACTATGCCGGACTGCGGTCGGGTCACACGACGGAGTTTATGAACTTTTTGATTCTAGACGGGTCGCGCATGACGATGCGACATACCATCATCTACGGAGTGTCCGGCTTCGAGCGGCTGGGTCAGACACTCAACGACATCTGGATGCCCGATATCAAGCGGCACCAGCTGCCGGGCGTGCTGGCCGGGCTGGCGCCGGTACGGTCGCTTGTCACCGTCGGCAGCGGGTTCCGGGACCTGATTGAAATCCCGATCCAGGAGTACCGCCACAACGGACGAATCGTGCGGTCGATTTCCAAGGGTGCCATGGCGTTTGCGCGCTCCACCGGCACGGAGCTGGTCAAGCTGGGCGCCAAGGTAGCCACGGGCACGCAGTACGTCCTGCAAGGAGCCGAGGGGATGCTGGCGGGAGAAGGGGGGAGGATGGCATGGGCGGGGGAGGAGGAGGAGGGGCCGGAGCCGGAGCCGGAGCAGCCGGCGTGGATGCAGGCGATTTGACGATGGACGACGATCACCATCAGGCCAACGACGACGACAACGACGAGCGGAAGCAGATCAGTCTGTATGCGGACCAGCCGGCAGGCGTGGTGCAGGGGTTGCGGCATGCCTACAGCAGTCTGGCGCGCGACCTCAACATTGCGCGAGACGCCGTGATCGCGGTGCCGGCAGAAGTGCGCGAGAGCACGAGTGCGACAGGTGCGGCCAGAGTCGTGATCCGGCACGCGCCCACCATCATCTTTCGGCCGGCCATCGGGGCGACCAAGGCGATCGGACAGACGCTAATGGGCGCGACCAACAGTCTGGATCCACAGAACCTACGACGAGCAGAAGATGTGAGTGTGTGTGTGGTGTTTTGGTATTTGTGTTGTTTGATAGGTTTTGTTATGGTATTTCGGACTTGTTTTTTGAAATTTCTCTGTATCGTTTTAATTTTCTCTTTCATTTCTCTTTCCTCCTCCTCCATTACTAACATCTCAGAAATACAAATCCGGCCCTGGTCGGGTCTGAACGACTTACGACTTTGCCGACACTTGGACGAGGCGTTTTGGATCTGGACGAAACACATTATACAACTTGTGTTTGTGTTCTCTTTTTTCCCTTTTTGTTCCTCTCTTTCCCCTATCCTTCCCGCTTCAGCAACTACCGGGCTTAAAATTGTGCCTGAGAACCATTGCAGAGCGTTGCGAAGCATCAGGCTGGCGTTTCGATTCTGTTTGTTCCTGTTCATTCCTGTTTTACTATCTCCTTGCTCGCTCTCTGAAGGACCGGAGTCTCATCTCAGACGCATATCACTAGTGTTAGATTGTTTGATATAGGATGCGTAAACACGTCGAGACCATCTGCTCTGTGCTTCTTTCCAGTGACCGTCCCGCTAGCATCTGCCGTATTGAAACTTCTCTGCGATCCAGCAGCATTCGGGCCGGTAGAAATCTCCAGTGTACGCCAGACAAAGGCCTTTGTCGCATATTGGCCTTTCAGCAGGCGGATCGCAGAATGGCCAAAGTGCCAAAAAAGAACAATGGGTCGGGTCAGTGGACTAGGCCGGAAACGGTCAAGTATCGGCTGTAGTATAAAGGCTTCGTCTTTTGTCTCTTGTAGCTTTGGGCTTAGCCTTCTTGTTCTTGCTTTTTTTTTCTTTTTTTTTCTTCTTTGTTTATATATCTACTTTCTTTCTCAACCTTCGTAAAGTCTAGTGCTACAATACAAACGGCTAGCAGCGCGATCAGACGGTCCAGGTTGCCAGATGCAAGCAGACAAACAAGACCCGAAATCTCACACGCGAATCTAATCGCCAGGCGGGCTTCCCCCTTGTCGTCATCATCCGAGGCCGCCCCGCCGCGACTGGAATGCAGGCGGTCATGATTGCCGGTTGCCAGGTCTCAGCTCTGAGGAGAACGGAACCTTGCCCCGATAGGACAGATGCTGCTCGCAGACAAAGGTGGCGCATTGGCAGCTCTGACAGGTCTGACAGGTACTTGATCCTGCGTGATGTCATCGCAAAGGGATATAATTGGGAAACATGTTGATAGTACCTCGGCCGTACTTCCATGGTCGTAGTAGCGACCAGCATGGTGTGATGTCGTTGTGGCAACTTCCAGGTGGCAGAAACGTTTGCAGAGCTGGCGCCGAGCTCGTCTTCGTCTTTGTTGCCAACAGCATCCTTGCCTTGCCCATCCCTGTAGCGGCCCCTGCAGCAGGCTTACTACAGGCTGCGAGTACACGATTGATGGCCGCATGTACAGAGGACGGCGGCCTTCTGAGCCTGCTGTCGCTGCCACGCCGTCCTCGGTACGCTGCTGAGTAGAATGGGCTCCAAAAGTGTCAGAAAAAGGATCGGCTAATCCGCCGAGTTCGTGTCGCCGCCCAAAACGGTGGCCCGGTTCCTGCACGATGATGATGCGTGCAGGCGCCTGGGCTGGCCGGTTCTCATCAACAGCCTCATCGGGCCAGAAAGTCTCGGCCATGAGAGCCTGCAGAGCTCGCATTGTACTCGTACCCTGCTCCATACACGCAAGGGAATACGAGCACTCGTGGGAACAGCTCGGCGGCCTGACGGCCAACTAACCGATAAAGTCTTGGCAGAAGGAACGAAGCAGAGCGGGAAAGCGACCTTACTGGATTGGCAACAAAGAAGGCGAGATCCTGAGTCATATGGCATGATACGATACGTAGGGCAATTGTGGGTTGCCTTTCTCTCAGTCTGGACGAGGCTTGCAGGCCTGCAGACAGCGCCGTTTCTTGGCTTTACCGGCAGCGAGTCGCCGTCGGATGATGCCATTCGACCGTCGCACGCGTAACATCTCGTATTCCACCGACACATCTACGACAAGACAAAGAAGCAGAGCATGCTGGACGCCATGGTGCAATCGGAGGGCCAGCTCATTCGCCGGCGTGACGGGCTAGCGGCGATGCTGTTGGCCAGCCCAGCGAACACGAGCTTGACGGGGGGAAAGGGCAGCTTCGTCTCCAGGAAGAAAAAGAAAAAAAGCGGAAGAACAGAAAAATAGAAAGAAAAAAAAAACCAGGAAGCAGGATCAGGGCCCACAGGTGTTCGGCATGGTCTGCGCTTGCCCGATTCGGCCAGCAACGGCAGAGCTCGTATCTGCTCGACTGCATAAGCATAATCGGGGGAGGGGCGACCTCTTGAGGAAGCTTGCTGCTTCATTCTTGTTGGCGGATATACCACGTCTAGCCCATACTGCTTACCCGAAATCAAGGAAAAGGGCACATTGGATGAACAGCAGGCTAAATCCACCGTTGCAGCCGGCTGGAGCCCCGTCTGATGCTCTGATGCTTGCAGAGACGGGGTGTGGATGTAGGCGAGACTCCTGTTGCGACTTACAGCCGTATCTTATGCACTTCCTTGCTGTCTCTCAGTCAGCCACACTGGGGCTTGACTCTTTCCTTACACCCCCCCCCCCCCCCTTTCGTGCCTTCCTTGCGCAGACTATCTAGCGGTCCAAGGAACTGTTATTACGTTTCCGCCACTGGCTTCTCGTCTGTCTCTCCATCGGCTTCTCTCAGCTATCCCAGTCTCCACGCATCCAGCTCAATGTATCTTCCTACTCCATGTATCCTGACGCCGTCGCTGGCCGCCGTTGTCGGTGCCAACCCTCTCGCCAACCCAACCGGGAACACCACCCTTGGGCCATAGGTCCCGCTGGTTTCCTTGCAGTAGTCTCCTTCTCTCTTCACCCACTCTTTCTCCCGTCTGGATCTCAATAAGCAGTGAGAGGCTTTTCGTGATAAAAAGGTGGTCGTGTCCCCTCCTCCCTCATTTTCTTCTCTCTCTTCCCATCACTCCAAAAGACAAGTCTCTCGCTTTTTTCTTGCACAACTCACTCGCTCTTACAAGTATCGTCTTCTGCCTATTCACAGTCACTCTTGACAGCCCTTCCACCCACACAATGCAGCTTATCCATCTCGTTCCCCTGGCCGGCCTGGCCTCGTTGGCCAGTGCTGCGTATATCAACGGCACGGGCTCGCTCACGACCACGACCGAGGTTGTCACGGCCTTCACCACGTACTGTCCGTCGCCCACAACGCTGGTCTTCAACAACAGCACCATCACTGTCAGCAGTGCTACTACTCTGACTATCACGGATTGCCCCTGCACCCTGACTCACACCAAGGCCTCTACACCCGTGCCGACATATACACCGACTACGACCAAGAACGCCACCGTCCCCGTCGTGCCACCGGTCACCACCAGCAAGACGTCCACCACGGTCTTGCCGACATACGTACCAACCACGGCTAAAAACACCACCACTCCCATTGTCCCCCCGGTCACTTACAGCAAGACGTCCAACGCAACAATCATTGTACCTCCTGTCACCACCAAGACGCCCGGCTACACCAATGGCACCACTACCGGCACTAAGATTGCAGTCACTACTGGCACTCTCACCAAGACCAAGGGCACCACCATCGTTCCTGGCACCACTGAGGGCACCACTACCATTCCGGGTACCACCATCGTCCCAGGCACTACAGTGGGTACTACTACTGTTCCAGGCACTACCATCGTTCCCGGAACCACCGTGGGCACCACCACCGTCCCCGGCACCACCGTCATCCCGGGCACCACAGTGGGCACCACTACTATTCCGGGTACCACCATCGTCCCAGGCACTACAGTGGGTACTACTACTGTTCCAGGCACCACCGTCATCCCGGGCACCACAGTGGGCACCACTACTATTCCGGGCACCACCGTCATCCCTGGAACGACCGTAGGCACCACCACTATCCCAGGCACTACCATCATTCCCGGAACCACCGTGGGCACTACCACCGTCCCCGGAACCACCGTCATCCCGGGCACCACAATCATCCCCGAAACAACTGAGGGCACCACCACCATCCCCGGCACCACAATCCTTCCGGGCACTACTGAGGGCACTACGGTCGCCCCTGGCACCACACTTCTGCCAGGCACTACCATCGTTCCGGGCACCACCCTGACTGCCGCTACCACCGCTGCCACCGGTGCTGCCGGTACCACTACCGGTACTGTTACAGCTGGTGCCAACCGTGCCGGCTCGAACGCTGCTGTCCTTGGCCTCGTGGTCGGTATTGCCGCTCTCGTCCTGTAAAGGAGAGTAGGCAATAGCCGCATGTCCCCTAATATTCTGATTTCTCACTGCTTTAATCAATGCTTTTATCGTATTAATATGAGGTTCAGCCTAGCCGGGTGGCTACAGAGTTCTTTTCTCGTGCTTCCGGCCCATGGCATCGTCAAAGGCGTTTGGGATTGCTGGCGTCTTTGCCAGCAACGGAAATGGTCTGCACCTTATATACCCTTCTATACATTCCTTTACAAACGGACCCGGTTGGGGGGTTGGGGAGTCTGGAGACCATGCTTGTCGGGCAGACTCAAAGACAGGTAGTTGCATAGACCGGGACGAAAAAGTTGATGAAGACAGCTATTTGTTTAAAAATCATCACACTCCTTAACCAGATTTACATTAGCTGTTTGATCGTGTGAAAGAGAATCTTGGAATAGTAGACTTTTAGACAAGAAGGCATTACTGCCCAACGGCTGGGCTAGGCCAACGTAACCTCGTTTTTATTTTCACAGACGAAAGGCATGGTAATTATCTTCCAATACTCCGTAGGCAACTCGAGATCGCAGCGGCACTCCACTTCCCATTGTGCACAGGCCTCTGAAAGCAACAAAGTCATGCAGGCTAAACGGAACACAGCTGGCAGCTTGATTACCCGCGCTTCTCTTCATACATTGCCCTCCTTTCTAGGCTGCAGCGCATTCTAGAAAGTCTACCTCTGGCCCAGAAAGTCTACCTCTGGCCCAGAAAGTCTACCTCTGGCCCAGAAAAAACGGACAAGCAAACATGGAGCCTGAAAGTGGTCGGCGAAGAACAAGAAGACGGCGAAAAGTGAAAACGATAACAGAAAACAGAAAGCAGGGAAGATGCGAGCCAAACATACACGCAGCTCTTATTCATCCACAACAGACGCAAACTTGTCGAGCATTGCCGCCTGGATTGCCTCGTACTGTATGAGTCAGCATCTTGTCCTGTTTCATGGACTTCTTCCCTCTCCTCGCTTACCTTCTTCACAATCACTTCCTCGCCATCGGACGGCACCTCGAACTTGAGACTGCGCAGCTGTCCCTGCAGCTCCTGGGTGGCGTCGCGCACCTTGGTCCACGGCAGGCCCTGGGAAATGGCCTTTTGGGCCTCGTCGTGATAGCCCATCATCAGGCGCATCATCCAGTTGGTCTTCCAGATGGGGCAGAACTGGTCGTAGTCCGAGTAGCCGTTCTGCTGCAAGAAGTCCTCCTTGATCAGCGTTGCCAGGTCCAGCGTGATCTTGTCGGGGTCCGACAGCGCCGACTTGCCGACCAGCTGCACGACCTGGTCCAGCTCCTCCGAGTCCGACAGCAGCTGCTTGATGCGGTCGCGCAGCCGTGGGAAGTCGGGGTGCTCTTTCTCGTACCACCGGTCCAGCACGGTCGTGTACTTGGAGTACGACAGCGACGTGTTGACCGACGGGAAATGCTTGCGCTGCGCCAGCTTCTTGTCCAGACCCCAGAACACCTGCACGATGCCCAGCGTCGACGACGTCACCGGGTCCGAAAAGTCACCACCGGGCGGGCTGACCGCACCCACGATGCTGACACTGCCTTCCCGCTCCGGCGAGCCGAGCGTCTGGACCCGTCCGGCGCGCTCGTAGAAGCTCGCCAGCTTCGCGCCCAGGTACGCCGGAAAGCCCTGGTCGGCCGGCATCTCGCCCAGACGACCCGAGATTTCACGCAGCGCCTCGGCCCAGCGCGACGACGAGTCCGCCATCATGGCCACGTTCATGCCCTGGTCCCGGAAGTACTCGGCCACCGTAATGCCAGTGTAGATACTGGCCTCGCGCGCTGCCACCGGCATGTTGGAAGTGTTGGCAATGAGCGTCGTGCGCTTCATGATGGGCTCGCGGCGGCCGTCAATCTCGATCGAGAGCTCGGGGAAGTCCTTGAGCACCTCGGCCATCTCGTTGCCTCGCTCTCCCTGTTTGGTCAGTCAGTCAACATTCCACCGCACTTCGCGGTCCCGCCAAGACGTAAAACGTACACATCCGACGTAGACGATCACGTCGCTGTTGGAGAACTTGGACACCGACTGGCTGATGACCGTCTTGCCGCAGCCAAAGGCACCCGGAATGGCCACGGTGCCGCCCTGCACACAGGGGAAGAGCGAGTCTAGCACGCGCTGCCCGACGAGGAACGGCTGGCTGGCGGTCAGCCGCTCGGTCGACGGCCGCGGCGCACGCACCGGCCACGTCTGCATCATGCCGTACGACGTCGTCTTGCCGTCAAACTCGACGTCGAGGATCTTCTCGTCGACCGTGTAGCTGCCGGCCTCGGCGATGCGCTTGATCGTGCCGCGTGCCCGCGGCGGCAGCAGGATCTTGTGCACCGTGATGAACGAGTTCTCGTAGACTGTGCCCCAGACATCACCGCCCGCAATGTGGTCACCCACCTTGGCCGTCGGGGTGAAGTCCCACTTCTTCTGCCGATCCAGCGCATTGGCCGCCACGCCGCGCGGGATATAGATGCTCTTGGACATCTCCGCAATCGTCGCCAGTGGCCGCTGGATTCCGTCGTAGATGTTGTTCAGCAGTCCGGGGCCGAGCTCGACCGAGAGCGGCTTGCCTGTCCGCTCTACCGGATCGCCGACCTGGAGACCGGCTGTGATGCGGGCCGTGGGTCAGCGTCATCAATGCAAGGCCATTGCACGTCATTGGCACGGACGAGCTGCTTACCCGTCTCCTCGTACACCTGGATCGTGGCCCGGTCACCGCTGATGCGGATAACCTCACCCACCAGTTGGGCCCGGCCTACTTTGACCAGCTCGTACATGGCCACGCCATCCAGCTCCTCGGCGACCACGACAGGTCCCGACACCGAGTAGATCTTGCCCATCTGCTCCATGCTTGGCTGTGGATGGGGGGACGAAGGCTGACGGAAAGCCGGGTTCTAGGTAGCTGGTCAACGAGCAACGATTACGTCGCACCGATTGGCCTTTCGACTGTGGGTGAAAAAATACAACGGAAGCGAAAGAGACGCGAAAGCGGGACAAGAACCACCGGGGAATTGTCTCTTCGGTCGTCGGTTCGGAGAGAGCTGCTTGTTCGTGTGCCGCTGGTCCACTAAAGGTCCAAGGCAATGGCAATGAGGTTTGGGAGAAGGAGAGAGAATTGAGAGGTTGGCTGCTGGCGTATGGCAACTTGTCTGCCGGTGGAGACGATGAGCTTCTGTAGCCTCTGATTTGGCCGTTTGGTGCCTAGTGCATTCTCTAGACCTGCGGGGGACCAGTGCCTAGTGTACAGTGCCGCTCATCTTCAAACAGTGCACGAAATTGCCGCAAGTTCAGATAGCGTATCAATCACAAACAAAGCTTCGACATAAACTCATTATCATTACTTATCTAAAGTACAGACGACGAGCTGTGCCGCGTGACCCATTCATGTTACGATAGAAGACAAGACAGATAGCCTCGCTGTTCCCTACATCCCATACTTCAAAAGTAATGTTACCGTGTTACCGTCCAGACCACTAAAAAATCTCCACCCATAACTGCACAGCGACAAGGACATGGGCGTAGTATACCAAACGTACGCCCAATGACTGCTGTGACCGAAAAAGAAAAGAAAAAGGTAAAAGGAAAACGTTGCCATGGATGGTCTAAGTGGTGAATGTATAGTGTTGTAGTGTCGTGCCATCGTTTCTCTTTCTCTGCATGCAACTCGTTGCGTTCGTCACATTTGTGTGCTGCCAGTGAAATCCTGTGCCGCAGCGGTCTCAAGTGGCATGGTCAGGCTCTTTTCCCACTCCTTCATCAAGTCAGTGGCCGTCCGCTTGATGTTGCCGGGCGTCAGCCGGTTTAGCGCAGCCGACCATTCGGTCGTCCTCTTGGCTGACGGCGATGACGATGACGAAACCATAGCATTGTTCCTACAAAGAGCAAGTTAGAAATCAACGTGTTGGGCCGGAGTCTCTCTCTGCTTCGTTCACTTACAGCGATGTTGTGTTCTCGTCGACTTGCTCCGGTATCCCAGAGACGTCTGCATTCATCGTCGACCCGCTCCATCGAGGTGACTTCGTCGTCGGCGGACTATCCCAGCTCGACCACTCGTTGTCGTCGTACGAATCGACTGTGAGGGGCGTCCACGAGAAGCGCTTGTTCGTCTTTTTCGACCCCGATCTCGAAAGCTTCGTCCCGCCGTTGCCCGCATCCGGTGCCACGCCATCCTTTGTATTCTGGTCATCTGGGTTCACATTCCGAGGAGTCGACGTGGCCGTTGCCTGCGTATCGGCTGTGAAGGCTCTGGTCAGGTTTGGCCGGGTTGCGTTGTTGGTCGACGCACGAATCGTACCCTGCTGATCTTCGTCGCCGAAAGGCCCAACCCCATTGCGCATAGCCAATGTGTTTCCGTGGACAGCTTCGTCACCCACCGTGGCCTGGCGAAGGTCTTCCACAAATGTCCACATAGCAGCCGTGAGGTCGCCGGCGACCTGCTTGAGACCTGCCGCCTGGTGCACAGACTGTGGTGCCCAAGAAGACCGCTTTGGCAGCTGGACAGCAGACTTGGGTCCGTACCGGCTCAGGTTCTGGTGGAAGGGAGAGTCTGGTTCGTGCGACGAAGCGGGAGACTTGTAGAATCCCTCATCATCGGTCTGGTCGTCGTGGATGGAAACCCCATCCGACACTGCCGTTTTCGTAGGCGAGAGCAGAGACAGTGCCCTCGTGTGCCTGCCCGTGAACACACGCCTCTTGGCTTGGGTCGGAGTGCTTGGGACGCTCCCCGTTTGCTGGTTAACCATCAGTGCCTTTCGCCTTTCCATTTCACCGCTGCGCTTTGCTTCGGCAGAATCGCCCGGATCCGATGTTGGCACGTCCGACCCGTTCATCGACACAGATCCCACCTCTGTGGCCGGAGACGCTGCCACCGACCTCGTAGACATCTGCCGCATGGGCTCAGTCCGCCGGATCTCTGCCCTCTTGCGCTGTACCTCGTACGTCTGCCATTGCCTCTTCAACTTCGAGAGGCCCGCCTCGGCACGAAGAAGGTCTTCCCGCAGCTCGAGGACTCGTCGCTCCTGTGCGGCAATGGCTGTGATGATCTCGGCCGGGTCGGACGGATTGGCCAGAACGGCCGAAATGTCGACAGGCGTAGAGGGGAACGAGGCAACGGTTGCTGACGCCGGCATCGGCCGTGACGATAAGGCGGTCGGCAGGGCGATCGGCAAGGTGAGCGACAGCCTGTTAGAGCGGGAAGCTACAGATGCCGACCGTGACGGTCTCGTGTACAGTTCGTCGTCCTGGTCATCGCCAGCGGCCGCAGTCCTGAGAGGCATGGGCACCGAGGATAGCGGGGGCGGGGGCATTGCCGAAGATCGCAGCCCGCTAACCAGTGCCGAAGTGGTTGCCGCCGTGTCGAGGGTCTCGCTAGCAGTGGTGCCTCCGCGGCTACGTACCCGCGGGCGCGGCTGGGGGGCGGCCTGAGGGATTGAACCCTCCATAGTGCCGCTAGATAACTCGAATAGAAGCTCCACGGTGGCTCGATCGATGGGGCTGATGCGGTGGTCCTTGTTGCTGGCCGAGCCGAATGTCCGGACGGAGTTGTGGCGGAGGAAGATGGAGGCTGGAAATGCCGCGGGGACGGAGGAGAGCTGGAGCCGTCTGATCTTGCGGTGAAGAGCAGATTGGTAGCGCCAGCGCCGGAGACAATAGTGACAAGAAAGAGGGGACGTCGTTCTTCGAGAACTGGCAACGACAAAGGCCCGATCGCGGCGGATCAATAGATTTTCGTGGAAGAGAAGGCGGGAGGTGGCGGAAGTGAGGCAGAGAGTGAGGAGAAAGGCGGTCATAAGGAGTATTTTTGTGGCCAGCCGAGTATAAATATCCCCTATTTTCTTCGGTGTTGGTCCCTAATAATACTGGGGAGGATATATGTGTATCCTGTTCTTGGTGGCCATTCATTGGTGGCACGGGCAATTGTGCACGCAGACGATGCGCTGGGATCCGCAGCCCCAGAGTCGTCTAGCTGTGTTGGGCGAGAAGATGACCGGGGGGTTGGTGAAATCAGAAAGCTGCAGGGTGATGCCGTGGAAAAACAGATTGCGAGTACTCAAGGCCGCATATTCTAATGTCGAGACTCCACTGCTGCGGCCGGCTGCATGGGCTGCGGAAATGAGTGGAAGATGCAGAACAAGCACCTGGCGTACGGAGTACGACGTATCTTGCGTCGTCGATGCGATCGATGCGATTGACAAGTGTTGTTTAGAAGCAGAATCGATTAGGCGCAACAAACCGGCGGAGTGGCCAGAGGTGGAGAAGGTGTCGACGTAATCGTCATAAGATGATAACGGTAATACTTGTAATTCCTATTATCGTCACGACGGATGTGGCGCAGGCGGCAGACTTCGAAACAGAAGTGGTTGGCGAGAAGATGCGACTGGGAGAAAACAGGGCTGGCTGATGTTTTAAGTCAGGGCAAGACACAGCGACTGGGATGAGATCGGCAGTTGGCAGGCACGACTCCGTCTTTTGGGGTCTCCTGATCTCGCTGGCTTCCAGCATATAAATACGGAGTACAGGCGGTGTTCTGTTTGTTTTTATGCTGAGCTTCACTAGCAAAGCCCCCTAATGCGGAAACCACAGTAACAAGGTCCCAGGTTCTGGCTGGATCCACCTGCAATTAGCGCACGAAACGGCCTGTCAGATGAGATGGCTAGAGCAAGATACATAAGATACATGGTGACGCAAGGCAGAAATGTAAACAGTGTCTGTCTCGAGGCTCGTGCTTGGGCGTGCAAGCGAGAGCCGAAGTGTCTTGGGTAGAAATGCGGATGATTGCGGTCAGGTGAGAATACGACGAGAGGATCGGATTGTATCTTTCTCCGTATTGCTCGTACGTGTGTTCGTACGCATGCGGACTGAGATATGTGAGGAGCCGCGACGCGACCCCTGGCCGAAAATCCCGGAGCTGACCAGGGCGTGATCATAGGACATTCTTCAACCAGCCCCAGGGTTGTATTGGGGCGGGTTCTCAACGACACGGCAAGATCCCATGTCCTCATTGCGGAGTATTACTCGTACGGAGTATGATGTCCTAATATAGCCGTCACATGACTTCGCGTTTTTAACGAGACTGCATCAAACCCTGGAAAGTACAGAATGGGCCTCTCCACTTGAAAGATGGATGCAATCGTGCGATTTGTATTTCCCAACAATTAGCAACGGCAGGACGACGGCGTATTGCCACGAGTCTTTTGCCTCCAATTCCGTACAGACCCGGTTGCCTGGCCTCCATGTGCAGGACTTCTAGCTGCATTGCGCTAATCCAAGTCATTTCCGACAGGATAGCAAATTCGGCCAGTCCGCTGGCGACAAGCTCTACATAGTACGCCGACTCGCTGGTGTTGGGATAGGCAGCATACGAAACGAAAGCAACCGTGCAATCAGTCGCCAAATCGTTGTCGTGCCAGAAAGGCTACGGGAAATGGCAGTTGCTTAGTCGACATCGGGACCCTTGCTGATCCTGCAGACTTTGGATGATTGGATCCGTTTCACTAGACAGCCTTTTGGTATCTTAAGAGGGATGAAAGGCGGAGTCTGGAGACTGCAGGAGACATCCATTGCAAGTTCTGGGCCCCGTAACTAAATTATGTATCTTGCAACCGGCGTGTTGTTGTCTAGCTACGTATACCAAAAGACCATGGCGATAGATACACCGAGCTACTTCGTACTGTCAACTGCACTCGCAATTCACAGTCTGCACTATGCATTCCACCTAGCCGTTAACACCGGGTCTCAAGTTTGCGCTTATGGACACCATGAGGTCCTACAGTGTAGGGTCGTATGCACTGTATGACTCACTGTGCATTGGCTAACGACGCGACCTGCCGTCAGACGCGATTTGATGTTCTTTTTCTAGCTGCACGACGGCACAGGAAGCAGCATCCACGACAACACGTCAATTCGACCTTTGGCTGTGTTCATGGGCCAACGCATCTCCGGAGAAGCAGATTACTTGCATACATCCACATTGTGACAATTGTGGGGAGGGGAGAGATCACGCAAGCCGCTTCCTGCAGCCTTGGGGAAAAGTTTCATGGAGACCAGCTAGACGGCCCGCTGCTGACGTCCTCTGGACGTCTAGAACCGAATGCCCGAGACGCACGCCATGGACCCGACAGTAGGCACAGCCCCGGATCCGTCGCAGTCGCCGACGCAGAGCAACGAAGACCGAAGCTACGATCGGTTCGAAGATCCCGAATCGCTGCCTCCGTTCATCCTGGGCGCGCTGGCCGCTGGGGATCCGCCCGGGGATGACGAGCTTCTGCCGGACCGGTCGCTCGACGAGGAAGACAGCGGTGCTGTTCGGTTCAGCCTCTACTCGGTGGGGCTGTACTCGGAGGAGTCGCCGCCGGCCAGTGACGTCGACCGGTCGGAGAACAGGCGCTCGCACTTTTTTGCTGCCAGCGAGGACGACAAGAACGACAAGTTTGCATCAGCAGCTGCTCGAATGCCACAGACGCCACGTGCGCCCAGCAAGAACCCGTTTGCCGGACAATATCAGACGCCGCTGCTGGCCGGCTCCCAGCTCTTTGCCCAGACGCCCTTCTCGACGGCCTTCCAGCAGGGCAGCCCGACATCGTCACGTCCGTCTCCTTCAGGTTATCCCGCACCAGCCACCACGCCGCGGGCCCCCGTGTCTTCCTCGCTCAAGCCTCGATTCCCGGCGTCCAGCGTCGGAGACGAGACGCCGGTCCTACTCTGCCCGCTAACGACGTCGTCACAACCCGGCGACAGCCCTCGGCCATCTCCGATTCCGCAGTCCAGCCCAGTGCGGCCGAAGAGGAGAGCACACGGGCCCATCTCCGAGTACGAGCCGATGCGGGAGTCGCAGAGGAGAAGGGAGGCGTCCGAACGATGCTTCCGCCGGGACGACGACGACTTTGGGTCCAGCTCAGACGACGACGTCCAAGACGTCAGCCTGAAGCGCCGTAGACTCGCCGCTTACAAGCGGGAGGCAGGTGCCAGAACACTGTCGACCATCAACATGAGCCGGCCGTCGTTCAGAGAGGACGCGGTGGAGGTGCCGGCGTCGAGGTCCAAGGACAAGTCTTTGGAAGGAGGCCCTCCAGCAACGGCAGAGCCCGGTGATCCCCAGAGCGAAGATTTCGAAGAGGTCGAGTTCCCTCAGTCCATGATCGACCAATACTCGGCACGACCTCCTCCGATCGCCAAGACCCCGTCGTCGTCCGTTCCCTCGCTGCCAGCCATCGCGTTGACAATGGCCAAAGATGCCAAGGCCAATCCGACTCTATTCCGGACGAGCAGTCTTAACGAGACAGAAGCTATCCCAGAGACAAGTCCGGTGGGCAGAAAATCAAGGCCCACCCAAATGGCATCGAGTGGGGACTATCCGCAGCCTCGCGCAGAAATGACCCCACAGCATGTAGCTGGCTCTTCAGCACAAACTGCGATTTTGATACAAACCCCATTGCCTATCTCACAGCGGGCAGCGGTGCCACCACAGACAAGAGGACGGGGGGCCAATACGGTCATCCTGTCCGACGTTCCAGAACATGAGTTTTCCGCAGAACAGCAGGAAGTGCAGAGAACACCCCCAGCACGGGCGTCTTTACAACAAACTCCGGACCAAGAACTCGATCATGCAACAGCCGGCCGATCCTCACCACCAGCTCTGCCACCAGCCTTCAGCACCCGAGCCTGGTCCAGGAGGGCGACGGGCGACGCTGTTGCGACGAAAGCAAAGCGGCCTTCATTGACCGTGTCGACGTCATCGAGGGACAGTTCCGTATCTACGATGAGCAGTCTGTCTTCGACGCCATCCCTGCCCTCGCGCGAGGCAACTCCTACAACAGCGAACACAACAGCGAACGAGAGCGACTTGTCTGCTTGCAAGTCAGACAGGAAAGCGGATACTGCTGCCACGACTGCTGCTTCTGCCACTGGGGACGAATATTCATCACCTCCGCTGCCGGTGTCACGATTGCCCTTCCGGCGGCAGCGATCCAAGATATCAAGGTCAAAAGCAGGCTCTACGGGCTCATTAGGCAGGCCACGGACAGCGTCCCGGAGACAGGAGTCGCCCCTGCTCTCGGGGTCCACGGATGAACTCGCACAGTCGCCAGGTTCTGTAGGGTCCAGGGCGAGAAGATCTGGCGGACGGTTTGTGTCTCTGAAGCCGACGAGTGGTCTGTTTAGCGCGGGAGCAGGAGCCCGGATCTTTGAGGGCATGGTGTTTGCCATCTCGTTCCAGTCCCAGCGGCCGGACGAGAGCGCGGAGAACTGTGAGGAGCGAACGAGACAGGCGCAGACGCTGCGACGAAAAATCGAAGAGGCCGGGGGGCGAGTGCTGCAGGACGGCTTCGACGAGCTGTTCAAGGTGCGGCCGGTGATGACAGCGACGCCTACGGCAGAGACGACCGGCGAGGACTTGCAGCTGGTGGCATCGGCAGCCGACACGGGCTTCACCGCGCTGATCGCAGACGGACACTCGCGCAAGGCCAAGTACATGCAGGCGTTGGCGTTGGGGCTGCCGTGTCTGGCAGTGCGGTGGGCGACGACGTGTCTGGAGCGCGGCCGCGTGGTCGACTGGGCGCCGTATCTGCTGTGCGCGGGCCCGTCGGTCTTTCTGGGCGACGCGATCCGGTCGCGGGCGATGCCAGCACAGCAGACCGCGACCGACGTCTCACTGGCGGCCATCGTCCACAGCCGGCCGCGATTGCTGGATCACGTGACCATTCTTCTGGTGCTGCGCAAGCGTGAAGACCCGCGGCGCATGCCGTACGTCTTTCTGGCACAGGTGCTCGGAGCAGCCCTGACGCGTGTGCACGGACTCGAGGAGGCGCGCGAGCAGCTGCTGGCCATGGAGGACGCCGGCCGGCCGTACGACTGGGTGTACGAGGACGGCCGAGCCGGAGGTGGTGCAGACTTGTTTCAGAGCCTCGCAGCGGCCGGAAGGAAGCGCAAGCGACCCAGCAGTGGCACTGCCGGCAGCTTGGCTGCGCGCATGCCCAGGCGGGTCGCCATGCTGAGCAACGAGCGCGTCATCCAGAGCCTCATCTTTGGCCGGCTGATCGAGGAGGACGAGATGGCCATGTAGAAAAACATTTCTGGGGCACGATGTATTTTACTTTTTTCTCTTGTCGGTTCGGTTGTCCTTGGCTAAACCGCTCTGGGAACCCTCTGGAAGTTTGCTTGTATGATATGGGAGTTGTGTATCTTGTGGAAAGACGGAAAGGTCAAAGGATGAGGCCCGGACAGGACAACGAGGCTGGATCTTGCAGTCATATTGAATTGGTGCCCTTGATTTGCATTTAACGCTGTTTACGCCTCTGTAGGGTATATCCCCCTCAAAGAGTCCCTCCATCCATTTTCTACCCTTTCTTGAATGCGCCATACGCTTGACCTCCCTTGGCCTCCTATCACTCTGTCCGCGGCCGCTTGGTCTCGGACCCGTCGCCGTTCAACTGAGCCTCGCCCGCATCGGCCGCAGCGTCTGCACGGCTGGTCTCGTCTGCGGCTGCGGCTTCGTCGACCTCGTCGCGTCCTCGCACGCGTCCGGCGCCCTCGCCCAGAGGCCCGCTGCCGTCGCGTCCCAGCCAGTTGCCGTCGGCGTCAAAGAACTCGTGTGCATTCTCGGCCGTGATCCAGCCGCCGCTGCCGGGCAGAGGAGGTGGAAGGTCGGATCCCTGTGTGACGGCAGCTTCGGTGTTGTTGTTTGCACCTCTCCGGAAGACGCCCTGGAAGCCTTCGACCGGTTCCAGGTCTCCGTCATCAAAAGCGATGCCGTCGTCATCGTCGTCGTCGCCTTCGCCCGGTCCAAAGAAGGATGGATAGGCATCGTCGTCATCGTCGTTGTCGCCACCGAACCGGTCCGGGTGCAGATCAGCACACGCCGAGATGGCATCGAACAGCCGTGAGGCCTCGGACAGCGACTGCGGGGGCGCCGTCGTGTCTTGTGGCGGCGTAGTCTCGGCTGTCGGCGCGGATTCGGCAGCGGTCGTCTCCTCCGGCACGAGGCTCAGCTCGACCGTCTCGCCCCCGTCATCGTTGCCACCACCAGCCACATCCAGCTCCAACTGCATGTACACAGTCGGCACGCGATGGCCGTCGGCTGCGGTCGCAGATTTGATCGCGTGGAGACCGATGACGGGATACGGCAAGGCGAGGCCGCAGTCCGCTGCAGGGCAGTATAGCGAGAGAGTTCTGCAGAGGGGCAGTCAGAAGCGCGTATTTGTTAAGAGAATCACGCAGCAGTAACGGAGACCACCTACTCAGAGCCCACAAAGACGTCCACCACATGCTGAGCCGTGTCGCCCATGGCCAGGCCGAGCGGCGAACCGGCCGACTCCGGGGCGCTGCCCCATGGCAGCTTTGCACGCTGTTCCCGTGAGATGTATGCGCGCGCACTCTTGGCGTGGTAGTGTAGCACCGGTGGGCCGTCAAAGAAGGACGCCGGCGTGCTCGACTGATGATCGGCGAGAGACGTGTAGGCCGAGACGCTGGGTGGGCTGCGGAGCGTCGTCGGGATAGACGGTGCAGAGGCTGCTGCTGCGGCGGCAGCTGCGGCTGCGGCCATTGTCAGTTGCGAATATAAGCAGGACGGAATGGCGGCGCTGTTTGAAGTTCTGAGTTTCGCTGCTTTGTTCGTCGTCGTCGAGCTTGTCAACTTTTTCGGCCTAGTTTTGCCTGTGAAGTGGAATAGAGGGAACAGCTACGGAGTACTGGTGGGTCTTCTATAAAGCATAGTATTGGCTGGTCTTCTCTTAGTAGAATTGTGGGTCTGCTGCTTTAAAGCCTTGACGATGCCTAAAATTGCTGTGAATCTGTATGTACAGAGGAGTCAATGGTTGTCCAATAAGTGTAAGCAAATACTCCGTAATTAGCGACGAATTAGATTGTCTGCACCTTCGATAGTTGTCATCGTGGCCAGCGTGCATGAACAGGTCAGAAAGTGCACGATTGCATGATTGGGCCAGGCAGTGTATCTCTTCTCGAGTCCGTGTACTCATTGGGCAGTGACAGCAGGCAGCTACTATGTAAAGCATGCATGATCAGGCAAATTGTCTCAGCCCAATTCCCTGCATCGTGGTTCTTCTACATCGTCTGTATTTGTATCTCTCATAACCCTTTATCGCCATCGCAGCACTATGGACCCCGTAACAGCAATCGGTCTCGCATCGTCCATCATCGCTTTCGTCGATTTTGGCTGGAAGCTCATAAAAGGTGCAAAAGAAATATACGACGCCGCCGATGGCACTCTGGAGGAGAACCGGAGCCGTGAGGCTGTTGTCCTCGAGATGAAACGCCTAACCGTCCAGCTTGTCTCGCCCGAGCACTCGCTTCTGTCTGGTGAGGAGAGAGATCTCTGTTTGCTCGCTGGCACATGCCGTAAGCTTTCCGACAAGCTGCTCGATTGGCTGGAGCGGGTCAAGCCGAAAAATGAATAGTCCAAAATGCAGAGCCTTTGGGCGGCACTGAAAAATACGTACTACGAAAGCGAGCGCGAAGATCTGGAAAAGCGCCTAGGCGCTTGTCGCAGTCAACTGGCGCTGCACATTAATGCTACAACCATGTTCTCGATCGACAAGCTCTCCGAGTACGTCAAAGACAATGCCTCAAGCCTCAAGCCGCTGAAGAAAGCCATGTCCCAGCTGTCTCGGATTGGTGCGGATACCCAAACGCAGGTTCGCCAGCTGTTGAATATACAGAAAAACGCGCTCCATGCTATCATAAAGGCCCGAATCCTGGCAGGTTTAAAATTTGAGGGTATGCATGATCGTCATGATATGGTAGCAGAGGCACATGAAAAGACATTTCGGTGGATCTTCAATGTCGAAGGTGACGGCAATCAAGATATGCAGGGATATTCTGCCAAGACTCCGTACCGGCAAGACGATGCTACGAAAGAGGAAGCTGAACTCAAAGAAGAAGCACGAGAGAGATTCCTACAATGGCTATCGTCTGGATCAGGAATTTTCCACATATCAGGAAAGATGGGCTCGGGAAAGTCGACGCTGGTGAATTTCCTGAGCGACCATCCGGAAACGGCGACGAGACTTGAGACTTGGGCAAGTGGGTTATCGTCTTGTTACTCCAACGAACTGCCATGCCGTACTGACTCCTTGCAGACAATAAACAGCTCGTTCTAGCAAGCTTCTTCTTCTGGCGGCCAGGCTCCGATATGCAGAAATCACTCAGCGGGCTCTACCGTTCTCTCTTGCACGATGTGCTCAGCTTCTGCCCCGAGCTTATTCTTGATGTCTTCCCTAGTGTTTGGCAGCGGGCAATGGAAACTCCTTACGACGGTCAAACTAAGGAATATTTTCAAGAGAGCGACATCAAAAATGGGTTTAATGTCCTCGTCACTAAAGAGGAGCTATTCGAACATCATTCGTTCTGCTTCTTTATCGACGGCCTAGATGAATACCAGACCCCAGTGGATGCCGTGATCTCCGATATGGTTGGTGAGCTCTGCCGCTGGACGATCACCTCGCCGTCGAGTGTGAAGCTTTGTGTCTCCAGCCGGGAGTATCCTGAATTTATGGACAAGTTTTCGCCGTCACAGCGGTTGAGGCTTCATACGCTGACACGATTCGACATCGAGGTATATGTCAGAGACAAACTCGGTCGCACAGAAGATAAGGGAATCGCGACGTTGACTAAGTCTATTGTCGAAAAGGCTAGCGGCATCTTCTTCTGGGTGTCGCTGGTGGTCAGACAAATACGTGAGCAGCTGGAGATCGGGGTTGAGCCTGCTCGTCTTGTCGAAATTGTTAATGGCTATCCAGTTGGACTGGACCATCTCTACCGGCACATACTCCAGACACTCTCCCCTTACAGTCGCAAGAGGGCGTACCAGACGCTAACCATGATGCCGTTTGTAGGTGGTACCAGCGACAGTCTACCTTTAGACCTTCTAGCATACTCCTTTCTCGACAAGTACAATGAAGATCCGGAATTCGCCCGGAAAGAGACATTCGATGCGGGACTTCCACAATTGAGGGCCTGCGAGGAGACAACACGATCCCAAGCCCGAAGCCTTTTAAATGGCTGGTGCCGGGGGCTTGTCGAGGCTGACGAAAATGGCCACCTTGGCTACGCTCACCGCTCTGTGGCAGACTTTTTGGAGGCTGCGGACATCCGAGAACGGATGGCTGCCTCTGTCAACGGCTCTCATCCCGTCAGCATCTTCTCAGAGCTAATCCTGGCGCACTTGAAAGTTGGTGTGCATCACGGATTGTCTTCGTGTTCGTTTTTCCAGCTGGTTGGCATACGTCACAAGTACAGCCTCGACCAGGCACCGTTTTCATTTCTGCGCTGCCTAGATACGCTCAATGCAAACATCTGGGACATACTGGGTGATCCTTTGGCCACAAGCGAGCTTGCTGTGCCAACTGCTAAGCACTGCGGGAGCGTACTTGCACAGACAAATATGCCTTCTAAATGGCGGAGTATGTGTCTTTCATTGTACTTTTTCCCTTGGCTCTCGATGGAGGAATACGTATTATGGATGATCTCAAACGATCCAAAGACCACCGACAGTGTATTAAAGGCGGTTCTGCTATTTTGCGCAGAACAACATAGCCGGAACCCGACGTACAAGGTCCTTGATTTGCTCCTGGAACGGGGCATCATCACCCCTTTAACGCAAACCCATTTTACACCATTCAAAGGTTCCGGGTATCATCTGATAAGGGGTGGCATTCCCATGAAAACTCATTCTATCTGGCACAACTTCCTCACACATTATTTTTATAAATGGTTAGTGAGGAAGACGAATCGTAGGTCTATGAGCAAGTTAGAAAAGGATTTCGGCAGCATGGCTGAACGCTTCCTAAAATTCGGTGCCGATCCCCGGTTCCGAGCTGAAATCTTAGAGGAAGGAAATTCCTACTCGAATGCAAAGTACAGCCTGGTGGCCAACTTCTTTTTTGGAGACCCGAGCTTGCCTGAGAGGCATTCGTATCAACGCATAAGGAGTACAATTTTCCGTGACAAAGTGAAAAGTAAGTATTATGCTAAGATGCAGACCCTCTCGCGGGAAGCGAAGGGAAAGTTCCGGGTTGTATCATTCAGAGGCTGGATTCAGACAATGGACGACTTGCCGAACAAAGCAGCTTTGTTACAGCTTGTAGATGGTAGGATGCGGGAACTAGTATACTTGGATACGGGCCATAAAGTGACAGATTCGAACGAACAGGAAGAGCAGGGCTTGGACACGAATATCTCGACAGACAAGCCAGAAACTGATGCTTGCTCACTTACCGCAGCGACAGAAATGTCCAAGGCAGTCTTGGTCAGGACCAAGCCGGCTAGCCGCTTTTTCTTACATTTTCGCTGTCCTATGTAATTTTAAACCAGACTTTCAACGACGTCTCTTCGCGGGGTGTGGCTAACGGCAGATACAGTGATCATCTCGGCTATTTTGGGCTACAGCCGCCTTACACAGGAGGCGCCCAGATAACAGTGAAGCCGGGGACAAGTATAGGCCCTGGCTGGAGTCGACACCATCTAGCGGGTGGACTGTCTAGTTTGTAGACCTAATATAGCACGAGTTTTAGGTCAAGTTAGTTGTCCAAGTACAATCCGCTATGTGATGCAGACAGCCAAACTTGTACGTATCGAACCGGCGGCGGCATATCTCTGAGCGGCATGTGCTTTTCTTGAGACACACGTATTAGTTCTCCTTCAACACTTGCCACTGTTAGTATATAGTTTTCATAAGAGACGCAATTTATCCTTGTCTCATTCAGCAGATCATTGCTTTGTCTCTTTGCTTAGTATATAAGTGGGCCCATCACAGGCCTCCTATCACCACGTGACACGTCCATCTACAGCATCGCCTCTTGTCGATGGAATGACCCCGACAAGCGCACCACAGTCTGCTTGCGCAGCGCCCATCCGACAATGCATGACAGCCGTGCGTGGTACCTGTCCGATGTGCCGTTTGAACGTGATGCTGACCACTCTCTCGCGCGCGCAGGCTCTCATCCGCTGCTGGAGCAGGTTCCCCTGACCGTGTCTCCGTTTGTGAACCTCCCGCGCGCGGCCACGCTGCCGTACCGCTACAAGGCGATGCCGTCGGCACTGCCGCCATCGATCTTGGGCGGCGGCATGGATGGAGGCTCCGGGTCCATGTCTGCGTCTGATCCCGCCAAGCCGCCCTACGTCGTCTCGGCCGCCTCCGGCACCGCCGCCCATCCGGACGACATCCTGGCCAGCTGCCGGGTGCTGCGCGAACACGTGGCCCGCATGCAGGCCGACGCAGACGCTGAGCTGCGCCAGCTCGAGGAGCGCATTCAGGCGCGCGACCTGGCCGAGCGGCGCCGCCTCGCGCCCGGCTGGCTCGACTCGGACGAACACCTGCTGGTGCCGGAGCGGCGGAGCGACGGAGAGGGGGCCGAGACAATAACGACGGCAGAGGCGACGACAAACGCGGCAGAACATACAGCCATGAGCACGCCCACACACACACCGTCAGACGCCGCTGGCGCATCCAGCGGCCCCAGTGAGATGGCCGCTGCCCTGCCTTCGGCCGCGGAGGAGCTCCACCGCACTCTCGGCGGACTCGCGCTGTGAGGATCAATTACAGAAACAAAGGGCACAATGTGCTGCAAAAGAGGGCCGTTGTTCCCCCGTCTGCTTGCAAGTGCACAATCGGTCGGCGTTCTGGGAAGCGTATTTTGGCCACCTGCATTTTCGGCTTGTGGCAGCCATCATGAAGGCTATCTTGGTTTTAAATCATTCCTAGCGAATATGGTATCGTAAATACACAACTAATCTCATAGCTATACTCGTCATCGCTCAATGTTGGAGAAAAGAGGCTTAAATGACAGACCTACAAATCTCATTACGTCATCAAATCCTCACCTCACTCACCTTCTCTCACCTTAACTATCGCCATCTTCCTCACCACCACCCTCATGCTCCCAAATCATAGTAGATACATGTCCCCGTCCGGAAGTTATACACGAAAGCATGTCGTGATCCTGTGCCCACCTCGTAGGCCGTCCGCCAGTCCACGAGCATGCCCTGCACCTCGCGCACGTACTTCTTCTCGACCGTGTTCACGTTCTGCTCCAGCCGCCGCCAGCTGTCCGGATCCGAGAGCGAGGTGGCCTGGATCATGGTCAGCACCTGGTCCGTCGTCTCGACCGCCGCAATCGGCCCAGCCAGAAACGACCGCACCAGCCGCGCCGCGTTGACCTGTGCCTGCTCCACGACTGCCTGCCGGTTGAACTTCTTGCTCTTGTTGTGGCCTACGAGCACTCGCACGTCCTGGCCATCGTAGCCATCGTGTTCGTTGGCCGCGTGGTGTCCGAATCCGTGGCTGCCGCCTACTGAGCTGCCCTCTAGCGAGGACGATGCCGCTGCCGCCGCCGCCGATGCTTTCGTTATCGTCCCTGTTCGCGTCGACTCGCGCTCCCGCATCTCTGCCCGCAGCCATGCCATCACCTGCGACAGCGCCATCTCCACGTCCGGTGCGTTGTTCCGGTGCGCTGCTGCGCTGCCGCTGCCGCTGCCCAAACCCCCACCGCCGGTCGCCGACGCGGGCATCGTCCGGATCTTCACTACGCCATCCTGCTTCACAATCGCGATCCATGCGTGACCCTCGTCCCGGTTCTTCGACACCAGCTCCTCTGTCGACCGCGCGTCGCCTGCAAGCTCTGCACTGATCCCGTGTGCCCACAGCGTCCGCACCAGCTCCACCCCGACTGACCGCAGGATCGTTGGATCGAAGCTTGCCACAAGGACGTCGCACTTGATTATGTCAGCAGAGCCTAAGCCAGTGAAGAACACCCAAAACCTACCCGCTTCGCTGAAAAAGCCCCGTTGGCCTCCTCCTCGGCAGCCCGCTTGAGAAAGGCCTTCCCGCTCGACCGTGGCGGTGCCTGGGCCAGCTTCTCCCAGTTGAGACTGAAGCCGACCGCATGACGCTCGTCTGGAATGTTGGACCCAAACCGCGGCCGGTATTCCTTGATGAGCCCGTCGTACCGTCCGCCCGCTGCGAAGACGTCCTTGACCTTCTTGTCAAGCAGGCACGAGAACATGATCCCGCCCGAGAAGAAGGCCTCGTTCCACGTGTTCAGTGGACACACGTACATCTTGTTGGTCACGCCCAGTCGCTTGCAGTACTCGTGCACCTCGCGCATGTGAGCCAGCGTCGATGACGCTCTCTCGTACGAGTCAGTGCCCACGAAGAGCGTCTTCAGCTTGGAGAACGCCTTGCTGGGTGTGTCGCGGAAGTCAAACTTTTGCAGCTCGTCGATGCTCGTCGTCGACGCTCCCACCAGCGGCGACCGCAGCTCGACTCGCAGCTTCGCCCACGTCATGCCGTGGATGTTGAGTCGGCTCAGAACGTCTGCTACTGCCCGTCTTGCCTTCTTGTCCACGCCACAGAAGTCAAAGATGAGCTTCAGCAGGTCCGAATGGCCCAGCTGGAAGCACAGAGGGCTGTTCCGCAGCGTCGGAAACGCCACCGTGATCTCGTCAATCACTTTGATCACCTCGGCCTCGCGCAGCGCCAGATCCAGCGTGTGTGTCGTCACCAGGTCAAAGTCCACCTCGCCAAACATGCTCGGCTGCCCGCCACCTGCTCGTTCCCGGAAGATGCTGCCAAACGTGTACGACTTGGCAACCACGTCGCCACCCGTGATGCATCGAGCCAGTGCCCGTGCATTACCCATCGTCAGGTCGAACGGCAGCTGCAGCAGATTTCCGTTGCGGTCCAGCAGCTGCACCACGTTGGCCCCGCCGTACAGCGAAGACATCGGGTACAGCGAGCTGCGCGTCGTCTCCACGGCACCGTGTCGCCGGAACACCGACACCAGCATCTCCTTGACCGTGTACTGTCGCATCAGGTCCTGCGAGCTCGGCGCTGTCTGCATCGAAGACATGTCCCACGCATAGTCTTTCGCCTGCTCGACCGGCCGTGCAAACAGCATCGACAGCATCTTCTGGTAGTACGGCGACGTCGGGTCCGACAACTCGGCCAGCGCGTGTCGAATCGTCTCGCTCTCCATCTGCACCGGCAGCTTTCCGCTCTTGAGAAGCTCTGCTCCCGACGGTCGTTCCTTTGGGTTGTGCGTCAGAAGTGACTGGATGATGTCTACCTGCGACTTTTCCTTGGGCTTAAAGTCTGCCGGCAGCACAGGAGGAGACCCTCGGAGCTTCGTGAGCACGTCTGCACGCTGCATCCCAATCATCGGCGGGTAGCACATCTCAAAGAAGATCACGCCGAGTGAGTACATCTGGCCTGTCAGTAAAGCGCGGGCAACCAGCCAACACGGAACAACTCACGTCAACCTTGGTCGTGTAAGACCCGCTGCCTCCCGATCGAACCTCTGGTGCAACATACACCGACGTGCCAATGCTTCTCGTTTCGTCAGTCGCATCCATCGTTCCAGACGTCAACGCTTTGTCGGCCGCAGTAAGCTGGCCCGTCGTAGCGAGCCCAAAGTCTCCAATCTTGGCATTGTTCACGCCATCGGCTCCAGATCCGATAAAGATGTTGTCTGGCTTCAGGTCACGGTGCACGATTCCCAGTCCATGGATGTGTGTCAGACCTTCGAGAAGCTGTCGGAACAGTCGCCATACCTCTTGCGTGTCCTTTGATAGATTTCGTGCGATGAGGTCCCGAAGAGACTGCGAATATGCTGTTAGCCCACCAAATACTAGGAATGATTACCCATTTAGAGACACTTACCCGCTTCTCGCAGTACTCCATGGAGATGTACATGATCGTACGACTCGGCCGTTGACTGCCCCTTCTGGTGCGCGACCAGCCACGAGCAGGCATCCGATTGTTTCCGTCGTTGGTCTCCGTAGTATTCGAAGCGTCGTCGTCGGAGCTGCCAACCTCGTCTTCCTCTTCTTCTTCGCTGCTGTCTTCGTCCGTGGCATTAAAATTGCCCCCCTCCTCATCCGAATCGGACCCGAACACGATGTTGGGATACGGCCCAGAAGACAGAAAGTCCAAGCCACCGCTTTTCGTAAACTCGATATTAAAGCCTTCCAGATCCTCCCTCTCTCTAGAACTGTAGCCCTCTGTGGCTGTTTCACCTTCCGAGCCGGAAAAATCATGTATCTCCTCCAGCCATGCGTTGTAGTATCGCACAACGGCCGGGTGGCTGAGCTGGGACAGAAGCCGGACCTCCTTCAGAATGTCGGTAACCGTGAGGCTGTCTCCGGAGCTCTGTGTGATTGTAATCTTTTTGATGGCGTAGATCTGCCCGTCCAGCTTCTTTCTCGCCTTCACAACCTCTCCGAAACCGCCTTTTCCAAGGCGGCCTTCTTCGATAAAATCTTCACGGTAACGAGACGCTTTCGGCACCCGCGTTGTCGAGTCGCGCCGGAACCGGGTCGGAAGGCTCTGAGGGATCGAGATCATGGCGTCGTCCACTGCGAACGTGTCCTCAGACAAAATCGGTGCATCCGTGGCCAGGAACTCGCTGGAGCCGAGGTCAAAGGCTCGTGGCCGCTTCTTGGGATCCGGCATAAACAGCTTGGACACCAGTTCGGCCAGGGGGTCGGACAAGTTGAGCGAATCCATAATGTCCTTGGGGGAATGGTATTTTTGAGGGACATCGAGGCCGAAGACCATCTGCAGAAATATGAGGCCGAAATCCCAGACATCTGTTTTCTGTGTGTACGTCGGCCGCGATGCTCCAGCAATCTCGGGCGGCAACCAGTAGGCAGATCGGGCTGTGCGTGTGGATGCGATCGTGGGACCACTGCGCGAGTAGATGCTGTGCATCAGCTGCTGGTAAGAGGCGTCGGCAAGCTTCGGGATGATGTCACTGGTGGCATCCCGACAGAGCAGCACATTGCTTGGGTGAAGATCCTCGTGGAGGAGGCCGTGACCGTGCAGAAAGTCGAGAGCATCCAGGAGGTCCCGGGTCCAAGCCCGCACCTTTGTCACTTCCAGGTGTCCAGCAAGCTCCAATATATCTTCGAGCGATCCCTTGTCCGACATCAAGCTCAGAATGCTGACAGTCCATGTCGTCTGCTCTTGCGGCTGCAGGGGCTGGGTGAGCGAGCCTTGGGACTGGCTTAGCCGAGGAGACTTGGGCCGTTTGGTACGCGTGGGCGAGGTCGGAGGCGGCTGGGGCTGTCCAGGTGACTCATCACTTTGCACACTTTGCATGCCAGACGCCCGGTCAATTCGAAAGTCGATCACGTCGACAATGTTGCGGTGCACTTTCTGGCGACGCAGCCGTTTCAGAGCGATCAGCTGGGTCTCTAGAGACTGCATCTGCTTCAGGACTGCCACCGAGTCGTTGGCGCTTGTCTGCAGCTCTGTTTGTTTGAGCGCCAGGCTGCACTCGTCCTGGTCGCCCGGAAGTATAGGTTTCACGAGATAGATCTTCGATATGGGTCCCGTATGCATGAGGAATCGACCAGTCACGGCCTTGAACTGGACGGTGTTTCCGGTCGTGTCCACCATTTCACACGGCTCGTCGAATACCATGGCTTCGTCGGGAGCTTCGGAACCAAAAGCACGCTCGGGAGACTTGGTGCTGCCAATGTGGCTCCTGTTCTTCTTCCGCAGCTCCTTGGCCTTGGTGCGCTGGCGCTCGCGTTCCTGTTCCACCAGGGCTCCGAGAGCACGCTCCTCCTCCAGCGCCTCTTCCTGGCGCTTTCGGTCCTCCTGCTGCTTTTCGTCCAGAGCAGCCTGCGCGATCTTAGCTTCGTGGGCTGCTCGTTCTTCCTCCAAGGAGGGCAGCTCCAGGCCTTGTGCCTTGGCGATGGCTGCATCTTCCAATATCTCGCGGATCCCCTCCACAAGCAGATATATCATAACCGTGTCCTCGGCGGCATGTTCTTTGGCGTTCTTCTCGAGATATTTCTGTGCTTTGAACACGGTCGAATCCCGCAGGCCATCGCGGTCTTTGAGCGTAAGCAACGGTACTGATTTGGGGTACGTTGCGGTCAACACAACACCCAAAGTCAAAGCGACGTCTTCATCTGAGGGCGCCCTGATCCGGATATCGAAGGACGGTTCTGATTTCTTTGCTTGTCAGAAGACATTGGCTCGGATCAAAGAGACAGATGACTGCATACCTTCCAAGCACTGTGCGCAGCCTTGTGTTGGACAAAGTCGTCTCCGTAAATGGCCTCTAGGGCGGTCAGCTCTTCTTCCTGGCGCTCCTCATACGCAGTCTTCACACTTCCCGGCTGCTGCTGCTGCTGCTGCAGGCCGGGAAAGTTGGTGGAGTCATCTTGCTTGACGTTTGCTTTCACGGGCTTTTTGCCGGCCATCCTGGTGGTCTTGGTTTCGGAGTCTCACAGCCTGCAAAGGCTGCTTAGAGCTTACCCGGAGAAGCCCATGTTGCAATTGGACGTTGGTGCAGTTCGGTGCGATGGTGTTGTAGTTGGCAAGGCAGAAAAGCCGGTGAGGAATGAGTCAGGAGGGGCGCCCAAAGTATGAGGTTCGAGAGCTGTAATTAGCGGGGCAGAGCTTCGTTGAAGGTCAGTGGCGAGGCTGACTCTGCGCTAAAGCACGGCGTTAAGTGCTGGCGGGTCAGGCGCCAATAGAAGGGGGGTTATCCGCACGGGCCACCTCATCTCTGTTGTTCCCATTTTGGCAAGCATGTAAACAGGCGTGTCGATTCATGTCAGCAAGTATTTACTCGAGCAAATTTCTCCATTTGGCTCTCGTCCGCGTGCCCACTGCCCAGAACAGTGGACGCAAGCCCCTCCACTCCAGCACCCCTCGAAGTAGGAAGACTCAACATTGAACGCGCCTTGATACAATGCTCGGCTGGGCGCTGAAGCGCAGTCTGGGAGGAGGACGCGACGCGCCGGAAGACGCAGGTGAGGAACAACGCGCCCAGAAATGAATCTATCGGATAAGAGTCCAATCTGACCCAGTTCTTTTGTATTCTGTGTAGACGACACGCAGTTGGAGCAGCCAGACACCCCGGCGCCCGTTTTTGCAGCACGCGCATTCAAAAGCGCTCTGTTCGGAACGCCAGTACGGCGAGACGACAATGCCAGGCGGCAGCTTGCGGAGAAACTCAGGGCCAACACCACTGTAGTCTCGATCGTGCCGCAAGGTTCTTTCGAAGGCCGCACGTCGACAGATGAGAATGGCAACAAGAATGGGCCGGACACAAAAGGCACTCCGCGAAAGCTGGCCGGGATTCTCCTGACGCCAGGAACGGCAACGTCACGTCGGAAGCGAGTCTCGTTTGGGCGCGAGGTTGAGGCCGGCGAGAACGACAAGAAGAAGGAGCTCAGGATCGACAGAGACGGGCGCGGGCGCGTGAATCTGTTTGGCGACTCGGACGTCAAGGCGGCCAGCGAGCGGTCGCGCGCCCGACCACGCTCCAAGCTAGCTCTGGCTCTGGAGAATGCCCACCGATCGGGGGCCGAGACACGGAAGGAAGTGATGGATGAGCAGACGGAGGATCTTCAGGCTCGCCTACAACAGGACACACAACAGGCTACGTCCACGACGGCGGCACGGGGGGGCGAGGAGGAGGAGGCTCTTTGGGAGGAGGTGGACGATGTCGAATGGGACCCGGATGTGACAGTCGACCTCAATGAGCCACACTCGCAGTCAGGACGATACTGGAAGGCGCAGTTCCAGCGGTATCAGGAGGACGCCAAGGCGGAGATGAGCAAGCTGCTCAAGTACAAGCAGCTGGCAAAATCGTACGCAAAGATGAAGGACGCGGAGTCGATGGACCTACACGCGAAGCTCAAGGAGGAGAAGGACAAGGTGGCCAAGATGGAGAGTCACATCTCGGAGTTGGCGCGGCAGATTGCTCGCGGGCGGATGAAGGGCAGCGACCACGACTACCAGGAGCTGATCACGGATCTGACACGGGAGACGGCGCTAGCGGTGCAGTACCGCAACCAAGTTAAGGAGCTGGAGGCGATGTTGAAGGGCAACGAAGCGGGGAACCTGTTGGGCTATCAGGATCCAGAGGACCCGGTGAGCCCGAGCCCGGCGCCCGGACGGCGACGTCACCAGCAAGCGGGATTGGGGCCGTCGCCTCGCACGCACCGAACGCTGCTGGAGACGCAGCGAGAGCTCCGACGGGCAAGGGACCAGGCGAAGGACCTGGTGCAGGCTAAGGAGGAGGCGCGGCAGCTGAAGAGCGAGCTGCGGGCAGCGGAGCAGCGGGCACGCAAGTACGAGAACGAGAGCAAGGCGCTGGCAGCCGAGCTGGCGTCAGCGGAGGAGACGGTGCAGGCGGCAGAGGCGAAGACGCAGGACCTGGAGAAGCGGGCCAAGTTTGCAGAAGAGGAGCGGCGACGAAAAGACGAGGCACTGCGGCAGCTGCAGCGACGATACGACTCACTCAAGGACGACGCCAAGGCGCGAGTGGGAGAGGCCGAGCAGGTGCTACGGCGGAAGAACGACGAGATTGCCGAGCTCAAGGAGAAAGCGGCCCGGAGCGAGGAAGATATGGTGGTGAGGACGACAGCACAGACGATGCGGCGTCACGAGTCGGTACGAGCATCAAAGCGTCGGACAGCAGAAGCAGAGGACGATTTCGCGATCCGACTAGACGACCTGCACGACGACACGATGGAGGAGCCAGAGCTGCCGCGACAGCGTCTGTTGGGGAGCAACAAGGAAAACGAGTGTCAGCAGGAGCAGCAGGATACATTTGCGGCAGCAAGAGCGGTGGCATCACGACGGCGACCCAAATCGATGACGTTTGAAGACAGCGCGGGCGCTGGCGGGCTTCGGCGGCGACGGGGTGCCGATGCGCTGCGCACGATTGACCAGCCGCGGGTAGACGAGCGTGTGCGGTCAGCGGCAGCGACGGCGATGGTAGCAGCCAAACGGTACTCGTATGCTGGGGGTGACGAGCCAGACATTGACCTTCTTGGGAACCGGTTTGCGCGTCTAGGCGAGACAGCCGGCGAAGCCGAAACCAAGAGGGAGGAGACGGAGCAGCTCAAACACAGGCAGCATATGCACCTGGCGGCGGCAGACACGCCACGGGCTTCGATATCATCGGAGCGCGTGGCGGCAGCTCTGGCAAGGGTGGAGAAGAGGCGGGCAGAGCGGCGACGAACGTTGGGTTCGATGCGGAACAGAGATATGTAGGAGAGGAGAAGGAGCTGTGGGTTTTCTGGATTGTGTTATGGCGCCGGGTTGGAGAAGGTCTATTATTGGGAGGCTATCTCTAGGAGAGAAGCTAATTCTGGGAGAAGCTTGGGAGAAGCTTTTTGTACGAGTGGAGGATATGAGAGAGAAAGAACCTTTGCGACTGTGTTTGGTCGCCGCTGTGTTTTTTAAGCGAGAACTGTTTCCTATTAGTGGCTGCTTTAGTAAGCCAGCCAGCCCGAGATACCTATAATTTGCGGGCGCTGCCAGAGAGCAGCAACTGCCTGTTGAATTTGCGTCAACGCCATCCTACCGTCTGCGCTTTTTGTGTGCTCACTTTGCCGCGATGGGCTCGACAGCAGACAGCGTGCTGCTGGTGCTGGGTGGTCCTGGTGGCAGCGCCGATGAAGGGCTTGCAGCGGTCGACCAGGAGATTGCCGATCTGGAGGCGCGTCTACGAGCGGCCAAGCAGCGACGGGCAGAGGGAATGGGTGTAGGTATGGCTGCGAGAGCAGATGGAGATGGAGATGGAGATGGAAGTGCAGAGGCAGAGACAGAGGCAGAGGCATCATCGACGCTCACAACGGCACAGCACTTTTACCTATTGCTGTCGGACTCGGCGCTGCCACTGGGCTCATTTGCCTTTAGCAGCGGACTCGAGTCGTTTCTGGCACACAGCAAGACGCAAGGCCATCGAGCAGGCGATGCCGCATCGCTGGACCGGTTCCTTCCGCTGTCCGTGGCATCGTATGGCGCAGCCAGCCTGCCGTTTGTGTTGGCAGCGCACGATGCGGTGGGGGTGACGAAGACGATGACGACGACCCTCTCTGACAGCCTCGCACAGCTTGACGACATATACGACGCCACTATCATCTGTACTGTTGGTCGGCGTGCCTCCGTGGCCCAGGGTCGCGCCCTGCTGTCGGTATGGGAGCGAGCCTTTGCACCGGCGCTGGTGGCGGCCGGCCAGACGGATCCGCTGCGGCTGTTTGCGCAGCTCGTCAAGGGTACTTCATCTTCATCCACTTCCATCCTCGATGCTGCTCCGTCTCCTCACCTCCCGCCGCTCTTTGGCGCCGTGGCCGGACTCGCCGGGCTCGACCGCCGCCAGACGGCCGACGTGTTCGTGTTCGCCCACGTCCGGGCACTCGTGTCGGCGGCCGTGCGCGCCAGCCTGATGGGCCCGTACCAGGCACAGCGGCTGCTCGCATCAGAGCGCGTGCGCGTGCTCGTGGCCGCGGCCGTCCGTCGGTCGTGGGCCGTGGCCGTCGAGGCTGCCGGACAGACGGCACCGGTCGTGGACCTCTTGATGGGCCGGCATGAACTTTTGTACTCGCGGATCTTCAACAGCTAGGGGCTGCTGCACGGAGGTGAGGGTACGAAGATTGAGGACATATCCCGTTCATAGACCATGATGACTAAGCAATCTGAAGAGATGCACAAACAGAAAGATACATATGAGATCTCTACTTTATGCTGTCAAAAGCAAGCAACTCAAAAGACAGGTGCATCGAACACTTTGCCGTCCAACTTACAGAGTAGCAGTCCTTTAAAGTACTCCGTACCATGCTCCATACCCATGCTCCATCCATTGTGATGTCACGCTTTATCGCAGCCCCGCCACCCCGCAAATCCAAAAGGCCTAAGCAGGAAAATCTCGGCGAATACTCGACGACGACAGCCGCAGCCTCACTCGCCGCCTTGCGCCCATTCACTGAAAGCGACAAATCGCGAGCGCAGCCGCTTAGCTGCCGGCCACCGCCAGGATGGTGAACATTACGGAAAAGATCAAGGAGTGCGTGGTGGCCAGACGACTCGATGGCAACGCTAGCATGTGCTGACGGAGACCAGGATTGAGGATGAGATGAAGCGGACGCAGAGTGAGCCAGGCCGCGGAAAAAGTCTGCGGAGAAGTGCTGACGATATTCATCTGCAGAGAACAAGGCCACAGGTAAGACGGTGGACTGTCTTCTTGTCTAGCTGTATCACGAGCTAACGGCTGCAGAGTACCATCTCGGGCTGCTAAAAGGGTGAGTCGGGAGGCGGACACACGAGACGACGACATGCTCACACGACGACAGAAAGCTGGCACGGCTGCGGGCGCAGCTGCTGGAGCCGGGACCGGGATCGGGCGGCGGACCAGGGGCGGGTTTTGACGTGAGCAAGAGCGGAGACGCACGAATCGCGCTGGTGGGCTTTCCATCGGTCGGCAAGTCGACATTCCTGTCCAAGGTGACCAAGACGCGATCAGAGGTAGCAGCATACGCGTTCACGACGCTGACAGCGATCCCGGGCGTGCTGTCGTACGGCGGAGCAGAGATCCAGCTGCTGGACCTGCCGGGGATTATCGAGGGGGCAGCCGAGGGAAAAGGACGAGGCCGACAGGTGATCTCAGCAGCCAAGACGAGCGACATGATCATGATGGTGCTAGACGCGACCAAGAAGGCAGAGCAGCGGGCACTGCTGGAGGCCGAGCTCGAGGCGGTGGGCATCCGGCTGAACCGGGAGCCGCCCAACATCTACCTCAAGGCCAAGAAGGCAGGCGGGATGAAGATCACCTTCACAGCACCACCACGACACCTGGACGAGCGCATGGTCACCAACATCCTGCGCGACTACAAGATGCTCAACTGCGAGGTGCTCGTGCGCGACGACGGCGCCACGGTCGACGACCTGATCGACGTCATCATGCGCGACCACCGCAAGTACATCCGCTGTCTGTACGTCTACAACAAGATCGACAGCGTCTCGCTCGAGTTTCTCGACCAGCTCGCGCGCGAGCCACACACGGCCGTCATGAGCTGCGAGCTTGATCTCGGCCTTCAGGACGTCGTCGCCCGCTGCTGGCAGGAGCTGCAGCTCATCCGCGTCTACACCAAGCGCAAGGGCGTCGATCCTGCCTTTGACGATGCCCTCATCGTGCGCGCCAACAGCTCCATCGAGGACGTCTGCGACCGCATCCACCGCACCCTCAAGGACACCTTCAAGTACGCTCTCGTCTGGGGCGCCAGTGCCCGCCATGTGCCCCAGCGCGTCGGCCTCAGCCACATGGTCGCCGACGAGGATGTGGTCTACATTGTCAGCGGCTGGAAGGCCTGATTGTGGCGTGCAGTATTAATAAAGTCATTTTATTCATTGCCATAGACTCGCCGTGCCCTGTTCAGTCCAACCTGTAGAACGCCGTGCTGGACCTCCAGCCAAACAGGTAAATAACAGACAACGATGTGTGTAACAGAAAGTACAAGGGAAGAAACGTAAACAAGAAAGAGAAACGATAATAACGACAAGGAGAAGGTGCATGTTGGCCAATGCTGCCCATCAATCTCTGTCGACTAATCACTCGCCCTCCCTCCAAACGGCGACGCATCGCTGTCCAGTATCTTGCGGGCCGATGCCTGAGCGAACAGCGACTTCGGCTTGACCCTGCGATGGTGAGTACGGAGAATAGAGAGAGAGAGAGTATGGAAACAGAAAAGACGTACTTGCCCACCTGCTTGTTGCGCAGGGCCTTGAGCTTGGCTGTGCAGGGGCTCATGATGTTGTCGGACGGCGAGACGTACTGCTTGGGACTGTGGTTGTCAGTTTTGGCTGCTGCCAGCAGAAGCAGGATCACTCGCCCTTCGGCATCCATCTTGGACTGCAGCACCTGACGGTGGTACTCCATGCTCTTGATGTCCTTGGCGCTGGCTGAGCCGTCAGCCAGGGCGGCGTTCACGTCCTTGTCGCCGAGAACGGCCTTGGGTGCAGCAACGAAAGAATTCATGGCGTGTGTGTGTGTGATATGGTGTGGTTTGCAGTGTTGTGAAATCAATGTAGAGGCGATGTAAGTCTGGTTCAAACTGTGTACTGGCAAGGTCTGTTTCCAGAGAAGACACTCAAAATCTGGAGGCCGTAAGTGCTTTGTAGACCGGAAAAAAGAAGCGAGTGGGGCCGGCATGCCTTCCTGGCTTGTGAAAGCGCTGTTCGAGACAAGCACAAAAACAGAGTGCACTAGCATAAACAAGCGGCAGACGTTAACTAGGCAACAGCGTCCACCAGATGACTCACATTCCGCGACGGTTGCGATTCAGCTTGCAATCCAGCGTTCGATCCTCAAACGACCAGCTTGCAATCATCATCTTTCCAGCATTGCTAACGGTATACAAGTTCACGCATTCCATCGCTCGATTGTGCTTCCTAAAAGTTGTGACATACAAAACCCGTAGAGCCTGGCCGACTCCCATGCAACGCTTCCTACAGCTTCGACTTGCCTGCGTGCTTGATGTTTTCGCCCGGTTGCGCACGTGTCTGTCCGTGGCGAGCGAGCAGCTCCTCGCTGCGGGCGCGCTGGCTCTCAATCGAGGCCGTCACGGCGGCGCCGCGCCGCTTGTTCTCGTTGCGGCCGAGCTGCTGCAGGTGCACCTCATCGGGGCCATCGGCCAGCCGCAGCGTGCGGATGTTGGCCCACATGGCCGCCAGCGGCGTGTCCTGGCTGACACCGGCGCCGCCAAACGCCTGCACAGCCCGGTCGATGACGGCCAGCGCCATGGCCGGCACCAGCACCTTGGCCTCGGCGATCTGCGTCAGGGCTGCCTTGGGGCCCTGCTCATCCATCGTGACGGCCGCCCCGAGCACCACCAGCCGTGCCGCGTCAATCTCGATGCGCGACCGCGCCACCCACTCGAGCACCACGCCGTGCTCGCGCAGCAGCTTGCCAAACGGCGTCTTGCGCGGGTCGTTGATCCGCATCAGCAGCCAGTCCAGTGCCCGCTCGGCCGCTCCGACTGCCCGCATCGCGTGGTGAATCCGTCCTGGTCCCAGACGTCCCTGAATGATCTCGAAGCCGCGGCCCTCGCCCAGCACGAGACTCGTCGCCGCCGGCACCCGCACGCCGTCAAACACCAGATGTCCGTGTCCGTGGGGCGCGTCGTCGTAGCCGTACACGCTCATCATCCGCCGGATCGTGATCCCCGCTGCGTTCGCTGGCACCAGCACGATTGACTGCTGGCCGTACGGGTTTTCCGCCGCCGTCGATCCCGCCCCTTCGATTCGTCCCATCACAATGTACAGCGCACAGCGCGGATCACCCGCTCCGCTCGACCACCACTTCGACCCGCTCAGCACGTACTCATCGCCCTCCCGCCGGATCGCCATCTCAATGTTGCGCGCGTCCGATGAGGCCACCTGCGGCTCCGTCATCAGAAAGGCCGACCGGATCCGGCCCTCCATCAGCGGCACCAGCCACTGCGCCTTCTGCGCTTCGCTGCCGTACTTGGCCAGCACCTCCATGTTGCCCGTGTCTGGCGCCGCACAGTTGCATGCCTCCGACGCCACCCGCGATCGCCCTAGCCACTCCGCCATCAGCCCGTACTCCAGGTTCGTGAACCCCGGTGACTCCTTGTAGTGGCCCGCCGGCAGAAACATGTTCCATAGCCCCAGCGCCCGCGCCTTGGTCTTGAGCTCCTCCACGATCGTCGAGTGCTGCTCCCATCGCTCTTCACCCTTGCCCGTCTGTGCCTCCACGACCGGATCGGCCCTGGTGAAGGAGAGAGAGAGGACATCAGTCATCTGCCCGAGCCACGCCTCGTTGCCCTTAGACACTCACGGAATGCATTCCTCCTCCACAAATTTGGCCACAATGTCCAGCGTCTTCTTCGCCCGCTCCGACACGCGGTCGCGGCACTGAGACCGGTTAGCGATGAGGCCCACTGAGCCCTGCAAACAAGTATCGTGTCCTCACAATGGCAGGGATTCTGTCCGACATGGTGAAGAGTTGGGCCAGGGAAAGTTTGGCGGAACAGAGCATTCAGACTTCAGACAAGAAAAGGACTGGGGGCAGGACAGATACCACACTGATATACCAGCTTCAAATTCTGGGGATCCCCGCTCGAATCGTTCCACCGTTGCCGTTACAGCAGCAGGGAGCAGTGCCGAGGTCCAGGTCGGGGAGCAACTTGTGGGGTAAGGAGCTTCTGGTTAGGCTGTACTCCACACTACGACGTACGGAGTAGTTTATGACGCTGCTATGTATAGTCACGTGATCTATTCATTGCTATGTAAGCTTCGTCTTGTTGCATGCACGGGTTTGGTCCCGTGCATACAGAAATACACAACTTGTGCAACACATACGCGTACGACACCACGGCTGGCCCGGATGGAGCGCATCGCACGACGAAAGAGGTGGAAGCGGCGGATCTCGCCCTCAAATCGCATTCTGCACACGGGCTGGGCCAAAGTCTCCCCACATCCCGTACTCCGTACTCCTCCCACGCGCTGCAACAACAGCCCGAGACGCGGGATCGGCGCAGGTGAGCTCGCACAGCGCGAAAACACGCCAGAAGAACCTCTGTGTATGACAGAAAACCGGACGATCTGGTATATCTGTCTGTCGTCTCTTTCGCCGAGTACGAGCAGGTCTGAGTCACGAAAACTTATAATGCACTTCGCCCTTGCTTTCGTCCCATCAGCGTACTTCTTCTTTCGCTCTCAGCCTTGGAGCTCAGCCTCAGCAACCCCTAGTGGCAGCCTAGTCCAGCTCGCAGGCAGCTTTCAAATCGAGCAGAATAGCCACCGACCCCCCTGGTGCCAATGTCGTACTCGTAAGCTGTCTTTCTTTGCTTTTTGTCTCGCTCCTCGTATCCTATACCTGCCCCTCCCCTTCTCATGGCCGTCGCTGCAACTGCACACTCTTGTCTGCCACCGTTGCATTCGACCTGCTGACGAAATCTCTGCGTTCCAAGATACAACAAGCATAATAGTGCATCCACGTCTTCGGCCTTGCCGTCTGCAATCAATAAAGACGCAAGCCTTCGCTCTTTCCCGCACCGCTCTTCGCCTAGCGGCCAATCACCGCCTTTCTATCCGCTCGCAGCTTCCTGACTGCGACAATTGCTTCTGCGCGTACCTCTTTACTGTCCGTCGTGCCTGCCACTGACTGTACCAACGCTGTCGCCTCCCCCCCGCTTTCGGACCCCGCCATCGCCCTACACATAAACTGCCTCAACAAATTGCTCTTCCGATGTTGACGCCTGTCTGGTGATGAAGGAAAAAAAAAACAATCGAAGCATCTACGCACCCAACTTGTCGCTAGCTTGGCACCTGGTTAGCATCCCACGTCCAAAGTTGTTGCATCATATCCCGCCTCAGCTTCGCGTCACTTGCTCGAACCAATGGTTGTCTTCTTTACTGCCCAGTAATGCGCATCCGCCAAGCGGTCTCGAGAGCTGCCGCATACCCTTGAAATCGCCCGGTCTCTGGCATCACCACTAGCTCTACCCGTTTTCGAAGCCCTCTCTCTGCTCTCCTGGCCGCCGCCATGAAGACGTCCCTTCCTCGCAAGTTCATGAGTTTGCGGGACAAAAACGGCACAATTCACCGCCGGAGCAAGTCGTCAGATCCTCAAACCCACAAGGTGCGCCTTTAAACGAGTCTCGGAAGCTCTTCGAGCTTGGCTTCGACGTCGTCCCCTCCAACCACTAACCTTGTCTCTGCAGAGCCGGCCGCATTCTGCTGACGTCTTCCTGTCCTATTTCAAAAGCGATGCCGCCAAACAGGCTGCCCGAGCAGAGGAGGAAAAGGGAAAACAGGCTGCAAAGGTACCTCACCGTTCCCCCCTCTCTCGAAGCCTTGATCATAGACAAACTCTGACAACAGACTCTACACAGCTCGACGAGCTTCGCAGCCGCCTGGACCAGCTTCATTTCACAGATGTCGCCAAGGAACACCTCGGCTATGTTCTGCGATCCAAATACGCGGACGGCGATGTTGATAAGGCCGTCGAGCTGATCCGCCTCCAGCGGGACGCCTTCGCTGGCGTCGTCCTTCCGTACAACCCCAACTCCGAGATGAAGGGCGCCGAAAATAGATTCAACGTCACCTGCTACCTCGACGCTCTGCTCTTTGCCATGTTCGCCAAGCTCAGCGCCTTTGAGTGCATGCTCAAAAACGAACTGCCCGACGGCCCTCCTCGAAAGCTAGCTGCCCTCATCCGTTTATGGGTTAACATGCTGCGCACCGGTAGACTCATCTACGCTGACATGGTAGGTGCTTACACTTTTCCATCTTCTTTGAATTCTCGTTGATTTCAGTCTAGGCTGCAGGCCTACAGGAGACCCTTGCCGACTGTGGCTGGTCAGACGCTCGTCTGGCCGAGCAGCAGGACACGTCAGAGGCCTTCGCCTTTATTACCGAAACCCTACAGCTTCCGCTTCTCACTCTCCAGGTCGACCTTTTCCACCAGGGCAAGCGCGATGAGGATGACCACAAAGTCGTCTACGAGCGTTTGCTCAACCTGGCCGTGCCGCCCGATCCCGACGGCAAGGGAATTAAGCTGGAGGACTGTCTAGAGGACTACTTTAACACCAAGGTCGATGTCTTGCGAGACAGTGCCATCGACAAGAAAAGCCTCGACAGGTCCTATACAACTCCTACGTCTGCCGTCTCTCCCATAGAATCTCCTGAACCGTCCATGTTCACCGCAGCAACTCCAGGGCCCAAGGCTGTTTCGCCGGTCAAGGATTCTATGGGCATCGATACATCCGAAGTGGTCACAGTCACAGCTACAGCCACCAGTCAAGAAGCAGCGGTCTCTGCCACGGCTACGATAACAGCGCCGTTCCTTGGAGATACCGTTCGGATAGTCCCCTCCGAAGACGACGCCGGGAGCAGCCAGGAGAGCGCCGAGAGTGTAAGCGAAGCTCTCGACGACGACCCAGCGCCGCTGCATCGTAGGTGGACAACTTCGGAAGCGTTTGTGGCAGCCTCTTTGAGCGACACTGCTTCTTCTTCGTCCGCCGACCCCCGCCTACCGCTCATTGGCCGCCAGCGGTCGGCTAGCATCATTCAGCGCATCGCTCTTACGGAGGCGAAGCCGGCAAACATGGATTCTTCGAGCATCATGCAACAGTTTAAGCGCCAAGGTTCTACTGTCATCAAGGCCGTCACGATCCCTGCATGGCAGATCTTCAGGTTGATCCGTAAGTTGCTTCGTATAAGCCCCATATCCAGTCCTTTTGTGTCCATTTTAACCCTGCCTCAGCTTGGCATGCGGCTTCGGACAACGAACCGGTCAACGACATCGAAGTGGCCCGCCAATTCAACAAGCGTCCCGTGGTTGGCATATGCCTCAAGCGCTACATGATGACAAATGGTGGCCAATTTCAAAGGCAGAACACCTACATTGACATTCCTGACAGCCTTCGTCTGCCATACTTCATGATGGCGGCAGATGGTTGTAGTGATGGACTTAACGACCTTAACTTTGAGTATAAATTGGTCCTCCAGTCCGTTGTCTGCCATCGGGGGGTTTCTCTGCACAGCGGCCACTACATATCTTTTGCAAGGGTCAATCCCAAAACTCTCACCGACAACCGTCGCCACGAGCTCGACCCTCCCCCAGACTACGAAGAGGAGCAGTGGGTGAAATTTGACGATCTTGATGTGGAGCACCGCGTGACCTATGTTGAAGACATCAAGGCTGCTCTCAAAGACGAGATGCCATACTTGCTCTTCTACCAGATCATGCCAATGGTCGACCTGACTCCAACGACGACCTCGAACGCTGAGAATAACCGGCCGCCCTCTTACACCGACTCGACAAGTAACATAGGCTACGCAAGGCCAGAGAGAACCCTTGGTGATACAGACTTGGAACAGAGTGAGGTTGACCTGGCAGAATCTGGTACGGCTGCGGGAGCCAGCAGCCTCTTCAGCAACCCTCCTACTTTTGTGGGTTCGACGACTGGACCCAGCATTCGCTTCTCATCCGATCTAGACGCACCGCCATCTATAAGTTTGTATGAAGGGTCGAATGCGTCTTCGTTTGTGCTCACAGCCGCTCGCAAGTCGGAAAGCATCTCCCGCCGCGGAAGTATCGTGTTTGCCGACTCTATCTCGAACACGCCGGCCATCACTCCAGAGGGTGGACGATCGCCTATGGTAACGCCACGTGCTACCCCCGAAGAGACACCTGCACAGCGCTTTTCGCGCGCGGCCGCACGCCTTGCAGCAAAGTCCCGCAGCCGCCCGGTAAGCCAGGCTGGAGAGGGCCGCATCAGCCTGACGATGACCCGCCTTGGCGGACTCATGCGGCCGAGCAAAGAGCCTTTGCGCCAGTCCGAAGACAACTTGGACGGCGGTCTGGGCACAAGTCCACTTTGCTCAACAGCAAACCCGAGTGCTATAGCAGCTTCTGACTCGCTGTTACCCCCCAACCCTATCTTAGCCAACGTTGTCTCTGCACCGGCTGCCTGCCCGCCAGGCGAGCAAGTGGCTACTACGCTACCGACAGATTCTCCATCTCAGGGTCAGCCACAAAAAGAAGCACAACTCCAAGCAGACGACGGTCATCATCACCATCATCATCACGGGCTGCGGCGAGGCAAACCCAAGCTCCGTGTAGAGCGGGAATCCGACGAAGAAAATACCGGTACAGGTGCCGGCAAAGGCAAGGAGGCAGAGAAAGAAAAGGTCCGAATCAGGACCAAAATGAACGTGCCGGAACGCGAGTGCGTTGTCATGTGAAAGCGCGTGCATACCCGGCTTATAATGCTACCCATCAATTAAAGAAGCGTCTGGCCATTATTGCTGGCGCGAGCATGAAGGGAGCAATGCATAACCTTACATCATTTTGCATCCTAGAAGGTCGGAGTGGACATCATCCAGGAGTCTTGTTATACGTGTGTTTTTTTTTCGATTTTCTTTTGTTGCTTATTAAATTTAACGCCCTCGTTTTGAGGGGTTCGGAGAAGTCTCCATGGGTTTGATTACGGGCTCATGATACCATTTGACACGCCAGGACATGCATAGGAAACCAAACAAAAGGACCGAAGGAAGGAGTCGGCATCTATAGACTTGGACAAAATGGCATTCTCAAGGATATGTACCGTTTTGTGGACATTTGTCTTCAGGGACAACCAAAAATGGCGTTTAGTCAGTTGCGAATGTTGCGACTGTATTTATTTTAGTATTGATAAAAAAGAACAACATAACAGTAGTCCTATGTTTATAGACAAGCCACAAAGGCATGCGAGGACTAAATCGTTGTTGGCGATATGCTGTCTACCACACTCTGCAAAATTTCTTGCCCGAACAAAGTTAGTAACAGGATGGCACGAACCAAAAAGTCCAAGCAAAAAGTCTGGCCCGACAGGAGTCAGTATACAAGAAGGCGTGTTTGGTATAGAATTTCCATAGAGTTATTGATGACTTGGAGCGCAACGAGACATCTAGCTAGGAGAAAAAGGCTTTTGGGCCCATACCGCATTCACTCTATAAAACAGATGAATCTTCAGACCACGCAATTCGCGGCGCATGTGAGCACAGTATACGGTGATCTCCTCCTTTGTCCAGCCAAGCGAGTGCGCCATGTAGCCTATAAAGCCCTCGGGATCAGCTTCCCAGGCAGCTCGAGTAAACAGGCCAATCTCCTTCAGTTTCAGGTCTTCTGGCCATTCGGAAAAAGGGCACTACTTTGGAGTTAGATGAGTAAGACGAGAAGAAGGAGAGAAATAGACCTTGATTGGGTTCTCTTGGATGTTGACGAAACCCGCTTCTCTTAAGCTTTTCTGCTGCACCTTGTCACGAACTACTGTGAAGGAAGCGGTCGAGCCGTGTTTTTTGGTGGCCTCACTAAAGATGTGACCCCATTGGCTAGAGGCGTTCTTGTCGGTTAGAGTGCCGTCGTCGGACTCGAAGAATCCGTCACTCTCGAATGTTTCAATCCAGCCGCCTGGCTTCAGGGTTCGGTATGCCTCCTTGAACAGAGCTGTCCAGTTCGTCACGCAGCCGATTAGCCACCGTGCGTAGATGAAGTCGACTGATTCCTCCGCAAAAGTCCACGGCTGTGTAAAGTCATCGATCTGGCTATGCCATGTCAGGTTATACTTCGTACTCCTAATAGCTTAAATCTTACAATTTCACGTTAGGCGGCACCCACGCCGGCTGAATGGGGGATATGTCAGTGCCGATCACTGTAACGTTAGGGTGTAAGTCGGCAAAGTCACTAAGCCGGCGTATTAGCTGCTAGTCAGAAGTCGACGAAGGTGTCTACTACCTACATAGCCCAAGCTCCCGTTCCAGTCCCAATATCTATTACTTTCTAGTAACACGTAAGTCCCATAAACAAAACGCATGATGTACACATACGACTTACCTTGATATCGGCTGATAAGGGTGCAAGATGGAGCTTCCCGTCTAGCATTAATGTAAACGTATGGTGCCTAAACTGGTGTTATCACAAGTACTCAACCTTACAGGATCGTGTCTTTATTACTCGATGTCTAGCGCTTTGATTTGAGCTTCGTCATTTGCGCCCCTGCCATTTTTAGCTTGGGGTCTTTAACTTCGAGGTGGAAAAGTTCACGCTGTTAACCTACCAGTACTTCGTTTCTGTAACGGCATCGCTGTGATAAGTTCGTCCATTTACGGTCCGGTAGTGCAAGATTGACGAGGCGATGGACGCAGTAGATGTGGACGCGTCGTCGCCGCGAGTTGAGTCATCCTCCTTAGCGAATGGTTAGAGCAGCACATGTGGAACTGTCAGATTATACCTCACATCGCCCAGGGGCTGTGCAGTCCAGTAATGCCCCGGATGAACCTCGACTACGGATGTGGTCTCTGTCATTTTCAAGTACAGAGATAGCCGTCTTGAATTGACCAAGCGGCGTTTGACGTGAGGGTTGAAGTACGAGGGGAAACTAAGGCGTAAAACAGGGAATCTTGTAGGGTATGATTCTTTTGTATGATTGGAGAGGCGAGAGGGGGTGAGAAGAGAAACAGACGTGTTCGGAACCGAACGCATTCGGATTACGATATGGGTCTGCAATGATCATGCGAGAAGCACCTTGATCCACAAGTTGTTCTATAGCACACACGTCACAGCGCATACGCACGGTTTGCTATATATGTACGAACAAGTATCTTACATATCATATTGAGTCGGGGTGAAGTTCGCAAAAAGGCTCGCAATTTTTTGCAGGAACAGCTCTACTGAGTCTTAGGCTAGTAAACTAGGTGTACAACTTTCGGGATTCCCCTAAAAATAGATATCGGCCACAGCGGGGAATGTCAATAACCTCGCGGACGTGATATGCAGCTGAGACGAGGTTGACTACTCAGCCGAGGCAGTAACAAGAACAAGTACGAGTAGAAGAGATGAACCGGCTCGGCTGGTGCTTCAAAGAAGACTAGTGCATGTGCTCTGTCCGAGCCGACTGCATGAATGTTGGCCGGCGGTTATTAGAACAAGGGGAGGACGGGAAGACGAGTAAACGGCGACCCGTAGCCAACAAGTAGTTGTACTTCGTAAGGTCGTCCACTCGACAAGGCAGTTGGTCCGTTCAGCGAGTGGATCTCCTCTTACGCTAAAACTCGACCGGATCCCGGGTTTCCATTCCGAAGTATCATATTATCTTTCATCAGCTGTCAACCGATGCTGCCCTTTAGTAACAAGAATTGACGACTCTGCTACCTGCACGAACAGCTAACAATGTTCCACTTACATGACCCTGAAGTATCTTATATTGATGCAACCTGAATCAAAGGAACTCCGCGGATCAATGAAACATGACCCCCAATAGGCTTAGCCTGTCAGTCGATCGGGGTTGTTGGCTATGAGGTTGTGGATGTGTATGGTTATGGAGTAACTTGGTTCTTATGACGTGATTGCCTTTCCCAAATATGTTTCATTTTCGGTTGTTTATTCTGAGATCCGATCAGGGAATATACGAGACAGGTTTGTTAGGTGCGTTGAAGACAGACTCCTCGGATCTCGACGCGGAGACAATAGCTCAGGCACTCTTTTACACAATCTAACATGGCGCCTAGACAAATTGGGTTGCACGCCGACGCTTTCTTCTTGCGGAAAGAATTGCAGTGGCTCTCCTTCGGTTCATCAGGTCGTTGTCCTTGTTTTAAAAACACTAATGTGGAACACATAATACTCTGATGTGGCAGAAGCGGTAACAATTTTGAGCTTTTCGGATGGAGAAGACATTACTGCTTTAATATTCTGCGTCATAGTCTTTATATTACACCATAATCACAGTTGTTTGGTTTTCGGTTGTTGTAAGGTGAGTAAGTTGTACTTACATCCTTTTTCGCAGACAACTTTTTTTCAACTAGCTTTGATAGAGAATATGAGTTTGCAGAATAGCATACGTATTGACCTACCTAATATTATGTCTTACATACATCTGTCTGTATATCTTGGACTCCTAGCTTGAGACCCATGTATATCATCTACCACTGCCCCGTTCTCGAATATGAGAAAAAGCGTCTTTGAAGACGTGCTGTCGTTGCGATATATTAGTCATCTTGATCCAGTGGGGCATTCAGTGGCACAACCAGGTTGTAAAAGAGGCGGTGAAAAAAGTTACAAGCCCAGCGCACGGGCCACTACAGGACTGTATATAACTGTCGAAAATCCCCCTCCAATCTTGGAATTTCTTTTCTCTTTTTTTCCTTAGCTCTCTTTGCCTTTTGGCTTAGATCAAGTGTAGTATCTGTTCTTTTCAGTTTAATATCTGAAATTGCTCTACGGAGCATATTCGTTATTAATCTTATTTTTGAATCTCGGAGGAAGGCCCTCTGGGCTTGCCCATGACCTACCTTCACTGTGTCCTTGGTACCACACTGCCTCCAAGCGACGCGAACTCGAAGCTCAGCTTCAACATTTTTCATTACACTCCTGTATTCGGGATGTGAAGAAGAATGACTGGGGGATTCAACAAGCCTGTGGCTGGCTTAGCATTGAGGGAGTTTATTTAACTGAGACAAGATACTCTGCTGTACGCAGAAGTTGTCATGGTAGCGCCTTCCGCAATTGGAGAGCTCTAGGGATTGAATATTTTTCTGCAAGTGAATCCGACAATAAATATTAGTATATGTATGCAAAGAACATCTAATAAAAATTGTTCGCAGACATCTTCTCTCACCTTACATCCCTCAAACAGCCGTTTTTCTACACAATGATCAATCCGCGCGTATTCGAATCGCTGCGGGCTCGCGCCGAGCAGGAGACCAGTGCCCGGGCGGCGATTGATGGACTCGTGGAGGCACTGGAGCGCAGCGTGGCCTATGCCCAAGGCGTGTTGTCGCGGGTTCACGCAACGCCGCGAGCTCGATACGCCGACCTTTTGCTGCCGGCGGCCGAGGCGGCGGTGGCTGACGAGACGGCGAAGATCCGGCAGCTGGCCGAGGTGGCATCAGCGCACCCATACTACAAGTGAGAGGAAGCGGGTGTTTATGCAGTTTTTTGCAATTTTTGCAATTTTCCTTTTCTTTTCCGGATTCGTTTTCTGTTTCCTGTTCCCTTGTCCTCGCTGACAGCCAGATTTAACAACCGCTGGACACGACACCTGCAGGACGCCATCGCGACGGTGCTGTTGACGGCATGGCTGGGCGGCAGTGTGGGTGGCAGCAGCGGTGGCAGCACAGATCCTGGCGAGCTCGGCCGGCTGCTTACGCTGGAGGAAGTGGGCGAGGCGCTTGGTGTGCCGGTGGACGGGCCGGTCGATGCGGCGGCAGCACAGACGGATGTGGATGTCGGCGCGGAGGACCGGTTCCACGTGGCGCTCGACGAGTACCTGTCAGCGCTGACGATGCTGGCCGACGAGCTGGGCCGACTGGCGATGAACGCGGTCACGCTTGGCGACGGGGCGCTGGCCGTGCGCATCAGCCGGTTTGTCAAGGAGCTGCACGGCGGCTTCCAGCTGCTCAACCTGAAGAACGACTTTCTGCGGAAGCGCGTGGACGGGGTCAAGTACGCGGTGAAGCGCGTCGAGGGCGTCATCTACGACCTGGCGCTGCGGAACCTGCTGCCAGCTGAGGTGGGAGCGGAATCGGAGGACGGCGAGACCAAAACCGTAGCTGCTGCTACGGCTGCAGAGAAGGCTACGGACAGCAGGATGGGCGAGGCTTAAAGCTGCGTGCCGGCGTCTCGCAGAGAGGTGGGAATGCCACTGCTGTTTCACATTTTACGACTGAATATACAACTTCGTACGAAACCAGGCTGTCTTAACAAGCCCGTTCCTGTAGTCTCGTCATGCTCCGAGCTCTGCGATGCGATGTGTGGGGACAATATGCATATATCCGGACCATTTTGCGGTTACATGAATCTCCACAGCCTTCCAGGCACTCCGGTAGACGGGCTACTGCGCTGCGTTGATTGGTGGAGACGAGACCCACAATCGTACCTCTCGTCCTCTCTGTCTTTCTGTGATTTGGCCATTTGCTCTTCTCTTCCATCGTTTCTCCCCATCTCTCGTGAGCCGTCCCCCCCGCCATGCCTCTCGTCGACCCTGTCACGATGTCGTCTGCTACTGCAACGCCGAACCGTCGTCGACGAGGCGGCCCGTCGGCCAAGAGCAGCTCGCACGACGATTCTATCACCACCACCAAAAGCGCCACCAACAGCAGTCTCTCTGCATCGTCGCCATCTTCCACGCCTCCGGCCTATGCCACCTCGCTCGCCCTGGCTTCCCGACACGGCAGCCCGTTGCTGCTGCTGGCTGGCCTGGCCCTAAGCTTTGGCGGGTTGGTGGGCAGTGGCCCCACGCAAGACAGCAGTAACAGCACCAACACTACCACCAACACGACTGAAGACGGCTATGGCACTGGCATCGGCGCGCTGGCCGGCCTGCTGGTGGCCTCGACGGTCGTGCAGGTGGCTGCGGCTGTGATTGGGCTGCCGCCAGCAGGTTCAGACGCCGAGTCGCAGAAGAAGCGGCGGGCCCGCAAAGACCAGCGCAAGCCCAACGTCATTGTGGTATGTTCTCTCGTCGCTGTCCTTTCCGGCCGTTTCTCGGTGTCCTGACTTCCTTCCGCCATAGACGACCTTTCTCTCCCTCCTGCTCACCGTTCTCGCCGTGCCGCTCGTCCACGTCGTCCTCGTCCTCTTCGGCGCCCCCTTTCTCGTCCACGCCCCCAGCACTCTTCTCTGTGCCGGCCACATCGCCGTGCTCGGCCTCTTCCCCGTCGTCTTCACCCACGGTACCGACAGCCCCGGATGGCTGGCCCTCATTTCCGGCGATTTTTTTTCGGCGGCTGCCAAGGGCGGCCTCTCGGTCGCTGACGCTGCTTCTGCCGCCGGCCTCTGGGGCACCTGCATCGGTGCCTGGCTTGGCGCTGTGCCCATTCCACTCGATTGGGACCGGCCGTGGCAGCGCTGGCCCGTCACCATCGTTGTCGGCGCATATGTCGGCCACGCCGTCGGCCGCCTGCTGGGAGGTGCTCTGCAGCAGCAGCGGAGAAGCTGAGAGGTGCAGGGGGTAAAGGAGTGACGCCAAAAAAGCCAACATAGACCACACACCTTCAGCTGTACGATAGTGTACGTTCCAAAGCATAGGGAGGAAAATAGAAAACTAATGAGAGCAGTAGTCCTCATGTCTCTATAGTGAAATGCGTCCAAATGCAGCAATCTATCGAGCAAGAGACATTTTCCAAAATTTATGTCACCCAAAAAAAGCAGGTTTACGGTCATGCAAGCTCATAAATACCATCGGCCTACTGCCCCAACGTCTTCTGCAGATGCGTCTGCCACGACCCGTTGCGAACCCACATGATGCTGTTGAAGACGATTGCCACGCCTTTGACGAAGCCGGTCCATGCGTAGAGACGAGCCCAGCGGCGGATGAAGAAGCCCGTGAGGGTCGAGCTCGCCGGAGGGTGTGGGAAAGGGCCGACAGCGGTCTCGTTGCCGGCTGTCTGCAGCGGCGTGTTCTCATCTACCACCATGAGCAGCTTCTTCTGCGCGGCTTCGGACCGCCGCCGCCGCAGCACCTTGTCGTAGGCGGCCGGGTCGTCAGTGATGACGCCGTCGAGGCCGCGCCGGATGCTCCACTCCATCCACTCGGGATCGTTGACCGTCCAGGCCAGCACGCTGTGTCGGCCGGCCGGGCTGAGCTCGTCCTGGGCCGCGCGCACGAAGCGGGCGCCACGGCTGCCGACGAGCACGTGCTGCTCCATGTTGAACACCTGCACCACGTCGGGGTGGTGGGCCAGCAGGGCCTCGGCACAGGAGAGCGAGAAGCCGATGTAGGCAACCGGAAGGCTGGGCATGAGTTCGCGGCAGATCCGCATCGCCACGGCCTGCCAGCACCCGAGCACAATCCGTCCAGCCCAGTCGCCGGGAGCTGCCTCAACCGTCTCGGCCACGCGCTGCAGCAGCTCCTGTGGAGGGTCATCACGCTGGGTGTGTCAGTAAGCGAGAAAAGTACGAGCTTACAAGACAGAGAATAACACACCTTGATGTCCAGCAGCACCCAGGCTGTCTCGTTGGCCGGCTCGGCCAGCAGCTCCAGCACGTCGGCCAGCCGGGCCATGGGCTCGCCCGGCAGTCGCTCCGTGCGCAGCGTCGCCAGCATCGCCCAGTCGCAGTCACAGATGCGTTCAGGCCGGCCGAAACAGCGGCGCAGCGTCGGGTCGTGTGACAGCACCACGGCGCCGTCGCGCGAGAGGTGCACGTCCGTCTCGATGGCCTGGGCGCCGCCCTGCGTCGGGTCAAGCGCCGCCCGGAACGCCGCCAGCGAGTTCTCGGGCCAGCGCGCCTTGAAGCCGCGGTGGGCAATGTTGAGCGGAACCGTCGCTGTCGAGGACCCGTGCAGAGATGCGGGCGAGAAGGCCGCGAGCGACGCCGGAAGACGCGGCCGTCCGCCTGATAACAGCGGCGGCGATGGCGGTGGCGATGGCAGCGGCGACAGCCCATTGCCGTCGGGCGAGGGCATCTTCAGAGACATGGTGGACGATAGAATGAGAGAAAGAGGAAAAAGCGAAAGAGAGGCAGAATGGGGCAGACTCGAAGCTATAACACGTGTCCCAGCATATCAGACCACGACGTCTCCAGGAGGAAAGAGCGACGTGGAGAACAGGGCCACGTAGCCAGCAGGAAGGCACGCAGATGTAGACAGATACTCGTACACTGAGGACCGGCTGGCAAGCTGATGCGCTCTTGCCGGACTTTACAGCACTGCTAACCGCCGATGCCTCCGGATGTCGAGCTCATCGCTACTTGCTTCAGCCAGCTCTTGACTAATTGCCCTGGCCAATCGCTAGCTCATACGCACTCCTCCGATGTGACTATTGGCTGCGCGCCATTTTCCTTAGCCGTTTACGGAGACAGCAGCCCGGCCATCTTTCTGCTTTTCCCGTTTTGGCCAATCAAGGTTTCACTCCTTATTTATATTGCAGCAGATGAGACATCTGTAAAATGATTGCTTTAATATCCAACATACGCTCGAGAACCAACTGCTAACCAGGAAATTCAGTTCCCCTCGACATACTCGCATGATGTTGTCCAAAAGAATACACGCATGAACACCGTTCCTCAATGAGTCCTCCCGACAAGACGTGCCAAAAGTGCCTAAAACAGCTAGAAGTAACAGACGATCCCAAACCATGTCGGACTGCATGCGTCGAGAACACGAAATCGCAACATATCCCAAAACCAAGCCCCATTCATCAGTCCCTTTCCGGCACAAAATGAAAGAAATCCAGTCCTTGCGTAATGACGTCTGAAAAAAAAAACCCCTCCTGGGAAAAATACACCGGCCGTTTTGCTGCAAACCAGCGGGGCTTCCCGCGACCGAGAACTCAAAATCGACACGAATAAATGCGAAACGCTCGCGCACTGCCCTAAAGGGAGAAGAAAAATCACTACAACACAAAATCGGCCTCCATGCCGTCGATGACAAATGCTTCCGTCTGTGGTGCGCAGTTGTTGTTCAACATGTGGTTTCCGTTCCGGTAGTTGAGGTTGCCCAGATCCAGGCCGCTGAGACCAAGACTGGCTAGATCCGTCGACGCTAGATCATCACCACTCAGGCTCTCATCGCTAAAGCTCAGCACGCTCTGGGCCGGTGGCGGCACACTGCCCGGACCACTGCTGTGTGAACCGGGTCCCAAGTCGGCAAGCGTAAACCCAGACAGGTCCCAGGACTCAGGCGACCAGCCGTCGCCCGATTGTGACGTTGCAGATGCTGGTGCCTGCGCCTGCGCCTGCGCCTGCTCCGAGCCTTGCGCCAGCCCGATCGCTGGGCCGCCGTAGATGGCATCGTACACGTTCATGTGTCCGCCGTCCATCGAGCCCAATAACGCCTCCCAGTCTGCAGGGGTCACGCCGGCCATAGACGCTGGTTTGTGGCTTGCGTAATACATCTGCTGGTGTGGCTGGTGCTGAGCGTTCCTTGGCTGCGCTGGCGAGGACGGCGACTGGTCCCCATCATTTCCACTGCCATCCATGGCAAGATAGTCCAAGTTCTTCTTCTGCGCCATTCTCTGTTGTTGTTGTTGCTGCTGCTGCTGTTGCTGTTGTTGCTGTAGCTGGGAAAAGCGGCTGAGCATCTGTGCCTGAGACAGCGACAGCCGGTGCTGTGGGCGCTGGTCACGAGAGCCATCGAACGAGGACCGAGAGCGCGGGCTCGGCTCGGCCTTGATGCCCAGAGAACCCGCAGTCATAGTCGTGGATGTCGGCATCGTCATACGCCGAAGCTTTTCCTGCTGCAAAAGCAAGTCCGTCTCGCTTACACTGGCGCTGTTGTGTCTGCCAAGAATATGCTTCACTTTCCTCTGCTGACTTCCGGACTGAGACGCACGCCGTGTCGGGGCTGTCGCGGCCGACTCCGAGCTGGGGCGCGAAACGCTGGGAACGGGTGCTGGCAGGTCGTCCACGCTCACAATCATGGCAGCCACACGCTTGAAGTCATAGCAACCAGGGGCCTTTGTACGGTCCGCAATCTTGATCGCCGCGTTGATGAGCCGCTCGCTATCCTTCAAAATCTTGCTGTCCGGTTTCAGACTCATGCTCTGATACAGCAATGTCATGCCGCAAATGATGAGAATATCCGGCTCGTTCATGCACAGAGAAAAGGACATCTTTCGCTCCTCCAATAGCTCCACAATCTGTACTATGTGCTTGCTGGATTCACTGATTGCCATCAGAGCAGACCCTGCCTTTGAACCCAGAGAGGACCCGACGGCCGGGCGCCAGATCAGAGTGCGGATATAGTAGTAGGTAAGGGACTAAAAAAATTCCATGTTAGTATTATTGTACGGCACTAAGGATGGAGGGCAGATTGGGACTAAACCCAGCAACGGAGATCTGTTCCCTGTCACATCAGTAGAGGGTTTCTCTTGGCGGAAGGTAAGCGCCAGATGCTTTGGCAGAGCGTCACGCCACTCCATCAGCTCGGTCTCGAGAGCACTCATCTGCTGAAGCGACAGCTCATGCGTTGCAGCAGCCGGGTAATTTGTCTCCAATACCTTGGCAAGGATGCGAGAGACGCGGAAGAGAGCGAGGGCAGCCGACACGCGGGTGGACTCGCCGGGCAATGTCGGCTGGAAGCCCTTCTCCGTAACATACTCATCATCAGTGTCCGTGGGGTATTCCGTGTGGATATCGTCGTCCTTCAGCAGCTTCGGCAAGCCCAGGACGGCGGCCGAAAAGCAATCCAACGTGTACAGAGTCCAGAAGACCTTCTTGCGGGTCTCAATGGTCAGTGCGCCAAAAGAAAACCGCTTTTGGCTCTGGTGCAGGCCGAGACGATGAGACAGGCTGACAGCAATTCCTTTGTAGTACTGCAAGCGCTTGTAATCGGCGCGCGCAGTACAGTACAGAAGGGCAAGAACAAGGCACTGGAGGGTGATGATGGTGTTGTCCATAAGCACAGCCTCCAGCGACCGCTGCCATTGTCGCTCGCAAATCGCAACTTGTTCGAGATCAGGCTGATCACTGGAAAGGGCTGCAATGGCAAAAACGAGATAAAGCTGCGCCAGCTTGTGGTGGTTCTTGACCTTGTCGGGGTCGCTGACGAAGTCATCGTAGATGCGCAGAAAGGCAGGGCGGTGCAGAATGGGGAACAGTGGTGACCATTCTTGGAAGTAGACGTTGACACAACGGTCTGTGAACATGCGCGGTGGCACCCGTAATGGCAGGGATGCAGCATTTTCGACAAGGGGGTAACAGCCCTGAATGTGAAGGAATGCCTCAGAATGGAAGTCAGAACACGACTTCCCACTTTCCTGCAATTTTCGTTTGAATGTTTCTGTAAGGTGGTTAGTAAAAGAACACGGCGGAGCGGTAATGTGAAGAGGACACGCACCGATGAAAGAACGGCCGCTCGATGCACCCATAAAGTAGGAGTCTGAGTTTTCAACACCCAATAACAACGGCGACGCCTGCACGCGGAATGTGTCCTCTGCATATGGCGGAGCAGTGGGTGATCTCGAGTCTCTCTTTAATCTTTGTGCTGCCGACGTTGTCATTATTGTGTCACATGTAGATCTTCTTGCAGCCGTCCCCTTTTCAGGCTTTACAGTTGCTGCTGTTGACACCAAGGGTCCTGGCGATAAGGAAGAAGGAGAAGAAGAAGAAGCCGAGGACTGATTTGAACCATTGTCGGAGGCTGTGGTATTGGTAGCGGACGAGGCAGAGGGAGATGCCACCGAAGCAGTTGCGGGCGAAGGAGGCATCTGTGAAGCGAGTGAAGAATGGCGATGGTTGCTGTGCATTTTTGATAACATGTCGATCTTCTCGTCTTTTTCGTCAAGCAGGTCCTTGAGCTCGCGCACCTCACACTCGAGCTGGCGCACGCGTTCCTCTAGCGATTCGGTGTAGCCGCGAGGAAATGCGCGCCGACTCAGCTTGTCGCTGGTGCGGCACTCAAACCCGACGTTGGCGCATTGTGAGCAGCAAGGCCGGATGCCATCGCAGCGGATTTTCTTGCTGCGACAACGGTCACAGGCCTGGGCAATCCGGCTTTGTGAGCTGGTGCCCACCTTAATGACCTTCATAGGTAGTATGCCCGGCATTTTGATTTCTAGAAAAAGGGGTCGAGAGAATCGGAGTTGGTGAGGTTGACGCGGTAGGAATACGGAAAGCGTGGCGAACGTGCCGGTGTTAACGAAGTGGGCGTCTAGCGAACAGATAAAGAGATCGGCGGAAGTCTGATCGCGTTGATCGCTGTATGGTTGAAATTGTCTGAAAACCCAACGTCGCACTCAGGGTTGACTAACGGCGGCACCGGTCTGCATGAAGTCGCCGCAGGTGTGGTTGCAGTCGGATATTGTGGAATTGTGTTCGTATCTCCCCTGACCGTGTGCCCTTATCCTAGCAGCAAATCGAAGTAAAGCCAAATCGAGTCCAGACCAAAGCGCAAACTTGCAAGATGGGTGTACGGTTGGTGGATATGTCCAGTCAAGTCATGTACTGTGAAATAGGCACAAAAAACCCTGGTAAAATCCCCCCGAAGAGTATAACACAAATGGCAAGAGGATATCCAAAGAGAAGATGAGGGTGGACGGGACACGAAAAGATGGACGGAGGGGGGGATGAGAGAAAGAGAAAGGAAGAAGAGATTAGAGTTGTACGAAGAAAAGAGACCGGTCGAATAAGCTGTGGGGATGGGCGAGGGATAAAGGAAAGAGATCGCGGTGAGAGCAGCAATACCCAATTTTCGGGGACACTTGGAGAGGGGGCGTGTCAGTGGCAGTTTCCGTGTAGGTGGGCATAATATGTGGAGGGCCGAAGTGTGGGAGCGAACAGGGTGGCTGCTAATAGAAACCAACAAACATGTCGCACTGCCAGCATGTTTGCGGAGAAATTCGGCGGGGGAAGCCAGTAAATCTGGCGGCCAGTCACAGTGGGTTTCTCCCTTTTTTTTCTGGACTGAAAGAGGCAATTCCTACGGAGTACTCGTACGAGCCAGTTGGCGAGGAGGGCGCTATAACACAACCTGTGACACGCCGGTCTAGGCCTTGTTGCCCCTTCTCTCCTGCCTCGCTTCTTATAACGAACGGGCCAGCGTTCCTGCGAATATTTGCTCGCATGCAAGCCGCACGGCGAGCACGGGTATTCTCTGGACGTTCACGGCTGGCAGGTGCGTTCTGTACGAGTACATTACCGCATCACAGGCCTCATTTGCAGTCCGCTGTCGCATTGCGCTAAGGAAAGTGTTTCCCAATTCTGTATAGCGCGCACGTCTTGGATTGCGGTAATCCCAAAAAAGACCCTGTTGCGGAGAGCGCGGAACACTGGCTACTCGAGAGCGGATTACTCGTACGGAGTACTAGTACGGAGTACATAATCCACTAAAGTCAGCTCTACTTCGCCCATGTATCTTGTCGGATGCACGGCAGATACGCTAAGTATTTTTACAATGCGGAAGGAACGGAGTACGGAGCCCGTCCGTGTTAATGCTAGCATTAGGGCCACGTGAGCACTTACGCCGGAGTCCGAGGACGAATCCAATAGAGAACGAGTACGAGTGCGATGTGCGTGACAGTGGCCAGACGACGACGGTCGATCACAAAGGGAAAAAAGGGGGGGATAAAACAAGTGCACAACACATACGTCGTACACTCGTATGCAATAAGCGGGTAAAAAGGAACTGATAGCTGCAGTGTGCGGTAGTCTTGTTGGGATTCCCCGCGATGTTGCCCAATTTTGCCGTCGTGCTTCCTCACAATTGTAAACACCTCCGCGAAGTGGAGAAAGGTCGACGGGGTGGAGAAGCAAAATACATGCGAGTAGCGAGGTACAGGGTACTTCTGTCGCAAGTACTCTGATTAACCTCTGGTTAGGAGAGGGAAGAAGTCGGAGGCGCAGGAGAATGGGTACGAATAGAAGGCGAGAAGGTGGGGAAAGCACGTTGCTTTCAGAAAGCAGGATCAGAAGAATCGAACGATTCACAAAGGCCGACACACATCCGCACTTCTTAGCTCTGGGGAAGAGGCATGGGTAATTACGGAGAACGAGGCACGCAGTATGGGGAGGGGGGGCATCACGTCGCAATACGGGGAGGAAGTCTTACGATGTCCATGCACGCACAGCCGTCAAAAGAGAAGGATTTCATGGAACTGCAGGGGTGGCGAAGTCGGTCTCGATCGCAAGTCAGCAAGCCTTGGCTTCGAAGGTGATATTCCCCTCGTTTTTGGACAAGGAGGAGCTGATCGCCGCCGTTTCCTGCGGCTAGTCAACGTCAGAGCCGACAACGCCCGATCATGTTGACGGGAGACCGGGTTTGGTATCTGTGCTCGTACGAATGTAAACGAGAGCCTGCTCTGCTAAGAAGGCGGAGCTGATATGACCAAGAAAAGAGCCGGCAGCACTCTAATAGCAGCGTGTCTAGCGCTCGCGCCCAAACTGCAGGGCTCTAGGGCATCTACACTGTGAGAATACTCTTTGGTAGCAGCCTAGACACGCTAACGCGAAGATCAGAAATACGGGCCATCAGCGAAAAGTCTCCACCTACGGGCCCCCTAGTCCCATGGCGTCTGACTGCCCCAGCCCAGACTACGCCCCTCTCCAACAAAGCCAGCAAGTCAAAAGGTGCTGAAATTGGAGAAAAGCGGGGGTGTAAGATACGAGCGCTTCGCACAAGGCAAGGCAATCGTCAACGGCGTCCACTCGAGCACAGATCTGGTTCAGGGCAGGCGGAAACCACGCAATGCTCTCATATGATAGATGTCAGTCATTTCTTTGTCACTCCAAAAAAAAAAGGATCGGCTGCGAAATCCAAAAGGAACGCACCCTTGGCACCCGGAATTGCCGTTACCCCAGATCGTGACGACAGATACAAACTTGCGAGCAGACAAAGGAGGAACAAGAGTACGGAGTACGTTCGTGTGTCTAGGCTAAGAACAAGTGTCCTGGGGTGGGTCTCCTCTGGCGTGCGCTTCGCTACAGCTCAAATCCCGGATCGCAAGCGATGTTGATGAAGAACAAGCGCATTAAACCAAGATCGCTATTCAGGCAGGGATTGCGAAAATAGCGATTGTGTTCGCATCCAGGGCCAGAGTCAACGAAGACAATTCGGAGTAAGATTTGCCCTCCCCCCTCCCTATCAAGGGACAATTTGAAAGTTGCCGTCCCGCGCAATGCCTGCATTCCTGCATGCAATCCTGCATCGGTCATCTCTGTGCATATTATATCCCTGGCAAGCCTAGTCTGTTTAATCCTCACCGGCCGTTTGCGCTCTCGTTTCGCCCAGGTTTGGCTCAGCGGGCTGACGGGTTCGCTCCGCTATAACATCAACGCAGACGCCTGGGAACCGAAAAGTGACATACGGAGCCTAACGGCATATATTGGCCAATAATCGGTGGTAAATTGCGTCATCATGGCAAAGAATGGAAGTCAATCATGGTTTGAAATGGACAAGTAGGATGAAGGGTTTCATAAGACTAGAAAGAGGGACGAAACAAGTGGAAGAACAGGCCGGACAATAAGTGGAAGAACATTTACCCACACCACCCATTACTATCCGTAGAGTCCAACCCTTTGATCCGACAAGAACAACGACCGTAAGAATATAGGGCAGCGCGATAGACATTTGTCGCACGCCCGAGGCCCAGGACTGTCAAACGAGCTTAATGTTGTAAAGCATCTCAGACTGCTGCTCCAGCAAAGACGGGGAATTAAATTCCTTCCCGCTGGAAACTGGGGTCGGCTTATGGGGTGCGTTGGTCGAGCCAGCCTTAGAGTATTGTCCCGGTCCTTCAAGCCCGCTTTAGGCATCTGCTTTCTCCACCTGCTTGTTCTGAACAGGATAGCAGAGTTGAAGATGATGGACTATTATCGCCTTTCCAAAAGCCCCGTTCCCCCGAGACGGCTGACTAGCACGTGGCTGAGCAGCGGTGTACGGATGTACTTATGCCGAGCCAATCAAAAGCTTTGCTTGGGACCAGCGACCCGGTCACGGGACGTGATGGATTCCTCTTTCTTGTTGCCGTTGATCTCCTGCCGTCGCATTTTGCTGCATGACCAGTCGCTTTGCCGTTGTCCCATGTGATCTCAGCGAGTGTTGTCGGACTCTCAGCTCGAGCGCAACCTGCAGGCGGTGGCCGATACAGGCGCGGTAAGCGTCAGTCCTTTGTCGGCTTCGTATGCGTGTCTCGCTTTGTCGTCACAACAGGGGTAGATCTGCACGCCAGCTGAGTGCACCTGCCCTAGCTAGGCATGTTTTGTCCGGCCCTGAATCGTCTGTTTGTCTGTCCCTGCTTCGAAGCGAATATTTCGGTGCACCAAAAGTTGCGAGATTCTCGCAGCCGCGAAATTGTCTCGTAGTATTGAACGTAGCATTGAAGCATGGACCAACCTAGACCTGCAGAAGGTCGACGCGGCTTTATTTATCCCCACACCCCCCCGTGCTCGTCGTATCGGTTTTCGCAGCAGTTCAGCTTCTCGCGTGAAGGGGAGCCTCGTCTCAGCTAAAGTCATCGTCTGCATCCTCTCCATCCGCCATCTCATCCGACGGCTTCTGATTGGACGCCTCTTCATCGGCTAAGTCGTTTTCGGCAATATCCATCGACCCGAGGTAAGCTAGGACGCTAGTATCTGTGAGCAGCTTTGATCTCTGCAAATGCCGGTTAGTGGTCGTCATCCGTTTTGTCTCTGATATAGAGTAGTACGGAGTAAGAAGCGGTAGATTGGCCTCATGCACCCCAGCCTCGTTTCCACCAACCAACGAGCATCCATAATTCCCCGAGCAAGAGTGGCCATTGTAACCGAAACCCACACCCCGGGTACCAGACTTAGATGCAATGGGTTAAGGATGCTGCAACGCAAGGCGAGGGAAATCCCGGAACCATCGAGTATGGAGCATGGAGCAGAGACAATGGGGAAGATGGGGACAGGCATGGGGAAACGGGGCAATTCAGAAAGCAAATCAGTCCACTCACCTCAGTCTCAAGTGCTTCTAGAACACTACTGATCACGCGTGACTCAATGTCCCTCAGCAAGCCAGCCTGCTTGGCCACATCTGGCCGAGCTGTAAAGTTGTCGGAGAGCTGCTGTTGCTGTTGTTGCAGTGCTCGGATCGGGGTGTCGTCGGCTGCTGCGCTTTGCATTTCGTCTAGTTGAGCCTCCAGCACCTCTTCCAACATCGTCACAACGCGCAGCTGGAACACGGCGCTTAGAGGGTGAGCTTTCGTCAGAGACTCGAAATCGCGTCCCTTTTCAGTCACGTCTTCCTCTTGCCAAAACGCTCGGAGCTGTTGTGTACCATCTGTCTCTGCACGTAGCTGAAAAGCCAAGCCGTCCTCCTCGTTCACACAAGCTAGGTACGCAAAAGGACACGTCCAGCGGACGTTTGGTGTGACTTTCTTGCAGCCGTCATTGTCGTCGTCGTCGTCGTCGTCATCAGTGGCAGCACCAAATCGCTCTATCTCCAGGCGTGGACCAGGTGAGCCAAAGACATGCAGTTTGGCCTTGGCCAAGGGGTCGTCGGGTAGCGGTCGGTAGGGAAGGATGACACATTGGCGGATCGAATGAGGGTCGACAAATCCGTAGCTGAAAAGCATTTCGGATGCTGGCTTCCTTGTATCGCAATGGTCGTCGTCGCCGTCACCGTCTCCGTCTCCGCCACTGTAAGAGATGGTGATTTCGTCGGATGCCGCCACGCTTTGCTGCGGTCGTAGCAGAAGCGAAATCTCGCCACCATGCGCCCCGCCACCCATCTCGTTCTCTTCGTAGTATGCGTTCGGGGCGGAACCGTGGTTGACCAGATCGATGCAAGGCACCATGGCTGGACCAGATTGAGGCAGTTCGAGGCAGCGGGAGCGATACCATGCGTCGACGAGGAACCAGTGATGCAGCTGAGGGCCAGTACCAGCACGTTCGTCGTCCCAGAATGCTGCCTGCCAGTAGGGAATATCGGAAGACTTTTCGTGTAGCTGGTCAAACTCGTATTCCAGAGCGATCCTTTTGGCTTGTACAGCAGCCTGCCGAGTTAGAAAGAAGGAAGAGGCACCCGCAGCAAAGAGCCTACCTCGAGAGATGTCCCCTGCAGAAGGAGGCGCTCAGTGTCTGACCACATCGTTGGCAGTGGGATGTCAGCGGGCAGGAACTTGACGTATTCGGTCCAGATGGTCGGCAATGCTACAGAGTCGGTCCCGGGTGGCTTCAGTCCTAGGACCACCTGCACCAGAAGAAAGAGCAACACATCGCCTCTCTCGCTCTGGCGGCCGACAACTTCGAGTAGCTGACGAAAGTTCCGGTCCTGCTTGGCATATTGTTCGACGGTCTCTGCGTTCAGGATCAGGTTGTGCGGGACGGACACGAGCGAGGACCGGTGAAAGGTCGGTTTTGCAGTGGTAAGACTGCGATTGGCCACAAGGCCATAACCTTTCCCAGGGATTTCGGCGATGCGAGTGTCGACAAAAGAAACATCATTGAGGGTCTGCCAGACGGGAAGAGAAGATATGGGCAGGTGCGTAAAGGCGGCTGCCATGGCCAGAAAGGGAAAAAGAAGGGGAAAAGGGGGAAAAGTAGGTTACGACGGCCAATTGGCATACATATATGCCGAAGGAAAAAAAACTCGGATCTACCGGGGGGTATCGCTCTGAGGCTCCGGGAAATGCGGTTATTGCGGATTTCGGATAGCCATTATCTTCCGCGGGAAACGGCAGTCGGTGCAGTGCACCGTCTTACGGATTATAAGCAGGCCGAGCCGCATACGTGCATAAATGCTCCTATCAGACACAGGCTAACGGTTTTACTGGAGGGTCCCGCTTAAACTCCAGAAAAATCATAAGGCGGGGCATTTTATGCTTTAAAAAATGAGAACTTGCAACAGATCAACGATGTGCTCGATATCTTGAATCTCGTCGTGCGGTCCCTCCTCGCCGCCCCGCCGACTCTGGAAGCCGTCGTCTAACCGGCACCCTTCTTTTTCCTCTCTCGAGCCAGCGCCATGCCTCGTGACCCACTTATAGGACTCGTCGGCAAGCCGAGCGCTGGCAAGTCCAGCATGCTCAATTCGTTGACGGATGCATCATCCAAAGTCGGTTTGTACACGTCCTCAAGCTCCCCGCCGAAAGAGGAGCACTCGCTTACGCAACCTCTCGCCTGTAGGAAACTTTCCGTACGCTCACGCTCACTCTCCCACCCTCTCTTTCTCCGTTTCCTGTCCAGCCTTATCCGTCCTAACAGACGCTCAGATTCACCACCATCGATCCTCAACGCGCGGTCGGTTACCTCCAGGTAGACTGTGCTTGTGCCCGGTACGGAATCTCTGACCGCTGCAAACCGAACTACGGCTCCTGTCACGATGGGCGCCGCTCTGTGCCGATCGAGCTGCTTGACGTCGCCGGTCTTGTCCCAGGCGCACACCAAGGCCGCGGTCTCGGCAACAAGTTCCTAGACGATCTGCGCCACGCGGATGCACTGATACACGTAGTGGACGTCAGTGGAACCACGGACGCCGAAGGCAAGAATACGCGCGGCTACGATCCCTCCGTTGACATCGCATGGCTGCGGTCTGAGATCGTACAGTGGATCAAGGGCAATTTGATGGAGCGGTGGGGGAGCATCCGACGACGCCACGTGGCTACCAAAGCGGCAGCGGCCGACACGCTGCAGTCACAGCTGTCGGGCTACGGCAGCAGCCCAAAGTTGATAGCACGCACGCTGGACCGGCTGGCTCTGCGCGAACCGTTAGAGGAGTGGGACAACGCAACCATTGACCGCGTGGTCAACGCCTTTATCGACGAAAAATTTCCCACTGTAATTGCGCTCAACAAGATCGACCACCCCGATGCGGACCGCAACATTGCCAAGATCACCAAGCTAAACGACCCCAACACCGTGGTGCTCTGCTCTGCCGTGTCCGAGATCTTCCTCCGCAAGATGGCCAAACAGGGGTACATCCGCTACACCGAGGGCGGAGAATTTCTGGATACGCGCGAGGACTTGCTGGCCGATGGCGACACCGAGGGTGCAGAGCAGCTCAAGGAAATCGACGAGAAGAACTTGCGCCGTATCAACAACCTGCGCGACATGGTCATCTACCGCTTTGGATCTACGGGTGTCGTGCAAGCACTGACCAAAGCGGCTGAGGTGCTCGGACTCATTCCCATCTTCCCTGTGCGCAGTATATCGGCATTGAATACGGCCAGCGGGGCAGGATCCACGGCGCCGGCAGAGGCCGCTAAGCCGGTGTTCCGCGACTGCGTGCTAGTTAAAAGAGGCATCACGGTGGCCGATGTCGCGCGGAAGGTCATGGGCGACGCTCCGATCGCGTTCGTGGAGGGTGCAGCTGGCACGCGTGTCGCTGAGGACGACACGGTGGATGTGGGTAAAAACGACGTAAGCGTTACTATTTTAAGACAGCATACTTGGTTCAAATCTGTCTATCTTACTAACCTTTTCCTCTGCAGATTTTGTCTTTCAAGGTTGGGCGAGCATAATTTCACTGCAACTAGCTCTCGTAAATAGCTTCTTCTTCATCTCGCGGCCATTTAACAAAAGCTACGGCTGCCCACGACCAACAAACCAGATATGGCAACAGCGGATAGGCAGGCGCCGAACTGAGTAGTCCGGTCCGGATGGCTGGGCACTTGGACATTTGCCTGAGAAGTCCCTGAAGCGCGGAACGGCCAGGAACAGTGTATGGCCGCCACGTTCATCAGGTAGAGCCTCTGGCTATTCGCACAACGGGAAGGGAAACCCGATGTGCACTGTAAGCCTGTGTGTACAACACATCATTCGATGAAGGGATTGTGTGCACATCCGAGCAGGCCGAGCGGTGAAGGTCGTCGTGCCGGCACATTTCACCAAGTGGATACGGAGTGCATCTCGATGTAGCTTAGGTGAGGATGCAGGCTGGCCATACATTGCAATTAGTACATGAATCTATTGCATTTGTCACGGAGACGAGCCACCTTTTTTTTTTGCATAGACAGTTATAATAATTTAGTAAGTATCGCGGGTATATCGGGACTCTTGTAAGCATTATTTGCTTTCCTTCTTGCATGTCCCCTCAGAAACCACAAATGGACGAAATAGAGTTAAAATGGGTAGATGAAGAAACAGGGCCTGTCAGGTGGCCATGCAATGCCGAAATAGCGGGCCTGGAGAACAGGATCCCAGCCAATTGGTTTGGCTACGTCACGCAACCATTTGTCGCAGCGCAAACATGGGAGGTGTGGAAAAAGCAGGACACCGCTTTCAAAGGGCCGGCAACAGTGCCAAGACGACAAAAGTCGCCGATTCGTTTCCGCAGAGACAAGAGTCGGGGATGAACTGATTTGTCCGACCAAGCTTATCATGACTATCATGATCTGGCGCCCGTTTCGTCCCTATCGCGCGAGGTCCCGGTCATTCCGTCGTTTAATACTTGAGGATGATGTAAAGCGCATGGATGATACCGGGTAGGTAGCCTGTGTTTGTTGTTAGCTAATAACCCGTTTCATAAGGGAAAAAAGACGCCACGGTCGGGGAACACGCACCTAGAATGGTCAATAGAATGTTGATGAGTAAGTCGGCACCGCATCCACGCTCCAAGAAGACGCCCAGAGGTGGTAGGATGATGGCAAGGATGATCTTGCAGATGTCGCTGAGAAACAATCAGTATGGGTCTGTGTGAGAGCAATAAGCGGTGGAGAGAAAACGAACCTTCCGGTAACAGCCATGACGATGGTTGTGTGAATGTGAGGTGCTGATTGAAAATAGTAAAAGAACGGAACTGGCTGATGGTCACAGGTGGACAGAGACTGAGTTTTGGATTGTTTTGTTTAGCGATCTTCATTTAACAAAATTGGGGTCGTCTCTTCCTTAAATACATACGACAAAACATAAACATGCTCGGTGGGGTCACCTAGAGCAGTGGAATAGTGCAAATAGCACGTATGGAGTACAACGTAGCAAGGGGGCGCACGTCAGTGCCAAGGATGCGGAGGGAGCCTATAGGTTGCTGGAAAAGTCAGAAGAGCTCGCCGCCTCAACTACGTCACGTCACGCACAGCCCGCTCTCACCTGTACTATGTGCGAATAGTGCATTTTAGTATTAGGACCCATTCTTTCCATGTCATCGCTGAAGCCGGGAATGTGACTGTAGGCGCTGTGGGGACAATAGCATGAAAATATCGCAACCTGCATGTTCAGGACTGCGTACTCCGTAGAAGTCCTCCGTATATGGCTTGGTCTTGGATCCCTATACAAAGACATTATCGAAGCCACTCGTCTCTTTTGGCGAACACGAGAGCATAAAGCGACGCTGGCACAAGTCCCTTTGTCTGTGTCTCAGCCGAAGCCAACAGAAGGAACGATGTTTGTAATAGCAAGAGGAAATTGCTGCGCAGCTATAGCGCCCGCCAACGCCAACTACGTCACTTTGGGAACTGGCGCCCTGCAAAGAATCTGTGTAATAATGTGAAATAGTACAGAGTATGGAGTATGGCATATGAACGGAAAGTGTGGCTGGACATCGGCACAGCCCCAATCGGTCGAAAGTGGCGACACCCGGATTTAACAGCAATGCGAGTCTGAACGGTACGGAGTATGCTATCTTAATGACGAGCATTGCTTCTACGCGCAATATTCCAAGCTTGGCTACCTGCAGAGGACTTCCGGGGTCGTATGTTCGGAAGTAGGAGATCTTTCCTTCCTCTATAAGCGTAGTAAGATACGAACTACGGAGTACCGCGAGCAAGTTTGTAGTGCCAAGGCCATACTCCGTAAACATACATCGTGATCTGATTAGTCATACAATAAATTAGTCAGCATATTCCGCATAAACATTTTGCCGATAAGCCCTAGTTTTTCTCTCTCACACCCAATTAACCAATTTTTTGTGTTAGTGGGGCGCCGTGATGCTTTTTTCTGGGGCCTTTTTTTTCTCTGGCGCCTCGACCTCGCCTGTTAACAAAAGCACCAAATCTCGCAAACAGCACAACGGCGCAGGATTTAACTTCTTTGCGTCCACGAGGAATTCATACCTAAACCCGTCCGATTCAAAAAAAACACTTCAGTCTACAATGGCTCCTCAGGCAGTATGAATGACCCCTCCCCGTGAACACCAATGCTTTGCTGCTTGGCTTGGTTCCCCTCTTCTCGAAAGTCCATTATTGCTTCTCTCCTGGGAGAGGCAATAGGACTCCAATGCCATCATGCAGTAGGCTAAAGGTTGTTTCCTCTTTACAGAAGAAGTCCGGCAAGGCCGCCAAGGTGACGAAGAAGTTCATCATCAACGCTTCGCAGCCCGCCAGCGACAAGATCTTCGATGTGTCTGCCTTTGAGAAGTACCTCAACGAGCGCATCAAGGTTGAGGGCCGCGTTGGCAACCTGGGTGACACCATTGTCATCTCGCAGTCCGGCGACGGCAAGATCGAGATCGTTGCCCACAACGAGCTCTCTGGCCGCTACCTCAAGTACCTGTACGTGGAGCCTGTCTGTCATTGCTCCAATTCTGCTGCCTTTGCTGACTCTCCTCGCTCGCCAGGACCAAGAAGTTCCTCAAGAAGCAGCAGCTCCGTGACTGGCTGCGCGTCGTCTCGACCTCCAAGGGCGTGTACGAGCTCAAGTTCTTCAACGTCGTCAACGAGGAGGACAACGAGGACGACGAGTAGATGCTCAAAGAATAGGGAATCGGATGAGGTGGGCTCTGGGGACATTCCTCAAGTCCATGTGCTCCGGGGCTTACATAAACAAATGTGGGTTTCGCGCTGGCAGACGAAGCTTGGTTTCGGCCTGGTGCTTTGCCAGCGGGTACGAAATACACAGCAAAACTCCATAAAAATAGAAAAATCATCCAGATGTTGCACCTATCTATGTCGTATCCCGTTTTGTGCCAGTTTACTGATGGTCTCAGTCTTCTACATCACCGGCCTCCTGGTTGCTCTATACTGTGTTTATTGCTTAAATTATGTGTCCCAAAGGACAATTTCTGGCTTAAAGGTTGTACGCCCATAGTTCCTTATCCTTTCCGTACATGGTTCCGTATTCGTATATCGTCTGTGCAGTCTTCCGGCAGTCTCTCTCGTCATGGCAGTGTCCGCATGGCAGCCTCGAAAGCGACGAGCGCCATAGCGTTGGCCGGGAACGCGCGCAGGAAGCTGGGGACGAAGCCGCGGAAGAAGCCACGGACGCCGGACTCGCGATAGACGGCGCGGGCGGCGTCGCGCCAGCGGGGAAAGCGCGGGGAGCCGTCGTGGAGGCCGCCGCCAAGGGGATCAGTCATGATGCGTTGCTTGACGACGTCGCTGGGGTAGGCGACGATCCAGAAGACCTGAGCGCTCAGGCCGCCAGCCCAGAAATTGACGAGGGCAGCGGGCATGGCAGGCCAGTGCTGGCGCAGCTGGCGCGAGAAGACGTCGTAGCTGCCCCACCAGAAGAAGAAGTTGGAGCGGAAGAGCATGGTGGAGCCGAGGCCGCGATAGACGCCGCGAAGGCCGTGATGGCGATAGACCTTGGCGAGGCAGTCGACGGGGCCGTGGTAGAGCCGCTCAGCCTTGCTGGCGGCATATTGCACCTGCAGACGGGCCTTGATGTGCTCAAAGGGGGCGGCCACGAAGCTGACGGTGAGACCGGCGCCGATGCCGGCGATGCCGTGGCCATACGACGGCAGTGCCGGTCCACCAGCCGCAGCAGTGGCGCCACCGTGCGATGTCGCCTCATCCAGGCCGAACCAGTGCCGACCCAGCAGCTTCTTGTAGACGGTCAGGCTGCCGAGCATGACGCTGTCCATGAACATCCAGCCGACGAGCGGCGGCGTGGCACCCTTGTAGAGCGCTCGCACGCCCTCGTTGCGGACCGTGCTGACGAGACAGGCCAGCGGACCGGCGAAGCGGTCGGCCGAGGTTGTCTGCATGCGCACCTTGATCGTGTCGAACGGGTGGCCGACTGGGCGTGTCAGCGAGACCGGTGGCCGCCGAGGAAGGCTTCTCTCATGTCTTCTTACCCACAAGCTTGGTCACTCCGGAGAAGATGCCAGCTACGAAGCCCCTGTAGTGGCTGGAACTCTCAGAGGCAGCAGTCGGCGCAGTCGTCGATGCTGCCGCCGTCTTCACGGTCCCAAGCGTCGCGGCCATGGCGGGTTGGTAAAGGGGTCTGGGCGGCTGTCTGTCGGTATGGCGGCGTGCTATGCCATGAGGACACGGTCGGACTGACAAGACAAAAAGCCGCTTCCCCCGATATTCACCCCAAATACAGAAACTTGCAACAGTATGGAGAAAATACGGAAGGAGCAGTGAGAAGCGCACTTGCCGGTGCCGGTTGCCGTTTTCCTTATTTTCTCCAGTGTTAGTAGTGGTCCCGTGATTGCTGCAGTGGCTGGCCGGGGTTCCGCTAGAATCCCCGGGGCGAACGCTAATCCCAACGCGGGGGCTGCTTGCCACGGCTTTACTCGCAGCATCGAGCCGATCGATCGCTTCAAGACATATGTTTTACCGATTGACCGCTACATCTAGTCAAGACCTCTTCATCCGCTATTTTGTTTTGTTTCGCAGCGGGCATATCGCAGTAATGCAAGAAGCCAATTTCCGCGTCAGCCGACCTGTCTTGTCCTTTTGTCTACCAACCATACCATGCTTCCGTGCTGCCCTCAAAGCCATGCCATCCAGCTTACCACTGGTCAGCGATCCCCCGGGCCCGCTCGGCCTCCCTTCGCTCCCGGCAGGCATCAGCCCACCAGCTGTGGGTGATCTCGTTGCGGGGGTCGCGCTGGACGCCCTCGCGCAGGTTGCCCTCGGCGTCGAGCTCGTCCCACGGGTTTGGCGTCAGGATGTAGTGGACGTTCTTGACCTCGTCGTCGCGCCAGAGCGCGTCATGGACGCCGGGCCAGCGCAGCGTCTTGAGCGCGTTGTAGATGTAGGGCAGGGCCACCCAGCGGCCGCGGAACAGCTCCGACAGCACGCTCTGGTCGGCAAACGCGAGGTCGGCCGCATTGTCGTCCATATAGGCGACAATCTGCTCAAAGATGTCCCGCGACGGGTTGACCACCTGCAGTCCGCCGTTGACGAGGTGCACGCCGATAGAAGCCTCGGCCTCGGTCGGATCAGCGCCCTCGCGCTGCGCCCGGTCGGCGTCAGCATGTTGCAGCGTGAAGGCGCAATTGGCCGGCACCCAGTCGGCCGGATAGTGTGCCTTGGCCAGGGGATTGCATACACAGGCGTGGCCGGCCGCGAACACGCGCTTGCTGTCCGGGTGCGGCGGCACCTGCGCCGCCATGTCGGGCGCATCTAGCGGCAGCTCCATCAGCTCGTCCATGTTGCGCAGCATCAACATGTCGCTGTCCAGCTGAACCACGCGGCTGTACTGTGTCAGCCCAAAGGGCGTCAGCTTGCTCCAGCAGTCGTAGAAGCGCGGGTCTGCGCTGTAGTCGCGCGACGACTTGGTCGGCAGCAGGTACGCGATGCGCTGTGCCGCTATGCCGCGGGCCGCGAGCGCCGTCCGACCCTCTTCGGGAAACGTGTCCGTGTAGAGCGCTACCAGTGGGTATGCTGAGCCCACGCGCCGGAGAGTGTGGTCCAGCGTCAGCAGCCCGGGAAGATAGGCTAGGTTGGTGATGAGCGTCGTCCAGACTACACACAGGTGGAGGGGGGGTGCGTTAGTTCAGCCTCTTGCTCAACCATCTTCTGAATCTCCTCTTCCTATCACATAGGCTCTTCTGCGTGTTCTCTTTAGGTTTCCACACTTCGGCTCCCTGCTTGTTCGTCCCATACCTTTGTCTGAGTCGACTGCCCGCTTGCCGTCCGACATTGTTTCTGAGAAGAGCCTGGGGAGCTGGACAACGGAGGTATAGAGGGCCCGGGTTCTCGCCGACAAAACGTCTTGATTCCGACTGCGCTGTGGAAGGTGTAGAAAAGCATAACACGGTGAAAGCGGCGTAGGAGCCAATTAAAGACCACGGTAGTTGCGATACTCCGTTCCTGCCTAATGACGACTTGCTAGTGCGTAACCATAGCGCTACCAACCGACACGCTGGAGCTCGAAGCCAGCAGTTGCCCCGCGAACCCCTCATTCCTGACAGTGGCGCTTGCCGTCATCGCAGTCAGCTCGTTTAAGAGTCACACTATCGCCAGATCCGAACCGCTGCCATGTGCTGCGCGATTCATGCATCGATATGACATATCTCGACGTGTCGTGCGTAATTCTGATCAGTAAGATATGACATAGATTCCACCCTTCCATGAGGCAGGGTCATAATTATCTCAATCAAAATCGGGTATCAGCAAATCATACTTAATTGGACACTCTGAATTGCATCCTAAACAGTGTCACAATATTTTGAAATGAACCGTACGTTCCAGTGACGACTGACTGGTGTGTTGTTCTGTTGCCCCTGGCTCAAATTTATCTCTAGGACTTCTAAGTGTAGTCCTCTCGAAACGGACGATGTGGCTCTGAAACTGATACTGTACCTATAAATCGCAATTCGTCGGATCGTGGCCTTTACAATTAGTGTATTCTAAATATGAGGTGATTGAGATGATCGATAGACCCCGGGGAAGTCTATAATATGGCTTCTAGACCCGTTCCCTTGTGAAACACTACCAAACCACCCTTGCCACTTCCAAGCACTGCAGATTATTCTTTAGAGGTATGGAAACCATAAGGACTGTATCAAATATGAGTGAGGACAGCTTATAGAAAAGGCGTAGAAGCCAGCTCAAAACCACGGCTTTGCTGGAGCGGATGAGGGAGAGAGCAAAGCGGAACTTCACTTTAAACACTGTCATTAAAGTTGCTATCTTCCACCTAGAAAAAAATGAATATAACTGTTAGTTAATGAAGCAAATAGCGACAGGATCCGGATGCCCTAGTTAGCGACAATACACTCTAACTGGCTTGGTTTCTTTGCGCCCTGTTCTAACGTCGGGTCGTCTTCACAAAAGCTTCGACTAAATACCAACTCGTACATGGTTTGTTTCTGCACGCAACGGCTCATAATTTGCCTTCACCTATACCTCATTACATTCATTTCGATTTTTCGCCTTTACCCAACATCTTCATTGAAACAGAGTGCTATTTAAACACCAAAAATGATAGGCTGTAGAACATGTCCGGACACTTAGCTGTCTCAAATCACAACATGACCAAAACTTTCTTTCAATGTTGCAGGATTCTGCGGTTCCATGTTGCACACGAAACAAGGAGAATTTGGAACACGACAGGGAGAATTCAAGATCAAACTGAAGGCTGACACCACTCATGTCAATACCGAAATACCGAGGCAGGGCTTGCGAGTATTGAAGTTCAAACGCCGTGTAACAGAATCACCTGTCTACTAAGTCGTCTACTAATACGGAGTTTTTAGGATCGAAGAGAAAGATAGCTACGTAAGGGAACCACTGCCAAAGCTTCTACAAGAACGCTCCCAGACAATTTTGCTTCTGCCCAACCCTTTCCTTCAAGTCACCCACCAAGGGCTGAGCGCCGAAACCCGCATGGCGCGAGGGTGGCTGCATGAGGCATTTTCTTGATACTACATACATACGGAGTACACGGATTAGACAGCGCATCCACTTATTAGAACCTATCATCACGGAGGCCTGGCCGATCGTGGCCAGATCTGCCAGCACATCAAGATTGAAACCCACAGGTTTTCGTGGGATAAACTGTATAGCCTGTATGCAAGGGCGAAATAATAGTTCGACAATATCTGCTCATGTTCTGGACGTCTGGCCCAGGGAAAGTGGCCAATAAGAAGCCACAGAATGCAGCCAACACTAACACAAGAAGGTTAGCAAAACAATATCACATTTGGCATGGTACGAAGCCAGAAGCAGCTCCACCGATCGAGTAAGTGTTTGCGGCGGGTGAAGCTATAAAGTATCATATGCGAATAGAGGGGCAGCGAAGGCGACTTAGGTCTCGTTACGAAATCGTTGGACTGCCAACAAGAAGTGCTGCAAAAAAGGACGCCAAGAGATGACGACTAAAGAGGCCAATATCGAGCCTTTTCCCTTTCTCGTTACCCAATAGGCCTTTTTCCCTTTCCTCTTCTTTGAGCAGGGTTAGACACATGGGACAGTGTATCGATCATGGTAACAGATCTGACGGTCTGGCCACGAATCAGACAAGAAAAGAGGAGCAAAGGTTAAAGTGATGCGCCGGCGTATCCACTTGGTTTCTTTCTTCTTGTGTGGATTTTCCACTTCCCTTACTGTACTGTACGGAGTAAAGGGCTGCAAATCGAGGAGAATAATAGCAGGCGGTGGGCGTAGTACAAAGGTTTTGCCGGCAGCCGTCCCGGCGACCAAAGTGGTTGCATCTCAAGGGCACTTGGGGCCGAAACAGCTGCAGCCACCGGCACAAAGCAAGGTAAACAGCCGTAGTACCGTGCATAATGGTTGACTGCCTTATCGAGCAAAAGAATGGACGAGGTGGCAAGGACACCCGGACTTCAAGGCACAGGCTCGTGGCCAAGAAAATAATCGGCCGAGTTAGTTCCACACGTTTTGCCGGAAGACGGTCTTGCTACTCCGTATATTTGCACGTTTTAGATCTAGTAGAGAGATGTAGCTGGGGGCTAACTTGAATAAGATATCGGGAAGGTGACTTGAAAGATACAAACATTTTGGTACTCTTGGCAAGCTGTCGCTGAGTACTTTGCTCGGTAATTAGCCCAAATAGGAAATTTGCGAAAAGCCTCTTTATCTGAACCGCCTTTTCCGGATCACTTTAGTTATTTTTCTTTACAGAATTTTCCTCTGCTTAGTGCAGGCGCAAGCGCAAAGCATTAGGCTCCGACTAGGAAGGTGAGAACAAAGAAGAAAGAGACAGCTAGACAACTACGACCGCCTGATCCCGCATTCGGCCACGTGTATGAACGGTTTTCGGCAGCGAGAGCAGACGCCTGTGCTCGGACGAGCTTTTGGGCCCATATGAGTCAGTAGGCCGGGCCGAGCTGTGCAGCGGTGCAGCTTTGCGATGGCCTGCCGTCGTAAGCACTCTGAGAAGGATTGACCATGCGCGGGTAATCAGTCATCCTGCGGGAGGCATATTGTCGTGGTCGACTCTCAGTCGTCCGGACCTTGCAGGCGAAGGGGTTAGGCCGCATTCATGCTCGCCGATAACCATAAAGGTGGCCAGTCTTTTGCATCGCTTCACTATGCTTGCCACCTAACGCCATACCGGCTCGCCTTATCGTTCGCTGCAACGGCAAAGTCCTCGCCTGCAAGTATACGGTTGGCTTCACGGCGAAGACGGCCGGACATAGCACTCCGACTGCAGCCAACGAGAATTGGTCAGCAGTGATAGTGCGCCACATGGAGGTCGGAAGCCACAGGAGGACCCACTACACTGCATGAGTTGGGCTAAATAGAAAGAGAGAAAAAAGAAAAAAAGAAAAAAGGAAAAAGGAAAACGCCTCGGGCCAGTACGTATAGTTGCATTCACATTCTTTTTCGTGCAAATTCAGTGAAAGTGCGCCACTGTTGACCGGGGGAAAATCGGCTGCTAGGGCGTAGGATTCATGCACGCTCTGCATACGGAGTAGTATTCACAGTAGCGGCATACAACGCTGTCCTTTAGCGAGTAACGGGAACTTACTGGCGAATAGCGGTTGAACACACTGGAAGATAGTGCTTTGCCCTCCGTGTGAGACGCTAACAGAGCGCTACAGAAGAGTGGGGACAGGGTTTACTGTCGCTCGGCGTAACTCGTTGTGGCCTATTGCTAATAGTGGATACTGGGTCGTCTTTTTGGGCAGTGTCCTTGTTGTTCAATTGGCTACCGTCTAGATTGGTGAGTGGGGCCTGTGCCGGCTTTTTTCTTTTCTTCTCTCTGTTGACCCCTCTTTTTTGCCTCATTCGGTGCCAGGCACCAGGAACTGGTCTTGCGAATCCGTGGCCAGCCCTCCGGAGCTCCCCCACACGGGCTACAGCGCCGGCCAATGGATGCTTGAAGCGTGCGCTGGCACGGCACAAATGCGACCGGCACAAATGTGAACAGCACACAGTACATATGGATCAATGGGGAGCTCAGAGAAGGCCCTGCAAATCGGCCATCCACACCCCCTTCCTGTCGGCGTCTGGTCGTGTTTGAGGAAATACGTCAATGCCTATCTTGCACTCATTGGAGAGGCCAGATAATGTCGACCACTATTGCGAAAAGGCCCAAGCGCTCTTGAACATGCATGTCTGCCCCCTGTGCTTCCTTTCTGGCGATGTCAGCTTGCCCGCCTCCTTGACCGTTTCTCTGCCGCGCCCTTGGCCCTTTTCGCTATCGGCGTGGCTGTCTTTCAGGCGCCGATCCGTGCGGCCAAACTGGCCCGCTCTCGGATGGCTTTCCTCTTTCTCTCTAAGCGGATTAGTCTGGGCCTGCGAACAGCAAGAGCCCGAAGAGCGGCTTCGGCCCAGGTGAGCGAGATTTTCATTTCCCTTTTGTCCGCTGTGTACTTGCTTGTACAGAGTGACCGGGGTACCATGCTACGACTTGCCGGAGATGTCTTCGCCGCAGTATTTCCTATGTACTTGCTCACACCCTGACTGCGCCTTTGGCCAGCCCCAGATCCAGGGTAAGGTACCTCGCCTGCCGCGTTCTGGAACCTGTAGGGTTGCATCCGGGCCAGAAAAAACGCATCACAAGCGGAATGGTACTTACGAGCACAGACTTGTGAAAATCCTGCTTTGTCGGGCGAGGATTTGCGCTGTCCGGCGGGTCAACAAGCAGGGGTGGCAGACCCTTGCAGTAACCAATTCGTGATCTATACGGGCTGGCCGCGGGATACGAGTGCTCGGACGGAGTACTCATACTCGTATTCTACATAATAGTGACAATGCAGGCCAACAGTCCTCGGACTGGAGGTGTGCTTTGTTGCCGTTTGCATTAGGGTTCCAACAGGGGGGGTTCTCTCGGCACACCCCCTCGGCCGTCAGGCCTCTTTTTCGTTTCGTTTCGGTTTGTTTTGTTTCTTCTTTGCGACAGCCCTGTGTCGGTTTCAAATCGATGGACGAGACGAAAGGGAGACTCGATCGAGGGTGGCCAGGCGGTCTAGAATGATCAGGCCTTTCAGCACCTACGAAGTACGAGTACAGCCTGTCCTTGGGGGGGTTCATAGGTACACAGCTTAGCCCTAATAGTAGAGGGGCACTGTGGGCCCCACAAAGGCGGCGCTACAGTCGATTTGTGGCGAGTGGCAGCCAACGGGATAGCGGCACTGTGGGTTAAATCGCACACTTTCTTGTGCCGGGAGGACCATCCGTGGGCGGATTAGCGCCAGGGGTACTCACCCAAGGATGCAGGAACCGACATGTTTGTGCTCCACTAATTGTGTACCGATACACTTGTACCCGGCTCGAGTACTGTTTCTCTCGCAGAGCAGGCGGCTTCGCGCGGCGTACCGCCCTCTGCTGCCTTTGTCCCTCAGGTTCTTTTCAGGTGTAGAAACACACACAATGATGGAGAGGCGGGTACATGCCAAATGTGCGGTCCGCCTCTTTCTTCCTCCTCCTGGGAGTGTCATGGTGCACATCCGCATCCATATAAAGAGGGCATCTGTCCCCCGGCTATTCTCGCCCTTTTTTTCGTCCCCCTCAGCAACAACCAACATCACTCCTTTTTGCTTTGGCATTTGTCCTTCCCCAACTCGTATCATTCCTTCGAAGAGTCCGGAACACTTTATATCACTCCTTGAGAAGCAAGCACACTTACCACAAACACAATCCACAAACCCCCTAAAACAACACAGCAAACGTCTCAAACACCGTCTTTGAATAACTGCAAAAATGCACTCCTTCACGCTCTCCGCTGCTCTTTTCGCCGCCGTGTCGGCTGCCACCAACATCGTCACCTTCAAGTCGCTGGACAACGTTGACCGCACCGTCTACATCACCGCCAACGCCGGCATTCAGGGCCACGACCCCGTCACCGTCTCTGCTGGCACATCTGTCGACGTCGAGCTCGTCGACGGCTTCGTCGGCAACGCATATGCCATCCACAGCGGCTCCAGCAATAATGTCGGCATGCTCGCCGAGTTCAACTTCCAGGGCTGGAACGATCTGACCTACTTCGACGTCTCGGCTATCATCAACTCTGCCGATGTCGACAACGTGTCCGAGATGTACCCCTATGGCGAATCCAGCTCGCCCGTGTCTGGCTGCACTAGCTGGCCCTGCAACAACGCCTACTACCACGCAGACGACGTTCAGACCAAGTCCACCAGCCAGACCCATCTGATCGTCACGCTCAGCAAGAACAACTATGCTGCCATCTCCAAGCGCGAGACTGAGAGCGTTGGCCGTCGCTTCCTGGAGCGGATCTAAGCACAAACCTCTTTTGCTTTTATGCTTTTCTTATACTCTCCCCAAGCTGTTGACTAGCTGGAACCATCGCCGTGCGAGGGTATGATAACGAGGTTTATGACCAATGCCAAAAATGGATCCCTTCACTCTTGCCATCTGGACCGCTTCTCTTGTGCCTCTTGTTCGAAACAAGTATGGCTGGGCCCCTTCTTGCCCCTTCTTTATATATAGACTTTTTGCCCCGCTTGGCCAGGAGACTCACTTTTGTTCACTCATTTTACTCTTGGAAAAGGCCGGGGCGTTTTTACACTCTTCTAACCTTCGTTGGTTGATACCAAATATCTGTTCACCTTTTTTCTTGTATATATTCCGTCTCTTATGATACCGGCTCTTATTGTGGCTTGACAAAAAATCCATTTAGAGTTGCCATACTCCATCTTATGTTTTGTGTCTCACGACTTGTGCCGCTCCACTTGACACGAGGTGTACGAGTTCGTTAACTCGACGGTTAACTTAGAACAAAGCCTCCTTGTGAACAGGCCTAAGCCAAATAGGACAGGTGCCTCAAACAGATTGTCGATCGGAAGCCGGTCAGAACAGGAGACAAGTGAAAGCGGGCAAGTGCGATCGTGAGTTTACTCGTACTAAACCTTTCTGTCTACGATCTGCGTAGTGGGAAACGATGCATGCAGAACCACTACGACGTACAGAAAATTGCAATGGTGCGGAGAAATCTGTAACTATGCGTTCTTTGCAGCACTCCGCAGTGCTATCGATACCCGCTTGAGAGGCTTGTCGATGCGCCGTCGTTGCGCTCGCATCATTTTGGACACCAATAACACAGAATACTGTTAAGACCCTCAACAACGTTTTGCCAGCTGCGGAGTAGTTCCGGTTGCGCAAACCTTACTGACCTGCCTTTCTACGCGCTTCTATTTCGTCGCTCCGCAAGATACTTCTGGCCTCTCCCCGGTACCTCTGATGCCACGTATGTCATACTCGGATGCGGCACAACTAAAGATGAATGCCTACATCACTTGCGGGAGCTAAGCTCGTGGCAACTGAGGCTTCCCCATTCCCAAGTGGCTTAAATACAACACTGTGTACCAGGATATCACTGTGCCCGATCTGCACACCAACGGTACGGCGAAGGCAAATAACTCACCGTGCGATTCAGTGCGTTTTCTGGATTTTTGGAGATCGCGAAGGAAACATGACATCACACGAAAGCGGCTTGTGACTTATTTGTAATGCTGATTCGGATGTAGCAGCTTACCGCTCTGCCATCGCGACATCGATTCAAACTCTGATGCAATGTGCTGAGGTGATGGTGGACCATCGGATTAGAAGTGGACCACGTGACCCGCAATTCAATTAAAGAACCGCCACGTGATACGGAGTAGTCGTGGGCCGCGCCTCAAAATTTATGCTGACACGAAGGCCCGCAAACGGGGAAAGGGGAGACATGTTCCTTCCACGTGAATCAAGAACACGCGACGCGTCAAAGAAGAAAGCCTCAGGGCTGCGGGCAACAAACTGCGCTACCATGTACGACGTGAGAAAAGGACGTCTTGATGAGGGCCTTTGTCTATGCTGATATTAATATGCTCCACTTTCGGATAATAACAAAAGTGGACTGAAACAAAACGAGCGCAACAACAAAGGGGCAGCAAAAAGACAAAATGCCAGATGGAAACTATTCGCACACCAACAAAACGGACGCTTCTAACAATGTAGTACGAACAACTTTTGCACAAATGAGATACAAAAGGTCTGAATGCAAGAGGGGGGAGCCTCCCCTTCTTCTCTCACTTCTGCCTCCGAATCCGGACTTTCCACCCGCTATTTGTCCTCGCTCTTCCTCTGTTCCTCTGACATGCTTTCGCTTGTTTGACGGACCTCATCACCGTTATTATTATTGTTGGTTTCACCATTTGTGCTGTCTGCGGATGGCTCTTCCGCTGCCTTGGCCGCATCGCTCGTGGCAACCATGCCAACGGCCGTCTTAACGTCTTTCGGCGGAGCTGACGGAGGCTGAAGATATCCGTCCCGCGTCGAAGACGCCTTCGCTTGGGATCCGTCTTCTTTCTTCTCCTCTTCGAGCTCCTTGGGATCTCTGGGTTCCCCGGGCTCCTCTTTCTTCCCCTCTTTCACCTCGCTCGCTGCGACTGGCTTTGGCTCTGGCTCCTTCGCTGGTAGCTTTGGAGGTGGACTGGGAACCTTGATCTTCTTGCTTTCAATGATCTCTTTGAGGAAGCTGCCGACATCGCCAAACCCGTCAAGCTTGCCCAGGCGCGTCTGTAAGCTTTCTACATCATGTAGCATGCTGAGTTTGTAGGTTAGCTCTCTGAAAGTACTTCGCTGGGCTGTCTCTAGAGATCGTATCTTACCTGTCGCGGCCTGCTGCCGTCTTGACATCTGATCCCCGGAGCACACCACCCAGCTGCTCCTTATACTCGGCAAACACAGACGTCATGATGAATCGTACCGTTCCCTCAGGAAGCGTCTTGGCCAGGTTGCGGTGCAGAGTGGTGGTCTCCTTGACAAGCGTATCCATATATGCATGCACCGTTGTGCTATTGGGGGCAGATGCGTCCCAGTCAATGCTACGCATGGTCCTGGCATGCGCCTGCGCGCGTCCCCCCATGATCTCCACCAGCTTGTCGTATATGCTGTTCTGGTGCTCCTGGTAGAGCCGCCGCACCTTGTCAAACTCACCCATGACGTTTTGTGCAGTACTGCCGTTGCTGCTGCTGCTCGAGCCGGCACGGCGCCGCACAAACTCTCGGACGTAGGGTATGACCGTGGCAATGAAGGCCAGCGACTGCGATGCAACCGCCAGGTGTCGTGTGGTGATGTTCTTCAGACCCGCGGACCGTGTGGCTCCGGCGCCCAAGATCAGCTGCGTGCAACGCGAGTTGAACAGCTGTAGGTATTGCACCAGTGACAAGGCTACGTCGAGCGTCATGAAAGGAATGGCCACCATGAGATGCATATAGTGTGACATTCCCTCCAGGCAGAGCACGGCCGAGTTGGGCAGCAGGAAAGTCTCCTCATCAATCACCGCGCTATGCGTCTTTGCCTTGCCTCCTGCTGCCGTGGATGCTCCGTTGCTTGACGCCGCCTCGTCTCCCCGTCGTTCTCGTCGTCGGTCGGGTACGGCGTCCAGATCATGACGTCTTCTGTCCACTCCTCGACATCCTTGGTGCTGGCATCCAGGATCTGTTGCAGCAGCTTCGTGTCTTTCTCCGAAAAGTCTCGTGCTGCCCACTGGTCCTGGTCCATTCCCTGCGCCAGCTTCTGCATCTGTGAGTCGCCGTGGTACTGCACAAAGTCCTTGACGTGCCCGTTCACTTCAGTCTTGAGTGCAAGACCGCTACGTCCAGAGATGCCCTCGCACTCGTTGGCAAAGTGCAGGTTGAGCGCGAAGTAGCGGAGGAACCATTGGAACGACAGGTGCGAGCTCTGCTCTGCACGGACACGTAGAACCCGGATCACCTTGTCCTGTGCCGCGTCGATGGACTGGCCGAGCAGATTGCCCATGTCCAGAGTCCGGTGGAGTTCTGCCTGAGCCTCCATGCCAGCGTCCGACATGGGCGGCGGCATCTGGCGGCCTGAAGGGCTGAATGGCGGCGACTTGAGCGGTGCGTCGGGATCCAGGATGTCATCGCCAACAGAGCTGGCGACGTCAAGCAGCACTTTCAACTGCGTAGTCAGTCGTCTCAGTGTCTCTGCTACGCCGATGTATATCCTCATCAGCAGCTCTTCGGCATCTTCGGGACCAAGTGCCCGAAGGTTGCGAGCAAGAATAGACGATTTCTCCGCGTGAGATAAGCGCCTGCTGCTGCTTAGCGTTGAAGACGACATCATCGACTCGTTGTCGTCGTCGCTTGAGCTCGGCAGTGGCCTCCGGACCAGATTCTTAATCTCCCGTAAAACCGTCTCTCGGAACACAAGCGAAGCAGCGGCAATATGTTTGGCCCTGTAAAGGCCCGCGAGGATGGGGAGGAGCTCTGCCCGGAGATCATCGGTCGCTGCAAGATATGCAGGGAATGCGGACGGGTCACGTCTGTGTGCTCCCCGAGCGCGCATAGACGCACTGCTCCACCGCATAAGCACTTCTGGGCGCGGCACTGTCTCTGTGTGGTTCCGAAGATCTTTGAGCAGGACGGACACAAACTTGATCTCGTATGCCTTGCCAATCCGGAGTCGCAGAGCTGTGATGTCGTCATTGACGCCCTGCAAGGCTGTCGCACCCCGCAGGTCTCGAAGCGGATACGGCCGTTGTTGCTGCTTCTTTGGGTCCTGCTCACCAGCAATGAGCATCTCCAAGGCATCGATACTGTCTAGTGCTTTGTCCACCTCATTATCGTCAACAAGTGCTTCGCATGCTGCCACGTCATCTACGATGTCTTTTAGCTGCATCACAGCCGCGTGGAACTGTTGTATGTTCTGGCGCCGGTGCTGTTGCTGGACGATTTCCAGGCCGCGGGTCGCAATGTCATGGTCCAGAGCACCAAGCTCCTTCCGCAGCGCCTGTATCCTATCCACAGAGCCTGCAGCCTCGGTGTGCAGTTCTTTGAGAGCGCCGAGGGCCGTAAAGAAGGCAGTCGATGCCGTGGAGATGGATGAGATCAGGTGCAATTCGACCGTGTCCATGTACCATGATAGCTTCTCCTGCAATATTGCGTTCGTGGCCAGAGCCTTTCGAGGTACGGGTGCCACAATCGATGTGCTATTGCCATTCAGACCACTTCTCTCGTTGCCTGTCGTCGGAGCAGACGGCACAACCTCAGACCGTTCGCTAACGATGTCAAATGTCCGGGGATTCTCCAGGTGGAAGTCGTCGTCGAAGTAGACATTGGGAATGGTCGACAAGGGTGGTGGGCCTTGGACACCCCTTCTGCTGTTGCTCGGGTTTCTTTTAGAAGGACTGGGCGCTTCGGCCAACGTGACGGACGATATGGAAGAAACAGAGAGTCTTCTAGACGGCCGCTTTCCGCCCGGACGCAGATACCCATCACTCAATGTGTCGCGAAGGTCATCTTTGCTGTTGTTCCTCCGAGGTGTTCCACCAGAACTTGCCTGCTCTTCTTCGCTCTCTTTTACTCTTCGTAGTTGCTCGTGCAGTGCACCCACCTGGGTGAGGTACTCGGCAAACTCGGATGACTCGACGTGGGCAATGTTCGTGAGAGTCACAGGGGGTATGTCTCTGGCTGTCGGAGGCTTGTGAGTGCTATGCGCCGGGGCGGATGTGTGCGGCTGAAGGCCGGTCCGAACGATGGGTGGCTGGAGGAGTGTCGAGATGGCTGGTACTTGTCAGACAACCGATGAACTGTACAGGAAGCAGAAGGTAGAGGGCACGAGGCAGCAAACCATTTTGACCTAGCTCCGTCAACGGCTCCGGCCAACTGCCAATGGCCGTGTCTAAGGTGCCCCCGACAGAGTGGATGGAGCTTGAAACCGACTCCCGCCTTTGCTTCACATACGCGCTTGAGGAGTATGGCCTTGAACACATGTGTTAGCAAGACTGAGGGCAGACCATGAGGTCCGGGGATGACCACAGGATGGCCGGAGGCGCAAAGTACCTGTGGAAAGGGAAGTCTGCTTTGTGGGTTATGCTCGACAGCGACGACAGGCTGTCGACAGACTTCCGTCCCTCAGAACCCGAGAACATGGCTCGCAGCCTCTGGACCCGTATCCAGAAAGAGGGCTATGGCGGCAAATCGACGATGGCATATAGGCAATTTCGGATCGGGGGGAAGCTCGGAGGGGAATCCGCAAATGGCTCTATTGATCCGCAGCTGCGAGGTCGAAGAGCATTGCTCAGCGCACGGCAAAGACAGGCCGGAAAGCTGGGGATGCGGTCAAAAAGGAAGAGAATAAGAGACAAAAGACACGTCGGCTTGGCGATTTGGGAATGGAAATGGCCGCAAAGGCGTTGACAGAATTCGGTGTGGAAAGCAACGATGGCCAGGTCTGTCTGTGTTGTCTTGCATATCGGCGAACAATTGACAACGTGCACTACAGTCCGAATAACAGCTACACGTGACCATACTATTTCATAACTGTCTCGAGACTAGCGCGCGTGTTCCGGAAGGGACGTTTCCATGCGACCACTTTAATTAAGACGCGTGAGGGGCGCGACGCGTTTTTCTCGTGTCTCCCAAGTCTACCGCCCCTCTCTTTTGGTCAACTTTCACACATCTCCGACATCGATTACCACCACCGCACTCTATTCAGACCGGTCAAAGACTAAGCAACCCTGTTCTTCAGCGTGTACCTTCTTCGTTCAATCGACGTACCCGCGCTTCAAGATGGATCGTCAGTCGGTCTATTCTACCCATGTCTACGACTACAACGAGACAGGGGAGGAGACTCGAGTAAAGACCCGGAAGGATCTGGAGGATTTCATCCTCAAGTTCCGGCTCGACAATGACTTCGTTTACAGGTACGGTCATGTGAGATAACAAGATAGGGCGAATATGGTTGCTGACTGGGCCTTCCTGCAGAGAACAATTGAAGGAGAATGCCCTGCTGAAGAAATACTACTGCGACATTGACATTGGTGACTTGATCAAGTACAACGAGGAGTTGGCGCACCGACTGGTTACCGAACCGGCCGAAATTATTCCCTTGGTATGTTGGCTGCGTTCGGGCAGAGGAGAAAGACAGAAACGCTGACAATGCGTCTGATAGTTTGAGAATGCCCTCAAGCGATGCACCCACCGGATCGTGTTCCCACACCAGAAAACGGTAGACCTGCCAGAGCACCAACTTTTGCTGCACTCAAGTGCAGAGGAGGTGGCAATCCGCAACTTGGATTCGCTGACGATCTCGCGGTTGGTGCGGGTGCCGGGGATTGTGATCGGGGCGTCCGTGATGGCGTCGAAAGCGACAGACCTGGTAGTACAATGCCGCGGCTGCGGGTTTGAGCAGAGACTTCCAGTGACAGGAGGGTTCACGAGCGTGACGCTGCCGCGGCAGTGCGGTCGGCAACCAACGCAGGGCGAAGGCGAGAAGTGTCCGATGGACCCATACTATGTGCTGCATGAAAAGTGTGGGTTTGTGGACCAGCAGGTGATCAAGCTGCAGGAGGCGCCAGAGCAGGTGCCGGTGGGCGAGCTGCCGCGGCACGTGCTGATCTCGGCGGACCGGTACCTGACGAATCGAGTGGTGCCGGGGTCGCGGTGCACGGTGACGGGCATCTTCTCGATCTACCAGAGCAAGAACTCGTCACGGAGTGGAGGCAGCGGATCAGCAGGCGGCGCAGTGGCGATCCGGACACCATATCTGCGGGCGGTGGGGATCCAGACGGACCTGGACCAGACGGCAAAGGGCCAGGCGATGTACACGGAGGAGGAGGAGCAGGAGTTCCTGGAGCTGAGCCGGCGGCCAGACTTGTACAACATCATGACGGACTGCATCGCACCATCGATCTACGGCAACCGAGACATCAAGAAGGCGATCCTATGCCTGCTGATGGGTGGGTCGAAGAAGATCCTGCCCGACGGAATGAAGCTGCGTGGCGACATCAACGTGCTGCTGCTGGGTGACCCGGGAACGGCCAAGTCGCAGCTGCTCAAGTTCGTGGAGCGAGTTGCGCCCATTGCGATCTACACGTCGGGCAAGGGATCGTCGGCGGCGGGTCTGACGGCGTCGGTGCAGCGGGAGCACTCGACGCGGGAGTTCTACCTGGAGGGCGGCGCGATGGTCTTGGCCGACGGCGGGGTGGTGTGCATTGACGAGTTTGACAAGATGCGGGACGAGGACCGGGTGGCGATCCACGAGGCGATGGAGCAGCAGACGATCTCGATTGCCAAGGCGGGTATCACGACGATCCTCAACGCGCGGACATCAGTGCTGGCGGCAGCGAACCCGATCTTTGGGCGGTACGACGACATGAAGACGCCAGGCGAGAACATTGACTTCCAGACGACGATCCTGTCGCGGTTTGACATGATCTTCATCGTCAAGGACGAGCACGAGCGCGGCAAGGACGAGCGGATGGCGAGGCACGTCATGGGCATCCACATGGGTGGACGCGGCGTGGAGGATCAGGTAGAGTCGGAGATTCCGGTGGAGAAGCTCAAGCGGTACATCAACTACTGCAAGACGTGAGTATCCCCTTTGATGTTTCTGATTGCCAATGATTTCGAACCGGTGGCTAACAGCACAGACGTTGTGCCCCCCGGCTGAGCGCGGAGGCAGCAGAGAAGTTGTCGTCGCATTTTGTGTCGATCCGACGGCAGGTGCACGCGGCCGAGCTGGAGGCCAACGCGCGGTCGAGCATTCCGATCACGGTGCGGCAGCTAGAGGCTATTGTGCGGATCACAGAGGCGCTGGCCAAGCTGACGCTGTCACCGGTGGCGATGGAGCAGCACGTGGACGAAGCTATCCGGCTGTTCCTCTGCTCGACCATGGATGCGGTCAACCAGGGTAGCCAGATGGGCGCAGGCGCGGGAGCGGGTGCCGGTGGCGGCGCGGCGCGCGAGCTGTACCAGGAGGCGGCGCGCGTGGAGTCGGAGCTGAAGCGACGGCTGCCGATCGGTTGGAGCACGAGCCTGGCGACGCTTCGGCGAGAAATGGTGGAGGTGCGAGGATTCAGCGAGCAGGCGCTGAATAGGGCGCTGATGTTGCTGCAGCGACGAGACACCATCATCTTCCGGAACGGAGGTGCCCAGGTGTATCGGAATGGAGCATGAGAGGGGAAAGAGGGGGAGAGAAGGATAGGCTATGCATTCTGCGTATTCTTTGGTCACGATGCAAGATTTTGAGACGATTTCGCGACTACGTTATGAACATGGGACGAAGAGGGACGGGAAGCACTATGAATAGAAACAATATCAGGCAAACAAGCGGATATTTGGATGGTGAAAAGGAAATCGAGAGCGTCTGGATTGTAACGAGACAATGACTGTTTTCAGAAGAGTCGGACACGACAGCTATCCAATGATGTCTGGCTGGCTTATAAAAACATAGACTGCTGACTCATCCTGGCTAGTAACGACCACTGCGGCAGTTCCGCCAAACATTACCTATGAAGCACAACATTGGTACGCATATGCGCACATATATCTTTCATGCCAGCAGACGGTCTAAGCGTAGGCCAGGGTGTTGTCGTCCCGGATGACGCCGATGACGCCGAGTCCAGCCTCGTTGTTAGCCACCGAGGGGCCGCGGATAACGATCTGGATTAGTCAGCACATACCATAACTAAACATATCCGGTGTCTGTTCTGGGGAGCACTCACCTCGCCCTGGAGCTTGTGGTTGGCGACTTTGCAGGTGTCGGTGTCTTTGAGGAGGTACTCGGTGCTGGTGAGGGGGGGTCCGAAGGGAGCGTAGGGCCCGCCGGCGACGACGCGGTAATCGTAGAAGGCGGTTTGGGCGGCGACGCCGGCGACCTTGGCAGCGGCGAGACCGTAGAGAACGCGAGCCCCAGTGAAGACTCGGAGGTCAGAGAGCACAGTAGACGAGAGAGGGGGGGTGCCGGCAGCAGCGCGCTCGGCCGTGTAGACGAGGCGAAGCTTGCCGGGAGCAGTCCCAATGGCAGGACGAGCGCGATCGAGGAGGCGGCTAGCGAGCGAAACGACTTCGGAAAAGACGCCACCATCGGAGAGCGAGCGAGTTTCCCAACGGAGCAGAAGCGAGGCAAGCGGGACGGCAGCGAGGCGGGCGACGGTGTCGGCGTGTGTGCGCAGCAGGGCGGCCGGACCAGCGACGACGACGGTGGGCGCGATGCCGCGCGTGGCGGCCGTCAGGTCCAGAGCAGCCGGGGCCGAGCTGCTGAGCGCCACAGACGCGCCGGCATGCAGGGCAGCCAGGACCAGGACGAGCGTGTGGGTGTGCGTCAGCGAGTCGGCGACAAGCAGCAGATCCGACGGGCCCAAGCGCTGCGTGCCGGGAAGGGCCGACAGCTGGGCGGCCACGGCAGCACAGAGGTTTGCACTCGTGAAGCGGACCATGTCCGAGGGGAGGGTGGTGGTCTTGGTCGTCGTGGTCGTCGTGGTCGTCATGCTGTCTTTCTCATGCTCCCAGAAAATAGAAATGTCACGTGCTGCTGACTGTTCCTCCAAAGGCGGCAGGCTGAGGCCGGCGGAAGGGGCGGCATCGCCGACGACGTCCTGCCAGGTGGACACGTTGACGCGGCCGCCAACGCCCTCGGGCACCTCGTTCCAGTCCAGGTGCTTGCTGCCCTCGTCGACGACCCAGATCAGCTGGCGCAGGGCCGGGTAGCTCTTGGCCACGTTGGCAAAGGGGAAGCAGCCGGGAGCGGTGATGACGGTGTCGGCAGCCGAGCGGCGCAGCATGGAAACGAGCGCTTCGTCGGTCTGGTCAAAGGGCAGCAGGATGGCAGTCATGTTGTAGAAGCTGCAGGCGAAGAGGCCAGCCAGGAGCTCGACCGAGTTGGGTAGGTAGATGGCCACGCGGTTGCCGCCCTGGTCGAGCATGTGCTGGCCGATGAGGCTAATCTGTCGGGTCATGTCGTCTGAGGGGTGTCAGTAGGAGGATAAGTTGGAGGTATGAGTTGTAGGGATGAGAAGGGGATGAGGAAGGATGAGGGGATGAGGGGATGAGGAGAGATGAGGGTGAACCATCCACAACGAAGCCATTGGGCTTATGGACATTTCCATCAAACGGCTACAGACACGTACCTAGACTAGTCTCTTGCACGGTCTCGGTGCCGTAGACGGCCAGAACACGTCCACGGCTGTTCTTGTTGGTGCTCCCACCCGCAATGGCCTGTCGCCAGATGTCCCGCAGGTCGCCGTCACGGCCGCGCGCCCACTTGGACACGCCCGGATCACGCACGTCCAGGCCCGACTGGAGCGGGACCGAGTGCGGCGAGCTGCGCGACCGGTACACGGGCGACTCGCCTTCCTGGCGCACCGGCGAGCCCTGGGCCTGGCGCGCTAGCAGCAGCGGGTGGGTGTCGGGATCGCGGCGCACGTACAGAAAGACGCTGACGATGCCGATCAGCAGCGTCGCCAGCACGCTCGAGTAGACATTCCACTGGCCGAACAGGTCGGTGACACCCTCGTCGAGGTGCCACATGAGGTTATCGAAGCCCATGGGTAATGTGGATCCTGGTGGCTTTGAAGGGAAACGTCGAGCTGACAGAAAGACAGCAAGCCAAGAAGACAGAAGACAGACAGATCGGCCAAGAAGCCGACAAGAGAAATCTGTGCAGTGCCGGCACCGTGCTGTCGAGGCGGGCGTTCCGACGCTGGGTGGATCCGACGTCGTGCGGTTGCGGGATGCGGGAGAGAAGGCAAGGAAAGTCTCACGTCAGCGCTCTTTCCAGCTGGCGGCCGCTAGGGTGGGGCCTGACTGGTGCGGCCAGCTGTCGGCCAATCACCGGCCAGCGCTGGCGAGAGAAATTCATAACAAAACAGGCACGAACAGTCAACAATCGAGGAGAGCGACAGCGACGACGGCCAACCCGTGTCGACGGCAGCGAACAGCGACCATCAGCCGACAGCGAAGCTTCCGATTGCTCGTCTATCCGCCTCTCACGCGCAGCTTCTTGCCAGCCACCCGGCCCGAGCCCCTGTGAGTCCCGAGAAGCTGCTCGAGCTCCGTGCCGCCTCGCCATGGCGTCCAGATCCATGCACACGCCGCCGCGACAGACGCTTGCCGGCCTGGCTGCTGCTAGGGGCCGAGCGTCGTCGGCAAGGAGGGCGACCGCCGCAGACAGCCCGGGCAACTGGCGGCATCCTCGCATGGACGAGATCACGCGGCGGCGCTCGGCCAACGTGTTTACCGAGTCCAACCTTAAGACGGCCATCTACAACGGCCTGGCCCTGGGTGTCGTGTACGTTGCCCGGACGGCCAACGGGACTGTCTACCAGCAGATCTGTCGATTGTAGGTTTTACTTTAGGGCGTTCTTCCTCTTGTTTTCTCCTCTTCCGTTCTTCTCTCTTCCTTTCTTCTCCTTTCGTCCTCTTCTTCTCCTACTCACCGACCAGTGCACACAGTTTGGTTCCTGTTCGATACGCGCCCACGCTCTGGCTCCTCGTCCAGCTCGCCCTCGTCCTCAACATCGCCCGGGCCATCATGCCTCTTTTCCGCCAGCCCGACACCATGGCCGATATCCCGCTGACGCCCGGCCAGCGCAAGCTGCTCGGCCTGGTGCCTGTCCGCATGTCGGCCTCGGTCACCCCCGGAGGCGTTGCTGCCTTCACCACGCCGCCGCGCTACGCCCGCACGCCGTCCATGTCGAGCTCGCCAGCCGCCGCCGCCAGCGGCCTCACCGCCGCCAGCAATATGGCCACCGGGTCGCGCAGCAGCTACGCCAGCTACACGAGCTCGCCTATCTCCAGCAGCCCGCTCTTCAACAAGACCCGCGCCGTCTCAGGCACCAGCTCGTCCTTCTCGACTGCTGCCAGCCCCTTTCCCAAGGGACGGAGGTCGTCGTTTGGGTCGTTTGGGTCGCCTGGCGCGGTCTCGTCTGGAGCTGGCCCTGCGAGCGCCCCGTCGCCGTCGTTGTTCTCCGAATCAACCCTCTCTGTCTTCCCGGGAACGCCCAGCCCCAGCTCGGGAAAGCGCCTCAGCATGGGACTCAACAACAAGTGGCTATACGAGAAGGGCCGGCGAGGCTCCGGCAGTGCGGCCCGGATCTACTAATTACAGCGAGTGGGCAGGCGAACGGGCGAACAGGCGAACAAGGCGAACAAGGCGTATGCACTTCTTTCATTGCGAAATAGCAGACGGGCTGTGTAGGATAGACGAATCAAGTCCGAGTACATATATCGAACAGCTCAGAATACGGAGTACATAATTTGTATTTAGTGCTCTCTTTTTAGCGTCTTCAGTGGCTGTGCCCGCTAGCAGCCACTGAATGGCCCGTGCTCGTGACGTAGCATCCGCCAAAGGCGGTGTCAGGAAGGAGGAATAAGCCACAGGAAGATAAACGGGGGACCCCAACAGGAATGCCTGCAATTGCCTTCTGCCGGCCGTCGACCAGACCACACTCTCCACCAAGACGACGACCCCGAACGGATCTCTCGATTACCGCGTGGAAGAGGAATCTGTCTTGTGTCCCTGGCAAGTCCTCGCGCCTGCGCATCGGCCACGAAAATGGGTGCTAGTGACTCGAAGCTCGTCTTCAAAAAGGGCATCTTCCGGCTGTCGGAAGAGCGAAACATCCCTGCCGACGACCCATACTGGACATCGGTATGCGAACAAGAGGGGAGGGGGGAGAAGAGTGGGGGGAGCTTGGAGGAGATGAGGGTCTGCACGAAAGTGTGTCGAAAGCTGACTCTTGTTGGTGTAGTTCTGGGACCTGCCCGAATCGCCAGAGGACATCTTCAGCCTCTTCTCACCGGCCGACATTCGACGGACGCGCGACACGGCCCTGGAGAACTTGGAGACGCTACTGCTGGCGGTGACATCACGGCTCTTCAGTCTGCGCCACCACGCCGCCTTTCCCGACCCAGATGTAGCCCCAGAGCGGGATGCGCTCAACTGCATCCGCGTGCTGACCCGCGTGCTGCCGTACATCTACGAGCGCGCGTCGCTGAGCGGCTGGGAGGAGCGCTTCTTCTGGACGGCCCGACGACGACGGACGCACCGGCCGTCAGGCAGTAGCAGTGTGGCTGCCGACCGTGAGGTGCTCTTTGACCAGACCAACGTCGACGATGGCCCGAAAAACGAGGCCGCGTTTGAAGACGTCAAGCCGCTGGCCGAAGAGCTCATCGACACGCTGACAGACCTGCTCTTCTTCGCCGACTTCACCGTGACCCGGCCGCCGGCCGCCGTCGACCCCGGCAAGGTCACGTATGCCATCTGGCAGAGTGGCGTCGGCTGCAACGCGGCCATGCCGACGACGCGCGAGTTTGAGAGCAACCGCTGCGAGATCTTGCGCCTGCTATTGACTCTCGCCAGCCCCAGCATGTACTCACCTCCCGGTGCTCTGCCGCGCCAAGGCATTCGCGCCCTCACCTACATCTGTACCTGTCCGGACAAGCAGGTCGTGCTGTCGGTCCTCTGTTCGCTGCTGAACACGGTGAGTCTGTGTCTCATCGTTTGCTGTCGGCCACTGCTCGTTCGCTTCTGACGCTCGCAGACGCTCAAGTACAATCCCGCCAGCTGGCGCATGCCCTACAACAGCCTCGTGCTCAAGGACCAGAAACAAATCCTCGTCACCTACACGCTGCAGCTCCTGCTCGTGCTCGTCCTCTACCCTGTGCCCGAGCACGACGGCTTCGCGCCCAAGAACTACTATCGCCACTTCCTCGGGCGCCTGCACCGTCCCGCCGACTTTCAGTTCCTCGTCGATGGCATGACCCGTATCCTCCATCAGCCGCTCCAGGCCAACGCTTCCTACATTCCCGGCACTCAGTCGTCCGTCCGGTTCGCGCCTGAGATCATCATGCTCTTTTGGGAAATCACCCAGTGCAACCGGCGCTTCCGCTCCTTCCTCATCGACACCGAGAGGGTCCACGACTTTGTCATCCTCATCCTCTTCTACGCCCTCGAGTCCAGGAACGACGGCAGCAAGCAGGGCATCGTCCGCATGTGCGTCTTTCTGCTGCAGACGCTGAGCGTCGAGAAGAACTTTGGCATCAATCTGAACAGGCCCTTTGCCGCCCAGGAAACCCTGCCACCGGCCATCCGCATCCAGGGCTTCCGCGGCACCTACGCCGACTTTCTCGTCCAGTCCATCTACAGCCTCATCACCAGCAGCCAGAGCAGGCTGACGGCCATCTATCCCGCCCTCCTGGCCATCATCAACAACGTCGCCCCACATATCGCCGGTCTCAGCCTGCGGACATGTTCGCGCTTGATGCAGCTCTTCGGCTCCATGTCGTCTCCTTCCTTCCTTCTCGCCAACGATACGAACCACGACCTCCTCTCATCCCTCCTCGAGGCGTTCAACGCCACCATCGAGCACCAATACAAGAGTGAGTACCGCATTCCGTCGTGTCCCGTTGCAACAGGTCAGCCTTTTAACGAACTCGCAGAGAACCCACAGCTAGTATACACAATCGTCAAAAACAAGAGGCGGTTCGAGGCGCTGCGCAACTTCACGCTGGAAAGCGGCCGTGAAGAGATTGAGCGCCGCATGCAGCTCCGCAAGGACTCGGGCGTATCGGCCGAAGACCCGATGGAGATGGCTTCGATCCGGAGTTCAGTGGAGAGCCTGCGCAGCCCCAGCACGCCGCAACATCACGTCCAGCCGCCGGTGCTGAGCAATGTGCCAGAGAACGAGACGTTTGCGATTGGAGGCGATGAGAGCGACAGCGACGCAGAAGCCGACAGCGATTCCGAGACGCGCACTGCTGGTGCCGGTGCCGCCAACGACGACGACGACAATGAGGAGGATGAAGACGAAGACGAAGACGAAGACGAAGAGAATGAGCCACGACCAACGCCATCGCAGTCCAGCCTCAGCGAGAACCCGAGCGGTGCATCGTCGGTGATCTCAGTCGAGGACGCGGTGCCGATACAGCTACGGGGCATGTCGGAGAAGGCCCGCGGCAAGATGCCAGTCGGCACGCCCAGCTTCTCGCGGCAGAACAGCGCGCTGAGCATCGGGAGCACGTCCACGGGCGTCATCGCGAGTGGAGGCCACAGAGGCCACCATCGCTACAGCCTCAGCCACGGCCACGGCCACGGCCACGGCCATAGCCAGAGCGTTGGCAGCATTGGTAGCGTGGGCTGTGGTGGGGGATACTTTGAGCCGACAGCGCAGTGGATCGACAGCTGGCTGCCAGAGCTGCCACTGCACACAACGCTGACGCTGATCCAACAGCTGACGGCGCTGCTGCCGCGCGAGGAGCTGGCGGTCGACGTGCCGGCGACCGAGACGCTGCGGCGGATTCAGGACGTGCAGCTAGTGGGCATCGATCCATCACCGATTCGGGTGCACTCGTTTGAATGGTCGCCGCTGTCGCTGGGCTGGTACGAGTCGTTGATCTGGAGCTTTATCTTTAGTAGCGAGATGCAGGTGGCCCGGGGCACCGTCGGCGTCTGGAACGGCACCGCCATCAAGCTTTTTCGCGTCCAGGAGACCGCGCCGCAAGGCCCGTCACTGACGTCGCCGCGCGGTGCCGTCGATGCCGTGGGTAGCAACATTGTGTCGCGCATCGGGGCTATCAACCTGCGCGGGAGCGGAGGCGGCATCACGGGAACGGCCGGCGGGAACAGCGCGTCCTGAGGCAGGGGAGGACTGAGCGTGTGCTACTGTACTCTTAATAGCGATAGCGTGTTACTGCAGAGAAGGATAGAGTTTGCATTTCTTGAACAGAGACTTGATCTTGGATGGCCGGTGTCATTACGTAAGCTTTTGAACCAAAAAGAAAGGACGTATAAAAGTGGGCCTGGAGCTGTTATACAGAACGTTGTAGTCCGTAGATCTGGCCGCTTCAGGATCAAGACCGCAAAAGCGCAACAGCCGAGAAGACAGTCCCCGACGACGCGGCCACGATCCGAGACGCAACAGGCCGTCTCTCTGTGTCTTTCTCTGAACACTACCGCTCGCCCGCGCAATGTACTCTTCATTTGTCCGCCTGCAGAATGTCTTTGGCTTCTTCACCACCATCGTGACGATCCTCGGCAGCCTCATCGCAGCTACTGACCTGCTGCATGCACGCACGCCCAGCGCCACCGTGCGGCCGGCGGGTCTGCAGGTGTATGTGTAGGGAGACAAAGAAGGGTGACTGGCAGTGTGCTTGTGGCTAATGTTCTTTTTGTCCTTGTTTCGCAGAGTTCGTGGCCGCCCACACTACTACAGCAAGAAGAACGAAGAGTACGCCGTGGTACGCTTCCACCTGGACGCGGACCTGTCGTCGCTCTTCACGTGGAACACCAAAGAGGTGTTTGTCTACGTGACGGCCGAGTGGGAGGGCGCTAACAGCAGCGACACCAACACGGCCGTCATCTGGGACAGCATCATCACGAGCCCCAGCTCCGACTACCTCGCCAACATCGGGCCCGTGGCCATGCGGAAGCTGCGCAAGAGCGCCGCGGGAAAATCGATCGACCCGAGCCGGTGCGTCTCCCCGGCTCTCTCTCTCTCTCTCGTCTTCTTCTGTCTCCTAGCCTCTCCCGTCTCACACTTGCTAACATCCCCCAGCGGCATCATCCACCTCAAGAACCAGAAGCCCAAGTACCAGATCACCCACCCGAGCGGCAAGATCGCCGAGACGGAAAAGGTTCGCTTGCGCCTGCACTACAACGTCCAGCCGTGGGTCGGCATGCTGTCGTGGAACCAGGAGGCATCAGACGCAGACAGCAGCAGCAGCAGTGACGGTATCTGGGCATGGGTACCCCGTCATGGCACGGTCCAGTCGCCGCTGTGGGCATCGATAGATGGCGGCAAGAGCGAGTCGTTTGCGCTGCCCGCAATTGTGGGCAAGAAGAAGACTACCACAAACAGCTCTTAAGGCTAGCATGCTTTCCAAGTTTTAGGGTTTCGTACATAGATCTCGCCGTCCCTGTCTAAGCAGGCTACTAGCTGTGGATTGTAGGAATGAGTGTCTTTTAATGTCTGTTCATTACGTCGTTGTCATCAAACTGTGCTGTAAGAATGCCGTGAGTTGGCCACAATACGGAGTAGCTTGACCAGTCTTGCGATCGAGTATAGGCGGTCCATTGTTGTTCCGGGCCCGGCCTCGCCACGCTAGACTGCGCAGCAACAGGCCGCAAAGCGACCAGGGTGGGGCGATTTCGGGCGAACCTGGCAGCCTTTTGCTGTCCTGTCGCATTTCCCTTGCCTCTCGAACAACATTGCTACTGTTCTGGTACTTCATCCCACGGCGAACCCTGTCCTCACTTGCCCCTCTCTCCCCTTCCGCCCATATACGTGTCGTCGTGACTGCTGTCCGACGCCGAGGCCGACTCTTTTATCTTTTCTTCTCTTCTCTCTGGTCAGAGCCACAGCACAACAATGGGTGTGCCGAAATTCTTCAGATGGCTCTCGGAGCGGTATCCAGCCATCTCGCAGCTGATTGCAGAGAACCGGATCCCGGAGTTTGACTGCTTGTATCTCGACATGAACGGGATCATTCACAACTGCACACACAGCGACTCGGACGACGCCTTCACTCGCTTAGGCGAGGAGGAAATGTTCATACGTATATTCAACTATATAGAACACCTGTTTGGCAAGATCAAACCGAAACAGCTCTTTTTCATGGCGATCGATGGTGTGGCGCCGCGGGCCAAGATGAACCAGCAGCGGTCGCGGCGTTTCCGCACGGCCCTGGACGCCGAGGTGGCGCGCAAAAAGGCTATTGCCGAGGGGGCGCAGCTGCCGACGGACGATCCGTTTGACAGCAACTGCATCACGCCGGGTACGGAGTTTATGGCGAAGCTGTCGAAGCAGCTACAGTACTTTGTCAACAAAAAGGTCAGCGAGGACAAGGAGTGGCAGCAGTGTACGGTGGTACTGTCGGGCCACGACGTGCCGGGCGAGGGCGAGCACAAGATCATGGAGTACATCCGGAACGCGAAAGCGCAAAAGGACTACAGTGCGAACATGCGGCACTGCCTCTACGGGCTGGACGCCGACCTGATCATGCTGGGCCTGCTGAGCCACGACCCGCACTTCTGCCTGCTGCGCGAGGAGGTGACATTTGGGCGGCAGACCAAGACCAAGTCCAAGGAACTGGAGCACCAGAATTTTTACCTGTTGCACCTCTGCATCGTGCGCGAGTACCTGGAGCTGGAATTCCAGGAGCTCAAGACGGACAAGACCATGCCGTTCGCGTTCAACATGGAGCGGATCATTGACGACTTCATCCTCATGGCCTTTTTCGTCGGCAACGACTTTTTGCCCAATCTGCCACGGTTGCACATCAACGAGGGGGCGCTGGCAACCATGTTTTCGATCTACAAGCGGGTGCTACCCAAGTGTGAGGGCTACATCAACGAAGGCGGTGCGGTCAACCTGAAACGGCTGGGCCTGCTGCTGGAGGAGTTCTCGAAGGAGGAGTTCCGGTTCTTCGAGCACGAGATCGAGGGCGAAAAGTGGTTCCAGGCGAAGAAGATGAGCCACATACCGGAGGGCGAAGGCCTCACGATCAAGGTGGAGAAGAAGTACGGCAAGGGCAGCCGGAGCAGGAATGCGGCTGGCAAGGCTATCGGTAACGGAGTCAATGGCGGCAGCAGCAACAACAGCAGCAACAGCAATGGCGGTAACCAGTCGCAAAAAAACAAGCTGGTGCTGACGACATCTCAGAAAGAGCTCTGGAAGTCCAAGATGCGCAAGTTCGTGAGCAAGCCGACGAGCGAGCCGCTCGACCTGGGAACGGAGCTGAAGGCAGAAGACCGCAAGTTTGTGCAGGACGTGGCGGACAGTCTGAAAATTGACTGGAACACAAACGAGGACGAGGAGGGCAACCGCCATCTGGTGCTGGCGTTCCCGGCCGAACGGCTGGGCGGAGGCGACAAGGGGAACGGGGAGGACGAAGAGGACGAAGAGGACGAAGAAGGGCAGCTGGCGCTATTTCGGGTGATGAAGAAGTACGACACGGCAGAGGTGGCGGACGTGACGGCAGCGGAGAGTCAGGCGGCATTGGACCAGCTGTACATGCTCAAGTTCCAGCAGTGGAAAGACGGGTACTACAGGGAAAAGTTCGCCTGGACGGACGGACAGCTGAGCGAGGAGGTGCGCAAGCTGTGTGAGAACTACGTGCAGGGCCTGCAGTGGGTGCTGTACTACTACTACCGGGGTATCGCATCATGGCCGTGGTTCTACCACTACCACTACTCGCCGCTGATCTCGGACGTGATCAAGGGGCTGGGGGCGGACCTGAACTTCAAGCTGGGCCAGCCGTTTAAGCCGTTTGAGCAGCTGATGGGGGTGCTGCCAGACCGGAGCAAGAAGATTGTGCCGACGGTGTACTGGGGCCTGATGACGGAGGAGGACTCGCCGATTGTGGACTTTTACCCACGCGACTTTGAGCTGGACATGAACGGAAAGAAGATGGAGTGGGAGGCGGTGGTGAAGATCCCGTTCATCGACGAGCGGCGGCTGCTGACGGCGATGAAGCCGAAGAACGCGCTGCTGTCGGCGGATGAGCAGAGCCGCAACGAGTTTGGGGCGCCGATCGAGTTCACGTTCCATCCGGGGACAGACTTTATGTACCCGTCGTCGCTGACGGGGATCTTCCCGGACATCCCGCACTGTCGGTGCGTAATGAACATGTTTGAGCTGCCGGCGACGGAGGGGCTGGAGTTTCTGCACGACCTGACGGGCGGGGCGCTGCTGAACGCGTCAGCGCTGGCGGGATTTCCGAGCCTGGCGACGCTGCCGTACCGGGCGATGCTGACGTACCACGGGGTGAACGTGTTCCAGCAGGAGAGCCGGAACGCGAGCATGGTGGTGACGCTGTCGGAGTCGGCGAGACAGACAAAGGTGGAGGCAGCACGGCAGAAGCTGGGACAACGCTGCCATGTCGGGTACCCGTTCCTGCAGGAAGCCAAGGTGGTGCGGGTGTCGGACGAGCTGTTCGACTATACGCTGGACGAGCAGGGTGGAGTGGAGCAGCACCACCACGGCGGCAAGGAGATGGAGCGGTGGCAATCCAAGGCACGCAGCATCGAGGAGAACTACAGCCGGCGGCTGGGGATCGTAATCGGGACGGTGGAGTCGCTGGTGCACGTGCACATGCTCAAGGGCCTGGTCAAGACAGACGTAGGGGCGACGATCAAGGAGTACGGCGAGGTGGCGGTGATGGAGACAGACTTTGCGGCGCAGACGGTGGTGGACTCGGTGGTGAATGAGGACGCGCGATTCATTGAGCGGGAGGCGGTGGCGATCGAGGATGAGTTCCCGGTGGGCTCGCATGCGTTCTTCGTGGGCGACTTGGCGTACGGACGGCCATTGGAGATCGCCGAGCACCACGGCAACAAGATGGACGTATGTGTGTCGATGCTGAAGCAGCGAGAGCCCGAGTTTGCGCACCAGGTGGTGCTTCAGGCCGAGCGGGAGAACCGGTACCAGCCGTCGTTTGCGGTGGCCAAGTCGCTGGACCTGCACCCGCTGTCGCTCAGCAAGATCACGTCATCGTTCTACGTCTTCTCGGTGGGCGGGCTGAAGGTGAACCTGGGGCTGAACCTCAAGTTCGAGGGCAAGAAGCAAAAGGTGCTGGGGATGTCACGGAAGTCGGCGACAGGATGGGAGTTCAGCGCGGCGGCAATCGGGATGATTGCCAGGTACATGATGGCGTTTCCGGACTTTTTTGCTGGGCTGAAGCACCTGCCACACAACCGAGACATCAAGGACACGGACATCTGGTCGAGCCAAGAGGTAGCATCGCAGCGGGTCAAGGAGATCGGAGCATGGCTGAAGAAGCAGGAGACGGGGCAGCTGGAACGGGTGCCGTTGGACGCGGAGCAGCTGGACTCGGACGTGGTCGGACGGCTGGCACGAGAGGCAGACGAGGCACAGCTGGCGTCAGCGGCGATGGAGCCAAAGCTGATGCGCAATGTGCCGCGCAACGCGGTGCTGAAGCCGGCAGACGCAGAGCAGCGCCTCGGCAACCAGCGATTTACGCTAGGAGACCGGGTGGTCTACGTGCAGGACTCGGGCAAGGTGCCGATTGCGCTACGCGGCACCGTTGTCGGCATCGGGCGCACGACCACGACGAAGCTGCTGGACGTCGTCTTTGACACGACCTTTATGAGCGGCACGACACTGGGCGACCGGTGTCCGGCGTTTCGCGGCCAGACCGTGCCAGCGGCCTCGGTGCTCAACCTGACGGAGCGACAGGTGTTTCGACGGGCGACAGCAGCGGCCGCTGCGATTCCGTTGCAGGTGGGCCGAGGTGGCCATAGACACGGCCGTGGAGGTGGCGTGCGGCAGCTGCACGACGCGCCAGCACCACCACCACTGCAAAGCTCGTGGCGAGGAGCAGCAGCAGGCGGTCCCAGAGGTGGTGGCAGTAGCGGACAGCCGGGACCGAGACCGGGATCGCAGCTGCAGCACAGCAGTTTGGTGTACCGACTTCAACGCGGTGGTGGTGGTGGTGCTCGTGGAAATGCACAGGCGCAGCCAAAACAGCAGGCGCAATCGTTCAATGCTGTTCCGCCACCAGCCAACCTGGACAGTCAACGAGGAGGACGAGGGCGTGGTGGACGTGGTCGTGGTCGTGGTCGTGGACGGGGTGGAGGTGGGGGTGGAAGTGCAGCTGGAACTGGAACTGGAACTGGAAGTGGAACTGCAGCAGCTAAAACTATTGCAGCTGGCACTACAGTCGGAACTGCTGGAGCCGCTGGAGCTGGAGCTGCAACAGCTGCACCCACCACTGCAAAAGTCGGCATGACGGCTGCTTGAGGATCTATGCTATGAAGAAGACAAGAATAGGCCGTCCTGCTCTGCACCCGGCATTGTCAGATATACATACGAAGTGGTTGTGGTAAATAGCCTGTGAACTCCATACGTCGTACTGTTAATATGTGCTCACGTAATGGCACGTGCAATCGTGCGTGTAATCATTCTGCCGTCCTTCTCCGCCAACTTAAACGGCGCGCTTTCTCTCGCGTCGTGAAAACAGGTCCTGCATTTTGTATGTCATCGGACTGACCACACACGACTCCGGCCTGTGCAGCATCTCCCCAACTGCCAACCGACCCAGCCGCAGCTGCATTTCTCTCACGATGGGGCCACCCCAGGTTGTCGACGACGTGGACGGTAAGCCGAGACGGGAGCGACAGACGAAGACAACTGTGGCTGACAGGACGGCAGTGGACATGGAGCACGACGAGGACACGGAACAGGAGCAGCGGCTGATCAACGAGGGTGAGTGTGACGCGATGGTAGCTGTCGTCTGAGCACGAGCTGAATTGGAACAGAATACAAGACGTGGAAGAAGAACAGTCCGTTTCTCTACGACATGATCCTGAGGTGGGTAGTTTGTCTAGCTGTCTGTTTTCTGGTCTGTCTAACAAAGCAGCAACGCGCTCCCGTGGCCGACACTCACGACGCAGTGGTTTCCCGACGTCAAGGAGCTGCCCGACAAGAAGTGCCGGGTGTACCGGCTGCTGTTGGGCACGCACACGTCCGAGGGCCAGCCGAACTACGTGCAGATTGCCGAGGTGTCGATCCCAATGGCAGGCGAGCCGAGCGCACACGACTACGACGACGAGCGCGGTGATGTGGGCGGCTACACGGGCAAGGCGGGTGCAGCCGGCAACGGAAACACGGCGACGCCGGCCATCAGCTTCAGCATCGTGCAGAAGATCGACCACCCGCAGGAGGTCAACAAGGCGCGCTACCAGCCGCAGAACCCGGACATCATCGCGACCTTTGCCGTCGATGGCCGCGTCCTCATCTTTGACCGCACCAAGCACAGCCTGACGCCGGCTGGCGTCGTGAGCCCGCAGTTTGAGCTGGCCGGCCACCGCCAGGAGGGCTTCGGCCTCGCCTGGAACCCCCACGAGCCCGGCTGTCTGGCCTCGGGCAGCGAGGACGCCACCGTCTGTCTCTGGGACCTCCATGCGGCCGCTGCTGCTGCTGCTTCTGCTGGCGGCAGCCGCGTCGTCAAGCAGCCGGCTCGTCGTCTTACCCACCACAGCCAGATCGTCAACGACGTCCAGTATCATCCTGTCTCGCGCAGCTTCCTCGGCAGCGTCTCCGACGACCTCACGCTCCAGATCGTCGATGTTCGCCAGCCGGCCAATGACCGTGCCGCTCTCGTCGCCCGTGACGGCCACAGCGATGCCGTCAATGCCCTCGCCTTCAACCCGGCCAGCGAGTACATCGTTGCGACCGCGTCGGCCGACAAGACCATCGGCCTCTGGGACCTCCGCAACGTCCGCGAAAAGGTCCACACCCTCGAGGGCCACAGCGACGCCGTCACCTCCCTGGCCTGGCATCCTCACGAACCGGCCATCCTCGGCAGCGGCAGCTATGACCGCCGCATCATCTTCTGGGACCTCAGCCGCGTTGGCGAGGAGCAGCTGCCCGACGACCAGGAGGACGGACCTCCGGAACTGTACGTTTGTGGTAGCGTTGTGCTGTACTATTTTTTTCGTTTTTTCGTTTTTTGCCGTCTCCGTCACTAATTCCTATCACAGCCTCTTCATGCATGGCGGCCACACAAACCATCTGGCCGACTTCAGCTGGAACCCGAACCCCGCCGACTCCTGGCTCGTGTGCAGCGCCGCCGAGGACAACCTGCTGCAGATCTGGAAGGTGGCCGATTCCATCGTCGGCCGCGACGACGCCGACCTGCCCGTGGACGAGATGGACCGGTAGTGACAGAGCGACCTGTTTGAGCTTGCCTTTTCCACTTCTGTTTCCTGTTACTTCTTTCTTTCCTGCCTTCATTCTGTAAGTCTACGGCGTCGTCTCGGTCTGCCTCGCTCATCTCCAGCAAGGCCCGGGGAGGAGCAGGCGTTAAAAGGAATGTATCTCTTATTATGGACATGCGGATAATAGAAAGAGAGCCTGAAGAGAGAGTGAACCGGAGGACGCTTGACAGTCCCCAAGGTCCCGTGACAGGCAGTTGCAATCGGTGCGTCACTGCCGTCCCAGGTCGTTTCTGCGGCCTGACGCGTCTGTCAGTCTTGACGCGTTAGCCGGTTGCTATTGTCCTATTGAGGCCGGTCCAGTCTATTGACCAAACGGCCCTTCTTCCAGGCCCAAAAACAGGCCGTCTCACCCAACAGACAAAAGTGGAAGGTACTCGAGAATTCAATACAAGTCCAGGTCATCCGGCCTTTTTGTCTCCCTTTTCTTCTTTCTTCCTATCGTCTTTTCTCATCTTCTACTCTCATCTTCTACTCTCATCAGCTTCACTCACTAGCCATGATGCTGCCTGCCGATACCTCCGGCCTCAAGCGGTCACGGCCGTCGTATCTCGACGATGCTGTTGACGCGCTCCAACATCTCCCGCCACCCGACATCGATGCCAATCCGGACTCGCTCTCCTCGCTCTACGACCGCGCCGTCCGCCTCGCCGAGGCCACTCAGCAGCAGGCGTCTATCCCGGCCCTTGACGCTGCCCTCGCCGCTCGCAGTGCCCGTTCCGCCAGCGTCGTCGATGCTGTCGGCATCGCCATCGATGCTGCCTCTGTTGCCGTTCTCGTTCAGAGTATCACAGGTGGCAGCAGTACTGGTCATGGTCACGTTGGCCGACATCGCCAGCCGCCCCTGACGGCCTGTCCGCCAGGCACCTTCTGGCTGTGGACAAAATACTTCAAGCAGGTCACTGTGGCTGGCGTCGTTCCATCCGAAAGATCCAACAAGACTAGCCCGTTTGCCCACACCGTGAAGAGGCAGAAGATGCTTCCTTTCAGCCCTTGCTTGGCAACGTCATCCACCACCGCCTCATCGACCACCCTCTTCGATCTGCTCAGCTCCGTGGTCTCGTGTCCCGACCTCGTCTTTCACGTGTGCTCCTATCTGCAACCGGCCGACGTCTTCATGCTCTACAGCGTCAGTCGGGTCTTCAAGGCTACCGTCGACGCTGACTTGTCGTCCAACAATGCCCGTCTGGGCCGTCTCTTTGCGCCCGAGTCGACCGCCGTCTTCCCGTGGAATCTGTACCACGGCAAGGGAGAGCCCTCCCTCCGCCACCTCTCCATGCTGCTCAGCCGGGAACGCAAGGTCCGCGACATCATCGCCTGCCTCGCCCGTTCTGGCCAGCGCCTGCCGCAGCCTGGCGCCTCTGTCGCCCTCAAGAAGGTATGGCTGCTCATGGACGTGGCCACGAACCGCGGCCGTCACGCCCTGGTCCGGCGCCTGTTCACCGACAACGACCTGCTGGCCGTCCAGATCTTCTGCACGAAGCTGGCCATGCACCTGCACGAGCCGCTGTATGCCGTGCCGGGACGGGCTCTGGGTGGCGGTGGTGGCGGCGGCATCACCACGGCCGCGCCCTTCTCGCGCTCCCTCGCTGAGGTCCTACTGGGCCAACGTGGCGGTCTCCATTCGTTGTGGCTGATGCTGCGCGGAAAGGCCTTTGGCACGCCACGCGAGGCCCTTGAGCTCAAGGTCCGATACGACTACCTTCCGCCCGTCCTGCCCGAGCTGATGGTCGTCGAGGCTTTCGACGAGCACGACGACAGCTTGGTCGACAGCAGCGACGCCATCGCCGCAGAGTACAGTGCCTCCCACGGCCTGACCCTTGTCAATATCGGCGACAACCGTACCGACTTCCCTCACGCAGACATTTCGCCCTTTGCCGCCCTCATGGCTACCATCCATTCCGTCCCCCTCTGGGAGATGGGCGTTGGACACCTCGAGGGCTGGGGCCTGGGCACACAGCACCTGCTGCGGCCCGATGAGCTTATCCCGCTCGAAGCAGCGCGGCGTGGCCTCGACCTGCGCTCCCATCTGCCTTTCCTGACCATCTGGGGCAGCCGTGACTTTGAGACTGGCACAAACCTGGCACCGACGCTCGATGAGATCTACATGTCGGACGAGGATCAAGGAACCCCCGCCGTTGAGGACAAGGAATACACGGAAAAGCCGGTCAAGACCAAGGAAGCGGACGATGTGCTGGTGGTGACAGTGGACCGTTGCCATCATGATCTCAGAAGCGCGCAGGAACGCTTGCGTCGTCTTGGCGGTAATGTTCCCTGCATCAAGGGCGAGTGGCAGCCATGGCAGGTGCTCAAGGCGCGCTGGGGTGAGCTCTCGTCCCGCCAGAAGCTGGACATCTGGTGGGTGTGTCAGCAGGAGCGACTCAAATCACAGGCATGGCAGCACGATGCAGTACAGGGCAGAAATGAGGACGACGAAGGCGACGAGGCTCCACGGCCGGAAGACGCGGCTTCTGTCGCTTCTGACATCAACGCAGTGGGGGTCGCTGACAGCGACAGCGAGGAGGACAAGGAAGAGACTGCGATTGCAGTGCCCGACGACAACGGCGACAACGGCGAGCTTCGAATGAAGTATATGGACGACAGTGAGAGTGAAGTCGAGAGCGACAGCGACAACGAAAGCGACATGTTTGTCCTGGACAACCAAGACCATGAACTCGACAGCCCTGACGAGTCTGGAGGCATCCACTTCCGCCGTCGTCGTCGCCACGGCCGTCGTCGTCGAGCCTATCCGCCAAGTGGTGCCCAGGGCTCGCTGCGTGTCCCGAGCGGCGCGTCATCCCGGTCCTTTTCTCTGCACCACCGCCGCCTCATGGCTGCCTGTGTCGAGACCGCCCTGCAGCAGCAGGCCGCCGCCGATGCCGAGCTCGTCGCCCAGGCTGACGAGCCGTATGTGGAAGAAGAGCTCGAGTGGTGGGAGCAGGCGCTGGAGACGATGCTAGCTGCAGAGGACAGCGTGAACGCGGAAGATGGGAGCGAGAACGAAGGAGAAGATGAAGGCGAGACCGGGAACGGTGCCATCCAGAACAACGCCGACGAGAGCCCGGCTATGGTGGAACAGGAGCTGTCGACTCAGCCAGCAGTGAACGACGAGGAGGACGACGCCGCCGCCCAGAGCGACAATGCCACCCATCCCGATGTTGTGCAGGTCCGGCACTACGGCGGCGACGAAGACGTGCTCGAGCTGCTGGATGAGCTGGCTGCCGCAGAGGCTGCCGCCGCGATTGCCCCTCCCGCCATCGCCGCAGCCGTGGCCGCCGACGTGGACCGCCTGCGCGAGATCCTGGACGCGCGGATGAAGGCTGAGGTTTTTGCTCTGGATTTTGGTGAGATCTAGAGGGTCAATGTGCGGATGGGAAGGAGACACGGAGGCCGTTTTGTCAGCAGACTGATTGCTCCTGCCTTTTGTAAAGTAGTAGAGGTCTGACCTCATCTGATTTCAGTGCATCTCTCTTGGCTCTATCCTGCTCATCCGCAATCAGAAAGCACATTGACCGCCGCTGTGCAGAACTTGCTGAAGAATATAAGATATATTCAGGTCATGTAAGGGAACAAGAGGACTTGCCATCCTCCTCTCCGCCACCCCTCCCGAGAGACCTAGCAAAGTATATAGAAAAACGACAAAGCACAAGATACGATGAACGATAGTAAAAGATCTGAACCACCCGAGCTCCCACATCCTTGCCAACCCAGTTTCCACCTTCGTGCTTCCCTCCCTCCTTCCCCTTGTGCCAAATTTACATAGCTGCCCAGAACTGTCACGAACTGCCAAATCTGCCAGTGCTGTGGAAAAAGATATGAGCACAACGATAAATATAAATCCTCACGCCTCGCTCCCCCTCCCCAGCCAGCCCGAGTTTTTGCCCATCCCTTTTTGATCCCATTCTTTTTTAAACTTCCCGCCCTGCAAAATCTTCCGTCTTGCTCCATGACACAACGTTGTCGTTGCAAAAGCATGCCGGGGCACAACAACGGGGCACAGGTGGTGTCGCCGACAAACTGGCAAGAAAGCAAATATAAGCAAATGGAAAGCGACAAAGAAGAACCAGGAAAGCATGCAAGCAAACTCACAAGCACAAGAACAAATACAAAAAAAAACATTGGGACGATTGATGTGAAAAAAATAAACAGAGAAACAGAGAAACAGAGACGAAAAAGGGAAAAGGAAAATTGGAAATTGGAAAAAGAGAAAAAAGGGAAAAAAAGTCTCCGACACCACCCATCGCAGATCGCTGCCCTTCCTTTTTATGCCTTCCTGTAAAATCACCCACGCTCGATTATACCGTCCGCCAGTCCTTTGCCCAAGCCAGCCGAAAGTAAACCACACACCCTTGGGTGAAAAAGGGGCCGCAAGGTCGTCCCAGAACAGATTGCCAAGGTTCAACATTCAAATGCTCTATGTTCCAGAAAAAGAAAAAGAGGAAATCAAACAAAGGTAGAAAATGCGAAGTCATCAGAACTAGATATTGGGGAGGTAGAATCGGCTGCCAGTCTTCCGTGTCCGAGAGAGAGGGCAAGAAAACTAGATTTCATAGTGCAAGGTTGTCGAGGAACCCCCTTGTGATTGCGAGCCGACCATCAGCGCGACAGTGATCCCACATCCGGCCTAAGCGGGCGACTTGCTGGGCGGTGCCCCTGACCCGTTCTGACGAGCCTCGCCGGCTGTGCCCACCGAGAGACTGCCGATGCCCGACGAGAGGAAGGCGAACGGATCATTCTCCCCCTGCGAATAAAAGTTGTTGGACGGGCCGGCAGATGCAGGGCCGTTCGTCGCCGACTGGAAAGCCGCCTCGGCAGCCCGGCTGTCAAACGGGCCAGCCGAGTGCGCACCCGACACGGGGCCGAAGTGCGTGTTGAGCGGCGGATACGGCGCTGCGGCGCTGCCTCCCAGACCCGACGGCAGAGCGTACGTGCTCGGAGGACCGCCAAACTGCTGACCGTAGCCGCCAGCCCCGGCAGCCGAGCCAAACGGACCGCCACCGCCGCCAAAGGCCCCCGGACCCGGCGTGCCGCCCATCGAAGCCTGGCCCATGTTGTAGGAGGCTGACGTGTCCATCGAAGAGGCGTAGCCGGAGTCTGCCACGATAGCCGCGCTGGCACGGCTTGCACCACAGCGCAGGCAGCACACGTTCTTGGCGAAGTTGTGGTAGCCACAGACCTCGTTGCCGCACTTCCAGTCGCCCGCCCGGAAAGGTACTACGCCGCTGCCACCCATGCGGCCGCCGCCATGGCCGCCGCCTCCCATGTGGCCGTGGCCGTGACCGTGACCGTGGTTGTGGTGGCCGACGTGCTGCTGAGGAGGCAGCATGGCCGGGGGTCCGTAGCCGTAGCCGTAGCCACCACCACCACCCATGTCTCCAGTCGGTCCGGCGCTGACAGCGGGGAAGGAACACCGGAAGCAGGCAGTACGGCGCTGGAAGTTTGAGAAGCCACACGAAGGGCATGTCCAGTCACCCGGGCGCGGCCGGTTCTTGCTTGGCGGGAAAGGCGTCAGGATTTCGGCAGCCCGGTCCAACACCCGGCTTGACGACGGAGACACCTCAATGGCCTTCTCGTTCAGGGCACGTCCGTTCATGCACAGGCTCTCGGCCGCCTAGATCACACGAGTCAGATAAAGCTTGCAAATGCACGAAAACCGAGAACGCGGAAACACAGAAAGCAACCCACCTCCTCGTGCGACGAGAACACCGCAAAGCCGGTCCCGGTCGGCTTGTGCTGCTCGGGCGTGCGCAGCGTCCAGAAGGCGATGGGACGGCCGCCAAACTGTGTAAACCAGCTCTCAAGCTCCGACTGCGTGGTGTCGTGTGGGAGGCCAGACATGTGCAGGACCTTGCTGCGCTCCGACAAAAACGCCCGCACGTCGGCTCTAGCATCCATGGGACGGGCGAGCACGTCGGGGTGCTCATGGGCCGGCTGCGACTTGCGGATGAGTCCGCGGAGGACACGGGCAAGCGTGACGGCCTCCTCCATGGCGCGGCGTGGAGACGCCGGCGCCAGCGCCTGCAGGTGGAACGGCAGGTTGTGCTTGATGGGGGGCCTCTCGACTGGACCGCCTCGACCTCCAGGGCGGCACAGATGTTGCTCAGCGACGACGGTCCGAACGGCAACGACTCTGGGTGGTGTTGCTGCCATCTCTGGTATTCCTGTCGCAGGTCGAATGTCCGCGAGTGCTGCAGGTATGGCGGCAGCACCACGGCCTTGTCGCGGGCCTCCCGGGGCAGCTGGACACGAAGGTCCCAGGCATCGAGGGTGACAAAGACAAAGTCCAGGCTCTGCGAAGTGAGGTGTTCCGACGCAAAGGCATCGAAGCGGTTGATGGCATCACGGAACGTGCCCGCATTACGGACGTGCTCCCAGGTGAGGGTGGTCAGGCTCGCTGCAGGTTTGACAGTTAGAACTGGAGCCACAATGCAGGAGAGAAAATGTGGGTAGCAGCAGCAGGAGCTCCGGCGGAGCTCGGTGCCTGGACAGACAACCCCCCGGACGGGCTTGCGGCCTTTCTTCGCCTTCCCATCCCATTGGACAGCCCACGAGCACAAGCTCCGGGGTATCATCCTTCTTCTTCGGACAGACTGCCGAACAGGACTTACTGCAAAGTGGGGTTATGGGTGTGTTGATCGGCTTGACCAACACGCTCTCTCTGTACAGCTAGAGATCGGAGAAGACAGGTCAGCGGGCTGTCTCGAGCGGTAAACGGGAACGTGGCGGGCTCCTACTTCTTCGAGGTTCTTCGCGTCCAGCAGGATCCAGCCAATTTCGATGACCTCGGCCGAATCCTTCGTCACGTACACACCATGCTCGTCACAGGTTGTAGCCACGTGAATGACGACGTAGCGGTCAATAGATAGCGGCGATTGTTGCGTCGTTGCCATGGCGTCGAATGGACCAGATTGCAGCCGGTACTGTTGTGTCGTTGGGGAAGAGGGTATCAAGGATGCAAGAGCAGTCTAGCAGGCCGCAAGGTCGTGTCAGCAGGTCCGGTCGTGGCTTGGGAACGATGAGAAAACACGTTTGAGCACTAGAGGAAGAAAAGGCAGGAGGAGATAGGTGGCCAGGACGGCAGGACGAGAGTGGATGGACGGGTATAGGGGAGAAGAGGCAAACAAGTGGATATTGTGTAGGAGAGAAAGGAGAGGTGAAGCAGAGATGGAAAAGGGCAAAAGGCAGGACGGGCGGGCACGTACGGGAATCCAAATACGCCAGCTGGGAGCGATAGACGAAGCTCTTGCTGAAGCCAAGCTCTGGCTGGAGGAATTGAACAAGGTCGGGCCGAGAAGGGGCTGCTTGGTCCAAGTTGGCTGGCCAGTCGAGAAGAGAAAAAGGAGTTCTCGTCTTTTCTCCACTTTAAGTCGAATTTGCTGTCCGGTCCTCGAGAGTCGGAACGATAGGAGAAGGAGAGAGAGGACGCGAGGAGAAAAGCTGAGCGAGAAAAGACAACACGGGGAGCCAGAGAGATCCCGGACGGAGAACCAGAGCGGATGCGAGAAGGGGGAGGGCGGAAGGGGAGGAAGGGAAGAGGAGTCGTGGAGAGGCCAGCAGAGTAGCAGCACCAGCAACAGCAGCGAAAGGGTGCGAAAAAATAAATATCAAAAAATAAATTTATTAAAAAATAGGGAGATTGCTGCTTTTGGTGGTTCCTCTTTTTCTGGGGGGGGGGGGGGTTCCTCTTTTGGCGGGCTTTCTTTTGGTGGTGGGGGGGGGGGGGGGGGTTTATAAGTCTGCTCAACTTGGGCTTCCTACTCAACCGTTGCAGCATCTGACGTCTTTACAGGGTACCACGCTGGCCATTCTGGACGTGTTGCCGACGCTCGCAGAGGTTCTCATAAATGGTGCAGCTGGCGGTGCCCCTTGCCTTGGCCACGTTTGCATCTTGTTCAGAGTTTTCCCCTCCAAAAAAAAAAACGGCTATCGTTCTAAGCGATTTACACGACAACCTCTCGTAAGATGCGGTCTAGTGGACGCAACGGCTGACCAACGGAGAGTCGCTGGGTGGCAGAAAGTACCGATACTCAGGTTTATGAATCTATCGAGGAGCGGTCTTCTGGAGGTGGGGTAGGACGGCACTAAAAATCAGTCCCGCAGGCGGAGAGTTCTGGCAATTGGCACGGACCCCCCGCCAAAGGTTAGCGAGAAGGTACCGGTACCTTCCCGGAAAGAAGAAGAAAAAACGACGAGTATAGGTGCGACAGACTTGGCCGCCGCACGCGCTGCAGCAGACTATAGCAAGGCTACGGCAGACTACAGCAGACTACAGCAAGCTGCTCCCAAGATGTCTGCAGTCCCCAAGGTGTAGCACCACCGGCCTGTCACTTTTTTCCTCCTGAAGTGAGATATCTTACATCCTGCCGCTCGTTCTCCATCACATCTCCCCATCTTCTCCCAGACTCGTCACAAAGCTCCGGCAGCCCACCCACACGACCTGGCCGCCCACCCTGTTGCAAAGCTGTTGCTGTCATATCCTCTTTCCTGGTCTTCCCCGCCCGCGCCCGTTATCCCAGAGAATACCACTCCTCTTGCCAAGCCTGTCACGCCGCAGAAGACCATCCATGTGCCGGGAGCAGAGCGTGGGCCCCTCGGTGGTGAGCACGAGAAAGGTGTCAGAAGCTCGGCTGTCCCAATCCGTTGACCTCAAACCCCTGCCGTTGCCGGAACTGGCGCCTCTCGTGCCCACGCTATGATCAACTAGGCCGATCAGGCCGCCCCGAGAGCCCCCTTTTTCCTGGCCTGCTTTCCTCCCAACCGCTTCGGGGATCCTCAGATGTCGTCGCCTCCAGTCAACCGTCATCGTTACGTATGAGCAGACTGCTTCTTCTCAGACCGTCTCACCAAATCTCCTGTCGCTGGCACGGCGTACGGGCAGTCTGCGAAGCAGAATCATTCTCCCAAACGAGCAAGGTCAGCAAAGCGGGACTCTACGGGGCGCGATAAGATTGTCGTTGTTGTGCTCTGTAGAGGTTATTAATGATCATACAAGCCAAGCAGGTCGAGCACACAGCCGTGCCTCGCACCATATGCATACGTAAGCAGGCAATGAATACACAAACGCGTATCAGCGCAGATACACAAGTTCTGGCTGAGTGCCTATACGTCGTATCTACCAGTGGGTGTATGTAGGTGCCTTTGCGGTAGAAGCGGTGAATCGGTAGTATGGTACAGAGAGGATATGACGAGGTGAGCTGTTGTACGGGAGCATTACGATCTGCAGACTGCGCATCACGTGCATGTGAGTACAACAGACGCAGCAGGTGCAGAGACCGCACTTCCTATGCCTGTCCCTTTGCCTGCTTCTGTAACGCGAGTTCGCCAAGTGCACTGCGCAGTGCCGAGGCTCGTCGTCGCACTTGAAGGCTGCAATACCAGAACACGGGCGGGTACGAGTAGCAGGTGGGATTCCAAGCAGCAGACAATAGCTAGCGGATGCTATATGCTCGGTCAGCCTTGTCTCAAGCTAATTAAAAAGCCGAGATGGACCGAGGGCGTGCCGCTCTTACGACGGATATCTTACCTCATCAAAGGGCACGTGCTTTAAAGCACCAGCCACGAACTACGTCATTTAGGCATTTCTGGATGCTGAACAGGGCCTCGTCCAGTAAATCAGAGTAGCCGGTCTTTTAGAATGCTGCATTCGTTGGCAACAGGCCTGTATTCTTTTACGTTCCCGCCTGGCTCCTAAAAATCGGAAGTCCGAAACGCTCTTTCGCCCTGACTCTGTTGCCTGTCCTGCGATCGTCGCCATTTTGTTGCCTAGTGGAATTGACGCTGACGTAGTGTGATAAAATCTGATACTGAATAAATATGCACCCGCCGCCATCCTCAGTTTATCTGTTCAACTCTCTCTCTGCAATCACGACACGGAAACCCGGCCTTATCTACGACTACAATCAACAACTCGTATCCCACATTTCACAATGGGTGCCGTATCTGCTGTGTTTCTTGTTCTCATTACAATCATCTGTGCGTAAACACAATGTCCACCCGTCTTCCACCGGTTGTATTGCCGGCTAACTGGAATTAGTCCCCCCCCTGGGCGCCTTCGCCGTGGCTGGTTGCGGCGCCGATCTCCTAATCAATGTCTGCTTGACAATTCTGGGGTAAGTCGGATGTGAAGCTGGTCTACGAACAGCTCCTCACCATTCATGCTTTGTGTCGCCACCTCCTTTCACGGATAAGCTGACCTAGCCATAGTGTGATTCCCGGCCATCTCCACGCTTTCTATCTGGAATACGTCTACTATGATCGTCGCGAGCAGGCCCGCGAGGGTCATTTCACTGCCGGCCGGGCCCCTGGCATATACAGCGATCGCGTGCAGCAGGGCGGCGGCTACGGCACGATTGTGCACCAGACGTAGTTAACGGGCGAAAGGCAGCTGCAGTTGGCGCTGTCGCCTTGAAAATTCGGTGTGTCGCCTGGATTAGCAACAGGTATGGAGTTTACAGGAATAGGAGAAAGGTCTGCTCGTACGAGTAGGTGCCAGGACACACGGCTATCGTAAGAAGGCTGTCGATTCCAAGACGACGTTGTGTCGTGGAGGCAATAGGCTCGGGGTTCATACAACAAGCTCGCTTATGGAAGTGCCATTATATGCGTGATCTCCTAGCTACGGCATCGTGCTCATCGGGCTTGTAATGACCGATAATAGTGCTCTGTGGATTACGGCTAGCAGACGGCCAATGCGTGTCCAGAATGGTGAGACGATACAGCACCAATCGCGTAGATATGACACAGTTTCGTTGCATGAAGCAGGACTGGTACCGAGAAAAAGAGGTCAAAGAGCAGCAGGTGCCGAATCAAGCTACACATGCAAGTGTGTGTTTGCACAAGCATAGCCGCGCAGATAATCGCTGTCCCATGCGCACTGCCTACGAACACGTAAGTGACGACACTAAGGCGATGCCGGGGTCCGCCAGCACGACCTTGCGCGGACGTGAGAAGGTCTAAGCAGAGACCTGGGCTTTCCTGCCAGAGGAGGCCGTTCGTGCCCCGCCGAAGAAAGCAAGAGCAGTAGCTGCCTTGCTAGAGAAAACAGGGGTCGTAGTGGCCAGTGTGCTGGGAGTGAGAGTGAGCTGGTGCGCGGACAAGTGGATAGGCCTCTCTGTTCTTGCCTGATGGTTGCCCCCTCCTTTCGTCGGAACGACCTTTCAGCGGCAGCCACGACGGTCGTGCAGCACGCATTGTGGCCCGTGCAACTTTTTTCCATGCTAGGGCTTTCTGGACCTCCCGGCAAGAAAGACGAGACGTTTATACAGCCGGCAAGAACAGCTCGGTCGAGGACAGGAAGGGGCGGACGACGAGAGCGCTTGGAAGCAACAAGGAAGGAGCATCTGCAAGCTCTCGGGGCATTTTCCCAATCGGAACTGCAATCCCCCCAAGTTCTTTGTTTTGACTTTGCTCTGCCCATTGCACCTCATCTCCATCCTCGACCGTTGTCGCCCCGCCGCTTTGAGGCTCTTGCAACCGGCTCCCACGTAAGGCCCGCCAATTCATCTGCTTGCTGTCTGCTGTTGCGACTTCGCCAAATAGCGGGAACTAGCTCTCAACCTGGCGGAAGCCCGATCGAAAAAAGGACGAGACAACCACGAAAACGAGAGAGAGACGGGAAGAGGCAAAGAACAGGGGGAAAACGCACCTGCGGGCAATTAACGGCGTCCACGTCGTCTTTCTCTCACCCCCCTCCTCCGTCGCCGTCTTCCTTCCGGTCGTTTCTTTTTCTGGCCAGGGAAAAAAGAAGCGGCCCTTTTGCACCGTTGACACACGTTCCCCACCGCTCATACAACAACACGACTGCCGCTGCCAAGAAGAAACAGGCAACCCACCCGCAGCACGGCGCGTGCGAGGGCAGACGACGGCAGGCGAGCAGGGTTGACCATGTCCTCCTGGGCGAGCTGATGATTGCCTCTCGCACCTCTGTTCTTTGCTGTCGTGCCCTCACGCCTTCCGTCGGCCTCTACCGTCCGGCGGGACCCATTCTGTGCTGTCTAACACCCCCCTTCCAGTTTACCCTGCTACCGAGGCCACCCGTCTGCGACTCCGAGCTGGCCTTGCATTGGTACCACTTGACCGCGCGCTGCTCTCTGCATGATGGACGCCATGCATATAAATAGCAAACCGTGCGCCCTGCTTCCCGGCGACTGCACACGAGAAAGAGAAGGGGAAACGGCAGCTACAAAACGCCCAGACAGCCGACCATCAACTCCGGGCACTGGCCGCGTCTCGGGCTCTGCAGCATCTGCTCTTCCTGCTCAGAATTCCTCAAGCCCTCACCCTTCCTCTCGTGCCCCGTCGTCATCACAGCCCGTTCCTGCAGCCTTCCTACCGCTCCCTTGCCGACCGAAGAGTGCCGACATTCTTGTTGCCAACACCAGTGATAGCAAAGGCGACAACATCGCTTCTGTCGGGCTCCACACATCCTTCCCACCCCTCTTTTCCAGCCCCGGAAACAATACCACGCCAGAGACGTCACTCATCGGCGCCCGAGGCAAGTCGATCCCGCTCGGTGACGGCTCCGTGGCCGACCGCACGTCTGCCCTGCGCGAGCTGAACAGCAATTACCCCTCACCCGTGCTCCGCCACGGCTACGTCAAGTCTGCCGGTGCCAAGAACACCACCTACTCGCAGCCTGTCATTGTCCGCACCTATAGCGGCCCGTCGCCGTCGCCGTCCTCTTCCACCCACTACCGGCGCCCGTCGAGCGGCAACCGACTCGTCGGCCAGACTGCTGGCTCGGGTCTCGTTTCTCTCATACCGGCTCCCACCTCGGCAAGGGTGGGGATCTCTGCCGTGCAGAGCAGCAAACATGCGCACGGTCTAGGGGAAGGTTCAAATGAAAGCCCTTGTTTAGCATGGCGCGTTCCAAGGTCAAGAAGAGCTTGCTTCCATGGCAGTGGGTTACTGGTGGAGGTGAAGGCCTCCAAGACGACGAGGTAAAGCTTCCGCCGGTTGAGGCTTTTACCTACAAAGGCTTCCTGGCCGATCTGCAGGCCAAGACCAGCATTCGTGCTGATCTCGACCGCATCGCTGAGATATGCGCCAAGTCCAAGTACAGCCTCAGCGATCAGTACGATGCGCATGTTGCGCCTCATGGATCAGGTGCTGCTTTCATCAGCGGTGGGAGCCAACAGCCGCCCGGACGCCCGAAAGGACGGAAGAAAAGCAGCTCCAGTCCTGGCGGCCCGACTCTGCAGGCGGTACCATCTGATGATGACGAGAACAGTGCCCGGGGCTATCGGAGGCGACGGGGTGGCGTCGGAGGTGGCCGCAGGCGGAGCGCTGCATACGGGACGCTAGAGACCATCATGTCGTCCAGCCGGTCGTCTGAGGAGGACAAGTCAAAAAAGAAATCAGCCTCGGAGATCGCAGAGGAGGTTCGTGGACGTGCGGCACAGAAAGCCGAAAACACGGCAATTGCAATTACAGTTGAAAAGCCAAAGTCCAAGTCCCCCAGCAGCAGCAAGGAAAGAATAAAGTTGCGGCTACCAACAAAGACAGCATCAAAGGAAGACTTGATAGGCGACAAAGCGACCGGGCCACCTCTCCCGTCCTCGAGGCGTCATGGAAAACAAGTTCAGTGTCGGCCGAAGTCCACTTCGTTTGCTCATGCCATGATTGGCAGCAATCGACAGCATTCCAGCCGGTCTGACAAGCCGAAGAAGGGGGCGACGTTTGTCGAATCACCCTTTCCCGCTACCTCTCCTACCGTGGCCTTGCTTAGCGATCCTGCGGTTGCCCAGACGTCGAAGAATTTTCTTGAGATCCATCTGACTCCGAACGCGGCGTCTTCACACGATCGTACCACTGAGGGTAGCGTTCAAACCCAGCAGGCTGCCAGCTCTTCTACGCGCACCGATAGAACAGACAGTGCCGTGACTGAGCACCCCTTGAGTGATGCAGACTCTGCTGGCTTTCTCTCCGGCTTGAGCAGCTGGATACCGTGGGTAGCTGTCGATGAGACCCAAAACGGGCAGCCAGCCAACCACAGCCATCAAGTTGCAGTCCGTCCAGGCCCAAGCCATGCCGAAGGAAGCCTTCGAGAACTACTTAAATCGGTTGACGGGAAGAAGCCTAATAAAGGAAAGGAAGTTGAGCGTCAACGCGAACGACGGCAAGACGAAGCAGGACTCTCATCTTTTAACGATTTACGACTTTAATGACACTATTACGATACGATGCCTACTGTGCCAAGACGTTTATGATAGCTTTCACAAAAGCAAGGGACCAAAGCTGGAAAACAGGGAAGGAAATGGCCTATATATACCGCATGGCATACACAATTTATAAACGGGACTGTGCTGTAACTGATCTACTACTTGGACTATACATAAGACGGGTTTGGAGAGAGAGAGGCTACCCTAAAAAATGGACATGACCCAAAGATGTCTTCAATAGACAATATTCCAAAACTGCCAAAATATCAGAGGATGACCCCAGCATGTAAGCGCAATCGGGGAAGCTCAAGCTGGATGGCGCAGCTGTTCGTACAATTAGATTAACTGTCCCGTTTCTCTCTCTTATTTTTTTTTAATACACTGGCCAAGATGCGCCGGCAATTCATACAACGTGGCACTTCTGCCTTCCAGCCTTTCTCACAGTGGCGTACCGATAGACAGAGTCGAATCTCCTGTTCCTGCAGCAACCTCCGATTGTGATACTAGTGGTGGAGGTGGTGGTGGTAATGGTGGCAGCAGCTCATCTCCGATTTTGCGCACTGTCTCTGGTGCTGCTGCGTCGATGCTCTCTGCCGCTGTTTCAGATGCAGGAACGGCCGCAACAGCAGCAGATTTATCCGGGCGCAATGGCTCGTCTGCTGACTGCGGCAGAGGCTCTGCAGGCTTTTTCTCGTCCCCGTTTGCATCGCTCTCTGGGCGGATTTTGTGGCCCAAGTCTTCCCTCCCGTCATCTCTCTCGACGTGTTGTCGCTTCGTTTCCCGCTGTCCTTCTCCGGTCTCGCTTGATGTCATGGCCCCGGGCGGCCTTTTCTTGTCTTGACCGCTCTCAGCACACGCTGCAGATGGCACCACCACGGCAGTGCCTGCTGCTGCTGCTGCTGCTGCTCGCTTTGCTTCCTTGTCTCTGCGTTCGTTTTCGCGGCGCAGCGCCTTGGACTCGAATTCGTGCCAATCGCCATCGATAGTTGCGAGCCTATTGTGTTAGCGAGAGAGGAACATATATGAAAAGTCGGGAAAACTTACTCGACAGCTTGCCGTGGACGTGGCTCTTCAACGGCAAAGTACGGATGCGAAAGCACCTCGGCAGCCGTGGGCCGCTTCTTCGGGTCGTAGCGGAACATGGCTTCCAGCAGGTCAAATGCCGCCGGCGTCACGCGCTCCCGGTACTTGTCAGCAAATACGTTGGGCCGCCGGTAGCTAGGCCGCATCAGCTCGAACCAGGGCATGTCCACCAGGCCAGGCCATTCGGACTTGCTCGGTGTGCCCAGCACTGCGTAGACCTTGTCGAGCTGGCTGAGCTCGCTGCCGTCGCCGGGGAAGATGGCGCGCTTCGTAAAGATCTCGACCATGACACAGGCAGCGCTCCATATGTCGACAGCCGGGCCGTATTGCGTCTCACCCAGCAACAGCTCAGGCGACCGATACCAGATGGTGATCACGCGGTTGGTGTAGTCCAGCTGGTGGTGCTTGGCAAAGAAGCGGGCCAGGCCAAAGTCGGCCAGCTTGAGGACACCGTCGCTGCTGACGAGGATGTTGGCTGCCTTGATGTCGCGGTGCAGCACGCCGCGGCGGTGCAGGTAGTCCAGTCCCTGGAAGAGCTGCAGGGACAAGTGTTTCCGCTGGGCGTCGTCCAGCCTGAAGGTCGGGTGGTTCAGGAGGCCCGTCAAGTCATGAGATGCGTACTCAAACACCATGAAGCAGTCGTTCTTCTCCACCATGACCTCCTGCAGAACGACGACGTTGGTGTGCTTCAAGCTCTGCAGCAGCTTGATCTCACGAATAGCCGTGACCGGGAGGCCCTCGCGTTCGCCTTCCATGCGGATCCTCTTCAGCGCCACAAGCTTCTTGGTGTAGACATGCACAGCCTTGAACACCTTGCCGTACGTTCCTGACCCGACCACCGACCCGTTTCCTGGCTTCCGATAGTAGACCGAGTCCGACTCGGCGAGCTCAACTGGGAGCGTCGGCCGCGCCTTGGGCCGACTCAGAATCTTTTTCACTTTGTGGAAGCGAGGGGCATTGATGCTGCCGCCGCCGCCTCGTGACTGGTGTTGCTGTTGCTGGTGATGTTCCGACCTGGCACGCGACGAGGCTGGCTCCGTCGGAACGCCGTGAGGAAGATCTCTCCGGTTTCTATTATCATTATGTAAGGGTGGAGGTTGGTGGTTCTGGTGCTTTGGCGATGCCTGGTTTTGTTGGTGATGGTGCTGTTGTTGTTGCTCCCGCTGTTGATGGTGTTGTTGCTGTTGCTGTTGCTGTTGCTGCTGCTGCTGCTGCTGCTGCTGCTGCTGTCGTGGAGGGCCAGAATTGAACTTTTGTGCAATTTCAGCTTTCGGCAGTGCTGCCGCTGGCTTGGCTGCAGTTTTAAAAGCAAAACTAAACTTCGACTGTGGACCAGTTGGTATCTGTCGGTCTGGCGGAGGCATCCCCTCTTCGTTGCTACGACGCGGTACGTCCTCTGATTCCCTTTCAGATGCAACAGCTGCACTGGTCTTCAGTGGCATCTGGTCGCCGCCAGAAGCAGCCTGGTAAGGAGCAAATTGATGTGTTGACGGTGGGTGACGTTGCTCTGCTGCTTCCCGTTCTTGCATAGCCGAGTCTTCGTCAGCATAGGCCATCTGGTGTTGATGTTGGTAGCTACTACTGTGATGCGGACTAGTGCGAGAGTAATCGGCTTCCAGGGCTTGGTTTGAGCTCCACTGGTTGTTGAAGATCCCTCCGCTGCCGTCATTGGTAGCACCGAGTCTGTGCCCTCCCCTGCTTGAGGCAAAGGCATTCCCTCGGAAGCTGCCAGAACTGCCTCGGGATGGCCTGGATGGGGGGAATTGTTGGTAGTTTGCACCCGGACCTGCTGGCGGTCCATAGGATGGCGAATGGCTCTGATGGTGGTAAGAGGAGGATTCTTGGGAGGGGCCGTTGGGAGAATAACCGCCATGTGGGTACTGTGGAGGATATGGCCTGGAGTAAGATTAGTAAAGCGCAGAGACAGAAAATTGCCTGTTTTCTAGGATCATGGTGCAGAATGAGCGGGATCTCTTACCCTTGAGGAGAGTGTTGTTGCTGTTGCTGCTGCTGCGGCTGCAGCTGTCCGGGTCCCCATCCCTGGATGTCACCGTAAGGTGACTGTGGCGGTGGTGAGCCATGGAAGGGCGTGTTCGGTGTAGCATGGCCCGAGGAATGAGGCGGTGGGTGAGAAGACGGTGGGAGAGGAGGCGGTGCTTGGCGAGTAAATCGTCGAGACTGGCCATTTGCAGAGTAAGCACCATGGGACTGCGGCCCATAGCTGCCACTCCGGAAGCTGTCTCCTCCAGCAGACATGTCGCGGTCGATGGAATTGTTGGAGCCGGAGGCAATATCGGAACCTGCAGACGCGCGTGACGTGTTTCGCCTCGATCTGGAGGCCAGGGTGTCGTCTTGGTAGTCCCGAGGCGACAGAGACCGATCAGAGGTAGAGGACAATCGGCGACGCCGGTCGTGTAAAGAACGGCGTCTTGCGGGATCAGTAGGCTCGGGGGTTCGGCCCCTGCGCGGCACAGTATCAGAAGGAGGTGGAGGTGGAGGTGGCGGTGGATGGGGTGAATTGGGTGGATGGGAGGGCCGGCTGCGAGGCCGCCCACGAGGCTCGCCCAACGGATAGAGATTGGGATTGTCGTTCTGGTAGGATGAAGAAACAGGAGCAACAGGCTTAGCACTGGCTGGATCAAGCCAGCGAGGCGAGCCCGACCGGTCGCGTCGCGCGAGGGAAAGGGGGGGGTCAGAGCGGCGAGACGAAGAAGTTGCCGCGCCGGATCGAGACTTGTTTTTGTTTTTGGGACGCCGTTCGCGTCGAGACGGTGACCGGGACGGATAGCGGTGCGAAGAATGCGGCAGTGGGGGCGGTGGTGAGCGAGACCGCCGACGGCTGGAATAATACTGCTGCTGCTGCTGTTGCTGCTGCGAGTTCGAGTTCGAGTTGTGCCTGCCCGGCTGAAAGGGGCTAATACTGTGCCGCCTAGAGCGTTTGGGCTGGGCACCAGCACCGCTGCGGCTGGTGCTGTCACCGGCGCTGGGACCGTCACAAAAAGATGCACTGGGACTCCGTGGCCGCTTCGACGACTTTGATGACGACTGATGGGACGGATGCCGGTGCGAGGGTCCACGTGGCGGCGAGAAGGCGGGCACACCGCGACGGCTGCGCTCACCACTGTCGTCTGGGCCGTGGTTCTGGTCGTGTTGCCAGGCTAGATCGCCAGACTCTCGGCGAGAGTCGCGGTGTCGCCCTCGATCAGCCGGGTCCCGTCCTCGCTCTCCTTCGCCAGCACCCCTCGCTGCACGCGATGACGACGAGCCTGACGGTGCGTGATCCCTACTCCAGTCGCGCGACTCCTCGCGACGACGATGGCTGCTGCTGCTGCTGCCCTTTTGCGAGCTTTGCTGCTGCGGATGCTGCTGCTGATGCTGCTGCGGATGCCTCCTTGCGTGCCAGCCCTGTGATGACGCAGACTCTGGTCGCGTCGGTGATCCCGGCGGGTACGAGCCGGCTTCGTTGCCGTGCAAATGTCCCAGGCTGGATCTCGTTCTCGACGTGTGGCCGCGGTCTCTGCTGTCTTTGTTCTCTCTGTCGGTCTCACGAAGCCGATGAGCAACACCATGAGGCGATGACAATCCGTTCGACGTCATGCCTTGAGCATCTCCAGAGGTTGTGTCGGGGAGCGTGTCGCCAAGGATGCGGTCGTCAGTTAGCATTTCCGCATCTCGATGGCGATGGAAATGCAAAGTACCCATGGCTGCAGGTGGAGGTCCTGATTTGGCCTTTTTTTTTTTAGTGCCGGGCTTTGCTTTGGTAAGATAATAATCATGACCAAAGCGGTAGAGGACAGGCCAGGCCAAAATTGCCCTACTGTCCCACTGTAAGCCCAATTTTTACAGGCCTTATTTGTTCCTGTCCCGCCCACTGTACCGAAGATTTTGCGGGACAGGATTCCCGGCAAATGTTGGCGGTTGGTGTATAGCCCGCTACTTCTTTGCCTCAATTCCAGGCAACGGTCGCAATAAACAGCCACTCCCCGTCTCTTGAATGGGGGTTCCCCCCTATTTTTGATTTTCGCAACTCTCTTCCCTCTCTTCCGTTGCAGACTGATCTCTGAAATGATGGTTGCTCTCAGATGCAAATGGACATGCCTTCTCCTAGCCCGTAAGCACTTTTTTGACGCGTTCTGTCGGAGGAAGACGTCTCAGCATCGCATCTTGCCGTCAGTCCCCTTTCGAGATGTCTGTTGTCCGAGAAAGAGGAAGGCTTGGTAGAAACGGGGAGAAGAGAAACTCTGCCGGGGAATAAAATGGCCCGGTTAAAGTAAGTCGCAGCTGCAGCTGCCGACAAGGCAACTTCCAAAAGCGTTGTCAGCTCTTTCCCAGCCAGAGGAAACCAACAAAGACGTCACTACTGTCCATCTTCCAGAACAGAAGCTCGTTGCCCATGTTGTTACCCCGACGAGACGTATGCCCGAACCCTCTCATGGCATCCTCGTGTCCATGGATATCCTATGACACTTATGTCTACATATGGACACATATTGTGTGCATTTTACGGGGCGGGTGTGGTAGCATGGCCACCTATGAAACCGGTCTCTGCCTTGCTCTTCGGGTCCTCCGTTTGCGTTTTTCCGCTGAGTACCACTTCAGATCTTGGTTGTAGATTGGTCTTAACAGACACGAGGCTCGTGCCAAAACTTTATCCGTTGCCATTCAGCTGGCGACTGTGGGACCACAAGGTTGTACGCAGAGCATACGACATATGTGTATGCTTCCCAATCCGTAGCGGTAATAGCCATGGCACATTTTCTCCCGTTTCCCCCACTTTCTTCGGAATATTCGCAGAGTATATATCTGCGGCCTCATCCTCCAGCCGGGTCTTCATCAGTGACGTGGCGGCGGTCACGCTCACTGGTAAGGTCTGGTACAGCTCGTAGTCATGCCAATTAGGCTATGGCTTTTGTCGCAGGAAGGAACGTGAATGGCGTGTGGTGCAACGCATGACAAGGTCCTCTTCACACCTCGCTGCCGATCAAGCGTCGTGTCTCCTGTCCATTTGGGCGGCAGCCGTGCGAGCCATTTAACGCTGCATCTTGCCCGAAAAACGGTTCATCCTGCAGCATCTTCCTTGCCCCTTTGATCCACTTTCCATATATTGCAGTCGACGGGTAAAAATGCCAGGGTCCGATTGCCCAAATTCACTGCCAGTCGATGCAGTTATAGACGCATATCTGCAGGAAAAGCGGGAGAACAGTCGGCATGGTCAGACCAGAGTTTTCTGTGATATCAGTATCATAATGTGTAGTCAGGTTCAGGAAGGATAAGTATGTCAAAATATGTTGAAGTTGACGGATCGGACACTGTCTATCGTAGGTCGGACAGAAAGAAGGTGTGCATTTGGCGGAAGGCGGTGAGATCAGCAAACTGCCTTGGTAGCATTCACGTGCTCCTCACCAATGTGCATCGGTCACATGGATACAAAGATAAGTCAGCTTCTTATACGTCTGTCTTACTGCGAGCATGTTCCCGGAGCAGTAATAAGAAGTGGTACTGTTTCACTGATTTCGTACCAAGCGCAGTGAGGAACTGGATACTGAAAGTTGCCAAGCTAATCTGTCGCCGGACTGCTTGGTATATAGTCCGAGCTCCATTCGAGTTAACTCAAAATGGGGAATTACGGCTTTAACTTCCGCCGACTGGGCTTGACAGAGAAAGACAGATCTGAGTAATTACCCTACCTGCTTTCTTTGCTTCAAAGAAACAGGTAAGAAAAGCCGTCATGCCCAAGTCCTTGCCTGACTTCGGTGTTATAGCCATTATTTTCCAATATCGCTTTTACCATACTTGCCACGGCATTGTCGTGATTGTAAGCTATTTTGATCTTTATCATTCTTACCCGTAAAACTAGTATTGATTGAACTAACCAGGCGACTAGTGGTTGCATGATTCGACACCGCATGAGTAGTGCTCGTGGCATACGGCTAGAGAGTAGACTAATACCGCCATTTTCTTTGAGCTCTCGGGTGCTCGGAAGAGACGCACGATGACATTATGGCTGGAGAGATACACGACTAGAGGGATGCTCTCCCATTGTTGGCCAAGACCAAAAGCCAGACGCACAAGCGAACATATTGCTTCGACGAAGCAACCACTCTGCGACCCCATGAGTGTTTCAAATATATGTCTCTACGGAGTAGTGCTCGTATTTTGCTAGCCAAGGGGTTGCTAAATGTGAATGAATCAGCATCGAGATCAGCAGCATGCACCGGGTACTACCGCAGCCTGATAGAGTGGTGAGACACCTGGTCATACCAGAGACGTTTTTGTTTCTCCCAAAAACGGCGCCTGGAATTACCGGTACGAGGGATTGGCAGGACTCCTTCCTCTCCGCTCTTGTTCAAAGAGCTTGAACTCTCCCTACGTCTCTTTGTGCCGTCGAGTCTTGGTTTTGTAGTTCCGCCACCATCTCATCCATATCGGGCCAATCCCCGCACCCTAGGTAAATCTTTGCATGAAGTCCTCTCAGATGGGACAAGCTGCTCTTTCGCCTGCATATTGACACAACAGATGGCTATGATGACAGGTCACTGAACCGTTCGCGCTCGCTTTATACGTCGCTTCCTAGATCCATCCTAGTCGACGTTTTTGTTTTTGAACTGTTGTGGCGGAAAGTCCGGGGTTGGCTAGATACCCGGAGGATGTTCTTACATGCCATCGCAGCAGTTGTGCGAGTATGCTGACCGGCCAACAGCTGGGTCGGAGCTGGTAGTATGCGTCTTATTCGTCGTTCGCCGTTATTGGTCGCCATTTTCTCTGTACTCTGCAAAACTTCATCTTGTCGTAAACACAGAGAACGAAAGCCCGGGGCACGATGTCGTAGTAGAATACGAATACAAGCGATTGCTAGGGAGAGCAAGCTGATATGTTGGCCTTGTGACAGACATGCGCAGCCTTCTGTCGCAACTGGTAGAGAACTTGGAGCTAATAGCATCCGATTGCTCCACCCTCTTCGGTCTTTCCGCGCAGCAGCGCCAATTGCCCTAGCAGGGCCTCGGTCCCCCACAATTTCTGATGGAGAGAGATTGGCACTGGTGTCATGCGAATGCCTTCGCTTTCCTGTCTTACCTGCTCGTTCCGCGTATGCCGTCCATCGTCGCCTGTTCCGTCTTCGCGCTTATACATGCACAGCAGAGGACATGCCCTGATTTCCCGCCTCTCTTCTTATTGCTGGTGTCGCCATTTCTTGGCCCACACTTCAGCGTCGCTTTCTTTTTCACGCAAATCATCTGTAAGCATTCCAAGGATTCCCCTCGCTTACCTAATGAGGATAGCTTCCAAGTCCCCTGTCGCCCCGCTAGCCTGAATGCTGTTGTTTTCAGTCTCGCCACCATCTGTATGATATATGTGCTCGTACTCGTAGAAACTCCCTGTTAAAGCTTGGTCGTCACTTGTTGCTTTTTTTTGTTAGCTCCGAGTGCTGTCCCTCCCCTTTCCCTGCCGTGTGTAGGGTTACTTAAAGCCGGCCAAGCTGCGTGGAAAAAAAGACACGATAGGTAAACACCCGGAACTTCTTCCTGCGCACAACTTCCCGAGAACACATCGCAAAACAGCTTCGCCGCAGCCGCCCGTCAGACCTCGCCAGATCTCGGCGAACTACTCTTTGAAGCCCCCATACTCTTGTCACTTTCTCCCATTTCTTCTCTTCGTCCTCATACGATGGCGGATGCGCGCGCGCAGCGGGAGGTGAAGAATCACTTCCTCTTCGAGGTTGCCACGGAAGTGGCGCACCGTGGTACGTCTGTCTCAATCGTGGCATCGTCCTGAATAGCATTTCGTCTCTCCTGTTAAAACTGCACGGGCTGGTTTTCTAAACTGCTTTTTTGTTGCGCGGTTTTAGTGGGAGGCATCTACTCTGTCATCAAGTCCAAAGCTCCGGTGACGACAGCCGAATATGGAGACCGCTACACACTTATCGGGCCTCTCCACCGCGAGTCGGTATGTTGAAACAGTGCTGCTCGGTAGTCTTGCCCTGTGGTTTTTTTGCGGCCATGACTTGGCGAGGCATTGGGCGCATGTACCGGTTATGTTCGTTGGGCTGACTCTAGATTGGGCATTAGGCAGCTGTTGAGGTTGAGGAGCTTGAGCCGACAAACCCCGAGCTTGCTGCCACCATTACGTCCATGAGGGATCGTGGTATTGGCATGCTCTATGGCCGCTGGCTGATCGAGGGGGCTCCGAGAGTTCTGCTCATTGATACCAAGTCTGCCTATGGCTTTCTCGACGAGTGGAAGGCGGATCTCTGGAACGTCGCATCTATTCCCGCTCCCCCAAGCGACGACGAGACGAACGAAGCTATCGTTTTCGGCTACCTTGTTGCTTGGTTTCTCGGAGAGGTGAGCAAATTCTGCAAGACAGTGGGGTTATTTCTGGCTGCATTTCCATGCTGACGGTCGCCACCCCTCAGTTCGTATGCCATGAAAAGAAGAAGGCCGTTATTGCCCATTTCCACGAATGGTTGGCCGGCGTTGCCTTGCCATTGTGCAAGAAGCGTCAAATAGACGTCACGACCATCTTCACCACTCATGCCACGCTCCTGGGTCGTTACCTCTGCGCTGGTTCGGTTGATTTCTACAACAACCTCCAGTACTTCGACGTGGATGCGGAGGCAGGGAAGCGCGGCATTTACCACAGGTACTGCATCGAGCGTGCCGCCGCCCACTCTTCTGATGTGTTCACAACGGTCTCCCATATCACGGCTTATGAGAGCGAGCACCTGCTGAAGCGCAAACCCGATGGCGTGCTACCCAACGGCCTCAACGTGACCAAGTTCTCGGCCATGCATGAGTTCCAGAACCTGCACCAGCATAACAAGGAGAAGATCCACGACTTTGTGCGCGGCCACTTCTACGGTCACTACGATATCGAGCCGGAGAACACGCTCTATTTCTTCACAGCCGGCCGCTATGAGTACCGCAATAAGGGCGTAGACATGTTTATTGAGTCTCTGGCTCGTCTGAACCACCGCCTGAAGGTCTCCGGCAGCAAGATGACTGTTGTCGCTTTCATCATCATGCCAGCCCAGACGCACTCCCTCACGGTCGAGGCGCTCAAGGGACAGGCTGTGGTGAAGTCGCTGCGCGATACCGTCGACATCATTGAGAAGAGCATTGGCCGACGGATCTTTGAACGCTCGCTCAAGTGGCACGAAGGCGATTCCATGCCCGACGAAAAGGAGCTTATCACTAGCCAGGACCGCGTGCTTCTTCGTCGCCGGCTGTTTGCCATGAAGCGTCACGGCCTGCCCCCCATCGTGACGCACAACATGGTCAATGACCAGGAGGATCCGATTCTCAACCAGATCCGGCGGGTGCAGCTGTTCAACCACCCCACCGACCGCGTCAAGATTGTGTTCCACCCCGAGTTCCTGAGCTCGGCAAACCCGGTGCTGCCTATGGACTATGACGACTTTGTGCGTGGCACTCACTTGGGCGTATTTTCTTCCTACTATGAGCCGTGGGGCTACACGCCGGCCGAGTGTACAGTGATGGGTGTTCCTAGCATCACGACCAACCTCTCCGGCTTCGGTTGTTACATGGAGGAGCTGATTGAGAACTCGAGCGACTACGGCATCTACATTGTCGATCGGCGGACAAAGGGCGTCGATGAGTCGATCAACCAGCTAGCGTCTGTCATGTTTGAGTTCTGCCAGAAGAGCAAGCGACAGCGCATTAACCAGCGAAACCGAACGGAGCGGCTGAGCGACCTGCTGGACTGGAAGCGCATGGGGCTGGAGTATGTCAAGGCACGCCAACTGGCGCTGCGCCGCGCGTACCCTGCGTCTTTCACCGGAGAGGATGATGACGACTTCATTCCGGGCGTGGAGCAGAAGATTTCCCGGCCCTTCTCGGTGCCTGGCTCTCCTCGTGACCGCACCGGCATGATGACCCCAGGCGACTTTGCCAGCCTGCAAGAGGGTCGGGAAGGACTGAGCACGGAAGATTACGTTGCGTGGAAGCTACCGTGAGTTGCCCCATACACCTAACAAGCTGAGCGTCTTGACTGACAAACGATACCAGAGAGGAGGAAGATCCGGATGAGTACCCGTTCCCGTTGACGCTGAAGTCGAAGACTGTAGGCGCGAGCAGCCCGCTCGATGGAGTGCAGCTGAACGGTAGATGATTGGCGCGACGGAGTACGAAAAGCAGCGGGGATGATCGGAGGTGGAGTGAGGTCATGGTATCAGCCCGCGAGCGGTGCAGTATTTTTGATTTTGGGGTGGAACGACGGCCTGTTGCTAGAAGGGCGAGCCGCCGTTGAAAAGAAAAAAATATGCGAGGTGCAATGGATGTGAAGACAGCAGTGTTTCTATGTGTGTTCTATGTTCTGTGAGGTTTCGCTGCATTGGGAAATGTTTGTGTAAGAGGCCGAACCAGAGTGTGTACATCAGTGGTGCGTTTCGGTCTGTGCGTTGGTGTTGCAGTCAACCTATTATCTAGTGTGTGCTCCGTGCCGAGATCAAGTACGGAGTACGAGCTCTAGATCGTATACGAGTTGTGTAAGAGGTTTATTTAATTGGAAATCAACTTGACAACGGCATACGTGACGGATGACCGTTTAAGTTCGGGAGCCGGCAGGAAGTCGCAACCATGCCGACCGTTTGTGGTGACAGTCCATTACTATTGACCTGATGAGAGAACGGGCAGCTTGCCGTTGATGACGGAGAAGATGCGCGACCTTGTATCAGATTCGGAGGCAGGATATCCGACTTTGGTTGTTCAGCACCTCCATGCCAGCTACGTGGAATGGCCAAAACCCTCGTTCTCTGACATACTATGAGATAACCTGATTCAGCCTCCTTTTTCACCGAGGTAAGTGACCGGGAAGAAAGCATTCTCCATATAGGATGCACATAACGCCAATTTTTCAAACGGCGAGATACAAATGGTAGCGTCTCCCCCGCAAAACAAGAGCGTCTGTGTTCCTGGCCCGCTTTTTTAGCGTGCCAAAGCGCTATGGCGCCTGCTGACGAGGCCTGGATGAAACACCAAACAGAGGATGGGCTAATAGTGTTTGGCTGGAGTTGGACAAGAGGATGGGGCACATACTCCGTATTATTAGCTCGACGCGCTGCACGGCGCTTGAATCAGCCGTCCCTGTCGGACAATCTGCTCCAATCCTTGAATTTATTGCAATTTTATACTTTGAGCTCCGTACAGAGGACTCTTGTCTCCCCATCAGCAGCACAGCCGCCTCTTCCTACGGAGTATACGACGGGAAACGAGGAGCCCGTGGTGGATCGTCGGCACGTGTTTGCCCCTGCCACTCTTAATCACAGCTGGCAGCCAGGCCATCGCCAGACATCGCTTTTGCTCGCCTCGTCTCAGTTGTGTGTTTCTTTGGCTCCCTTAGGTCGGTCCCCTGGTGGAACCCTCCTTAATATGCTTTCTTCTTCCTTCGTCATGTTCTGCCCGTTAAGCGCTCCTTCTTGTCTACTGCTTACTCCCCCCCTGCCTCCTTTCTCTTCTCCCCCATCGCTCCTTCTGTCTTCCTCATCGCCTCCTCTCCCTGTCTCTTCTTTCCACCTAGCTTACGATGAAGCTTCATCTAAGCAAAATGAAGTTTTTCAGGCGAGACAAACAACGCAAGGCCAATGGCTCTAGCGACCAGCAGTACCTCACCTCGAACAGCCCCACCGTGCCACAGTTCCCCAGCTCCCAGTCCGGCGACGCATCACATCCTAATGGTGGTACCGGCAGCCGTAGCCGTGGCTTTGGAGGTCTCAAAGGCTTTCGTGGCCGCCACGGCAGTGCCAGCGCCAACAGCATCGCGCATCACCGGCACAAATCCTCTTCGTCTCCGGTCCCAATACCGCCACCACCAGGGGCGCCAGCTCGTGCGCTGCTCAAGCTGCCGGATCCCGTGCTTGAGCGCATCTTCTCCCTCGTCTGTCCTCACAGCCAGGACCGGTCCTATGACAAGTGCGAGGATTCAGGTTCTGATAGTGCGTGCATGCTCTGTGACATGCGCGACCTGGCCCACTGTGTTCAGGTGTGCCGGCGATGGCGTGTCGCCGCCGAACGCGTTCTGTATGCTATCCCCCCTGCTCTCCTTGATGCGCCGTCCATACGGCCTTGCGCACTGCCACTAACAGTTGCCTTTCTTTGCTAGCTACACCAGCGTCCGCATCGACGCGGTTCACTACTGCGAACGCGAAGATGACCTTGCGGAACGTCGAAAACGCCGGTCCTTTTTCGACCGCAACGCCGAACCCGATGAAGACACTGCCGACATCCGGCTCAAGCTCCTAAGTCGCACCCTTCGCGAACATCCAGACGGCCGGCTGGGTGCCACAGTCCACTTCCTCAAGATCCCCTACATGCTACGCGAGTCCAAACACGCCGACATTGCCCGCACGGTCTCGTTGCTGCCAAATCTGCGCTACGTCGACCTGCCTGAAGGCCTCTTCATGGACGACCCCACCTACGTGACTCTCAAGCACGAGATTCAGGCCAGGTGTCCCGAGCTTCGCAAGATGACCTACATGGGCGGCTCTGAGCGCAGTCTCGCGGCTCTTGGCTCCGGCACCATCTGGCCCAGCCTTGAGGTGCTGGAGCTGGTGCGAATCGGCATGGACCCGGCTACACTCCGACACGTCCTCAGTGCCCTACCGAACCTACGCGCTCTCAAGGTGACGGAGACGACGGCTGGCCCGCACACTTTCTCCGACGACGTCCTTGCATCATCGGCATCGGAATACTCCGCGGACGCGTCGGACTCGTCCGGCTTCTATCAAGAACAGAACGGATATTCCCCCGAAGTCCCGCCTCTGGAAGAGCTTGTCCTGACGGATACCCTTGGCCTCACAGCTGCTGGCTTGCAAGGGTATCTAAGTCGGCCGGATGCGCGCCAGGCGTTAAAGGTGCTCACTGTCAGCGGCACCGGAATCAAGCCATGGTCTCTGCAGGTGTTGCTCACCCAGATGCCATCGCTGCGCCACCTCACCATTGTCGAAAGGGTGACCGCAACCCTACCCGTGGCTGCGGGCACCAAGGAGATCCGTCCTCTGGTATCACAGTCACTGCGCACGCTGAATTACGAGATCAGAGCAGCCGACGGCGTCAGCCCGTACGCCGGTATCACCCGCTCCTACTACAACTATCTGTCGGGCTCCATCCTATCGGGTGGGTTGCCGAACCTGCGGGCTGTGTATGTGTGTGACGCACAGTTCCCAGATCTACTGCTGCTTGGGAGCGCCTTGCCTCCACCACCGGGTCTCTTCGGAGCCCCCAGCGCGCAGAACCGACCGTCCTCGGCCGGCTCCATCGGATCTGCGCCGCGCCTCTCGATGATGTCGGGTCGCAGCAGCAACAGCAATCTCGGGCTTCTGTACGCGTCGGCCAACATGCAGAGCCCCCCTCATTCGCCGGGCCTGCGCCAGCCGCCCGTCCTACAGCCGCAGCCACAACGACAGTCTCTCAACCCGTTTTTGGACCCACAATCACCGTTTAAAGCGGCAGCCAGGCCTTCTTCGCCGAACCCCGCGAAGCCATGGGCGACCGGCCAGAACCCACGGTTCAGCAGCAACAATCCGTTCGCGGCGATGATCTCACCGCAGCAGGTGCGGACGCTCGAGGTGTTTACTAAGGGTGATGACGACCTCGACTGGAGCTCGTTTGTGGTCGACGGCGGAGACGCAGGGGGCAGCGGCCTGGGCAATTCAGAGCGACCGACCAGCAGTTACGGACTTGGGGCGGATCTGGGCGCCGGAGCAGGAGCACGCAAGAGCGTTCTTCTGCATACAGGCGCGGGGGACTTTCTGGCAGTGCCGGACGGAGCATTTGCTGGCGGTGGCGTTGGTGGCAACGGAATGCCCGACAATCGACGGGACAGCCACATGGATCGCAACGGACAAGGGGGTGCTGACCTGTGGCCAAGGCCAAGGAGCAGTGCGGGTGACAAGAAGAACGAGAAGCGGGACCTGTGGCGGTGATCACCGTCGTCCGGGCACGCCTTCATCTAAGGCTCGTTCGTTTGCTCGTGATCGCTTATGACAAGGGTGTACGTGACGTCGGGGGCGGAGACAATGAGGGACAGTCGCTGTCTCGAAACATTTGAGCACTCGTAATGCTCCCGCTGCAAGGATTGCAGCAAGCAGGCACTCACGAGCAGTTGCTTTGGGCTTTGCGTTGTCATTTGGCTCTGGGGGAGATTCATGGCCAACGTATGGAGTAGCGATATAGATAGACTTGACCAGGAGTAATGAGACTACAATCTATGTAAGATACGAGTACGAGAGAGGAGCCGTGAGCACGTGACCTGGTCACTAAGATTGGAAGGGGAGAACGCGAGCCAGGGAGAGGGGTACTCGAGGCGAGATGATACAAGTACTTTGGGGTGGGTGACAGCATCGTAGGCGGTGGGGCAGAATCCGACTTTTTCATTGTCATCGACGATGCTGGCCTGGGTGATATCGGGCATACGAGATGCACCCAATGGCCCCGCATGTCTCTTTTGCTCCGCAGTCGAACAAGCGGACAACAAACAGCAGACAACAAGCAGACAAGGCAGGGGAGCTACGAATTTGCCAGCGGTATATACTCCGTACGAGACGAGCAGAAAAAAAGTGGTGGTACCCGCATGTGCAGACATGGGGGCCCTGAAGATGGGGAAAGAGGGCCGGATCGCTAGACCGCCCATCCAAGACAGCCAACAAAAAAACTCGCTTTGTGCGTCGCCGTGCACGGTTAAGCACAGAGTCGTTCATACATAGTACTTGTACTCGTAGTAGCACACGGGTATGTAAGAGGGGTTCCACTCTTCGATTTTCTTTTCCAGCTTTGATCATCTTGGATCAGATTACGGAGTCTGCTCTTGTAAGATACGGAGTACATACGGCCGCATGTCCGTGAGATGGTGTGGAATATTGCGTCTTTTGCGGTGTCAAAGAGTTCTTATGTTCTTAGTCCCGGCGGTGGACAATCCTTACCTGAGAACGCATCGAGTTTCTAAAAAAAGACCAGTTGGCAACTGGAGTCGAGACTTGACAGGCTGGCCGTATCTGACCTGGCTGTCTCTCTCCCTTACCAGCAGCATGGGCTTCTGTGGCAAAAAGGCGGCCAGAAGTCCCGGCCGATCAGTCCCCGGGAAGGTTGCAGCGCCTTTCACCGATTCTTCGTCGCTCGTCATCCTCGTGTCATATTTAACGACGTAGATATGCTCCCGCTAAAAAGGCGTGAAAATTTTCCCTCCGCCTATCGTAGCTCTTTCTTAATACGACGTGGGGAGGAGGGAGAGCCAATCGGGAGGCCGAACAGACCTGTTGGCTTTTTTTCACTTCTTCAAGGCACGGCGGACAGACGACCAGGATACAGGTCATTTTCGCTAGTTGCTGTTATGAAGGCGGTAAAGCTGTTTGGCAGCAGAAACTTACTCCGTAATCTCCAAATCGGGAGCAACGTCAGGGCAAAATTCATATAAAAAAACTGCTCGACTTGCTTTTTTCGGTCATGCGCGTCGTTTCTTAGCTGCATGACCAAGTTCCGACCCTGCATACATAGTAGAGAATGCTGCTGTTTCTCGTGAAGCAGACGATAGATATTGGGTCTGAGAAGGCTCCGTCATCCGTGATTGGTCCCTGCAGGTTCCGACAAAGGGGTTCGGTGGTCGCGATTGTGGTAGTGCGGCCATAGCATCTCCAAGGTGACTGGCTGTTTCAAAAAACAGGATGGACAAAAGGGCACCAGTCGAATCTACCTCTGAGGAATGATCGCACCCCTGATCTAAGACCGACGGCTCCGTGAGGGGAAGGGGGGAAACCGACAGGGAACAGGGGCGAGAGGCTGCTCGAAACAAGAGCCGGTGCAAAAAAAGACGGGTTTCTTTTTCCCTCTCATTTCTGGTAGCTAACATCAGATGACTCCATGGCGCGAGACCTGTTTCAACTGCCCTGTTCTAGTAAAGCGGCCGCATCTAAGCTGGCGGACTGTTCGTCATAATCACGACGAGAGGGAGAAACAAATCGAAAAAGAATGAGGCAGTCGAGTATCTTAATTTCTCCGTATTACTCCGCGCTCCGCCAAAAGTGAGTTGGCATTAGTGCTGTGTGCATCTGCAGATGGGCACCGAGCACGCTGCAGACGATCCAGTCGTTCTGGTTGGTCGGTGAAGGCTGACTGGCGTCGAGGCCCGTCCGTGCCCGATAAGAAGCACAGAGAGTGACGGCGGGTCGACGATCGGAAGGGGGGTTTGGACCAGTGTTTGAGAGCGCGACACGCCCTCTTTGATAGTTCAATTTTCCCTATATTTTCCCCTCTACATCTTTCCTCTTTCGGCTTGGGCTCTTGCTATGTGTTTTTCTGTTCGCGTCGGCACTAATCGCTAGCGACAAGGCAAACAAGGGACGATCGTTCGTTTGCGCCTACAACGTGTTAATGCTGATACGCTCGATGGCGAACAAGGACCGGGGAGGCTGGCGATACTATAGCACATTCCTCCCGTCCGCCTTCCAGGGACGCATGCGTCTAGCTATTGGCGAATCTCCAACCGTGTCTGGGTCTCTCCCTTTCCTTTCGTGAGACAGTACCAGCCATTGGCCAGATTTTGCTGCTTGCTTCCCTACGAGAGGGCGAATACTCCGTAGACATGGCGGGAATGCTGGATGAGTTATAGGCCCAGCCACCAGACCAGTTGTTGGCGAGGCCTTCCAACGCCGACGCCTTTTTCTTAGCTCTCAAGCCCATCAGCTGAGACGAGAAGAAGGTGTAATAAGATAGTCATCTGTTGTAAAGCCATGTGTCCGAAGTTAGACGCAGCTTGGAACAGGATTTGCCGCTCTACCAAAATAGTGGTGGCTGTGACAGCATTCTGTCACACGCCACTCGCGGGCATTTGGCGAGCATTATCTCTGACAGACTGTCTTAGTGGCAGACCGTCTCTCGTTGCCTTTCCCTTCATGCGCCGTCTTTTTAGACCCTGTGTCGTCGAGTCCAGCTTTGTCCTGCTTTGAGGCCATTTTTTTCCCGCTTTGCTTCTGCCGCTCGTGGAAAAAGCCAAAAAAATCAGGTCACGCCTATGCCGGAGAGGGATGCGCCCAGGCTATTATCTCTTTGCCGTCACAGTAGCGAACGACTAGTCGTGCATAGGCGCCGTAAACTCGGCATTGCTTCTTATTCGTATCTTGCCCATGGCAGGCTGCGTAAAGTCAAAGGCATAAGAGCTTCCTTGCGTCGTATGGCGTACCGCATATGAGATGGGCATCTTACCGTGCAGGCGCAACATCGCTGAGCCATCGGGATTGCTCCCGTCTGCAAGGTGTGGTTCAAAGAGGGGCCAGTGACCGCCTTGAGGATGATTTCAGAGCATCTCAATGGAAACAAGGGTCTGAGCCTTGACAGGGGGTGGCTTTAGGACTGTTAGAGGTGTGTGTGGGTGTGGCAGGAAGAGGAAGGAGCGCGGCATGGCGACCAGGATTTGGCCAGTCCCTTTCTTGGGGGGTCGTTGTACAATGTTGGCCCATTCGTGCTTTCCCTCTGTGGGTGTAATCCAGCCAGGTCGTTTTTAAAGACGAGCCTTCCTCCACCGCCTCTCTGACACGGCTGCCTCCTTTTTCTCTCTTCGCTCGTCTGTGTTCTTTCTCTTCTCATGGCCTCATCCTGAACTGCATTTGACCCTCGACCCTGTCTCGTTCTTCATCAACACCAGGACCGGGAGATTACTGTGGATCGGCGTCCCCTTACAACGCCCCCCCTATTTGCCCGTTCATTCTACCTTACCCACTTCCAAAGGAAGTTCGAAGCAACGGCAGAACAACACGAGAGGACAGCCGTTTAATGCCAAACGAGCAACCGAGAAGTCCCTACTCATTACAAGAAGGAGATCACTGCCACACACAAAGAGCCCTACCTTGCAAGCATACGGAGTACGTGCCCTGCTTGACGCGGCCCATATAAACAAAAACACCACCGCGCCCAATTACACCGCCGCCGTTATGTCTCTTTCACAGCCGATGTCTCTTGACGACGACATTGGCGTCTACCTTGCCAGAATGGGTCCCGACACGGTGAAAGCTCCAACCGGCGAGACGACAGTTGTGCACCACCAACCGCAACAACAACAACAACAACAACAGCAGCCAGAGAACAATTCGACTCTGCCTGCAGCATCAAATATGCAGCACGATATGAGCTGCCTCGGCATGGCACCACCGCTCCCTGAGCGCAATGCGCTCCGCCGCTCGCGATTCCTAGACGCCCTCGTCATGCAGGCCGCTGTGCCGTCAGAAACTGCCGAGGCTGCGTCTGTGGCCATGGCTCCGAACACCAGCAGGCCATCACTGCCTACGCCACACGACGTCTATCTCTCATCGGAAGAGGATGCTTCGTCTGCCGGCGATGTCTCCGAGGACGAAGATGTGGACGAGTACAGTGGCACAATGGAGGACGATGGCAGCACCTGCTACGGCTTCCGTGACCAAGGGGACGACGACATTGCCCGGCCGGACCGGCTGTCCTCCCCCGACAGCGTTCCTCGCCACGGCCCTGTTCCAGAGCCGTCTGCTCTCCCCCCTTCCACCGAAGCCACCGATCCTGTCAACGCTGCCACCACTTCCACCACTACCATAGCTACGGCTGTGGTTCAGCCTCGCCGCCTCCAGAACCGCGACACGGCTCGCGTCGTGTCCGTCATCTTTTCCGGCCGGCCCTCTCTGGTCGATCTTGCTCTGCTGCGGGAGGCTCGCCGCCGCAGTTGCATCGACACAACCACGCAGTCCGTGCTGTCGTCGTCTGCCTCGTCTAACTCTGCCACATCCTCTTCTTGCATCAATTCCACCTCGGCCTCCGAGGTCACACGCCCATCGACGGCGAGCGACTCGCTGACGTCCGACCACAACGCTAGCAACTGCGCCCTGTCCTCTTACCGCGACCGCAGATGTGCTATGGAGAACGTTAGGCCCACTGATATCAACCTCGGAGCTACACTCGAAGCCACAAAGCGAGCATCACAGGCTTTCCTTCTGACGGACCCTTTCGCCAACAACCACCACTCCCATTCGCACAAGAACTCTGCAAATGGTGCACAATCCGCACCTCAGAAGCGCTCTTTTTCATCCTCCCCCCCTACTAATACAGATTCGCCATCGGCTTCTCATTCAACGCCACCTTCTCATTCATCATCGTCTACTCCCTCTACGCCTAGCGCCATTCTGCGTGGTGTTACCCGTTCCCTGACCTTGAGTCGCCGCCGCAGTCGGCCAATGCTTCGTGTCGAGTCCTTGACACAACAATCTCTCAAATCGCCAGCCTTGGCTGTAACACCACCATTGCCTTCGGCGTTGTCGGCTTCGGCGCTGGCACCCTCTCCAGTCACATACAATGATATAGTACAATCGGCGCGGCGCAAGTCGACTGCCCCTTTGCTACCGTCTCGGCCTTGTCAGTGCCGGAGGACATGCCGGTTTCGCCTATGCCGCCAATGACGCCGGGAATGGCGAAGCGTGGCAACACTGGTGGCTTTTTGGGCAACCTGGCTGGAAGGCGGCGGAGTATGAAGGTCACTCGATAGGCCTGGAATGTATTATATATGGAGTACGGTTGTTTTTGATTGGGAATTACTGCATTGCTGCCGCACTGGGCCACAGACGGTTGGGATACGGTCCATAATAGGATTTGGACTTGGGATTTATGACCACAATGGTTTAATGATACCCCCCTTGGATGGGATGTAACTAAAGTAACGGCCGATGTGGACGCGCATTATCTTCAGATAATTCGATTTGTGTGCTCTCACTGCCCGCACTGAAACTCGATTGACGGCCATCGCCTTATTGGCTTGAGCTTGGGCCAGGCCGTCTGGCGGAGGAGGGGATAACGGCTCTCAGCCTTCTGCTTGCGCGCTTGCTTCAGGGCCTCTACTGCGTGCAGCCAGCCCTTATTGCAGCATTAATAAAGCAGCCCGTTACGCTTACTGTCCTTCCCGCTCATGCCCCGACCGTCCTTCGGAAGAGTGCTTAATCAATGCCATTTTCCTAGATTGATGTTTAGCAAGACGGACGTTGGAACCGGTATTTAAAAAGTAGCCGGAAATTAGAGTACAGGGATGGCATTTAGATGCCCCGCCCCCTTTCTTAATCAGATTTCGCCTACGGAGAAATACGACGTATTCTGTGGCTTGCTTCTTCCGCTTGTACGTAGCGCGTACAGAGTTGGCTCTGCATAAACGAAAGGCCGTGGCGCAGTGCCATCATGCATCGCGCGCTTCAAAAGTTTGTCACTGCTATGCACTTCCTGTACACTGCGCAGACAATGCATTCGGCCGGCGAGTGAATATTCTTGGCGTTCGGGAAAGTGCAACGATAGCGCGGTCGCGGCTGCCGTGACATAGATTCCCTCTGTCAAGCACGTATACGAGTACTCCGTACGGAGTACTCCGTACGAGTATACGTACGAGACCATTCTTATGGGTCTGTGGCTGATAGAAAACCGGGGCAGCCTTCCCCGCTGTCATCTGCCAAGAAATAAACAAGAGATCAAGAGACTCCATGAGTACAAGGCTGCTCGTACATTTTAAAGTCATCACGGCACTGTTGCACCACGAATCCACCTGTACCAGAGCGTAAGTGTGCCAATGACCTGGAGTCTTCATATTCCGTCGGAATATATATAACTAAAGAAATTAGAGCGTTTGGACTCATGTTTTGATACAAGATATTGAGGACAAGAAATTTGGAGGATTAAAAGTAAGGTAAAGGGGATAAGAAGCCGCGTTGCCATCAAGACGGAAGAAAAGACCGGTACACGCTTCTACTTTTTGAATCCCAAACATCGCGCCGCCCAGTTGCTGCCTCCAGTGTCGCGTCCATACCAAACCAGCTGTCACCCCCGTTCTCAATGGATGACCCTAAAAGCCCCCGATCCTGTCACGTCCATACACGCATTTACACCGATTACTGCCCACGTCCATTCGTAAAAAATATACCGTCGACTGTATCCATCGACGCAACATCAATCTATCGTACGTAACACCTTTTTATAGTCGTACCGTTCTGACCGAGGAAGCCAGTCGATGCAACATGCCGCGGTTGGCCCCCCATCGTATGCTGTCTTCGTTTGTGTTTTTGTCAATGCAATGGTCGTACATTGACAGACGTTTGTCGCCTCTGCTGTTTCCAACTTCGGCGAGTTTTGTCGATGTGAAAAAGGGCAAAACTGGGCGAATATCTGACCTACATCCCAAAAAGATAGCTTTGGGATAAGGGTTGTGGCGACATAGCCATTCCAGCAGCATGCTCATATCTGAAATGGCAAAGTCTCGGCTTGCGACCAAATTATGCCTTGCGAGAGCGAGTGACCATGCCGCTGGTCTTACCAGTCGGCCTGGCACTAGTGGTCGACGCAACAGAGCCTTGCGGCTTGCCACCGATCAGGAGATCGTGTGGGTCAGGCAGGGGCGCCTGGCTCATGCGGCGAACTGCTTTCCTAGAAGTCGTCTTCTTGCCATCCTTGCGGTAAGTGGCTAGGTAGAACGAGATGAACAGGACAAGGTACGAGCTGAGAATCCCAATGCCGGCAAAAGCGGCAAATTCCTCGCCAGCGCAGTAACCCATGTTGGGGAAGTCGGGGAAGTAGGTCGAGGTGAAGTAAGTGTACGAGGCGAAGTACACAAAGACTGGAAACGCTAGTTAGCAACCTGCTCGTACAATTGGAAAGCGTACAATATATGGAACGTACCGAGATCAATGACGAACTGGACGATCTGGAACTTGGTGACCCACTCCTTCCACCAGATGCGAATGCCACGGGCGGACTGGAAGTAGTACCAGTACATGACAACGTGAACACCAAGGTTCAGAGTGATGGGCACCCACGACACAGCGGTCGAACCGAGCAGCTGGGTATAGCACAGCAGCGCGGTCGCGCCGTGGTGGTAGCAGTGGAGGAAGGCTGTCCTCGTTAGTACTTAAAGCTCTCGAAAAGAGCGAAGCCGGAGGGTGACTAACTCAATGGCTTCTTCTTCAAGAACAGGAAAACGGTGTCAAGCAACTCGAGGTACTTGGTGAGGTAGGTGAGCTGGTATGGTTTGTTAGCCTTCCATCCCCCTCCGGCTGAGGGCTGTTGGGGTAATGGGCTAATCACTCACGTAGTAAAGTACCACGAGTGGCTGCGTCCAGCCACCGGACCTGTGGCAGATGGCATGAAAGATGCCCTCGCGCGTAACTGTGGGAATCATCTGCTCGGCGAAGAGAGCCAGCAGAAGGCCGCTGACAGCAGTGAGCACAAAGTTGTGGACAAGGAAGATAGCCTTGAGCTTGAAGGGCTCTCGCCCACGCATGGCCTCGCGGCCACCGAAGATGACGAAGTAGTAGACAACAATGAATATGCTTGTTTCGGTCAGGGTCGACATGGGTGTCTGGCCAGGCACAAATCTGAAGTCCTCAGCAGGATAGCCGAGAAAATGCTCCCAGACCTTGCTGAAGATGGGCCATATTTTCAGGCCGAAGGGTCGGTCCAGGGTGGGAATCCCAACCTGGAACAGGTCGGCGACTGAAGCCATCGTGTTGTGATCTCGCAGATGTGAAGGGCGGACAAGTAGACTGTTCGACGTGTGGCATGTCAGAAACAGACGGCTTGAGGTGACAGCAAAACAAATTGTGACGATCGATGATAGCAAAAAGGGAAATAGAAACGGGCATTAAAAGATCATAGCACGTAGCGGTCAAGATATGGACACATATGCAATGTTCAGGGAATTTGTGATGGTACAAAAGGTAGTGAAGTGGGTTATGCCGCAAAAAGGGGAACGCGAAAAGGGGAAGGATGCACGCGTACCAGAATAGCCCGTTTTATCTCGCGACGGATGCAATGACCGGTGGTAACGAGGCTCGCGGGGAAAAGGCGTATTAAAAGTGATTGAAAGTATATATGAAGTTGTGAGATAGTTGTGAAGTATGCAATTCGGCGAAGAAGCCGTAGAATGGATTCGTGTTGCTTCCTTGATGGAGATGGGACAAGAAAGATTAGAAAGTCTTTCTCGTGTGGCCGCGTCGCTTTGGAGGGATTTGCGCGACCATCCAGGTGATGGGTAGAAGGAGGACAGAAAAAGAGAAAGTTGGAGAAGAAATAAGAAGACAGCCGATGCCGAATGTAAAGGAATGACAAGAACAACAAACGGCAGAAGAAGATGTGGGGAGGAGGAGGAAGAAGAGGAGCAGGAGGATTATTTCATAAAGCAAAGGAAGAAGAAGGTTACGGGGTGCTTGGAGCCAGATCACTAAAGGGGGAGGTCCGAGGAATCCGAGGGGCAATTACGATTAGCTACCAGCGGCAGGAGTAAAGGAGCAGGGAGTGAGGACGAGGAAAGCGCGGCCAATGCAAGCCAGGTCTAGGTGTCCAGACCAATTGATTACTGAAAGTACAGTAAAAAAAAATTGCGATGCAATTCGCATTGAGGGGGTGAGCGTACCGTAGTACTCACTGTTGCTTGGGAAATGTGCGGCCACTCAGGTACCAGGATAACAAACTTGTCCCAATACGGCTACGCAGCGCCGGCGGCTTTAGCAATGCGCAATCTTATTTTCCATTGAAATACGGAGTACGGCGTACGACAAGCGCGTCTAGCCAACCAGCAGGCGTCGTTTGCAACGGTAGGCCGAGGCATTTCATACTGCCGCAGCAAACCGCCTTCGTCACGAGCAACTGCGACCGATGGGTAGTCCGATTCCTTGCTACAGCCTGGTCATGTTCGGGGAAGGATTAGGATAATTGTCCGACATGCCGTGTGGAGACTATTCCATGCCTGTCGCGAAGTGCGACACCCAAGAGGCGAGACCGGACGGACGTTTGCTTGCTTTTGTCGTATTTTGACGCTCAAGCTTGGGGGAAAGTCCCAACGAAAATACTAGACATGAGTTGAAGCAACACTCATCCTTGATATGATGTTGGAAGCTGACTTCTTCCCAGGGCACGTGACAGGCACGTGACACTAGTGGATGAGTCGGAGTCCCAGGGCACAAACACACGGAATATATAGTTTCTGGGGCTCGTTGACGTAATCGGCTTCGCTTGGGCCGTGCCGTCAATACGTATTCGTACTCGTACATGCTGCTCGTATATGCACACAAACAAACACAAGACTATCGAATTCTACAAATCTGTTTGGTGTGAGAGATCACATCGTACCGGGCGCAAGGACAGAGTCATGCTACGATGCAGGATAAGAAAGTCAAGTCAGTCCACCGGGGATTGAAAAAGAGCGAGGCTGATTGGCTGGTGGTGGGGAAGCTTGGGTGGTGTGGCAGCCTGAGGCCAAGCGGGCTGCTGGGGGGGGAAGGAATGGCCCAAACACAGGTGAGAAAAAAAAATGGGGGAGGGGAGGGCCCCAGCAAGGAACGCTGCGGCTACTAGACACCTAGTTGGGCAAGCACCGCCAGCAGAGACCACCTGTAGCCGAGCGTGAAAAAACATCATTCGATTTTCGCTCTTACTTCTTTCTTCGCTTCCGCCTTCTTCCTTTCCCTCGCTCCTCTCCCGAGAACTGTCCAACGACGTTTGCCCAATCCAACAATCGGTACGTATGAGGCAATGGCAGGCCGAGAAGACGAGCCAGCCGGGAGAAACAGGCGCTTTTGATTTTTTCGGGCTCAATTCCGCAGGCGCAGCGTCGAGGCAAAAAACCAAAAGTCCAATTGAACTGACAGTGAACCGACCCTAGCAGATTTGCCTATTTTCTTGCGCGCATCGACCGCCCGTCCACCCGATCCTCTCATCAGCTTTGCTTTTCCGGTTCCTGCCAACATGTCTGCCTCGATCCTCCGTGTGGCCGCCCGCGGCCCTGCCACGACGTTTTTCCGCGCAAACCCCATCCGCCCGACAGCATCGGCCGGCGCGGCCGTGGCCTCGGTTCTTCACGCCCGCACCACGGCTGTCGCGGCCGTCATGGTGCCCAGCGTCAGCTTCAGCGCAGCTGCACGTCTGCGGTCTGAGCACCACGAGGAGTCCTTTGAGGAGTTTACCGCCAGGTAAGATCCCTTCTGTCTCCATAGGAAGGCCCCTCCGGGCCTCCGGGAGAATCCGGTACCGCTCGGACAGGGGATGAGGGTGAGAGAAGAGACTGGACATTGTGGGCTGACTGCTGGGCCTGCCCCATACAGATTCGAGAAGGAGTTCGACACCGTCCAGGACGTCTTTGAGCTGCAGGTAAGCCCACACCTTTCCACCCCCAGTTTTCCCCCCCCGGTACCCCGGCCCCAATGCTGACTCATCAAACAGCGGAACCTGAACAACGCCTTCGCCTACGACCTGGTCCCTTCGCCGTCGGTGCTGGTTGCCGCCTTGAAAGCTGCCCGGAGGGTCAACGACTACCCGACTGCCGTGCGCGTCTTTGAGGGTGAGTGTTTCTTTCCGCTCCGGCTACCTACTTCCTCCTGCGCATGCCGTTACTGATTCATTATCCCCCACCAGGCATCAAGGCCAAGGTCGAGAACAAGGGCCAGTACGAGCAGTACCTGGAGGAGCTGAAGCCCCTGCGGGAGGAACTGGGCATTGTGCTCAAGGAGGAGCTGTTCCCCGAGGAGACGGCCTAATCGGGAGGAGGGGAGAGCTCGTGGCTTGCGGGCGCACGCCTGGAGGCATGATACGGGGATGCTTTGGAGGAAAGGGGAGAGAGACGAGATGGGAGTACGAAAAGAAAGCCGCAAGCAGCCCAGCGACGACGCCACCCTCTGTCCAATCCACCATACCCACCCCAATGAATATAACCTCTTTGTATATTTGAGCTAGATTTTCGGTTACCATTTTTTTACCCAGCTCTTCGTTCCTTCTTCTCTGGGCGATCACGGTCAGGTGACCAGCCTGAATGATGGGAAATGTAACGTATCTTCTGACAGTGCGGCCTATCTCCTGCTACTCTTCCGTCCGGAAGCCTCGCCGACCCCCTGCCCTATCGCCTGGCTTGAGCCGTGACAGAAAGAAAGAGAGGGAAAAGAAACAACAGAAAGAGAGACAGGCTTAAAGAATACATGAAGAAGCTCTGCCTTACACATTATCTTGACACGCCCGAATACAGAATACAGCGAGATTAGGGAGACCAGACAGCCAGACAGACAAGCGGGCAGAAACAATCAGTCGCGCAGATGGGTCCAGCGGCTGCCGCCCTGCTGCTGGTTGAGGTACGTGAGCCCGGCCACGGGGCCAATCGGAGCCGCCGGGTTGGAGCCGTCGACGCTGGCGGCGATGGGGCTGTTGCCACGGCTGACGGACGAGCTGTGGCCGTTGTTGTTGCTGCTGCTGCTGCGATCGGCACCGGCACCTCCAGGGGTAGTGGCCATGCGGCCGGCGACGGTGCGCGGGCTCATGACGCCGAGCCGAGGGCTCCGGGGCACGCTCTGGGCGCGCGTCTCGCGGCGACCATTCTTGAGCAGGCGCAGTTCTTCACGGGCCCATTCCAGCTCGCGGTCGCGCTCGCGCATGACGACCTGCATCTCGGCCCAGCGGCGACGGACCTCGTCGGTCTCGTTGTGCGCGTTGGTCTCGTGGATCTGCCGCAGGTTCTCGTCTGCCAGCCGGCCGAGCTCCTTGTTGCGTGTCGTCAAATCACGGTTCTCGGCGCTCAGGTCGGCCGCCGCGTTGGATGCGTCTTGGTACGCCCGTCGCGCGTGCGCCAGGTCCGTCTCGGTGCTGGCTACCTTGCGCTCTAGCGTCGCGATCGTGCGCCGCGCTGCTTCGGTCTCTGCCTCGGCCGTCGCCAGTCGGGCCACCTCTGGCACTACCGAGCCGGCCAGCAGCGTCGTCGCCTCGGCTAGCCGCTCCGTCAGCGACGTCTTTTCTGTCCGCAGCTCGGCCAAGACGCTGTCTCGCGATGCTAGGCGCTCCTTTGCTGCCTCGGCCTCCCGCGTCGCTCGGTCTCGCTCGGTCTCAAACACACCCCGGTCCTTGACTGCCTCCAGCAGCTTGCGCTCGCACGTCACGATCGTCGCCGTTGTGTCCTTGGTCTGTCGGTCGAGCGTCCGCACTCGCTCCAGCAGCATGGCCTCCTGGATCTCCTTTTCGCGTAGCTGACTTTCCAGTGCCACCGTCTGTCTGGTTAGTCTTTGTTCAGGAGGTAAAAAAGAGAGAGGAAAGAAAAAGAAAAAAGAGAAAAAAAAAAACCCACCCGAGCTGCGAGTGCCTCGAGCTGCGACAATGCAATCGTCACAGTCGTACCGCTCGTTGTCAGCGGTCCATGCAGCGCTTTCTTGATCGTGTCACTCAGTGCCAAGTCTTGGTTCAGCACGATCGGCGACGCAAAGCCGTTCAGGCGAGTTCGTTTCTGTGCGTCGTCATCGTCGATATCATCATCCTGTCCATTAGTCCATCAGTATTGGGAGGAGGAGAAACGACCAAGAAAAACGAGAGAAGCTCACCAGCTGGTGCTTCCGCGAGAAGCCACCGAGCACGTTTGCTAGCGACGAAGACTCTTCCTGGCTGAGCACCGGGTGTTCCGAGCCGGACGACGAGATGTAAGTGTCAAACACGTCGTCGGGCAGCGACAGCGGCTTCCACGCAACGTCGACGCGCGGGTCTGCAAACACCTTGGCAAACGCCGCCGCCGCCTCGTGCGGCCTGACCGGCTGGTCGTCGTAGGCTGCATCCTGCAGGTACGGCAGGCAGTCGAGTGTGCACAGCAGCAGCGCGTTCTTGCGCTCCTGGTCGCCGACGTTGCTGAGCGGCAGCCGCAAGTCGATGTGCTCGAGCGTGTAATTGGCGACCAGCAGCAGCACCACCGGCCGGGACGGCCGGCCGGCCACGTCCACGAGGTAGTTTGCCAGCAGGCCCGACGTGCGTGCCGTGTGGTCAAACCCAATGACAAAGTCGACGTCCTGAGGCAGGCTGGCTGGACTGGCCTCGGTGTCGGCCAGAATGACGGACAGCTGGTGTTGATGGCTTCTGTCGCTGCTGCCATGGCCGATGCGGACCAGCGGCACGTTCAGCTGGCCAACCAGCGCCTCCATGTAGTCCAACACGACGCCCTTGCGTGCCAGGATCAGGACCTTCTTGTCGACGGCACGGATCGGCGCCAGCAGCTCGTGCAGGAACGTGAACTTGCCGCTGGTGTTGGCCGCATACTTCATCATCGCCTCGCGCGTCAGTGCCGGCAAGCTGTCGGAAAAAGGCGGCAGGTCGGCGAGGTCCAGCAGCTTCTGCAGCAGTGCATCGACGCGGCCGGTGATTTCAGCGCCGGGCAGCTCGCGCGTGTCGCGCACAAACACGTCGCCGTACGCCTTGATCGTCTTCTGGTTCTCCTTGTCCATGACGACGTCAATGTAGCGCTGCCGCGAGTTGGCCGCCAGCGGCAGCGTCACCGTGTACTCGCGCGTGTAGGCAAAGACCGACGGCGAGAGTGACTCCCGCTCGCGGTCGGCCGCCTCCGTCGATGCCGGGCTGTCGGCCTTGTCGGTCATGTCTGAGCCTGACGTCGGCGACGGACTGTTGTGTTGCTGCTGTTGCTGCTGCTGCTGTTGCTGCTGCTGCTGTTGCTGCTGCTCGACCGGCTCGGCCGGCTCGGGTGATATCGACAGCACGGGCGCCGTCGGCGATAGGGCCATGGCCGTCTCGGGGCCGACGAGGAGCGCCGTGTCGATGGTAGGCGGGCGAGCAGCTCCCACTTCGAGAGCCACCTGTTCTGTAAAGAGCGGCAGCACCGGCGAGCGGGCATCGGCAACAGTGGCGGCATCACCGACTGCCGGTGACGAATGGACGTCTTGGCTCAAGAAACGGCTGATCGTGTCGGACGGCAGCTCGGTCATGGCCAGGCCTTCGGGGCCAAGCGCGTCGCGTTGGGCCTTTCGGAGCAGGGCGACCGGGTCCATGGAGGGATCGTCTCCGTCCATGTTGTCGAGGTAGCTGTCGTCACCGTCGATCTGAGAGGGCGTCGGCGGTCTGGGCGGTTCGGAAGACGGGTCCGAGAAGAGGGAGCGATGCGTGCTCTGGAGCAGACGCACGACGTGGGCCGAATGAGTATCCTGGTCGAGCTGGTCGAGCTGGTCGAACTGGTTACGTCGGGTAGAGTCGGGCACGACTGAGGGGTTCCAGCCGCGATGGTCGGGCGATGCTGGGGCCGGCTGAGAGTGCAACTCGGACAGAAGATCAAAGTCAGCCTCAGGTTGGGTCAAGAAGAGAGAGTTTTCGCTTCCGCTGCCGGCCCGGTCTTCCGACGGCTGGGTGGGATCCCACGGCAGGACAGCTGGCGAGAGACGAGGTCCGGAGAAGGGCAAAGATGCGGCAGCACTGGGTAGCGTCACGGCAGCAGAGCGAGGCTCAAGGGTGGAGATGGAGTTGCGCGAGGCAGTGTCTATCTCAGAGTCGGGGATAGTCCTTGGAGACGGTCGACTGGAGGGATTGGGCTGAAGAGAGTGGAACTGTGGGTGGGATGTTGAGTCAGATTGTAGGAGTGGCTGGGATTGCGACTGCGACTGCGACTGCGACTGCGATTGTGACTGCAGCTGAGAGAAGCGCAGGTAGTCGTCGGGATCGACGGGATTGAGCTCGATGGCAAGATCCTTGCCAGATCGAACGGGAGGCTGAGGTTGAAGCTGAAGCTGAAGCTGGGGCTGCTCGAGCTCAGGGCTCTCAGTGCTGGCGTCCCGGCTAAAGGGATCGGACGAGAAGAGGACTGGATGCAGGTCGGGAACCTCGCGGAGACCCTTTTGCTTCTTGGTGGGCGGGGTGGTGTCTTTCTCGGACGGCGAGCCAGATCGATCTCGTTTTCGCTTGGCCACAGGAGAAGACTCAGGCGTCTTTGCGTCCTCGAAGCTCTCGTGGACAAGCGAGTCGGCAGTGCTGCTGAGTGCGGCTCTCGACGCCTTCCAAGCCTTGACGGCGTCGCTGCTAGCGTCTCGGGCGGGTATCTGCACGGTCAGCCTCAATCTCGATCAGGGTCTCCAGCAAGCTGCCGTCTTGCCAACTCACCCAACTCGGGGGATAGGACACGCCGGTCTCGGGATGGTCGGCCCAGTCGACCAGGTATTCGAGACGGCGCTTTACTGTGCGCTGTCGAATGATGTCCTTGATGGCATACCAGGCGTCGTTGTCGGCCGCAGCGGCGGTGGTGCTGTCGTGGGCGCCGGAAGGGCTGATGGCGCTGCCGTTGTCACTGGACGAATCTGGCACAGCAGTCCTGGGCGGGCGTCGTTTCTTCTTCGAGGGCGGTGCAGGCCGTGGCCGGGGTGCGGCAGAGGTCGATCGGGGCGTGTGTCGGCGGGAGGCGCGGCCGGTCTCCGGCATTGACCAGGCGTCCGGGCTGTCGTTCCAGGACGAAGACGAAGACGAAGCAGTGATTTTCTTGTTTGCTGGCAACGGCATGCGTCCCGATCGGGGGGCCCGTTGCAAGAGGAGAGAGGCCGCAGAACGCGAGACCGCAGGTGCACACACTCTTCGACGGCCCGGGCCAATGCTGCTGCTGCTGCTGGCTGCGGGAGGGCAGGGGGACCGAGATGGCGGACGGTGCAGATGGCCTCGGACGACGCTGCGGGATGTTCGCGTTTATTAGACTGAGAGCCAAAAGGCCTAGGACGGGCTGCTGTCGCCCAAAAAGACGCGCTAATCCGGGACAGGCAAGGCGGCCAGATGGAGAATTAGGTAAGCGCTGTAACGAAGCAATCGTCCCTTCGGATAGAAGCAGCAGCAGGCAAGATGCGGCCGACTATTTGGTTCGTGAGATTGTGATTTGCAGAGGGCGAATGAGGAGACGCGGGCGAGATGGCTGTCCTGTTCATATCGGCTGCGAAAGTGGCAACCTGCTGGCCGTGAAGTGAATGGTATCGAGCCAGCAGGACTGTCGCCATTGAGTCGCACAACAATGACTGTGTTGTCACCTTGTCACTCACTGGCCTCTGGCCTTGAAGTCGGGCCGGCTCCAGACAATAGGCTTGTGCAACGATTGTCTCCAGTCCGCAGTCTGACATGAGCAGCATGCAAAGGCCGTCATAGTCTCCACCGAAGCAGTGAAGGGCAGACGTCAGGCGGAGAGTCTACTCGATAATCCATGAGCTGTTCTTGTTCTTCTCCTCCCTTCTGATCTCTCCTTCGCGAGCTACAGGCTACTGAACGCGTCTGGCTTGCCAACGTCTAGAACCCAGACACTGGCACACCAACCTTTGATTACGTAATCACTAATCTGTAATTGCCAAATGCGACGGAAGGAGCAGTGGACGCTGACTAGCTACTCCGTACTCCGTAGTTCTGAAATACAGGCAGGCCCTTTTATATTATTGCACTATTCAAATCCGGCCTTCTGAAGCGCTATGCCCCACTAAAATTTGCTACTGCCAGAACAAGCCGCATGGCTTTTCTGCTTTTTGCCATTTTCAACCTTCATCTTGGACCCTTTGGCTGATAGCATCCCCGCGACCTTGCCCCTTTGTGCTCCGGCCCCCCGCCTATCTACGGCAGAAGCGACAGATACTTGATACAGAAGAGCGTGTACGAGAAAGTCTCCTGCCCAGCTTCCCAGCTCCTTTGCGCCCCCGGCTCTCCTCTTTTCCACTCTCGAACCCGATCGGCCAGTCTGCACGTCCAAAACGCCCACCACCGGCTGGGCTGACGAAAACGCCAAGCACCGGCCGGTGCCGCTTCTACAAGCCCTCCGGACTGTACACCGACCATTCCTTGCCCTGCACGGCTGCTTCTATGCCGGACCTGCACCGTCAGCCCCCAGTACCATGATGTGGTAGTGCCCCGGAAGAAGCGCTTTCCCGTGGCTGTCAGTGGCTGGACCAAGAACCGGAGCTGGCGTCGGAGCCGTTCGTATGATGCCTAGACATGTGCGTCTTATCCCAACGACAGACTGTCCGTTCCGACCTGCTAACATTCACAGAAGAATTATGGCCAGTTTATGCCGGTCGATAGGATTAACAGCACCACCGAAACACCCAAAGTTCTCCAGAACTCGAGCTCCAAGCGGCGCGAACAGATCGAGCAGCCGCCACATTCGACACCACCTAAGAGAAGGAGAATAGAACTGTCTCCATCGATGACCCCGCGGTCCGCCCGCACCGCAGAGGCCGGCTGGACGCGTTCCCCCTCTCCCAAGGGACGGCCCTCGTCAAGCAACCTGTCGGCGACCAGCAACCGGATAGCAAGCAGCACCGTGGCCGAGTTGCGGCTGGTCGACACATCCACACGCATCCAATCGCGGCGGCGGCGGCGACGACACGGGCGCGGCGGCGAGGACGCTTTTTCGGCCATCACTCTGCCTCGTGGCATAATTGTTGACGATGTGGACAAGGATGAGAACGGGGACGAGGACGGGGAGAGTGCCGTGGAGGTGGTATCTTCCAGCAAAGCAGCGCCGAACCACCGGAACACAAACCTGACGATCGAGATTCGTGATTCTTACCCCCGGAATCGCATTCGCGATCGTATGATGGACCGGTTGCCTAAGAACGCCGCTTTGTCCAGGCCGTGGCAGCCGCCGGCTGAAGCACAGCCGGGCGGCGTAAAGAGGACCATACACAACAGTTCGAGGAGCGGCAACGAAAGTGCAGACGAGCTGTCCAAGGAGTATTTCTTCGACCGTCGGTCCCGGAAAACGAGCAAGTCGCCCGCTCAAGGCATCAGAGTTGCCGAAGAGAAGAGGGTGAACGCACCTGATTTGCCTGCAGCCAAGATGTCTGTGTCTTCGTTTGTTCAGAGCCTGATCGACGTGCCCCTGCAAGTATCTGCTGCCTTTTGCTACCCGTCTCATTCCTTCGTATCCAGTGCGATCTCGGAGGAGGGTAATCTTAGCATGACGGTCGATCCACAGCTGTCTTATGTTGTACGGCCGACGGATGCCTCTTCCGCGCGAAATGAGAAGCTGTCCTGGCTGAAATGTAGCTTGGTCCGAACCAACGCGCTCAAGTACAACAAGCTGTCGCCCGTGGTTCTCTTTGACATATCACAGCGAGGCCAGCTCAAAGATGGCCAGCTTGAAGACGGCCGGCTGGGACCACTGATGGGGATAAGATTCAAAAAAGTCAAGGATGCGGCAAGGCTGATCGCTTGGGCAGCCAATTGCTCAAACTATGTTCGACTCGTAGAGGTTCAGGCGTAAGTGCTTTTACTACCGAATCGGCTTATTCCGTGGCACCAAGACAGGATCATGCTGACAGCTTTCTTCTACCCTCGCTTCAGAGACAAGGTATGGCGAGCATTTGACAACGCGCTGAACACTGCCAAGGAAGCGGGCCAGAAGCCAGTTCCCAACGACAGTGTAGATGTCCTGTCCTTGGATGCCAACGACAAGCCGTTGACAGGACAAATATCGGGCGCCTTGAGCTCTCCTTTGGATGAAAGCCAAGAGAAAACGATCATCGCAACCGCTGTCATGTCATCGCCCACGCAGAAGAGTACGGAGGAGCCGGTGATCCGAGCTACCAGACAAAGGGCAAGTCTTGGGGCAGCAGAGACGGTCGATCTTGAGGATCCTGCTCTTGGGGGAGACTTAAACAGCTGTCTGGAAAATCGACGCAGCAGCAGAAACAAACTTTCGCAGTTTGGCACCGGCACAGCCGAGTTTGGGCTAGAACCTGTCAAGCGATGGACGGAGGAGAACCCTGACTGGGCCAAGGACTGGAGGATTCCGCTGACGTATTCTCGCACAACGGTCGACAAGGATGATGTGGCGCGGCTTGACGAAGGCGAGTTTCTCAACGACAACGTGATCAACTTCTACCTGCAGTTTCTGCAGAACACGCTGAAAAGGGGAGAGTCGAATCTTGCAAAGCGGGTGTACTTTCACAACACATTCTTCTACGAGAAGTTGAAGCCCAAGAAGGGCAGGGCGATCTCGTTTGACGGCGTCCGAAGGTGGACGGCCAAGATCGACCTGTTTTCATACGACTACATTGTGGTGCCGGTCAACGAGCATTCCCATTGGTGGGTGGCCATCATGAGCAATGTACCGAAACTTGTTGCCGAGTCAATGCCGAAGGACGAATCGGAGCCTGACGTGCCAGAGGATGCGGATGCGGCGGCCATTCCAGACGCGGGTGCTAAGAGCGACCCTCCGACAAGCGTGACCGTGGATGACGAGCAGGCCGAGTGCAGAGAAAAGGGCACCGAAACAGCGACTGGCGGCACCGAAGAGGGCGGGGCATCGGAAGACGTCATGCCCGAGTCAAAGGACAAGACAACGAATACGGTCCGGTTGGGTGATGGCAATGAGGCCGATGGCAACGGCAACGACGATGACGACAACAGCGATGACGACGAGGTGACGGAGATCAAGAGCGACATCATAGCAGTGCCGCCTCGACGGACAGCGTTCAAGAAGTTGAGCAAGGGACAAGTACGGAAGCTGTTTATGAAGAAGACCAAGAGCCAGGACCCGAAAGCGGCGCGAATTGTGACGCTGGACTCGCTCGGAAGCCCGCACAGCGTGTCGATCGACCACCTGAAGCAGTGGTTGCTAGCGGAGATGGAGGAGCGAAAGGGCATCAAGCCATCGCATGCGGCCGGGCTGGGCATGACGGCCAAGACGATCCCACAGCAGGAGAACTTTTGCGACTGCGGCGTGTACCTGCTGCTCTACGTGCAGGAGTTTGTCAAGGACCCAGACGGGTTCATGGAGGACATGGTGCTGCACAACGAGCGGCAGTGGGACACGTCGGCGCCAGAGATGCGGCGACAGCTGCGCGATCTGATCCTGCAGATGCAGAAGGAGTACCAGGCGGCCGAGGAACAGGCCAAGCAGGCGCGGAGGAGAAACGGCCAGAACGCGGCCACAGCAGCAGCACGGACGAAGGCGGCCGCGAAGGCGACGATGGACATGGCTGTCAACACGGCAGCAGCTGACGCGAATGCAATTGTGGGAGGCAGTCCTCCGGGGGAACAGTCCTCCTCGCCGTGCATATCGACATCGCCTCCACGGGCAGACATGACGACTGCGGCCAATCTGTCCGCTACGGCTGCTCCTGCGGACGGCAAGGAAGCAGGCTGGCTGTGCCAAAAGCCGGGCGACAGACCGGGATCGTCTGCCTCGTCGTCTATCGGCCCGGCCGAGGCAGGGGTCACATCTCCGTTCAAGGAGGGATCGCCCAACGAGTTTGCGCCGCAACGGTAGAAACGTGCTGCGGCGACCGAAGATCTGCCATCGCAGCTCAGCGAAGAGAGGCCTGAGTCTGAGGAGGTCGATTTGGTTCAGGAGAGCTTTGCTGAAGAGCCAGAACGCTTTCTAGGACAGGAAGCATGGAAGGACGACGATGTCGTGTTGATAGGGTCACGGCCGTGCAGCTTTGCGCGTCGGACTGATTTTGCAGCGGACACCACGACTGCTGAACAGCTGACGTCCACAGACGAGCAGCTGAGTTTTTTGCGAGACAAGTTTGACCTTCCGGTTGAGCGGTGTCTGGGCTTTGTCAGCAGCCGGCACGTGGTCCCGTCCGAAGCGGTGTACAACTATAAGAGGCTGGCCTGCGTGAACGGGTCGGAGGACTACGGCAGCGATTTGGACTTGGGGGGTCTGGACTGAGGAGCACCAGGATGGAGCTGCATGGGGTTACGAAGGGATCATGGGATAGTGGAATGTTGCGATGTAGTCGTTTCGTTTTCGTATTTATATTTAGATTCACGGCAACAATAAAGAGGGAGGTTAAGACGATGAGATGATTAAGAACTCGTGATATGCTCTAGTGGCTATGTATGCATGTCACCTGTGAATGACATTTGTGCCCTGTGGCGACTTTCTTTCTTTCTCTTCTACCGCGACTCGGCCTCGTCGACGATAGCCTTTTGCTTTGGCAGCGGTGCGACCTCGAAGACGACGGCGCCATTGCGGGCGCCAGCCGAGTGACCCCATCGACCGAGGCGGTGTTCGCGGCCGAGGGCGACAACGATGCTGAGGCCGTCGCGGCCGCGCTCACCGCGCTCAAAGACGGCAATGTCATTGACGACGCCGGGAGCCGCGAGGCCGGCCTTGTTGTTGGAGGTGGTAGCAGCGGCGAGACGGCCGAGCGGCTCGAGACGGCGCTTGTCGGCGCTGAGACGCCAGACGCGGACGCAGCCATCCCAGCTGCCGCTGAGGACGACGTCGGCGTAGGGAACGGTGCGCAGGGCCGTGATCCAGCGCGGTTGAGGGGGGGGGGGAGGGTTCATGTTGGCGGTTGAGGAGGCCGTTTGTGTTTTGCGTCCGTTTGTGGGTCCGTTTGTGGGTCCGTTTTTGACACCGTTTACAGCTGCCTCCGTTTCAGTTACCTCCGTTTCAGCCCCCCCCAGAGCCCGATCATACAGCTCGCGACCGGTCATCAGCGGCTCCAGCCCGTGGGCTCTCGGCACGACAAAGAGCGGCTTCTTCTTCTGGATGCTCCAGAGGGCGAGCGCACCGTTGTCGCTGCCGGTGACAAACAGCTCGTCGTCTAGCAGAGCGACGCAGTCCATGCTGCCCTCGTGCGCAGCCGAGCGCGGATCGATGCCGCTGGCGCGTGCGGTGGCCGGCCGCTCGCCTGAGCCGCCGCCACGAAACACCAGCTGGGTCTCCTCGACGACCTTCCACATGCGCGCGGTGCGGTCGCGCGTGCCGACGCTGATACAGCGCTCCTGGGCCAGCGCATCGATGGCCGCCACCTCGTCCTGGTGTCCAAAGAGCGTCTGCACGTAGGCCAGCTCGTCCAGGCTCCAGATCTTGATCGTGCGGTCGCGCGAGCACGAGTACAGCTGGTTCGTGCCGCGCCGGAACGCCAGCCCGGTCACCGCGTCGCGGTGGTGCGTAAACACCCGCAGCGGCTTCAGCGTCGCCGCATCATACACCACTAGCCGTCGGTCAGCACCGCCCGTTGCGACGAACCGGCCGTCTTGCGATGCCGCCACGGCCAGAATCGCTCCCACGTGGCCTTGATACTCCTTGTCGCGGCGTCGTCGCGGGTCTCCTCGCCGGTACAGCACCCGCTCCGGTCGCTTTCGCGCCGGTCGGCTGTTCTCCTGCTTGTCTTCCCCTTTTTCTTTTTCTTTTTCTTTTCCCTTTCCCTTTCCCTTTCCCTTCTTCTTCCCGGCTGCCGCTGCCTCCCGCTTCTGCTGCTGCTCGTCCGGCAGGTCCTGGATCCGCCACTTGGTCAGGTACGTGTCGCTCGAGCCCGTGTATGCATAAGGCGCACACACCGCCACTGCATTCACGTTCTTCGCGTTCCATCGCAGCAGACAGTGCGATGCCTGCTCAAAGTCCAGCTCGCCCGCCAGCCGCCGGTACACCTTGCCCTTGGACTCGGCCACGTCTTCCTCCAGCCGCTCCGCAATCAGGTCCCGGTCAATCTCCTCCGCGTCAAAGCCGTACGTGTCGTCTACTGCCGCCACATCCTGCCGCACATTTTCCAGGTATCTTTCCGCCAGCCGCAGCCGCCGCTCGGCTGCCGTCTCTGCCTCGTCGCCTTCGCCCTCGTCCACCTCCAGGTCCGAGTCGTCGTCTGACGACAGTCCGTCCTCAGATCCGTCCGCGCCCCGCCCGCCAAAGTCGTCGTCCGAGCCGCTGCCCGATATCGATTCGTCATCATCGTTCTTCTTGTCTCTGGGCCCTGCCCGCCCGCTCCCACTCTTATCTGCTTTTGCTGCTTTTGCTGCTTGTTGTGACTGGACCGCAGGAGCTTCTTTCCGTCTGCTCGCTGGCGCTTTTTTGACCGAGCTGCTGACCTTGCTGCCGGACTTGCCGCCCGCTTTGGACGCTGCTGCAACCCGTTTCTGTGGTATGTCGGGTGCTGCCGTTCGTTTTCTCTTCTTCTCACCGGGATTGGTGAAAAAGGAAGACATGGTGCTGAGCTGTGCAAATCTCTCCACCCCAAAATATCCAACCTGCCTTCGAGGCCTGCGAGAACAGACAAGCTCGACGGGATGGAGTACGGCGGTGAAACAACAGCACAGGATGTTCAATGGCAGTCGTGTCGATGGAACTTTTTTTTTCACAGTCTCCACTGAAAAAAAAGTTATAATGCCTTGCCGGCCCCTTGTCCACTCCTTATCGCCGATAAGTGAATCTGCATTGGCTGCGCTGTCGGTCTGGGATCTACTATTTCCCGGCTGCACCAGTTTCCGACTAGATAGGTATCCAGCTCAAAGGCGGTCAAGGCCCTCTGTACCTACCGGCCATTAAAACATGCCAATAGCACGTCTCATCTAAACAATTTTTCTGAGCCTGGTGCAGGCATTTGTCTGGTAAGAACCAATTGGGTACGTGCCAAAGTTGGCAAAGTCGATTATTCGTGAGACGTAGTATGGCTGCTAATGCAGTACGGAGTACTCCGTACGGAGTACTTGATGGCGCATATGTAGACTTAGTCAGCATCTGGGGGAGGGGCACTATTACCTGCCTCTCCTAAGGCAGCACTGAGCATACATAATACAAGCTCGTTTTTCCAGCTCTGCTTTCCATCGTCATTTCTCGTCCTGCCTCCACCACCGTCCACAACCCGTCTGCCGCCTCTTCTCAGTGCCAGCTGTAACTAAATAAAAGACACTCGAGCACTTGTCAAAATGTTTGTGCCGCTGCCGCCGCCTCTCCCAACCGAGGCGACCATCGCCGGTCCGGAGCTAATGCTACTTGTCTAGGGAGGTCTTGCTCGGCATCACGGGCAAGGACTTTACCTTGGTCGCCGCCTCCAAGGCGGTCATGCGAGGCCCGACCATCATTGCGGCGCGCGATAACAAGACTCGCCAGCCCAACAAGCATACCCTGCTCGCCTTCTCCGGCGAGCCTGGCGACACTGGTGCGCATTTCTGTGCTCACAATCTTTCTTTCTTTGACCCGAGCTGACCCTCTGCTCGTGCCTCTCGCTCCCCTCGCCTGCAGTCCAATTTGCCGAGTACATCCAGGCCAACATCCAGCTCTACACCATGCGCAACGCGGCCGAGCTGTCCCCCTCTGCCGTCGCGCACTTTGTCCGCGGCGAGCTGGCCTCCAGCCTGCGCTCAAGAAAGCCATACACCGTCAACCTCCTGCTGGGCGGCGTCGATCCCATCACACACAAGCCCAGCCTGTACTGGATCGACTATCTTGCTTCGCTTGCCCCCGTGCCCTATGCCGCTCACGGCTATGCGCAGTACGTCCATTCCCCGTTTGCACCCTGTGTATCTCTGCTATGCTGACCAGCGCCCAACCAGATATTACTGCCTGTCCATCCTCGACAAGCACCACCACCCCGACATCACGCTCGACCAGGGCATCAAGCTCCTCAGCATGTGCACCGACGAGCTCAAGCGAAGGATGCCCATCGATTTCAAGGGCATGATTGTCAAGGTCGTCACAAAGGACGGCGTCATCGAAATTGACACCGACGAGGTCAATGGAAAAGATGCAAAGCCCGTTGTAATCCCTTAGATCGTTACCTCTGGTGTTGAAACTTGTATAATACGCAACATGTTCTATTAAATATAGAACAGTTTTAAGGCCTATGCATCGTCTATAGGGAAAGATACCTTGGCTGGAAAGTTTACTTACACGACCACAAGTAAAAGCAAATTAGAAACCTACAACGTACTCGTATATCGACGTGTTCTTAGAGTTTCGTGCCGCGAAGCTCTGCTGCCTTCAGCATAACACAATCCTATCACCTGACCGCTGTTTTTATCCCCACTCGCTTACACAGACCCTACGGAGCACAAGATAAGCTGAAACTCACCAGTATTTCGCAATCTCTGTGGCGCATCCATACTGCCACACTAACCTAAAAAGAACTAAAACGGCCGAAAAGTATCGGCGGTGTGCTCGGCGTCTATCTTGCGACCGCCTAGCGACCAGCCTTGGCCAATGCTGTCCAGTATAAGCCTAGGGAAGTACCTTTGGCGAATAGAGGGATAATAACGTATCGGGCGGTAAGAACGGAGGGAAATAAAACATTTTCGCCTCTTGTGGCGAATACTATCTTACGAAAGCTGGGGGAGGAGTCCAAGCGGCGGAAAGTCTAACCAGTAAAATCAAGGCAAGATAGGAAATGCGTATGACGAGTACTCGTATGAACCTGCCTCGCGCCTCTCGAGCTTCTTATTTGCATCGCGCCTTCCCCCGTTCTCCACGGCGCTGTGCTCCCTTAAATCAAATATTTCCTCCTCTCCCCTATTGCCTACATACTATTACACTTGGGCGTCTCCGTTTGGCTGCAAGATAGTCCCTTAGTGGTTTCCGGTGGCTGCAACACACACTACCAGAGTCAAGATACATGTATACAGTATCCTAATACCATTCCGTACGGCTATTCACACTATAATCACGCAGGTGTCTACGGTGCGCAAGGCCCTTGCCCAACATTTTCGAAATTTACAATCTAACCCGATCGGGAACGCCACTGGTTTTCTTCCCTGACACAACTTAAAACTTATTTTTTCTTCTTCCTCGCCCACTCCTTTCTCACCCTCTTCCAAACTTTTTCACCCTCATCACACTCAACCACTCCGAGAGGATTTCCTAGTCCCCCCGTACACATCTTGCTTTTTGTCCGTCCGTTTTTCTCTCCTTTAGAAGATTTTGCCTTTTCTTTTTCTTCTAGAGGATACGGGAAATTACACTGTCTGTTTTCTTTCTTCACGAGCGAGAAGAGTAGACAATCGGCCGGCCAAACGACACCCTGCCCAACGAACCTTTTCGAATAATCACTTCCACCACTCGCTGGCTCTAGACTATATTACGTCTGTTCTCATCTTCTGCTCGGTCCTCATTGTAAAGCACGCTTTATTTGGATCGCATCTAGTCTTCTTCGTTCGCCACTTCGTCTCTCATTTGAACCCGACGTTCATTTCAGAGAAACTACGCGACTGTATCGATATTTCCGTTGTTCTTCGAATCAGAAAAGACAATTTCACCCATCACGGCTCTGATTCTATCCCAATCAAGACTTCGTCCGACGTCAACATGGCTGATCAACTCAACATGAACGGCCTTAACATCGGCCCCAATGGCGGAGCGCACACCCTGCAGCGGTCTTACATCCCACCTCATATGAGAGGAAAGGTGGCTGCTAATGGCAGTGCGCCCGCCCCTGTTGCTGCCGAGGCTGCCCCTCCTGTCAATGCGGCCGCTCCGGCTGCTGCAGGCCCTGCTGCCACTGGCCCGGCGCCCACACCTGCCGGTGCTGCTGCTGCTGGTCTCAACAACAGCGCCTGGTCTGGGTATGTTCTTCTGCGCGGACTGCGCTTGCCCTTTCTCTGTCTCCCTTTTTGTGGCCCAATCACTAATGCGCAGAAACAGAAACCAGAACGTGAATGCCCGCCCCGCAAATGGCTGGAGCGGTGGAGGACAGCAGCGTCAGGGCTGGGATCGGCCTCAGAGCTTCAACCCCAACGCATACGGCGGTGCTGGCGGTGCTGGCGGTGCCGGTGGTCCTGGTAGTGCTGGCGGTGGCCACGGCGGCCACGGTGGTGGTGGCCACGGTGGCGGCGGTGGTGGTGGCGGTTACGCCCGTGGGTCTGGTGATGGCCAGTGGCGCGATGGAAAGCACATTGCCGGTCCGGCCAACCCTCGCGTGGAGCGGGAGTTGTTTGGTCTGCCGGATGATCCGTCGAAGCAACACACCGGTATTAACTTTGAAAAGTACGACGATATTCCCGTCGAGGCATCGGGTCATGACGTTCCCGATCCCGTTCTCACATTTACCAACCCTCCTCTGGATGACCACCTGATTCACAACATTGAGCTTGCTCACTACAAGGTGCCCACTCCGGTTCAGAAGTACTCGATTCCCATCGTCATGGGTGGTCGCGACCTCATGGCCTGTGCTCAGACTGGTTCTGGCAAGACTGGCGGTTTCCTCTTCCCGATTCTGTCCCAGGCTTTCATCACCGGCCCTTCTGTTGTGCCCAACGGCCAGGCCGGTAACTTTGGCCGTCAGCGCAAGGCCTACCCCACGTCTCTGATTCTCGCCCCCACCCGTGAGCTGGTGTCTCAGATCTACGAGGAGTCCCGCAAGTTTGCCTACCGCTCGTGGGTCCGACCCTGCGTTGTGTACGGTGGTGCCGACATTGGCTCTCAGCTTCGCCAGATTGAGCGTGGTTGCGATCTCCTGGTGGCCACGCCTGGCCGACTTGTTGACCTCATAGAGCGAGGCCGCATCTCGCTGTGCAACATCAAGTACCTTGTGCTTGATGAGGCTGATCGCATGCTGGACATGGGTTTCGAGCCCCAGATTCGCCGCATTGTGGAGGGCGAGGATATGCCGGGTGTGAACGAACGTCAAACCCTGATGTTTTCCGCCACCTTCCCTCGCGACATTCAGATGCTGGCCCGTGATTTCCTCAAGGACTACGTCTTCCTTTCCGTCGGCCGTGTCGGTTCGACTTCGGAGAACATTACCCAGAAGGTGGAGTACGTGGAGGACAACGACAAGCGCTCCGTGCTGCTCGACATTCTTCACACCCACGGCGCCGGCTTGACGCTGATCTTCGTCGAGACGAAGCGCATGGCCGACTCGCTGTCGGACTTCCTCATTAACCAGAACTTCCCGGCCACATCCATTCACGGCGACCGTACGCAGCGCGAGCGTGAGCGGGCGCTGGAGATGTTCCGCAACGGTCGTTGTCCCATTCTCGTTGCCACTGCCGTTGCTGCTCGTGGTCTTGATATCCCGAACGTCACGCACGTTGTCAACTACGACCTGCCCACCGACATTGACGACTACGTCCACCGTATCGGTCGTACTGGTCGTGCGGGTAACACTGGTCTGTCGACGGCCTTTTTCAACCGTGGCAACCGTGGCGTTGTCCGCGAGCTGATTGACCTCCTGAAGGAGGCCAACCAGGAGGTCCCTGCCTTCCTTGAGACCATTGCTCGCGAGAGCTCCTTCGGTGGTGGTGGCCGTGGTGGCCGCTCTGGTGGTGGCCGTGGTCGCGGCCAGAGTGCCAACCGCGATTTCCGCAAGCTTGGAGGTGGTGGCTTCGGCGGCAACACCGGTGGCGGCGGCGGCGGCGGCTTCGGCGGCTCCAGCGGCGGCGGCGGCTATGGTGGCAGCAGCGGTGGTGGCTACGGCGGTCCGCCGCAGAACTCTGGCTATGGTGGTGGTGGTGGTGGCAGCTACGGCGGTGGTGGTGGCGGTGGCAGCTACGGCAACCCGGGCGGCCCTGGTGCCTCCTGGTGGTAGACCACTAAGGCGAAATCTGAGCTGTTCCACGGCTTAAGGAGCATCTTCAGACTCCTCGGCATTTTTGCGCTGGCCGTGGACAGCACCAATTTGCTTTTCGGTTTTCTTACACTATTTTCCCTGCTTTATCTGCATTTATTTCTGGCCGGTCGATGCTTCATCCGACTGGTATCTCCTTTTGTTCTGCAAGTTTTTCGGTTTCAGTTTCAGTTTCCGCATTGCACCATCAGCTTGCCTGGGCTGATTTTCGGAAACATATCTCGGCGGCGATCATGGCCCGCAGAAGGATCTATGCCAATTCACACTCGGAAAACGGCGGGTTTCAGATTTTGGGCACATCCAGGCTTACGATAGACCGCATTTCGCTTCTTTTCTTGTTTCTGCTTTCGTCCCCTGGTTTTTCCATGATACCCATAGAATCTGAAAGACGAGGGGGGCACATCTGTCCGAACAAACGGACATGGTCAGAAAGAAGAAAAGGCTGCAAATGGGACGCCAGGAGGCGTACATCGACGGTTATCGATTGAGGGAATCTAAAATACGACGGAAACGACATCGAAGCCCTGGATCTGGTTCGATACTTTTACGACGGTCATGTTTGTGCTTTAATCCGCGTTCCGACATGAAGGGCATTTTTCGGTCTGTTTTTACAGACCAAAAACACTATGGATGGGTCATGGCATCGCCGCATTACGTGTTTTCGATGGCATACACAGAGAAAAGTGGTTTCTCGGATCTCTGGTCGTGGGCAGGTCTCTTTGCTTCCTCGCTGACGAGGAGGACGCTCTGTTGTAAACAGAAGATGAGAGGGACCTTTAGACGATAGACCGGGAAATGGTTGAAAATGGGTTTCTTTACTATCCTCTACTATTCACGACGACATGACAATGAAGGAGAGGCAGGCCTGAGGAAAGATCGCATTCAGGCAGCCAGCATTACCTGCATTTCGGTAGTGCTTGCTTTGGGGGCTCTCCCGTTATTGACTCTGAGAAGCCATTATATAAAAAAAAGATGAGAAGAACCAATTGATTTTCATTGCTCTTTTTTTTTCTGATTTGCCTCGTACGTCCAGCCACACACGTGGCGTTGTAGTACTGCGCTAGACCCTCACGAGCGGTGGGAAGCTGCGGCCTGCCATTGAGAGGAGACGCTGATGCTGGAGCAGCCGTGCCCCATAATTTCTGTGATCAGCCAAGCTGTGGCTTTTTCTTCGAGCCCTCTCGTTTGCAAGGAAACGAGCTTCATCGCCCGAATCTGTACGCCCTTTCTCCACCGCGAGCCTGCACGTACCCGACTTCTCCTTGTGGTTTTCCATGACTGTTCGTTTCTTTCTTTCTTCCGCCCGGCCTTGACCGTGTATATAGTGCCTCGCCCTGTCCTGAATTGAGGTGGTGGAGGAGGGGAACGCTGTTCCTCGAGTTGTTTGCGCAGCTCGATTTACGCGCCACGAGGAATATCTGTGCCGACACCGCTACGACGCCGCCCTTCTTTTTCTGTCGACCTCAGTGTCTGTGTGCCTCCTGCCTGCGACTAGGGCTAGATTAGCGGGCATTGTCGCAAACGAACATACCACCGACCGCAAGACGAAGCTGCCTGCTGGGACTTCTCAATCCAAGCAGCCTGCACGCGAAGCACAGGGCTACAACACCCCACAAGGCTACCTTGAAGCTATCCTGCCGATCAACTTCATCATACACTAGCAAGAATGCCGGGTGAGTTGCTTCCTGGTTTGCCGAAACTCCCTTTTGGTCTCGTTGCTTGCAGAGCGTTGCCGTCTGAGGGAGTGGTGCACATGGCAGAGCTTCGCTACAGTCGACCTGCTCCTGTGATGGATAAGTGCTAATGCCATGGGAGCACAGGTGTGTTGCCGTCTGAAGACCCCTGGGTCGGACAGCAGATTGTGTAAGTGTATCTCGACCGGATGGCATCTGGTGGCTGCCTCGCTAACCTTCCTCTCCCTGTTCCAGCATGTCTGACCTGTCCGAGATCGAGGGGTGCTCCATTGCCGTCGATGCGACCTACTTTATCCAAATGATGCTCGATGCCGGGCCTGCGCGTGAGCCGCTCATGGCTGCCTTGGGGGGAATTACTGGATTCCAGAAGAACCTGGGACTCGAGCTCGACCAGTGGGCTGCCAACAACGTGATCCCGTTCTTCGTCTTTGATGGCCAGCCAGTGGTCGGCCAGGAAGACGTTGCCATTGAAGAGGGCCTCCGCGACATTGCCAAGACTGATATCGCATGGGAACTTTATTTCGGTAGCCGTGCTAGCGAGGCAGTGATCGCGTTTGGCGAAGGATGTAAGTCTGGGAGGATTGGGTCACCGTCTCTTTCTTCCTGCTTCTGACTTTTGCCAAGCCACCTTCCGCATCCAGACTCTCTATCCTGTTCTGCAGCGGACTCTCAAGGCGAGAAACTTGCACTTCATCACTCCGCCATACAGTGCAGCTGCCCAGGTGAGTTGCTGTCTGCAAGCTCGCCTCTCGCCACTCTGCTGACACTGGACGAAGCTTGCGTACTTTGATATGGTCGACTCGGAACAGTGCGCCGGAATTATGGGCCAGCAAGAGCTTCTCTTGTACCCCATCCACGACTGCATTATCCGGGCCATAGACTGGGAAACCAACAAGGTCACGTACATTTCGAAGAAACAGATTCTCAGGAACCTGAACGTGAGCGAGCCCATGTTCATTGACGCCTTTCTCATGACTGGCTCTTCATTCCTGCCCTCGTTTCCTCCTCTGCGGGACGGCACCACCTATCCTCGACAGCCCAGCGTGATGGATGCGTTAAACATGCTGCGTACTGCGGACAAGAATATTGCCAATTTGTGTGCGTCTTTCCACGACGTTCTTCAGGCCCAGGACCCAAACTGGTTGGACAAGTTCCGCAAGGCTCGCATGGTGGTAGACCACTTCATCTACGTGGCCGAGTCCGGTGAGATCCAGGTCTACGACTTTGAAAAGCTCACGAAAGACAACCACCTCTATCTGGGCCTCCAGCTCCCATCGGAGCTCTTCCATTACCTCAACACTGGGCTCGTTGGCCCGGAGGTGCTGAGCTGGATTTCGCATGGTCAAATCACCATCCTGCCGACATTGGAAGGCTATGCGAGCCCAGAGTACCGCGAGCTGGTGTCCAAACAGCTTGTTCCCTACTACGAGACCGCTCTGGGCTTAGTCATCCCCCGTCTGAACCGTGGCCTGCAGTTCCGAGACATTGTGCTGAAGGTGTGGTACGACAAAGGCTTCTCGCTGAGCATCAACCACCGGAATGAAGGCAACTCGCCGGCATCGCGGGTCGAAAAATGGAACGTGACGGGGGAATCTCTGAGCACCCATTTCCCCAAGGCCCAATCAGGCACCATTGCCTTTGAGCTGTCAGCCTTTGCCAACAAGGACTTTATCGCCAGCACACTGAATGCACGAAAGGCAAAGGGATTGGAGTCGGAGGACGCCATTGTCTCGCTCTCGATCTGGAAGCTGCTGACGCTGAACGGCTACATCAAGGAGAAGACGCTCGAGCTGACTGCGTGGGGTACAGCTCTGGCAAAGACGCTGTCTGCCCTGGAACCACTGGCAGCAAAGGCGCCCGATCCGCTGGCGCTCTTCCACGCCGCTCTTCTTTCGTATGAGCTGATCAGGTTGGGACTACTGACGACCGGCCACAGACAGGCCGAGCTGCAAGGCTGGCCGGTAAACGGGAGCGAGGAAGACAAGAGCTGTGTTGTCCTGATCAGCCGGGTGGCCACACTGCTGCAGCTGAGGCAGGATGTCTCTGGCTACACAGGGCCTCTTAGCAAGAATCTTCTGGCCTTTCACAGCATGACCGTGGCGGTGGGCTCGGCGAATCGGAACGTGATCGAGGCGTTGCTCGCCAACACGTTCATGTCGGGCCAGGCTAAACGGAGCAAGCTGGACAATTGGAAGATCAGCCATCGGTACGTGAGAGTCCAAGAGTCCCCCTTTACAGCTGTTTGTTCTGCCCCTAACGGTCCTTCCGACTCTAGCCTCCCGTTCTACGAGTTCCCCGATGCTGCACTGTCGATCGCCGTCAAGACATTCCTAGACGAAAGCACGTTTGACACGACTCCGGAGCAACGACAGCAGCGTCAGAAGGAGTTCCCGGAGAACTTTATACCGCGCGCGCTGAAGCCGTTTGAGGATTTCGACATGGTCTTCGGTCTCGTAGACGCTCTGCATGCCGGCGTGGGGACGCTGGGCGACAGCGAGATGAAGGCGGATGTCAAGGCGGACTGGGACAAGGCCAAGAAGTATTTGGACCGCAGACGCTGATGGAGCTGTGGTTGAAAGTGGAGAGAGAAGCGCTCGGCCACCGGCAAACAGCCCTATATACAATGAACATGTGAAAAAAAACATGCAATTCAACGGCACAGTGGGCTGCTATGTACTCTGTATCTATGTCGTGATAGCAGAACACGAAGCGGCACAAAAGCGACACGGTCGAGGTGCTGAAACAGATGAAAATGGTACTTGTTTCTTTTCCGTACACGGCACTGAATATCGAACAATATCCTGTAGAGCTTCTTTCCCTTTCCATAGCTCTCTTCGTACACTCGTATCCTTCACAATCCAGCGGTGGCCGGCAGAACCTGATATATGCCCGTCTTTCCCAACCTGTCACAATCCTGGTCACTTCCCTGAACCAAACCAAACAAAAAGGAGTAAGCACACGAGCGGCACAGCCTACACGAGGAAATGCCGTACAATCGGACTCGGTGCCACGACGCCATCCATAGCCGGTCCACCGCTGCTCGTATCGCCCATGTTGCGAATCTTGTCCAACAGGTGACTGGACGGATGTGAGCGCTCGGCTCGACAACGGGCAAGAGACGAGGAATGGACGTGAGGAACATACCTGACGGAAACGTGGCGCCGCGAGCCTTCGGTGATGGCCAGGTCGACCTTGTTCAGCGTCTCCTGCTCGTGGGCGCGGATGTGCTGGCGCACAAGCTCCTGAGCGATCTTGACATGGTCGTGGCTCTCATCGTCATCGTCGCTGCTGTCGTCGTCGAGATCACCTCCTGTGCCAAAGTTGGGGCCGGCATCACGGACGAAGAAGCCGCAGGCCGGCCGGGCGCAACGCCAGGTCCGGTTGGGTCCGGTCGGCGCAGTGGACTGGGCTAGCGGCTGCGATCGGACGACGAGCATGGTCTCGTTGTCGTTGCCGATTTCGTTTTCGTTTTTGTTTGCGAGCTTTCGCCGACGCGCGTCATGACCCCGAGCGTCGGCACTGCTGCTGGTGCCGGCATCGTCGCCGTCGTCTATCGAGTCGTTGTCCGAGTTGTCGTTGGAGAAGGCGCTGCCGTGCGGGCGCTTCTTGGAGGCCAGCGGCAGACGCAGAGCGGCGTGCTTGCCGCCACGGCGAGCACTCAGGGCAGACGGCAGGGCCTTGCCGGCCGATCGCTGCTGGTCACGGCGCAGTGGTGTAGAAGACGCTGTCGGGGTTGCGGAACCCTGTCTCTGGCGCTGGTTGATATGGCCGGCGCGACGGACAAGCTGGTTGGGCATGTCACGAACAGTAAAGTCGGGCGAGACGGGGACAAAGGGCTGCGAGCTGGCAGTGCGAAGCCAGAGGCCGTACGGAGACTCAGCCCATTCGTGGTCCAGTGCGGCCAAGAGTTCCGTAGCAAAGTATGCCGACAGATCCTTAGCGACGGTATAAAACTTGAGCCGGAACTTGTTGTAGAGCTTTCCGTGGATGTGAGACTGGCTGATGCGCGACACGTCGCCATGAAAGTCTCGGCCGATCTCCAGGATGCCGTCGAGGAGCATTCGGAGGGCAGCCGCATGACGGCCATCGGCTTCGTCCATTGTCTGCGCGTCGGATGTGGCTGCAGCGGGTTGTGCTGTTGTCGATGGTGGATCGGGAGGCGGGTTCGAGTTGAGCGAAGATCGTGGTGGGGTTCGGAGCGGCAGCTCGTGGGAGAGCGAAGAAGGCGGACGTGCTGTGGAAGAGGAGGAGGAGGAGGGCTGAGGTGCGGATGACGACGGCACTGCAGTTGGCGCGGGAGATGATTGTGAGCGGTTGTCTGTGACGGAAATGGCGCGGCTTGATCTCCGGTCAGTACGGCCTCGATCTTGTATCTCCCGTGTCAACCACTTGACGAAGCCGGTTGTCTTCCAGTTGAACGTCTTTATGCTCGCGAAGTGGGCGAGCAGCAAGGGGGCCAAGCGGACGCATTTGTCGACCAGCTCGTCGTAGGTGATGCCGTCACCGACTGCTACGGCATACTACAGGTGAAGAGGGGTTAGGAAACGGATTTTGGCAGACGATGGGAGACAGACGAACCTCGAACAGGATGTGTTTGGTGGAGAGGTTGGCGTAGACGTTTTTCTTCTCAACCTTGGCAGCGTTTTCGACGGCTGTGTTGTAGATCTCGGATATGTGGTGGTACAGGACGGAGACGTCGCAGATGTCATTGTAGAAGGGAATGTAGGTGGGACTGGGGTTGATCATGAACCAGCCGGCATGACCAGAGACCCAGACGAGCGGCAGGGGATCAAAGCCGAGAGAGTAGAGGGTACAGTCGTTGATCTCGATGTTGGCCGAGCGGACGTCGGGGCGGACAACTGGTGGTGTCAGGGGGGGGGTGTGAAGAAGAAAGACGAGAAACATTCACTCACATTGCGACCCGTCTTCCTCTTCGCCTTCGAGCTTGCCACGGACGACAAAGGGGCCTTCGGTGCCGACGAGCAGCGCATTGGCAAGTGAGGTACCGTCCTTGCTGTAGATTGCAGCGTCGGTCAGATAAAAGGACGGCCATTCGTCAGAATTGACTGTCGCGTCGATTGGCTTCAAGATGCTGGCCTCGGGGGTCCATTTGACCTGCGCCGACGGTCCAGCCATTGCGAAGGAGAATGGCGGTCATGCAGAGCAGGCGACGCAACGTGAGAGGAGGGGTGCACGAGCTGAGCGGAATCACAGCTGAGGAAGAGACGGGGAAATGGTGCGAACGTGTCGTCGGCGCGCGTGAACTGTAGGAGCAGCTTCGGATGTGCATGCATCTCGTTACAGTGGGATCCCATGTACGGAGTAATACAGAGTATAAAGTACCCTACGGAGAATATAGCGGACCACTAGGTGGGGATGTGCTGACCGCCTTTGGATACTGCCGCGATTTGGCAGAGCTCTTTCCAATCGATAAGCGACAAAATTGAGGCAGGAGCCAGACAGAGTTTTAACGAGTGCGAGGGAGCATTCCAGCATCCAGCGTGACACATCCGTCGAGAAGCGATCGTGAGCGTGGAAGAATTGTTTTCAGAGACCGGTAGACGAGGAGGATTGCGTGCGTGACTGCACTACGGCAACCGGCTTTACCGCTGGCTTACTCTGACAACACGCACTCAGGCGGATGCGACCAGGAGGACTGTTGAAGATGGCGCGGGAAAACGTGCTCGAGGGGGTGTTTGGTTGGTCTCTCTCTTTCTTTTTTTTTCTCCTCGCTTCGCTCGTTGGCCTGCGCTCTTGGGTTCGGGAGGTTTTGCTGATAGGACAGCAATCAACAAGCCGATGGGAATGAGCTCGGCGCAGGTGATCCGCGACTGTCAGACGTACTTTAACCCGTCGACGCTCTTCCGGCCGCTGTTGGAGCAGGAGGCGGCAGCAAGGGCACGCGAGTCCAACACGGCACAGCGGCGGCGCAGCCGGGCAAAGCGCGACATGCGAGTGAAGATGGGACACGGCGGCACGCTGGATCCGCTAGCGACGGGCGTGCTGATCTTGGGGATCGGCCGCGGCACCAAGGAGCTGCCGCGCTTCCTGCACTGCACCAAGACGTACGAGACGGTCGTGTTGTTTGGCGCGAGCACCGACACGTATGACCGCGTCGGCCGGATCCTGCGGCGGCGGGCCTACGGCGACATCACGCGGGCCCGCGTCGAGGAGGCGCTCGAGGCCTTCCGCGGCCGTTTTCGCCAGATGCCGCCTCTCTACTCGGCCCTCAAGATGAATGGCAAACCGTTGTACGAGTACGCGCGCGAGGGCCGTCCGATTCCCCGCGAGGTTGAGACCCGCGAGGTCGACGTGTCCGCCCTCGAGCTGCTCGACTGGTACGAGCCCGGTCAACACCCCCACCGCTGGCCGGCCGACGAGGCCGGCATGGCCGAGCAGTCGCTCGCTGAGCGTGTCTGGCGTCTCGAGCGCGATCAGGCCGCTGGCAAGACACCGCACCCACGCAGCGCCGAGGAGGAGCGCCACGACCGCGACGCCCTCGCCGCCCACGAGGACTTTAAGCGCCGTGCCGAGGAGAAGCAGGACGAGCTCGTCTTTGACCGCCCCTCCAAGCGGAGGCGTGGCGCTGCCTCCACCGCTGGCCCGGCCTCAGACACTGCTGCTGCTGCTGCCATCAACGGCCGCCGTGGTGGTCCTGCCGGCCAGTTCCTCGAGATGTCCGGTGCTCTCGGCGAACTGCCCCGATCTCCCTATCACGACAATGCGGCCAGTGCTGCTGCTGCTGCCGAGAAGGAGGATCCGGCCGAGAACCTGTCGCTGCCCGATAGCACTGAGGCTGTCTCCTCGGACCCTGCTGCTGCCCCGATTTCGCCGAAGCCGCGTCCTGGTCGTGGCTCCAACCTCATCCCACCACCACCTTCCGCCGATACGCCACCGCCTTGGGAAGGCCTCGGTCCCCCGGCTGCGCGCATCCGTCTCACCGTCAGCTCCGGCTTCTACGTCCGCAGCTTCTGCCACGACCTCGGCGAAAAGGTCGGCTCGGCCGCCATGATGGCTGAGCTGGCTCGCACTCGCCAGAGCGACTTCTGCGCCGGATCGGCCAACTGCCTCGAGTATGACGACATCAGCCGCGGCGAGGCTGTCTGGGCGCCCAAGGTCGAGCGGCTGCTGCGCCTGTGGAAGGACGGCACCGTGGCCGAGGGGGCGGAGGAGACCGAAAAAACTGAGGAGGATGCTGTTGACCGTGAATCACCGGCTGCTGCCGTCGCTGCTGCTGATACTACTGCTGATTCATCAGCTGACTCAGCGACATTGCCGCCCAGCGACATCGTCAACGAGGCTGCATCGCCTGCTATCGAACCAAAGCAGTAGTGATCGTATCGCTACACCCGATGACATAGCCCGGCGTCTGTGATTACAACTGACTTGGAACATACACACTGCTGTTCGCTGAGATGTGCTCATGATTCATCCATATGTGACTACACCTCTATGCTGCCGAAGCCCGTCTATCCGTCCTGTATGTATGCTTGCTTGCCGTGCTGTCCCGCCAATAGTACGCCTGACCCGATTGCCTGAACCCCTGGCTGAATGCATCTGTATCCCGGACTGAAATGCAATGCGCCTGCTCTCGTTGTGCACGTGTTGTTCTGTCATGGTGCTTCATGCCACCAAGACACGAGTGTCACGTGCGACTTCTAGTGTTTCGGCAAGTTCGGTGATTTCGGTGATTTCAGTGAGCTCGGTAGACTGGGCCTCTTGGGTGAAGCTGGCATCGCCATAGTCGCTGGCCGTGTCTGTGGCCTCTGTCCTCGTCTCTTCCATCATCTCTTCGGCCGTCCGTCCTTCCTCGTCCAGCATGTCCTCACCGGCAGCGATCTCGGCCGCCCTCTGGGCCGCCTTCTCCTCTGCCTGTGCCAACAAGGCCCGCACGCGGTCGATGCGTCCGACCGCCTGTTCCAGGCGGTCCAGCCGCTTGCGCTTGTCGGCATCCCGCTGCTCCAGCACGGCCACGCGCTCTTCCAGCCGAGCCCGCTGCCGCCGCTCCTCGGCCACCATCTCGTTGGCCTGCTCGAACAGCGACACGCTCAGCTCCTCCACCTCGCGGCTCGTGTTCTGCAGCCGGCTTTCGGCCTGTCGTCGGAGCGTCTTCTCGTGCGAGAGCGATGCCAGGAGCGCCTGCATCGACGATGCTGCCGCTGCCGACGCTGCTGCTGCTGCTGCTGCTGCCGCCGCTGCGGTCGTCTGCACGCTCGGCGACGACGACGCGGCCGTCGAGAAGGACGACTTGTACGAGTGCGAGTAGGCCGTGGCCGTGGCCGACGGTGGCGGCGTCCCGGGTGCCGTCGGTCGCCGCGGTGGTGGTGGCGGCGTCGTCGCGGCCGCTGCTGCAATGTCGGCTGCCTTTTTCAGGTTCGGCGTCGACTTGGCCGTTCGCGGCGACAGCAGCGCGGAGAGCCGGCTGGCCGCACCGGCTGGCAGAAAGGATGAGCGCACTGTCGGTGGCGGTGGCACGGCAGCTCCTGCTGCTGGCACGCTCGGCCGTCGTCGCAGTCTCGCCAGCTCCTCCTCGCCGTCGGCCCAGCGGCCGGTTACCTCTGCCGTCCTCTCGTTCAGCAGCCGCAATTGAGCCTCTAGGTCTCGGATCTGGAGGCGTGCCTGCTTCAGCTCGTCTGCCAGCTGCTGCTTGCTGTCCATGCTGTCGTGGTCGTGGCCGTGGTCGTGGCCGCTGCCCAGTCGCGCGACGTGCACGAAGGAGCCGCACTGGGAGCACTGCCCCGTCGAGGCAACGGCTCCCGTCTCGTCCGCCACGTCGACCACTTCGGCCACCGCCGTCAGCGTCATGCTTGCTCTGGTCTCGGGCGCGGTCGACATTGCTCTGGTCGAAAGGATGGTCGTCGACATCGCTGCCGACAGTGCTTTTAAACTCATCCTCTCCCTGCTCACTTGCCTTGTTTTGTTTTAGGGGAGAGCCAGATTTGCGGAGCCCGGACTGTGTGAAATTGCGAGTTGCAGAAGAAGTGGCGGCATGTCTCCGATTTGGGAGACAGATTTAGTGCATTAGTGTAAGCTTTCGCAGCGGACGGAGCGGGAGACCGCACCCTAATAATAAAGAAATACAGGGGTCCTTCGCGCTAACATCGCGGTCCCACTCTCCCTGCGAAACAGGGGCTGTGTTGATGGCATTCTGCGCGGCTACATTCCTCGCGCACTGCCGACATCTTACGAGGACGGCTCTCTGGATCACAAGGCTTCCGACGTTGCTATTGCTTTCATCTATCCGACCAAGAGACGCCTGCCAGCCCTGCCAGACCTGTGATACACCGTCATCAAACCAACACGTCGTCTCCATACATTAGAAAGAGCGCTATGCTATGGAGTAAAGGCTAAAAAAGGACGCGGAAGCGAAGCCGGAAACAAACCGATGAGTGGAATTGCAGGGCTATGAGTTCCAGATGCTGTCAGCCCCGCCGGCCCGTCCCATAGCGACAGTGATGGCATGAAAAACTCCCAACCAGCGATTCATGCGTGGCCCAGCCGGAAAAAAAAGGTACCGTGTAGCAGAATCCCGGTCCCGAGAGCTCTTGTCCCGGTCTTCTCGATACCATACGGCCACATGGCTCTGCCTGCAGTCGGGCGACGCTGCAGAGAGAGCGCACCGATGATAGGTGCACTGACCTCGCGAGCTGCCTTCCCAAGAAAGGGGTATTGTGGCCCTCAGTCTGTCCAGAGGTGGAATCGATACATAGTAGAGGCCGTCCTCAAAAGGGGCGGGCAACCTTGCGGGGCTCGCTTAGGCCGGTCTCGGGGTCGACATATTCCTTCCAGCTGACCGGGTACATTGGGTTTCCGGCCTCGCTCGTCGCCATAACCACGCCCAGCGAGTTGCTCGCCGTCGAGAGGTAGTAGTTTGCCTGGTCACCGAGAGAGATCTGGATGGGTTAGTGGGAGGATAGAGATAGAGATGGGAATGGAGGTAAAGATGCAGAGGACGAGGATGGACGTAGACATGTTGCCCACACACACCACAGACGACTTACCACCTGCGCGCGCACAATGTCGCCCGGCCGGAACGACTCGTAGATCTTGACGCGGTCTTTCTCGGTCGCCCGCACGTCCTGTGCCCGGATCACGCCCTGCCACTCGGCCTCCAGCACCACGTCGCCCACCACCAGGATCGCCACCACTGCCTGCCGCTGTGCGATCCGCACCACCCGGCATAGCGCCGTGTTGCCCACGTCCGGCAGCACCTCGCCGCCTTGCGCGATTCGCGCCCGCGACACCGACACCGTCGCCTTGTTCACGTCGGCCAGCGACGAGCCCTGAGCCGCCCCGTCCGGCCCCTTTGTCGCTACCGACGGCACCATGATCCGGGTCAGCCGCTTTGGCAGCATCGCCGTCTTCTTGCCCGCCTCGGCCGGCTGCCGCACCGAGACGTGGCCCAGCAGCGATGCGTACACCTGGCCGTCGGCGAGATGCGTGCCCGCGCCCGGCACAAAGCGCGAGGCCGGGCCCAGTAGCTGGCCCGGAACCGCAATCTGGTCCTGCACGGTCGCCATTTTGTCGCAGCGGGAGAGTGTGGCGTGTGGGTGGCGGTAGAGCGGTGCGGAAAAAGAGCTGGTTGTATGCTGTTTGGAGACTTGCCTCAAGTTTTTTTTCTTATCGAGTCTCTATTTTTTGGCTTCACTCCTTCATCGGCGCTAGTCTTCTTTAGGAAACCACCTCTCACTTACACAGTCATCTGGGCTGTCCGCTTCATGTTGCAGTAATACATGCTCTTCAACGAGTGGGGAGCATATTCAAAGCAATGATAGAACATGAACAGCCATCAGCAAGTCTCAGATCAGACTGGCTGCAGATGTCTCGACTGTCTTGTCTGTCTACGATCGTACGTAGTCACTTTGCATATTGCTTATAAGCTTGTTAACTCTGTCTTCCTTCCACGTACGGCCATAGATACTGGAAAGCACGGGATCCCGTCCGCTCTCCCCTAGTTAAACCAGTAATCGGCGGATTAGTAGTTGGGTCGGTGACGACCAGCGAATACCCGCTGCTGTACGTTTTTTTTGGCTTTTTGTGGATTTTGGGACCTAGCATTGATGACTTCTCCCATTTACGGATTAAAATACAAAATACAATATTATGGTAAGATACGTTTTTCACAGACACTCACTGCTGTTATACAAAGTCTTTCATGTTTACAGGCTAGAATTTATTATACCAGATTCATTGCATATGGCTTCGCTTCTGGATATTATTGGCAGGCTACCAGAAACAAAATCCAATCGAAGACCGACACGTGCTGACTAATCTGCTTCATCGTGGCTTCCGTTTCTGACCGAGTACGTCGCCCAAGATGGGTTCTCTGATTTCTGCATCATAAATGAGACAAAGAAAGAAAAGACAAAGAGAGAAAATAGTTTATCCATCTGTTTCGCGCGCCGTTCCCTCCAAATTTATTCCCCGTTCCTGATAATAACCTTGATCTCTTTCCCGCCAGCCACCGCTTCGAAGGCCTCTTGGGCGCGTGAGAGCGGAAAGGTCGCGGTGATGAGAGGCTTTAGGTCAACCACACCGCGTTCCAACATGTCTATGGCAGATGGAAAACAGGACGCAGTGTACCGGGTGAGTCCTGGGAGTTGTCAGCTGCTGGCAGTTCCAGCACGCCAGTCAGAGCAGCAACAACACTTACCTCGAAAGTCGAGCTCCTTGTTTGTTATAGCAACAGTGGGTACGAGATGTGTCTGGACATGACCGAGGCCAACCTGGAGAACTGGGCGAGAATAAAGGTCAGTACGACTGCCAGTTGAATAATGATCGGTGGAAGAGAAAAGTACGCACAGACACCGCCTTGCTTGCAGATGGCCACGCCATGCAGAATGGCGTCTTGCGCTCCGCTGGCCTCAACCACTCGGTCAACACCCTCCTCGGACTTCAGACCGCACTGGGCGATGATCTCTCGCATGCGGCCCTGCGCGCATAACCACATCTTGTCACCGACTGTCTCTTCTGCGTCCTCTTCGTCCTGGGAAGCTGCGGCTGTCCCGTTGCCGTTACTGTTGCCAGATGACGACGATTTGCTCGAGAAATCCGGGATGGCGTCGATGTGGAAGACGTGGTCGATGATGGGACGACCTGTCAGTGGTGACAGGTACTTTCGTGCAAAGTCCACACGAGATGGCCGCACGTCAAAGGCAATGATTTTCCTGGCCGAGTAGGCGTGGGCCACGGCAGCAGTTATGAGGCCGATGGGGCCGCATCCGCTGGGGTTGGCAGATTAGCGAGGGCTCCTGTTCTCTATCCATCTCGTCGGGTGCTTACAAGATGGCGATGGTCTGATGAGGACGGATGTCGGCCCGCTTGCCTATTTGCACGCCAATCTAACAGCAGGTCAGACGGTTGCGAACACGACAAGAAATGTCGAGAAGAAAAGAAGCAAACAAACGCACGGCCAGAGGCTGGATGCTGCCGGCCTCATCCCAGCCCACTGTCGGGGGGATGTGTGGTGCCCGGTCTGCTGCAAGAGCAAAGTAGCACGACAGGGAGCCGTGGGTGCCGGGCGAGCTGCAGTAGCGCATGTGGAGGCAGATGTTGGAGCGGCCGTTCTTGCAGTTGACGCAACGACGGCACGGCATTCCAGGTTCGACTGAACGAGCTAATGTGAGCGACAAAGACAGCTCTCCATGGTTTGATGAGACGCACTGGCTACCCGGTCGCCCGGCTTATGCGTGGTCACATCGGCACCTACAGCCTCGACCACACCGGCGGCCTCGTGGCCCATGACCAACGGCTCGAGCACCGGTCGTCCGGCCACGCCACCGGCCATGTAAGAGTGCATGTCGGAGCCACATATGCCGTTGGCCATGACGCGGACCAGCACGCCATCGCGTTCGAGCACGGGCTGTGGCATGGGCTCGATTCGGATGGTACGCTTGCGCACGAGCAGGACGGATAGGTTTGGCGACAGGGCGGCAGGCTGTGAGCCATGGTCTGACCGTGTAGCCATCCCATTTAGCCCGTTGGCGGCGGGCTCGCAGCTGTGGTGGTGTTCGAGAGTCATGGCCAATCCCGAGACAAGAGAGAGGACGGGATGCGTATACAATGATTGGCCAACCCAATATCAGAGAGTGAAGGAGCTGAACAGGCCAAATGAGGGGAACAACAGAAGTCGGAGATGGAAGCAGCCAGAGAAGAAAATCAGGAAACTAAAGAGACAGCTGTCGACTGCGAGATATAAAAGCCTCCACAGGTCCTCGGCTCCACCAGACGGATATCTCTCAGCTTCTGCAGATCCCCCAGCAAGGCCGTTTTCCGATCGAGATGATTTGCGTCCTTATGGACTCCGGTTACGGGTGTCTAGAAGGGGGGAAGTGGATGTCTGCGAGAAGACTGGAGACGGAAGAGGGAGACGAGGGGCCTTGCCGATGGTTCCAGTTTTTGCTATTGTACGTCATTTCATAGGCTGGCTGGCCAGCACACCCTCACATGGTTCGATAACTTGGGCTAACGTATATCCGTCTTCAGGCAGGCAGACGGACGAGGGCCGTTGGCGGATTGGTGGTGAATTTACGGATTGGTGCCCCGGCTCCGGAGGCTGCACGAATATGGAGACGTTGAGAGGGGGCACTTGAGCCCTGAGCGGAGAGGAAAGAGAGGCGGAACCCCCACATGGCCAGGCCGAGTCGAGGGTGGGATAATAAGAGACTCGAGGCGCTAGGCGATGGTGTTTTGTCAGCCTGGGTCTTGCTGGAAGGCCCGATACAGAAGGTCGAAGCAAGGGTATTATTGCAAGACGAATATTCCCCTGTCTGGTGCAGCCGCATCTGAAAGCGGCTAGAGTCGGCAGAGCTTGCGCAATGAAATTCGCGGGTGGCAGACCATCAGCTGATATCAACGTGGTGATTTAGCGGCGGGCTCAGAGCTATTTATCGATCTGTCTGTGCCGTGATTCAGTCGGCCCGGCCGGCCAAAAGAGACACGGCACGGCCGGTATTCCGCTGGCCTGCTGAGGAGCGGGAAAGACGATGCGGCCGGATTTCGTCGGCTAAAGTTTGAGTGCACAGACGCGCCATTCAAGCTAACAAAGCCGCCATCGAAAGCAGCCAACAGCAGCGCTTCGCAATATCAGAGCCCGAGCTAGATTGCATACAACCGGGGCTGGACATGGGCTTACAACTGGAAAAGGTAGCCGCAGCAGCTGTATGTAGCAGCCGCTGTTGCATGTTGCAAACGTGCTTAAATAGCGCAACCGCCCCCAAACACTCCCGTTTCAGAGGCTTCCATCCCGACGCCCGGCGCTGCACGCAATGGATCAACCCACATCTACGGCAACGGCTCTTGCCAGCCACAAGCTGATCCTCCTCAGCCCGTTTGCGCTTCCGGATGACTGCGTCCCCACGCTGACAAAGACTTTCCCGGGACTCGAGGTGGTCGCGCGCTATCAGCCATGGGATAGACAGACGACAGACCTGCCAGAGGAGGAATGGCGGGATGCGACGATCCTGGCCACGGGCAGCATGCTGCCTGATGCTGAGCTGGCACCCAAGTTGCAGTATGTTCAGCTATTCAGCGCCGGGGCCAACCACCTGGCCGAGCACGCCGTGTTCAAGGACCACAAGGTCGTCTTTTGCGGCGCCAACGGCGTTCACGGGCCGCAGATTGCAGAATGGGTCATTGCGACCTATCTGAGCGCCAAGCACAGATGTACGTGTGCTGTTCTGTGCTGGTTGTCTGTGCTGATGTGCCTTGCTGACTCATCTTCAGTGGCAGAGTATCGCCAGCTGCAGGAGCAGAACGAATGGCGCCATAACAGCAACAACCTGGACGAGGCTGTGGAAGACTCTGTTGGGCGCTGCGTGTGAGTGCTATTGGAAGAGACGGGCAGCCTCTTGCATGGTCGCTGTGCTGATGCTCGTTTCTCCCCCTTCCCCCCCTTTCCACAGAGGCATCCTCGGCTACGGAGCCATCGGACGACAGGTAGCCCGGCTGGCCCGGGCTCTGGGCATGAAGGTGCACGCCTACACGCTGAATGCACGAACGACAGCAGAGTCGCGGCGGAGAACGACGCGTACCAGCCGCACGGGCTGGGCGACCCGGCCGGCGACCTTCCGGACCGCTGGTTTGCCGGCACGACCAAGGCCGATGTGCACGCCTTTCTCGGCTCTGGTCTGGATCTGCTCGTCGTCGCGCTGCCGCTGACAGATCGCACGCGCGGGCTCATTGGCGCCGACGAGCTCGACCTCCTCGCCCGCCATCGGCCTGCTGGCACTAGCTCTGGCTCCGGCTTCTTCCTCTCCAACATTGCGCGCGGCGCCGTCGTCGACACGGACGCGCTCATCGCAGCCCTCAACGACGGCCGCATCGCCGGCGCCGCCCTCGACGTCACCGACCCCGAGCCGCTCCCCCCCGGACACCCGCTCTGGTCGGCCAGAAACGTCACCATCACGCCGCACGTCAGCGGCAGCTCGACGCGCTACCTCGCTCGCGTCCTGGACATCCTTACGATCAACCTGGGCCGACTCCGGGCAGGACAGGCGCTGCTGCTGAACCAGCTGGACAAGAAGGCCGGATACTAAGAACAGCCAGGGATACGAGAGGGCCGGCATAGCAGCAGGCTGGCCTCAAGAGCCGGGCCACTGAACTTGGCGACACAATAGAGAGCACAGACACATGGAGGTCCCTCGACACATTGCAACCGTATTCTTGCAGAGAAAGCAGTGTCTTACGAACCAACAGCTCAATAGAACAAAGAAGAACAACAGAAGATAGAGTAAAGGTTAAGGATCCAGAAAACCAGACATATTTGCAGATTGTGAACCGATGCCACTACAAAGGCTACGCCCACTGGCTTGGAGTACTAGAGATTCTGATTCATTGAAGAACTATGAGAAGCCCCGGAAATGCAAGAAACGGGACTAGGTGAGCAGCGTTGAAAATACCTGCAGCTAAACTAACGACTTAATGTACCTTTTATTTTCATCATGAAACGACCAGACGTCTAGAAACCAGCTTCAGTTGCTGGCAGCTGGCAGCCTAATGACAGTGCTAATTACGCGACTGCTTCTCACACTGTCTGCGCGCACGCTGCTCTGTGGCGAATAAACGTCGTCGCGGGGTTACCTCGAATCAGGCAACAGCTTTTGCGGTTGCCTCCCAGCAAATCGCCGCCGGTAGTCTGGCCAAGGCAGCCGAATAAACCCAAAATAAAGCAACCCCTGCGTCCTGGACACAAAGACATGCATGCGCTGGTGTCTGGAGCACACTTTTCTTTTTCTTGCATGCATGTGACAGAAGCTGCAATGCTTCGGTAACCTGCTACCTACTCCCCTGCTGCAGGTATTCTTGGTCCTGCACCTTCCAGCTCTCTCGTCAGCCTCACTCTTATCTTTGCTGCACCTCGATCCTGCATACGTCCCACGACGACGCTCAAGTGCAATCCGACAATCTCTTGGCTGGCCTCGACGGATTTTCCCGCTTTTCTCTTCGCCGGGCCGCAGCAGCCGCATCGTTTTCCAACATGGAGTCTTATCGAATGACCGGGCTGCCGTTGATGTCGTTCCAGCAGCATCTCAGCCGGCTCTACAACGACACCAAGAAGTCGTCTGACTTTGTCAAGGAGCCCGTCCAGAATGCCGAGGACCCGGAAATCAAGGCGCTGCACCGCAAGCTGCGCATCCAAAAGGACCGCCTCGTCAGCTGGGGCCTCGAGTGGTCCGATCCCAGCCAGTCCAGCGAAGTGCTCATCGACTCGTCCATCTCCAGGGCCGGCCTCAGCGAGATTGTCAGCAGCATCATGTCAACAATAAAGGAGACCCTGGCCGAGGTGGAGCCCCTGTGGCTCAGCTCCAAGCGCCTCGTCGGCGAGGACACCCCGTCGTTGGATCGCGACCGCGACCGAAAGTTGTCGTCTGTCACCTGGGACAAGGCTCGCTTTGTCGATCTAGTCCGAGACCTGACGGTGTCCATCGATACTTTATATGATTTGTCCAGGAACCGGTTGTCCGAATCGGGAGAAGGAGGAAAAGGAGGAGGAAGAGGAGGACCGTCCAAGCCTACCCCATCATGGCTGGAGAGGGGTCCACCAGCCGAGGACCTCCGCCCTTTCGAGTCAACGAGGATGCAGGTCCCTCAGCAGATCAATTCGGCCACCCTTACCTGCATCGAGTCGCCACATCTTGCCGACTCTCCTCCCGGGACAGAAACCCGACAAGTGGTCTTCATGAGCAAGCAGGTCTATGCGGATTTCGCCCGCGTCCGGGGCCTTCGGCAAGGCTATTCTCCACTGCTGCTGGAGTACTCCTATTTCGACCCTGTGTATTCGAGCACCGGCATCATGCCGTCTATGGCCCGGTTCGAGAAGCTCGCGTCTGGCCTGCAGGCCAATATGCAGCGCCCATCCAACGCCTGGATCGGCATTCCCCAGCTGCTCGGCTATTTCGAAGACATGGATCACTCTCGCCTCGGCCTGGTTTACCACTTCCCTCCGGGCTGCAACGCTGTCGTGCCGTCCGATGTTGCGGCGCATCAGCCCCGATCCTGCCTGCTGACACTGAGCGATATGCTCTCCAGTCCCAGCGTGGAGCCGCGATTGGAGGCTAAGTTCCGGCTTGCCTCCAATCTTGCCAACACTGTCTTCGAGATGCACGCCCGAGGCATTGCACACGGACGGCTAGGCGATCAGAGTGTTCTCTTCGGTCGTGATGCTGCACCCGGGACGGCGGCAACAGACATCTCGAGAGCCGACGTGCGGAAGCCGCTCATTTCCGGTTTCGACCTCTTCCCCTCTACTCCTTCGCCAGACAGGGAGCAGCAGTCGCTTCTGTTCAGACACCCTCTCAATCCGCAGTCATTCTCACCCGAATCCCCTCCGATTGTGGATGCCGACCCTCGGGCATTCGACCTGTATTCTGTGGCGATGCTCCTTCTGTCCATCGGCATGTGGACAAAGGTGGAGAACCTCGTTCCGCATCGTGAGTCGGCATCTGTGTCTGAAACGGTACTTGACCAGCTAGCCGTGCAATGCGGTACTCTATATATGAAAGCAGTGCAAACGTGCTGGAATGCCATGGAGACAGTGGTGTCTGCCAAGACGCCCAGTGAGTCGCATCTGGCTCGGGTGGAACTCAAGGTCAGCCGCTATCTGGAAGCATGTTGTGTCTTGGACACGGTGAGCGCCTTTGAAGAGCCCACAAGAGAGGGACTGCGACGTGAGGACACTTTCGGGGCGACGACGATAACGGCGACGCCGGCGCCGACACCGACCTTGACGCCTGCAGCGAGCTTCTACCAGAAGCAGAGCACCGACGTCAAGTCACCTTTGGATCGGGGACTGGATAGAGGACGGCCCACCGATGACTTCCCCATGCGCGCAGCGCCTGTAGATGCGAGACCGCCGATTCCGCCCCGGGTTCCCGCTGCGAGGACAACAACGTTTGGAAAATCAGAAGCTGGTCTCTCCATGTCCTCCAAGCCCGAGCCTGTGCGCTTGAAACTCTTCCCACAGGTTGCCCTGCCCCCGGATGTCATTGAGCAGTGGCACACGTTCCTGATGCCGCAGATAAACTTCGCCCTGCGCAATTTCTATCGTAACCATCCGGAATCTGTGGAAATCTCGCTCGAGTCTGTGGGCGAGTCACCACGAAACACGAAGCCAACTGTCATGGTGGTGTGTACCTCGGTCAGCAAGGTTCGGCACATCCTGAAGAGAAAGCTGGGCGCGGTGTTTGATGGATCGTCTGGGTTCTCCCTAAAAGTCTGCAGCGGCCGCGTGCTTCGATCACGCAAGGACGGCGCAGCGCAAGGTGCCAGGCCCAAGCGAAACCAAGACGACGGTGGCAGGAAACAGATCCTTGCTGCGAACAACCAATTCCAGGAACGACCTCAAAACGGGGCCAGCATCGGTGCTTGGATTGGCGATCGGCATCTCCCTCCTGTCAGCTTCGGCGGGCTAGTGCTTGTCGATGGCAAGCCGTTTGGCATGACGGTGCACCACATGCTCGACGACCCAGACGCGATCGAGGCGGCAGCAGCCCGGGAAGGTCAGAAGACAGTTCGCAGCAGCAGCTCAGCAGCCGCCACACAGGAGATCGAAGCACTTGGACAGTCTCTACTGGACTGGTATGAAGAGCTCCAGGCCGATTCGTCCACGGCGAGCTCCAATGGCGGCGATTTCGCCTGCGAGTTCTCCGACACGAACTCGGCGGTATCCGATTCCGATCTCACCAGCGAGTGGTCCGACAACAGCGATGAGGAAGAAAACGACGAGTCTGGCGCCAGCAGCGGCGAGCCGGGCGATCTGCCTGGCGTGGAGCCCGGCTTTGGCGACGGCTATGTTGTGACTCAACCTGCGCTTGATGATGTCGAGAAGGACTTCTATCCCGACCAGGAGACTCAAGATGACGACCACCTAGACTCTTGCGGCCTGGGCGATATCTTTGCTTCTAGCGGCGTCCGCAGACGCGTGGACGAACAGGGACTGGTGCATGAGATCGATTGGGCGCTTTTTGAGTTCAAGGAAGAGCGACGACCGGCAGACAACTCGATTCCTCACCTTCCTCTAGAACGCCGAGGCTCGCCGTCTTTCACGGCATCGGCAGCGGTCAAGCCGTCGGTTCTTCACCCGACCACAGTGGCCCCGTCTTCTGCGCTCCCCGGGCTCGAGGTGCAATGCATAGCTCGCACGTCAGGCCTGCAGACGGGCCAGATTCTGCCGACGATCACGTCAGTCAAGATCTACGGACGGCTGTCACCGTCGCACACGTACCAGATCAGTGGGAGCAGTTCTGCAGCAGCTGCAACCGCTGCAATGGCATCTCGTGCGGCTGGGCGCCGTCCAAATATGCCTATTGGTATCCCGGGAGACAGTGGGGCGTGGATTGTCGAGCGCGAGCACGGTCGGCTATGCGGGCATGTGCTGGCTTGGAGCGAGCGCAAGAAGGTGGCGTATCTGTGTCCGATGGACGTGATGTTGTTGGACATTGCCGAGACGCTGGAGGCAGGCGAGGTGCGACTGCCCGGAGGCGATGCAGTGGTCAAGATCATGGATGGAGAAGCGAGAAAAAAGAAGGAAGCGTGGCGTGGGCTCGGCAAGGGGACAGAGCCAGACGGAGAAGAAGGTGATCTGGGCAAGGACAAGGGCGAGGAGGAAGAGGACGAAGGATACCACGACGAGCACAACGCGGCCGAAAGCGGCGCTGGGACGTCATTTGGGCCGACGGTGGAGAAGTTTGAGGGAGGAGACATGTGTCCGCAGCCGACGAAGATGATGGAGCTTGCGGGGAGCCTGGGAAAGATGCATTTGGGTGGCGGCAATGTGGAGACGGCGTGTTGATGTGCAAAGAATGGATTATGGTTTTGAGCTTTGGGATTTGGGAATTTATGACTTGACGATTCGGGAAGTCGAACAAACTTCTCCCGCTCTTTCCCTTTTTGAGATACCACTTGTTGCATTTTTTCGAGCATTTGGGACCGGTTTTTATTCAATCATAGACACAAGGTACATTTTTATCATCCCTAATCATAATATATGCCCTTCGGAAGGACAACCGAAGCCATACATTATATACATATTACGCAACCGTTGAGATTGCCACATCCACAAGCACGAGTACGTCTTATAGCAGCATGTAGGCACTGCCGAGAAGGGTCAGGCCGACGGCGAAGGCACTGCTGAGGGACGGAGAGCTGCCTACACGGCTAGCAGCGGCGCTCTTGGCAGAGCTGGAGGCGCTGGCACTGGTGGTGGTGGCAGCGGTGCTGGAGGCGGTGCTGGAGGCGGTGCTGGAGGCGGTGCTGGAGGCGGTGCTGGAGGCGGTGCCGGAGGCGGTGCTGGAGGCGGTGCTGGTAGAGGTGCTGCTGTCGGTGGAGTTGAGGAGCGATGCCAGGTTGGCGTCATCCTTGAAGACGACCGAGACGCTGGACGAGTTGCTGCAGGAGGACTGCTTCGTGGTGGCAGCACCACTGACGAATTTGACTGCAGCACACTGGGGGGGTTAGCCAGAGGAGAGGAATGGAAGAAATGGAAGGAAAGAAAAGCCTACCTGGTACAAAATGCCGTCCGGGGCGTTGACGGCGACGCTGATCACGCCGTTGGAGCCGGCCCAGCTGGAGGGCACCGTGACGGACGGCTCACAGAGCTTGCCGAGGCCGCTCTGCTCGTACTCGGGGAGGAGCTGGGTCCAATTGCTGCTGGCGGACTCGTCGAGCGTGGCGCGCAGCAACCATGTGCCCTGGGAGTGGTACAGGTGGGTGACAATGTTGTCACCATCGACATGGAAGTCGGTGATGTTGTCAGAGGAGAAGTTGGGCGTGAAGTGGCCGCACGGCGCTATGTCTTCGTTGTCATCGCTAAAACCAATGGTCAGGGGGTAGTCGAGCGTGAAGTGGGCGTTGGCAGCGGCGGCCAGCAGGAGGGCCGCAGTGGCGACAGACGAGACAGGAGACATATTGAGAAGGAGGGTGGATGTGAAGTTGTAGAAGTGAGAGTCTGTATATGTGTAGCAGTAGAGGATGCGAGGATGTGAGGCGTGGGAGAAGGGACGACGTTGTGGGCCAAGAAAGCAGGAGCTGCACAAAGCTATAAGTAATACTTGGGGGCCAAGAGCGGCCGTGCCTTCCTGGGCTAGACTAAGCTCAGTCGGCCTGTCAGGCCGGAAGAGGCTGGCACTACGGAGAGTATGGCCAAGGATGTGACCACCGGGGTCTCCATACTACGGAGGGGCTGTCTCCTCCGTGCTTTATGTTCTTACAGCTCCGTACGAGATAAGCTTAGTTGCAGAACTTGGCGAGCGGCAGTTCGATCTTGGGTTCTCACGAGGCTCAACTTGTAGCAGAGTTTAACCGTGCTCGAGCAAGAAGCGTGCGCTCATGTCCGCTCGGGATCTCTGCAGTCAAGCATTCAGAGGTTCCAATCACTCGTGATGGGCATAAGACTCTAGAGCATGGAAACGTGCTCACTGCTCGTGCAGGTAAACCAGCTTTTACAGAGTTGTTGGCGTGAGCAGATTCCCCCAAACGAGACACAGGCTAGTCCGCATTGGGCGTAGCGCCTGCGCGACAGTTGCAGCCGATGCGCAGCTTTGAGCAAGTTTGCTCGCTCTTTTTCTTAGCGTCCGTGCTCTGGACAGGGAGACCCCTCCGTCCCGGTGATCCACAGGGCCCCCAAACGTGCTCACCTTTAACTGCATTCGGAGGCCCAACGCCGGATTCTGGCCTTTGGCCGTCCCCTACTTCTCTGCACCACTCCGGCTGCAACGGCGGCCCTGTGAGCGGTCGTTCCTGCCAACCTCCACATTCCTCTTTCCTCGTCGGCTTGCTTTTTCCTTCTCTGCATCGAATCGTCCTTGGTTTCCACGCATTGGCGTCTTGGCTTTCCAGAACACTCGTCTCCTGCATCGTGTATTCTGCCATCATCGCACTTCCTTTTCCGTCTTTGCTTCTCGGTAGCTTGCGCCGGTCGCGCCACCAACGGCCGCCATGATGGACGACATGAACATGTCGATGAGCTCGTGGCAGCCGACAAACATGAGTCTGGCCCGGATATATTGGTACATCATCGCCGGCATCGTGGGAATGCTAATGGTTGTCCGTGGAGTCAACTACTACCAGAACTCTTTGAGGTACGATGATTTTTGCTTTATTCTGTGACCTTTTCCTTTTGTCTGTCTCTGTCTAACCCTCCAGACTACGCACGCTTGCATCCAGCTCCCAGCAGTTCCCGACAAAGCCTGCCAATGGCTTCCTGCAGGCGTGGGCAACTCTCACGGCAGTCGGCCGTGAGGTCAGCTACCCGCAGCTGTACGTCCCTGTGCGCTACCTTGGCTGGCTGACCCCCCCGCCAGCTGGCCGGGTCCTCATCCTGCTCGTCTACTGGTCCGTCATCATCGGCTTCATGACGGCCGGCTCCATCGTCAAAGACGTCAACTTCTGGGAACGCATCGGCTTCCGCAACGCCTGGGTCACGGTGACGCAGCTGCCACTCCTCTACCTGCTCGCCGGCAAGTCGTCTGTCATCGGCACGCTGACCGGCTCGTCGCACGAGCGCCTCAACTGGCTGCATCGCTGGGTCGCCCGGACGATGTTCGTTACCGCCTCCGTCCACGGCTGGCACTTTTACTCGGAGTATGCCATCGCCGACATGACCAACCTCTTCTTCGAGACCATGCCCATGGGCAAGTACGGCGTCGCCGCTTGGGCCCTGCTGCTCTGGGCTTTCATCTCTGGTATCGCACCGCTGCGCCACCTCTGCTACGAGTTTTTTGTCGTCCAGCACATCGCCACCGCCGCCTTGCTTTTGTGGGTCGTCTATGTCCACGTGCCCTCGTACGCCCGCTACAACGTCTGGTTTGCCATCGCCGCCCTGTGCCTCGACCGGCTCGTCCGGCTCATCCTGCTCGTGTGGCAGAACGTCAAGGCTCGGCCGAACCCGTCTCGCTGCAAGGGCGGACAGCGCATCGGCCACCAGGCCCAGATCCGTGCCGTCGGCGACGACATCACCGTTGTCACCATCAAAGATGTCCACTTTCGCTGGGCCGCCGGCCAGCACGTCTATCTTTGGATGCCTACTCTCGCTCCCCTGGAGCAGCACCCTTACACCGTCGCCTGTGCCCACCAGCTACCCGGCACCTGCATCTGCAACAGCATCCAGCTCGTCGTCCGCAAGCACGCCGGCTTTTCCAAGCGGCTACACGACCGTGCTGCAGCGCTGCAGGCATCCGAGAAGAAGACCACCTTCACCGCCTTTCTCACCGGCCCCTACGGCGCTCCGCCTCGGTCGGACATCTACGAGACGCTCATCTTGATCTCCGCCTCGACCGGCGCATCCTTCACCCTGCCCATCCTCGAGAGCGTCCTGCAGGCAAGACAGGCCGTCTGCACCAAGCGCGTCGACTTTCTTCTGTCGGCCAAGAAGGGTGACGAGATCGACTATTACGTCCGCCGGCTGCACGAGCTGATCGAGATCGCAACGGGCGTGGGCATCGAGCTCAGCGTGTACATTGCCGTGACCAGCGACCCCAATCACAAGTCGCGGCTGGCTGCTGATGCTACACCCCAGGAGAGAGACCAACCCGTTGCTTACAGCAGTTCGGCATCCTCAAGGGAAACAAGTCCGGGGTCGGATGGAAACAGAAGCACCCCCGCAAAAGCAAAGCTGCTGCAGTCAACCGACATTGAGAAGACAGCTATGCAGTGCTGCACGAAACGGCAGCGCAACGTCAGAACGATCAGCGCCGAATCGCGTGTGTACCAGCTGGACAGCCGTCCTGACATCGACGCCTTCATCCGAGACGCAGTGGTGTCTACGGGCGGAGAAACGTCGGTGGTTGTGTGCGGCGGTAAGTCTCTGGTCGCAAAGACAAGAAACAGCGTTGCCCGGCTCTCGGACGAGCGCGCTGTGCACAAGGGAACGGGCGCCCAGGGGATTCATCTGCATGTCGAGGAGTACGGGTTTTGAAGCAGTAATACGTATGGGACGAAGTTATGTACATATGAACGAAATTAATGACAAACGCACTTTCCTCTTGCAGAAGCACGACTCTCCCCGCCGTAGCCTACCTTATCTCTCTTATCGGTGCCAGGCTCGGCAACACCCCGCGCCGTGATGGCCGGCGACAATATTTTCCGAGACCGGCCCTGATTTTTTTTGCCATTGAGGACGTCCTGCCTGACTCTTTTACGGTGGTCTAAGCCGGCAGCTGTCTGTGAATCTGACTCATTTGCGTGTATTGTCTTTGTTCATGCCCTCTCCCTCCATTCTTGCCGCTGCTGCTGCCACCACCCTCTCGTTCTGCACCCGACGCTCCCCCCGACTCATTACCCGCACCACAGCCGCCAGCACATTTCGGCAGCTTCAGCACCGAGCCGTCGTTCCGCTCTCTCCAGGCCCCCCAGTCTCTCCCGTCTCTCCCGTCTCTCGCACCTTTCCTGCGTGGAAGTACCGCAGCCGCGCCTTCACCATGTCCGCGCCGTCAGCTGCGGCCGAGCAGCTGACCAAGCTGGTTGCCGGGCTAAATCTGGGCGATGCCACCGACAAGTACCCCAACTGCCATCCGACGACGAATCCGTTTGATCTCTACCGGGCCCACCTGGCCAACACGCTGGCCACGGTGACGGGTGTGGCGCCGGCCATTGTCTACCCGGCCTTGCAGTGGACGACCGGTCTCGACAAGGGCGACCTCATCCTGGCGGTGCCAGCGCTGCGGGTCAAGGGGCGCAAGCCGGACGAGCTGGCCAAGGAGTGGGTGGAAGCGTTCCCGACCGAAGATGCGCTCGTCGAGCCACCGACGGTGACGGGCTACTTTATCCAGTTCTACTTCAAGCCTGGCCCGCTCGCCAAGCTCACGCTGCCGACGATCTTGCGGGAGGGCAAGGCGTTTGGCAACGACAAGACCAACGGCCTGCAGGACCCCAAGGACGCCAGCAAGGGCCGCAAGCGGCTCGTCGTCGAGTTCTCCAGTCCCAACATCGCCAAGCCCTTCCATGCCGGCCATCTGCGCAGCACGATCAGTGAGTAGCGTTCCCCGACCAGCGCGTTCAGCTCTGCTGGCGCACCTGCTGACGAGATGGACTTCAGTTGGCGGCTTCCTCGCAAACCTGCACGAGGGCGTCGGCTGGGATGTTGTGCGGATCAACTACCTGGGCGACTGGGGCAAGCAGTATGGCCTCCTGGCGCTGGCGTACGAGCGCTTCGGCGACGAAGAGGCGCTCAGCAAGAACCCCATTGCCCACCTGTTTGACATTTACGTCAAGATTGTCTGTCTTCCCCTGTCTGCTGTCTATTCTTTGCTTTTTGCCTTCGTTGCCATGGCTAACCAGCACAGAATGCTGCTATGTCGGAAGAGAAGGACAAGATCGACGCGCTGAAGAAGGAGGGCAAGACGGACGAGGCACAGAAGCTGCTGGATGCCAGCCTGGACGAGCAGGCGCGCCAGTACTTCAAAAAGATGACGGACGGCGACGCGACGGCCGTGGCGCTCTGGCGGCGCTTCCGCGACCTGTCGATCGTGCGGTACAAGGAGACGTACGCGCGGCTCAACATCCGCTTTGACGACTACAGCGGCGAGTCACAGGTGCCGCAGGCGTCCATGGACCGATCGGCTGCCCGCATGGCCGAGCTGAACATCACCGAGGAGTCTGAGGGCGCGCTGATTGTCAACTTTTCCAAGCACGTTCCCGGGAAAGAGGGCAAGCGACTGGAGCGGCCGCTGGTGCGCAAGCGCGACGGCACGGCGCTGTACCTGACGCGCGATATCAGCGAGCTCCTTAACCGGGTGGGTTTTATTTTCTTTCTTTCTTTTTTATTTTCTTTCCCTTTCTTCTTTCTTCTCTCTCCTTCACCCTGCTGACCGAAACAGGAGGAGAAATACCATTTTGACAAGATGATCTACGTCGTGGCCTCGGCCCAGGACCTGCATCTCAAGCAGCTCTTCAAGATTGTCGAGCTGATGGGTTACAAGGAGATTGCCGACAAGTGCTCGCACGTCAACTTTGGTCTGGTGCTGGGCATGAGCACGCGCCGCGGTACCGTCAAGTTCCTCGACGACATCCTCCGCGACGTGGCCGACAAGATGCACGAGGTCATGAAGACCAACGAGGTCAAGTACTCGCAGGTCGAGAACCCCGAGGCCGTGGCCGACGTGCTGGGCATCTCGGCCGTCATGGTCCAGGACATGACTGGAAAGCGGTGGGTCATCCATCCACCTGGACACTTATGCGCTGAGAAGCTGACTAATCATATCCCTTTTCAGCATCAACAACTACACCTTTGACATTGCCAAGATGACCTCCTTCGAGGGCGACACCGGCCCGTACCTGCAGTACGCCCACGCGCGCGTCTGCTCGATCGAGCGCCGGTCTGGCCTCTCGCACAGCGATCTCGAGACGGCCGACACGACGCTGCTGGCCGAAGCCCATGCCACCAACATCATCCGCCTGCTGGCCCAGTGGCCCGACGTCGTGCAGAACACGCTCAAGACACTCGAACCCACCACCGTGCTGACGTACCTCTTCAAGATGACCCACGCCCTCAGCTCGTCCTACGACCATCTGCAGGTCATCGGCAGCGAACCCGAGCTGCTCAAGGCCCGCATGGCTCTCTACGGCGCCGCCCGCATCGTTCTCGGAAACGGCATGCGCATCCTCGGCCTCAGCCCGGTCGATCGGATGTGAGCCGTTTGTGGGGAAGATTTGGGAAACAACATAGGTAAAAAAGCATGGGAAAAGGGAAACGGAGCACAGCCGGAAAAGGGCATCTTTCCCGTCAGAATAGCTCGGGTAGCAAAATGAAGTAATTGATAACGCCAGATTCCTGATCTTCGATCTGTCTCTCATGCTTTCTGCTTGCGCTTCACGACTTTGATACGCAGCCTCTTGCCTGCTGCAGCACCGTCACCACCGCCATCACCATCACCACCATCACCTCCGCCTCCTGGTGCAGCTCCGTTTCCTGGTGCAGCTCCAGCCCCTTGCGCTGCTCCATCTCCGCCGGCCTGTGCAACGCCACCACCTCCGTCACCATCGCCATCATCTCCGTCGCTGCCGTCGTCATCGTCATCGTCATCGTCATCGTCATCGTCATCATCATCATCATCTTCATCTTCGCTCGAAGACGAGTCGAGCTCTGGTACCTACAAGAGTCGGTTAGCTTCTATAGCAACGTCAAATGTTTTAATGTCAATCATCAAGGCGACTTACAGCTCCGTCGGCATCGTTGTATGGATCGGTCGGATCCTTCTCATCCGGATAATTTAAGGCCGAGAACATCATCGGCGCCCAATGGGGGTTTGCATTGGGGAAGTCAGCATGGAGCCTCGCATCGCAGATGTCCAGAAGATCTTCCAGCAGCGGCCGTTGTTCCGGCTTGTAGGCCAGGCAGGCCATGACAACTTCGCGCAGCTCGCGCTCTACAACCCGCAATTTGGCGTCGTTCAACATGTACCCATGTGTCAGCACAACGCGGTTTTGGATCCGATAGCCGCGATGCAACACGTCGTTAGGTCCGTTCCGGTGCAGCCGCACGTTGCGCGCGTATGGAGGAGTCTCTGGCCCCAAGCAGGTGATGAGGTTAAGCATGACCATGCCAATCTGCCAGATGTTGGACCTCTCGTCGAAGGAGCCGGCGATGCGGCAAGCTTCTGGCTCGTTTCGAAGTGGGTTGCCCTCCACCAGTTCCCACTCTGCCGTCCACTGCTCCGGCATCAAGTAGCCTTGCTTGCCGATGAATCGCTGGCTCCAGAGCCTCTGCTTGTTGTTCATGAAATTGAGATCGGCCTTGAGGGTGGTGCCGAAGTCGGCAATCTTGATGCGCGGCACCATGTTGTGTTCGCCATTGTCGAAGCCGTCTACCAAGACATTGGATGGGTCGAGGTCGAAATGCACGTAGTTGCATACCTTCTGGTTGCGCCTGTTTCGCCGGAGCTCATCCTCTGCCGGGACATACTCTAGCATCGAGTTCTTGCCCACATTCTGCTCCTGGTACCGCGGAGGATAAGCCATGGCAATGCAGCCGTCAACCAGGCACGCGAACATTTGCCACAACACGTCGTCTGGAGGCGTAGAGTTCAAGCTGTCGACTTTCTCAATCCAGTGTCCCAGCGTTCCCATACGCAGGTACTCCATCATGAGAATGGACGGGTCGCGATCCACTTCGTTCATATCGGTAGCCCGAACGGAGACCGGGGGTTCTTGTGGCATCGCTCCGTTCACAGCTTGCGAGGCGTAGCCACCGGGCAGCCCCCGAAGCTCGCGTGCCGTCTTGATCTGGACAATGTGAGGTGCCCCTTTGAGTGTCTGGACGATTGGACCCTGTCAGCTCCCGGATAATCGCTTTCTTGATGTGTCAATGCTGTGCATCGGACTTACATTCATGATTGTCTTTTCACAGTATAGCTCTTCCTCGCAGTCTGGCTTTGCTATCTTGACGACGCATTTGTTGTACATACCCTGCATGTTCTTGACCTCGAACAGACAGGTGACACCCATGCCGCCAAAGGACAACAGACGCCGGTAGCGTATGCCGGCACGCAGTGCGCGCTTTGCGATGCGGTTTATGCAGAGGCGCGTGTGCCTCGCTCGCTCGTCGTTGCCCAGGTCACGCACGGTTGCGGCCTTCCGCACAATCATGGCGGCGGGGTTGTAAATACGTATGTCCCTGGGCGGTATGAAGCCGTGTACTAGCTGCGCGCGATCCTGCAGCGGGGGGAAGGGGTCGGCTTCGTCGATTTGTAGGTTCGCAGGGTTGAACATGTCTCCGCCTGATCGGTACACGGACGCCAACCTGTTGCGCAGCCTTTGGCGTATGCGGAATTGGGCTCCCATGCGTGTAAGGACCATCTTGAATGATAGGAAGCGACGGTGCTTCTGGCTGAAATTGTGGGAGTAGTTGTCGGGGAGGGTTTGCAAAGAATTGTATCTTCTGGTCGATAAGTCGGAATAACAGTGGTGAACATCGACGGGTTTTAAGCTTTTACGGTACAAGAGGCCGTGTTGGTAGTTCACACCAGGTCCTTTCAGTGCAGTGCATAGAGGCTTCTAAGATCTCCTGCTGTTTTGAGAGCCAAATGGCGTCGAGTCTTTGAAGACATGCCGGATTTGGACGTGAGCTATCGTTATTGCCCGCGTTTGATTGTTATATTTCTTTGCGTTTCCGAGGACCAAAGGCCGAGTCTCTTCTAGCAAGTGAGATGCACAAAGATGTGAGGGTGGTGATCAGTCCTTTGTTGCTGTGGCACAACCAGTGCTTCTTTGTGTGGAGAAAGAGGAACAACGACCACGGAAAATCGAACAAAAGAACAAGGAAGGCACGGCTATGCTCCTTCCCAACTGATCTAATAGTACTCCCCTTGATGATGTATCCTTTCACGATACATTTTATCGAGGATGCAGGATTGACCGACCCAAGGAAAGGATTCACGCAGTGACCTTTGCAACACGAGCAGTGAAATTAAGATTATCTGTTGAAGAAAGCACTGCTGTCCTATGTACATGCCACACTCTTGGACTGTCCTCATTTTGCCTCGACGTCGCCGGCTTCTTCGGCGACATACTGGCCATCCTTAGTGTCGGATGGCAGAAAGCCGGCCTCCTGCTCGATGCTGGTGTGCGTCTTGACCGTCAACACGGTTGGCAGGACGATGACCAGGCTGCCCATGCACAAGCCCCAGTCGATGGCCAGCTGGGTCATGCCGCTGCGGTGCAAGGCGTTGATGCGCCAGGCAAAGGCACCACCAGCACTCTGGAAGGTCTTGTAGGCGCCGACAAGGACGGCAGCGCGGCCGGTGCTGTTGGACTCTGTGCCGATAAGCCAGTAGCAGAAGCCCTGCCAGAGGGCGTCGTACAAGCCGTAGAATATGTAGAGGAAGATAGGGCCTGTGGCGACCTTGCCATCGGTGTAGTCGAGGTCCTGCTTGTGGCCGGCGGCCAGACGAACGTTGTCCCATTTCTGGAAGGCATAACCGCCGCCCCAGATGGCCATGCCGGTGACGAAGAGTACGACCCAGCCGCAGCGGGCGCGCACCGGACGGCCGAACCAGGGCATGTCGAGCAGCATGCCGATGACGAGGCCGCCGACCATCTGGGCCATCCAGTAGAGGGCGCCGTTGAGCGAGCGGCTGCGGATGTTGAACGTGAGCCCGTTCACGTCATTCTGCTGGTACGAGTAAAAGATGTTGGCACAGAAGAAGAGCGGCAGCATGCAGAGAACGCGCCAGCTGGCAATGGTCTGGACGGCGATACGGACGGTGTCGAGGACGGAAGTGCGCTCGGTCTCGCTGGCAGCATGCAGCTGAGCCAGGCGGACACGCTTCGGGTCGCAGATGAAGACGCCCAGCAGCCAGCCGAAGAGCATGATGACCATGAGGGCAATGTACGTCGAGTCTGACACGGTGCCCTTCTTCGAGTGAAAGTTGAGGCCGAACGAGGCCAGCGAGCCGATGCCACCGCCGAGGTTGAAGACGATCCAGAAGACGGCAATGGCGCGGCCCTTTTGTGCCTCGGGCACGTACGTCGTCATGATGGCACCCTGCACGATCCACACAAAAGAGGCGCCGATGCCGAGAAGCGCACCGGCTGCAATGACAAACGATCCGTTGGCCCGGTGGTTGAAGCAGAGCAGCGAGCCGCTGTACAGCGCATACGTCCAGCCGCCGACCAGGAAGCAGATGCGCGGGCCCACAAACGTGAAGATGGGCCCGACAAAGAAGAGCGCAGTGGCTGCGGTGGCCGAGAGCAGCGCCACCGTTGCGTTGGCCGATACGGTCGAGTCGACCTGGCCGGAGCCGCCGAGACCGCCGAGCGCATTGTACATCTGCCGAGAGTCAGCACAAGAGCGAGCGGGCGAGACGGACGGCCGTCAGACACGCACCCCGGGAAGACAGAAGAAGATGAAGCTGATGAGGCCGATCTGCGTCCATGGATGGGAGTAGAACCGCATGAGGCGCGAAGAGCTGGGCTGCCAGGACTCATCAGCGGTCTCTGCAGGCACAGACGCGGCAGGCGCCTCGACAGACGCCGACGGCACGGTCTTGTCATCCATTGGGTGGGCAGGGCAGAGAAGATCGTGAACGGAGAGGCTGGTGAGGATGGATCCAAACACGGAAAAGAAGGGGGGACATGCATGGGGATATTATAGGGCAGAAAGGCAGCCGCATGCCTCTCTGCGCCTGCCCTTCTGATAAGAGCTGGTCGCAGCGGGGAAGCGCGCACGATCGCTGCTTCCCACTGCAGCGTGCCGTGGAGACCACAGAGCTCCCCCCTGTTTCCTTGACTTATCGCTATTGGTGCATAGTGCCTGGTGGTAAAGTGGGATCAGCTTGCTATCTTGCACCGGGTTATCCGTCAGATAGGCACAAGTCGAATTGCCCTTTTTAGCATCACTGTCTTCTGGTCCCCTCTGCGTTCTGGGTCCTGCTGATAAGGAGGGTGAAGGCCGGATCTCTCAGACGGCCGCCTGGCCAACGGGCCATATGCCAACAGCCCATCTGACAAGTCTCACACAACCAACAATGGTCTTGGGGGGACTGCAGGGCACGGCTTCAGCCAACGCCCTGTCGACAAAGTACTTTCTGGCCGTCGATGGCGGCGGCTCGTCCTGTACCGTCGTTCTGCTGAGCTCGGCCGGGGTCGTCTCGGTCGGCGAGGCTGGGCCATGCAACGTGTGCGTTTCCGGGAAAAATCGAGGTGTCCACCCGTCTCGCGTTCTGCCCTTCTGACCTTGCAGCACGACCATGGGCATGGAAGCTGCTCTGGCGGTCATCTCCGCAGCCATTCGGTCTGCCGTCTCAACACACCCAGACGTCGTCGCCGGCCACGTCCAGGACGTGCCCATCGCGTCCGCATGGGTCGGCATGGCAGGCTACGATCGCCCACACCTTGCTGCAGTCCTGGACGCGGCCGTGTCCGAGCTGCTCGGCATCCCGGCCGGAAACCTCCGTCTGACCGTCTCCTCCGACATTGATCTGTTGTCCGTCAAGGCGGCGTCCGAGCGCTCGGCTCAGACTGCCGTCGTCCTCGTGGCCGGAACCGGATCCGTGGCCATGAGCTTCCAGCGCAGCGGTGACCGGTTCACGCGAACGGCCAGGGCTGGCGGCTGGGGTTCGCTGCTCGGCGACGACGGATCCGGCTTCGCCATTGGCAAGGCTGCTCTGCGACTTGCCCTGCGGACCAGCGACACGCTCCGGAATAGGGCAGCAAAGGCGGAAGCCGACGGCATGGACAGCCTGCCCAGCATACCACCGCTCAGCGCGGCCGTCTACAGTCATTTCGAAGCCGCGCAAGAAGGTTTCGATCGCCGTGATCTGCTGTCCGGCATCCTTGCCCCCCCGGCGACCACCGCATCCTCTGACAGCACGACTGCACCCCAGCGCATCGCTCGCGCTGCTCAGGTGGTCCTCGCACTCGCCGAGTCTGACGACGAGGCAAGGGCCATCCTCCAGGAAGCAGCCGCAAGCCTGGCCGATATGGTGACGGATCTGGTCAGGGACCAGGGCGCTGACCCGGCCAATATCGCTCTCATCACGGCAGGCGGCGTCCTGAAGAACAGGCTCTACAACAGCATGGTGCAGCAGGAATTGTCAAGAAGAGGGTCGGACTTCAAGTGGACCATGAATGTACAAGTCCCGGCCTTGGAAGGGGCTCGCTGGCTCGCTGCCAACTATCGAGAACAGCACAGAGAGAATATACATTAGACCGAACAGGACACTATGGTTACAACTAGAAGAACATGTGGAACGGGTCAACACGATGCCCCCATTGAGGGCTAGAGCTCTGGCTGCGTCCCACCGTCGAGAACGGAAAACTGGTTCAAGTCTTGGACAGTCGCATCTGCCATGTTGCCCAGCTCAAAGTCGCCGTACGGCCAGCCGCCGCATAGCTGCAGCCAGATGGACTGCACGCTGATGGCCTTTGCCGACGTGTCGGACGTGGCAAACTTGACCGACGATTGCAGAGTTGGCAGCGAGATGGCACAGGGATAGCCGTCGCCGGGCTGCGGCCGGAAGTCATCGGCCGAGTTGTCGTCCGAGTGGCCGTCCTCGCGCCCGAGAATGCCCTCGTCAATGTCGCCGAGGTAGGCGGCCTTGTACAGGCCATGCATGACGTTAAGGGCCACGAGCCAGCGGCGCGCCGCCTTCCAGTGCGACGTCCACGACGTCACCAACTGGTGTATCAGAACCGTGCACTTCTTGGCCTTGTCCCGGACACCAGGTGCTTGGCAGGCCTCGTCTTCGGCATACTGCAGCCAGAGAAAGGTGTTGGCGACGATGACGAGGGAGGAGGCCACCCAGACCGACTGCAGCGGCGACGAGTTTTCGATGTGCGCGGGGTCCATCAGGAATTGCAGCATCTCGCCGACCTTGAGCGCACTGGCCACACATGTCTCGATCAGAATCGGCTCCCGGTGCAAGTACGAGAGGCCGGCCGCATCCACGAGGTCCACGAGCTTGGTGTACAGCGTCAGATGGGGCAGATAGCACTGGTGGGCGACACAAGAGGCGCTGCACAGCAGAAACTGCATCGCAACAAACGAGTGTGCCTGGCCCAAGGCCGCCTGGCCCTCGTAGTTGTGCTCGCTCCAGGTCAGGCTAGGTGGCAGCGAGCCGATCCAGTCGAGCAGCGACGCACTCCGCATGTAGAAGATGCCCCTCGGATCCGTCGGCGGAAAGGCGTCCTGATGTCGCCGCGATTTGAGCGCAAAGTCGGCCAGATCGCTCCAGATGCAGACCGTCTTGACAAAGTACGGACTGATACCCAGTTCCGACGGCCGCCTATAGCTGGCCAGACTGGCGAGTGACACGCCCCGGGTCGGCTCCTGATACACCAGCGATGAGTCTGTGCCGGGGACGGCGATGGCCACATTCTCCATGTTGACCGTCCGGTGCTTCGCGAGGAGGTAGGCCAGCACCCGGTCAAACAAGAGACAGGCCCAAAAGGTCCGCCGGCGGATCTCCTGCTCCTTGAGACTGTGCTTTTCGTGAAAGTCCTTGTTCAACCGCATGATCTCGGCCATGCGGATAGCCGTGCCCAGGAAGAGCCAATGGCGTGAGCCGGCATTGGAGAGCAGCTCGGCCATGGCCAAGATCAGATGTGCCTGGATGTGTGAGACTGCACGCATGTCAGCTGGTCGTATTCGGCTTGGGGGCTGCAGGGCTCGCCCGTACCGGAGGGCTCATCTGACGCCATCTTGGCCAGGTACCTGGCCTTGTGCAGATACAGCCGAGTGATCTCGAGCGAGGACGAGGCCAGGCCGAAAAGCGTCTGGACATCGGCAACCTCGACATAGCGGCCGCACAGAGCGACGACCGAGCAGGCGAGCAGCTGGTCCTGCTTGCACTTTTGCTCAAAGTCGGGCCGGTGGTCGAACGAGCAAAAGTCGCTGCAAAAGTGCCGCTCAAAGAAGATGGTCAGGCAGTGCTGCAGTCCACGCGGGTCGACTTCGCTCGGGAGCAGCGACGACGACGGCGTCGGCGAGATCGCGCTGTCGGCCACGGCCGGCACGCCGGGGCTGTGGCCAGAGGGGGCATCTGGAGTGGGCCATGCACAGGTCAGGTTCTTGACTCGGCAGTGCGTGCACCGAGGGCGGACGCCATCGCACTTGGTCTTCCGGCGGCGGCTGCAGCAGGCATTAGCGGACGAGAAACGAGGCAGCAGCAGCTCGAGCGAGCAGACGAACCAGAAATTGCAGGCCAGTGGAGTTCTGGAGAACGTTCGAGCCATCGGGATCGCACGACAGCGTATCGAGAGATCGGAAGGCTTTCGTGTGCATGCCGACAGTCTGGGCATCGCGGATGAGTCGACGGCTTCGGGTTAAGAACTCTTATCGCCCTGCTTCCAGCTTTCGGCACTAACCCAGAGCGTGTCTAGGCCATCCGCCAGGCCATCGGCTTTTCCGTCATTCTGCGGACCGCCGACGGGTTACTCCCCCAAAGACAGGGATCCTGGTGTTGCAGCTATGGTTTAAGAATCACTCAAGCAGTCTTATCTCTCTGAAAGATGTTCCACGCATGTTTGTCGAACGATGGCCAGAAGGAAAAGAAACGGGCGGATGGAATATGACACGTGACGAGTCGATATTGCAGCCAGGCCCAGCTTCAACTGCCGAATTTGATCAAGCCAACATGTCCGCAAAATGGATCTGACGTGCAGAGCACTCCGTATTACGCCCTGCTTGCGAGCATCCAGTGACACCGCAGGATGCAGACCAGACGAAGAGGCGGCGAGCCAAGAAATTTTACTGCATTGGGGCAGAGAGGCAGTGTAAACCCAGATGGGAACCTGGCCAGTCGTTCCTTCCCGCATAGCGCCGTCGGCACGACGTCACCAAACAGAGCCTGCGTTGCTCCTTCCCCACTCCCATGTGTCCCCTGCATATTGCGACATGCAGACCGTCGGTACTACTCGTACATAACTTACGTCGTAGTAGCAACTCGTCGTGACGATCGGCACTCGAGTTACGAGACAGAACAGCACATGTATTAAAAGTGATCATCGCTCGTTTGGCTTCCGCTTTCATGAGCACCTGTGGGCCTCTCCTCGTTAATGCATAAAACCACCTCAGAATCTGGCCTTGTGCCTAAGCGACCGGGCAAACATGCGCGTCTTCGGCCCCCCAGATCGACAATTTGATTGTGCAGGTTCCAGGCATCGGTTGAACACGCGGATTGGGCTTGGAAGCGTGCATTTGCTCTCATACCACCGTTCCCTTTCCCAAAGATAAACACTGCTGGTCGCACCGTTCACTTTCGTCATACCTACGGAGTACAGAGTATGGGTTCGCAGTCTTCAAAGTCGGTCCTTTCTCCTGCACCGGAGTTACGGCAGGTTGCCCCTAGGTTTCCCCCACAAAAAAAAGATAAGATACACGGCCAGACCAATCTCGCTCAGCTCACCGCGTCCAAGCTCGTCCCAGCTTCGACATCTGCCTCCAAGCCCATCGCAAGCGTCTCCTGTCCCATCGAATCGGGCCATCCAGGACAATACGCAGCTCGATGGACGATAGCAGCTGGGCGCTGCTGCACCCCATCACTGGGACCGGCACGCTCGGCTTTGTCTTTCTCTCCAGTCTTCCGGCCCTGCACCAGCTTTGGCTGAGGGCCAGCTTCGCTCGCCGCAATCGTGGTGCCGAAGGCGATGGAGGTCACGAGGCCGTCCCGCAGCTCTTCGAGAGCCCGGATGGCCAAGCCACGGCTGAGTCTGTCGCCGCTTTCTCTGACCATCAACCGCGTCTTGCTGTATGGACCAGCTTGTTGCTCGGCCTCGCGGCCTCACTCATCGGCGCGGTCTTGTCGAGTATCGGCCCAGACGGTGGCCATTTCTCGCCGACATCGACTTCTTGGCTGCGAGTCTTGGACAATTGGATAGATGTACCAACTTGGGGCCTCGGCCTTTTGCAGTGCGCCAGCATCCCTACAAAATCCCAGTATGACTGCCGCTTTCTGCTTGCCACCATCGGCTTCTGGTCTGGCGCCGCCTTGACCACCTCTGTCCTCGTTCGCCACGGCTTCGGGATCGTTCTCGCTCTGAGCGGCAAGAGTGAGGGCGGCTACAATGGCGTTGTCGTCGGCGCGGCCGTTTGTTGGCTCGTCGAAGTCCTTTGCGCTCTGGCCGCTTCGCTGGCTTTCGCCTCTTTCCCGCACCGCCCCGACGTATACTATCGCGGAGGCCTCGTCGACCAGCAGCACGCCGTGTCGAGATTGCAGCTGTTTGGCTTCACCTGGAACCGTGTCATCTTCGACATTGCCCACGAGCGAAAGCTCGAGCTGGAGGACTTGCCCAACCTCGATGGCGAGACACGATCGTCCAGCATCCTCGAAACCTACCTCGCCGATGGTGGCAGCGCCGGTGGCGAAAAGGGCCGTCTCTGGTGGCAGCTTGCAAAGGCGTACCGCTGGCCTCTGTTCCAGCAGTGGACGTTGACCTTTGTGCGCTCGATTCTCGCCCTGTTCCCGCAGTACGTGCTCTACCAGTTTCTCGAGGGCCTCGACAAACACAAGGACGGAAACAAGGCCGCCAATCCGCAGCTTTGGGGATGGGTCATCTCCCTCGGCGTCAGCCTGGTGCTGCAGGTCTGGGTCAACAGCATTCAGCGCTGGCTCACTGCTAGCCGTCTTGAAGCGCCAGTCAGCTCGCTTATCCAGGCGCTCATCTTCCAGAAGGCGCTGCATCTTGATGAAGCTGCCGAACCCGGCCAGGCTACGGTAGGCGGCCATACAAAGGTGGCCGGCCTGGACAAAAAGGACCCAAAGAAGAAGAACAGCGGGGACATTCGTCAGTCCGTGGTCAACCACATGAAACTAGACAGGTCAGAAAACATGCTTTCCTTTGCATCTTCCCTTTGTACCTACTGACAGCTGCAGTGGCCGCATGACGATTTTCTGCACATACAACTACTGGATTCCCCTGGCTGTGTTCAAGTTGATTTTGGCCGGCACCGCCCTGGGCCGTCTACTCGGCTGGACCGCCTTCTTGTCCGGCCTGGGCTGCTCTCTGCTGGTCTACCCGATCAGTCAAGTCATGTCCAAGAAATACGCCACAATCCAGTTCGGCCTGATGAAGTACCGAGACGCCAAATCGCATGTCCTGACTGAAGCCCTTCAAGGCATGCGCCAGATCAAGTACTCGGCGCTTGAACAGATCTACGAAAAGAAAATCCTCGACAGCCGAAATGAGGAGCTTCGTCAGTTCTGGCGTGTCGCCAAGTGGATGTTCGGTCTCTCGCTCGTCATCGCTACCGGACCTATCCTGCTCTCCTGCGTCTCCCTGGCCATCTACACCCTCACCACCCAAACACACGTCCGTGCCTCTGTCATTTTTGCCTCCCTCGGCCTCTTCGACCAGCTCGACGAGGCAATTGGATATTTGCCTTTGATCCAAGTTTATTTGATGGAGGCCTGGACGAGCTGTGTCCGCGTGGAGAAGTACCTGAACCAGCCCGACCGGCCTCCTGTTTCTGTGCCTGGTGAAGCTATCGTCTTTGAAGATGCTACGGTGCGCTGGCCCAGAGCCGAAGATGCAATTCTAGAGACCGCCTCAGAGACTTCGTTGTCACCCTCGTCTTCTTCAGCACCAGACGTCCAGTCTTCGCTTGTCACCCCTTCCGACGACCAGCAAACTCGATCTATTCTGCGCAACGTCAATCTTTCTTTCCCCGCCGGAGAGCTCAGTCTCATCACCGGCAAAACCGGCTCGGGAAAGAGTCTTCTCCTGGCCGCCATTCTCGGGGAGGTAAGGCTTCTGTCAGGTACCGTCAGAGTGCCCGAGGCGCCCCCCGTGTCCACAATCGAGAGCGACAAGGCGACTGATGCTGACTGGGTCCTCCCCTCGCTGACGGCCTTTGTGTCTCAAACACCCTGGATTGAAAGCGGCACGTTCAAGGACAACATTCTGTTCGGCATGCCCTTCCGCGAGTCCCGGTACAAGAAGGTCTTGCAGGCTTGCGCTCTGGAAAAGGACATCGAGCTTCTTGCAAACGGTGATGCCACCGAAGTTGGGCCCAAGGGCGTGACACTGTCCGGAGGCCAGCGTTGGCGTGTGGCTCTGGCACGTGCTTTGTATTCCCGTGCTGGAATTCTCATTCTTGACGATGTTCTCAGTGCTGTCGATGCCCATGTCGGCCACATCATTGTCGAACAGGCCTTGTCGGGCGACTTGGCCAGAGGCCGTACGCGCATCCTTGCCACCCACCACCACGAGATGTGTCTCGCGCATGCGTCCTATCTGGTCAGGCTCGAAAGCGGCAGGGTCCAGAACGTTGAGAATATTGAGCATGTCGAGGAGCCGTTGTTGTCAGCAGGCGTTGAAGCTTCCGCAGAAGAGGAGGCACAGGATGCTGACTCATCATCATCTGCAGCCCAGATCGCCGCCAGCAAGAAGAAAGATGAAGAGGGACGAGAGACCGGTCGCGTCAAGTCTAGGGTATACCAGGAGTACATAAAGGCTAGCAACTCGATATTCCTCTGGGTTGCTATCATGGCCTTTGTTGTTGTAGGCCGTTTATGTGGCGTGGCCACAACCTGGTCGCTCAAGGAACTCGCCGGAAGCTACCAGTCCAACGATACCTACGACAGCCTCAGCAGCCACAAATTCATCTCTCAGTCTGCTGAGCCGGAGCTAGTCTGGCATGCCGCCAATCTTCCGCACACGACTACATCCACATTACAGACCTCCGGCGATGACTCGGCCTACCGACGGACGGCATTGTTTTGGATTTCGGCCTACATTGTCTTTGAGCTATGCAGCCTTCTTGTGGGAGCGAACACCCAGCTGCTGATCATGTTTACCGGCCTGCGCGCTTCGCGTGTTCTTTTTGAGCGCATGACACACTCTATCCTGCACGCGCCACTTCGCTGGATCGACACCATTCCCAGCGGCCGGATCCTGAACCGGTTCACATCTGACACCTTTATTGTCGACCGGCGCCTTGCTAGCGATCTGGGAACCTTCCTTTCGAGCTCGTTCGTCCTCGTTGTCATCATCGCCACCAGGTTCGTTTTTGTCTTTTTTGCTGCCCAGGCATATCCTCCCTGCCCTATGTCTGACCTTCAAACAGTATCTCCGTCTCGCCATATATCATCATCTTCGGCCTGCTCCTTCTCGTTGTTTACGGCCGTATTGCGGTATTTTACATTGCCGCGGCACGTGAAGTGAAGCGCATCAACTCAGTGGCGTATTCCCCTGTGTACGACCAGTTCAGCTCAGTTTTGACGGGGCTCTCGACCATTCGAGCGTTCCAGCGGCCGGAGTTTTACATGGACCGCATGTTTGGCCTGATCGACAACGGTACCAAGGCCAGCTGGGCCATGCAACTGCTGGCTCGCTGGATGAACTTCCGGATGGGCATGTTTGGCGCCACCTTTGTCACTGTGGTGGCAACCTGCATCATCTTTGGCAACATCAACGCGTCGCTTGCTGGCTTTGGCCTGATCTTTGCTCTTCGATACACCAGTGCGCTCAGTCGTCTCCTTGCCAACGTTACCAGTGTTGAGCTTGGATTCAACGCAGCCGAGCGGATTCTCGAGTACATTGAAATCGACACAGAGCCTGAGACCGGCAGGGATGCTCCTGCTGCGTGGCCAACCAAGGGTCATGTCGAGGTGGAAGACCTGACGGTTAGCTATGCCCCCGAACTGCCGCCTGTCCTGAAAAGCCTCAACTTCGAGGCTCGACCTGGCGAGCGTATTGGCGTTGTTGGCCGCACCGGTGCCGGCAAGTCGACGTTGGCTGCTGTGTTCTTCCGGCTGCTGGAACCGAGACAGGGATGTATTCGCATTGATGGAATCGATATCGCCACACTCAAATTGGAGCAGCTTCGCAGCCGTCTTGCCATCATCCCCCAGGACCCATTTCTTTTTGCCGGAACGCTGCGCTCCAACCTGGACCTTGACGGCTCGATAGATGATTATGATCTGCACCAAGTGCTCAGGAGAGTCCATCTTGTCGAAGCGGACGATGAGGATACAGGCCCGCCTGTGACGATTTCTGCCGTTGACCGAGGCACAGATTTGCAAATTGTCGAGGATCAAACACAGGAAGAAGTTGCCCTGCTGATAGAATCAACTTTGACCGACTCAGCGACTGCAGACGATGTACCGGAGAACAACACAGTCACAGTTGTGTCAGAATCACCAACAGAGGTTGCCTCGTCGGTGCCTGAAGGTGAGGAAAGCGATCATACTGCCAACAATGATACCAGCATTGCGGATGAAGCCGATAACAACAATCGCGATGTCGATGACAGCAACAGCCCGAGACACACATTCAAGGATCTGGATATGCCCGTCTCAACTGGTGGTGGAAACCTGTCCCAGGGTCAGCGGCAGCTTGTTTGTCTAGCCCGAGCTTTGCTGACGCGGCCGAAGATTGTCGTGCTGGATGAAGCTACTTCGGCGGTTGACCGCGGCACAGACAGTGCCATTCAGGAGTCTTTGCGTCGCGAATTTGCATCTGGTGGTTGTACAGTTCTCGTCATCGCGCATCGACTGAGCACAGTGGTGGACTTTGATCGTATTCTCGTCCTGAAGGAGGGTCGTGTCGCTGAGATCGGGACGCCGAAAGAGCTGATGGAAAAGGGTATGGCTCTCGATGCGTCTCAAAAGGAGGTCACGTCGGCTGCAGGAGAAGGGGGACTGAGCCAGACGTCTGAAGGAGACGTTGCAGAGGAGGAACGGGACGACAGCGGTGCCTTTTGGGAGCTGGTTAAGCGAAGTGCAGAAAAGGACAAGCTGGTTGGGATGGTCTTTGGAGAGAAGGCGAAGACGGAATGAAGACCAGGTGGGGTCTCGATGATAGAGAACTCTGAATAAAGGATGGCTCAGACCAACGTCGTCTGTTTTTGGTTTTGTTTCTATTCTTGCTACAAATAGCACCACTCGGAGACAAAGAAAAAAAGAGCATGGGCAAGTCAGCCAACAAAGCTTTGTGCAATTTGTTCACCGACGACCCCGAACACAACGCCTGCAGTGAGCTTCTCCATCACCTGCTTGCGACCTTGCACATGTGCACTGTTTTTGTTTATGATAGCTAACTCTACTTACTTCGTACTGCCCTCCCGTTTTTTTGCTGTGGACCCCGTGGTATTCGAATTCGCAGTTCCTCCTACTAAAGTTCAGCAGCTATTTACTGTCTCTCCGTGTGTCTACAAGCAGCTTTTACAAAATCCCAGACTCACTGACAATAATCATTTACAGACTTACGCGCCTTTTCTTCAACGATAGCTAACCGAGTTGACCGCGTGATCCTAGCATGCAGCGATCACTTTCGACCGGCTACTTGCATCTCCGAGTCTGCCAGTTACAGGGAAGAAGGAGTATCGCCGTTCCATCAAGCTCTGAAAGTGTCATCAATGCCATTCAGACTTGAATCTACCAAGCTGCAGTTCTGCATAAGGATACTGCAAATCCAGCAAGAATAGAGGCGGCAGGTACTCACACGAGCAGGATCGTGAGCACTGATTCGCGAGATCTGCCTCAAACGATCTCCATTGATCCCATTGCATTTCGTAGACGGCTGTAAAATAGAAGGCTGCAAACTGCCCAGGAAGACTTGAGGTTATCATGGTTAGAAGGAGTAGCAAACATTCGAGTCTGCGAGAATGATACCTGCCATCAAGACGAGTCGCACGTACTTTGTTTCGCACACTACAATATGTCCCAATGGAAAACACGTAATTTTGTATCTAGAAGCGAACAAAGCGTCTAGCCGTTCCGACTACGTTGGCAATGAAGGGGTAGCAGGTGAATTGGCATCCCTTGCTAGAGACGCCCTTTGCTGGAGGAATCTTTGTCACACCTTGGCAACACAATCGTTTACGAGCTCCTTCTTTTATCTCTGACATCCAGAAAGACCAGCTTTCATGCATCGTACAAGGTCTCCATCCAATCTCCATCGTGTCATCAGCCCGTACTGCATGTTCTCCTTGTCAGAGCTACACGTCCCCTCCATTACGTAGCTGCAGTAGCGCTTCTCACAGCTTCTTTGACCTGCCATGGCATTTCAGTGAATCTATTCGTGCCGCTGTCCATCTAAGCAAGTCCTGCTTTAGCTTCCAATGACGCAGCTCTTTGGGCTCACGTATTTCTTCCCAGGCCTTTACCTATTAAGGGCCTGCCTGCAAGGACTGCCTTTCATTCAGTCTCGCTCTTCCCTGACCTCTTACCCTCCCTCTACATGACAATACCTGTTGTCCTCAGCTTCCTATCCCTCTGCCTACCTTCTCTACCTCAGCTTCGACTTGCTTCCTTCACCTTCCTCGCTGTTCTGGCTCCACTCTCTCTCTCTCTCTCTGTCAGCAGGATCCTACGACTATATAAAGCCTCCTCTCCTCCTCTCTCCTTCAACCCTCTCCTTCTCTCTCTTTCATTCTTTCAACAAAAAAGCAGAAAATAACTTCCTCCTCTTCAAGAAGCATCAGCCCTCTCCGAAGAGTGAGTCCAATCAACACCTACTCTACTTTGAATCCTTACTTCTTGCCCTCTACCTCTCCTCTCGCTGATTGCTAATGATCAATTCAGTCTACGCTCATCAAACAGCATTGGGTTTTCCTCAGCCAAGCCGCTGTCATCTCAGCATCTTTCCGCCTCTTCCTACTGTCTGCCCAATAGCTTCTCTTGACAAACCGTCAGATTGTGATTATTTTGCTATCATAGCACTTGACACTGATCTCAGAATATTAACGACGTCAGCATAATGGTCTCTGTTGTGGGCTACATCTTCATGATCCCCTCAGATTGTATCTTGCATAGAGACTTTTGAGCTCTCTCCCTCTCTCTCTTCCACTCTCTCTCTTCCACTCTCTCTCTTCCACTCTCCATCTTCTTCACTATTGCCCTCTCTGTTCTCCCTCCCCATTTTACTTTACGGATTTATCTTACTGTCCTCTCCATATTTTGTCTTGTTTCTCTTCTTTGCTTCTCCTTCTTCCTCTCCATTCTCTCCCTCTTCCCCTCCTTATTGTCTTCCCATTCCTCGTCTTCCTCTTCATAGTTGCAGCACTGCTGGCATGATGCGATGCTGCGTCAAGATCGACAAAATACGGACATATTCTCCTCTCATGCAGACTATGCTGAGTTGTTTGGGGATGCTCTCATGCACCCTTACTTCAGCCGTCCGACGACGACGGGCGGATCTAGACCGGTTTCGATTGAAAACAAAACGAGGCGGATTCTAGGACAGGTGAGCACTCTTGTTCTCCTAAGCCACTGTGGTCCTTCTGAGAAGTACTTTGTGCTGTCTCTACAGATATCGCTGCCAGACAATCATATATTGGCCATCAACGTCTCTCGGCTCAGTCTAGCAGCCGCAGCTGAACATGATCTCACCTACTTGGTGCAGCTAGCTTTACCGGCATTGCAAGCCACCCATGTGTTGGACGAGATCGTGGAAAATGAAGTACACCCCGGAACAGCTTCAAAAGAGGCTGCCACGCCGTTTGTGGCTCCGGATGGACGAGACATTTTGCAGCAATCCGTCTTGTGCTCGCCTCCAAAGTCCTTCGAGTTAGTGTTGGAAGCACCGGAACGAATTGCGATTGTTAGTACCAACAAATGTGCGAATGCACTGGGTTTGCCGACGATGGCAACAAGCCGCCAGCACCAGCAGCACCAGCAACGACGCCCTAACGAAGGGTAGTAATGGCTCAGACCACACCGAGTCCAGGAGCCGACTCAGGATATATATCCTGAGAAATTGCAGCCTCAATACCATCAGCACCGCCAGCGGCAGAGACATGAGCCCACGAACAGGCTTCAGCAACGGCACGAGGAGCGGCGGTGTGAGCAGCGGAATTATTTACGGCTCACATTACGCCGAATCCGGGAGAATCCTGAGGGTGGCTGTACCAAAGTACAGCCTCAACAGCAGCAGCTTCAGCAATACGAGCGACATCGGCATCACATCTGGGGTGGAGGTGACAGACGAGTCCATACCACCTGGAATGCAATATTTGCGCATACCGCAGTCTGCGACATGTGTGATCGCCGCGGACATCCAGTGCTTCAGCGCTGCATCGTGTCTGGCTGTAGGCTTCAAGTTTGTCAAGAATGCGCAGCGCAAGGCCGTCTCGACAGCAGAACGCATAATCTCGACAAGAATTCTGCTTCATGGGATCGTGTCAGATGAGCGGACAGAGCCGGCTGAGGCAGTGCTTACAAAACTTGGCACTCTATACCCCCTTCTGAACATTTCTGCTGGGGAGGATGTGTATACTTGGAGCACAGCCAAGAGGTATGCTGCAGCAGCTGAAGGCGTTGCAAATACTGTAATGTTTTAAGGACCTGGGCGACGACAATATGCTGGCAAGAGTGACGGTAAGCAGCACTTCTTCGAATGGTCCGAGATCTAAGACCCGAGAAACTGACAAACTCAGAGCTCGGCCTCTATTGGGGCAGTTCCTGGCCGACAGGTCGAAGCACCGGTCGTCGACCAACGTTCGCGCCGCGAACGGTTTGGGACTGTCCAGTGAGTCGTGCTGCAGCTTAGGTTTAGTACCAGTACCGGCGGGAGCCGGAGATGACCCTGACGCCAGCCCAAAGACCTATTCATCTGATTCGTCAGATGGAGACGCAGGACGCCCTGACAAGTCCGGATTCAGATTTCCGAAAAAAAGAAGAGCTTGCCAGAGTGAAGCGGCCATCAGGCTCTGGAAAAAATACCTGCTTGACCGCTTCTGGCCAGCTGCCTGAGGTAAGACTGCCAATACCAAGCTTTTTTTTCGTATACTGACATGGACGCTGATCAGACAGAGTACGTCTTTGGTCGTGGTCTCAATTTGCGACCCTGAGCGATTTCGTGGACAGGTTTGGTGGCTTCCCTCGATACACGGATGGCACTTCTGGCAAGGCAGAGATACGATTTTTCCGCCACGCTATGCCAGCACGAGCAGATTTCCTTGGTACGTGTTACATCGTATTCATTGTCATCCTATGTCTGGTAGACAGCCGTTTTCTTCGTTATTAGACGGGGATTATCTGTATATAAGAGGAACTTGGCCACGCCGATTTCTCGGGTGGTTCGAAGCTTGATTTGGTACTTGTTGCCTGTGGCGCTTACCAGCACCAGATTTAGACACGCGTGTTCTTACTTTACAAAGTTTCGTGCTTGTTGTATGTGCTTTCTATAAGTCTAAGAAGGGCTACGGTGCAAGTTTCGAAGCTACACCTTCCCCAGTGTCATTTCATTGATAGAAGTACTGCGATCCGATGCGAATACATTGCCTTCCACATTGAAATATGCCATACTCTTCTATTGATTTGCACATCTACAATTACCTTTTAGTAGAGTTTGATATCCCAAATTACTCTCTCCAGGATCTATGATCCAATGAGCGACCTCGAAATGTCCGGGGTTTCCATCTGCACGTCGTTGACTGAATCTGTGCGGTTTTCGTAGAGCACGACCAAGTCACATGACCTAACAGGCACATCTTTACCATTTGGTTCAGCAAATCCTACCTATCGCAGAGGAACTCGATTCGGTGCACAACGATGATCAGCGCAGAGCCGTGGTGAAATTAAACGGCTATTTGGCCTCTCTTTTTCTCTCGGCGTTGCCGGCAAAATTATGCATTCAGTCAAGAGAGCCTCACTGCAACCAGGAGGCCTCACTGCCGTTTCGAGCCGTTTCAAGGCACTCGGTTTTGGTAAAGCGCAAAGCAGGTTACTCGGTGTCGCCGTGGGGACGGCTCTTTCCTTTGACTTACTTTGAGACATGAGGCAGAAAAAATACGGCAAAAAGGAGGGGGCTGGATGGAGCGAAAAAGAAAGAAAAAAAAAAAGAAAAAAGAAAAAGACGAAGGCGCCAAAGGTATCTGCCGAAACTGTGGGAAACCGGCTACGACAGTCTTTCACCGGGAACCTGCTGCTTTTTCAAGCACCCGGAACGTATTACCGTGCCAAAACCTCACCGGTTTTCTTTTCATCTTTGTAAGATTACTTGTACGCAGAAGCCTGGCAGTACACGGTGTCGCTATAACCGGTGTAGGCTGTACGGCTATCCGGTGCAATTTGCTTCTTCACGAATCTGACACCTCGATTGCAGCCACGACCCACAACAGTGATGTTCTTGCAGGTGAGATGTGTGCGTGCAGCATGTTTCTGGGCGGGATTGTGTCAACGTGTGGTGATCTGGTTTCAGGGCATTATATTCTGGTGCTCTGTCCCTGTACGAGCCTATGTAATAGATGGTGCAGCAAAGAAAGCAAAGAAAGCACGCAAAGCACAAAACACCCAACAAAGGACATGCGGTGCTGATTATAAGCAGCAGAGTCCCCAAACCTGTGTATCGTCCGTCGTAGTAAGATAGTAGCCCCTGACCTTCCCGGTGGTATTACAAGAAAAAGCAGTCGTGGTATAGTACAAGAAATAGGGTTGAAGAAGAGTAAAAGCAAGATGATAATGAGAGACACGGGGAAGCACAAGACGACCTGTCTTAGCGCCACGTCGCGTGAATCCGACCCCGTCGATTGCTTCGGGCGCCCGGTCGCAGGCCGATGTCGCCGCCAAGCATGAGGCTCTTCCACCGGCGACCGACGCTTTGGCGGTCCTTCTTGCCCAGACTGCGCGCGCAGTCTTGCCAGTCCGTCTTGCTGAGCTGCAATTTATCCAACACCAGCTCTACTAGCATGCGGTCGTCTTCGGAGCTCCAGCTCTCGCCGTCGACCTCGACCTCGACCGGCGCCGCGCTTCGGCTGCTATCGTCCGGGACGCCGTCCGCGTGCAGAGTGTGGAAGTCGCTTCGGGCCAGTCCCAGCGGAAGCGCTTCGGGGGCAATGCGCGAGCGTCGCGGTGTCTGTGGCCGGGGAGGCGTTGTCGGGTCGGTGACAGTAGGGACGGGAGCAGCAACCGCAAAGATGTCCTCGTGGGATGATCGGCGAAAGAGTTGTAGAGATGGTGCCGGCAGCAGAGCTGGAGCCTGTGCAAGCGACGGAGAGGGGCTGCCGAAGGGGTACGATGCGAGAGACGGCTGCGGGAAGATGTCGTCGTCCCTGATCTCGAAGCCGTCATGGTCTTGGTCTACGGACCGCAGCCTCTTGTTGGGGTTGCGCGTCAGCGGCATCCGCTTGATGATTCGTTTGCGCGCAGCAGTAGAGTATGCATCGATGGTGGTGGTGTCGGCGGCAGCGGAGTCGTCTGTACTCGTTGAATCAGCACTGACCGTGGCTGCAGCCTTGCGCGGCCGCAGACGCAGCTTGAAAGGCGGCGGTGCATGTGTGAAGGGAGGCGTGAGCTGTTCGTGGTGCCGGTGTTGCTGCTGAGGTGGCGTCAGCGGAAAAGAAGGCACAGCGGATGGCGTCGATATCGGTGCTGACGCTGGTGCTGTCGACTGGAGGGCGGTTTGCAGGCTGCGGCAGGTGGTGAAGATGTCACCAGCAGCGTCGTGGAGCGAGGAGGCATGTGTTGGGCTGGCTGGCGGCGAGGCGAAGAGGCCGGTAGGCAGGCCGCGGGTGAATGGATGTGCAGCTGCAGAAGACGGAGAAGGGAATGGAGCCGAAGCAGTTGTAGCAGCGGCAGCTAGAGAGGAATGCGCCTGGTCGCAGGCGAAGCCGTGGAGAAACATGACGGGGAGGCAGGAAGGGTTGACGTGCAAGGAATGCGCGAGGTTGGAAAGACGGGAAGCTTAGGAATGCTGAATGACGAGATGGGAGAAACTGGGAGACTGGCTGGGGAAACAGAGAGGCAGAAACCGAGAGGAGGGAGAAGGGTGGCAGGAGACTGATATTCAAGGGCGAGCGGCGAGGAATGGAGGGCAGCTGGTCGCGAGGGAGAGAGAGTTGGAAAAGATCGTGCCCTTGGCGAGGGCTGCTGGCGTCCGGGAGAGAAGAAGAGAGCGAAAGCGAAAGGGAGGAAGACGGGAACGAGATGGCGATTTGCGCCTCTAATAGGCAGGGCCACCCTTTTTCGTTTCCTGCTCCCGCACGTTTTCTCGGGGCACACAAGCAGGGAGGACGGACGTCGGAGATCCACCGTCGAAGAGGACTGGGGGGACGGGCACTCGTCGTTGCGCGGCGCAAAGAAGAAAAAGATTGTGGTTGTCGCAAAATCTGGGCAAAAAGGTGACAGGAGTGGTAAAAAAAGCAGAGGGGGGTGTCCACCTGATTCACCACTAGCCGGCCTTGGGGGCCAATGGGCAGGCACGCTGGGCAGCAACTGACCGCTATGGCCGGCGCCCGTGCAGAATGCCGCTTGTACCGTTGCAGCGCTAGGACCGCGGGCTAGCAGAGGCCTGGCGCTGCTGCAGACCATCAAACCACCCGCTAGACCCGCCGCTGTAGCGAGCAACCCATGGGTCCTCGGAAGAATCACCTAGTTCTCCTCCTTCTCGTCTGCGCAGCCATGGCAAGCACGGCGACCCCACCGTTCCATCGCGCCCTAATCATCAGCGCTTGCCCGTCGCAGCTCTTGCCGACTCGCCTCTCTTTGCTGCTTCTTTCGTTCTTTTTCCCCTCTGCCTCGTCTCGCTCCCTCCTTCCGCCTGTCCTCTTTTCCTTTTTCCTTTTCCCTCCCCGGAGTACAGCTGGTAAGGGATACCGAGAGTGACAAGAGAGACAGCAGGTGCCAAGAAAGGCAAGGGTTCCCAGGCCCGATAGTCCCTGCAGACGGACGAACAGGCATTGAGACCTGCATATGCACCTCACCGTTAGGCTGGCAGTATCAGTACTCGTATCCTATGATGCCTTTGCCTCTCCCTGTGCACAATGTTCCCCGTTTTCACTGCGCCTGACGAACTGTCTTCACTCCGGCTCCCTCTCCATCCCTGTCCTCCTTTCCGCTTCTCATTGCCGTCGTCGGTTTCATCATACCTATCACCTCATCCATCTTGCCCACAAGCTGCTCTTGCTTCTGCCGTATGGCTCGCCCGCCCAAAATGCGCCGTTGGCAACAGGAACGGTATGGCCCGGTGGCTCCCGTCCTCCTTAGTGCTGCCAGTTGGCCCTGCCGACTCACTCGTACTGTGTGAATGTGCATACGAAGTGGCCCCATCCTCGTTGTCTTCGTATCCCTGGTTCCCTGGTAACCTGGCCTCCCTTGCTCGCTTCCCTCGTCCCTTTGGTCTACTGAGACAGCCCTCTCCCTTTTGCAGCCGGCTCTCTCTCTTTCGGTCTGTTCTCATTTCCCTTTTCAGCTCTGTTGGGCTCAAGCAAGCACGTCGGCTCCGGGTATTACTTCTGCATTTACGAACACTTCATGCTTTCCAGCCATCCCTTTCCTTACGATCCTCCCCCAGATCCGTGTCTCGTTGCCCCTTCGACAGCTCTCTGCAAGCCGGGAATTACTGGCCCTCCCCATTTAGTACGAGTACCTGTACGGAGTAGTCCATGTCGCTTTGGCTGCAAGGGACACCCGACATGGGTTTTCGTTCACATGACGCTTCTGCTGCGCGCTCCTTATACGCCTGCACACCATCTTTATATCTGTGCTTTTTCTATTTCGCTCTACTGGCTCGAAGTACAGGCAGGCTAGCAGATCCGAACTGGAATCCAAGAGGACCTGGTGTCTTGCTTGCAGTCCTCCCACCAGCAACCATCACTACTTGCAATAAGACGAGTGCGCCCCTTTCGGAAGCTGCAAAGAGCGGCGACGATGAAAAAAGTAAAGATCCGTACTCTCTGTCTGCTTGCCAGTCGCGTGAGTGCTTACTATCGGTAGGGACGAGACGGGAAGTCTGCGGAACTTGAGACCCCATCCGCCCGTCCGTAAATTTCGTATTCTCAAGTCGTATTCAACCCCTTTCTACCGAGTTTTCGTACTTTAGTTCCTTTATATTTGTATCGTTGAAAGGAGGGATGTCTGACGGCATCCATCTTGTTCTGCCTTTCATTTCTATACCAACCGTTTCGCCATCTTGCTTTTATTTTGACTGATAAGCCTATCTGAAGATGGGACCATAGGCTTTGAGACGGGTTAGCCGCTGATAGTGCACACGTATGCTGCATTTGTTCATGCAGGTTGTCCGCATTTCTGCTTATCTGGACCGTTGGGCTGTGTCCTGATTTTATGTGGGATGGGAATCCATTCAACTTGACTTTTTGCTGTTGTCTTTGTAATCTTAGTTACGCTTTCCTTCTCTGGGCTTTTATGGCTATGAGGCCACCTATGAGGCTCCCTTCCAGTGATTTTCGAGTCACGAGCTTGTCAGTACGAGCTGAGACGATTGCGTGCTGAATGCAAAACTCGACCAGAATCGGGGAATCAAAGAACCTGACCACCCGTCAGAAATACGCGTGAGGAACGTGAGGGGAACGCGAGGGGGAACGCGAGGGGGAACGCGTAAACGACACGTCAAAGCCCACTTCTGCAACGGTTTAATTTAAAAAGGCCGGTGTACCCCACTATTTAGCCCAATCACATAATACCAAAGAGTCCCAAAGCGACACGCCGACGCGCTTTCTTCACCACCTCGTGCTGACTCTTACGTACGGAGTATTTTGTATGGAGAACAACTTTCCGGCTTCGCAACACGGGAATTAATAACAAAAAGCCCCGTGGTGAGGGATTTATCAAACGATTTAATGTGCTTCAAAAAGACAAAAACTCGCAACAATTAGATTTGAAGTGGACAAGCTACCCAGACGTAAGGTGGTCAGCATAGCAATCCAACAAGTAAAATCAAACAGTGATGACCGAATCTCCGTGGACAGAAGGTTTGGGACTAAAGACCGACATCCGCATTGAGCCGTGACGACCCTGGCTGGCAATGTTGCAGTCGAGAATAATCAAGCGACATTGTTTTTACAGTGTCGAGTTGCGCACCATGGAATATAGCATTGCTAGCGTCAGTGATTGACTGCCTTTAATACTCCGTACTCCGTCAATATTATCCCGGATCCTGGGCCCATTTGCCAAAGGCTTCTCTTTGAACTCGTACCCAACCAGCTGCATACAATTTTCAATGCCAAAAGTAAGGATCGTGCAACGTAGAGGAGCTTGGACTCTGAAAATTGCTCTGATTGCCTTCGTTACACATGGGCAAACCGAAGTCGGAAGTCGGATGGGGATATGTGTCAGGGTCCCTGGCGTGAAGCCAATCGTGTGCAATCGATTCCTCACAGTCCATTTTCTTGTACGGAGTGGACCCCACCATTCTGGTGAAGGCGTTAAGTAGACCCAGCTGGAAGTTACGAACCTGCAAAGTGTAAGCCTGATATAAAAACCTTGATGACTACGACGGTAAACGGCTCTTCTCTTTACCAGTACAGTGGTGTTTGGAAGCAATCTACAGTTGTAAGCGCATACTATCCTCCACTTAATTTCCCCGCCCACAGCAAGCCATGCGGTTCTTTTTTCAGCATTTCCTTTAAGCTTAAATAGACAGAAACTGTGTGAAGATTACTACCATTGGATCAAAAACATAATATAGCTTACAGTGGCCATGACAAAGTTACGAAGAATGTTCACTAACCGTTGCCGGTTGGCTTTTACGGCGCCGTATCCATCGTGGCGGCAGTGGTGGATCGAGAGTGGCACTGAAGACAGACAGGGTCTTTGTTGAAGCACAGCACCTAGTTTATAAATAGAATTACGGCGCCTTTTTGGCTGCTTGGTCCAAACAGGGCACTAAAGGGTTGGCTGTCGCCGAAGCAGCTCTATTCTTGTTCAGAAACATTCGAATTGATTTTTGTTGTTGATTGCGACTGTGCTTCTCGAACTTAGTAAGTAATGGGGTATGAAATCAAAACATCAAGTATTGAAATTTATTAGAGGGGCTGGGCTGTCTGCGATGCAACCTGTGCGGTCGGCCACGTCGCCTTCGTCATCTTCGAAATCTCATTTTTGGACGTCTGACGGATTCACTGAGGGGTAAAGCTGACGAAACTCTGCCCCACTATACTTTGGTTGGGCATGAATGCGAGTTCGGACACCAAAGTCCAATTGTTGACACTCGGGAAAGGCTTGAAGCAGAGGAGTTTTGGTGTTGAGTACGTCAGAGTGTTACATACGTAGGGAAGTGTTTCGCTGTAACCCAAGCTTATGTACTTGGTACGGGTTACATGAGACAGATACAAGTAATTGGATAGGAAAAGAATTTGGCGTGAAGCGTCTGTCGCTGTGGCCTGACAATCAGACTTACAAGTTACATCACATCTGCCAATCAATATCATTGGCAGAGACCGCGAAAATGACAGGATCCCGAGTCTGACCCATCCGCAGCAGTTTTTCCTGTCTTTTAATCCTCTCATTCTTCGTCCTTATCTATCTCATTTGTGATTCCATGCAAGTGCTTTTTATCATGACAGACGTGCATCGCCACGGCTTTACACAGCTTTCAGGGGCCAGAAGGAGGGACTGCTACCAGTTGAAGTAAGCGCAATGTCCATTGTTTTACGAGAGGCAACGTGCGCATTTATAGCTGCCAGTGTTTCTCTTCCGCCAGGCGGGGTCCTTTTTGTGTCACAATAGACCAATTCACGGCTGGTGGCACCATTGCTTGCTTGTAACCACCGGAAAGAGTCGAATTACCTTGCAAGTGATTAACGCCTCGTACGCCCTGGTTTAATGTCTGGTATGTTGTGTATAAATAAAAATTTAATTCCGGCCTGCCATACGTTGTCATGTCCTCTGTGTCCTTTTGTCTTCCTTCACCCTCGGTGCTCGGCTATTATTATCACTTTGGTGTCTCTCACCTTTAAGACGCTTTTAAAAAAGGGGACCAGCAACCTTCTAGCATGATCTGACTTGATGTCCTTGTCGGCGTACGCAATCGGCCTTGTCTCCAGATAACGTAGCTTACACATCTTCCAGCCTGGTTCTGTCTCCGCAGACTTTGGCGCAACCTTGATTCAAGGACGGCAGTGTCTGTGCAGAGCCAACTTCCATAACTATGGATATTTCTTGCCAGGAAGAGGCTTCTATGAAGAGTAGAAAACAGAGTAAGACTCTTCGCTTGTTAAAGGGATTGATATACTCCGTACTAAATGGGATGCGTTTGAATCGACGGCAACTTTTTAGATAGAAAGCAGATAGTACTTATAGCCCACCCTCTGATTACACTTAATAGATCTCAGATCTATGACATACAAACAGTCTCTGATATCCCCTTCCGATTGATGCACGAAGAACAAGCTGATGAGGACGGGCTATTGCGTCTCATATCACCTGAACCGAGATAGTAGCCAAGGCATAACCTGTCTTCCAAAGGATTGTGCACTTCCACCCCCTACATATTCCTGGTAGCCAACGTTGCGTCTGGTAATGTGATCCCCACTCCTGTAATCATAGGAGGGCTCTGCGGCAACTTCAGACCAGGTTCGGCCATGCTGGGTAAAGCTGGCCGGCGGCGGTTGCCTCTGCAGATTTGTGCGGCTAGCAGAGGCTCGACCTCGAACCTTGTGCGGCCGCTCGCGATTGATAGCCTGATGAGCATCAACGACACCGTTCTTGACATCGCGCAGCATTCGGCCAAAGTGCGGAAGGTCATACAGTTCGTGTACGACGGCTTCAACATCCATGTCGTCCAGCTGGACACTGCCACTGGTACCTTCAGCCATACTGTTCTCGAGAGTCTTGACGAGCTCGATGTGGGCTGCATAATCCTTGCGCAGATCCCCCACCTTGGTATTGTCGCGCGACACGCGTGCCTTCTGCTCCTCCTCCTGGATCAACATGTCAAGGTACTCCAACGTTGCGTCGTTGTAGGGCGTGATGGAATGCTTCTTCAAGAAGATGCCAAACCGCGCAGCAGACTGCTGGATCTTTGCATGCTCCTCCTTGTACTCAGCTATGCGGCTCACGAGGTCCTGAATAGCGGCCTGCTTCACTGTGACGTCGCTCTCGTTTTGCTCAAAAAGTCGTCGTGCCTCCGTGTCCGTCACGAGGGCCGTATATTCCTGTGTGTTTGAAGAAGTTAGCATACCGTACGTACCTAATGGGAAATAGGGACCATCTAGAGAAATCGGGGAAGACCATACTTCTAGTTCAAAGTAGACATGCAGATGCTCTTGCCAACTATGCCCACATTCGACCTGACAACAGAAACCAGTCCCATCACCGAAGGCGGCGCAGCTCATCAGCTCAGGGCAGTTGACACGATCGACCTCGACATTGTTGAGATAACACGGACTGTGGCAAGGGTTCTTGTACACACATACGACAGCACCGGTGCCATTGTCCCGAAACTCGATACAATCCTTATTCCGACAAACGGTGCGCGGGCGGTCCAGCTTGACTGACTTCAAGTGGACTTTTGGCACCTGTAGTCGTTCAAATAACTTTCCGCCAGACAGCCGCGTGTCACGCAGCTCCTCCATCTGGTCGCTGCATACCTTGATGTTCGTGTTGATGGTCTGCGAGATGTTGGTCATCGGTTTCGTGAGCTCGGCAATCAGCTGCCGTGTTCCATTTAGGCTCATGGTACTTTTCACCTCGTGGGGGACCTTCGACTCGAAAAACTTAACCAGACGCACGGCCTCTTCTCGCGAATGATTCCAGCTTCGCTGGAAGTCCTCTTCGTTCTCCATGAAGATGTTTTTCTTGTATGCTGCAAGGAAGCGGAAGCTCTCCGAGTCAAAACAGAACGTATTTTGGTTTTCGAGAGCCATGCCGATATCCTTGTGCTTTCCCAACAGAGACGTCAGCGGACCGAACGTGTCGCCGGGGCTGTAGTTAGAAATGCGCGTGTTTGTAAAACCAAAGGCCATGTTGCGCGATGCACTGCGATGGAGGTGAGTCAACAGCTCCTGCATGCAGAAATTGAACGTAACCGTCAATCGTGAGTTGTTGCTCTTGAGCAGAATCAGAACGCCATGCAGCTGTTCGTAGCTGCTGAGAGTGCGCAATATGTCGGCCATGTTCTTCTTGTCAAAGGCCAGGCCGCGCGTGTCACCAATCCCGGGAGTGTCGATCAACCGAATTGTCTTGGAGCCGACGTTGATTGGGTAGACGGCTGTTTGCTGCGTTGCCGACGCCCCTTTGCTGCCGTCCTTCTCATCGTCACGCACACCAACCTGGATCTTGCGCTCCTTGATGGCCCCGTTCGGCTGCGAACGATCCATGGTCTGAATAGAAAAAGATGACGGTATCACCCAGTTCAGTTCCTCGGCCCGCTTGGCCTCTTCGAGCGTCTCGAACGTGAGGTAGTTGACGAGCGAGTTGATAAAGGTCGACTTTCCTACGCCTGTTTCGCCCAGTATGAGGATGTTGATATAGTCAGACTGCTCGAGGTTCTTGAGACTCGACAGTAGCTTAGCTCGGTTTTGGGGAGCCACATAGCCATCTGAACTGTTAACCGGCTTCTTCTTCTTGGACTTTCGCCCTTTGGCTGTTTTTCCATGGATTGCACTGTTGCACTTGAACTGCCATGCATCGAACTTTGCTCGACCACAGTCGCAGTAGAAATAATCGTCAGAGTAACCAAACTCGATCTGGGCGTTACAATTCGAACAGATCCAATGGCACAATGTAAAATTGCTGCATCCGGTCCTAGGGCATGGAATCTTGACCATGCGTCGCTGCACGGGTTTTCTAATGTCATCGTCCGATTCGAGTGCCCCAGGGGTCCAGCGTGCAAAGGACTGACTAGCCTCAAACAGCCGCTGTTCAAGCAGATCTTGAGTCACTTTCGTTCTCTTTCCTTCATAGTGTGCAATCTGTACCCTATCCAATTGTTGTCCCAGCGCATCGCAGTCTAAAATGACGATCGCCGCTTCGGTGAGCGGTTTCGTGTGCCGCTCAAGAAGCTCTTCAAGCAAGACACGATTTGCATCCCAGGCCGGCCTATCGGCTGTTATTGCTGCTTGGCTGAATTTGAACACGTACACGTCGCGTTGTGAGGCAGCACAAGCGCCGAGGACCTTGTCTAAATCGACATCATTGTGTCCGATGTAGACTGCCCCGTGGTTCACAGCTGCACTGGAAAAATTGATATTGTCGTTTTGGTCCACCGCCAGATCTAGTAACTGCACACAGGACGACTTGAGCTTCTGGAGGTCATCTAAAAGACTCTCTGTTGCCAACCGGTCTAGCCCATGCAGCCGTGCATGCATAAGAAATGGGGCATATGTCTGCTTCAGCTTCTCTGCCTTCATCTTGACTATCGAGATGGTGCCGTCCACGTCCTGGACTTGGTCCAGTGATACGTACGGTCTGTGCTTAGCTAAATAGCTTGCATAGTCGACCAGCCGACACCAGACAGTCTCGACTTCTCCAAATTGCTCCATCACGGTATCGAGAAGCTCGTGCGAAACGGAAAATAGGTTTCTATCATGGCCTTGGAGGTGAGTGTCGCGAAGTCCAAAAATGGAACCAAGAGACTGGATAGGGAGTAGGGCGTATTGAACTGGCTCGCCTTTTCCATCGTTTGTGTCGTTGTGTTGGAGGAGTGACGGCAGCAACTTGACTAGATTGAAAGCCTCCCTGAAATCTTGCAGGACCATACCACCGTTGTCGAAGACTTCGCTGTACGCAGAAATGTCGCATTTCAGCCCCTGTCCTTGAAAACCGCGTAGATCTGGATCGGGGATAAATTGTAGCTCATCCACAGCTTTTCTAAACATGGCCATAACTTGAACGAGTGACTCGTCGTTGACCACCTGAGATGTATCGTCTTTTTCAGCGACCGGATTTTTGCGTGCACTGACGCATCGAGCAATAATAACTGTCTGGCATCCCCATACAATCCCGACGACAACGTGTGTGGCATCAGCAAACAAGGGGACAGTTGCAGCGATGCGCTCTTGCAGAGTTGCATTGTTGGTCTGTAATCGATCCTCAACCGTGGTCACCCGATGATGGAAGGCGCCGTAATGTTCTATGCTGGAAAATCTGCCTATGGCTTTGCGCTGTTCGTGGAGACAGTCCCCTGATCCCCTAGCAGGAGCCAAACCACTGAATATACTCGCTCCGAATTTAGGATCAACTCCCAGGAGATCAAGCCGTCCCTTTTGAGAATCGATATAGCTCAGGCCTGTAGACGTATTCTTGCGACGTGTTGAATCTACCGAGCCGGGGGGCAGGACTCCAGAGAATAACGACGCTCTCTGGAACGTGTCGTTATAGGCATTGTAAAAAGTTCCAATCTCAACCTTCTGCCCCAAGGCAGGCCTCTCTAAAAGGTAGCTCATCGAAGCTGAGAGGAAGTCTGATTGGGCCACCAACAGATGTTTCCAGTGTTGCCTTTGCTTTGAAAAACAAGTATTTGATAATTGGTGACCTTTTGGCTTTCAAATTTGTGGTAGAGCAACTAATTTGTAGTAGAGCAGCTTGTGAAGGGAGAGCGGACGGGATGAAACCAAAATTCCAGGGCATTTAAGGACGAGAGGATACGAGAGCAGAGAGCCAGAAGATTGAAAAGTGAAGAACAGGCAAGCAGACGGGCAGAGAAGCTGCAATACGAAATTATATAAGGCCCCTCTCGTGCCAAACAAGCAAGCGAAGTACAGAAGGAGCGGGTAGCCTACTAATCGCCCATTGCCTGGGCAGCGTTTGCAGTTGTAGCCTGCACGGCTGGGGTGACGTTAGCTAACGCCATCATGTGCGGGTCTTTTTTAACGGCTGGCTGTTGGAGCGACCCAGACAGTGCATAACACGGTCCGTTGTTTTTACAGGACTGTGCTTCAAGTGTACATGGATCTGCGTCTTCAGGATCATATGCCATCTAGGCATCAAGTCTTACTGTCTAGGTGATGCTGTCAGCTATCGTATTTAAGGTATGTCGTAGAGCAAAAGAAACAAGCAGAATATTGTAACCCTATAGTATCCCATTCTCTACTCAACCCACTGCTCGGTCGCCTGTTTGCGAACCACAATTTCGTCTGCCCTGACGTCGACGATGAAGTCGGTCTTACTAGTGCCGTCTCCCTCCTCAATCTCCTCATCGTCTTCAAGGTAGCTCTCGACGAGACCGTCCTGCACGTGCTCGACGGCCTTGCGAAGGCTCCGTGCACCGAGCTCTTCGCTGTACTCAGCCTCTGCGAGTCGGGCGCACACGCTGGCATCATGCCGCACATGTAGTCTCACGTTGCCCAGCAGCTGCGCCCGCTCCGCTCCCTGACGAATCAAGACCGGTTGCGCGACGTTCTCGGCGAGCTCCAGCAGGAACTTGTGTGCCACTACAGCCTGCTCGCCCTTAGAGAAGGGCACAAAGGGGATAAAATCGGACACGCGGCCTGTGATGGGCGCACCGAAATGGTCGAGAAACGCACTGCGCAGCTCTTTCGACAGCTTCTTGGTCAGGTGCTTTGTCGTGGCGTTGTTCACGTCCGCAGAGTCCTGCTGAAGGATGGCCGGATGGGCGCTGCAGAACTGGAGGATGGTCTCGTCCAGCGCATTGGTCGCCAAGATCCAGATCGTGCGCGAACAGTCGACTTTTCCTAGCGAGCGGCGGTCCTGGTAGTCGCCACTGTCAAAGGGCAGAAGAAGCGCCTGGTGGATTTTCTTGGACGCCTTCTCGAATTCGTCGAGGAAGACGACAGACCGTTGGCCGGCGTTGTGCGCTATGAAATTGTTCAGCGGACTGCCCCGTTCACAACCGACATACGGAGCCCGTGGCCCGAACATCTCTCTCTCCTCGTTGAAGATGGTGCAGTCGACCACCTGCAGTGCCAGTCCGAGAAGGTTGCCCAGCTGCCTCGCCAGCTCCGTCTTCCCATGGCCGCTGGGACCGGCAAAGACAAGGACGAGCGGCCGCTTGCTCGGCACCGTGATGTAGGTCATCAGCTTGCGCAACAGGTGATTGGCTGCGACCGTCTGTCCGATCAGGTGGTACTGTATACCGAGGATGGCCTCGGCGTTGCGCAAGACAGCAACCTGGCGGTGGCGGACGCCGGCACGTTTGAGCTTGGTCGCCCGGTCGAGATAGTATCGCTGCGTCAGATCTGTGGTGCGTGCCATCTTTTTGCGCACACTAGGAGATTTACACCACTTCCACACATCGATTATCTTTGCGCTGCCGCCATCGAGACCATCAACATTCTGAAGCAGCTCGTCTTCAGACAGATCACGGTTGTACTTCACATAGAAGGCGTCTGGAATCGATTTGGGCGATGCCCCCAGACTGAGCAACGTGGCTACCACAGGCGAAGTATCACGTCCGTCCAGAAGCTCGCTGAGTATGACAGCATAGGCTAGCAAGGGCGTCCCAGAGGTAGGGTGGATGACCGAGACGTCAGCACCATAACTGGCCCAAAGCCTCAGCATGGCGGGGTCGTTGGACTCGACCGCATAGAAGACGGACGGAATGCCCTCGATGGTGCCGTTGATACGTGCTTCGATGTTGGCATTGGGGAAGCCTTGAAGATATGTCCGAATGGCTAGGATGCTAGCACCTTGCTGCACACCCGCACAGAGCTCCCCAAGGTCAAAAGCTGCTGTTTCTCCTTCTTCCAATCCTTGTGAGTTTCGTGTTCCGCCGCCGTATTCAGACATGCTCAGGATTTGAGCGGCATCCTCCTCTGGCAGTCGGGGTAACTGAAAGTTCCATTCTGGTGTCTTCGTTGCCTCTATTGACTGCATCGGCTTCTTCTCGAACGAGGACTCAGCCGCGATTGTGGCTGTTGGTATTGGAGTAGCATCTACCACAGTCCTATCCTGAACAGACGCAGCAACATTGTCGTCATCCGAATTGCCTAGCTCTTCTCCCTCAAAAGGAGGGGTAGGAGGTGTTGGAGGAGTGATAGGAAATGGCACAGGCTCTTTCTGGCTCTCCGGCGCCACATTTGTAGGTAAGGCTTGAGAGTGGCCTTGGCGAGCCAGCACGGCTAGTAACTTTTTCTGGTGGCTGACTGCTTTCAAAGGGTCTTGTTTGCTCATCTGTTCAAATCGTCAGCTCAGGGTTCAGTGAAATTTGTGGAATTGAACGTACTGCAAGAAGCATTTTCGCTCGTTTTTCGTCGCACCCACACTCTTTCATGATGTACGCCAACTGTGAGTCCATCGTAGGAGCTGGAATCAAAGCGTTTCGGTTTTCTGCCATGATGCTGATCTCAAGTTGCTGTACACTACCACCAGACAATGTGTACACAATGTGCAAATATTGGGAAAGCAAACAGAAATGAGCCAGCTGCAGCCAAAGACAGATATAAGGCGACCCACCTTTGTCTAGGCATCCCAAGGGGGGTGCATTGTAAACTTGCACCCCTTCAAGTGAACCAAAAATCTTACGGAGTAATACTCTGAAAGGTTCCGCCAACTGACCAACAGGTGCAACCATGGGTTGCTATTGGTCACGATAACCAGCCGCTCCTGTAGTGGGCAATGGCTGGTACTATGTAGCCTTGTTGTTGGTTGACCTGGGCCATGTATCATCTGTAGATTTGTTCGAAAGAAATGATTCGTTCAGGTGTATTCAAGTTGAGCAGTCACAGGCGCCCTCATGCATTGCATTTGCAGCTGCTTTATTTAGAAGCAGTGAAATTGAGCAACGGGCCCACTTTTCGGGTCCCTTCACGGGCCTTTTTCAGGCTACCGTCAGGCCTTTCTTGAGCCACGCCTTGTTTGCTGCCCTCTTTACTGCTTGGTACTTTATTTATCTCCAAGGATCGTCACCAGAGGCACATGTTTCTATTACGACATTGAGCACTCAAGAAACCTGCCTGGTCAAGCATTCGTGACTATCAAACTAGGTCAAGCCAAATACTGGTAATTTTGGGCGTAGCAAGAGTCGTCTGAACAGTTTTTAGATGTCTACTGTGTCGATGCTAATCACATTCACGCAAAAGTAGATAAAGCATGTCCCCATCAACGACGCTTCCATTCTCAAGCGACAAGATTAGTGGCCCTCTCTCCCCTCTCTCTGCTATGGCCTACGTCGCCGGTCACGGTAGAGGTGCACCCCGTGCCCAAAGGCACCAGCAACACTCGCCACTCAACGTCGGCTATACAATGGCCGTAGGAGGTCTCTACGATCAGATGCTGAACATTGGGGAAAAAAAGGATGACGACGAGCAGGAAAGTCAACAATTGCAAAGCCAACGCCACAGCTACACAGTTGACGAGGAAGATGTCAGCCTCGAGGTCCAGAACGCAGACCTCAGGGCTCAGATTTTTATACTGGAATCCGATGCCGAGGCCGAGCAGCGCGCACTGGATGACATGCTGACGGAGCTTACCAGCGCCCAGGAGGAGCTTTACAACGCTGAGGCCCGACTCGCAGCCAAGGAGTCTGAGTGTGCCGACCTCCAGGCCCGTCTTGCTCAATCCGGCGACAGTGGCAAGAATGGCACCACCCTTCCAGTAGGGGGAGGACATGCTCAGCCTGAGCTCCACGGCAGCACGGCTGAGATGCAGCGGCAGATTGACGACCTGTTGGACACCCTGAGAAGCAAAGACATGCTGCTGAGCAAGCAGGAGGCTGAGCTGGCTACCACTTGCGAGAAGTTGGCAGCTACACAGACTCAGGCACAACAATCTGTTGCATCGAGCCAGGATAATGCCTTAATCAGCGAGCACCGACGCACAGTTGAAAAGCTGAAGGAAGAAGTGCGCTTCTTCAAGGCCAATAGTGAGCAGCTCGGACAGGAAATACGCGAGCTGAAGGACGAGAACCTGCGGCTAGTCGAGGACTTGGAAGTCAAACAGAGAGAGTTGGATGACGAGAGGTCGTTGAATGTAGCGATAATGATACAAGTAGCAACGATACCAGCCGGACCGGAATAGTGGATTCTTACGTGTTCAATATTGTGTGTTTGTTCGCTTTTTCTTGGCCCTCCTTGTTCTGTCTATTGCTGCTTTGTATTTCAAGAAAATGAGCAGAGTTGATTTCTGTGTAAGAAATATCGTGGTTTCAATCTGATATACTTTATACAGTAGCCTCACCTCATCACTCACCTTACTTGCTTGTCTCTGTTGTTCTTATAACTTTTGAGAATGCGCAGGACCATGTGAGGTGGTTCATACCAGTGTGATACCGCATCAAGCCTGGATCTCTCACCGAGATCCGAGTCCTTATTGGATGAACGTCTTCAAGGTAACTTTCATGACTTTTACGAGCTTCACTGCGCTGCTCCTTTTAGATAATGCGAAGATCGCAGCACTTAGCTAGCCAGATATTGTTTCTTTTTTCATGCCCAGTCCATTGCAATTATCTCCTATCTAGTCGGTCACTTTCTCTGAAGACGTGGCACGTGGGATCACGAGAGCTATGAAAGATTCAGCAAAGTAGTTCCTAGGCGATAAATTACTTGGCTTTGGCACAGGTAGGTGGTGCAAGTACATATCTGTATCATGATATTCAATCATCGCCGGCAGTACCATTGTCCGTGCTTTCCTAGATACATCTGGATATCTTCCTTTACTTGAACCCGTGCCTGACTTTACCCAAGGCGAGCACCGATTGGGCCTCACGGTGCCTAGATTGGGGTCATGATACGGACGATTCAGCGTTTCATTTACTACAAAAATGAACCTGTGTGTTGCTTCTTATAAGACGACGTAAACGTAAAGCCACAATTTCCCCAACGCCACGCTGCTAAACCATTTAGGACGATGGTGACTGACTATCACCAGGTCCTATGCATATCGGCGCTTGCCCATCTGCAGAAATCCAGCTGCTGCTCTCCTGTTCCATGCAAATTTTCCCAAAATGATAGCAGAGCTAATACAAAGACAAAGGAACAAACAAAAGAAACAGTGCTTTAGTCCTCGATCGGGAGCACTGTCCGTACGCCATCTTTGATTTGGTCTAAAGACATGTTAGGGAAGGGTGTTTCGGGTGGGAAATTGAGAGATGCTGCTTACACTCCAAATAATGGACGACCTCGCCGTAGTCTTTGCACACGTGGTGTCCGCTCCAGCCACCGTCTGTGGGGCCGTTGTCACTTCCGTCCATTGGCGTGTGCGCCTCAAGAGTAAGATCTGCAGCACACATGGCGCCTTGCCGCATGTAGTCGAGGCAGTGGAGCACATGGGTCTGGTAGTCTTCTGGAAGGCTGGAGCCGTTGTTAGACTCCAGGGCGTTGAAAATGCGACCAAGAACAAACTAGGCTGTGTTAGTAACCCGACAACAAGGTGAGGTGTGTGATAGGGAAGATTCGGCACGTACAACGCAATGTAGCTGGTGAGTCATTGTGGTAGTGAAAAAGGTGGTCTTGTTCGGTGAGGCATAGCCAGCGCCAACTATTCGGAGAGTTAGCAAAAGCTAGAGAGACAGGTTTGGGGGGAGATAAATATAGACATACCCGGCATCAGAGTGTTCCAACGAGCCAGCGTCTTTTCTGAATAGAAGCCGTTCGGCTCAGAGGGCGTAAAGGACTCGTCCGACTCCCACTTAACGACTCTAGTGGTGACTGGTTCTGTCAGTTTGGCACATTCAGCTCTTGGGATTCGACTGCCACTTACAGTGTGGCCCTTCCCCTGTATAATCGCCACCGACCTGCCATGAGGCTTGCGGCCGGCCGCGCGCGTGGAGCAGCAGCAGCAAGCACAGAATGACGATCAGAAGCACCGTGTCAATGAGCCAGCGGTGACAGTGTGCTGTATCCAAGGCTGCAGCCACGCGAATCCCTACCATGCGGTAGCCCCGAATGCGCGCATCCTCGAGGTCGATGTCGTCCCACCGCTTCTCGTCCTCGCCCATGAGGGAGCCGACCTCAGTGCTGGACTCATGGTCGCTGATGTGGTCGCGGTCGTGCTCGTCTAACGTGTCGACGTTCTTGTAAGTCCGTGTGCTACTGTCCATTATTGTTTGGCTGGGAGGAGACCTAAAAATCGATAAGGATGGCGCGTGATTTGTGTTTGCGTCTTTGTTCGGGCAGTTGCTTGGAGGTTTTCTTGTGGACAAGACAAACGGCCATCGGCATATCCAGGGGCCTATATAAAGGCGTCACTAAAGCGTCGCCATTCTGTACCCCTCTTCTCTTCTTACTCTCCCCTTGTTTTATGTGAGGAAGACGGTGTTCCATGTTGGGATATTCGAGACGAAATGTAGGGTGACGCGACATCAACTTTCCACTACTCCGTGCACCAACCCAAAACATGAGTGTGCACGGGGGGGCCAATCTCAAACAATTATGAACACTTGGCCCGTGCACATCGCCAGCAAACAAGATCACCGACGAAACTGATTACCTCAGCAATCAGAACCGTCACCTTTCTGCGCCATTATATTTTTTTAACGGCGTACGGGGTGCTTTTCGAAACATCATCTCACCACCTTCTCTGATACCGTTTAAGGCGTTCCACAAATTCTAGAACTGGCTTGGAAAATAAAAGCGTGATACGAATCGGTAAGCCTGAGGGTGAATTCAGGTCTACAATCTTATGTGAAGCACTTTTGATTATTTACACATCCCTAGGAAACACAGGAACTATGATCGCCCAGCTGCAACTTGCACGAGGGGCACATCTTTTGAGTATTAAAAATTATAACATATGTTTTTCATAGTGCAGACAAGTCCAACATGTCCCCTCAAAAGCTGTCTCGCCAGAGTCATTAGTCGGCGAAGTTTCTAGTCCTTGTACGGAGTACGGAGTACTTGTCAAGCATGGGAATCCGCCACACTGTAGGACTTCCGCCCCACTTGGCCGTACGGGCCTGTTATTGGCCAGAAGGCACAAAAGCGGGACACGGCACTAGTATTAATACGGACCCCCAGAAGGGTCGCGATGTATCTATTTCTTCCTTAGTACGGAGTACGACGTACACAACACACATCTGCTCACGCTACACCAAATTCAGCCTCCTGCTCCTCACAGTGCATATCACCTTCATGAACCCTGCGCATACTCGTAAGCTCTAAGCCTCCACAGTACTCCATACTCTGTTGTTATGCACAACATCACTGTTTTGTGCAGCGGGACTCGTGAGTCGAATGAACTAGGCCAAACTGGGTCAACTGTGCCGTGTGATGAAGAAATTAATGTACTGTGTGGCTCGCTATCTAGCAGGGGAATTTATGCACGTGCATAGCTCGGAAATACTCCGTACCCAACCACAACAATGACAGATGCTCACTAGACTACTTCACATACACACTGTTATCCAATATTTATTAAAGTATTAGAAGTCAGTGACTGATCTCTCGTTGGTGACAGGCTTCGGACCTACGACGTATGTACAGAGTACGGAGTACTAGTTTATTGATTAGCAACGGATCGTTATCCCTCTTAGTCTTCCCGCCTCAGTCACTTTCCTAATTGGGCTTTCTAACCGCTGTCGCATTGTATCTTACTCTCCACTTTCTGGCGTGATATACTACGCACTGAGTATAAGTATCATGCAGGATACCTGTAGGCTTCTCATCACGCGGCCTTTTTCTCGCTCCTTCTCCCTTCTCATTTTTCGAACTTGTAGCCGTAAGAATGACCGAGAAAGGGACTACGAGTGTGACTCAACAACCGGTCGTGACTTTGGTCACGACTCAAGGCACTATCGGCCAGGACCGGGTACAGGTAGATGATGTGAGTACTTTCTTAGGGGCGGGTACTTCCGTGCAAGGTGTTTTTTTTGGCTTTGCACTATTCGATTACTAGTCGCTGGCACTAACGCATTCGCTTTAGGATCGCGACGATGACCTAGGCTACTGCGATGGGGATTCGTAAGTCTCATGTCTGGCAGAGTCTATGTATGATTGGGTTTGACAGTTTCTTTTAGCGAAGCATCTGCCAGCTTTCTATCATCATTAAACTCGAGCATTCTACAATACAAGTAAGTACTTACGTCTCTATGGCTGCCTTCTAGCACCCTTGGACGACCGTGTTAGACAGCTAAGGTTAACTATGTTACAGATATGCGGTTCGTATTTTTAAGTCGATACGTGTGGCTACCTCATCAACCACAAGCCGCGTTGTTTAGTGTGCTAATAAAAGTCATAGAATGGCCGCCGCTATCATGCATTTCGAGAGGGTGCCTATCTGGTAGTAAGTTACGAAAGTATAGTCCTTTATGACCAATATTATTGACACGCGACAAATAGCCAAACGATCACGAAGAGCAAGAGCGGATGGACCTGGGACATCACATTTATCGCCTGCTCTTGAACGGAGAGCTCTTTCTCGCCCCTATTAGCAGCAACCCCCAAAGGGTCCTTGACCTGGGCACCGGCACCGGCATTTGGGCAATGGACTTTGCTGAGTTAGGCACGCCTCCCAAAATTTCCGAACAAGCTGCTATTAACGCTCTAATTTGTAGCCAGTATCCCTCTGCAGAAGTCCTAGGCACGGACCTAAGTCCTATTCAGCCAAAGTGGTATGCTAAAGTGCTACACTCTCCATTACTTGTTTCTAGTATACAACGACGCTTACTCTTGAATAGGACTCCCCCGAACTGCGCCTTTGAAGTGGATGACTTTGAGGAGGAGTGGATGTTCCGTAAAAAGTTTGACTACATTCACGCCCGCGAACTGGAGGGCTGCGTTAGCAACCCCGACCAGCTCTTCCGTCGCGCTTATGAGCACCTGGCTCCAGGCGGGTGGTTTGAGATGCAGGCCGTTTGCTCTAGTCTTCGCTCCGACGACGGCACGGGTGACAGCGCGGAAAGTGCACAGATGTGGATGAAATCTATTTGCGACGGCGCGAGAAAGTTTGGTAAACCTCTTGACTCGGCTCCGGAGTGGAAAGAGAAAATGAAGGTGGCTGGGTTCATCGATGTCCAGCAAGATATTCGCAAGGTCCGTCTAACTGTTTACCTAAATATGTACAGATAAACTAACACCTTCCTAGGCTGTAATTGGGACTTGGCCAAGTGACCCTACACTAAAGGAAATCGGCAAATTTCAGTATATCCAAGAACAGCAGGCAATTGACTCATACACACCGGGAATCTTTTCTAGTGTTCTTGGCTGGAAGGATGAGGAAATCAAGGTGCTTATTACCAAAGTGAAGAAGGACATCAAGAACCCAGAGTACCATCTCTATATTCCCGTCTATTTTATTTGGGGCCGGAAACCGTAACACTGCGGCTAGTTTTACGAAACCTGACGGAATAAACTTGAGAATTTGATTCCTAATGCCAAGACAATTTCCCTAGTCAACTTCCTTTGCTCTGAATATTTACAAAAAAACCCATGATTGTTTTCTTTGCCCTCTTGATTGGATTCTCCCGAAAACCAGGACACTGTCATCCAGAACTTGATTTTTAGAAAATACCGAGCGCCTTAGAGGACTTCTGACGACCCGGTTTGCACCGAAATAGTCGTTGCGTTTCTTTGATTACACTTATAAAAAAATGTACATGTCCTCGGCAACCCAGTCATTTCGACCAACCAATCTCCCAGGTACACCTTCGCACATACTGACTTCCTGCAGGAGGCTCCGAATCTGGCGTGAGAATGTTGTTGAAATCTGAATTAGTCATATATAACCCTGCCTACCACGATGAAAGGTATGGGATCCCTACTTTTGCACATGGTGCAGGTGGTATGACAATTCAACAAACGTCCCCACTGCCTTCCTTCTGGTCCAACTCTTGAATATCAGTGACTGGGTCTAAGAGCTTTTGGGCGTAAGTTGACCGTAAATCCTCCTCTGCGTAAGCATTCGGCCATCGTTCCAGAAGCCGTGCGAGCAAGGCACACAGCTCCTCTAATTCGCGCGGTTCTCTCTCTTCGCCATCGACCATCTGGATCACCGATGTATTTGGAGCCTTCATGCACGGGTAAACAGACGTGTGAAGACCAAAAACGATACCTAATAGCTGTGCTGACATAGAAGCCGTTGCCTTTCCTTTCTTTATCGCCACTCTCTTTCTTTGGGCCAGTGGCGACGGCGGCACAGAGCTTGCAACTTTTCCTAAATGTAAAGCCTTGCGTTTGGCTATTCTCCTCGTCTCACGAGCCGTCTGGCGGACTGGCGGCATAATGGCGGCAAAATGGGGGTCGCCGGACGTTCGCAAACACATGACTATACTAACGATTCCGTACAACGTATCAGAGAGTCCTAAAGCTTTCTCGGCATTCTGGAGGGCCTCTTTTATGTAAAACGTCAGACCCGGCGTGAGGCTGTCATTCTGACGGTTCTGGACTCGGAAAAAAAGAAGGGACATGTGGCCATTGGCAACTTGGACTGGAACAGCCATGTCCATCCCTGGGAAGTTCCCAGGAAGAAACAGGGCTGCGCCACGTTTGTATGCCGCTTCCAGGACGTCTATTGTTGGGCTTGCGGACAGGCGAATGAAATGATTGAAAAACACCAGTCCTGAGTCGAGGATATGTTGAGTTTCGGGATCATGATCAAGGGACAGCACTTTTCCCCATGCATCTTTACCCAAGAGAGCGATCAAAACGCTTTGAAGCGCTACCGCTCTAGGAGGAACGGCGTCTTGAGCCACGTCGACGTCTTCGTCTGGGAGAGAGCGAAACGGCTCTGAGGCGTAGTCTGATGCAAAAAGAAGAAGTAGGGAGGCTACCTGTTCACCTATATCCCCTGGGTTGACGGCGCCAGAATGTAAGCCGCAGATCCAGGACCGGACGCAAGAAAGACGGACAGACGGGTCCTGTAAGAGGCAAGAGGCTGCCAGTGCCAAGACAGGTTCACTTGGCTGCGTCGTCACCAGGCTGTTCCTGTCTGGTGAAATTGAGATCAAGTATCGCATCGATGATGCCACCATAGCCTCGGCTAGGATAGGAGAGCAAATGTAAAAGTTCATCCTGTAAGTCAACAAGGAGAGGTCATATGCTAGACGATCCTTTTGTGCAGAGATTTTCTCGATGGCGAACCTGAGCAGCAGGGGCCATGACATTCCAGCTTCTAGATAGGCGCCCCAGAGCGGTCGACCGTGAGAAAAGAGTTGCTTCATCGCATTGGTGGTACCCATAGGCTCTTCTAGACTGGCTGCGGACGGAGTGAAGAGATTGAAGGTGTTGATTTTATAAATAGGGTGGAAAACACCTACCTTTAGAACCTTCGCACTTTGGTCGTATCGGTCTAAGGGCGTGAAATTGCTTATTCTAGAAGTCGTGTCGAGCAAAACAATGAAGAAGGGTGCCTTTGCTTCCTTTGTCTCCTTCTCGTCGTTGCCTTCAACAATGGTTTTTGCAGCCCTCCGCAAGCTCCGAAAAGCAGAGTTTGTGCCGTCGTCCAGAAGTGCCCTAGCTTCGTCAAAGCAGATAATGACAGGCTGCGTCTTGTCCTCAAGCGGCGAGATCGGAGGCGAGTTTAGCCCCAACGCTTCGAGGCTGGCCTTTAACTGGTCAAGCATGTTGTGAACAGTCGAAACGTCGACTAAAGTAGTATTGAACAACCCTTCTAGCTTCTGGCGCAGAGCAGCGACTTCCTTTGTGCTTCCTGTCAGCAGTTCGAAGAGGCCTGCGGCCGTTATGCCAACCTCTTTGCAGCACTTTGCGATCGTGATCTGGTTTGCAAGATATATTTCCCAAAATTACTCCTCGTGCCCCCGAAAAGCGCCGATTGGTGTTTCTCCCATCGTGATAGGACGCGGAAACCCCAAGCTGTTTCTTGGTGCCAGATTCGAATAGGCGACGTAGACGCCGTATCGAACAGCCATCTGCCTCACGGAAAACGACTTCCCTATTCCCGATGGCCCCACAATTGTCGAGTATGGCGCAAGATACTTGCCGTTCATCGCAGAAAACCTGGCGTGTTGACCGAGCAAGGTAGACAAGACGCCTTGGCTAGCGTGGCCTCCTTTTGCGTCCGACTTCTCTATGCGTCCGAAGGCCGCTGCAGCAGTTGAATATTGATGAGGGTCTTTGTCTTGGACGGTAAACAGGGATTTAACCAGATCTCTGGCTTCACGCTGCGAGGAAGTCGTCGGGAACCTCTCATCGTACTTGCAGCGCAAGACGCGCCAAGCATTCACAAAGTCGTCTGGTTTCTCGTGACGTGCCGTCGTCAAGGCTCTTGGTATTTCGGTGTCAAAAAACATTTCGGTGAGGCTGAGAATTGCACAATTTAGGATAGCCTTCTCATTCGTACTACCCCCTAGAGAGGCAATATTATTTGTGACGAAGCTCGCGGTAGTTGGGCCAAAGCCCGCCTTGTTGCACAAATCGGCAGCTGAGGAAACATGGCGCCACCAAGTGAGATCTCCAGGGAGGTTGTCCATTTCTTTTGCGCTGCTGCGTTAAGCTGGTCCGGTATTGTAAAATAGGGATGCGGAGATGTTAAACTTTGGAGACAAGTTCGGGGCCATAAACGCAAGACAATCGTTTGAGTGTCTCTAGCAAGCTGGAAAATAATATCACAAAAAGAGTACGGACTACTACTACCTCAAAACAGGCAGGATAAAAATTATCAAGCTTGTGCGGTTGCACAAGGGTGATGTAGACTGACACGTGACATGTGTCTGACACATGAGGACACGGGTAGTAAGACAGCTTGCTTTGATAATCGTTGGAAAAAAGATAAAATGAGGCTCTAATTGCATATATCTTAGTGATACGTTTCGCCGAAAGGAAGTAAGGCCATATGAACACTCAATATGAAACCCGAAATACTTCACCCACACCTCCATGCATTGGCTTTATGGATGTGCTAAATAGGTAGCCTGCGCCACACAGTACAGGCTTTTACTCATACATATCTTGCAAGAACAATATACAAGTCATTTTCGACGGGTTCTCAACAGTTCCTAGATGATGTTGATTAGACGATACGCTTGGCCTTTTGGCAGAATAATTTCAGTGAAAATTGATATGCTATTGCGCTATATGAGTTTTTCAGCTTAAACGTTTGCACTCGACAGCGTTTCGGAAAAATGTAGAGGCTCAAAGAAACCCCAGTCTGTGATATTTTGCATTTTTATCCTTTGTATGCTTTAACTTCTCTAACAGTCGTCATGAAAGATGCCTTCGGCTCTGGAGAGTTTGTTGGTAGGAGGAGTAGGAGGGTATCAAAACAGAGTGTGCCATCGTGCAGCCAGTGGAAAATGTACCAGTAAGGTTGGCAAGCGCGGTATTTCTTCACTCCAAGAGCGTCAATTTCTTCCATAATGTCGTCTCCCAAGACGTGAATGTCCAAATTGGCTTTTGTCCTATCCGGGGAAGACTGGATTGGAGTCAGACCAAAAGCGATGGGCACGCGGCCGCAAAAAATGGACACAGTTGACTTACCGCTTTAGGAAGTACTCCTCATCCTTTCTGCACGCCCCACGACAGTATCGACTGGGCAAGTGATAGCGAGGCCCGCTGTCTAAGGGCTTGAATTCGAGCATCCGTCAATATGTAGGCTTTTTCGGCGTTTCCAGATCCGCCCAGGGGCGAATAGGCGGCAAGTTGGATGCCCTTCTCGCGGCAAAAAGCAGCGAGCTTCGGCTGCGCACAGAAAGGGTGCAGCTCTACCTGACTCACTGCAGGTACGATACGGCACACTGCTGCAATTGCTAACGCCAGTAGCCTTGAGCCATTAGGAGGAGAGGTTGCATTCTGCCGTAGAAAAACATCCTCCATGGCTTTACACGTCCGCACAAAATCCCAATCGGCCTGCGCGTCTGTCGAGCCGTCTTCGCGTCTAGGGTATACGGCATGGTTTCCGTTTGGGTTCAGGGGTACCGGCCCTACAGAGGGTCGCCGTTAGGGCACCAAAGGAGCGTGCAAACGCAACAAGAAGCGCGGGGTGTCTTGGCTCACAGTGCAACAGCTAAAGGTCGAGGTACTCTGTTAGTGCGGCCTGGCCGTTGGCCAGGGCCATTCGGCCCGGGTATTTCATGCCTGCCACAGTTTATCAGTAATGAACAGCTTATGGCGGGGTATTTCGCTTTCATGAATCATTTGGCCAATGGACCCCTCGTTTTTAGATCGGCAGACAGTGTTTTGTACTCCGTAAAGGTTCGGCAAACATAGAATGGCAAAGTCACAGACCCGTAGGACCATGCCGTATCAATTCTGTATCCACGTTCGATAGCGCTTTTCACAACTATAAATTCCGCCGGCCAATCCTGGAAGACTACTTGTTGCACGGTGATGCACGGACACCGCACATAAAAATCAGTGGAATGATATTATGCAGAAAATAACCAACGATCCGGCAATTGTACGTCATATCGAGCCCAGGCCGGTTTTGCTAAGGGTGCTGCGCAGATCTTTAGATCCGTGCTAATACACGTGCATACGAGGTGGATATTATTCGGACTCGCCACAGGTGCACTCACCAGATCTGAATGGTGGCAAAATCTCGCTCGAATTTGGCAGCCTTACTTGACGAGGAATTTCAGGCGTGCGAAAACGACCGTTTCCACCGTAAGAAGTGCTGCTCGATTGTTTACAGTGGCAAAGATCGGAAGACAAGCCTGAAAATACCTGATAAGGGGCGCGAATAATACCCCATCCACCTCGTACACGAAAGTAGGTGTTATTATGCACGATCTACGGAGTACGGACATTACATATATCCAGCTCCACATCCTGCTCGATTGGCTCTTTAGTGACGTTTTTGCGCCAACCAAAAGCGATCACCGAAGGCTGTGGCAAAGTGTACACCGTATTTTAGACTTTAATACCTATACCGACTTCGGGGTTTACTCGTAGAGCTTCTGAGTGCGCCTTCTTGTACTTTGCGTAGGTACTAATCCAGATATACAAGCAACACTTTGTGTTTCTATTGTGTAGCAACTCCTATCACTATGTCTTGCTTTATTTCCAGATCTCGCCCAATCCATCTTACAGCCTTGTATTTCACAGATATCAGATCAATACCATATCTACACCAGAGAAGGTCTCGCTCTTTTCCCGTAACTACTAGATATCCGCTCCTTTTCATTCTCCTGCTTCCGGGGCACCTAACCGAGTGTGTGTTATGATAGTGATCGCCCATCCGTGGACCTCGATAAAGGAGCAGCACCGGCAAACTACGCCCGTTAGCTTGTCAAAATTGGGTTTGTTTGCCTGACATACGATGCCGCCCATAAGGGCGAATCAGGAGGCGAGCCACGCGATCTGGAGGATTCGTACCAGTGTGTGGAGGACATCAAGTCCGACGTCACTTATCTGCACAGCTGCAAGGACGTCGAAACGAACAAAGATTGGCGCTCTCGGCATCTGTGCCTCGGGCGGCTATGCACCCTTTGAGGCACAGACAGATATTCGCATCAAGGCTGTCGACACCTCGGCCGCAGTATGTGCCGGAACCATGACCCGACGTGGTCACGACAAAGATTCTACCACTCCTGATACCTTCAAGAGTCAGTTAGAAGCGGCTGGAAACGATCGCAAGTCCGACGTCACAGGAAAAAAGGTGCCAACTGTGCATTTGCTGCTGGAAAGGTTCGAAGACGCGGGAACTCTGCCAGAATCAATCCGGGGTCTCGCATCGTATTACCGCACACCAAGGGGAAATCATCCGCGTGCGACCAACACCACCATTCCACGCAGCTGGGATATCATGGAAAACTTTGATGCCTATGCGTACAACCACTTGATCAGCCCGCCGAAGGAACTGGTCGTGCTTGATGGACTTACGCATGCAAACCTGTATGATGACGTCGATGAGGCAGCATCGAATTGTACCGAGTTCTTTGGGAAGTATCTCATTCAGAACAGCAGGAGTTTCTGTTTTGAACTCGTTCAATACGAACCATTTGTGGCCTTCTAACAGACTGTTCATAGGGCGTTGACCACTTCACAAGCTTGAATGGAAAGGAAATTCTTCAGCTTCATACACGCTCTCTTAGTACCTGATGATGTATCTGGTCTTGAGTCCAACGAAAATATATAGGAGAACGACAATGAGCTCGGGTGAGAACTCTAGAACGACGCGAATAGGAAGAGCACCGGTAACTGGATTTAGGCTTGTCTCCCAGGTGGTTAGGCCAACGAGGGCATAAAGCACACGCACCCCGACGAAAATGAGGGCTATACAGACGGCGTAGAGAAGCTAGCAGTTCGACACATCAGAAATCAGGATCAGCATAGACACAATAATCATAGAGACATATAATATACGTACAGCGGTTCCAGTGGCGAAGGTAGATGCTATCGTAGCCTTGCTTCGTCGGCACTTCAAAACAGAGGACACGGCCCAGATGGCCAGAATACCCCAAGACAAGGTAAGCAGAGCGCTGCCAGCAGATGCATATTGCAGGTCGCTCAAACTCTGCTCGTCTTCTGACAGAGACGACGACCCAACACCGGCCAAGGCCCCGCCAGTGGCCACGAGGACATGGAAGAAGCAAATGCGCGTCCACCCAGAGCCAGTACTGCTATCTGGGTAGCAGAGGAGGTTCCTAATAACACGTAAGAACGAAAAATCCTGCGGAATGGTGTCAGGTGCGGTTCTTACACTTCGTGGAGAATCCCAGCGGTGGCCAGGAGAAGGAGTGCTAGGCCCACAATCGCAACACTGTTTCCAGCGTGCGATGTGGCATAAAGGGACAAGGCAGTATCAACGATGCGAAGTGTGCAAAAGGCAAATAGATGTAGCCAGCCCAGCAGACCAACGCGGAAGTGGTGATAAGCAAGGTAAAGAACGAGCAGCGACAGGACAGCATAAAAGACCAGTTCAATCGTGGATAGTGCGTCTGTCATACTTTGACTCGGTACGGAGGTAGAGGCTCGATTGGCGTTATGGGTTATATTGTTGGTATCCTTTTTGAAGCTTCTCGTTATGTGTTTCCGAATATTCGTTTTCAGGACAACTAGAACGACAGAGACAAGAAGAGTCACAAATTTGGCATGTATAAACCGTCGAGTCTTTCTGTACTATGAAGCTGAGAGTAGGGCTGATGCGAAGCAGGGTTACAAATATACATGGGTAGTTAGGCGTACGCAGGGATGTATGCAACAAGCGCTTCGTCAGCCCGCTGCCCTTCAATCCTTCCAAATCCTTCCAGCCATTATTTTGCACATAGTACTCTGTAGGATTGGGAACTACGACGTATGGGAACAGCATGGGGCTGAACGATACCAGGCATCCGTATCATTCATTATCCTAGACCTCGGAACGGCCGTCATTGGCTACTTGAGCCGCGTTTGACGGAACCGGTTAGCCTATCCCATACTCCCCCCTGTCTCTGTCAGACGCAGCTGCTCGGCATTCCGTCTCAGGACTAGGCAGAAAAACCAGTAAAGGTCCGGAGCCGCAGCAAGAAACGCGGAATTAGGACGTCCTATCCCTTTCGTCTAGAGGTAAACCGCAGCCGCAGGTGGTCTCCGAACTTCGTCCGAGAAACCTTTGCCACACCAAGTTGAGGATTGGATCAGCCCAGATAAGGAACTGTGGCCTGCAACACCTTATTGGGGTAAGCTGCAGTGACACGTAGTACGACAGATCGCATCCAGTCTGTGTCAGTTTCGTTGTGTTGTCTTGCAGACGTCCATTTATGACGAGCGCCAAATTTTGACTACGCCACGAAGCGCTGCTTACGGCTATGATCAGCACTCAATTGTGCAGATCCCGGATGCATGCTCCCACGCCGAGTAGCCGTGCCAGACCTCTGCTCGGCGCCGAAACCCACAACATCTTGAGGTGTAATGCATCGGCATATACCCATGCTCACGATGGTTGGAGTATCCATATATACTCCGGTCTGAACAACCCCAACTGTAAGAATACCTCGCCTGTACATTCCTAAAGCGTATCACCTTCACGGTTTGCGTGCTGCGTATGTGCCAGCTTTGGCTCGGCTCGCACATCGGAAAGAGCGACAAGCCCTCGGGCTACAATACAGCTGGTATACCCAGAATAGTATGGCAAGCGGTAGGTATACAACAGGAAAACGCTTGCTGCTCATGTATATGTTATATGCTTGTAAAAGACACGCGACAAGTATGCAACAAACGTAGCTGGTCTCTTACGCCAACGGCCTCTGCCCGTACATGACCTGGGTCATGAAGTAGGCGTGAATCTTGAGGTTCCGCATCTCCTTGCGCATGCGGGCACAGTAGACCGTGATCTCCTCCTTGCTCCAGCCGAGCTGGGTGGCAGGCATGTTGACAGCGCCATTCATGTCACCCTCAAAGGCGGCACGCGTGTAGAGGCCGATCTCGCGCATCGCAGGGTCAGCGGCCCATTCGGAGATGGGGATCTAGAGAAGGTTCGGTCAGTCATGTATTGGAAAACAAAGACCGCAAAGGGACAAAACGGCATCTACGAACCTTGATGGGCACCTCGACAATGTTGACGAAACCGGCAGCTTCCATGCCGCGGCGGATGAGTTTGTCGGCAATGGGGCTGAAAGAGGCGCCGATGCCAAGCTTGTCGCAGCCCTGCTGGAAGATGTCGCCCCATTTGGACAAGGCCATTTCGTTTGTTACTGTGTTGTCATCGGAGAAGGCGCTGCCGTCAAAATCGTAGCTCTCGACCCATCCGCCGGGCTTGAGCGTCTTGTACGCGTCCTTGAAGAGTTTCGTCCAGTCGCGGACGCCACCGACGAGGTAGCGCAGGTGGATGTAGTCGACCGACTGCTCGCTGAACGACCACTCTTCGAAGTTCTCGATCTCGCTACGAGGGTCAGCCGAGGTCTACATGCAAAAGGAAAGGAAAAAGAGAGAAAGAGAAAGCACTTACAAGAACAGGTTGGGCGGCACCCATCCCGGCTGGATGGGCGACAGATCGGTGCCGATCACGGTAGCCTCGGGATGTGCATCAGCGAAATCACTGTTCTAGGTAAGCGATGGTACATCGTTGCGGAGAGTCAGGGCCACACACATAGCCCAGATGCCAGTTCCAGTGCCTATATCGAGGACTTTCTGCGGAAAATGTCAGCGGCAGAATGCGTATGCGCAGTGCGTCCTACTCACTTGGATGTTATCCGGCAGCGGCGCATAGTACAGCTTGCCGTTCATGGCCAACGTCAGGGCATGGTATCTGAATGGGGTTAGCAGAGGGAGGCGAGGAGGCGGAAAGCGGGTAGTATTACATAATCTCGAGAAAATTATTGGCTTCGTCGTCGTTGGGGGCCCAGTAGCCTTCAGATCCGACACGATCGCTGTGGTAGGTGCGGCCGTTGACCGTGCGATAGTGCAAGATGCTGGAGGCGATGGAAGCCGTCGAGCTGGCGGCATCCTCCTCAAGGGTCGAGTCGGCGTCGTCCTGGACGACTAGTCAGCCAACAAGCGGTGAGTGGAAGACGAGCACATGAGGCGTACATCAGACAGAGGCTCAAACGGCTGCACCAGTTCGGCAGGCACCGCAGGAATAATAGTGCCGGGAGAAGCAGCAGCGAGCAAGGGAGAAGCCGCAATGAGAGGAGCGATAGGCGGTGCGGAAGGGCTGGCGCCCGACGAAGTGGCAATGAGCAATGGAGACGCAGCGGCAGGAGGAGCAGCCGGTGCAGCCGAAGGACTGGCGCCCAGCGAAGAGGCAACGACCGTAGGAGAAGCCGCGGTACGAGGAGCAGCAGGCGAAGCGGAAGGGCTGGCACCCGACTTGGGTGACGACGGCTGTTGGGTCATGTTGGGGGCGAAATGTAATTATGCAAACAGGCGTACGACACGGAGACAATGTTTGAATTGGGAGGGGGAAATGGGCGTACGGGCCGAGCCTTAAGTATCACAAACGACGAGACGACGGCGCAACGGCTGCAGCTCTACCTAGCAGAAAAAGTCGGCGGGCAGCGGACGTAAGGCGGCATCTTGTACATTGGGAAAGGTCCGTTTCCGGTGCACACGTGTACAGATTGGCTGCCCACAAATATGTAATGTGATTTGTAGGAGACAGGTCATCTTTCGCAACGCTACGAGTGGCAGATGGGAGCCCGGTCCAGTCTTTCGCTGCTGCTAATTCGTGGCGCGTCCTGGCTGATTCTCTAGCGCTGCAACACAACCCAGCAGATGGGTCACCGAGCGTCTTCGGTCGGCATCCTGATACGACGTATCTTACTACGGAATTGTGGCTCGACATCGACGCGCTCTTGCGTCTGCTGCGATGCGCTCCTTCTTCGTCGGTCTACTGTGTCTTTGTTCAACCTACTCGTACAAAGTATTTCATCTTCCGACTGGCTTCGAGCAGCGGTCAATAGCGTTGTCTCGTTCTTTGTCCGTGTGTGGAGACCACATCTTCGCTATGTCTATACCCGGGTGAGGCCTGTCTTTCGTCTAGGATTTCCCCCGTCGCCTAGCGCGGGTCCTCTCCTACTAAATTACACTACGGAGTACGTTGTACATACGGAGTAGGACTGGTGTAAAGTACAAGTGCACGACCTGTCACTCCGTATGTGGGCCACACATGCAACGTAGAGCACAAGTACGAGTGTTCCGGCCCTCCGTACTCATACGGGGCTTGAGCAGGCCTAGTAGGGAGTATGACAGGCCATCTTGCAGTAGCCTTCAACGAATCGGGTCTAGTACATACACTACGACTTCAAGCTACATGGTACTTGCAGAGGGTCTTACATACGACTAGTATTCCGTACGTCGTGGGCAGAAGCCGTGGAATACTTAGTTAGGAGCAGCTCGGATAATTGCGGAGGTGTTGCGCTATAGGGCTGAAAGGCAGGGGCGTCTAGATAATGGAGGAGGTCGTCACGGCATTGCACAAGGCTCTCTGGTCTTTTTGCGCATTTCAGTTCGAAGCTAATGCTTGTGGGAATAGGTGCACGAGTAGTCACGTGCTAGGAATTTGGGTGCGTATCGCGCAACGCGCTGTATTTCAAAAAAGCGAATAGGAGGAGTTGTGTTTCAACATGCCGTATACTACAGAGTAGAGAAAACTGATTCTCATCTAAGAGTACGATCGCAAAGCCGTCGAGCACAGCGTTGTCTGGAAAACGCCCTGTATAAAAGACAATCCTACATAGTAAAGCCTCCCACTTCCTACCGTTGCCTTGTATCGACCTTTCCTGAATATCAATCATGTTACAGAGACTGGTATATGCATACGGCGCAGCTTACATAAAAAGACACACGTTTTGCTAATATACAGCTCCCCTCGGTTGTTAAATGCTGTTTTTTCCCCCAATAGCCGATGGCTTGACCTGCCTCGTCACTTCCCAAAATGTCCCAGGAATGGCCTCCGAATGCAGCCCTTCCTCCCCTCTTCTCACTTCTAGTCTCTGCATATTCTAAATCAAATGCTCTCAAACTCCCAATATGTTATCCCTTACAAGCACAGCCAGCTCTTCGGTCCCGCGCCTGACCGGTTTTTTACCGGGCATTTCTTTGTCATGTCCGGCTTATATCCCTGGGATGCCACACCGCAGATTCCAGTCGAGCTCGTCTTGCACCTAACTGGGGGCCGGTGAACTTGTATCGGATGCCATCTTGGGCCCGATCCACCGTTGTCCCGTTCATGCTAATCGCTCACCACCGTCCTGTCTACGCGCTTCCAAACGGCCGATCTAACAGCAATACATTCCTGGACGATCCGTGGAGGGGGCAGTACAGCCACAGCAATATGGTGGCACTGGGACCGTTCGTTTCTGACGCAGATATATGCAGATCCGTTGTCCTATTTTTTCACGGTCATCGATCGAGCACTGTGCTGGGCTGGCGGGCTGTGGTTTAGTCCGCTGCGCTGACTGGCGTCGGCGGTGCGTGTAATGTATAATTTCGCACCAAGAGCCGACTGGCAAATTAGCGGAAATGATTCCATCTACGCATGCGTGTGTTTATGCGCTTCTGCTGGAGGGTTACAGCTACATCTACTACAGCACTAGCAATGTCCTAAGTGGGCTAGCATACTTTGTCAATGGTCTGGGGGACAGTTGTCAAATTATCCAAAAAGAGGATGGGACCCCACTGTTATTATTCTTGTCTTATTTGCAGTTTATATACCATTCGACAACAGTGCTGCGGGCGCAGAAACCGTTCAAGCCATAATGACGGCTGGCGCCGACTGGCTGCAGTCAATCCAGAACGACGATGGTGGCTGGGGCGAGTCCCTGCAGTCATACTGCCACACAAGCTGCGCTGCGTGCAGTCCGTCCACGCCATCACAGACGGCATGGGACTTGATGGACCTTTTGACGGTGTTCCCTTCCGACGACGAAGTCGTTTTAGCCGGCATCACGTATCTCTTGCACGCATAGAAGAATCGGACACATGGTTCCGACAGAGGCGCATCTTCGTCCAGAGAAACGCTGCACGGGGACAGGCTTTCCTAACTTGTTTTACCTCAGTCACACAATGTACCGGCACTGCTTTCCCATGATGACACTGGGGCGGTTTATGTATACTCTTGAGGCTGCCGGGAAGAAGACAATGGAGTAATCTTAAATGCGTGGATAAGTCAAGCCACGTCAACTAGGCTAAACAGCGCTATTTCAGTGTTTCTGTTTCATTTGATGCCTACTACTTTTTGGAGTGAACAATAACGTGAGTCGCATGATTTGCCGTATTTAAGAACGGCTATACCATCATTCATGTGGTGATATCTTGCTGTGTATGCTGCGAAATACTCATCAGGCCTACTCTGCCAGTTTTACTTTGCGAATATTGGAATTGCTATGCGAAACAAGTGGGCGAGAAAGACTCTAATCACAAGCTAGATATGGGATTCTCAACAGATCACAACGATGTCCCTAACAGGTGAACACCCGCCAAACACATTCCAATTTTAAACCTGCATACGGCCTTCTACGAGAATCCTGTGTCATGGTTCCCTTAAGAAGCCTCATATGTATCGGCTACTGCTGGGGACTGCCAGAAGACATGCGCCGATACGTCTTTGTTCCAAAAATAGACGAAGGTCTCGGTACCGTATCTGCATATGCCGAGGAGACTATCTGACCAAAATCTGGTCCGTGGATAAGGGTCGCCTAGACTGTCATCGGTGCTTAAATACAACTCTTGAAGAGAGGCTCCTATACGCTTCCTTATTAGTAGGTAGGGGTCTGTGCAACTAATTTTTGAAACGATAGTAATCTATACGTAATGTAGCTTGAATCCGAACAAGGTTAGGTCACAAGGACCTCTCGCCCCCCGAGGCTGACCTGCAGTTACGACAAGGCGCCAAGCTCCTGTCGCCATGGTTAGTCCCAGCTAGCAGAGGCAACGATCACGTTTAAGACATAGATCATTGAAGAAGCCGGGCCTATGTATCTTGCATGTACGCAGACTAATTGCCCCGGGGAGAACAGACCCCCGTTCCATGCGCCGAAGGTCCCGCCGGCAAGAGACAGCCAACCAACAAACCTTGGTCAGACTGCGGGCGAGGACAACTTCGAATCCGATGATGACGACGGGGCTTTTGGACATATAGTGCTGCTGTCTCGCTTGGAATAGAGGTAAGTAAATTACTGTCTTGCATCGCAGTGAAACATGGAAAAAAGCAAGAAACCCCAAGAGTCTCAGAGGGACGAACGGAAGAAAAACAAATTCATTACTCCGTATGACAATACTACTCGTACAGCCCTTGCATCCGAACCCTCTGCACTGTGTCGGTGAGCTGGGTGGACATTGTTGTTCTTGCAAATAACTGGGCCGCGACATCTGTCAGCGAGTCAGCGCCTCGCTGGATTGGGCCGCAACAGGTTCCCAGGCAGCATTAGCCTTGGCGCTTGGCAGAGAAAGTTGCAGTGGCGGTCATCCATCAACAATTGTCCGGTGGTCCAGCAGTCCGGATGAAAATCAGGCCACGGCCAATGCTACTGTACCACGGATGCAGGGTAAATCTGCATGATACGAATCCTATTCCTACGCCCAACACTGCGAGTTGTCTTACCCCGCAACTGGTCTCAATCTCGTCTGGCCATAGTGCCGCTTGTGTGCCGGTAGCTGCATGAATATAGGCAGCCGAAGCCACTCAACCGATCCGTCAGCCACCTGCCCGCCAATGAGGTTGACTGACGAAGTGCGGCGCGAGGCCAAGCAGAGAACGGCTCGCAAGCTCGTAAATAAGCTCGTATTGCCCCTTACCTGCTGATCGTATGCGGATGACCCCAATCTTGGAAAGGTTGGGCGAAGACGAGAGAGGATGGCCCGATGCGTTTGTTGTAGTCATGAGACCAGTCTGGACAGCTCTCAAGCCAGACACGAGCGATAGTCCGAACGTGTATATATACGTTGATGCATTTCGTCTTGCAGTTTCGCAGTTCTGTGGTTCTTCTGTATTCTCACCAGCACCAGTCATTCACTCTGCAACCTCCCATACAAGCGCTTATTCCACTCGCTTGCCACCATGCTCTCGTCTTTGCTTTTTGCTGTGGCATCTAACCTTGCCGGCATTGTGGCCGCCTATCCCGGCGAGCTGCTCTCGAAGAGGGCGCTGACACCACGCGACATTGACCCGCGCACCGACTGTCCCAGTTACCTGACGGAGGGCGAGTTTGAGTTCCCTCACTACATCACGCAGATCTCCAAATCAGACCCCGATCGGGCCTTCGGGCCGCAGTACTTTGGCGTCTTCACGCCCAATGACGTGGGCAGCATCTTCAGCTTCGACATTCCGGCCTCGCGGTCCGATGCCAACTGCACGCTCGAGTTCCTCTTCCCCGAGCAGTCGCAGCTTAAGACAAGCTCCTATTCCATTTCTGGCGGCGGCAGCTTCTTCTTTACCGGCTACGCTCCGGGCAGCTGCCCCAGCGACGCAACCACATGGAACAACCAGCCAAAACCGGGCCCGTTCCCAGCATTCCCACCAGTCCACATGGAGCCTGGTCATGCTTATGTGATCGACATCGGGCCATGCTTTGTCGGCGCTGGCTCGTGCGTCGCTGGCCTCACGACCACAAATGACACATCCTTCAGCTTCTTCCAAGACTACGACGAGTGTCCCATTGGCATCTACACGACGTACTCATATCTGTGAGCTCTAAAGGCTACAACCGGTTGCAAGCGACAGGGCCTTTTCGGATCTGTTCAGTATATGCTGTTCCTGCCTGATTGGCTTAGTACAATGATAGGTCTATTAATCCATCCTTTTATACGCCTTGATTGTACGCCTTGAAGCTCCATTGCTTTAATCGTTTCTGCGTACCTTGCGATTGTGAAAATATACGTAAGAGGCCAGATCATTTAGTTGGTCTCCATAACAACAACCAGGCAGCTTCATTGTATTAGTAGGTAGGCAATAAGAAGGGAAGGGGCTTTAACGACTGACTTGGCCCAGCTGCCTCTTTCAACAAAGACTCGCCATTGTGGTCCCGCGTGCTCTGTTAGGCGCAAACTCCCGTGCAACGCTGCTCCCAGAGCGCTTCCGCTTCCGCATAGGCACCAAGTTCAGTTTGCAGTCGCGGCCAGTCCACCGTCTGCACGCCCTTGGCCGCCTCGCAGTAGCCAAATGGCTGGAGCGTCAGCCGGAAGAGAAGGCCGATGGCGTCAAGCTTGCCGTACTTGTCGAGGTCGTCAGCTAGCTGCTGCCGCAAGAGCCGCATGAAGTCAGCGTAACCAATAGGATGATGTTGTTGGTGCCATTTTTGCGTGCCGATTGATGCCGACTTCGTAAGCTGCCGGACGTTGGGGCAGCGCCAGTCAAGAGGGCCACCGTCACGCAGGCCGAGCAGACATGCATGTGTGCAGTACCGCTCAGCTCCGCAGTCAACGGCACGCACTTCTCCGCTGTGGTTGTCGCTTGTCGGTCCCGTTGCCTTGGTGCCGCTGGTACGGTTGCTTTTCGACAAAGGCCGTGTGTCGCGTCCCGAATTCGCTGCGTTTGCCGCTGACGTCCTCGTGGGCCGATACCTGGTGTGATTTTGTCGTCGAAGTCGTCGAAATCGTCGTCGGGCCTACCCTTCATCAGGTCTTTTCATACATCCTTGCCCTTCTGGCGCCGAGGGCGTAATGAGGGCGGATTCCTCAAGTCAAAGCCTCGACTGTTATGGCCATCAGGTGTCGTCGTCTCCACTGCTGCTACATGCACCCGCTTCAGAATATGAATAAGGCCACCGCTTGAGTAGCCTGCTCGTGTTCTGCTTCCATCGTTAGGAAAGAGGCCGTGTCTCCAATGCAAGCAGCACCATTGTCGACATAAGTGCCACCGCCGTTTTTCAAAGGTCCAGATTGGCGCTGACGCCTTCAGCCGGCTGTACATCGTTGCGAGGCACAGAAAATTGATTATTAGTGTCAGGGGATAGTCCGGGTCCAGATATAGTAGATTCAGAGCCTCCCCTAGTGTGACGTATCAATACTGTAAGCCAAAATAGATCGTATAGTGAAACGCCTGAACAAACACCTGTGCCGTCTTTCGCTTGAACTGCACAATGACTTTTTCTCCGTCGTCTTCAGACACTATGGGATTGCCCAGCTCCTGGACCACGTCTTGGAAAAGGGTCGTGTGGATGTGAGAGACTCGCAACTTATGCTCGGCTTTGTACTCCACAACAAAAACGGGCTTTTGAGCCTCGCCTTCAACACGAAAGCACCATTGGCCGGTGGAGGTCCGTCGTCGTCCGGGTTACGGTCTCGCTTCTGTGTGTCGTCTGCACAGGCCGTTTGAACTGCCAGAACATAGACAGGTCCATTCATAGTGTCGTTGTCTATAGCATTTGCGGGAAGAGTGCCGTAGGGGCTGTTGATAAACTTGATGCAGTCGGGGATGGGCTCTAATAGCTCGCTGGTTTCGCTGGCCACGTTTCGAGCAGCTTGAATGCGAAAAAACCCTTGAAACACCCTCTTTGAGCAGCCCTCAACAGAAAGGAACTGAAAATTGCGAATGTTCTGCTTATTAGCCGCCGGATCTTCCCGTAGAAAGTCGCGGATGACGGAAAGTGTGTCTCGTCGTGGAAGGTAGCCTCAAGACGGCGCTGGCAGTTTTCGTATAGCATCGGAAAGTCTGTTCAAGACACAAGCTCTAGTGGGTAGAACATATCGCTGACTTTGGTATAGAGTCCTTTGGACGAAAGTGACACGTCCATCTGCACGGACATTTTGAGAGAAAGCTCCTGATGGCATACCGAAAGGTACGTAGGGAAGTCTGCCGGCTTGTTGTTTATAATAGATACTTCGTACTTTCGTTGCAGTTCGAAATTCAACTGCTCGCGTTACTATGCTTGTTGTTTTAGTTCCTCGATTCTCCAGACATGCGCTTCCGAATCTTCGTCTCTGACGCTTCTGCGCATGGGCGAAATCAACGAACTACATAAGGATAAAAGTTACCGATGGGACTAATTTCATGTCAAAGATAGCAAGGTACTCTGTACTCCGTACATTGGGTGAAGTTCTCGTCTTTATCGCATCTAATAAATCTTTAGAAGATAATTGCCACCTTATTATTATAACCACCGTCCAGGCGTGTGTAGCAGAGGTAAAAAGCCCCCTCATTTATCCTGGCCTTAATAGCTACCTTCTAAAGAACTGAAGAATATAAGCTGCTCACATCTTCAAAGGCCTCGCCCATCCGCACAAACGTCTACTTGGCTTATTAGCCGTAGTGTCAGAGGACCACCCAGAGAAAATGCCGACGCCAGGGTCTAAACGGATGTGCCTACGTTCTACAACAGCCGCTGTCTTTTTACTGATGCGATGAAGCAAGGTTCACACATCATCCCTATTTTATCAAAGCAGAGGCTGGGGTACGGCTCTGTGATTGCTCTACTGAGCAAGGAGCACCTATGAAAATTCTGTCAAGAAGGTGACTTTGTCGGGGCGCCGATTAACCTGTAAATTGTGGCAGGACGTAACAATGACAATGACTAGTCCGGTGCTATACAGATCTTAGAGGAGTATCTGTCAGTGAAACCATTCTCAAGAGTTTGTGAGGAGGAATATTATCTTTATTGCAAGGACAAAACAAGGACAAGGCGCGCCTTGTCTCTATATACAACTTGTATGCCTTAAGAGCCCGAATAGTCTAAGAAAATAATGTCAATGTATGCGTAATTTTGTCCGTATTTCTCCTCCGTGACCAAAGGAAAATTTACGATGCTGTTTTATCTTGAAGAGCAGTATCTATGACATCTGTCACCAACAAGTTTTCTATCGGCTCAGCTGTTTGTACGCTGTTTTCCTTATCAGCACTCGGCTTATATATCCTCTTCCAGTCCAAGGCCCACGAAACAATGAATGCGCAACCAGCTGCTGCTGTGCTAATGTAGTAGCTATTGCGTAAACCTAAGACGTAAGCACCGAGGACTGCATCAATAGCATCCGCACGTCCCATATTGATGAGTAATTGACGGATCTGAGAGGCGCCGCTGTTAACGATGAGCGAGCTGTCAATGTCGGGAACGTCATGCACAAGGTGCTGGACGAGGCCGTTTTCGAATACTGTCTGGGACACAGCAATAAATACCGAACCACCGAGCGATTGGAAGAACTGGACGCAGGCAGTGGCCTGTGGAATAAGTTCTTGGGCAAGTATGTTCTGCACGATTATGATTGGTGCCTGGAAGCAGACGCCAGTACCAAGACCCATGACGACTTGGTAGCCGAGCCACTCATGCATTGGCGTGTCGATCCAGAAAGATGCAATAAGACCGGCGCCCGCCGTGAGAAGAGCCGTCTCGCAGATCATAACAGGGTTGTAATAGCCGAAGTTCGTGACGAGAACGCCGCTCAGCATGGAGCTAATAACCATAGCAATTAAAAATGGCAAAATTTTAATGCCTGCATGGACGGCGCTATCGCCTTGGACAGCCTGGAAATACAGTGCTACTTAACATTAGCATAGATATAACAAATCCCTGAGATTCTAGGGACTCATGAAAACAGCACAACAAGATCTCAGACTTACACAGGTAGTATACCATTGGGAAGAAAGAGGCACCGAAGAACATGGCAAATAGCATGGCGCATAAGACGCTGCGATTCCTGAAGAAGCGAGGTGGTAGAAGACCTTTGTCCTGTTGCCAAATCTCGATGCCAACGAAGACGACGGCGCCAACGCCAGCACCAACGAAGAGGCCTATGACACGAGAGTTGTGCCATGGGTACTTAGTGCCACCCCACTGAAGAGCGATAAGAAGCATAATGATCGATGGGATTAGGGTGAAGGCACCCGGTAGGTCCAGCTGCAACACTCGAGACAGTATAGATTTGAGCCCGCCCCCAGTCTTGTCATCTCGGGGAAGATGCAGCATGAAAATAACGGCTGTCATGGCCACGCCTCCAATAGACAGGTTTATGTAGAAGCACCAACGCCATGTGACGTGATCAGCAAAGGCGCCACCGAGTAATGGCCCGACGACAGAAGAGATACCCCAGAGAGCGCCGAACAGGCCAAAAGTAGCGGGTCGCTTGCGGAGTGGCAGCATAAAGCCAAGGATAACAAATGTTCCAGAGAAGATGCCAGCAGTACCCAGGCCGGCGATGGCTCGTCCGACGATGAAGGCGATAGACGTTGGCGCCACGGCTGACACGAGACTGCCTAGCTCGAAGACGATGACGGCGGCGAGGAAGGTGGCTTTGACGTTGAACAAGCGGTAAACCGTGCCAAAGATGGGCTGCATGGCCGTCGACGTGAGTAGGTACGAGGCACCGTACCAGCCGATGTCTGTAATTGAGTCGAACTGGTCCGTGATAGTGCCTAGAGCTGGGGCAATGATCGTTTGGTCTAGTGCTACCAGGAAGACGGACATGCATAGAGAGAAGACAACAAGCCATAGCTTTAGGCCCGTTGGGTATTGCGACTCGTCCTCGGAACTATTCATGGTGTTGGTCACGTATTTATCGATGTTATCTGCCGAGCTTGCTTTTGAGACATCCTTGTCTGCTTCGCCTTGCTTGTTGTTGTTGTTCAAACTTTTGACATCCACAACGGCTGTCTCTGTTTGTATTTACGCATTTTCTTGATGTGGGAGTGTCGCCATGTTGACTATGTTTTGGCATTAGCCCAGTAAGAGGCGAAGGAGCGTTGCTGATTTGCAGAACGTGAAGAAGTCGGACTATGCTTGTGAGGCACCCACGAGATATTATACCATATAGAAACGACTAATGAGGCCCCTAGGACGTTTAACTACTTCTTAGAAGCTTATGCTGAAGTGTCTAAGGGATGGCAAAGACTTGGTATCCAATAAGCCCCCAACGGACATCTGTGGCACAACGCTTTCGGAGTAGTGGCATCGGTACATGTGTTCTTTGACTTCTTGTATTTGTAATCTATTTGTTTGTAATCTACATTTTTGTAATCGCTGCATTGTTGTGGTTCAAGAGAGACATGAAAGGCGGGAAAGTGGGTGCCTACCAGCGCAAGACTATTTGTCGTGCCAGAATACGAAATTAGCTTTACATACGTTCATTGACGAATACGGTTAGTACATATTCGGCCGTCGGTTTTACTTCAACCGTGGCTACTTGTTTCATTAATTTACGGCCGACGAGGGCCGAAAAAGACGTAGTTCGGCCGACGAGAATCAAGACTGCCACGGACCACACAGAAGACACGAAACTGAGCGCCGGGTTGTCAAACGTTTTACGGAGTATGCATATGAATAACAAGCAGGGTGCTGACAACCGCCGACTCTGTCGGCTTCCTAGCCGATGTCTATTTGAGCATAATTTGTAGTACTAGCCGTAGAATATGGATTGGAACGTAAGGCAGCTGAGATACCAGGCATTGTAAAACTTGTAAGTTGGTACGCAGTATCTCGGGCCTGTTCACTTTCGAAGTGCGCGAAAGTCATTTTATACCTGGCCTCTCGTGACACGAGTCTATAAAGACTGCGGTGAATGGTGATGAAGTGTCAGACAATTCCAAAAACGATTTCTCAGGCATACAATTTCGCGCAGAGCAGACACGCCCACCCTGAGAATTAGCAAGGTGATCTAAGTTATCAAAGAAGGGATTGATAGATCCATTTATTTGAAGCGGGAAATCTCAAGATGTTCAAGCAATACAGTGCTAAAGAATCGAAACCTGCCGAAGTCGTGGTAACCGGCCTTAGGATCCTCGACAGCTCAACCAGGGATGAGCTAAGGCCAACAGATACTCTACCTCGTGACATTGATATCGTTCGCAAATTTGGATGCCTGTGGGTTACATTCTTTGTCCTTTTCTTCTATTCCAGGTTAATGCACAAGAAGTGACTTACCGGGCTAACTGTGCGAAGGGAAACCTACCAGCTCGCCCTCCAAACTTTGGATTACATGCGTGTGAACATTGTAGGCTACAGATACAAGCTTCCGGTACGATGGAGATTGCCCGGACTGCGCAACGACCTAATGGCCACCTGCGAGGAGGCCGTGGCGCGCGTGGTCCTTCGGCATCCCCATATGCATGTCGGCATCACGGGAGAGCACACCAGGAACCCACACTGGGTGCGTCTCCGTGAACTAGATCTGAACAATCACATAAACTGGACTTTAATCACTCCGAGAGCAATTGATTATCAGAAAGCTTTAGGCAGCGTGGTAGGCCAAGAGCTAGACACCAGGTTTGCCGACTACCAGAACGTGCCGCGCTGGAGGCTCAGGATTTTGCACCAGGAGGGTGAAGATTCGATCGACATTCTCTTTTCTTTCTGCCACATTGCAGTAGACGGTTCCAGCGTCAAAATGTTCCACAGAGAGCTGCTCCAGAGCCTTCGCGGTGGTTCAGAGGCCGCCGGCGAAATCAATGTTAAAGATCATATCCTAGTACTTCCAGAGGATTCCACCACAACTTTCAGTCCCCCCGCAGAGAATCTCGTGCAGTTTCCCGTTGACCTAAAAGCATTGGTCTACTACTGGCAGAACGAGGTCGAGATTTCGACAGCAGCATATCCGAAGAAGCCAAGACAAGCCCATTGGGCCCCCATCCAGACAACACCGTACAAAACGCAGATCCGGTCCATCTACATCCCTGGCGATGCTTTATCCAGGCTCATCGCTGCCTGTCACCACCAGAAGACTACGATGACGGGCCTGCTACATGCGCTCGCTGCTGTTTCCCTTGCGCGCCTCTCCTAGATCCAGCTGAGGCGCTGGAATTCGAATTTCTTACGGCCATGGATCTTCGCCGCTTTCTACCAAGGAAGCCGACCGCGTACCCATGGTTTGAGCCGGAGAAAGCCATGTCAAATTATGTGACGTGTCTTAGCCACGTCTTTGACGAAGCACTAGTCGCCCAAATGCGTGCCGACTCCTCCCTGTCGGTTGCTGTTGGTGATGAAGGTCTCTTTCCCCCAACCGCCCTTGTGGAAACAATCTGGGAGGCTGCGCGAAAGATCCGCCATGAAATTGCCAACAAGGTGGACATGGGGCTCCACAATGATATGAACGGTTTCGCACAAGCTGTCACCAACTGGCGCACTCAGCTTTTAGAGGAATCTCAGCGTCCGCGGCGTTCCTCGTGGGTCATTACGAATTTGGGTGCGTTCGACGACCAGCCAGCCCTTGATGCTACTACTGCCTCCACCCGCTACCAGACAGACCGCGATTCGTGGTCAATCACCCGCTCTTCCTTCTATTTGTGCGCAAACGTTGTCTCCTCCGCTTTTGGAATTGCCGCCTCATCCGTAAAAGGAGGAGGCCTTTCGATTTAATTTTTCCTGGCAAGAATCCGCTGTTAAATCCTCCGTAGGAGACAGCTTTGTAAAAAATATAGAGGACTGGCTGCTATATACGTCGCAGCCTTAAGATGGATGGCCCGGTCTAGCACTCAATTCTTCAAGATTTAGGTAGCCTAGCAGACTCGCTTATGTAAACGGAGTTTTAAGATATTATCAAGATAGAATTGTGAAGAAGAATAGATAGGCACAAGTATAGCATTTGGCTAGGCAAAAATACTATTTCTGGCGTACCCCTCCTACAGCCACAGGGCTAACGAAGATGGCCGCAGACCGCATGGGCTCAGCAGCAGCGCAGCGGGTTACCATCGGCCGACCGAATCAAACGAATATTCGGCCGATGGATGAGCTGACTGCATCGTTGAAAACCCGCAGATCTATGCCTTTACCGGAAACTCGTGTCAATAGCGTGGCTCTGATTGGTTGATATTCCCAGGTTACTTACCATCGGAATACGTTTTTGCGATGCGGCTCATGTGTGGAAGGACTTACTGATGTGCTATCCATCTCACCTAGAGCCTATAAGATTATCTATTCTTGCTTTTGAAACCTTCGACATTTCACAACACGACCGTGCAGGCTGTTCTTTGCCAAAATGTTGATACCTTTGAACGATGCCAGTTATGAGTTAGCACTCAAAATTTGCAAACAAAGCCTAATATCTGTAGCAGGAATTGTAGGTTTTTACCAAACCGCCAGAATAATTTACAACCTGTTTATTCACCCACTACGCCACATCCCTGGGCCATGGCTTTCTGCTGCCTCTTACCTCCCGGAATTCTACTACGACGTTTTCAGGTCTGGACGCTATACGAGACAGATCCAAAATATGCATGAAAAATATGGTAAGCTTTTTGCACTATTGGTAGATATACATAGTATACCGCAGCATCTGACTGCTCGCCCAGGCCCAATTGTCCGAATCAACCCCGATGAAGTACACTGCAGTGATCATCGTTTCATAGACGAAATATATGCTGGGGGAGGTAGAAAACGCGACAAGCCCACGCACCAAGTTCGGGGCAGTGGAGTGTAAGTGTGTAAACATAATATATATTAATCTAGCACCGGGTATCATGCTAATTATTCAGGGCCGAAAACGCAACATTTTCGACAATTAACCATGATCTCCACCGAATGCGCCGAGGCGCCTTGTCCAAATTCTTTTCTCGCGCTCAAGTTTCGCGCCTTGAGCCCACCGTTCGGAACTTGGCTGAAGGAATATGCGACAAGATGTTGCGCGTTAAACAGCAGGGACCATTTGATGTGACAACGGCCCTGAGCCTCTTCACGACTGATGTCATCACTGGTTATTGCCTTGGCGAGAACTTGGGTCTCATAGCCCAAAAGGGCTGGGAGCCAAACTTCCGCGAGCCGCTTTTTGCTCAACTAAAGCTTGTCTACTGGTTCCGCTTTATTCCATGGCTAAAACATGCTGGCTTTGCAATGGCTATGTAGGCACTCGGAATCTTGACATTGGCGTGGAAGCGTATGCATTGCTAACATTAACAAACAGGTTCACGAGGAAGCTATCGGAAGATATGGAAACGCTATTTAGTGTTCTGATCGTGAGTCAGAATCGCCTGGGGGGGAACCGAAAGCTTTAGCTGAAATTCTAATGCGATAGTCGAATAGGTGGACATGCCTGGCTATGTCAAAAAAGCACAGACTCGAGTCGATAAAGGAATCGATGACGGCACAACGGTGTTTGGATCTGTCCTTCAATCGGATCTCCCCCAAGCAGAGAAAACGACCCAGAGACTCGTCGAGGAGGGGTTCTCCCTGTTTGTAGCTGGTACAGAAACAGTCAGCTGGACTTTGACTGTGATTGCGTATCATCTTCTCACCAAGCCGGCTATTTTAAGTAAGATTACTGCTGAGGTGCGTGAGGCGACAGGCAACTCAGGGAAAGTGCCTCAATGGGCGGCTCTTGAAAAGCTGCCGTATTTAAGCTCCGTCATATATGAAGGTCTGAGGCTCTCGTATGGCCTAGCTAGTCGCACCTCCCGTGTTGCAACTAGCGAAGATCTAGTCTACCGTGGTGATTGGACCCCGAAGAAGTCAAACAGCACCAAGAAAGTGGACCTTGTCATTCCTCGGGGATACGCCATCGGCATGTCCGCTGTCATCACACATCATGACGAGAGTATATTCCCAGATTCGCACTCGTTTATCCCTGAGAGGTGGCTGGATGAGAACCAACAGCACAGAAAAGAGCTAGACCGCTCTCTCCTCTCCTTCTCAAAGGGGAGCCGTGGGTGCATTGGTATCAAGTACGTGGATATATCCTGCCTTTTATTAGAAGAATGCTTTGTTGACCATTTTAGCCTTGCCTACTGTGAGTTATATGTTCTACTAGGTCTTTTAGTCGACCGAGTATTTCCGCACATGAAATTATATAAGACTACAGAGGCGGATATTGCATGGGACCACGATTTCTTCAACCCTTTTCCTGTGTGGGGCAGCCAAGGTGTAAGAGCAGTGATTGTTTAATGCATCTAAGTCGTACAAACACGGGCAGTAGATCGATCGAATCCAATATAAGAGGAGCTCTCTAACCGGATTCTGTTATGGCCCTCGGCGTCATAAGTTCAATATAGCTGTATGGCTGGGTGTTAAATATGAAACGTCACACTGCTGCAAGTAGATTACAACGGCCTGTAGATAATTTATACGATATGCGATTATCGTCTTAGGCGGTAAAGGAACAGATTCCGGATTTATTTATTTTGTCCATAGTACTTAGTAGTGATTTAAAAACCAACTAGGCTTATTGTAAAGAGTAGTTGACGTAGTTATACATGATTGGTACAATTTACGGAGTACGACCGCTGCATTTGGCACTAAAGTACTGTCGGGGCGGCTGTAAAAGACAGGCTGCTATAATTTTAACGTCATTCTTCACGATCAATTCGATCCTTTCTCGTGAAGTTCAAATTCCTGCCTACTGTGCAACTCGCTATAATATCTCACGCTGCTTCTTATATTCAGAGGTACGCAAGACTGAGGAAGTACGGCTACAACCTTACTTACTCATAGAATAATGTATATGTGCGTCACACGGCAACATTCTGTAAGTGAATCTAGTCGCATTGGGGTTGACAGAATATAAGAGTCGCTAAAATGTCGTGTTCTAAGGCACCGACGGACGGAAGTTTGGATTGCTCGTATAGCGCCGAGGAGAATGGGTTACTCCTTTAGGAAATCAAACCGAAATTAAGCTCTTGCGTGTTGAAAGACAGGTTTACCTCGTTAGGGAGCCAAGCCGAACTCGAACTGTTACTCAAGGCAGTAGAACACGAGCGCTTCGTAAATGTACGTGGTACGTATACGTACTTGTACTTGTGCATGGCGTAAGTGAACAAATCATAGGACAGTTATAGGACGCGCTCTGCAAAATCCATCTTGCAGGCATGTTGTATGTAAATCGTACCCGTTTGTGTACGTGTATATTTAGTATCTTACATCATACGGAGTAGGAGATGAAGAGGGTGGGCCCTGTTAAAAATTACCCTTGCATGATAAGCTACGTATGTATGCTTCGTAGGATCACCAAGTGGGCACTTCGGCTTCAGCGATCTTCTTACTAATAAGGCTAAATGACGCACTTGCGCATACGTCGTACACTAGTTAGGAGCCGAATATGGTGTGGCTATTAGAACTGCGTGCTGGCTACTCCGTACCGAAAGTAGCAATTGCGAAATCGATGTCGGTTCCGCTCGTAATTCGCAAGCGTCGGCTCCGCTAGCTCCCAGTTAGTGTGCGGGTACAGTCTCCTCTTTTCTCGGCCCACCGTCTTATTGTCGAATGAACCAGACCAGAATGGGAGGGGCGTGCACGATTATGCAGTGTGATGAAAGAATACATGTACTGTGTGGCGCATGGGGCTATTTAGTACGTGTTTTGATGCACGTCGGCATACCTCGGAAGTACCTAACCACAACAATACATTCACGCTCACTGGGCACCCATTATTTGACACTTAAAGTGACCCATACGAAACGTGGCAGAGCCACTTAAATAGGCACAGACTTCTAGTGCTTAGCAGATTTCAATAGTGAACTTAGGTCGACTCGGTAAGATACATTAACACTAAAGCCACTGGTGCTTACAAGTGCACAGCCTCTTATTTAGCTTGCTATGTAAACGTCCTGAAAGCAGGTAACCCCGTTTTATGTCGCGTCACATTAGCTCAACGGCTGTCCTACTTGATAGTCACCCACCTGCCGCTTTAGGAGGCATTGAAGGAGCCATGCAAGGACGTAACCACGGAACGCTTCTGCAAGATTACATTACCTGTAATATTACGTATACTGCGTACATTCTCACATAAGCGCGTTTTCGGCTGTCCTGCGAACCGGCCTGATACGTGCACCAGTACGTAACACGATTACAGTACGAAGCTATACTCCGTACTCCGTACTATATACATATCTTGTTCTAGAAGCGGGTTGTGCAGTGGAGCATAACACGTAAATCTTGAGTGCGACCCCTGGCTGCACTAAAACTAGTTCTCGTACTTATACAACTCCACAGGGTATCATATCTACTTGTAAGCACTCCGTAAGAATAGAAAAATATGGAGTAGAGAGTATGCATAACAGGGAAACTAGCTAGATCAGAGCGGACACGGCTGCGCTACTTTCCTGTCAGACAAAACTGTATCTCTGCGTGAGTCTCGAGAAAAGAAGTAGGTGGGTGATCCCATAGACCCTGAAAATCCACCAACGTCGATAAGGTACAGTCTAATAGTCGTAAGCTAGTACTAGACTGATACACGGGTCTCGGAGATTTAGCGTCCGGTCAGACTAAAGTCAAGTCTATCCCCACAGGATTTGTCAGCACTTACAAAGTAGACCACATTTCATGAGGGAAAGTAGACTAAACTTAGGTTCCTTTTCGACACCGGTACATCTATGTGAGATACCACCGACAGGTAGTCTCACCGCCGACTATCAATGCACATAATGTTCCGATGGCTCTGATACGTTAATTCTGTACTCCGTAGTCGCATTGAATGTTCGGATATCATTAATTGTTGTTTTACCTTCTCTCTTCGTTTCCTCGCCTATCACTGACCTTCTTTACTCAGTTGCGATAGATTTTCACCTGTGAAGTGAATGTACATTGCCAGCGAGCTCTACGGAGAAAATCTGTTGATTCAGCGCCGTCGCATCGAACTTTCCACACCAGCCAAAATATAAGAGAAGCTTTAGTCGAATAAGCCGCGAGCACATTCTAGAACTGTGTAGCCTTTCTATTGCGAAAGGAACTTGATCCTTAGACGACACAAAGACCCTAAGATGGGTGCATTCAAAGCTCCAATACAACCAATAAGAATAGTAAAGCTAAGCGCTAAGCTCAATACATCGTATGTTCGTCCAAGAACAAGGCCCGAGCAGGTGTACTAAGTGTTCGTTGAGACTGTCCAAAAAGGAAAGAAATGGCTTTACCACTCTGCTTGCCATTCTTTGGCCTATATGGAACATAAAGCAGCTGAGAATTGAGAGCCACCATGGCCAAGGGCCCCAACTAGTACAAAAACTTGTCCATTTACTAGGGAAAGTTGGTGCTCAAAATTCAGATCTTGAATGCGTGCGAAATTATTGTCGATGTACAGCCAGTTTGTAAGGCCGACGAAGATCTCTCTTTTCAGCCGCAATAGATCCTGTACTTCTCCTCACCCAGCCTCGTAACAATGTCCACAACACCCACAAAGGAGCATCAATAGAAAACGCCAAGCAGTCGTAATTAGAATCATCAAAAATTAAGCTCTTTTGCGTCTACAGCCACCGCTTCCGCTGCTTCGTCTGGCCCTGACATACTAAAGAAAAAGCTTAAAGCTATTATAGCAGAATATACAGTGTTCATTCAGCGTGGCAATCATGCAATAACAAAAAAAGGGACGGTAATAGCAATGGCTAAATTAAAGTTTATACAAACTTAAACAGTTTTTTTTACAGTAGGCTTCTTCTCAGAGTCGCTAAAATTGGTTCATTGGCTAATACGAGTGACCGGCAGTATTTCAAAATGTAGTCAATTGGTACCTCGGCACAAAGATACAAAGAACAAATCAATTCTTTTGGCAGGTAATTACTCCGTATTACTTCGTACGGAGTATATTCTTGATAAAATACGGTTAGATCCTTGAAGACGGAGCTAAGCTAAATTAAGCTACATTTTGGTCTGTGCAGAGTCTTACCTGCTTCGCAGTTCTAGCCTGCATAACATATGCATGCTTTTCGACCTCACACTAATATAGCCTAACCAAAGTACGAAAACAAACCTAAAGCGACCGGTCAATCGACGAGCGGGATATAAAGCCTAACTGTACCAATCTATCAGCGTACTAAAAGTTGGTCTTAAAATAAAAAATATACGATCGCCGGCGACTCTCCAAGCGACCGTTCCCCAATATGTGCGCTATGACATGATTTCCACACGTAGTGTGAGGTTGTCCAAGTCCTGGTTGTACAACGATAGTCTGGCAGCGGTGTAAGAGTCGTGTCACCCGTCGTATAGCAACCGGAGCCAGTTCTTGGACCAGGAGACGCGCTTTCAAGCCTACAACATGAATGCCCCCCGCAAACGGGTTATTTCCTCGTGCGTGCCATGCTACACGCGGAAGCAAAAAGTTAGTATACTCTCACGACCCGATTCGGCTTGTGTCAGGTTTCTACAGGATGGAATATATGTTCCTGACAGTCGCAGTGCAACCGGGAATATCCGTGCAACCACTGTTCACGACGACGATGTACAGAAGACTGTATCTACTACTCTACTGCACCGAGCCAGACTTCCAGCCCGGCAGCGACGTCCGAGGTTCGCTTTGAAGAGAGGAGTCGTGAGAAGAGACAAGCGGCAAGCGGCCGTGCGCTCAAGGCACAGAGTGAGTGGAATAGCCAGCCGAAGTCGACTACTCCAGCTTCGCACTGGGCGGGCTCATCCATTGCAGAGTCCTTTGGATACTTTGAGGACAGCGGCAGCAACACGCTGGCTGTTATTCAGAAGGTGAGCTGTCCAATATAGGAGCAAGCAGAAGGTTGGAGTTGACATGTTAGCAGGTATTTCCGCGGCCGGAGAGCCTGAAGAGCTCACCCGTTCTCCTCCCCGAAGCAAGCGAGGAGGTACAGCGCCATATTCGACGCATGCCTGACCGGCAGATCATAGACTTCTTGATGCAATTTTATGTAGCCGAAGTCCATTGGTTCGTGAGCTTATGTTTGGCTTTTGGATTGGTCACAGTTTTGCTGTTCTATTTTATGAGCACAACTAACGATTTGGCGCGTCAGGATGGACCAGCTTGTGCATGTGCCGTGGCTGTTGGCCAAATACCAGACGTGGGCATCGGAGGGGGTGACAGCAGCATCAGGAGTCGATTTTGTGGTGCTTATTCTACGAATCTGCGCGTACGCAACCCAGTTCCTACCGGCACCTGGCTACATTATGGACAAGGTCCGTGGCGTGCCTTTGACAGATGTGCGCAGCATGTGTGAGGAGACAGCCGACAACCTGGATGCGATTGCAATGGCGGCAGACGGGCGCGGGTCGCTCATCCGCGTGCAGCACCAGGCTTATCACGGGCTGCATTGCCAGATTGACGGAAAGATGGGCCTCTTCTGGGACGCGGTGAGCCAGGCCATACGAACGGCACAGAGCGTCGGCATTCACTGTGATGCCGTGGCGGTGCGCCGGGGCGTCGATGGGCCTACACGAGAGATGGAACGGCGGACGTTCTGCATCCTGTATATCTGGGACAGCCTGCTCTCGCGGAAGCTAGACCGTGTGCCGGTTTCCCCTGGCCGCCTTCGTGCAGGCAGCTGGCCACAGCTGCAGGCTCTTCGAAGCGGTGCCGAAGGCGACACCAGTGGCTCCAGCAAGACAGGCGGTGCGGAGGTGGAAGGACCAGTGCCCGACCTGTTTACGGAGCGGCTTCTACAAGCGCGATTGGCGGACTTTTGGCGAAGTGCCAGTCCGTGGCCAGCCGGGGAGTACGATGCAGTGGAGGCTGAAGAGCGGTACGAGCGGTTTTTCCGAGAGTACGTGGAGCAGCTGCCGCCGGTGTTTGCGCTCACCGAGCCGGACCAGCGCTGGGATGAGCGGCGGGCGAAGCTGGCGCTACAGCGGTTGGCGCTGCACATCTCGGTGTACGAGATGATCTGCTGGAACTTCCGGCCGCTGCTGCTTCAGCAGTCGGCGACACTGCCGATGCACAAGTTGGTGATGGTCAGCGTGCAGAAGCGGAAGCTGGCGGCGGCGGCGCTGTGCACTCTGCGGTCGGTGAAGCAGCTGCATGCGCTTCTGGGGGGGTGCCACACGCGGCTGGCCTGCATCGTGTTCTCGGCGTTTGAGGCGGGGGTGCTGCTCGCGTGTCTCTGCGCCGAGCCACAGTTCCCGGAGGACTACCCGGTGCATCATATTCCGCCACCCGGAGCCCTCCGGACGGATCCGCTGCAAGGCGACATCTTTGCGGTGACGCAGGATAGCTGCCTGCAGGCGGCGCGCGGGGCATTGCGGCTGCTCGAGATGCTGGCAGAGGTGAGCCACATGGCGGAGGTCGGGGCGACGACGCTGGCCAAGGTGCTCGCCCGGGCCACAGAAGGCGGCACGGCTGCCAAGGCCGGGGTAGAGGGAGCGGCAGTCGTGTCTAGCCGCGAGCCAGAGGTTCCGACTCTGGTGACGAGCATGGGTCCGTCGTCGGTAGCGTCATCGCAGCTCAGGGGGTCAACAGCCGCGGCCGAAGTGCCGCTCTGGCTTCACAACGATATTGTGGACTTGCGCCCCCTTGATATGATGGGCGCGGATCTGACTGTGGGGGATTTTTCTGTCTGGCCGCCACTGGATGCCTCCCATATGTATTCGCAAGACGCCGAGTACTGAGCGGTGGTACTCACGGGGCGATAGAAAATGAACCTGATCGGCGCGCAGTTTGGCGTCAATCCACCAATATACGGGCCCTACGCTCGATTAGACTAGCGGTGCACTAAGAAGGCACAGGGGTAGCTGCTTGCAGGACTAGTGTAAGTGGGCAAGCTAAATTGGATGCTTGTACTTACTCCGTATGGAGGCCAGAGAGGAATGCATAAAGCGATGTAACGACGTGCCTTTCTAGCAAGGATCGTGTACATGTATCGAGACAAGATACAAGCTGCATGCTGGTAGAAACTGACTTATAAATTCATGGTTGTGCGCAACGGGATTCATTCTTCTGTGGACGGCTATCTAGGCTACGCTGTGCGATGATGCAACTACCACGGGGCGTTCGTGCCGTCGTAGACGTTGCGGCCACCGGGCTTCTCCCACCCCTTGACGAAGACCTTGGGCAGCTGGCCGTTGATCTCAGCCTGGGTCTTATTGAAGATGATATCGATCGAGGCCTTGGCGCCCTGCTCGGGAGTAAGATCGGCCATGTCGCCACCACCGAGCTCAGTCTTGAGCCACTATAGTTGGTACAGTTAGCAGCAGTCTTCAGGTGAACTCTGACCTATCCGCAGTTCTTTCTTCTTTCCAAGTACGTACCCCAGGACAGAGAGCCGCGAAGGTGAATCCCTCCTTTTCATACTCAAGGGCATACTGGACGGTCAGGGCGTTCAGGGCAGCCTTGGAGATCTTGTAGGAGGGGGCGGGGAGGAGGGCGGCGTCGCGGGCGAGGGCGATAGAGCCGATGGTCGTGGAGCTATGAGGGATTAGCTGGACATTGCAGCAGTAAGACAGGACTGACGGCAGTGCGTAGCGCTTACATGTTGATGACCTTCTTGAGCGTACCCTTCTGCAGAAGGGGAAGAAAGGTGCGGGTGACCCAGTGAACGCCCAGAACGTTTATGCCAAAGCTCTCCTCGAGGTTGTCCCTACATCGATTAGCGTTGCTGGCAAAAGAAACAGAGCAGCGGATACGGCCTACATGGACGTGATACCGTTGAAGGCGTATTGGCAGACACCGGCGTTGTTGATCAGCACGTCCAGGCCCTTGCCGCCTAGAGCAGTCTCGACCTGGGAAGCAGCCGTCTTGATGGAGGCCTGGTCGGTGACATCTAGCTTGATGACAACGACGCGGCCGTGGGACGCCTTGGCGATATCGTGTAGAGGAGGGGCGTCACCGCGGGCGCAGGCAAAGATCATACTGACCTGGGCAGCTGGCAGGGAGACGAGCTCCTTGGTGAGGGCGAGGCCCAGGCCGCGAGAAGCTCCTGTGACGAGGAAGGAGGCCATAGTGATCGAGAGAGTTGAAGGGGAATAGAGCTAGGACAGGACAGACGAGAGATCAAACAGAGGTTGAAGAGAAGCAAGGTAGGCAGGGTAGTTGGGTAGGCAGTGGCGTGCTGACGGAGGCGGGGACGTCCGGTTTTCTTTATAGGACATCCGGACCACGACTGTAAGTACAAACATAAGTGCCCGAGCCAAGCCAAGCCGTGTCTACACACAACCCGACCATTCCCACAAAAGCTAAGCCGACCATTGTGGGTCTATTTTCACTTAATAATCATCCTAGAAATTTTTGTCTTAGGCTCGTCAATGTACTCTGTTAGAGGTCGTACAAAGGAAATTTTTTCTGCTAGGCGGGGGAAAAAACCGCTGGCACATAAAAATGCAAGTACCGTAGAAAAAAGTAAACAAACAAACAATTTACGTTGTTATACTCTATAGTTAGGTACTTCTTCGCTATGCTAACGTGCATACAGGCCTCTACCAAATAAGAACTAAACGCTATAGGTCGCATGTATCTTTCCACCTTACGCCTACGCCCCACCGAACACACCGCTTTTGCAGTACTTGTACCACCCTTTAGTACAGTACAAGATGTGGAAGACGAGCCTAAGGCAGTTATTTTTTTTTGGCACTGATTACTAATTGAATAGACCCACAAATAGACCCACAATGGTCAGCTCAGCTTTTGTAGGAATGGTCGGGTTGTGTGTAGACACAGCCAAGCCTCGGGCAGAGATTACGTAATCGAGTTCAGGGTAGTGCTGGTCGGCCCACAGTGCAAGTAAGATCTGATAATCGGCCGACAGTAGAGTCTCGGCCGACGCACGCAGGCCCGTTGGTGCTGATCGCTATTCAGATCTGGCCGGGGGCTACCATCCCCGTACATATGGCTTAGCTTGGGCGCAGATGGAGGTTTCAGCGGTGGACAGGCCAGACGCTGCTTAGTAAGCAAGAAATCAACGCCAGCACAGACAGATCCCCCCTACGGCCTGCGCTGCTTCCTGACAATGGGCGAGAGCACGGAGACGACGGACTGGAGCTTGACGAACGGACATGGATATATCCTGAACCGTGACCGGGCGCATGCGGCGGCCAGCCGGCTGAACCTGCAGTTCTATCTCTGGAAGGACGCGCTCGGCTTCAACATCCACCCGGTGGTGGCGGCAGAGCTGCGGCCAGACGCGCGCATTGCCGAGGTAGCAGCCGGCACAGGCGCCTGGCTGGTGGACGTGGCACGCGAGAGACCGGACGCAGCGGTGGTCGGCCTCGACTACAACTGGAGCAGGCGCCGCCAACAGCGTGGCTTCCGGCGGGCACGTCGCTGCGGCGGTGGAACGTGTTGGAAGACGTGCCAGACGACCTCGTGGGCACCTTTGATTACGTGCACACGCGGCTGCTCGTGCTCGTGGTGGAGAACAAGGACCCGCGGCCGATCCTGCGCAACCTGCTCCGTCTGCTGAAGCCGGGCGGCTACCTGCAGTGGGACGAGCTCGATACCGTGCACATGGCCGTGCACAAGATAGACACGGCACTGGCGACGCCGGCACTCGACCAGCTGCGTGCGTGGTCCTGGGCCGGTGGCCGGCGCGACTGGACCGTGCGACTGGCCGAGTTTATGGCGGACGTGGGCTTCAGCGCAGCCAAGACTGACTTTTACGGCGACCCGCTGCCGCTCGTGCGCGCTTTCAACGAGCAGCACCTGCTTACGGCGGATGAGTTCGCCCTTGGTCTGGCCAAGCTCGGCCAGGCCGACGCTGCCAACAAGTACTTTAAGCTGGTCGAAGATGCGTACGTGGAGTCGGTGGTTGGCGCCTCGCTCAGCGTTCCTCGTGTGGTGTGCACGGCACAGAAGCCAGTGGAAAGGTAGATATGTGGCACGATGTCAATGAACGTTTGTATCAGTCTAGCCGTGCCAGAAAACGAACGTAACTATTCTACCACAAGAATAACTGCCACTTGTAAAGTATATACACATGAAGAAGCACGCGTAGAGGAGAACAGGGTAAGAACAGTAACATGTTAGAAAAGCCAAAGACCCATAACAATTAGCTGGGAAAGCAGCTGGCAAGTGTTTTAGCGTCCCTTAACAGATTTATAAGATTTCAGCCTTTTTGTGTACACATCAGTCTATATTGCATAGCAAATACGAATGAACAGCTAACAACCGACTATCTATACTGTCGCCGACTGGGGCTGCAGTGCGGCGTCTGTGATGGCAGCGGCGCGTGCGGCAATGCTGACAGCGGGATCCAAGAGATCCAGCATGCTAATGCTAGTGGCAAGGGCCTGTAGGAACCATGTGCGCAGCTCAGCAGCGATAAGGCTGTCGACGCCAAGGTCGGCGACGGAGCGGGTGGGATCGACGCCGTCAGGGTCGACGAAGAGCATGGCGGCGACGGCGGTAGAAATTGCCGTCTGCACGAGCGAGAGCACACCGGCACGGCCATCGGGTCCGGCACACACAGCAGCATCGAGCTGGTTGCGCACGAGGGCAGGTGCGTGGGCCACAGCAGGGCCCTCAGGGCTGTGTGCGGCAGCTGTGGCGCTCGCCTCGGCAGAACGGGCATCACGCAAGGCACGCAGCATGAGGGCAACGCGGCCATCAGCGTGCCAGGAAGGCGCAGTAGCCGTGGCAGTAGCAGCAGCAAGCTTGTGGGGGTCGAGGTACGCGTGCAGATTGGCGGCCGAGAGTGGGTCGTCGTCTTGGCCGCGCCACTGGTCTGAGGCAGCCGAGTGGGCAGTCTGATTGCCGAGAAAAGCAGGCTCGAGCAGGGCGATGATGTCGTCGGGGCCGTGAGTCTGGGCCTGGTTGCGGGCAAAGAGATGAATGGTGCGATCGGTGGAGCCGACGGTGGTGAGCTCGGCGACGAGGCCAAGCGAGACGGCAGAGGCAGGCAGGCCGAGACCGCGGCGGTAGCGGGCAAAGGCATCCTGGAAGCGGTTGGCAGCCGTATAGGCGGCCTGGGTGGCGAAGCCGTAGAGGGAAAGAGCGGACGTGGTCATGACGAAGAAGTCAAGCGGAAGATGGCGGGTGGCATCATGCAAGATGCGTGTGCCAGCGACCTTGGCAGCGAGGCCGGCTTGCCAGGTGTGGACAGACAGGCCGTCAAACGAGTAGTCGCAGTAGGAGACGGCAGCATGAACAAGGCCACGGAGGGGACGTTGGGCAGTGACGATGCTCACAGCGTGGGCTACCTGAGCAGCGTCGGCGACATCGCAAGCCTGCCAGAGGATGTCGACACCAGCGGCAGTGCAGTCAGAGAGGAGAGCAGAGGCACCGGGCACGGCGATGGGGTCGCGACGGGCAAGGACAGTAATGTGGCGAGCGCCAGCAGAAGCCATCCAGCGGACAAGAGTCTGACCAAGGCCGCCAAGACCGCCGGTAACAATGTAGGCGGCATTGGGGTCGAAGCGAGCTGCTGGTGCGGTAGGCACGAGACGCACGATATCAGTGGGATGGAAGTGAACGACGAGACGGCCGACAGGGGCGTCTGTGGCGCTGGCGAGGGTAGTGGCGGCGACGGCGCACTGAGACACCGGGACGATGGTGACGGCCGGAGCAGGAACGAGAAGATCTGCGCGAAAAGCGTCGTGGGCCATAGCCAAAAGGTTGGCGGCATGGTCGGGATGCTCACGCAGGAGGAAGAGCAGATCGACGGCAGAGTAAGAGGCATGACGCGGCAGCAGCTCGGGGCCTATGGTCGAGATAGAGGTAACTGGCGCATCGGCGCGGCTAAGGTCGACGAGGTGACCGAGGGGGGCGAGAACCTGCAGGGTGTCGAGGAGGCTGTTACGCACGGCAGCCGTTGTGGCTGTGGTGCCAGTGGAGTGGACGATGACGTCAAAGGCGCACTTGGGAGTGAGCTGGGCGAGTTGGTGAAGGGCCGAAGGCGAGGAGATGGCGATGTGTTCGAGCGGGAGATGCAGCTGTTCGGAGACGTAGCGAGCCTGCTGGTCGGTGTGGACGGTGGCGAAGACGAGGGCGCCACGAGCGACAGCGAGACGGACGAGAGCCGGACCGGCGTCGTGGGTGGCCGACTGGACGAGGACGGCATGGTGACGACGAAGGCGAGCGACATGATCGAGGGCGTAGACAGCGGTAGTGGCGGAAAAAGCCAGAGCCGCAGCAGAGAGCAGGTCGGCGGTTGGGGGGAGAGGACGGGCGAGAGCGGCGGGAACGCGGGCAGCAGTGCCAAAGTGGGCGAGGCCGAGGCCGTAGACGAGGCAGCCGACAGACAGATCGGGGCGATTGGTGACGACGTCAGGCGCGAGGGCGAGGACGGTGCCGGCATACTCGCACGAGAGAAAGTGGCTGTCGGCGCGGCCAGTCCAGCGGTCGAGGTCGCGGGGACCAAGACCGGCAGCGGCGACGGCGACGGTGATCTGGCCGGGGCGCAGAGGTGGACGGAGAGCGTCGTCGTAGGGGGCAAAAGACAGCGAGGCGACCAAGCCGGGCGTGGCCAAGGTGGCGCGACGCGGGCCGGTGGTAGCGACAGAGCCGATCGGGCCGAAGACGGGAGGTGGGGCACGGCTAGCCTGCTCGCCGTGGAAGCCGCCGTCAGGTACGTAGCGGCTGACCCAGAGGCAGCCGTCCTGCCAGACGAACTCGCGGTCGTCTGCGCCTGGGTTCTGGAGACGGGCCTCGTGCGCAGCCAGGACGCGGGCCAGGTCGAGAGCAGCGGCACCGACATCAAACTCGACTGCGTCCACATCCACACACAGATACTCTGCCGTTGGGTTTTCTGTCTGCAGCACGCGCAACAGACCGGCCAAAAGAGCACCGTCGGGGTTGCGGCCACGGGCAGTGCCGCAGCTGGTGAGGACAACGAGGCTCGAGGCGGTGCGGGCGAGGTGCTGCCAGACCAGGAGGTCGGATGGGTCGTTGCTGTCTGCCAGTCGACGAAGGGCAGAGTCGTCGAGGAGAACGACGGCGCGGAGGGTGGCACCTTTGTCAGCGAGTGCGTCGGCAAGAGGTGCGACAGCAACGGTAGCACCTTTGTCAGCGAGAGCATCGACAAGGGGTGCGACGAGCATTGGCACTACCTCGCTACTGTAGAAGAGTTGGACAGACGCGGGAGCCTCAGCCACATTCTCAGCCACAGCCACATTCTCAGCCACAACCTCGACGGTGGACAAGATCACGGCCGTAGTCCTGTGTGGTTCCGGAAAGTCGTCCAGGACAATATCGAGGCCAGAGAAACCGGCAGCCCGGAGAGCGCTGTCCCAGGCAGCAAGATCTTGGAAAGGAGCGTCGACGCGACCATCGGGAATGCCGGCCCAGTAGCCGGTAAAGGTGCCGACAACGACGCCAGGCACGATAAAGTTGGCGATGGTCTCGACGAGCACGAGCTGTCCGCCGGGGCGCAGGAGGCGTCGGCAGTGCGTGAGAGTTCGATGCATGTCCGCAGTGGCATGGAGGACCTGACAAGCAAGGACGAGGTCGTATTGGCCCTCATCGAAGCCCTGGTCAGCCGGAGGGGTCTCTACATCAAAGACGGCAAAGTGCATGTCGCGACAGGCGACAAACGACGTGCGCGCCGCGGCGAGGAAACCAGCCGAGATATCGGTAAAGGTATAGTCGTGGTAGGCCTTGATGCCGCCGGTGGCACCAAACGCCTGCATGGCGACGCGCGTGGCGCCACCAGTGCCACCACCGATCTCGAGCACGCGACGATTCGGGTGAGCATGCGCGAGACTCGCCAACAGTCGGCGCAGCTGTGGGTAGATGCCGGTCATGAGCAGGCCCTCCGCATAGAGCGGCGTCAGCAGGTCGGCGGCCACGAGCACGTCGACGCCGGACCGGCGCCCGCGCAGGATCTCGTCCATGCTGTCGTGCAGCAGCAGTGCACTCTGTACTTCGCGCACATGCGGTGCCGCGGCTGCGAGCTCGTCCATGGCTTCGCGTAGCCGGCCTTGGGCAGCACATTGACGTGCCTCTGCCATCAGCGGCGAGCGATCGGTGCGGGCGCGGCGCTGGATCCAGGCGAGAAAGTGGCTGCGCTCGCCGTCGAGTTGGAGGTCGAGCTTGACGTCGACAAACTGCTCGGCCAGCGAGAGAACGACCAAGTGCGCTAGCTTGTTGGTCACGCCCCAGACGGCCGCCTGGTCGACATTGGCAGCCGGTGGCGGCCACAGCTTGCGTGCCTGGTCTATCCCGAGTGTTCGCACGTCTGGCTGCCACACGAGCCTCGTAAACGGGCTGGCAAAAGCAGCTGCCGGATCGGCTTTGGCTGCCGGTCGCGCGTAACTCACACAGCGCAGCCCATCCACACGCATCAGCATGCTGCCATCGGCACGGCGCAACAAAAGACGCAGCTCCGCACTGCGGACGCCGTTCCGGGCGCCTTGAGCAAAAACCGACCCAGTTCCAGACCCAGAAGTCCCAGTCGACACGTATGCGCGTGCCAGCCACACAGGCACCAGCGCTGTGTCGGCCGCAGCCGTGCGACCGCCATGTGCAGCCACCAAGCCGAGCTGGATGGCACCGTCCAGCGCTGCTGGATGCACGGCATAGCTCGACTCGTCCGGCTGCTCGACCGGCTCCAGGTTCAGATCCGCCATCGCCACACCCGTTGCAGCATCCACGCGCAGTGCCGACAGCGACCGAAAAGTCGGCCCGTAGCCGAGGCCCAGCTCCTCAAAGCGCTCGTACCAAGCGGCCGCGCTGACGGGTTTTGTCGCGCTGTTGCTCGCGGCCATGTCGTCCAGACTCGTCTCGTCTGCTGCTGCTGTTTCGACCCGCACGCTGCCGGTGCAGTGCTCCGTCCAGATGTCCGTGTCACGCCGCACCGAGCTGACCGAGAACGTCGCCCACGTCGTGGTAGTGTCGGAGACCGGGCCTGCCAGCTCCAGCGTCGTCAGGATCTCGACACCGTAGTCGTCTTCGGGCAGCACCAGGCTCGCGGAAATGGCCACGTCACGCAGCGAGAAGCCGGCAATGGTCGAGCTCGTCGCCATCCGCGCGGCAGCCTCCAGTGCCAGCGCCACGTAGCCAGCACCAGGAAGCACGGCATCCGGCAGAAGTCGATGGTCGCCGAGCCAGGGCAAGTCCCGGAGCCGCAGGATGTTGCGCCACTGTGGCCGCAGCAGGGCCGTGCCGACGACCTGGGATCCCAAGAGGTCGTGACGCAGCGTTGGCCGCATCCGGTACTCGCGGCTGGCCCGGCTCTCGTGGTAGTTGGGGCCCGTGTATGTGTAGCGGTACGGCGGCAGCTCTGTGCTCGTGCAGCCGTGCACCCGACCATCGTCCACATCCACCGCATTCACGGCAGCCAGGTCGATCGCTGTGTTGAGCGTAAACAGTGTGCCTGCCAGCTGGAGCAGCGACCGCAGACCAGCCTCACCGCGTCGCAGCGTGCCCGCATATGGCATCGTACGTCCGGCCGTCTGCAGGATCTGGCCCACAGGACTCTTCATCGCTGGATGCGGCCCGATTTCAACCAGGACGTCGACCGTGTCCGTCACCATGCGCTGTGCCGCCTCGGCAAACTGCACCGGCGACTCCAGGTTGGACCGCCAGTACGCCGAGAAGTCACCAATCGTCTCTGTTGCCCTTTCTGGTGTCACGGACGAGAACCAGACTGCCTGCTGATCACCAGACCGCGCTGCGGTCTTGCTTTCGCATAGAAGCTTGTCGCCCGTCGCCAGCAGCGCCGCGTACGTCTGCCCGATCGTCCGCATGTGGTGCGAGTGGTACGCGTTGCCGCCGGTCTGTAGCCGTCGCTGGAAGATGCCGTCTGCTGCCAGCGCTGTTGCCACTGTCTCGATGGCTTCTGTGTCGCCCGAGAGCGTCACGTTGCCGGGCCCGTTGATGGCCGCCACCTGCACGCTGCCCTCCGGCACCTGGTCGAGGTATGGTTTCGTTGCCTCTGGCCCTAAGCCAACAGCCAACATCATGCCACTTTGCCGGTTCTCCGAAACTGCTTGGCCGCGCATATAGGCCGCCACAATCGCTTCAGCCGCTGAGACCCGACCGGCCGCGTATGCCGCCGCCATCTCGCCTGACGAGTGCCCGACCACGGCTGCCGGCTGCACCGACCACGACGCCAGCAGGTCCACGAGTCCGATCTGCAGTGCCGTGCACGCTGCCTGTGCCACGGCTGCCGTCTGCACCAGCGTCTCATCGCAGTCGCCTGCCAGCACGGCCGCCAGCGTCCACTTGGGCGGTTGCGGTAGTCGTTTCAGGATCGCGTCCAGGTGCGCCACCGTGCGTCGGAACACGGCGTGCTCAGACAGGCCTGCTGCCATTCCATGCCACTGTGCTCCCTGGCCCGTAAATACGAACCCGAGCCGCGTCGGCTGCCGTGGCGCCCGCACCGGCTTGCCCCCGGCCCGGAGTGCGGCTAGCGCTGTCTGGAGACCCACTGTCGGCCCGTCCCGCTCCACCACGCAAAATGTCCGCTGCGCCAGCCGCGATCGCCGCACGTTGAACGTGTACGCCACGTCCGCCAGCGACAGCCCTCCCACCACCGCCACCAACGCCTCCATGTTGCTCTGCAGCGACTGCTCGTTGTGCGCCGACAGCGCTAGAAGCACCAGCTGCCGCGTCGTCGCCGTCGTCGACGCCCGCAGCGCCCGACATGCGTCATCGCCCCGCCCATCGCGCCCAAACACACCCGGCGCCACGTAGTCTGCCAACACGTTGTTTACGTGATCCACGATGCAGTGCGCGTTCGCGCCGCCGTAGCCAAACGAGTTGATGCTCGCCCGTCGCAGCTGCCCAGCTGGCCACGCCGTCACCTCCGTCACCGGCTGCACGCCTGCCCCCACAAAATCAATGTTCGGATTGCGCGTTGCCAGGTCGAATACCGGTGGAATCACGCCATGCTCCAACACCAGGACCACCTTCATGATTGCCGCCAGCGCGCTCGCACCCTCGCCGTGTCCCACGTTGCTCTTGACCGAGCCCACCAGCAGTGGCGCCGCTTTCGCCACACCCATCGACCCAAACACCCGGCCCACTGCCGCCACCTCGATCGGGTCACCCACATACGTTCCCGTGCCGTGACACTCAAAGTAGCCTGTCTCGTCCGGCTCCAGTCCTGCGTTCTCGTATGCCGCCCGGATCACTGCCTCTTGGCCCGCTGCGCTCGGTCGCGTGATCCCGCCTGTTCGTCCGTTCGAGTTCATCGCTGAGCCCCGGATCATCGCCCGGATCGGCGATCTGTCTGCCATCGCTCGTGCCGTCGTCTTCAGATAGATCGCCCCGAATCCTTCGCCGCGCGCATACCCGTCCGCCCGCGCGTCAAACGTGTGGCACCGCGAAGACCCCGACAGCGCTCCCAGCTTGTCCAGCGCAATCTGCACCCCCGGATCGGCAATCCAGTTCGCCGATGCCACAATCGCAGAGTCGCAGTCGCCTGCCCGCATCGCGTTCACTGCCACGTGCAGCGCGTACATCGATGACGAGCACGCCGTGTCGATCGTGAGACTATCTCGCGTTAGCTTTGCAGCTCGCCACTTCCACCTCATATCTCTCATTTCCCGGCAGACATACCTTGGCCCTTGCAGGTTGAAAATGTAGCTGATCCGGTTCGCGAGGATGCTCGTGCCCGCTCCCACAAATGCGTACGGTCGTGGGTTATCCCAGTCCCGCGACTGAATCATCCAGTGGTCCAGGCAGAAGTTGCCTACAAACACTCCAGTCCGCGTCCCCGAGATGCTCTCCCATGTCTCGCCCGCACTCTCAATCGCCTCGTACGCGACCTCCAGCAGCTTCCGCTGCGATGGGTCCATCGTCTCTACCTCCAGCTTCGTCATTCCAAAGAAGGCATGGTCGAACAACCGCGCGTCGCCGCCGGTGGGAAACGCCCCCTTCATCGAGAATCCACCCGGCCGGTCCGCATTTGGGTGGTAAAAGCCCTTGGCTGAGAATCTTGGCGCTGAGAACTCACGCCATCCGTCTTCCTTGTTGCACAGAAACTCCCAGAACTGCGCCGGACTCTCGACCCCTCCGGGCCACCGGCATCCTACACATAGTCAGCTTGGTCCTCAAAACACACAACATCGCATAAACTTCACAACCCATCCGACGTACCCATTCCTACAATCGCCACCGGTTCGTGTTCATCTGCTTTGCTCATCGTAGATACGTTGTTAGGCCCTGTCTGTAAACTGTATTTTTGCTCCGTAATTTTAGTTGCGAATATGAGACGCAATGTTGAATTGATATCAAAGTGTCTTAGAAAGCCAACTCTTCGATCTATTCAAAGCCTTATAAACACACGCCCAAGCTCAATCGTGATATCCTACGTTCTGTAATGCCACCATGATAACCATAGCCTGAGGCTCCATTTCTCGCCTATCTGATTACCTACTTTGAACACTGTCTGCCAGCGCCACAACATCAGTACGGCGCTCTGCTGCACGGTCTCGGCTTCCTGCCACAAAGACCGACCCGTCGGCCGAATTGGCCATCTCGCTCTTGCGCGACGGTGCACGGACCATCTATAAGGCCGACTTTCAGCCGTTTCCTTTCAATCACTCCTGCCATCCGTCAGCCCGATGCAGCCTCCACATGTGTTGCACTGGTGTTCAATTACGCACAAACGTCCCCCGGCCGCAGCCGTTCCTGTTCGTCTCGGCGATCGGACGTATCTGCTGAAATCTCTTGAGGTCTTAGTATACGCAATCATGATACTACCATTGGCCACTTGAACGACATCTACCATCTTCTATCTCATTTCACTCTAAATTAAAAAGAAATCGGACTTTCCAACTTCTCGACTTTTTCACACGGGCAGTTCGGCTCTGAATTATTTGTCCTCAATATCGTCCTACCAACTAACACTGATCCCACAGTACGCCAGAATGACAGACACCAAGATATCCATCCTAGGCCTAGCCCAAGACATCCTCACCCAGACACAGGAATTGACAAAGTACCTCCAGGCCAACAGTCTCGCTGCCCCCACCTTTGCCCCAGACTCCCCCGACCCCCCGTCCACCAAGGAATATCGCCGCCTTCATGCCTTGCTCAAGACGTCTCTGGAAGATCTTCAGCGCCTAATTGATGGCCCCCGCAAGTGGCTCAGAGAGTTCTGCTGTACCGGATACGACCTGGGCGCCCTCCAGGTAGCCCTGGACTTTGACTTCTTCCTCCTTGTTCCTGCCAGCGGCGGCATCCCCCTCCAGCACCTCGCGGACAAGGCCGGCCTCGATGCCGATCGCACGGGTCGCGTTATCCGCCAGCTGATGACCTACCGCATCTTCGATGAGCCTGAGCCACGCGTCATCGCACACAGCTCAACCTCCCTGCTGGTGCAGCAGGACGAGCAGCTCCGCTCCGTCATCCACTACTCCCTCGACGAGATGCTCAAGGCTGCTGCCGACAGCAACATATGTTTCAAGGCCAGCCCGTATGAGGCACACCAGAACCTCAACCCCTTTGTCACCCGCCACGGCGTCGGCATCTTCGAATACTACAAGAACAACCCCGACAAGGCCCGCCGTTTTGCCAAGGCCATGGCCGGCCTACGTAGAATGGACAGCCACCTCGACAATCTTCTGAAAGACGGCTTCAACTGGTCCGCCATCCAAGGCACAGTCGTCGACTGCGGCGGTGGTAATGGCCACATTTCCAAGACTCTAGCCCAAGCAAGTCCTCCCAACCAACGGCCTAACAAATTCCCCAGACTCTACCGTCTTCTCTTCTAACTGTTGAACAGCTGTACCCCAACCTGAACTTTGTCGTACAGGATTCCAACGCAGATATGCTAGCAGAGGGAGAAGAAGCTCTCTCCGAGGATCTCAAGAGCCGTGTAAAGTACACGCACCATAGCTTCTTCGACGCGCAGCCGGTTCACAATGCTGCCGCTTTCCTTATTCGTCAGTGCACGCACAACTGGGCAGATAAAGACGTCGTTACCATCTTCAAGTCATTTGTTCCCGGACTTGAAAACTCCAGCCCTAATACGCCACTGCTCATCAACGACATCATCATCCCGGAGCCGGGTGCTTGGCCTCGCCATCAAGAACGTCTTGTCCGTCAGGTGGATATGGTCATGCTGGTCAACTGTGGCGCCAAGCAACGCACCAGGGCTGAGTTTGACGAGCTACTAAAGCAGGCTGATCCCCGATACGAAATTCGGAACGTCTTTGACAACGGGCCTCTCGGTCTTCTTGAGGTGTACCTAATGCGTTAACTATCGGAGCCTACAGTAGAGGCCGGACTTGAACAAATAGTCACAAAACGAATTAGTTCAGAACAGGCTCTTTTCCAACACTCTTTTACATTAAGATATTCGCGTGCTATGTTAGATGCTCTCCATCGCGCCAGCAAACGCCTTTCCTGTAGATACATGTTATTTCTTCCCCTTCGAGCAACAGATCCACCAGAGTCGTAATGCGCGTTGCCCGGTATTCGAAGCTGGCCCGAGTGGGGCTACGCTGTTGCAATGTTGTTTCGGCCGATGGCTTGTTGTCTAGGATTCGGGGCCGATAGCCGCCAGAATCCTTGAATAAGCCGCCGCTGTAAGCATGAGATTCTGGCATTTCCGTAGTCCTTTTAATACGGACTTGACATCCATACGATCCCGTTCCACCCCGTATTACCATTCCTCCCCATCCATAGAACAATGTCTGCTCGCATCAATACTATTCTCATACTAGGGGCTGCCGGTGGCATCGGTGAGGCCCTGGCCCGTCGTTTTCACGCATTGGGCAAGAAAGTCATCGTTACAGGTCGAGAGCAGAACAAACAGAAACTAGCCAACTTGGCTGCAGACTTGCCAGGACTAGATACTCGTGTGGTACGTTTATCCAAGTTTACTGTTGGCTTTAGGCCGCACAGCTGACCTGTCGCAGTGGGATTTAATGGATCTTGCGAAAATACACCGCGAGATCCACACCATTCTTGCAGAGTACCCACTGCTGGATTCAGTTTATATCAATGCTGGAATCCAAAACTATTATGAGATTTTCAAACAGCCTCCCGCCGATGCAGACGTGGTCCAGGAGCTGACGACAAATCTGACCGCTCCCATTCTTGTCGCGCAAGCCTTTGCCTCCCATCTGCTAGGACTCGCTCAGTCCGGCGTAAAAACCAGCCTCTTCCTGACAAGCTCGTCTTTGGCCTACTTCCCGGTTCCCTTTTATCCAACGTACAGCTCCACCAAGGCAGGCATTTCTGCCTTTACAAAGATCATGCGCATGCAACTCGACGCAACTGGCTGCACGAATATGAACATCGTTGAGGTTGTTCCACCTTATGTCGACACCCCTCTGAATGCAGCACATCGGGATCAGACCGATGCTCTGCAAGGCGGCAAGGACAAGGCCGTCCAACCAATGCCTCTGGAGGATTATATCGCCAAGTGGTTTGCTGCTCTGGAAGAGACAAACCCGGACGGCTCTCTTAAACACGAGATCGGCATTGGATTTGGGTCCCAAGGCGCTGCAGTTTGGTATGAAGGATATCAAAAATTACTGAGATTATCCGGAATGGTTTGATCAGTTTCCGTGATGCAGCAGATCTACCTACATGTGATCGAATAGCAAATTCAGTCTTCTAGCATCTATTTCAGGCACTCTGATTCAATTGAAAAGTACATCTCTAGCACTAGTTAGAGAACCAGGGGAAAATGCAACTAATACTCGACCTTCTTAACGCGAAGGTAACACTGTTGTGGAACCCGGGCAATGCCTTCTATCCCAGCATACGTAGATAGTGACTCGGGAGCCTTTTGCAGCTCAAACTTCCACACGAGCATAGCTGTAATGATCCTCATTTCCATATTCGCCAGCCGCCGACCCCAACAGGAGCGCTGTCCCAGTCCGAATACCAGCTGGGGACCTGCAGCTCCATTAAAGTCTACCTCATCTGGAGAAACGCCGGTCCCCGCTTTCTTTCGAATGAGCCAGCGCTCCGGTTCAAAAACGGCCAGATTCTGCGACTCGTCCCACTTGGCATTTAGCTTGGCTGATCGCGACGTCTCACTCCGCCGCCCATCGTCGACTGCTAGAGACGGCGACAGGAACCCTGGCCCATTCGACATGAAGAAAATCTGCGTTCCTTTTTTGATCGGGTATCCGAGCACCGTTGTGTCGCACAAGGCCTCTCGGGTTACGGGGACAGCGTTGATACGCAGCATCTCCTCGACCACAGCATCCAGATAAGGCAGCCGTGCCTGCCTTATTTCTTCAAACGTGAAAAAGCGATTCTCTGATTTTGCCACGGCCAAAGCATCGTACAGTGTTGAGCGCAGCTTCACCTGTACAAGAGGCAAGTCGCTAAGATACTTGGCCAACCACATCATTCCTCCACTCGTTGTGTGGTGGCCACCGACGATATCGCCAAACAACTAGGAAATCAGCGTTCAGTCTACCATTTTCGATACCTGCGTGGTCACTAACCTCGTCACGGAAGATAGCGCTGTTAAAATCAGGCTCACGGCCCTCCTTCGCAGCCCGAGAGGCCTCGCGCATCAGCATGTGCTCAACGCCCGTTTCAATCCGGCCGGCTTGAACGTTCTTTACGCCAATGGAAACCTGCTCCTTCATTGCCCGGTCTTTGTCTTCAAATATCTTTTTGTACCATGCCTGCTTAGACCACCACCATGTCTGTAGCTTCGGCATCAGAGCGTTGATCGTCCTCTCCACAATTTCCGGGGCCTCGTATACAGATTTGAGAAAGTCGGCAATGGGGCTCAACGGAAATCGGACTGGCTCATCTACAGTTCCGGCTTTCACGTCGAAAGCGCTTAGCCTGCCGATCAGCTCGGTTTGTTGTCCCAGTGATGTATCAGTCCAGTTCCTGCCAAATGCAAACTCCAGCATGACATCCAGTGACGCATACTCGAAGTCCTTCTTGGCGCTAAATGGTCTTCCATTTGCCAAGTCCATTTTCATCTCTGTCAACCTTACAAGCTCAGCGCCCTTTCTGTATATTGCCGGTCCCACCTGATTATTTAGAAAGCTTGAAGTCATAAGGTCCTGGATAAGCTGTCGGTTGACCTTGAATTTGTCGCCCGTCTTGTATATTCCATGGAATGCGCCCATGCATGCCATTCCATCCGATAAAAAAGACGATTTGTCGAACTCCTTGCGGCGCATCAAGATATCCTTGGACTCACGAAAGTCCGCAAGTAGGATCCAGGGCTTTGAAAACGGCCGAATGAAAATTTGGCATATAGGCGAGTTTAACTTCGTCATCTGCTTTGCGCACCAGACACGAAACTCGCCCGTGACTCTGACTTCTTTCACCATGCTCGGGGCGTCACCAAGCAAAGATTGTGTTGCCTCCAAATTGTATGCGATACCAGGAATAGGCTTTGGCAAAAGCCATTGGTATAGAAGATACAAAGCGACCGCAACGGCTGCGATTGCAGTAAGAAGCCGGCGCACCACAGAGTCGATGTCCAAGGACAGATCCGGTAGCACAATCCTTTGTTCCATGATCTTACTCGTAAATAGAGTCTCAAAACGTTCGTCGTTTCTTGGATGCTAAGCTTTTCGCCTGAAGCTTTTAAAGGAATAAGAATCAGCTTCCTAAGCAACGTGCTCAACACTGTTCTAGCCAATTAGGTTTCAAATGGTGTACTTCTTTCTATTCTCTTCAGGATCTGTCCACAGACAGCTAAGCATACAAATGTCTAACTGTGTTCCAGTACTTACCTTTCTAGGTTAGTAGGTTTGTCTATCGGAATACCAGCGTCGGCCGAAAGCATCGGCCGGTTTGAGGACATCGTATTACCGTAATCAGGGTGAGCTTTTGGGCCGACAGTTTAATGACTGTGCCACAATATTGTCAGACATGCCGCCATCTATTCCTGTTGGTTTCCATTTTTGGAGATTATCTTGTACAGCTGTGCCATTGTGGGATGGGCTGTCAGAAAATTAACACCGTTGTGCCGTGCGCCTGTAAGGCTTATCAAATCTTTGTACCTGTCTTCTAGTAGTCTTGAGTCAATCTCACGCTCTTTTGAGCTGAGCTTCTGCCAGAAGAATTGATATTTAAGTAGAGAATCATATCGCGTAATACAGGCACTCTATAATCTACGTCCCACCCGCTTCCTGAGTAGATCATATGCACGCCGTGCTTGGCAAAATTGCAGATCAACAGGTTAGTTTATTCGTCCTGCACCATGAAGAGTGTAACCACACTTCTGTACGGCCTTATCGTACAGGGAACCTTGGTTATTGGTTCCAGTATACCGCGGTTTTTCGAAACGAACCAATACACGCGCAGCAGTTTGAACAGCAAGGAAGTCCAGCTAGAACTTTCGACGCAGGTCTCAAACACCACCGTCATTTTTGGCCCTAACAATAGCCGCTTTCCCGGCGCTACAGCTAGATGGAACATGTATGCAGTGCCCCAGGTTCAGGTGGTGATTGAGCCAGGCCAGGAATCCGATGTGGCCATAATTGTAGGTATGCGTGTACAATGTCAATTTCCGTGAGCCTGACAGACATTTAGGTGAGATACTGCAATGAAAATAGCATCGAGTTCTTGGCCACCAACCGTGGCCACGGCAACCCTGTCAGCCTCGCAAGTTTCAATGGAATTGCGATCAACTTGGTCAACCTGCAAAGCATCTCAATTCAGCCCGATGGCGCCTCTGCCTGGTTTGGCGGTGGCACCTACGACGGCCAGGTAAACGAGTACCTCTGGGATGAAGGCTATATGGCTACCACTGGCTCATGTGACTGTGTCGGTCTTCTAGGCGCCGGCCTAGGTGGTGGTCATGGGCGTCTTGAGGGTCTGTACGGCATGGTTAGCGACAATTTTCTGCAGCTTAACGTTGTTCTCGGCAGCGGCGACGCCATCGTTGTCAACTCGACACAGCACAGTCATCTTCTCTGGGGGATGAAAGGTGCGGGCCACAACTTTGGCATCGTCACGAGTTTCGAGATGAAAATATATCCCCGCGGCCCCGACTTGTGGCACTATCACAACTACGTCTGGCGAGGAGAAAAGCTCGAAGACGTATTCAATGCTTTGAACAATCTACAGGGCAATGGCACAACTCCCGTGAACATGACGGTTAACTTTGGCAACTTTTTTATGAATACGAGTATTACTACAGAGGAGCCCATCATCTTCTGGACTTTTGCCTATCGAGGGACGGCTGAGGAAGCGAACCAGTACCTGGATGCATTTACGGCAATCGACTATGTTTTCGATGAATACGGCGATGTTCCCTACAAGGAAATTGCCTCGAAACAGCAAACTGGTGTCAATGATGTCATCTGCCAACATGGAAACACCCGCATCACTTCCACGGCCGGTCTACAAGTGTACAACTTGACAGCTGAGCGCCAGATATTCGATGGGTTCACGCGGCGTCTCACTACCCATCCCGATTTGGCGGCAGGCTGTGGTATTCTGCACGAAGGCTACGCGACTGCGGCAGTCGATGCTCAGAACCCAGACGACTCTGCCTACCCGTTCCGCTCGGACCATCATCTTATGCTCTTCGATCTTGTCCTGCCATCCGGAAGCAATATCTATACAGAGCAGGCTGCGTGGGATTGGGCCTTTGAAGTTAGGGACCAGTGGAACAACGGCCAGCCGGAGCGTCCAGTCAATGCATATGTCAACTATGCCAACGGAATGGAATCTCTCGGAGAGAAGTACGGGCACGAAGCCTGGCGGCTGAAAAAACTTTGGGAACTAAAGATAAAGTATGATCCGTTCAATCGGTTCCGCTTTTACAATCCTATCGTCGGGGTATAATATTAGCTAGAATCGGTTCTTTTTGTACTGCAATAGTGTCATGGCATGCACTTTCTAGCCACGAGGGGCGATTTATACTCACCCACGCATGGATTGCCCTCAACCATGTGAAGCGTGGTCATAAGCTAGCACTGACTGTTTGTCTAATACGATGCCAGCCTTCTGTGACTAGTCTTGAGTCGGCAAATCGCCTTGTCAGCCGGCCAAAAAACCGGACCTACCCCACGACTAATAAGAGGGATGTCCTCCTCGACCCCGTGTCTTCAACGCTTCTCAGCCCCATATTTCTCATACATAAGACGTAGACCGACATCTGACGCTTGTCTGTTACACCAACATGTCACGCCCCTGTATATAGAACAGAGGGGAACCGGAATGTGACGAAGCTGTATCGCCCAGTACTCACGGGGATGCCGTATGAAGATCTCGGTCGGGAAGGTGTCAATGACTGCGTTTCATCTCTATGGAGAGCTACTCTGTAGTTCTTGCAGCCCCTACATCGTACTCCGTAGTACGGAGTAATTGCTCGTATGTCAGCCATAGTCTCAGCCCCAGTTGGGGGCCAATATTGTCATTTTAGCTGCAGGACCGTCGCATTCTCAGCCATTTGTTTGGACCTAGTCCAATTTGGTCCTGGACCAAAGGAAAGGAAACGGCTTTCCGTCAAGGACGAGACAGACTGCTAAAAAAACGACAGAGCTAGACATCCTGCAGGATTGCGAGCCGCAAAACATTTCCACTTTGGCAACGAGAGAGCACAGACAGGGGCCCTAGCACAACACACCTCAAACCCAACAGCCATGACAGACGGTTCAGTCACCCTGAAATGTCGCCAGCCTTGTCTGACTCCCCACCTCGAATGCAGTGTCCAAGCCCCGTCGAGGTTGCAACTGGACCGTGGTGTGTTGATCGTGAGTCCGGGGTGGCTTGAACTACGCAAGCCTCTTTTGTCTTGTGGCCCGCAAATGCGTGCAGTATTACCTGAACCGAGAGGTATGACTGCCAGCATCGGTCGCAGAGACGGTACATTGCCAATAATTCAGGAGTCAGCCGCACTACGTGCGTCCTTGTGTTTTCGTGCAGAAACGGCAGGCGAGCAGGACTGTGAGCCGAATTGTCGCAAGCCGGTGCGCATATATAGTACCGAAGAATGTATAAGAGGGTAGTCGAATCCATGTGCACTCGGGATTCGCCAGGAGCCTCGCTCTGCAGATTTCCACGCACTTTACTGACCACCCTCCCCCATCCTACCATACTGCTGGACAATGCATCTCCCAAGAGAGCTTGCCATCGTCGGCGCTGTTGCCAGCTGGTTTCTGGCAACGGTCGCAACCGACGTGCAGGAACAGGCCTTCCGCCGTGCTTTGCAAGAGATTTCCACATCCAAGAGAGACACCGTGTTCCGGAACTCGACGTCGATCAGCAAGAGCTTTGACGGAGCGACACTGTTTGATGCGTGAGTCCCCCCTCGAGAGCGAAAAGCGAGAAAGACAAAGCACTAACACCAGCAGGGCCATTGACGTGGGCACCAACACAGTCAACGCCGAAGTGGACGTCTCGGTGGTGTGCACGACCTGCTACGTCCGCGGGTCGGCAACAGCCGAGCTGCTCGTGGACGGGACGTTCAACGCGACGGAGGCAATCCTGTCGGTGGCGCAGTCGGTGCGCGACGACGTGGTCAACCTGACACTGCAGATCGAGAATGACGTGAAGGCGACGCTGGTCAATGACACGGCGCACGTTGCGAACTTGCAATTTGACGAGGTGCAGATGCCGATGATCGACGTCGACTTGAATCTCGACGTCGAAGGCATCCCCGAGTGCCAGCTCGCCTTCTCATTCGACCATCTCGAGCTGTTTGTGCAGACACAGACGCGAGTTGGTGGTGCGGCCACGTACTCGCTCAACCTCTACACGTCCGAGACGGAGGTAGGGATCCGTGTCAGCGACGAACTCGAAATTGGCGTCGTCCTGACCGTCGACCTGATCATGAGTATCGACGGTGCCGTCGAAGTCGACAGCGGCTTCCACGTCAAGCTAGACGACGGCCTGGTCCTGACGCTCGACTTTTTTGGCAAAAATGTGTCCAAGATGGAGTTGTAAGTTTTGGCTGTTCCTTTCTCGTTCTCGTTTCTTGCCTTCTTTCTCTCTCCTCTCCTCTCCCCCACTCTCTCCTAACATATAACAGCAATGGCGGCTCCTTCGAGTTCCTCCCCATCAGCACCAACGCCGAGGCCACCATCAATGCCGTCCTTCGCGTCGGCGTCCACGCAGGCCTTTTTCTTGACATCGATCCCATCAAAAGCCTCGATCTCTTCCACTTTGCCGCCGGCGTCGACTCTGTCCTCTTTGCCGACGTCGCCAACATCACCACCAGCATCGCCGCCAGTAGCAACCATTCAGCCGCCGACGACCTCGGCGTTGATCTCGTTGACTGCGTCCTGACCGCCGAGGAGATCTACGAGTTTGCCATTGGCGCCGGCGCCGGTGCCTCTCTAGTCATCGCTGACAACTCCTGGGGCATCGGTCCAACCACCGTGCTGCCCGTGTGGTACACCACTGTCGCCCAGTGTGCCACCAGCACGTCCAACGGAACAGCCCTTACCTCAGCCTCAGCCACGGCTACGCCTGCTCCCGCTGTTCGTCGTGCCGATGATTCCTCCGTCACCTCCACCATCAGAACCACCTTTACCTTCTCCGCTGTCGGCTGCCGCTCGGCTGGCATCATCAATTGCCCGGCATCGCTGCAGACGACCACTGTGACGAAATCTGAGAGCACCATGGTTACGGTCGTGTCCTCGGGTGCCGAAGCCTCCTGGCCCCCGCTGACTGCCACCACCGTCAAGGCTGTCTCCTTCGGCCATGGCGCCAAGTCCATCCAGCTCTCCGCCTCCGGCACGCCGTCGTCCTTCGTGCCCACCACCACCGCCAAAGCCACAGCCACCGGTTCGTCCGGCAGCGACGGCGACACCCTTTCAAACGACCACCACGGCGGCCTAACGACAACGCAGAAGAATATCGTCATTGGTGTCACCGTCGGCGTGGGCGTGCCGCTGCTGGCAGGCATCTTGGTGGGGATCATGTATGTGACTTTTTACATTGCTTATTCAGCAAAGCACTTGCTAACAGGACACAGCATCTTGACCAAGCACAAGAAAAGGCAACAACAGTTGGGCCAACCGAACAGCTCGTCCAAGGTGCCTTCAGAACAGGTGGTGGAGGTCGGCAGCAGGGACTAGATAATTTCTCCTAAATCCTTCTAAGTCTCGTCTGGTGTAACAGTTAGCTACGTATAGTAATGGGTTCATGACATCGCAATCCACGTGCAACGTATAACCTGTCGAGACGCAAACTGTACCTAAACACCGCCAACTATCTGACTACCTCCTTGCCTTCATACCACGCAACCATAAAATCCGATTGAAGATGTTTTTCTCTTTCTTAGATTCAATGCCCTCTTTCCCCCCGCCCTCCAGGATCTTTCTTATATGTCTAGTCGTCCGCATCAAGGCCAATAGCTTCTAAATATCGTTCATAGCGTTTTGTCCGTCGATGATCGGCTCCAAGGACGCGTCGCGCCGACTCAACACAGCTCTTTCGCAATCCAACCGCATCCGCGCGCCGCCCTTGTTTTCCCCATGTAGTAGCGAGGTTGTTCATGCTACTTAGCGTGTCAGGGTGGTCGGCCCCAAGCACAGCATTCCTCTTCTTTAAGACCTGCTCCTGTAGCTCTTCCGCCTCTACCCACCGACCTTGCTGATAATAAGTCAATGCTAGGTTGTTCATGATCTTTAGCGTGTCAGGGTGGTCGGTCCCAAGCACGGCCTTCCTCTTCTCTAAGACCTGCTCCTGTAGCTCTTCCGCCTCTACCCACTGACCTTGCTGAAGATAAGTCAATGCTAGGTTGTTCATGATCTTTAGCGTGTCAGGGTGGTCGGTCCCAAGCACGGCCTTTGTCTTCTCTAAGGCCTGCACATGCAGCTCTTCCGCCTCTGCTAACCGACCTTGCCTGTAATACGTTAATGCTAGGCTGTTCATGCTAGCCAGTGTGTCAGGGTGGTCGGTCCCAAGCACAGCCTTCTCAGTCTTTAAGACCTGCACCAGTAGCGTTTCTGCTTCTGCCCAATCTCCCATTTCAAAGATGTTGACAGCTCGCAAACGAGTAATATGCGTGGTTGCAGGGTCATCATTTCCTCGTCGAGCCTCTGAAGTCCTTTGAGCTTCGCGAAGCATTTGTTCTGCCACGAGGAATCTGCCTTGATCTGTGGCGTATTCTCCGCAATTTCGCAATAGCAGTTCCCACATCTCTTGCACATCGCCTTTAGCCGGCTCGTATTCAAGTGCCAGAATAGCATGCGGAAACAACACTCGGCATGTTTCCCATTTCTCGTACTCTGGGTCTGGGAACACCGCCGCCATCCTTGATACAAACTGTTGTTTGAACTTCTCGTCTTCTTTGTGTGTGCTCAGCCACCTCTTGGTCGATAATTGCACAAGTCTATGCATTTCAAATGCATGTCCGCTGCTGTCAGTGGTCACAAGGCTGAAGTTTCTCAGCATATGGATATCGTCCTCGAAGGTGTCATCCAGGCCTCCGCGAGGTCCTGGGCCGCTCTGTTCTCCTGTCTGTCCTGCTTGGTCTTCCTCCTTTCTCGCCTTTTGTATCCTGAGGACAGACTCTGGGATCCCTTGCCGATCAAAAAAGCACATAAGCGAGAGCAGATCTGCTGCGGAAGGCCGTTTTGTTTTAATATGTTCGAAAGACGTCAGCCAGGTTGTAAGGATGGCATTCGACGCGCTTCCGTCCCTCTGAAGATCACCCTGGTCAAACTGCAACAACTTGACCCTCTTGGGTTCGCTTTCTCGAAAGTCACGCAGATACTTTTCGATTGACATTCTGGGCATTCGTTCTTGTATAAATGCGCCTGCTTGGCTTATTGCGAGTGGAACAAGGTCAAGAGCATTCACCAGCTCCAATTCCGCATCCGCGTCCCTCTCTGAGAGGTAACTCGTTTCGTTTCTCAGGAGCGAACAAGCCTCTACTTCTGTCATCGGGTTTATGTCGAGGACGTTTTGATGTCTGCCGGTCATACGTCTGGCCAAGTCCTTGTCCCGGGTCGTGATGATGATGTTGCCGTTGCGGCTCTGGGGTATGTAGGTGTGAAGCTGTTTTCCCTCCTTTGTTCCCTTGTCCGAGCTGAAAAACACATCTCTATCGTCGGCACTGTCAAGGATCAAGGTCCATCTTCCATTTCGCTCATCAGAAAGCCAATTGAGGACAAGCTGTAGTACGTTTACTGTGAGGTCCTCCCGTCCTGGTAATCTGACAACGTTTGCAATCGCATTAAAATCTTCGATTACGCGCGCCTGTGTGGCGGCATGGACCCAGAAGATCCATCGCGTTATGTCATCGAGTGCAAGACGATGCGCATATTCGATAGCAATGTGCGATTTTCTAAGCACGTCAGCTCAGCCCCAACAGCAGCTGAAAACTCATCGAGACATATGGCGCCTACCCGATACCGCCGAGACCCACGAGGGCCACGCGAGCAGCCGGCTTGGAACATATATCCTCGATTCTGCCCAGTGTATCCCCGCGGTCAACAAAGTCGGGGTTGCGGCTAAATGGTATCGACAGAACCGGCCTTGGTGGTTTTTCTGAGACTGTTAGCGGGTTGGGAACCGAAGCATAGAGCCCGGAACGACAGTCGTGCCTGTGCTTGCGCTCGCCGCGACGTGGACTTCGAGCTTTTGAATAAGCCCTGCCTGGATGCCCTCGTTGAGGGCTCGGAACTCGTTGGTAGTGGAAGTCATTTTCTGCTGGCGTGTCCGTTGTTGCGCTGATAATTTTTCATCAGAAAAATGAATTTGTTAAGCCGTGAGAAGGAAGCAAAAAGGGCAAGCCTGCTATTCGTGGGGTTGGGCAACAATTTCCGCATTCTCACTAGGCCTGCTTCAGTCCACGAATGACAGTCCTGCAGCCTGATGCACCGCCTATCTCAAGCCTCACTATCGTACCCCTCTTTTGATTACCTGCCACTTATACCTCGACATCTGGGATTTCTTTCGTCGGTGGTTTCATATTTCCTTTCTTTGTCAGTCTTGTCCCTTTGTTTTCGAAAAGCTTGACTCAGTTCAATGTCTGACCACGGCACAAACCCCTGCGACGACGAGACCCAGATTGCGTTGGTTTGTGCTTTGGGGGAGTCTGATGCCGTTTCCCTTCTTTTTGATGAACCCTGGAACGACATCAACGACAAATATGGTCGCATCGGCCAGCACAACGTTGCAGTTTCCTTTTCGAGTATTAGCTCCGACACTACCACTGCTGAAGATCTGGACCTGCTCTCACGCTATCCTGCCCTGAAACTTGCCCTCTTCATTGACGTAGGCAGAAGCATGCGCACTGTCGGCAAACGTGAAGTGAAGTTGGGCGACGTGCTCATTAGCAACATCGTGATCCAGCACGGCAAGTTGAGGCTCCGAGGTACCGCCGCGAGCAGACAAAGCAACGGCCCGTCCAGCCTTATTCAAGAGGTAAAAACCGAATGGGGTAGGAAACGCCTGATGGACAACACCGCAAAACATCTGCACACCCTACAGGAGAAGGCATCGAAGGCGGACTGTGATCAGAACTACCTACCACCTCAAGTCGACCATGACCATGACCAGATGTTCGTAGACTCCAACGAACATAAGCAGCCATGGCGGAGCTCCGACAGAGACGGGGTTGAAGCCAGATCCTACAGACCTGTCCAAGATCCAACAATTGTCAAGAAGCAAAAGAAAGAAGACAGAATCAGCCCTCGTATCTTCTTCGTACCCTTTGAACAGTTGGGTCTCACGCTTCCATCATTTGAAGATAGCATTCCTGGCGATGAGTTTCCCGGTCTCTTCATCCGGGGTGTCTCTGGCTTCGTCGACGGTCAGGACAAGGATGGCGATGAATGGCAGCCATTTTCGGCTGCGGCTGCTGCTGCCACCACAAAGGCGCTTCTTGAGCGATGCGTCCTAACTGCATCGAGTGCACAACCGGCAGCCACCACGGATGCCTATCGGATGATCAACCACTTTGGAGCCCAGAACCACGGTGTACAGGCAGGTTCTATCGGCACGATCTCAGGGTTTACCTTTGGCCGAGGAGGAAGCAGCTAAAGTGGCTTGAGCATACAGTTACCGAGACTACAGGTCAGAGTGCGTAGGTCTGACTCTCATCATTTCGGAGATTGCGAATGGTTGCTTCTGTGATCCTGACTTACTCGTCGGTTTCTTATTTGCGTGTGGTGAGATTGTCGTTTGTGCAGTCTGATCTTATTGCTAAACTATGACTATTTTCATGTGATGCTGTCCTTCTGTAAGCTGCATCCGTTGTACTTTGGAGTTAGCCCCGTTTCTTAGCTCAAGTCTTCTCCTCATGGCCAACGGCAGCAAAACGGCCGAGCTCCGGGGAGATGGAGGACTTGATTCTGTGCCTCGGTGCAGGTCGTCTCAGCGGATCAGCAAAACAACATATTGTCTTTCTGCTATAGCCACTAAGACGATACTCCAAGAACATCGTCACACAGCTCGCCAGTATGTCTAGCATTGTGCTTTCCAAGACGGCCGTGCTGCTGTCCTCGATTTTTGTTCTGCTTGCCTACTTTGTCGGACAACCAGCCAGCCATACACTGACGGCGCTGGGCTTCTGGCGCCAGCCATCGCGCTCGCTGCTGGCCGACGACCAGACAGACCTGATCGTGATCGCCGACACGGTCAACTGCGAGGACCTGCACTACCATGCGGCCAGCCAATCGCTCTTCACGGCCTGCGAGGACACGGTCGAGACGCGCTTCAGCTGGTTTCCACCGCTGGCCATCTTTGACGACCCGAGCGTGCTCGAGACGACTCGAGGCTCTCTGCATGTCATTGATCCGGAGGTGGGTGAAAGTCCTCTCTTCTCCTCTTCCACTCTCTCACACGCACCAGACAGCCACGTCCAGACGTCTGGCCATGCATGGCTTCACCGGTCCCTTCTGCACGCATGGCATCGACATCCTTGACGATCCGGACCGCCCTGACGGCGAGGCCGTCTACATCTACGCGATCAACCACCTTCCCAACCCCGACTTCCCTTGGAATGGCACGCCAGCCGAGAAGGATGCAGCCTCGGCGGCAGTTCCCAAGGCGCGCTCGCGCATCGAAGTCTTCCACCACGTCATCGGCTCGTCGACAGCCACGCATCTCCGGTCCGTCCAGCACCCGCTGATCCGCACACCCAACGACATCTTTGCCGCCAGCCCGCGCTCGTTTTACGTCACCAACGACCACTACTACTGCGACGGCCTCTTGCGCGCGGTAGAAACCGTCGTGGCTGCGGCCCGGTGGTCCGACATTGTGCGCGTGGACATGGACGAGTCTGCGGACGCGGCAGTCGACCCGACTCAAGGCATCACGGTATCTGCAGCGCTCGAAAGGCTGCACAATCCCAATGGCCTTGGCCACGGGCGCACGCCAGACGAGGTGCTGGTCAGCGACTGCAGCAGCGGCGTGCTCAACGTCTTTCGACTGTCACCTCCTCCGTCCAAGCTGCCCCTCGAGCTCGAAAGCTCTGTCCGTGCAGACTCGGTCATCGACAATCCCAGCTATTTTGCTGACCCTTATTCTTCCGCTGGCTCTGCCGGCTTGCCGCCCGACGATCGCAGCGGCTATGTCCTGCCTGGCATCTCTCACGGGTTCAACCTCACCCATACCAGCCACGATCCAGCCGCCAGCGAGGGCGTCATTGTCATGTTCGCCCACCACGCGTCTCTGTCGTTGGACAACTCTGAGGCCATCGAGGCCCCGCGGCTGCTGTTCCAGGATGATGGCAGCCGCATCCGTTCAGCCAGCGCTGCCGTGCTGCTGGCCATCGATCCAAAACTCGAAGGTGGCCGGCGCAGGGCCTGGCTGTTCGTCACAGGGTTTCAGTCGGTGAGCGCCATTGCCGTCAAGGTGGACTTGTAAGCGACAAAGAGAGGCGAGCAACAAAGAAAACGAGGGGAAGACAGACGGATTGTTGTGCCTATGCATAATTGTGTTGCATGTGATGGGCCGCCGTGCTGAGTTTAGCTGCCGCAGTATTAGCTGCTATGGCAGATTAGTCATCGCACAGGGGCACCAATTCAATGCCTGCGCTAGTCTGGTCCGCTCTACGGAGTACTTCATGCTTTTCCCATAGATTACCCGATTATGTAATTTTTAGTCATCCATTAACATCGGCGAACAATCCTTCTAGGGAAAGTATCAGGTCATAAGGAAAAACGCCCCCTAGTATATAAACTATCGGTCGACATCCCTTCTTACGTCTCCCCCTCTACCATCCGTCTAGCGAGGTAGCGTGCACGAACAGCCCATTAGATGGACGAGCAGTGATGCCGCCGCGGATCTTGATGTTGGCCTCGTCCAGGTCGGCGGCATCGCGCAGCCGGAACGAGAACCGGCCGACCCAGGCAGCTAGCAGGCAGGCGAACTCGGCGCGGGCAAAAGCCATGCCGATGCAGCTGCGCGGGCCGTGGAGAAAGCTCATGAAGGCGTAGTTGGAGGGCGCACCGGCCGTCGTTCCGTCAACGGCCTTGTGCAGCCAGCGGTCCGGGTTGAACTGGGCAGCGTCACGGCCCCATAGCTCCTCGCTCTTGTTGACGGCCCAGGGCGCCAGGATGATGGGCGTGCCGCGGGGGACGAACTGGCCGGCGATGGTGGTGTCGACGGCAGCCTCGCGCAGAGTCATGGGCACGGGCGCATAGTAGCGCAACACCTCGCTGCACACGGCCCCGAGGTATGGCAGCTGGTCGATGTCGACCGAAGTGGCATCGACGGCCGGCGGCGCACCCGCGCGGTCGCCCAGCGGCGGCAGATGGGCGCGCACCTCCGCCCGCAGCCGGTCCTGGACGTCGGGGTGGAGGCACAAGAGGTAGACGGCCCAGGTCATGGCTGAGGCCGTGGTCTCGTGGCCGGCCGCCAGAAAGGTCATCAGCTGGTCGGCCAGATTGGCGTCCGTAAAGCCGCCCGACTCGAGGGCCACCGAGAGGATGTCAATGTCGGCAGAAGCAGAGGCAGCAGAGTCCCCTTCAGCGGCAGCCACAGCCACCCTCCGGGCCAGCTTGGCCTTCTTCTCCTGCACGAGGTCGGCACACGTCTGGCGCAGGAACCGGCCGGCCTCGATCATTTCGCGGTTGCGCCTCAGCGGCAGCCGGACGAGAAGGGGACGCGGCAGCACCAGGGCCAGCAGCCCCAGCAGACGAGCCTGGCCGCTGGGCTGTAGCACCGTGCGATACGTCGTCGCCAGCTCGTTGTCTGGGTTCTGCAGCGCGCCAAAGTCGCGGCCTAGACCCGCCAGGCCGATGATGTCAAGCGTCGTCCGCGAGGCCAGGCCACCGATCGAGATAGCCGCATCGTGAGGCTCACGCGATCCGGCTTCTGTCTGTTTTGTCTGTTTTGTCTGCGCCTCTGCCGTCGCCCGCCGGATCGCCTCCGCGCTCTCTCGCGCCTTGCGCCAGAACACCGGGTACAGGTTCTTGATGTGGCGGAAGGCAAAGGCTGGCGTCAGCAGCTTGCGCTGGTACCGGTGCTCGTCGCCCTCGGCCAGCAGGATGCCGACGCCCAGCACGCGCGACAGCGCCTGACGCATCAGCCGCGGCTTGCAAAAGTCGTAGTTCTTAGACACTAGCACCTCGGACAGCGCCTTGGGCTTGGTCACCAGCAGCCGCTCCTGGTTGAAGATGGTCATGTATCGGATCAGGCCGTCATTGGGAATCGAGTTGATCCTATAGATCAGATTCAAAAAGCAAAGAGCAAAGAGCAAGTATTAGCGCCGAGCTCCAATGCATCTGAGGCAAGAACCTACCAATCGGCTGCCGGGGCACCGGTCGGCTCGCGCAAGATGCGCCGGTGGTGGCCCAGCATAAACTCGTTGCCGCCAGGCTGTGGGAGATGGCGCAGAGGCGACAAGACAAACGGGTACAGGAAGACGGCATACACCAGCCAGCCAGTTGCCAGAAGCGCCCAGACCCCGGAGAAGGCGTATAGGAAGAGCGACAAGGCAAAGGCCGGCACCTGGCCGCCGTCTTCGACACGTCGCCACCATGTCGTCGCACCATAGCCGGCGATGAGCGAGGCCAGAGTGATGTTGCGAGTAGGAAACGGCATCGCAGGAGCAATCGCTGATGTGCCGCTGTAAAGCTTCAGTTCAGAAGATTGGGAATTGCGATTTGGAGGAATGAGGAGCACCGATGAAGTTGGCAGCAGACGTTTCATATACGTTCCACAGGAATCGGCTGCTGTTGCTGCGCCGTTGTTGCCCTGTCAAGGCCAGAGCTTTATGGACGAACTATTTGGGCCGGAGCAGGGAAGCAAAAATGGCCCTGTGAGATCCCGTTCCAATCCACCCCAAGTGCACTAGACAAGTGCGGTATCTAACCGCTATCCGGGGCTGATCGTCTGGGTTCAACTAGTGTAGAGGCCCATACTAATACAAGGCACATTGCGAATCTTGTCATTGGCTGCTAACAGTGGTAGAAGATCCTTATACATAGTCTGGCTGTGCCCTAAACCCCCCTAAATCGCCTGGCCCGTCGCCCTGGCCACAGCAGCCGTTACAGGCGACGGGTCAAGGTAGACTTCAAACTGCTTCGCCTTGCCGACGTCCTCGCCCGCCGTCTCCAGATGCCAGACGCCAATTGCCGGGATCTTGATCGCCTCCTTCTCCGGGTCATTCTTCACGCGGTATGTGATGTGGCATGGCTGGTAGAAGCGGCTGCCATCGCCAACGAGATCTGTCATCAGACCCGTCAGCACTCCCAGACGTTCTCATTTAACAACATACAACACAGCAAAGAAGCCCAACCAAAATATGCAATCTTGTGGTGCATCGAATCCAGCATCTTGTAGGTCGGCTCAAAGAAAGCAATTAGGTTGTTCAGCCCGTGCACCGGTGGCCTGTTGCCGTACTGCAGCGTGATGTCCTTGGCGTAGACCTCGTGCAGCCTCGTAGTGTCGAGGGCATCGTTGACGCTATGGAACTGCAGAAGCATATGGCAGTTTTTCAGTAAGTACCGTCCCCGGGGACGGTCAACAGCATCTCACCCTGTGCAGCCACCGCTCCAACTCCTCCTTGTTTGTCGGTACGAATGCCATTTTCAATGAGACAGGTGGATGTCCAACTACAACTGTGCTCTCGTTCACTGCCACCATCTCCTTAAGTTCACTCGTAGAGGGCTTCTACGTTGCTCGGTAATCATGCTGCTGACAAATTGTTACAAACCCACAACGATTATGCCACTCTACACTCTGTAAAATAAAGCAGTCGTGCCCGAAATGCACGCTCTCGTACATATCTCTGCAGGCCACTGCCAGAACATTAATGGCCCGTATCCAATACTTGTACTCTGTACTCCGTACGAAGTAGACTAGGCAGCATAATAACCAGTCCAAGCGCAACTTAGATACATCTGGATGCATTTACCAGCGGAGGCCCAGAGCAGAAGTAAGCCCGGCCCTTCCGGGACGGAGTCGGGGGGATTTCGTGTCCGTTGCCATAGTGCATCTGACAATTTGCCACGAGCGAGAGAGGAAACGCTGCACGTGATGTGCGTCGTACTCAATCTCTATCTCAAGCGTACTCCGTACTTCTTGTCGGATCGATGCCAGCATGCCAGAGTCTGCCAAGCTCTGCTTGTTAATTAGAGGATCCTGGTCTTCTCCTGGTGAGCCGTCCGTCTGGCCTCTCTGCTGGGGTGACGCCTGGTGACTGTCTCGACCAATGTAGGTGTTCGTGTCTGCTCGGGTAATCTCCCGAGACGCACGCCTGTTCAGCCTGTCACGCAGTGCCACAGCCACGCGGCTGTCCACCATGCCAGCCGTGCCGCTGTCCAAGTCATGCCGGCCAGCACTAGCCCCAACACGCACAGCACCGTCGTGCGGATGTGGAACGCCTCGGCCGCCTCCATCTTGAGCAGCTTGCGCTGCATGCTGTGGTAGTGGAAGTTGTCGTTGGCCGTGGCGCCGCCGCCGGTAGGCTCTTGAACCTCGTACTGATACTCCTGCTGCCGGTACACGATGCGATGCAGCCACGGTGGCAGCCGCTGCTGGCGTGCTGGCGGTCTTCGCGTAGGACGTCCGTCGATGCCGACATGCGTGTGGCTGCGGAGCAGCGTGTACCGAAACTCGACCCAAGCAAGGGAGAAGAGGAAGGATATGAAGATGATGGGCGTCATGACAAGCTGCAGGGAGACGAAGGTGAGCTGCCACTGCCTTTCTCCGTCTCTCCCAATCTTCTCGGGCATCCACTCACCCTGTAGATCTTGGGTTGGCCCTTCACGCCTTCCGCTTGAGCAGCCATACTGGCCGGAGGAGGCGCCGACATGGCAAAGTCAATTGATGCTTGAGCTTGTTCTCTTTTTCCCCTTTTTCTTTTTGGACAGCGGGACGATGTGAGGGGCTGCGGGGCCGAAGAACTGAGGATCCCAAGCCTGCACAAGGATATTTGACAAGGAAACAACTGCTCGGACGTGGTGAGGTCTACTCTCTACCACTTTTCGTCATAGAACGTGACAGAAGGGCAAATTCGTTCCACTTGCTACGATACTCCGACCATCCGAAAGAAGGAATGGGCCGAAAGAAGTTACGTAGATTTTACAGCGCACCGGCACGCTGAATGGATGAGATCGTCAGCGGGGTTAGGGACCCCTCGCTGACATCACGCGAGAAGCTAGCAGAGCTGCGCCGATAAGGAAAAAAGAGTCATCCGGAATGCAAGGCACAAGAAAGACATGGACGGGCGCAACAGTTGCAATTGGATCATTTTTTGTTTTGTTTCTATTTCTCGACTGTTCGAGTACTCGACCTGGCTCTCGTAGACGCCAGAACGGGTCCGACCGATTACGGGAGCGCAATGCACTCGATCTCGATGTCGACGTTCTTGGGCAGCGTCTTGACGGCGACGCAGCTGCGAGCCGGCTTGTTCGTGAACCACTTGCCGTACTCTTCGTTGACGCTCTGACCAGTCAGCATGTACACGTGGGTCCGTCTGTCCGTGTGTCTGTAGACCTACCGCGAACTGGCCCATGTCGACCAGGAAGACGTTGACCTTGACCACCTTGTCCAGCGACGAGCCGGCCGCAGTCAGCACGGCCTGGAGAGACTTGATGCAGGCAGCAGTCTTCTCCTGGATGGTGCCCTCGATCAGGTTGCCGTCCTTGTCGGCTGGGATCTGACCGGAGCAGAAGATGGCAAACGGCGTCTTGATCGCCTGGGACTGTAGTGGGGGTCAGGTTAATGGGTGGAGGACAGGCGGGGAGACAGGGCAAGAAGCTCATACGTAGGGGCCGGCGGCTGCGATGAAGAACTCGGTTAGTGACAAAAGGCCGGGCCAGCACCAAAAAAACTCTGTCCCTCGGGTGCGACTTACGGGGAGCCGCGTCCTGGGAGAGAACGATGGAAGACATGGCGGATGAGTGTCGACGGGAGACGAAGGACGTGGTGGTGGCAGGGAATGCGCTGACGGTCAACGGGCGGACAGAGAAGCGAGAGACGGTAGGCAGAAGGCGGGCGGCAGTCTGCTTCAACATGAGAGAAGCGGGCGGAGAGAGCAGAGGGCGAAAGGCAGCGGTTTTATGGGACAATCGAGCAAGATTTTACGAAGCACATTAACAAATCACGAATAGCGCTATTTTGCGGCTCCTACGATTGAAAGCCGACCTCCGCTCATCGGACGCGACGGCCTTTGCTGGTGGAGTCACAACGCCCTTGCCGTTGACATGTGTGTCACGTGCAAAGAGGGCGTTCGTATCGAGATAAGGGAGCTTGGACCACTTTACCGTGTACCCCTGTAGCCCTGAAGCCAAGTGTCCTTCCCAGCTTTTCAGGGAGGTCGATGTCAGGGAGAGGCCAGAAATCTTACGATAGACGCAGGGATACCTTTCGGTATATTACAAGGCACCGTATTCCTTTTTCTTTAGCGTACATTGGCCCCTAGACGCCCCACGTTCCACGCTGTGAGAACACGTAGGCAGAATTGCAGCACTCCGCATTACGCGTCTAGTGCGCATTTTCAACGACGAAAGCTCGGCCGTTAGACACCTCGCAAGACGAAGCTACCCATCTCAACAGCTTTTTTCTTTCGTTCTTGTTCCCCCTTTACAGCTATACTCCTTTTTGGTTTCTCCCGCTCCTTCCTTTTTAATTCTTTGTTGGAAGCCAAAAGCTTTACCATCTCCACCACCGCCACTATATTCTTTCAATTCTTCCCCTCACCACCAATCGAGGAATTCTCGTTCTTCTGGTAGTCTTTCTCAGCCCTCCATAGCAGAGGGCGTGTCTTCCACCATGGCGGCCACATCCACGCCGCAAGGCACGCTACGCCATCGTAACGTGCCCGGCAGCAGCAGCAAGAAAAAGGATGGCGCCTCATCTGATACAGATGTCGACAGCATCCTCCAGGTCACTGCTGCAACTTCCAAGCCGGCCGGTTCGGGATGGGACTACAAGCTGGCACTCGTCGTTATCACGGCCCTCGCCTTCTTGACTAGATTCTGGGGCATCAGCCACCCCGACGAAGTCGTCTTTGACGAAGTCCACTTTGGAAAGGTGCGTCGTACTTTCAGCTCCGGTTCTGCTTTCGTTTCCTGCTGACATCTCCTAGTTTGCCTCGTACTACCTGGAGCGAACATACTTCTTCGACGTGCACCCGCCGTTTGGCAAGCTCCTGTTTGCCTTTGTCGGCTGGCTCGTCGGCTACGACGGACACTTCCACTTTGAGAACATTGGCGACTCGTACATTGCAAACAAGGTGCCGTACCTGGCGTTCCGGTCGCTGCCGGCACTCCTGGGGGCGCTGACAGTGACGGTGACGTACATGATCATGTGGGAGTCGGGCTACAGCCTGCCGGCGTGCATCCTCGCGGCTGGACTGGTGCTGTTGGACAATGCACACATTGGGCAGACGCGGTTGATCCTGTTGGACGCCACGCTGGTGTTTGCCATGGCGTGCAGCATCCTCTGCTACATCCGGTTCTACAAGCTGCGGCACGAGCCGTTCTCGCGCAAGTGGTGGAAGTGGCTGATCCTGACGGGCTTTGCGCTGTCGGCGGACATGTCGACCAAGTACGTGGGGCTCTTCGCGTTCGTGTCGATCGGGTCGGCGGTGGTGATCGACCTATGGGACCTGCTGGACATCCGGCGGGCCGGAGGCGCACTGACGCTGCCGGACTTCTCGAAGCACTTTTTGGCGCGGGCGTTTGGACTCATCCTGATGCCCTTCCTCTTCTACCTATTCTGGTTCCAGGTGCACTTTGCGGTGCTGACGCGGTCGGGCCCCGGCGATGAGTTCATGTCGCCGGAGTTCCAGGAGACGCTGAGCGACAACGTGATGCTTGCGAACGCGGTGACGATCCAGTACGGCGACACGATCAATCTGATGCACAAGGAGACGAAGGCGTATCTGCACAGCCACCCGGAGAACTACCCGCTCCGGTACGACGACGGCCGGGTGTCGAGCCAGGGTCAGCAGGTGACGGGCTACCCGTACAACGACACGAACAACCTGTGGCAGATCCTGCCGGGAGACGGCAGCAGCCTGGACCCGGGGCGGACGGTGCTGAACCACGAACTGGTGCGGCTGCGGCACCTGGGCACGGACATGATCCTGCTGTCGCACGACGTGGCGTCGCCGTACTACCCGACCAACCAGGAGTTCACGGCGGTGCCGCCGGCCGATGCGTATGGTGAGCGGGCGGCCGACACGCTGTTTGAGATTCGGGTCGAGAGCGGCAAGCCGGGACAGGAGTTCAAGAGCGTGTCAAGCCACTTCAAGCTGATCCACAACCCGAGCAAGGTGGCGATGTGGACGCACACGACGCCGCTGCCCGAATGGGGCCACAAGCAGCAAGAGATCAACGGCAACAAGCAGCTGGCACAGAGCTCCAACGTGTGGCTGGTCGAGGACATTGTATCGTTGGCGGCCGACGACGTGCGGCGGGCACGGCCAGAGAAGCTGGTCAAGACGCTGCCATTCCTGCAGAAGTGGTTTGAGCTGCAGCGGTCCATGTTCTGGCACAACAACCAGCTGACGAGCAGCCATCCGTACTCGTCGCTGCCGTACCAGTGGCCGTTCTTGCTGCGCGGCGTCAGCTTCTGGACCCAGAACGACACGCGCGAGCAGATCTACTTTCTCGGCAACCCGCTCGGCTGGTGGATCGCGAGCAGCCTTCTGGCTGTGTACGCCGGCATCATCGCGGCCGACCAGTTCTCGCTGCGACGCGGCATGGACGCGTTGGATCACCGTGAGTACTAGTGTCTTGGATAGCCTGACAACTTGGACAAAAACTAACCGGATAGGCACACGCTCGCGGCTGTACAACTCGACCGGTTTCTTCTTCCTCGTCTGGGCGATGCACTACTTCCCCTTCTTCGTCATGGGCCGACAGCTGTTCCTGCACCACTACCTGCCGGCACACCTGGCGTCGACGCTGGTGGCGGGCGCGCTGATCGAGTTCATATTCACCAACGACGCGCCTGAGCCAGAGCAACCGACGTGCCAGCAGGTCAAGTCAGGCAAGAAGGCGGCGCCAGAGCCGAAGCGACACATCTCTGCGCGTGAGCGGCTGGCCGGCCAGAGCCTTCTGGGCGCGTGGATCGCGACGGCTGTCATTCTGGCCATTGTGGCGGTGGCCTGGTGGTTCTTCCTGCCTCTAACGTACGGCTACCCCGGCCTGTCGATCGAGCAGGTCATGCGGCGCAAGTGGCTGGGCTATGATCTGCACTTTGCCAAATAGAGAGAGATGCGACCTGAATTGGCATTTCCGAGCAGAGCTGTCTGCTCCTGTTGTAAGACTAGGAACGAGAGAAAAAGGGAAAGGAGATGCGACAACTCTAGGAAGGCTGGAATATTATTTTGGCTGGAGCGGTGTTTTCAATTGAGATTACCTTTGACATCCTTGGCAGTGGTCTGTTTTAGGTCTGTGTGGCACACCGAACCTACTTTATCTTGCTCGCTTCTGTAAAGTCGAACCCAGCCGTATATTTTTTGTCATTGTAAAACAGGATTTTGGTCACGAGGTATATTGCGGTGATCTTTGATGTGCTAGCATTTATAGATAAAGAGGGAGAGTAAGTCTAGAGGTAAAGGAACAGAAATGGGCATGAAAGGACACAGAGGGGACAGACAAGAGCAAAAAGAGCAAAGAGCAAAAACAACTCACAACCAAAAGAAGGGCGTCTCCTCTTTCCTTCCCCCACTCACTCGTCGTCCTCTGCTTCCCAGTCGATATTTGCCAGCCGGCTAGGCCCCGGCTGCCTCCACTGGACGATTTGACGGGCGGAACGGCGACCGGCGCCGTGAACGCTAGGAATCCGCGGCAACGGCAGCGGCAGGTCATCGAGGGGAGGAGGGCAGGCAGCCTGGGCCATGGCTAGAGACGCCCGCTGGGCAAAAGAGAGGTATCGCGTAGACGGCAGGACGAGCCGGCCGTCAGCGAGGGGGGGGTTGGACCGAAGGGGGTCAGGAGAGGCGGACTGGGCCATCTGCTGCAGCGTCTGTGCTGGCGACTGCGAGCGCGAGGAGACAAGGGCCGGTGGCCGGACATCTGAAGCTAGGGGTTGCCGTCGCTGGCGACGGTCCATGACCATGTCGCAGACGGCTCTGGTGCTTGTGGTGCTATTACAGGAGGAGGAGGTTGAGGTTGAGGAGGACAAAGATGAGAAGGAGGAAGATGAGGAGGACGAGGACAAGGAGGATGAGGAGTTGCTTCTGCTTCGTCCACTCACACTGCTTCCACTGCCGTCAGGCCGATAAAAGCGGTCGTTGAGACCGGCACCTACCCGATCGTGTCTGAGAGACGGTGGCGTCTTGGAGACAGCCGTTCGGCGATCTCTTGGCCGATGCGTCGATGGGATCCCGGCAACACCGCATTCGATCTCGCCTACCATATTGCGGAGGTTGTCGTAGGCCGGCATGCGATCCAGACGGGGCACGCGGGCAGCAGCAGGAGCACGACGGGAACTCACCGAATAGCTCAGCTGGGATCTCACTACTGCTGTGATTGGCTGTGTGGGGGGGAAGCAAGGAAGGGGAGTAGGAAGGAGATACGAACGGTTGAGCCAGAGGGCTTGGTCGCGTGTGTGCTCGTGGGACGGATAGGAATAGCCGACATTTGGTCGATAGGGGAGGTAGTTGCGGTTGTTCTGAACGCTGTAGCTGTAATTGCAAGCGGGAGTGTGGTTATATCTGTAACTAGCATTCGGATGCCATTGCTGCCGAGTCTGCAGCTCTGGGTTCCCGTGACTCGGTCTTGCATTTGTAGGAGTGGTCTCCTCGTTGCGGGTAGGCTTGTTTCCAGACACACAGCCGAAGAGGAAGGAAAGAAGAGTCATATTCGATAGAAGGACGTGTGCGTGGGTGTAAGTGGGAGCAGAAGTTTGGACGAGTGTCGTGTGAGTAAATGTGAGGAAAACTATTTGGATCACAGATGCAAGTTATGGCACAGTTAGCAGGAGACAGTTACAGTTAAATGAAAAGTCTGCAACAATGAGATGATTGTTTTGTTTGTTCTTTTTGTTTTTTTCTTGATGAAGAGAAGAAAGGAAAGAGAAAAGGGCAAAGGGATTGGATGTTTATACACGATCGGGAAGAAAGCCGGCACGACGCCAAAGAAAGGATGCTCTGCAAGGACAAAGGACAGAGAGGGAAGATGTGGACAAGACCGAGCAGACAAAGCATCATGTTCAGTCAATGAACAATCCGTGTAATGGGCAAAGCCACCATGGACAAGGATGTTCTGTTCAGCCTGTTCGCCATGTTCATCATGTTCAGTATTTCTTTGTTCATTCCCCAGCGCCTTTCACCCTCACGTCCTCGGGGCCTCGAGTCTCGAATACATAATCTCGTCGTCTGCCGTTCCGGCTCACCGTCTCGTCGCCATGACCAGACCCGACCGAAGAAGCAAACGGACAAGTGATTTGCCCCGAACACATCGACATGTGCCACATCCGACTGTCACTCTACAACGGCTGCTACCACAACGAGCGCATCCTGACGCTCTGCGACAAGCAGCAGCAGAAGCGGCTCCAGAAGTACCGCGAGCACCAGCGCCGCGCACAGAAGAGCCGCGGCTTCTTCGCCCGCCTCTTCTCGTCGTCGCCTCCGCGTCCGCTGCTCCAGCCGGCCACCACCTTCTCTTACACCAGCTTCGACATCCCCAAAGACGTCCTCCGCCACAGCTGTCGCCCCAGCATGATTTCCGTCCAGTCCACCAAATATCCCGACGCCTGTCCGGACTGCCAGTCCTCCTTCACCTCGTCCAAGCCAGCGACCTCGTCCAGGCCGACGACCTCGAACAACAGGCCAACCACCTCAGGGTCCAAGCCGGCCAGACTCCCCTCTCCTCCTCGCACTGCTGGCTCGTTTCCCGGCTCGTCTTTGCCCAATGGCCGTCCTCCTACCCGCAGAGGTGTCTTGCCCTCGGCTCCGGCTGGCCGTCCTGTTCGTCCTGCTCCATCTCCTGCTCCTCCTCGGCTGCCACCTCAGCAGCGGCTTCCGTCTCAGCGCTGGCCTCAACGGCAGCTGCAGCCCGCCATGACCTCGTCGCAGAGTAGACGTCCGGCCATGCATCCCAGAAGCAGAGACTCCATCGTCGATACCGCCATCGCCCTGCCGCCTTCTTACCCCGTTGGTCCGACTGGGTCGGTATGCTATCCCGCCCCAGTGCGTGCCAGCGTCACCCCCGGCGCTGCTGCCCGTGGGAGCGTGGACCGTTATGTCAGCCCCCTGGACCAGAGCCGCTACGAGCGCATGGTGTCTTCGTCGACGCGTCGGGTGAACTATCGCCTGGACGTCCGCAGACAGCAGCCATATCAGACACCAAGGTAAGCCAGCAAGAGCACTCTTGGTGAAGGGACATACGTGTCCATGTCTATTTCATTGGGATACATATTCACTCTTTTGTCTTTCTCGGTTATATCCTATTTGTTTCAGCACAGACAGTAGCGAATCCATTGAATTAATTGAAGTCTTACGGAGTACCATCTCCACGTGACTCCCTCGTATATGCGCGTGCACTTGCCAGAGGTCGATCTGTCCGAAATTCCGTCAGCTCGACCACACCGCAGAAGAGGAGAACAGCCGGTCCAGGCACCCTCCACTCCATCTCCTCAGGCTGCACGATTCTCCCCGGTCCTACTGGACAGTAACAGCCTACTGAGATCCGGGCATAGCGTCTGCGCAATAGGGCTGATGACCATTCTCTGTCCAAGATAAGAAGACACTGCAATGCGTCGGATGGCTACGTGGCCTTCTTTCTGCTGCTCCGTTCGACTCTCAACCCGGATCGCCAGTAGGGTCGACAGTCAAGGGCATGATCCCCGGGCCACGCCTGCCATGGTGGCATGTTTGAATGGAGCCAGTCGACCACAAAAGAAAAAGCCTATTTTACGTTTGCCTCATATGCAGGGGTCTCCCGGAAGGTGACTGGGTTTACGGGTGGAGACAGCATTCTAAAACGGGATAGCTTCGCGAGAGAGCCCAGAAAGGTTAAATTGGGCATATATTAATCAACATGGCCACACATTTATGTGCGGAAAAATGCAGCCGCCAGGTCAATATGGCAATCTTCAAAGCAAGGAGGCCGTCGAATGTACGGACATACGTAGTTTAGTTGAGCCCCCACGAACCGAGTAATCACTCTCCCAGATGACTGCTCACCAGAAGTGAGTCAGAGCCATGCACGTCCAGTCATTCAGCTGCCAGAATGGAAGGCCGCATGCACGAAATGCAAACGGAGTCGGGCATACGTGTTGGTCACGGGGAGAGATTAACTACAAAAAAAAATAGAAAAAATAGAAAAACTAAAAAACATTATGCAAAGATGCAAAGAGGAAAAGAAATCGGTGCGAGATAGGAACAAGCAGGGCCAGAACAAATATGTTGGCAGATGACCGCTCGGGCGACGGCTATTGAGGAACATGCTACACAAGACGTTTCCGACAAATAGTTTGCCTTTGTCAGACAGCAGTATGGTGCGTTTGTGGAAAGCCGCCGAAAAGTAGAGAATCAGGGCCAGCAAGGGATCGCCTGTAGGGCACTGGCGGCAACAGTAGCGTTGGACGCGAACACTGGGCAGTCAGCGATTGGAAAATGTTGGTGCCTCGCTGGAAAATAGTGGGTCTGTTGCAGCTGAATCGTTTTCCAACCCGCCGGACGTAAATCTTGGTGTCCGCCTCCGATAGGGCCAACATGTGTAGTCAGCCTAGCCCCTCTGCTTCCTGAGATAGCTCCTGTTAGCGAGTACGTCCAGATGGGCAGCCGGTCCGACGCAGCGACGAGAAGTGCGAAAATCCAAGACACACAGCGACTCGGCAAGCACAGCAGCGGCCAGTCTGCCTTTTCATCTCCTTATACGTCTGCCTGGAACCTACGACGAAGCCGCTAGCTCCTTTCTCCCCTAACACGGAATAGCAGAAGGCTGTGCGGCCAGGACTTTTGTGCACAGGGAGACAGGTATGGACCCACCCGAGTCCTAAGGAGGCGAAGCCAGAACGCTTACCCTCTTTGGGAAATTCTAGGCAACAGCGCTCAACCGCCCCATATGATGGCCAAACGTCCTCTCTCTTCTCGTTGTGGCCTGGTTTCCTCCCTCTCTCTCATCCACGTCAGGCAAAGCTGTCCACCCACACCGACCCCGTTTTGAATGAGGCCGACCCTCGCCACCACCTGCGACTCTCTTCTCTCTCTCTCTCTTTCTTCACCCTCGCCCGCGCCCTCTCTTTCGCTCTCTCTCTCCCCTTTCTCCCTCGCATCTGTCCCATCCCATTTCCGTGCCGCCTTCTCCGTCGTCCCTATCCTGTCGGACTGACGAGAGAGCCAGCAGCCGTGAACACCGCTTCATCCTCGCCACTGGCCGCTCTTCACCCTCAACCCCACGTCCGCTCGTCGGAAACGAGCCCGCAAAGTCCCGGGTCCTATCGCGGGCAGCCCTGTTTTGCTCTCACAACAAAGCCTGCCCACCTATCTTGATTGAGGCCAGCCAGACGGTTCCTTCGGAAGAAGCAGTAAGAAACTACTACCTATTTGTCTTCTTCCCCCGTCCCTGCTCGTACTGCCTCGTCTTCCCGCCTATTTTTTTCCATCAGTGCCGTCATACCCCGGGCCTGTGACTCACATCCGCATATCCGTACCCCAAACCCTGCCCTGCCAAGGTGACCCAGGACCCCCGTGATGCTAACTCGACACCGAAGCCGTAGGTTCTAGTTTCTGTTCCGTCTAGGACAGCTGTCGAGCCGTACCCGTACTCGCTTTTGTGTCCTATCTCATAAAGATCGGTCCTATTCTCCACACCTACCCGCAGCCATGACTTCTTCAACCAACCCTCGTCGTACTCCGGTGACTCCTTGTCTTGGGTCCTCTTCGTCCCCCAACGGACTTAGCCTTAAGACAAACATGGTCCTTCACAAGGGTGCAACTTTCCACTCTCCAAGCAGCCCGGCCTCGCAGTCTTCCACCTTCGGCCCTCCATCGCTGCCCCGTGCTCAGTCCGACCTCGACGACGTCCTGGACGCCCATCGCCGCCGTGTCGCCCTGGAACTCGACTCCATCGACAAGACTCTGGCATCCATCCACATCTCTACCAAGACCACCAAGAACAAGGCCGCCCTGTCGTCCTCTAACGTCGCTCTGAACAGCACTTTCTACATCCCCAAGGCCGTTCTCGACCACGCACTCTCGTCCAAAGCACACTCTGTCGACCAGCGTTGGGTTCTGCAACCCCGCTCCGTCAACCGTCGCCCCTCCAATCATCACCACGGCTCCGACAGCGGGCTCGGCTCTTCCGTTGCCTCAACCAGCAACAAAACCGCCGGAAAGTCTGCCAAGCGGACGTCGTCTGTCCAGGCCGCCGCCGTCACTCGCTCTGTCGCTTCTGTCTCGTCCACCACCGAGTTTCAGACAAGTCTGAGTCCTCGTGCCACCAACCGCATTTACGAGCACACCGTGAAGCCACTTCTGGCCAAGCCGGCCTATAAAGTCTTCCACCCACTCCTCCTTGAGTGCACCACCAAGATCAACAAGAGGGACATCGTCTGCCTTCGGGACGTTGAGAAGACCGTTCTGCTTCTTGCACCGGTAAGTCAACTGTCTTCTGATTCGGGGTTGCGGGGAAATACTTATCGTGCCTTGGTAAAGGAACGGACCAAAGTCGCCGAACTCTACCTTCGATTTTGTCTAGAGTCTGTCCGCTGTCTCCAGGCGACTGTCGAGTACCTGAGTGACCGCGAGCAAACTCGTCCGTCTGACCCGCCCTACACTTCCGGCTACTTTATCGACCTCGTCGACCAGATTCGCCATTACGCCCGACAACTCGCTGACGCAAAGGAAAAGGAGGCATCTGGAACAGCAGACTCCATGGAGCTCAATAGGTACGGCGCACTGTCTGCTTCAAACATTTTGCACTCGCGTCCTAACATGTCCCTTTGCAGTTCTGACCCGATCAAACTCCACGGCGGCTTCGCCGTGAACGGCCGTCCAATGGAGCTGGTCCGCATAAGCCGGGACGGCCGTGCCGTCTCCATCGCGACCGGTCTTCCTGTCGAGCTTGAGGAGGACATCAAGGACAACATCCGCATCAAGCGGTCTGCCAGCCAGGAACTCGAAGACGAGGAGGAGATCATGCGTTCCATGGCACGCCGGAAGAAGAACGCCCCCCCGGAGGAATACGCCCCGAAGACGTGCAGCGTCGACGGCTGCAAGAAAATGTTCAAGCGCCCGTGCGACTTGACTAAGCACGAGAAGACGCACTCGCGTCCGTGGAAGTGCCCCATCCCTTCTTGCAAGTACCACGACTACGGCTGGCCGACGGAGAAGGAAAAGGACCGTCATCTGAACGACAAGCACTCGGACAACCCACCAATGTACGAGTGCCTGTTCAAGCCTTGCACGTACAAGTCCAAACGTGACTCCAACCGCAAGCAACACATGGAGAAGACGCACGGCTGGACATATGTCCGCACCAAGACAAACGGCTCGGGCATGAGCGTCAGCGGCAAGCCCGGGAAGACAGGCCTAATCACCGATGAGGAGGGCCGTGCCAGCCACGATTCCGACAGCATGGCAAATACAACGCCGCCCCTGGTCAATATGCCCACGCCTGTCAGCGCACAGAGCCCGGCTGTGGCCACGCCGCCCTTGGACGAGTTTGCTGCTCCTCTGTATTCCCACAATATGGCCAGCTATGAGTTTCCCACCTGCACACTGAGCGATGTGCTCGCCACAGAAATGGACCTGCCTGCTGAGATTGACGATCTCGACTTCTCTCCCATCGACAACAACTCGCCTTCCACCATCTCTAGCCTCGACAACAACTCTGCGTACCAGGACCTCGGACAGGATGCAATGATGTTTGACGACATCTACAGCGCCACAGTACAGCTCCCCACCCCGGAGCTAAACCTCTACAGCAACGATAAGAACATGCTCGACCGGTTTATGGCACTGTCGGGCCCCGATCTGTGTGCCCCGTTGGTCACGCCGGAGCAGCAGCAGCAGCTTATGCATCTGCAGCATATGCACCAGCAGAGACAGCAGTTTGAGCAACAGTTGCAGAAGGAGCAGTATCTGCCACACATCTCGCCACTTGGTGAGGGCAACACTATGCTCTACACGCCAGACTCGCAGATCGAATACGATGAGGGCTTTGTCGACTTCCCAAATGATCAGATGACCAAGGGCGACTTCATCCTATTTCCGCCTGCGGCTTTGAACATGCGGCCGACGACGACGGCGAGCAACAACCTGTTTGACGACCTGACTCCAAGTCTAGCAGCCGGTTATTCGCAGCCGAATTCCCAGATCTTTATGGACTGGTAATCGACGGGGCGCCTTCCATTTTTGCTGCCTGCCATCGAAACTGAGGACAGACACGCATAGATGGAACAAAGCACAATGGGTAGTAAAGTGCGATTTTCCCCTCCGTCTCCATGTGTTTTACTATTGGAATATTTTACGGCTGGGCAAGCGATAAGCAGGGCTAGCCTGTCAGGACCAGGATCCCTTTTGCTGTTATTTTTTTGTCACGACTTACTTTACGAATTGCCGGGGGAAGAAGAAGAAGATGCCGAGTTGGTTTCTCCATCTTAGACGATGTGGAAGTGGAAGAAAAAGACATTGGCCAAGATGCGGCGGCCAGATTGTCGGCTTTTTTCTCACTACTCATCCATTCACTGTGTATCAGCTAGTTTAATCACAGTCACATCACAGTTCTCATGAAATATTTCTTCATATCCCACTCCAAAGAATAGGAGGTCATAGCAGAGATTTTTTCTTTTAATCTATTCTACACCATAACATTAGTCAGAACTTGTTTGGGTAGACACTTTAATTGCCACATGAATTACTTTCGATTGATGGGCACAACCCGCATGATCTGTATATACATCGTATTACGGAGTAATCACATTGTTCGTAGTCGCTTGTGCGATGCCCACATGATGACAAATCACCATGCCTTAAATCACGTGGCTCCCCTCATTTGCTACAAAACCAAGCGATCAATTTTTTTTGTTGGAAAGCTGCCTAAAAATATGTTTGCAGATTCGACTTCACCCTCCCAGAGAAGTCGAACGGAGCACCCCGCGGCCAAGCAATCAAGGCTCAACAGATATCGAATTCGATTCTATCGATACTGCTATAGTTTTGGGTCAGTTGGATTGCGACAGGCGTACGGTGCTTGTTGCCCTCGCCAATGTGACGCAAAGGTAAGCCTTGCCCGGATTTCATTTTTTTTTTTTTGCTGCATCACGAGCAGGCCGCCCTCTCTCCTCATATCACATGATGAAGTGCCGATAAAGTAGGCACATACCCCTTCAATACTTACAGGAAGAGCCGTCTGAGACTGTCCCTTGTGCTCGAGCGCGTTTCTTAACGTCGCTCGAGCGCCTGGAGTTTTCGAGCTCTTGGCCGATGCTTTCTGCCTTTCTCTCTCTCTTTCCCAATTAGCCCTCTTTGTCTTCTCTTCGGATCCCTCTCTTTCTCCAGCACGCCTCTTCGTGCCTCGATTCCTCCGACGCTCTCGGGCTGACGGGTTGAGTCGAGTCGTGGGGGGGAATGTGCTGGATCGAGAGAGAGGTGAGCCAGGGCGAAGCGAAGAGGGCCGGGTCAGAGGAAAGGTCGAGGCAGGAGGCAGAGGTAAGGGAGGGTAGTGCTTTAAACTGGGGTCCTGACAAAAGGAGAGAGCCGGCCAAAGATGTCTCTCTGTTTGACTTACTCGCGAGAAACTTGACGCTGACCTGGGCTTTCCGTCAAATAGAAGCACACATCCATTGCGTCCGGCACAAGACTTCGTTAAACGATAGCAGACAAGGTAGGGTTTAGTCAGCAAGCGTAACACTGCTTGAATATTTCGTGTATTGTGCAATAAATTTCTTGGCCTATATCTGCCTATATCTTCAACTCGTCGCGCCTTGTTCAATGGCTCCTCGTGACCAAGCCTATATGTCGCCTTGTAAGCGATCGCATGTTATCTTCCCTAACAAAAAGAGAACAAGACATGACAGAATACCTAGTTAGTCGTCGCTGTCGCTGTCGTTCATCAGCCGACGGCTCCTCTGTGCCCCAAGAGGCCGCCGTGCAAAAATGCCCCTCTCGTCATCATCATCATCATCGCCGCCTTCTATATTATGCAACGTTCCAGTCCGCCCACGTCTTGCTGCAGCTGCCGGCTGTTTCTCTCGACCCAGTGGTCGTGTCTTCTCGCCAAACACAGGAGCCGCACCATCCTCGTCGATGCCGTCGTTCTCCAGCGTCTGCGAGAGGTGCATGGGCTCATAAAATTTAGGCTTCTTCGTGGTCCGGCCGGGAGCCTCGTCTTCGCTGTCAAATTCGTTGATCGTCTGCATTGGTGGCGAGCTGGGCATCGATGGAGATATAAAGGGGCCTGTCCGTCGTTTCTTTGGTCCTTTGCTCCGGCTTTCGTCAAAGTCGTCATCATCGTCAACTCTGGCCATCGAGCTCGATGTCGCCATTTCCACCTCGTCGTCGTCGGCAATGAAATCCACAAGATCGCCGCCGCTGTCAGACCCATCGCTCTCGTACATGTCGCTCGTTCGCATGCAGTCGTCCCCCTTGTCTTCCAGACGTCCATACGAGACCTGTGCAGCCCCACGGCCTCTTCCACCTCTACCGCCCCTCCCGCCCCTCCCACCTCCGCCTCTAGCACCTCCACGATCCCGTCGAGTCCTGGTGGGCAAGATCTGAATGATTTCCATCTCCTCATCAAGCTCTTCTTCCTCCATTTCTTCTTCCATTTCGGGTGCTTTTAGTTTATCCCGGGTCTCCTGCTCTTTCAGGCGCTCCTCCACTTTGTCACCGTCCTTTTCCTTGGCCTCGTCCTCATCCTCGAGCTCATCCCCGTCTCCCCTGTCCTTTTCTTTCATCTCTTGCACATCTTGTTCGTCGTCATCTTCTTCCTCTCGGTCCTCCTCCCGCTCCTCCTCCTGCTCTTCCTGTAACTCATCGTCCTCGTCCTCATCGTCTGAGAAGATATGCGCTTTGCGTCGCATACTTGGCCTTGATATTGGTGGAGGCCTGTTGTTGGACCCTGACAAGGCGTACGATTGCCATTGAGAGCTCCTCTGCTTCGTCAAGCCCTTGACGGCTGGCCTAAAGCTCTTTTTTGGCTGACGTTCGCTCTCTTCTTCTGCCCCGATGTCTTTGTCCACGTCCTTGTCGAGGGTTGCATACGCCACAAATTGAGAGCTCCTTTGTTTCGTCAACCCCTTGATGGCGGGCTTGAAACTCTTTCTTGGCCAACGCTCGTTCTCTTCTTCTTCCTCGGCATCTTCATCAAATTTTTTATCAAGGGTTGCATACGTCACAAACTGAGAACTCCTCTGTTTCGTCAAGCCCTTAACTGCCGGTTTGAACTTTCTCGGCCGTCGCTCACTCTCTTCTTCGCCGATATCTTTCTCGGCCTCTTCATCAAGAGTCCCGTATGTCACCACTCGTTGTCTTTGTGTTGCTTTTGTAGCAGGGGCGATAACGCGACGTCGTTTGGGCAGTGGTTCGACGGTCATTGTCTGCGATACCACTTCGTCGGGCCCAGACTCCTCGGGGGCATCTGAGTTGGCAGCGAACGCGGGTACCGGGATCCGCATATACTTCCTGGCATTCTTGGTCGGTTGACTATACGCCTGCTCTGCCATCCTTCCCATCAGCCGGACATTGCGCCGAGTATATTGGCCATGGCCAAGATACTTCGTAGGTCGTAGATTCTGCAGGAACTCAAATTGTGCCGTGCCGACATCCACTTCCTCTAGGTGTCCCAAGTTGAAAACCGTACCATTCTCGAACCCGTTCTTAATAGGAAAGGCTTTGAAGGCGCTGCATGTCGCCATGATGGCCTTGAGATCGGAAGTATCAGCCAAAAAGTCCGTCTCTACCGGACCACGGTCCAAAGTTGGCTGATTGCGTTTCTTTGGTCCGCCCAAAACCGCAGACGCTTTAACAAATCCGGTCTCGACATTGTCCGGCATGTGAAATATCTTCTTGGGTGCCTTCTTAGTCCTTGCCGCGTTTTTTTTCTTCGGCTCTGGGAGAGACAAATCTTGAGTATTTTCGACAGGAATATCAATAAATCGCCTTTCCACCTCCGGTTTGACGTCTCGAGGGAGAATTCTTTCGGACATGTCAAAGCGAAATTCGAATTGAGACCCGTCGCTGATCAGCTTTTGCATGTGAGTGTAGTTGTTCTGTGCGTCCGTGAACTTCTCTTCTTCCTTTCCCCTCATCAGCAACAGAATGACATGACCGGCACGTTTCCGCCCTGTACGGCCCATGCGCTGGAGCATGCGGATAGGAGAAGAAGAGGCATCGTAGCAAATAATCAAGTCGACCTGACCAATGTCCAGACCCTCCTCGCCAATCGACGTTGCCACAAGAACGTTAAAAGCCCCCGCCTTGAACTTTTCAATCGCCTCAATCTGTTGTTTCTGCTTCATGCCGGAGCTGCGCTTTGAATCTGCCTGGCCCACAAAGATCGCAGCTTTGATGTTCGGGCTGCACCGATTTAGTGTGCGCACAATCTCCTCCGCACTGTCACGATACTCGCTGAAAACAATTGCCCGTGTATTGGAACCAAGATTGTCCTGGAAGTGGGTGTTCAGCCTCTCCTTTAAAAATCCAATTTTGGGGTGGCTTTCAAAGCTGTCCTCTTGCAGCCACCGTTCGACAGTCAACATCATTTCCTGGAAATCAGGATCCCCAACAAGCTGTTTCCGGTACTTGGGTCCCTTCTCGTCCTTCTCAGTCGTACTTCTGAGTTCGGCCATGCTGTCGTGAAACGGTTTGATACCATGGAAGTTTAGCAATTTTATCGCATGAGCGACGCTCTGAAGCACTGCAAATACTGCCATGGTCATATATTTTGTTCCCTGATTCAAGTGCCGTGCTGGGCCAGCCATCCACTCTTGCCGGGCTTTCATCAAACCAAACATTGTCAGCGACATAGGGTCTCGACCATACCATATTTTCTGTTGGTCGAGCTTCTCGCAGAACGGTTTCAGAGCCTTGGAAAGATGCTCCTGGACAAATTTGATCTCTACCGACGGATCGAGCACAAATCGCTCAACATCTCGGCCATGGACGTACTGGCGTATGTCGAGAGATTCCTCTGTCCGAATTTCAACGTGCGAAACGCCCAGATTGTTGATGACGTCCTGGACGCCTTCCACCGTGGATCCAGGCGTTGCCGTTAAGGCCAAAACACGGAAACTCTTAGTGAATCTGCGAATGAAGCCAATAACTTTGACATAGGCGTAGTCCCCCGTTGCACGGTGAGCCTCATCGATGACGAGAAGCACAATCGATTTGGGGTCTGCATACCCTTTCGAGAGGTCGTTTTGCAGCGTTTGTGGTGTCATGAAAAAGAGGCGTTTGCTTGCCCATTCAGCAGCCCGCAGAGCCGGAGCAGTGTCACCCGTTAGGAGTGTTGTCTCTGATCTAGGAATACCCGCAATGGTGAAGCAAGCCTCGACCTGTTGAGAGACAAGAGGTTTCGTCGGTGCCACAAACACCATCTTGGCATCCTTTGTCCAGCGGTAAAAGTTGAGAATCACAGTAGCCGCAATGAACGTCTTTCCCAAGCCTGTAGGAAGAGCCACCAGCGTGTTGTGGAAAAGTCCATTTTTGACAATATTAAATTGGTAATCTCGAATGGGACCGAGGTTGGTTGGGTACACCCAGGTCTTCAGTTGTTCTTGGTCCAATTTGTGGTGTGTTGGTGTCTCTGGTGGGAAGTCGCCCCGATACAGTCGGTTAGACGGCGGCGGCTGTGTAGGTTCGGTCTGTAGTCTGTCACCGAACAGAGTTGTTTGTCGAAGAGAAGTCTGTCCGGACAGGCGCAATGGCTGTCTGCAGCTCGCCAGCAATGATCTTTGTGATTGCCCCACGTTGGTTTGCGAACTATCGAAGGCGTCCGAAGGCAAGCCGTCGAGCTCTGCAGCGGCATCGGTGAATCCAGTTCTACTTTCCTCTACCTGCAATGGCAAAGCTTGATCAGACGTCGCAGTATTCGGAGCAAGTGTATGCAATAAGCCTTACCTGTGCTATGATGTTTTTTAACGAGTTGTTTGACTTCGCTGGCGGGCGCGGTGCTCCCATTTGCCGGCCAACACTCGAAATTTGCCTAGATGAGACAGGTTGAGGTTGATTTATGACGGCTGCAGCATTCGAAGGACGAGAAACAACTGGTAAAGCCGAGAGGGTCGGTGCAGATGCTGCCTCATAAGCAAGCATCAGGTCTTCATCGGCGATGTCATCGCCAAACTCGTCGTCGTCCGTCATTATTATCTAAGCCCGCTCAATAGCAAGCCAAGGTATATTTGGCCTTTGGGAATATGCCGTAAGGCCGTCCTTGGATTTACTCGGGGTATATTTAAGAGGCAAGCGACGCGTGCAGTCAACTTGCTACGATTGACGCGAGATCGAATTGACGCCAAGTCACGTGATTAGGACGCTCTCAAGAAAGAGGGGCACCCGGTAAGTGACCAAACTATCAGATCCTCTTTGCCTGCCTAACAGGACGCCACACAAGCGGGTCGATTCACGTATCCAATCATATTTTGCCTGCTTTCCGCAAGCGGCCATCAAAAACCTTCCGTCTTTCAAGAAAACAAAGCAGCTTTCAACCTGCAGTTTCGCACTCTGCGCTCAGCCTGCGATCACACCGAGTACGAATTTTGTGCCCTACATTATTTTGGACTCTTTACCCTTACCGGCACCTACCAAAGAAGCTTTGTATGCGCGCTTTGCTACCGGTTTAGTTCCTCTTTCACCAGCCATCATATTCAGCCAGCAAAATCTGAGGCGAAATCGAAAAGCAGACATTTATCGAGAGCTCTATCGAAGGCCTTTCTCCGCCTTCCCCGAGTCCTCCCTACGTTGTCAATAAAAAGCTCCAACCTCTGCGCCTATCTCTCATTTTCCCGCGATCGCATCGGATCTGGCCCGAATCCTTTCCTGCTCTGCCCTCCACGCACCCGACAGACCAGATTTTCCGACTTCCGACATGGCTCCGCCTACCAACACTCGCGGTGGCTCAAATGCGCGCACCCCAAGAGGCTCTGGGCGGGGAGGCGGACCTCGGAATAGGGGCAGTGGCGCCAAGGTTGATCGCAACGGTGACGTGATCATGGGCAACAGTCCCGTCGCAAAGGGAGATGGAATAAGGAAGAGCAGCAACTCATCACGAGGCCGTGGTGGATCGCGCTCAAACGCTACAGCAGAGCAAAAGATTCGAAGGCATCTGGGCGTTACCGACGGCGGCAGTCTGGCAAAGCGAGTGTCGGAGCTTCCGCGCAAGAAGTTCAGCAGTCATGCAAATCGCAAAGTTTTCAGGATTGTGGGCTTGGAGCAGAGTAAGGCAGCCTCAAATGCCGATCGAGGAGAAAAAGGAATGCTTGAGTTTTTGGAACGGAAGTCGTCGAATATGGGTCGCGGTGTCAAGATCATCAAGGTATGTATTAGATGAGGAGATCGGTTTGGGAAGCTCACGGCGTTTTCGACAGTGGCCCCCTCTTTCCCGTTGTCTTTTCCTGCTTAGCAGTTATTCGGTTGAGGTCAGAGCCGGCGCGATGCGAAACTTGGACAGCCCTGTTATTGCTTTTGGCCACCAAGACTGCTCGAGGACCTCACGGGCTCCCAACCCATCACCACTTCTTCACCCGTCTTGGGTGATTTATTTCCCCGCCTAGCTAACGGCAAAACAACAGTCACGGCTCGACAGTGACTTTGTTCTTCATGTCATGGTGTCTCAGGAAGATGCTGAAGAGCTTGCGAAGCTGAACGGTTTCTCATTCGCCGGCGCAAAGCTTATCGTCTCCGAGGACCCACAAGGATGGCCTTCGCAGACGGACGCCAAGCCCAAACTATCCCAAGAGTCGTTGGAGCGAAAGAGCCAGCTGCAGCAGGTTCTGAGCAACCGGTACGACCCTACGACCAAGCTGCTCAACCTATCTGCCCTGGGCGAGGATCCCGTTCTTATCGGCATGGGCTACTTGAGCGAGAAAGATCGTGCGGAAAAGACCTTTAAGGTTCTCATGGCAATTTGTGATGAGACATTTCCCACAGCAGAAGCAAAGCGAGAGGCAGTTCTCAGCGTGTCACTGGCCAACAACAATATCGATTATGTCGGACAAGTCTTTGACTTGGCCGAAACATTTCCGGAACTAAAACATCTGGACTTGAGCGGCAACCAATTTAAATTCTTGAAAAGTCTCAATAGGTGGAGAGGACGTTTTCGCAACTTGGAGACACTCCTCATGACAGGGAACCCTGTTGAGAAGGAAGACCCGAACATGGTAGCAGAGCTCCTACAGTGGTTCCCAAAGCTCATGAACCTGAGCGGCATTCAGGTCCGAACCCCGGAGCAGATCGCTGCTGCCGAAGCTGCAAAGGCTGCAGAAAGACCTACGCCAATTCCGCAATTCGGCCCAGACTTCCGTGACAGCAGTGGGATCGGCGAAGCATTTCTGACACAGTTTCTTCAACTCTACGACACCGACAGAGCACAGCTTGTGAACACCTTTTATGACAGCTCCAGCCAGTTCTCTCTTTCTGTCACCACAGCTTCACCACGAGATCACGGTGACACCCCAGTGCTTCCATGGGCCGCGTACCTACGGTATTCTCGGAACCTCACCAAAATCACAACGAGAAGTGCACGCATACAGCGGCTGGTCAAGGGTGCTGCCGTGATCAGGGAACTCTGGAACACACTACCACAAACAAAACACCCAGATCTGAAAACGGGGCTACAAAAATACATTGTCGACTGTCATCCGCTTCCCGGTATTTCGGATCCCTCTGGCCAGAGTCCGGTTGGCGTGGATGGTCTCCTGATTTCTGTGCACGGCGAATTCGACGAGCTCGACTCAGCCACCGGGAAGTCTGGCAAGCGTAGCTTCACACGCACATTTGTCCTTGGTCCGGCTTTGCCTGGCGCTGCGACTGCGTTCCGCGTTGTCAACGACATGCTGTCCTTGAGAGCACATCAAGACATTCCCGAACAAACCACCAACACGGTATCGGAACAAGGCCAGAAGCAAGAACTCATAGCCGAGCTCTCTAAAGTCACCAACATGAATCCGCAGTACTCAGAGATGTGTTTGGCGGAGGCTGGGTGGAATTTCAGTGCGGCTATTGCAAAGTTCAATGAAAGTCAGGTATGTAACTTGCAAATACTCCCTCAGGAAGTTAAGAATGTGAGCTAACTTTTGCTGCACCAGCCAAACCTTGGCCCTGAAGTCTTCATGGCTCCTATGTAGCGGCAGAGCTGTAACATCAATCACAACAGTCTCCTTTCTCTCGTGTGTCTGTCTGGATAATGCAGTATGGCAGATTGCCAGCCGTTCAGCCTTACGAGTTGGCCACATTGTGCTTCACTGAAAGGAGTTATCTGCTTGGCGATGATCGATTGGTGGAATTTGAGAAGGGGGTAAGCATACATCATTGTGATGCCTACAATTGAATCGGGTTGGGTTGTACTTGCATATCGGAAGGATGGCAGGGAAAGGGAAATAGGTTTTTGAAAAAATTCAATACCATGACAACCGCAGTTGAGAGTATGCAGAAGGCCCGTACTTGGGAAAGGGTGTTGCTAGACGGTTGTTCTTTGTGGGCTAAGCTTATTTTAACAATGCAGCATTAAGGCGTCATGCTTTTTTTTTTATCCAAAACACTTAAATATCACAAATTGATATCCTAGCTCAACATCACAATGCACATACCGATAATCAATCTTGACGGCACCAAAATCTGACGAGGGCGGGTGCAGATTATCAATTCAATTTTCACAAATTGGTTACCACGTCTTTCCCGTGATGAGAACAAATAAGCGTTATCGTTAACAGCTTACTGCCTCTCCAAATCGTAGGGCTGACCAGTCGTCACCGTCACTCAGGCCAGAGGACGAATAGGAACGCAGAGGGAACAACCGACGATGGAAGAGATAGATGGGCCAAATTGGCCTATGTGCAGCCAATTAGGTGTTGTAGATGACTGTCTGCGATTTGGTTCGCCCAAAGCCGCGCGCGAAAAACTGGAGATTTGCAGGATGGGACGAGAACGTGATAGAATGGGGTACCGCCGATCTTGAGTGATACGCATACCGCAGACTCCGTAGTGAAAAGCAGAAGCAGTTACGCAACTCAGCGCTTAGCCAGGAGCACGATCATATGACTGCGTGGTCGATTAAAAAACGTGAGCGCCACAAATATAGAAGCACATGGCTACAATACGACGTATCTTACTCCATTCTCGTACGCTTTTGCAGGAAAGTACTCCGTACATACATACTCCGTAGTGTACTCGGCCACGCCTTTCTGCCTTCGTCTTAGACGGCGTTCGAAGGCTAGAGCTGCTACATAAGACACAGAAACACGATTCCCGTAAATTGACAAAAGGGAACGAAAATAAACCACAACAGACGGCATGCTTCCAATTGCCCCAACCGGTATGGCTCAGCCGTACTCTGTAGGATTTTCTTCTTCGCTTTTCTTCAGCACAAGTCGGGAATAATTAGAGCAGATCAAACATCACCCTATGTTTGTACAGTACCTACTGTGTACTCCGTACGGAGTATGTAGATCCTCTGCAGAGTATGTGAGATACGAGGAGTACTCGTATGTATCTTACTTGTAATGAGGAAGGGGAAACGCATATATCACATGTTCCGTCATCACAGCCGTTAGTGGCTTTCTTCGAGATTGCTCCGGTCTTCCGACTTGATCGTGACGCGCCGATGGCAAATGCTGGAACACGTTAACGAAAACGTTACGAGCATTAGCACAACCCGATATACGGAGTAATGATCTCGTATGGAGGAAGGCCCGCGGTACGGGGTACTCGCAACAGGATGATCTGGATCCCAAGCCCGCTCCTAAAATGAGACTCCCCGGACCCGTGGCTTGTCGTAATGTGACAAATCCGGTTACAAGGAGTAGTATCATGCCCATCAATCCGGGTCGCCTTTCCCTTGCGGCTCAATACGGAGTACTACTTTGCTTTTCTATCACGTCGTACGGAGTACATGCGTACGGAACACGCCGTACATACGAGGACGGAAGAACCATCTCTACATGTGGCAATGAAAAAGGTGAACGAAGGCGGAGGCAATGAAAGGAGCTGCAGCATGGCCCTCTCGTAAAAACAACATAGCCCCGCTTGTAGTGCAACCAGAACAGGGCAGGCCAGTGGGTCAAGACAGTACCCACTCCTATGGGTCCTGTTAGCTCAGGGGGCAGGGCTACTGCTCAGAACGGCGCGTTTCAGCCAGGTGCCGCTCCAGATACAGCACGTCGTATACGGATGGGAAGCGACGTTTTACCTGTATCTTACGAGTACTGCTTGTCACTCCAGCGCTTCTGGCATTGAGTCAGAGTCCTGAAGCGAATCGACTGCAATGGACTGTGTATACACGGGGCTCAGAGGGTCAAGCTTCGGGAAACACATCACGTATCGTGTGCAGAGCGCCTGAGCTAACAGTCAGTCGTCCGTGAGCTAGTATGGAGTGGTGTGTATCTTAAAATACGTGTACTCTGTAAGGCCTAGCAGCCCTACTTTTACGCGTATACGGAGTCCGTATGTACCTGAATGTCACTGATGTGATGTTCACTCTGACCCCTTTTTCGTGAAATGGATCGACAGGGCACCGTGGACTACATAGTACGAGCACAAGTACCGTGCTCAGATCACCAGTAGGAGTACTTTAAAGTATCACTTCATGCGTGCTACCCCCTTTGCGTAGCTCGCACCTAGTCCTGACCGCTGATTGGCCACATCTTTCTGTACCCCTGCGCTACTCCATTTCTCTTGTGAGTCGCTCCTCCCAGCTCTGACTGAGGCTGCTTCCCGTTGTGCAAACTGCCATTGCGTTCGTGCTCGGGCGAGTATCCCTTCGTTATTATACGTTGTCCGACGTAGAAAGTGCAGCGATTTCTAGGCACCTGTCTGCACTTCTTTTGTGCGCATCCCGTCTAGAATCTGCATAGCAGAATCAATTCGTCCCTTGCGCCAGGATCGCGCCGTTTTGCTCCCCTTTAATTCCTACTACTCTAAGACATAACACAGATTTTCCATCGCGCATGAGAACCTCGTGCAACTGGTCACCCGTCCCGCGTTCACCTCGGGAAAACGTTTTTTGGACGGCACAACAACGGTCATCGCTCAGGAACAGGACGGCGCCGAGAGCCAATTTGTGCATGGGGACCAGGGAGCCGCCCACAGCCTTCACCAAGCCTGGCTCTTACCAGACTCATTAACACCCCAACCAAGTTCCTGTTGCGCTTGGTCACCGCACCATCAGTACGGATCCCCTGCGCTGTGCCACACCCTCCGCAGTTTAGCCTAGCCCCCCCAGTCGTGCGACGAAAGAGAGAGAGACAAGAAGTACGGAGAGAGGGATAGCAAATCCACCTGTCCGTTCCCTTCCACGTTTGCCCCAAGCACCTTGTCCACACACCTGCTGGAAACACTCAACCTCTTGGGAGACATCCTGCATACGGAGAGTTTTGTTCTGTCGATCGCCAAGCTCGTTCGACCAGGGGCCGGTCCTCCTGCTATCTCATTCTCCCCTTTCCGCCTGTACATCCCGGCGCTCAAACAAAACCCTTTCAAACCCCCTCAGCGTGTGTTCAGTTTCTTCACCTCCTGCCTCTTACGACACTTGCTTGTCGCCGTTACGGGTGCCGGTTTGAATCCCAACAGAGGAACTAGAAGCCTCTTGCGTGCCTCAGCGGCCTGTCATTGCTGTCATTCGTTTTCCCACTCATCGGGTTTTTTCTTCTTCATCCCTTTTACTAGCCCCTCTCGCGGCTGCCTCCCTTCGCATTCTTTACGAGGCTCCGCTACGTTTTCGAATAACAAGCTGCTTCGACGAGCTTTTTCAATCCTTCGAACGCGTCGAGCGAGACACAGCTTCTCCAGAACACTGCTCTTCTCCGACCGACTCGAATCGATCCGTCTGCGGTAGGCCCGATATGCCGGGTTCGCAGTGATTGTGGCTGCGTAATACAGGTGGCATATCCGAACGCATTCGGACTCGCTTGACGAGTCGTCGGGGACAGGTTTCCCTCGCGTGGCATACGACCACTGTTCACCTTTGCAGGCATCACCAAATCTCGACAGGCATCGGGAAGCAAGCTAGGAACCATGGCGCTTCCTCAGCCGACCGTCGCCTTGACGGACGTCTGTGCCGTCATGTTCAACAACACATTATACACATACTCGGCCGATGCCTTCCAGTCTTTGGCCTTTACAGAGGGCGCCGACTGGAAGAAGCTCCCATCGGGTGAGTCTGTAACCGGAGGTGTCTGTCTCGGCACGACGCCAGCAGATGCGGCACAGGCAGGTTTCTACGTGATTGGCGGATCGAGCAGCACCAGCAACTACACCGGGCTGCAGAAGTTTACATATGCAACCGGCAAATGGGAGGCAATCACGCCCGGATCCCTGGTCACACAGGACCGACTATATCACGCAGCGGTCTACATCAGCGATTCAGACACGATTCTCATGTACGCTGGATCTCAGGATGGCCTGACAGGAGATTCGACCCAGACTTTTACCATTGGGGCTTCTGCCCCTTACAGTGTGCTCGCATACGAATCTATCGCGCCGCCGACAAAAAACCCGATCCTTCTCCAATGGTCGTCGTCCGAGGCTGTCCTGATAGGCGGCAGCACGTCGAACAACCAGGTGATGCTGTTCAACCCGACAAGCGGCGGATGGAAAAACTCGGGAGCCACGCTCGCAACGGCGCTGTCAAAGGACACCTCGTGCATCCAGGCAGCGATCGTGACTGGCGACGACAGCAGCAAGAACCTCTACACCCTTGACATGAGCGTGTCGCCCAACGAGGTCAGCCGTATGGTTCTGATGGACGCCAGCGGCCAGCCGGTGACGAGCTCTGCCCCCGTCAAGCGGGCGCTTCCAGGCGATTATTCGGCGGCCGGGCAGCAATGGAACGACATGAGAGCACGGGCAGACACCCAGTCTCTCACGCTTAACAGCTGGCCTACGTACAACTCATCGCTGGCGCCCACGGTCACCCGCACCGGGTTTTCCGTCGCAGAAGGCTCGAACGGCACGATTGTGGCAGCGGGAGGTGGCGGTAGCGAAATACTCTGCGTGTTCAACGGCAGAGAAAATACGTGGCAGAACGCCACGCAGATTTTCAGCGTTGCGCAAAAGAACCACGCCAAGGTGTCCCCGTCGGCATCGGCATCGGCATCGTCAACACCGACGACTTCGGAAGTGGCAGCGTCGTCGGCAGCGACGTCTTCGGCAGCGGCGACCTCATCGGCGGCGGTTGTGGCCACATCACATGGCCCGTCGTCTGGAACAATTGCAGGCGCCGTGGTAGGCTCAATTGCCGGGCTGGTCATCATTCTGCTCGTCGCCTTTTTCCTGATCTTGCGCCGGCGTAAGCAGAAGAGCCCGAAGGACGCAGCTGCTCACAACCGCCAAATCAGCGAGGGTGGGTCGTCAGAGAAGGATGCATATGACTTTATCAACGGGAACTCGATGCCGCGGCCGATCGGTGGCGGGGCTGTATTCCGGGGCAACCACCAGGCGCAGGACTCTCAAGGCTCCTTCTCGTCCGTTGCAATTCTGATGGGCCGTGTCAACCAACCGCGGCCGGTGTTGACGATGCAGCGCAACAACGGCGGAGACGCGAAGCGAGACTCGGCGGACAGCGTGTTCAAGGCATTCAAGAGCACGATCAGCAAGCCGATTCCGCGGACAGTGGAAGAGCAGAGCGTGGGAGTCGTGGCAGTCCCACAGCAGGCGCAGTTTGAGCGAGCCGGCTCCAGTCCGTACGGCGGCAGCGTGCCGCAGGCAAGACCAATAACGGAGCAGTCGCTGCAGCCGGACAACACACGTCGGTCTTCGGGCTGGAACCGGTACTGGTCGGGGGGCAGTGCGCTAAACATTATTGGATTCGGAAGCGGAAATGGGAACGCAGCGGGCAGTGGAACAGGCAACGCGACCCTGCTGAACGCCGACTCGAACCGGACGACGGTTCTCAGCGACGCGAGCAGCCGGTACTCGGCGGGCGACCAGAGCCAGATGATTCAGGAGTCGGCCAGAGTAGCGCCGCTAGCGATACCCGTGATGCCGGAGGCTCGGCCTCATTTCCAGCGGGTCAACTCGGGCTCGCCGACGGTGGCAACGTTTAATAGCTTCCTGGCCAACGGGATGCAGGGCAAGATTGAGCGGTCGACCAGCCAGTCGTCGTCGCGGTCGGGATACTCGAGCGGGATTCCGGGCAGCGTGCACGAGGCGTGGGACCCGACAGGCTACAATGAGAAGCCATGGGGGACGGACAGGGCGCCAAGCAGCGCATATAGCACGCCTCTGACACCGTCAACCGGTCCTGGAAGCAAGAAGTACGTTCCGACAGGGATGAGTCAGCAGCCACAGCTCGCCAGTGCCAACACGTCGTCGGACATGAGCTGGCTGAATCTGGGAGATGTTTCCCGGGTATGATGGAGCCCAAACGAACGCGATGATGTTGACTCTCTTACACACACACACGCTCTCTCTCTCTCACACATACACACACACACAGCCAGCTTTCTACATTCTTTCGCTCATCGGCTGGGCGCTCTATTTCTCATGTCAAGCGGATGTCAAACTCCGTGCCAGCAGATTTCTGTTTTATGTCTCTCGCTTATACCCAAGCATGTTCCCTGTCTTCTTAGCCATCACCTAGTAGCTCGCACGCCATCATAAGACCGCTGAAGGAAGCAGGGTCGGGAAGTTTCGCATACACTTGTATTTCTTTTTGTATTTCTAGGATTTTGCCGCATAAAAGTAATAAGTTAAGCACACGGTGCTCCGGACCTTTCGGAACAAGCAAACGGCAGACAAAGGGGCACGCAAGCGGTCCACAACAGCGATAATTGCAGGTGTTTGTAGGGACTAGTGGGAGTTCCCGATATTTTGGCAGGTGTTGTGTGGGCGGAAATGGCGCGCTCCTACCACTGTTGCTGCCCAACGTGGCAGGAGGTCGGGGAGCTTAGATCTGCAGGTGCTCCGTGTGCGGGAAAGCCGGGAAAACATGCGACCCCCTATTTTTAACTTGAGGCCGGGGACAAACGACATATGCAGGGAGCAGTTGAGCAAATAGTACGACGACGTACGAAGTATTTATTGACTCTGGCGTGCTGGGCATCTGGCTCCGATTGTTTTTACAGGTCCCACAGGTCTAACATTCTGCTTTCCATCTGACATTCGATTTCAGCCTATATCTGTCCTCATATCGACGATGCCTTCTTACTCGGCGTCTCCGATCGGGCTGCTGACGGCGGGCACGTCAAGCAGCGCGGCGCCGGCCGGCCAGCTGACGTTGGCGGTGCTAGGCTGTGGCGCGATGGGGATAGCGATCCTGTCGGGGATGCTGGCGTCGATCGCGGAGATGGACGCACCACGTCCGCTGCAGGTGGTGGCGTCGGGGCCGAGCAGCGGGCACAGCAGCGGGCACGGGGGCAGCAGTGCCTCAGGGACGTCGACGCCGGTGTCATCGGCCACGGATGAGGTACCAGAGCGACTGCCAGGACGATTTATCGCGTGCGTGCGGCGAACGGAGTCGGCGAAGAAGGTCAAGGCAGCCCTGTGGGCGCACTCGTCGGCGGTGAAGGTGGTGCAGAACGACAACGTGCACGCGGCCCAGCTGGCCGACGTGGTGCTGCTGGCGTGCAAGGCAGACGCGGTGCCGACACTGCTGGCCGAGCCAGGCATGGTGCTGGCACTGCACGGCAAGCTGCTGATCAGCATCTGTGCGGGCGTGACGGTCGAGCAGATCGAGGCCGACCTGCACGGTGGCATGGTGCCGACGCTGGATCCGGCCGTCGATGGGCGCTGCCGCGTCGTGCGGGCGATGCCCAACGCGGCCGCGCTCGTGCGTGAGAGCATGACCGTCATCGCCGCCTCGCAGCCGCCACTGCCCCCTTCCCAAGCTGCTCTGGTCACGTGGATTTTCCGTCGCATCGGCGATGTGGCCTATCTGCCGCGCGAAGCCATGGACGCCAGCACCGCCCTCTGCGGCTCCGGACCGGCCTTCTTTTCCCTCCTGCTCGAGGCTGCCATCGACGGTGCCGTCGCCATGGGCCTGCCGCGCGCTGAGGCCATCCGCATGGCCGCTCAGTCGATGCGTGGCACCGCTAGCCTCGTCCTCCACGGCGACCATCCCGCCTTGCTGCGCGACCGCATCACAACCCCCGGCGGCTGCACCATCGGTGGCCTCATGGTGCTCGAGGAGGGCGGCGTGCGCGGCACCGTGGCCCGCGCCGTTCGCGAATCCACCACCGTCGCCAGCCAGCTCGGAAAGGGCGTCGAGGGCGTCAATCGGACGCGGTTTTAAGGAGAGCAGGAAAGGGAGTTGTCTGTCTTTGTCCACGTACTCTTTCTTCATCCTCTCATCCATACTCGATACTCTCTTCACTACCCTCCACATCTTTTCGGTCCATAGATCAATTGCATCCCATCTACACAATGTAGCATGTTTTCTCTATTCAGCTTCCGTCATACGCTGCTATTTACACGAGACAGCCCTGCATCAGCTCTACCAACGCCACTCTAGTTGCGGCCCTGTTGTCGTCAGCATCCCTCTAGACAGCTTACAGGCACGAAAACGGGACGTACCTCGAGAAAGCCCTGCATGAAACTGGACGGCAGCTTCTTCTCGCCCCGGATCGTCTCCTCCTTGAAGAAGGCCATGACGTGCGGCGTCTGCCGCCAGAAGTTGCGCGTCTCCTGGTAGTCGGCCGAGCTCTGGAACAGGAGCACGTCCACCACCGGCAGCTTGTTGACAAACCGGTGTCGCTCAAACTCCTGTCGGATCCGTGTCCGCACTACTGCCACCGGCAGCGGTACCTGATACATCGTCTGGATCTCCGGAGCCTGCGAGCGAGGTCAGCTTCCTGCCAATCCCACCTGGATGCCTCTCCGGGACGTACAGCTCGGATCCATTCGCGGTATGCCGACAGCACTCTCCGCCTCGCCTCGGCCCAGCTCGTAGCTGTGAACAGGCCTCTCGTCAGCGCTCGTCCGGAACAGTCCGGCAGGAAGGGAAAGGAAGAGGGGAAAGGCAGAGACAGCCTGTTCCGACGTACACTGCCGCGTCACGCGCGCAAATTCGGAAGGGGAGATGGCCATTGGTAATCGTTCGATCGCTCTCGCAAGGTCGCAAGGTCGCAAGGTCGCAGGAGATCAAGAGTATCGCTCGTCAATGTCGCGCGGCCGTTTGATCTCGACGAGAGGAAGACGGCCGGACACTGAAGATTATCCGCTAGTTCGGCATCCAAAAGTCACGTGACCATACGACCGCCTTTTTTTCGTGCACCGCCACCCAGATTCGACCTTTTTGTCAGCCTTGTCCGTCGAGCTCTCTCGACGTGGTCCAGCCGAACGTGTCGCTGCCTTGTCCGCCCACCATGCCTGCCATCCGCCACGCGTCCAAGCGCAAGCCGCCGCCGGACGGCTTCACCGACATCGAAGATGACCTGTTGGTGTTTGCCAACAAGATGAAGGACGCGCAGAACGCGCCGTCTGACAACATGCCGAAGCACCAGGCGCAGTGGCCCATCTTCCAGATCTCCCACCAGCGGAGCCGCTACATCTACGAGCTCTACTACGACAAGGAGGCCATCAGCAAGCAGCTGTACGACTGGCTGCTCAAGAACGGATACGCCGACGCGATGCTCATCGCCAAGTGGAAGAAGCAGGGCTACGAAAAGGTAAGCGCCATCGACGAGAACGTGCGTGTGGCCGCAGCCCGGACTGACAGACGACAGCTGTGCTGCTTGCGGTGCGTCCAGACCAAGGAGACCAACTTCAACTCCACCTGCATCTGCCGGGTGCCCAAGGCACAGCTCAAGGAGGACCAGGAGATCCAGTGCGTCAGCTGCGGGTGCAGAGGCTGTGCGTCTAGCGACTAGGCCAATGACCGGTATGTTGCTCTGGTTGGAGGGAACGCGGTCGGCCAGGCGACTCGGGAACATCCGGTCTTTCTTTTTCTATTTTTCTTTCGTCACGGACAGTACAGACGCAAGTAGCAGGCGAGGGCTAATGGTATTCATTTGTTTCAGTGACTCGTTATTCATTTCCCATCCTCTGTCTCTGTCCACAGTCTACTGTCGTTGCATCATGAGCGTCGGGCGAAGCCGACTCGGCCTCCGCGGCCAAACCGCACGCCGCGGGGCGCAAACGTCATGGCCGAGAGCGCGCCGGTGAGATCGTCCATCTCGACGTCGGATTGTCTGTCCGAGTCCGATTCGCTGTTCTCCCGGCGACGGTGGTGGTGTTGCTGCTGCTGCTGCCGCCACCGGCCGTCGTCCAGGAGAGACTGCCGGCCGTCGACGCCATGCTGCGTGATGGCGTAGAAGAAGTTCTTGGGGAAGTGGTGCTTGTCGATCAGGTGGCGCCGTCGCTTGTCGGCCGACCCGCACTTGCGCTCGCAGCCCTCGACAAAGCAGGCATACTGAGAGTGTTAGGGAGGAGAAGAGGAGAGGAAGAGAAGAGGAAGAGAAGAGGAGAAGAAAAAAGAAGAAGAAGAAAAAGAAAAGAGCAACCAACGCACCGTGTGTTCGCCCTTGTCTCGCCTGACGGCAACAAAAGGGTCGTGCCACTCGTCCGTATGGAGGCCGAGGTAAAAGGGCGACGGGAAGTTGCGGTGGCACTCGAGACAACGGTTGAGATGCTCTCGGTTGTAGTGCGACTCATATGCGCCGTAGGACGAGAAGTCGACGCTCTCGCGGTGCAAGAGGCAAATCATGGCTGGCTCTGCGGCAGCGTCAGCGTGGCCGTCGTCCAGAGTGGCAATCTTGGCGCTGGGCAGTTCTACGTCTGCCTCGGTCGAGGGCTGCTGGCCCTGCTCTTCGTCAGCGGAAACGGGCGACGATGATGACGGCAGATGCTCCTCGGGCGAGCGTGAGCGCTTCATGTGCCACAGGAGGGGGCCTGCGATCTCGGTGGTCGGCAACGCAAAGGTGGGATGAAGAGGACCGGGTCCAGACGTCGCTCGAGTCACCGCCTTTTTGTGCATGCAGCCGTGCAATGCTGCCCGAGTGGCAGATACTATGTACTATGACTACACATAATAGGATGAATTCCAAAACGTCACGTGGCACACACTCGTCGGCTCCTACCGACCGTGAGTGGCGCCCGCTTAGACCGGTCCTTGACTCTGGCACGGACAGCGCTCCACTCCAGGCAGCCTGGGCAGGCATGGCCATCTCACCGGCGGACGAGGGACGACGGTGAAGGAGAGGATAAAGGCGAGGCATCGAGACAATACAGTCACGTGAATGGCGGCCAAGGGCGACGTAAGAGCATACCACGATGACTGTCGCCACCGTCTACTGGACCTTCCCAACTAAGACACTACGAACGCCCAGACCCATTTCTTTCTTATTAATCAGATCGGAGGGGCAACTGCGCCGCTGGTCACATGCGGCTGAAGAGGCTTCCTTCCGTTGTAGGTCTCGTGAGCGCTAGCGACCCGGTCACGATTGCCGTTTTTGAGGTGGGATGCGATAAAGCTTTCGAGAGAGTATTCCTATCGTGCAGTCGACAAGATTCGCTGGACATCGGCCTCTGTCCGGCCTTGCTGCTGCGCATCGTCTTCTATTTCTGGTCCATCGGCTTTGGCATCCAGACGCTTTTTTGCCAACAGGAAGCGTCCCTCTGATCTCTCTCTCATTCCTTCTTGCATCCACCCGCGCTCTTTCGGCTTCGCATCCATCACGCCTCTCCCATCTCGGTGCTCTCACTGCTCGGATGAGATCACGCTCACCTTTGGCCTCTTCACCAAGTCGTGTCTTTTAGCAGCGTCGCGCCATTCATGATCCTGCTCTCTCATCACCACCGTACCTGAACGCATGAGAAGCTGCCGCGACACAACGTCAGGCGGGTCTGACTGAACTCGGAGGCATTCAGTCGCCGATATCCGCATCATGGCGCCCCCGGCCCATCAACCAAACGGTAGCCAGGCCCCCCCGTCTCCACCTGTGCCCTGTGAGGACATGCAGCTGGGCATATACGCGCCTCCGGCAGCCTTTCCCCTCTCTTTCGTCCACGTACCCCATTTATCCCAGTTTCCTGCCAGACAACTTCACGATCCCTCGAGCACTAACCAAGACTGCCCTCAAGGCCGACAAGACCTCCACTACGGCAGCAGCAGCACGCCGTCCAACGACCTGGCTTCCTGGAATGCCGCGGTGCTGCTCGATCCCAGGAGCCATGCCTTCCCCCCCGAGTCTCGGCCGCAGACGCCCGACAGCATCCACTCGTCAGCCACCAACACCATGGCCGGGCTGGAGAGTGCTGCCGGCTCCGTGTCGGGTCTCTTTCTCGGCGACGGCCACGGGGCTGCGCTCGACCCCGGATCGTCCCACTCGAGCGAAGTGACGTTCCGCTTCATGACGCCATCTGCCGGCGGCGTTGGGACTGGGACGCCACCGACGTCTTTCCTTGGCGGCCCCGACTTTGGCGGCATGGCATCCCTGATCGAGCAGGGCTACCATTTGAAAGACCGCAGCGACGTGCCGGAGCCAAAGCGTCGCAAGGTCGACCTGTTTAGCGGCGGCAGCAGCAGCGGCATCCTGGCGGACAGCCTGCATTCAGATGACAGCAAGGAAGACGTCAAGGTATCGTCCGAGGCACTTGCACCGGCAAAGAACCCGGTGACGGTCGACCTGACCGGTAGTGCTGACAGTAAGAGGATCTGCGCGGCGTGACCTTGTGCTGTGCTACCGCTGACATGACAGACAACCCTGTCGGCACCGACGCCAAGGACGCGTACCACGAAGTGTGCTACGGCATGCTGACCGGAGTCTCGGTGGACTGCCACAAGCTCCCGGTCCCGAAGCCCGGGATCCAAGCGATCGGGGGACCGGCCTACTGGCCGGCCGTCAAGATCGTGCTGCGGCGAATCGACAACGACCGGACAAACACGATACAGGTGTACGACCACACGCGCGAGGTGTTTGGCAGCCTGGACAAGCGGTCGGCCAATTGTTTGACGCCGCTGATGGACATCTCCAAGGTGCACCTTCGCACTGACGCGCGCATCCCGTCCCGGCGAAAGAGCGAGGACGAAGAAGCGGGCCAGCCGATCTCCAAGTCTTATAGAATAGAGCTTGTCCTGTACGGGGCGTCGACCTTTGCCAAGCCGGTGTGGAAGCGGGTGGCAGGCTTCGGCTTTGGGCTGGTGACGCCGCATCGCGTGCAGCCGGGCATCCGGCTGATGCTCCCGCAGGAGCCGCTGGTGCTCTCGCCGAAGCCGAGTGACGGTCAGCTGTCGTCGTCGTCGTCGTCGACGGCAGCCACACGCCCACCGCTCATCCTGCCGCCGACCTTCCAGACTAGGACGATGGAGGACATCCGGTCGGAGGTGATGGCGGTGTTCGACTCTCTGGCCCACACGGATGACCTGCCAGAGATGGAACCGGACTCGTGCGTGCTGACGCCGCTGCTACGGCACCAGAAACAGGGTCTCTACTTCATGACGACGCGCGAGACGCCACTGGCTCAACAGCATGGCAACAAGTATATGTCTTCGATCTGGACGAAGAAGCCGGATCGGTCGGGCTGTCCGATGTACCACAATGTGATCACGGACCAGCTGCTGTCCCAGCCACCGCCCGAGTCGCTGGGCGGGATCCTGGCCGACATGATGGGACTGGGCAAGACGCTGAGCATCCTGTCGCTGATCGCGACGTCTCGGCAAGCGGCAGAGCAGTGGAGCCGGCTGGCACCGGAGCAGCCGACAGAGGTGGTGCGGAAGAAGAAGGCGGCCATGTCACGCAACTTTGAGCTGCCGGTGCCACAGGAGCTGGGCCTGACGCAACTCCGACGCAATGGACGCGGCACGCTGCTGGTGTGTCCGCTCAGCACGATCACAAACTGGGAGGAGCAAGTGAAGCAGCACCTAGCAGCCGACGCGCTGAGCTTCCACGTGTACCACGGACAGAATCGGATCAAGGATGTGGCGCAGCTGAGCGAGTTCGACCTGGTCATCACGACGTACGGCTCGGTGTCAAGCGAGCTGACGGCGCGAAATCGCGGCAAAGCAGGACCGTTTCCGCTCGAGGAGATCGGCTGGTTCCGCATCGTGTTGGACGAGGCACACATGATCCGTGAGCCGAGCACGCTGCAGTTCAAGGCCATCACACGGCTGCAGGCCAGCCGGCGCTGGGCGGTGACGGGAACACCGGTGCAGAACCGGCTTGAGGACCTGGGCTCGCTGCTGTCCTTTCTACGGCTGCAGCCCTTCCACGACCGAGCCAAATTTGCCCATCACATCGTCAACCGGTTCCGGGCATGCGACCCGGACGTGCTGCCGCAGTTGCGCATCCTCGTCGACACGATCACGCTGCGCCGGCTCAAGGACAAGATCGACCTGCCGCCACGCACCGACGTGACGATGCGGCTCGACTTCGCGGCCGATGAGAAGGAGATTTATGATTTCTTTGAGCGCGATGCCAACGACCGGGTCAAGGCGCTGACCAGCCAGAGCGAGCGGTTGCTGGGCGGTAAGACGTACATCCACATCCTGCAAGCGATCCTGCGACTGCGCCTGATCTGTGCCCACGGAAAAGACCTGCTGGGCGACGACGACCTGCAGCGAATGCAGACGGTCCAGCGCGAGACAGAGCTGATGCTGACACTGGGCACGAGCCCGGAGTCGGCCATCAACCTGGACGACGACGAGGACGAGGAGAAGAACGGCCGGGTCAAGGGTCCGCCCTCCGAATCGAAGCTGTATGAGATTTACGACCTGCTGGTGAATTCCAACTCGGACAACTGTGTCATCTGCAAGCGCAAGCTCAGCTCGCTCGAAGACATGTCGGCCAACATCCGGTCCGAGAAGCAGGAGGACGTGGTCGGCTACATGACGCCCTGCTACCATCTCTACTGCCCGGACTGCATCACCCACTTCTGCGACGAGGAGCGTGGCGCCACCTGCAACAGCGGCCAGCCCGGTCGCTGTCCCTACTGCCGCGATCCTGTCCTGTTTGCCTGTCCGGAAATCCGCCGAGACCGTGCCGACGGCGAGCACGACGCTCCAGGTCACAGCCGCGACCTGGACGAGGGCAGTGATCGTGCAGCGAGGCCGCCGCTCGTCCACGGATCACCTGCTGCCAGTCGGAAACCCGTCGATCTCAAGGCCTATTCGGGACCTCACACAAAGACGCGGGCTCTACTGGCAGACCTGCTGGACCACGAGCGCGAGAGCGGGACGATGCCGGACGAGCAGCCCATCAAGTCCGTCGTCTTCTCCGGCTGGACCTCGCACCTCGACCTGATCGAGCGGGCTCTCCGCGACAACGGCATCGCCTTCTGTCGCCTCGACGGCAAGATGTCGCGAACGGCCCGGACACAGGCCATGGATACCTTCCGCGACGATCCATCTGTGCACGTGATCCTCGTCTCCATCATGGCCGGGGGCCTGGGACTCAACCTGACGGCCGGCAACTACGTCTACGTCATGGAACCACAGTACAATCCCGCAGCCGAGGCCCAGGCCATTGACCGGGTCCATCGGCTAGGCCAGAAGCGGCCTGTTCACACCGTTCGCTTCATCATGAATCGGAGCTTCGAGGAGCGCATGCTCGAGATCCAGGCCGACAAGATCAAGCTGGCCAACCTGTCGCTCAACCGCGACCGCATGGGCGTTGCCGATGCCGCCCGCCAGCGTCTGCACGACCTCCGGCGACTCTTCCGCTGATCTTCCTCTGTTCTTATCCCGCTCTCGAATGGACGGCGCGACTTTATATCCTCGATGCTGGGATTGGCTGGCCCTGCTTTTCTCTTTGCTGCTTTGGTTTCGTTCTGCCTTCCGATCGGAGCTGCAGTTGTGCTCACACTTTATCTGGGACAAGGAATCCTTTCTGCCTTGCAAGCCGTGCCACGTTGCGTTGCTTTATACTAATGTGTGCATTTTTTTTTTTCGGAATACAGAACCCATTATTGCTGCTCTGGAAGTGCTTCGTAGCTGACTCATCGTCGTACATCATTTTCACGCTCTCTCTCCGCCATAGTGAAATAATGTTATTGTAGAATCATTCGCTATAGGAGTGAGTGTGCCAGAAATAGCAATCGAAAACCACCGGTCAAAACTCCTTCCTCCTTTCCTCCTTGGACAAACGCCACTTGAAATGCATAGAGGAACGGCGTGGAAGCAGGTCCTTTCCGAAGAAGCGCCTACAAGCCGCCGTCACGCAGTGTGGACTGACTCGTGGCACCTTCCACCGTCTGGCCTGCCTCCATCTGCAACAACCGTCCTCTTGTAGAGACAAACCACAGAGTTTCATTCTTCGTTTTTCGGGGAAATGACCGCCAAAATGGCCAATTCGAATAAAGGTTTTTTTTGCCGCAGTACTGAAACCACGGTAGTCGACGAAAAGAGGCGCGCTCATGCGGCGCTCGCCGTTGCAATGGGCACAGATGCTCGAGTCACCTGCTCGCCGGCACGGACAATACGGCGTCCGGCAGAGTCGGTGGCATAAGATATGTCCTTGCTCTCGTAGTGGGCGCGCTTCCAGATCTCCACCTCGCAGCCGCCACGAAGGACACCCACGCGCATAGTCGACAGCAAGTTGTGTGCGGCGTTGGAGTGGTTATATACGCCGCCATTGAAAATTGCTGTAGCGTCCTTGCCGATTGCAGACTTGATCAGTGCCTTGCCGCCCGGGTGGTCCTGCACAAACGCCGTCACATCGTGGACGACACCCGCAATAGCCACCAGCGCCTTGCCGTTCTTGGTCTGCTCAACAAAGTCGTCCCAGTCCACGACAGGCAGCTGCTCCAAGGGAGTACCCCAGTCCAGCGTCGCGCGCTTCTGGTCGAGCTTCTTCTGCTGCTGCTGCAGCCGGCCCTTGTCGATCTCGTTCTGGCGGAACTCCTTCAGGTCGTAGGCCAGGCCCATCTGCTTCCAGAGCCAGATGGACCACTTGGTCGGGTCGTACTGCCACCACTCAATCGCGTTCCGGTAGTCGGACGGGAACTCGTGGTGGAAGTTGTGGTAGCCCTCACCAAGAGTAACGAGAGCAGTGATGACATGGTCACGTGGCGAGTTGCGGTCGTCAAACGGCTGGTCTCCGAGCCAGTGAGCGAGAGAGTTGACGCAAAAGGTGGCCTGCTGCACAACAAAGATGCGGATGATGCCGGCGTACACAAAGCCGCCGAGCCAGTCGCCCCAGCCCAGACCGCAGACGAGCATAGGGAAGAAGATGCCCATGGTCAGAACTGTCTTGATGTAGTGCTTGTGCTGCCAGACGACAACGGGGTCCTCGTTCAGGTCAGTGATATCGGTGCGGCCGATACGCTTGGGGTTCTGCTTCATCACCATCCAGCCAATGTGCGAGTAGAGCAGGCCCTTGCGGACGGAGTAAGGGTCCTTGTCGGTGTCGGTGTACCGGTGGTGGGCACGGTGGCCGCGAGACCACCAGCGGATCGAGCCTTCCACAGCACCGGCACCAACAGCAGCGAGGTAGATCTGTAGCGGGAGCGATGCCTTGTACGAAGTGTGTGCCCAGAGGCGGTGGTAGCCTGGAAGTCCCCATGTTAGCCTCTCGACCCTGCACGCTGCGGGATGCAGGAGGGCGGCTTACCTGCTGTAATACCCAGGCCAGTGTTGAAGTAGTACACGATGGCGAAAATGAAAGTATAGAAATGCAAGGGTACCCAGTATGCGTAGATAAACCCGGCCAGAGGAATAAGGAGAATAAACGTGACATTCAGCCAGTCAATGTGCTTGTACCAGTTGCTAAGCGTGATAGGAAGCTCTGAGATGTGTTGTTTCCGGATGTCATACTGCTTGGACCGCAGAGGCTTGAAGTCCGTAGTGCCATCGACGGTAGCATCGGCTACCTCGATTTTGGCCGCCATGTTGGGAGGTCGATGGGGGTGTAGTTCGACGTAGAGGCAAGCGAATCTAGGTTGACGGGGAATAAGATGAGGTGAAGAGGGAGAGAAGCCAGGAGAGAAAATTATATTCCGGTCCTTCTTCTTGGCTGTTGACAAAGCCGATCACAAGCCCCAACCAGTGGAAGCTATCGGATGGGCGGACTGTTGTGTTAGGGGAGGAAGAGGTCGATGCCCTGGATGGAAGTGAAGGAAGAGAGGGAAGAAGCACGGGCGAGACAGGAAGGTGGGTATAAAAGAAAAAAAAGCCAAAAGCGAGACAGCCCGGATGGGGCAGGGAAGTCGCCAAGGGGTTGGGGTTGGGAAGGCAGGAGCGAAGGAGGCAAACATCGGGAAGTTTGGGGAGTGAAAAGGCGGAGTGGGCTAACTAGGACTGTACGGAGTACCTGGCCTCCGAAGCCTATGGGCTGTTTTCACAAACCTGGGAGCCGGTTGGGATTGCCGGACGTGCTTTGTAGCACCTGCGAGTACGAGCAGAAGGGCGGGGGAACGGAGACAGGAGAAAGGACGAGCGAGCGGCGGCGAGACGCTCCGTGCTCTATGATCGATCCATTGTACGATGTAGTTACAGAGTAGACCCTTTCACCATTGGGCAGGAGCACCCGGCTTTACTGAGCACGTTGCCAACGGCCTGTGACCTTCCTGTTTCAACCGTCGCACAGGGCCAGCTAGGAAAGGCCGAAACCGCCTCGTCAGGGCAGAGCAGGCAAGCTCTCGCCAGCACGGCGCATCGCCTCCAGATGCCAATGGCCAGCCTACAGCATCTGACCACTCCGGCCAGCCGGTCCTGCTGGTCCATGTCCACTCGCCGTACGGAGTACTCCGTACATATTCTGCGTCTCGTATGAGCACGCACAACGCCTCGGCGCGTTGTCTCGTTTTTTTGTTGGGCCACATGGAGAGGCACGAAAGAAATGTTGGGGACGGACTAGATCAAAGCGGGGTCGCTGATTGGTGCACAGCTGCTGCCAGGCACCCCGGCAGCCCGTCGGAACGCCAGGTACAGTACGTAACCCCATCCAGTCTACCTGGATGCTAAGGCTGTGCAGGCAAACAATTGTCCCAAGTCGCGCACTCTTCGCCACCTCTGCTGCTCGTACGACGTATGTATCGCAAATTTGCTCGGACGCGCCCATACTGTCTGCTTCTCTGACAGGCATGTGCAATTCCCATCATTAGTAAAGCCTGACTAGACTGCTTTTTACTGGATGCCGACCCGGAGAGCCATTGGACCTCCACACGGCCGTCTCCGCCGATTTTTCCACTACTATGCCGAGTCCCACGTACGGCTGCTGTCCTCGGCCCTGCTCCCCAACGTCCCACTTCTTGTTTCTGCCAGCGAGCAATGGCAGAACGGAATGTCGGCGCCGACACAACGTATGATGTCATAAACGCCGCTGGCAATGGCTGGAATCCGACCTCGTCTCAAACATGTGATATCAACCGCCGCCGACGCTCAACACAAATGTACGGTTCAACAGTTCATCCCTGTTTTCCAGTCATGACAGGACACCACTTCAAACACTGCCCGACCTTGTCCAGATTACTGATTCCTGGCAAGTGAGACACAGGCCTTGCTGAACGTGTGTCTAGTACGAAGTACCGCTATTATGTGGGGAGGATGAGAACAACGCTAGTCTATATCAGGAAACAAGCTGTTTGTATGTTGTGCAGCTGTTTCAAGCATTGGCCGCCTCTTGCAATGTCGTATCAGAGCATCTTTGCCTTACAGTTCTGCTGTGGTGGTTCGCAAATTATACAGACTTGTATACTTGTACAGCTGCAACAAGAAACTGTCGATTTTAAACTTTTGCTCCGTACGTCGACAACGACGACAAAACCTCCAACTTACTAATACGAAACTCCTTTTCATTCAAATTTTCCCCAGTTACCTGCGCCGACAGTCTTGAGACGTTGTGAAATAAACAATAGAAGATGATAACCAAAATGAAATAACGCAAAAATCAATAAAGTATCTTTCGCACTCGCATTCGCCTAAACCCGCCAAAAACAAAAACAAAACCAAGCATTACCTAAGCAACACTAATGTCGTTCGGCTCATCACCGGCCAAAGCACGTTTATCATTGCCGTGCTCTGCCCTTTGCGTTTTCCAGTGCTGTACCCCCGTCGGAAGATTCGCTTGAAGAATTGTTTCCAGAGTCTAACTCCTCCGCAGCCTTTGAATTCGAGGATTCTTGGTCAGGCTGGTTTGAGGCTGCCAAAGATGTTTCGGCCTGACTTTCATTGTGCTGTGGCCCTTCAGTCGGCAGAAAATCCATATGGCTTTCCTCAGTAGAGTCACCTGTTGGGGGGGGAGTTGGACGTCCCGCTGTGGTCACAGAAGCCCCGTCATCTTCTGGATCAAACTCGTCGATGTTGCCGCCGACGTCCGCGACCGCGGATTCAGGCTCCAGTACGCCGCTAGCGGCTGCGCCTTCGACCATCCTGCCTGTTCGACGCAAAGCACTCTCCTTGGGGGTGGAAGGATCGGCACCTGGACTGAAAGTGGGAGTCGTTGGCCGCCTCCCCCCATCACCAATCGGTCTTCTGTGCTGCTGCCTCTCCACGTCTGGCGAGTCATGCTTGTCGTCGGAAAAGCTGTTTTGGGAGTTGTGGTTGTAGCTTCTCCGACGAGCGTTGGGCGGCGACCGACCCCTTGCCGGGTAGGAGTACTTCTCGTTGGTGACACGTGGCACCGAATCGGTGGGAGCAGTCTCGATGTGCACGTAGGACCAGTCGCTCGATGATGCCGTCACGCCATCGGCCGGGTAGCTGTCCAAGCCCGTGTCGGCATCATCCGAATAGCCCACGGGGCCTCTGAGAACTGCGGTGTCGTTCCGCAAGAAGACAGAGTCGTCACCAACACGTAAAGGAGGATTGTGCTCAAAGAGACCAGGAGGGCGGCGATCTCCCACCCAGTCAACTTCGTCGTAATCACTGATGTCCGAGTGATCGGACCGGCCTTCTGGAACAGGGAAGAGGCGGACCAGCTGGCTGGCTTGAGCACGAGCCCTCGGGTCTTCCTCTAGACAAGTCTCGACGATGGTCCGGAACCAGGACGGTACGGTGACATCTCCAGGCAGATGCAATGGCCGATGATGGGCTTCAGGCTCGTCGTCTTGCATGGTGAGAGCCCACAGCACCATGCCAAGCTGGTAGAGATCCGACTTGACGCCAATGTACATCGATATGCGCTGCTTGTTCTCGATGAGCGGCGTTGCCTCGGGCGGCTCCCAGCCCACTGGACAGCCGCGTCTGTTGATGTCGATGATCTTGGCATTGCCATTGTCGTCAATGACAATGTTCGAGAGGGTGAAGTCGCCCTGCACATAGCCGGCCTCGTGGATCTCCGAGAGGCCCTGGACAATCTGACGTGCCCATTTGGCGCGTGTGGGCCAAGGAATGCCGTGGTCGCTGTCGTAGATTATATCGATCAAAGCCCCCTGCTCGGCGAAGTCGATGAGAAGGCCTGTGACGCAGTCGTGCTCGTTCACAATGACCCCGTAGAACTCAATGACATTGCGAGAGTGGGAAAGGAAGTTCAGCGCATTGACCTCATACAAGAACTCATCCACAGAATCAGGACCAGGTATTTCCTTTTTGATGAGCATCCGTCCGTCCACGCGCACTTTGTAAACAAATCCGGACATGTGTGAGTCGAACTCAATTGCACGCTCTCTGATTATTCGGCAGCTCAGATGTTGTACCATGCGACTGGTGGGATATTTGATGATTTCCTGCGCGTGTCAGAGCTGAACCTAGCGAATGCTACTTGGGAGAAGGAGGAGGGCGAGGAGGACAAACCGTGACGTCTTCGACAACATGAACATGCAAACGACCGTCTGTCGTTTGCAACTTGAGGTTTGTTACGGTCTCGTAGAACTGTATGCTGGAAAGGCTTTCGCGGATGGCCTCGTAGATCTTTTCGTTCTTGTCACGCTGGAACTTGGTATGCAACAGATCCATCTCCAGCGAGTTTTCAGGCGCATTGCGGTAGTCGAGCGAGACAGTCACTCTCCGCCATAGGTCGGGACGTTGACGGTAGGTGACGAAAAACTTCTCCCGCCTCGACTTGTCGCGGAAGTGCATTGACAGATTCAGAATCCAGATGTGCTCCAGCTCGTAAAGAAGGGTCTGTTCGTACTGGGACGACGTCATGGAAGCAGTGTCGATGAGAGACGCTCTCTCTACCAAATGGAACGTGTCGTCCTGGTGGTGCTGCTGCAGTTTGTTCAAAGAGCCATGGAGGTCGCTGTAGGTGGCACTAGGAGCAGCATCACCGGCATTCCGGTTGGTGGAAGCCACTGTGCCGTCGTTTCCGGTGCCTTCACTGGTCAGAGCACCGGCTGATGGCTCTGACTTGAGGGATGGCGCCAGTGGGACATGTGGTGCAACGTGAGATGTGCCAGGGCTGTCCAACGTCACAAAGTCAGGGGCACTTTTCCGGGGACCGTGTCCGAAATTGGGCGCACTTGCTCGCGGATTCGCTGTGGTCTGCGAAGTAGACAGAGACTTGGCTGAGTGCAATAGACGCCGGTCCATGGAAGTTGCTCGTCGTTCATCTGGCGAGGGTTTCACGGCCAGAAGATTCTCACGGAGTTCCGACTGCTGCCGGGCAAACGTCTGAGCACGGGGCAGGCCGGGGACAACCTCTCGATGCGGTCGGCGACTGCTTCCACTCGGTTTCGAGGCTGCAGCATTGAAAACTGGAGGACTGGCAGGGTTCGCAGGGCTCAAAGAGCTCACCGGGCTCACCGGGCTCGCCGGGCTCACAGGTTTGACAGCAACGGTTGTAACGGGCTGGCGAGGTACATCATGGCTGGCGGTCCGTTTGCCTGGCAAGGCAGCCGGAGGAGCTTTCGCCGAAGGTGTTGGTGATACGCCATGCCTGGTGGAGTGCACGCCCCTGGACAGAAATCTCCTCCAGAGACTTCTGACCGGCGAAGGTGGAACAGCCGGCGGTGGTGGCCGTGATGTTGGCGAAGTTTGGGGCCCTCCGGCCCGTGAGTCCTCAGGCGCCAAACCAGGCTGAGCCATGGAATTGCCGCGAGAGGGCGCAGGTGCAGACGAGGCTGCCTCTGCCAGAGTAGCACCGTTGGCCCTATGCAGTGAAGGTTTCTTTGTGGGTAACCAGCTTGAAGGTTTGATGGAGCAGTGGAAACACGCAAAGTCAGTGAGTGGACGCGTTTTTGTGGTGTGGGCCCGCAGAGTGCAGGCAGGAAGGTGAACGGTGAAGGGTAGGCGGTGCCGAAAGAGTTGCGAACAGCTGTAAGCAGAGAGTTGAGTCCGTGATGGTGCAGTGAGCCTATCTGGGAAGGATGTTGAGAATTCCTTGGGCAAAGCCGCACGCCAAGTAGACGCCCGGATACGAGCAGGTCCGCGGAGGTGGCAGTTTGGGCTGAAGTGTGGATGTAGAGACGGCGGTGAGGATGTCAGTCAGGTGCGAGGACTCTTTTTTGCTTGGAGAGCGGCGATGTTTTTCTGTTTATGGATTGGGTTGCGGTGGACCCGGACTTGACGATGGCTTTTTCTTCCCGGCGGTTGCTGGGCTGTTCGGTCCTGTTGCTACGTATTGCTTCTCCATCCAGGGGACGTTGTCGTCCTGTCTCGTGTGGTCTCCTCTCCGACGTAGCAAAAGGCACCAGGGCAAAAGGACAGAAGGGCAACAGATCAGCAGGGGCAAAGAGGTCCAAGGTCGTCAGCTGCGCGGCGTCAGGGCGCAATGCCGTGCAGACAGACAGGCGACGGAGACTCCGGCCGCCTTTCACGCCTTTTCTCCTTCAGGCTCGCTCGACCGGTTCGGTCAAGAAGACGATGGCAGCAGTTGACTGGCGCTCGTTGTGGCTCTGCTTCATTGGCCGTCTGCGATGGGGGGTACCCCGTGGCCTGATCCGCTTTGGCAGCAGCGCTAGCTGCTGAATGGGCAGCAATGGATTCTTTTTCCACCTCCTTGCCCTGCTGTCGTTGGTCCGGTCTGCTGGCCTCTTGCGATTTTGGGTCGGACTGCGTGCAGAGACTCTGGGGTGGGCACTTGATACGGTTTTAATGCAGCTACACGCCAGGGCACCGGCGCCAGTAGCAATGTGAGCAAATGTGAAAAAAAAGTGCCTCGTCACAGTGACGTCCGACCGGCAGGGGAGAGAGGGGGAGGCATGGGGGCAGGGGGGGGAGAAGGCGGGACGGCCAGGAAGCGCATGCTAGGTAAGATGGTTGGAAGTGTGACGAAGACGTCGAGAAAAGACGCAGATGCCTGTTTTGTGGGCGAGACGTCATTTCCCCTTCCTTCCTTTTGGGGGTGGCAGGATGGCCGAAAAGGAGGTTGGTACATAGTAGGAGCAGCTAGCGAGGAAAGTGCGATGGATCGACACAACACGCGCCTCTGAGCAGTTTGTCCTGAAGACTTTCTGCTGTTGTTGTTGGTGTTGCTGCCACCATCTAGCTCGTTGTTCTTTCTGAGCTCGTGTCTCTGGCTCGGGGACAGTGATGCTGTATTTTCTGCGTGTGATGCCGGTGGTGGTGCGTCGCACCGAGAGAGGGTCGACGGCGTGACTGATGCAGAGATGCATCTGGTTGAGGGGAGGCTGGGCTCCGGAGTTTTAGCGCGCAGCGCAGCAGGGGGCTTACACTGAGCGCAAAGCGAGCGGCAAGAGTGGATTAGCGGAGCACACGTGTAGAGGCACCACTGGGACAGGGAACCGGCCTGGTGGCAGGCAAGGACGAGGTTGGCACCGGCCGGGTGGCCGTATACAGTAAATCACAGCGCCATGCCGATCTGTTCTAGCGCCAACGGCCCCAGTCTTTGGCGGCCGTTAGTAGTGAGAGCGCGCTAACTGCCCGACCCAGACTGGCAGATACGCACGGATACTCTGTTCGCTGCCAGCCGGCAACTTGTGGCGACGTATCTCGAATGTATCTGTCGCTCCGTCTTCCCGGGACGCTCCCGAACCTCAGCAGGGCCCAACCAGCACAGCAGAGCCTACGACGTACGAACATCGTGCCCTCTCGGTGCTGTGTTGCTGTGCCACCATGGGAGAAGGTCCGACTGCATGCTATCGGACTGTCGGGAGATTGAATGGAGCGGCTCTACGGCCCCTTGCTATAAGATAGGCGTAAGATTTACAGTTTCAGGCGACGTTTCTTTTTTCTTCTTTCCCCCTATTTCTTATCCTTTCTCTCTTTCTTTTCTTGACCTTCCCACGGACCGGGTGCAGAGCGTTGAACAAAACATGGGGAAAGGAAAGGAGGGTAGGACGACATATCCTAAGCTGTCCTTCTTTTCTATCTCTCACAAGGTGGATCGCAGAGTCCTCCAGATGCATAAACTATGACGTAGTCTTCGCTTGCGCACTGCCAGAAAGGCCAAGGTTGTACCGCAGCACTTCGTACAGCAGTCCTTGGCCTTTCGCATTGGCGGCTCTCCATCTCGGCTCTCTCCGGCCTTCGGGCCTCCTTGGGCTCGGCACTGGAGCAGGAGACGCACATGTGCGATACTGTGATATGTGATGTGCTTGCAGATAAACAGGCGCATGTCGCGACCCGGTCTATGCCCCTATGCCCCCTTGGGGGACGGGCTGCCAGCTGGCAACGTTGCCTGCTAGTGCCTACTCATAGTGCATCTTTGCGCATGGACTGTGGTGTGAGGTGGTCCAAGTGCGAACTCTTACGGGGGGGGGAGTCTGCTGGCGTCCCGTCCCTCTGGCTCTGACTTCTGCACATCCCCTCTACCCCGGCCGCTGTCTGCCAGTCATGCCGTGTGCCGTGTTCCGCTGTCCCTGCCTAAGCTCCATAGTATCTTCCCTTGCTCACGTTCGCAGTATTGCCCCCTCCCTCGCTTCTGCTTCCTTGGGCAGCAAGACGCAGAGGGCGAATCTGACAGCCACCCTGCCTTGCCGAATTACATCAGCATCGCCGATGTGGGTGGTGGAACAACAGATTCGGCATGCCGTCCGAAAGGGGGAGGCTGTGCTGTGCAGTATGCTGTTATGTACTCGTAGACGGCCTGGCTCCAGCGAATGTCGTTTGGCCACGTTGGGGCCGTTACTTCTTGCTGCCGCATTCGCCTCGCACAATTCATCGCGCCAAGAATCTTACGAGCATTTGTCGATTGCACCCAATATCGCATCATTGACAACGCTGTCCTTCCGCGCTCTCTTCTGCCGTTGTATGCGCCAGACGGAACAGATGTCAGTCATCAGAGCCGCAGATCCTCGCGACTTTCCGACCACGGAGCACACAGCACAGAGTAGATGACGCACACGGGTGGTATTACATATAGATTTTGTCATGTACATGGTCTTTATTGCTGTAAGGGGGGAGTGTGTTCTTAGGAAAGGGATGAGCGCGGGAACGGGGGCTCCATTGCACCCAACACCCGGCTTGAAAAGCAAGGCTGACCTGACCTGGCTTTCCATTATCCAAGCCGTCATCTGCGGCTGCCAATAGGGCAATGCCGCGCAGAACGTTGCAGGCGATAAGAGGGACAGGCAGAGATGCATGTTCCCGCTTGGCTGTCGCTCCTCGCCTTCTTCCGCTTTTGTTATGCATGCATGATGTGGTGCGGATGTTCGTTTCCATCCGCCCCGTCCAAGTGCTGCCGATCAATCATCCTTGTCCTCCTTCTCTTTCTCGTCGGCGTCGTGCTGCTTCTTCCACTCGCAGATCTTGCACTTGCTGGCCTGGTCGCGGTCCAAGCCAGCAAAGATGATCTCAAACACGTCCTTGTACCAGCCGACAGGCCGTCCTTCGATCCCTTCCTTGATGTTCTGCGTCGATGTTAGCCTCGGGACCAAGAGCATCTGCTCCCGCCGCTCGCTCGCAAACTCACCTCTGGCAACTCCAGCCAGTCAGACAGGTTGTCCTCTGGAAATACCACCAGCTTGCACCCGGCCCGCCGCGCTGCGATAGTCTTCTCCCGCAGACCGCCAATCCGCAGCACCTTGCCCGTCAGCGTCAGCTCGCCCGTCATCGCCACCGTCGGGTCGATCGGGTAGTCCAGCGCCAGCGACAGCAGCGACGTCGCCATCGTGATGCCCGCCGACGGCCCGTCCTTTTGTACCGCGCCTTCGGGCACGTGGACGTGCAGCTTGGCTTTGTCGAAAAAGTGGTTGTCCGGGAACTCCTTGACCATCATGGCCTTGGCAAACGAGTACGCGATCGTCGACGACTCCTTCATCACCGCCTTGATGTTGCCCGTGATCTCGAGCGACGGCCGCGTGCTCGGTCGCAGCGCTGCCTGCAGGATCGTCTCCACATACATGGCTGCACCGCCCATCTGTGTCCACGCCAGGCCCATCGTCACGCCCGGCGGCGTCACGTCGTAGAGCCGGTCCGACGTGAACACCGGCGGTCCGACGTAGTCCTTGAGGTTCTCAGCGTCAATCACTACGTGCACAGACTCCGGTACCTGCAGTGCCTTCCGTGGCTTCTCCGGACCGGTCGTCGAGGTTGTAGTTGAAGTGGCCGTCGTGCTCGTCGTCGAGCTTGTCTCGTCTCCAAGAACCGAATCCAGCTCGGACGTGCTGTCCTCCGTGGACGCCGTCGATTCTGTCTCCTTGCTCTCCCCGGCGGAGCTGTCTGCTTTCGCTGCTGCCTCCGGAAGGCCTTCCTCGCCGAGCTCTTGCACGATCTTGAGGGCAGACTTGCGGTACACCTTCTCGATCTGCTTCTTCAAGTTGCGCACGCCGGACTCGCGGCAATACGATTTGATCAACTCCTCGATGGCCGAGTCGCTCAACGTCACATCCGCATTCTTCAGCCCGGCCATCTCTTTGGCTGCCGGCGCGAGATACCGCTCGGCAATGGCCCTCTTCTCGTCCGACACGTATCCCGACAGCCGGATGACCTCCATGCGGTCGAGCAGCGGCCGCGGGATAGTGTCGGTCATGTTCGCCGTGCAGACGAACAGAACCTTGGACAGGTCGACCGGCACGTCCATGTAGTGGTCCAGGAACGAGCTGTTCTGCTCGGGATCTAGCAGCTCCAGAAGAGCCGACGACGGGTCGCCTTGGTAACCCTTGCCGATCTTGTCAATCTCGTCGATGAGGATCAGCGGGTTCTCCGTCTGGCACTTCTTCAGTGCCTGGATCACCCGGCCGGGGAGCGCCCCCACGTATGTGCGCCGGTGTCCCTTGATCTCGGCCACGTCCGTCAGACCGCCAACGCTGAAGCGGTAGTACTGCCGGTTGAGCGCGCGCGCAATGGACTTTCCTATGCTCGTCTTGCCCACGCCCGGCGGCCCTACGAAGCAGAGAATCTTGCCCTCCACCGTGCCCCGGAGCTTGCCGACAGCAATAAACTCCAGAATCCGGTCTTTGACATCCTTCAGCCCGTAGTGGTCCTCGTTCAGCACGCCGACTGCGTTTTGGATCTCAAAGTTCTCCGCACTCCGCAAGCCCCACGGAATCTGTGTCAGCCAGTCCAGGTAGTTCCGGGTCACGTTGAACTCCGATGCCGCCGGCTCCAGGTGGGCGAGCTTGTTGATCTCGTCATCAAACACCTTCCGCACCGCCTCTGGCATCGCCAGCTTGTCGGCCCTCTCTTTGAACTTCTCGACCAGCTTGTCTTTGCCGTCAGACTCTATTCCCAGCTCCCGCCGGATGCCCTTCATCTGCTCCATGAGCCAATACTCGCGCTGGCGCTTGGTGATCTTGCTCTCGACTTCCCGCGTGATCTTGGACTGGAGCTGGGCATTCATCAGCTCGTTCTTGAGCACCACAAGTGCCTTCTGCATCCGCTCCTCCACGTTCAGGCTTGACAGCACCTCCTGCAGCTCTGCCGGGTCACCTGCTGACACAGCAGCCGCAAAATCCGCAAGCTTTGCTGGCTCTGCTGTCACGTGACCCGCCGACTGACTCATCGAGAACGTCGAAATCTGGTCCCGGAAGAGGCTGTTCATCTGCGCAACCTCCTTGAACACGTTGACAATCTCGTTGGTGACTGCACGGATCACGGGGCTCCTGGCGTCGAATGGTTCCTCCGTCAGGTTCTCCACGTTGACGAGGCTGACGTCGAACTTGCGGAGGAAAGAAGTCGGCTCGTACGGCGTGGCTTGCTTCTGGACAGGTGCAGGCGTCTCGCTCTTCGCAGGCACAACCACCGCGCTCTCCTCAAAGCTTGCCACAACGTCACCCTTCTTTTCCTCGGGTTGTGGCTCCTCTGCCTCCGTCGCCTTCGCTGGTATTGGCTCCGGGACAGCTTCGATGCTAGCCTGGTCGTCGCTTGCGGGTTTATCAGCCTCGACTACAATATCAGCAGTGCTGGTGTCGGCACCAGATCCAGGAGGGATGAGAGTCGAAAGGCGAATGCGCCGGTGTGGGTAGAGAATAGCTGTAAGGCCCGTCGCACCCTCGCCATGAAGGGGAAAGGCGCTGGTGATTTGGGCAAAGACACCAACATCGTAGACCTCGTCCGCACTTTGTATCACGTCGGCATCTGCGTTCTCGTCCTTGAAAAGAAAAGCACCGACATAAGGCTGTCCTCGCTTGATCATCTCGGTAATGGCGCTCGCAACGTTCGGGTCCTTGATCGTGATCGCCTTGTAGAAGCCGGGGAACAGGGGGCGCTTCGCGATCGGAATTGCCATCACCTGAGGATACACGTCCGGGACAATGGGCTTTTGAAGAGCTCGGTCGGCCGACTTCCTTCCTCTCCGGCCACCATCACCCGATCCGCCATCGCTTCCCGCGCCACTCGATCCTCCACCGCTTGACGCACCGCTGCTAGCCTTCCCGTCAGAAGGCTCCGAGTTTCCTTGATTGGCCGCCGCCGGGGGTTCAGACCCGGACTTGGCAGCCTCTGACTCTTCCTTTGGCTTTTCCAACTCCGTCTTGGATGCGTCAGGCTGTGTTCCGTCCTCCTGGGCTCCGGCAGTAGGCTTGGTCTCGCCCTCTGCGCCTGACGAGCCATCAAAAAATCCGCGCGGACTCTTTTTCTGTAAAGAGGAGGCCGTCGAGAAAAGTGCCAAGGTCGGAAGCTGTGTTGTGGCCTGGGGATGAAGGCATTGCGCAGGACTGCGTGGCGTTGAGACCAGAGCAAGTCTTGGTCTTGCAGAAGCTGTAGCTGTCGTCAACAAGGAGAAATGAGCTGGTCTAGGGTATCGAATGGCGCCCCTGGCTGCGAGTCGCCGCACTGCATGTTGTCTCAGCATGCTGGGCAGCCGGAGGGAAGCTTTCGGCGGGCCGAGAAAGGACGAGAGGAGACGACTCGATCCCTAGTTTGCTGACAATAGAGGCTCACAGTGCCGGCAGGAATTAGAGGATTGTCGCAGAATGAGCCCACCTAGAAGCCTCGGGGTGAGACAGAGACGACGAGGAAGAAGAAGGATTGTGTGCAGGAGACTCGCAACAAGGTCACAGCCGAGATGTCGCGAGGCGTTCGTGGCAGGTCCACGACCCGTTTTTTGGCCCTAATATTTTCCTGGTTCGTGGCGACATTCAAGCCGATGTGGCTCCGCAATCGCCGTCTTACAGCGCAAAATCTTAATAATGCACGGTCGAGGTGCCACTACATCCCGCTAAGCTCCGAAAAATAGGCGCTGAAAGGGCCCAAGGCAACAGCTTGCACACGCATTAATTTGCGACGAGGCTGTATTTCTAATGTATAGAAACTCGTAGAAAGTGCCGCTGTGCGCCACAAAGACGCTTTAATCCCTGCGATTTACTTTCGTCTTAGGTGCCTCCACACGTGACCCAATTCTTCTCTACGCACCCATGGCCAATGTTTTGAGCAGGTGCAATTGGGGTTTGGGCTGTTGCACAGAGCGTGATACGTGTTGCAATCTATTGAAGTTGTAGAATGACTGGATGCGAAAAGCTAACTGAGGTCGAGCGCATTCAAAATCAGTCAGATCGCGGGGAAGCTGTAGCATGCGCCAGCTCATGCCCCGCTAGATGTGGTGTTGCCTGCCTTTTTAGCTCAAAGCGAACCTGATCTTTAAATGTCTACAACCTTAGGGACTATTAAGCCTCTACTGACTCCCGACACGGCTTGTTTCATGCCTCCTTGTGTCAATTGGACATAGTGAGCTAAAGTGCAGTGTTGAGAGGTCTCTTGTTTTCGTTTTCTCTTTATCGCTCGCTGTCTTGGACTAGATATTCTGATTTTCGCAGATATATCGTTTCACAAAGTCTTTTTTTTTCATCTGCTCCCAGTGCACAATTTACATTGTTACATTCCCTCGGGTACCTTCTGCCCTTTTTTGCATCTCTCGTGCTGCCGCTTTCCGCCACACCTATTCCCATCATACAGGCATAATGGCATCCGCGACAGACACTTCAGAAGTAACTGAGTCCGTCTCAAAGCTCACCATTGACCCGAGCAAGGCGGATTCAGCCGCAGCAGCCGAGTCTCAGAAGACAAAGCTCAAGAAGAAGAAGGCTGTAGCAGACTCGTGGGAAGACGAAGAGACATCGTCAGATGATGACAGTACTTTGACATCGCCTCCCCCGCCAAATCATGAGACTAAGGACAAGTCAGCACCACCTCCGAAACCCAGCACTTCTAGTCACAAGTTTGCTGCAGCGCAATCACAGCCCCCTCTGGTTGCTTCCTGGTCAGAAAAGGACGCAGGCGGGGCTGCACATGCACGCCGTCCTGAGAAGACAGATGCTGTGGCCCGCCGAATGATTGCGAGCGCACTGGGTGTTCGTATTCCTAGGCAAACTGAGGAACAGAGGGCGTACGAAAAGTCGCTCCGCGAGGCTGAACGGAAACGGAGAGACGATGAGCGGGCTGCTCTGAAACGGCAGGAGGAAGAAAAAGAAAAAGCAAAGAAAGCCATATGGGAGGACTAAGAGCAAGCATGAGCATGGACAGGAACCCATCTCGATTTTCCACGGCATTGATCAGCAGTGTCCGACAGATCACCCTATTGTAGGCTAAGCCTCTCCTCTGATCTCACTCCTATCCATTTTCCCTCTAAATATACTTAATGGCGAACAAGTGGCGTTTCCAGGATTTTTTCGTAAAGTGAGATGAGCGTGTCTCGGTCATGGTAATTCAGTCAAGCTGCAGTGTTCGGGGAGGGAAGGAGAGGCCGGCCTTCCCAATTGAGGATGAGATGTGATGCTCCAGCTCCTTCATCCGAGTAGCAAGGCGTAACGCCAAGGCTAGAAAACCCACCCTCCTGTTCTGCTCGCTGGTTCCAAAGCATTTGCTTCAGATGGCCTGTGCTGGAGATGCACATAAAGGCCATGGGCCACCGGCTGCGGGTGAGGGCCTCGCGAATGCCCTTTGTGGCCGGTCTTTCAGCTACCAGCAGGCCGATGACCGCCGCCTCTAGAACATCGGTTGCGGGACGTGATCGCCAGCCAGCGGGCGCCCCAATAAACGCGCCCTCCAGTTCCCGTACAAGGTGAGGGCCAATGCGCTGGCCTGCGCCAGCCTTGCACTGCAGTAACACGCGGATGGGAGCATGACTCGCACGCCAGGAGTCACACGGGATCGACCAGACACCAAGCAGATCGATTCCGCGATCGGAAGCACCACCTACGCGCCTCAGATCAAAGCCGAGAGGAGCAAGATGTGTAGCAACAGTGTACTCGAAATGAGTGCCGACATAAACGGTAGACTTCGGGTCAAGGCTGGCCGTTTCAGCATGCTGGAGGAAAGAAGCCAGATCACAATGCTTGGCAGAGCGCGGAGGATCTGGGTAGATCAGCGGCTGCTCTGTTGGTGCTATTTCTGTTGATGCTGATGAGTGCTCTTCCGGGGCCACATTCCCGTCTGCTTCTTGGATGCCAGTGTGGAGGAGGCGATTGAACCGTGGTGCCGTGGACCTGCTACTCAGTATAGATGTAGCAGCCGGGCCGAAGTACAGCTGCCATAACCGGCCTGTCAATCCATGTCTTGAAGCAGCCTGCATGCCATAAACTTCCCTGTGGGTTAAACCGGACAGTGGACGGCGGAAAGGCTTGACCTCTTGCTCTTTTGGGGTCCAACGTGTTGAAAGATGTCTGGCGAAATCTGGACTACTCCCAGCCAATCATCTGTGCAGCGCAACTGGTCCGGAAACAAGTGGCTTTGGCCTGGTTCCCCACCTTTCAGAAGGCTATTTATGTACGATATAGCTCTGTGCTTCGCCGCGCAAATCGGACTGCAGACTCAAACTCCGCTTCTCCCACTTCCTTGAAGGACTGCTTGGAGGACTAGGCACCGCAAATGCCACCCGCGTTGCACTGATGGCAGACAAGAATACGGCAGATAGGTTGTCACAGGTTCAAGACGCGGTTGACCAGGTACGTGAACGCGTTATCGATTTGGCAGGGATGAACCTTTAAGAGATGTTGAGAACCACGAAACTGACAGCGTTGCTTGCCTCTCTAGCTGGCCCACCAGTTCCTTACCTGCCTCTTCTTCCTCGATCGCCACCATAGTCTCCAGAAGCTGAGCCCCAACGATGTCGTCCAGGAGCAGAAGAGCGACAGCAGCCAGCCACGCGCATTGACCGGTGAGACCGCATCATCCCATGCAGCCTCTAAAGCCACAATAGCTGACGATCCTGAATACAGTTGAGCCGATACCGCCAGATGACTTCAAGCAAGGCCAGGAAGAGCTAGCCCGTGACCTCGTCTACAAGGAGCAGCAGATCGAGTTTCTAATCGGCAATCTCCCTGGCCTCGAAAATACCGAGCAAGACCAGGAACGTCTCATCCGAGAACTGGAGGAGGAACTGAAGGTTGCCGAGGCGCAACGAAAGGAGGCCGTGAAAGAGAAGGATGAGATGCTCGCTAAGCTGGACAGGGTGATCCGAAGCATCAAACGACCATGAGCACGCGATGAAGAAACTCGATACCCCTGTAGTGATTGTTTCTAATAAAAAAAATGCCTTGACGGAACTATCTACATGTACGATGGGAAAATCGGTCTTGCAAGACGGGTATGGCTATCCGAATGCAGGTCTATGCTCCTCTCGACAGATCGAGAAACGAGTCACCTTCTCGCCAGCCACCTGTACCCAAAATCAGATGGGCACTGGCTTGAAAAGCTGCGGGAACACTGTTCGCAGATCTTCCAAGTGGCGGATCTGAAACTTTGACGCTTGAGTCTTTGGCGGCGTGACATCGTCTTCAACAAGATGTGCGGCCGTCCATCCTAGCGCCTGTGCGCTCTGGCAGTTCGAATAGGAGTCGTCTGAAAAGGTCAGTGGAGACAAGATAAACGAAAGAACCTACGGCTATGATATCGTGGAGAAGAGGAGAAAGGGGGGTCACGCACCGACAAAATAGCAGTCTTCTGCATTCTGGATCCCTGCCTCCTTCATAGCCCTGTCAAAAGCCGCCTCGTGCGGCTTGCAGACAAGTGGCGTCTTGGAATAATCACAGTACGTAATGCCTTCAAATTGGTCCTCGATTTCGAGCAGTCGCACAACACGCCGCCCATGCGTGACATAAGCGTTAGTGAACAGCCACAGCCGTACCTGACTGCGGTCGATGTCCTGCAGCAGCCTTCTAAGCTGGGGGTTAGGATTGATTATGCCTTCGAGTGGCAGCGCATCGTCGACCTTTGCGTTGTACTCAAGCGGGTCGATCTGATGGTGGCGCACTAGGCCCTCGATAGCCAAGCCGTAGTTCTGATAGTACTCCTTGTGCAGGCGTACGGCATCATCCCAGGGCAGGGACAAGTGTTTGGCAAAGTACTGGTCGATGAGCTGGGCCATGCGGTCATGTACCTTGGCACCTAGGTCCGTCAATAAAGGCGACCGAAGATATGGGACTGAACAGGAGCACGACTGACTCTTTGGGTAAAGACAGTTGTCAATATCACTATAGGTAGACGCTTGTCAGCCGTAGAGTTCACGCAAGTAGCGATCGACGAAGAGGGGCTTCAATCTTACAAGAAGAACACCTTTTTCGCCGACTGAGGCTGCGCCTCTCCAGAGGGAATCGCCGTGTCTCCCATTGCTGAATACAGGCTTTGGCTTGTATACGCGATGCATGAGCGGTGAAAAGGATGTTTGTAAAAGGTGCGCTTTTAGTATGACAAACCTGGGTTTGTAATTGCCTCGTCCAGTTCTCAGATATATGTCACGTGTTTCTAGAGAGACATTTAGTTCGATGGTGCTCCGTATATTCAGGTATTATATACATATCTGTCTGCTAATAACTCGATCGCAAAGGTGTAGCTCTCGCAGTTTTGGTGAATAACGGACCCGAGCCAAATATTGGGGAAAGACGGGCTGCTCTAATAAGCTCATGCTCTCGCCATGCAGCTCAAAAAGATTGACTCCCATCTTCATATGCCTGCAGGCTGCGTAAGAAATACCCACTTCTTCAATTGGTCAGTGCGGAAGCTGCAGAAAGGACGCTAGTGCGGCCTGGTCGCGACCTTCCAAAACCAGGCTACTTTTTTTTTTGCCCAATTTATTTCGACCACCATTGCAGAAACAACAGAGAGAGCCAGAACGACAACTCTGTCGCGCAAGTTTTCATGAGAGCGGGAAATGAAGCCTGGAACATGCGTCCGATAGTATTACTTGTCGAAGTTGAATGGTAAATGCTCGTCTGGACAATAAGCACATTTCGTCCTAGAACACCCAGATTTTGGTGTTTTTGTGCCCCTAAACATCTGCTTTCTGCTTTATACATTTTTCTTTCTTCCTCTCGCTCCTTTTCATCCTCGAGTGAAAGCGCTTAGAGCAGAAGTATTGACGAGGCTGCATAACGACAGAGAGGGCAAGATGACGGCGCAAGTAGAGACCATGACGGCCACCGACGAAGGGCAGGAGACGTTTGCCAAAGGGGAGCAAGAGCGCATGCTTGAGTTCGAGAAGATCATCAAGTTTCGCGATACCATCACCTCTGGGAAGCACCCCAGAATCAAGGTTCCTACACACCTACTGCCCGCGAATCCTGCCGCCGTGACCTCGAGCACCCGACCGTCTGCCTCCCGTTCAAACGTCGACCACGACGCGTCTGTGACCCAGCCGACAGAACCTGACACATCGTTGAGCAAGCCGCTGTCAAGGAATGCTATGGCACATCAGGAAAACGGTCAGAAGTCGGCTGGGATGGCGATATTTCCAGGCTTGGGCCTCGTTCCCACAGCGCCTGCCGCCATGACTGCTAGGTCGATCGCTGGAGGCAATGGCCGGGAGCTCGCAGGCACAGAGAGATCTCGTATTGGCGAGGCACTTGTGGGAGAGCCTGTGGTTTCTGTTCCCACACATTTCTCTCTACGGCGAGCAGATCTGGAAAAAGCTCTGCTTGAACAGGGAAAGCTGCAGGCCAGTAAAGATGTCCAGCTCAAAGAAGCGCTGCCGGACTTCGACATCAATGATGTCTGGCAAAAGGGCCTTGCCTGCGAACGGACTTTTACACCGGTGCCAGTGGTGACTCTGGGGAGTTTAGCTAACTCGAAGGGCACAGCTACAGCTGCATCGGCAGCAGTGACTGTTGGTTCTGACAGAAACGATTTGTCCGATAATAAGACGTTCTACTCGTCTAATTTTAGCACACCAGAGTTCGGCTTGACGGCCCGCATCCCTGTCGAATCCGTCAACGAAGACGTGTCTATGCAAGACAGTTCGGATTATGAGCCGGAATTGGATGTTGTGCCCTCGCCTGTCGCATTTGCCCAGGCCTTGCCGGCGAGCAGGCCGGACCAACTGCAGCAGTTACGGCAGTCTCAGCAGCCGCCACACATATTGGCAGGACGGCCCTTGCAGGCGCCTACAGCGTACGGCTCAGGCTATCCGGCGCTGTTGCCTGCAATCCCTTCTCAAGGTAACAGTGGCGCCTCAAATCCTGCCGTCTTGCAACAGCAGTGGAATGCTACCCAGCTTGGACAGACTGGGAATGACATGCCTAGGGTGAGCGGGCAGACAAGCACAGGTTCCGGCGAGGCAGTCTTTCGGCAAGCTGGTGAGGAACCGCAGCAGCCCCCGTCGCCCTTTGTACGCGCCCATGACCTGTCACCCTTAGCTCCTCAGCCAACCCACGCTGCGGCGCTGGCTGTCGAGCAGCTATCGTCGGTGCTACAGCGTGGACAGCTGGAAAACCGGGGCACCCCTGCCCAGATTGCGGTGTTGAGAAGGGAGCAGGCCGGTCAATCTAGCCCAGATAGCTCACCGCAGACAGCAGGAAGTCGGGCAACAGACAAAAAGAGAGGGAACAAGAGGAACAACAAGCGGAAGGCAGATCAGGCTGCGACGTTGCCAAACATCAAGCAAGAGCCCAAGTCTCCATCACCAATAGTGGTACCGCCTGTGCAACGGGCACCCAAACGGCAAAGACATGCTACCCGGCACGGACATGACGGCGTTCGGGCTCAGATTGGACAAGAACACGGCGTCCGCGGTAGCTACGCAATGCCGGGGCCACCGCTTCAAGACGACCGAGTACCTGTGGTCTATGAGCGTGCTGCTGCCGAGCGCTATATGCGGCCGGGAGGTGTCGCGTCTCGCCCTGCTGACTTGCAACCGGAGCCGCAGCGACAACTGCAGCGAGACTGGGAAGTGTACGATAGCCGGCAGCCCAACCCCGCTGCGCAATATGCCCCAATTGTCCGTCCGCCTTCCGGCTCGCTAGTCTATGCGCCAGAGCAGTCGAGAACGGACATGCGCCCTGTCAGGGCAGCCTCCCACGCGCTTGTCGAGGTGGCATCGGGGTATTCGCGCCCTACACATGGTAGCTATGCGAGTGTGTACGAACCTGGGCACATGAGTGTGCGGCCAGAGCCTATCATTCTTACGCGGTCCGGATCACCAATATCTGCTATGGCACCGCCGGCGGCACGGATTCAGTACCAGCATCCCCAAGAGCTGCTGCCGTCACCAGCGCGCGTTGTCGTGGATGAGTACGGCCGTGAGTACATTGAGCCACCCAAATACGCGGTTCGCCAGTCGGCTGGGTCTCGATATGAGCCAGAGCTCATCTATGAGCGAGCTGTTCCTGCTGCGCTGCAGCAGCCGCTCCGTGCAGGATCACATATGTCCCTAGCCTACGAAGATGATAGGAGTATCTACCGAAGAGCTTCGCCAACATTCATACAGCCCAGAAGAGTGATCACACAGCCGGAATACGCGACGTACGAACAAAGGGAATACTCAGTGCTTCCTGGCGGGCGTCCAGGCGAAGAATATGCGAATCCACGGTCGCCTCCTCCGGCACTGCTGCCCCCGCAGTATGAGAGGAGGCATGTGGTAGAAGAGCCTCAGCGGGAGTATATGATCAGGGCCCCTACTACGCGGCCGCCGGAACCGTTACGATACGAGGTGGCGCAACCTGGCGGATATATGGAGAGAGTGGGCAGCGTCCGGCCACCTGATGCAGTCCCGCTGGGACCGCTGGGACATGATTTCGGTAGAGCAGGCTTCGACAGCCGTCCTCGGGAACAGCCGACTATCAGCGCATATGTTGGAGGTAATGAGCCGGTGGCGAGAGAGTACAGCGTTCGGCCCGAACAACAGCAACAGCAGCAGCAGCAGCAACAACAACAACAACAACAACAGGCAGCTCTACAGAGAGCATACAGCGTTCGGCCGGGCCAAACACCGTACTATGTGGAACAGCCGGAAGGAGGGTCCATGCCAGGCTACATCTACCCGAACGGAGCTCGGCGAGACGTGTATCAGTGAGATTGTGGTCTGTGGCGTGAAAGGCGGTCGGGTTTTTGTGGGTCATAGGAGCATCGCATTAGTACGGAGTAGACGTGTGTGGCATATTACAATATTACTATTTGGGCGGTTTTGGAAGCGTTTTGTTATCGAAGGCATAATGTCACAAGAACAGGAATTTAAAAAAGTCACGAACTAATCTCACAGTTTCCATATTGGACAAAGCATGCTGCCCCCCCTTTCCGTCTTCTCGCTCTCTCGTTGTTCGTTTCGGCAATGTACTCCGTACTTGGTACTAGCAAGCAGTATTACGGGTCGGATGCGAAATAGTCTAAAAGGATGCTCCGGAGCACAGAAGTAGAGCAACAGATCGACTGTATGAAATACGAACTCGTGCCTAGAGGTGGAAAGCGACTCAGTTTGCATTCAATGAAGCCTTTATTTATTTATTTTATTTATTTTGCTCTGATCGTTTCCTGTCAGACTTTGTCTAGCTGTCGTGCATCTCGACTTGCATGGGGGACCTATCGGGCGGGTACGCCGGTACTGCTCGGAACAGAATCGTCTAGCTTCCCGAGCTGCACGCTGTATGGGTTGCTCGAGTCGGAAGACAATCCAGGCACGAGTCTGTCAGCCATTTCCTACGTCACAAAGGCATGGCAACTGATTATGCAGGAGCTGTACATGTTTTTTGGCGTATCAGGTTTTGCTCTGATTCATATGCAAGACCGTTTATTTTAAGAACGGCGGATATGCCTGACTGGCACTGTAAAGTACTTCTGTCATCTGAAAGCTGATACGTCTCTCTGAATGGACCAGCCCATTTCGCGAAGTGGAGAAGGCAGCGAGGCAGTGCAAGGGGAAACGTATATTGGGACCAGGCAGCCTTGATGCGAGTACTCGTAAATGAGAGACAAGAGCTGACTGGCAAAAAGGAAACGCGTGGGAATTGGAAGGGGGCCCGGCAAGCGATCCCCGGTCTGGCGTTTCCACGGGAGGTAACGCAACGAGCAATATTGTGAACAGACACATCGTTCGAGCTTCTCGGCACTTGCGAGAGGCAAGACAGGCGTACGGGCGCAGCGTCTGTGCCTGATCGCTCTGGCTCCGTGCGTTCTCTGCCGCAGGCCCACGAGCTTGACCTTACTATGCCAGATACGTCATTGCTTTTTTGCATCTGGGAGAGAACGAAGGATGGGTCCGGCATGGAAGTCCTACGTCGTAGGCCCTTAGTTGGCGTCGGAGCGTCGCTGCGTGTCGGGATTACGGAGACGAGCTAACAACGAGCTCGAAAGGACCCCGGACACATTTTCAGCGTGATCAGTCAGGGGTTGGTCCCAACGCGGCCGAGCCGCGAGCTGTCCGGCTGAAAGACGATATACGACGTACATACGAGTATATGGGTGGATTGTATCTCGTCAAGAGTTTTGATAGTGCGAGCACGGGCATGTGGCCCCCGAGTCCGGGAATGCTTGGTTGTTTCCATAGTACCTTGTGTACTCCGTACTCGTACATACGTCGTAGTATCCTGCGCATACGAGTAGAGACAACGTGTTTGTGTGTGTGGGCTGGTCCTCCAATGTCGTTCCGGCTTGATAACGTGACTTCCAGATAGGCTGCCCTAGCGTGGCTTTCCGTAGGGTTAGTGGGCCTGGCAGCGCCTGCGGGAGCTCGTCTAGCTAGGCTGTCTCTCGTATTGCACGCGCCGAGCAGAGAATGACGGGTGCGCCTTGCTGGCATCTTCTCCACCGGCAGCCATCTTATCGCTGAACGCCACGGTGTGAGTGGGCGTGTGCTGTGTGCTTTACGGAGCGCTCGCCGATAAGATACATGCTGCATAGCACATACGTATGTACATACATACGTACACACAAATTCAGGTAAATGCACTCCTTCTGTATATGTATATGTGTGTGTGTGGGACCAGATCGTGAGGCCACGATTCCGTCAAAGGCGCGGAACTCAGCTAAAAAGCGGCTCAGCCAAACAAATCGGCAGGCCTGGCCGCCAGTTTTTTTTCGGGGCTGTCTTGGCCACTTTCTGCTGCGCACGCACACTATCAATGCCCATAATGATTTTCGCTCTTAGCGGCAAGCTCCCCCCCTCCCTGCCCTGTTCCTGCGGGCTGCCCCCCAATCCCCTCTCTACTATGTGAGCTTCCCCGACGTTTCCGCCGGCGCAGCGACTCAGGCCCGCAGCCCGCCGGCTGCTGCACCCACTGCTCTCTATCTATCTGGTTGCTACCCTTCACACTATCGTGCAGGCGAGTACACAAGATACCGGTATCGACGATTATTACGCGTGCCATGTATCGGTCGCTCCACACTCCTCTGAAGCTCTCTTCCCACTGGCTCGAAACCCCACCAGGTCATGGGCTCCGGGTGCGACATATACAGGGTATCTTGCTGCCACTGGCTGAACCGCCCGTCTGTGGCCCACGGCCCATTCATTCCCACCAGCGACCAGCGCCAAAGGCTCGCCGGCCCTTCTCGACTTTTCCCTTCTAGCGCCTTCCCCCTCGCTGCTTTTTGTCGCCCGCTCCTCCTGCTCCTGCTCTCGCGCTTTTCCTCTCGCTCGCTGCTTTATTTTGCTCCCCCGGCTTCCCGGAACCGAGCGAGACAGAGAGACGAGTGCGTCCCCCCCAAACGACCAGTAAACATCCCAGACGGTGTTTCTCTCCCGCCTCCTACTTCTTGCCCTCCCGATTCTTGCTCCTCCATACTTGCTTTCCATACTTGCTTTCCATACTTGCTTTCCACAACCCCCTCCCTTCGTAGCCCCTTCATTTTCGCCTACAACTGCTCGTCCTTACCCCATTCGGGCTCCATTTCCTCGCTCCCTCAAACTGCTTTCTCGGCTAGTCATCCCTCTCCACTCTTCTCGCCTCATTCTTCTCCTCATTCTATCTCTTCTCTCTCTCTCTTCCTCTCCGTCGGCCGTCTCTCTGACTTGAATGAGGGCATGATCGGGCCCTTTCCTTCTTACCCCATATATCTTTCTCTGCAACCTTACCTCTCTTGTCCAGTTGTGCCGGGTGTCCTTTGTCGAGCGTTTCTTTTGGCATAATTCTCCCTCCCGCATTTCCCTCATTCTTTCTGGCTTACTCGTCATTCCTGCTTGTCGGACAGGACCTTTCCTTCTCTCGCGTCTCTTTCTCTCGTTCTTCTTTGCCGGGCCTGCTGCTTGTTTCTTCAATATACCGACGACCTCTCCCGAGCTTCCCCGCCTGACTCTCGACCTCTTTCGGTTCTTTTCGAGATACCCATAGCCATTCCTACCCACCGAACGCATCCTCCATCCACCCAACATGAATAAACTGGCAAACCTAAACATGCGTCACTGGTCCGAGAGGATGAGCCCCAACTTTGGCATGAGTCGCCCTCCGAATATGCCCATACCTGGCATCGGCCCACACCAGAAGCTCCCCCCTCAGGGTGCCGCCACCAATGCTATTTCCGCCACGGGGCCTGTCATGGTCACCCCCATCTTCTACTCGTTCAACGTCCCCTTCGCCTCTGACCTGGCTGGCCCTGACACTGAGGACATCCTTCACGCCACCACCGATGCCGTTCTTCGCTGGACCCATCCCGAAGATGCCCCGGATGACGTTCCTGTTCACGAGCTGCCTATTCACGCCCAAAACCTGTCCAACCTGGGAAAGTTATGCAGCGACATCTCTGTCAGCCCGCTGGAGATTGAGGCCCATGTCCTGACCGCCATGCCCAAGAACACAAGAGGCCAGGTGACCACTGTTTGCCTTGTCGGCACCCCGGATCTTGTCTACCGCACTCGCGAGACCATCTTGAACGAAACGCCCCTCTCCCTGGTTCGTGCCTATACTTTTTCCCTCTCCTGACGCTCTCTCCTGCCGGCCCCGGAATCTTCCAGTATGACCTGTGTTGGGCCAATCACATAAGTTTTGCTAACAATACATCTGGCTCAGCGTTGCACAACTGTTGACATCAATGGCGATATGGTCGCGGACCTCACGGCAGGAACCCTAAACAAGGCTGTTACCGATACACTCGACAGTATATCGGCCTACTGCGGTGTCGATATCTTCCTCCTGGGCCCAAAGTTGACGCCCATCCTCGATGGCTTGAACGGGGACACCGAGCTGCGCCGTGACCAACGATGGAGAGTGGCTATCTATGGCGATATATTGTCTTCGGAACACGCCAAGACACGGGTGCTCATCCACATTGATCAAATGGTACGATAAATCGGCTCAACATCCGGAGACGGACACAGACGTGTTGGGAACAAGCGTGCCGAACCGACGAGTCTGCAGTGGCACTTGGCGAAGTTGGGAAGCTGCTGGTGTGTACGAGAAAGCTAACATCTTTCGTGTAGCTAAAGCGAGCTATCGATATATTGCGCCTAGACTCCGCCTTCCACCAACCTCTGTGTGGTCGCAACAGAAAAAACATCAAGATCATCGAGTCGTCCACAGGCACTGCCATATACATGCCCCCTCCATTCTCGACCGTCTTTCGCTACTGTCCGCCGAACGCTCGTGTGCGTGACCCCAACGAGATATTTATCACGGGTGACAGCCCGGAAAGCATAAATGCGGCCAAGAAAAAAATTCACGAGGTTCTATCGCGGACTCGTCTTTTTCTAAAGGACATTGCCATGCCGTGCGAAAAAATAGACAACATCCTGCTCAGCCGCATGACGAAGGTGCGCAAGATCATTGAGGCAAACGGCGCCAACATCATATTCCCTGTCCTCGGCTCCAAGCAGAGCACCGTACGCATTCAGGCTACTGAAAACTTGCACACGGAACGGACTGCCCGTGAATTGATGGCTCTTGCCGGCCAGTTCTACAGCGGCTACTGGGCTATCTCCCAATCGGACGCTAGACAAGCCCCCAGCCCGGTCGAAATCCAGTCCATTCTCGGAGAGGTCTGCGCCAATTCCGAAGCCGATGTCTCTTTCCAGGCTTGGGCTTTCAGTATCACTGGCTCCGACGATGCCGTCAAGGATGCTCTGAGTGTCTTGTCGCAGGTCAAGCTTGCCGTCCAGCTTCCTTACCAGATCAAGGTGAAGATCGAGCTGGCGAATGAGCATAAGGAGTTTGTCAGTGGAAAGAAGAACGGCAAGATCAACAAAATCATGGGGCAAAGTAAGATTTTTTTCCCTTTTTGTTGTGGTTATGCTTGGTTCTTCCGCTAACCTGTCCTAGGCAACGTGCAGATTTTGTTCGAAAGCTTCGGCGAGTACAATTTCAATATTGACGTCAACGCCCAGTCGTATGAGTCCATGAAACAAGGTTTGCTGCTGGTGGAGCAAGAAATGCCAGCATCAATCTCCTTCCATGTTCCTGATCAGTACCACAAGCGCATCATCGGAATTGGAGGGCAGCACATCCAACGCATCATGAAGAAGCATTCTGTGTTTGTCAAGTTTAGCAATGCGATGGACCGAGGTACGCGCCCAGCCTTTGCTCTTTCGTCGGTATATCGGTCAGAGCTAATATCGATTGTTGTGCAGGTGGCATTGGCCGAGAAGATGATGATATTCGTGTGGATAACGTTATCTGCCGCACTCCTGCTCGTAACGCCCAAAACCTCGAGCTGGTCAAGTCTGAGATTCTGGAGATGGTTGATCGTGTGGTAAGCCGCCCTGCCAGTTTGTTTGCCTTTTGCTTTAATAAGAATTTCATGCTCACCATTGATAGGACTCCGAGTTCACGTCGCAGATCGTGAATGTAGACCGGCTGTACCATCGCCAGCTGCTGGCTCGGCTTCCTGACTTGGAGACGCTTGAGAAAAAGTGGAACTGCAAGATCAGTTTCCCCAGCACTGAGCAGGCTAGCGACGAGGTCACCGTCACCGGTCCTCAGTGGCAAGTCCCTCAGTGTGTGGACGAATTTCTTGTAAGTGGCTTCCTCTTGCGAGTGGCCTCGCCGTTACGTGTGTGGATCATAACTAACCCCGAAATAGGGCATGGTGCCGGACAACCACGAGCTTGTTTTCTTGCGAACACCTGCTCTGAGCAAGTATCTCGATTCGCAAGAGTTCGGCGACCTGCTCGTGAAGCTCAAGACGCAGCATGAAGTGGACGTCTCTGTGCACCAGACCATCGGCGAGACGGCCGAAGAGAGCAGCCCGACGATTGCTCTTCTCTGGACGTTCACTCGCAACAATGCCGGAGGGCTCCGCGATGCCATTGAATTTCTCCAGTCGGAACTGGCCACGGCCGGCGTCGAAGTCACTGTCCTCAAGGGCTCGATCCCCCGTCCCAAGTCAGACACGTTCGAGGAGTCGCTTCAGTATTTCGACTCGAAGCTCCTACAGCACGCTCCAGCGGCCGTCTCGACGGACTCGCCGACGAAGTCCGCTTTTGGTGACGAGGTGGCCCGCGAGCGCAGCACGATTTTCGATAGGCTTCGCAAGCCGGGAAGCATGTCGTCCATCTCATCCTTCCTCGATCGCCGCAAGAACAGCTCGCAGTCGACGCACTCGCTTTTTAAGAACTCCAACAACGTTTCCAAATCGTCTCTCATCTCGATCGAATCGACGCGAAGCTTCAATGCCGACCGCAACCCCTGGAACGACAGCGGCGTCAATCTCCCAGACGAAGACCATCCTTGGGTTGTCCGTCCGTTCAGCAACGGCATGGACCACCAGAATCTGGCCATTCCCCAACCCGGCGACTCGACGCCACGTCACAACCCCCGACAGTCCGCGGACAGCGGACGTCCTTCCACTTCTCATTCTACCAATTCAGGATACCCCGGTCACATCGGACCATTCCGTTAGAAAAGCATTATTTGTTTTGAGGTCTGCTTAAACTTGGTTTTTTTTTCATCAGTTAGACACTGCGGGAGACGAAAAAAAATCGAAAATACCCCCTCTTTTGGCTGGATATACCCTGGCGCGCAAATACCCACTTCCGCCGGTCATGGATTTTGTGATGGACGATGGATGCTTTTTATGTTGGTTTTGATTTTTCTGTTTTATACTCCAATGTTGACGCTGATGCTTTATATGTCTTTAAATTGTTGTTCGCGCGTGTTGTCTTATACGGACTCTTTGCGGCAAACGATGCAACGCGATTGATATCCCATCTATACAAAAGAATAGTTGCAGGTGCAATTTGATTGGCATTTTCCAGAAATCGTGTTGGCGCGACAAACATCTATGAGGTGGTTTTGCTGTATAACGATTGGTATGGATCTGAGGAAGTAGATAAAATTGGTTGCATGCTCACTCCTAAGCTACAATTTGCTTGTCCTGTCTGCTTGTGTGTCTGCTCTTTGTATGCAGGGTGTAAAGAGCAGTTGGTGACATGGTGCATCCCGCTTAGGATAACAGCGCCAAATTGTCAGTGGAGAGGCTTTTTCCCGCTATTGAATCATAATTGTATTGGATCTTCACGTATATGGCTGTAACGTATGAAGAAAATCAGAATCACCCATTTACTCCCCTGCTCGCATCCTCCCGTCACATTTCTGCTTGTTACACCTTAATCGGCTAAATCACGGCCTATGTATGTCCCAAGCGAGGAAGTGTTTCTGCCGTTGCATCGGCTCAACTGCCCGAATCATATATTGGGGCCAGTATGGTCTGTGTAGAGTGCCTCAGATCTGCGCTTTTATACACCAGGAAGGCATACAGGTCGTCGAGATTCCCCTGAATGACAATGGACTCGAGCCGGCTCTTTGACATGCGTCAACCCTTGCGTTTCTCAGTAGCCTGGTGACATCATGCAGAGGAAGGCGTTGTCGACTTCCCAAATCTGTTTTTCCTAACGCCCACTTCTACCGCCTTACTTTCCATTTCATTCAGGATCCGCATAATGCTGCAGCAGCCGGCCTCGGTTCCACCGAGAGTGCTGTCAAGCTCGTAGTTTCACCGAACGCATATCAGATCATTTTGTTCCGCCGTCTCAAAGGATGAATTTGAGATGGACCCTAGAAGTCCAAGAGTCGTCTGCAAGGCAGTCGGCTATTCACTCAAGCAAGGCGCCTACACGTCTGTGCGCACTGGTCCAGACCGTCTGAGAACCAAATTGCATCCTACATGGCCGGATCCGACACGATCTCCATCAGAATCGACCATAAAGACTGGAGGCATTTGAACACGCGCTCTGCGCGCTTGCTCAGCACCGCTTCAATATGTCTGATGAGCCGCGGCTGAGAGGCGCAGAGCTATTATAGGAGGATACGGCCGTTGATATGCTGTCCTCGTATTCAGAACCACCCAAGAAGGAGTAGTAGCATACTCTTGGCGATCCAGCAACAGGCTGCTGTAGAACAATTTGACAAGGACCGGTTTCATACATCCGAGCGAGGCTGTGATACACAAGAATGCCGGACGACGTTTCAAGCTCCAGCAATCTCAATCGCTAAACCCGATACGGCTTAATCGACTTTTTCTAAATGCTCGAGTAAGTCTTGGTTGAGCTTCTTGAAAATGTCTTTACTCTAGATATTCATCAGCTCGTTTGAGGCAGTCCAAGTTGCAGCGGATTGCCACTTTGAAATTGGCACATACAAAAGTCGAACTCGATCTCCGTATCATTGACCAACTGAGCCGTTTGAGCCGCAGGCCTCTCATAACTTGGCTCGGCGGATTGACAGGCCGTACTCCGTACTCGTACAACCTTTTGGCAGTATCATGTGGCTGTGTAAGCAAGGCAGATGCTCTTGCGCTTGAAACGGAGAAGGCTGAATCACGTGACGCAATGTCTGCTGCTTGCAGCCGATAATGAGCTCATTATTGGCGGGCTCTCGCCAGTTGTAGGTGGCACAGCCTGTGTGCAACTTGTTGATTGGCTGCGGATCTTCACCGAGCGCAAGAATGTCGATCACAAAAGCTTGGTCAGTTACTCGGCCTCGCTAAGACCTCGCATGACAGGGAACAGCGTGATGGGGGAAATTCCCGCGGATTGGATAGAGCGGTGTGGCTGTGAAGCTGTGGTTGAACTAGCCCCAATACGGAGTACAGACAGCAGGTCTGCTAGGGATGCGAGATCCAATTTAACGGGTGCCTACTGCGTGCAGATGTAAGATACCGCAGTTGGGTAATACGCTGTAGCTTGCGTGGCGGCTTGAAGCCCAGTCAGGCAACAGGCATTCCCTGCTAGAGGGCTGCTGCGCCTCACTAGCAACTTACTAAAGCAGCAGGGCTGGTATCTTACGACCACAGGTCGTTCCTTCCCAAACAATCTTCCGCGTCGTGCTGATTGAAGGGCGATCGACCTTTGCAGCAGCTTTAATTTCCAGTCGAACTTTAGCCTGTTTAGAAGAGAGCGAAAGGTGAAAGGAAGGTGTATAGAGCAAATGCTGCGAGGCAGACACCCAGTGCATAGACAACAATAGAGACACGACGAAGAATGGCGTCGGCGTCGGCAGAAAAGAGCCTGGTGCAGGCGCACTACGACAGCCTGGCGATGGAAGCAGAGCGCGAGGAAAGTCAGGGGTCAAGCAGCGCGACAGTGTTCGGAAAGCAGGAGGTGGTGGCGGAGGACAGCGGCTTTGTGGCAGGGCCGGCATCGCCAGGCCGACTGGCAGCAAGGAACGGAGCAGCAACAGCGGTAATAACACAGCCATTGCCGGCAACACCACTGCTGCCAAGTCGACCGGCACTGCCACCATACTCGGGGCCAGCTTCAAGCGCGCACGAGGCAGCGTTGGAGCAGCAGCAGCAACAGCAGGCACACCAACCGGGCAGCGGACGCAAGAAGATGGTGCAGCGATATCCGGGGCTGCCGGCACTGGACTACCGGCTGTATCAGCCGCCGCTGTTTGTGCTTTCATCAGACAAGACGACGATCAAGTCGTCGGCACCGTACCTGTCGGCGACGGCAACGGCGCTGGCAGGATTGGTGCGGGCACAGGCGACGGTGCCGCCGAAGCCGATGATTGAGATCACGGGCAGCCGGGGAAACCACCGGCCGGACTTTGCGGTGAAGCTGAACCTGATGTCGCTGCTGGTGGCAGAGGAGCCGCGGCGGCGGCTGAACTACGTACGGTGCGTGGGCCGGGGCGAGCTGGCGCTGCGAGGAGGCAGCAGGGCGGCGATGATGCCGACGGTCGAGACGAACAGCAGCGCCGGGGCGGAAGAGGAGGTCGAGGCGTGGTGCCGGCGATTCTGCGAAGACACGGCGGCGGCCAAGGTGTTTGTGCTGGAGCGACAGGTGGCCAACCTCGACCTCAGCTGGCTGGAAGGCCAGATCCGCAGCCTGGTGGCGGCGACGGGATACCGGGGCGCGGTGTCGGTGACTTTTCCGGTGGCCCACGCGCGCGTGGTGGTGCAGAGCCCGGACCGGGTCAACAAGTTCTTCACGACCGTCACTACGCTCTTCACGGGCAAGAGCACATACGAGGTCGTCAAGGCGGTCTGGCCGTTTGCCACGCACAAGAACGGCGAGATCGGGCGGCAGTGCGCCGTGCAGAGCGAGGAGACCTGGTGGAAGGAGTGGCGCGACCCGCTGCGCCATGCCATCAGCACTAAGCGTCACGGCTGGGTCACCAACGAGGACAAGCTCGAGGCCCTGATGGAGGACGTCGGCAAGACCGTCGGGGCCGTCGACTGGGGCCCGAACCTGAGCACGTGACCATGAGCAAGCGACCAGCCATCCTCAGACAGCACGGAGTTGGGGTCCTGACATCTGCTTTTTGCCTTTTTACCATTTACCATTAGCCGGGCTAATTGCACTAATGATTGGCGTCTGGGTCGTGTTGCTCTGCACCTGAATCCACTGATCCTTCCGTGAGGCTAAGTACGCTCAGCCTTGGGAGGAAAAGTGAGTCATCGGGACTGACAGCCGTCAGGGCTATATAGACAGATGTGCCTGCCGGTTGAGAACAGCACGGTGCAGTACAGCACAAAGCATCAAGAGCCTGGGCAGATTTGTTTTTTCTGCATTTTCCCATTCATCCCATTTCAATAATCCATTTCTTTCTGTTTTCCCCGACACATCACAGCTCATGGCGACGCCCCAAGCCGAAGCGGAGCCTGGAGCTTTTGCCCTCGGCTCCTTCAACACGGCGCTCTGCCTGGTGCCGCCAGAGGACAGCTGGGCGGCGGTGGACAGCCTGCGTGTGCTCTACGACAAGGCATACGGCAAGTGGCCGCCACACGTGAATATGGTGTACCCGTTTGTGCAGCCGGAACAGCTCGAAGGTGCGGTGCGACGGATGCAGATGGCGCTGCAGCAGTCGGCCGGCGAGCCTGTCGCGACGACCATTGACGTGCAGCTGGACTCGACGGGCGTGTTTCAACAGCGGCGCGAGAATACGGTCTTTCTGCACGATGGCCGCGAAGTCAACGGGCTGGAGAAGCTGCGAGCACGGCTGCTGGCCGCACTCGGCACCAGCAGTCAAAGCCAGAGTCAGAGTCAGGACAAGGACGACAGCCACCAACTGCGAGGACGGCGATGAGCCGAGCGAGACACTGGGCCACGCACACCGGTTTCTGCGGCACAAGGTGGAGCTATTACCGGCAGTGGCCTGGCGAGCGGACCGGCTGCACATTTTGGTGCGCGAGAGGACAGAGCAGGGCGGTATTGTGTCAAGCCGGATGCGGCTGTGGGGAGAGGTGCATCTGGAGGATGGCCGGCTGGAGAGGCTGAGCCGGGAACCATTTTATGAGCAGGTGGGAGCTGACGCCCGCAATGAGGATCAGAATGAGGATCAGGGGGAGGAAGACGACGATCTCGACAATACACCCCTTCCGTCCTGTCACCCGGTCACGTTTGTTCCTGAAGATCGCTACCGGATGGCGTGTCCGCGCGAAGACTGGGGGCTCTTTGAACCGGCAGCAGGGCGTGCAACCGGCGGTCTGAACACGCTGACGGTGGCAACGTACAACGTGCTGGGCGCATCAGCATGGCCATCGTCGAGGGCACGAGTGCCGCTGCTGGTGGACAGCATCCTGGAGGCGGGCGCGATGGCTGACGTGCTGGTCCTGGCCGAGGTCACGGACGACGTGCTGAGTGAACTGTTGGCTGACGATGGCGTGCGCACGGCCTTTCCGTTTGCCTCACATGGTCCACCCGACCAGGAGGACATGCCGCCGCTGCCGAGGCTGTTCAACTCTGTCGTGCTGAGCCGACGTCCGTTTGTCTGGTCGTGGGTGGCCTTTGCGCAGGCACACAAAGGAGCCCTGGTGGCGCGATGGGGGGAGATGAGCGAGGACGAGGAGGACGAAGACGAAGTCGAGGACAAAAAGCCCAAGCTTGTCGTGGCTGCCGTCCACCTGACACATGGGCTCATCGGTGACGCCGTGACCTGCAAGCGTGCTGAGGCACTGCGGCTGCTGCGGCATCTGCGGCGGTACCACTCGTCGGCAGACGTGTTTGTCGCCGGCAACGTCAACGTGCAGGCGGTCGGTCATGGCTTTGACGACCTGTTTGCCCGTGAGGGCTTCGTGGATCTGTGGCGGCGACAGTCGGACAAGGCCGAGCTTGACGGCGAGCAGGGCGCCACGTACGACCTGCTGCACAACAACCGGCCGCAGTGGCTCGTCCGAATTTTTGTGCGGCAGGCGAGCGAAGAGGCGCAAAACGCAGACAGCCGGCGGCTGCGGATTGTCGACGCCAAGCTGTTCGGCCTCTCGGCTGCTGGGAGCGACACCACAGCGAGCGAGAGTTTCGCTAGCGACTATTGGGATCTGAGGTGTGTTGTGGAGCGGGTGGAGGGGGAAGGATGTGACGATGGAGAGGATAAGGGGAGTAAGAAGGAAACCGAAACCGAAACCGAAACCGAAACCGAAATCGAACTCACCAACAAGCAGCTGGCCATCTCGAACGAGGTCAAGCTGGTACCTGTGCAGGTGCCGGCCGGGCTGCTCGCCGATGCGACTGCTCTGGACAGGGCGCTCGTCGTCCTGGAAGCAATGCCGTCGGACGAAGAGGTCGAACAGCGCAGAGAAGCGCTGGCGCTGCTGCAGCGGATTCTGATGGCCGAGAAGAGCAATGGTGGTGCTGAGTCAGCAAGTTCACCCCCAAGGCTGCCGCGCCAGCTGGTGGTCGTGCCGGTGGGCTCGTACGGGCTGGGCGTATGGACTCTGACGTCGGAAATGGACTGCCTGTGCATCGGGGTGTATGCAGCGACGACCTTCTTCGCCATAGCGACGCAGCGGCTCCGAGCAGCCGGTCAGGGCAGCTAGGCCGAGGACGTGCAGATTGTGCGGCGAGTGCGAGCGCACGCGGGCACGATGCTGGAGGTTTCAGTCAACGGACTGCACGTGAACCTGCAGTACTGTCAGGCGGCAGTGGTGGCCGAGACCTGGCCGGCCGTGCTCGTCGTGGCGGCCGATCACGCGCTCATCACGACGCTGTCGCCGCAGACGCTGTCGAGGCTCAAAGCCGTGCGGGATCTGCACGCCTTGCGCGCACCCTTCTCGAAGGGTGAGGGCCGGTGCACAGCCGAGCACTTCTAGACGGCCTATCGCTCCATCAAGACGTGGGCCCGCTCTCGTGGCCTCTATGCGGCGCGCTTCGGCTACCTCGGCGGCATACAGATCGCCGTGCTGTTGGCGCGAGTAATGAAGCTGATGGCAGCTGCAACAGACGACGACGACGACGACGACAGCAGTGCGGTGCCCGACATCCTGGCAACCTTCTTCCGCGACTATGCCGGTTTTGACTGGGCGACGCAGATGGCCTTTGACCCGTTCTTCCACGGCCACAAGGCTCCGCATGTTCGGACGGCCGGCGAGCCGCTCGTGATTCTGGGCTACCACCGGCCGCAGCTCAATACGAGCATGTCAGCGTCGGTGTCGTCGGTGCGTGTGCTCGCGGCCGAGCTCCGGCGTGCCGACCGCTTGCTGAGCGCCGGCCGAATCAGCTGGGATGCTTTTCTGGGCGGTGGAGGTGACGAAGGAGATAGCAGCACAATCGTTGCTGGCAGGCTTCTGTCTGGCGCTGCCACATTTGTGTGTGCCTACCGGACGTACGTCAAGATCGACCTGCAGTATTGGGGCCTGTCGCTGCAGCGAGGCGCCTCGTTTGTCGGCTGGCTCGAGTCACGCTGTGCGATGCTGCTGGTCGACGTGGCGCGACGACTGCCGCAGCTCAACACGCACATCTGGCCAGGGCGGTTTGTGGAAGGGGATGAGGGGGATGGAGAGGGTGACGATGCAGAAATTGGTACAGAGACCACGCAGTATCAGGGCTGCTACCTGATCGGGCTCGATCTGGCGGCGTCGCTCTCGCGGGACGACCGACGCATTGCGCTGGACACGCTGCAGTCGGTGCTTTCGACGTTTGAGCGACAGATGCGGCGATCAGGTGGCGAGTACGATGCGCAGTGGATGTGGCTGGGCGTGAGCATTGCGAGCCGGACGGATCTGGGCGATGTCGGCCGTCTGCGGCTGGACGAGCGAGCCTGGTACACGTCGGAGGAGGAGGAAGAGGAGGAAGAGGAAATTGAAGAGGAAGAAGCACGGCCCAAGAAGAAGGACAAAAAAGACAAAAAGAACAAGGACAAGGACAGATTCAAGGCAGCGTCCCAAGTGGGCACAGGCAAGAAGTTCCGGTCGGCGCAGGATGTGATCAAGCGGCTACGCTGGGATCCGCAGCTAGACCGTGCTGACTACGTTGTCAGATACGAAGACCGTTTCGTCGGCGCGCAGGAGCGGCCGCTCAGCGCGTGGAAGTCGGAGCAGACGGACGAGGAGTTCATCCCGCAACACCGCGTGCTGTATTTTCGGCGGCGCAGCGACGGTGCCGTGATCTGGGACCGGCGAGCGCGCAAGGACGAAGTGTTTGGGAGCGGGATGTAGGGTCGAGGTGTGGGAGGTGTGGAGGAGGTGTGGAGGAGGGTGTAGAGGTTGTAAGGTGGTTGTGAAGATGTCCTGGTGTAATTGTTAAAAATACAGTACGGAGGTCCCTAAAAGTTCATATTTCTCAATTATAGTGGCTACAGGGAATTTCTGCTACATAGTGCATTCCGTAGGCGGGACCTCCACTGTACTCCGTAGCCCATCAGTCGGTGCAGCGTCGTCCCGTGACTTGCAGCACCGCCTCGGCGCTTTCTGCTGTGGCTTCCCATTCGCTCTGATAGGCCAGCTTCTCTCGCCAGCCACCAGCGCAGCCGCTGCGGTCTGCAAAGACCTCCTCGAGTGGATACCGTCGTCCCTCGGGCAGGGTCGCAGCCATGGCCTCGAGATCGGCCGTCGTCGGCGGCGGCGGGCCAGCCTCTTCGCCGTCCGACAAAGAAGGCGGCTCCCGTTCCAGAAAGGCCCACAACCGCTGCTCCTCGAGGCCGCCCTCGTGCGCGTCGACAGCGTCGGCATAGTCCTCGGCACGCAGATCGGCGGCGATGCGGGCACGCAGGCCACGACGCAAGCTCGTGGACCAGCGCGAACGCGTGCAGCCGAGGACGGAGAAGCGGATGGCCTCGTCCAGCTCGACATCGACGCGGGCGTCCAGGTGTGCGGAGACGGTCTCGTCCTCGGACGCTTCTTCGTCCTCGATCCGGTTCTCGTCCTCGTCCTCGTCCTCGTCCTCGTCTGCTTCTTCCTCTTCGTCCTCCTCCTCGTCCTCCTCTCCCCAAACCGGCCATGGCTGCCACTCGGTTTCCATCCCGACGGGCAGAAGCTCCTTCTCGACCTCGTCAAAGGTCATCGGCCTCACCGGCCCCTCGGTCACCTCCTTGTAGTCCTCCTCGTCGTCCCTGGTCACCACCACTTTGCGTCTCCGCTTCTTGCTCTTCCTCTTCCTCGGCTTCGCCCGCGGCATCGTCTTCTTACTCCGATACACTCGCAAGTCTAACCGCCGCGCACAGCGCGCCCAAAAGACATTCGAGTCGTGCTGTAGCCCGAGCGAGGCCACAGCCGCTGCCACGTCGCGTCGCTGCACCAGCTGCTGCAGGCGCGGTAGGCTGCCGCCCTCGTTGCCGCCGCCGATGCGTGCCCGCAGGCGTGCCGCGCAAAAGTACAGCGCCGCCGCCGTCAGCCGCTGGGCGGCCGCACTCACGAGCGCCTGCAGGTCCTGGAGCGCCTCCAGGCGCAGAGCCGGCATCTTGCCGACGGTCCGCCAGTTGCCTGACCTGGTCACTCCGTTCATGAACAGTCGCGCCGACAGCTTCAGCATCGAGGCCGTGTTGAAGAGGACGAGAGGCGACGGCAGGCCAGGGACCTCGGATTCTGCTTCGGCTGCCATCGTCAGCGCCTGGCAGTTCTCTGGGGTCACCAACCACTGGTCGCCGTGCTGCTGCACCGCCTCGTCCTCCTCCCTCGTCTCCTCCTGCAGTGCCAGCCCGTCGGCTGCCTCCTCCAGCGCCCGGCAGCACGCCTCGCCGACCTCCAGCGCTGCCGGCATTTCGGTCGGCTGCAGCTTCCGCACCAGCCGTGGCGACCGGCCTTGTCCAAAGCCGGCCTTTGCTGCTGTCGCGTGCTCCTCGCCCAGCAGCCAGAGGTACTGTCGCACCTCCAGCTCGCCCTTGGTGCCGACGCGCTGCGCGATCCCCACCAGGTCGTCGCGTCCCAGCCTTGCCAGCGCGTCAAAGAATCGCTCCTTCTCGGCCTTTTCCCAGACCGTCAGCCCGATCTGCGACCGCGGCATCTCCGGCCCTCCGTCCGTCGACCTGCCCTCTTCCACGTCCTGTCGGTACTCCGCCAGCAGCCCGGAATACCGCACGTTCGCCTGCCGCTGCGCCCGCTTCAGTGGTGGTCTGCACACGTCGCGACGCGTGTCCGCTGGCGATGCGCTCCGTCGACGCTTTCGCCCCGGATGGAGGCCTTCCTGCATCGCCACAGGGCTGATCGGCTCGGCTTCCTGGTCTACATCGGGCGTCGACAACTTGGTCAGGCCGCCATTCTCATCCGGGACAGCTTCCGCCTTCGGCTCCTCTTCGTCCTCGCTGTCGTCTTCGTCTTCATCGCCATCTGAGCTGCTCGAAGACGTCTCTGATCGGTCATCTGACTGATCTTCACGCTGGTCTTCTGACTCTTCTGACTCTTCTAACTCATCCTCTTCAGCCTTGATGTCATCCTCCTCCACGTCTTCTTCCGGTCGCAACGAGAGCGGGGAGTGGTCTGTCATTATGTCCTCGCTCACAGCTGTTTTACGCCTTCTCTTTCAAGGATTTATGAGAGTTAGTGCTGCCGTTTGCTTACGCAGCATTGATTGGGTCCGTGCGTTTAGATCACGTGACTTGGACTTGTAATCTTTTCGCCGTACCTTCCCAACTGTCGAGCAGAGGACAAGGACGAGAAGCAAGACAGCATAGACGATGCGATGCATGCACTATCCTCGTGGAGGCGAACATGGGGTACCATACGCGTGGCAGCACGCCTAGGACGTCGTGGAGCGGTCACAGCAACGCCTGCCAGCCTGCCAGCTGTCCTCCTCCGCGACTACCAGGAGGAATGCATCCAATCGGTGCTGGCGTCGCTGGACCGGGGCCAGAAGCGAGTGGGCATCTCTCTGGCGACAGGTGCGGGGAAGACGGTGGTGTTCACGCAACTGCTGGATCGGATCCGGCCGACGGCGCTGGGCGGCGATCGGACGCTGATTCTGGCGCATCGCCGCGAGCTGGTCGAGCAGGCAGCTCGGCACTGCTCGACGGCGTATCCGAGCAAGACGGTGGAGATCGAGATGGGCTCACTGCACGCGAGCGGGACGGCAGACATCACGGTGGCGAGCGTGCAGTCGATCACGTCGGGCACGCGCATCGCCAAGTTCAGCCCGGGCGCCTTCAAGCTGGTGCTGGTGGACGAGGCCCATCACATCGTGGCCTCGGGCTACATGCAGGTGCTGGAGCACTTTGGCCTGCACTGCAAGCCGGAGGGGAATGAAGGGCCAGCGCTGGTGGGCGTGTCCGCGACGTTTTCGCGGTTCGACGGGCTGGCGCTGGGCGCAGCCATTGACGAGATCGTGTACCACAAAGACTACATCGACATGATCGGCGACGGCTGGCTGGCGGACGTGGTGTTCACGACCGTGAAATCGACGGCGGACCTGTCGAGCGTCCGCAGCAGCAGCGGGCGCGACTTTGCGGTCAGCGAGCTGTCACGAGCCGTCAACACGGCGCAGGCGAACGAGGTCACCGTACGGACGTGGCTGGCCAAGGCGGCTGCAGCTGGCCGCCGATCGACACTGGTGTTCTGTGTCGATCTAAGTCACGTGGCCGATCTGACGACGGCCTTTTGTCGCCACGGCGTAGACGCGCAGGCGGTCACGGGCGAGACAGACCGCCTGACGCGCAGTCGCCGCCTCGAAGCTTTCCGTCGCGGCGACTTTCCCGTGCTGCTCAACTGCGGCGTCTTTACCGAGGGCACCGATATCCCGGGCGTCGACTGCGTCGTGCTGGCCCGTCCGACCCGGTCGCGCAACCTGCTCGTTCAGATGATCGGCCGTGGAATGCGGCTGCACGATCGCAAGACCAACTGCCACGTCATCGACATGGTCGCCACGCTTGCTACCGGCGTCGTCAGCAGTCCGACCTTGTTTGGGCTCGCGCCCGATGAACTGGTCGAAGGCGCCTCAGTGGCCGACCTGCAGGCTCTGCGTGAGAGGAGAATGGCCGAGTCCGGCCGCATGGCCGCTCCGTCCAGCTCCAGCTCCAGCTCGAGCCAGCCGCCCATCGACAGCGTCCGCTTCACCGACTACGACTCCGTGCTCGACCTGATCGCTGACACGTCGGGCGAGCACCACATCCGCACCGTCAGCCGCTACTCCTGGGTGCAGGTCGGCCAGCATCGCTACGTGCTCTCGGGACCGACCGGGACGTATCTACGGCTGGAGAGCTTGGACGAGAGTGAGGGCAAGGAAAAGAACAAGACCAGCACCAGGAAGACGAAAGCAAAGTTGCCAGAAGCGGAATCCCCAGACAACTGCCGCTTTCGCGTCGTCGAGGTCCGCGCCCTGCCGCCCGGTATCTCCAAATCGCCCTTTGCACCACCTCGCGAACTCTGTCGCGTCCTGTCCCTCGACGACGCCGTTCATGCTGCCGACAGCTACGCCGCCAAGATCTTTCCCGTTCCCTTCATCCTCCGACATCTGCCCTGGCGCAAAGGTCCGCCTACCCCCGGCCAACTCGCCTTCCTCAACAAGATCCGCGACAAGTCCGATGACCGTCTGCTGACCGCCGACAACGTCACCCGTGGCGCTGCCTCTGACATGATCACCAAGATCAGGCACGGTGCCCGCGGCTGGTTTGCCGACATTGATGCCCTCCGTCGTCGCCGTGACCGCCGCCAGGCTGCCCAGGACGCCCAGAAGCGTCGCGAGACCGTCACCATCGGCCCCCTGGCGCCATGATCACACGCGCGCCCGTCCTCTGGCTCGTCACACATTCGGCCAAATTACTGCGGAAAATCGAAAAGTCGAAAACTCTGTCCGAGACCGGGCGCTTTCATCCCTCTGCACGCCCTTCCTCTGCACAACACGCGCTCAGACCGGCCGTCGTCGGACGCTCTCGGACGCTCTCAGACGCTCTCAGACGCGCGTGATCTCATTCTGGTCTCATCCGTCCACACAAGCGGCCATCAAGGTCCTCTGCCTGCTCCTTGGCCTCATCGCTGCCTGCTCTGTGACCATGGCGTTGTGAACCCCACCTCGGTCGCGCCTGCCCCATGTCCTCCTCTCACCCAACGCCGCCCGTTTGGCTCTCCGGCCTGGACGGCTCCTTCCCAATTCACTGTTTCGGTACCGCCTAATCGGCCTGCACAATCGGCCAACGTCGTCATCGCCTGTGCCTAATGCGTTGCCTTAACTCGATTTTTCACTTTATAGCCTACATCTTCGCTGTCATTGCTTTCTTGGTCCACCTCGTCTGTTCGTCTGCCTCGTCTACATGTTCAACATCTTCTCTCTTCTCCAGCACACATTCATTTTCTACAAACAACCGGCAGTCTACCACTCACTCTTTCTACCCTTCCACTGAAATTCTTCCTTTGAAGTCCTTTATCCATCTATGCCATCGGCAACAATGACATACACTGGCCAAGAGCTGCCCGCGGCTGCCTTCCACGCCTGCGGTAGTTGCTCCGGGAGCAAGTCGCGCATCACCCCCCGACGCTCCAAGAGCTGCGTCCGATCTTTCCCGAGGGCGTGTCAGCGGACCCGTGATGGCCTTTTCATCGACACGCCTGCGTTCTTGGACACTCGCGGCAAGACGCAGAAATCTGTACCGGGCGAAACACCCATTGCAGTACCGGAGATCACCAACGCCTTTCACGAGCAAACCCTGAAGCTGAACGACATTGTCCTCCGTAAGAACGAGCAGCGTCGCAGATCCCAGGCCATTGCCGCGAGGAAATGGCAGCAACTCATAGCGGTCAGACGCCAGGCGGTCGTGCTGAACAACGTCCGCGACAATAAATTGGGCTCTTCCGGAAACATTCAGGATCTGAGGCGGACACTGAAATGGCAAGCCAATATTCTGGACGAGCAGCTGACGGAAGAAACTCGCCGCTTGGCTGCCCAGGACAAAAAAATGCAAAAGCTGTTCATCGGCATGTTGGATGCAACCCAGTATATGTCGTGGGACGCTGAGATTTCCCGCTATGGAGAGCCCTGCTCCAACAACACAGACAGTGGCATGGAGGCTCTCTCCTCGACAGAAGTGGACTCCTTTGATGGGGATATCATGTCTATCTTGGACGAGGATCTGACAGGAACCACCCTCGATAACGAAGAATTTGATGCTGATGAGAAAATCGGCCCATTGGACGGGACGCAACTCGACATTCAAGACTTCTGCAAGTCCATCGACACGTTTGGACCCATTGGCAACAATAGCGTGCTTGTCCCCGACTGGTTTACTGCTCTAGAATCGGGCAACTCCGTCCCGCTTCTCAGCAAGGGCACCACCAGCCGCTATGTTGAGCTGGTCAACAAGATTTACAGGCTCGAGAAGGAAATGCGAGACGAAAAGGCCGGCAACAGCGCTAGAGAACAGTATGAATTGCTTCTGGCTCACATCAACGCATCTATGGCTCTCGTGGCCGATCGCGATCGGAAGGTGGTGAAAGCACTGCAGGCGGCTGAAAATATACAGGCCGATTGGGAAGGCCTGGCGGCAGCAGATGATTGAAGAGTTCTACGACTGGTGGTGTCTTCGCTTTCCGATGCGCCTTTTTAGCGCTAGTTTTTTTCAGGATGATGCCCGACGATTGGAAGAAGAGTCACCAGGGTAGATAGCTGGCCGGGTCGAGTCATGATACAAGAGAAATATTACAGTGCTTTGTGAATGCAACGCATATAATTACAAAACAGATACAAAACAGATACAAAGCCCAATCTCAAATTCAGAAAGCCTATAAATAAATATATCACAAAGAGCACCCAACTTTGTTTTGTTTACTTTGTTTACTATGTTTTCTCTATCGTATATGGCGGCCGGCATGAATCGTATGAGAATTCAAGCAGAAACAATGAAAATCTATATATATAACAACGAAAAAGCCATCGCCCTCTTGTAGTAAATCCAGGGTGCTAATCGCACTGTATAAGTAGAGCATTGTTGGAAGGAGAGTAGGCCCAGATCGTCGTCAACATAGCAGCGGACAACACATTTCTGCCTGGGACTTCGTCTCTGCCGCACACAAGGACTTCTGGTGCTTCCCCAGACACAAACAGTCTTTGGGGACTCGGCAGTCTCGAGCAGGTTCGGCGTCTGCCGTTGCAGATCGATCCCTATTTGCGGAGAAGAGGAATAAGAAGATGTCTACCTCTAAGCAAGATTTTGAGTAAGCATTTTTTTTTGAGAGCGGAGAAAAGTCAATGTTCCTTCTCTGCGTAATATTCTGTTAGTATTGTGAGACCGAATAAAATTAATACAGACTCTGAAATGTTTCTGTTGATAGGAGCTCTGCCATCCGACGAGTCTGAGATGTGCTAATGAGTTACTACTTCCGTGAAACACGGCAAGGCTTCTAAGCTCCTGCCCAGACCACGGCACAAGCTGCGATTTCTATCTCTATAGAACCACGACTTGGTTCTGAAGCCGTGAACTAATAGCTTTCTTTAGGCCACCACTGATCCTAGCCTTGGAAGAGCCACTTGATTAGACCAAGGCAGCTGTCAACGCTGCCACCTATGCGGTTGAATGTATGGCCTGGGCTTTAACGGGTTTGATGATTACCCCTTGATACTCAGAGGAAGGGAGAATACACAAGACCCTCAAATTCTTTTAAGACTGCCTTGAGCCAAATGCGCCAAGAAATCAGTCACCAGACCGTCGCTCTCTTAGAGCATCCGACCTACGGCATACGTGGACAAGAAGGTGCATACTGAATCTAAACAATCATGGCTCAACAATCACAGTTTCAATAATCACCCAACAGTCGAAATGTTTTTAAGCAAAGTAGTTTGTTCTGTTAACAGAGCGTTGGTTTACAAAGGCTTTGTTATGCCTACTTCGCGTTAATTACCCGCGACTGCAAACATCCAAATTGAAATCGGAAGCACGAGGAAGGACGGTAAGATGGGTGAACCCCAGGAGAAAAGTAAGGTTCTCAATGTCATACAGCCACAAAGGAGGCTGTTACTGTCTGAAGTTATATGATCACGTGGCAGAGTCACTTGCCTTGTGAGCGACCCCTTCACGTGATACGGCTTTATTGTCGTGGAAGTATCTCTCGACAATCCCGACCAAATGAGAGAGCCTTAATAATCTACCTCGGCCAGTTCGCCGGCAAGCAATTCTTTAGTCAGAATAATAATACAGCCACGATCCTTTCGGCTTCACAAAATAGGGCCTGAGTAATCCTTTCATACGCGCTATGTACTCGCAGCTGAACGAAGTACGGCGTACTTCGTACTACTTCGTACATATCCTATTATAGACGCGTTCTCTTAGTGTTCTTCCAGCTGCATCGACGATCGGCCCCCTAAACTCCCTGTCATCCGAACGGCCGTCCCCTAATGCACCACTAACGTTATAGAAGGACCCATTGTTCTCTCTTCCTCCTATACTCCTTCCGTCCTCCGCCGATCAGCACTAAGCATCTTAGTCTCATTACCAAGATATTCTTACCCGTTACGCTCTTTGATATATCCCAAGGCTATTTGCTGGCATTTCGGCTGCCCATTTCTGCCGATTCTCTTCCACGCTCATCCAACAACAAAAGGAATTGACCCCTTCACGCCGCGTTTAGCGCCCACCCAGCTACATCCGATAGCAAGTTGGCGACAACGGCGCATACGAGCCAAGCCCAACCCAGTTGAGTCGAGGACTCACTGTCGCCACCAGGATGCGTCTTGCATTGCAAAAGACGCTCGCTCAGCGCGCGCTCTTGCTCTTGCAGACCTTGGCTATCTTGAGTCCTGTCGTAAAAGCCTTTTACATTCCAGGTTCGTTCTTGGCGCAATGCGAAGACGGCCTCTCCCTCAAGCTGACTGTGCTGCTTCTGCTTCTCCAGGCTGGTCGATCAGGAGCTATGCCGACAAGGAACAGATCCCACTACTCGTCAACAAGGTATATTCGGACAACACGCAGCTGCAGTATGCCTACTTCGACCTCCCCTTTGTTTGCCCGCCGACGGGGCAGAATCGCCACGGCGGTCTTCTCAGCGGACAAAGCCTTCCGCTCAACCTGGGCGAAGTGCTGCGGGGCGACCGAATTACAGCTTCCGACGTAGATCTCACCATGGGCCAGAACACCGAGTGCAAGTATCTCTGCACCCGGGACATGTCCCGGAAGGAGCTGAACCGTGCCAAGCAGATGGTCCGCGAGGGCTACGTGGTTGAGTGGATCGTCGATAATCTCCCTGGAGCCACCAGCTTCGTCACCGTCGACAAGACACGCAAGTACTACGCCGCTGGCTTCAAGCTTGGCTTTACCGACTCATCTTCGGGCAAGCCCCGCTACTTTCTCAACAACCACCACACTATCGTCATCCGCTACCGCAAGGCTGCCGGACACGCCGGCGAGCGTGGGAAGAAGATCGTTGTCGGCTTCGAGGTCTACAGCAAGAGCATCGGCCCTACCAACAAACGGCTGGAGGACGGCTGTCCTGCCGACCTGCGCACAATCGACCAGAACTTTGAGCTCTATCTCGCCCCCAACCGCTCCTCCACCCCGGAAGACAAAGCTCGATACGAGCACTCGTCGTACCACCCGGACCCCTCTGAGGATTACGGTGCCGAAGACGACGGCTCGCGCCTCTCGATCCCGTACTCCTACTCTGTCTACTTCCAGGAGGACAATTCGGTCGAATGGGGACACCGTTGGGACCTCTACTTTGTCAACCAGGAGGAGGGCTCCAAGATCCACTGGCTGGCCATCATCAACTCGCTCATCATCTGCGGCCTGCTCACCGGCATCGTGCTGATTATTCTTGCCAAGACCATACGCACTGACATTAAGAGTTACAAGGATGCCCTGGTCGAGGAGGGCAAATCGCGCACAAAGCGACGCAGCCGGAGGGCTGTTGGCCAGAGCGGCGCTGGGTCTGGGACTGGAAGCGCGACCCCGACGGTGGGCGAGAAGGTGCCGGTCTCAAGCGTGGGCGTTGGAGTCGGTCTCGGCCTGCTCGACCAGGAGGCTGATGCGGCGCTGTCCGGTGGCGACGATGAGGCCCTGTCCTCGGGCGACGAGGCCTTGGAAGATGTGACAGGCTGGAAGATGCTGCACGGCGACGTATTTCGAACTCCGGTCCACGGGTCGCTGCTCGCCCCTCTTGTCGGCTCGGGCATGCAGCTGCTCTTCATGGCCTTCAGCCTGGTCTTTCTAAGTGCGGTCGGTATCCTAAACCCCAGCTTCCGGGGCGGCTTCGTCAGCTTTGCCATCGGCCTGTTTGTCTTTGCCGGAGTCTTTTCCGGCTACTTCTCGGCTCGGGTCTACCGCACCTTTGACGGCCAAAACTGGCGCCGGAACACGCTCGTTACCGCCATCCTGTTTCCGGGGCTGCTCTTCAGCGCCGTCTTTGTCCTGAACCTGTTCGTCTGGGCACAGGCTTCGAGCACGGCCATCCCGTTTGGGACACTCATCGGCATCCTCCTCCTCTGGGTCGGCATACAGGTGCCTCTGGTGTATGTCGGTTCTTGGTACGGCTACGTGCGAATCGGTGCTTGGGAGCATCCTACCAAGATCCATGCTGTGCCACGCCAGATCCCTCAACAGGCATGGTATATTCGCGACGTTCGGACGATATTGCTGGCGGGGCTTATTCCGTTCGCGGTAATCTTCATCGAGCTTCTGTTTGTCTTTCAGTCGGTATGGCAGGACAAGAGTGGCTACTACTACGTGTTTGGTTTTCTGTCTGTCGTATCGACAATTCTCATTGTCACCATCGCCGAGGTGACCGTTGTGACGATCTACATTCAGCTGTGCTCGGAGAATTACAACTGGTGGTGGCAGTCGTTCCTCGTCGGCGGCGGCAGCTCTGTCTGGGTCTTCCTGTACTGCATCTGGTACTACTTTGCAAAGCTGCACATTACGGGCTTTGTGAGCAGCCTGCTGTTCTTCAGCCACAGCTTCATTGCCTGCTGTGTGTACGCCCTGCTCACCGGAACGGTCGGTTTCCTGAGCGCCTACGCGTTTGTTCGTAGGTTATACGGGTAAGTTGGACCAGACAAACTCTCTTCTGTACGAGTCTCCATTCTAACCGAACCAGTGCCATCAAGGCGGATTAATTTATAATGAAAAATGGGAAGTACAACATCTACACCGAAACGGCATCTAATCCGAAGCGTTTCTTTTTGATAGATTTAGCGTGGGTATATGGCGTTGTGCTTTTGGTATAACGAGCTAGATGTATCGTAGGATGCAGTCAAGTTCTGGACGGGGAGCGGAGGCCACCGCCAACCCCTGGCATTGGGCCACATATTTGGGTCAACAGTCATTTTTAGTGCACATGAAGTAGACTTGGAAAAGGTGTATACATCAAAATTTACACAGGCTCAGCACTCAGTCAGGACGAAGGAAGTGTGGTTTGTCGAAAGACAAAAGTAGTCTGCGGCATACAGTCACGTGACACAAAGCGTGACGCAGCTAAAGCTAGAGCACGTGATCCAGATCGCGTTCGCGCCTCGCGAGTGTCGCAAAAAAGCCAAGCAACAAATATACAGGGTCAACGGCACGACGACCGCAATAACAGCTAGAAGCTAAGAACGTAGGCGCTGGGCATAGCTCTGCCGTGCGCATTTCTCCGTCTCGACGCGTCTGCTTGATATCTGATTGTCGGTCTTGGCCCTGTACAGCTCCTGTATCTCAATAGCCCCCCGTTTTTTCTCTTTTCTCAATTATCTTTTTCCCTTCTTCACCATGTCCGCCCAATCGAGCAAATGGCGCGAAGAGCAGATTCTCATCCTCTGTCCTGGCAGCCGCACGACAATGGCCCAGCTCGGCTGCCACGAGCTGACGCCGCCGGCATACCGGATTCCGACACGCATGTTCCGGGACGAAGACTCGGACGAGTGGCGGCCGTACCGCACGTGGAAGCGCAGGAAGATGACGGTGGCAGCTGAGGACAACGGCGCTGCAACCGACAAGGACGAGTGGGAGTACGTGGAGGACCCGGACTCGGACGAGGGTGCTGTGCATCCAATGGAGGGTAAGGCTTTGTGGCGGGGGCTCGCAAGGACTGCAGAGTGCTAACACGGGTAATCAGGCGGCTACATCACCAACATGGAGGCCTTTCTCGCCTTTCTCGAGCACGTGCACGGCCTCCTGACGACGACGTACCACAACACGCCGATCGTGCTGATGGCGTCGCCGCAGTGGACGCGACCGGACTGTGAGGCCATCGCGCTATACATCTTTGAGAAGACGCGGACGCCGGCCTTGTGCATGATCAACAGCGCGCTAGCTACACAGTACGGCCTCAAGTGGCCACACATGACGGTGGTGGACATTGGGTTCGAAAAGGTCGACGTAACGTGTATCTACGACAGCCGGATTGTCAACCACATGGACATTGGCTACCCGGCCGAGCCGGGCGAGGACCGGGTGATCTCGGGCGGCGAGGTGTTTACGCAGCGGCTGGTGGAGCTGCTGCGGCGAAAGGACTTCACGTACGAGATGGCAGAGCAGCTGAAGAAGAGCGCGATCTGCGAGGTGTTGCCGTACGCGCCTGACTGTCCACAGCTGATGGAGCTGCCGGAGGACGAGCCGGGGGCAGCGCTGGTTATGGCGCCAGTGGTGACGATCGAGCCGGTGGTGGTCGGCGACGGGTCGCTAGCAGTTGCAGCGGACGTGGACGCCGATCTAGCGATGGAAGACGGGGTGGTGGCGGCTGACAACGACGGAGTGCTGGACGTGGCGGCCATTGTGACGACGGGACAGACAAAGGAGTTTCTGGCCAAGAAGGAGAAGGAGAAGACGGAGCGAGGCCGCTTTGGACGGCGGGCAAAGGAGAAGGAGGCCGAGGCGGCCAAACCGGTGCGGCTGCCCAACGCGAAGCGGGCGCGCACGATATTCCACTTTGAGGAGCTGATCGAGGACGACGAGCCGCCGCAGCAGGCGAGCCATCGGGGCAGCGGAGCTGGCGATGGTGGCGCTGGCGGAAGTGGCGGTGCAGGTGGTGCAGCAGGTTCGACGAACGGCAAGGCTCGTGACGAAGACGCAGAGGGCAGCGAGGATGGCTCGGACGCGGAAGGATCCGAGATGGACGAGGACGAGGACGAGGACGGCGAGGGTGAGGGCGAAGGTGAAGGCGAAGAGGGCGATGGAGGGGCAGAATCCAGAGAGGCAGCAGAAACCAAGACGGAAGAGAAGACTGCGTTCGTGAAGCCCGAAGACGGTGTCGAGGCGGCTGATAAGACGACGGAAGCAGAAGCAGCAGGAGCAGCTGCCATCACAGGCGAAGACGCGACGATGGCGGATGTGGCAGCAGCCTCGGAGACCACGGAGACCAAGGAGACAAAAGAGGTGCCAGCAGGCGAGACGGCCGAAACGACGCAGCAGGCCACAGCAGTCCCGTCAACGCTATCGACAGCGGCCATGGCAGCCGTGGCGGCCGAACAGCAGGGACGCCGGTTCAAGCGACTGCGACGGGACCTGGAGATCGGGCTGGAGCGGTTCACGTTTGCGGACCGGACGGAGATTGACCGGATCGTCGCGACGATTTACCGGACAGTGCAGGGAATCCAGGACATGTACATGCGGCCGTCGTGCTGGGAGAATCTGGTATTTGTCGGCAACGGCAGTCGGCTGCGCGGATTGCGTGAGAACATCTTGCAGACGCTGCAGAGCCGCCACCTGATCTCGCCCTCGACCGCGACCATCTTCACGTCCGAGCTGCCAAGTCATCTGGGCACACCCACGGGCACCGGTGCCCAGACGCCGACCGGCAGCGGCTTCTTGGCACCGGCAGCTGTGTCGACCTCGGTCAACCCACTCCTGCAGGCTGCCACCACGGCGTCGCTCGGTGGACCTGGTTCGGTCACCGGCGCCGACGGCTCTTCGCACGTGCACCACTTCCACGCCCAGACTCCCACGGCTATCAAGACGGCCGTCTTGCCGTCATACCTCAGCGAGTGGACCAAGAACGGCTTCGAGGAGGCCATGTTCCTCGGCGCTCAGGTCGCCGCCCGTCTCGCCTTCTGCGTCCACAACCTGGACGCACAGGGACTCGAGAGCCAGCGGCTGATGTACCTTAGCCGCATCGACTACAAGTGAGTGTGCACTGTCTCTTTGTCTCGTTGTTTGTTGTCCAACCTATATGCTGACGTAATCACAGCGAGCTCGGCCCCAAAGGCATCCGGACACACTCCCTCCTGGGGTAGCTGGGCTATTACATCAGATATTAGTAAGGAGATCTTTGAAGACAACTGAATTAGGCCCAAGTCTCGACATTATGTATTATTATCCAACCCTCCAGCCGACGTTCTATTTTTACTATGTTCATGATCTCGTGTATGCCTTTTATCCAAATCAATACGCCAGCCTAGTGGCTGCCATACCCCGGCAGCACACTCGTCTCCTGGAAGCGAGCATCTGGCATCTCAAGCATGCGTGGCATCAGGAAAGCATCAGCCTCGGCCTCCTCCATGGCGGCATCGAAACTCGGAAGGCCGTGTTCGTCAGGCTGGCCGACAGCTCTATCGCTGCTACCGACGATGATGCGTATTGGCATCGTCAGCGTGATTGTGGTCGTACCCACTATGCTGCTGCTGCTGCTTCTGCTGCTGCTGCTACTGCCGTTGCCCCGCCCGCTCTTCTTGCTGTATCGGCTGGACGAGGTGGTCGAGCTGGGCGCGACAGACACGCTGAGCTGCAGAGAGTACGTCCGGGAGACGATGCACGAGTGAAACGTGGGCAGGAACGTCTTGCGGTCAGCCGGCAGCTGCAGGGGCACGAGCAGGTCGGTTGTGTAGGAGATCCCGACGGCGTCTTTGCTGGCCTGGCCGTCGAGGCCGTTCTGCACAGCGACGTCGTCGTCATTTGGGCTTCCGTCGCTGCAGTAGCCTGAGTCACGCCGGCTGGTCGTCACCTGCGGCTCCCACGCGTTCTCGCTGCTGCCAAAGTTGCGCGAGAGCAGCGACACGGACGTGTCGTAGTAGCAGGCCCGCTCCAAGAGCACGCCACCAGACGACCAGGTCCCGGGATTCGGCAGGGCGACAATGGGGCCCAAACTAAAGTAGGTGTGTGCCAGCAGCTTAGCCGAGACGGCAGTGATGCGCGGTGGCGGCACGTCGACAGCTGTGGGGTCGAAGCGCAGGCTGACACGCGCAGCCGTGGGCGAGGCAGTCTGTCCGTCTGTCGAGAGGATGACGGGCGTGGCAGGTTCGGTCACGGTGGCGTGAACGCAGCCCAGCTTGCTGCTGGCCGTGCGCAGAAGCGGCATCAGCAGGCCCTTGCGCAGGGACTTGGATTTCGACAGAGTGTAGTAGCCACGGCTTCTGCTGTTGTTGTTGTTATCGTCTGTGCTCGTAAACAATTCGTCGTCATCGGGGGCGATGCCAGCTGGCAGGATGCGGACGGACTGCGTGGCCTCGGCGACAACGGTGGGATGGCCATGCTTGGCCGAGTCGGCATCGCGGAAGATGCGAGCACGGACGACGTACTTGACACGGGCCATATCCGGCGTCATGTCGTCACGCTCCCAGGCACCATCACCCATAGTCGGCGGCAGGCAGACGTGGTGGTCGCGCACCCGATCGGACTTGGCCACGTGGTTGCAGGCGCCGAGTGTCAGATGTGCCGGCACGACAAAGCGGAAGGGCAGCACGTATTCCTGGCCGGTTTCGAGCACTCGCGGCACCGGATAGGCCGATGGCGCAATGGGCATGGCCATCTTGAGCAGGATGTGACTCGACTCGCGCACGCCGCTGACGGCATCGATCTGTGTGCGCGAGGCGCCCAGCAGCACGATCTCAAAGGCGTCAAAGGGCACGTCTCGCTGCGTGACGATCCGCACGCTGCCCGTGATCGAGTCGCCCGTCGTGTATACCCGTGACTGAAAATGGTTGTCCAGCAACACCTCCATGTTGGTCTTGGGGAATGCCGATCGTCGGCTGGTGCTGGCTCCAAACGAGAACGTGCTACTGCTGCTGCTGCCGCCGTCGTAGAGGCTGCCAGTCAGGTTGGCAAACATGTTGTTGCCTAGAAGATATTGATGGGATTATGGTATACGGGGATACAACGACGTGAAAGTCCGGTGTCTGTTAATATCTTGGATCTCTGTACATTGTCATCACAACAATGCAGGGAGAAGTACCAAGGAGCCAGGTCTTTATACATGTCGCCAAGACCGCAACATCCAAGAACAAGCCATGCCAGCAAGGGCGCAGCTTGTAGATGTATCTGGTCAGGCTCGGCTGCAAGATCAGCTAGCTCGAACTTTGAGTCATGCTGCCTGGCTTCCGAGAGCACGTTCCCACCCTCCACGAGTCCGGACCGGTCTGCCAAGCGTTCCTCAAAGGGCGAAAACATGTCGTTTTGTGGGTGTCATAAGCGGGGATCAGAAGGCTGAGAGAGAGAAGGACTAGCGTTCGATGCTACTCTCTTGGCCGTGCTTTAAACGGCCTGCCTGCTGAGGGTGTAATAAGCCATTGCACCTTCCTCGTCTCTGTTCACTGGCCCGTCTGACGTACTGCCTCCTTCCCTGTCTTCTTTGCTTTCTTTCCTCTGAACTGCTTGGGAAGGCACGTCTAGGCAATCAGGCCGCTTGCCGGCCAACGTTGCCGATTTCTTGCGCCAAGGAAACGCATGTCAATGAATGGGCGCTGGCTAGTCCCGTTGCGGAAATAGTAGACACTAGACTGGCAAAGTAAGACGGACATGAAAGCCACCGCCTTGACTTCGGCGTTCTGGGTTTTCACTACTCCCATCCTTCACACAGGTTGCACCCATCACATAGACGGTTACGTAAAGAACCTGCAGCCGCTAGCTTAACTGCTACCTCCAGACACGTGAGTTCATAAGGGTGTTTGTACTTTGTACGAGTTGTCTATATTGCTTTATGTTTGGCTCTCCATCCATTTTTTCGTCATACCTCCATTTGTAATCCAACACTGCTAAAGACGCGCGCCACTCGAAGAGCATATTGTAATTTAAATTACTTGTTAGCATCTTCGTGTCATCCGTCTACTGCCACGAAATGTAGAGCATGATGCCAGCGCCGGCAGCAATGGCGCCAAACTGCACCAGCGTCTTGCGCAGCTCGCCCAGCTTGCTGCTGCCCTTCTTCTCCAGGTCCGTCTCGAGCAGCTCCGGGATGACGGCCACCGTGCCGACGTAGAGAAACGTGCCCGCCGTGAAAGGCAGCAGCAGGTCCCCCCACGTCAGACTGGTGCCCATGAGGCCGCCTCGGCCAGCGCTGGCCGACCAGGGAGCAGCGGCCGAGTTTGTCATGGTGCTGCCGCTGGTGCTGCCGCCAAGCTCCTGCACTAGGATACCGATGACCGTGCCCAGCAGCGCGCCGAGAGCCGTGATGAACTGGGCGCCCAGGGCTGCTCGCTTCGAGAAGCCAGACTGCACCAGCAGGGCAAAATCGCCGACCTCGTGGGGGATCTCATGGAAGAACACGGCCACCGTAGTGGTTGCACCGATCGTCGGCGACGCATAGAAGGAGGCCGACATGGCCAGACCGTCGGTGATGTTGTGTGTAAAGTCGGCGCTAGGCTGTTAGAGAAGGGGAGAATGACAAGAAGAAGCCGAAAAGGGGAAACGAAAGAAACGTACACCATGTTCAGGTAGCCGGAAAGCTTGATGCTGGCGCTGGCTTCATGCGTCGACTCGACAGCGACGACAGCAGCCTTGTCGTCCTTCTTGCCGGAGCTCTTCTTGCGGGACGTGACCGATGCAGACGTCGTGTCGGCCGACGAGGTCACGGCCGAGGCTGGGACATTGTGACTGTGGCTGTGGCCGTGCTCGTGACCACCGCCGCCGCCAGTGGCGATGCGCAGGCCCTTGTCCATGGCGACAAAGGTCATGAAGCCGACCATGATGGCGACGCCAAGGAGCAGGTTGCGGTTGGGCTCGACCAGCACGAGCCGAGCGCGATCAGCCCGCTCGTCGTCCTCGCCCACAAAGATCTCGGGCAGCAGGTGGAAGAGCGTGTCGCCGAGAAGGCCGCCAACAGCAAAGGCCACCATGACCGAGAGCGAGCTTGGGTCGATGTCGGTCGGACAGAGCGCCAGCAGAAAGTTGGGCGGTCCCGAGATGTAGAGCGTCGCCAGAAGTGCGTTCACAGCCGGACTGCCCGGAAACAACAACGAGAAGAGGCGCGACTTGGTCGACGACGTCTCCTCGCCATCCTCGTCGCCACCCTGCAGCAGCAGCTGCCGCTTCTGCTCGCCCAGCGCCCGCACCACCCCGCATTCGGCCCGCAACTTCTCGTTGAGCTCGAGCGAGCCCAGCGGCGGCAGCCGTGCCACGTTCGACACGGTCGCCGACCCAGCCGCCACCTGGGATGTTGCCACCTCCGCCGAGACGGTCACGATTCCGCTGGAGGCCACAAGCACGCCGAGGGCCAGGGCCAGGGCCATCAAGGGCCGGCCGCGCCGTCCGAGAGCGAATGGGACCATGGTGACAGAAAACGGTGTCAAAGGAGAGAAGGGCCTGTGGCAATGGGCACGCGACACAAACCCAATGGACAGTTGGCGCGTCTTGGGGGAAGCTCCAGAGATCGGAGATTGGGCCCAAGAGACAGATTTTGGAAAGTTGCTGCTGGAAGGGCACGTGATGCTTCCGGCTAGTGGGCTTGCCCCAGCAAAAGGCATGGCAGTGCCAAGAGCATCGTCGCTTCCCGACGCTTGGCTCTTTCCGTGTCAGGAACCGTTGGCTGATAGGCTGCGCGATAAACTGTACGTAGCAGACATAACCTTGTTGTATTTGCGCTGCAGCTGTCGTGCTCAAATCATCACAGATATAATCAACCTGCGAATAAACATCCGAAATGGCCACGTCGCCTACCCTTCACAACGGACCACGGCGTCGAGCAGATTGTTATCTAGCCAGCTTCCTACCATCCAAAATAACTTGATGGGAGCTTGTGAGATCTGCAGATGATAGCTTGAAACTCCATGGGGCTAAAAGTTGGGGGGGAGGGCAGGATTGGACAAGACAGTGTCATACGTCGCAATTAGGACGGAGCCCAGCTAGAGAAGAGGTCAGAAGATACGTGTCGACCTCGGTGTTCCCCTCCTTTTTCGATCAAGACACGGTTCAAAGTACTTCTGTCGTTCTGAGTGAGAATTTCTCTCACCCTTACTTCTGCCTTCGTCCGCAACTCTCAAAACAAAGCCACCTCCGACACTTGTGTCCTCACACCTATCTCAGCCCCGCCTTCACCATCACCCCACCGATCTAACTTGATGGCGTGGCTTCCGCACGGATGCTCGAGCTCCGGCCATCTCTTTGGCGATGGCCTGGGCGAGTCGGCCACGGTGCCGGCCGTGGCCACGTACCGCGGACGGCTCTGGTGTCTCTGGACAGATCTCAAGGGCCAGCTGTGGTATGCGCACACGGGCGGCAGCGGCAACGACGAGCAGTTTAGCGAGCGACGGCCGCTACCACTGAACGGGCTGCCAGTACTGGCCAACCTGAATGGGGTGCTGCATGTACTTATCGTGCAGGCGGGCAGCGGCGAGATGGCGCACTTTGTGCGCGACGACGACGACACGGCGATGGAGTGGGCATCGCTGGGTACGCTGGACACGACCGCAGGCTTCGTGGCCCATTCGACGCCGGCCGTGGTAGCGTTCCACAACAAGCTCTTCCTAGCCTTTCTGCGGGACGGACAGCTCTACTTCGCCGTGTGGGCAGCGCTGGGAGCGGACGCAAAGACGTGGACGGCGCCGCAGGAGGTGGACGACAGCGGGGCGGCCACCAAGTTCCGTGGGATCCCGGCGCTGTGCGTGATCGACGGAGTGCTGCACCTGCTCTGCGGAGCAGACACGGAAGAGCGGCACATCATCGGCTACCGCTACGACTACATTGCGCAGACGTGGGCGCAGAGCGACGACGTGTCGGAGGGCCGGGCAGCATCGGGCGTGAGCGCGGTGTCGTTTGGGCGCAGCGCGTACCTGGGAATCATCGAGGCCGGGCCGGGCGACGAGTCGCACGCGGTGTACGTGGCAGCCTTCAACGAGGGCGTGTGGGAGGCGCACGAACAGGTGGCGGGCGCGTCGGCAGCCGATCCGCCACAGATTGCCATCCTCAACGGGCGGGTACACTGCATCTTCAACGACAACACAGCGACACGTGATCTGCGGTGGTACTCGCGGCCGGTGCTCAAGTACGGGCTGTCATCGTGGATGGCGGGCGTGGACGACGACCGGGCACTGTCGGACCTGACGATCCCAGGCACACACGACAGCTGCGCGCGCAGCAACATCCCGTTTGTGCGCACGCAGTACCTGTCGGTGGCCCAGCAGCTGGCGTTGGGGATCCGCTTTCTGGACCTGCGGCTGCGGCGACACAAGAACGGCAAGCTGTACTGCTACCACGGCGGGATTCCGATCGACTACCCGCGCTACCTGTCGTTTGAGACGGTGATGGACGAGATCTGGAAGTTCCTGTGGCCGGCCGGCCAGGACGAGCCGACCGAGACGGTGCTGGTGTCGATCAACAACGACGACACGTCAGACGAGCAGAAGGCCAATCCGGATGTGTTCTACGGTGCTGTGGCTGACGCCGTGGCTGCGACGCCGCCGTGGCCGGGCAACGGACAGCACCGCTGGCATGTGGAGCCACTGACGCCGCGGCTGGGCGACGTGCGCGGCCGGGCGGTGCTACTGCGGCGCTATGCCGGTGACCCGACGGTGGCGGCGACGGGACGACACGGGCTCGACCTGTCGACTTGGAAAGACGACAACCCGGACTTTACGATTGTGACACCGACACGAGTGCGGGTGCGCCTGCAGGACAAGTGGAAGTACGCAGAGCGGATCGCGCTGCACGACCTGGTCGGATCCAAGGCGTCGTTTGTACAGCAGATGATGGCCAACGCGGCCGGCCAGCTGGAGGCCACACCGGAGGAGCAGCACGACTGGTACGTCAACTTCTGTTCGGCCGTGGGCGACCCGGTCGAGCACGGCGAGATCGCCGAGTCCAAGTGGATTGCGGTGGGCGCGCACAGCGACTTTGTGGGCAAGTGGGTGCCGGGAATGAATGTGCAGACGAGCGCACATCTGCAAGAGAAGTACGGCGCCGGTGTGCGAGCTCGGCTGGGCATTGTCAACCTCGACTACCCGGAGCTGCCAGAGGACAATGACCTGGTGGCGCGGCTGATTGAGACGAACCTGGGGACAGACAACGAGTAGAGTACTCGTGCATACATAGCTCATACACATACTTTGTGCTGAGCTGGCACGTTGTGACGTGTGCAGTCAAAGAGTTTTATTGTTTGTTGGCACGAGGATCGAGCCACAGTATCGCACCGTATGGAACACACAGTCTGCTAATCAACTCATTCCGATGGTGTCTTTTCGGCCGCGCATGACGTGGACACGGCCAATGCTACTGTGTGTTATTGTTGGCAGGACTTGCGAGAAACGTTACTTATGCTGGGGCTTACTCCGTACTGGACCATGGCTCAAATTGAATGCCACTGCGCCATGTCCGCTATAGCCGAGAGGCAGTTCTAGGCCCGGCAGGCCCCTGCGCGGACTGTCCATAAAAAGACACGGCACAGCTGTGTGGATGCTCGGGAATTGCGGTTGATCTATACGGGGGTTGCACTTCATTCCTTTGTTATTGATGCTATAATTATACACGAGAGAAGCCGGACGGCCGTTCCGGCGTTCCATCCAGGCTCCAAGAAAACTCTTCACGGCTAGTGGCGTTCTGAGCCAATACTATGTAGACATGCGGTGGACCAGGACTCGGTCGGAGCACGAGCACGGTGTCGTTAGCGAGCGTCCGTACAGTAAGCACAGCAGCTCAATACGAGCGCTGCTGGACTCGCTCTCGAGCCGACAGTGGGGCCTGCTTCAGGGCGTCAGCAGACGACGACAGCTGTGGATGCGACGATGCGGCCGCCAGGGGAAGAGTGTCGGTGGACGGCCGCTTCCCCTTTCGCCTTCGCTCTTTCAACCTCCCTGTCTTCCCTGTCTTCCCTGTCTTTCCCTTCTGTTCTGTGCCTCCTTCCCCCTCTCGGCTCGCCCTCCCAACGCCACTAGCGCAAGGTACCGGCTGATACAGGGGTGACAGGCCCACATTGCCCCACCGTTTTCTTTTTTGGTGCGTTCTTTCCTTGTTCTGCTTCCCTCTCGTAGACTTTGGGTGTGGCCGGCCGGATGTCCCGACGAGGTACCTCCATCAGTGGTAGGCTATGTAAGAGGTACTGATACAGTACTTAAGCAGAAAGGATTCGTGTCGCCGAGCTCGTAGATGCAGATGGGGCCATGAAATCGGGGCACATCTCTGGTTGCGGTAGTGTCACGCACTGTCCCCATCGTTTTTCTCAATATGTCGAGTGCAGTCCTACGGAGTGCGAGTACGTAAGATACGTTCGAGTACGGAGTACCTCGCATTCATTGATATAGTCAAGCATCCCGCACTTGGAGTTTTCTTTCTCCTCCTTCCCTCTTTCTACTTGATCATTCTCTATCCATTGACGACTGTTCCTTGTTGTCTTTGTCATCCTTTTCTTTAAAGACATTCGTTTGTCCCGCCTTTGGACCTTTATTGATATCAAGCAGTACAAGAGCTCCTTCTCTCGCTCTTTCTGCGTTTTTTGCGCATTCACTACTGAAACATCTTGCTTTCTGTTAATTCCTTTGCAACCATGCACTCCGTCACCAGTCTCGCAGCTCTTGCTGCTGCACTCCCCAGCGCCCTTGCTGCTTACCAGGGCTTCAACTATGGATCGACGTTTAACGACGGATCGATTCGGACACAGAGTGACTTTGAGTCCGACTTCAAGACTGCCGCCGGTCTTGTCGGCACGGATGGTGCCTTTACCAGCGCCCGTCTGTACACGATGATTGTAAGATATGGGACGATGACGGCCATCTGGTTGCGATGATGCTAACAACTCGACAGCAAGGTGCCACGACCAGCGACCCGATCTCGGCCATTCCAGCGGCCATCAGCACCAAGACGACGCTGCTGCTGGGTATCTGGTGCTCAGCTGGCGACGCCACTTTCGCCAACGAGCTGACGGCCCTGAAGAGTGCCATCTCCACGTACGGCTCGGAGCTGAGCAGCATCGTTGCCGGCATTTCGGTCGGCAGCGAGGACCTGTACCGCATCTCGGTGACCGGCCTCAAGACGAGCGGCGGCAACCCGGGCATAGGCCCGGATGTGCTAGTGAACTACATCAAGCAAGTGCGCGAGGCCATCGCGGGTACGGCGCTCGCCAACGCGGCCATCGGCCACGTCGACACGTGGAACGACTGGGTCAACGGCAGCAACAGCGCCGTGATCGAGAACGTGGACTGGCTCGGCGTGGACGCATACCCGTACTACCAGACGACCGACGGCAACGACGTCAGCGAGGGCAAGTCGCTCCTGGACAAGGCCCTGACCGAGACGGCCGGTGTGTCCGGCGGCAAGGAGGTCTGGATCACTGAGACCGGCTGGCCCGTCAGCGGCGATGCCAGCGGCCAGGCCGTCGCCTCGCTCGCCAACGCCAAGACGTACTGGGATGAGGCCGGCTGCCCGCTGTTCGGCAACACCAACGTCTGGTGGTACACCCTGCAGGACTCGGCCCCGACCACGCCCAACCCCAGCTTCGGCGTCGTCGGCTCAACCCTGTCCACCACTCCCCTGTACGATCTGTCCTGCTCCAACACCACGTCGTCGACCTCGTCCAGCGCATCTGCGTCTGCGTCTGCCTCCACCAGCGCCTCTGCCTCCACTAAGGTGTCTTCCGGCAGCGCATCTGCCACTGCCACCAGCACTTCTGGCTCCAGCTCTGGTTCCGGCTCTGGTTCGTCCGGCGGGTCCAACAGCTCCAGCAGCTCTGGCGCATCTGCTTCCGGCTCGAGCTCCGACTCCAGCTCTGCCTCGCTGTGCTCTGACTCTTACGTCCGCCCCACCCCCAGCTCTTCCGGCTCTGCCGGCTCTGGCAGCTCTGGCAGTTCTGCCGGTAACACTACTGCCAGCAGTGGCTTCCCTGCCTACACTGCCAGCTCTGGCGCCGGCTACAACAGCACCCTGACCTACAAGGTCTCTGCTGCTGGCTCCAGTGCCACCAAGACTGCCAGCGCTGGCTCTGGATCGGGCTCTGGCTCTGGCTCTGGCTCCGGCTCGAGCACCACCCTCACTGCGAAGGTGGGTTCCTCGGCCACGGCCTCTGGAGCTGCCGGCTCTTCGTCGACCGGCTCGGCCTCGTCGACGCCGTCGACTGTCATCTCTGGCAGCAGCGCGGTGTCCGGCTCGATTGGCGCCGCGTTTGCCGCCATCATGGTGGCCATGCTGGCTCTGTAACGGGTTGAAGGCAGTCAATGTATTGATGGCGTTTGGCAATAAATTTTCTTTCTCGCACTTTCAATCTATATGAACTTTAATGCCCTGTGGATAGTATGGGTGGAACACAATCAACCAGGATACAGGTATATGATTACATTTGTATTCGAGCAGATATAGACAGGGTATTGGATCAACGGACAATGAACAAAACTGGGATTGGTTTCACGTGCATACGTGGATGTAAGACATCTTGTGCTACCAGAGCTAACTGGAATAAACAAGCCAAATAGAGTTACAATGTGACCAAGACCAAATGAACAATTTCTTTTCAACCAAGCTTGCAGGCCGCCAATTCGTTTACGACGACGGCGCGTCCTCTGCGTCGTAGTCGTTCAGCTGGGCGTCGCTGACAGCGACGGGCTCACCGGCGGCTTTGTCAGCCTCGGGGATAGCAGGGGCCAGGGGTTGGTGCTGCTGCTTGTTTCGCTCGAGCGTGTTGTTGACCAGCGGCGTGGTGTCGTTGAAGATGCGCAGCAGCATGGCGGCGCGGTCCTCCTTGGGCAGCATCAGGTTGAGCGAGTGGAAGCTCTTCCAGAGGGGAAGGGCCATGGGCTCGAGCGGGACGCTGTCATCGAGGACGGGAGTTTCGGGGATTTCGGGGATTTCGGCGTTTTCAGCGTTTTCCGCATTTTCCGCATTTCCGTCTTCGGCCACCTCCTCTGTATCCTCCATCCCCGGCACCACCTTGAGCACAAAGCAGCCCATGCCGATGTCGGGCAGCCGGCGGCCGACCTCGCCCAGCCGCTTCCATCCGCCGTCGGCAAACTTGGGAAACATCTCGACCAGCAGCGACCGCAGCGTGGTCTTGCGGTACAGCCGCACCACGCGCTCCTCGCCGACGTATCCCTGCAGCAGCGGCATGCCTTCGGACTGGATCCGCCACCGGCACACGCCAGACGACGGTGACTCCTGCTTGACAAACATGCGCACGCCACCGTGCACAAACTTGACGCGCACCTGCTGTTGTTGCTGCTGCTGCTGCTGCTTTTTGTGCTGCTGTGACCCGTCTGAGGTGTTGCTGACTAAGATATCCCGCACCAGCTGGCTGGTGTAGTAGATGCCCTTGGCCGGCTCGCCGTAGGCGTTGCGCACCAGGAAGCGGTCGGCCGGGAAGCGCGGCGAGAGGTTGTAAAAGGCACGGATCTCCTGGACGACCGGGTGGTCCGCGGCCAGGTACTTGAACGGCTCCTCGTAGGGGCCGCTATGACGAGGACGTCCGGGCAAGGCTTTGTCGACAGGGGCTGGCGTGTCGGTCTTGGTCTTGCTGGCCTCCTCGGTCTTTTCAGCATCAGTCCTCTCGGTGTCCCCGACGACAGCGGCCTCTTCCGGAGCATCCTCCTCCTGCTTCAACTTCTTGGTCGAGGGCAGATGGCCGTCCAGGCTGTCAGGGTCAACCGTACCGTCGACGTCGTCTTCGGCCGGCCGTTTTGCTGCAGTCCGGTCGCCGTTCTCGGTCTCGGTCTCGGTCTCGGCGACATCGGCCGTCTTCGGCTGGACCACCGGCGTGCTGTTGCCGCCAGGGTGCAGCGGCTTGAGCTTGAACTCGGCCTTCTTCTCGAGCGCGACGATGAAGAAGCCGCCGGTGTCCTGCAGATGGGGATAGACGCGGATGCAGCGCTCGAGCGGCAGGGCATCCGACGCCTCGCTGGCAAACATGGAGGGCACAACGCGGCTGGGGGCGAGGCCACCGCTCTCGTCCGAGGCCACGTAAGCCTCGACCTCAGGCCAGCTGCTCCACTGGCGGCCGGTGCGGTCCATGATGCTCCAACGCTTGAGGCCGGGTCGACGCTGGAGCAGCGGCAGCTTGTCGCTGCTGTCGAGGATGGCGACGCGATCAGGCCCGCCGCAGAGGTCGATGGCCGTCGCCACCACGGCCTCGTTCTCAACCGGGTTGAGGCTGCAGGTCGAGTAGACGACGCGGCCACCAGGCCGAAGCATCTGCAGGGCGCGCACGAGGATGCGGACCTGGACGAGATGCAGTCCCAGGGCACCGGCCGGCGTCCAGTCCTTCCACATGGTGACGTTCTTGCGCAGGGTCCCGTCGCCCGAGCACGGCACATCGGCCAGGATGCGGTCGAACTTGAGGTAGCGCACGGGCGGCGGCCGCTTGGACTCGCTGCTGGTCGCGAGAGGTGGCAGTCGGAGCGACGGATACACGGTGGCATCGTGATTGGTGACGATGATGTTGGGCGACGACAGGCGCTTCAGCTGGTGGATCAGCAGCTGGCTGCGCTTGTAGTCGGAGTCGTTGGCAATCAGCACGCCGGTGGCCCGGCCATCATCGCTGGGATCGGCCGAGAGTTTCGCGGTCGGGTCGTCGTCGTCGTCGTTGTCGTCGTCGACTTCGGCCGTCTCGTTCTCTCCCTTGTCGGCCCGCTCGATGGACCGCAGCACCTTGCGGACGCGGGCTTCCTCGCCCTGGTGCAGCATCTCCAGCAGCTGGGCGGCCTTGCTGCCGGGAGCGGCACAGAGATCCAGAACAGCCATGCCCGGACGGACGTCTAGCAGCAGGGGTGGGATCATGCTAACGACCTCCTGGCGGCTGATGTTGCCGACGGTCGTCTCGGACACGAGGAACTTCTGGAAGGCGGCAAAGGGAGGGAACTTGCGGATGACCGTCTTGGGCGTGGTCATCCACCAGGCCAGGCTGTCTGGATACCAGGGCACCGGCTGAGGCGGCGAGACCGGCAGGCCGTCGTAGTGCGAGATCTTGGCCAGCTCCGGGATATAGCGCGTCTGCAACAGCTTCTGCACGGCCAGCGCGTGACCCTTGGACCCGCAGAACCGGAAGCTGTGCGGCAGCTCGCGCCGGAAAGCCGCCCAGAACGCTTCACGCTCCTCATCCTTGTCGTTCAGCTCCAGCAGCCCGTTGTAGTACTGCTGCAGCCGCTCGTTCTCCTTGACAATGTCCGGGTACGTCTTCTGGAAGCCCCCGCTGTTTGGTGCCCGCGCGTTGTCGCGCCGCCGGCCGCCACGGTTTCTCTGAGGCGGTGTCAGTCGGTCTTTTGTTTCTCTTCTCTTTCCTCTTGACATGCATTCTCACCTTGTACCCCCCTCGACCCATTGTGCTGCTGGTAGTCTGCCCGGTGGAGAAAGTAAGCCGTCGACCGATGTATTCAAGTTGCCTTGAATTCGGGCTCATACAAGCAAGCCAGATCCTTTGAGCCTCAATTGAGAGACGGAAGAGCAGACCGAAAAGAGGCTGTCAGAAAATAAAAATTAAGACACTGAACGTGCCCCACTTGTTATCGTCTTATCGGCTGTAGTCTTATCTTATCTTGCAGTAGCATGAGAATGCGTACCCAGTACATCATTTTTCGAGCAAGTCACATGCCTGCACCCGTACTCTATACCTCCCAGCGTATATTCCACATCGTACATGGTACAGTTACATATTTACTGGTCCAGCAAGCCGACGGTCCAGTGGACAATGTGGTCGATGCCATGGCCCTTGATTGCACTGACGGGCACGGCAGCAAGCTTCTCGGTCCAGCCGCCGCGGATGCCGCTGGGATGCAACTCCTGGCCGCTGGTAATGCGGTCGAGATAGTTCTGCAGGCGCTGGAAGTTGTCCTGGGCGCCGGGAAGATCGCCTTTTGTGCCGACGACGAACCACGGCTTCCCCGCAATGGCCAGCTCGGGCGTCTGGGCAGCAACGTCGCTGCCAGACGTCCAAGACAGGGCCGAAAGGTCGTCGTCGTCGTGGCCGGCCGGCCGGTCACCCCACTCGATCCTGGCCTCGCGTTCGCGCTGCAGCTCCTCCTCATCGCGCATGCGGGCATACAGGCCGACTTCGGTCCAGAGGGCTTTGACAGCCTTGACGGCATCGCCAGCGCCGAGGTCGACGACGAAGGCGAGGACGCCGGCACGCTCGACGTGGCGCAGAAACGCGATGCCGAGACCCTTGTCGAGGTGGGCGCCCTCGATGAGGCCGGGGATGTCGGCAACGGTGAAGCGAGTGCGGGGAGGCAGTGTGTCGGTAGACTCGCCGGTATCGGATGAGCCGTGGCTGCTTGCCGGCCGCACTGCCACAAGCGGACGGCCACGGTTGCTGTCAAGCACGACGGTGCCAATGTTGGGCTGCAAGGTGGTAAAGGCCCAGGAGCCAACACGGGCACGGCTGTTGCTGAGAGCCCGCAGCAGCGTACTCTTGCCAGCATTGGGCAGGCCGACAAGGCCGACATCGGCGAGCAGGCGCAGTTCCAGGTTGATGGTCATGGACACGGCAGCCTCGCCCTTGGTGGCGACGACCGGCCGCGGCATCTTGCGCGACAGAAAGTGCGGATTGCCGAGCCCGCCGACGCCGCCAGACGCCAGCAGGATCGGCTGGGCCGTCGGCCGGGCGAGATCGAGGTAGACGGGTGGCGGTGGTTGGGCCAAGGTGCGATCGCGTCTAGGCAACCGCGGAAACTCAATGTTCTTCACCTCGGACGACGACAGTCCGGGGTAGACAACCCAGCGACGCCGCAGCCAGGCGGCCTCGGCCTCCTCGTCGTCCTCCTGCTCCTGGCGCAGCCGTTGTTCGAGCCGCAGCCGCTCGTCCGTCTTCAATCTCTGCTCTTCCGCGTCGTCTGCCGCAATCTCTTCGGCGTGTGCTGCCGCCACGACCGCTGCCGCCAGCTGCCGCTTGCGCTTGCGGGCTGCGTGGCGCGCCTTTCCCACGATGATCCCGTCGGCCACCGGATCGATTCGGCTGACCTCGGTCACGATTGTGCCCACCGGCACCGTCACGATCACGTCGTCGCCACGCTGTCCGTTGCGCGCACTGCCCTGTCCATGCTTGCCGCGGCCGGCCCGCATCACCCGCCGCCGCGCAATCTTGTGCAGCGATGTCTCGCCTGGCACCGCTTGGATGTACACGTTGCCGCCGTGGCCACCGTCACCACCGTTGGGCGGCCCGTCTGGCAGAAAGAGGTCGCGTAAAAACGAGATGCAGCCCTGGCCACCCACGCCTGCGTGCACCGTCAGCGTCGCCTTGTCCGCAAAGCTGGCCATCGCATAGTCGTCCGGCGCTGGGTTCAGTCGTGACGGCGGGTACGCCACCGTCGGCGCCTCTTCGTCCGCTGTGGCTGCATCGTCTGTTCGCTCGGTCTGGTATCTGCGCCACGGCGGCAGAGCGACGGCTGGCCGCCGGCAGACGGCCGTCCCTGTCCCCCGCAAAAGCACACATGGATGTAGAATTGGCAGCAAAAGCGGCGTGCCGCCTAAACTCCAGGGCGCCATGTCCTTGATCTGCTCTTGCTTGCTGCAAATGGCACTTTTCTTTTTTTCCTCATAAATGCACAAAACCGAGCTTGACGTCCGTTCTAGCAGCTAAGAGAGCAAAAGGAGAGACATGCATCTATCCGGGCTTCGCCCCGGTTACCCTCCCTATTCGCGCTGCAATCTTGCGGTGTGGCATCGGCGGCTCTCGTGCCTGCCGCACGTTGGGCGGCGCCAAAAGGAAGGTGCACATCTCCGCGCGCCTTCCGGCTGAACCAACCGCTCAGCAAGTATCGTGAAACAGTCAAAATACGGAGTACACGTTCACACCCGCACTTCGCCTTCACATCCCCATCCTTTCACCAACTCGCCCACTCAACAGTCACGTCCCACAAACCACCGCCGTGCTACCCCGTATCTCACAATGCACAATGCAACCATGACAAGCTGCCGCTCTGCTTGTTCGCCGGCTTTTATAGCGCTCCTCTCGCTGGCTTTCTGGCCGACCCGCCACATGCAGGAGAATATGCAAACCTCCTGGACAACAAATCATCACCGCTCCCTGTCTTAGCCCTAACCCACTTTCTACTCCCCTCCTCCCTCCCCCCCCTCTCTTGCCTCTAACCTCGTCGGTCTCTACCGTTCGTGGTTCCGCCGTTCTGCTCTCCCTGCCCATCTTGTCTTTCCTCTCTCTCTACTCCGTACATCCATCCTATCGCCACTGTCTCGCCAAAGCTAGCCCCCCTGTCCTTATAATACGAAGGGAAGCTCTGTTGCCCTGCTGCTCTGCTGCTCTCTGACCTCACCTTTTCGCCAATCCCCTCATCCTTGACCGCTCCGTCAGTCCGGCCGCAAACCACTCGACCCATCCCACCCGCTCTTGACTCTCGGTACGTTCTCGAATCATCCCCATCTCTTCTTTCGCTTCCTAGACTCCTTTCCTGCCCGCTCTCGGTCCTCCTCTCTAGCCCAGCTCCCACAAAAGCACATACCAACATCACCCCCTCCTCTCCACCCGACCAAACATCGTGTATGGTTCGACAGCTGTCCTACGACGTATGCCTGACGGTGTTGTCGGGTCCGTCATCTGCTAGCCTCATACATTGGGCAGCCGCAGCCAAGTTATCTCACCACCGCCAGCACCAAACCAACCCCCCCTTGTATTCGGGCCACGACAGCATACATGACTACGCTAGTCTTCTAAACCTCTCTTCTGGCTCTCGACTGTCCAATCAGCGCTTGGCCGCCTCTTTCCGTTTCCTTCTCTCGTCCTCTCGTCCTCTCTCTGCTCGCCTTGCTCGCCATACCTACCTCTACGCTGCATATTCTTCCACATCCTCAACCTGCAAGCTCATCAGGCTGCCACCATTCCACTTCTCCCACGTCGCCGTGTCCGCTTCCGACATCCGTGGACGTGCACATCTACAGAGGCCCTGCTCCCATCGAACCTATCGTACTATCTCTCTCTCCCTCCTCCACGTCTCCACCGTCCACTTTCCACCTTCTGCATCATACGGCACTCTTTGTCTAGGGGCACAAGGACCCGGTTGCAACTCTCGATCCGTCCTTCACTGCACGTCTCGTCCTCTGCTACGTGCGGCTGCTTGCAGAGTCCCATCTGGTCGCACCAAGCTTTCCTCTCTTCCTTTATTTCGCTCACACATTGACTCCTCAGCCACCAGTCAAGTCGGTCTCCAGCACACCAACGCCTTAGCCACAGGCTCACGCAACAGGCACCTGAGCCATACACAGGTCTAGCGCTGTCCCTTGGCCGCCTCTCTTGCTCTTCCCTGCTCCTCCTTCTCTCCGCGTCCTTCTTTGTTCTAGCCTCCCGTGGGGGGGAGTGTTATATCGCCTTTTTTTCTCACCCAAAGGTTAGTCGACGTCTCCATGTTTCCTCCACAACAGCCAGACAGCTTGCCAGAGTACTCCTTGATCTTCACCTGCTTCCTCTTCCGCCGTCCTCTGCCCGCCTGCTCTCCCTTCTGCTTCTGCTTCTGTTCGCCCTTCCCTGACCTGTCCTCTTTCGTTGTGAGCTGCTTCCTCGCATGCCTGGCTGGTCCGGTTGTAGGTTAGCAGAGGCCTGGAAGAGACCATCGCGATCACTCCTGTTGTATTGCCGCTGTTCCTGTTATGCTGCGTGTGTTGCTACCTCCCCGGTCCACCGTCTCCACCTCCACCTCCCCGTCTCGTCTCTATCACCTTGATTACCTTGACTGCCTTGACATCCTTGATCTCCCTGACCCTCACTCTCGTGAACCGTACCACCAGCCCCCAACTTCCTTCCCCGTCCGTCTGCTAAACCATGTATGCCAAAGAATACCGCGACCGCAAGCCGGCTCGCAAGATCATCAGGATGGATCCTGACTGCGCCATATGTCACGCACCAGCGACCGCTGGCTGCGACTGCGAAGCCCAGGGGCTAGAAGTGGCCATCCGTCAGGCGGAAACCCGAATGATGACGTCCATCTACGATGACATCCGGTATGTTTGTCCCTGCCTTGAAAACTCCCTCCTTTCCACTTCTTCTGACAGGATTGTACGGTCAGCAACTGGGTACGATCACACGCACGGGACTATATCCTCTCGTACTTTGAGCTCCTCAAAGACCGCCGCATGCAAGCCCACGAGCAGCACATCGAGCGCGTCACAGCACAGGCATTTCACTATTATCATGCTCCACCGCATCCAAGCGACGTGGCTGCCGCCCAGGCCACGTTGAAGCGCGGCATTGACGAGGACTGGCAGTCGTCTGTCCAGCGCTATCCAGAGGTCCTCGAGTACTACTTCAGCCTCGTCGAGCTAATGCTGCCAAACGACAACGACCCCATGGTCCGGGACCCGCCTCTCAGCGCCCTCTCGGGCTCTCGCAAGGCCAGTCGCCGGGGCCCCTTCACTGCCCCTGCAGCAATACCAAACGGAACCGCCACTCCTGGCCCCAGCAGCGCCCAGGGAGTCACTGGCCCCATCTACCAGCACTACCCAAGAGAGGCGCTTCCACGTGGACGGACACCCCCCCCGTCCCTGTGCCGCCCGAGAGCAGCCGGAGAACACCGGTTGCTCGAGAACGCCGTCCGACCTTCCGCCAGAATCCACCACCACCAGCTCCTGCATCCTCCTACTATCCTCCCTACTGAGAGCTGAGGAAGCTACCTCTGGGCATGTCTGCCGTCTCTCCCCTCTCCAAATTCTCTTTCACGAGCATGCATTACAGGCGAAAGATAGGTTGCATTTTCACGGCTTATGACGAGCATTTTTCATTTGTTTATTATGGCATACCAACCGGGACATGGCATTGATAGAAAGGAAGAATGTCCGCCCCCAAAAGAAAAGCGATTTTGGACTTTGTGCTAGCTCTATTTCTGCCTCTTTGGGTTGGTTGTGTTAAGGCTGATTGGTTGGCTGATGTGTTGTTCGTGTCTTCACTTATTTTAAAGGGTTCTCGGCGTCAGGGCGGAACATTGGGAGGCTGATCTGAGATTTTACCGTATCTGATGTTGATATCATTAACTGGCAGCCTTGTTGTACTATAAAAGCAAGGGTTTCGCAGCCTATCTCTTTTTAACCTCTTGCAAAGGGAACCGGTGTCCGGCTTCGGCCTTCCTGCATACGTAGCACAGTTTAGCTCGCTCAGAATTATGCAGTTTGCAAGCAAATGCAGTGAGGGCGTGCGTGTATGCGAGTTTACATGTCGCAGGAGGTCCAGCACAGTAGAAATTACTAATTTGAAAAAACAGTGTTATTAACACAGTATACACGGCTAGTTAAGCTATTGCTGAAGTAAATTCAGCGCATTTGGTACGCCTAGCGTATCCAGCAATTCAGCGCATTTAGTGTGTGTGATATTTCTATGCTTTTCTATACGCTGAATGCAGTAAGCTGCTTAGTCAATGTACCTTACAGTGCGCCCCTTTCTTCGAAATCGATTTTGTATGCTAGACCCCCCTGCGAACTTTCTTCTACCCCCCTACGACCTGCGCAGCTCATGTATGCCCAACGTAGCCCAATACAACACATTACTCACCGACGCCTGTCTTGTTGATCAACAAGATGCTAGTGCTTGATTTATGCAGTATACCCTCATCACATTGATGCCCAACATTATCGAGTACGTCAACACTGATATACAGGAATGCTTTGTCTCGCATATGGAAGCCGAGATCTCTGCCGATGCTATCTTGTGCCACGAACCAAGCCGCTTCAGGGAAGATGGCTAGACGATGTAGCAGCTATCTTCAGCACGCCCATTGGTCGCATGCAAGAGGCCACCTCCAGCATGTTGCTGTCTGTTGTGGCAGCAGGAAATAAGACGCCGAGACGGAGGGCACAGAACCCTTGCTTTCGCACTCGCCTCCATGTTTGGGCGACTTGCCGACGGGAGATGTACAAGGGAGTAAAAAAACGTAAAAAAAACAAAACAAGATCCAGCCTCGAGCGCCAAAAACGACAAGTACCTGAAAACCAGCATGGCTCCTCTTTCTGGTCCGCGCCTAAGGTTCAGACACACAGGCGGTAGCTCGCATACCGGCCGGCGGTCTCGCTCGTGCGGATGATCTTGACGACCTGTCCCCGCTTCAGGCCGAGATAGCGGGCGACGGGATCCTTCTGCTGGATGCGGGGCAGCTGGGTCTCCTTGAGACGGTAGCGCGACAGCAGGGCGGTCTTCTCTTCCTTGCTCAGCAGGACGTGTGTCGGGACGAGCTCGTGATGGGTGATGTTGACTAGCAGGTCGTCCTGCATGAAGCACTCGATTTGCGTGTACATCATGGTGGCGTTGATGACCTTGCGCGCCTGCGCGCTCAGCGCTCCCTGCGTCACCATGATGCCGGCCCGGAAGCTGTTCTCGCTGCAGTGCTGCAGGAACCGCTTGATCTCCTTGACGCCGATCTGCTGCTCCGTCATGAACTCCACCCAGATCGTGCCGCACTCGGTCGGCGGATCGGGGCGGGCTGCCGTCGGCGGCGGCGTGAACTTCTTGATCATGCTCTCTGACGGCCGCGCCGAGAACTGCATCTTGCCGCGACTGTTATCTCCCCGTTAGCAGGTGTTCGTTCCCCTGGCTCGATGGCCACTCGTCTGTCTCTTAGAGGGCTTTCTCTCTCTACACACGTACTCGGCTGTTCCGTCCGGCAACGAGAACTGTCTGACAAAGTCGTCGAAGCTGATCTTAACCTCGTCCTCGGCCAGCTCATACCCCTGTAGCCTCTCAGTCAGCAGGGCCGGAAAGAAAAGAGAGCCGGGCCGGCTGTGTGGCCACACGGAGAGCCTACCCGATCCTGGCACATCTCGTGCACAGTTCTCCACGCCCGCCATAGCTTGCGAAGCTCCCGCTGCTTCACCGGGTCCTCTCCGTCTCCCGAGTGTGCCAATGACATCGCTTTGTGGTATGCGTGACGCGATCGCGTGACGCGCTGTCAGCCGTGCTTGTTCTGGTATAGACAACTGTCTCGGGGCAGACTGCTCGTGCTTTCTTCCTGGAGGGAGCTGATCAGAGGTGGGGTGGTCTGGGTCCGAAAGGACGAGTTCGTTTGCGCGTTGACGACCTTTGACAAAGAGAGGCTTTCGCTGCATTTCAGGTATCTGACGCCCCCGATAAAAAAAAAGAGGCAGAGCCCACTTTTCATGTGACCAATCAGACACCTCTGCTAAAGCGATCAGCATGACATGTCACGTGCTCTTTGTCAGTGACCTCCAGTCTGCAAATCTAGTCCAAGTTACACAACGGCGAGACTCGAGGATTCGCCGTAATAGATCTCACCCATGTCCAACTTCTTGCGTAAGTCAGCCTGTCTATCGCCACTCGACACAAATCTGCCAGGTACCAGCGTGTTCGACTGCACCAAGAGGCTCGTGCCTCCTGCTAGCTCTCAGCTGAAGCGAAAGCGAAAATAGGCTCCTGCCACAATCACGATGCTATGGATATGTGTCCCTAACAATTGCAGAAGGTGAGAGGGGGGCTACAGAGCGGCAGCACTGTGGCAGGTGCTATTGCGAGTACGAGGATTGGCGAGCCAGCACAGCACGAATGGCCAACAGAGGCCCCCGGAGACTGGTATTGGCTCCGGTCAAAGCCCTAGTGGTGCCCCTGTCGCGTGCTGTAGCACTGAGGCTCACCAGGGACGAGGAGTCTTAGTAAATATTAGTCGAATCAAAAATCGCACGGCCCACATTTTAGTTTTTACTCTGTATGAGAGTAGTGTTCTTTTTGTCGTTTATTTCCTGGCCACTTTTCCTCAACGTATCATCACCACCCCTTTTGCCTCGTTGTCCTATTTGTTCCGGGACAAAGCTCCTTTTCATTGTGTGCGTTGTCTCTGAAGCAGTCATGGCAGACAGCACAGCACCGGTTGTCGAGGGCGCAGCAGCAGCGGGGAGCAGCCGGCCGGTCAAGCCCGATGAGGCAGTTTTCCAGAAGGCGCTGGACAAGGCCGAGAAGGAGCACAAGGATGTGATGACGCGGTTTGTAAGTAGCTCAATCGACGGCCGGGCGGCCCAATGGGCGGGTGGGAGGGAAGAAGAGAGGAGTGCTGTCCCGACAGCCTGCTAACGCGGCCGCTTCAGAACGCCATCAAGGCCAAGATCGAGCTGGCGCAGCCGAACAAGAGCAAGGACGGGCCGCAGTCGGCGACGCAGAAGCGCCGACAGGAGCTGATTGAGCAGCTGACGGAGATCCGGAAGAAGCAGGCGGGCGGCAAGTCGGCGCGGACGTCGAAGCAGGAGCAGATCAAGCGGCTGGACGAGCAGCTGCGGAGCCGGATCGCCGAGCAGAAGACGGCCAAGAGCAAGGTAGCCTTCAAGTCGACCGAGGACCTGGACCGGCACATCCAGCGGCTGGAGGACCAGGTGAACGGCGGGATGATGAAGCTGGTGGACGAGAAGAAGGCCCTGTCCGAGATCACGAGCCTGAAGAAGACGCGCAAGAACTTTGCCCAGTTCGACGTGCAGGAGAAGCAGATTGCCGATCTGCGCGCCAACATCAAGCAGATCAAGGACAGCATGGACGACCCGGAGGCCAAAGCCATGGGCGAAAAGTACAACGCCATCCAGGCCGAGCTCGACGGCATCAAGGCCGAGCAGGACGTGGCCTACAAGAGCCTCTCAGCCCTGCGCGACGAGCGCAGCAAGCTGCACGCCGAGCAGCGCGACAAGTTCGACGCCATCCGCAAGCTCAAGGACGACTACTACGGCCAGAAAAAGGCCTTTGCCGCCTACGAGCGTGAGGCCCGCCAGAAGGCCTGGGAGCGCAAGCAGGCCGAGCGCGAGCGCTTCGAGCGCGAACGCAAAAAGGAGCGTGCACAGCGCCTCTTGGCCGAAGCCAGCGACCCGGCCTACATTGACGAGATCCGCCGCGCCCGCAGCCTGCTGCACTTCTTCGACCCCACGTCCACGCCCGCGCCCGCGCCTGCTGCCGTCGCTACCGCTGCCGCCAGCCTCGGCGCCCAGGCCACCCGCAAGGTCGACGACTCCGGCCTCAAGGGCACCCGCCTCGTCCGCAAGGAGGACCGCGACGACACCTACCTGCCCGCTGCCAAGAAGGGCGCCAAGAAGTCCGCCAAGAAGTCTGCTGCCGACTCTGCCTCCAAGGGCTACAACGTGCCCCCGTCCGTCATCGAGGACTGCGCCTCCATGGGCCTCGACCCGCCTGCCAGCCAGGCTGATGTCGCCGTCGTCATGGAGAAGGTCAAGGCCAAGCTGGCCCACTGGGAGGCTGACCAGGAGACCCAGACCCAGCGGGTGAGTTTCTTTTATCATCTTTCCTTCTTCCTTCTTGCCCGTCCTCCGCACCCTGCTGACCGGATCAGAACATCGAGAAGGCCAAGAAGGAGATTGAGCGGATCGAGAAGGAGGAGGCCCAGGAGATCGCCAAGGCCAACGGGAAGCAGGCCGATGAGCCCAAGGCCGTTGCCGAGGTCACAGCCGAGCTGAAGAACGCCTCCATCGAGGACAAGGCCGAGGAGAAGAAGGACGAGGCCGACAAGGAGGAGACAAAGGCGTAAGCGTTTCCTGACCTCGGAAACCCCTCTCTTGTCGCGCCCTCTTTGCCTGCCTCTCCTCTCTTGTATTTATTGTATCTTCACCCCTCATCCTCTCCCATATCCTCCTCCTTTTATCTATGGCTTTCTCGGCTTTTCCTATGCATATATGTATCTTTGTTTCCGGGGGTTTAGCAGGCAGGCAAACAATGGTTTCTGTTTCCTTTCTACATAGGCGGCACGGTGGAACAGGAAGGGGGACGTTCGAGGACAGCACTCTGCTGTGGCGAGTTTTCCTCCCTAAAATCCCCTTGCATCCATCAAACACGCCAGTTTTGTCTTGATTTCAGCCTCGAGAACTTCTGCGCTCCCTCTGTTGCCTGATTGAGAGAGGGAGAGGAAGAGCGGTCGGAGGAATATGAGAAAAAAGTATATCTTGGTTATTACCGCTCTATTTCTGCTCTTTGTTTTTGGCTTCGAATTCGTTAGGCGGGGAGCGAATCTAGAAAAAAGGGGCATAACAATAAAACGACAAATGTCAATGAATAGGTGTCCAATATTATGACAAAGGCACCAAACTGCAACCAATTAAAAGGCGAGACGATATTTTCCCGAATGAATAGTCTCCAGTCTGACTGGTATTGACTGGTATGTTCAACATGATCCTCAACAACAACCAACGCGGACTCAGCCTTTATTGAATGCGTATTCTTTCAGATTTCTATCCAACTGTTACACCACGTCTAAATTATTGCCTTACGCATATCGAGGGCTGTCCCTCACATAACCGTTATCCCCGTCCCGACTGATAGATCGCTTTCAAAGCGTCGACGATATCACCCACACCGGCATTACTATGCCAGTGGCTGACTATTCGAAACAACCACAAGCCAAGAAAAAAGGCAAATTATCACAGCGCAGGGCACTGGAATAGCCAGGGTATAATGGTTGCCACACGCAAACCCCCAAAGGAAAGAAAAAAAAAAACAGAAGCCACCAAATTCAAACAACGCCCGCATTGCTCAAGCCTTTCAGAGATAGCCAAGCATCAAACAACATACCATCCGCCCACTCGCCGAGCCGATATAGTCGTCTTCACGTAATAAGATGTACTGTAGGCCCCTGCGTGATGGTTCCAGGAATCGACATCAGCTCAGGCAGTGCTTCCCGCCATATCTACCATGAACTCCTGCGCAGATGTATCATCAAAGCACTTCCTGTCCTCCCGAATACCGTGTCGTCATCATTGAACAAAGGGAAGAAATCAAAGAAAAAGACATAAAAAGACATAATAGCACAATGATCGCAGAATTATGACTATTACCGCTTCGTACTTTGGCTAAGCAGGCCACCCGGATCCATTAATACAATGTCGTCGAAATTGCCGTGGGAAGAAACGGGAATAGGAGACGATGTCAATAGCGGCAACGGCGTCGCTGGAGACGGTGACTCTAGGGGAGACTCCTGGGGCACCGGGTGCAATTCTGCCGGAATTCTGCCGCCGGGAATTTGACGTGGGTGTGAGCTTAGCAGGCCGCCCAGATCTTGCAAGAGAGCTGAGGATCCACGTCTGAAGCCGTGGCTGCCAGCTGTATATGCCGGCGAAGGCGGCACACTTTGACTTGTTGACAGGCTCCCAGATATGCTCCCAGACCGAGTTCTGGTAAGGCTCGGCTGAGCGGTGTTATCGTCTGCGGCCGTGTCACTGCTGAGAAGGCCGCCCACATCGTAGAATGAGACTTTTCGCGCTGCCGAGGTGGGGTTGGCCCGGGGGGACGTGCCGAGAGGATCTTTCAGCAGATTGTCGTCCTCGCTCTGTCCGCTGTGGGCGCTCTGGGCACTTTGAGTGCGGGTACCGCCACTCGTCTTGCGCTCGGGAAATTGCCACGAATGCAGGTCCGCGATCCCAGTCTCGCTGCTACCACGGTTGTTGCTACTGGTCTGCTGGCTGTCATCCTCCTGCTCGTCGTCGGCTCTGACAGTCGGCGTAGGACGCGAATTTCGCACCGAGGTATTGCTGAAGATGACATCGTCTCCCTGGGGCATCTCAGGCGAATTGCGTAAAGTGGGATGAACGCCCAGGCCAAGGCCACGAACCAAGTCCTCGTCACTCCCCCAATGGCGATTCACAGTTGGGCGACGTGATCGTGCAATGCTGGGGCGGTCCATAGAGTCGACAAGAGAGCCACCCCTGAACTTGTTTTTCTTGACACCGCGGTCACGGACAAACGAGCCAAGCACTAGAGCGTTGGCAGCGGTGGTGGCGAACAGGAGTTCAACCGAGGCCAAGAGAGACCGAAGCTGTTGACTTCCATGAGTATCGAGGACACCGACGACGCGGTAAAACGTGACACCGACGACGCCCAGACTCATGGAAAAGAGAAGGGCGAGTTGTAGTCTTCGCTTTAGAGCCTGGTGGCTGAACATGATAATAGGAATAGGGAAGAAGACGAGCAGTAGGTCGGTGAAGATGTTGCAGGCTGAGGCGGTGATCAGCTGTGCGTAAGCCTGCCGACATTGGCCCCCCGGATCAGGAAGGACCTGCCAGTAGTGAGAGAAAGGGTGACATTCAGCGAGGCTGCTAATGACGACCGCAATGAATGTGGTCACAAGGGAAACGCGGATAATTATGACGGAAACGTGGGAGAAGCGCTCAGAAATGGCGTCATTGATGCGCTTGAAGAACTCAAGAATGGTGATCTTGAGAATCCAGAGGCTAAAGAGGGGCGTGTTAGTTCACAACGCACTGGCAACATACCAAGCCGGGGAGATGTTCACATACGTAGCGGCGTGGAAAATGCGACTCGCAATCACTAGACCACTAGCGATTCGCTTCTGACGGAGGTGGGTTTCAGACAGCGTGACGCCACTGAAATCGGCGTTGTTGGTGCCGTACTTGAGAATGATATGCACACAGCCCATGCGAAGGAAGAGAGGGATGATGGCGTAGGCAACGAATCTGTCCTCGACGAAAAGGCGCTCTGATCGAATGTACCGGCCAGCAATGCGAAGCACAATGACGGTGCAGCAGAAAAAGGTAATCCACCAGCAGACAAGCAGGGTCGGCTTATCCTCAGAGAAGAGATGGAGTGACGGCGGACTTGAGTAGAGAACCATGGCTGCGGGGGGGGTTGGAGGTGGGAAAGCCTCTCGCGGTTTATGCAGACAAAATGTTGTATGGCGAGGTGTGCGGTGATGAGTAGAGGACCGAGTCACAGCCTAGTCCAGTACCAGGCCAGGGCCAGGCGCAGAGTGACGCCCGTCCCGTCCGCATCCAGCGGAGAGGGGTGAGGCGGGAAGACGAGGGGACCAGCGGCGATGCGACAATTAGATGCGAAGATTCCAGACAACAGCTCCGGGCTGTTCCCATACTCCTTTTTCGTGCCAGGAACCCGTGGTAGATGGTCGGCTGCGCAGCTTGAAGAAGTGCACGCGTCGGCGATCACTTCTCTTCCAGACGTTTGATTTTCCGGTTGCTGCTTGTGCTCAATATACCGAATTCCCGGGCCAGGAAGAGTGTGGTTCCGTCTCTCGTTGTTTCGTGGGTTGGCGCCTATTTTTTTTGTGCGAGCCGACTTGTACCGGCAAAGTCTGCAGGCGATTGCAGCAGGTGTTATTTTAACCTTTCGAAAGGTTTGAGAATCCTGGATGGGTCGCAGATAAGGCTGCAGGAAGCAGATCTGGCCGCTGAGGAGAAGAAAAGAAAGAAAAGCAAGACAGCAGAAAACAGCTAGGGACGATATGGGTAGACAGATGAAGGATCTGAATATAGCAAGATCGTCGGCCGCTAGTGGGGGTGAGCGTCGCTTAGAGAGGGTACGAAGCTGGACGATGCATGGGCACGCGAGTGTGCAGGTGGGAGCTCGCGAAAGGAGGCAAGCAATCGGCCAGGCTCAGTTGTCGTGATGAAGGGGGGAGGATTGGGGGTGAGAGAAGAGAGAGGGCCGAGAGGAGAGGAGAGGAGGAGGCGAGGAAGGTGAGAGAGATAGCGGCCGGCGGACGAGGGCAGGAGCCGCGGACAAGGACATGGGGAGCAAATCAGAAATGAGAAGACGCTTTTTTAGCAAGAGCGATTGGGCAAGTAACCGCACCAGGCAAGAGCCAACGACAAGGCCAGGCCAGGTGCGGCGCGGGCGAGGGCGAGGGCGAAGAAAAGAGGCAGCGGGACCGATGGCCGAAAGAAGCAAGGGCGGTCCAGTGCAGAGATGGGCGTGGGAGGCAAGAGCGATCGCAGCAGCAGAGGCGGTGGCTGGCAAGCAACTATTTGCAAGGCGGACGCTCCAACAAGCGGACAGGAAGACGGGGGAGGTGCGCATCAACAGGGGGTGGGCGTAGTGAAGACGTGCAAGATAAAGTACGAATATCTTGCATGGTTGAGAGGGGAGAGGGGAGACCTCAGACACGAAGAACCAGTCATGCTTGCATTGCTTGGGGCGCTAGGACACTAATGCGGGCATGTGCGAGAGCGAGAGAGGAGGTGTGAGAAGAGGGTGATGTGGGTGGGGGGAAAGAGGAAAGAGCGCCTGGGAGGGAGCGAGAGAGAGGGCGGTGCATCACAGCTAACGCATTTCTTGCTCGGCTGTGGCAAAGCGCAGAGCCGTCTGAAAAATGCAAGTACTCGTATGAGCCGGCAAAAGATAAGATTCTCCGTACATACCCATTGTAGGATGCACGAATGTAAGATACTTCCGTACTTACTATGTACAGTGCTCCGTACTCCGTGCAGTGATAAATGACAATGGCACCTGGCCGGGGAGCGTTCGCATTGTCGATGGACCGACCCACTCCAGCTACCAAACCTGCGGCACAATAGCCAAAGAGGAAAGGCTAGACCCAGCAGGAATGGCGGCATCGGTGACCAGAGCGGTGGAAAGAGGCTATAACTTGTACATACGACACGATGACGCAGTCGCATGCAGACATGGAACGCTCAAAAACCACAGGCCGCCGGGCGTCCGCAGCGACTGGACGAGGCGAGGACTCTGGAAGGATGCAGACACATCCCGTTAGGTAAGGGAGGGTAACGAGCGCAGCGAGATAAGAACGTTTCGTCCAGTGGCTTGGCCAATTTTGCCGGCTCTGTTGGCGCTCGCCGTTGGGCGACATGACAGGGGCTCCACATGGCCAATGAGTGCTATAGTTGGACGCAGAGCCATCACACTCGCCGTAACTCGTACTCCGTACCAATAGTTCGTTTGGGCGTCTGTGCGAGCCGCTGGACCAATCCGATCCAGGACCTGACAGCGGACAGAAAACGCTCAATGCTCTGCATGTCTCCTCAGAAATGCGACGTGCTGCCCCATACGGAGTACTCCGTACTATGTAAGATATCTTACTACTCCGTAAGACCATACGACGTATCTTACATCGTACATAGTCGTAATCCGTACTCCGTCTCGTCGTGCCCCCTTCCGCTTTGTCGTCACCGCTACCGGGTCCCTGCAGCAGTAGTCTGCGCAAGCTCAAACATCCCGGCTGGGCGGTAAAGATAGCAAAAACACCAAGTCCAGTGCAGGCCGAGTCGCCGTCGGACACTATGCGCGAGTACGAGTGCAGTACGAGTGCTCGTACAATCCGGACTCGGGGCTGTCCTACCTTGCCCTCGTATCTTAAAATGTATCTCACACAATCGAGACAGGATCGGCTGGACAAGGGAAAATAAATCACGCGACTTGGCTGCGCTTTTGTGGAGGTGCCGCCAAGGCGTAAGATCCCTGTACCCGTTTTTTCCCTCTCAGAAGCGAGTGCGACGGCTGGCAGGAATTGGGAAAAATTGATAAATAAGACGATAAAATAATATGCTAAAACGAGATACGGCCTAGTGCTGCTAGCCACTTGCGAGTAGCAGCCCCTTCCACCGACAGCAGCGCCGGCCCTGTGCTTAACCCTGGAATAGGCAGGTGTTGTGGCTGCTGCTCTGTATCTCACATATCTTAGCACTCGTATCGCTCTCTGTCCTGCAGCCAAGGCCATTTATGCAATACGAAAGCATGCCGATGAGTACCGGCCGCTCGCCAGAAACGGACTGCCTATTACAGCCCGCCCCTACAACCAGCCTTTCTGACAGCTCTGAGATACGAGTACGAGCAGCGTACGATCCTTCGCGCCAAACACGGGGCATCGACTGGGACGTGCCCGTTGATGTACGAGTATACTCCATACCTTCTCTACGACTAGTATCAGGGGGCAGGCGGCCAACTCACATGGCGGCCGTCAGTCGTATGAGCAGGCCACACAGCCCGTACTCCATGCTCCGTCTCATAATTACAGTCTCGGCGGCCAAGATAAGCTATCTCGGGCTGATGCTTCATGCCCAGCGGACACGGATACTATGCATCTTACGATACGGGTACAAGTTCGAGTTGCTTGGCTTGTCTTGCATGTGACAATGCTTTGCTTACCGGCTTTCCCCTAAACAAGGGACAGTCCCCTTTGAGTCACAGGGCTGAGAGGTGAGTTTCACGAGCTGTCCGAGTGAACTCCTGTTTGACCTCTTCTTTATCGATCGCCATCATCTACGACCCCTGAGAGCTCCTCTCACGACCACTTTCAGCCTTCCTTCTTCCCTCACGGCCATACCTCCAGCTTCTCCCACGCCCCCTCCACCACGCCGCCCTTGTGCACCGCCTGACCCCCCGCTCCCACGTACGTATACAGCCATCGCCGTGGATCGTCTCCGCGCGACAGGTCCGTCTGGTCCACCTCCTCCGGCACGATCACGCACACCCGGAAGTTGGCCCGCGCCTCTGCGTTTTCCAGGTCGTCATCGTCCACCGGCTTGCCCAGTCCCCTGTCCTCGTCCAATCGTGCCGTGCCCGGAGCCGGATTCCGGAAGCTGCCTCGCATACCGGGACTCATGTTGCCAAAATGCCCTGTCACCTCTCGCGCCCAGCTCCAGTCGTCTTCTCCTCCCTCTCCTGCCACACGACGCATCCGCTGGCTGATGGCCGCTCGTGCCACAGCTCCGCCTGCATCCTCCGCGTCCGGCCCCAGCAGCCAGGCCCGTCCGCGCACCCGCCACTGCGTCCCGGCTGCCCCAGACCACCACACCGCCTCGACCGGCCCGCCACCGTGGCCGCTTCCTGCTGGCACTGATGTGGACGCTGGCGCTGATGCGGACAGCTCCCATGCTTTGGCCATGCGCGCGTCCGTCGTGAACACGGGCAGGTCGCTCTCGTAGACGCCCGCAGGGTTGCGTCGCGCCGGGTTGCGCGCATTGTCCGGCAGAGACGCCCACAGCCCACGACACACACAGTGGCGAACCCGCGGCGTCACTGTCGCCTCGCCGGGGTGTAGAGTGCTGACGGCACCCAACGGTGCTGGCATCTGCGCCAGGTGTTCCAGAAAGAGCGCGCGCCACGGTGCAGCTGTGGCGATCCCAGCTGACGCCGCCGCTGCCGACGGAACCGGCGTCCGAATAATCATCTGCTTGTATTCTCTTGCGTACATGTGCCTGTGCGCGTTTTTGTCTACTCCGTAGGTGGGCTGCCGGTGGGCTGCTTGCTGGTGGACTGCTGCCGGACTGCCGGGCCTTTTGGCTGTGACGTGGGCCTAGAGCGTGATGACGAATCCAAATCGGGAAACCCCCCACCTATCAGCCGTTGTCTAGGGCTTTCTTCGGTCGCTCTTCAAAGTACCGCTTTCTACCCCCCATAGCATCGCTGCATATATCGTTGTATCTTATTGGCGCGTTTTCTATTGACCGGTTCTTGGTCATGTGTATGTATGTGCTTGCTTCCTGCATGTGCTGTCTAGATCCTGGAGCCCTCATATATGACCATACGCCTGTACGCCAGTTCGTCCCAAGTAAGATCCTATAAAAACTCGCTCAGAACCTTGACTCTTGTTCTTGCTATATCGACTCCTTGATCCCCTTCGCCCATTATGCGCATTATCTCAACCATTTTTTCTGCAGCTGTTAGTACCACATCCTTCTCAAGATAGGGCAATGAGCTACGTACCGATGTCCGCTCTGGCGCGTGCGTATAACGGGTCCTTTGCAACACCTGCAGTCCCATTTTCGTTCTTGTAAACGGCCTCTTTCAAGACACCGCCTATGCACAAGGCCTCCAAAAAGGCACGGTGGTTGAACACCCACCAGACTCTGGCCTCGTCTCGAAAGAGCTTGAAGAGCACGAAAAATGACGTGATGGCGTCGTGTGCCGCCTCGAGAGTACCGCGCACGTTGACAGGCACGTCGGGAGACTCAGATGCATGCACCAACATCAGGTTGTGGAAGTAGTTGCTGCTCAGAAACAACGTCTGGCGCACAACCCGCTTGTTGGTTCGAGAAAGTTGGGTCAGCGATTCTGGATCCCAGCTGCGGAAAATGTCCGGAAAGCTGCGGTATATCGCTCGAAAGTCCGCGACCAGCTTAGACTTGTGGCGTGTCGTGGTGCAGATCGGAACGTCAAGCGACCGTGGGCTACTTATGACTTCTTGGACCAAGTTTGCCAGAGTCCAGGAGCCTCTAATATAGGCCGTATCAGTCACGCTGGTATCGTAATTCGGATCCACGCTCTCTTCCTCCTCTAGCTCTTCCACATTGACGTCCGTGTGTGTTGCTGTTGGTGGAAGCGACAGAAGAATAGTCAGGAAGGTGTCTTGCAACAGAACTGCCTGCCACAGCTTCCGGCGTTGCTGCTTCTCATATGGACTTGCATTTGGGGCCACTTCAAAAAGGGAGTCAAAACGGCATTCGTGGTAACCGGACAAGTATGAAAACACTGACCTATATTCGGATCCCGGTGCAGGCCCATGGCACAAGCCTGTCGCATAAGAATGCCGGCAAATGCCCAGCCATCAGAAGCATGGTTGTCGTTGATGAGAAAGTAGGTAACCAAGACCATAGCCTGAATAGAGCGGATAGAGGCAGAACTGAGGTAGCAGCTAATACGTAACGCCTGGTTGCTTGCTGACGCGTAAAACTCCGAAGTTTGCTTTCGTTCGCTATATGTAGTAGCGGTGACAAATTGAGTGCCTATGGCGAGCATAGCGAAGAGCACGCCAACGAAGGCAGGATCAACACGAGCTCTGTCGTCCGGTCCTAGCGCCCAGAACTGCTCTAGGTCGTGGTAGAAATATCGCCTGTCAATCATGGGATAGACGGGGTCCACACATTCAAGGTAGCGAACGAGAAGCATGTCGCACTGCCCTTTGTCAGGCAAGACGGAGATGACCTCGGGCAACCCGCCCTCGCAGGTCCAATAGTTGGCAAAGGGATGCTCAGACCCAATTCCAAAGACGTTTGATGCAGTGGATCCGGAGTAAGGAGCATTGGCAAGCAGTCCCGTGGAGAGGGCGACGGAGCCTTGAGATTCGTTTTTCGCATTGAGGATGCCGCGATCGGCAATGTTCGGGATCGACATCAGGGACGAAGATCCGGTGTTCTTCTTGGACAATAGCGGCCGCGTCACCCTGCGACCACCAGCTGCTGCGGCAGTTCTGTTAGTTTCCCTACAGAGAATTAGCATCGCGCACGGCGTAACGACTTTGAGGGACATGCCATACTCGAGCAAATTCGCCACATGAGCATACACGCATTCGGTCTGACGTTTGATGCCTTTCTATGTCAGCAATTCGGCTTGATAGGACAGACGGGACTCTGTTGTTTACAAATGGGAGACTATCTTCCGGGAAGAACTCACAAGAAAGGCAGTGAGGTCGACCACGGTCACACTGATAACGCTCGAGTCAGTGGTGGGCAAATATGCAGTGGAACGAACTGCATACCTTTGTTTTCCGTTCCACACATTCAGAACAAGACAATGTTGGCTTGTTGCGCTTTTGCTTCTTCTTAGACGGCTCCGTAGGCGAGCTGTCGTCGTTGGCATTGGTGTCTGGAAGTTCAGAACTGCCATTTCTATAGCCGTTTTCTGTACTGCTTCCGTTGTAGCTAAAAGAATTGCCACCACCGGGCGTCGCAGAAACATACCCATTACTGCTACTGACACTGCTGACGCTTTGGGTCGCAGAATTGTTGTCGTTGCTGTTGCTGCTGTTACTGGGGTGGCTTATGCGAGGCAGCTGCTCCCCTTGTCCGGGTTTGCTTCTGCCCCTAGCTGACATGTTCGCCGAATCGCCTTCGGCATAGTTGCCACCATTGGTGCCGTAGCTCGCAACGCCATAATCGTACTCGCCATCACCATCGGCATCGTCCCTCCTTTGCGTGTTCAGGTTCATACTATGTCCGGAGTAATTGTGGCCGATGAAGCCATGACCCCCGGCGCTGGCTTCGACTTCAACTCTCCCACTTCTGCTTCCAGCCGTGTGACTGATGGTAGTAGCTGTATTTAATCCATCCTGGCCGGATGCAGCATATATACTATCATGGGCCGGAAAGTCTTCATAGTACACCGGCGAGCGTTTTATATCCATAGTCTCTGTATGATTGGTGGTAACAACGACGACATGGACTAGGGCAGCAGCTGGAAATAATAAAGATAGGAACGTGATTGCTCACGATGGGTGACCTAGCCGGGAAATAACAGTGCTCGTAGCACACGGCAATAACAATATGTTGCTTTGAGTGTGGGGCGGACTGAACAACAGGGAGCCCAGTACGGAGGTACCAGTAACGGTAGACTAGGAATGGGGTTGTCGGTGGAGAGGACGGTGAGCTGGTGTGTGGGATGTAGTTGGATTAAGGTGACGACCAAGTTCGGAAGCTATGGGGGGCTTGGGGCTGAGCTTGTCTTTCCCGTGATATATCCCGGGAGTAAGGAATACAATATTTCAAAAGAGATCGCCTTGAAAAAAGAGACTTAAGCAATCCGCTGGTCGGTAGAGAATCGAGAGTAGAGGTGTGCAGGCGAGCATAATTTGCTGAGGTTCGACGAGCCTATGGGTGAAAAGCGGGGGATAGGGGGGCTGAATGGCAAGAATTGCTTCCAAAAGCCGACTTGACGATGTTGGTTCGGGAGAAGGTGTGCCCAGGGCAAGTAATGGTGGGGAGAAGGGTGGCAGAAGCAGCCAGTTCAGGGCAAGCAAAAGAGCCTAAGTAGGATAGTGACAGACGGAAACATAGCTTGCCGTCCCAACCCAAAGCCCAAAAGTGACAGCCTTACAGGGTAAGACTTGTAAGCCGTCACGCCCAAAACGACAGCCGTGCGAGAAGGTTGGGTGGACGGGAAGGCTGTGAACGGGACCAAGCTGTGCTCGAGTGGAAAGCCTGCCGGTTCACATGTAGGAAAAGGCGCTTGGGAACCGGGCTGGAAGAGCGGCGGCACTGTTGGCGGGCAATGTTTCTGCTTGCCGCGTGGTTTCGGAAACCCGGAGTAAGCAGTGGGAATAAGGCTGGGCAGAAAACTCGTATGGGCAGTGGGAGTAGCCGTGCACGGGGAGGGAGCTTTGCAGAGGAAATACTTCTGGGAAGGATCAGGAAGAGGTAAGGAAATAAGATAAGGGGAATTACTGATGGGAATAAAAATGCCAGATAGAGGGTCTGGGGGAGACGAGGGGGGGTGAAGTAGGGGCAGAGTAACAACGGGTCGAAATGTGAAAGAAGAAAGCCGAGAGGATGGAGACGATGGAGACGATGGAGACGATGGAGAATCTAGAGAGACGGACACAAAGATAGCTTACATTGGACAAGTGACCAGAGACGGGATGCAGGAAGAGAGGGGGGAGAGGGAGAATGAAATAGAGGACAAAAGAAGCTGTCCGAAGGGCGATAGACGGACGGAGAATTGGAGGAGCAAGCGCCAGAGGGGGCAACCAGAGCAGAGGCACCCTTCGACACATAGAAAACAGGAAAGCACCTTCCTCGCAGGCTTGACGCACACATACGCAATACGCAGAAGAAGGCGAGAGGCACGCGCAGACACGAGCGCGCGCAGGAAGGCACGGGAGGGCACGAATGGTCCCCCGGCAGGCGGCAGCAGAGACAGCAGAAGCCATCAGGGGGTGGGTGCCGGCCGAAAAAGTGGGCAGGAGCGAGCGAGTCCACTCCCTCTCGGGGCGGTGGAGACGGGACATGTTCGTATGTAGTCGAGAGCAACACGCTCGCAGTAAGCGTACATATCACATGCAGCTGGGCAACAAAGAAAACGAACGGCAGCTACGATACGATAGTTGTAAAAATAAAACCGGAGCAGAACGACTGTCTGTCCGGGCGCCCTGACGGGCCTGGGCCTGTGGCTGGCTGGCTGGCTGGTCTGCTGGGCTGCTACATACGACATAATACATAGTATGGCCACGGAGGCAGGAAGCAAACTCTGTGCGGGCATGAGGAAGGAGCAGCAGCGAGTCCATGGCCTGTCAGGGCGCCCCCACATGCCCGACTGACGGAGCCGCTCTGGGCGGAGCCCATCCCATCAGCCCTTCCCTCGCGCCTTCGCGCTTTTCCCCCTCCCCAATGCACGGCCTCCCATTGGCACACTGGACAATTTGCCGGGGCTGCTCCGGTGGCCGGACGGTTTCCTAGCCTGTAGTGGAGCCCTCGCATTTCCTCTGCTTGTCGGAGCTTGCCTGCAAAGCCAGATCGGGGATGTCTGCAGCACTATTCGTACGGAGCACGTCTAGAGCATTACTCCGTCCACACACCACTCTGTACTCAACGTAATCGTGCATGCTCTGCCGTATGCAGTCATTATCGTGCGCTGCGTTGCATCGGAAGGCCCATTGCCCGCAGCGGCACCTTCGATTACACATTGTGCTTTTCGTTTTCTTGTTCATTTATTTGTACCGCCTGAATCGGCTTCGCGGTCTAGAATGGAAACGGCAGTTGATGCTGTCTGCACAGCTACTCCGTAAGGGGCCATGCCGAGGCTTGCTGCGAGGCTACCTGAAGATTCCACAGCCGTCCGGAAGATTGATTTCCCTCTTCAAAAACACATTATTAAGCTCGTTTTTACGGAGTATCCTCGCTTGTTTGCGGGGCCTTCCACCCGCGAGCTAGTCGCCCCCTTTGAGACATGCAAAGTGTCGGCTCCTCATGCAAATTGCAGAAATCCCCTATTGCAAGGCTGAGAAGCAGGGGCTGCCGGCCTTCCTTCGTTTCACCACGACGGCATGTGTACGTATATAGGCATTCTCCCGCTTTACACGCACGGCATCAAACGTTTTTCCTTTCATTACGAGAAACATATTGTAGGGACTGTAAGCCTCTAATTGAGAGGGGAACAAAACTGGGCGGGACATGAGATTGTTAGGAGATAATGAAATAACGTCAACGACATTGGGAACCCTACCGTTGCATTGTACTGTAGGCTAAAGAAAGAAGCAGACAGAGACACAGGAAGATGAAACACAGGCAACTGGAAACCAAGATGGAAACAAAGCTGGGTCATGCAAAGAGCCTGGTCTTATTGGGATTCAAATAAATTCTTTTCCTGCCTTCTTTTCATCTGCTTCGCAAGCAGATCTTTTAAGATCGCCTCCTGGAACTGGACGACGACTGGTTGTTGCCGGAATCCCTGAATCTACTCAGGAAGCTGAAAATCCCCCCTGATGAGCTCGTGTGGCCGCCGTTTCCAGCTGCGCCTTCGCTTCCCGTGTTGTTGCCAGCAGCAGGACCCGTAACAGGGCCACTGCCGATGCTTGAGCTACTTCCGTTGTCGTGGCAGATACGACTGCTACTGCTGTTGCCGCCACTCGGGCCTGTGCCTGTGTTGCCCCTGTCGTAGACACCGTCACCCCCGAAATTCATATACCGACCCGGCAACCATGACGTCGGCCGGACCGGTGGAACAGCACCGGGGAGCTGGTCTGCAATCATGGAGTTGCGGTTCCGATCGCGGAGCGACGTCGTTGACCATATGCGCTCATGGTGCCGCTCACGCTGGCGTTCGCGAGGTTGGCCTAGGTCCGGGTTCCGGTCCCGAGACCTGCGCTGTGCTTCGCCGCCTAGCCACGCATTCTGGCCACCGCTACCGCTGTTGTGGGAAGTCGTGCTCCATCGGCTGTGCGACGAAGATGCCGAGTCTTCACGGGTCACACCAAACACACCATAAAATTCCTCCATGTCCTGTTCAAGGTTGAAGCGTCGACCAGGGAGATAGGGCGGCCCAGGAATCGGCGAGTGTGAATCGCGTCGTCTCCTATCCGACGACGACGTTCTCTCCGAGTCCCGTGGGCTGCGGTAGCGGTTGGAAGGCACACCCGCACTCCTTCGTATAGCTTCGAGCCGCTCTGTCTGCTGTGCATTGGACATCGCCATCGGCACGCGAGAGCCGCTCGAAAATAGCACCCCCGGGATGCCTCCCAACCCGGACTGGCTGTTGCCACCGCCACGGTCACCACCTAGACTAGAGCTTGCCGTGCCGAAAGAGGCACTGCCAGGAGTGCTAGCCGGAGTGTCGTTGTAGGCGCCAGGCATAGGCATTGCAAAGATGCTGCTGCCCGCACTGTTGTTACCGCTGTTGCCGCCGTTGCCGCTATTACCGTTGTTACCGTTGTTACCGTTGTTACCGTTGTTACCGTTGTTACCGTTGTTGTTATTGCTGCTGCCGTTTGCAGCCGCGCCCTCAGCTCCGGCACCACCGCTCTCCACTGGATTGCGGCAAACAGGGCAGGTATTGTGCTGCTTCAGCCACATGACAACGCACTCCTCGTGGAACCAGTGCTTGCAGGGAAGCGTGACAACGTCTTCCCCCAGCTCAACACTCGATATGCAGATTGTGCATTCAGCGTGACCCTCCGGGCCAAGCAGCTTGTCGTCCACCTTTTTGTGCTCCAGTCGCTCGATGGCCGTCTGTGTCGCGGGTGGCGCACCGTTCGAAGGCGGGTTGGTCTCCATCAGCATAGTGATAATGCGATCCAAGGCCTCATCCGAATGCACCGCATCGCCAAAGACGTGGCCCTCCCTGCTGCTCAGAAGTGTTGCGAGCAGACCGCGAAGTGCGTCCGGGAACGCCGGCGGTATGCCGGTCGCCCTCTCCTGTTCCTCTCCAAAAGTAGGAGGCCCCATGTTGCTAGTGATATTTGTGAAGTGTCTGTCCATAGAGACATGTCTGGTCAGCATATGTCTACATAGTCGCAGAACAAAGTGCTCGATAGCAATATACATACGTGTTAAAATCACTCGATGGTCTACCTCCCATTCGTACCGGGCCTGTGGCGATGGTGACGTTTGTTACGCCGTTGCGGAGGCGTGGACCTCTAAACGTCGGTTGTTGTACCCGCCTGACCGAACTGTCTGCAAAAGTTGGGCTTGAACCACCAAACGTTTCGCGGCTGCCGCGACCGTTGTTCTGACCGCCAAACAGAATCTCCGAGCCTGACCGCCCTGCCTGTACTGTCCTAAAGCTGTTCAAAAACTCGCCCAATGTGGCTATGATATGCGTTGGTTCGCTTGGATCGATACCCCCGACCGGCCTGCCCGACGGTGTCCTTCTTGTGCCACCGTTGCTTGACCGGCCGTTCGGGAAGGACGAGACGGTGCGGTACATGTATATTCCGTTGGGCCCATACGTCTCGTGTTCCTCCACCTCGCCTATGTCGGCCTCTTCTGGGTCGGAGTCATTTGCTGAGCCGTGACGGTCGGCACCATGACGGTGGCTGTGACGACGGGAGCGGTGGTCGGGGCTGCCAGGAAAAGGAGAGTCGCCATCGTCGTCATCGTGTAGATGGCCGGGGCCGCTGGGTTGTAGGAGGTCATGGAGCCGAAATTGATCGTTGCCAGAGCCGGCGAAGCCCATCAGCGCTTCAAAAGGGTTTATGCCTCCCGCGTGAAACTCTCGCGGGTCGCTATCCTCGGAGACCTGTTGGGGGGACGGAAATAGCTAGTCAGTAAAGACAGCGATCATCAAGAAACGGGATCGCTAGTACTGACAGTTTCTATGGCATCGCTGCCACATCTCGGACATGGTGGCGGTGGCGACGAGTCACGGCTAGAACGGTACCATTCATGCTCGCATCTGTGGCAGTAGATGATATCTTGACCATCGCGGCGATCGAGCTGTTGGCGCGACTGTGGATAATTTGCAGACATATTGGTGGCGCTGGGATTAAGCCCAACTCTCGGTTTTGCTTGTCTGTGGTAAGACCAGCGATGCCCATCCAGCAGCGATGCTGACGGCACGGCGGACTGCGTGAGATGACTGGGAATATGTCGGTAAGGCAGACGGCAGCCTGAAAGCGATGTTGGTATCTTACAGCGTTGGGTACGTCAGCAACCCGTTGAGACGGTTGGGCAAGCGGGCAGCTTTGATTTGTGATGGATATGGGTGTAGTGCGAAACTGAGGGGTCTCCGGTAGGCCACACTGTATTGGGATACAAGTTAGGCTGAGATGGGAGCACTGACCAAGCAGCCGATTAGACTAGCAAGGGGACGGACGACCCAAAACGACGATGAAGACGCGAATGTTGAAAAGGAGGCCTGAGGAGGAGGAGGGAAGTAAAACATGCAGAGGAGAGGAAAGCGATGCCGCGAAGCAGATGGAAAGATTAGAAAAGTAGCAGTGTGAGAAGCGGGAGGGTGCAGGCGAGACCAAGGAGGATGTATCTTTTGTATGCGCAACGGCCAGCCGCATTCGTTATTTCGGGCGGAGAAAAGGTGTGCTTCTGTAGAGGGCAAATTCGGTTAATGGCTCTGTTTGTGCTTGTCTGCGCTTCAGATTAGCTGCGTCACAAGCTGCCATCACTATTGTCACTGCTGTCAGAGTCCTTGCTCGACAAGCACGGCATGCCTACCGTTCACTTTATCGGGAACGTCGGACCGTGCGGGGAGGCTGAGAGTAATTAGGGTGCTGCAGCGAAGCAGCGAAACTAGAGGAGGCAGATTAAAAATAAGAAATGATGATATGTGAGGACAGGGGCGAGCAAATGTGCAGGCGGGATGAGATGTAAGTGGCTGTCTAGAAACGGCAGCAGGCAGCGGTGGGTGGCGACTGCCCTGTATCCGGAGTACAAGTATCTTGCCTTTTTTATTTGTTTCATTATCAACAGAAAGCAGCCAACTGAGCACGGCTACATGACATCTGACAAAGTGAGCATCAAATCACCATAGAATGAGTTCATCTGGCCCGGTACAAAATAGGCGGATCTTGCAGAACGTTCCAGCCCTGCTGGGAATGGCTTGTCCTCGTCTTGGCCTAGTCCTGGGCTCGCCTTTCTGGCGGCAGACAGGTGCAGAGCATGCGCTTTGCATTCGAAAACGCCTACAGAGTATTATCAGCTGGATGACATAGCAGGTGAACAGCAGCAAAGACGGGCATATTTCTACTCGTACGGAGTGAGATACAAGTATCTTACGTCTTACGGCTCCACACGGAATGCGCTGTCAGATCGCTGCAAATAGATAGATGGCAGCTCCGTTCTCGTGCACTTTACTCGTAGGTGCAAACACCCCTCCTCATGCCCCCTCCACACTCTCGCACTCGCCCCTCCGCCCCAGCCACAAGAATGCAAGCCCACTATTCGTACAGCAGAGGCAGCGTTGAAACCTTGATTCATGTGATATATACTGAGTGGCGTTTGGTTTGTGCAGCGTTGTGCCTGGCCTGGCTGTGCGGATGGTCATGGTCATAACAAAGGCGGCAAAACAGCCATGGCAAAAAGGCAGATGCAAAATCAAACTTGAACTCCTCTCCAGACTCCCCCGAAACCTCTCCCCCAAAACACCGGCGTCTATTAGAACAGCATACGGGAATCACCTCCGGCGGCCCATGTTGCGCAGCAGCACGCCGCCGACGACGCCAGCCACGACGGCGATGCCGCTGACAATGGCAACGCCCACCAGACCCTCCTTCTGCACCCTGTCGTCGATCAGCGTGTTGAGATTGGATGCCTGCTGGTTGGTAGGCTCCTTGTCGAGCAAGAGGTCGTTGTAGCGACGGGCCTCGGCGTAGTTGCCCAGCTTGTAGTTGCCGAGGGCGAGGTAGTAGAGGCACTCACGGCGTCGTTCCGGAGACGTGCGGAAGATTTCGGTCAGCAGCATGACGCCCTGCTGCTGGTCGCCGCGTACATTCGACTTGACGAGGCCCTAGAGAGTGTGGGTGTCAGGAAGAGTCTGCTACCACGGACCGGCGCACGGCTGCCAAGGGGGAGATGCCTACCCATGCAAAGTTGAACTTTGTCTGCACGCCCACCATGTCGCCCTCCTTCTCGTATTGCGCACGCAGCACTTGGAGCTCGGCCGCGTTCAGCGGCCTGTGTCTACCGTGTCAGCCAGGGGGAAGGAGAGGGAGTGTTGTAATCCGGCACGTACGTCTCGGCGTCTACTGCATCTGTGAGGGTCAATTAGCATTGTCAGTCACGGCCACCCGGTCCCATTCCGGCCCTCGGCAGGCGGGAGGCGGGAGGCGAGAGGGAGTAAATGTAGATGTAGATGTTGCATACAAGGGAGAGCGACGCCCATTTTCGCAATGGTTCGGCCGAAGTTGCTTTTGGGAGGGGGGATTGGGACGAGGTCGAGCGAGGAGCGAGGGCGCGGAGCAGTGTCAGAACGGGTATGGCAGATGAGAGGCCGACGAGGACGGAAGGACGATGACGTTTGTGGGTTGAGAAAAAGAGAAAATGGTTTACGAGTAGTCGTGGTTGTTCGCAAATGTGCTGCCGCCTCTCCACCTTCCCGCCACCTCCGCAGGCTGGCCCTCTTCCCACCAAAGTACCGGGCAATTACAGCACTGCGGCGCTACGGACGCTGCGAAGCTTGGGCGCGCTGGCAGGCAGCCAGATCTTAGCGGCTGGCTGATGCTGTAAGGCACCTGATGGCAGCTAAACCCGCTACAGCTCTAGCGGCCGGCGTCTCTGGGTGGTCATGCGCCTGACGAGCGAGGCCTACTGTCTTTGCTCGTACGATGGTCCGTGCTCGGCGTGCAACCCCCCCTCACTTGGCGCGATAAGATAGTCGCTGGAGCGACGCGTCTGCCTGGCGCAGATTCGACAACACACGCTTTACACGCTGTCTCAAGACATCCGAAAATTCGATACAACACGTTCCAGCTACTCGATCCAATCCTCACGCTCACGATGCTGTTCGAAGAGGACCCGTCGGTCGTAAGTGTCTTGGTGCTGGTTGCCGAGGCGGATTGCGGGATGCTGACACGTGCTCTTGTCCGCAGCTGATCCAACATACCGTTGACAACTTCAACATTGGGCCCGACAAGGCGGCCGTTGCCCGCATCAAGGAGTCTCTGGCGACGCTGCAGGAGGCGCGGCAGCTGCAGATCGAGCAGACAGAGACCTCTCTCAAGAGTGTGTGAAGCAGGCAAGACGACCAGAGGAACAGTGCTGACTCATCTTCCTAGAGCTGGCCCGCCAGCTCAACACGCTCGGCTCCCAACACGACGAGCTCGCAGCCAAGCACTCGGCGGCGGCGCACGCCTCGACCATCTCGGCGCTCGACACGGAGAAGTTCCGCGTGGCCAAGACGGCATCGGACCTGGAGATGGAGACAGAGCGGCTCTCGGCGCAGGCGGCAGACCTGTCGGCGCGGCTGCAGGAGCTGGAGCTGCAGGGCGATGACGGGCCGGCAAGCAGCGATGGCGGCAGTGGTGGAAACGGCAGCGGCAGCGGCGGCAGCATGGCGACCGAGGACGAGGTGCTGCTACGGCTCAAGGTGTACCGCAGCCTGGGCATCGAGCTGGAGCGCGACGGCCGGGAGGGCGAGTGGACACGGGCCGTGGTGCGCAACGACCGCAAGGGTGACGTGCACGTGGTAAACATGGACAAGAAGTTCTCGCGATTCTTCTACGCCAACTACTTCTGGCAGACGCTGTGATCTGGGCCGAGCCAAGAGGATGGCAGACCTTGAAGGGACACTCATGAACCGGGACGACTACTGGGGCTGGGGCACGCAGCCGGCGTTGGGGTGTTGGAGAACTTTTGCTGATTTTGTAAAGGGTCTGATGATGCTGTGAAAGGTCGCTTGATATTTCAGGATCTTACGAAACAGGTCTATCTACAATCGTTCTAGCCGTGATGACTTGCAACTGAAGGCTGGGCTGTTGGCGGCTTTCCTCCACGGCACGGAAGGCGCTAGACAGCCTCCACCCCGCCACTGCCCGATTGGGCTGATTATGTCTTGTCGTAAGCAGGCAGCAGTCAGCAGTCAGTCGACAACGCATCGAGCTTCCTTCGACCAGACGCAGCCGAAAGTCGAAGACACAGAAAAACATGTGCGGAGCAGGACACGAGTCTGCAGCGGCCGACTGGTCCTCAGCCGAGCCGTTCCCGTGGGCCAGCGGCCGTGTCTGCGATGCGCACTGCCACGCAACCGACACGATGGCGGCCGTGGCAGCGATTCCGATGATGCAGACGGCCGTGCTGACGGTCATGTCGACGCGATCGCAAGACCAAGACCTGGTGGCGGCGCTGGGCGCGGCTGATGACAAGGTCGTGGCAGCTTTTGGCTGGCACCCGTGGTTTGCGTACCAGCTGTACGACGACGGCAGTCAGGCGGACAAGGACAAGACAGACGGTCCCGAGCTGACCACGATGGACGACAAGCGGCGACACCTGGCGGCGGTGCTGACGCCAGGACCATCGACCGAGGCACAGGCGGCGGCGCTCGATGCCCTGGCGGCCAGCCTGCCGAGCGTGCGGCCGCTGTCAGCGTTTGTGGCCGAGACGCGAGCCCGGCTGCAGGCCGATCCGACGGCGCTGGTTGGCGAGATCGGCCTGGACCGCGCATTCCGGGTGCCAGAGGGCGAGCCACGGGACACGACGCCCGCTGCACAGGCCCATACGCCGGGTGGCCGCGAAGGCCGTCGTCTCTCGCCGTTCCGCGTCCAGCCAGCCCACCAGGTCGCCGTTCTCGCGGCACAGCTGCGGCTGGCGGCCGAGATGCGGCGATCGGTCAGCGTGCACGGCGTCCAGGCACACGGTCTGCTATTTGCCACGCTGGCGACCACCTGGCGTGGCCACGAACGCGATGTGCTCTTGCGCCGACAGCGACGACAAGTTGCCGAGAACGCCGAGCAGAGCAGCGACGAGGAAGACGGGCTGGACGCGCCCCAGAGACCGACAGAGAAAGGCCGGCCTCCTCCTACCTATCCTCCTGCTATCTGCCTCCACTCGTTCAGCGGTCCCGTCGAGATGCTGCGGCAGTATCTCGACCCCCGCATCCCTGCGGCCATCTACTTTTCCTTCTCGACGGCCGTCAACTGCGGCACCGATGACGGCTGTCGCCACACGCTCGATGTTGTCACAGCCTGTCCCGACGATCGTCTCCTCGTCGAGAGCGACCTCCACGTCGCTGGCCCTCCCATGGACGCCGCACTCGAGGACATCTATCGCCGCGTGTGCGCCATCAAAGGTTGGCCGTTGGCCGATGGCATCCAACGAATCGCCCAAAATTACGACGCCTTTCTGCGTGGCCGCACAAAACACAAGAGATGAGCAGGACAGCTCAGCGAATCAATCAAGCTCAATGACGGACGATCTCTGTTTGTATTCCTTGCCCTGCCCATCAATTCCTCCCATCTACCACACATTAAGAAGGCGTCCTGATGATGTACCTCCCGTTACCCAATAAATCCAATTAGAAACAGGACAACCATCCAAGTAAACAGATAGGAGAGTCATATGCAAAAAGGAACCGCTAAGCTGAATGAGGACTTCATGACGCCAGTAGAGAGAAGGAAAACAAGAATAGGAGAATATGCACACAGTACAAATGGGGGGCTCATTAGGACAGAAAACATTACGGGGCAAAGGCAAGAGAGTCGAAACAGGACATGTGCGCCTTCCTGGGCGCCTGTTCAGTAGTTGTTGCCGCCTGGATTGTACTGGAACCCGTCGGCCACCATTGACGCCTCTGCTTCGGCGAGGTCGACGTACGAATACGCAGACTCGGCAAAGCCGGCTGGCGCCGTCATTGAACCGGGCGCTGCATATGGCTCTTCCGCGAAGCCGGTCTCGGAATAAGCAGGTGGCAGCGACTCCGTGTCGTCAAAATCAGAGTAGTCAATGCCGCCGAGGTCGCGTCGATCGTAGCCGTAGGACGTGCGGCTGGTCGATGTTGACGTTGTTGTCGCGATGCCAGGACGCGGTAATGGCGAGACCGTCGACGGTGGTGGCGGCGGTGGTGGCGATGGCCGCGAGAGCGATGCTAAAGTCTGTTGCTGCTCCCGCTGCCGTTTCAGCTTCGCCGTCTGCGCCACCGATAATCGGCCCTCTTCGGCTGCGATGATCTGGTCCACCACGTCGGCAGCCGCTCGGAACGACGCAATCTCTTGTTCCATCGTCGGACTTGGCGTGCGGTCGTGGTCGGCACCGAGCGTCTGGGAGTCACCCTGTTGTTTCTTCATATACTGCTCGGGCTGTTGTTTTTGTTGTTGTGGCTGGTTTTGCTGCTGTTGTGGCTGCTGTGGCTGCTGTGGCTGTGGTAGTGGTGGTTGTGGCTGTGGATGTCGTAGTTGCTGATGTAGTAGTGGCTGCTGCAGCTGCAGCTGCAGCTGCTGTTCCTGCTCTTGTAGCTGCTGTTCGCGCACCTGTCGTTCCCGCCGCTGCTGCTGAATCTGCTGCTGAAGCTGCTGCTGTTGCAAGATCTGTTGATGTTGTTGCTGGAGCTGAAGCTGAAGCTGCTGTTGCTGTTGCCGCTGCACCTGCTGATCGTCTCGCTGCTGCTGCAGTTGCTGTTGCCGTTCTGCCTCCTGCAGCAGCCGCTGCTGCTCGTCCGGCTGTTCCTCTCGCTGCTCTGAGAATGATCCTCGCGGAGACGACGGTGGCGGAACCACGACTGCCTCGATGTGGCCGCGCGCTGTTCCTGGCTGCTGGTTTTGCCCTCTTGAAGACCTGCCCAACAGCTTCTCCCTATCGCGGCCCCTTCCGGAGAGGATGCGCTTGAGGAAATACAGGATCTTGGCACCGACACTCATCCGGTCCCTACGATCCTCACGACGCACCTGCTGCCGGGTTTGCCGGCTGGCTCGCCCGCGTTCCATTCGCTCTCGGTGCTTCCTCGTAATACTATGCCACCGTTCCGTTAGTTGTCGTCGGATGTTTGCGCGCCGCCATCGGTTCCTGTTGCGAAAGACACCGCCGCTGTCTGAGCCGCCTTCCTCCACATCGCGGTCGTGACCGTGCCACTCGTGCATCCTGTCTCGGAAATGGTGCACTGAGCACATGACGAGGCAAGAAATGGCCGCAATCGTCATTATGTAAGCAAACATGCCCTGCAGCGTAGAGAAAGCACAACCTGTTAGCCTCGCGTTCGTGAAAGACAAAGGACACTTGAGGGGGAAGGCCATCACATACCCGGTAGTTGTGCGTATGGTTCTTCTGGTGCCCTGGCCAGGTCCCGAGCCTGCTTGCCTGGTTCTCCTCATCTGACCCAGCATTCTCAGCTGGCGGATCGAACTCCTCTTCGCTGCCGCTGTTGTCGTCGTGGTCATGGTCATGGACGGGATCGGGATCGGGATCGTTGTGGGCCTCCTCCTCGCTCGGCGTGGTCGGCGCTGCGCAGCGGAGGAGAAACGGAGGAGGGGGAGGCGGCGGCGGTGGAGGGCCGGCACGGCTGTTGTTGCTGCTACAGACGAGCGGCTCGTGGGGTGGATACAGCTGTTCCCAGCTGTGGCTACCGGTGCTGTCCTGGACCCGGATCGCGGCGTCGTCCCAGCTGCTCTTGCCGATGAGGCTGGTGATCCGGTGGAAGAGGGCGCCGAGAAAGGAGCGGTCCGAGCAGGCCAGCTTGACGGACGAGGCGCCAAAGCGCTGCCGCATGTACTGCTCGCGGGCGCGGATGTCGTGCTGGATCAGGAGGGCGTGCTGGTGCATGGCCGCGAGGCTCTGCTGCCAGGCCGCCAGCTCGGCCGCGTCCAGCTCGGCAGCCGCATTCGGGCCATCGTTGTTGCCGACGAGAGCCGGCACCTCATTAAAGCGGAACGCACTGGCTGCCCCCTCAATGTCGATGATGCGTACGGGGGCCGTCTGGCGGAACCGGATGATCAGGTCGCTGTCGTCGGGGCCGTCGCGCGTCAGAGCCACGCCGTCGAAAGCCAATACCCGCAGCTGAAGGCGCTGCTCGCGCGTCTTGTCGTCGGATGCGAGACAGTCGCTGGACCAGTGGCCCGTAATCACGCCCGGGGTACCGCTGCCAGCCTCGGTCGTCTCGCGGTCCAGCTGCAGCTCGATGCTGCCATCTGTGGACAGCAGTTGTCCGTTGACGGTGGCGTTGACGAAGCCACAAGCCTCCGACGACTCGAGCACATCAAAGCGGAAGTTCTGACGAAACGGTTAGCACGTCGATCTCTCGGGTGAGGGAGGGCAGCTGAGAGAAGACGTTACCAGATACGGGTTCCCATCGTTCAGCTGAGCAATGGGAAGCTTGACGGTGATAAAGGCAGAAGACGGCACATTCTCTGATACGACAAGACGTCAGCCAAGATGTCAATCCGAGACAGCAGATACAAAGCAAGACGGCACAGAGACCACCACACAGACACGGACCAGCAGCGACATGCCCGAAACGTATCACAATCATCCAATGACAAGACCATCGCGGGGATCCTCACCTTGATGAGATACGGCACCGGCGTCTCGCACCAACACCGATGCCAGGAGGAGAACGGCCTCCAGGAGGCCCCTCATGGTGGCGACTACAGCACAAGAGAACTATGGGGTGAAGAGGGGGGGGTGATAGGGGGCAGACTGCAGGCAATGGTAGGGTCAGTTGACCAGTATGCTGGCAAACAAAATTTTTATTATAATAAAAAAGGCAAAACGGCCTCGGGCGGGAGAGCAGTAAATTGGCCACCGGAGGAAGGTGCCGTTGGAAAGGGCCGTTTGTCCGTTGATGGAATTGAACGTGGACGAGAAGTGGAAGGCGCAGAGGAAAGAATATGGCTGCCTGGGAGAAAATAACGGCGCCAGCGGAGCAGCTCTCCACCGCCCGAGCGACCGATAAGACAGTCAGCACGCGTTGCAGTCGGGTCAATTCTGGCCACTTTGGGGAGAGAGGGAGCCCGTTCACGCCATGCGTTTAATTGCACCAGGCCGACCAATCAGAGTCCATGACGGCCCATTTCGCTGACGACTCTTGTCACCACAATGAAACGAACGTCTGGTGATGCAACGCCTGGTCAAAACAGCTGTCCATGAGTCTAATTGTGATACCCATACAAGTGATAGAATCCCTTCAAATCCCGCAACAGCACGATCCCTGTTTGTTCTTTACCATCCAACGCCAGAAAAATCAGCTCCAAGGCTTGTACCAACATATGAAAAGAGAGAAACAAGAAAAGGGAAAAAAGAAAAAGAGACAAAAAGATAAAAAACATGGCAAGACTATGAGCTACATGCACCGCATAGCCGTTCCTTCAAACCGGCCGCTGCCGTCCTGCGTCGCTCTCGCTGACCACGCTGCCGACCTCAGTCCAGCTGGTCGGCGTCATTAGGCTCTCGCCGTCCTCGCTGTCGCTGACCATGTCGTAGTACCGGCCCGAGCCTGCCTGGGATGCCGCGTCGCCGACAACCGTAGTCGAGGCCGTGGCCGTCGTGGCCGTCGTGGCCGGACCCCGCGTGCCATTCTCTGACGTGTGCAGCGGGGCGTCCACGACCGACAGCGAGTCCGTCGGCGTCAGCTCACCCGCGCTGATCACGTCCGGCTCTGACGGCGCTGCGACCGGCGACACCGGCAGCGGCGAGTAGAAGCCGTTTGCAAAGCTCGATGTGTGGGCCCATGCCTGGATCGAGTTGTAGGCGTCGCCGTCGTCGGTCTGCGGGTCCTGTCCGGCCGTCGAGAACTCGTTCTCAGCCAGGGCAAGTTCCAGCAGCTCGGCCGACGGAGCATCCGCGGCGTCCGGCTTGTTGGTCGGTCTTGGGGTCTCGGGGCGCTCGGACGCATTGTAGATGTCGGACAGCAGCTCGTCGGCCTCGGGCGCGATGTAGGCGCCCTGGGAGAGCAGAGATGCGCGGAGCGAGTGCTGCTGGGGCGTGGCGTCGTGCTGCTCGTCCAGCTCGATGCCGTACTCGTCGCTAAACGGGTTCGTGTACACAGACGCGTTGAGGCCGCGGACGCCTTCGGCTCGGCGTCGCCGGACCATGCTGCCGTTGAGCGGGTCGTCGGTTCCGTTGTTGTCGTAGCCATAGTCAGCACCCGTGTTGACCACAAATGTGCCTCTCTCGGCCTGGCCGTCCGGTCGGAGCAGCTGGTCGAACGACGTCAGCGGCAGCGCCGACGGGTCAATCCCGGCCGCTTCCGCTGCCGTCCGCGTCGCCTTCTCGACGGCCGCGATGGCCTCGCGCTTCTCCTGCTCCTCCAGCTGTCGCTGTCGCTCTAGGTGCTGTCGATTCCAGTACAGGATCTCCTCGCGTTGGCGGCGCCTGCTGGCCTCGTCGGCCACCACGTCGTTCGGGTCGCCGCCGGCTCCGTGTGATGACATCATGAAACCTTCCGCATCCTCCGGCCGGTTGAACATGGGTTCGCGTTCCGGCCGGGCGTGGTCGTTGGGGGCAATGTTGTCGCTGAGCGACTGGAGTGCAATGGCGATACGGCGACGGAGCTCGTCGGCCCGGCGGCGCACTTCCGGCGACTCATAAATGGCGATGGCCGTGGCCACAGCCACGGACAAGGCGATAACGCCAGCTGTAACGGCAACAGGGTGAATAGGAGGCATCTCAAGAGGAGGGGGGAATCGGTTGAGGGGTTCGAATGAGCGGACGTCTTCCTGTGCTCCGGCTGTGCAAGAGAGAGAGAGCGGAGAACGTGAATATGCAGTATGATAGAGAGGAGTAAACGTGAAAGGAGAGGATGGAATGGGATGGCGAAGCAGGTTGGCGGTAAGTCCAGGCACTCAGAGGCCTCTTGCCCAACCTACGCAATCCTTTGCCACAGAGCCGCAGGCAGAAAGATTACGGAGAATGGCTTGATGGGCGGGGCTGATGCACCTATCCACCCTTCACCAGGTTTCAGGGTGGGCCAGCGTTGCGGGCGCTTGGCTGGTGGGGCGGGCTAGAGGGGATATGCACATAGGCGGGCAGACGTCACTGTGGAAGCGCTTACCTTGGGCAGCTAGCGGTAGAGGCATAATGCGCCGCAAGCCGAGCTGTCGAGGAGGAGGGAGGACGGCAGAAAACAAGAAGGGAGAAGTTGGGGCAAAAGAGCGAGAGGAGAAGAAGAGTAAAGTAAAAAGCGAATTGAGACCTTGGATGGCAGAGGAGACAAGGCAGCAGAGTGAGCGAGGCTGTCAATCCAAAAATTGGCGGGAGAGTTTGGGGGAAGAAAACAGAAAGAATAGAGAAAGAGAAAAGAGAGAGGGCACACAGTCAAGTCTTAAGGGAAAGAGCCTGGAGAAGAAAGACTTACAAGAGATGTCAGGGCGTGGGGCCCGCAGGCAAATCGCTGCCGAAGGGCGGTTATTAATGGAGTGGCCAGCAGAAGGCGCTAGTCCAGTCATACTGCAGCATTTACTGCGGTGCTACTGCCATCTATAGTCATCTCCCGCTTCCAAATGATTACTTTTCATGTTTTTCATGTTTTTTTTCTGCATAATAGATAGGAAGCAAATCTAGTGCGTGCAACAAAGACACCAAAATCCGGAGAATCTTATCGTCGTAAAGCGGTGCTCTTCTGTCTCTGTCCGTCCCTCTCGCCCGGTAGGATCCGGTCCTCTACAGCTTCTCAATAATGGCGGCAGTGTACTCGTGGGTCTTGGCCTTGCCACCCAAGTCGCCAGTCAGTGCCTTGCCCTCGGCCAGCGTGGCAAAGGCGGCCTTCTCGATCCGGTCGGCGTAGTCGCCCAGGCTCATGTGTCGCAGCAGCATCATGGAGCTGAGCAGCAGGGCGGTCGGGTTGGCCAGGGCCTTGCCGGCAATGTCGGGGGCGGAGCCGTGGACAGCCTCGAAGATGGAGCACTCGTCGCCAATGTTGCCCGAGGGCGTCAGGCCGAGGCCGCCGATCAGGCCGGCGCTCATGTCGGACAGGATGTCGCCGTACAGGTTGGGCATGACCAGGACCTTGTCGTTGTAGGGCGTCGGGTCGGTGACCATCTTGAGGCAGGTGTTGTCCAGCAGCTCGTCGTCAAACTCGATGCCGGGAAAGTCCTTGGCGACCTCCTTGGCCACAGCTAGGAATAGGCCATCGCTCTGCTTCATGATGGTGGCCTTGTGCACGACGCGCACCTTTGTGCGGCCAATCTCCTGCGCCTGCTGGAAGGCAAAGCGCAGCACGCGCTCGCTGGCGTCGCGCGTGATCAGCTTGATGCTCTGCACCACGCCATCCACCACGATGTGCTCGATGCCCGAGTACTCGCCCTCGGTGTTCTCGCGAATCAGCACCGTGTCGACGCCGTCATAGGGTGTCTTGAAACCGGCGACGGACCGACACGGACGCAAGTTCGCAAACAGGTTGAACGTTCTCCGCAGCGTCAGGTTGAGCGAGACGTGGCCCTTGCCGATGGGTGTCTGGAGGGAGGAGGGGGGTTCGTCAGCAAGACATGTTCCATAGCGGCTTGGCGGCGAGCCGCGGCTTCGTAGTTTTGAACGTACAGCCAGGGGCCCCTTGAGGGCAACCTTGTTCCGCTTGATGCTCTCAATGGCAGCGGGTGGAATGGTGGTCTTGCCGTCGACAAGAATGGGCGTGACATCGACCGGCTCCCAGGAGATGGGAGCCTTGGCAGCGGCGAAGATGTCCTTCACGGCCTGGGAGATCTCGGGGCCGATACCGTCGCCCTCGATCAGACTGACGGGGTAGTTGCCCTGCAGAAAAGTTGGTCAGCTTCAATCTGCACGCGCCTCTGTTGGTTACCGCCAGTGCTGCCGCGAGGGTCTGGTCCGCGCGCGACTTTTCCCCTTTAAGCCGGCCTAGATTTGGAAATAGGCCGGCACATCCGCAGCGGGATCGCGGCAGTGTTCGGAGCAGCGCAGCAGCCCCAACAACAGAACGGGATAAGCTGTAGCGAGTATGAGGTGCAGTGATCGCTTACGCTGGCATCTTTCTTTCCGGTGAAGGCAGCAACGCGGCTGGAGTAGAATCTCTGGTTCTAGGTAGGGAGGGGTCAAGTCAGCACGTGAAAAGCTCACCAAGAGCAGCTGCTCAGGCCCCTTCAGTTTGGGGCCGAGATGGCCTCGGACGATCGCATGCACAGGGCGGCACGTACCTGCAGAGTGATGGTGGCAGTCGCGCGGGGAGCTGCACGGAAGCATTGGCGCCTGGCAGGGCCAGCAATAGCTCGGACGGCCAGCATTTTGGGTATGAAATTCAACAGGGCCAAAAAAAGAAAGAAAGGGCTGCAGAGGCGTCAGACCGATTGCGAGGCTGGACAGGGACGGGCAGACGGGACGAGGAGCTTGTAGTCGGACCAATTGGTGGGTGGACGAGCGCGTAAGGAGGAGAGGGAACAGAGGAGAAAATGGTGTAAAAGTCGGAGGATGTTGATCGAATGGCTGCATGTAAGGAATTGAGCGATAAATTTACATGTGTCGGCTACTGAGGGCCAGAGAAGGTAGAGGAGTGGGGACGACGTCGTAACTCCGTCGCACGAGAGGCTGCGACAGCTCGGAGGGCAGCAGGATCCGAAAGAGGCACTGTCGACCGTGTGGCTGTGGTGGCTGGAGATTACGTAATCATATTTCTATAGTATGGAGCACTCCGTACGATTTGGCGTCCAGCCTAGCAGCTTCAGTGAACAGTGAACAAGTCGGCCAACAAGAGACTCGACGGCACGGCCAGACGAACGACAGGTATTCGATTATTTCTAGATGCGGTGCGGTGCAAGCCGCCGTCGCTGCCGCCGCCGCCATGAGTGAACTGCAGCGGTCGGTGCTGGAGTTTTACCAGATCACGACGCCGTATCCGGAAGAGTGGCCAGAGACGAAGAACAATGCGAGCGACGCGTCGGATGACGAGGATGCCAAGCAGCGGCAAGCGAAGCTGAACCGGCGCAAGTCGCGGTACCAGGTGCTGGAGCGGACAGCGACGAACCGAAGCAGCACGGTGCCAGGATCGGAGAAGGGGAACCTGGTGCAGCGCGACGAGCCGGATCCTCTGGGGAGCGGCGAGAGCGTGGTGGAGATGCTGAAGCGCAGCCGTGCGGCAGGCAGCATCAGCATGACGATCCAGGATGACGCACAGCTGCGCAGCCGGTTTCTGCTGTCATCGACGAGCTTCTCGCCGGCGCTATTCCTGTCACAGGTGCACACCGACGACAGCACGGAGACGCTGGTGGCCGGACTGGACGCGGTGTCACGGTCGATCGACCAGAAGTCAGCATCGCTCAAGGTGCTGGTGGAGTCCAACTTTGAGCGATTTGTGCGGGCCAAGGCAACGATCGACAACGTGTACAAGGAGATGAAGTACCGGGGGGTAGATCCAGCGACGGCCGAGGCGGCCACGACGCCGCGAACACGAGCACACTCGCGGCACGCGAGCCGCAACAGCTTCCGGAGCAGCATGAGTGCGGCGGGACTGGCAGGGGGAGGACTAGCAGGCGGACTGGCAAGTGCTCTGGCGGGCGGCGCAGGCGTCGGGACAGCTGTGACGGGACCAGAGGCAGACAGCAGCCGCAAGCGAAACGCGCTCACCAAAGAGAGCGAGTACGGGGTGCTGGGGATCAAGCAGCCGCTGGTGGAGGTGTCATCCAAGGCGGAAGAAGTATGGGGGCCGGCACTGGGCGGACGGGCAAAGGAGGCAACGCTGCGCAAGGTGTCGGGCGAGCTGGAGCGGTTCCACGACTACGTGGAGGCGGGCGCAGCCATCACGGACTGCATCAAGCGCAACGACCACGAGAGTCTAGTGGAAGAGTACCAGCGGGCACGACGGTTTGCGGAAGAGGCACGGGCACTGGCGGTGCAGCTAGGGGGCCAGACGGCACGGCCGCCGACGGACGAACAGCTGCAGCAGATCGTGGTGGCAGCGAGGATGTGGCACGACGTCGAGGAGCAGATCCAGGCGTACAAGCGTGACGTGTGGCGCAAGCTGACGTCGGCGCACGGGCCGATGGTGGCGTCGATGGTGGCGACGCGAAGCGGAGGAGGAAATATGGGCAGCTTTGGCTACTCGACAGCAGGAGTTCGAGGCAGCGGCCAAGGCGGCTCACGCGACCAGCACATGGAGCTGATCGGGCTGCTGCTGGAGCTGGGCGTGGACGACAACCCGATCTGGGTCTGGCTGCTGAGCCGGTACGACTACCTCAAGGGCAAGATCCAGGCGACATGCGAGCACGCCAAGGTGGAGATTGAGGTGATGCGGCGACGTCTAGCCGAGGCTGAGAAGCCGTCGCCAGCAGCGATCGCCTCCCATCTGCGGGCGCTTGGCCGTGGCACCATCGAGGCCAAGATTGCGTCGCTGGACGCGCCCGACGTGATCGAGATGTGGGACAAGGTGCTGGCCTTTGCAGCCGGTCTGCTGTCGGCGCAGGGAATCCTGGGTGAGGTGGTCGAGTTCTGGCAGACCGTTGCCGGCTTCGTCGACGGCCGCACCCAGACGTCGCTGCCGACGGGCTTTCGCGGCGAGTCGCTGCACCACCATCGCCTGGCGCCGGGCAGTGCTGCCGACCTACACAAGGGCGCCCTCGAGCTGGTCGATCTCGTGCGCGAGCAGGTTTACGGCTTCTTTGCCGGGCCACCGCCCGAGGACGTGTCGCTGCTCTTCTCGCCCGTGCCGCCGTCACCACGCACGCCCGTGCCGTCGTCGTCCGTGCCGGCCTCGCCTGTCACCCCGCTGCAGCGTCTCCGCTTCGGAGCCCCGTATCAGCCGCAGCAGCAGAACATGCCGCCGCCACCGTCACACAACGGCGAGGCCTGGGAGAAGTTTGCCTTTTGGCCGCCGTGGTCCAACTCTGTCAGCGGCGTCCACTACCTGTCCGAGATGCTGGCTCTCGTCGGCGCTGGCGCTACTGAAATGGCTACTGTCGGCACTGGTATCGAGAGCGACGGCATCGCCACCGACACCGCCGACGTCGACCGCCTGCGCACGCTCGTCGGCGCCGTGCGTGAGCGCTGCGCCACCGCCTTGTGCGCGGCCTGGAACCGCGACGCCGAGAACGTCAAGTACCTCGAGGACTGGCACCGTGCTGCTGATCGCCGCGACGTCACAAAGATGCCCGCTGCCTTTGCCGCATTTGAGGGCGCTGTGCTCTCGGGCATGCAGAAGATCCTGTACGTGTCCGAGGCCATGGCTAAGCCCGGCGCTGGCGACATCGTCCTGCCCCCATCTGCCAAGTTGCTCCAGATGGTCCGCGCACAGTACGTCACCACCCTCTATAAGGCTCTCAGCGGCATGGTTGAGAATGCCGAGCGGCCGCTCAAGAAGGCCGACGACGACTGGACCACTACCGATGGCGACGGCCCCGGCACCAGCTATGTCGCCGTCACTGCTGCTACCACCATTGCCGCTACCGGGCCGCTCGCCGACAGTCGTGTTGCTGCCATCCTCGACAGTGGCGCTTTCAATGCCGGAGACCGGGTGAGTGGTGTTTGCTGTCCGTGCTGTCCGTGCTGACTAATGCTGACTAATCACATCAACAGAATGTCCGCATGCTCCTCACCCTCAGCAACCTGCAGAGCCTGCGGTCCGAAGTGGTGCCGCGCCTCAACACCCAGTTTGAGAATGCCTTCTCGGTCAAGCTGACGGACGAGACCAAGACGATCCGCGATGTCCTCGGCCAGATCGATACGCGCCTTTTCCTCTCGTACACGCGGCCGTCCGTTGACGCGCTGCGGCGCATCGTCCGGGCCGGCGTGCTCGACAGCAAGAGCGGCGGTGGCAGTGGTGGCACCAAGCCCAGCGAGGCGCGCCCGTACGTGTACGAGGTGCTGCTGCTGCTGGTGCTGGTGCACTCGCAGGTGTCGACGACGGCGGATTCGCTGACTCAGCAAGTATTATCGCACCTGCTGGAACAGACGTCACGTGAGCTGCTCGAGGCGCTGAAGCAGCAGACGGCGGCCGGCGTGCGCTACGATCTGGCGGGCCTGATGCAGGCCACGCTGGACGTCGAGTTCATCGCGCAGGCCCTGAGCCAGTACACGACCGAGCGGGCCAGCGAGCTGCAGGGCCTGATCTACCAGGAGCTGGATGGCCGCACCGACAACGACGCGCGCGCCCGCCTGCAGAGCGAGCTGCCCGAGATGCGCAGCGTCCTGAAGCGGCTGCGCGAGGCCAGCAAGAACGAGTTTGCCTGCTTCCGCAAGCCGAAGCGGGCGGGCGCTTCCGGCTCGGGCGGAACGAGTGGACGAGGCAGCCCGAACACGTCGGTTACTTAGTCAGCGAGAAGGTGTGCGTTTGTTCCGCTGTCATTGATGTCATGTGACTAGAGCGTTTTTATGTCTACCGAGAAGATGGAAATACAAGACTTGAAGATGTCCGGCGAGAGGTCCTCTCCGATCATCCCGCTCCTTTTCCCGTTTCCCGTTTCCGTTCATTATATCTTGCATACAAGCACTCGTTCGTCCAAAGCACGCGTCAGCTGGTATTCCGTTCCGTCCATAATCATTACTGAAGAAGTCTCGGGTTCGAGAAGTGAGAAGAGAGTTGAGCCGAAGATCACTCCCGCACCGGCAGGAGCAGAGCCGAGCAGAACAGTAGCTCGAAGGAGCGCGAGTCTGTGGGCGAGAAGATGGGATGATCTTGTTTTGTGGCCACGTCGTTGTCTGGGATGTTAGTGGGGGAGAAAAGAAAAGAAAAGAAAAAAATAGAAAAGAAAAAGAAGAAAAGCAAAAACGGATGAAAAACCAACGCAAACTCACAGTTCAGCTTGATCGTGTCGAAAAAGTTGCGCATCAGCGGATCCTCGTCGTCCGTGACGAGCATGCCATCCTCGGCCCGACACGACGTCCGCGGCAGGGCACGCCGGATGCCCAGCAGCATGCGCAGCAGGTCGGCGATGACGTAGCCCTGCTGGGCAAAGTCCTGGGGCGTGCGCTCGAGCGGCCAGGTGGCCCGCAGGCTCTCCTGGTCCCAGGCCTTGAAGCCCCAGGTGGACTTTTCGACGCAGCTGAGCAGGATCAGCGTGGTAAAGTACATGCTGTAGTCGATCTTGGTCTTGCTGTCCTGCAGCAGCCGCTGCATCGTCGTCAGCAGGCTGTGGCTGATCGCTGCCGCCTTGCGCTCGGCCCCGGCCGTCAGCTGCAGACAGAGCGTCGTGTACGTCTCCTGGTCCGTCTCCGCCTTGATCTGCCGCGGCGCCTCAACACCAACACCAACACCACCTTCAGCTGCCGGCTTCACCCGAATCTGCCACTGCCGTTCACGGTCTAGAATCTCCACCAATCCCCACAGCTCAATCGCCTTGCGCAGCAGCACGCTGTTCGTCTCCTGCGCCAGCGCCATCGACGTCTCCAGCAGCGTCCGCACAAACAGCGACGGTTCCCGCCGGATAAACTCCGGCAGCACGTTGCGCATGTAGTACTCCATCTTGAGCGGCACGTCGTCCCGCCCTGTGTCCACCATCACAATCTCCCCGTCCTTCCAGAGATGCAGCGGCGCCGCTACTGTTGCTGTTGCTGCCGTGCTGTTGCTGCCGCTGTTGTTGTTGTTGTTCTCTTCGCCCGTCGCGCTGCTGTCTCCTGGCGTTGCTGTCGTGCCCGTGTCGTTATTGCTGCTCCCTTCCACCTTCATCGCCACCTCCACCATGCCACCCTCGCTGCTGCTACTGCTGCTGCCTGCCCGTTCCACTGCCGCTGCCACTGCTGCTGCTGCTGCTGCTGCTGCCGTTGCTGCCGTTGCTGCCGTTGCTGTCGTTGCTGCCGCCGCTGCTGCTGCTGCCGTCGCTGCTGCTGCCGCCGCTGCGGCGCCCGTGTCGAGCAGACCGCTGCTCTGCAGCACCTCCAGCGTCACCGCCACCGCCGGGTTCTCGGGAAAGTGCGTGGCCTCGATCAGCAGTCCGCGGCTGACCACGCTGACTGTGTCGCGCAGCTGGTTGGCCCGGTGTTGTGCCAGCACCACCTGCACGCCCGCGCAGAAGATATCCAGCTGCTCCGTGAACTTGGTCCGCACGCAGCCCGACCGCCACACCCGTGGCGACAGCACTTTGCGGCACTGATCGCATGGGCTGCCCTTGGAACACGTCTTGCGCAGGATCCGGCACCGGATGCACGCCCCGATCCGTCGCACCTCCTGCACCTCCTTCCGCCGCGTCGTGTTGAACCGTGCCCGTGCCTGTCGTGGCCGCGCCTCGTTCGGGTTGTTCAGGTGGAAGCTGATCCGGCTCGGGTCGCCCGGACTCGCCGACATCTCCGACGACGGGAACACGGGCAAGATGTTTTCTGCCAGGTACGTGATCTCGCCCCATGGCTGGCTCGATGCTGTTGCTGCGTCCACCGTTGGCAGCAGTCCTACTGCTGTCATCGGCACCGTCGTCATCGGCTCGTCCGTCATCACCGCCGTCTCCACTCCCGTGTTCTCCTCGCCCGACGGTCCTGCTGTTGCTCCCCCTCCGGCCGTTGCCGTCATCGCTGCCGTCATCGCTGCCACTGTCGCTGCCGTCGTCGTCGCCATCGCCTCTGTCACCGCTGCCGTCACCAGGTCACCCTCGCTTCGGGCGTCGTCGTCTGCTGCTGCAGTCGTGTCGCGTTGGGCCCCATCGCCTCTTCCGATCGTAGTTGTGGGTCCAGCAGCGAAGGGTTCAGCTGCGCCGCAGCTGCCGCTGCCATCGACAAGTTCGCCGCCTCGAGCCGCTTCAGCTGCTCAATCGTGATCGCGTCCGGGTCGTCTGCGTACAGCCCAAAGCGTGCGTCAGCATGACTCTCTGCCTCTGAGACTGCGTATTTCCGTCTCTTCGCCTCTCTCTCGCCTGCCGTACCGTTCTGCTCCGTCTTAAACAACGATGACACGTCCTGGCCGAGGTGCTCGAGCGTCTCAAACGCCGACGGCGCCACTGCGATCAGCCCGCCTGATGTCGTCGTCCCCGACGCGTTCATATTGCTGCCGCCGCCGTTGCCGCCTTCGTTCTTCGCTGCTCCCTCGCCGCCGCCCGGCCCGCCTGAGCTGCCAGACGACCCCGGCGTGCGGTCGTCATGCTTCTCGCTTAGGTCGATCTGGCGTGACACCTCCGCCAGCGTCTCGAGTGCCGTCCAGTCGCGTTGAATCGCAGCTGCATCCACCGTCGAAGAGGGCGACGAAGCCGCTGCTGCTGCAGACATCCCTAGCGTCGGCAACATGTGCTGCCCGTGGCCGTGGCCGTGGCCGTGGTTCATCGCCTGTCCGTTGCCGCGCCCGTGATGGCTGCCGTCACCCACAAGCCGGTGGGCCTGGTGGGCCATCCGTCCAGCCCCGCGGACCCCTGTTCCTCCGCCGGCTGACGCTGCTGCCGCTGCTGCAATGTGGTGGCTGAGCCCGTTGAGCGACAGACACGCGTTGATTCGGTCTGCCTCGCTGATGGCCGGGCATTTCTTCGAAATGTGCGTCATCAGCGACTCCGCCCGGCCCTTGGGAAACGACTCGCCGCATGCTTTGCATCGGTGTGGATAGCGGTTGCTGTTGTCCGCGAGACGCGGTCCGCGCTCGAAAAACTGTAGGATAATGGGGTTCGGTTTCCGTCCCATCGTGATGTTGGCCACTCTGCGCGGACCCGGCTTTTTCTACTAGGCTGTTTGGTGGTGGCGGTGAGGAGGACGAGTGTGTCCTGGTCGGTCGTCGTGATGGGCGGTGATGAAATGGGAAAAAAACAACAATTGAGAAAATAAGGAGGGCAGAAACCAAAAATTCTGCCGCTTCCCCGCCACATCGATAAGCCCCGGCCTTATTTGATAATAAAATTTTGCCGTCTAGGGCAAGCCACACCAGAGGGGCTGGAGTCGGTGTGCAATCTTTCCTGCTAGGCCCAAACCGGCTATCAGCCGTACGATGCTGTCACGTGTATACCTCTGCGCAAAGCCGCTAGACTGCATTGGACTGGTCAGCGTTACCGTGTTGACAAGTCGCGCACCGTTGTTGCTACTGGCCCCTGGCCTGCACGGCTTTCCCTGGGTGCCGTACTGACCGATTGGCTATTGCTGGGATCCAGAGCGGAGAGCCGAGATTGCACATTCCTAGAAACCCTGTTTGCAAGAATGTCACAGCCGTGACTCATTTCATTGTATTGGAGAACATATATTTCTCGACGCCACATTCTACTATGTATATATTTCTCTATGCCGACTTCTTGTGCAGGGTACCGGCGCCGGCCTGTAGGGGGTTAGACAGGGCACTCGTAGAGTGGGAGGGAATGGAATCTCACCTGGTGCTGAGGGAAGACCAGTGTGTTGGCAACGACCACGTTCTGGGGCCGTGTGACTGTAAACACAACGATCTCCGCAATGTCTTCGGGCGTCAGAGGGGTGTAGCCGCTAAGAGGAGTTAGCAGCATTCTTTGGAAAAAGGAGGAAGAAAAAGGAGATAATGAAAAAGCCATACGCATAGACGGCATCGGCCTTGGACTTGTCGCCGTAGAAGCGCACCACCGAGAACTCCGTCTCGACCTGGCCGGGATCGACCTCGATCACCCGGATCTGCGTGTGAATGAGCTCCTTGCGCAGGCTTTCCGAAAAGCTGCGAACGGCTGCCTTGGTGGCGCAGTAGATCCCGCCGCCCGCATATGGCTCGATGCCCGCAATACTGCCAATGTTGATAATGTCGCCAGAGCCGCCGTCGGCCCGCTTGAGGAAGATCGGCAGGATCGCCTGCGTCACGTTGATGAGGCCGGTCACGTTGGTCGCAAACATGATGTTGACGTCGGCCTCGGCAATCTCCGGCGCACGGGCGACGCCCTTGACGAGGCCGCTGCACTAAGTCAGCTCGAGACGAAAGACGAGACAACAAGGACAAACTCACGCATTGTTCACGAGAATGTGAATGTCGCGCCACTCCTCTGGCAGCTTGCCCACAAACGCGCTGACCTCCTCCGGCTTGCTCACGTCCAGCTGCACCGGCAGCACCTTGACCTTGTCGGCACCGACCTCCTTGACGAGGTCCTCGGCGATTTGCTTCAGCGTGTCAATGCGGCGCGCCGTCAAAATCAGCCGCAGGATCCCGCTGCCGCTGGGTGCAGAAGCGGCCGTGCGCGCAAACTCAAAGGCCGTACTCCGGCCGATGCCGGAGGATGCCCCGGTGATGACAACGGTCTTGCCGACCAGGCGGCGGCCCGCAGAGGAAGACATGGCTCTAATCGTATTGCTGCGGACGGAAAACGACGCGTGGAACGGCTGAATCGACCTGGTGGACGGAACCTTGCGTCTTGGAAATAAAAAACAGCTGCGAAACGGAACCGGGTGCAGAACTAGAGCCGGAATGACACGGACGGCGGACGGACAGAAGCGTGAGGCAGTTCGGACAGCGGCAGACGACAACATATGCCACAATGTCGACAGGAAGAATACGAAGCAAACTCTGAGTCGGGGAGAAGCAGGCAAAAACAAGTAGAAAAGCTCTTATTAGCAGAACAAAAGAGGGCAGGAGCGAGCCTGGTCGCGCAACCCCGCAGCGATAGCTTGGTGGCAATGGCTACTACCGGGAGCAGCTTTAGTGGGGCCGATGAGCGGCGCTCCGGCAATCTACGGAGACACAGCACCGGCCTGTCACTGTATGGCATTAGGCAACGCTTCGTTTATCTGCAAATCTGCTTCTTTCGAGTATCTGCTCTGTCCATTGCCCTTACATCTGTACTACTCGCACAAAATACTTCCTTTCCGACATGCAAACTTCTCGGGATGGCCCAGAAAAGGCTATCGTTTATTTTACCACAAGTAAGTGTGAAAATATAGTACAGGATTATACCACGGTGGGTCAGGCCCAGATTCCTCACTTCCGGTTGAAATAACGTCATTTCACAATTGCTCCAGAGTGTCCACTAGCACGTGCCGAACTGTTTTCCCTAGCCTCTCTGTTTAGGGCGGCTTGATCCGAATGCTCGCTGTGTTTGGCCAACTCTGGTTGCTCGGCTGAGCCGATCTCTTTGTCCTCTTGCTTGTCTTCCGACTTAGAAAGCTGCGTAACTTGTGTATCCGAGGCAGCTTCGTCCGAGCCTTGCTGTGATCTTTCTGTATCCGATCCTCCACAACTCTTTGTCTTCTCTTCGTCTCCATTCGATCCATCTTCTGCTAAGCGGCTTGAAGAGAATATTGGTTTCCGATTTCGTCGGTAGGTGCCACAGGCGGCAACGATACTGACTGCCGATATGACTATGCAAACGCGCATGTCTCCTCTGAATGCATCTGAATAGATCTCGCGAATCAAGACTGCCTCCGGGGAGTCCTGTGTTGATATTGGAGCTCCTGCACTCGTGAATCGCATGGAGTCCACCCTTTTCACCTCCTGCGCGGCGAGCACGGCTGAAGATGCGGCGATGCCAATGCTGCCACCAAAAACACGGATCTGGGCTAAAATTCCCTGTGAGGGAGCATGCTCGCCTTCCGGCGCCTCGGAACTGGCCACGATGGTTGATGCTGCCGCTGCAAGTCCGACGCCGAGCCCAATAAAGGGCAGGAACCCAAGCGCCTTGGCTGGGAGAGAGACCGAAGCAGAGAGGGTGGTCTCCAAGCCACAGCCGAGAGTCAAAAGGCAGCTGGAGACCACCAAGATCTCAAACACTCGGTTTGATCGCGCGTTAATAGCACCAGACACATAGCTGCCAATCGAAACACCTCCTAGCATGGGCAGTAACATGACGCCGGCAATGAGGGCACTCTTACCATTGACAACTTGAAGACGCAGGGGGAAAACATAGACGACAGTGAAGAAGGGAAATCCAGTGAACATGGTGTGAATCAGAGCCGATAAATAAACGCGATTCCGAATGAGCTTCATAGGAAACGCAGCCAATATGTGTGCTCTCCGCCTCTCGATGCTCCACTCCCAGACGAAAAGCGCTACCCAGCAAAAGACTCCCGTGATGAGCGGCGCCAAGAAAAGGGCATGTCCCCAATGCAAACCGTCTGCACTGGAGTTCTGAAATGCATATGTAACGAGCACAGCAGCGGCAATGAGCAAAAATGAGCCGACGAAATCAAGCTCTCTCCATGGGCGAAGCTGGACCGGTGGCAAAGTTTCTGCTTTGGGCCATGACAAAAGAAAGACAACGATGGCGACAGCTGCAATAGGACCGCTGTAAACAGGTCAGCGGGCGACAGGCCAGAAAGTGGGAGACAGTTGACTTGCTTGCTCCAGAAGATCCACCTCCATGACGCATAGTGTGTAAGTATTCCGCCAAGGACAGGGCCCAGCACGCCCGCCACAGCGATGACGACTCCTGCTAAGCTGGCAATGTGCTGCTGCAGATGTGAAGGTGCAACTTCAGGCCAGATAGTCATGGACAGCGAATACAGCCCAGACCCGCCGATACCCTGGAGAGTGCGGAAGGTGATGAGCTGGTACATCGTTCGAGAGAATCCGCTGCCGAGAGAGAAGGCGAGAAAAATGACAAAGGCGACCAGATACGCATTGCGGCGGCCGATCACGTCAGAAGAGCGTGCAAAGATAACTGCACATCCTAGGTACGCCAGCGTGTATGCCAGAGCAACCCAATTGAGAAGTTTCACATAACCCAGTTCTTCCCCGATGGTCAGAAGGCTGGTGGCAACGATAGAGGAGTCAAGCATGGCTAAGAAGAGTCCCAGACATATTCTGCGTGTATTAGTCGATAAAGGAAAACACAGACAGGCGGTTAGGGATAAGCGAAAATCATCAGCCATTTCATACCCTATGCTGAGGATCCAAAATCGCCATGGTGACAGACATGAGCCAGATCGGGCACCAGCTAGATCTTTCGATAGAGCTTCTGGTGTGCTTTGGGGGGTAGACATGCACGTCGTCGCCGTGCGGGCGCCTGTATTCGAATTTACGACAGCTTTCGAATTTAGGAATATGGTTGGCCTTTCGCAAACCGAAGAGCCGATAGAAATTGTTTCCGTAGTGGACATTCCGTTATTGTCATGTACAGTAATTAGAGTGATGATCAATTAACTCCCTGTAGCTGTTTAATGCAAGGAAGGCGGTTGCGCAGGTCTAACACAGGCTTGCAATATGGTTGCCTCTTGTCGTACTGATTCTTGGTTGCGTTCGGTTGTGCAAGAGACGGCTTGATGCTGTGCCTTTGTTTGCATTATATTGCTCAGACGTTGTATTTGAGCTACTGCGTGGTTGGCAGTGTTCTATAGGTTTGGAGAATAAGGATTCTAGAGAGTCCTTAATAGGCTTATAACGTATAAACGACGGTGTTGCACTTGAGGCCTTGATAACATCTGTAGTTCACAACTTAGGCTTGGGAGTTGGACCGGAAATTTTTGTCAGATGTAAAGTATTTGTGTCAACACGAGACTGTTTGATTACGACGAACAAGGCTGTCTGGAAAATGTGTGATTCGTGCCCCATCAAACCCGCTATGGCAGTAAGTGACGCAATATCTACGATTAGGAAGGGACGACCTAGTAATCAGCCGCTAATAAGAGGACCTTCCTCTGCGGGAAGTCTAGCCTCCGCCATGGTGAAGAAGGGCCCAATACTCCAAAATGGCAACACTACCTGGTGCAGATTCGCTAGCTTCGATAGGTCACATTAGTGAATGCGAGGCCAGATTGTATACAATTGACTGACTAGATCGATCAGGTCCTCCTACTATAGATGGTGGGCTCGGTAGCGAGAACGACAACGAAAACGACTACGAGCAAATAAAATGCACGCTATCGACAATCATGTCATCGTCCCCTTCTTGCGCTTGCGTCTCAGATGATGTTGGCATGCTGAAATTGTTGATATGAACATATGTTGTTCAGGGTAGTCATCTGTTCACAATTCCCTAATCACATTCGCTTGATGCTTTGTCCGAAAGCCCATCAAAGACAGAGGCAATCACGGAATGTTGTGCATAGGAGTGTTTTCTACTATATGAGTACCTCGAGGATTATCATATTTCAGAGCCAAAAGATAGCTCGAATACAATCATAGACGTTTGGGGACAGAACTAAGAGATATCGCTTTTGTTCAAGCTTATAGACGCCACCGGATGCTGTGGTGGCGGTATTATATAAACCGTATTTGAAATGTAGAGCGAGACATAGACGGATATGACATCAGTTCCCAATATGTCAATATTATCATGCCTGGGTAGGTGTGAAAGTGTATGATCAAAGTCACATAGCACGATGCTTCAGAGTTCAACAGAGGGCGGATGTCGGTCTCAAAACGCCAAAACTGGCGGTGGGCCGTCATGGCGATCTTTTACGAGCCTCAGTGCTCTGTGGTCTCCACATTTGCCAGTGCCTAATGCTTATAAAAGTACTTTCCTGCATATGCAGCTAGTTCTAACCCCTGGTCTAGTTTGTATTCGGGATCTGAACGGGCTGTTTAGGTTGGTTGCCAAGCTAGATGGAAAGAAGCGTGTAAGATATAAATGATAACAATAAAGCAACGAGTATGTGCTGCTTTAGCACAAGAGCCACAGTTATTCAAGGGGACCATGCGTCCGACCAAGTTTCCCAGCTTGTTGTAAGGCAGCAAGATCCGACTGTGAGATGCTGCGCCTAATGAACTATGGCGCCATTTCAAGAGACAGAACTTTGACAATAGTTGGTATATTGTATGAGCTCCATTGCCACTTATAGTCGACAGCTTTCATAGGGCGGCAATGCCACCCCCAGCTCCTTTCAAATAGAGAAATGGAAATCCGAGAGGGTTGCTTATTGGTAAGCTGTGGCAGCTTTGAGAGTTAGGTGTGCAAACTTCCGTCTAGTAGTCATATATTTGGTTTCGTCAAGATACTTGGTGACAGTCTGCTACTAGAAGCTATTGCGATAGACACCCGGCGGCTCTGGTAGAGGAACCAGGCGGCGTCCCGGCTATACGAGATGCCCAAGGGGTTACTGATCACCTTCATTGACCATTCGTCTGCTGTTTGGCTTTGTTGCATTTCCAATATAGCCCCTGACAGTCGCTTCTACCTTGATTTCTGTGTTCTGTTCTATTCAGTCGAGGCAGTCCTCTTTTTCTTTATGCTCTCTTGTTTTTCTTTATAGACGAAGTATTTGGCATCGGCTGCTGATACCGTCGAAAATGCAGGTGTTGTCGATAGGGATGTACTGCCTCGTTATGATTTTGATGATCTCCTGTGCCACCATACCACCTGTCAGGGCTGATATGTTGTGGAGCTCGCCACCCTTGGCGCGGGCTAATTCCTCCGCAACCATGACGACCCGTTCATTCTGGCTAGCCTTTGGTACAAGTTGATCAATGCTCTTCAATATTTCATCGGACGTCGCCTCAGGCGCGTGTGCCGTAGCATAAAGTGCTAGATAAATTGGTGCCAACGACAGAGGAGCCATTAGGATCTCAGCATTCTCATCCTTGGCAAACTCCTCCTCTGTAGCGAAGCAAAGGCATAAGTTATTTGATCTTGAAGAAATGGGGGCGGCGGCACCTAGAACGTACCGGTAACCTTGGACAAGCGATCTGCACTTGTCTCTGTCGCATTGATAAGCTTGATAAAGGCGGCGTTCTTGCAGAACAGCTCGACCTCTGCAGGGTCGACATTTTTGCCACCTGGAAGCTCTCGTACAGTGGCAAGTACCTCGGCTGCGTCTTTCCGGGCCTTGTTTTTGTAAATCGTCTGAAGCTGGATGTACACTTTGGACTGGGCCTTCATATCGGGGACCTTTCCGGGCAGTGGCAAGGCGCCATGCTTCTCGTAGAACTGTTTGACTGCACGGGCAATAGCCCAGAATCCTGAACGGAGTTCCTGAATGGATGACAAGTCAGAACACTGAACTGGAGCTACGAAAAGAGAAGAGAGGGAGGAGAGGTTTACTGAGTCTTGTAGATCGTGTGCGAATACTTCTCGAACACTTGATGGGATGGTCGGCTTCTCTACGTTCCTGAGAACGGCGCTGACTGCTTCCTCAAAGTTCTCCTCTGCCCCCTCTGGAATGTTTTTTCTTGCACCGTCTGCCACCGTTTGCCTAAAAGCAACCTTCTCTTTGTATGTGACCGGATTTTTGCCGTCGTGTGCCTTACGCCAGCGCTCTAGGTAATGCAGCAGGATCACAATATATGGCAAGTGACCGTGTGCATGGTCATCCAGCGTGTCGATATTAGCCGCGAGCTCCTGTGAAAAAGCTTCCAGCTCGGACCAGGGTGCTAGCAACCGGAGATCTGTTGTTGCAGTTTCGTCCGGGTGCGTGTCGACGACCGGGAAAGGCTCGAGCAAGCAAATTCGGAAGTATGAGTAGAAGCCAGCCGAATGCACTGCCAGCAGTGGAGTCTTGTGCTGTTTCCCGTATTCTTCAATGAGTGTGAGGTCTTTCTGGGGTATGGGATGTGTATACACAATCATTGTGTAGGTGGGCGATGTATCAAGTAGCACCGCAAGATCGGAAGCGGACTAAAGCTGATCAGTAAAGATTTCTTCGCATACTCTCCCATTCCGAGAGCTCAACTAGAGCACACACACCTCTGGCTTGGGGTACCAGTCGCCCTGTACTTCGGGGTTGAGCTCGAGAAGGAGCTCTGTGCAGCATTGGGCTCTTGACTTTCCAAGGCTAGCTTCTTCTAGGAAAAAGTTGACCCCAAGATCCTCTTCCTGGACTGTAGCTTTATCGAAGATTGTGAACTTTCCGATGCCTTTGAAAGAGACGTTAGCCCGCTTCGAAGCAACAACAGAACAAACCGGGAACTGCGCAGCCTACCAGGAAGGATAAGGTTCTTGAGTGTCTCCGTAGCAACAGTACCACAGCCCGAGTTCACAACCAGGATGTTGGCCGCCTCAAGCGCTTCTTGGCCGCTCGCTGCCCAAAGACGGAGCTGTCGGTCATATTTCCTCTCCTTTTCCGAAGGGCCGTGCAAAATCGGTGGTGTTTGGCTTGCCACGATTTCGGGCATTTCGAGATCTTCAAGCCGATCCGGCCGGGAGCAGTTGTATACAAGAACAGTACTAATATGGGAGGCACCGGACAAGCGGACGAGACGTCATGTACGCGTGTCAATTGTTTGTCGCGTGTGTTTTCGAATTACGACGTATGTTTCACTGTATTGTGTAGTTCAGCTCATGTGGAGGGGTAGAGGTAGCTGCCTAAGCTGACGTTGATTGGCTGGGCGTGTAAGGCAGGCGGGTCTTATCGAGAAATGCCGATAAGATAACCAAAAAAAAAATCTTAGGCGGATTGATCCAAGGAACTGCAGTGTCGCAAAATTTCTGCCATTTTGCTTGCTTCTTGTCAGTTGGGAATTACACCTACGCCAAGCCAAGATGGAGGACCAAGTACACAAACCGCATAGGAAGCCGAAGGAGAAGAAGAAGCATACCGGTAAGCAACAGACTCGGAAACGGACTGGCACTATAAGGGTTCAAGCTGACAACTTTCATTACAGGGCAGAACCCAAAGGCTTTTACTTTCTCAAATCCCGGCAAGCTCGCGCGAAGCGCTGCTCGTTCGCATGATGTACGTGATTCTAGCCAAGGAGACAATGCCTCAATGGGGCAACATGCTTACGATTATGTTTCACGTGTAGATCAAAGAGAAGCGACTTCATGTCCCGCTTGTTGACCGACTTCCCGATGAACCACCACCGCGACTAGTCACGATTGTTGGCCCTCCGGGCGTGGGAAAGACGACACTGCTGCGGTCTCTCATCCGGAGATACGCAAAGGAGACGATTATAGATCCACAGGGCCCGATCACGGTGGTCACGTCGAAGAAGCAACGTCTCACGTTCCTCGAATGTCCCAATGAGCTCGAGGCGATGGTGGACATTGCAAAGGTTGCCGACATTGTCCTTCTGATGATCGACGGAAACTATGGGTTCGAAATGGAGACGATGGAATTTCTCAACATTCTTGCGGCGACTGGTATGCCTGGAAACGTGTTTGGGATCCTCACGCACCTCGATCTCTTTCGCAAACCGCAGGCGCTCAAGGACGCCAAAAAGAGGTTGAAGCATCGTCTGTGGAACGAGCTCTACCAAGGGGCACATTTGTTCTATCTCTCCGGAGTGATCAACGGCCGGTATCCAGACCGCGAGATTCACAATCTATCGCGCTTCCTTTCGGTAATGAAGAGCCCGCGGCCATTGATCTGGAGAAACTCGCACCCGTACGCGGTGGTGGATAGCTTTCGCGATGTGACGCACCCGACGAAGATCGAGGAGGACGAGATGTGTGATCGGTCGGTGGTGTTCTCGGGCTACCTGCGCGGCACGAACTTTGCGGCGCAAGGCCAACGAGTGCACATTCCCGGACTCGGCGACTACACGATCTCGAAGATGGAGGCGCTGCCTGATCCATGTCCGACTCCGGCCATGGAGCAGGCGATAGCCAAAGCGACAGGGAAGACGGGACGGCGGCGCCTAGACGAGAAGGACCGGAAGCTGTATGCACCGATGTCGGACCGGAGCGGTCTCAAAATCGACGGCGATGCCATCTACATCTACCGCGAAAAGGGTTTTACATTCGACAAGGACGGCGGCGGGGACTACGAGCGCGGTGAAGGCGAGGAGCTGATCATGGGACTCCAGGGCGAAAGAAAGCTTCTCGGTGAGACGGATCGGGGGATGCAGCTCTTTTCGAAGGGCAAGGAGGTACGAGAAGTGCTGGAGAACAACAATGGGCGGAAGGAGCAACGCAAAGCGCGGGTGGCCGAAGTGGACGGTGGATCTGACGGAGAGGAGGGTGCGTTTGGAGAAGACGACGGGTCTGAGGGCGAAAACGGGCCGGAAGACGATGCTGGGTCCGACGTTGAGACGGAGTTTGATGAGAAGAAACTCGGCAAGATGTTCCGGGATCGCGGTGACCGCGGCGGCGACAAGAAGGAAGATCTTGCCTTTGCGGACAGCGATTCTGACCTGGGGTCATTGTCGGGCGACGAGGAGGCAGAAGACGAGAGTGGAGACGACATTGAGGAAGACGATTTGGAGGAAGACGAGGTTGACGAAGACGACTTCGACTCGGACGAAGAGGAGGCAGCAGTACGGTGGAAGGACAACATTGCAGAACGGGCAATGAGCCTGCACAAGCGGAAACGACCGTTCCAAGCAAAGGAGCTGGCAAGGATGATGTACGACAACGCGCTCCCAACAGCCCTGGTGGTAAAACGGTGGAGAGGAGAGGAGTCGGAGGAGAAGAAGGAGGACAAAGTCGGGGAGGGTGAGGCGGGCGAAGAGGACGAGTTCTTTAAGAAGACGCAGACCAAGGAGGGCGAAGATGAGTCGGAAGACCGGGCGATTCCGCTGCTGGACTACGAGGCGCTTGCACAACAGTGGACAAGCGAAGCATTGGAGGCGCTGCGGCCCAGGTTTGCAACGGTGGTTAAGAAACGAGGTCGGGGTGGAGACGGCTCGTCAGACGAGGAGTTGGACGGAGAGGACGTTGAGGCAGACGAGGACGAAGAGGGAAGCGGATTTGTCGAGGAGGACGAGGGCGACGGGGCGTTTGAGGATTTGGAGACGGGCGAGAAGCACGGGCCGTCGTCGAAGAAGACGGAAGAGGCAGAGTTTGAAGACGAGCGAGAGAAGAACGCACGACGGAAAGAGGAGCTGCGGCTGCGATTTGAGGAGGAGGACCGGGAAGGCGTTCACAATGCCAAGGCGATGACGCGTAAAGAAGCCGGGACGACGGCAGATGAATTTGGGGAGGACGAGTGGTACGACGCGCAGAAGTCGCTGATGCAGAAGCAACTGGACATCAACAAAGCAGAGTACGAGACGCTGGACGAGCGACAGCGGGTAGCAGTGGAAGGACTGCGAGCGGGACAATACGCGCGAATGGTGGTGGAAGGGGTGCCAGCAGAGATGGTGCGGCTGTTCACTTCACGGATGCCGCTGATTGTGGGAGGACTGACAGCGACTGAGGAACGGTTCGGGTTTGTGCAGGTGCGGATTAAACGGCACCGATGGCACAAACGGATTCTCAAGACGAATGACCCGCTGATCTTCTCGCTCGGATGGCGACGCTTCCAGTCGATGCCGGTGTACAGCATCTCGGACTCGCGGACGCGCAACCGGATGCTCAAGTACACGCCAGAACACATGCACTGCTTTGCGCAGTTTTACGGGCCGTTTGTGGCGCCCAACACGGGCTTTGTGTGCTTCAAGTCGTTTGCGGCAGACGCGGTGGTGAACCAGCAAGGGCTGCGGATCGCGGCGACGGGCACGGTGCTGAGCGTGGACGAGTCGACGGAGATTGTCAAGAAGCTCAAGCTGACAGGCACGCCGTACAAGATCTTCAAGAACACGGCCTTTATCAAGGGCATGTTCGGATCGGCACTGGAGATTGCCAAGTTTGAGGGCGCAGCCATTAAAACGGTCTCGGGCATTCGTGGCCAGATCAAGCACGCGCTCAAGCAGGAAGGCGCGTTCCGGGCGACGTTTGAGGACAAGATCCTGCTGAGCGACATTGTCTTTTTGCGGGCGTGGTATCCGGTGAAGCCGCGGCGGTTCTACAACCCGGTCACGAACCTGATCGGCTGGCAGGCGATGCGGCTGACGGGTGAGCTGCGCCGCACGCTCAGCATTGCCACGCCACAGCAGCGCAACAGCCAGTATCGCAAGATCGAGCGGCAGGAGCGCCACTTTAACACGCTCAAGGTGCCGCGGCAGCTGGCGGCTTCGCTGCCGTTCCGCCAGCAGATTGTGCGCACCAAGAAGCAGGGCCACAAGACGTACATGCAGAAGCGGGCGGTCGTGGTCGGCGGCGAGGAGCGCCGTGTGCGCGACATGCTGCAGAAGCTGACGACCATCCGCAAGGACGTGTCGGCCAAGCGAGCCGTCAAGAAGGAAGCCAACCGAGCGGAACATCGTCGCCAGCTGGCCGACGCGGCCGAGAAGCGGGCTGCCCGCGAGAAGCGCGAGACCAAGGAGTTCTGGAGTCGCGAGGGCAAGAAGCGCATGGCCCAGGCTGACAGTGCTGGCGGGCATCGGGCGAAGCGAAGCAAGAAGTAGGGCTGAGGAGAAGGGGTGAGAAAGAGGAAGAGGGCAGTCAGGGAGAGAATGGTGACAGGGCCAAGACTACGCATAGACCGTCCATGAAAGCAGGATAGCACAAGACTGTATAGCTGTATTGTACACGCGCGGCGCGACTGTTTCCTGTTTCTTCAGCTTCTGTAAATGAGGTGATAGTTGGACGAGGCTCCTGCTGTCACATGATCGTGATGCCGAAGTAGCCTTGCGATGATCACGTGATATATGTCCTCTCTCTCGGTATCTTTTCTTTCCCACTCCACCTCCCTCCTCCCCTCAGGAGGCTGTCATGCGCATCTTCATCACGGTCAGCTCCGAGCTGCGAGCCCATGCCCCGTCCGGCGTCTGACGGTAGCACAGCAGCTTGCCATCGTCGCCCACAGTCCCAAGGATCTGGCCGTCGTCGTCAAAGGCCACGCGCCACACTGGCGTCCGTCGGTTCTCCAGCCTGGACAGCTCGCGTACCGTGTGTCGGACCTGGCCGGGTTCGCCGGTCCCACGTCGGTCGTTGTGGAGGGCCGTGGCCGGATTGCGATCAGATTCGGGAACAGGCAGCCCGGGCGAAAAGGGCGTGGCTGTGGAGCTGATATTATCGGTGCCGACGATGCCATCATCAGCAGCACCGGAGCCTGTCCCAGATATGCCGTCAGCCGCCGTGTCGGGTCCGAGCATGCCGTTGTTAGAGGCTGCAGCGACGGCGGCCGAAAGCGCCGATGTGGCGCCGCCGATATGGCCGACACCGACACCAGCTGTATCGCCATCACCAACGGGATCTGTCGTGATGGCCGAGGCAGCAGAAGTAGTAGCAGCAGCAGCAGCGGCGGCGGCGGCAGCAGCAGCACTGAGGGCTGAGGTGGGCTTGGCGTCGCGCTTCTTGCGGCCGTCGGCAGCACTGGTTTTGACGACGTCGGCAACGGCCCAGGACTTGCCATCAGTGGCGGCCGAGAAGGGCGTGTCGAGACGGACGACGCGAACATAGCCGTCCTGGCAGGCGGTGGCGATGATGTCGTAGCCACGGAAGTTGCCGGGAGCCCAGGCGACGTCACGCACGAGGCCACGATGGCCACGGATCTCGGCAGCCAGATAAAAGGCCCGGCCGGTACCCTGCAGGCCGTAGGAGGTCGTGGTGATGGGGCGGGTGCGGTAGATCCGGACGGTATCCATGGCGGCGATGACGAGTCCCAGAGCATCGGCACGCACGCCCGCTCGCAGGGCCGTGTAGCAGGGGTCCGGGTTGGGATCGAAACGCACGCGGAAGCTGGCTTCTTCGCCGCGTGGTGGTCGCGGACACACGCGCAGCTCGTCGACGTTGGTGTAGTCAGCCAGATTTTCGGGCTGTTCGTTTTCGAGCACTGTCAATGTCCCGTCGGCCGCCAGCAGCGCCAGGTTCGTGTGGCGCGTCTCGTCGTTGTGCCGCATCGAGAACGACCGGTATACCGACCGGGGCGACCGCGTCTCGTATGCTGCCTTGCCGTTGCTGCCCTTGGCCCGCTGGCTGAACCGCCGGCCGGGTGCTGCGGCCGGGTCCTCGGTCCACAGCTTGAAGCGGCCCTCGACTCCGAGGGATGCCAGCAGGTTCGGGTAGATCGTTGGGGGGAGCCATTGCAGCTGGAGGTCAGCACACAGAGCAGGGGGGAGAGGGGAGAAAGGACTTCTCGCAGAACCACTGTCGAACAGGCCGGGATGCCCTTTTCACAAACACGCAAACACGCAAACTCACCTCCAATATCTCTCCCCCGTGCGCCAGCCAGCTGTCGCAGAGCCGCCATACTCCTCCGGCATGCCGGTTGAACACCCGGATCTTGCCGTCCACCGATCCCGTCGCGCATCGGTCGCCGTACGCATTAAAGGCCACCGCCTGCACGAGGTCCTGGTGGCCGTGCTTCATGATGATCTCGAACCGCGCCTGCTCGTCCAGCGACGGCGGCTCGCCCTGAAACGAGGACATGCTGGCGCAAACAGAGCTGCAGAAGATGGAAATGGGCGGCGAGCCCGTCGAATCGGATACACGTCAACCGATCAGTCGATCTTCGGCCGTGGTCGTCTGTGGAAATGGAACTGGAACTGGCCAAGCTGACCCGTCTCGCCTCGCCTTCCTTTTTTAGTGGGAACCGCGCTATAGGTGCGCTGACCTAAGGCCCCAGGTCAGTCAGCCAGCCGTCGACGCAACGGCATGCCAGTCCGAATAAAGAGATCTCGTAATAAAACTAAGATACCAGGATGCATGTGCAGCATGCGACTGGCTACGAACCAGTCAGCCGGTGTAGGCTCTCGGGCCAGTCGCGATGCTGCTCGCCGTGCTATTGGGCACTGCCAGAACAGCAAAGGTGTATTATTCTCTTGCACTAATTACCTGCCACTGGCGCTTGCGCGAGTCATCCTTCCTTCCGCATTAAGCCTGTTCCCCTCTCCATTACGTATCTTTCATCAACCTTAATTCTTCTTAATGTCATCACGACAATGAACAGTCGACAAGCGGACTTCCACGCACCCATCTCTGAACCTCTTTGAAAGAAGACCCTTTCCCACTTTCGAGAAGACGGCAGACCGGAGAGAATGTCTCCCGGAAATGATCCTTCTTCGTCAGAAGAATCCACCTAGACGCGAAACCGAAAGCCAACAAAAAAAAGACCAACAAAAAAACGGCAAGCAAGTCCGACAAGGACGAGCAAATGACAGACAAACAGCTTCTTTCTCCGTGCCACTGTCCCGTCACCATCTCCCGATCGTCCCCGTTTCGCCTGCATGGTTCGTGCCAGCCAATCTCGCACATCTCCACAGCCAGCAGCCCACCACACCCCGGCCCCATTCCTTGTGTACTGCTATTTACGGAGTCGTGCCCCTTCGCATCATCAATTACAAAAGATACTCGTCCATTCTCTCCACTTCTCTCCGGCCCCTCCTTTCGCTCTCGTCTCCGGCCTCTCTCGCTTCCCTCTCCGACATGTCGTCCCTCGAGGCCAAGATCGTCGTCGTTGGCTCCCAGGGCGTCGGCAAAACCTCTCTGGTAACGCGTTTCTGCAAGGGCCAGTTCGACCCCTCGCAGATCACGTCGACCGTTGGCGCCAGCTTTCTCACAAAGCGTGTCGTCGATAGCGACAGTGACACGGTTGTGCGTCTGCAAATATGGGATACTGGTGCGCCTGCCTCGCTCTCTGTCGATGCGTCGTCTTTTTTACAATCTAGATCCTGGAATGTGCTGACCCCCTTTCTCTACCTCACCAGCTGGCCAGGAACGCTTTCGCTCCATCTCGCGCTTATATTACCGCGGCGCCAATGCCTGCATCCTCTGCTACAGCATCACTGACGCCAATTCCTTTGCCGAGATGGGCATCTGGCTGACCGAGCTGCGCCGAAACCTCCCCGCCGACATCGTTCTCCACGTCGTCGGCACCAAGGCCGACATTGTCGCCCGTGACCCCCATAAGCGAGAAGTCCCTTTTGAGCGCTGCATCGCCTACGTGGCCGAGAACCTGGCTCCGGGCACGAGCAGCACCCCTCCGCCCACGGCTGGCGGCCTCGGTCCGGGTGGCTTTATCGGTGGTGCCAGCGTCTCTGGCTCGGGAGGCGTCTGGGCAGGGTCGGGGACAGGCTCAGGCGCAGCAGGCGCAATGGGGGCGAGCTATGCGGCCTTCTCACATGGCACAACGTCCGCACCACCACCGCTGCTGGGCGGCGAGCCGCGCAGTCCCAGCTCGAAACGAAGCTCCGGCTTCTGGGGTCAGGAGGCCGGCTGGGATGCCTGCCACGAGATCTCGGCCGAGAGCGGCGAGGGCGTCGAGGAGGTGTTCCGCGTCGTCACGCGCAAGCTTGTCGAACAAAACCGGAAGATGCAGCAGGCCTTGCTTGCCGCCACATCTACGCCCGGTGCCATGTTTCTGCCCGGCGACGGCAGCAGTAACTCAGCCGGCGCCGGTGCCGATGGCTACGGCTACGGCGGTGTCAACAATGATGCCAGTGCGCGCGGAAGCTTTCGCGTGGGCCGAGACCGCCGCAGCTGGCTGTTTCCCCAAACGTTTGGACCCGAGATTGCAGTTGACCCCAACGGCTCTGGCAGTGCCCGCGACCACAGCCAGGACCCTTCTGCCAACCGGAGGCGGGGATGCTGCTGATATCCTGACGTCTTCCTTCTTCCTGTTCCTTTTTTTTGTGCACTTCGATACCCGGAGGTTCTCTTCTTCAATGTCCTTACTCATACTTCTTCCTTTCTTGTCTATTGCCAACTCCGGGTTGTCGTGCTTGGAATCGGAGGCTTGTCTTGCATTTATTTCGTATATGTCCTATATCTGTCTTTGGGCTTTCCTGTTTGTGGCATACAGCATGGGTGGTGCATGGGTCTTGGGTTGGTAATGGTTTACAGCATTGGCTCTCACGAGGGAACATACAACTTATGCAGCATCAACCAGGGGTTTGGTCTTTTTGACTGACTCGTTCATGGGCCTTGGCTTTCGCATCCGAATCTCACGTACTCCCGTCTCGGCCGAAGTGAGGTCAGATCAAGCTCAGCCAGGTGTTTGTGGAACAGCACGGCCTGCGAGTCTCAGGGTGAAGCAGCCCGAACCTTGTTACGGCATCACATGTCTCAGAAAGAGCCGAGAAATGGTCGTGACGACGGCCGTGGTCATCTATGCGCACTCGGCAACACTATGGGTTGCCCATCGACCTGATGACCATACCTTCTGGCGCCTCTCTAGAACTAGACTCGTTTTCACACAGCACACGACCAAGAGACACAACAATGGAGCAATACATCATCGTATAGCCAGAGTTGCCAACTGTTTCGCCAAGGCGCACCTTTCAGCTGTAAATCAAAGATCGACATGCTTATCTTATCACAGCAAGGGGACCCCACCAAAAAAATCATATGTTGCCCCTCGGCGCATTCTTTCGGAGCTAATTTTCTAAGCCTACTGCCTATTTGAGCGTGTAAGGGACGCCAGAAAAAAAAAAGAAAACCAAGACACAGGAGGACGCTTTATTCGCAACCTGGTTCCGCCAAGAGTCTTCTCTGCTGCATCGTACTTGGACCAGCGCCACATACCCGAAACATGGCGGCAACTTCTACGCAGCCCGAGGCGCCGGCCGCCGCTGCTGACCCAACCATTGTCGCTCTTCGGAAGACGCTCTGCGACGAGGCAACACCGCTTCCTATCCGCTTCCGGGCCTTGTTCTCGCTCAAGCACCTGGCCAAGCAGGCCTCGGACGCCGCGGCCTCGGACGCCGCCTCGGCAGCCACGGCGCAGGCGGCCATCGATGCCATCGCCGCGGCCTTTGGCTCGCCCTCGGCCCTGCTGAAGCACGAGCTGGCTTACTGTCTGGGCCAGACCGGCAACGTGGGCGCGGCCGGCCCGCCTCTGCGTCACGCCCTGGCCGACCTGCAGGAGGACGTCATGTGTCGCCACGAGGCGGCCGAGGCCGCCTGGGCGCGCTGGGCCACGCATCGGACCTGGCCATGCTGCGGGCCTTCCGCGATCGTCCGGGCGAAGAGGTCGTCATCCGCGAGACCTGCGAGATCGCCATCGACCGGATCGAGTGGGCCAACAACGCGACGCTGCGCAGCCACGAGACGCTGCGCCAGAGCGATTTTGCCTCCATCGACCCGGCGCCGCCGTTGTCAGCCGAAAGCACAGACGGCGCCGCCACCATCGACAAGCTGGCCGCCACGCTGCTAGACACGGCCCAGCCCCTGTTCCTCCGCTACCGTGCCATGTTTGCGCTGCGCGACCTTGCCTCGCCGCCCGATCTGCCGACCGCCGTGCCGGCCGTCCAGGCGCTCGCCCGCGGCTTCGCCGACGCGTCCGCCCTCTTCCGCCACGAGATCGCCTTTGTCTTTGGCCAGCTGTCCCACCCGGCGTCGATCCCGGCGCTCACGGCCGCGCTGAGCAACCTGGACGAGGCCGGCATGGTGCGGCATGAGGCTGCCGAGGCGCTCGGCAGCCTGGGCGACGAGAAGGGCGTCGAGGACACGCTCAGACTCTTCCTCCACGACAAAGAGCCGGTCGTGCGCGAGAGCGTCCTGGTGGCCCTCGACATGGCTGACTACGAGCAGGGCGGCCAGGCAGAGTATGCCTTGATTCCAGAGACGGCACAGGCCGCCTCCTAGACGAAAGTCGGTGGTAAATTAGGCGAGAAAGGGCGAAAGGGGGTAGAAAAAGAGTATTGCGCGAGACGATCAACTCGCAGTGTGTTATTGCGCCTGTCTTTTTAGTCACATTTGCTGTTCGGAGCCAGCTTGGACAATTTGTATTGTAGCTCTGTAGGGCTTCCTGTTCTAATTTGATTTGCCTCCTCTGTTTGGGCACATACATGGGCGGGTATCATCACTCGTCGGGTCTATTATTTGTTGCTTCCTCTGTGCCTCGCCACAGGTGCTGCTTGTTTCGGAAAGTTTCGGGGAGTCCCTGGAACTTCATGAACTTTGGTCCCATATTCGAGGTTCGAGGCGGTTCCGTCCCTTGTCGCGTCGATCGTCGGGAAAAGTATGTACACGAGTTTGTGTCGGGCTGAATGCATACAGGAAGGGAAACGTATGGATGGCATGAGCGACATAGTCCTGTCGTCATGCACACACCAACATCCCAATCAGTTGTTTTCAGACCATCTGTAAGAGAGCGGCACGTCAGCAAAGACCATGCCATCCAGCGCGGGCGCCTGCTGGCCGCATAGCAGGAAGAAACACACCTGTGACCACAGTCGCAGTGGAAGAAGACCGTGGAGCCTTCGTCAGCGCTGCGAATTTGCGCCGTCGTAAACCGCACTTCGGTCCGACCGCACTTGGGGCAAGTCTCTGTGGTTACAGCCTCAGTCGACACCTTGTGGCGCTCAACTGACTGCGTTGTCGACAGCTTCTGGCGCAATGGCGACGGAAAGTCCTTTGGGTTGGAGCTGGTGACAATCGTCTGCGACGCCGATTGGTCTGCAGGGTCAGCATCTCGGCCTTTCTGCCCATGTGCCATCTTCTATTTCCTGCCGCAAGAAGACATACCCTGGTTGTGAGCGCCGCAGCAGCGGCAGACGAGCCTGTTGCGATCGGAACCCTTTGACATGGGCAGAAGGTTTCCGCAGTCGGTGCAGAACACCAATGATCCCAGGGAAGCCATTGTGACTATGTCTTATGCTCAACGTGAAAGACGCGAACGGGAAAGTCAAAAGATGCAGAAGACAATTGGGTTTTTTTTTCAAAGGTCCGGCCCCGGTTTTTCTTTGGCTCGTCCCTGCCGCCACAGCGATTCTCCGCAGGCACCTGCTACCGTGATGGTGCATGGGCCACCATTGGATGCGACAGACACGCTTGATTGGCCCGCAGCCTCCTGCCTTCCCTGTACGGACTACCTAAGCAGGATCGCAGCAGGCGTGACAAGCCGCTCAACCTTCATTTACCCCGACACCCAGCCTTCGAGCCTCGTCGCGCCCCCCTGCTTCATCAGCACGTCCAGACCCGACCACATCTCCGATCAGTACTACCGCTGCACCCATGCATGGCTGAGCAGGGAGAGGCGCTCTTCTGGCCCCATTCGTCCACGCGATTTGCGCTCCCGACCTGTCGAGCCCTCCTTCTTGCTTCTTGCGACGCATCGGTCCCTCCTTCCTCGGCCGTCTGACTGCTCACAAACAACTGATCGCTCCTGCCATGCGCCCTGGCCGTCACACTCGCTCTTGCCATGGCTGATCCAAGCGCCCTGCTGGGCCATCACCAGCCGCCACAGCAGAACGGGTACCAGAACGGGATCGATCCAAGCGTTCTCCTGCTCGACCCAAACCCCCCGTCATCTCGACTTGCTGCCTCTGAACCGCTCTCTGTCTCCATGTCGGCCGCGTCGTCCTCCTCCGTTGCTTCACGACCGTCTCAGCCTCAACAGCGACCAGGTCAGCCGCAGCCGCCACCGTCTCTGGCAACTGGCTCCCAGCGATTCAAGCGACCGTTTACCTTCTCTGAAGCTCTTCCATATTCACCATTCTCATCCATATCGCCTCTGGAAACAAGTATCTCTCTCTCCTCTCTCGCTTCTTACGTTCTCCCACGTCTTCATTCGTCGTCTTCTGACTTCATGCGCTCTCAATAGGAGTCATCCCCATTCCGACGCTCGCCTCCAAGGCTGCATCAACACCATTGGCGCAACTTGTTTCGCAGCAGGAATTCAACACCTTGAACAAGAACATCTCAGGCTCTTCCAGTCCCCCATCAGATCGCAATCTAGATGACATCTACCACCTCATCGCGACCAGCAAAACTCCACTTTTGTATGCCAGACTCCAATGATTTGGCTTACCATCATCGTTCTTCAGTGCGACTCTAACATGTCTGCAGCAATTTCAAGCCCCTCCCTCAAACGACGACTCCTTCCAGCACTTCTGCATCATCCCCGACCACTCCTGGCCCTGCAGAAAATCTTCTGCCTATTTCGAAAATGGTATTCAACAAAGCGGACATACCGTTCCGCTATCCCAGCCCCGAGTCTCCGGGAGATCATACTGTAATCGGCAATGTCGACACAACGCCAAAGTCGGACTCGATACATGCAGCCTTGACGAAACCACCCCCCAAGTCAAAGCCCGCAGTTTCTACAGCTTTTGGAGAGAGTCCTTCTGATGTCAGATCCTCCGCCGCCGCTATGCACAATGTGCAGTCTCACGCTCGCAACTCGACCAACTTTGTTATTAGCATACCCGCACACCCACAGTTGCCAGCAGCGAAGATCAAGGCGCCTCAAAACCACAGCTTAGAAAGCTCTCTACCCGGGGCAAATGGAAACCAGCCACTAGCGTCTGCTCCGAGCAAGTATATGCTTTCCGGGGACCAAGAACCACTGGCACGGCCAGAGACGAATACCTCTGATATGGCAGCACCCAAGTCCAAACTGACGATCGCCTTGGCGCCTGCACCGAATTTCAACCCTCAGGAGTATCAGATGGTTGCGGACATCCCGGATGATAATGGCCAGGAAGACTTTGGCGATTTAGACCAGCGACAGAGAGCAGACGCTGCTTTTCAAGAAATGCAGCGTCTATTTCAGAGCGTATTTGAGGCAGAGGCCAACATGACACAGCAGCCTTCCGCTGTGCCACTGATCACATGGACAAGCGATGAGGAGCCGACGTTGACTGATGCTGCTCTTAAAAAGGTCCAAGGCACCGTTCACAAAGCCATCACTCTCGGCTGTTTTGCGGATGTTCCTGTCGAGGATCTCCTGCACATGCAGAGGTTGTGTGACGGTGTCTTGAGGCAAGCCGAAACCCTCGATCTCAAACTCAACAATGAAGCTAGTGGATCTGAGATCGACGAATGGGTCGCTCAGTTGCGTTATGCAGATACGGGGCTCAAAGCAGCTCGTTTGTCGTTGAAGATAATGTCCGGCGGACGAGAGGACAAACAACTCTACTCCGAGAATGTTATTCAGGCCTCTGTAGACTTGTTCAGAAATGTCATGGACAGCGTCATTGTGCCTATTGCCGAGTTGCGAAACTCTGGATCGACCGAGGCTCGGTTCAAGCAGCTAACCCCATGGAAGAAGGCAATATCTCCCATCTTCACGGCTGCCCAGCGGCTTTTTTCTGGCATGACCTCCTTGGTCTCTGTCATTGATCTGTCAGAGCTCGTTGTCAACTCGCTTGAATTTTCAGCCTCGTCTCTCATCTTTGTTGAAAACGCACATACTGAGCGAGACTCGGTATTAGGCGTTCAAGCTTTTGACGGCCTCCGTCTGGCTGCCATGGATATGCTGTCCCAGATTTTCATCAAGATTCCTGCCCAACGACGTGGTATCTTTGACGACATCCTAACGTCCCTCGAGAAGCTTCCCATTGGAAAGCAGAGTGCCCGCCAGTTCAAGCTGGCAGACGGCAGGAGTATACAGCCCGTGTCGGCGCTCATCATGAGGCTTATCCAAGCTAGCACTGGCCGTGTGACCGAGAAAGCGAAGTCGACATCACAGATAATGGATGAAGAAATGAAAAATGATGACGATGACGACGAAGACACAGACCATGCGTCGCCCGTACATACCGCCACCATTGGGTCTGAAGAGGAAGCCGCCTATGAGCATGAGCTTTCCGTCAATGAGCTGGCACGCGTCGCTTCTGCCCTCAATAGTACAGCGTACTATCACGCCAAATATGTCATCAATTTCATTGTTCAGCGAGCACAGACATCTTCCAAGTCAGCCGATACGCCGTACCGCAATCTTCTCGATCTCTTTGTTGAGGATTTCACAACATGTTTGGAAACACCTGACTGGCCTGCTGCCGAGCTTCTTCTTCGGCTGCTCATGCTGTCAATGTTCAAGTTGACCGAAGGCGACAAGATCCCTGCTCCGGTCAAAAACATGGCTTTGGAGGAATTGGGCGCTATAGGAGCTGTTCTCGCGCGGTTGCGCTCAACTGTCAATAAGTCAGCCAACTCGCCCGAGACCACGGGCCCCGAAGAGCTAGACCACCTCTTGTCGAATCTATCGGCGGCGGCTCTCGCAGAAATGCCACCAGCGGAAGAGTTTCTGTCCTGGACCGGACCTTTTAGATCCACCCTGGAATACCTCGGGGACAGGAGCTCTCAGGACCCTCATCTGTGGAGTGCCATATCATATGTGGTAGCCGATTGGTCGGGGCGCGTCTGCAGGCTGTACACAGCACGCTTACAAGCAGCCGCTGCCATGGTGGTTACCGACGAAGATGCGGACGGCAAGAGTTGTGGCAACCGCGTTCAAGAGAGACAGAACAGGGAATTGGGGCGGATCGCATACCGGCTCCGTGTCATGATCGAGGATGGGCGAGGCTTATCCGGTACCCGCTGCTTCCGAGCGATTTCTGCTTCTCAAGCCAAACTGTCTTACGCAATTGTCACGCTGCGCTCGTCGCTTGGTGGATCTTTCAATGATGTTATCAACATCTTGGCCATGGGCATGCGCAGCGATCAGGCCACGGTCCGGAGCAAGAGTCTTCGAAGCATCACGGAAGTGCTGGAAATCGACCCTACCATCTTCGACAATCCGGCTTCGGTCATTGGCAGGCTCATCAGAGAGTGCTGTGCTGACTCGTCCGTTCAGGTGAGAGATTCTGCACTCGGCCTCGTCAGTCGCGCCATTACGCTGCGACCCAACCTGGAGGAGACCATGATCAAGACAATCATCGACAGATTTATAGACTCGGGCGTAGGTGTGAGAAAGCGTGCCATCAAGGTATCCCGGGATGTGTACTTGCGCAACCAGTCCAGGGAAATCCGGAGCGACATAGCCAATGGTCTACTTCACCGTATCCAGGACCCCGACGAAGGTGTGCGGGAGTTGGCCCGACAGACCATTGAGGAAGTTTGGGTCACTCCTTTCGCCGAGACACCGGCATCGGTTGCAGGAGGACTGGACACTACCGCGAACAGGACGTCGTTGACAGACCATGTCGGCTTGATCCTGCAGACAGTCAGGACGGGAACTGTGACGCCTATTTTGGACAAGGTTTTCCAGGCAATTCTCTCACCCAATGCCAAAGCCGCGGCCACAAATTTTGGCGTCTGCAAACGCATAGTGGCCATCATGTGCGACCTCATCGACAATCCTGACACCGACGACCCATCAACACCATCTGGACGCGACGCCCTGCAGCTGATGATGATATTTGCCAAAGCGGACCCGCGGCTGTTCACCTTTGAACAGATTCGCCTTTTGAAGCCACATATCGCCAGCGTCAAGGATATCAATACTGCCGACGACATGGCTGTAGCCAGAGCAGTCGTGGTCATCTACCAGCGTGTTCTCCCTCAATTGCCCAGTGTTTTGAAGCCCTTCCTGGAAGAGGTTCGCGTTAGCCTGATGCAGAGTGTGCCCAAAGTCAGCAGAACACTACTCGACGATACTATGGGCTGCCTTTGGGTGATTAGCGTTCTGCTCAAGGATCTGGATGGCCTTGGTCGCATTGTTGTGTCTGCTCTACAGGGCATGCTGAAGGAACAGCTGCTATCCGAAAAAGATCCGCTGTTTGAGAAGAAGGCCATCAGGTTCTCCCGGTACGCACTGATCGTCGGCATGGCTGGGAAGCACTGCGACCTAGATAGTGGGATGGAAAAGTTCAAGGCCCAGTTTCCAAAGTACGGTGTCACGTCCGTCTCCAAGCTAATGGTGGACGTTCTCTGTCCATTTTCGATGCCCCCATGGCCCCTGGCCATCCGAAGGACGGCCTTGGATGCCATTGGTCTCATTTGCCAGTCTTGGCCGCGCAATTTCGTCTTGAAAAACATATGCACAGCTTTTCAAACCGCCTTTAGCCAGCACGATCCCAGCTTGGAAGTCAAGATCATGCAGTCTCTGAAAGAGTTTCTGACGAAAGAAGAGCAAAGGTCAGAGACAGCTTCAGGTTCTGCAAAGGCAGCAAATGGTGGCAGCGGAGAGAGCTCCAAAGCGGCCCGTACAGGAGATGGGCCTGATAAGAAGAGGCAACTGACAGTTATGGGAGGCACAAACCACGATGATGTCGCCAGCGCGACGACCCAGAGGTTCCTCAGTGACATCACGAGGATTGCGTTGGGCTCTGTCAGCGAGGAAGCCTATCTTGCTGCGGAGATCCTTGGGAGCATCAGCCGACAGGGTCTCGTCCACCCCAAAGAAACGGGTGTGACGATGATTACACTGGAGACATCGACAATGCCGAAGATGGCCGAACTAGCTTTCCGGGAGCATCGCGCACTACACAACAAGTACGAGACAGTTCTGGAGCGAGAGTACATTAAGGCCCTTCTCACAGCATATCAGTTTCAGCGAGACGTGATCCACGACGTTCGTGGAGCGACTGTAGAACCTTTCACGTCTAAGCTGCACCATCTCATGGATGTGGTCAAGGACAGCAAGTCGAAGAACCGCAGCCGGCTCCTGGAGAAAATGTGTGGGCAAGTGGACTTTGAGCCGGGGAAGTTGGACGTGTCCAAACCGATGCCAAACCACCTCGAATTTTCACGCTTCGTGGTGGAGAACCTAGCTTACTTCGAGTATGTCACAGTGGGCGAGCTCCAGACAACTGTGGCAACGATGGAGAGGCTGGTGCACACGACTGGAGTCTCGATTTCCCAGGCCATCGAGTCGGACATTTTCGAGTCAGCCGATGACCGAAAGAACGTGACGGCTCCGATCGTTATGATTGGGAGTGGCGAAGAGCATGTCGAACCGTCCGGCCTTCCTTTAGGCCCTGCTCTGCGACACCCTATCAACGTCCTCCGTCTGCGACAGTTGGCCACGGGGTGCATGGTTCTCCTCTGTGTATGGGAAGCCCGGAGCTACCTATGCCGCCAGTACGGACTCAAACGCGACAGCAACAAGGCCAAAGGGCAGTCTCGAGACTTGACGCGGGCTCCCAGCAAAGTGCAGGGCATCACGGGTGAAAAGTTTTGGGACGAGACGAGTACAATTATGAAGGGTCTCGACTCGCAGGAGCTCATGGTAGCACGCTGCAGCAGCTTGGTAGAGCTCCTGACGGTGGACTCGGAGTTCAAGCTGGAAGGCGAGGACATGAACGAAGACCCGACAACGCCAACGGGAATGGAAGACGACGACGATCAAGACCGCGGCCGAAAGCGGAAGGCAGGTGGCAACACTCCTGGCGGGCGGAAGAAGCGGCAAAGGTCCAACTCGCAGCGGCGAAAGCGAGGCAGACCGCGGAAGAACGCTGAGGTTGGAGATGAGGACGACGGTGAATTTGATGCATTTTGAAGTGGTGCTTTATCGGGCTCTTTCGTTGCGGTTGTTCGGTGTGGCCAGAGCTGCACACGGTCAAAAGGCATATTGGGATCTGACAGGAACAATGGTATGGCGTTACACTTATGATGATGCACCATGTTATTGTACACGTTACGTGGCTTACGTAATTCGATGTACAGAACACATTTCTCATAGGATTATAGGCATTTCTGTTCTAATACTTCATGACAGAAAAACGAGCCTCGTCATTGACGTAGCATTAGTTTTGTTTTTGTTCCTAAGAATACCTTGCAAAACCGCAGGAGACGTGACCAAGACCAGTCCCTATTACTGGTATACCCAAAGCGAAAGCCTACAAACAAGCGACGAGGGCGAGGCATTCAAAGCCCCATCTGCTCCCTGTCCGAAAAGTATCCGTCCCTCTCCCATGAATTTGGGGGGCCCAACAACTAAACGCCACTGAAAATGCCCACGCTGAACCTCGACGAATGGCTTTGTCGCCGTCTCTTGCTGACACAGCTCAGCTCCTTCTTGTCCTGTCCTGCCCCAAGCCTCGTTATGACATCCCGCAAAAAAATACAGAAGCAAGTAGTTGTACATTTGTGGTCTCACACCACAGTGATCGTGGACGAGTTGGGAGGGCCCATCTGTGCCTCTCCTTCCAAGTCTTCCTCAGGCTTCACAGCACTGAGGCTGCCGCATTCGGCCACTGCGCTGTGCTCGTCAAGGCGTGGCGTACGTGGCTCTCGGTCAGAGTCGTCGACCGAAGACGCGGTGAACTCCGTCGTCCTTGACATTGGTGAAGAGTCGACGCTGTCTTCCTTCTTTGCCTCCTTCGCCACAGTAGCACTAAACTCAACGACTGTGGATGAGGGCGAGGGTGTAGGAACGGCCTTCTCGGCGCTAATGAACTCGGGTAGGGTAACAGCAGAAGCTGTTGTTTCTGTCGGAAGTGTTGAAGCAGCAATTTCGACAGACCGCGCTGTCGGTGCTTCCGTCGTCTCCGCTTCTGGTTGCGCAGACGGCGTAAGGAGCGCAGATGTGCTTTGGAACGACTGGCGGAAAGGGGTGTTGGTAGCAGACATATCGCCGAAATCGCTTATGCCAGCCCGAGATCTTCTAGCTGGGCTTCGCAGCGGCAGCGGCGGAGGAATCCGTTTTGGAATAGTCACCAGTGAGCCCTTTGCTTGGATAATCTGAGCACCCGTGGTTGGCACAGCTCGAACAGGCCGAGCAGCGGTGGTGGCCACTTCAAAAATCACAGGCTCCTCATCCTCCTCGTCCTCCACGTCGTCGTCCTCGTCGTCGTCCTCGTCATCCTCGACATCGTCGGCATCGTCGTCCTCTGCATCATCGGCGCCGTCAACGCCAGAGATGATGGTCTCGTCACAGTCGCCGAGACCGTCAGTCTCTTCATCCTCGTCGTCTGCATCCGCGTCGCGATCGTCGGCAACATAGTATTGGGATGCCGCATCGTTATCACCATCAGTCTGCTCCAGCGTATTCATGCCAGCGTCAACCGTCAAGATCACTTTGCTTATCGGCCGGCCATTGCCCGCACTCGGCAGAACAGATGTTGCCAGAACGCGGCTTTCCCTGCTTGCCGTCGCCAGTGCAACAGGCGAGTTTCGCAGCGCCAATTCTGGCACTGGTGAGGAGACCTTTTCTGATGTCGTTGAAGCGTGCCCGTCCTTGCCATCGTCAGAGTGGGTAGGACTGAACGATGTGTCTGGAGTTTCTGCCACGTCGGTCTGCGTGCACGCATCGTTCATAGACGTGGCTTGCGTACGAGTAGACATGTAGCTGGCCCGGCTTCCATGCTCGAGCGTGGCGTCCGCACTTTGACGGTTGAAATGGGTAAAGGTGGGGCTCGTTGGGCTTGCTGTGTAGTCAAACTGGTTGCTTGAGGGCCGGTGCTTGGAACCGGCTTCACGGATCTCCAGGCCAGCCATCTCCAGGGCGATAATGCCAAAGGGGTCGGGGTCAGCAGCGTCGAGCAGTCCAAAGTTGGACGCTTTGGGCGAAGTTGGAGGTAACAGCGCGGGCGTGTCGACAATATCGGCGTCTCCAGGCGCAGGTTGCATAGACAGCTGTTCCATAATGGCCGCGTCGAAGTCTGAACGGCCCTCAGCGGCCTTGATAGCTTCGAATAGGGGCACGATTTCGGGGACCGATTTGCCAATGTTACCAGCTAATATGTCCAGAACGTCGATAGGTTCAGTGCCGCCACTGGTGTTGTCTTCTGAGTAGAACCGCTCATTCTCGTTGGAGCGCTCGGTGACGAGCGAGCCGTGTAACTGCGCAGGACGGTAGCGGCCTCGGGCCTTCAAGTAGGTCAATACTGTATTTCCCATTTCGTTATTCCATCGAAAATCATTCTCCAGTAGGCCGACCGTGGTCAGGGGCCCAACGGTCAAAGGCACATCAGCGCCGAGTGTGAGGCGTGGGCGTGTAAACATCTCGAGGGCGGTGACGCTGTTAATGATGAGAACGCAGTCGTAAATGTCCACACCGATAACAAAGGCAAGGGTCGAGGTATGCAACATGATTCCCGAAGGCGGAGACCATGTGCCATCAGCCTTGCGGGCAATGAGAATGCCGGAGCCTCCAGAGCCAGACATCCACAGGCCGGAGCGCATGCATGAGAAAATAGCCAGACCAACGGCTTCCTGGACAACTCGGGGTGGGATCTTCTTTTTCACGGTGCTAACTGAGGTTGTGGGCGAAGTTGGAGGTGCGTCGTTTGAGCGTCGAGACGGAAACCGCGGGGATGAGAGGCTGGTGATGCTTGATCGACTTGTCGGGCTGGTGGGTATAGAATCGACCGCTTCGTCGAGGAAGCCATCGGCTGAGAGCGTCAGGGAGAGGGAAAAGGTATGTTGGAAGGGGGATGAAGCCTACTGCAGAATGATTTGAGGATGCGAGCCGCCTTTTCACACTCATGGTCGAGAGTTGTCGGCCAATAAGCCTCCCGTCCCATTTGTCTAGGCACCGTGACAGAAACAGACACGGGCCTCATGGAGCCGGTACTGGCAGTGGCCGGGGACACACTCAGGCTCCGGCCGAGACCAATACGGTCAGCCCAGCTGAATTTCTTCGATGGTCGGTTGGCCTTGCTGGCAGTAGGGATGGTGTTGCTGCTGGCCCTCTTCGCAGCGCCGTCTCCAGTGCTGTCGACTGGCTTTGCCCTCTCCCAGAGCGGGAGCAGACTTGAGACGCGCTGCATGACGGGAGCTGGCTGTTAGTGGCGACGCTCACAGAATGCACCTCTTCGCTGCGACGAGAGCACTCTGCGAACTGGGTCGTCGAGGGAGGGAAGAGGAGCCGTTGGTGATATACGCTGAGAAAGTCAGGAGAAGGGGGGAATGTTGAGGCACAACAAAGGCGGCAGCGGCAGCGCGAATGGCAGGTGGAGCAGGTATGGCATCAGGAAATCAGTTTATTGCCGCGGAGGGCGTGTCCCCATCTGCAGGTGCTAGAGGGAAAACTGGCGCCTCGTGGGCTGAACAGGCGATTCAATGGTGCATACTCCGTAGAGCGGTGGGGAAGAGAACGAAAGAGGACGCAGAAGAGTCGCTTCTTGTCTCGCACTCTCAGCCCAGCCCTCTGTTCAAGTATTTTTGCTTTCTTTTTCGCCCTAGCGTCGAGAAGACGCAAGCAAGGGGAGGCTGATGGGGCCCACTTAGCAATGGTGTTGTATGCGAGAGTCTGGGCAGACGGGGATGGATGGAACCAGTGGAACGTGCGAATGAGTGCGAATGAATGCGAGAGTGAGCGTGAGTATGTGTGAATGCGACTGAAAATGGACGGAGCTAGACAGACAAAAAGGCAGAGGAATGCGAGGCCCAAAAAGATAAGAGAGACGAGGCGAATGCAGAGGGAGGACAGTTGGTCAGAAAAGAAGATGAGGCCCTAGAAGTCCCAAGAATCCCCTAAAAGATGCGATGCCGATGGAGGGTCGAATTCGAAGAAGGGGCGTACGTCGTAGGACAAAGTGCCTGTTAAATGGAAGGAAGGATGGCGACTAGTGGGGCTGGATGGCAAAACAGAAGGCATTGGGGGAAGCCACAGCGCAAGGGCTAGCCTCCGTGTATCATGCCAGTGGCGGACGGAGTAATACTCCGTACACACAGTACCGGAATGGCCCGTGCACACTGCTCTGAGAGTCCGACTGCACGCGAGCCCCACAACACACAGGAAGGCCCGAGGCTGGTCAAATGACGATACCAGGAATGTGCGACTGCGAGGGTGGCAGCCCAGCAAGTTCCTAGGGAAGGCGCAAGTTGAAGGACGCTGTCGCCAGGACTGTGCGCCGTGGGGCGTATTACGCAAGTTTGATTACTGAGGGTGGGGTGGAAGAGAGAGGGAGCGAGAGCAGGAGCGATGGCGAGTATCTTACATGGCAGACCGGCTCTTTGAGGGGAGCCTACTGCTGGCCAGGCAGACAACACATCCTGTTTAATGTCGTATTTCTGTCGCCAATACTTCGTACTGTCCTCGCATATGTAAGAATCATAAACACTTACGAGTACACTGGTCGACCCTCTTTTAGCGCCAGTTAGATGTCGGACAGACATACGAAAGCGGAGTAGGACAGACACGCGGAATTGAGGCAGATTCCGAGTTGCCTGCTTTTTGCCCGTCTCGAAAGCCTCGACTGCCTTGATTCGACGGGTGTGTCTCCGGCTGTCATATGTGCCGAAAAGGAACGGCCTGTATGTCAGGGGTCAACATATCTTACAACCTACTACGTTCTCCGTATGGCTTGCGTTCCTTTCCCAGTGTGGCTTGCAACAGCCAACACCAACCTTCTTTCCAATTGGACCGGTTTGTATTTTTCCTCATTCCGACGGACAGAGTATGGTCAGACACTATGTAAGAGCTACAACCGTGCACCCGCCCATATTTGCCTTGTCCGTTCGACAAAACTGTGTGTCCACAAACGAGCAGCATGTACTCCGTACAGGCATGAAATGGTATTAGCTACTATGTACGGCTGATCTGCTGAGTCTACGGAATACTCCGTACATGTCCAGCATACTAAAAATAGGTATGCATCTATCGGGGTGCACTGTGAGTACATACATTCAGTGCATAAGTACGTTTTAAGGGGTATACTTCGTGCATACATAAACAATCGTCTACTTGATGTATAGTTTTCGCATATGCCGTGCATACGACGTATAGGGAATTGATACGCCCTTGTAATCAGATATTATACCCGTGCGATCTTAGGACCGCAAAGGGTCAACTTTGCATATGCAAGATACGGACAATGTCCAAGGTACAGAGTATATTGTGTGACAACGTATTGGATAAATGCAAACATATCACACTATGAAACTTCAAGCGCATGCTAACAACACCAAAAATGCATTGTCCATGGGCACCGTCCATAGTAGACGAAGGGCGATATCATGCCAGGGGTTCGTATAAGAATTCGCATTTCGTGTAAATTTTGGGACCATTTGTTCATGATGTAACGCCTTTTTATCTCTAAACTCAACCCAGACGCTTCATAAATCCCAGCAGTCGAATATTGAATACACTATAAAAGGCCGATCAGAAGGGACCTCGTCCACCAGCTAGCTGGACAAAGTTGTAAGGAACATTCTGTCCAACAAGCAGCTTCAGAGTCTCAACAGTGGTGAAGGCTGCAGTGTCAGCAGAGCCATAGACAGCAAAGCCGCTTTGCTCGGCAACAACGCCGGGGTCTCCTTTTCGTCGAGCTGAGGAACCATCGGGCGCAAGATCCAAGAACACTTTTCGTGTGTTGCTTCTGTGGCTGGTTGTATTGGTAGTATCAGGCACTTGACCCGATGTATTTGAACCAAAAATTCGCAACAAAAGACCAACCAAAGTGCCTTTCTCAGGACTGAGGGCGCTGATGACAACAAACGGCGACGCGAAATCGTCATGAGCACCTACGGTGCGGGCACGCTGCAAGCTTTCTAAGGAGTTGAAGGGCTCTATGGTGAGATCACTAGCCAGTGCTGCTGGTGTTTTGAAGCCGACGGTGTAGATTTTGCTGATACGAAGAGCTTTGAGGGCGAAGATTGCGCTTGCGGCATCGTCAGACGCCGATGCGAGAACAACGGCTGTGCGGTCAAAGTATGCAGACGGCGCAAGATCCCGAGTCAGAGTCCTGAGAATTCCGCGCCACGATGCGTTGTCAAAGATGAGGTCGGTGCTCGGGGGTAAGATACCCTTGCCACCACCAAACCCAGTGCCGGTGCCGAGCGAGTCGCTCTGGTAATGATATGGGCTCGCTGGCTCAGAGGCCTCGGCAGAATTCGGTGAAGAAGGTGCTGGCCGCACTATAATCGTATCAACGATACCAATGGCACGGGCGGACTCGCTGAGAACAGGACCCATACCATCGTCGAGTGAGGAAAAGAAGGTGCTTTTAGATATAAGACCGGAACATGATACAGGCGGATTCAGGTAAGCGCCGCCAAAATGCTTCTGATTGCACCAGCCCTCGATGCTGCTGCTGAGTTTGGGTTGCCGTTCTACGACGGCAAAGTTATGGGGCAAGCCCAGCTCGTTGAAGCACTTTTCATAAAAAGGAGCCTGTGGTGTCCCAATCCGGCTTGATGGGGTGACGATGCCGTATATGTTTTTCTTGGGCAGCTGACCTAGCAGGGACAATGCCATGTTGAGCTCGGCAGCACTCATCTGACCAGGCGCGGCAATCACTGGAAGCAGAGGGTGCGTTATGGGTGTGAAAACGTGATTCTGCGTCCGCGAGAACTGGCCCAGCTCACCCATATTCATGGCAGAAAGTGGAGGAGCTTCGGGATACTCGGTGCGCATTTTGGATCGAAAATACTCGAGTTCAAAGTTTTCGTTTCGGTCACTGATGGTAGCGATCATCTTGATAATGTCGGAATAGTGGCAGGACTTGGCAAATATAGCTTGGGCTTGGGCTGATGACCACTTGAAGAGGCCCGAAAAGTCATGAAAGGCACCCAAAATGCGACTATTCCCGCGGTGCTCGTAGATCGATTTGCGAATTCTCTCAGGCAGCCATAACTCGACGTCGATGTACTCGACACCCCATTGGATGGCTCGGGTGAGATACTCGTAGAATAATTCTGGGTCCTCCATTGGAAAGCGGCCGTTCTCTCGTGTACAGCGTGTGGTAAAAATGATGGGAAGCTCAGTATGCTGGCGAAGCAGCATGACTTGCTCACCCACGTAGCTGAGACTAGGTACTGGCGCAAAACGGCCGCCACCCAAGGGTTCCTTGAGAAGATCGACGCGAATTTCGACGGCATCGCACCCGACTGTCAAAATGTCGATATTTGGTAAGGCTGCGCGGACATCGGGGAACGTGGTGGAAATGAAAAAAGTACGCGGCAAGGCCATTAATGTTTCGTGGTGATTGATCTGGTTGAGGGTGAAAGAGATGAAGCGGGAGAGATCTCGTCGAAACAGAGGAGTGCTGGTATAGAGAAATTCGTAATCGCACTCAGACGACAGCAGAGTGTCCGGGGGCATGCCTACACTGACTGGATGTGCGTTGATCGCGACAACGATGTCTCGTTGTCGGGAAGCAATGTCAGCCTTGGCATTCTTGGCCTTGATGCCGATAACCCGTCCCCGGTCTTCAAATGCTATTGATGCGAAACTTGGCCGCGTACAATATGGTTTGCCCAGAACCTCTGCAAAAACCGACACAATTGCTGCCTGGTCATGGCCGTAGATGATTACGACTATGCGGGTGTCCCCCTTTTGTGGCCCGCTTCCAAACTTGCTGCTGGTAGCATGGTCTAGAGTGGGTGTTGATGTTGAGGAGGCTGTTTGTACCAAGATCGCCGTGGCTGCAGGGACGGCTGCGGTTGCATTTGGGTCAACGTCCATAGCATCGTTGTGGACAGAGGTGGCCGTTTTTGGTGTCGACAATTGCTGTACGGCTGCCATATTTGCTATTTGTTGCTGCGTCTACCTCGGCCGCCCTGGGGAGTAAAAAGAGGATGAAGGAAAGCTGCAAGTCCTTGGATTCCCAGATGTTCCTGTGTCCTGGTTTTTTATTCCTCGGTTGAGGCCCACTTCGCCGTTCTAGAATCCGGGCTGTTAAGGTTGATATCCGCCGTGTAGCCAGCCACTAACACGACCCAGGACTATGATATGGGCGCCAGATTGTCACCACGCAGTTTGCTGTCTGGCAGGGATTCACTCGTATTATACAAAGAAAAGAGGCAAGGCGTGCATGATATGTGACGCAAAGAGCCACGCCCGGGAAGATATCAATTCCGAGCCGGGACCGAGGACGGTAATTCAAAGGGTCGGAGAGAGGGACCGGAGAGGCGAGGACAATACCAGAGACAATGAGAGGGACATGCAGATGAATGAGTACAAGCCCAAGAGAAGAGAATGGGGGAGGTGAGCCAGTATAATACTGGCAAAAAGACAAGAGGAAAGCGGGTCGACGGTATAATGTTTCAACAAAAACGGGACTGGTCTCGTAAGATTGGGTAGATCTTCCGTATTGTAACCACTTGGCTTCAGCAATAGTGAAAATGAGGAATACCACAGGTGTGGGATAATTTCACCTCAGCTGGGAGAAGACATAAGGCGTGACAAAGATTAATTGAGGTGGCCCAGGGCGGTCTCTTGGGGGGTGCCGCTTTAAGAGAGGGAGTGCTGAAGAAGGTAATTGGAGGATCTTTCAGAAGTTGAACAAGTAAAACGACCGGAGAATTTTCCAAAGGTCCACACAAGATGGACGGCACAGTCCAGTCCAGTGGAGCGGTCGCAATGGTCCTCAGTGTCTGGATTGAGGGCGGGCTGCAGGCGCCCTAGGTAGCAAAGGGCGCAGTCCGTAGATCTTTGTTACTTGGGCGTCGAGCACGGAAATAGCAGACGGGCCAACCTAGGAGCTGTGGTGTTGGATTGTGGCGGTACAGACATATAACGACAAGGTGGGATGTAGACAAGCGACCCTGGTAATTTTCTCGCGGTGGAAACAGAGCCTCCTTAGGTCCGTCTCCAGACGTGGACAGGTGCAGGAGGCAAGCACTCGCTTCGTCTAGGTCATAGCCGGGGTGTTGTGGGGGCAAGTGCGATGGCCGGAACGGGAAGGAGAGACAACCGGCTGAGGAAGGCGGCGATGAGGTTGGTGAAGGGGAAAAGGAAGGACGTTTGCCAGGTGCCTTTAGTTTTAGTCTTTCCGGGGAATCAGGCCTAGCGGGACAAGCGAATGCGCTCAGGAGGGCAGCCGGCCAGACTATCAAAGGGCGTTTTGCTAGGACCAGACTTGTATGGGCCGATCTTACAGAAAGAGGTGAGACGACCAGCTCAAATATTTCGCCGATTATGACCAAGTAAGTCTGCCTGGACCATTTTTCCCTTTCCGTCCTCCCCTCAATACCCAATATCCCCTAGCTGGTGGCGCCAAGTCTGGTAGGCAAGAGCGATCGGCCAGTGTGTTGAAGTGGCAACAGCGGAGACGCTGCCTAATCTCGGCCAATGGCAGAAGGTCCTGTCAAAGGCCTTACAAAATCCGGTAGCATTATCTACTTGTACAACAATTGAAAACAGTTGGTCGTCCACTTGCCATCGGGGCTTTCGAAGCGTTTCACTACATGTGCCCAGATCTGTTTCCCTGCTAGCTTCTCTCACTGGCATATTTTCCCGAACCCCGACGTCAGGATGGCGGTCATGTATACGAAGAGTGGCTAGTCTCACAACGGGACGGAGAGTTCCGGTATCAACTCCGTGTTAGCGACCTCATCCTCTCTACCAATGGCAGCCCAACGAGCGTCGGATGGCAGCTGCAGAAATACACGGCAGGCATAGCCATCAGAGCCTAAGCCCTCAAACTGGAACAGCTGGCTGTCAGGCAGAGGACCGGCGCACGAGATATGCAGCGGCACCCTACTGTTGCACCTTCTCCAGCCACAAGCCTTGAGCTTATTGTACGGCTGATGATAGCGACTTGGGCGTACAGACACCACGAGCAAGTCCAGTTGCACTCAAAGGTGTCACAACATTAAACGCCCATTGTTAAGATACAGCAGGGGTTGTTCTGTACAGCTTTCACCGTCAAGGAGCAAGAGGTCCTTCTTTCCAAAGTCGGAACAGCCGGAACGACGAGCAGCGCCATACAGGACCGAATGCCTAAACATTTCCAGGCGAGAGGGAGGGGCGTCGTGAACTATGAGGCTGGGGCCCCCACACGCTAACGGCCAAAAGTCATAGTTCCTCATTGGTAAGGAGAAATAATCTCCGCCAATGAGACGGGCCGCCAGACGACAGAGGAAGTGTCACCATTGGAGCAGCCGTGCTGACGACACCGGACTGGCGAGACGCCCAATGTTGCACGGAAGAATAAAGACATGCTCGTATGGCATGTCTGTGGACTGACCAGAAGCACGACACGGGAAAGGCTGTGAGCAGTCCATAAAGGCGAGGCCAGATCTCCCCGTCCGTGTCTCACCAGCATCCTCTCTGTTTAAGGATTAGCGGTGGTACTGGACGTTCACCCCATGCCTACGTCATGAGGTCCATTCATGCCACAGATATCGGCGATTGGCCTAGCAGATGTCCATTGCACAGTTGCCAAAAGATCGGCGTTAGGTCTTAGTCACAGGATCCTGTCCGCTATTAGCATCCACATCATCTTAAACCCGACTGCGAAACGCTGGAGGATGGAGGGACAACTGTCATGTAAGCTGGAAATGATTGAAGGACACAACAATACGACAAGTATATATAAAGGTCGAGCTACTTCCTGGATTTCGTTCTTCTCAACAGCAAACGGGACAAGTTTCCGACTGACCAGCGACAAAAGCAAGAAAAGTCCAGCTCACTAACCCGTCTTCCCCACATTGAGCGTCTTCCCCACTGCGCCGGAGCCGGCGACCGAGCTTGGACGGCTGCGGGTGCTTTCGTCGACGTCTGGCCTGCGGGTGTCGCCGCTAGCCCTGGGCGCCATGTCGGTCGGCTCGGCATGGTCATCGGTCATGGGCAGCATGGACAAGGAAACATCGTTCCAGCTGCTGGACGCGTTTGTGGCGGCCGGCGGCAACTTTATCGATACGGCCAACAACTATCAGAACGAGGAGTCGGAGCAGTGGCTAGGCGAGTGGATGGCAGCCCGCAAAAACCGCGAGAGCCTGGTTCTGGCGACCAAGTTCACGTCCGACTATCGTTCGTATGCAGCCGGCCCAGGAAACGTTCCCAACAGCCAGGGCAACCACCGGCGCAGCATTCGGCAGAGCGTCAAGGCGTCACTGCGCAAGCTGGACACCGACTACATCGACATCCTGTACCTGCACTGGTGGGACCACACCACATCGATCCCCGAGATCATGGACACGCTGCACGCTCTCGTGCTCGACGGCTCTGTCCTCTACTTAGGCATCTCTGATACACCTGCCTGGGTTGTCTCGGCAGCCAATACGTATGCCGAGGCCCACGGCCGCACACCCTTTAGTATCTACCAGGGCCGCTGGAATCTGATCGTGCGCGACCTTGAGCGCGACATCGTGCCCATGTGCCGCCACTTCGGCATGGCTATTGCTCCGTGGGACGTCCTCGGCGGCGGCAAGTTCCAGACCCGCAAGGCCCTGGCCGAACGCAGCGCCAGGGGCGAAAAGCTGCGCAGTCTTACCGGCGGCGAGCAGACGGCCGACGAGGCCGCCATCAGTCTTGCGCTCGAAAAGGTCGCCGCCGAACACGGCGTCGAGTCCACAACCATCGCCCTCGCCTACATTCGCGCCAAGGCTCCTCGCGTCTTTCCCATCGTCGGTGGCCGTAAAATCGAGCACCTCCACGACAACATCAAGGCCCTATCTATCAAGCTCACTGATGCCCAGATCGCCCTCCTCGAGGACGTTAAGCCCTTTGCCATCGGCTTCCCCAACGACTTTATCGGCGCCGACCCGTTTGTCACTGGCAAGCCAAATTTCCGCCTAGAACGCAGCGCCCATATGGACTTTTCTGACCCGCTGGTGCGCCGGTAACTGGAGATGGCGGACGACCACAGCCAGCAGGCACAGGATGTGCTGCAGTTTCTTTGCGGTTGACAAGCTGAGATAGAGGGACTTGTTATCTATGAAAAAAATACATGCTACAAATCGGATTGTCGCTGCCCAAGACCGTTCTTTATATGCCGATATTTGTAAACTGGCCCCAATCGTCCCACCTGGGAATATTTCACTCCCTCTTGTAGGACAGCTTTCCGCCAACCCAGGTCTCCCTGACCTTCATGTCGCGGAAGTCCTCCAGGTCGAAGCTGCTGATCGGCTTGTCCAGTACGACCCAATCGGCAAAGGCGCCCACCTGGATGACGCCTGCCAGTTCTTCGAGGAAGGCCCCGTACGCCGGCCCCTGCGTGAAACCCAGCAGCGCCTCGTCCAGCGTTAGCGCTTCGTCGGGGTACCAGGGATCGTTCGTCCCGTCCGCATTCTTCCCCGTGTGCGGACTGCGCCGGACCACGGCGGCGTATATGCCCTGGAACGGATCTGGCGGCTCAATGGGGAAATCGCTGCCTAGGATGGGCCGGTTGCGCAGCAGCGTTTTCATCCGGTACGCCTCCTCCCGCGTCCGCTTGGAGCCCAGCCGCAGCTCGGCGTACTTCATGTCCGACGTGGCGTGCGTTGGCTGGATTGACGGGATGAGCGCGAGAGAGTGCAGCCGAGCCTGGTCATGGGGGTGGATGATCTGAGCGTGTTCGATACGGAAGCGATGCTCATGCTGGCACTCGGCCGGCGGCCGTGAAGGACAGAGATCGACCAGCGCCGTCTCCAAGGCGTCGATGGCGTAGCGGTTCGCCAGATCTCCAATGGCGTGGATGTTCACCTGGAAGCCCGCCTCCGACCAGTCTCGCGTCAGCGACAGGAGTGTCGAGCCGTTCACCAGCAACGAGCCCGACATGTCCGGCCGGTCACTGTAGGGATCGATCATGGCGCTGCCCCAGCTTCCCAGCGCCCCGTCTGTGGTTCGCCATCTGTCAGTAAGGGCACAAGGCCGGTCGCAGTCGGTGACGTGGGCTTACCGGCAAACAGCTTGACACCGTGAATGGTCAGGAACTCGCTCGTCGTCTGTCGCAGCCCGACCGCCTCGTTGGGGCAGAACGTGTTGCGCTCCTTGCACTCGATCATAGCGTTCACGCGGATCGTCCAGCCCTCTGTGTCAGCCAGCTCCCGGTACAGCTGCAGGTCCTCGGGAATCACTCCGGCGTCGTGCATGCCAACCAGGCCCAGAGAGCTCAGCTTCTGCATTGCTGTCCTGATGTATGTGGCCTTGACTTCTCGGCCTGGTCGCGGCCACAGAGACATGATCAGGTCCATGGCGTTGTCACAAAACACGCCCATGCCAGGGTCGCGTATGATCTCGCCACCGGGCACGTCGGGAATTTGGGCGGGAAGGAGATCGAGGACGGCCTGGGACACCCAGATGCAATGACCGTCAATACGGTCTAGCATCACGTAGAGGCCCTTGAGCTTCTCGTCGCTTTCCAGCAGAGCCTAGCGATCATAGTCAGCGGGCAGACAGGCGTCAAAGGAGCAGAAAGCACGCCCGGACTCGAGACTCACAGCAGTGGGCATACCACCCATGGCCATCTGGTCCCATCCAAAGCCTCGTAGCCATTGGTCCTTGGAGCCTATGCCCTGGTGCGTGCCGATGTAATCTAGGAGGCGCTTTCTGATGTCTTTGGCTGCCGTGGACCCAAACAGGTCGACCGACTGAAGAAATTCCCCATATTGGATGAGATGTCCATGGCCGTCCCAGAGACCTGGAATAACATATCCAGAGAGGCTCGGACTGTCCAGCTCGTTCTCGGGAGTGAAAACTTCTGTAAAGTGCCCGTCCACGACACTGAAGCACCGCGCCGACGGCTGGTCCTCGGCCAGAGTCTTGATTCCCTCGTAGCAGTACGTCTGCGGTGCGCTTGCTGCTGACTGCAAAGACGTGCCAAAATTAACACTGTCACGAAAGTAGGCCACAGCCAATGCCAAGGCTGCAGCGGCTACCAGCAGTGCAAGACTCGATAAAGACCTCGGCATCTCGCGCGGCTGACGAGACGCCGATGCCATGGTGAGCGTGCGTTGAGCAATGGTCGCGTAATTTGGGCTTCCAATCATTACATCGCCTGTTGCCTGTAGGATTGTAGAGTTGGCGCGTCTTTCCTCTCCTCAAATTATCGGATCTTCGAAGAATTCGCTATTTCGGTGAACACTAGAGGGCATACCGGCCATTTGGAAGCGAATCAAGTGGAGCCAACCTGGGAAGGTGCGAGGGACGCTGTCGACTGGTGCTGATAAGAGATTTCTTCGCAGGACAATCAATCTGTGACCTTGTTTGGTCTGGCGGTTTGTTTGAGTATGCCATCCACGATATGGCCTTGTAGGAAGTATTAACTCACTTCAGAAGTCTTGTCTCGAGGTCCGACAAATTACGCACTCACCTCTTCTAGCCGACCACTTGTTGACAATGCTACGGAGTCAATTCACACAATTGTCAAAAGGGCTAGTAGAAGTATACTAAAAAGACTGGACAGCCGTAAACTCATCATTGTAACGCACCCGCTCCCACACTATATATACCAGTGCGCTGTGCTGTCTATGCTGGGGTACTATGCTATACAAATTTCTAAAACAAGGCAGGACGTATGATAACAAAGCAGACAAAAGAAAGGGTGAAGACCACGGGCAAGATCCGGTGTGCACACACAGTCTAACACCCAAGGAAAACGAAGCTCAATTACCAGGAGAGAGATAGCCTTCTATCTGTGCCGTCTGGTCCATCTATACCGTGTCTCATACCCTGACGGTGTTTCCCATCACAAACAGCAGCACAACGCCGTTGAGGACGCAGATAGCGCCAAACGTCGTCCAGACCAGCAGGCCTGTTGCAAGCGTGGTTCGTTCGCTCTTTGCCATGACCATGCCCAGTGCTGCGCAGGCGAAGCCCAGGCTGGCCACGACACCCATAATCACGCCAGCGTCAACCTCGACGCGTAGCCGATGCCGACCCGTGCTGATCAAGATGCCGGTTACAGCCAGCAGCACAGCAGCAGCAGCAAAGCAGCCGAATGCGCCGCGAAGCAGGATCGTCTCACGATAGCGGGCCATGCGCTGGTCGGCGACGGACGGCAGCGTTGCGTAGTAGGTCTCATACCCCTGAGGGAACTCGTGTTCACTGGCAAACATGTCGTCTTCGCCCTCCTCACCGGCGCTGTCCCCGTCTTCGCCGTCGTCGTCGTCGCCGTAATGGCTAACGTCGTCGTAATGCCCCGAGCCCATAGCGGCCATTCCGGCACGGCCGGGCGTCTTGCCATTCTGTCGTCGCAGCCGTCTTTGCGACGCTGACTCGTCGGCATACAGAGTGCTGCCGGCTCCGTAGTTGACGCCGCTGTGAGACAGCAGTGGCGAGTGCTCGCTACCGTTGTCAGGCAGATGCGCAACCGCAGCTCCCCGGGCGTTCATCCACTTCTTGGCCTTCTCGATGGGAACCGTGAAAAAGGACACGAGCGTTGCCACACCCGGGAACTCCGACTCATCATCGGGGTGCAGATATATGGCGTAGCCGCCACTTCCAGCTCCACCAACTTCGCCCGACTCGCTCCCATCATCGTACTCGTTCCAGTAGTGCGTCTGCACGGGGGCAGTGGTGAGAGTCTTTGGACCGCGTGGTATATGTATTTGCTCAGACCCGACCGACGAAGAAAGCGCCTGCAGCGTGGAGGAGGAAGACGAATGAACCTGGCTGCTGCGCCGATGTTGTCTGCTTGGCGTGGGCGGTCGGCTGTTGGATGTGGGTGAGGAGGTGAGGGGAGTGGTGGCTCGGATGGTGTTGAGAAGCTCGTCGCATTGGCTCTGAAGGTGGGAGAAGTCTCGCTTGGTGAAGCTCTTGGGATCAGAGAGCACGTTTTCGCGGAAACGAGTGCCAAGAGAGCTTGAACCAGTCCATTTCTGGCTTGATTAGGACGATGCAAAGATGAAGAGGAGAGGCTGCCGTTGGCACAGATAAGTAGCTCACTCTGTACTTCTTCAGGATCTTGCGGAAGGCGACAACCTGGGCATTCGAGAACCGGGCCAGGTCCCGGGTCTCGTCGCTCAGCTGCGCTGCGGTGCGTTCGTATTTTGCAAGGCGGCGCTGACGCTTGAAAGTTGTGGCGCCGCGAGCTGACGAATTGCAGCACAGAATCAGTCGGCTTATCTGGTCAGTCAGGTACCCTGCGCATGGTTAGCAAGGTAGGCCTTATAGGGAGAAGAAAGAAAAAAAGAGGAAAGAATGCGCACGTAGTCGCCGGTTGATCTCATCTGCCTTTGTGGTGACGAAAAGGCCGACACGGTCATGTTGGCGATATAGTTCATCATAGAAGTTAAGTTCAAAACGTTGGAGAGAAGTGTCCTGCTGTCCAGGAATGGGGATGGCGGTGGCCTGGTCGCGTGTAGTATGGATCTTGATAAACTCCTTGAGCGTGTTGTAGTCAATGTTATGGAGGCTCCATTCCGGCACAGATTCGGTCTCCAGCTGCTGGCCGTACTTCATGATCGGACAAAAGGGATGCAAGCGCTGCTGCTGTTCCAAGCAGATTTGTGAAGAGGGTTTGGGGCCGAGGGAGATTTAAAACAAAGAAGCCTTTTGCCCGGTCGTTCCGCTGAGAAGGAGGCGATAGGATCGCGATGAGGACGGAAGAGGCGGTAGATAATAGAGACGCAAGGGCCAATGACAGACGGACGCCCCTTTACAGCCGGCGAGGCTGTGTAGTAATATGGCGCAAGACGAGTGCGAAGTTGTGCGTGCCTCGTGGAGAGACAGAGAAGTTAGAGTTTGGGCGGGAGAGAAACATGTATCAGACTGCACGCATTCCTGCCAATGCTGCTGAACACGAACAAGAAGTTCGGGAGGCAGAGCAGGGACGGATTAAAAAAAGAGGGGGACTTCAGTTGCAGCAGCTGAAGCACAGTGGAAAGGCACACCAAGTGGGCCTGATTCAAGACCTAGGCTGGTCGATCTCCACCAGCACATGTACGAGTACGGGTAGTCTGGCTTGGCGGACTCCGACAGTGCAAAAAGCTTTCAGGCACCTGGCCTGGATCAGTGTTCTTGTCTCGGGTTCATTGCTGCACAGCACGGCCCACTTGAGGAATCCGCTCCGACGGAGGCCTGCAACAAGTACGGAGTAAGTTATTACTCGTATTACGGAGTATTCATATCTCGAATCTTACCTGTCGTCTCTACCAAGTGCTTTGACGTATACCGGCGACGTCATTCTCGTTACTCATCGCGAATAATTGTCCGCAATAGTGTTCACGGCACAGCGGGTATCCATCCTCGTACTTTTTGTCCCGTACGGAGTATGCGCCTGTATCTATCCAGCCTAGTCCCATGAACAAAAGATTCTCTGTTTTGCCACCTTTATTACCCCTGCCGTGGGAAAAAATTTGACCACCTCGGCTGGTATTGCGTCCTTTGTTGGAGCCCCTCAAGGAAATACGGAGTATAACAATCTATTTATCTTATCTCGATCCCTCCTGCGACTATGTACATATGAATTACATGTATGTTTGTGTACTGTATGTACTCTGTACGATCACGGTCGAGGAAGGCTGTATATATGGAGTCTGTTTCTCTGCCAGGATCGGACACTTCCGTTCTGCCGTGTGCACTGGTGCTGTGCAGTGGAATGCATTCAAGGGACCTCGAGGCATCTTGACGTACTCTGTACAAACACTACCCAGATCACTTAGACCGAATGCGGTTGGCTGCTGTCAGCTTTCGATAAGTTGCATGATATCCACCTGCCAGAAACAGTTCGGACGTTGCTACTCAAAAACTCTGCGTGCGGTAAATGTTCTGAAGGACTTTCCATCTCCACCGACTCGCAGATCTGCAAACGGCTGTATTAGTACCACGCAGTATATTACGCACAGCTTCTCCACCATGAAAAAGCATTGTTGTGAGGAGAAAGACCGCATTTTTATCGCGGTCCGTGGTCGCACTTCAGTCTGTTGGAAGTTGTGCTAAGTAGATCGTGAGCATGACTCTGGATGGCCTCAAATATTGCTCACTCAGCAGAAGACGGTTGGAGACGGCGCTTGCACTACTTTGACCGGCTTGCCTGAATTCCATGAGATAAGACATCCTACGTCGTACATAACATCTGAGCAAATAGTTTTCATTAATAATAATATTTCTATTTGAGCGTTGACCGCCTTCTGTTTTTGGACATTTCAGCCACAAATAGTGGCGGGGCAGATATGGCTAGAGGCTTCTGGCAAAATGTCACCGCCTTTGATTTTTTTTTTCCTATGCGGTGCCAAAAAAGTAGTCCAATCTAAGAACTCTTTCTACGACGTACGGAATGATTGAACAGCTTCGTTCAGGCGCAAATCACCCGTAATCTGGGAAACCCTGACCATTCTGCCACAGCCAAAAGAATATATTTGAAAGTTCGATTGCTCGAAACATGGCTGAGTCTAGCACGTCGTCGCTGACATCAACTTCACATACCCTCACGATTGGGCCCTCAATGGCGTCCGGATCGTTTCCAAACCTCAGCGACATCTCCTCCGCACTTGCATTTCGCGATGCAATTCGGAGATCTAACCGCCAGGCTTTTTTAAAGCCTCCAGTGGCCCTGCCGACCGCTTCTACGCAATTTGCGCAGGTAGCTTTGGGCTCGTTTGCCAGCCAAGTAAGCGACGAACAGCAAGAGCGGCTACGATTGCGGCACGCCACAAATGCAGCTCTGAAGAAGCGCAAACGGAGTGGAAAGGACACAGCAGCAGATAAGGATGTCGCTCTGGCAAACGTCGCGGGTCCTGTCGGACCTATCCTGAAAGTCCGGAGGGTATATGTCGATGGGTTTGAGGTGCCCCAGATCTGGCAGCAATCAAATCGGATCCTCTCGGCCAGCCTTTCTCAGGCCAAACATGAGCTAGAGCAGCTCGAGAAAGAGGATGTAGACGGCGTCTCGTCGGACTCTGAGGCCGAAAGTAATGCAAACGACTCCGATGGGGAGCCCGTTGTGGACGGCCAGTCTGTAGAAGAGGAGCTGGAAGAAGATGAAGACGAGGAGGTAGAGGGGGATGTGGACGAAGACGAGGACGATATGGAAGATGGCTTTGATGAAGAGGGAGAGGAAGAAGAGGAAGACTTCAACCAAAAACCTCTTGTTGAGGACAAAGACGGCCTTAACGACGGGTTCTTTGACATTGACGACTTCAATAAAAAGTCCCAGTACTTCGAGGACCAGGACGCGAGAGCAAACCCGAAGACGGACCAGGTGAGCGACGACGAAGAGGTCGACTGGCATGGTGATCCGTTTGCTGTGCCTGATAAGAAGCGGAAGTCTGGAAAGGGAAGCGACAAGACACGACAAAAGGATGGACGGGGCCAGCTAGACTCTGAGGAGGAGGAGGACGAGGAGGACGAAGAGGATGAAGAGGGACCTATTTTCGGCGACATGGATTTGGACGCGCCGTCTGGCGAGAGCGACGCGGAGCTAGACGGCGAGGACGGCGGGCTGGAGAGCGGGATGAACATGGAGCTTGGCGGAGAAGAGATCTACTACAAGGACTTTTTTGCACCTCCACCAAAGAAGCGACAGGAGGGAGAGCCGTGGCAGCGTCCGGCGCCATACAAGCCCGATTTGCAGGACGTGCGGCGGGCGATGGCAGATGTGAAGCGCGACCTGTTTGAGCAGATCTCAGAGGCGTCGGGGTCAGACGAAGAGGATGTGCTGTCGGACGTGTCGGACGGCAACCCACGGGCACGGCGGTCGACACACGAGCGGCGACAGGCCAAGATCCTAGCGGAGATCCGGCGACTGGAGGCAGAGGCGGTACGACAGAAGGACTGGACGCTGTCGGGAGAAGCGTCTGCGGGGGCACGGCCAATGAACTCGCTACTGGAGGAGGACCTCGAGTTTGAGCACATTGGCAAACCGGTGCCGGTGATCACGCAGGAGGTGACAGAGGACATTGAGGAGCTGACGAAGCGGCGAATCCTCAGCCAAGAGTTTGACGAGGTGCGGCGGCGCTACGCCACAGGGCTGGATGGGGGGGACACAGCACGACGTGGGTTGGTGGAGATTGACGACCAGCAGGGCACGAAGAGCCTGGCAGCGCTGTACGAAGAGGAGCACCAGCAGAGCGTGAATCCGGAGACATACGTGAGCCAGTCGGACGAGCAGCTGGCGGCAGAGGAACACGAGGTAGACCGGATGTGGAAAGAGCTGAGCGCGAAGCTGGATGCGCTGAGCAGCTGGCACTATAAGCCGCGGCCAGCAGCTCCGGCGCTGACGGTGGTGGCTGACGTGGGGACGGTGGCGATGGAGGACGCGCAGCCGGCGACAGCACAGGGCGTGAGCGGCGGCGAGAGCATGCTGGCGCCGCAGGAGGTGTACAAGCCGGGGGCAGCCGGTGCTTTGGGGCGAAACGGCGGGCAAGGCGGCAGCGACGACAAGGATGTGGTGACGGTGGCCAAGACCGGGCTGCCGCTGGCCCGGGACGAGATGTCGCGCGAGGACAAGGCACGGCGGCGGCGGCGGAACAAGGAGCGGATTCGGAAGAGCGGCTCGGGTGCGGGTGGCGCGGCCGTGGTGGCGGCGACGGAGGCGGCGAACGAGGGCACAGCTCATGCAGTCACCAAGACGAAGTCACAGAAACGCCAGGACACCATGGCCACGCTCAAGAAGGCGGGCGTGCGGGTGATTGGGCGGCGCGGCGAGATTGAGGATCTGGACGGCAACAAGCCCAAGGCAGCCCGGACAGTGTCGAGCGGCAACTTCAAGCTGTAGGGGTGAGGTGGAAGGGGCGGGAGCTAGAGAGAAGACGAACAGAAGGTGGAGGGCGTGGAATCGCAACTGGATAATGCATATTCTGTTTATTGCATATTACGAAGAGTCACACCAATATGAGTGTAAGCAAATGCATTGCAGCAGTACCAAGTGAGAGATATATATCGTAAAGACCAGCGCCTCGCCTTGCATCCAAAACCCGGTTTTTTTTCGCAAGATGTACAGCACCAGAGGAGACGCCCAAACGCCACGCCGGACTCTTCCCTTTTCCCAGTCCGAACCCGATCCGCCTGTCCAGCCCGGCCGTCCGGGCTCAGTTGTCGAGCCAGTCGAGGAACTCGGGCGTGAAGTAGCTGACCAGGATGGTGGCACCGGCACGCAGGATGCTCTCGTGCGACTCGATGGCCGCGCCCTTGAGGTCGAAGACGCCAGCCTTGGCGGCCGCGTGGATCATGGCAAACTCGCCGCTGACCTGGTAGGCGGCAATGGGCAGGTCGCGGCCGAGGTCCTTGGCGTCGCTAATGATGTCGAGGTACTGGCCGGCCGGCTTGACCATGATCACATCGGCGCCCTCGTTGATGTCGCGCACGATAGCACGACGGGCAAGGCCACGACCGCCAGGTGGCAGCTGGTAGCACTTGCGGTCGCCAAACGACGGCGACGAGCCGGCAGCATCGCGAAAGGGGCCGTACAGACAGCCAGAGAACTTGGCGGCGTAGGACATGAGCAAGACCTGGTGGGCGAGGCCCTCCTCGATCAGCTTGAGCTTGATGGCGCGGATGCGGCCGTCGTTCATGTCGGACGGAGCGACGCAGTGGGCGCCGGCGTGGGCGTAGGCCATGGCCACATCCGAGATCCGGTCGACCGACATGGCGTTGTTGAGGCTGCCGTCATCGCGCAGGATGCCGCAGTGGCCATGTGACGTGTACTCGCACAGACACACGTCGGCCACCACGTACAGATGCGGGAAGCGCTGACGCAGAAGCCGGATGCTGCGCACCACCGGTCCCTGCGGATCGTCGGCCGACGTGCCCAGCTGGTCCTTGGAGCCCGGCTGCAACGGCACACCAAAGAGGATCACCGATCGCAGGCCCTTGTGCACGAGCGGCTCGAGAAAGGCCACAAGCTTGTTGAGGCCGCGGCGGTACTGGTTCGGCAACGACGGGATCGGCGTCTCCTCGTCGTCCATGTCCGAGACAAAGAGCGGATAGATGAACATGGACTGGGAAGAGAAATGTTAGCCTGCAGCCCAGACGACAGAGACAAGCCGACAGAAACACACCTTTGTCAGTTGCCGCTCGGCCTGCCAGGATCGCGCCAGCGGGTGGCTATAGCCACCGTGCAGCTGGCTGGAGATCTCGCCCGATATGCTGACGCTCGTGGCTGCCGTGCTGGCATAGGACATGGCCCTAGACACATGCGACGTATGCGACGCCGTGTCGTCGATGGTTGAGGCTGCAGAGGCACCGGCGCGCGTTCGCCGCGAAGACGGCGGTGCGTTCCGAAGAGCGAGGTCTTGCACAAGGCTGGAGAACGACATGGTCGAGACCGAGTGGTAGCGAGGAGAAGAGGGTGAGAGTCGAGAGTCGAGAGAGTCTGCTGGGAAGCAGAAGTGGTTCGATGTATTCAGGGTTTTGTTGGAGGCTCAACACAGAACAAAGACAAAAAAGCACTTGCAATGGACAGAGACGAAACACGCGAAAGGAATTGGACTAGCCAGCGACGGGAATAGAACTTATAAGGGACAGACGAAGCGACTGTGAGATAGGAGCACGGGATGTGAAAGGAAAAAAAACTGCCAGGCGGAGAACAAAAGCCGAAGTGGCGAGAGGCCAGCTGCGTTTATCTCACGGACCGGCAATTGGCCCTCCTGACTGGTGAAACGCTCCTGCTGGCTCTCTGGGGTGGGTGTCGGTTTCTTTCGGAGAGGTGGGGTATGTTAGTCATCCGGCGGCGGCGGCAGGAGCGAATCGGGTGCGTGCTGTTGGAGATATCACTTCCCTTTCTGGCGGACAGTCCGACACCAAGCCTTTCAGCTGCTTATGCTGTCGACCTGTCTTCCACGTGGGAACCACAACGCGTAAATGCCCATGAGCATTGTCCATATCTCGTCAGCGAAGAGATCATTCTGTTCCGGACGATGCTGTGAGACCCGGCACGGAGTACTGTCACTGCACGTATTGAGGGTGTACTATGGAGTACGTAATACGAGGTAAGCAAGCGGCTCCACTAACGATGGGTTCTCGGATCTGGCCACAAACCCAGACGTCCGAAATAGCAGCATCTACGGAGAATGCAGACGACCGACGAATTGCCTACGGGTATCGTGTCCCAGCCGTTGTTAAACAGGGCATGCATGAAACAAGCTTGGACCGCCAGGGCAGTGGAACAGTCTTGGGAGCGTCTAATTATGTACTCCGTACTTCGTTCTATGTAAGGTACAGTCCTGCTCCACACTTGTCCAAATTTTGTAAGATCCGACGTACAGGTACGTCGCACTCGTACTCGTGCCGCAGAACAGCAACGTGAAGCCACGTCTCAGGGCGCGGCCGTCAGGTTCGTCTTGATCGTGGCCAGGTCGGCGTCCGAGAATCCCAAGCTCTTGGCATAGCCCACGAACCCATTGGGGCCGTACTGCTCGTCCAGTGCGTCCAAGAAAGCCTTGAGGCAGCGGACCCGCAGATTCAAGAGGTTGTCGAAGCCGGGCGGCGGTGGCGCCGTCAGGTCGACGTCCTCGGCTGCTACTGTTGAGGTGGCCAGCACGCCGGCGCCCGAGCGCGCAAACCGTTCGAGATCCTCGCGCACCGGCTCGTTGCCGAGACGCGAGAGCACGTAGTCGAGCGCGACAATCTCGGCCGGCTCGCCGGCTAGCGTCTGCAGCAGGGCCGCCGTGACGCCGGTACGATCACGGCCGGCCGTGCAGTGAAACAGGAACGGCTCTTCTGGCCGGTCACGCACGTGCTCGAGAATGACCCGGAACGACGGGCTGTACGAGTCCAGCACGTCCAGGTACATGGCCGCATAGCCGGCTTCGCCGAAACCTTCGGCAAACGGCTCCAGCGTCACGTGCGGCGTCGCCTTGGACGGCTTCTCCCACACGAGCGTCACCGTCTCCGAGACCACCGGGTCTGGCGCCGTCGCGTGCTCGCTCTGCGACCGCAAATCAAATATCCGCCGCACCCCCAGCTCCGCAATGGTCGCCTTGCCCCCGTCGGTCAGCCGGCTGAGCCCGCCACTCCGAAAGGCAAAGCCCGGCCGCAATCGCTGGCTCGCCTGCTCGCTGCGTGGCACCCGGCCAATGTCGCGCGCATTGAACGTGCCCTCGATGACAATGAATGGCGTCGTCGACAGCACCGGCGCCAGCTGCTCCGGCGTCAGCTTGATCGACACGTCCTGCTCGCAGAGCGTGAGCAGCTCAGACGCTGATAGCGCGGTGACGGCCATGGCTGGGAAAGTGGCAGACGGCGGAAAGACGGCGGAAGATCGGCGGAAGATCAACGGACAATCGGCGAGAGAGCTGACAAACTGATGCTGACGGGTGGCTGATGGACAGCTGAAGACGAGATGGCGAGATATGTAGCGTGACGAGAGAGAGAGAGAGAGAAGCTGCTGTCGGGTGGGAACGTTGCCAGAAGTACAGCCAATTCGTGCCCGAGCTGCTCGGATCGGCAACCCAATAAGCCCAACCGGTCTCCGCTCCTGTTTTGCCTCGGAGTGGCTGAAACGCAGCACTGCTGCAGCATCGCTAACACCTCCGACATTGTGAACACTCCCCAAAAGGCCTAGCAGAAACACCCGCCACACCGCCTCCCGAGCCTGCATATGGAGTAGTATTGTGCTGTAATCACATGGTATAAATAAAGGTATAAGATATCACAAAATAGGAAACCACGTTCCGGCCCCAGACCGTGTCGCCTGCTTCATTGGGTTTTCCGACATCCACAGCCAATGTAGTATTCCGACTGTTGAGAGAAGTCCATCCACTGCAGCAAACGTGTCCATACCGGCCAAAGGGAAGTTCGGATCCATGATGCGTCCGGCGGTGGCATAGAGAGAGCAAGCCCGCTCCCCATGCTCCCGGTCCCGCCAGATGGCAAACTATGATACCATGCATACAATCCACTCTTCGGGAAAGTCAATCGCCTCCCTCCCTCGTTCTTGGCGCAACCCGGGCTCGACGCCCTGGGTTCTCGCGCCGCGCAGCAGAGACAGAAAAACATGCGCTTTCTGGGGGATAGAAGCGGCAAGCAGCAGTATGTGCATGGTCTCGTCTACGGTGCATCTCGACTGTGTTCTGCCTCGCTCACAGCAGCTCGTAGTCGTCTAGCTCGTCCCGGTACTGCATGATGTGACGCTTGATCTTGCTGCCGACCGTCCAGGTGACAAAGTCCTCAAGGTTGCGCGTCACCAGGAATGCCGGGTCCGTCACCGTCTCCGTGCCCACACGCACGTGGCCCTGCTCGATCATCACGGTCGCCGCCTGGATCGTGTCCGCCATGTGCAGCCGCGTCATGACTACGGGCAGACGCCGTCGGGCAAAGGCCGACACTGTCGCGTGGTGCTCAACGCCCGAAAACTTGTCCTTGTTGGACAGGATGCCCATGTCGAAGAGCTTTTCGATCAGTAAGTCCTCGTGGCGCTTGCGTACCGCGTTGTCGGGCGGCAGGAGGCTGATCCGGTGCGCCAGCTGGCGAATCGAGCCGCAAATCCGGTTGTATGAGTGGTAATCTTCCGGCTTCTGGATCATGTAGCGACGGACGACTGCTGAGGCCCGGTGGTCATTGTCCTGCTTCCAGGTCGTGAAGTCGACCTTGCCTGTGGAGGGTCAGCGCGGCGCTTTACAAAGCCCAGAGTCCGTCAAACGAAAAACAAAAGGAAAAACAGAGAGCAGACGGAGGACATAGTCTTACGCAAGAGCTTCTGCTCGTGATGTTTCAACTTCCGAACCATGGTGACTGCGTGCCGTAGCTACAAACGTATGCAGAGAATCAATCGCGAATTTTTTTGCAGACAACCTCGAGCTAACTTAAAAAAATTGGGTATCCGCTCCAGTTCCTGATAAGATAAGACACTGTGGAGTATACTCTGACTCATCACAGGGATCAATATATGCTCGGCGCTAGGCTGTCTTCCACCTCCTTCCCCAGACAATCACGTCTTGCACCAACGAAGCGGCCTACTTCCAGTGATACCAGCGATTCCAGTGCAGCAAACCGGAAACTCGATCGAAAGCTCCTGCGCTTGAACTTACTGCGATCATGGCCACACCATCTTTCTACGAGCTCTACCGCCGGAGCAGGTAATTCTCTCCGCCCATGCGCGTCTGCGCCTTTGTGTGCGGATCTGACCATGGCCTTCTCGGTCTCCTTGTCTGTATAGCATCGGGTATGCCCTGACCGACACGCTCGATGAGCTCATCCGCGAGAACCGCATCGATCCGCAGCTGGCCATGAAAGTGCTCCAGAACTTCGACCGCGCCATCGCCGAGACGCTCCAGGAGAAGGTCAAAGCTCGCCTGTCCTTCAAGGTGAGATGCGCCAGTTCGAGATAATGCCAGAATACAGAGACGTCCTAGAGAAAGGGAAGATGGATCGTGCGCTGATGCAATAACAGGGATCTCTGGATACCTACCGCTTCTGTGACGAGGTCTGGACGTTCCTTATACGCGACGTGCAATTCAAAATGGAAGGCGGAGGGGCACCGGTTTTTGTAGACAAGGTCAAGATTGTCAGCTGCAACGCGAAGCCAGCTGTTCCGTAAATATGCAAGGGTTACTGGCAGGACAACCACTGGGAAAGGCGTTTAGGAGTTGGCATTTTCCCTTTTCAGCTCTCAACCCTACGACAGCACAAGGACGTTGGGTGGGTATATGGGGGTCTACAAGGGAATTCTGGAGCGTGTCGTTCTCACTGCAGCCTCAAGCAGCTACGCATACGTTAGGCTAATCAAGTGGCTTGCATCCTCTGATTGTGCACTCTGACTGCTATATGTTTGATGCACTAATGTACAACGTCTGCAACGATGCCAAGCGAACGGTCTCTTATTTTTGCCACGGCTGTTATCCCCCTCATCTGCTCAGGGAGAGCTCGTCAAGTGCGTCCATCTCGAGACTGATCGCATGTGGCACTCCATACGCAGTCCATCTGTCCCGGGGCATGTCCTGAAGCATGCCACGAAGGATGTCGTCCATGGGCCGGCCGCGGACCCTGCTGGCCTCGGCGACCTCCCAGATGCGCGTGTCTTCTTCATCGATGCACCGCTTTGCCAGGGCTGTCGCGGCCTTGCGGCTGATCCATGGCCGTGAGCGAAGCCTAGCCTCGGCAGCATCGAGTTCGCTATCACTGCTGTTGCTGCCGATAAGGTCGAAGACGTGCTTCAGGGCCAGGTCCAGCGATCCGTTCTCGGCGTTTTCGTACACCAGCAGGTTGATGATACCGGCGTCCGGTAGAAGCGAGAAGGCGCGCATCTCGCAGAACAAGAAGTTGAGATGCTGCACGTCCGAGCAGCCGCGGAAGAGCAGGTGGAACGTGCTGCGGTCAGGGCCAGCGGGGCAGAGCTGGCGGACATGACGGTACAGGTCCAGCGCGGCTTCGATGCTGTTGTTGTCGGCAGCTGGCTGCTGGTCCTGGTTGGCGGATCGGCCGCCTTGCAGCATCGCCTCGAGGACGACGTTGAAGGCGGCAATGGGCACGCTGCCGTACTTGGTCTTGAGGTTGAAGAGTGAGGCCACGGCACCGTCTAGGACCGGCTGTGTCGGAGAAGCGTCTCTGGTCAGGCCCAGGTAGATGGACCGCGTGCTGCCCTCGTCGGGGACAATGCCGGCATTGTGCATGATGCAGAGCGCCTGCAAAGCGAGGCTGGTGTTGCCGGCGGCCGCATAGCAGTCCAGCATGGCCTCAAAGTGTGGCATGCCCAGCTTGGTGCCGCGGGCCGACAGCATCTGCATAACCTCTGCGGCCAGGGCAGAATCCTGGTGCTGGGCGGCTATGTTGAGGACCTCTAGCCCCATGGCATCCGAAGGTGTCAGCCGGCCGGGTCGCACGGCTCGGCTCCATACGTAGCCGAGGCCGCCGTAGTGACTCTGTCGACAGCACACGTCAAGCAGAAAGTACCACACGTTCAGAGACACGCTATCGTCCTCCTTGAGAAGCCGGTGGTTGACAATCTTCAACGCGTCGTCCAGAAAGCCCTCTTGGCCGAGGACGTATATGTACACGTCAAAGAGCCACGACGGCACGGCGATACCGCCGCTTCCGGAACCGGTCATGGCCTCCAGCTGGTCGACGGCCCGTTCAAACTGTCCGTCCCGCAGCAGACCAAGCGCCACGCTCTGCACGCCCTCAGGTGCAAGATCGATCCACCGGTCCTTCATCTCCCGCAGAACCGCGTTTCGCAACATGTAGTCGGGGTGCACGGCAAGGACCTACAGTCGTAGGTTAGCGAGACATGTCGACAGAAAGCAAGCCAGAACAGTCATACCGACAGCGCACCGTGGTACAGGCTGGGCGTGCCTTCGATCTGGGCCTCCTTCAGTGCTCGCAGCACGTCGCGCACCGCATCGGCCGAACCGGTCGTGTGGCAGTTGGCCCGCACCAGGGCCTCGTAGAGCACGGCTGTCGGCACCTCGTGGCGGTCTTCGAGAAGAAAGCGCACAAACGCCTGTATCTGGTTATAGGCTGCGGGTGCATACTGTAGCTGCCGGAGAGCAGCATATATTGCCGGCGTGGGTGCCGACTGGAGCTCGCGACGGTACGGCGGCCGAGCCCCCAACAGCGAGCGCACCCACGGCAGCTGGTCTGCCCTGCTGTTATCCGTTTCCCTGTCGGGGCCGGCGTGCTTGTACGTCCCTTGGTCGGCGTTCCCATTCGGGGAGACGAGACTGAGTCGTCCAACTCGCGCGTGGGCATCCGTGTGCACCTGCCGGACGGCTCCGGCTGGACGGTTGCGCCGTGGCAACAGAGCTTTGGCTGTTTCATTGGCGTGCGGCGGGCGCTCCGCGAAAGTCCGTGCTCCGCTTCGCCGACGCGGGCATATTGAAGGTGCATTGATGACCCGGAGAAGCGAGGCCTTGTCGATGGCTGGACAAAGACATCTCCACAGACCGTCCACAACAATGCGGTTGCCCGACATGGGGGAAAATATACAGCACGTATGCTCTGGGGCTCCCTGCCTTCGTGCTCGCTTTTCCCAATTTCAGATGCGGTTGTGCTAAGCTGGCTGTAGCTGAGAAGCTTTGCGGCCAACAAAAATTGTTCTACACTGAGAGTCACGTGCCTGGCGCCGATATCGAACTGACAGCTTACACTGCACAGACATGCAGGCATCATTGCATGCGTCCAGTCATTCCCGAAAGCAGATAGACTTCTTGTAATGCCCCTCTTTATTGTGGTGAGTTTCTGGACATGAGCTCTGTTCGCGGGTAGCTTGTCCGTACGTGGCTAAGAGAATATGTGAGGACGATTCCTTTCATGCATTTTGCCCAGAAACAGGTCCCGCCCTATATTTCCTGGACCAAGTGCGACAACACATGGCGCGGTTAAACAACGCCTTTCTGATACATCTGACAGAGCGACAGAAGGGGTATGTCAGCCAGACGACCAGCTGTAACAACGCTGGCAACTCGGCCCAAGACACTGCACAGAAGTCGTTCACGCTCTTGCCAGCCAAGCCTAGTTCTCCCATAGGAGTGTCTGGAGTGTCTATTTCTGTCCCATGCACGCTTCTTCTATTGTGCCCGTCCTCTTCCCCGCCCACCCCGGGAGCCTCCGCGGCCACCGCGGTCGTTTCTATCGCCACGGTCGCCCCGGTTCCCACCACCCCGTCCGTTTCCGTCTCCACGGAAGCCTCCACCTGGTCCACCGCGGCCTCCACGGAAACCAGACTGCTGGCCGTGATAGTGGTGGTGTTGTTGCTGTTGCTGCTGCTGTTGCTGCTGCTGTTGCTCCTTGACAGCGTCAATGATCTCGTCGGGAACGCGAAGATATTTGATCTGGCTACATGTCAGCTCACTGAATATTTTCCGAGCTGAGCAAAGCCAAGTGCAAACGCTCGAGTCTTACGTTGTTGCCTTTCACGTAAACTTCTGGTATGCGCATAAAGCTATCGCCATCCTTAGGTGGAAATGTCAGCAGGCTGTCGCTCGCCAGTGCTCCTTCTCGCTATCTCACTCGGCAGCAGTAGAACGTACGGGACTCGTCTGCACCACACCCTTTAGCGTAAGGTTCATCCAGGTGTCGCACTGCACCAAGTGGCCGTTGAGCGTCTCGCCGTTCTTTAGCTCGACCAGCATAGGATGGCCCTGAGCGGCGCTAAGCAGGCCGAGGGGTAACTGAGAAACGCAGGTGTCAGCAGTCGGAGAGAGACGCGGGGGGTGTGGAAGAAAAACGCACCATTTTCGCAGAGACGGGCTTGTTGTCGCAGGATGTCAAAAGCCTAGACGCCGTCCGTTGTGAATACGGCCCAAGTTGAATTTCGCGACTTGCGCCAGAATGCAGATTTTGTGGCGGTGGTCTTGTGGCGCTGTGATTGACCGTTGGGGCATTACGTCGCTACATAGTACAGCTTTTAGCTAAGCCCCACCTACCAAATTAGGAGCTACGGGTCTCGAATTGGTTGCATTTGGAGGGACACGCTTTGCACAGAAGCCCCGTGATAGAGCAGATTCCGAACGAGGAACAACCATCAATAGAAACCAACGATGAAAGCATAGCATACAAAGAAACACCATCCTCCAGAGGCGTCAAGCCTGCCCTGCCTCCGGAGGAAGAACTAGATTGTATAGAGGTGTTCACCATATAGACAAAAAAGAAACAGTGGCAGCTGTTATCCCGGTAGCTATTCGTGGGCTGCGAGGCGAAAGTGTCTATGCTACTGCTTACGATTGCGCGGTCTCGCGGCTCTTCCGGTAGGTGGCCTGTGACAAAACCCGGTCAGCTGTTGGAATACTGCGATAGGACGAGGGGCAACACCGAGAACTCTCACCTCCTGCTCGACCTGGAGACCTTCAATGGTGGGTGCCAGCTCGCTCAAAGTCTCGTATGCCTTCTTGTAGAATTCTGCCTGGGCAGCGATCAGCTCCGACAGGTTGCGCAGCGGCTCGGGCGTGTCAAGGACCTGCCGATGTCAGTGGGGTGTAATGAGGCCGGCAAAAATCTTCAACGCACATTCTTCATGACGCCAAAGGCCTCCTCGGTCTGCGTGACAAACTCGTCCTCGGCCTTCTCAATCTCCTCCTGTGCTTCGGGGTTCAGCTCCTGCTCGTCATGCACCGGCTCGCCGCGCTGCGCCGTCGGGAGCTTCCAGGTGGTGCCCTTGGCGTGAGCCTTGACGGCGTCCAGCGACAGGCGGGACTTCTCGACGCTCTTCCGGGCGCGCGAGGCAAACTGGAGGTTCGTGTTGAGCGTCGTGTTCCAGCCGGCAATGAACTGGCTCTGGATCTGGGCATCCTGCGCCAGGCGCGCCTCGCCGACGCGCTCCATGGCCAGGGCATACTTCTCGAGCGCCGTGGCCAGCGGGTCCTCGCTGGGTCCGGTGTGCTGCTGGTACAGGGTCTGGCTGCTGGCCAGGGAAGCGCGCGCGATGGCGTGCGCAAACGTCTTCGGCTGGGGCTTGGCCGCGGTCGGGGCGGTCAGGGCGGCCTGGGCCTCAGCAGGCGACGATGCAGACGACAGAAGGCTGACCTTCTCGCTGACTGTGCGGCCGAGGTCCTGGAAGGTCTCCTTGATGTTCGGCGGGTAGTCGTATGGCTCATGGCTGTACTGGGAACTGCAAGTGGGGATTGAAGTCGCAGTAAGTAACCGCGCTCACACGCTGACGAGAAGGAGAAGAGGGAGACGGAAGGTGGTGTGCTCACGTCACGGCCAGCATCTTCTGGTGCACCTGCTTCAGGGCGTCCACGCGCTTCTCCAGATCGATGTAGTCAGGTGGCATCTGAGTCTGTTTCGCTTGCCGAACAACATTAGAAACCTAGACAGCGACCTGTTGAGCGTTGCTTTGCGCACCTTATCGTCGGCCTGGCCCAGCTGCTCCTTGGTGTACTGGAACGTCCGAGAGGCGAAGGGGGTGATCTGTGCCCCCAGGTTGCTATTAAGATACGACGCATCGTGTCAGATGGCAGAAAGAACGGTGACGAAGCAGCAAGACGGAGGGCACGAAGCGAGGGGGGACTGGCGGTCCTTACGAAAAGCTCTTGCCAATGGTCTTGAAGTCCATGGTCGCAGTTCTTGTGTGAATCGAGGGAGAAATTTGGGTAGATGGTGGCTGCGGATGTGCAGATTGGGTTTCGATGGGATTTCCTGTTTCGTTGGTTGAGAGGTTCAAAATTGCCAGGCTCCAGAGCACAGGAGAATAGGAAGGAAACGGATGATGAATGGAACCTGCCGCAGCTGTTTTCTGCGGATTCGTGCGCTATACGAGTAGTCGTAACTCTAGCCACAGTTGTATCTTTCCTTATTAAGGTCGTTGTCAGGGAAGCGAGTTGTGCCTATCATTTTAGGGGGGGTCACACTGAGGCCATGCCAGTCCCAAACCGGAATAGAAGGGTCGCTTGTATTGAAGACTTGGCCTGTCCGGCGTTACTGTCTTGAAGATACGAAGTACGTACGGAGCAGATACGGAGTACATACGCTAAACACGCACGTGACTACTGCATCTGCGTGCAGCCTAGTCCAATATGTGTTTCTTGTCGGCCCACGATGGCTCAATGTTGCGGCAGACGGATTGGTAGTCCCAGATGCCCCTCTCACCCACAGTCTCCCACGGGCTTGTCCAGAACATGGTCCAGTTGACGCCGTCGAGCTTCCAGCTGCCGCGCGACCGCTCAAAGTACCACCGGTTGACCGGGTTGTCCTTGCGACTGCGCCAGCAAACACCGTCGGGCAGGCAGTCTCGCACCATGGACGTGAACACAATGTCAGCCACGCCGCCGGCGCCCTGGCTCTTTTTCAGGACGGCAAACTTGTCCAGGTACGGCACCAGCCGGCCTGTTCGAAAGGCCGTTTCCTCGTCGAGGCCGGCTGGCCGCTCCCACGTGAGGATGGCACCACCTTCGTACTCGCCGGCAATGATGACGCCGGCCAGAGAGTTTTCCACGCGCCGAAGATAGTGCTCCACGTCGAGTTCGCGATCGAACGAGTCGTTGATGAGGTGCACTAAGCGCGGCAGGTCGATGCATGTGTCCGTGAGCCGAAGACGGGGTCCGCCAGGAACCGGGGGTTTCCAGGGAGTCTTGCGCGGGTCCGGAAAAACAGTCAAGGGCATCCCACGCTTGACCAGCGTCGTCTGGGCCATGCGTGGTAACGTGCTGTCACCCGTGGCGCCGCTGGCGGGTATCTTGGTCTTGGGCTTGATTCTTCCCAGAGGAAGAGACGATGAGAAGACAGGCCGGTCGGTGAGCAGATTGTGAATGAGCGGGTTTTGGCTGCGACGGGTTCCTACGCTTCCGACGTAGCCAAAGACATCGGCATCATCGACAGAATCTCGTTCCGGTGAGACGAGGTTGGCCGCCTCGGCGGGTGTGGTCAGCAGCGCAGACGCAGACGAGGGCAGAAGTGCCAGGGCCTGTCTGGCAATGTCCAGGTTGGCCTTGTGCCGGCTGGCGACCTCTCTTGGCGACACTGTTTCTTCCAAAGAAACACGGCCAGTCGACTTGGGCACCCTCAGCCTCATTTTGTCGAGGGCCAGTTTGGCCTGCTGGTACTCTTCCTCCAGGTTGAGGAACAAATGGGCGCCGTTCGGCCGGCGTTTTGATGGCGTTCCACCTATAGGATCGATCACGATGATCCGGTCGACGACGGCTGCGGTCCGTGGCACAGTGCCTTGCGGTTGCGGCTGCCTGCCGTGTAGTTGGCTTGCATCAGCGGCAGTGTCTGGCTGCGGGTGGATCCCGGAGAAGAACTTAGTCAGTGCGAGGACAATGTCGTCAGCGGCCACGGGTCTAGCCTCGCATTGCTTTGTGGAGTATGCGCAAGGAGGAATGACGACAATGTCTCCATTTCGCAGCGGTCGCATCAGGGATTCCGCTCTGTCGATGAATACCTGTCCGGGCACAAAGGGAGAGCCTTTGAGATTCTGATGCTGCGTCTCCACCATACTGTCGTCGATAGACACCGACGAGTCGACCAGCGATGTGACCGGATCGCCGTACTGGTCGATGGCAGCAGCAACACGCAGGGTCTCGTGGGTGACGTAGTCAAGCCATCCGTGCTGGGCATGGCCATCCGCCGTAGTCCGACCGACGACGATGACGCTGATGAGGCCCAGAGCCCGCAGCTGGACAAACGTCTTGGCCAGTTCGCCGAGAGTGGCATCGTCGAGGCTGTCGGGGTCTTGTAGCTTCACGATGGCCACGTGCGGTCGGTCGGCCGCGACTGGCAGGAGGACCTTTCTCCTTTCCGGTCCTTGGACAAAGCGCGGGCTGCTACTGACGGAGCGAATACTGTCGGCAGCATAGTACGAGCCGTCTGCTTCTGTCATGTCGGCCTGGGCTTGTTGCCGGAGCTGCAGCTCGAGGTGCGGTGCCTTCTTCGACACGCTCAACGCCTTGGACACATTGTCGCCACCAAAGGTCTGGAGGTATTTCTTGGCGTCCCGTTTTGTCGGCGACGAGGAGAGTACGGACACCAGAAAGTCCTATGAGAGCGATAAGCAGTGGCCACAAGCTAGGCTCGTGGTCTCTCTTACCCGTTCTTGCGACCGTTTTTGCCGCTCACTGTGCGAGATGGACTTGTAAAACGTCGTTGGATCGATAGACTTGCCGCCAGTAGAGCCGGGGCCGGCGACAATCCGGTTGCTGAGAGGCCTCTTTGGCGGGACATCCGAAGCTGCATCTGAGCTTGCGGCGGAAGCGCTGAATCTCTTGCATGTCTGTAGCCGAGGTCAGAGCCGGTCGCTTCTTAACGGTACGTTGAAGACGAACCTGGGCAGAAACGACCTGTTTCCAAACTAGACTTCGCAAGACCATGGCTTGGTTTCGAATTCAGAAGAGCATTGTAACAGTCAAAGTCGGCTCTGCGACACAGAATGAGATGCACGCAGATGGACGGTAGTATTCGAGGTGTAATAGGTCCTGCAGCCAGTAGAAATTTCAATTGCTCGCAGGTCCCATGGCGATAAGCCGTGAGGTCCGCTTTCGCACTTCCTGTGAGCCGCACTTCGTCACGTGCTGTTCTCAAGCTGCAGTATCGGGTGACTAAGCTGTTATAGGCTACAGGACGGGATCGTGAAAGTGAAAAAGGTTGTTTCAAAGACTTATGCTTGAGAGTTTAGTAATCGATATAACTGTAGATCGAGACGTATTGTCGTTGTATGCTCGGACAGCATTCATGTCTACGAAGAAAATAGCCCCCGAGGTGCTTAACAGTCTCAGCAACATAGACTGTGTATCGCGTTCAGTAAAGACGTGCTAGTAGATAGGTAGCATTGCGGAGGGCGTTGCTGCAGCGGAGGTGGAAACCCAGGGAGCGGTGTTTGTGGCAGCACCCGTTCTTCGATGCCGCCAGCTGGTCGGCGTGCTGTCAAATGCCAGCGCAGCGATCGATCGAGTGCGGTCTTACTTCCAGGGCGGAGACGACGAGAGCAGGTCGGCTGTTGAAAGCTGACTTCGACCCACTAAAATGGCATTGTCCAAATCCAGTGCTCGATCTTGCCTTGTGAGATCGAGAGAAGTATTACGCCGTGCTCCTGGGAAGCTGCTAGCGACCCACCCCCGCTACAGCTCTTTCCCCGAAACCCCGTTAGCGCGAATTGATGACCACCTAATAAAGGTCCGGCGGTTCAGCTCTCACGCGAATTTCTCTCCCGGCAAAGACAATCCTTACAGCATGCCCTAACTGGATGTCCCGCTCGTGCACAATGAGACAGCGAGTCGCAGCGGCAGCAGCGGCGCCAGGACAGGGCCTGCGGACCCCTGCTACCGGTCTTTGTCGGCTTGTTCAGCGCCGAGTCGACGGCAGCGGATTTGTCGCAAGAACGAGCGCAAGCCGAATTGGCAGTGGAAGAAGACTTTTTGGAGCAGGGAGGAGCCGGAGCCTCTTCACATGGGCCGCATCAAAACAGCAGCAGAACAACAAGAAGAAACGGAAGAGTGGCGTGACGACAGGCGTGGCTGTGGCTATCTCGGGCGGCCTGGTCCTCTGGACGGTGTATCCACGTCAGCGAATCCAGGCGGAAGCAGAAGAGGCACAGCGAAAAGCTAAAGAGACGGAAGCTGCGGCGCAGGCGAGCACGAACACGGACAACAAACCGGCGGCTTGGACGGCCTTTGCGGGTGCGGTAGAGCGGTTCTCCAATGTGACAGACATCGAGTGGAGCAATGTGTCGGACCGGATCGCGGACCTGATCCTGCCGGACTGGTCGAAGATGATGCCAGGCTTTGTGCGGAAGCTGCAGCGCGAGATGTCGGTGGCGCCAGGGTCGCTGGCGGACGAGATCTGGCGCGAGGCGCACGATCCGCTGGTCAACCCCGAAGTGCAGTTTGCAGCGCGCGTACGGGTGTCAGAAGACCTATGCAACGAGGAGACGGTGTTCCGCAAACATCGCAAGCTGGTGACGGCAGCGGCACTGGAGCGGTACCTGGGACTGGCCGAAGGCGAGGTCGATCCGGACGACGTGCCGGTGATTGCCATCTGCGGCTCGGGCGGCGGGCTGCGAGCGCTGGTAGCCGGCACGGGCTCGCTGCTGGCCACGGCTGAAGACGGCCTGTTTGACTGTGTGACGTACACGGGTGGTGTCAGTGGCTCGTGTTGGCTGCAGGCGCTCTTCTTCTCAACCTTTGCGGGCCAGCGGTTTGACCGCGTTGCCGAGCACCTCAGGGCGCGACTCGGCGTGCACATCGCCTATCCGCCTGACGCGTTGGCCCTGCTGACGACGGCGCCAACGAACAAGTACCTCCTCAGTGGCACGGTCGAGAAGCTCAAGGGCGACCCGGGTGCCAACTTTGGGCTGGTCGACGTGTACGGAATCCTGCTGGCGGCGCGGCTGCTCGTGCCCAAGGGCGAGCTGGGCGTCAGCGAGACGGACTTCAAGATCTCCAACCAGCGGCGACACCTTGGCCGCGGCCAGAACCCTATGCCCATCTACACGGCGGTGCGGCACGAGATTCCGGCCCTGGACGCGGCTCAGGAACGGTCGAGCACGGAGGCCGAAAAGGAGGCGGCCAAAGAGAAGGCCAAGAAGCAAGCCTGGTTCCAGTGGTTCGAGGTCACTCCGTTCGAGTTCTTCTGCGAGGAGTTTTCGGCCGGCATCCCGACCTGGGCCATGGGTCGCAAGTTCCGGGCCGGCGAGGACGTACCGCCCGACGACGGCAGCTATCACCTGCCGGAGACACGGCTACCACTGATGCTCGGCATCTTTGGCAGTGCCTTCTGTGCCACGCTCAGCCACTACTACAACGAGGTGCGGCCGGTGGTGCAGAGTCTGACCGGTCTCAAGTCGCTGGACGAGCTGATCCGGGGCCGCAACGAGGACCTCAGCAAGGTGCATCCGATCGAGCCGGCGACACTGCCAAATCCAGTGTACGGAATGGCGGCCGATGCGCTTCCGACCACAGTACCGGCCGGACTGCTGGGCCGCGAATACATCCAGCTGATGGACGCGGGCATGTCCAACAACCTGCCGCTGTACCCGTTTATGCGGCCGGGGCGCGGTGTCGAGGTAGTCGTGGTGTTTGATGCGTCGGCCGACATCAAGAAGGACAACTGGCTGAATGTGGCGGACGGATATGCGCGGCAGCGCGGCATTAAGGGCTGGCCAGTGGGCGTAGGCTGGCCACAGTCGACAGATACGCCAGCCGTGGCGGCCGAGCAGCTCCGCCAGGCGCAGGAAGACAGCGCGACATTCACAGAAGGCGACGACAGCCGACTGGCTCAGGCTCAGGCCAGATCAGACGCCGACAAAGAGCCGAAATCAGAGAAGCAGCGAGCTCGAGCGACGGCCCGGGAGCTCGGCTACTGCACCGTCTGGGTCGGCTCGACGCAGGAGAAGAAGACAGATGTCGAAGGCGCGAAAGACTCAAACGACTCTAAGCCAACACCAGCAGACGTCATAGACGAGGCGACGCGTTGGCGGCTGAAGGAGCCGGACGCTGGGCTGACGCTCGTGTATCTGCCATACCTGGCCAACGAGAAGCGAGTACCCGGGGTCGATCCGGCCACGAACGAGTTTATGAGCACGTGGAACTTTATCTACACGCCAGAACAGGTCGACGCGGCCGTGGCGCTGGCTCGTGCCAACTTCCGCGAGGGCGCCGAGCAGATCCGCAACACGATACGGGCTGTGTACGAGCGCAAGAAGCACCTGCGGCTGCAGGCACTGGTGCAAGACAGGAGGAAACGGCTTCGCCGACTGGTCGGGCTGGACTCGAACGATCACTTTAGTTAAAGGTGTATGCACGGTTTAGTGCATGTATGTGTATGCAGAAATGGTGTATATGGCGAGGGGAAAGTTCTTTCAGGGAGTTTTGTATGACGGATGCGCCTTCTTGAACAAGCAATACACGTGACAATGAAAATTTACAAAACTCATGCAGCTGTGTTTGTGTTTTGTCTTGTTTGTTTTTGCTTTCTATTTGATGCAATAGATATGACACGATATAATCATACACGTCCGGGCATATCGAGAGTCGTCGTCGTCGTCGTCGTCGTCCGTCCTACAGGATCTCGCCAATGTCAACGTAGGCGGGCTCCCACGGGGCAGCGCCTTCGACGAGCATGTCGCTGGGCACGCGCACGTCCTCGCCCGGGCTGTAGAGGTACCAGGCCTTGAGGCTGTTCATGGCGGCCTTGGCGCGGGCGTGGTCGAGGCTGGCGGCGGCCCCCTCGCCGAGCTTGTCGTTGCCGCTGTAGATGCCGACGACAAAGACGGGCGTGCGCGACTGGCGACCCGTTTCGGCCTCGAGCCGGGCGACGGGCGGCTCAAAGTTCTCACGCGCGCAGAGGTACGCGAGCTCGCGTGTCGGCAGCTTAAAGCGGAAGAGCCGCTCGAGGTCCAGCTGCCGCGACAGCACGTGTGCCCGCACAAACGCCCGCACCGGCTCACGGCCACCATGCGCATACACGGCACCGGCCACTGCCCGGACAAAGTTGGCGTGCGCGTCATCGGCGATCCGCGTCTTTGTCCCGGCGTCCATGGACCCGCCAAGGTCGAGCGCACTGGCCGGGTTCCCGTCCGCCGCCTCGCCGGCCAGTCCTGCCTCCACCCCGGCCTCTGCCTCGTCCTCGGCCGACAACATGTCGCCGAAATCGTCGTCCAGCACCACACGGCTGCTGATGCCGTGGCGCCACTTGTACTTCTTCAGGTTCTTCGCCTCGGCCCGCTGGTAGCCCCAACGCCGGATCACCTGGCGGTCGGCCACCAGCGAAAACTGCAGCAGACCCGGGTCGACCTCAGCACCCGGCGCCGCCGCCGCCTCCACACCCCACTGGTGCGCCACGTCGGCCAGCGCCTGCGGGCCTGCGTACGCCTTCATGGCCGCGTACAGGATCACCATCGGCAGCCGCGGGTAGCGACACATCAGCCACTCGCTGACGTGGTAGTGGATCAGCGTGGCGCCCAGGTACGCCAGGCTGGCGTTGTTGAACCGCAGGCTTGGGTCCGCCGACGTGTCCACCAGCGCCCGTGCCAGCGTCTCCAGCGGCAGCCGCTGCGACAGCCCCAGCCGTGCGTGCAGCGCTGCCAGCTTGGCCGACCCCCGCGCCCGTTCCGGTGCCGGCGACGGATATGCCGGCGACAACGCCGCTTCGGGGAAAATCTCGGGGAACCGCGGGTCTGTGCTGGGGCCCAGGCCCGGTGCCGTATTCGCTGCGCCGGACGACAGCAGCAGAGAGGAGGAGGAGGACGGGAGGGGAAAGCCCGCAGAATCGGCTGATGTCGAGGCGAGGTCACGGCTGCCGCCATATGCCGGGCTGCCCGTGGCCACCGTCGACTGGCAGCGTCGTCGGACGGTCCGGTATTTACGCCCAGCGGGGCTGAAGGACGACGCCGCCGAGGCATAGGTCGCTGTCGAGGGCGCACAGGTTGGAGATGGCAGCACCGAAATCGCTGCCTGCGGCCGCCCCGCCGCCATGGTAAGCCATTGGCCGGCTATTCTTTGCACCCGTACCCTCTTCATGGCGCATGCAATCTTGTGCGTCCACAGCTGAGGCGGTTCGCAGCGGATATTGGTCGATTGCTGTGTTTTCACTCTGGCCGAGCCGCTGAATCGAAGTTTTTCACAATCCAGAAAAATGCTTCCTTGCAACCAGGTGACTTTAAGCCAATCAGACAGCTTGTTCGCTAAGTCGTTGTGGACCCCGCCCGATGGCCTTTCTTACTCATCCAGCCAGACCGTCCAGACGCACGTGCACCTCCCACATCAGCCGTGCAGCATCAAATGAGGCAGGTCCTTGCTTTCTGTCGCCCTGGAGGCGTCAGAGGAGATCAATTTCTCCCCAACTTGCAACACGGACTTTGGAACATGTCCGCACAAACTGCTTAGTCAGAACAACTATAGATGGCAACTCGAGACTCGGCAATATTCAGAACCTTGGTCCACAGTCTGGTCTTGCATTTTGGCAACGTCAATGCTTGTAGATTGAGCTCGTACAAGAAATTGCTGGCCCCTCGAGCCTGCAACCCGTTCCGTCTTCACTCTCTGGTTTAGCATTTAGTCGGTCGTAATTGGTCAATGAGCATCAAGCACAGAGCCAATGAGCCAATAGCAACTCTATACATTTCTCCAAGACCCACCTCAGCCTGAGGCACCCATCAATTTTATCCCGAGAAACAACGAAGCGATCCGGCGACCTCCTGCGATCACAGCTACATCACTACACTCTTCTGCCCCTTTGCCTCAGTTTCCTGATTTACAATGGTACGATGCAATATCTTGCAACTCTCCTGTCGCCGCGTATGATCTGAACAACTGCTGACTGTCTTTCCTCCAGGGTGGTGGTCCGAAGATCCCGTAAGACATTTTCCTTCCCTTCCATCCGGATTCGCAATGGGCTCGATACTCGGCGCAGCGACAGCGGACTGCTGGCTCATTGTTGACTGCGAATCTACTCAGTCCCGGCGACAGACGACGCTCAGCACAGATTGCACGCGAGCCCGCAGCTAACGACGATCTAGGTACCCGAAGCATGTCTGGTCGCCTTCTGGCGGCTGGTACGCACAGCCAGCCAACTGGAAGCGCAACACGGCCATTGCTGGCGTTGCCGTGTTCGCCATAACCGCAGTCGTCTGGAAGATTGACGGCGAGCTGGAGTACCGGAGCAAGATGCCCGAGCCAGGACGTTTCTTCCCCAGCAGATAGTATGTTTCGCGAGCGAGGGCGACCAGATCCCGAGCAATCTGGGCAGAGCACGACACCGTGCACTGTGGCGAAACGTTTCAGTCTTGCTAACAATACCCCAGCTGGAGCAAGCAGATCATCGAGTACGAGAAGGAGCAAAAGGCACTACAACAACAAAACAAATGATGTCGGCCCGTGGGAGGCTGTGTAGATTGTCACGACGAAGCGCTTAGAACAATACAAAGAGATGATCCCGTTCTGAAACAAAGGCACTGTCATGCAAAGGCTGCGCGTAGATGTGGGAAACTTGTCTTGTGGTGCCCACCCGTGGCCTGTCTCGTCTATTTTTATCGGTGCTGGCGGTCCTCCGATAGCATACGGAGTATTGATACATACGTCGTAGTAATGCCGTACGCTCGAGAGGAGAAGGCAAGGATAAATTAAACGGCCGATCAGAGAGAGGCCGAGCGAGGTGCTGAGCACGGGCTCCCTCCCCTGTCGAGCCCCAAGCGGACCAGGACGAACTCGTAAGAAGACACCCCTGGCAGCTTTGTGCACGCGCTCGGTAACATTACAAAATTAGGGCAGTGCTTCCAGCGACTGTCAACGTCTGCAGGGGGGGGGGCCTCCCTGACAGATGGGTTGATGCCCACCCGGACGTCACGCCGTCGCCGCTGAGGCGTACGATCATCTGCGCATATCGCTCCAGAGGACCTCTGACGCGCGAATTGAACAAGTCGAAGAAATCGATCCGACCGACCGGACTAGTCGACCCGACATGTTCTGCGGCTGGTTGGACCAGTGAGTGTGCTGCGTTGCCCTACACTGCCAGCGGTAATGTCCGTTGCAGCCGGTGTTTGCCATGTAGATCGGAAACGTCGTACTCGTACGGAGCAGCTGCTTGGGTCGTTTATACGTCGTACGCTCGTCAGAGCGACGGGGACGCCAACCCGGCGAGCAGGCAAGCCACCAGGCGCCAAAAGGTTCAGGCAGGTCCCAGGGCCCACAGCAGCAGCAGTGCACGCACACAGCGCCAACAGCGCCAAGGTCGCCAAGATCGCCAAGGTTGTCAGAAAAGGCGCTGGCCGGGGAGTTGCTCGGAGGTATTGCCGCCATGGCAGTCCGCCACAGCTGGCAAAGTCCGTCCGGGCGACCGCTGGCTGCTGGTCAGCACGGAGTGTGCGGCGGGAGACAGCGTGCCGTCCTTCCCCGTCGCCTTCCCTTTTCTTTTTCTTTTCCTTTTCCTTTTTTTTTTCGCCGCCCTTCTGCCAGTACGAGGGCATGTCTCTGGGCGATGCTGATTGGCTGGCTGCCAGCTGAACGACAGAGATGCAGAGTTGTGTTCAGGTCCCGTGATCTATTATACTTGTGCTGGCTTCTGATTGGCCGAGGTGGAACAGGGGTTCCTTGCACTACTAAAAATGGTCTTCCCACTCGCCAATATTAGTAGTTCAGCCGAGCAGTGATCTTATTAATCATCAGGCGTCTAAAGCGCTCGTAAGACAAATAGGACGGCAGTACGAGGCCTGTCGCAAGATACGAAGCCAGATTTAGCGGGAGCTAAAAAAGGGCCAGGCGAAGAAGAAGAGCCCGCAGCCGTGCTCGGCCTGTTTGCGAGGGAAAAAAAACGCCAGAAGAAAATGACGACAAGGGGCTATAAATAGGCATCTACAAGACAATTTACGAGCATTTTTAACGTTTAGCTCTAACGCTTTTCAGCTATTCGCGGCCTTCTTTTCTTCTATGCCCCCATCTCAACTCGTTTCTCCAGCCCTCGGAATTTCTATACGACCCTACGCTACCCTCTTTGGGTCGTACTTGTCCATAGGTGTGTTTTTAAGTTGATAAACCCTTGTGCTACGACCTAATAGTCCGTCTCACGGACCGCCCCTATCGTATCCCTCTGTGCCCCTGTGTGCTGGAGGCTTTGCGCGTCTTTGCCATGCCACCCGACCAGATGGTAATGCGGACTCGTATCCTTCTATCCATCAGCTCTGCTGCAGCACACTTCTCCGGAAGGGGCAGCATCTCCGCACTCCAGCGCCTCGCTCTCACCGACGCTCTCGAGCGCCGAGATGGCTGGGGAGAAAGGGGGGAGCGCAGTCCGATCGCAGATGATAGGCAGGCCTGCCGGCTCACGTGCGCCGTCCCACGCCACAGCCGCCTCTGCTCTGACTCGTCGGATCCCGAACAGAGCCGGGCCTGTTTATACGACGTGCTACTATGTATGTACACCATCGACGATGGGACCCCACCGCTTCTTACCGTTTCTGTCAGCCTCCCGTTTCGTTTCGTTTCGTTTCGTCGAGCTCGTGCCCCCAGCCTCACTGCCAGCCCTGGGGCTCGTATACGTACATAGTATCTTAGCATAGCAATATGGCCGAACCGCATGCGGAGTCGTCCCCTCCCCTTTGTGGCAACCGGACGGGGACAGCACCGCCACCCTGACGCCGTTGTGGCCTGGCCCGGGGTCATCAAGGGTCTGTGGGTGTGCGGACGGGGGGGTCGGAGCCGATCAGATGGGGCACAGGAGCTCAAGCGAGAGGCTGGGACTTTCTCGTTTCGGACAGGCGTCGCTCTCTCGTCGTTGCCCGAGGCTCGTTTGTGCCAGAGCAGGCCGCCAGGTCGTCCCACCGTGACGGGTATCACCCAGCGCATCGTGCCGGCTGCAGCAATGGCTTGGGGGCTTGGACGGCTCGATGGCCCGAATCGGCTGTCGGATAGCCGAGCATCTCCCCACGACCAGAGAGAAGGGTCTGCTCTGCAACCACATCGCCTTGCAGGACTAGTGCCAGCCAGTAGTGACGTTGGCGAGAGAGAGGTACGAGGACATCGTAAGCGGCATATTTCTTCTTCTTGCCCTCTCTTTCTTTCCTCCCCCCCCCCCACGTCTTTTTTTTTCTTCCCCCTTTCCTTTTTTTGTCCTCCTCCCATGCTCTCCTTGTCGTCCCACTCCCAGTCCCTCCCTCGGTTTTGCTGCGGCTCGCCTCTTCGTATTCTGGGCAGCCAGTCGCTAGGTTGCCGTGGCCCATGCCCACCTTGCATGATGATCAACTGGCCCGCATTGACTCTCCCGTACACACGGCCCTATACCTCGCGGCTGATCAGCCCTACTATTTGATTCTGGCACAGTCCTCTCCCTTGTGCCCCAATCAGAGTCGAATGATACAGCACTATCAAGGGCCTTGCTGTGGCCCTCACAAACTCAACCTCCCGTGGAAAAGCCTGGTCGTGGTCTTGCTACCCTCGCCGTCCTACTTATAGTTCCTCCTCCCTGCCCACTTTCCTCGCCCTCCTCTCCTCCACTCACCGTCGCTCGTTATATCAAGAAGGGGTGGCAAATGTGTTGACGCGCCTTCCCACAGCCTCTCTCTCTCTCACCCCGACTCCTTGTCCGATACCCATGGCAGCAAAAGACCGAAAGACCTAAGATGCCAGCACAAGACAGAAGCCGGTAGCATGCCATTCTGAGCTCCTCACACTCGCTAACACCACCACACACACTCGCTTACCCATTCATTCGTTCTGTGGAGTTTCACTGCTTGTGCAGGATCCAGTCCACACCAAACTCCCTCCATCATTCGCTTACATCCACCGACTGGCAAACATCCTCTCGTTATATCTTCCGTCGATCACCATCTGACCGCATCATCTACGACGTATAATACAATGGCCCCCCAAACCGTAAGTCTCCAGGTCTGCCATCTCCCCTTCTCTTTGTTTTTCCCCATTCATCCTTTTTTTTCCCGTTTCACCCAGTGTTCTTCCTGCTCATGACCTTTTGTCGACCTGCAGGATGAAGCGAATCTCGCTCGAATCCGCGACAACCAGCGTCGCTCTCGTGCCCGCCGCAAAGAGTACCAACAGGAGCTCGAGCAGCGCGTGCGCACGTACGAAGAACAGGGCATCGAGGCCTCCACCGAAGTACAGCAGGCCGCCCGCCATGTGTCTGAAGAGAACCGCCGGCTGCGGACCTTGCTTCACCACCACGGTGTCCCCAACAGCGAGATCGAGGCTTACCTCCTCAGCGGTAAGGTGTCTGCCCTGGGCACCACACATCCGGCAGCAGCCGGAATCCCGCCTCCCGGCTCGTCAGCAGAGGGACCGCGAGTCCAGGCCCTGGAGCAGGTTCTGGTGCCTCGCAAGCCCCTCCACTTCGGCACCACATCGCCGGGCACTAGCAGTCCTGCCGGCGAGGGCCGAGAAGCGTCTGTCCCTCCGCTGTCGTCGTCATCATCGTCGTCGACCTTTGTAGCGGCGGCACGCACCGGTGGCAGCAGCAGCGTTGGCAGCGGACGCCAGAGCTACCAGAGCCCCGGCACAGACCAGGGCAAGAACACGGTCGCAGCACTGCCGCAGCAGACGGCAGCTGTGGCCACATCCACCGAGGGCGACTATACCAGCAGCTACAGAGGTGACTTTCTCTCCACGGGGCCGTACAGCTTGGCTCCCGGCCGCGCTGCAACCCCTTCCACTGCCGGCATGGCCTTCTATGGCCTCGATGGCGCCAGCACCGAGGATCTGCAGTATTCCGGATCACCAGCCTTTTTCGACTATAGCGTCTCGCCCCCATATCTCGGCCCTTCTACCTACGACCAACAACACCAGCAGCAACAACACCAGCAACAACACCTACCACACCCACACCCACACCACCAACAACAACCACAACATCGACGAGGTGGAGACCACGAGGGCGGGATGGGTGCGACCTCCGCCCCCCAGGCACACCCATTTTACAGCGGCGTCCAGGATGCTGCGACAGGAGAGACGTATATGCGGTCCTGCCCAGCGTGCATGTCCGGTTTGGGCTGTCAGGTCCACGGCACGTACTACGGAGCCATAGGAGGAGAATAGGCCGGGAATCGTGCAGGCACGTTTTTTTGGCAGAGACGCCGGGAAGAAAGGACGGAAAGCATACTCCGTATAGGGTAATAATAAGAACAGCACTATTGTTCGCTTAGTCAGCACAGGAAACAGGCGCACGTTGGAAACGGGAAAAGCATAGCCTCATAGATAGGCGCAGAAACAAGCAAGATCACCCAATTCGAGCAAGGCTATAGTGGGTTGCATTCGCCGTCTTCCCTCGTCGGACCCGTCAACGCCATTTCCATCCAGTAGGCCCAGTGGCTGAGTGAAACCGCAGACCGAAAAGCAACGCAAAACAAGTACAAGGACGCATGGGGCTGCTTTTTTTAGTCTTTGTGAAACAGAAGCGGAGCCCTGGCAGGAAAGCAGAAGTGCAGATCCGATCCGTGCATCCGTGCATGCCAACTGACGCAGCAGCCGCCCCCCGTCCCCCCTGCAAGATCCCCCTCCCCTGCAGACTGCCCCTGCCGACAGCAGCCATGCTCAGAGAAAGTAGTCGGCCACGGGCTTCTTGGCTGGCATGCCGCGGGAGTCCTGGGGCGCGGCAGCAAAGACACGGTAGCGACGACCGGGGCCGCTGTCCAGCCAGGGCTGTGTATCCTCGAGCGAGGTGCGCTGGGCGCCTTGCGAACTGCGGTTGGCGTCTCCGTTGCTGCGCGAGAAGCTGCCGAAGCCGGCCGTGTCCTCGGACAGCTCTAGCAGCGCGGCAATGTTCCCGCAGCGGTAGCAGTAGTTGGGCGCCGACCAGACGGTCACAATGGTAGCGTCAAACATCTCCTTGAAGCCCTCCATGACCAGCTGGTGCGCGCGGGCGACCAGGCTGAGGTCGTTGCGGTAGTTGAACGCCTTGACGATATTGGCCCCGAACAGGAAGCCGGCTCCGCGCGGCGACAGGCCCCAACCGTCAATATCGTCGGGGTCTGACCAGAGCAGATCGCACATGGCTCCCTCGTGCGGCACCTCCTGCTTGCGGTCGAGCAGCCGGATCTTATCGACCGTGTCGATCAGGGGACTGAGCCCGCCATGCACGCAGAGTACCGCGCCTGCCGGATTGCCCGCCGACCCGCCGCTCGATCCCGAGGCCCCCGATCCTGGTGGACCGGTCAGGCCGCCGTCTCCGGCTCCGCTGCCACCGCTGTTGCCGTTCTCCTTTCCGAGTCCAAGCCCGAGCCCGAGCCCGTTGCTGCCATGGCCGTAGCCGTTGCTGCCGCCACCCATCGAGATGTCGCCGTCGGCTGACAAGAGCATGCCGTTCTGGCCCGACGATGCCAACTGTCGCCGCAGTTGCTGGTGGGCTGTCAGGCCGGAGCCGCGACTGCCAGGACCGCCCCGCGGCCGGCGCGTGAACCGACTGACGATCTCGCCGTCCGAGTTACAGACCTCAATCTCGACCTGCTGGTTAATGTAGTCCTGCGCGTTGACCGAGTCGTTGGGCGGGCCCAACATGTTGGACGTGCCCAGCACAATGGCGCCCAGCGCCAGATAGTCGAACACGTCGCAGCAGTATCGCCACACATTGGCGCTGCCGTATTTGCGCAGACACTCGTCGTAGAAGCCGTACACCGTCGTTATCTGCCGCGACTCGTGGTTCCCGCGTATCAGCGTCATCCGGTCTGGATACCGAACCTTGAGACAGAGCAGGAGGAGAAAGGTCTCAATCGAGTAGAATCCGCGGTCGACAAAGTCGCCTGTGTGAATGCACCAACTGCCGTGTCAGCTGCTGCTACCATGCCCGTCCCGTCCATCCTCTGCTCCCTCTTCGCCTCATTTCATCACGCGCAATCATTCGTACCCATGAATAGGTAGTTGGTGTCGGGCACGTCGCCTCCGACTCGGAAGAGCTCCATGAGATCGTGGAACTGGCCATGGATGTCGCCGCATATCTGTGTTGGATATGTCACACACAGTCAGCGTCCTGGTGGAGAAGCAAGGGGATCATCAGCTGGCAAGCCATACCGTCACCGGCGCCGTCACTGTCACCACATTGCCTTCCTCAATCAAAAGCTCGCGCGCCTTGTGGCAGAGCTCGCGCACCTGCTCCTCCGGGATGGGGCGGCATGCCCGCAGCTGGGCAATTGCCCTATGCGAGAGGACTTGGTCAGCGATTTGAAGGGTCCCGACGCGACAGAATTGCCGTCGCAGCAGGACGCAGAGCAAAGAGAGCCTTACTGGTCGAGGTCACTCATGCTCGCACGAAAGTCGACGCACGGCTGGGTTGTGTCGTTCGCGCAGAAGAGGCATCCACGTTATCATCAAACAATTAGCGAACAAACTCGATGTTTATCCTTTCATAACGGCCTCGTGTGTGGTTCGCGTGTACGGTGTCGCCAGTGTTGGAGATGAATATCAAGCCTCAGCCTGCTATGTATCGTGTGGACCCAGATAATTGCGCCACACGCGCTTGCACCAGAGCTAGTAAAATAATGCCGTGGCTGATATAGTGGGGCCTGTCAGATTATCACCAACAGCCAACCGCGTGACCGATAATAAATCGCTGTGGGTTGGCGTGCTCGTATGTTTTTTTTGGCCCGCAATCAGTACGGAGTACTCTCACCACCGCGCCAGCAAGAACTATGAGCGTGTTGTTCTGTATGTGGACGAACACTCAATTGGACATATTGGGGACAATTGCTAACAGATTTTGGCTCAATCAGGGAGTACAGCGTGTTTTCCATCCATTCTCACGTCCGCAGCTTTCCAGCACTCGAACTTTCCCCTCCATTGCGCTGATGGCGCCTCCACATCTTCACCCACGGTCTCGCATGACCTCCTCGCTCTTTGCGACAACTGTGTTTGCCAGCTTCTTCGTTGTTGCCCTACCACACATTCTGCCCTGTCCGGCCCCAAGAGTGGCCTTGGCCGACGGCCAGATGGCGGAAGACGGATCAATAATTCGGCGGCGGAGGCGGCGGAGACTACGAGAGGACGCACCTGGCGGAGCCGTGGCCACCACCGAGGTCCAGACTGGAGTAGATGGGATGGCGCGGTTCGCCGGCATGGAAAACAACCTTGGGGCCGGTGGGCAGCGGAGGGCCGAACGCGAGTGTCCGATACCAAAGCCGGGAGGCGTCGTTGGTGAGCTGCTGGGATTTGGTCGCAGCGAAAAACAGCAGGAGAACGCCACGGCGCAGCCTCTTCAGACTCGGGAGGCAACCAATGCGTCGTCAATACCGAGGTAGCCACGGCCAGATCAGACAGGAGACGGGAGCGTCTGAACCGAGACGTTGGAATGGGCAACACGAGCTGCATATCAGAAAAGGCCGAGAGCGGCCGATTCTTGGCGTTGGGGTTATAACCAGATGGCAAATTTTGAGGGTGCGGTATTTATCTTCACAACATGATATTATGTTTCTTGCTTGGATGTGTCCGTGTCAGTGAAAGCGGACGCGAGAAAGACTGCCATCATGAGCCATCCTCAAGGCGGTTGAGTCGCCCCGACTCGAAGCCAAGAGCTAGAACATATGGTTGTCGGGTTGGTAAACTATCACTACCAAATCCACTTCACTTTGCGAAATGGCTGCGCAAGTAGGGCATGCGAATATATAGGAACTCGTAGGGGTGGAGCCTCACCATACATTTGCAAAGCTCGTCCCTTTCTCGACATCTGAGAATTCTCGATAACTGCGTCTTCAAGCAAAGATGTTGCTTCTCCTTCTATTTGAGGAAAAAAGGTTAAATGTGCGTGGCTAGATGCCTCAAGGTTCCCACAAACAACAGTCCGTTATTATATCAGCCGCCAGCGTAGTCACTTAAAAGCTCGTGTAACAGATAATGACCAATGATGCTTGCTTGTCAAACTGCCAGCCTTTGACGCTTTAGCGCAATCTATTACACAGCCGTCTTCCAATAAGCCTGACTCCCAGTGAAGCTCGAGAGATCTCACCTGCTTATTTCGTAGCTTGATATTGCCAAAACAGGAGACGCGGAATATCCGCCCAGGGAAACCCCAAGAGTAACACCCGTTCGACAGCTTATATGATAGACGCTAATAAGCTCTGCCATCATCAACGGACTCGTCGAAGAATATACCGGTCCAAACCTAACCTTTGCCACTTTTCCCCTGATTCTTTATTGGTCATTCATAGCCTACCATCCAGCCTGAAAGGCACGTAATCGTTCTAGATTATATATGATAAGTTCGAAGTCCTTTGTATTTTCTTTGGTTCATTTCCAGAAACGCAAGCGAGGTTCGGCTGCGCGTATTTTTTCAGTCATTCTTCATATTCAGAGGTAAGACGATCCATCGGCTGAGAATGCAGACAAACTTAAGAAAACTCTCAGCTGTGCTCACTTTCGCTTCGTTCATTCTTTGTCTCCCTGTATGTCTCGAGATGTGTGGTAGTACTATATACTTGAAGCCGCCTCATGAATTTTCGACTTAACACGAGATAAGAAACCGTGCTCTTTGCTCTGTTCCCCTTATTACCTTATCTTTTACTCTTTACGCAGCTCCCTGCTTGGACGAGCTCGTCACGTTCTTCACCAGCGTTCTGACTATCGTTGCCTGTGCTGCTCCCACCATGGAGATTGGGCCTCGCTCATCTTTCTATCTGTCTCAACTGAGCAGCCTGGTCTTTAGCAACACAAATTTTCAGTACCTTAAGCTGGTCGACACCCTGGACAGCTGTTGTCTCGGCTTGGACCGGTCAATAACTTGGACATCCTGAGGTTCCAAAGCCTGTTTCAAGGCAACCAGTTCGACATCAATGCCATGCTGCTGTTCCAGCAGATTGCTGTTGTACTGCAACCGGCTCAGCCGAGCCTCTTTATCGGCCTCGGCTTGTCGTCTCTCAGCTTCAACCAGCGGGACCATAGTCTTATCAACGGCGTTAGCGGCTTCGATCTTAACAACATGATCGACCAATCTCTGATGTCTCATATAATGCAAGCAATCAAGACTGGTGGTGAGTAGTAATCAGTATTTAAACGGCACTTTGAAACCTGGAACCTGAAAGAGACTGGCATTTCTCACTTTCCAATTGTTGTGGCCAAGCACTAGGAGCTACATAACACGGCTAATAATAGTGTTGATGGAGGAGGTCTGCAGGCAGACCAGGGCCCTAACTTCTTACAACAAGAAAAAAAGAGCTCATATACAAAGTCCCAATTTCTCGTAAGTTATGTCTAGAATAGATGCTGGTCTTTTATTTTCTATATCTCGCTTCATTATCTGAATTGGCCCTTCTTCCTTGAGATTCTCTATAGGCTAAAGGGTACGAAGAACGACGATGAAAGGCGAAAACCCCCGTTTAGAAGGAGAGAGCCATTGGCCAACTAACAAAGTGATTTGGATGTCTAGTGTATCCAACCTTACAGCGAGACACCTTTTGTGCTTGAGCGGCAGCCTGATATGATTGGTTTGATGGGTTTACTTTATTTATATAAGTACATATCAGTAAATGATCTGTAAAGTGGCAGGATGCAAGAGGTCTCATGTGAAACACGCTTACTTGATTAATAAAAGCTTCTCTGAACGAGCAAAATTGCTGTTCCCCGTTTGGTTTCGACAGTCGCAACTTCTCTATCTGGATTTGATTTTTCTTCCACATTGGGCAGCAATTGTGGATCAGCAATGCGTCTTCTGCGAAAGAGTACTTTGCAAAATGTCCGATCTTTTTCTCACTTCCTCTAGTCGGCACTTGTAATTGACGGCTGCTTTTTTGAAGCCAGCTGACCTGATCCTCAATAGACAACTTGCATCCGAGGCAAGGGCTGTATGGCTTTATGCTCGGGTCCAAAGAATGACAGAAAGCTGAGCGAGGGTAGTCCATCGCCTACTAAACGACCAGTCAATCTTTACCCAGTTCAGCGGGCTGAAGGTCTGATGAAACATCTCTCGACGTGTGGATATATCTTACAAGAAGTTGAACTTTCGTCCTCTCGGGAGCCAGTCCTTTTAATAGGTTTCCAAGAGCACTGATCGGTTTCTGTCCTGACAGAGTTTGTATAGGACAAGGACAAACATGTACCCCTACGAGAAAGGCACCGACAACACTTCAGTTGGACGTGCCCTCTTCCTGAATCACCATCCTGTAATTTAATTCTTGGTGGACCAATTCGTTTGTATAGACGAACAGGCAGCACCCGCGCCACAACGACAGGCGCTAATGGATCTATCTAGGGTTCTTGTTTCTTAATACGAGTCGCTGTACAGCTCATTCATGCGCTTGGCAAAGGGTAAGGCGTACTTTTCTTACCTTCTAGCCGGCTTTGCAATTTTAATGCCAGCAGTTTCACCGGTTGAACACGTACTGACAAGTCATTCGTTACGTCCGAACAAGGCCATGCTGTACAGCAACCTGGTGACTCCTCCTGCATACTTGGCAAGATGCTTTATGGTGGCCCGAAGGATTGGGGCAAAGAGGACAGCATGGTGTTTCTTCTGCAGCCAACCACGGGCTTTTGCAGCTGGTCAGCTGAACAGTGCCTTCTGGGTTTTCAGCTAAGAGCTACGTCTATGCTTGACAGCGACGACTTTTCTATCAATAGACCGTCTGTGGGTTGCTATTGCAGTATCACGTTCTGGACTAGCAATGCCCACCTCTGCTCGGGGGCGCGAATACAGATTACGGTATACGCCTCACGGAAACTTGTTGTGGTCAGAACTATGCATAACGATACACTACGACAGACAACAGCTTGCTTATGAGCTTCTATGTCCGATCAGGCCATCACTGACGTGTTATAAACGGCCACATCAAAATGCGTTCAGCCGGTTGTGCATCGGTGTTTGCAAGTTACACTGCTCTCGGCGTTCAGTGAGCTGGACTGGAGCTTGAGCGACGCGCTGCTGCTACGCTGCGATATGCTGGATACGACTTTGTCACAACGTGACGACGCCAGCGGCGAAGACAGGAGAATGCCGACCTAGAGATAGAATGCCTTGTGCGTCTGTACAAGGCCCCAAGCAGCAACGACAGTATCAGCATCAGCATCAGCATGCCACTCTGGAATATTCCCTGCAGCGCGACCAACGCCCCCGCAAAAAGGAGTCGCCAGGATTTGTCTTGCGCCACGACATGGAAGATCCTTACAGATGGCAAAGGACCGGCCATGACCGACGAAGGACCGCTACCGTTATAACATGGCGGGTGCGGTGGCGGAGTGCAGCGGAGCCGATGGCAGGATTACCGGGAGCGGTGGAGAAGGAGGAATCAGGCTTTCGAATCGGTATTAGCCTTGACGAATGAGAATTGGAAGAGCTACAAGGCGCGACAAGAACTGCCAAGGTTGGCCTTTGCTTCGCTACGGAGTACACCAACGTTCACCTGGTCCTTCATAATCAAGGCCAGACAAGAAAGTGTACGACGTACGGAGTATGCTGTGACGCGCGGCCAAACCGAAGCGACAGACACCATCTTACAAGCCGTACTCCGTACTGGAGGCCGTTAGCCTTCCATTCCGCCTAGACCTTCTATTTATGTCGATCGCCGTTGTCTGGGAGCATCTGGCACAGGCTGTGCGTCTCCTGCCCTACGGAGTAAGAGGGCGATCAATTGGGCTGCGCTCGTGTTGCGCAATTGGAGGTCGTATTTGCGAAGAGCGACACGCGACAGACGGATATAACAAGATTATCATATCCATTATTAGCGTGTTCGTCTATTAATATTATCCGCCGTTTGACGATTATGGCCGGCTTAGTTGCTGGCAGGGGAGCTGGAGGACCTAGTTCAGGCTGAGATCGTCGCCAAGCAACCCCTGGCTAGGAGACTGGGGCAGACCAGGGTAATAAGGGGAAGGTCAAAAAACACGCCGAGAATCAGGAAAAGAGGAGAGAGGACGAGATGGGCAAACCCAAAATAAAACAGAACGGGCGGAGACGCAAGCGGAGACGGAAGCAGAAAGGCAAAAAAAGAAAAGAAAAAAGGAAATCAAGGAAAAGGAACCAGGAATAAGAGAGAAAAAGAAAGCAAAAAAGAAAGAAGGGGAGCAGTTTGGCATGCGGATGAAAACAGAGCGTGTCAGCAGAGGGCAACAAAAGGAAAGAGATCAGCTATACGCCACTCTGAGACGGATGCACGCCATGTGCAAGTTCGGATGGCCAAGGAAGACGTCGAAACATTTGGGCAGCGAGTGGAAGCACTTCTCTCAGCTGCTGGCCGCAGAGGTGCCGGAATATCGGGGTTGTGACGTGAGCATCTCCCTTCTCATCCTGGCTTCGTGTCCGGCAGCAGCTGAGGTGTACACGAGCCCCTGTCTGCCTCGACCGTGCCGTTGCTCAATATCCTCTTTGAGCTCTTCTACTTTCTTTTTTCCCTTTTTCTTCTGATTTTTTTCTCTCCCCCCCATTCACGGTCAGCCCCGATTAATGCTAGCTGGCTGTCCCCACAGCTTTTTGGGCTTCTCTCATCGCCGAGAGCAAGGCACACTGGCTGCATGACTGCACACGGGACATTGCTCAAATGCATACGCCGTAGAGGATAGGAAGGATTCTCTCAAATGTGCACCTCTTGGAAGAGTCTCCTGCGGCTCTGCCTCCTTTTGGTCTCTCCAGGGCCCCAAGTTCCACTTTTCATATTCTCGTTTCGCGCTCTGTACGGAGTACAAGCATCAGCATGCACAAGCCACTATTCCCACCCCCCCATTCCCAGTGTAAGACTACTCCGTACTACTTCGTAAACGTCTCTCACCTGTACGGTAAGTCTGGGCCCCTGCAACCCATTCGTACGATGTGTCCGTTCGCACAACCCATTTTGCGGTGTGCGGAGTACGAGTACATAGTATGGAGACGCTGGTCTTGTCTGTTTCTCGATACAGAGCATACGAGTACGAATTAGTACACAGACACACGTACTCACACTGGCTGCTAATCATTGTCTGTGACAGCGTAAGTCAGGCTGTTCTATATATACCCCCCCCCCCGTTCCCCATCACGTATCCCCTTTGTTCTGGGTTGCACTTCTCTCCCTCTCTGTCGCCATACTATGCACACTTCGTCTTTCTCTGACCGTCTTGTTTAGCTGCGCTAAACCAGGAACGCGACCGACCATCTAAGTTCTTCGAGCTTCACCGCTTCTGGCTGTTGGACAGGCGAGTGCCACCAGCATCGGTAGATTCGAACAGGCCAAGCCAACGGTCAACATCACACATTACGATCAGAAAAAGAAACAACATCTTTCCGTTCTCTCTCCCCCCGAGGATGGGTCGACCTGTCCGGAGCTGCTCATCGTGATTCTTCTATTCTTCGTCGCCCACAACCGAACTGTTCTCCGTGTAAGAACGAGCTAGGCAGAAGGGCTTCTTCGCAGCAAAACTATCTCTTACCTGATGGATCAACCTGGTACGAAGACCGACATATCCGGGAGGCCCATGGCTGTCCGGACCCTTACACCACCTGCGGTTCCCCCAATTGACTGCTGTGCGGCCAACAGTCTCAAGGGCGTGGTCGCTGCCGTCGATGCGGACGACCTCTCAGACGACGACTACTTCTCTTCGACGTACCGCCCGCTCTCTAACCTGCCGACACCGCCGCCGTCCAGCCGCAATTCGTCGGCTCTTCAGAGCCCCCAGCTCGAACAGGGAGAGGCCCTAGAGGAGTCCCTGCTAGGTAAGGCTGTCTGCTAGCTTCCAGTTTTTCTTAGTGGTCCCTGTTCTAACTCTGTCCCCACAGGTCCGGCTATCCACTTGGTCAACATGCTGCCGCCGGCCGCCTCCCTGGCGACGCCGTCTGTGCCTCTGGTCCAGGCTATGCTGACACGAGCAGCGCTGCCACTTGACACCATCGCACTGGCCGTGTGCATCCTCGACTCGCTCGACGCGCGCTTCTCCCGCACGTGGCGTCTGACCTGCCCTCTCAACCAGGATGTGGACAAGGAGGCGGATGGGGAGAAGGACGGCGAGCAGCAACAGCTGGAAAACGAGAAAGGGCCGATGCGGATGCCTCCACAGCCGCTAAAGCGACACACGCTGCCACCAGCCGCGGCGACGTTTGACAGTTTTGCCTTTTCGTCGCACTCGTCCTTTTCGTCTCGGTCGCCATCGTCTTCGTACAGCCAGCGACACCCCCGCCACATCGACTCGGTCTTCCCCGAAGTGATCATCCTAGCGGCGCTCGTAATCGCGACCAAGTTTACCGACGACGGCCACGCGGGTCAACAGGCAGCGCATTCGTACTGTGCCTGGGGTCAGCGCAACGATGCTGGCGCTCACGCCGACGCCCCCCTCTGCCGCCGGCTTTCGCTCTGGTCGGCTAGCCAACTCTCGGCCACGGAGCGGTGCGTGATGCAGAGTCTCGGCTATCGTATCCTGCCTCTGCTGGATGCCGACCTGCTGGCAGATGCGCGGGACGACATGCGACGTGCAGGCATGCAGGCGGCGCGGGCACAACAGCGACGAGCACAGCAGCGAGAACAGGAGCGGAAGCAAGGGCAGATGGTGGCGGCAGAGGCAGCGGCCGCTGCTGCAGCAGCAGCTGAGGCTGCGGCGGAGAGAACACGACGTCATCACATGGCGTCTCGGTCCGAGTGTCTCGGGTTTTTTGGGCGCTGAGAGGAAGCCCACCGAAAAGAATCAAAGAAACGAAGACGAAAAGGAGTACAGGTCATCGGGCGGCGTTGGATTTGCATTTCTGCTGTTTTTCCTAATACTTTATGAAGAGGGTGCTGCGAGCACATAGCGACGGCTTCCTGTTTCTTTCCTTTCCTTTTCTGCTCTCGTATCTCATCATTCTGGGCTGGAAAGACATCGATCTATCTCATTGGGCATAAACAGGTTCTCGGGACGGCTACTGGAGTTTGTCCCCTTTCCACTTCTTTCCTGTTTCTTTGTTCAGTGTCTCATTGTTCTAGGTCTTTCTGCTCTTTGTGGGTTCTTTTTTTCATATCGTCTCATACAAGCGGATCGCAACAGGACAATACCCCGAATACAAGTTTCTAATCTTTCATGGTTCTTCCTCTTTGTCTACGCAGACCTAATGAAAGCGTGGCTCATGGGCTGAGACGGTTCAGCGACCAGGAATCCTCGGCGCCGTCACTGCCGGACACGCGGTCGTAAACGAAGCGGTCGTGCAGGCGGTTTTTGCGGCCCTGCCAGAACTCGACGCGTTCGGGCACGATGCGCAGGCCGCCCCAGAAGTCGGGCACGGGAATGTGGCCGGCGTCGTCGGCGATGCCGAAGCGCTGCTGGGCCTCGGCAACCCACTGTTCGAGCTGAGTGCGGCCGTCGTCGGCCGATTCGGAGTTTCCAGTCTCGGCAGGCGTCAGCACCTGCGACTGGCGCGATGCCCAGGCGCCGATGCGGGAGCCGCGCACGCGCGTGTCAAAGTACAGCTGCGACTCTGCAGCGGGAAGGCGGACGACGCGGCCCTCGACACGGACCTGTCGCTCGAGCGGCTCCCACCAGAACGTGAGGGCGGCCCAGGGGTTTGGCTGCTGGGCGCCGTCGGTGGTGCCGAACAGGTCGGCCGCCTTGCGCGACGTCCCAAAGTTGGAGTACAGCACAAAGCCGAGCGGATCGAGCTCCTTGAGGTAGACGACGCGCGCGCTGACGCGACCCGACGGCAGGCTCGCCGTCGCCAGCGTGCACGACTCGGGGTGGGCGATGCCGGCTGCCCGCGCTTCGGCGAACCAGGCGTGAAACTGTGCCACCGGTCCACTGGCGCTCAGGTCGACCCGCCGCAGTCCACCGTCCTGCTCGTGCTTGGTGAACTGGCCGGCCGGGGCAGGCGTGCCGGGCGCGGAGGCCGAGAGCGGCGATGGGGCGACTGTGGTGTCAGCTGGAACTGGAACTGGTCCTGGTCACATGACCAGAATGGGGCCACACAAACATATCAGCTTGTCCTGACGTGCTGGACCGCTGGCTGTAGCCGCGGCTGACGGCGACTGGTACAGAGCCATGGATCCAAAGGCAGCACGAGTCGTCTGCTGGAGAGAGCGGCAGCGTGGCAGAAGACGTGCGGCAACGAGTGGCATAAAGGGGGAAAGTAAGAGTGAGTCAGTGACTTCAACCTCAATTCCTGCGCTTTGGAGGGGCTTCCCTTTTGTCACACGATGACTAATGATATCGCTGTGGTTGCAGTTGCAGCCAGGGATCCAGCGCTTCTATATACGCAGTGGTGTTCCTTTGCAATGTCACGTGACTATGGGGGCCCCGTAATTTTCTACATTCGTCCGCTTTGAAGCGTCCGGATTGGCCACAGCAGCATTCATACGTGGGCGGCTTTCAGGCTTTTCTTCACGAGTCAGGCCACAAGGCGGCGAAGCGAAGACGGAACGGAAGTTGAGCGCGTGGTGGGCTGAGAATCGACATGACACATAGTAGCAGTAAGATGTACGCAATGTAACCAGCTGCTCGTAGACTCATACTATATACATACACATAATATACACATAATATACAAATAACGTACAGAACGTGATGAACGTACAGAACATGCAAACGCAAGCCACACACCAACGCCACAAACAGAATGTACCCAATAAGCCGACACACAACGCTCACCCAATGCACCCAAATCACCCAATGCAACGGCCCTGAGCCTGGTACTGTCTACGTTCCTTTAATCGGTCTATGAATCTAGAGCATAGCAAAGAGAGATGCAATTTGTATGCAGAAGAGTGGAAGAAAAGAGATTGGGGAAATGACACGAAAAAAGCAGAAACTTTTGCGATCGATCCTGACCCGTCTTCGGAGTCGCGTCTTATCTGGCCAGCCACCTTGCCACACCCACGGGCGATCAGGTAGCCATGACGAGGGCGAGCAGAGCCATGCGGCAGTACAGGCCGTAGCGCATCTGGGAGGGTTAGCAAGCATCCGATGACCGGGGGTCTCGTCATTCTCTCTCGCCGTACTCACCTGCCGGAAGTAGGCGGCGCGCTGGTCAAAGTCGACCTCCTCGGCGATCTCGTCGTTGCGCGGCAGCGGGTGCAGGACGATCATGTTGGACTTTGCGTGGCGCAGGGTGGCATTGTCGATGCGGTAGGAGCCGCGGACGCGCTCGTACTCGGCCACAGACGGGAAGCGTTCCTTCTGGACACGGGTGCAGTAGAGCACATCGCTGCGGGCGATGATGTCGGGGGTGAGCTCGTGCGACTCGGCGAGCAGCTGACCGCGGGCGCGCAGGCTGTCGCGCAGGGCAACAGGCAGGGCGAGAGCAGCGGGCGCGACCAGCTGAACCTGGACATGGTAGTGCTTGAGCAGGTGGCAGAGCGAGTGGACCGGGCGGCCGTAGCGCAGGTCGCCGACAAAGGTGATGGTCAGGCCCTGGACGGTGCCGAGCTCCTCGCGGATGGTGAAGAGATCGAGGAAGGCTTGGGTCGGATGCTCGCGGCTGCCGTTGCCGCCGTTGATCACCGGCACCGGGCTGAAGCGCCGAGCCACCTCGACGCTGCCCTCGTCCGGATGCCGCAGCACGATCGCGTCGCCATACTGTCCCATGGTGCGCAGCGTGTCCTGCAGGGTCTCGCCCTTTTGCACCGACGAGGCTGATGTGGCCACGGCCACCGTTCGGCCGCCCAGCCGCTGCATGGCCGCGTCAAACGACGACGCCGTCCGCGTCGACGGCTCGTAGAAGAGCGTGCACAACACGCGGCCCCGCAGCACGGACAGCACGCCCTCGCGCTGCACGCCCAGCCGCATCTCCTGCGCCACTGTGAAGAGCAGGTGCAGGTCGGCCCGGTCGTAGTCCCGCACCGACAGCACCGGCCGGTTCTTGAACGCCGACGCCCGCGACAGCAGCGCCGGCAGAGCTGACGGCACCGCCAGCGTCGACGTCATCGCAAACCCGGTCTCGTGGCCGGTCGACACGGCTGCCGTCGTCGACACCGTCGTGGTGCCCTCCTCAGCCACACCAAGTCCAGCCACACCGAGTCCAGCCACACCGCCCAGCACAGCCACACCTGTTGCAGCCGAGGGCGAGCCGCCCATGGCAGAGGGCAGCAGCAGCGTCGACTCGGCTGCCCGGGCCCGCGCGCTGCTCGACAACAGCATGGACTGCCGCCGCAGACGCGGGCTGTCTGGCTGGGCCTGCAGCTGATGCTGCATCTGCTGGGCCTTGATCAGCGGCGAGAGCGGCGTGACCACGGGCGTGGCTGGCGGCAGGGCCCCGTGTGTCGACATGTCTTTGCCCTGACCGGGCAGTGCCAGCACCTCGCCGTCGAGGCAGACGGTCGCGTGCTGGAACGTCACGCGCTGGACGGCGCCGCGCATGATGCGGCCGGCAAACAGCGACTGCGACAGCGACGGGGCGGCCTCGACGTCGGCCTCGATCGTGTAGGGCCGGTTGATCTCGATCTCGACGGCCGTGCCGACCTGGTCGTGCAGCTCAAAGATGCGCACCGGGTTGTCGTGCAGGCGCGTGCGGATGTCGTCCAGCGTCAGCTGGCCGTCGGCCACCGACGTCATCAGCAGCGGCAGCGCGTCCGCGATGCCCACGGCTGTGTCAGCCTCGTTCTGCGGTCGCTTCGGCTGGCCGTCGCGGCCCTGGAGCCAATGAGCCAGCTGATATGGCAGGCTGCCGACCGAGAACACGTCAATGTCGTCCATGTATTCCCACAGCGCCGCCTGGTCGTCGGCCGTCGGCAGCAGCTGACAGCCCGCGTGGTCCTGCTGTGAGAGGTACAGCGAGTAGATTGAGACGTCGCACGTGACCTGCAGTCCTTTGGCCTTGCTCAGCGCAATCAGCTGGATGTCGTCGCGCGTCGTCACGGCCGTCACGTGGATCCGCCGGTTATGCAGCGACGCCAGCAGCAGCAGCGAGGCCAGATCTGTCGTCCGCGCATCCGTCACGATCGGCTTGTGCACAGGCCACGCCTCAAAGTGCGCCGTCACCGCCGCCACCCGGTTGATGTTGTCCGACAGGTGGTTAAACGGGATGAAGAGCGACCCGACCTCGCCGGCCACCTGGCTGATCTGGCCCGCGTTGGTCGACGTCGCCGTCACCGACAGGTTGAAGTCGCAGTAGATGCTGCCGCGCCGGCTGTTCTGCTGCGCCAGCTTCAGCGTCCGCACGTCCGTGATCGCTCCGTCGACTCCCAGCGGCATCACCCGCATCATGCTGAAGCCGGCCGCGATCGACGCTCGCGACACCGCCTGCAGATCCCGGCTGCCGCCCGTTGCCACCAGCCCTGGCACAAACGCCGCAATGTTCACCAGCCCGGGCAACACTACCGTCCGGTGGCTCGTCTGGTAGTCCCGCAGGCTCACCTCCAGCTCGTAGTGTCGCGCCATCGCCTCCACCAGGATCTTGGCGTTCTTCACGTTCGTCACCAGCGGAATCTGGTAGTCCACCGCCATTCGCCGCGTCTGGTATCCCTTGCTCATGTAGTTCGCCGGCCGCCGGTACTTGTTGTTCGACGGCAGGTTGATATACAGGTCGATCATGTTCTTCGCCAGGTGCTGCGTCAGCGAGAACTCCCGCTTCTGCCCGTTGCCGCTGCTCTTGCTCTTGCTCTTGCCGTTGCCGGCCTCCTCCTCCTCATTTTCGAGCGCCTCCAGGTACTGCACCGGAATCCCATGCTCCTGCAGATAGTCCGCCGTCCCTGCCGTCGCGAACAGCTTGTACCCCATCTTCTGCAGCTTCGCCACCGACGGCAGCATCTCCTTCTTGTCCTTGAACGATCCGATCGACAGCAGCACGTTGCGCCGCGGCATCTTGAACCCCGTCGAGATCAGCGCCTTGAGGTACGCCTCAAACTTGTCCGATCCGAAGCATGCCACCTCGCCCGTCGACGCCATCTCCACGCCCAGCACCGGGTCTGCTCCTGACAGCCGCGAGAAGCTGAACTGCGGCACCTTGACGCCCACCGTGCCCGCCGGCAGGTCTGTTGGCGGATATGCTTCAAACGGCTGTCCGATAATTGCCCGTGTCGCCATCTCGATCAGGTCCACACCCATCACCTTGGACACGAACGGGAACGACCGCGACGCTCGCACGTTGCACTCAATCACCTTGATGTCGTTGTCCTTGGCGATGAACTGGATGTTGAACGGTCCCGTCACGTTGAGCGCTGCGCCAATCTTGCGCGTCGCCTCCTCGATCCGTGCAATCGTCGTCCGCTCCAGATCCTGAGGCGGCAGGATCAGCGTCGCGTCGCCCGAGTGCACGCCTGCGTTCTCCACGTGCTCCGAGATGAAGTGCCCGACAAGCTTGCCGTCCTTGGCCACCGCATCCATCTCGATCTCCTTGGCGTTCTCAATATACTTGGTGATCACTACCGGGTGGTCACGTGACACATCCGCCGCCTGCTGCAGGTATGCCTCCAGGTCCGCCTCGGAGTAGACCGTGTTCATAGCAGCGCCAGAGAGCACGTATGAAGGCCGGACAAGCACTGGGTACGTCACCATATTGCAGAACTCCCGCGCCTCGTCGAAGCTGGTGAGCTCCTTCCATGTCGGCTGGTCAACACCGATGTTGTCCAGCATGCGAGAGAACTTGTACCGGTTCTCAGCCGTGTCGATCATCTCTGGGGATGTGCCCAGCACCCGGACACCAGCCCGGAGCAATGGGAGGGCGATCATGTTGGGCGTCTGGCCACTCATCGCGCCCAGAACGCCACTGGCATTTTCGAGCTGGTAAATGTCCAGCACGGTTTCGAGGTCGATGTTCTCAAAGTAAAGCCGGTCCGCCTCAGAATGGTCGGTGCTTACAGTCTCTGCGTTGCACTTTTTTAATCATGTTAGAGATATATCGAGAAATGTAGACGAGAAGAGGGAAAAGGATATGAATGAGGAAGGGGACTCAGGAAAGGAAATTAGAGAAAGAAGCCAGGATGAAAGCAAAAAGACCAAGGTGTAGAGAGATGATAGGGACTGCAATAAACTAGAGGTCTCCAAGAACGAACTTACGTTAACCATAATGGTCTTGAACTTGGACTGCCGCAGCGTGCGGATAGCCCGCACAGAGCACCAATCAAACTCGACAGACGAGCCGATACGGTACACGCCTGAGCCGAGCACCATAACACCGTGATCGTCAAAGGTGATGTCATGATCCGTCGCGTTGTAAGTCATGTAGAGATAGTTTGTAAAGGCCGGGAACTCGGCCGCCACCGTGTCGATCTGCTTAACAAACGGCGTGATGCCTGCCTCGAGGCGAAGACGGCGCACGGCGATCTCGTTGGAGCTCCAGAACTGCGCCAGCTGCCGGTCGCAGAAGCCAAGGCGCTTTGCCTGCAGCAGGACGTCGGGGCTCTTCACGACGTCGCCGGTGGTGAGCGTGGTCATGCGTCGGGCAAAATCGCTCAGACCCTTAAGCTTGTGCAGGAACCAGCGATCGATCTTAGTCAGCTCCCAAATCTTGTCGACGGAATAGCCCGCGTGCATGGCATTGGCAATGGCAAACAGCCGTTGGTCTGACGGTGTCTGCAGTTCGTCGTCGACGGACATGAGTGCTGTCTTGGAGTCGCCAAAGCCGAGGTTGTGAAAATCGATGGCACGGATCGCCTTCTGGATCGCCTCCTCAAAGGTCCGGCCAACGCTCATCACCTCGCCAATGCTCTTCATCGACGAGCCCAACTGCGTCGACACGCGCGTAAACTTTTTCAGATCCCACCGGGGCATCTTCACCACGACATAGTCCAGAGACGGCTCGAAGCATGCGCAGGTCACGCGCGTAACCGAGTTCGAAATGTCCTTGAGCGGAATGCCCAGGCCGAGCTTGGCTGCAATAAAGGCCAGCGGGTAGCCCGTCGCCTTGGAGGCCAGCGCTGAGGACCGGGACAGACGGGCGTTCACCTCGATGATGCAGTATTCCCGCGAGAACGGGTTGAGCGCATACTGGATGTTGCACTCACCCACGACACCGAGATGCCGGATCACATTCACCGCCGTCGTCCGCAGCATGTTGTAGTCCTCGTCAGACAGAGTCTGCGATGGCGCAACCACGATGGAATCGCCCGTGTGAATGCCCAGAGGGTCAAAGTTCTCCATGTTGCACACGGTGATGCAGTTGTCCTGGGCATCGCGAACAACCTCGTACTCAATCTCCTTCCAGCCCTTCATGCTGCGCTCAATCAGCACCTGCGGGCTCGCGGCAAACGCTTTGCCGCACAGCGCCAACAGCTCCTCTTCGTCGTTGGCGAAGCCGCTGCCGAGACCACCGAGGGCATAGGCCGCACGGACAATCACAGGGAAGCCGATGCTCTGGACGACCTGCATGGCCTCTTCGATGCTGTTGGCCGAGGCCGACTTGGCGCACTTCTCGCCAATAGACTCCATACTGCGAGCAAAGAGCTCGCGGTCCTCGGTCGTGATGATCGTGTCAATGGGCGTGCCTAGAACTGTCACACCAAGCTCGGCAAACTCGTCCTTGAGCTGGATGCCCACCTGCAGTGCCGTCTGGCCACCAAAGGTGACGTAGATGGCGTCTGGACGCTCGTACACGATGACCTTGCGAACAAACTCGGCATTGACCGGGAGGAAGAATACCTTGTCTGCCAGACCCTTGGACGTCTGGATGGTCGCAATGTTGGGATTGATGAGAACGGTGTAGATACCCTCCTCCTTAAGCGCCTTGATGGCCTGGCTACCAGAGTAGTCAAACTCGCCGGCCTGGCCAATGCTGAGACCGCCACTGCCCAGCACGAGCACCTTTTTCGCGTGAACGCGCGGGTGATTCCGGGAGTTCTCCTCGGCCGTGCCGCCAGGGAATGTGACCGGCAGTTGAAGGTACTTCGCATCCGTTGCGCAGTTGAGCACGGTGTCAATGAAGACATCAAACAAAAACTCAGTGTCCCGCGGGCCCGGAGTGCTCTCCGGGTGAAACTGGACGCTGAAGTAAGGACGGCTGACATGCATGATACCCTCGTTGCTGCCATCGTTTGCGTTGACAAAAAGCTCCTTCCAGTCAGCCGGTAGCGTGGCCGTGTCGACAGCGTAACCGTGGTTCTGCGACGTGATATGACAGAGGCCGGTGACCATGCTCGTGCAGGGAATGTTCTGGCCGCGGTTGCCAAACTTCATCTTGAGAGTGCTGGCTCCGGTGGCGCGAGCGAGCAGCTGGTGTCCCAGGCAGATACCAAAGATCGGCGTGTCGTTCTTGGCAAGGGCCTCGGCAATGTGCTTTGCCGTCTTGTCCAGAACGGCCGGGTCACCCGGTCCGTTGGACAGAAACAAGCCGTCGTATTCTCCCCTTTCAGACAGATGGGTAAAATCGTAGTCCCAGGGGCACACGAGAACCTCAACGCCGCGCTTCAGGAAGCAGCGGAGCTGGTTGTACTTCATGCCGACATCAAGACACAGAATTCGGAGAGGGCGTCCCGATGGGTGGATCTTGACAGCAACTCCCGATGGAGGTTTGTAGAGCTTCGGACTCTTGGTAGACACTGGGTCAAAAGAAGAATGGTCAGCTGCAAGCTCTGCAAAAACCCATCTTCCCTAACCGTTCGGTCCAGAGACTCACCCTCAGCGACGAGATTCCTCTCGTTGGGGTTCACCCAGTCGAGAGCCTCAAAGTGCTCCGTCCAGTTTTCGGCCGTGTAGGGAGCCAAGAGCGAGCCGTCGGGGGCATCCTCGTACGTCCCATTAGCTGCCGGGGTTTTCTTGAGGAGCATGCGTCCCAACAGGCTACCGGTATCGCGAATATGCTTGGTCAGAGCACGGGTATCGACACCGTGCATAGCCGGGATGCCCTGCTCCTTCAACCAGGTACCAAGAGAGGACTCGGCCAGGAAGTGCGAGAAGTCCTCCCCGGAGTAGGAGGCAGTGACCAAACCAGCAACATGAATCTGGGACGACTCGAAGTGGGCAGGCAGGTCGCCCAGAATGTCGTCGAGCGCCTCTCGCGAGGGCACGCCGTAGTTGCCAACGAGGGGGAACGTGAGCACCAAGATCTGGCCGCGGTAAGACGGGTCCGTCAAGGACTCGGGATAGCCGGCCATGCCGGTCTGGAAGACCAATTCGCCGGCAGCGCTCTTCTCAGCACCAAAGCTGTAGCCCTGGTAGACGGTGCCATCTTTGAGCTCCAGGCTGACGAGCCGCTGCTCCGATGTCTCGGAGGGCGTCGAAGAAGCCGGAGAGAAGAAGGCGGATGTCGACATGGCGACGACGGTGGTTGTATGCGTGGTTCTCGAAAACTGTACAAGGCCGAAGTCGCAAAGAGACAGAGAGGCAGCTCTCCCAATCTATCACTCTCTCTTTCGCTCTGCTTCCCGAGGGAAAGAGGGAGAAGAGGAGGGGCAAACAAATGCTGGAGACAAGTGGGTTGCGGAGAGCTTGGCAGGCGTAAGCGTAAGCTGGGTCAACAAGTAGCGATCTTTCTCTCGTCTTCTTCTCCAGACGGCTGCGCTCTTTCGGGAGACACAGGTCAGTCTGCAACAAAGTTTGCAGAGGAGAGGGAGAAGAACGAAACTGAAAAAAGTTTTTTTTCCATCCGGGCCCTTTCGTCCAAACATTTTTTAGTAATGACTTCATCTCGGCCAATCAAGAGCACTAGTACGCCACTATTACGGGGCCGTACGCTTATCACTAACCAGATCTGGAAAGCCTACTAAAGATAGATGAATCTGGCCACACGTGACCTACCTGAACGTACGGAGGACTGAGGCCTGGACAGACGTGGCCTTTATGCTGTGTTACTCGTATTTCTGCGACTCAAGAGCGAGTTTGGCTTAACGTTCTGCAATTAGAAGCTTCGTTGCTTCTTTCTGAAAGCTTTGCAAGCATGTGAACATCCACCCCGGCCGGACGTCTGGTTGGCCACTCCAATTGGCGGCACAACCCCGCCAATACAGCCCTGCGTGCTCCGGCCACCGTAGGGTCCCTGTGGTTGGTCAATTGGCGCAGCGCATTCTGTGGCTGCAGCATGGGCTGGCGAGTAGAACGCTGAAAGTAAGACCACCCGCTGGCCAATAGAGGGGCCAGCAGCAACTACGGAGTAGTCAGCACCTCATGAGCAAGCTTCGCTTTTGCTGCTACCATCTAGGGCACACATTCTTCTCTCTCTGTACCAGAGGCGAGAGGCAAGATGAATCCTGCGGCTGCAGGATGCGCTACTTGCACGGACAGCCGCCTTCAGGTTGGTTTACCTCGAGCTACCACGAGACATACGCCCGTGGCGATATAACATTCAGCTTGCTCTCCCACACCCACTTTTCTACACCGACAATTGCCTGGGAATGGACAAGTACTCGTATCTTTCAATACATAGTACAAGTCCAGTCCAGGCCAACAAACAGCGCCGCCAAAGACGCGAATGCACCAAACTGAGCAAAATGAATTGTGATAAGCGCGCAGCCAATAGATATCCAAGACAAGACACCTCCGATCTGTCGGGCCTTTGCTCCTTTCTCTTTCCTCTTTCCAACTTTGGCCCGGCGCTGTTTCGCACACGGACCCATTGACGATGATCAGAGCGACGATCATCTACTCAAGCCCCGCCTTTCCAAGTGAGGAGCGTACTACATATGTGAGGATGAGACCTGCTGCTGCAATTACTACGCGATGCAGCAGCAAGGCGAGGGCAGATCTGAGATGACTACCGTCATCCATGACACCTCCCCCACCCAGGGTAGATTGTCGCCTGAAGAAGGCAGCTCAGTCAAACAAGTTGTGGGCTAATAGCAGGGAAGGACACAAAACAGACGGAGTACTCTGTAGCAGTAGAGCAAAGGCGAGGAAGACGCTACAGAAGGACAGAACGGACGGCCTCTCTGATTGGGGATGCAACACGGAGATCGCCTGCAGTATCAGACTCTGCCAATCATGGGGCCGTGCAGCGTTGCGGCCGACTCATGGGCAGGTCACTTGGCGCGGCCGCTATCATAGGATCGGCCCAATGAGCAGTAGGGCCGAGCTGCATAGGCTGCCCACCATTTGCTCGGAGGGGGCGAATTGAAGCAATATCATCGAGTAGTCCTGTGCGCGAGCGAGACAATGTGGTGGATTGCGAGAATGGATTCGTAGGTAAAACGTGGGCTGTGCGAAAACAGGACACTTTGTGGGCTACGAGCCTCGTGGGTATCAGCCCCCGGTAAAAGTCCATTTAATAATCGACGTGTGCTGGGAGGCCCATCGCTTGTCGCATCCATGTGCTGTCTCCTGATCCTACCCTATTTACTGCATTCCTCTACATCCCCGTTAAACGTCGACGTCTGCTGTCGTTCTTCTATGCAGCCGCTTTTTAGTAGCAGTCATCTGTCAAGATGGGAAAGGACCACTGAGAATAGCACACTGGGGGTAGCGCCGTGAGGAAAGAACGAGTGGTGCTTGTCTCGCCCATTTCTCGCTACTGGCCACTACGCCGTAGTTTGACGCAGCTCCCAACTTCTCGCACACCTTATCACGCTAGCTCTGAACCTAGATAGCGCTACCCATTCCCTCTTCTCCCCATATTTTAGCCCGCATCGCGCTTCTCGCGCGTCCCCCCTGTGCAAACAGCTCCTGTTGGTTTTCAGATCTGCCTCTGGCGCTCCGCTGTTGGCCCTTTGCTATGTAACCCCTTCCCCTTACTCCGCTCTATTATAATTATTTTTGTATATACGAAGTACTCGCACAGCTTTTTCCCGTTTGTGTCCCCATCCTGCTGCGGCCGGAATCTCTCTCCCCTCCCACAGCTTCTCCGAAGCGATGTACTGTTGAGCCTTACAGAGGCAGCGACGAGGGATTGTGCCGGGACGCGAGGAGGGTTTGGATTGCTGCCGACCAGTCACGACCATCCTCTCCTAAGCCTTACGATCACCTTCCCCGACGACCTAGACCCCGCAAGGCGAACCACGACTTCTCTCCCATGGCGTTGACACGGTAAACTAGACAAACGTGTTCACAAGTGGACAGCCTGTCAGGCCACGAAGGTGACTCGAATTGGGGCCATGTTTTCCCAAATGTTTCGTACCATGAGCGGCAGCCGGTCTGCAGAGCTTGACCCGCTTCCAGACCAAGGCCGGGCTCAGAACACGGGCCCGGACCTCCGTCGCAGCCGCAGCGACTCTCTACGACATCACGATGCGTCTCCTGGCCCGGCCACCAGCCGTCCCTATGCCCAACTTCGACATGCGACTGCCGACTTTACAGAAGCTGACGACGACGAAGATGACGATTCCAATGAAGACGGCGGCATTGGCAATGGCTCTCAATCGGGTGGCGATCAACCTCCCGAAGATGAGGACGGAGACAGGCGATCTTCACAAGTATTGCCCCTCTTCTCGGCATCACACTTGGGTAGGTCGCTCTACTACCCGTTCTTTACGGCTATGCACCGGCTGCTGACCATAAACCAGACTCACTCCCGGTCTACAACATCGTGCACGCCATACGCATCATTGTCCAGACTCGCACAGATACCATGCTGACCTGGGAGCAGCTACGCTCTCCGCAAGTGTCCCAATTTCTCGTCAAGCCTATGCAGCAACTGGTCCGCGCCCACCATTTCTCTCGCGCAACGCTGTATGCCCTCATGGCAAACTGTCTCCAGTTCTGCAAGGAAGGCCAGCTTTCCCCCGGAAACGCCGGCACATGCAGCACCCGAGGCAAGGTGTGCGAGCTTCTGGCCATCAAGCTGCTCAAGGAATACTCCACGCGCGAGCTGATCGATGCCCTCTCCTACGACTTCAACCCGCTGCAAGGCATCTCGGCCGGCCCGCAGTTCCAGCTGCGGCTTGCCAACACTGCCCGCACCTCGACCCTGGAGGTGGCCATCCGTGCCAATGCAAAGCATTTCCTCGCCCATCCTCTCGTCGTCCAACAGCTCGAGGCCATATGGAATGGCGCCATCAGCTTCTACTCGTCGGCAGATTATCTGCATCGTGACGCAGGAAAAACACCGGCCACCGCCCCCGGACCGGCATCGGCTGCCGGGAGTAACCAAGTCTGGACACGCAACAGACCCAGCACACGGGGGCCTGCTCGACGCGGCAGCAATGATCCTCGTACGCCTCTGCTTTCAGTAAACAACCAGATCCCTGCCTACAACGGCCAGCAACAGCACCAGCCAGGGAAAGAGGAACAGGGCCGTCATGTGCAGTCTCAGCTTCAGCCTCAGTCAGATCTGCCCCGACGGCGCACTGTGACGCTATACAACCCCCGGAATGCGTCTCTGTTCAAGCTGTCACGACTGCGTGTGCCCCGCTATCGTCAGTTTCTGTCCACCTGCTCGCTGGCCGTCCTGATCGCTCTCTTCCTTGCCGTCTTGGTGCAGCGCTCCAGCCGCATCACCACCCTCGAGCTGATCTTCTGGTTCTGGAGCGCCGGCTTCATGCTGGACGAGCTGGTCGGCTTCACCGAGCAGGGCTTTTCGCTCTACATCATGAGCTTCTGGAACATCTTCGACCTCGGCATTCTTCTGCTGCTCATCTTCTACTACTCCCTCCGTGTCTGTGGTGTCTTTCTCGCCGATGCCCAGCGATGGAACGACAACGCCTACGACATACTCGCCGCCAACGCCATCTTGCTGCTGCCTCGCATCTTCAGCGTCTTGGACCATTACCAGTACTTTTCGCAGCTACTCATAGCCTTCCGGCTCATGGCCGTGGACTTGGCCGCCGTATTTGTGCTCATCATAGTCGCCTGTTCTGGCTTCTTTGTCTTTTTCACGCTTTCCCACAACGACACCGCTGATCCCAGCGAGGTCGCGTACAAGATATTTCAGATCATTATGGGCTTCACGCCAGCGGCTTGGGAAGTGTAAGCTACTCAGTCTCTACCCATTTCTTGGTAAAGCTCGCACTGACAGTCATATGCAGCTGGGTCACCTACAACTTCCTCGGCAAAGTCATTATGGGCTTTTTCCTCATTCTCTGCCATTTCGTTATTGTGTATGTGGCCTCCCACGCGGGAAACTGCCGTTCTGGGAAATGTAGGCTGACTCTTGCTTCCCAACAGCACAATCCTCGTCACAGTCTTGTCCAACTCGTTTATGGAAATTGCGTCAAACGCAAACGAAGAGCATCAGTACGATCCACTACTGAAGCCTTGCCTGAGTATATGGGACATGCAAACTGACAGGCGCAGATTTCTCTTCGCAATCAATACCATCTCTATGGTAAAAAACGACGCGCTTTTCTCCTACGTTGCGCCAACCAATATATTTGCATGGATGATGATGCCCTTGCGCTACTGCATGCCTCTGCCCCATTTTGTGGCGCTCAACCGGCTCGTCATCAAAATTACGCACTTCCCCCTGCTCTTCGGCATCTTCTTCTACGAAAAGTTCGTTCTAGCGCCGTTCATGTACGAGCCTACTGATCTAGTTGAGGACTCGAATCGGGCAAGACAGCGTATCATTTCATTTGCCGACCCGGGAGGTCGTGTCGCCCTCTTCAGTCCCAGCATTCGCCTTCGCGAGGAATCCGTTGTTGGGTATCAGAAGGACCGTGCTCTCGATGAAGTATTCCGGCGGACTCCCGACATCGCTAGCCTGCGGACACATAGGCGTAACGAACGACGCAAGACGCAGACGGCCGTGCGCAACTGGATGGATCACAATGACGGACTCACCGTTTCGAACTATTCGACCCTAGATAGCATCAACATACAGCGGGAGAGGGGCCCGCACAGATTCCGACACATTTCAGAGGTCCGCTCAGCAGCAAGTGATCCTGCTGATCTCATGTCGCTGTCTGCCTTCCACGTCCCGAGAGAGGTGAACAGCGAAGAACGACTGCGCGGGCCCTTTGATATCGCTTTCAAAGATCATACCACAGACGCTGAGGGCGATGACGAGCTGGTAACCAATGATGAGGATGAAGACAACACGACAAATGCAGGCGACATGGGTGGCACGCCTGTCCGAAATCAGACAGAGACAGAAGACGAAGACAGCGGCGATAGCGACGAAGTAGACGGTGCATTGATTCCTACACCAATAGCATCCCGTTTCCGAGATATGGCAGCTCGATCTCCCGCGTCTACAGAGGGTTCTGGGCATGAGGACAAGACGAACGAAGCAAGACGCCGGGACGAGATGATGTCTTCTCCTCCCAGGCCCAGCTCCTCTCGCAAAGCACTGCATTCTCGGGCTATCTCTACTAATACGATTTTGTTTAAACCACCTTCGGTCCATTCGGGAGCCGAAAACGCCGTCACGCCTCAGTCACCAAAGATGGTTTCTCCCCCATCACCGAGTCCGGCTATGCAGTCCCGATCTCGTCCCCGGACTGCAGGCACTTCGGGAGCATCCTCTCCAGCCCAAAAATCATCAAGGCGGTCTGTTCATCAATCAAGCTGGCCGCAGCCGATTGGCCCGCCCAAGGATCAGACGAAGCCGTCCTTGAGTCGGGCCACGGGCACTTTCTCGAGTATGCCGCAGCTTGATACACCCGTTCGCCGGGCACAGCGGAGGATGTCATCGATCGACGCCAGCTTAGAGGTGTCTTCGGATCTGGCGTCTGCGATTGGCGCCCCACTAGCCGACGACGCTGCCTTTGCTACGCTGTCGGGCAGCTTTACCTCGCAGCTGGCATTGGCACATGCGATTAATGCGCGGACGAACGGGGAGAACGACCGCGATCGTGACCGCATGAGCCGACTGGTGCTGGCCAGGATGAAGACGCTGGAAGAGAGCTTCACCGACGTCGTGCGCGAGCTGCGTTCACTACAGAAACAGCAACTGCAGCACCATCAGACGATGAGCGAGAAGTCGGGCAGCAGTGTGCCCACTTCCGATATAGAATATGCCACTGCCGCCCGCGAGCACGGAGGTGGTGCCAGGAGCAGCGGGTCCCGCACTCCGGCGGACCAAATCTTGATGATGACGGAGATAGCGCCAGCGCCAAGCAGTGGCAATGCTCGCAGGCGTGTGGCAGGAAGTGGCAGCAGCGGCAGCGACAGCAGAAGCCGGCTGGGCACAGCCGGGCCTGGAAAGAAGGCGAAAGGCAAGGAGGTGGAGCGGCCTGTTATTGATGAGATCGGCGAGTACGAAAGTTTTTCCAGATCAGGTTGATGTTGCTCATTGCATTGTTTATACAATATTTTTTTTGTTGCTGTTTTACTTTCTGTCTGTTCTTTTCCTGGTGGTTTTCTGTTTTCTGGCTGGGGCTTCTGGGATTGGTTATGAGATGCTTGGTCCCAGTACAAGCACAAATCAGCTATTGCATTGGGTTTGGGCGCTTAGGTCAAGGCTTGCATGTAAGATATCGGTAGTTGCGTGCTTTGTATTAGTGGTGCCTTTTCGGCCGTTTGCATGGTTTAAGTTACTTCCCGCTAGTACATTCACTTTCGCAGGTATGTTAGATGAACTGTTGCTATATCTCTACTCTGGCTTTCGTCTTGGTGAAAGCGGTCGCAGGGAGAAAAGTTTCTTCAACACCAGTACTCGATTGGGCTCGTGAATTCTCACAGCATCCTTATCTGTAGGTCCACATGCCGTCTTCATTTGCCGCCTCCACTACGGCCAACGCTGACGTAGAGGTTGCCGATTATGTGCGCTGCTCATTGGCTCACAGAGCATTGGCCTTACCAGACCAACACCGACTGCGGTGGCTTGGGTGGCCATGGTGACAGTGCGGAGACGACTGAGATCGGTTTCATCGACGGCGTGCGGTCTTGAAAGTACTCAATGAGTTCGTACCTAGGCCAGTGACATGGCGAGAGATATTACGTATTTGTCATGGGGCAGGAAATGGAACAAACAGTTGCTATAGAGGAACAAACGTACGGAGTAGAGATGAGCTGTGGTGGACCCGAGGTCCCACCTATCCGCCCTTCTCATGCTTGTAGACACAGGGAAACAGTCGGTTCCTCATGCATTGGGGTTCGTAATCGCATACCCTCTGTGCAGATATTGCATTACCAGGAAGCAACTTGGGCAGGACGAAGGACAAAGACAACTGTCCGGCTCCATTAGAGCCCCGCTTCTAAAAAGTGGAGGCTTACTGGTGGTGCTACTGTGTTATAGCGGCATGAACACGCTATTTTAGAGATACTCCGTGCAACGCCTTGCGAAGATCTCCAGTGGTGGTTTGGCGGGGTTTCCTATCGATAACCACGACTCCTGTGAGCAAGCCGGAAGTGTCTGTTTTCTCCTCGCTGAGAAATGTATCGTCGAACTTTGATGATCTTAAGCCGGAAAAGGGAGATCAAGACAATTCAGTGATAGGTCTCGTTCTGGAGCGTCAAGAAGAGGTATGTTGATTGCAGATGGGCTAGCCGCTGCGTCCGGCAGTTAACGCTAGTTTGCCGATCTGCCTTGCGCAGCTATTGCGCAGTGAATATGCATGCTTCGTCCAATGACCGAGTCATTCGGGCACTGCTATAATATACCGGGCGAGAGCAGATCAGCAGTTATCACAAAATGCGGTTCTTACTTTAACAACTACTTTTTCATCTCCGTTTCCCCGTCTCACTACCGCCCTTGCTATATAATCAAACCTTCCAGGCCAAACTGTAGATAGTACGGCACAAACCAAGCTGTCATGGTGAGTGAAAGCTATTTGTCTTTCTTCCTGGCAAGGCTGGCAGCAACGCTCAACTCTCATTCTCTAGGCTGCCGCGGAAACAAACGACGGCCTTCCACGCATGAGTGATCCTTTACTCGAAAAGCGCAATTGTGCTATACAGCGCCATAATCAAGACATCACACACATCATTGCTGCCCAGGTCGAGTTTGCCAGCCTTTTCTCCGAAGCCGAGGCCGACACGATCATCTGGCTGCAACTATCTCCGGCAATCAGCAAGCTTACCTGCGATGGCCTCTGCTACCCGCAGGAATGGTTGCTGCGCTACAGCTCCGCCACCCTTCGATCTAGTGGCTGCGACAAGTTCGTCAAGCTGCTGGGTAACGAGCGATACCAACGGAAAACCCTCAACAGCCTACGCTCCAGCGGCCATGACTTACCGGACGGCATACGATATGTGCTCGATCTTGGGCCGTCATCGGACTTTGACCTGCGCTCACAACATCTCGAGGCCCTGACCTTGCCAAAGGGCATCGTGCAATACAGCATGTTGACATACCTGACGAATAAGCATCAAGTGCCAAGCGCCGTGGCAGGCGGCCATGACGATGCCTGCCGTTGCTTCGAGATGCGGCTGGACAGGAGGAAGAAGACTGCACCTGCTGCTGCACCTGCTGGCGATATGATGAGCCAGGTTGGGAGTGAAACCAAAGAGCCGGATATCTTGGACTCGAGAAACTGTATATGGGATCTGCCACTTGCAGCGGAGTTCCGCATCGACGATTACTGCGAGGTGCGCCATGTAGCCAACGTCATCCGTCTCTTGCTGGTGCTGGCCGAACGTCCGCTGCTGCTCGACTCTGCCGCACGAGTGTATACGATCTGCGGACTGGCCAAGCTCTTTGGCGCCAACGGAAACACCAGCAGCCTGAGCCGGCTGCGATCGCTGGTGCACGAGTGGTTTCTCACCAAAGGAAACACCATCATCATTGACACGCTTCCCGAGGAGTGCTTCCGCATGGCATGGAACATCAAGCTGCCGAACGTGACGCGGGCTTCTTACCGTATTCTCGTGGCCGAGCGGGCCTTGTGTGATGCCAGTGACAGCAGCCAGCCACGCACATACCAGCGCCAGCGGACGCCGTTTGGCCGCGAGCTGTCCGGGCTGGACGATGACCTCGAGACGCTGCTGGACCATGCCAGCGAAGCGTTGACTCGCCGCATCGGCGAGCTCCGAGCGAAGCTGCAGTCGCCTGACAAGCTCGATCTCCTGGACGTGCCGCAGTACCACCGGCTGCGGACCATCGAGCGTGCGGTTGCAGAGGCCGTGCCGCAGACGAGAGAGATAAGAGCCGCTTCGACAGCGATCCAGAGGCTTGCAGACACATACGAAACCATCCTCCGGACTTCGCTGTTACATGGACGGCTTGGCAGTCTGTTGCGGAACGGCAAAAGCTGTCTCTACACTGGGGCTCTGGAGGTGTACGTGAGTCAGAAGGCGCGTGAATACAAGTCCTTTGCCCACGTGTACGAAGGCCTCTCGGAGAAGCAAAAGCTGCTCACGGGGGTGCGTTGGAGAGTGATCGGCAACGGCATGGCGCGCAGTCTCCGCGGTGCTGCGACGTATCTCATGGACGGCATGGCAAAAGACGCGAACACTGCATTGCGCAGGGCGCTGGTCATGGACGAAGGCAGGGCCGATCAGGTGATCACGAACCAGCTGGCGATCCTTGGTGTGACCATAAGAGGACCCTATTCCACATTCCAGCCGCAGGAGCCGTTTCAGCTGGAAGTCATCCGCAATGAGCTGCGCAGCGAGCGCATGATCAAGACGTTTTCGCACCTGTACGACCGATACAGCTTCGTGCCGGAGTTTGAGCTCGCCGAGGACAACCCGTCGCCACACCTGCTTCTGGGCCTGTCCGAGAACGAGTTCCGCTTTCTGCCGTTGTGGGCAGGCGGACAAGACGACGGCAGCGGCGGCGTGTTCCAGGACGAGTTGCCGATGGCCCAGCTCGGGCCCATCGGCCCTGGGCCTGCATACCACACGGGCACGACGCAGGTGGGCACAACGGCCGACACGATGAGCACGGCGACGCTGTCGGTAGGCGAGCTCGACGCCGCCACCGACGATGCGTCCGAGCTGAAGACCGAACACACGGATTCCAGTTTTGTTCTGGTGCAAGGCGTCAGCAGGCTGGCAGTGCAAAGCGAGTATAGGACGACCAGCAGCCACGAGAGTCGTGCTGCCCACGATGGCATCTCGACCATCTCAGGGGAGCCCAGCGCGATGACACTGGATGACTCGACATGCGGATCGTCACTGGTTGATGTTGCTGAGTCAGCCGACGACGACGAGAGCGATTACGTATACGACTTCGAGGACGATGAAGAAGGATTTGAAAGCTTTGACGAGGATGGGTACGACATGGATGTGCAGTCAGACGTCACAGTGGTGCAGTACCACGACACTGCTATGGGAGACTTTGAGGGGCCGTCTTCGGCAGCAAAGATCGGCTTTGTGGAAGAGCCAGACGTGCTGGTGGGGGAAATGTAATTCAGAGTGTGTTTCTAGGAAGTTTGCAGCAGTGCTGCTTGAATTAACGAGTTAATAATAGCCCGTGTTACTGTTCGCGCAAACGATAGAAAGAGCAAACGATGTAGGCAGGCGCCACAAATGACATAAGATCACATGACCAACAGAGCGAACGAAAAAACAGGCAACTGTGAGAATATGCAAACGCGAGAATCCATGTATTAAGTTCCTGCTCAACCGCGGTTCAACGTGTTGCCAGAGCCGCGCGGGTTTGCCTCAGTGAACTCGTCCCAGGCGCGTGCCTTGTAGGTCTCGGCATCTGCCTTTTCGTAATTGTCTTCGTCGGGTTCGGCCGGCAATCCGCTGCTGGGCCCACCGCCCTCGATGATACCACCACGCCGGCGCTCTTCTTCGAGGTAATCGTCGATCGACATGGTGGGGAGGTTGTGTCCCGGCCGGAAGACGGCCTTGGCCATCTCGGCGCGGCTGCCCATGATGGTGAACGGCTGGCGCGGCTTGCCGTCGGGCGTCAGAAGCGGGCCTGCGCCCTGGGCTCCAGCCCACGTCGGCGAGCTGCCAAAGGAGCTCTGCAGTCGGCGCAGCGTTGACGCTGCCGCGGCCGCGTCGATCTGTTCCAGGCGGTCGGTGTAAAAGGAAGAGCTCGGTCCCGGCTGCCTCTGGCGATTGTCGCCGAGACCGCCCATCAAGCTGCTGCTGCTGCTGCTGCTGTTGGCTGCACCGTCGGAGAGCGAGATGTGTGCCTGTGCCAGCAGCTCGTCCTCGCGGTTGAGGCTCTCGAGGCTCTGAAAGGCCATGTGGGCGCAGTAGGCCAGCTGGGCCAGGTACAGCTCGCGGGCCACCTCGTCGTCCTCGTCGCCCTCGTCCTCGCTTTCGTCTTCCAGAGCCTGGTCGACAGCCTGTGTCGGTGGGGCGTCTCCCATGATGTCGTCGTCGTTTTCGCCGTCGCGATCCCGGATCAGCTGTCGCTGTCGTCGTCGCCGTGCGCGACGCTCCTGCTGCCGCTGCCGCAACACGTCCAGCTTCGCGCGCAGTGCCTTCTCGGCCTGGAAGTTGGCAATCTTGGCATTGCGACGGGCAGCCGGATCCATCAGCGCGGCAGCCGGGCCCATGCCGGTTGTCGCCGTTCTCGCCACGCCGCCACCGCTGCCACCACCGCCAACAGTGCTGAAGTGTGTCGGGTCGTCGGCGTACGTCTGCAGCAGCGTCGCGTACGGCGCTGCCAGCAGGCCGTAGCCGTCCAGCAGGTGCAGGAAGCGCTCGTGGGCCTCGCGGGCCCGCCGCAGCACTAGCCGTCGCTCGGCCGGCGTTCCCGGATTCGGCGGCGGCAGGCGCTGCACCATCTCGGCCACGCGATAGGGCACCAGCAGATATGGCAGATGGGCCGTGGCCACGTCGTCGGCACCCTCGTTGCTGCTGAACAGTGCCAGTGCCTCGATGCGTGCGCTGCAGTCTTCGTACGCCGCCAGCGCTGCCATCACCGCGTCGCCATAGCTCCCGTAGCCACCATTGCTGTTGCTGCTGCCGCCGCCAAAGCTAAAGGTCCCTCGCTCAATGGCCTCGCGCTGCCGGTCTGCCGCCGCACATGCTGCTCGCAGCGTCTGCGGCCGCTCGGTCTCCTGATCTCGGCCTCCACGGTTGTCCATCTGTGGGGCTGAGTGAGGGGAGAGAGAGAGAGGAGTGTGTGTGTGTGTGCGCTGTCTCGTCTTTCGGGTGTGGGGGGTTGCTCGCTGGTGTGTACACTAAAAAACGCTGGGAAAATTCGAGGTTGGAAACGATGCTCTTCCTCGACGTGCTTCTTCCAGCTGCGCCCGGTTGCTTCTTATGCGAGTGTTCTCGTGCGTGCGCGGTTTTGGTGTTGCCACAGATCGCGTGAGGGTCGGAACGACGTCCGAAAAAATGTCACCTGAAAATGAAAAACGGCACACATGACGTAGCGCAGCAGCCTTGGGTACAGAGCTATGGGCGCCTCGGGCTCCCAAATGTCTGACTAAGCCGACTTCTAGGCTAAAAAGAGGCATGTCTACTTTGACAGCGGAAATGGCGCTCGCATGTTTCTGCGACTGGGGCATCATTCGTTTCTTGGCCGTATTTCCCGTATTGATTTATCATGATGCACCGTCAGAAGCTTGTCTGTATTCGGTAGCCGCATTGAAGCTTACCTCAATGTCACACCTCAATGGGATCCGTGCCCCTTCGTAAAGGTGGCACATGACAAAGGGAGAGCAAGGACAGGATATCCCCAAATACAAACGGCAGGTGCATCCCTTGCCTGTTCCTCGTACGGGTTAATCTACCGCCTTTCAGACATCAATTGAATCTCCACCTTTTTTATAGCTTCACAACTTCATCACAAAATATATCCTAGACGTGAGAGCAAGCTCAAACGCTTGCTACAGAAACCTCGTCTGTAAACATGATTTCTCTGCAAGATCAGCTTCCCAGTAATATCGGCCCAGGAATGGAACCAGACATGTCAATGCTAAGCAGCGAGCCTCCCGTAGGCGAATCTATGCGCTTGCTGTCCTCTCTTGTCTTGGATAATACCAATGATGAAGCCGCGAGGGATGAGCCATTGAGAGAGGATGTTTACGACGATCATCTAGAAGACTCTGACGAAGATGGCATGCCACTTGAAAATACCGGCAGCAGTAACAATCTGAACTTGTCACAGAAACATCGCTCAGACAAAGATGCATTTGAATCCTGGCTGGCTCAGAACAGAGTGAGCATCACCGACTCCAGAGCTGACGAGACTGTCCTACGCGACGAGGACAAGACCACAGCCTCGCTTGTTCGCGAGTTCGAAGCTTCCAAAATCATAGAAAGTCCGCGAGATTACCAGGTAGAGCTCTTCGAAAAGGCGAAACAAAAAAACGTCATCGCTGTCCTTGACACAGGTGCGTATTCTATAGTCAAACCACCGATTCGATCATTCTTATGAGTGTGCAGATATTGATTCAATCGCTACCATAGGTTCCGGCAAGACACTTATAGCTGCTCTCCTTCTGCGGCACATGATCGACAAGGAGCTGGAAGATCGCTCCCAAGGAAAACCGGCCCGCCTGTCTTTCTTCCTCGTTGACAAAGTTGCTCTTGTTTTCCAACAGCATGCCGTGCTAGAATGCAACTTGAGCCACTCTGTGGCCAAGTTCTCCGGCGACAAGGTCGATTTGCGATGGACATCCAAGTCTTTCTGGGACGACGTCCTCCGCGATAACATGGCCATTGTCTGCACGGCGGACATTCTACTGAAATGTCTCCACCACTCGTATGTTTGCATGGAACAGATAAACCTCCTGATATTTGACGAGGCGCACCACACAAAGAAGAATCATGCATATGCTCGAATAATCAAGGACTTTTACGCGCACGAATGTCCAAGCAACCGCCCAAAAATCTTTGGAATGACCGCGTCCCCTGTGGATGCTCGAACAAACATTGCACAAGCTGCAGAAGAGCTCGAGGCCTTACTTCACAGCGAGATAGCCACCGTGTCAAACGACTTGCTGCTTCATTCTGTCGCGAAGCCCAAAAAGGAATGGGTTCTTCACTATCATGTCTCTCTCAGACCCCCATTGACCGAGCTGACCGAAAAACTTGGACGACTGGTTGGGGACCACCGGTTGTTTGCCAAAAACTTCCACTTCGCTCGCGACGGCCTCATTTACCTCGGGCCCTGGCTTGTAGACCGCTTCTGGCAACTCATATTCCGTGCAGAAGAGCTTGCAAAGCAAGAAGCCAAGGCCGAAATAGATAGCTTGCCGTACAGCACAGCGCTAGGTCGGCTTTCTGGAGCCAGGGAAATAGACACGAGCGAACCGGCTTTGCCCAAGGGCCTTGGGCAAGAATCGGCCACAAATAGCACCATTGTTGCTGCTGTCAGAGAGGCAAGCCGCTTAGTTCAAGAATATGCTTTCATAATGCCGTCCAAGCAGATGTTGTCCAACAAAGTTCGGCGACTACACGAAACCCTTTCCGACGAGTACTCCAAACTTGATGGAAGAAAGACCAGGTGCATTGTTTTCGTTGACCAGAGGTATACCGCCATTCTGTTGGCAGATCTTCTTACCACTGAAAAAATGAAGATACCACATCTTCTCCCAGATGTTCTAGTAGGTTCTGCTTTACGTTTTTTGTTGCTGCCCAAGAGATGTGTGCCGTTGACACTTTTACTTAGATTGGCGGAGGATCAAGAGACATGGGAAGAAACTCTTTTCGGACGCAAGTATTGACCATTTCCAAATTCAAACAAGGCCTGGTCAACTGCCTGTTTGCCACATCCATTGCCGAGGAGGGTCTGGACATTCCTGATTGCAACCTGATTATCCGGTTCGATCTTTATCGCACCATGATACAGTATATTCAATCCAGGGGCCGAGCACGACACCACGAATCGACATATGTGCACATGGCCGAACTGGGAAATCTAGAACACAGCCGCCTGCTTTCCGAAAACAAAGCGAGCGAGAACAAGATGCGAGACTTCTGCAATGAGCTTCCCGAGGACCGAAAACTCAAAGGCAATGATTTCAACATGGACTATTTTCTACGAAAAGAGACCGACCAACAGTCTTTCCAAGTTCCCTCTACAAAAGCAAGACTGACGTACCGTTCGAGCCTTGTCATTCTCACCCAGTACGTTGATTTGCTTCCACATTCGTCAGAAGGCATCATCAGGGCGGAGTACTCCGTTTTTTACACGGCGAAAGGCTTTGTCTGTGAAGTCTCTTTGCCTCCGTCGTCGCCCATCCGCCATGCAACCGGCCGGCCACACCAGCGGAAGCAAATCGCCAAATGCGCTGCTGCATTTGCCATGTGCCTTCGTCTATACGAGAAGAAATATCTCGACAAGCACTTGAAACCGATCTTCGCCTCGAGGTTACCAGTCATGCGAAACGCCCGGCTGGCAATCAGCTCCAAGAAGCAGGAAAAATATAAAATGCGCACAAAGCCAAAGGTTTGGCTCTTCCTCGGGACACCAACTCAGCTGTTCGCTACTATTCTGCGCCTTAGATCTCCTGAGGCTATGTATCGCCCATCTCGACCACTGGTTTTGCTCACTAGAGGGCCTGTGCCTCGCATACCAAAACTACCTCTTTTCTTTGGAGAGAAGCGCGCCTCGCTTGCCGAATGTGTGCCACTCGATGACCCTCTGATCCCAACGGCTGCTGAACTGGACAGCTTGGCGGCTTACACTCTGAAATTATTTGACGACGTCTTCAGCAAATGGTACAAGGGAACTGCTGCTGATTTTCCCTACTTGATTGCTCCTTGTTCGGTGACTCGACATGGTTTTATACTCGATGAGAAGGCGCCCACACGATCAATACTTGACTGGGCCGGCATAAATGCTGTCAGCCAGGCAACAGACAATCCTTATACTGGGAACGAGCCAGATGCATTTTTTACCAACAAGTTTGTTTCTGACCCTTTTGATGGCTCTCGAAAATTTTACATGCGCCATGTTCGTCGAGACTTGAAGCCGCTTGACCCTGTTCCAGAAGGGGTTCCTCATCCAAAGCACAGAATGTGGAACCGCAACGGAACCAAGCATGATATCTTGAACTACAGTGTGAGCCTGTGGTCAAAAGCGAGAAGCAAAATGTCGATCAAAGAAAACCAACCGGTTGTGGAAGCCGAAATTATTACGAATAGGCGCAATCTTCTGGATGACCGAGTTCACTTAGACAACCCGGAGCAGAAAATATGCTTCTTGGTTCTCGAAACCCTCAAGATCTCCCCTGTGAGTTGGCCTTGCCACTTTTACTGTCCCAACCCTGTTATTCACTTTTCCCCACAGCTGCCTGCCGAAATTGTGGCAATGGCGTTCAACATTCCTGTCATCATCCATCGTATCGAATCGACCCTTATTGCGCTTGAGGCAACAAGCGTGATTGGAATACCACGCATCCGCCCCGAACTGGCGCTTGAGGCAGTCACCAAAGATTGTGACAACCCGGATGCCCAAGATGAAACCCCTCTCAATTTTCAGGCCGGCATGGGCAGGAATTACGAGCGACTGGAGCTTCTCGGGGACTCTTTTTTGAAGTTGGCCACAAGTATTGCGTTATTTACGCTTGTTCCTGACAAAGACGAATTTGAGTACCACGTCCAGCGCATGTGCATGATATGCAACCGAAACCTATTTAACAACGCACTTGATATGAAGCTAGAGGAATACATCCGATCCAGAGAATTCGACCGCACCTGGTACCCTCCGACGATTGAAGAAGCCGGAAAGTCTACAGATAACGACAACTACTCAGACAACACCCCTGCGCCTCCTTCACAAAACGGGTTGGTACTTCAGAAGGGTAAACGGACACAGTTGCCTACCCACCATCCACTCGGCGACAAAACCATTGCGGACGTATGCGAGGCCATGATTGGGGCGGCCTATCTCACGACTTACGAAGAGCGGAACTTTGACTTGGCTGTACAGGCCGTTTCTGCTGTAGTAAAAAGCAAACTGCATCCGATGCAGTCATATGCTGAGTATTATACTGCATACAAGCCACCCGGCTGGCAATTGTGTCCTTCGACCGCAGCACAGCTGCATATGGCGGTATCCATTGCAAAGGATCTTGGCTACCAGTTCAGGTTCCCACGACTGTTAAGAAGTGCTTTCACTCATCCCTCTTATCCACGAATATATGAGAATCTTCCGAGCTACCAGCGGCTCGAGTTTTTGGGCGATGCCCTGCTCGATATGGCCATCGTCGACTATCTCTTTCACAAGTTTTCCAACAAGGATCCGCAGTGGCTCACGGAACACAAGATGGCCATGGTATCGAACCAGTTTCTGGCCTTTCTCAGTGTGTCGTTGGGGTTTCACCGGCACATTCTATCGTTTTCGGGAGAGATGCGGAAGCAGATACTAGAGTATGTCACCAAGGTGGAGGAAGAGCGCGTTCGAGCAGAGTCCGAGGCGGTAGAGGCGGGAAGGCCAGCCAGTGAGTTTGCCCGTGACTACTGGGTGCATGTCACACATCCGCCCAAGGCGCTTGCAGATGTTCTGGAGGCGTATGTCGGAGCACTCTTCGTGGATTCTGAGTACGACTACCATGGTACCGTGCTGAAATTCTTCAACACCCATGTGCAACCATACTTCAAAGACATGAGCCTCTACGACACGTTTGCCAACAAGCACCCTGTCACGTTTGCGGTTAAGATGCTCAGCCAGCGTTTTGGCTGCCGCGACTGGCGAGTCATTGTGCAAGAAATACCGGATACCGAGGGCGAAGGATGCGTCACGTTTGCCACAAAAGTAGCGGCCGGATTTCTCGTGCACGGCCAGGTCGTCGGCCATGGGATTGCAGAAAGCGGTCGCTATGCCAAGATTGGAGCAGCTAAGAAGGCGCTGGCTAAGTTTAGTACCCTCAGCATATCAGCATTTCAGACCTTGACGGGCTGTCAGTGCAGTTCCGAGCCCGAGGCGGTAATTGAGACCGACGAAGAACTTTCGACTGCTATTTGATACCTATAACAATTGTCGGCAGGCATACGATTGGTTTAGCTTTCGAGGGCTAAAAGGCCACACCAGTTCAAGGACAAGAGAAACAATTGAAGTATCAATTTGACGTGTGATAAGCTCCGGTATATATGGCAAATAAACCCCTTTCGCTTTAGGTCAAGAAAATGCCTGCTAGACGCCTATATCTGTCTTGTTGTAGTGGGACTTCTAATCCCAAAATCCCTAATGCTCTCAAGGAGGTAACAACAGGGCCAAATCTCTCCCAAACTCCCTAATTCAAAAAGACGACCGTTCGCTAAGTATACCCAGGGGTACCTGCCTTCACTATCCTCGTACGGGATGTACCTATGACTAAAAAACACGAAAGGGGGAAATGCAGAAGACAAGGAAATAAACATCAAGTGCTAACTGGCATAGACTTGGGCTTCTTCAACGCCCGAAGACATACTGGGAAATGCTTCGCGAATCTGGTCGATATCGGCGTCTTCCCTGTCTGCTGCACATGGGGCGTCATCTGCACTTTTCTCGTCATCGCTGAGCTCAGCTTCATTGTGGCGCGAATCTTCGCCATCATCACTTCCAGCAACCGTGCTGTCAGAAGCGATGGTTTTGAGGAGGTCATAAACATGGCTCTCTGATGCCATGCTGACGATTGAGGCTCGATGTTCCGACTTGACCTCCTTGCGTAGACGATCAGCAGAGACGCCATCGGATTTTTCAATGTTCTCTTCCTCAATAGTTTCATCGCCCATGTTGCTTGCCAGACGATGTAAGCCATAGTAGATAGCGTGGGGGCGATGTTTGCGACTGCTAGTAGTGTGCGTCAAGCCACCGATATAGTCTGGATTAGACGCAGTGGCACGCTTTGTTTCCGAGCCGCTGGCTGGACTATGCCTTCTTGACGACCGCGGCCTATGTGTCTGGAAAGGCCCCGCGTGAGACAGTATATCGCTGCTTATCGACTGTTCGTACTCTCTCTCTACCACCGGCGCGATATTGTAGGCGTGCTGCAAATCTTCGCAAGACGAAAACACACTCAGACGTGGCTTGCGTAATTTGACCACAGGCGCTGGGGCTGCAAGCATATCATCCAGCCCCGGAAGCTGTTGGCCATCGACGCCGTACCCATCGTCGAAAAGAAGGTCTTCTTCGTCCCCAGTTTGATGCCTTTGCAACCCAACAAAGGAGTCATGGTCGTCGTCTGAGACATCACCATCGGTGTTAAAAGCCGGTAACATCATTGTGGATGAGCCGCCTTCTTGGTCTCCAGCTTCTTCCGCTCCCGTCTTGGCAGGTTGGCCTCCCATTCCAATACTAACAGAGCTGAGGCTCGAGCTTAGTACGGAGGAAAGTGCAATACTGCCAAAGTCAACCGAAGTGTCTGCAGTGTGATATGACAGTGGGCCGGCAAAAAGACCGGAGCTTGAGCTGGACATAGTGGGTGTAGTTGATGAAGTCGATCCACGGCGGATCGAACTCGACCTCACGGGCACAGGTCCCAAAAACTGTCGCGATAAAGGAGGGGTTGAAAGGCCTCCACGACTCCGAGGGTAGTCAAAATCATGGCTGCAGCTGCCTGGTCGACTTGTTCTGATAGCTTGAAATGGTCAGCAAGCAGAAAGCGCTGATTTAGTGGGATAGGAGTCTGGAGCGCACATACAGGGCGATGGTGCAGATACATTGTTTTCAGCCACGATATCACGAGGCCAACTTTCTTTGAAGTGTCGTGTCCTCTCTTTGAGATGATGAGGCAAATTAGAAAGGTCGGGCACAGTGTTGTGGTGCGCATTCAACGATAGAGGGGCCTTGATGGATTGTATGCTGTTCCTTCTTGAATTGTGTCTGCTGGGGAATGTGAAAGTCGGACTTGTCATAGCCGCAGATAGGCGGAATGACGTCGGTTGGGGAGACAGAATGGGCTGATTGCTAACACGAATTTGTGGGAGAGGCTCTTCATCTTCGTCAGCTTCGGATGAAGACGAGTCCCAGGCAGAAAGCAACCCAGGCACTTCTAGAGTCCCAAGCGCCGTGCCGCGGCCACTGTCATAAGTGCTTCCCTGGAGAAAGCTGTGCCGCCGTGCACGTCCTTCTGTGAGCTGGAAAGCGCTGAAGGAGCTCGTGAGGCTTGACGACTGGAGAGCACTTAGAGAGTTGCGCTTTGAAGATCGGCCTCTAGATATCGCAACCGGTGATGTAGGCTGGCATCTTCCAAGCATATCATCGTGTGCCAGGTTGAGCTTTTGTGGTACTTCTTTCACGACACAGTAAGGATGGGTGCCCTCGTCCGCCTCGTCGAGTGATGCTCTAGGTGTAGAAAAAGCACGAAGAGGGGCTGTAATTCGGCTGGGTGGTCTTGCAAGGCATGCATAGAAGTCCTGCACCGGCCGCGAGTCGAGATTATGGCCATTGATGCCAATGTTCCGGTCTGCGACATCCTCGCCATAGTCACGAATTCCGGAGGCATTTATGCGGCCGTAAAAGCTCGCAGGGCTAAGCTCTGACTGAGCATCGAGAACGTCAATATGACTTCTAAATCCATTGATTGAGCCAACCCGGTAGTTGGTAGAAATCGACGCATTTCGGCTGGCGTGAGTTTTTGTGATAGGTCCTGATCGATCTAGTTTGAACAAGCTCAGTGTTGAGCCCCTTAAAGACAACCCGGAGTGTGTGTTGCCCTTCGAATAGCCGTGTTCGTGGAACCTTCCGTCCTGCCGGCTGCTGGATCTGGTCGTTGCTGGCTTGTGTTGGATCTCGTCTCGGTATGTAAGGACAACAGGGGCTGGTGCCCCGTCATTTTCGGCAGATACAATTCGGATGACTTGCAGCTGGTTAGCATGCAATGACAATGAAATAATTGGGATTGCGAGCTTTTGGGAGCTTTTGGGAACTCTGCCTCCTCTTAAGACGATGCACACACTTCTGACTGGTGAACGGGATGAGATATCCCGCTCGTATAGCGGCGCTCTCAGCCTTTGCTGCTTCTTTTCTGGGTTTAACTTTTTCGATATCAAGCTCATGAGGCCCATATTGGCGGTCGATGACCTGCCATAGGCGGCAGGGCGGAAAGAAGCAGTCTGTCGAACTGCTAGTCGAAAGGTCTAATGCTACTTTAGTAGAATAAAAGCTGAAATGCCCAAGGTCCAGAATGAGGAACAAGTCGAAGTGGAGGTTTTAGCAAACGGCGAAGCTGTCCCCAGAATCGACATACGGATAGCCAGAGAAGTCAGGCGTATGCCGGGGTGTAGCTATTTCAAGCGCGAGTTAGGATTGATAAAATAGATAGCAATCAAGACTTGCTTGAAGTGCCGGAAGCAAATATATAAGGTCAAAGGAAGGAAAATATGGGAATACTGGAACCAGAGGCGGGTCCTGCTCCGTAATTATTGGATCCAAACTTTGGACGTACAAGTTGAGTACCGGACGGTTGGGGGACGGCTAAGCATGGGGCCTAGACGTTGGCTTGAGCCAGCTCTGGTTGTATCTTACATTCTTCAGCTCAACAGTGGGCAGAAAACGCTAGTAGTAGGTTCTGACAGCAAGTGTACTCACTCGCACATAGCAAGGAAAAAGAAGCTCAAACAAAGAGTGCATTGGGGATGGTGTGAGTGGGTTCAGGGGGGTGGACTCCGTGTTCGTACTCCAGTGGCTGTTTGCAGGGAACCTGTCTGGGTTGGTACTCCGTAGAGAGTGAGGAAAGTGGGCCGCAAGCTGGTAGTGAGAAGACGATGTGATCGTATATCCTGTCATCCCGCATGTCTGACCTCTCCGTCTGTAGGGAGCAAATGCCTGTCTAGCCGCTTGCAATCAGCGATAAATAGCCCGCGAGCAGATCTTGGGGTACTAAAAGGGTCTCAATCTCACAGTCGAAAAAGGAAGATGGCTTGTCAAGTATGTGATCGGTTCCCAGTCCTGCAAATCTTCCTTCGGGTAGACGAAAAACCCTGGTGGTGGGTAACACCCGGGACGAATGCTGCTCGAAATCGGGTGGTAGGTCGTGCTACAGACTAGCGATAGTGCAAGCGGCCCAATTGCGAGCACCGTCCTCTGCTCGAGTCGGCCTTCCCTCCTCTGCGACATCATGCTTCTCTATACGAGTCCCTGATGAAAACGCACAGACGAACTTGGCGAAGCGACGGCCGGTCCCTCCATTACGATTTGCTGGAGCCGTCCTGAAGACAACATGTCTCAGCTGCATCTGTTCTGCGCCTGGGGCCTTTTGTGGATCCAGTGGATCCCCCCAGCTGGCCAATGCTTCCAACAAGAGTTCTTTGGTGTGCCCGGGGGTCCAATCTGGCAGGGATGTGCCCAGATGACGGAATCGATGCATTCCCCGATGCGTGCGCAGTCCGGGATTTTATTGACTGAGTGATGCCGCTCGATAGTCTGTAGGCTAGCTCAGCGACAGACACACGGTCAACTCTTTCGAGCCTGGATTGTCCAGTAGAGACGCCGAGAGGTCACATAAGAAGAGAAGGCGCTTATTGTTGCTTAGCTAATGAGCGAGACAACAAAATGAAAGAGCTGACAGGGTGTGAGAGGAGACGAGACAAGGAGCGCCAAGTCAGCGACGCAATACGAGAGACCGGGCACTCTAGGTCTCAAAGGGACGTAACACGGCAGTGGTCATGCTGTGCCTCGCAAGAGATGAAGTTGCCGTGATGCCGCCGCGGTCCCTTTCTGCTCTTCTTTGTATATACTGAGGATGTTGGTCGGTACTTCCCTCCTCGCCTTTTTTTCTGTTGCTTGTCGATCACTGCTCTTATTCTCTCCTTCCCGCCTTGCCCCAATATCGACCTGAAAGGTCGCGGTTAGCGCCCTGCCTATCCGAAAAAGGAAACAACGGCCAGTGCGTACAGCACGCTACGGCGTTAAATGGTGCCCGTAGCACTCATACTACATATGTACGACGCAAATATATTTGATCAACACGGGCCAAATTGTTGGAGGCTGCAGGCGCTGGGGAAGACCGCCGAACCCCAGGGGAGCTGATGGGCACAGGGCACCCCTGCCCTTTTATCCTCCTAGTACGACGTACGGAGACGCAGTAAGTTTACGCGACAGAGCCTCGAGGTTACATGGTCGAGAAAGAGTCCCTTGCGAGGATTGAATTTATACTTAGTATCTTACTATGCATTTCGTACAGGCATACTATCTCCACTGGTATTAATTTCTGCACTTTCTTCTTCCCAATTCGCTCTCATTACGGGCTCCCCGTCTTGCGCCCGTCAACGGCCTGGTTTCACTTTGCAACGGCGGTCAAGTAGCTTTCTTTTGGCCTATTTTGAAGGCCGGAGCGAGTGCTGTGAGGCGTGGCTGCCGTGCTTAAATTGGTGGGCTTTCTGCTACGCAAATGCCGCTAATGCAGCAGGTATTCGCTAGCTTGACGGCTCAGGGGTAGCCATTACATAGTACAACAAATAGGGCAAATACGGGAGGAAGAACCAAGCAAAAGAGCTTGACCTAAAATGGAAAATAGCTGCGAGGGAAGCAGCAAAGGCGATTGGCACCACGTGAATCTTCCGGTGAGGAGATGATGTTCCGTATGTTGGAATTTGTAGAGGGACATTTCTGGCGAAAGGGGCTTGCCCCTTGTTCAACGCCCGAGTTAATTATGGAAAGTGAAAGTATTGTCGCAAGAACAATGGGGGTTGCTTCTTGCTCTCTCGGAAGCGTTCGTCCTGATCCAGACCGGCTGCTCCGACAACGAGGCATATGTAATTAGACATGTCGTTTAGGCCGGCCATTGGTTCTCACCCCGGTGTTTTTTGTTTCCTTTTTCCTGCCTTTTACGGCCCCTTCTACAAGTCTTTCCGGACATCTCATGACTGGCGAGAAAAGCAACTTCTTTTGGGGTGTGGCATGCTGCCGTTTTTACCCGCCTATGTCAGATCAGGCCATGTTGAAAATCGCAATTTCGAAAAGTTACCCTTACTACGGAGTACGTATGCAAGACACTCGAGGTCACTGGTGTCTAATCGTCATATCGTTGAAGCAAAAGCATGCCCCTCGGGCATCTGTCTTGTCCTCTCGAGCCGTCTATCTCAAACGTGCCCCTCAGGTTTAGTGGCATTAAATCTCTGAATCCACTCAACACCACCCGACGAGGAGGCGATCTGCCAAACGGCCTGAAAGGGTATGGGGTCGCATAGAAACGGAGAAGAGAGAGAACAGCGAGAAAGAAACTGTACAGATTCTCGCCAGCAACTCAACGTACAATGACCTCAAATTCGTCAGCGCGAGGACGGCTACAGAGCTTGCACACTTTCTGCCACGAAGTACCACACACATTGGTGATGTGCATAGATGCTTCCCAAAGCGAAAGTCCCGTGATATATTTCACCCTCAAGTCGCACAGTCCTATTTTTGATGCAGGTACTCCGTATTCGCGGTGAACTGCCGTGCCTTCTCGTGCGCTGAGTTGGTGGGGCTACCAACATCGTCGCTTCCCTCCATTGGTACGACTTAAAGTTGCAAGGAAGACGCAATCACTAAGCTCTCGGTCACTTTGCTTCTGGTACCTGTACGAATCCGAACCCTGTTGCTTCCATACTGGGTCAACTGGAGGCAGCCGGCCCGGTCATTATTTTCGCAATACCGGTGGCGTAGGGCTTTCTTCTGCTGTCGGTTGTGCCTACCCTGGTGGCGGAAATGAGTGATGGTTTGGCAGCTGAGTCTTCAAGAACGACAATGGCTATCGAAACAGGGATCACCACAGCCGTCGATCGGTCTGCTGGGGGAGCAAAAAATAAAGCTAGTGGGCTCCAATGCTCCGGCCCTACCTTCTATTATCGCAGCTCCGAGCACAGGGCCATTATGAAGCAGGATCTTCCCTCCGCAAATGGACATCAAGTGGAGCCACAAATCGCTGCTTCCTGGGAGAAATAGCTCAATGGCTTGTCTGAAACTAGTTGGCTGGTTGTGCAGGAGAGGAGTGCCCGGGTTAGGTTCCCGAAATTTGAGACAGGCCTGGAGAGGTTGCCGATCAGGTTGAAGTGGCATTGCGGTGGAAATCCATTAGTACGGAGTACAGGCAGTCAGCTAACAGTAGCTTGCTTGTTCCTATTGTCCCCAATCTGTTCTTTAATATTGAGATAGACGTGTGATACGACTTGCCATTGATAGCAGTCATGACATTCGCTTTTCAGACAGTGAAATTCCGTAGTGGAGGAAAGAGTCGGTTAAGGTGATCACTCCCACGGAAAGACAACGCGCCTTGGAAAGAGTACTGCTCAGATTAATAGGCAAGATGAGCATATCGTGCATTTGCACCAAATGCAGAAGGCTCAAGGCGGCCCATTTCTGATCTTGGCTTTGCATTCTACTATGGAAAGAGCGTCTGGCTGATTTCTGGGTTCTTCTGGTCCTATTAAAGAACCGAATATCTTGAAGCAACCCATCATAATTTATCTATATCTTCATTCTTACCAAGCTGCCTTCTTCCCTTTCAATAATAATCTAAACATTTTTACTGCATCAGTGTCCAGTTTCCAACCCCAAAGCCTATACATCTTTCTTTCATTTTTAGATCTTCCAGGATCAAATCAAGTACCAGGAACAACGGCAGAAATGGGTGTTTTCTTCGTCCACGGCCAAGCTCTTAAGCTTGAGAGCTCTCAGACAAAGTTTGGACAGATTCCAATCGAACGTCGGACTTCATACCAGACCGATGGTGCCAATGATGAGTCTCAACGTTATCCGCCGTGCGAACATCCTATTCCTCCTCCTCCACCTCCGTGTGAGCATCCCGCTCCTCCTCCCAAGGCACCGACTCCTCCGCCGAGTAAGCCTCCCACTCCACCTCCAAGTCAACCTACACCACCACCAAAGCAGCCTACGCCGCCCCCAGGACAGCCGGGTGAGCCAGGTCAACCAGGCCAACCAGGCCAACCTGGACAGCCAGGAGAACCGGGACAACCGACGCCGCCCCCGAGACAACCTACACCACCCCCGAAGCAACCAACACCACCCCCAAAGCAGCCCACCCCTCCACCGAGCAAGCCCCCCACCCCTCCCGCCAAAACCGCCTACACCACCTCCGAGGCAGCCAACACCACCTCCGCAGCCGCCTGCACCGCCGTGCGAGCATCCGATTCCTCCTCCTCCACCCCCGTGTCAGCATCCCGCTCCCCCCCCCCACCTCCAAGTAAGTGAATATTTCGCAAAGATAACATACGCTCTGGCATTATTGACGATTATCCAGCAAGATATTGAGATACTCAATCTAACAATAGCAGATGATGAATGTTACTGAAGGTGACTGCCTGGGAAACAGCGGAGGAGGTGAAATTGCGAGTTGGTGGCACAGTATGGCTTTTGAGGAATGAACTTCGTGTGGACGGGCATTGGACCTCATGACACTGTCGTATGTTCCAAACAGCGAGCAGCGTGCAAATTTTGTTGATGGACATGGGGCGGCCACAGCTATAGATGTGCTACTTGTAATTATAAATCTCGGGAGGTAATCGGAGCAGTCAAGAATTTGAGGTCAACGCTTGTTTCAAGATCAATATCAGACATTCTCTACATCCGCTCTCAAGAACTAAACTGTAGCACATTGAGACTCCCTGTCGCAGTCCCGCAGTTTCGCCTCGCCTCAGTCCCAGTCTAAAATAGAAATGTGCATTTCCACAAAAAGTGACTGTGCATGATGAAGATCTGAACCCTGCCCGTGACAGTACGACGCCATTTGAAGAACGAAAGCCCATAATAATGGCCATCCATAGGTGGATACTACTTACTAATCCAAGCTGGGTCCAAGGGCCACACAACTGAAGCGCAGATCGGCAGACTCGCGGGCCAGGAAGGCAAGCGGGCCCCGCCGAAGAGCTTCTTCAGAGAGTACATCGTCATTGGGGTCAAGGGTGCCGCGAGAAATGGGACCCTTGCGGCGGCCATCAAGCTCCCAGAGGATGCCATCGTCGGTCTTGACGAAGCAGACGTAGTGGAGGTCGACGTCATCGGTGGCTTCAGGGGCGGACGTGTCGCCACGTTGAGCGGCAGAAGAATGGGCCTTTGCGAGAGCGCTACTGGTCTCGATGAGGCGAGCGCGTTCGAGGCGGCCGAGCGGGACGGCCTGGGTGATGAGGGTATCGAGGGGGGAGCCCTGCTCGAGAAAGTTGCGGGCAGGCCCGTTGGCGGTGGCGTGGAGCAGGCCCATGAGGCCGCAGGCGTTGCGGATGGTCTGGCGGAACCAGAGGACAGGTTCATCAGGGCCGTGGCCGTCGTAAAAGGGTGTGTCGCTATCCTCGGCCAGTCGGTGTTTTTCGTAGGCCTCGGAGATGGGAAAGACGAGCAGCAGGGCCATGGCAGGCCGCGGCACAAAGGCCAGCATATCGGGCTCAGTGAGGCTGAAGACGTCGTGAATAGCCAGCGTGGTCGCGACGCCGAGCGAGTGCAGCAGGTCGGTCATCAGCTCCGGGTTGGCCTCGAGCGGGACAAAGGCATGGGGGGCATCGCTGGGGACGTCGGGGCTGTCTGCGGCGCCGATGGCGGCCTTTGCGTCGGCCATGGCTGTTGGGACGAGAGGCGGAAGTGTATTGGAGACAGATTGCTAGATGCCGGAAGGCCAAGCGTGCCGTATAATACTTGACGAAGAGCAGGGGCAATAGAGGATCAATGGAGAGCTTTGGTTTAGCAGTCTTTTGGCAAGCCTTTTGTGGCCTAGCGTGGCATGACATCAGCACTATCACCCCGCAGTTTTTATTTTTCCGTGTTCTGTCGAGCGAGAAAGATATCGTACACATTGCAACGAGCTTCGCTCGCATGCCATCTAAAGGCGTCTATGGAATCCAAATCCAATGCCATCCCAGGCCCACCGTGAACGCTCCGTCTTAGTCATCGTGTGATCGTCGCTTCTACTCGGCAGCGACGGCCGTACTGTCGGCAGGCTTGCCCTGGGCTTCAATGCCGCTGTTACTGTTACTCCTTTGCGGCTGGTTGTCGTCGTCGCCAAGGAGGCCCTTCTCGGCCGTGCTGCGCACGTTCCTGTTTGCGAGCTGTCGGAGGGTCTTGGCGCGCTGCTGCTGGCGCTCGGGCACAAAGGTCAGGTTCTCGAGGTACTCGGTGATCTTGTCCTCGACCAGACTCTTGACGTGGAAGGCGAGGTCCTGGCTGACAAAGACGCCGACGTAGCGGTAGCTGAGCCAGAGGTACAGAGTGATGGCCTTGTGCAGGGCCTCGAGGCGGGCGAGGTACTGCTGGTGGCCCAGGTGGTAGTCGTCGCGGGAGGCGTCGAGGATCTCGAGGTTGAGCTCGGGAATGTCCAGCAGATGGCCGCCGCTCATCTGGGAGACGCAGCGGGCCATGGCGGCGATAATCTCCTTCTGGCCGGGGTCACGTAGGGCGCAAGGGGCGGTGATGAAGACGCAGCGGTCGTAGATGCTGAGGGGAAACGGCTGGATGATGTCGGCCACGTCGAGGCTCTCGTTGGGCGTGCAGAGGCGGAACCGGCCGGAGATGCGGGAGAGCTCGCGGACACGCTGCAGGATGAAGCTGAACGGCGTCTCGGGCGGGAAGTAGCGGGCGAAGCGCTCAATGGCAAACGTCGGCGGCTGGATGCCAGCCCACTGCAGCGGCTCGGCATTGGTAGTAAAGGCGCCTTGCACGACGCTGAGATCCTCGTCTTCGAGCGTGGCGACATAGCCGGGGGTGCCCCAGCGCTTGGCGAGCGTGGTGGCAGGCGTGGTGGCAGGAGTGCTGGCAACGGCTGCGGCGGTCTTGACGGCCTGAGAGGCGGTTCGGAAACGGCCAGCGCGGCCGCCAATCTGCCGGATCTCGGACACGGTCAGGTGGCGAAAGGACATGCCGTCGTGCTTGGTGGCGGTCTCAAAGATGACGCGCTTGATCTCGAGGTTGAGGCCCATGCCGATGGCATCGCTGGCGACGAGAAAATCGTAGTCGTTGTCGGGATCGTTGAACAGGGCAGCCTGCTGGGCACGGGTCTCAGGCGGCAGCGAGCCGTAGACGATGGCGCAGCGACGGCCAGTCATCTTCTCAATGCCGGATTTGAGCGTGTGCAGACCGACGCGCGAGAAGGAGACGACGGCATCGCCCTTGCGCAGATTGCCAAAGTCGCCGCGCAGGCTCTTGGACATGGTCTGCAGCGCGCTGAGCCGCTCGTACCGGTGCACGACACACTTGTCGCCCATGCGGGCACAGAGAGCACGCACGAGGTCGACTGCTCGGTCCTCGCCACAGAGGTGCACTTCACGGGCCTGTACACCCAGCAGGGCCTGCGTCCAGGCCCAGCCGCGGTCCTCGTCGGCCATCATCTGGATCTCGTCGATCACGGCCACGTCGACCCGCTTGTTGAGCGGTGTCATCTCGACCGTGCAGCTCTGGAAGAACGAGTCGCCGTCTTCGGGGATGCGCTGCTCCTCGCCCGTGATCAGCGCGCACGCCCGGCCCTTGGCCGTCATCCGCGTGTAGATCTCGTGTGCTAGCAGCCGCAGCGGCCCGGCATAGATTCCTGTGCGTGCCCGCTCCAACGCCTGCAGCGCCTGATATGTCTTGCCCGAGTTGGTCGGGCCCACGTGCAGATGGATCGTCCGCTGCATGCTGCGTGTTGCCGGAAACCACTCGTACGGGTACCGGAAGTCGGCCAGGCCCTCCTGCAACGTCTCCACCGCCTTTGGCTGCTGTGACCGCAGCGCGAAGCTCTGGAAGCCGTAGCGAAGCTCTCGCTGCAGCCCGGCTGCGTCTCGCCGCACAAACGCGTTGCGCAGGCTCCAGAACAGGGCGTTGTCCTGCCGCGACACCAGCCCTTTGGCTGCTGCCAGCCGCAGGCTCTGCCCCAGCGCCGCCCGGTACAGCTTCGCCTGCCGGTCCACGTCATTCTGGCTGTTCAGCCCAAACGACAGGTACTCATGGTGCTCTGGATGCCATGGCCCCAGCTCCTCCAGCACGCTCGTCATCCGCTCGTCCACCAGCGCCCCGAACAGCGCATACTTCTTCCGGCTGCCCGTCGCGCCGTGTGTCCGGTTGCCGCCGCGCCGTGATCCTTGGCCCCTGCCTGAACCCTTGCCTGAGCCTATGTTTGTGCCTGGGGTGGCTTGGAGGTCCTGCCGGATGAGCGCCAGGTTCCGGTGATTCCTGGTCGACTGGTGCACACGTTTTAGCATCAATCCAATTACCCCAATTCTTCTCTTCAAAAGACCTACCACCCGCTGGATCAACGGCGCTGCAGCCGTGCTATACAGCCGGCTCAAGCGAGCTGCGCATGGTGCCCTTGTCCTGATAGCGTCCAGGAGGACGAACATGACAGAAAAAAGTGCGCAGATCCTGCGTCGACGCAGCTCATTCTGTGCACCCAGAATAAATAAAAAACCAGGGGTGGAGACAGGCCAGATGTTGTGCTGTCTCGTCTCGTACGTTCTCTAATCTCTCAGACTGGGATTGCTTCACTTTCATAATTTTCGATCTGTAAAAAAACCACTTGCTGACTTGGCCAGAAACCGATTAGTCCGAATCCAGCTAAACGTGACGTGCCTCGTGCTGCTGGGCCATCTCCGGATCACGTGACCAAGACGGCGACTCGCGAAGAAAAATTCGCCGTCTTGTCTACGAGCGTCCAGACGGCGTCGTACGGTCGGCTAGAACTGCCACATCATCCCATGCTCTCGAATCGCATGTAAAAATAGCTCTGTCCTGGTCCCTCGATGAAGAGTCCTGTCCTATCACAGAGTAGTGGGGAACAGAAGCTGGAGGAAGGGCTGGAACGGGGCCTGGACGACCAGCCGCTGCGGCGCCAAAACGACCTTGGTCCAGAAACAGGCGTCGCAAAACCGGTAACAGCCTGCTTCCACTGCCGGGCATTGCGACAGAAATGCGACCGGAAGTTGCCGTGGTAAGCCTGCACCACCTCGCGCATCCATGTCTGGCCCACACGATGCTGACAGCAGATGTCCGCTCTGGCAGCTCCCGCTGCTCAGCCCGACAAAGGCCGTGTCGCTATCCGTCTGGTTCTAACCGTGGCCGGAAGCCCAATACGGCCATGTATGTGTTCGCCTGGCCTGACTCTGTTCGACTGCTGGTCCAGGGCTGACGGAATCTCACTCTCGGCAGAAGCCACTCAGTCTCGGTCGACAAGCTCCTGTCCCGCATAAGCGAGACTGCTGAGCGAGATCAGGTGGTCGCGGCCCTGCTTGACTTTGCTGGCGGCCAGTATCAGGACATCCAGCGGAATGCTGCTGCTGTCGCTGCTGCTACCGCTGCTGCCGCCTCCTCACCGCCGCCGGCTGCACTCGGGGCAGACAAGGATGGTGCAGACGCGAGCCCGCCCGATCGCCGGGAAACCCGTTCTCTCTCCCCGAACCATCATCGCCATTCAGGGAGCTACTCCCGACCACCTCATGCTGCCGGCACCGCGTCCGAGCCCGAGTTCCAGGCCTCCCTTGTGTCCTCCTTTCAGATCGTCGCTGCGGCCATCGCGGCCGATTCGGCCTCCTTTCACCAAAGTCCGGGCTCGCCGGTCATGTCGGCCATCCGGAGTCGCAAGGATTTTGTAGACGAGCGCCTGGCGCGGTATTTTGGTAAGAACACTATACGCACATCTGTCTGGCCGAAACAGCTAATGTACCGGTCCAGCCACACAAATCACACAGCAAAAAGACTGGCAGGTCTTGGCTGGCCAATCTATCGACAGTCCTCTGAAGCTGGAGACGTCGACGTGCGACCCCGTGGCAGCCCGGTTGATCGATCACAACGATGTCACGCGCTATTTCCAGTTGTGCGTCGACTCTTTATAGACCTCTCTCTTCCTCGCCTGGCCTAACCCTATTCAAGGTTCTTCAAGTACCGCAGTCCACTCATCGGGATTCTGGATCCTGCCCTGCACACGCCCGAGTATGTACATGAGTCCTCCTTTGTCCTCTTCTCGGCTCTCTGCGCCCTCGGATGTGCCGTGTCCGATCGACCTCGTGACCGCGTCGTCTATCCGGCACTCATGTCTCTGGCCGAGGGAAACATGAAGTGGGCCATCGCGGTCTGCGTCAAATCGCTCGAGATCATCCAGGCCATCATCTGCATGCAGTACTGGGCGCCCGTCTGCCAGAAGCAGTCAGACGACCCGTACTGGCTGCGCCTGAGTCATGTGAGAAAGCTGCCGAACAACTGCCATACATTATAGGACCTTCTTGTGCTGACGTCATCGATCTGTACAGGCTGTTCAGCTGGGACGCGAACTCGGCATCAACCGATCTGCCGTGATAGCTGAGCACGTCCAGGCCATTGCTGGAAATGAGAGTGCCGAGTTCAGGGAGCGCCTTGTGCGTGACTTTGAGCGGACTTGGCTCTGTACCTTTATGTCTGATAAGAGCTTTGGCCTGATCACGGGCCGGTCCATGGGGGTCTCCCTCAAGGAGATCCCTGCATCTGCAGGCGAGTGGTGGCGGAAGCCCATGACTGCGCCCTACGACCGCGTCCTTAGCGGCATTGTCGAGCTGCGCGGGCTCTTTGTACGTCTCTGTCCCGATCCCGAACCTCTCTCGATCCTGCTAACCGGTCGGCCGAGCAGCTCAACGCGATGGAGCAGCGAAAGAACGTCGAAGACACCCTGTCAGCCATCGCCCAATGGCACTCGCAGGCCTACCAGACTCTGGAGCAGACCCGCAACGCCCGGTGTCTCCCAGACAACTCGCCGTCCGCCCAGTACATCCCTCTGCTGTGCTTCTACCTGGACCATAGCATCATGGTGCTCAACGCCCAGGCTCTGCGCGATATGGTGGCCATTGACCAGACTGGCGGCTCGCCCGAGCTGATGGAGCTGTCCGCAAAGACCTTTACCGTGGCCAGCCGGCTGCTCGAAACCACGCTGCACAACGAGGTCCTCCAAGAATTCAAGGTCGGCTTTCACAACAACCAGCTGATCATGGTCTGCCATGCGGCCACTGAGATCCTCGGCGTGAGTGCTTCGTCTTCTTGTTTGCAGGTCCTTCCTCTGCTGACACCGCCGCAGGCCATACAGCGCACCGGACTGTCGCTCGACCAAGTAGCACAGGCTGCAGCACAGGTCCGTGCCATTCCCGGCCATCTCGATAAAGTTGCGGCCATGCTGCCAGCCACATCGGCGACACATTTGTACGCCAGCCTCTCTAGATTTTTTGTCAGCCAGCTGGATCGCGTGGTGCGCAATACCGATACAATAGGCCAAGACGAGCGCGGCGAGCATGACCAGGATTCGCTTCTGGCCGACTGGTGGAAGACCGTGGACGGCGGTCTGCTGGACACCACGACGTGGATGGATCTGGGCTTTCTGAGTTCAGATCAGCATGGGATTAGTCAGGAATGGTCCATGTTCCCATAACATCGACTATAAGGCAGCACTGCGATGATTGCTGGCCAGGGCTGATATCTCGTCATCAATCGAGTAGCAGTCGGTGTCATGTTCTGCCTCAAATAATAAAAATGCTGTGTGACTATTGTTGCTAATCGGCCATATATTGCTTGAACCCACAGGCTATTGAATTTGCCCTGGTTTCAGAAACATGTTGTTGTCATTGCTATGTCTGCTTGAGGATGACACTTACTGGACTAAAAGACAGAAACTTACATTGATGAATATGTCGAGTTCAACATCCGTTTCCCATAGTGCCTTCTCAAACTGATCCTGACACTCCACACTTTCGTCCAGTTGAAGAAACTATATTCGCAATTTATAGAAACCAAAGCATTATCATGGCCCGTTTGGCCAATGCTCGCCCCCCGACTACGACCTCCTTCCCCTTATTGCTACGCATTCAAGGATACCTGAGACGTTGCTGGGAGGCGTTATAGGAAAGGAATTACCCGCTACAGTTACTAAGGCCAGATGTGGGCACATCTCCAACGTATACTCATGGTGCTTCAGAAGCCAGCTACTCCGAGCCACGGAAAGTCAAAATCAGGGACCATCCATGAGCCCACATTCGCTGTAAAGTCAAAGAGCTCTAGCCCGCCACCGGAGGTGAGAAAGCTGTCGCTCATAGGCAGCGGGCGCGCTTCATGCCGAATATCAGCTGGAGCTGGCGATTGGGGGGGTTCTTGCTGGATGTCCATTCGCTGTTCGGCTGGGTACTGAGTCAATTGTGACTCGGCAGCAGAGGTCGAAGATGCAGCCGCGGCCGGGGTATTCATCTCGGGTTGTGTTTGGTGAAGAGTGGCAATATAGCTGCTCTTGATGGCGGCCCATCTTGTCAAAAGACTCTTATACCAGTCCTTGGCCGTTTCCAAGACTTGTATTCTCGAAGACAAGTCGTGGATGTGAACGGACAAGGCATCGATATATGCGTCGAGCTTGATGATAGAGCGTGCCATTTTGATGTTCCAGCCGGGCGTCTGGATCGACAGAGACATGGTAGCAGCCAGCAGAATCGAGTACCCCAGAAGGGCCCAATGCGTGGATGGTAGACTTATCAAGTCGGCAAGAGGGATAGCCAAAAAGGTGTCGAGAAACTCCTTTGTGCTTTTTAAAGAATCCATGATAATGCGGATGCGGAAAACAGACATATCCGTGCTCCGAGACATGCCCGATAAGCTCACTTCACGTACAAATGCCTCAAAGAGAGAGGGCCACACCCTCTGACTAGCTAGCGATGTTGTCAGCAATTGTTGAAAAGAGGTAGATACGCCGGCCTGACTCTGTTTGGCAGTGCTCACGATCGTCTTTCAGCAACGTTGGAAGGCGTGATCGCCAATCATGAAGCTTGGCGCAGAACGCGTTCAGGTAAATCTGAATCTGCTCATCGTTCATGCATTGTGCTTGGCTGGTCTCGGTGTAGTTGAAGAGCGTGTACACTTTCTCGGCCTCGCGAGTGAGCTCAAGATGGAAGATGAGGTCCGAGTCCGTTGGGACTTCCTGCGTAGCAGCCAGCGACTGTGCACACAAGTGCAGATACTCGGTATAGGCCAACGGGATCGTCTTGCGTGTGATGATAGAGTACCTATACGAGGCGCAGTTGTAAGCCGTCATGGTCAAAATGCATACAGTCCCACCTAGAGAGGGGTTTCTTTGGTCGTAGTCTTGGTCTTCTTACCATGTTGCAATGTGGTAGCAGCCGAGGTACGCTCGCTGGGCCTCAAGCCCCCAGAACTCCGTGTCAACGACATTCAGACCTCGCGGCAAATCATTAAAGGTCTCTACGTTCAGCTGTTGATGTCTGCCTTTGCCAGGCCGACGCGTGATACCATAGTCAACAGCCATAGAAATAGCGATGGCCGTGAGTCTGTACGCCTGATGAGTTTTGGGTGCCATGTGCAGGTGGATCCTAGAGCATCTGATATCAGCAGTCGGAGTTGCCAGAGAGCTGAATGAAACATCGGCGACATCGCGGCCTACCAATTGAGATACACCAGCAACCCGCACAGCAGGTCCAGTTCCCTGTCTCCGTTCTGAATCAGCTTGATGCTCAGCGCCTTGAGAAAGTGCTGGTTCAGGGCTTCCAGCCGAGTCCCATCCTTCCAGGATGTCGTAATAAGAATGGCTAGCAGGAACATCGGGCTTGATTCCCTTAGGCTGTAGAAAGTTGCATTCTCGGAGAGAACGACATAGGGGAAACTTTTGGCAAACTGTTCCCGATAGTCGGCTACAAGCCGATCTGCCTGCTGGACAGATACAATGCGATCGATTCCATCGACGAGGGGCTGTTCAGGAGACCCAGCCGCTGTGACAAATTCCCGTGGTGTCTCGGTGTCGGCAGACGTGGACAAGTTTGAGCACTGCCCAGAAGAAGAATTCGGCAATAGCGATATAACCCTATCAACATTTCGCTCGAGCTGTGCGATCCTCAATTCGTGCACTGTCATAAATGTCAACAACGGTCGCAACAGACGGTGAGTCAGAACAAGATTGCGCATTCGAACCTATCTTCTTGCGCTGCCGAGGACGCGACTCGGGAACAACACACTTCAGCTTCCTTTGCAAACATCTGCTCAGAGAACACATCAGCCTTCGGTCTGGATACAGGTCACAACGACAGCACGCGTCCGGAAGCTGGCCCCGAAAGCGAGCCTTATCTGCTGACCTTTTGCAGGCCCATGGAGGGCCATCACTCATCAAGCACCGCAGCTTTTTCTCCTTGCAGGCTGCACATGCTCGTATCAGATACGGGGGGCGTTCTCCGGCCATTGCAGAAACGACTATTTGACGTGTGTGGTGTTCATTAGCTCAGTTCCTAGGTGAAATCAGAAAACCGGCGAAATATCACTGGTCTCCACTCTAGTTGATTTCTCGGAGGTTCCGAGAGCCGAGTGCCGAGGCTAAATCCCCGGATTTTAGTGGCATTTTGCTCTTATACAAGCCACTACAACAGAAAGGCGAGAGGATAGATGACCGCAGCTCGGATCAAGCACCGCTCTATATTCAAGCTCTGTAGATCCGAAAGGATCGCTTGATCACCGCATCCTCAAGAACTAGTGTTTGTGTACTATTGTAGGAAAAGAACTTGAAATGGACTCAGCGCCACAATTCGGTGGGCGGGGTCACAGAGGTCGGAGGTTCCGAGCACAATAAAAGAGGCGCCTACTCTGTAGACATTACCGTACGTATCGTGCGGACTAACACGTAGGAGTCGAGTACCGTATGACACGGGACCGGTCTTAGAGCTTTGTCATTACAGGGACGATGGTGCCAATATGCACATAAGATTCGCTCTCCGGCTTTTGAGAGTTCCGACTTTAACGCGTCGACTTTGACTTGGATGGCCCGAGTATATAGAATGGGCCTGCAGCCCTCCCCCTCACCCATCGATGTAATTCTTGTAAAGCAATAGAGCCCCAACATGTCTTTCTCTGCTGGGAAGTCGGTCGATTGGCCGAATTCGACCACGGAGAACGAGGACGAAAAGTTTACCAACGAACTGTAATGTTGGCTCTCTGTTTAGCGAGTCGTCCTGGTGACAACACTGACAATCGGGCCATAGGAGACGTGAAAAGTCCAGCGCCGAAGATGTCGAGGCCTCTGTCCCGGTACCGGGTCACACGATATCGAGCCAGCTAGAATCCCAAGAAGTGTACCAGTTGAGGGATGTCACCACCGCCAATGGCCAAGTCGAGACATACAAGATTGTGGTTTTTTCTCCAAACGACAAGGCGAACCCAAAGAACTGGTCAAAGGCACGTAGATGGCTCATCACCATGACCTTGAGCTTGGTGTGCTTCTCGGTAGCATTCTCTTCAGCCGTTGTCACCCCCGGGATCGCAGGCGTGGCCGAATCTTTCCATGTCTCGTCAGAGGTTGCCCTACTTTCTGTCACGCTCTTCGTCATTGGCTTCGGAATCGGACGTGAGTATCAATCTTCCGATACGAATTGGCTATCATTGACCCTGTCGCAGCTCTGGTCTTCAGCCCACTTTCCGAACTTTATGGACGGTGGATCATCTATGTGGCGACATTTGGCTTTGCCGTCATCTTCATTATACCATGTGCCGTGGCCAAGAACATCGAGACATTGCTATTATGCCGTGCGATTGGCGGCATTGCAATCAGCGTGCCCGTGGCCAATGTAAGTTGATAGACTTGCAGGTCTATCCAAATGAACGGCTTTTAACAGATACTACACACAGATTGGTGGCAGTCTTGCAGACATGTGGAAGCCTGAAGAGCGTGGCATCCCGATGGCATCATTTAGTGCTGCTCCCTTTCTGGGACCCATCATGGGTATGTTTGTGCCTCCATCCCTTTACGGCTGTGTATCAAGGGCTGAGGGCTGACAATGCACAAAGGTCCCATGATCGGCGGCTTCGTTTACGAGAACATTGGCTGGCGCTGGCTGTACTGGCTCCAGCTCATCCTCTGCGGCACATTTTTTGTCGCCATCTTGCTCTTCGTCCCCGAAACGTATGCGCCTGTCATTCTCGAGACGCGGGCGAAGAAGCTACGGAAGCAAACCGGGGACCACAGCTACAAGGGAGAGCATGAGCTTCTTCGCAGATCATTCAAAAATATCGCCCGGGTTCATCTTGCCCGGCCTCTGCTATTGCTGTTCACCGAACCGATCGTCACCCTGTTCGCTATCTATGCAGCTATTCTCTACGGAATCCTATACATGTTCTTCGTTGCGTACGCTTTACAACACCACTTCCTGGGAGTACTGTGCTTCTTTTTGGCAAACGGCTAACAGACATACAGATATCCTATTGTCTTTGAGGAGGGAAAAGGGTACTCAGCCGGGATTTCAGGCCTGATGTTCCTCCCCATTACTGGTGGCATCATCTTAGGCCTTCTCGGAGCCCCTATGGTGAATCGTCAATACATCCGCAAGCGGTCAAAATACACAGGACTTCCTCCACCAGAGCTGAGACTGCTCCCCATGATGTGGAGTTGTTGGTTTATACCTGTCGGCATCTTTATTGTAGGCGCTCTGCTTCCCCGTTATATACGTCATCGCGAATTCTGACCAGCCTAACCTCAGTTTGCATGGACGTCTTATGACAACATCAGTTGGGTTGGGCCTTGTCTTGCTGGCTTTCCCATTGGTGTCGGGTTCGTTTTCCTGTACAACAGCTTTAACAATTACATCGTCGATGCCTACCAGCACACTGCAGCTTCTGCCTTGGCTGCAAAAACCCTCCTTCGGTCCATCTGGGGCGGTTCCACCGTTTTGTTCACTACTCAGATGTACGTTGTCCAGTTTTCAGAACCCTTTAACGTCTGCTGATATGTTTGTACAGGTACCATAACCTCAACCCCCGATGGGCATCAAGTTTGCTGGCATTCCTTGCTCTTGCTTGCTGTGCCATTCCCTTCACTTTCTACCAGTTTGGGGCCGCCATCCGCAAGCATTCCAAGTATGCCTATTCGGAGTAGATCAGATAGTGTATGACTAGAGACATCTCACACAAGTCTTGTCGTAACTGCGGGTTGACCAAGACAATTTTTGCTTACACTGAGCCTCTTATGATTAGTCAAAGTCTCTTACAATATCAAGAATCCCATTTTGTGCATGTCATATTGACATAAAATACGAGATTGACCCAACACATGATATGTCATCCGCAGCCTCTTTTGGGGCATCTCTGTGCCCAGCCCGGCTTCATCTCAGCTCCCAATTAGTGCTAATTAGCCTTCTACATGGACAAGCCCATACTAGCCTTCGATATTAGATCGGGGCCCAGGTTCTAAATTGCTCTTCTTGCCTAGTCACTTTTTGTGAAGTTATGTCCTATCCCTCCTCAATAACACCCCCTCTCCCGTCGTCCGCCTCTAGTTGTTTTAATACTGTCTCAAGCTCTGTCGAACATTCCTGCTCGTCCTCACATCTGCCTGTGGCCTCGAAATCGATCAACACTGCCTCTCCCCCTTCCTTGATTAGAAAATTGTGCTTGTTGACATCCCCGTGTTTGAGTCTAAGTAAGTGCAACTCTCTTAGAACATGTTGGCATGCGTCTAAATCTGCAACGGTCGCCGTGTGTCCTGCGACCTTCTCGATCAAAAAGCCAATCACCCTACCCGCCTCGGTGACGTGTCCCAGAAACCGTGGCCCAATATCGTGGCCATCGATCCATCCATAGGCTGCAGTTTCTGACTCAATATTGGGAATCTGCCACGGGAACTCGGCAAACTTGTATACGGCCGAGTGGTCAAATTCAGGGCAAGTAACGATGCGAACGTTCTGCCGAAGACGGCCGGTCCACGTCAGCTGCAGATGGTCGATTTTAATTTTGTGCCAAACATTCTGGACCCCCGGGAGATTACGCCGCAGAATGGTAGCAAAGACTGCGTCCCCAGTTGTGGCATCCTTTGTAATATGGCCCTCGTTCCAGTTGCCTGGTGGGAAAATGGGCAGCCGGGCTTTGAGGGCTGGCTCGAATGAAATATCGTCGGCAGGGAAGACTCCTGGGTCAACCGTGATGTACTTGATGTCCTTTCCGTCGACGAGGAAGCGGTACTCGCTGACGGCATCTGCATCAGTGAGGCATGCCTGGAGCTTGATATCCTGCGGCGTGCGCGTTACGTTGCGGTTCGTCGCCATTTGGACGGTTGGGTGGCGATGGCGCGACAATCAAAACATTGTGTTTTTAACGTCGGGTTAGACAGCTGTAGACGGTCGTTTGGGATTCCGGTTGGTACCTTTGTAGATTTAAACAGGGAATTGCGTACGCGAACTACAAGTACCTAATCGCGGGGCAAATGCACTTTGCTTATTCGCTATCAACAGTATACCGCTATATTTTACGGTCCAACGTCTATGGAACTACTCTTTACTAAAAGCCCTCCGTTTACCTCTCTGTTAGACCTCTAATCATTCATTTAGTTGAAAGTAATGCTGAGTGCCAATTTGACCGTTTTACGTATTACGTACAAAGCGACACTTCTCTTGATCGTAAGTACTCGTACACTTGAGAGTAGAGCTGATGGGGCTTAGCACTACTACTCTTTTGATTATCGACATCCGCACCCCTTGTTGTAAGCTCAACCTTACGGAGTACGTTCCAATGGCTAAAGTCTCCGTATTTGTCCCGTTTTGGACGAGAGCGGGGACGTGATAAAGCATACGTGTGCTGACCCACACAACAAGAAACACGCCCGGTTAGCTCAATCGGTAGAGCGTAAGACTCTTAATCTTAAGGTTGCGGGTTCGACCCCCGCATCGGGCTCAATTCCCGGTGCGCCTGTTCTGCAGGCAACTCCGAACCAGAGCCAGGCGTTATTTTTTGTCCTTGTTAAGTTTTTTTTCGATCTATTATACGGAGTACATCCAGACTTTTGAATTCGACGGGCACTGGTAGCAGTTGTCTTTAATAAAAAGCAAACAAAGCACGGCGACCGGTGTATGTAGAAGAAACCAAGAAAAACCTTGGCTTCAGCAGCTTTTCTGTGTCTGGCCGCAGCCGTAGCTCTAAAGCTATAAGGCTCTCGATAAATGCCAAAAACCCGTGCCTCTGTCTAGCTTGCTGAATAAACCTCTATTGTCGGCGTTGCGAAATTAGTATAAATGCGAAACGCTTGAATTTAGAACACCAATGTGTCAAGTGCTAGTCGAAGTGAGACATCCGAAGAGAGAATCAATACTCGTAAGATAAGACAACGTCCTTATAGTAGAATAGACTGTTGTATAAACGTTGGTGGGGGTGCATGTCGCCCTTACATATGTTGTGCACTTTGCGTATACGTCGTAGAGTGCATGCGAGTTTCATTTTTGGCAGAGCCAATGCACGCCAGAGGACACCGAGTGGAGAAACACTTTGAAACACGTAAACCTGGGGTATAGCTAGCGTAGTCTGTCAGTGCTTCCAGCGCCATAACGCATATCAAAATCGAACGTGCAGTATTTCTGAAACTTCTATCTGCGACAAAGCGACAAGGGGGGAGACATAATGTGAAATATAAGAGGGACTTTTTCAAGCTTGAGGGACGAGGGTCTTGACTAGTACCTCGAAGCCATCGACAAGTTTATCGCCCGCGCATTACTCCGTATACAAGGACGCAAACCACGAAAGGTGCTAAGGTTTTTAGATTACAAATCACGCCGATCACAAATCACGCCATCGTATCTAATCCAGGCTACGATGCGACCGGAATTCTCGATGGCGAAGTTTCTAGACGGAACCCACACCTTAGCAAGCAGCGGACCAAATATGGTATATAGTAGGTGGATATTGTCGGGCCCTGCAGGATAAATAGAGTTCGCTGGCTTGTCCAAGCCTTCTCGAGTTAGTTTTATCCTCCAGCATAGCACAATTCTCCCAACTTCCACCACACAACAAAGCGACAATGGCGGCCAACTCTCGCCTCTTCAAGCCTCTGCAGGTGGGCCCGTACACACTGTCGAACCGGGTGGTGCTGGCGCCGCTGACGCGGTTCCGGGCCTCGGACAGCCATGCACCGCTGCCGTTTGTGGCGGACTACTATGCACAGCGCGGCTCGGTGGCGGGCACGCTGCTGATCTCGGAGGCGACGTTTATCTCAGCCAAGGCGGCGGGCTACCCGAACGTGCCGACGCTGGCGACGGACGAGGCGCTGCAGGCGTGGCGTGCGGTCACGGATGCAGTACATGCCAAGGGCAGCTTCATCTTCTGCCAGCTGTGGGCGCTGGGCCGCGTGGCCTACCCGACCGTGCTGGAGGCCGAGAAGGCGGCGGGAGCCGACAACCTCGGGCTGGTGGGCAGCAGCGCAATCGCACACGAGGAGGGTGCAGCGGTGCCGCGTGAGCTGACTGAGGCCGAGATCGAGAGCTTTATCGCCGACTACGCGGCGGCGGCTCGTGCAGCCGTCGAGGTGGCCGGCTTCGACGGTGTCGAGATCCACGGAGCCAACGGCTACCTCGTCGATCAGTTCACGCAGGACGTCAGCAACCAGCGGACCGACCGTTGGGGCGGCTCGATCGAGAACCGCTCCCGCTTCGGCCTTGAGGTCACGCGTGCCGTCGTTGCTGCCATCGGCGCCGATCGTGTTGGCATCCGTCTCAGCCCCTACAACAACTTCCAGGGCATGGGCATGAAGGAACCCAAGCCGCAGTTCGATCACCTCATTCGCGGCCTGCGTCCGCTTGGCCTCGCCTACCTGCACCTCGTCGAGGCCCGCATGAAAGGCGCGGACGTTGTTGACACCCCCGATAATCTCGACTTTGCTCTCGAGGCTTGGGGTGCTGGTCCGACCGGTGGCAACAGTGCGCCCGTCCTGCTGGCCGGTGGCTACAACGAGGACAATGCCGTCGCTGCCGTCGAGGACGCGCACAAGGACCAGAATGTCGGCATCGTCTATGGCCGCTACTTCATCAGCAACCCGGACCTCGTCTTCCGCCTGCAGCACGGCATCCGCTTTGCGCCGTACGACCGTACGACCTTTTATGCGGCCAAGTCTCGCGAGGGCTACGTGGACTACAGCTTCTCGGAAGAGTGGCAGAAGGAGAACTCGTCGCAGGGACATCTGTAGAATAGACCATCAGAGTAGAGAGCGCCAATGCCTTTTTTACAGAGCTAGTATGAACTACGTTTACTACTCCTATACTCTGACCTGGGCCGATGCGTCGTGTCGGTATCTAATGGGAGGATCAAGATTGCGACATCTGATGTAATCGAAGCACGGCTCGTGCAGAACCAATCAGATAATCTGGGCATTCGTGGTTTGTCTTGCTGCCTGGTTATGCGCGGTCCTATTCCCGCCCAGCCCCTCTCTCGGGGGCTGTCCTACTGGAAATTAGTTTCCCTTGTCAACAGTCTTGATTTTTGCCACCAATATGGCGTCTCTTCGCACTGACAGTGTTTGGAACGAGGCAGGTCTGGACGTCGCCCGTTTCGAAGCCTATGCAAAGCTGCTATGTCTGCGGAACGGTGGGCAGGTTGAAGAGACGAGCATGTACGTTGATCTAAATAACGATGACGATGACATAATCAACGACCAGGTCGACATCTCCTCTGTCAAGGCTGCAACGATCTCTAGCTATGACCAGGAAAGGCTCAAATGAGCCTTTCTCGACCGGTTGTCAGAGCTCGCGTCTGCCGAGAAGGGCGGCAAACAGGTTGCTTGCTGCATGATGGTGGAGTGGCCTGATCATGTCGACGTGCTCGTGGCGAAGAATAAGGCATTTGCGGAAAATGAACCAGGCATTCCCATGCTGCAAGAGCTTGCGTCAGCCCTGCGAGAAATCAGCAAGTTCGATATGCACGGTTTGTTTTCTTTCTCCGCGTCGCTCTAGTTATCTCATAAACTGACGGCAGGTATAGACCTTACGTTTGTTGACGACAGTCGACTACGGCTGTGGAAAACCGTATTGCAATTGTACCGAACCAGAATCCTGTCCTATGCAAAAATCACTCTTACAGTGCTGAACACCATCATGCCGGCAACCACCACTGGCGAGTCAGCCCAGTTGTCTGACAACTACCGTGATCTTACAACAACCCTGCGGCTATTCCACCGATTGGTGACCAATGCCGAATACCTGGACACACTCGAGGGTTGGGACGAGGCTGTCAGGATTGCATCGAAAGTACTCACGCAGTGCTCTGAATTAGACACGATTGCTAACCCCAACACTGCCGAGAAACTTGCAAATGCCTTAGGCTATCTGTCCCGTCCGCTAACATGTTATAATACGTTTATCCGCGCGGCACAGCGCATGTCCAGCTTTGAAAGCGTCGAAATTCTACCTGTCTCAACCACAGGTCTGGGCGGATCTGATGCACGGCGAAAGAAAAGGAAACCCGTACCTGCAGAGGTCTGGACGGCTGGCAAGGTTTTCGAAGCACTGAGCCTGCCCTTGAACGATACGACGGCCGAACGGGTTCTTGGCAATGGCACGAAACGCCAGACCTGGACCAGAAACAAGCTCATCCAGAGGTACACTTCCCACAAAACTTTGCCTCCGACAGAGGTTCACGCCGAAGTCCAGATCCTGTTGGCAGCACAACGTCACAACTGTATTGGTGCACGCATCGTTCCTTACATTGGCTGCAGCAAGCGCAGCTGTCTGCTTTGCACCGAGTTTGTCCAGGCACTCGGCCCTTACGCGACAAGAGGCTGTCACGGAAAGCTGTACAGCCGCTGGACTGTGCCCCCTGTTTCGTGGATGACAGGTCCCCAGCGCCAGAGCCTGGCACGGAGTCTCCACCATATGGAAGAGACCATGAAGCAGAGACTCTTACATCCCGCCATGTCGGACCGCCCGCTGCTGCATGTGCCCGAGTCAACAATCGGCGGGTCTTCCATGGCCACAATCAAGATACAGACGACCAGGCAGGGCTCTGTTGCCCAGCTCATCGAACAGCGTCTCTCGGACCAGCTTGAAGATGCTATCCATCGCTGGTTTGAAAGGAACAGTAGTGACCGTGATGATGCAGATACTTTTGATCATGTCGAGTCGAGGTAGGTTTGATGCCATCCGCGCGAGTTAAAGCCATCTAACGCACGGACAGCGAAACCATTCCTGAAGGCATGAACGTAAACATGGCTCCCATGCAAGAAGTGGAGGGGCTGGAAGGTGATGCTTGGCACAAATGTGATATTTGCAGACTTGATACACGTTCTCACTGCACGTTCTGCGGACGCGACTGGTTCTGTGGAAGGAGTTGCCAAGATAGAATGACCTATCGTCATCTGGTGAAATGCTCGGCGCGACCCGTCACGACTGCTGATATTCTCTTCAACGCTGTCTCAAGCGATGTGATACCAGAGGATCCCGAAACCCGCGAAGACTTTGGCATGGACCGCCTGAGTCACCGGCGTGAGGAGAGCCATCTGCTCGGCTTGTACCAGGGCCTTTGTCATTTGAACGTGGGGCCTACTGATCTGGACGAGTGGCGACGGACGGGCGTCCTTGTAGACAAAATCATCGAAAAATTTGAGACCATACCCGAGGATTGTCGGGGCCTCTACTTCCCCTGGTTTGTTCGAAACAAGCATATTCTCGATCCGACCGTGCCTCTTGTGTCGCGGGAAAAGAGGGAAGAGGAGGCTGTCTGGCAGGCTATTGTGAGCGCCCAGCAACGTCTCGAGCCGCCATACCGCGACATGGACTGGCGGAAGATGGAGCCACTGTCGCTGAGGTATTGTTTTTTATTTTATGCGCTTTCACTCGACGGCTGCCATCCAAACCCCAACGCGCATTACGACGATATGTGGTATGATTTTGGCTTTGCCGTCTGCGGTCACAACTTTGCAGAAATGCAGTTGTGCACCCTATATGGCCAGCTTTTTGGCGGGGATAAAGCCCAGCGAGATTATGAGAAGAGTCTGGGATGTGGCAGGTTGTTTGGAGGCAGTAGCGACCATCAGCAGCGCTTATGTCCCTTTCTCGAATTCTGGAAGGCGTACGAAGACGGTACGCTACCGGAGCTTTTTGATGGCTACGACCTAGGGTATCAGCTGGACAGGTTCCACCATGCGAGGCTTTTCCTCGCTGCCAGGCCAGACATGTCCGGCTGCGTTCGCCCGCCTGTTTGGGGATTGCGCCATCTTCTGGCCCTCGACGATGCGTCGGCAGAGTCTGCGCTGCGTTTTGGTGGCGCCTATCCGCTAATCGAGGCCGCGATTGAACAGTTTGGCTTCCAGCCCAGGCTGGATGCTCGGGCCAAGGTGGAGCTTAAGAGGTTCTACGGGAGCCTGCTCGAAAAAAGCGATATTCTGGTAGTGCAAGAGGCCATGGAGACAGGCCAGTTGTTGGACCATGCGCTTGACCTCTTGGGGAGCAACGGGGTAGATGAGAGCGTGCGAAACATTCTCAAACGCATGAAATCCGAGGAGAAGAAGAAGATTACGAGGGACACATAACGCACAGTTTCTGAAGAAGCACAGGAGACCAGAACAGGCTGCTCCATTATGTAGGGTCAAAGGAAGGAGGGGCAAAAAAAAGAAGACTGTCTCTGTTGTGTGCTTAGGCCTGGTTCAATGCTTGGATGCTGTACTCTATAGTTCAGAAGCGTATGAGAGCTAGCGAGTGAGCTTTGGGCAGTAGTCCAATTACAGGGACCGCCAAGGTACTCAAAAGTGCGTAAGCCGTAAACGTCCACCCAACTCCAATGGAACCTAATAGCGGATGCATTACAGCAACGCCGACTGCGGCAGAGAGGCAGCGGACAACACTGGCAGCAACTCCAGCCACGAATATGACGATGAGAGTACAGTCGAATAGTGTTGGGCAACATTTGGCCAAGTAACGAAGGAGTCAGTCGCTCTACAGGTCGGCAACACAATCGAGCAAATGCAAGCTATGCCGCTCAAGGACACCATCGTAGGCCCTATCGGCAGTCGTGGAAACGAGCCATTTCGAGGGCCGTGCTTTACAGATTTTGGTTCCGGTTCAAGACGCTTCAGGATCTGGAAGCGTGGTACAACCACAAACTTGATGTCTGCCTATGCTTCCAAAGGGCCCCTGCCAATACACCACGATTTACATTTGCGGATGCTGTGCTTACACATCCGGATATTGTACCGCAGAATCTTATATGCAATTCTTCAGGAAAGGTGTGGCTGATAGACTGGGGCCACGCAGGAATATACCCCCGTGGCTTCGAGCAGGCCGTCGTTAAGAGACAGGCACAGAACAAAGAGTTCAGCGACACGGTGCTTACAAGACTCTCTGATAGGCAGGAAACGCTGTGTATATGGCGATTGAATATTGCGTATAGACTCTTCCTCTACGTATTAGATTACATACGATCCAAGTAGAGTAGGAGATTTTAGATTTACTCTTTAATGTGCAAGTTCTTACGGCCTTCGTACAATAGAAAATCATAGATCTTCCTTCAGCGTAATAATTAGAGGGCAATTCTTATAACATACAACTAGGTTTAGAAATTTCAGGCTGCTAAATTATTACATTTATATTCACCCCCATTCTAGTTCCATACATCATTCTAAAGAACTATTGTTCCAGCGCAGATAGCTAGAACTGGCATAATGTTAAAATCAGAATTAGTTATATATAACCCTACCTACTATAATAGAAGGCACAGGATCCCTACTTTTGCACTTAGTGCAGGTGGTATGACAATTCAATACATGATCATGGCTTATCTCATCAACAAGATGATGATGGAATCAGTCAAAATTCTGTGACAGCCGTTGGTTACAAACTGCAACCACATCCGACAATTTCCCCTCCCGCCATCCCGAGCCCACCACCAGCCATATTCAGATGGCCAGCGACACCGGTGCTCTAGCCAGTCCGATATATCCCCTCATCTGAACACCAAGAGATACGACAGCAGCAAGTCGATCATCTTCTAGTCGTTTTCCACGAGATCTTACCAACGGGTGGAAACCACTGGTGTTTCTACCTTTAGCACCAGGGCATATCCGTGAGGATCCACCCGAATCCAACCGGGCCATCGGGGACTAGCATCAAGGCGGTACGAAGGCGAACAGCATAGTCCGTTTGGGCTACGACGTCAATTACCACCCAGCACATGGTTTCTATCCATGCCGTTCCGGACGTCACGGTGGGCCAATTTATGAATGCTATCCAGGGGGCTGGACGATATCGTTAAGAATTTGACCCACAAGGTAGAGGCTGCCGACAATAAGTGGTTAACCAGATTGCCATGTTCTCAGATGAGAGGCTGATCGCAAACTCGAAGAAGCGGATGCAGCTAGAGATGCAGTTTTATGGGAGTTCATTGCTGGCCAGCCTACACACCGATATCCGACAGTTAATGGAGCATGCTACTAATATTATATAGTGTTGGGTTTATTGTGGGTGCCAAGAGCTGGATTAAATACGCGAAAGATTCGACTGTATCCAGGCTGCTATAGAGCCCGGAGCCATGCTCAACAGTCATGTCAATCCTAGCTGGCGATGCAGCGGAGGCATGCTGGGTCCGAAGTGTGTACGTAATAGGCTATTACTGCATCGCGTGCTTGGTGGAACAGAGCTTTCATTACTAAAAGAAACATGCACACTGCTGCGGGATTTCATATTCACTTCATCTATTGGAAGTCAAAGACGTGCTTGGAGACCAGCTCGACCAATCGTGCTGTTCCGAGATGACGAATAGTGCGCCAAGTGGGCTAATACCATGGTTATCACGTGCCACTTGGCTTCTATACAGTGTCTTGGCATAACGTCGTATTATGCATGTCGCCATAGTTGAAGATAGCTGAGGCCAAGAGATGGTTTTATGTTGTGATGTGTATTGGTTTTGTCCTCTTAGATGCGTCTTGAAAAGGGTTGTTGTCTTGTGTGCACACTATTGCCTATTGACAGCCCTGCCTTGCTCTACTCAAAGTCTAGTACGCACAGTACATGTTGGAGCAGATATGAGCTCTGGAAAGACCATGACATCCGGCTACCGTCAGCCTAGCAGAGATCCCGGGCTGAGACCCGCGGACAAGGACGGCGGTCGTACCTATGTGCAAAACAAGGCGGTGGCCGATGAGCCGACCGGCGACTTTGCCGCCATCGACCCGCACTCGGGCGTCAAGCGCGGGCTCAAGACGCGCCACCTCAGCATGATGGCGCTCGCAGGCATCATCGGGCCAGGCCTGCTGGTTGGCTCGGGCGGCGCACTGTCGGACGGCGGCCCAGCGGCGCTCGTCATCGGCTTCGGCGTCATCGGCATCATCGCTTTTAGTATTATGCAGAGCCTGGGCGAGCTGACGACGCTGTACCCGTCGGGCGGCGCGTTCGTCTCGTTGGCAGACCGCTTCGTGGACAAGGCGTTTGGTGTCGCCGTCGGCTGGAACTACTTTATCATCTGGTACGGTGTCTTTTTGTCTTTTATGTATATATGTCTTTTGCTCGCGTGCTGACGACGCAGGCTTGCCGTGCTGGCCAACGAGTACAACACCATCACCAGCATCTTCACCCTCTGGAGCGACAAGGTCCCCATCTGGGGGTACTTTCTGATGTTTTGGGTGAGCGAGTCTGCTGCAAAGTCCCGGTCTGGATGCTGACTGTGGGTCGACAGTTCGCCTTCACGGCCTTCCAGCTACTCGGCGTAGAGGCGTTTGGCGAGGCCGAGTTCTGGCTTGCGCTGCTAAAACTCGGCAGCCTGGTGGCCTACTTTTTGTTTTCCATCATGTCAGTCGGGGAAGATTCTACAGTTTGGCTGTCAGGTTTCTACGAATCGAGCTGACTAAGCAAAACAGTTATGTCGGCGGTGGCATCAAGAACGTGCCAGCGCTTGGCGGGAAGTATTGGCACGACCCGGGGGCGCTACCGCACGGCTTCCGGGGTGTAGCGACGGTGTTTGTCTTCTGCTCGACCTTTTACGCCGGCGTGGAGTCAGTCGCGGTGGCGGCAACGGAAACGAAGAATCCGGGCGTGGCCGTGCCGCTGGCGATCCGGCAGGTGTTCTGGCGCATCCTTTTCATCTACATGGGCTCGGCCATCTTCTTCGGCCTGACCTGTCCGTCGAATGCAAGCGGGCTGATCAACGGTGGCAACCGCGCGCTCAAGTCGCCGATGACGATCGCGATTCAGACGGCTGGTTGGCACGGCGGCCAGCACCTCATCAACGCCTTCATCCTGGTCACGTGTCTGAGCGCGGTCAATTCGAGTATCTACATTGGCAGCCGAACGCTGCTGTTCATGGCTCAGGACGGCAAGGCGCCCCGGCTCCTCGGCCGGACCAACAGCCGCGGTGTGCCCATCGCGGCCGTCCTCATGACCAATGCCTGCGGCGCTCTCAGCATGATGAACGTCTCGACCGGCGCCAGCTCGGCCTACTCGTACATTGTCAATCTCTCTGGCGTCAGCACCTTTCTCGTCTGGGGCAGCATCTCCTTCACCCACATCCGATTCCGCGCTGCCTGGAAGGCCCAAGGCCACACTGCGGCCGAGCTGCCTTTCCGCTCGTTTCTGTACCCATGGAACGCCTACTTCGGCCTTGGGGCCAACGCCTTCCTGGCCCTTGTTCAGGGATGGACGACTCTGTCGCCGTTCAGAGCTGGGAAATTTGTGGACTCATACATCCTGCTGCCCCTGTTTGCCGTCATCTACGTTGTGTACAAGCTGGTATTCCGGACCCGGTTCTGGCGAGCAGGCGAGGTCGACCTGGTGTCCGGCCGGCGGCGGGACGTGGAGGAAGACAAGGAAATTGCGGAGGGTGCGCACGTTTCATTATGGACGAGGCTTTGGAACAACTTTTGAGGTTTTGTGTAATATGCTGGGACCTGTGTAAGCTATGTACGTAGTAAATAGTGGCACGTGACTCACACGTGACGCTCAATCGATAGGAAGCATTTCTGGAACAGCGCACATAGCATTAAGCTTCATAGTACATATACCTCTCGGCGGCAAAGCGAATGCAATTGCGACATGTGCCAGCCCAACAAAACGGAACAGTGGAACGATTGCGCAAGCGAAAACTGAGGCAGGACAAGTTGAGCACGCTTCCCTAAGACTCGGCGCAGCATGGTTGCGGAAGCCTGGCGCAATGCTGTCGAGATCCTCATCGATGACGCTGCCGGTGGCAGGGACGAGTGCGGGCGGGCGGAGGCTGTCTGTCAGTTCTCGCATCTCGTTTGCGGTATCGAGCGCAGAGCGGGGCGAGAGTGAGGTGGCGCCGGCAGCGGCAGCGGAGCACCAGATGGAAGAGGAGATCGCAGAGATCAAAAGATACGAGGTAGGTTGGCCATGATGGCTGCAGACGGCGACGGAAGCTGACAGGACAGGACTTTACAACCATAGGTATGCGTGCATCTTGATGCAGGGCGACAGGCAGAAAGACGGACGGACTAACGGACAGACTGGGTGCAGGATGCAGCTCGCGAGCAGCAGCGCCGCAAGACGCAGCGACAGCACAGCGCGACGCTCTACGACAACGGGCAGGCCGGATGGCGATACCGGCTGTGGGAGTGGTATGACGCGGGACAGGGCTGGATTGTGGTGACGTTGATCGGGGCGGCGATCGGGCTGAACGCGGCCTTTCTCAACATCGTGACGGAATGGCTGTCGGACATCAAGATGGGCTACTGCACGACGGCCTTTTACCTCAACGAGAGCTTCTGCTGCTGGGGCGCAGACAACGGCTGCGCAGACTGGCACCGCTGGACGGTGCTGGAGCCGGCCAACTACGTGCTGTACCTGGCGTTCGCGGTGGTGTTTGCGTGGACGTCGGCGACGCTGGTGCGGTCGTTTGCGCCGTACGCAGCCGGATCAGGCATCTCGGAGATCAAGTGCATCATCGCCGGCTTCACGATGAAGGGCTTCCTGGGCCCGTGGACGCTGGCGATCAAGTCAGTGGCACTGCCGCTGGCCATCGCGTCCGGGCTCTCGGTCGGCAAAGAGGGCCCCAGCGTGCACTATGCCGTCTGCACCGGGGCCGTGATCTCGCGCTTCTTCGGCAAGTACCGACACAACGCATCCAAGACGCGCGAGATCCTGTGCGCGTGCGCGGCAGCCGGCGTGGCCGTGGCCTTTGGCAGCCCCATTGGCGGCGTGCTCTTCTCGCTCGAGGAGATGGCGACATACTTTCCGCTCAAGACGGTGTGGCGCAGCTACTTTTGCGCGCTCGTGGCCACGGCCGTGCTCGCAGCCATGAACCCATTCCGCACCGGCCAGCTGGTCATGTTCCAGGTGCACTACGACCGGTCGTGGCACTTTTTCGAGACGGCCTTTTACGTGCTGATCGGCGTGTTCGGCGGGCTCTACGGCGCCTTTGTCATCAAGTGGAACCTACGCGCTCAGGCCTTTCGCAAAAAGTATCTGGCACGCCATGCCGTGCTGGAGGCCACGCTGCTGGCGGCTGCGACCGCCCTGGTCTGTTACCCCAACGTCTTTCTGCGCATCGACATGACGGAGAGCATGGAGATTCTCTTCCTCGAGTGCGAGGGTGCCGAGGACTATCAGGGCCTCTGCGATGCACCCAACCGGGCCTGGAACATTGCCTCGCTCGTCGTGGCCACCGTGCTACGCATCCTGCTCGTCATCATCTCGTACGGCTGCAAGGTGCCGGCCGGCATCTTTGTACCGAGCATGGCCATCGGCGCCTCGTTTGGCCGCACTGTCGGCATCGTCGTCCAGGCCCTGCACGAGCGGTACCCAGCCAGCGTCTTCTTTGCGGCCTGCGAGCCCGACGTGCCGTGCATCACGCCGGGCACGTATGCGTTCCTGGGCGCAGCCGCCGCGCTCAGCGGCATCATGCACCTGACCGTGTCGGTGGTCGTCATCATGTTTGAGCTCACTGGCGCACTGACGTACATCTTGCCGACAATGATCGTTGTGGGTGTGACCAAGGCTGCCAGTGACCTCTTTGGCGGCGGTGGTGGTGGCATTGCCGACCGCATGATCTCCTTCAGCGGCTTCCCCTTCCTCGACAACAAGGAGGAGCACAACTTTGGCGTGTCGGTGGCCCAGGCCATGACGAGCGACGTTGTCGCCCTACCGGCTGCCGGCATGACCTTGGCGGCCGTCGAGCAGCTGCTGGCCCGCGGCAAGTACCAGGGCTTTCCAGTCGTCGACGATGTCGAGACCCGCGTGCTGGCCGGCTATGTTGGCCGCACCGAGCTGCGCTATGCCCTCGAGCGGCTGCGCAGCGGGTCCAGCGGCCCTGATCTGCACCCGGACACCCGCTGTCACTTTCTACCTGAGGGTCCTGTTTCTCCCGACAGCACCACAGCCGACAGTGTCGATCTTGGCCGCTTCGTCGACCGCACGCCCGTCACCGCACACCCACGGCTGCCGCTCGAGACCGTCATGGAGCTGTTCCAGAAGATCGGCCCACGCGTCATCCTGATCGAGTATCGTGGCCGGCTGTCTGGCCTGGTCACCGTCAAGGATTGCCTCAAGTACCAATTTAAGGCCGAGGCTGCCGAGCACGCCCGTGACGATGGCCACGCTGCCGATGCTGCCCAGGAACAGCTGTGGGCCGCTATGCGCTGGCTGGCCGTCTGGCTGGCCGACCGCCTGCATAGCCTCTCGGGTGGCCGCATCCGGCTCGGCGGCAGCGACAGCTACGGCGAGCTGGACGGCCGCAGAAGCTCGATCGTCTTTGACGGCACAGAAGGATTCGACGACGACGGCGTAGAGCTGGCAGACAGATGAGGAGAGGGAAGAAGGGGGACGCCTTGGCAGCTGGCAGCTGGCAAGTGTCGCCTGTCAGCTGTCCACGGCAGCTGTACGTAATATTGACGCATATAGAACAGAAGGAGCATTCGGCGTAATTCCGAGTTTCGCAACGCATTTCCGCATTTCCGACGCCACCGAATAACTTTGCGCCCTGTGATTGACACCCCGCTATTACTTTGATCTCTATTAAAGGACTCTCCCAATTCCAGATTGATAAACGGCACAAGGCAGCATGGACGCAAACGACTTCCGGCAAGCGGCCACGGCCACGATTGAGGAGAGTGAGTGAAACACGTGCTATGTGGACCACACGACAGACGCTGACTAAGCAGTCATCCAGTACTACGGCAGTCTGGGCGGCCGGCCGGTGGTGTCGACGGTCGAGCCAGGCTACCTGCGGCGGTTGCTGCCGGCGGCGGTGCCGGAGCAAGGGGAGCCATGGTCGGCGATCCAGGCAGACGTGGAGGACAAGATCGTGCCAGGGCTGACACACTGGCAGTCGCCCAACTTCTTTGCCTTTTTCCCATGTCCGTCGAGCTACCCGTCGATCCTGGGCGAGCTATACTCGGCCACGTTTGCGGCGGCGGCCTTTAACTGGATCTGCAGCCCGGCCATCACGGAGCTGGAGACGGTTGTGATGGACTGGCTGGTGCAGCTGCTCGGTCTGCCGGCCGACTTTGCGAGCACGGGGCCAACGGCCGGCGGTGGCGTCATCCATGGCACCGCGTCTGAAGCCGTGCTGACCATGATGACTGCTGCTGCCGACAAGTATCTGCGCGCCGTTCTGGCCGACGCGGTCGTCGGCTGCTCCGACGAAGCTGTCGAGGACCTCCGTGCCGACCGTCGTGGCCGCCTCGTGGCTCTCGGCAGCGCTGCCGCCCACTCGTCCACCAAAAAGGCCGCCCGCATCCTCGGCCTGCGCTACCGCTCTGTGCCCGTCGCTCCGGCCGACGGCTATCGCATGACCGCCACAGCTCTCCGCCAGACCCTCGCCGACGTCCGCGCTGCCGGACTGGAACCCTTCTTCCTCACCGCCACCTTTGGCACCACCGACACCTGTGCCGTCGACGACTTTGCCGGCATCGCCGACGTCCTCGAACAGGACCGCCGGCTGGCCCAACAACAGTCCCAGAAACAGACCCTCCCAGAGGTCTGGGTCCACGTCGATGCTGCCTATGCTGGATCGGCTCTCGTGCTGCCTGACCAGCAGGCCGCCTTTGCCCCTGCCGCTGCCGGCACCGACATCCTCCGTCGCTTCCACAGCTTCAACTTCAACATGCACAAGTGGCTGCTCACCAACTTTGACGCCTCCTGCGTCTTCGTTCGCCGCCGTCGCTGGCTCGTCGATGCCCTCAGCGCCGATGCCCACTACTACCGCAACGATTACAGCGATGGCGGCTTAGTCACCGACTACCGCGACTGGCAGCTGCCCCTCGGTCGTCGCTTCCGCAGCCTCAAAATCTGGTTCGTCCTCCGCACCTACGGTCGAGACGGCCTGCGTGCTTATATCAGCCGCTCCATCCGCCTCGGCGAGCGCTTTGCTGCCGCACTGCCCCCTGATCTCTTCGATATCATCACCGGCCCCCGCTTCGCCCTCACTGTCTTCCGCTGTGCCCCTCGTGACCCCGCCGAGGACCCCGCCGCCACCTCCGATCGCACCCGCCGCGTCTACGAGGCCGTCAACGCCGGCGGTCAGATCTGGGTCACCAGCACCAGCCTCGAGGGCAAGGGCGCGGCCATCCGCGTCATGACCGGAAACTACCTCACCGAGGAGAAACACGTTGACGGCGCCATCGCCATCTTCATTGCCGCCGCCCGTCAGGCTCTTGCTGACGAGGACAAAAAGCAAGCAGCCCACCAACCCGACCTCAAAATTTAGTCATCACTTTATGTACGGAGTAATATTTGGTATATCGTGTATCTGCATATTCGTGATGTGTAATTCGTAATCCGTAAACTCATTCAGTCGTCAAATAGTTATCTCAACCGGCTCAGATGCTTGCCCGCCGAGGCGCTGTTGTGCGCCGCAACGCCTTCTTCGCCTCCGTCTCCACCATCAGCGGCAAACGCCCTTCGTTCCCCAGCTTCTGCAAAAACTCCTGCCCAAACCGATATCCCACCTGGACAATCTCGTCAAACTTGGCAAACTCGAGCGTCCCATAGTCGTCAATCGGTGGCCGCATGTAGAAGCAGCCCGGCATCATCTTGGCCCGCTCCAGCGCATCCACGCTCGACACGTATGCGAGCCGCGCCTGGATCTCCGCCAGCGTCGGTGGGTTCGGCGTCGAAGACAGCGGGTTCCACCGGTTGACAAACGCCCAAAACCCCGACAACGTGTCGCCAAAGGCCTGTGGCGTCGAATCGTCCAGCGCCCCCACGTCTACCGCAAAAATCACGTCCGCCCCTAGCGACTTCATATGCGACACCGTCAGGTTGTCCACATAGCCCCCGTCCAGCAGCATGCTGCCCTCGTCGCAAAGCGGCGGCACAAGGCCTGCCAGCGACATCGATGCCCGCACATACCGCCATGCATATCCGCTCGTGTGCACTTCCATCCGGCTCTTGCTGATGTTTGTCGTGTTGCAGTAGAATTCCAGCCAGAAGTCCTCGATCTGTGTCTTGCCAAACGTCTTGAAGATGCCCCGGTTGAATTCGTGTCCGGTCGTGTAAGACGCTGACGGATATGTCAAGTCCAGAGCGAATCGCCAGATACTCGCCATCCGGCCTGCAAACTTCTTGGACAGCCCAAAGATTGGCACCACATCCGCGTGTCGCGCATACAGCCCCCCAATAAATGCCCCAATGGACGTGCCGCCGATCAGGTCGATCGGAATTCCTGCTTCCTCCATCGCCCGGATGATACCAACCTGTGCAAGACCACGCGCTCCGCCACCGCCGAGAACGAGCCCTATCGACTTGCCGCACAATCGCCGTGCAAGTCGCTGAAAGTCGCCTTTGTGTGGCGCATCTGGCGAATAGAAAGGACCATGTCGGACCTTGCGCGACGTGTACTTTTGAATTTCCGCTTGCAAGATCTGCACCCTCTCCTTCAGGCTGGGACCAAATCGTTTCGGTGCTTGGTGTATTGGCACCGACTCCGACCGGAATGCCATCTGCACATGGAAATGCCCGCCATTGATCCACACCCGGTTCTTCAGCCACGCTCGAGTGAGGCCGGAAGACGAGTATCGCTCTGGGTGCAAGAGAACGAGAACCTTTCGCGCAGTCGACTTCATCCCCAGCATGAATCGCTCGTACTCGCCGATTACAGGCGAGTCCTCTGCAAGGCCGACAAGCAAAATAGCGTCTGCCTGCGTGATACACGTCTGGGTCCAAGGCGAGTTTACATTCGTATCTGTGCGTTTGGAGAAAAGCATTAGTCTCTCGACGCCCAAGGCAGCAGTAATATGCATGTAAAATAGACAACAAATAGCGATAGGCAGTCAGGAAAAAATTAGAGTTAACGTTGCCATCCTCAACTTGCAGATGCAAGCCTCTGGAACTGATTTTTCTCATCATTCAATGCCGGCAGAAAAAATGAAAGCGAAGGCAAAGGCATAAAACGTACCAGCGACATAGACAACGAGACTGTACTTCTCCTCAAGGTCTGCTAGAAATTGCGACAGCTTTAGCTTGCCCATCCGGTTGAAAGCATGCCGCCCAAGGTGGCTCATAATCGCTGCTTGGTTCAGTGACGTCGCCCCGTTTGGCGTTCCGACTTGGCTCAGCGCACTCATCAGCTTGTTTCCAAACTCCACAACCGGGACACCGGCTGTCACGGGCAAAATCGCCACAGTCCTCAGGTTCTCTGTCGACGATGCGCTCTTTCCCACCGTCGTCGTTATGACCGACCCATCCCGCGACAGAGTGGCTGCCGGGTTGTCCATGAGGTTCCTCATCCGGGACGCTATGATCTTGGAGATTTTGATCGTGATGTTCGGATGCTCTTGCGCCAAACTGTTGAAGAGCGTACGCGGGAACTTGACGAGCTCTGTGTCACGGATGGCATGGAGCGTTCCCGATCGAGCCGTCTCCGTGAGCACCTCTAGCTCACCAACACTGTCGCCCTGTCCGTACTCTGCCAGAACGGCCATCCCTCCATCCTTTCGCTCGTCCACCAGCCGCAGCCGGCCGTTCAGCACAATATAGATAGCCTCGCTTTCTTCATTTCGGTGAAAGATTACCTGCCCGGCGCTGACCTGAAGCCACTCGAGCGCAAAGTCGATGTGCAGAATCAACCGCGGCAAGATATGCGTCAGCCGCTTTGCCATCGTCAACAGCACGATCGGATATCGGTCGACGATCCGTTCCAGTGACGTGCGAGGCAGGAATCCCACGTACACATCCGTTTTCGCCACCACGTCGATAAACGACCGGTACGACGACACCGTGCCAATGTATCCCGCCAGGCCGCCCGGTTTTATCAGAGCCACACTTCGTCTCGCTCGGCCTCCCTTCTTCCCGTCGTCGCCAGCACTCGAACCTTTCGGCTCGTCGTTCTGCGGTGTCTTCGGAGTCGCGAACGTATTGTTGAACGGATCATCCATCAGCGGTGTTGCTGTCGCCGACGGTCCCTTGCTATGAGATGCGTCAAAAATGCTCAGGGACGATGCGTCACGCTCCGGGATGCAGATATCCAGAAATCCGTCGATAACATAGTAGAGGCCTGGGTTGCGTTCACCCTGCTCAACCAGCACCGAGCCTTTTGGGAAAAATACAATTTCGACCTCTCCAACCATATCGCGGGCAACACTCTGAACGCTCGGAGGGCTGCCTGCCATACCGCCTGACGTCATAGACTCTGCATCACCATCTGCAGACCCATTGAATGGGTCCATGAAGCCAAATGCATTGTTGCTGAAGACAGCTTTCTGACGCATGCTGTCATACGAAACGAGTCGGGGCGAAGCCTCAGTAGACTCAACCTCCCGCGGTGTTGCGGACGTAGAATTGAGACCAATTGCCTTGAACATGCATTCAAGCACCGACTCGCGAAAAATGTTATCTTCGTCTAGTTCTTCCCTCCCATCCATTGACATGCGGGTGTGCTTCGGCGTTACAAATGGATGGACTGGTCTCTGGGCTCGAGGAGGCGTAGTCATGTTATTCGAGAACATCGGACTGAAACCAAACTGTGCAGCCGCCTTTGATGATGGTTTGACACTTTTGCCATTGCCAGGTGTCGTCTGCATGTTCGCAAAGTCTCCAGCATTGTCAGATGTAGGCCTCCGATCCTTTGCAAACGCGCCGGCTGCCTTGGACATCGACTCAGGCCGCTGCCTCGCTAAAGAGTGCAGAGCAGCTTCTTTTCGCATTGTAGTGGATGACCGTTTCGGTCGCGAAGAAGCCGGGTTGTGGAGGGCAATCCCTTTCCCGACTTCATCTTCTCCAATTCGCTCCCGCTCACGTTCAAATTTCTCCTTTAGCCGATCCAAGGCATCTCCTCGCAGAAAGTTGGGCAGCTGGCACATGCTGTACTTGATCATGTTCTTCTCTGTTTGCATCACTTCTCCAGAAAGACCCAAGTAGCTGTACGCTGTCGCCAACGTGACCCGCTGAAAACGCGACAGAATAACATGAACAATATGAGCGGTGGCTTTGGGGTACACGCGAATGAGCCGCCGAAAGGCACTGGCCGGAATGATTGCAATTGTGGTGTCAACCGTGGCCCGGGCAATGATGTCAGGGTGCACCGAGCTCGTAGCCGTGCGTTTCAGCCCCGGCCTCCGTATATGTGGAGGGGAGTCCAAGTTCATATGCGGGACTGGCGGTAAATTCGAGCCAGCCGTGGGCTCGGAAGGCCTGACGTTTTCGGAAGGCTCATCCACAAGTGGCATTTGTGAGAATGCAGTCCGCGGATCTTGCGACAACCCTAAGCCAGCACTAGCCGGATACCGCATGGAATTATTCCGAGCATCCGAAACGTCGTGTGTAGTGTCATCCTCGGATTGCCGAAGGTCGATATCCTCGGTGAAAAGAGACATCAAGGAAAAGAGCGACGACATGGGAGCACCATTTCGAACCTCAGTCAAGAGCTGGTACCGCTGTTGTGCAGGGGAAGAGCTCTCGTCGTCGCTAGACGCAGTTTCGAGAGACACTCCGCGCCGTGACTGTCCTGAATGTTGACGACTATTGCCTGGCCGAGACGATTTCACAAAAATCTCAACAAGGCCGTCAACCACAATGCAGAATCCCTTTTCTTCCTCAAGGTTTAACGTCTCGCCGGCGATCAGCTTCCTTGTCATCATGCTTCTGGTGAGCTCGTGAAAGACCGGCCGTTCTAGGTATCCGAAAATCTTGATGGCACTCAAAAATTCGTCAAGATAGCTAGAAAGGCCTGATTTGATCCCTTCATCATGGGTGTCTGGAAACAGGTCCACATCCGGTTCTTTCCTCTGCGGCTCCGGTGGAAGGCGGGCATACACGTTAAGGTAGCGATACCGTACAAACCAGCTCACTCCAGAGAAGATGGCAAACACAATAAGCATCCTTCAAGCAAAGTCAGCAATAACACTCAACGATCTGGCTCACAACTTCAGCTGAGAGCAGAGTGACTCACAAGGTAGTTGCGTTCATTGTCACCGTCAGTGTTGTGGAGAACAAAGTGAAAAGAATGGTCGGGATCGAGAAGGTGGTCAACTTAATCGTAAAGTACAAGATGGTCGACACCAGGTGAAGGATGGCCAAGATTAGCCTCGCAAAGAGGCCTATCCAGGAGGTAGAGCCATGATTAGCTGCAACCTCGCCAGCAGTGGCCACAGCGGAGGACAGAACCGACACCGAGGCGTCAGCAACAGGCGCCAAAACCACGTTGGCCATCCCGTCTATAGAGCTCATCTTCTGCTGCAGATTGCACGCAGCGGTGAAATATAAATTATAGCATGTTGAGCTGTGAGGAAACGGGGCTCAGGAAAACGAGCACTCGATCAAACTTCCAAGACAAGCTCACCCGGCCGTATGTAACAATATTGGCTGTCAAGATTTAGTTGACCAAATTGGAGCTCGAAAAAATTGCTCGTGAAATTTAGATAAAAGCTAAAGTTGTTATGTAATCTGGAGATCCATGAAACCCCGGATCATTAATGTTCCCGTCCAAAGATAATGAGGGCTACCAGTACACCCCACTAAGTGATTTCGGAAAACCCGTGTACAGGAAGACTTGACAGCCCGACGACTGTTCAAAATTTTTGAGTTCGCATCTCAAAGGACACGCAAGCCCGCCTCTATATGTGTCGGTATGCATCCTGCCTCTAGAAAGTAGTCGTTGTGCTGGGAAGCTACGTGATCTCGTTGATAGTCGAGAGGCGTACGTTTTTGCCAATATAGCTCGTACACCAAGCCAAATTTAATTCACAACCACTTCTTAGCCCCGCCTATAATTTTTTCTCGTGCAATCATCCTCCACAGCCGTATATCGAAGCATACAACTACCGACCTCTGCTCCCGCTTTACATAACCCAGCTTGCCGTTGGATTGTTTTGAGAACAGCAGGCTCCCAGCCTTGTAGACTTCGCCAAGATGTCGTTCAGCCACTGCAGGTTCTACGAGGGTAGGTACCCTCCCTTAAGCCGTTGCATTGAGGGGGTTTTGCATTTGGGTGTTCCTGTGCACAGGCACGGCCGTCGCCCTGACATCAGGCTGACCGTCTTGCAGAGAAATACCCAGAAATCGACAGCTATGTTATGGTCAACGTTCGCCAGGTAAGCGTCATCCGAAGGGGGGGCGTTTCTCGATAGGAGGGAAGAGGCGCAATATCATGACGTCGCGTGCGGGGCAGAGACAAGGGCCAGCCTGCTAACCGGCATCCGACGCGAAACAGATCGCCGACATGGGCGCGTACGTGAAGCTCCTCGAGTACGATGATATCGACGGCATGATCCTGCTCTCGGAGCTGTCGAGACGGCGAATTCGCAGTATCCAGAAGCTCATTAGAGTGGGCCGGAACGAGTGCGTGGTGGTGCTAAGAGTGGACAAGGAGAAGGGTTACATCGATCTGTCGAAGCGCCGGGTGTCGCCGGAAGACGTGAAGAAGTGCGAGGAGCGGTACAACAAGAGCAAGATGGTGCACTCGATCATGCGGCATGTGGCCGAGAAGACGCAGACGGCCATCGAGGCTCTGTACGAGACGATCGGCTGGCCACTGAACAAGCAGTACGGTCACTCGCTAGACGCATTCAAGCTTTCCATCACGTACGTACCATGGCCGGGACGTTTGTCCGCGCGTGCTTGCCAAGACGGGATGATGGCTGATACAAGTGGCACAGGAACCCCGATGTGTGGAACGACATCACCTTCCCGAGTGAGGCCGTGGCCGAGGAGCTCAAGTCGTACATTGGTAAGCGGTTAACACCACAGCCGACAAAAGTGCGTGCCGATGTGGAGGTCACCTGCTTCTCGTATGCGGGCATCGAGGCCATCAAGACGGCGCTAGCGACGGCCGAGGCCGAGAACACGGACGACAACAAGGTCAAGGTGCGGCTAGTATCGCCGCCGCTGTACGTCCTGACGAACACGTGTCTGGAGAAGAACACGGGCATCAGCCGGTTGCAAAAGGCAATCGAGGACGTGCGGGCGAACATTGAGGCTGCCGGCGGCAAGCTCGTGGTCAAGATGGAGCCCAAGGCGGTCACGGAGAGCGACGACGCGGAGCTGCAGGCCCTCATGGAGAAGCGCGAGCGGGAGAACGCCGAGGTCAGCGGCGACGACAGTGCGAGCGACAGCGGCGACGACCTGCCCGAGATTGCATGAAGCGCCAAGCACGAGCAGGAAGCCCAAGCCCAGGCTCAGGACTCCGGCCGTGGCCGGGACGAGAAAAATGAAAACAGCGAGGAGAGGACGCAACCCTGTGGCAGCGGCAGCTGATCTGTGTGCTGCCAAGTCTTGTCTCGATTTTTTTTGTCCAGCCAATTGCGAGCAAACCAGATAGGACGGGCGAAAAGGAAAGACAAAAAGCATATTTGAGCCTTGGTCGGAAGAAGGAACTGACCAGAGAGGCCTCGGGAACGGGCTTTGGCTCGGGAGCAGCACAGTGATAGAAGCCATAGCTGGGATTACAGAGCAGATGATAATATGCGCGCAAACGTTCAGGCCTGATTTTGTTGCGTGTGCATAAATCCGATACTGGCGCTAAGCCGGCGAATCACCAGACTTTTTGCCATTCCCCATACAGCTTTGCCTCGACGACTCCCCGGGGTCTTTGGACCGGAAGGGAACCACCTCGCACGGCTGTCCGGCTTAAGCAACACAATTTTGTCATTTCTCTGTCCCTCTCATGGCGCTGGGCTCGCTGTGGGCGCGGATCCGGAGAGCAGCAGCCCAAGGCAGCGCGGCATCTGTGTTCATGTCGTCCAGGTCCGAATTCGGGTCCGGATTTCTGCGGCAGTTCAACTGGCGGCTGTTCGGCCTTGCGACCTGGCTGCCGGTGGCCGTCTGGTTCAACAGTGCCGTCGTGGAGGTGACACGAATCGAGGGCCCGTCGATGCACCCGTTTCTCAACAGCCACTTTGGCGAGTCGCTGGAGCGCGACTGGGTTCTGAACTGTAAGCTGTATGCCCAAGAGGGACTGCAGCGCGGCATGATTGTCTTTTTGAGGTCGGTAGTGTCTTGAGCCCTGAGCCTTGGACCCTGAACTTCTTCTCTCTGACACCTCCCAGGAGCCCGGTGCACCCCGAGGTGGTGTCGGTGAAGCGTGTCATCGGCCTCGAAGGAGACGTCGTGCAGACGCGCCGGCCATATCCGACAGCATACGTGCGCGTGCCGGCTGGCCATGTCTGGGTGGAAGGCGACGCGGGCGAGGGCCGCAGCCTCGACAGCAATACATACGGCCCCGTCTCCATCGGCCTGGTGACCGGCCGGCTCTCTCACATCCTACTGCCACTGAACAAGGCTGGCCTGGTGCGCTGGTGGGAACACCCACTGGAGGACCGAATAACGGCTACGTCTTGAGACAGGGATTCGCATGCATGTCTAATCCAGCGTCTGCTTTGTCGATTTAGATGGAGGGAAGTGCATTGGGGGGAAAGGCTGGGATGAAGCTACACGGCACCAAATGCAATACAGCTACCTGCGCAAGCCATCCTGCATGTAAAGGTTCCGGGAGTGTGAAGCATCGAAAACCGAGTCCGTTTTGGACCGTCCCCGGCTTGCTGTAGCATCAATTGGTCCTATTTGGCTGTCGTCGAGGCTTTCGGAGCCATTCGTTCGGACATAACAGCGCTTCAGCGTCCCCAAACAGGCAGTCAGGAACATAATCGGACCGCTACACGTTTTGATTGGCCAGCGCTCCTCTGCGCAGCGGCAGAAAAAAATTACAAGGTTGAAAATAGTGTCGGAGAAAAGTCGTAAGGCATCCAGCAAAGCAGAGGCTGACACGCTTTCCGAGCACCCTGCGTCTCCCTTGCCGCCGACGGCTTCCGATTCCCGGCCTCGACGAGCCCGCGATCGTCTCCCTCCTTTCGTGTCCGGCATTGAGGATCACAATTGCCCCTCCGGAGGCCTGTGCTCTGCCCTCTCTTGTTCGCGACCCGGGGCAATGGATGTTGGCTGCAGACGAGCTTGCTGTCGGAGAATCTACCTGCAAAGCGCGGGTATCTAAAACCAAGCCAGGACGAGCCACGATGGTGACTGGCACCGGTGATAATGACTACGAGGGGCGGCCGCCGTACCTGCATGTGAGCCAATCTCTCTTCCTGACATCGGCCTAACGGCCGGCGATGCAATCGATGCTGACGGTGGCGCCCCTGCCTGACAGTCCATGCTTGCCGGCGGCCTCGGCGGGACCTGCGGCGACATGTTCATGCACTCGCTCGACACGGTCAAGACACGGCAGCAGGGCGACCCGCACATTCCGCCCAAATACACCTCGCTCGGATCGTCGTACTACACCATCTTGCGGCAGGAAGGCATTCGACGCGGGCTGTACAGCGGCTGGCTCCCGGCGCTGCTGGGGTCCTTTCCCGGCACGGTCATCTTCTTTGGCACGTACGAGTTCAGCAAGCGGCACATGATCGATGCCGGCGTGACGCCCAACATTGCGTATCTGGTGGGCGGCTTCCTCGGCGACCTCGGCGCATCGGTCGTGTACGTGCCGTCCGAGGTTCTCAAGACCCGGCTGCAGCTGCAGGGCCGCCACAACAACCCGTACTTCCACTCAGGCTACAACTACCACGGCATGACGGATGCGGCTCGCACCATTGCCCGCATCGAGGGCCTGCCAGCCCTCTTTTACGGCTACAAGGCCACGCTCTTCCGCGATCTGCCCTTCTCAGCCCTGCAGTTCATGTTCTGGGAGCAGGCCCAGAACGGGGCACGCCACTGGAAGCAGAGCCGTGACATCGGCTTGCCGCTCGAGTTTCTGACGGGTGCCGGTGCTGGTGGTCTCGCTGGCGCCATCACCTGTCCCCTGGACGTGGTCAAGACCCGGCTGCAGACGCAAGTGAACCCGGAGGTGGCCACAACGACAACAACAACTTCAACCAACCAAACGGCGCCCAAGTCCGGCAACACACCTCCACAGAAGCGTCTCATCTCGACGTCGTCGCCCTCCACCCATACGCCGCGTCCCGGTGCCGTCAGCCTCAAGACGTCGTCGGTCTACACCGGCCTCAAGCTCATCTACCGCACCGAGGGCGTCGGCGGCTGGTTCCGCGGCATCGGCCCCCGTGTAGTGTGGACGAGCATCCAGAGCGGCTGCATGCTGCTGCTGTACCAGACCATCCTGCGCAAGCTGGACGAGCTGCTGCCACCGGGGCCGCGGCCAGAGCTGGACGTGCTGTGAGCACCAGGCAGACGGCTGAGTCAGCAAGCCCGGCGACACAATGTACTAATAGCGCTTCTAACTTGGACCAGGGCAGAAAAAAGTCAATGGGCAGGGCGTTTCTGGGTGGACACGGTTTCATTTGCTGTATATACCGCTTAGACAGGGCAGATGTGATCTGCTAGACCTACATAGACCTTTACATACAAATCCTCTCTTAAGACTGGTTTGGTGCGTGTCCTTACGTAATCAGTGAGAGGTGCAAAAGTGGATTTCTTTTGATTGGTCCACGCTCTCCGGCAAATCGTACCACCAATAAAGTTTTATAACTTCACAATCTCTAAAACGTCCGTCTTTGTTTTACCGTTGCCTCACCACGCCATCTGGGGTGCCGACCTTTTACCTGGGGCCTATTTTCTCTCCTCTGTCAAATTCCCCCTTTCTTTTTCTCCCTAGGACTATGGGCCCTGGTCTTGGCTCTGCGTCTGGTTCGTCTTCCCGCAATTCGCACTCGTTTACTTCGATTTCCTCGGCTTCTCGAAGCCAATGCCACCATGTCGGCCAACACACCGCTGCCTGTCCCGTCCAAGGCGGCTCTCCGGGCGCTGCGCGGTATTGTTCTCGGCACATCATGCACGCTCGCACTGATCACCGAAGACCGGCGGCGCCGCATTAATATGGCCCGCAGCGCCATCCACAACGGCAACTGTATCCGGTCGGCTCGACGATACCATTCCGACAGCAATGCGCTGGCCGACGCTCTCGAGGAAGAAGGCAGTCTGACAGTCGAGAATGGTGTGGTCCATTGGAAGGCTGCCGATACCAATGCGCAGCGGCTGTCCCGACAGGAACGGCTGCTTCTCGCAGCGTCGACACCCAGTGCCGAAGAGAAGGACAAGCCAGGGCCGGTGGAACAGCCCCATACGCAACAGCTCGACTCGCGCCACATACAGCAGCCACTTCCTTCCCTTGTGCAGCAGGCCGACGGGTACAAGTCCCGGATACGGCCAATGTTGCGACCGCAGAACGCTGTCCCCAACGGCACCGCTGCTGCTGCTGTCGGACTCGCTGACCTGCCTGTTGTAACTGCCCAGCTTGTCGAGCTGATAGCGGCAGACAGTCCGGCCAGACTGGAAGCGGCCGTAAAGGTGCTGCTGTCTACGGAATGCTTGTTTTCCAGCTCTTCCGAGGATGCTCTATCTATTCCTGCAGACCAGTTACAGGCTCTCCGGGATGCATCTTCTGCTCTCTGTCGAGGTTGTCAGGAAGCGGGTCGCATGGATCTTGCGCAGGAGGTCTTGCGGCTAGCGGTACAGAACCTGCAGCTCGACGAGGAGGCATACTTTGCGCACAATCCCCTACCAGTAGTAGCTTCTCTCATTCCGTCGAACGAGCTCATGGCCGCCAGAGAAAAGAGTGAAGATACAGAAGCAGACAATGACGCTTTGGACGATACGGCTGTCCGGCAGCTGCGAAAAGCGATATGGTTATTCCTGCCTCACCTGGTGGGGTCGCGGTCTCGATCAGCAACGGAGTTCGTTCCGCTGGCACGGCAGCTGCTGGAACGTGCCTTTGCAGTGGGCAAGCGGCGGCTAATCAAGAGCGTATACGCAGCCATTGTGGCATACGACGGGGAGATGTCGGGGCTCATGCTCTGGTACATCAAGCGGCTGCACGAGACCGAACGGTACAAGCTGATTGTGTGGGCGTACTTGGCCAAGCCAAAGGCGGCGGTCAAGCTGCCGACCAGCGGCTTTCTAGAGCTGGGCGACCGCGTGGTGGATGCAGTGCGGCTGACCAATACGGCCAAGGCGGGCGAGATCCTGCGATTTCTGTCGACGGTGCGGTCGTCGGACCGGCAGATGCGCACGTCTTGGGTGACGGAGCTGCTGCACTGCCAGTGGCGAAAGGGGCAAGATTACGAGGCGGTGCAGCAGCGGTTCACGGCGCTGGTGACGAGCAAAGGTGGCGGGCTGGCAGCAAGAGTACACTACCCAGACGGGGTGTACCGGGTGATGGTGCAGATTGCGCTGGAGGCAGGCCGAACAGACGAGGCCGAGGACTTCTTAGCGACGCTCAGAGCAACAAACGCGGCGATGGCCGATGACATCCGGGTGCAGGGGCTCTTTGCGCTACAGCAGGCCAAGCAGGGCGACTGGGAGGGGGTGCGAGCACGGTTCGGGATGGCAGTGACGGCAGCCATGTCGTCAGGGGGTCGGGGTCTGGTGGCCGAGGACACGGAGCGGGTGTTTGTGCCGATTGTGAAGGAGTACACACGAACGCACACGATCGGCGAGACAGAGGACTTTCTCAAGAGCTACATCGACGGGCTAGGCATCCCGCCAGGTCGACGACTGGTCACACTACTGGCCCACGAGTACGGTGCATTGCGAGAGGTGCAGTCGTTTGTCGGCTGGCTGGAGTACTGTGCCCAGGCGGGCTTTGAAGTGGACGCGGCCTTCAGCAACGCGATTCTCAACAGCTGCCGCAAGCACTGGAAGTTTGGGTTCCGCGATCTGCGCACAATGTACCGCAAGCTGTGCGTGCTAAGCCCCAACTTTGAGGACCGGGTGACGCAGACGATCATGACGCACGCAGCCATCTCGGACGCCCGGTACATGGGCCGGCCGGTCAAGGGACGCATTCTGTCGCTGCGGACGGGGGGCAAGCGAATTGTCGGCAGCACGGTGACGCCAATCGGGAACGTCGGCACTGTCGGCACCATCAGCACTGTCAGCACTGCCAGCACGGCGAGTACGGCCAGCTTTGTGTCGCCGCTGTCGATGTCGGGGCGCTTCCTGGACGAGGAGAGCCTGTTTCTGAGCATGAAGCACGCCTTTGCCACGGGCATGGTGTCCAAAGCCGTGCGGCTGTACCGACGAGCGACACACAGCGGCGTGCAGGCGAGCGAGCGGTGTCTGAAGCTAGCCGTAGCCGCAGCGACGCGTCAGGCCAGCGGACGAGGCAGCTTCGACACGGCCATCGAGCTGCTGCGGACGGCCCAGCTGGGCGGCCAGGATATTGACGGTGCTGCCGCCTATGTGGCCGTGGCCTGCATCGACGTCGAGGGCCCGGCTGCGAGTGCTCGGCGTGGCCGAAACGGTGCTGCTGCGGCTGTGCAGTCGATCCTGGCTCAGCTCGAGGCCAGCGATGTGCGCGTGTCCGACCTGGCCCTCAACCGTGCCGCCTTCTGCGTCTTCAAGGCCGGCCACATGCGCGGTGCCGTCGCTCTCGCCCTGTCGGCCGCCAACACCCCCGTTGCTGGCGGTCGGCCCGGCTACAACGTCTGGAACTTTGCTGTCCTCATCGCTGCCTATGCTCGCCTGGCCGACGCCGAGGGCCTTCGCATGACCGTCGACGCTGCCACCGCCGCCGTCCTGGCTGAGCGCCTCGCCTACAACGCCCTCAAGCAGGCCCGCCGTCGGCTGCGCCTCATGGGGGGCACAGCTCATGTTCCCCCTGTTGATGATATGGACGAATCACGTGACTTTTACGACCCCCATAGCAACAGCAGCCGCGCCCTGCTCGCCGTCGAGCTCGGCCTCGACCACGCCCGCCGCGTCCGCCGCCGCCTCAGCAGCCAGCGCGTTCAGGTCGAGGCCGCCACCATCGACATTATGCGTCGCGCCGCCCTCGACGCCGGCTGCGCACCCGTCGACTTTGACGACGTGCCGTTCCTGCACCGTCGTCCGTCTGCTGACTCAGCCGATGCCCCACAACACCCCGTCGTCCACCACCATACCGACAGCCTCGACAGCCTCGACCTCGACGGCTGGGAGCTACCCGACGTACCGGCCGCCGCCGCCGTCGCGACAGGACCGCCCTTGGCCGCGCCCTTGGTGGCCTGTCCAACTTAGACAGAAGAACCATAAAGACACTACGAGTGGGAATGATTCGAAGTAAAATAGCAAAAACAAAACTTCACAAAAACTGAAAAGACTAGTAAATACTATACAGAACTGGTTACAACTTGTTAAACAGCTCCCGCCTAGAAGGTCACGTGGCCCCTGGACCAGTCGGCTTGCCAGTCAGTCTCTCTACACCAGTCTCTGCAACATTATCTCAGTCTGTATGCCAGTTTCTGTGCCAGTCTTTGCACTAGCCTCTATTCTAACTCCTCTATATAAAGAATACGGCATTAGTTGCGCTAAGAAAAACAAAATATGATAATCTTTTCTTATGTTGCTGCTCTTATGATATATGTGATCAAATATAGAAACGTAGAAGGCATTGCAATGTTTTCATTGATACAAGAGTCCTACTGTGATCCGATCTTATATATCTCCGTACTCCGTAGAGAGCAAGGTAGACCTATCTTCCCTTACTGTCGAATTACGCCATTAGGCAAAGGTGAGCATGAAGAGCGATTGGCTTAAAGACTTACTGGCAGAATACAGCAGGCTAACCTAACTCTCTAACGTAGCCAATCATAAGCCGTATTTACTTAGTAGCCCCGATAAATAAAATAAAATCCCAAGCAAAATCTCCGTTTACGAGATGGTGGACATCCTGCTTGTCAAAATGCCAGTGGCACATTAGAGAACAACTTGATAGAACAGACAACAGCAGAATACAGCATGGTAAAATCCATCGAGGTGACCCTCACCTCGTATCAGACTGAGCCGGCAGCCAAGGCGTGCGGCAGAATTCTGGTCAGCAAAGACAACCTACTCTTTCTGACCGGGGCCCTCGAAAGCGGCCGCTTGTGTATCGTCGAGAAGATTGACGGCGATGGCTCGTCAGTACCGGTAAGGCGAGAGGCCAGCCTATGGGCGTCTCCGGACCCGCTCAGAAGAAATCTCGGCCGCGTGTCCAAGGTATTTCGCGAAGCGTGCGGCTTTGGCTCGGCAGAAAAGTGTCGCATCACGTTTGCAGCCGAGAACGGTCTCGACGCGGTGCCAGAAGCGGCCGAGGTCGTGGTAGAGGACGTGACGAAGCGGGAGGGTCTCGAGCCGGTTGCGTCTGACCCGGAGAAGCTTCCACTGTGGATGGAGCACATCGAGGAGCAGCTAGATGCGGCAGAAGTCGTGTTTCCGGGAATGATACTTCGCGACGTCAAGCGCCGGCGGACGAGACGGGACTTTGCCGTCAAGACGGTGAACGGCGAGACCAACAAGCTGGCTCGGTTCTGCGTCGATCAGACAAAAGTTCGCTTTCCGTCGCACTCGCTGGCGCTCCGGCCAGCCAGCAGCTCTGTCTCGGCAACCGGCTCGACAGCCATGGTCAGGGCAGCACCACAGAGGCTGCAAGTCGACCCGATCGTCGGGCTGGAGAGCACGGTGGAGCTGCTGAACGAATTTCTGCTCTTCCTCGACCCGACCGGCGACCACCGGGTCCCGGGCGAGTCGTGCGCAGTGGTGCTGCAGGGCGACACGGGCACGGGCAAGACGATGCTTCTGAAACGACTCGCGGCCTTGGACTGGGGCCGAGCATACCACATCCAACCGGGCGAGAAGCTGTCGGCGATCCAGGACATCTTCACAGAGGCGGCCGAGCATATGCCGAGCATGATTACGATTGACAACATCGAGAAGCTGCTGTCAGAGGAGCGGGCGAACCGGGCGGCCGTGATCCAACTGCTGAGCAAGCTGCTGGACCAGCTCGCCCAGGCAGCAGTCACGGGCCCCCAGCTCGTTGTTATTGTCACATGCACAAACTACACGCGAGACATCCCGGCCGAGCTGCGGCAACCCGGCCGGCTGGACGACTCGATCACCATTCCGTTCCCCGACACGGAAACGCGGCAGGCCATTTTGCGGTCTTTTGACATGCCGCTGCCACCAGCGAGCCACGACGCGATGATCCGCGAGCTCAGCCTCAAGACGCACGCCTTCAACGGCCACGAGCTGCGGAGCTTGTTCTACAAAGCCTCGAAAAAGAAGCGGGCCCGCATCAAGGAAACAGGCGACATGGCCCAGCAGTGTCTCATAGACCAGGACTTTGACGTGGTCCTGCAGTCAGCAGTGCCCGCCCGGATGGACGGGATCAACATCAAGCCGCGGCCGGTGTACTGGCACCAGATCCACGGGCAGGCAGCGCTGGTGGAGGCGCTGCAGAGCGCGGTGGATATGCTGAACGATCCGGAAGAGTACGCCAGTCTTTTAAAGTCCAGCCCGCGCGGCTTTTTGCTCTACGGGCCTCCCGGCTGCTCCAAGACGATGACGGCACAGGCTCTGGCCACCGAGAGCGGGCTCAACTACTTTTCCGTCAAAGGTGGCGAGCTGCTGAACCAGTATGTGGGCGAGTCGGAACGCGGCATCCGCGAGCTGTTTGAGCGTGCCAAACGAGCTGCGCCGGCCGTCATCTTCCTCGATGAGATTGACGCTGTTGCCGGCCGCCGCTCCGATTTTGGCGACAAGAGCGCCTCATCCAACCGTGGACCCCAGGTTGTGCCCGCCCTTTTGTCCGAGCTCGACGGTTTCGAGACGCTGTCCAAGGTCTTTGTCGTCGCCGCCACCAACCGCCCCGAAAGCCTCGATCCCGCTCTCCTCCGACCCGGCCGTCTCGAGCGCCACTTTTACGTTCCCCCGCCCAACGAGCAGGCCCGCCGGGCCATTCTCCAGACCTGGGCTCAGGGCATGAGCGTCAGTCCCGAGTTCGACATGGACCACCTCGCCCGCCTTACCGACAAGTTCTCCGGTGCTGAGCTCGTCGGCATCTGTCACGAGGTCGGCCTCGCGGCCGTGATGAAGAAGCAGAAAGAGCGGAAAGTCCGGCCAGACGCCGAGCCCGTCCTCCTGACCACCGAGATGTTCGAGGACCAAATCCGCAAGACCAAAAAGATGATCACAGCTCAGATGCTCGACTTCTTCAGCACCTGGTCGGTTTCCTACTAGAAATGAACCTGTTTTTGCTATTGTCACGGCATTGCACGTAGCTTGTCTTTTCGAACGAGAATCTTTATTGAAAGGGGCTCTTTTATCATTATACCCACTTATTCGTACTGAAGTACAAGGCCTAAATATCATTTAGCCAATCACAATAAAAAGTGTATACTCCTTTTAGGTATTGGAGCAATCCATACTCCGTACCTTTGCCTCTTAACAGGCTTGGTTTAACTGCTTTAAATGTAAAAAAAACATCTGCTATTACGCATCACCTTACTACTCTTCATCTAACAAAATAAAGGAAGACATATTCGTACGATGCACAGGGTTGTTTGGCTATAATATAAATTGATCTCATCGTTCAATTGTGGCCGGCAAAACTACTGTTGCAACTCCATTGGAGATCTCTTCCATTGTCTCTATTGTCCCCCAGTCCACCCCCCTGTCACTCACGCCAGCCGTCGACGGTAGACGCCCAACATCCAGCTAGCGCGCAGCACGGTCAGGCCGATAGCCATGCGGATGCTGTCCTGGACGAGGTTCATCTTGCTCCCGTCGACCTCGTGCCAGTGGATGGGCACCTCAGCCACCTTGATGCCGGGACTGGTGCCGATGACGGTGCCATCATGGGCCACGACCGGCGTGGCCGGCGCCGATTCGGCCAGCATGAGCATCTCAATGTCGAAGATCCAGCCCTCGGTGTGCATGTAGGGCACAATGTGCGGCAGCGCCGGCCGACTGAAGAGCTTGAAGCCGCACTGGGTGTCGCGGATGCGCGACGTTGCCGGCGGCGTCAGGATCGTGAGCACAAAGTGGAACGACTTCATCAAGAAATTGCGCAGCGCCGACCGCCGCACCACCGCCTCGCTGCCCACAAGGTGTGCCCGGCTGCCGATAGCGACGCCGCGACCCGACGCGTCCACCACCATGGCGCAGCCCTCGAGCAGGCGGTCGAGGTCGCCGAACCGCGACGCTCCGTCTGCGTCGGCAAACACAATGTGCATGCCTCGCGCGTGTCGGAACCCATGCGTCACCCCACCGCCTTTGCCGCGGTTGCGCGCCAGCCGGATCACTCGCAATACGTCGTGCAGCCCGTGCTGCTGCCCGTAGTCCAGTACCACCTCGGCCGTCCCGTCCGAGCTGGCGTCGTCGATGATGAGGATCTCATAGCCGGTCGTCGGTGCCAAAACGACCCCGCTGGCCGTCTTGTCTGCAGCAGCAGCTGTTCGGCCAAACCGCCGGTCGCAGTACTCGACCATTTCCTCCAGCGCCGGCAGGATCCGCAGCGCCTCGTTATAGGCCGGCACCACCACCGTCAGTGCCACCTCGGCCGGCTCGATCGCATTCAGGTCGTAGCCGCTGTCTGTCGTCTCGCCCGCCGTCTCACCCGCCGCCAGATGCCGCTCTGCCAGCCATTTGTCGTACCAGCAGGGCAGCTGGCGCGTCACCGCAACGCCCGCCCTATCGCTCGTCCGGTACGTCTTTTCCGACGGCAGCGACAGCCGCGGCAGAGGTGCCGCCTGACACAGAATCACATAGGCCCCCGCCACCATGAGCAGCAGGCTGCCTGTCATGAGGGCCAGCAACGCCGGCAACGACATCGCCGATAGCATGCCGTACAAGGCGCCCGGCAGCTCAGACATGAGCGCAAGAGCGTCCGCCATAGCTTCCGTCTTTCCTTTCTCCTATCGCTCTCTCGTGTCTCGTGTCTCGTCTCGCTCCTGGCTCACCTTCTGCTCAGGTCTTTCTCAGCTGCAATGAACAGCCGTGGCGCATCCTGAGCAGAAAGAGGGTCCGGTGTCGTACGCTCACAGCTGCCTTTATTTGAGCGATTCTCACGGTATATACACAAAACAGACAAGATGCGAGCCCGTGTTGATTTGCGGCGTTGTATGGAGTACCCGTATTGGAGTTGTAAATTCGCCATTGACTTGTAGCGGATAGCTCTTAATGCAGGGCCCGTTAGAGCAAGGTGGCAGCTTCTGTTTCTGCTATTCGATTCGTATTGTGTTGCACTCGAATCCCTACCGATCCCCCATTGACCCACTGTAATATGACCTAGTCTGTTTGTGGATGCTCTCGACAGCAAGAGCGGCAGCCGTGGCAAGCAAAGGTGGCAGGAAGGCTGAACGTACACACGGGCGTGCAACATTACATACGTCGTAGTAACAAAAGTGTCGTAAGTACATTACATAGCTTACGTAGTGCCAAACTGTCTCTCTTGCACTTGATTACAACGTGGCGGTACGGTGACACACGTGGTCTCGTTCGTATGCGCAATGGCCTTTGCATGATACAGCCGCAGATTCGCTGAATTGTCAGAGACTAAAAAATTTCTATCCCAATGCCACGCAAGCTTTGCAACTATTCCAGGACCATTTATGGCATTCTCGACGGCCTACATGCTACATTGCGTCTTTCAGGTCATATATTTCTGTTCCACCTGCAGCTGACAGCCTCTCTATTGTGAGGGCTTCATCAGGCGCATTCCAAATTCCAGCTATGCCAAGGAAGAGAAGACACAAAGCGCTCCACCGGCACGGTCAGTCAGCTTCCCAATTAGATGGCCAGACGCTCGACCTTGTCCTTGAGAGCCTTGATCGGGCCGGCCAGGTCGCTGGCCTCGTTGGTGTTGATGCTGGCCGCAATCACGGCGCGGCTGACACCGCAGGCGCGGCCAAGCTGCACCTTGCTCGGCACAAACACATACGGCGTGTTCTTATCCTCACACAGAAGCGGGATGTGCAGCAGGATGGCCAGCGGGTTGGCGTCCGCGGCAAGGATCGCGATCTCGCAGGTGTTGCGGTTCAGGGCCTTGGTGACTGTAGAAGCGCGCATTGTTAATAACAAAATCTAGAGCAGATAATTGATGCGCAGATGCGCAAGTAGAACAAAGAAAAACTCACCCTCGTTGGCACCCTTCTTGGCCTGGCGAAAGTGAGTGGCCGACTGGAGCAGATCGAGGATCTCCTGGGTCAGGGCCGCATCAGCCAGAGGCCAAGCTGCATGAAATCAAACGTTAGAATCCTCCAGGACACCCGACAGATCACAATGGGGTGGGGAGGCCTACCAGCAGATTCCTTGTTGGCAGACATTTTAAGGGATCCAAAAAATGTAACGGAAACGAGTATGGGAAGGTTATAAGCGAGAGGATTGGTATGAGATATCCGTCTGGTGGCTCGCCTGCGGAAGGTTCACTGCCGGTGACTATGGATGTGAGGCTGGAAAAAGCGAGGTAGGTTGAACGATGGAGTTTGGTACGAAGTCAACGCATGTGAGGAAGCTTTTTTTCTTCTTAGCTTTTGCCGACTTTTTTTCAGAAAAAAAATCACACCGCCTCGGCAGAATAATACGGACACTTGTTTTTCCGGTGCACGTGGATTCTAATCTCACTCCTCTAATACGGAGTACTCCGTACTTTACCAAGCGCAAGTGCCTCCCCACATCCGTTCCGTCGTCTCCTAGCTTCGCAAAGCCACCCAAACTAGGGAAATCATGGCAATAATCCGAGATACTAAGCTGCAAAGGGCAGGCCACCCGTTACCACTCGTCCCTCACGCCCCAAATCCGGCGTGTCTGCTATCTCTCTTGAAGCACGAGTGTCTTTACCAGCATAGACAACAACAGCCAAGGCTACTCAAATAGGCAATAAGCTCCTGCATCTAGCTTAGGATCGGAACGCCTTTGTTCAATTTGTAAGTTTGCAAACCAGGCACTTTCTCCAAAGAAAGGGCAGAACAGATGCTGCGCACAATCGTCACAAGGCCCCATATATGGACCCTCTGCTTGCACGTTTCTCGCCGTCGAACGAGTGAAAAAACAGACCCCTGCGCGGCTTGGTGGCCGTAAAAAACGAAGGCCAGTGAGTACGCCGTTTAAACGAGTTTTCCAAATCCTGCCGGTTTGAGCCCCGCCGGTGACTGGCTTCGAAAAAGCTTGTTGAGCAGTTCTAGACGTCCGTTCAGCCCAAGCTTTTGGGCCGGAAGCGCCGAGATCCAACAATTGCGCTTAGGCGTATGGGAAGTTAAAGAGGCTGGACCCTTCTCTATTATATATCGGACTAAATCCCCGCAGTATTTCTTTGTTGGCGGTATTATTGTCTATTTCTCTATAACTAGGAAACAAGCACTAAATGTGGAGAGTAGTTATAGCAGCAACAACATCATATGACCAAATGCAATATTCTTGCTCGCAGTGTCCCGAAAGGTGTTAGACTTATCGCATGTCGATATTACGTCGTATGGCACAAACAAACTGATACATCAAAAGCAAAGACCAAAAGCCTGTATTTAAAGTGGATTCTTTATCTTCAGGGAGATAAATGTCATTAATTCGTGAAAAAAAGTTGCAAGGAGGTTGACCAAACCGGAAGCGTCTGACTCAATCTGCTTCATATGCGTATGTTCTATCTTACTCCCAAAAAATCCCGTTGTTGCTTTAATATAGTAAAATGTTGCTGCTCTTGACCCTGATCCTGCAGCAACTATAGTCAAGGAATTTCGAGCAGATGGGGCTTTGACCAAGGCCTTCTAGACAGCGACAGCAGCGGCACCACTGCGAACGATTCTGCCAAACCGCGAACGTGGTGCGGGTGATTGGGAGCACGGAAGGGTAGACCGGTCCTGCTGTGCAGGGAACGTCAGCGACAGCGACGACGGGCCGTCACTTGACAGCACGGCACTGGCGTGATGGTCTGGTTGTTTTTGTATAGTCTTCATCTCAAAAACATCGGAGTTGCCGTACAAAAACAAGTCTGTCGTAAAGAAAATTTGGTGTTGTTAGCCCTAACGTCTTCCCTTGCCTTTATCTTTGGCATCTGGCAACATTCCCGAATCAGGGCGCGGTTCTGACAAGGACGTGTTGGAAGAGTTGTTGGTGTTGGTGGCATGAGAAGGGTACGAGGAAGATGATGTGGAGGTGGATGAGGAAGATGAGGCACCTTTGCGTTCCTGTGCGCCAGACGAAAGTGATGCAGACGCTGCCAGCGACCCCAATGACGGCACAGTCGGTATCCGACTTTTGGGATCGTAGTCGACTTGTCTCCCTGAGGCAGACGCTCGGAGAACTGATCCGGGTCGGGATGCCGACGCCGGCGTGAGCAAGCCGTCCTTGTGCAGTGCAGCGTCCATGCTCTTGTAGCTCTGCGACATGTGCACCACCGGGTTTGCTGGCCCGGCTGGAAATGACACCTTGGAGAGGCCGCTGTTGGATCGTGACCACTGGCCGGGACCTCTGCTGCTGCTGGCGCTGCTGGGACTGCTGGCACCGTTGCTGCTTCCAACGCCGGCTCCGTCCAAGCTTCTGGTACTGTAGCTGTGGGCTATGTCTACATGCAGAGGGCTCAGCATGTTTTGGCGTGACCCGGTTGCATTTCCTTGGGCGGCCAGGTTGATGGCACTGCGTCTCCGATTGTGCTCGCGGATCTTGGACGCATCTTCCCGGTTCCAGCCAGAAGGGGCGCCGAGGAGGGCATCAGTTGCCGCGTGGGTCGGAACATGCCAATACTTCGTTCGTGGTGGCTGCTCGTTCTGCGTCTCTGCCTGGGTCTGGGCTGTATCCTTTGCTGTCTTCCGGCCTCTCTTCGTGAGGCTCAAGACGGCCATGACTGGTAGTGTGAGAGGGGTAGGTGAAGGAGGAAAAAGGATGAGATCAACGGCTCTGCAACGTGTTTCACGTTGCTCAAAGGTTGAAAGGGCCGCTAATCAGCAGTTTCCACTATGCTTGGCGGATGGGTTGGAAAACTTGAAAGACACTTGGGAATGGTTTGAGAACGGTTGAAGAGTAACGGGGACGTGGAAGCTTTAAATGAGTGGGTGGTATCGGGAAGCAGAGCATTCCGCTTGCAGAGAAGGACGAGATAGAGCACAGAGGAGCTTCCTATTCGATGGGGCCCAGGTTCTTGAGGAAGTCGATTGGTACGGAGTAGACTAAATGCCATACTTTTGTCCAGGGGGGGGGGGGGGGGGGCGTGCGCATAGAGCACGATCCAGATGGTCAAGCCCAAGAGGTGGCGCGCTCAACGATTACTTAATTCGTACTCGGATTTGTGCGGTGTACACTGTATTATTAGATTCGTCGTGGTCGTAGTCGATGATGTAAAGTGCGAGAAATCCGAGAAAAAAGAAGCCAAGGGCACGCTCTCGGTTAAGACACCTTGTAATAGGCCCAAACACACAACCTTACACATGTGCAGACTCTGAGTACATTCAAAATGTACTTTATGAGTGAAGACTGTGGATGACCTTATAGGTGGGTGTGTTTGTTCTGGGCAAGCCAAGCACGAGAAGGATGTGCTACACAAGAGTACTTTATGAAATATGCCCCCTATTATTTTCTTAGCACGCTATAGCGGCTGTGGTCAGCTGGTGGACTGGATGAATGCATGGCAAACGCCCAATCAAATCGTGTAGGTGGGTCGCCGTGAACGATACGAGCACGCTACACAGTCTCGGCACGAATACGCTTCTGCGTCAATGTGTGTCTGTTGGCCACGGGTGCACGTCGTAATGACAGCCCAGACAGTGAAAATTCGCCGAGACGTCTTTTCTATCGCCCCGTTTAGCTAAGGGTGATGGTTGGGCCGTATCGTAGAATTTTTTGACCTGCTTCTAACTGTGCTGGGCGACCAAGGCTGCTGCTTCAAATCCGGCCTGGTTCTGAGTGCCATACTTGTTACCGGCGATGTCTTGCACGCGGAAGTGCGGCTCCTTCTTTCCTTCGCCGGAAAACTGTCGCAGAAGAACGCAGATCCCCAAACATATTCATCCTTATGCGGGTACCAAGGCAACTAAGGATCGGTCCAGCCGCAGTGGAGACGAGATAGTAGGTGGTCTATTCTTCTGCCCGTCTAGGGGGTTTCCATGCTCGTACTCGATCGCTTGCTAGCGTGTTGTCTCGGTCGATGGGGCTGTCTGTCTGCAGGACCCCTAGATGCCTTACTCGATGGTCGAAAGAAGCAGACTGCTGTTGGGCGGCGGCGTGGCAAACAGGACAAGCACAGAATGTCCTGATGTGGTTCACGGCCGAGGTGCCAGGGAAGATAGTATAGTAGCGCCAAAGCAACGTCGACTTCCGTGAAGGTTGGGCCTGGACCCAGTATAGAGGGCCGGAAGGCCAGCCGCGGTCAGCAGAGAATCGACTGATCATTATCGTGCAGTTGTCGTTGTGGCTTCCGTAGAGGTGTCTACTAGATCCTAATGGCCCGAGCTCAGATTCCGACCACATTCGACCACTTTTAGCTCTTTCCTTTTCTGTCACCCTCCCTGTTCTTTCCGTGCAGAAGATATCCGGCACAAGTAGCAGACTGTCGGAAAGCTACAGGGTGGTGATTTCACAGAGATAATAGTAATTGCAAGGAGGGGCTTGTAAACATCTTGAACACATGTTTGAAAGTATACTACTCGTCCTCCATTCGTCTCTAATCCCCTGCAAGCCAATGCAAACTGCCGACTGTCTCTGACTTTCTTCCTGTGACCCAATGTACATTTTCCTCCGGGATGGCCGTGCGAGCCTAGACCGCCAGCTAAGAACCTGTAACTTACGGGTCATCTATCCCATAGTGGGTGATCTGGATAAGCTGTAGAAAAAAGGGTGGGATGCCCTTGACGTAGTAAGATACATGTTTGCGAATTTACTCATTCCGGTAAGGATTGCGGTCCTTCGGCTGATTATGCGGGGATGCAATAGCTACAGCCTTCTAAAGACGGAGAAATAAATGTCTACCACTTGTGAAGGCGGCAATAAGACGCCACTAATGTCGTACTGGCGCTTGCATGTGCTAACCTCGTAAAAAGGCACAATACGGTAGAAGGATCTGCACGTCGGTGGGTCATCCCAAATCAGGCTCCCTGTAATGAGACGGCGAGTGCCTCGAAAACAAGTCTCGGTATCTACGTAAACGAGTTATAACCCAGCATGAAAATACAGTATTGACACAGCAATTGTCCCATCACCCGACAAGTAGATGTGTAAGTCCTTGTCGGCCTGTGGTAGATGGTGAAACATCCCAGCCTCTTCTACATATATTTGACAGGCATCAGGACCTATCTCGAAACCTTGCCTTATTCAGGCTATATATACCATACGAGGACGGGCATACGCGTAGGGTCTGGATCTGGCCCCAGACTATTCGAAAAGTCCCCAGAAAAATAAAAATAAAAACGAGCAGGAAAATACGATGTAGGAAGAGACAGCCTTGGTCCACTCTTGTTCGGTATATCAAAGTAACACACACCCCCCCCCCCCCCCCCCCCTCGAGGCCTGCCAATTATGTGACGAGGAAGGGAACTGCAGCTTACCGGACGAATCCGTATGTCGTATTTTTTACTCTGTACAGAGCCACGTCATAAAGGTGTAAAGGAGTAAATAATGGATTCTACCATTCGGACCAACAGGCAATTTTTTCTTTCCTTCTTATCGTGCATACATCTGCATGCTCATCGTGAGGGTGTATAGGTACATACGGTGTGACAGCGGACTTTTCAGTTTACAATGGGTCGAACTGGCCCAGGCTTACGTCGTACATGGATCCAATGCAGGAATATGCACTCACAGACCATAAGGATTGAGGAAAAGATTGACATGGCCGCAGCGGTGAATGAGACCTAAGATGAAATGGTTTCCCAATTGGGAATATCAAACTTTTTGAAAGTTTTACATGAAGAGTGTCTGGATAATTTGTATCCCCCCACCCAACTCTATTCTACACCTTTATTCTTATTTCAGAAAGCACTACCTAGGGAAAGTTTATGCTTCTCTTATCGACCAAGCAATAGGTATCCGAAATACTTTATTGATTTTGAGGGTGTGTTGGACAATTCTCATAGGAAGCAAGGTTGCAATTCTTATGCCAAGGGGCAGAGATATGCACCTTCGGACTTGCATTTATCTCTTTCTCTATCGCCAGCATTATTTCGGTGTGACCTCGTCCGTTTTGGCATACCTTTTCACGCCGAGATGACGGATCCCGTACATTGTTTTCTTGCCACGGTGACCACGTGTGACGACTTTTGAATTTTATACGTTCACTTTCTAATATAAGGCAGCCACGGATACAAGCCTCGAGCGAATGAAAGTACACAATTCCAGCCGGAAGGAGAGGAGGGTGGGTAGCTCAGGAATTACGGAAGCTGCAGTGCTTGGTAGAGCTCGCTCTCTTCGATCTGTCCTCTAGTCTCTGATGATTGCGTTCCTGTCATAGTCATACACAGTGATCGGAAGGAGGACAGGGAACTCATCAGCTGGAATACCTACTGTTGTCCGTTACTCTGTAGAAGTCTGCTCGAAGCAGACACCTAGCAATGCATCCACAACAAATACACGTAGTCTTGATTTCCTTCTCTCCGTGGTGACATAGACTGCTATATATCCGGCGTCCTTGCTGTAAGATCACATGTAAACAGGCCAGAGGTGGTTAGGGTCTGCCGATCCAGGAGCTTTGCGTGTCACTGTTGCCCTGTCGCTGCAGATTAGGACAGCCAATAGCATTAGGCTGGCAGCATTCAAAGACCCTGGAGAGAGCGATGTATCTTACGACGTAAGCTACAGCACGCTTGCCGAGCGATTGGCTCAAGAAGCCACCACGGTCGTTTCGAATGAGCCAGCTGTTCTGTGGAAAGATTCCATCTTCCGACAATAAAGCCCCATTAGGGAGAGCTCCATCTTGTCCACGTTTCCAACACGCCGGCTTGCTTATGCTTGCACTTGCGGTCAAACGTCTGAGCAACAACGCCCGTCAACGTCATATGCGGGTCGGATATCAGGAACAAAGGGGCTGGATTGCCGCGAGCAGTGCGGGGTACGAGAAGTCGCACGGCCCAATTGAACGAAGGACAAGATGCATTGGGCCGCTCCTGCCTGTCAACGCGAGACACGTGAGCCAGGCAACCTTCCAAGACGAGCCGAGAGAAGATGGTGATGCTAGACGCGAGACGAAGCAGACGTGAATTGCATCCCCGACCCGGTCCCCTCGACGTCACGGCGCCGGCTTGTCGTCCTCGCGTGTCCACGTCGCCGGCCACGGCGGACCCCTTGTCTCTTGCCACACTGTGCAGCGTCACGTCAGGCGTGCTCGCAGCGCTAACGCCCCCATAACGGATGCTACAGCCCGTCGCAGCAAGTCTTGTCATTTTGCCAAACTCTTTTTTTTCCCGCCTGCCACCATCGGAGTCCAATCCCACCACGGACCATCCATCATCGCCACAGCTGGGACTTCCCATTCTTACCCACCCGCAGCCCCGTGCGCGTGCATCCCAGCGAGAGAACAAGCCACAACAAACGCCAGCCCCGTCGCCTCCGTCTCTCTCGCAAGCTCACCACCACCGACCGGCCCTTTCTCATCGCCCTTTTCGCCGCACAGCGACGACAACATTGACCAGCGACATCTGCGATCGCCCAACCGGTGGCTGCTCCCAGGAATTTAACCGCCTTTGCAGCCCCCCCCCCCTGTCCCACCCGGCTCTGGTTTCGACTGTCTATGACCCACTAGAATTCTGGTCTTCGCCCATCCGCATCTCTCTCTCCTCTCCATCCACCGCTCACTCGTGTCGTCGTCGTCGTCGCCCGACTTTGTCACCCGTCGCATCAGCTGTCACTTCTTGCCGTTCCGCGGCATTGTCGCCCACATATTTTTTTCATCCCTGCTTGCCATTTTGTCTGCCTCTGCCGACCGGGAGATCTTGCCACGCCTCTGCCTGAGCTCAGATCAGCACGTTGGGCCATTCGGCCGTCTGCTCTGCCCATTTGATTCGACTTCCCCTGATTACCGACATTTTTGCGATCTCCAAACCCCCCCAAGACCATCTCATTGTCGTCCAAACGCCCGGCGTGGCTCCGCTGCCTCTGACACGCGCCCGCGATCGCATATTCGCGCGTGCGCACCCACTCTCAGCCTCCCCTCCTCCCCATCCGAAAACGTGGCGACGATCACCCTTGCAGATACCGACCTTTCATTGCAGCCGGACCTAGACATCATCTACGACCGCTTCCCCTCCGCTGACGCCGAGGGGCAGCACGATTCATCGATGATGGCACAGCCTGTGCCTCATCAACCGATAGATCGGAAGCGAGTTAAGGTCTACGAACTCCGAAATAACGACTGGTTCGATCGCGGCACGGGCTTCTGCTCGGCTGCCTATGTATGCTCACCCTCCCCTCAGAAGGATGGCGCTGCGCTGGGTCACGGCGCGTGTCGCATTGCCGTGGTTGCATGCCTTCACCCCCTCCACCTCCTCAACTTGTCTCTCCCGGACCGGCATGCTGACTGTACATCTCTACTCTCTAGTTCGACGATGGCGACGAGAAAGAACCGCGGGTGATCGTTGAGTCCGAGGACGAGCCTGAGAGGTTTCTCCTCGAGACCCGCATCAGCAAGGACGATGGCTTTCAGAGGCAGCAAGGCACGTTTATTGCCATACGCGCGCACACACACACACATGCGAAGCGACATTACTGACCCTGTCGCGCTACAAATAGACACGCTTATCGTCTGGACGGAACCGAGGAGCGGGCTTGATATGGCCTTGAGCTTCCAGGAGGCAGAGGGATGCTTGCTCATATGGTGAGTCCCATGACGGCTGGCTGATGGGCAAGCGGACCGGGACAGGCCTAATCGTTGTTGTGCACAGGAATTTCATCAGCGAAATACAGCAGACGATGGGGGCCGCCATGCCGGACGACAGCCTTTCGGACGACCTTGCCATGGACATGCCTCCGGCCATCACGCTTCCTCCGGCGGACCTGAACAGCCTCCAGGAGCTGGAAAACAACATGCGAATTATGAGCGCAACGGCTGGCGGACGCGATGCTTTGACCAGATGCATCATGTCCGAGGACTACATTCGGAAGCTGATTCCACTTGTCGAGATGGCTGAGGACCTGGAGAGCCTGCCTGACCTGCACCACCTTTGCAACATTGTGAAGATCATCCTTCTGCTGAACGATACCAGCATCATCGAGCACGCCGTGTCAGACGAGTGCGTTCTAGGCGTTGTCGGCGCCCTGGAGTACGACCCCGACTTTCCGAGTCACAAGGCCAACCACCGGCAGTGGCTGAACAACCAGGGCCGCTACAAGGAGGTCGTGCGTATCCAGGACGAGGTGATCCGGAAGAAGATCCACCAGACATACCGGCTGCAGTATCTCAAGGATGTCGTTCTCGCACGCATCCTCGACGACCCGACCTTTTCCGTGCTCAACTCACTCATCTTCTTCAACCAGGTCGACATTGTGCAGCACTTGCAGAGCAATGGCGGCTTTCTCGGGGACCTCTTTGGCATCTTCACAGATCCGACAGAGGCCGTGCTGCGGAAGAAGCAGGCCGTGCTGTTCATTCAGCAGTGCTGTTCCATCGCCAAGAACCTGCAGCCGCCGGCCCGCATGACGCTGTACAACAACTTCCTCTCGCACGGCCTTCTGCATGTCATAAACTTTGGCCTGCGAAACCCGGACGTGTCTGTTCGCGTCGGTGCTACCGACATCCTCGTGTCGATGATCGACCACGACCCGCAAATGATCCGGCAGACGATCTACCGGCAGATGCACGAGCAGCAGGCGCAGCTGACCGACACGCTGATTGACCTGCTGCTGGTCGAGGTGGATCTCGGCATCAAGTCGCAGATCTCGGACGCGCTCAAGGTCTTGCTCGACCCCGTCTTGCCGAACAACCTGCCGTCGGCAGAGGCCATGGGCGCCAAGAATGCCAATGGCGACGTGCAGCAGCGGATGCGGCAGCAGCACATGCTGCAGTCTGACCCGGTGCAGGACCGGTTCCTCGACCACTTTTACGAGCGCTCTGCCGCGAGGCTGTTCAAGCCGTTGATCGATCTGGAGAACAAGCGGGAGCTGAGCTTCTCGGTGCTCGACGATGGCATCTTCAGCTACCTGAACGACATTCTCTGCTTCTTCATCCGGCAGCACCACCATCGGTGTAAATTCTTCATCATGCAACACAACCTTGCTCTGCGATTCGTGCAGTTGTTGGGTTGTCGTGTGAAGCATTTGCAGCTTGGTATGCGCCTTCTTCTTTTTCTTTCCCCCTCTTCATTCTTGTTCTGACTGCTGACCTTTGCTCAGTCGCCGTTCGCTTCTTCCGCCAGCTTGTCGCCATGCGGGACGAGTTTTACAACCAGCACATCATGCACCAGCGACTGATAGACCCGATTTTAGACCTCGTGTCGCGGACGCTACCGAGAGACAACCTGATCTGTTCGGCGGGTCTCGAGTTCTTTGATTTCTTCACAAAAGAAGACCTTGGCGAGCTGACTAAGCACCTTGTGGAGGTCTACCGAGAGAAGCTGCATGCGCTGAGCTACATGCAGACGTTCAGCGACCTACTCGCTGGGAAATACCCGCCAAACCAGGCGGCCATCACGCATGTCAACAACCCCGATCAACCTCTGATCACAGATCAAGAAGATGCGGCACAGTCGGCAAACGGGACAGGGCGGGCACTGATGGAGTCCATTGCTATGGACCCGGACGAAGAGTATTGGAACACAGACGACGAAGAGGAGCTAGAGCAGACTGCCATGGCAGCAGCAGCGGCAGGCAATGCTACTGGGCGGCCACTTACGGACTCGCCTAGTCTGAAACAGTTGGTCGATTACGCATCGGACGAAGAGGGTGAAGATGACGAGGATGACGAGGCAGAACAAGCGGAGGGTGGCAGCAAAGGAAAAGCGGAAGGCGAGGCGGTGGGGGATCCAGACAAGGAGAACAGCCCATCGCCGTCGAGTGGATCTTTAGAGGCAGCGGTACGGCCGGCGTCTTCTTCGCCTGTCAGTGTGAGCAGCCGGCCACCGGAACGCATATCGGAGAAGCGACGGCGCGAGGAGGACGAGGAGGACGAGCTGGGGAAGCTGATGCTGCAGAACAAGCGGCGCAACAGCGTGTCGGCGAGCACCAACGGGATGGCGGCGCTGCTGCCGCGAAAGAGGAGCGTGTCTGCGGGTCGCGATGTTGTGAACGGCAGCGGCAACGGCAACGGAGCGGCGACCGGACTGGAGCTGGGCAAGAAGATTTCGATAAACATCACGTCGTCGGCGCTGAAGACGGCGACGACAGCAGAGGATGATGACATGGCCTGACGATGACCGCAAAGGCGGGCTCGAACGCGGCAGCCTCGCAGCTTGTTGCTCTCTGCTTCTTTTTCTTGTTTTGAGAGATATTGGTGGGTTTTCTTCGGTCTCCTCTCCAGCAGGAGAGACTAGGCTGATTTGGGGCGGGAAACGGGATATTTCTCCGCGCTCGTCATTCGGCAGTCTGTTTCAGTTTGGCAGCTCATTCTTCTCGCAGACGGGGAAAATAATGCGAGTGATACCAAAGGCAGGGGTGTGGACGTGAGCCCGGGAGTGGAAGTCTGGCAGTGCTGTGGACGTATATTGCCGGCCTCTGTCGTCCTTCTCCCGAACGTGCACGAGACGGCGTTATGGCACGGGCTTTCAATTCTGTATTTATAATAGGGGACGAGGGCGAGGACGAGGACAACTCGAGATGACAGGTCGTCTGGTTGACACCTGTGAAGCACGGATAAAGCGATATGTGGTGACATGCATTTATGCATTTGGACATTTCTATCTAATACACTCTACAGTGCAAAAGCCAGTTGCTGTCAGGAATTTGCCGCTGTCTGACCGCCAAAGAAGTCACGTGGGCTGTGTTTCTAAAATCTTGACCCGTATCTCTAGCACATCCCAAATAACCCCCAGAAAGCCGTTCGCGAACGCGGGCGGGCATCCTGCTTGCAGGTCCTAGCATTGACTAGCACAAAAAACTGCCAGAAACTTGAGACGGCTGATATCACATTTTCTTTGCTTAGTAACACTGGGGTCATGTGATCGCAAAATATAACGGGCAAGATTCTCGATATGCCCCACACAGTACCGAAACAACGCAATAAGGATTTATACCGTGCTTGCAGCAATTCTGTAGCAAGCAAAAAGGCACGAAGCTGACGACATTGCCTGCGACTTTACGGCTTAGATGCGGGTGTGCAAGCGCCCTGGACATCCTGATGCCCCTTAGGCAGAGGCCGTACAACTTGCTGCGACAGCTTCTGCGGCAGCAGGCTGCGTCCGGCCTGCAGAGCCACGGCTCTGCAGCGATACGGCCGAGAGCTTTTGTCAGTGCCAGCTCGCTGTGCAAGCAGCAGGCAACGGGCGGCGATGGCGGAAGGCCCAACGAAATCACCTCCATCTTCAAAGATTTATTTCCTGACGAGGCACGACGAGATACGGGCGTGAGAATCGAAGGGGCCGGAGAAGCAGGCGTGCGTCTGAACGACAACGGCGATGGCGATGGCGATGATGCTTTACAGTGGCTCCGGACGATGAAAGACGGAGGTCTGCTGACGATCGGGACTGACGGAGATCCGGACGTCTTTCTCGGGACAGATAGCGGGACAGAGAGGTCGGAGAGGTCTGAGCCGACGGTATTGGTCCTGTCCGGAGCGACGGCCTCGCTGCTGCCGAGCGACTTTTTCCGCATTGCGCCCAGAGCAGCACGGCGGAGCGACGAGCACGTGGATGGCTGGGCTGCAGCCGGTGGCGGGCTCTACAAGATTGTGCAGGACCGCGACCCGGCCACGCTGACGCCGCGCGGCCGCTATTTCCTGTACTTTGGCGCGCCAGCCGCCGCGCTGGCCTATGCCCAGGAGGTGCGCGACTTGCACGGGCTGGCGAGGCGGGCTGTGCAGGCGCCGCGGCATCGCAACATGGGGCGGTTCCGCGAGGCTGCCGGCAGCCTGGGAGAGACGCCGGGCGGCAGCAGCCAGGGCTGGGGCTGGGGCCGAGGTTGGGTCAGCGGCAGTGCCTGGGGCAGCGACTGGGATCAAAGACGAGAGAGGCATGCGAGCGAGGGCGGTGGCAGTGGCAGTTTCGGTTTGGCCGAGGAAGCTGCCGCGGCTCTGCGCTCGTTTTCCCTACTGCCGCCAATGGCCAAGCTGGATCTGGCGATGCATCTACCCGACAGAACGGCGGCAGTGGCGAGTGACGACGACGACGAGGCAGAAGCAGCCGCGGCCGACACCCAGACGCGCATCCTGCTCGTGCTCGAGGACACCAGCGGCGGCGGCAGCGATCACGGCAGTGACGGCGGGGTCACCTCGATCGGTGGGCTGCGAGCACTGATTGAGGCCGACGGCGAGGCGCGCAACCTTCCATGGGCTGTATCAGACGGGCTGAACGGCGTGGTGCCGGTGCGCTGGCTGGTGGCTGAGCAACAGCGGTTGAAGGAAGAGGAGGCGGCGGCGAAGCAGAAGCGGAAAGAGGAGAGAGAGAGGGAGGAGAAAGCGGAGAGGGTGGAGAGAGAGCAGAGAGGACGGAGCAGAAAGAAAAAGGCACGACAAAGCAAGAAGGGACAAAACGAGCGAAGCGAGGCAACGAAAGAGAGGGAGAAGAGTGAAGAGAAGGAAGAGAACGAGCGAAGCGAGGCAACGAAAGAGAGGGAGAAGAGTGAAGAGAAGGAAGAGAACGAGCGAAGCGAGGCAACGAAAGAGAGGGAGAAGAGTGAAGAGAAGGAAGAGAACGAGCGAAGCGAGGCAACGAAAGAGAGGGAGAAGAGTGAAGAGAAGGAAGAGAACGAGCGAAGCGAGGCAACGAAAGAGAGGGAGAAGAGTGAAGAGAAGGAAGAGAACGAGCGAAGCGAGGCAACGAAAGAGAGGGAGAAGAGTGAAGAGAAGGAAGAGAACGAGCGAAGCGAGGCAACGAAAGAGAGGGAGAAGAGTGAAGAGAAGGAAGAGAACGAGCGAAGCGAGGAAACGAAAGAGAGGGAGAAGAGTGAAGAGAAGGAAGAGAACGAGCGAAGCGAGGAAACAAAAAAGAGCGAGCGAAGCGAAGAAGACGTGCTCCAACTCCGGGCCAAGACAGACCAGATGGACGAGCATGCCTCCTTCTCTCGTTTCGTGGTCACGCTGCCCGACGCCATCGAAGCCCGTCGGTTTGTGCGCAGTTGGCATCGCCGCTCGGTGACGGTGCCCACGACGACGAGCACCGGGTCCGAGGCCACGGCCATCGTCAAGGCCACCGTCTTGTGGTAGAGACTACGCAGTGGTGGCGAGGAATGGCCATTCTTGTATCGTCTACCAGCTTGGCTGGGGCTGGGCAGAGAGGGAGACACAAAGGCAAAGGCGAGATTCAGAAACAGTGTATTATATGCCGAGATCAAAGACCAGAAAACGAAAACAGAAGAAAAAAGGAAAAAAGGAAAGGAAAAAGAAAAAACTCCATGACCGCCAGGTATCTGCTCCTGTCCTGCCCGTCTTTCCCGTCCTCTGCCTCGCATGCACCCTCCTGCGTCGCTGCGTCGCTGCTTCGCTTGCCCTCCGTCTTCCCGGAGCGCGGACGGGGCAGCTGTCCGGTTGTGTCTGCCGTCGTCGTCCCCTGTGTCGGGGAAAGCTCAGACGACAGGAAGAGCCAAACGGGAGCGGCGGCCGTGTCCCCTCCCGATCGAAAGAACAGCCATTTTCTTTCGTTTCATAAAGAAGCCTTCCATCTCACGCCTGCCTTCCACCCCGTCCGGCTCCCAGCTCCCGGACTCCTCGACCGCTTAACAGCACTTGCCGCCCAGGCCGTTGGAGTCGCCCGAGCTGTTGACGTTGACGCCGGCCGATGCGGTCTGCTCGGTCTTGGCCGTGTCGACGATGCGGGTCTTGATGTCGGACGCGAGGTTGTAAAAGGCCTTGTCGATGTTGATGCCGCTCTTGGCCGAGACCTCGAGGAAGGGGATGCCGAGCTCGTCTGCTAGCTGCTGGCCGCGCTCGGTCGAGATGACCCGCTTCTCTTCCCAGTCACACTTGTTGCCGATCAGGATCTTGTTGACGCCCTCGGTCGCGTGCTGCTCCACGTTGGAGAACCAGGTGCGGATGTCTGGAAGCGAATTAGCATCGGGGGCACGCAAGGACAGCGGGCCGCAGGCAGCCGGGCAGCAGAGACGCACTGTTAAACGACCGCTCGTCCGTCACGTCGTACACCAGCAGGATGCCCATGGCGCCGCGGTAGTAGGCCGTGGTGATGGTGCGGAAACGCTCCTGACCGGCCGTGTCCCAGATCTGCAGCTTGACACGCTTGCCGTCGAGCTCGATCGTGCGGATCTTGAAGTCGATGCCGATCGTGGTGATGAAGCTGGGCGTGAACGAGTCCTCGCTGAACCGCAGCAGACAGCAGGACTTGCCGACGCCCGAGTCACCGATCAGCAGCAGCTTGATCTGCATCGCCGTTAGCAGCTCTCGCGGACAGCACGTCTGCACGTCTGCATCACACACATACCAAAAAGTCATAGTTGCGGTTGCCTGCCATCGTGGGCGGGAGGCGGCGGACGCGGGAGAGCCGTGGGAGACGACGGTGGCGCTGATGTCACTGATGTTGCGGTGTGGTCAATAATCGACAAAGGATCGCTGCCGTCGGCCGATCGGACAAAAAGGCAGCTTGGCTTGGCGAGAGGGTGAAGCAGAAGCAGTGGTTGTCCGAGAGGCGCCGTTTTTGGGCTTGTCGTCAGGTCCAAGAAGGGTCCAAGAGTCCGAGGGTCTGAGAGTCAATGTTGTGACGAGCTGGCAGGTCCTGGTGGCCGACTTCTCTCTCTTTTCTCCTTCTTCGCTCTCGATTCTTTCGGGGCTTTGGCACACACACACACACACAGCGCTCAGAACGGTCGGGCAGCGGCAGAGAGGCAGACACAGAGCGAGAGAGAGAGAGATGCAAACGGTCTTGGACGTCCTCGACGATATGAGGCTGGGTTTTGGCAAGAAAATCAGGTGGCTGTACTCTGTAGGCGTCGACGTTGGGTGGAGAAGGGGGGGTTTCGTCTGGCCACAGAGAGAAAGCGGGTTGCCTTCATTGAGGACACACATGTAAGAAGAAAGGGACTAACCACTAAGCCGATAGATACGCTATCGGCCAGCGGTCTACCCCGTGTCCGATGCCCTGGAGAATGCAGCATACAGTGGGCCAGAGACTGCCTGCGTCATTGGTCCACGCTAGCAACTCGCTGATTTGGCCTCTTTACTCGAGTACAGTACTCCAACCGGATCTCACCTACTCGTGCTCGATACAGTTTATATTTGCTCGTGCTTCTGCCACACCTACCGCAGATACTTGGCGTACACCCAGCGCACCCGCTCCAGGGCCTGGCGCTGCTTCTCGACCGTCTTCGCATTCAGCATCTCGTCGACGTCTTCGAGAAACTCCTTCTCGACATCGCCCGGGAACAGCCGCTGCGTGACGCTGCGCAGCACGTGCACCTCGCACACCAGCAGCCCGCGGTGCTTGTACGAGAGGATTCCGTTCAGCGTCGCCGGGTCCGTCGTGGCGTCGCAGAAGATGCGGTCAATGTTGCGCAGCACCCGGATGCAGCGGCCGGCTCGCTGCCCGCGTCTCAGACCCTTGCGGCCACCCAGCACACCACGCACGTACTGCAGCACACCCACGCTGACCAGCACGCCCGGCGTCAGGCCTACAAATCCAAACACCAGCTCCTGGCTCTTCAGCAGCGCGTCGATCCCGCTGATGGCCACCTCCAGGTCCACCTTGGTCTTCTGCACCTGGATCAGCAGCGATCGTACCAGGTCTCCGCGCACGGCTCCCTGCAGCGGCTTGCGCAGCCCGTTTTCGTATGCCCGCAGCACCGGCGTCACATCGCCCTCCTGCACCTTGGTCCGGATGCTCACAATGTCCGCCTCCGTCAGCGTTGCCGTACCCATCGCCAGCTCTGGTCGGTCCCGCGCAAAATCCACCACCATCCGCTCCAAGCTGTCGCGGTCGGCCCGCAGACTGTCTCGGCTCATGATCGCGATCTCGCTGTTGGCGTCGTGCCGAATCGTCCCCACCACCTTGGCCACTGGCTCGACCACCCAGTTGAACCAGAAGTCGCGCATCGTCGAGCCCAGGTCGGCGATCCACTGCGCAATGTCCGCCCGTCGGTTGGCCACCACCCGCAGCAGCGTCGACGATGACAGCAGCAGCAGGCCCGCCGGCAGCCAGTACCGCACCAGCCGTGTTGGCCGACCGTCGGCCGTCACCACCAGCCTGAGACTGCCGACCAGATTCGGGATGCCCTCGGCCAGCAGCCGGTCCAGACGTCGCGCCAGCCGTGCCGGCTTGTTGGTCTCGAACTGGTTGGCCGTCAGGATCGGGTCGCCCTGCACGTCGTTGAACACCTTGTCCTCAAAGTCCGGGATTGCCGAGTCAACCGCCAGCACGTCTGTGCTGACCTGGTCCATCAGCGACACGCTGCGCTCCACCACGCCCTTCCACCGTCGCCCGTTGTCGGCCGTGATGTCCTTGACATCGGCGCCCTCGTCTAGGTCGAAACGCAGTCCCTCGTCGATCAGGATGCCCAGCCCACTGGCAATCAGCTGCCGCATCTGTCTCAGACGCTTCTGGCTCTGTCGTGCATCGGCCCGGCATCGCGCCACCGGCGACAGCAGCCGCCGCTCCAGGTCGGCAAACGACCGCGCTGCGATGCCTCGCCGCACGATCCCGTAAAATTGCTGCCACTGCTGCGACAGCGAGGTCCCCCCGGCCTGTAGTGCCCCGATGGGAGACTGCCGCCGCAGCGCCCCAAACCGCACCCGGCTCTCACCCACAACTTGGCCCATCTCCCGGATCCATTGCCAGAAACGCAGCGGTGACGTCTGCACCGTGAACAGGCTCAGGCTCGTGTATGACGTCAGGATGTCGTCCCAGTACCATATGTCGTCGTGCAGCGGGATGATCTGCTCCAGCAGCGTGTTCAGCAGCACACCGTACGTCTGCACCGTCGCCTTGCTCACGAGCAGCCACTCGACCTCTTCGGCCAGCGCACCCTTTCCGCCAGCCGTCACCGGCAGCCGCCGCTGGGTCGCTTCAGGCTCGGAGCCCTCGTCGCTGCTGTCGTCCTGCTCCGTCTGTTCATCCTCTTCCGTCTTGTCCGACTCCTCGCCCTCTCGATTCGACTGCGGCTGCAGCACGTTCTTCTCTGTCTGCTCTTCCAGCAGCCCAGACTGCCACAGCAGCCCGCGAATTCGGTGTGCCGGCAGGATCGGTTGCGACGACGACGTGGAGCTCAGCGTCTTGACAATGTTGAGTAGCCGGTCGACGTAGGGGGACGACAGGTCGGCCATCAAGCCGGCCTGCTCGCCCGCCGCGCTCGCCGTGCCGGCAGACCCATGCTGGAAGGCGGCAAGCGGGCCTTGTGTGATGTTGTCGATGTCGGCCTCCCAGGCTCGCACATTACTGTGGACAGGTTCAACAGGTCAGCGAGACGGATGGCCTGATGCGACAGAATGAGCAGCGAAGCAAAAAGAAAAGAAATCAGAGAAAAGAGGGGTGCCAACAAAAGAAAGAGAGGGATCGACAGCTGCACGGAAGGACCCGACGAACTCTACAATGATAGACATCCGGGCGGTTGTTCTCAGCATAGGCAGGCCATGGGCCAGGATGTAGCTCGCGTGTCTCGCGTACTCGTACTCGTACTCGCGTGTAATAAGGCTGTGCTCGGATAGAGAGCGGCTATCACGCCAGGGGGGGTGGAAACTTCGCTTTCCCTAGGCACCACAACGACGTCTGTGAGGAAAAAAGACTTCGATGGCGGCTTATTAGGCGTGGTCGTCATAGATCCTTTCCCAGCCAGATTGCCTGACGTGTTTTTTGTGCGGGTGGAATGGGTAGGCAGTAGTGCCGACCAGGGCTGACCGTTCGATTTGCTCGGCTGCTGCACCAGCCGGAAAGCGCGACCCGCCGGCCTAACGTGACTTTTAGGGAGAAGTAGCGGAGAGAGATACGGCCAGATCAGCCAACCACCCTGGCAGCGTTTATGTTGGGAACAACAGGCATCACAACTGCCAAAGCGGGGAAGAAAAAGGCAACGCTCGCCGTCCACACGCCACTCCTTGCACTGATTGATTGCTGCCTGTCTCCGATGCGATCTGCCTTTGATTGGCGCATTCCGCCCAAATCTCACGCCTCCGTATTTCCGCACTGTTGCGCAACTTAACCTACTATGCCAATTCGGCTCCACTCAAACCCAATCTGCTCTGTCATTGGCCCGGCATCCGGATAGGCAATGCTCGTCGTGGGCTCATTTCAGCAAAGATGGGTTTGGCTGTCCAGACGGACCCACTTGCTTTCCCTCCTTTCCCATTTCCCCTGATAAAACGTCCCTGTTCCTCCCTCCATCTCGTCGGCTTCAGGATTTCAGCAGACTCGACTCGCCTTCTCACGCCCGGGCTTGTCAATTGCCTTCTCACTTGCTTTGTCCGTGGCCACAGGCTCTACCCTCTCGGCAATTGTCTTGCTGGCTACTTCCACCTGGCATTGCGAGTCAATTCACCGCCGCAATGGCTTCCTTGTGCGTATATCAGACCCAATGCATCAATGCATCACTGCATCACTGCATCACTGTATCAATCAGAGTCCGCTTGCTAACGTACACGCCCGCAGTATGTCCAATGCGACGCTCGCCAGCGTTGCCCCCGATGCGGATCTGTTCAGCGTCTTCGCAGAGGTCTCCAAGTACAATGTTCAGCTCAACATTCTCGAGCGCCTCTGGGCGGTATGTACATCCTACCAGCGCTCCTGTGGACCGCATGCTAACTCGACCAGTCCTGGTACGTCTGGATGCAAAACGACATTCTCGCCACCGGCATCATGAGCTTCGTCCTGCACGAAACCGTCTACTTTGGCCGCTCGCTGCCCTTTATCATCATGGATGCCATTCCGTATTTCAACCAGTGGAAGATCCAGAAGCAAAAGGTTCCCACCATCCGCGAACAGCTCGACTGCGCCGGTCTTGTTCTCCTGAGCCACTTCACCGTCGAGCTGCCCCAGATTTGGCTGTTCCACCCCATCGCCACCTTCTTCGGCATGCAGTTCGGCGTCCCGTTCCCCCCGGCTTGGAAGATCGCCTCGCAGATCGCCGTCTTCTTCGTCTTTGAGGATGCCTGGCACTACTGGTTCCACCGTGGCCTGCACTACGGCCCGCTCTACCGCGCCATCCACAAGCTGCACCACACATACTCGGCGCCCTTTGGCCTCGCTGCCGAGTACGCGTCTCCCATCGAGGTTATGCTGCTGGGTGTTGGCATTGTCGGTATCCCTATCGCCTGGGTGTCCATCACTGGCGAGCTGCACCTGTTCACCATGTACCTCTGGATCGTCCTGCGCCTCTTCCAGGCCATTGACTCCCACAGCGGCTACGACTTCCCCTGGAGTCTGCGTCACTTCCTGCCCTTCTGGGCCGGTGCCGACCACCACGACGTGCACCACGAGAAGTTCATTGGCAATTACGCCTCTAGCTTCCGCTGGTGGGACTACTGCCTCGACACCGAGGCTGGCTACGAGGCGAGCAAGCGCCGCCGCGAGAAGAAGCTCCAGCAGCTCAAGCAGAAGAAGGCCCAGTAAATCTGCCGCTCTTTTTCATCGCCTGCCCGTTTGCACCATGCAAGGCCAACAATGATCATCGGCTGCCAATAAGCAGCGGCAGGGCTCTGCCAACGGACATTATTGCTTCACGAGGGAAGGCAGACATACTTGATTCAGGCCGTCCACTCTACCGAAACGCAGTGATTGCTGAACAATCTGGACGGTCGTCTCGTAATGTCATTATCGAGCGGAGTATGGAGTTAGTTGCCCGTGGCCATACGAGGCCAGTTTGAAAATTCTCCGAGTATATATCGAGAGGCGGAAATGCTAGACGACGATGCCCTTGGCACGAGCTTCACTAAAGGGAGTTTTCTTTTATGTGTCTACGACCCGACACAGCAAAACCCTTAGATTAGATATCTTTCAGCTTCCTCAAGCGTCTGATACATTTTTTTTTTAATGCGAGAATTTTAATTACGTGAATCGGAGGTTTCATTGCTCTCCACTGTAGCTTACAACAGTAATCAGACTAGGTCAGATTCATGCATTTTTCTGATTCTGTGACGGAATGGTTAGCGAGCGGGTATGCATCTATGCAGAGAGAGAGACGCACCGCTCCTTTGCCGGGCGTGCAGCAGTTGCCCCCAGAGACGGTAGTTGCCTTGTTGGCCAGGTCCTGAAGACTGCAAGCTATGCCCTCGCCAGAGGAGACTGTGATCTCCCCAAAGTCCCGCGCAAGAGCATCGCACAGGGCAGCCAGCTCCGTGTCCCTGCGAGTCAGGCCGGGCGTCGGGCTGTGCGTCGTCCAGCGAACAAAGGTGGTGTTGTAGACCTGGTGCAACATACGGTCAGCGATTGTTGGGCCGTCCAGCTTCGTCACCGCTCATCCTTCCGGAAGCCGCAGACAACCTACATTAGACCACTCCGGGTGGTGGTTCTTGAGCTTACACTGCAGGGCCACGGCCGTCATGAAGTCCTGCGCTACCACGTCAGCCCATCGGCCAGCATGGGCCAGTCGGTCCAGCCGTGCTCCCACGCACCCACGTCTTAGTGAAGGTCTTGAACTGAAAGGATCGCTCGATGCCGTCTCCGGACGTTGTGAGCGACCACCTTCCACGTCCCGACACCGACAGCAGGCGATCCAGAGCTGCACCGACAGTCTCTGCTTCCGGCTCGGTTGGGGCCACAATCTTGGGCTTCTCTGCGCCAGGAAACCTGCTGCCGCCCGTGGCCGAGAAGAAACGGCAGCCACCGGCGCAGCCTGGACGCGCTATGCGTGCAGCTAGACGCGCCCGAAACATTGTGCTGTGCGAGCGAAGTAGATGTAGTGTGTCTTCAACCAAAAGACCCCTGCGCTGCCACGTAAGGCAAATGAAGCTGTCGAGTCGGAAGTTGGAGGACGAGCGACTGCGAGTTCCGAATTTACTGGAAACAGTTCTTCGCCGTTAAACGTTAGTGCATTGGTGTAGTTTGCTCGCAGCTGAACAGGCTCGAAAATGCTCAGTACATCTCTGAAGCAACAAACAGCTGTGCAAGATTGGGAGCAAGTCAATCATCCCCTCCAAAAAAATAATGCGTAAAGAGGTCTTCCATTCGTACCTTCTTCTTTTCTCCGGTCACGTGCTGGTATGCCATAAGGATACAGCAATGCGAGGTGTTGAAACGGTCACAAATCAAGACTCAGTCTGTGCTTGTACCACTCGCAGAAAAACTCACATGCGCTTTCGATGGGTTACTATACGGTATCGACTCTGAGTCAAAGCGTTCAGTACATTTGAATCAGACTTGTCCAGTTCCCTTTACAGCTCTGTGTTGGTTTGGACGTTGGGACTGTCTAACACACTGCCGGCTTCATTGAGCACCACATACTCTGATATGGCCAGCGGTTTTATCGTCTGCTGCATGTAATCCTGTAGTCCCGGGGTCGAAATCAACAGCATAAGTGTCATAAGCCTCAGATATTGTGAGCTTTAGAGTGTCCGTAGTTCTTAATGACTCTCTAGTATATAAGCATAACAACAGATAGCCACTTGACAAATTACAGAATTAATTAGAGTCCATTCTGATTTGAGGAGGCATCGATGGGAACAAATAAGAGCATCTGCGTTGTAAGACTGCATTGTCAATCTTGCTCGTGGGTAAAGTCTCGTTGCGCATACGCATTCTACAAGGGTTAAAATACTTTGGGCACCCCCTCTTGCCTCCTGGCTAGCTCGTATATCTCGTAGAAGTCATGGAGTTTACTTACACATCTATGCCCAAGAATTGGCAGCTGCCGTTTTGTAATGTATCGTATTGTGCAACTCTCTCCTTCATATCATAGCACGAATTCAGTCCCAGCGGCTGCCATATCTTCCAGGGTTACAAATACTCGGGCCATTTGCATGTTTATCCTGTTCGGCAACGTGCTGTTCAAAATGCGTATAAAAGCAGGCGCCTGTCAATTCTAAATCGTCAAATCCCAAGTCTACCGCCCATTGCAGGTGCATCCTATATGATATGACAGTTTGTGCTCTTATCAAACTTGGCTAGGGTGGAGCTCGTGAGCTCTTGGTTTTACTTCTCTTTACATATGCAGTAAGTTAATAACTTCTATCACTGTGGTATGCTGCTGTGGCTCAACGATGTCTCATTGCTAAACAGTCCCTTCAGAACTTCTTGACGGAGATACGGCTAAAGCTATGTAAAATTGGTGTTGTGGTGATGATTGTGGATACTATAACTTGACACTTGGCCGCCCAACGATCATAACAGAAATCCATCTTGCAACGAAGGGCTCTCCTTGCAAACTCGCGGTACACATGACAGCATCATCATGTATAGTGCTAGGACATACCAAGTTTGGAAACACACTCAATACTCTTCGCCAGTGAAGTCTACAACAATGACTTTCGTGACGAAAGCTCCAATTGATTTCGCAAAGGCCAGGTGAACCGGGTCGGTTTTGATGTAGTAGTCTCTGTCCGCAGTAGAGGCAAACTCGACAACAAACCCATGGGTGATTCCGCTCTGTCCCGATTAGATGATAACAAGACAAAAACAGATAGTCTAGGGAACGCTACCTGAAGACCCTCCGAAGAGTGGTCTTTGCCGCCCTTCACTGAGAGGATATAAGGAGTCTGCGTCGTTGGATGAATGCAGTTATCCTTCAGCGAACTGAACTGTTGGCAGACCTGACGATTGCAAGGCGATTAGTCAGTCATATCGCACCCAAAGCTGACCAGAGAGGAAAGCTGTCATTGCCCTACCGTTTTGACATCGTCTGCTTTCACGTCTTCCTTGAATTGAAGGAGGACAATGTGGGTGATAGTCATGGTTGAATGAGGCTGCTGGAGGCTAAGAAAGGATGTATAATTTTCGAAAAGGCTGATGAGGGCGATCAGGGTTATACAGATGCAAGTTAGGTTTGCAGCGGCATTTCTGTCAACTGTTTGCCAAGACGGTCATTTCTCGGAGTTGGGTTGGCCCGTCGCAACAAGCTGAATATGCTTATTAAAGGCTCCAGCAATCAGATGACTACGGATTAATCCACACAGGCAATTCAGCTAGTACTCCGTATTGGTTAAATTACACGCATTTTTTGAGATGAGCCAATGCAGCCTTGCGAGGTGGGAATTCGAGAACAGCGTTACGTCTAAAGTTATCACTAATCATGGACTCGGTACATAGTATTGCGTACACGTCGCCACCAGAGTCAGAAATATGATTTGAGATAACAAGGAAAAGCTTGCAAGCTGTGGTGTTAATTTGTATCGCCTTCTAGTGACGCTTGGCTGCTTCTCTTACCTGAGCTTTGTGGATTGGTGCTTGAAAGTGTTTGAGCAAGGTGAATTGGCAAGTAAACAGCCCATTTGCACGTGTGACGGGTGATTTCTAATCGTACCATTGCGCCCATATGGCAGCTGTGAGCTGTCAGTATTCGGCTTCGGCTTAAGCGTTATGACTGAGGAATAGCCATGGCCCGGACAGATGACAAATCGAATTACGGCTGTGCAGCGGGGTTTTAGCACAACGGTTTGCTGGACATATTTTACGTCTTAGCAGAGCTAATCACTGAGTACCTGCGGCAATGTATCGATCTGCTATGGCGGTGAGCATAAGCTGAGAGTGTGATTGATGTCTTATCGCTCTTGCAGGCAATATGGCTGCAAAAGTCAGGGTCGGGGTCGGGGTCGAGATTTCCTGATAACGTCAGATTCGAGAGAGGTCGGCGTTGTGCCATCAGCCCCTGCTGTATAGCCCCTGTTGGGTCGAGTTGCAATCCATTCATAGCCACTTTTGGGTGCGTACGACGTAGATATTGAGCTGAGTCTGCAAATCGATGCGTAAGACAAGCCTGTCGGGACTAACCGCAGCGGTCCTAATGCTGCCCAATTTATCTATATCTGTAAGCAGGGTATGTACCGGTGCCATGGAGCATTTCCGTGCTATCCCAGTCCTCGTCAACCATACTCTGGAGAGGATATGCCTGCCGTCCTTTGCTATCGTCCGATTCGACATCTATATACATACTCTATCCAAGCCACCCATGTGCCCCATGGTCTATCCTTGTGAACTCACATCCCTTCACTAGAAGGAAGGCTATTCGTTTCCCGGTATCGTAGCATGTGGGTATCTGCTGTAATTTATGAGACCCCAGATTTGTCTTCTGTGAGATACGGTTACGGAGCCTCTTCAAACTGGAGATGAGTGGCTAAAAATATCGCTGAGTGATTGTGCTGCACCAATCCTGTCCAGGTTGGATGTGGCGTGTGACAAAAAGTGCTGATCGGCTGGTCACAATAAGCGCTCTTCTGTACTCGCACTCTGTACACAGTACATTGTATTTCAATCCGTATGTGTATCATGGCGAGCTCGTACGAGTACTCCGTACGAGCAGGCTGCTTATACGAACTTGGCACATCACGTGATACAGAATCGTGCTGCGCACATGCAACAAGGCACATTCTTATATTTATGTCTTGTGATGGCGCAAGAAACCGGATCTTTACGTAATTTATTAGTGTACGTCGCCCCCACCTAGCTAGCTGCTTACGTATGCACACCCCTGCGCGGGAAAGCGACATTGATCCTTCCCCCAGGCCTACGACGCAGTTATCGTCCACAGCTCGTATTGTCTCTTCCTGCCGGGCTGTTTCGCGGGAGACGTACGGAGCAGATGCCGGAAAATGTGCACCGGGATTTGGAGGCCAATCTGTTTCGTGTCTCTACGACGTAGGGGCGCTGGGTTCCAAGGTGCAAGTGCCGGATATTCCGAATCGGTGAGAACGATGACAAAAGTGCCGTGCTGACAAATATTGGGACTACGCTGTCTGCCTAGCGCGTTCCCTCCCCCACTAGCTTGGTCACCCCCCTTTGTTTTGTTTTTCTCTTATTTCTATCTTGCTGACTGAGCCGGCGTTTGATGACTCTTTTCTGACTCGCACACATTATCAACCACCACCACGCTGCTTTGCTCCATACGCGTTTCCACGAGCGCGCGGCGGTATCTCGCCTCTCGGCCAAGCGACCCCGGTGCAAGCAAGACAGCTCGGGTTCGTTGCAGAGGCCGCAGCAGCTACTGCTACTGCTACAGCGTCCTCGCTCGCTACCCAGCTAGCAGGCTCTGGACACGCAAACCGTCAACAACGCGCCCCAGCCACGCGAATTTTTAGATCCAATTTCCCTAGGATTAACGCCGTTGAGCCGCCCGTATTTTCTAGTCGGGTCATTCTGTCCTCCTCAGGCCAGACTCCAGCGCTGTCGCTCTTGCCTCTTCTCCTCCTCATTGTCTTTCTCCTCTTCCTTTTGCATATCAGCACATTTTTTACTTGATCCACCCCCTCCTCCCCTCCTTTCGCACACACCCGCGCCGCACATGCTGAGTCAGAGCAAAGTCCGCGAACCTGACCCAGCATAATCAATGGCGAGAAGCAGACGGACTGCCAACACGGCCACGGTATCGAATAATAATGGTGAGCTATATATATTTTTAACACGTCTTTTTTTCTTTTTTCTCGGTTCTCTGCCTATCCACCAATATCTCACGTGTGTGCGACGGTCCTTCCATCTTCCATTAGCAGGGATTCATGCTTTCCTGCTCCGTTCCCGGATGACCTAATGTCCCCGCCGTCAATTGGGGCAAGAACAGCTTCTTGGCTCCGTGTCCAGTATAATCCGTCGCAGTATCTACTCGTCTTCGCACCTGCCATTTTCCGTCCTCGTATCTCCTTCCGTCCTCTTCGTCTCCCTTATCCGCGACCTTGCCTGTCAGCCCGGTAAACAAGCCCTGTATTTTACTGCTGTTTCTGTCTCATTCCAGTCTCTCTGCACCCTTGTCGCGGCCCCGGGAATACAGACGTACAATATACAAGTTGGTGTATTTTGGAATACACGCCCAAGGCCCGACTATTGCCACCCCCCCTCCTTTTGCGAATCGCCTGCACAGGTTTAAAACGGGCGCCTTTTCCCTTCGCTCCTTCCCTGCGATTACGAAATCCATTCACCTTACCTCATCCTCCTTCAATCGCCTTCTTCTTGCACACGGCTCTTACACCACAACGCTGTCGCTTGGCAACCCACCGTCTTGTCTCGGGCTTTTATTGGGTTAGGATTACTCTATCCATGTGGCGCATTCCGATTTTCTGCATGCCCTGCGCTGTTTTTGCTCTTTTCGCCGTCGCGACATATTACTAACACGCCGCGCTCTACAGAAACACTGCCACCATCTCTGACAGACTTTGACGCCGAGGCTGGCCTGTTGGCTTTGCAGAAGCACGTTGACGCTGCTTCTCTCGCATCTGTTACTAACAGCCCCGTCATCGCAGACCAGCCAGTGGCGCCGACGTCTGCAATTGCCTTGGCGCAAAGCCATTTATACGCCGCCACTGCTGTCATCCAGCCTGGCACCTCTGCCGCATATTCTGATCTGGAAGCCCAGATCCACCCTGACCTTCGATCTGCACAACAGCTCGGCCACCATCCCGGGAGCTCCTCCTTTGTCGCAGTATCCGCCCCTCTCAGTTTGAGCATCATGTCTGCCGTGCCCTCTCAACCGGCGCCGAATGCCATTCCGGCACCCGTGGGCTCACCAATTCCGATGCAGACCGACGGACAGCCGGCTGCGGACGGCCGTCGAGGTCCGCGTCGGGAGCTGTCGCAGTCGAAACGCGCGGCGCAAAACAGGGCTGCCCAGGTATGTGCTTTGCGTGTGTCGTGCTTTCCGGACCGGCGACGGCGTCTGACAGAGTTGTGCTTGCAGCGGGCATTTCGCCAGAGGAAGGAGGGCTACATTAAGAAGCTTGAGCACCAAGTGACGGAGTACTCCAACATGGAGACGCAATTCAAGCTGCTGCAATCGGAGAACTACTCTCTGCGCGAGTACATCATCCACCTGCAGTCCAAGCTGCTCGACGCCAAGGCCGAGCTGCCGCCTCCGCCGGCCAACCTTAATATCGGCTCACCTGCGTCTGGTCAGAGTGCTGCGGCTGCCAACGCGTTGGCTAACGCTGCTGCCGCCGCCGTGATGGCGAGCCAGGACCCCCAGCAACTCCAGCAGCAACAGCAACAGCAACAGCGGATACAGCAGCAGCTCCAGCAACAACAGCAACAACAGCAGCAACAGCAACAACAGCAACAGCAGCAAGCCCAGAACGCAATGCCGCAGAACCAGAAGCCTCCGACTGAGGCCGGAGGCAGCGACCCACTGGCAAGAGTCGCTCAGGCTGTCGCCCAGCTGGAAAGCCCCAGCGGCAGCGAGAGCCCTTACGACAACGTCAAGCCCGAGGACATGAAGGATGTCAAGACGAGCGACGACTCCATGAGCGCGGCCGAGGAAATCGAGCGGCAGCTCCAGGCACCACAGGAGGCCTATGCGCCAGTCGTGGCGTCTGGCTAGACACCTAATACTCTATTAAATCCTGCGCCGTATTATTCCTTTTGCCTGTTGATATCGGCGGGGTCTCGTCGGCCTGAACGGCGCGGATGTGTGCGCGTGCTACCATGGGGCTTCCCTCTGTGGTGGCGTGGTTGCTCCCTTTGACCTGCTGTTTATGTTCTGATTCTTTACTTCTAGTGAATGGTGGACGAAGGTTCGGGGAGTGGCGTTGGGGTTGGGCATCTAACTTGGGCCCTTGAAGTATCCTTTTATGTGCGGGTTGCCGGACTTTTTGCTTGAAGTCTATTTCTCAACTCTGCTATATCCTGTTTATACGTCTTATGAGAACGAGAGGAAGCAAAAAATGGAAGTATATCGTACTTGTCGTGTATCTTTTGCTGCGTTGGCATTGTGGAGACTAGAAAGTCCGAGGGTCCGCCAGACGAGAGTCAGCTGACCATGATACAATGCTGTGCTACAGGAAGGCGCGTTCTCCACGTGACACTGATCAAAAGGAAGTGATACTACATGGTGATACACAACAGTCTCGTCAATATACATTGTCCGCTCTGACAAAAGAGAGTGCCATCCTATGCAAACGCATTGCCCATGTCGTGTTCCTATGTCTTGTTAGCAACCAGAGACGTGAGAGCAGCAAGGCACACAGGCGCCCAATCGAACGACTGACCTTGAGATAGTCCGCTCCCTTTTCCTGGTACTCGGCCTTGGTCAGTGCGGCCGTCTTCCAGGCAGCCGAGCCGGCCCAGTCGGCGGCACCGCGCCAGGCATCCGTGAGGGCGTCCTGGGCACGGCGTAGGCGGAGAGGCGCGCCCGCCGGGAGCAGGGCCTGCAGACCGGATTGTAGACGGTGGTCAAAATTGGGGAAGAGCGTAAGGCCACCGGTGAGGAAGACGTCGCGCAGAAAATCGTCACGGCTGATACCGCCGGACAGGCCGGTCAGGCGTTGGGTCAGAATGTCGCCGGCGATCTCGACGAGACCGGCCTGGTCGAGCCCGGCAATGGCGCTCGGCTGGAACAGGACCTCGGGCACACGGATCCGCTCGACGTTGAGGTGAATCTGGTGCCTCTCAGCCGGGCTGTCGGCATCAAACGGCCGCGGACCGCGTTCAAAGGCGTGCAGCAGCTTCTTGCTCCAGTCGTCCTGCGCCTCGCGCGTGTGCTCGTACGTAAAGTTAGGATCGTGCAGCAGCAGCAGGTCCTCCAGCGCCTTGAGAGCCACGTCTGGGTTTTCCTCGCGATCCTCGTTGTCGCTGTCGTCCTGGTTGATCGCAATGTCCCGATACACGCCCCAATCGGCATCGTCTGCCCCGAAATCGTCGTCATCGCCACCACCGCCTCCTCCACCACCACCGCCGCGACGGCGCTTTCGACTGCCGCTGCCGCCTCCTCCCGTTGGGCTGTCGCTCGCCAGGTTCGCAATGTGCTTCATCCGGATGTATGAAGCCAGGTTTTTGCGGTTGCCCATGTCTTTTGACAGCCGCTCGCGCTCCTTGATCTTGGCCAGCACCCCGAATCGCGCCTGTTGCTTCTCCTCTAGCCAGCCGGCAAAGTCGTTTGTGCGCCGCTCCTCCTCCAGTCGCGCCTCTTCTGCAATGCGTGCCTTCTCCGCCTCCTTCTCCGCCTTGGCTCGCGCCCGTGCATCGTGGTTCGACTTGAGCAGCCGCTGGTGGCGTTTCGTCTTCAGGCTGGCCTCGTCCAGCTGGTCGTCCGGCACCTCTAGCAGCGAGAAGTCCGGCGCCTCCGTCTCCTCTTCCGGGTCACCGCCCAGGTCCTTCTGTCGTGCCCGTCGGATCGACCGCTCCAGGTCCTTGACCTGTCGCTCGAGCGCTGCCTCGTCCTTCACCTCGGCCTCGTCTAGCAGCCGCTTGGTCTCCTTCTTGGGCTGCTCCGCGATCTGTATCTGGATGCTCTTGAAGTACTCCAGCTCGCGCTCCTTCTTCATCAGACGTTCCAGCCGCATCTTGGCTGCTTGCTCCTGCAACCGCCGTCCGCTCTCCTTCTTGCGCTCCGCAATCTTGGCCAGCTCCTCCTCCGTCTTCTGCACCACCACCTCCTCCGTATATGGGTATTGCACGATGCGTTCGCGGTCCTCCAGCCCCGTCCAGTCCAGGTACGTGCGCAATTCGCTGTCGTAGTCCTTGGACACGTACCCAAACTCCTTGAGCCAGTTCTCTGACTGCGACGGGTTCAGCTTCAGGTTGCTGCTGAGGTAGTCGCGGTACTTGAGCCGGATTAGCTTCAGCATGTACTCTGCCGCGTGTGAGCCGCCCCAGTTAAGCCGGATCGCCTGTGACAGGATGGCCTTTGAGTTGTACACCGGGATGACATGTGTGGCACTGTAGGACGAAGATACCACAAGGCCGGTGCTGCCCTTGTTGTGGCTGTAGGAGAAGAGGGAGTCGATGCCGTAGGCAAGTGAGGGGGCGCCGTAGCACTCAAAGATAATTTCGGTCATGCCTGCAGGAGCGGACGCGAGATGTTAGCACGGGACAGCAGCACGTACAAGGAGCAGCATCACGCACTTTTTCGTGAGTAGGCAAGGTTGGCCACTGCTTCCGTCATGACAACGGGCATGTCGATCGCACCATCTGCACCGTTGAGGCCGAGCTTGATAAAGGTGAAGTCGAGAATGTGCTCCATGACGTCCCAATTGGCAACAATGCCTGTACCCTGTTCAAAGGCGTTGCGTATGTGGCTCCTTGCAGCTGTATCGGCATAGCAGTCGGCACCTACAAAGGAAAACGTCTTGCCCATCTTGCGGTCGCGGTATTTCGCCATGATGGGTGGTATGACGAATCGGGGCTCCTTTTCGAACGACCATCCGGCACGGACAGCCGACGATCCTGCAGCAAGAGCGCGTCAGAGTTATGGTATACCACACGGCCAAGCCTTTGGGGAACTGAATACGCACCATTGTCAATGACGATGACAGCATCGTTGACGGATCTGGGCCTAGCCTTGGCCGCCTTGTAGTCATCGGGCTGTGATGGGACGTGGCTTTCGAAACGGGAATCCTGGACCGGGTATATAGTTGGCTCTGGCAGCAGTTTCCAAGCTTCTCGTCGCGGAAGAGGCTCGGCGATGTCGATGGCCATGGGAGCCATCGTGGGAGAGCAGTGCGAACAGAAGGTGAATGAAAGTCGAGACTCGAAGCTGAATTGCTGCTTCACAATCCCGAAGACGTCTGAGCGTGATTGACTCGTCAATAGTTGGTCGTTGGCCTTGTCGTCGCGACCGCAGAGACCATTTTATCGTGATATGTTTTGGCGTTTAGCTGGTGATGGCAGGTGCTGTGTTTTGTCGTAGTGGTGTGGCTCGTCGAATGCGAAGCTTGGACAATGCAGAATAGGCTAAGGCAGCCAAGGACTCAGAGGTGGCTGCCGTGTGTTTATTGGCCGTCTGCCCGTCTAACAAGCTCCCGAGCCGCGCAACGAAGCCTTATTCGAGCCTTCGTGCTGGGTGCGCCGAGACAAATTTCACAAGCCACATCTGTATTAGGTAAGGAAACGCCACAATTCCGCTTCGACAGGTCCAAAAGTCCATGACGGTGAGAAAAGCAAGAGGAGCTCCATCTTCATTAGATGCTCCGTAAATAAACAACACCCACACTTTAACAAGCACGCCTTTGTTCAAGATAGAAATGATTGCCGGAAGCAGGAGTAGGGCCCGACGGCTAGCACGGCTGTTTTGATTTTGTGTGGCTCCCGTACACAATACACACAATACTAGACGTGAAGACGACGTTCCAATTCTGCTCGAAGCCTCTGAGATATCTTCACTTTCAGCTACGGAGGACATATACATACGTCGTATGTAGCAGGAATATCACCATGCAAGTTATCATGCCGTGCCAAACACTGCTCCCAAACGAGCGTCGGACATCTGACACACATCTTACACCGCATCATCTTGCTGCGTTGCATCGCTTACCCATCCTGGATTATTGCATAAGTGGGGCCTGGCGGGGATGGGTAAGCCGAGCTACGGAGTACATATGCAGACATTGCAAGAAAGACAGCTCCTTGGCTGTTAGCTACAGAGCCTCTGGGAATGCGTTGAGGCCGTCTGTTCATGCCAAATCGAGGATGCGTTTACATGTGTAACGGCTGTCGTTGTAACTGTCAGACGGCTGGGGCTCTTCCTTCTTTCCGACTTGCGCCAGCTAGAAGCTCCAGCTGCTAAGCGGGGCCTATCCACGGCCTGAGCTTTAGTTCGTTAGCCTAACCAGTTGGCATAACCCCTCTTTCTACCCGTTCCTTCTGCCATCCCACTTTCTTTCTCACACGACGACCAAGCGTTTTAAGCCTGTTTTGATTTTCGTAGCCATCTTCTTCAACACATCCTACACGTTTTTTTTTCTGAAAGTCACAGCTTGTGATCTCATCCTTCCTTCCAAATACCCGTTTCTTCCGATCAGAACGGCAAGCAAATACTCGACATCATGTCTTGGCAAGGTGATTATAATCAACCTCCGGGGGAGCTAGCATGCGACTTCCCCCTTTTACTGGCATCTAAATTAACGTATTTTTGCAATAGCATACGTCGACTCAAGGTAATACACAACCCTTTCCATCGAAGCCTTGCCTGGCTTGGGTCTCGCAGCACTGGCTTGAATCACCCGGACTACCGGCCTGCTACCATTCGCATCGCCGGAGTACCGAAGGATTTGATGACAACTATATCGGGAAAGTTACGGTGTGCTGACACACAGCTACAGTCTCGTTGGCACCGGCCACATTGACAAGGGCACCATTCTTAGTGTTGCGGGCGACAGCGCCTGGGCTACCACCAGCGGTTTCAATGTACGCCGTCACATCTTGCTGCTTTCCCCCCCTCGGTGATGGGTTGCTGACCGCAACAGATCCAACCGGCAGAGATGAAGCAAATCTCCAGCATCCTGTCGGGCGACAAGAACGCCTCAGACAAGGCGTTCCAGGATGGCGTCCACGTGGCCGGCGAGCGGTACGTCGCGACCAGCATCGACTCAGCAGAGAACGTCGCGATCTTCCGGAAGGTAAGGGTCATGCACGATGAGCCTACTGTGACCACATATTGCGATTCGAGTGACTGACAGGGACAACTACAGGGCAAGGAAGGCATCATCATGGTCAAGTCGAAGCAGGCCATTGTCGTCGGCCACTACGGAGAAATGCAACAGCCTGGCAACGCACGGTCAACGGTCGAGGCTCTGGGCGATTACCTTCGCAAAGCTGGATATTAGGGGGATTTTACAGGACGATTATGCGTCGTACATACAGACAAAACAACACAGAAGACAAACAATCAGACAAAATTGAATTGAAAAAAAACAATCGCGTCTATTCCATAGCAGGAGATACGAAAGGGACAGCTGGCAAGTTGACCGGTGAAGCCTGGAGGGAGGTTTGGCCACGACGATGTACTGTAGGGGTTTGCATTAAAGACAAGTGGCTATGGCCAATGTAGTGGCGACGCTCGTGCCAGCCACCACCCAGATTTAGAAGGCAGAGACAGTGAAACATGAATCCCCGTCGAGTGGACTTACTAGCGAAACGATGCTCTTTCTGTGGCGATGCTCAGCCGTACCGGTGACTGTCTTGAAATAGACAATTCCATAATTAGATGTCTGATATTAGAATTGCTACAGCCAGACTGCTATATCCAAGGTGGGTAGAACAAATCCCATTTGGCCGTCCAAGTTGGGTATTCCATGGTGCCCCCTGTTGCCCGTACTTAACGCCGAAAGTTGCCGTAAGTCCCTGTCGTATAATACACCGCAAATATGCAAAAGCAAAGCCGTTCTTCCTGTAGGCTGTGCTTGTTTCCTCTGGCTAGGATCCAATCGGATTGTGCCGACGTCTCATACTGGCAATTCAGTGCTCCGCCGGCCGACACCAAGTCGATCCACCGCCATGCCGATATAGGGTCCGACAACCGGCACGTTGCGAGCAAAGGCTGCAATGGTGCCGAAGAAGTCGCCAAACAAGATAACAATTCCGTATAGTTCCACAAAGAAGCCGATCAGCGGCCAGCGCATCAAGATCATCAGCAGTCCGAGAAAGAACGCCCCCGTACCCTTGGCCTTTTGTTTCCGAGCGAAAAAGACAAGCGTCTTTTGTGGGCCGATGATGATGGTGAGGCCGATTAGGAAGAGAATCTAGAATAGGCGGAGGCGGAGGGACCGCGGTTGTGGTCAGCGATGCCGAGGGCATTGATTCAACTCCCATTGACGACTGTCATAATGGGAAGTCGTGGAACAATGTTGAAATCGGACTTACATTGCCCATGGCAAGCCTGTGCAATAGAAAGGTTAGCCGGAGGTCGCGAGGTATAGATGGGATACGTCCAGACTTACATGGATCTGTCAAAGAACAGCATCACGCCGCCGATGAGGAAGAAGCCTCCTGAAAACCAAGAGGTCAGATTGCTGTCAAGAATTGCACCCCTGGATTGCCGCCACTTACCACCGGTGCAGAAAGCCACTCCGACTTCTGCTCACCATGAGATGTACATATTAGCATCTGCTTTGTTCAAAATGACTTTACAGCCGCTAGCCCACGGGCACGTAGCTCGAGCACAGGCGACGGAATCAGTGAGTTTACGCACTCTGAGTATCTGATAACCACATAGACGGCATCGTTGCGATTCGGTGCAAGATACGAGCAGCGGTCGAGGGCAATGCGGGTGCCAGATGGGGACAATAGGGTATGAAGATGGTCGCGGGGTCCAGAGGTTGTCCAGAGGGGTGTTTCAAAGTCAGAGATGGCGATCGCGTCGGAGAAATCTTCAAACAGCAGTGATGCGACGAGAAAACACGTCTCCTTTAATAAGATGCGCAGCGCAAATAATCCGCGTAGCAGTAATTTTGCCCTGTGGTATTAGTTTCAGGAGAGCTAAGACAGCTGGCTCCACCCACTAAAAACCGGCTTCGACGGGTAAGCCATACTGCCATTGGCTGCGTCTTGCCATTCTTCAGGGCCTGATATCTCGAATTCGAAGTGCCAATCTCTCGCCTGACGCGTGAGCGGAAAGGCTGGCCAGAAGGGAGTGACAGAAAAAGCACATCGCTTAGTCATCATTGTGGCGTCTTGGCTCTGTCAATGCTCGATCAGGAAACAGCAGGCTCTAATCTAAACTACGATTGGCGGGCGTATGCCAAGCTATGCATCTTTACAGACCAAACGGCCCCTCCAAGCTCCTTCCGTCTTTTAGCCTCTGTCAGCCCGGATGACTCCCCGCTATGACCATAATTTTCACCGCCGGCCTATGGCGAACAGAGGCGACGGAACGGGCATATGAAGCCTACGATATAACTGATCTCGTTACAGAGGACAATTCGACCCCTCTCCGATACAGTGATAAGATTCGAACAGACTCCTGATGCCCTCCAACTTCACTACCGTTCTGCCAACCAATTTCTCTCCAACATGGCACCGAGTGCACCAAACGCTGAAGCGGAACTATGGCGGCAGCAAGTGGCGACCATGGTGGCCGCCGTTTCGAAGCTTAACCTGCCCTCGACAGAAGAGTGGGACCTGAGCAGCCTGGGCGAATACGACGATGGAGACGGCACAGACGACGGTCTCCACGCCAGTAGCGGCACCGACGGCCAAGATGTATGGGACTTTATCTCGGACGGCGAGCTGGAAGAGCTCGGGCTGTTTGGCGAGGACGTTGAATATGCAGGTGCAAGCGAAGAGACGAATGCCGAGGTGCCGTACAGCCCCAGCTGGCTGGCGACACGGTGCCAGGCGGTGTCTCTACGAAGCCAGGCGTCGTCAGAGTCAGCAACAGCGCTACCGGCCGACGTTCTGCAGGTGCAGATCATGGACGTGCTGCAGTCATCACGGCCAGAAGAGGAGCTGCAGTCACAGCTGACGGACCTGGTGGGCTTTGACGACCTCGACTTTGTGATTGAGCTGCTCGCACACCGGGACGAAATAGTGCTGGCAGGCCTGACGGCGCTGGCGGCAGATCCTCTCCCGACGACGACAGACAATGGGGTGGTGATGGTGGAGGGCCAGCGGCTGCTCACAAAGGCGCAGAGACAGGAGCAGCTGCGGCAAAAGGACTATGAGCACAAGACGGCAACACTGGCGTCGGCCTCGGCTGCGGAACCGCAGTACCCGCACGTGTACCGAGCATACAATGCGGGCAACACGCTCAGCTTCTCGGGCAAGCGGTACGCACTGCCACCGGGCACAACGACGCATGAGTTTGACAAATACACCGAGTACTCTCTGCCGGCCGGTCGCAAGGGGACGTTGGGGCCCGGACAGAGACTGCTCCCGATCTCGGAGCTGGACGGACTCTGTCGTGGCACGTTCAAGGGCTACAGGACACTGAACCGGATGCAGAGCCTGGTGTATCCGGTGGCATACCAGACGAGCGAGAACATGCTGATCTGTGCGCCGACGGGCGCGGGTAAAACAGACGCGGCGATGCTGACGATCCTACACACGATCGGACAATACTGCCTTCCAAACCCGAGCGAGGATGCGACGGTGAGCGACTTTGCGGTGGACACGGAGGACTTCAAGATTGTGTATGTGGCGCCGATGAAGGCGCTCGCGGCAGAGATTACGGAGAAGCTGGGCAAGCGGCTGGCATGGCTCGGAGTGCAGTGCCGTGAATACACGGGTGACATGCACCTGACCAAGGCGGAGGTGGTGCGGACGCAAATTATCGTGACGACGCCGGAGAAGTGGGACGTGGTGACGCGGCGGGGGACGGGCGACACGGAGCTGGTGCAAAAGGTGCGGCTTCTGATCATCGACGAGGTGCACATGCTGCACGACGAGCGCGGAGCGGTACTGGAGTCGCTGGTGGCGCGGACAGAGCGGCAGGTAGAAAGCACACAGTCGCTGATCCGGGTAGTGGGCCTCAGCGCGACGCTGCCGAACTATGTGGACGTGGCGGACTTCTTGAAGGTGAACAGATTCGCAGGGCTGTTTTACTTTGACGCGTCGTTCCGACCGGTGCCTCTGGAGCAGCACTTTATCGGAGTGAAGGGCAAGGCGGGCAGCCGGGAGAGCAAGGAGAACCTGGACGCGGTGGCGTTTGAAAAGGTACGGGAGATGTTGGAAGCTGGACACCAGGTGATGGTGTTTGTGCACTCGCGACGGGACACGATGGCGACGGCGCGGATGCTGTTCGAAAAGGCGACCGAGGAGGGATGCGCGGAGCTGTTGGACCCGAGCGGTCACCCACGATACGAGGCGGCAGTGGCATCGATCCGACAGTCCAAGGCACGGGAGATTAGAGAGCTGCTAGGCAAGGGCCTAGGGATTCACCACGCAGGAATGGCACGAGCAGACCGCAACCTGATGGAGCGGCTGTTTGGCGAGGGCGTGCTGCAGGTTCTCTGCTGTACGGCGACGCTGGCATGGGGTGTGAACCTGCCGGCGGCAGCGGTGGTGATCAAGGGGACGCAGGTGTACAATGCAGCGGAGGGAAAGTTTGTGGACCTGGGTATCCTGGACGTGCTGCAGATCTTTGGCCGAGCCGGACGGCCGCAGTTTGAGGACACGGGCATCGGGATGATCTGCACGACACACAACAAGCTGAACCACTACCTGACGGCGGTGACGGAGCAGCTGCCGATCGAGTCGCGGTTTTCGGCGAAGCTGGTGGACAACCTGAACGCCGAGATCGCGTTGGGGACAGTGACATCGATCCCAGAGGCAGTGCAGTGGATCGGATACTCATACCTGTTTGTGCGGATGCGGCGCAACCCGATGGCGTACGGGATTGACTGGGCAGAGCTGAGTCAGGACCCGATGCTGGTGCAGCGACGACGACAGCTGGCCGAACAGGCAGCACGGACGCTGCAGCAGAGCCAGATGATCATCTTCAACGAGACGACGGAAGAGCTGCGCAGCAAAGACGTTGGCCGGATCGCGAGCCAGTACTACATCCTGCACACGAGCATCCAGCTGTTCAACGCAATGATGCGACCACACGCGACTGAGGCAGACGTGCTGGAGATGGTGTCACGGTGCAGCGAATTTGACAATGTGCAATCACGCGACAGCGAAAGCAAGGAGCTGTACCGGCTGCGAGAGACAGGGACGGCGTGTGACGTGGCGGCCGGGCTGGACACGCCGCAGGCGAAGACGAACATCCTGCTGCAGGCGTACGTGTCGCGGGTGCAGCCCGAGGACTTTGCGCTCGGCAACGACCAGAACTACGTGGCCCAGCAGGCCGGCCGGATCATGCGAGCTCTGTTTCTGATGGCTCTCAACCGGCGATGGGGCCATCAGTGTCACGTGATCCTGTCTCTGTGCAAGGCAGTGGAGCAGCGAGTGTGGCCGTATGCACACCCGTTGCGGCAGTTTGAGCAGCAGCAACGAATCCCCAAGGCAGTGCTGGCAGTGTTGGACTCGAAGCCGTTGACGACGACGTCGATCGGGGCGCTGCGCGACATGGAGGCGGGTGAGCTGGGCAGCCTGGTGCACAACCAGGCAGCTGGCAGCAAGCTAGCACGAGTGTTGCGCAGCTTCCCGACGCTGGCAGTAGAGGCGACGATTGCGCCGCTGAACCGAGACGTGTTGCGGGTGCGTCTGGTGCTGCAGGCCGACTTCCGGTGGGACGAACAGATGCACGGGTCGTCAGAGGCATACTACGTGTGGGTAGAACACTCGGAGACGGCGCAGATGTACCATCACGAGTACTTCATTCTCAGCCGACGGCGGCTGCACGAGGCACACGAGCTGAGCTTCACGATCCCGCTGGCCGAGCCACTACCATCGCAGATCTACGTGCGAGCCGTATCGGACCGGTGGCTAGGGGCCGAGACGGTGACACCGGTGTCATTTCAGCATCTGATCCGGCCAGACACTGAGAGCGTGTACACGGAGCTGTTGGCGCTACAGCCGCTGCCCATCTCAGCGCTGGCGAACCCGGTGTTGGAGGCGATCTACGCGGAGCGATTCCGGTTCTTCAACCCGATGCAGACGCAGATCTTCCACACGCTGTACCACAGCTCGGCCAACGTGCTGTTAGGATCGCCGACAGGCAGCGGCAAGACGGTGGCGGCCGAGCTGGCGATGTGGTGGGCGTTCCGCGAGCGACCGGGCAGCAAGGTGGTGTACATTGCGCCGATGAAGGCGCTGGTGCGCGAGCGGATCAAAGATTGGGGGCGACGGCTGGCCGGACCGGCCGGACTGCGGCTGGTGGAGCTGACGGGTGACAACACACCAGACACGCGGACGATCGGCGAGGCGGATGTGATCGTGACGACACCAGAGAAGTGGGACGGCATCTCGCGTAGCTGGCAGACACGTGGATACGTGCGCAAGGTCAGCCTGGTGATCATCGACGAGATTCACCTGCTGGCAGGCGACCGAGGGCCGATCCTGGAGATCATCGTGTCGCGGATGAACTACATTGGGGCGGCCACGGGCAGCTCGGTGCGGCTGCTGGGAATGTCGACGGCGTGTGCCAACGCGACCGACCTGGCCAGCTGGCTGGGGGTGCAGCAGAGCCGAGGGGCGCTGTTCAACTTCCGGCACTCGGTGCGGCCGGTACCGCTAGAGCTGTACATTGACGGGTTTCCAGACGTGCGGGGATTCAGTCCGCTGATGCAGTCGATGAACCGGCCGACATTCCTGGCGATCAAGAACCACAGCCCGGACAAGCCGGTGATTGTGTTTGTGCCATCGCGACGACAGACACGACTGACGGCCAAGGACCTGGTCAGCCTGTGTGGGATGGAGGACAACCCGCGACGGTTCCTGCGGGTGGACAGCGAGGACGAGCTGCAGACACAGCTGGCACGGGTGCAGGACGAGGCGCTGCGCGAAGCACTGGCCTTTGGCATCGGGCTGCACCACGCCGGGCTAGTCGAGTCAGACCGGGCGTTGTCGGAAGAGCTGTTTTTGGCGGGCAAGATCCAGGTGCTGGTGGCGACAAGCACGCTGGCCTGGGGCGTCAACCTGCCGGCACACCTGGTGGTGGTCAAGGGCACGCAGTTCTTCGACGCCAAGACAGAGGCCTACAAGGACATGGACCTGACGGACGTGCTGCAGATGCTGGGCCGAGCTGGACGGCCGCAGTTCGATACGACGGGCGTGGCGCGGATCCTGACACAGGCGAGCAAGAAGGACTTTTACAAGCACTTTCTGCACACGGGCTTCCCGGTCGAGTCGTCGCTGCATACGGTGCTGGACAACCATCTGTGCGCCGAGGTGGCGGCCGAGACGATTGTCAGCAAGCAGGACGCGCTGGATTACCTGACCTGGACCTTTTTCTTCCGGCGGCTACACAAGAACCCGTCGTATTATGGGTTGGAGGTAGGGGGAGACGATGTTGAGGACGAGGATGCAGTTCGAGAGACGACAGCTACAGACTCCCTCTCGGCACAGCGACGGGCCAACACGTTCATGGTCGAGATGGTGGACCGGGCGATGCACGATCTCGAGACGTCGCAGTGTGTGCGGCTGTATCCCAACGGCGACGTGGATCCGACGGCACTGGGTCGCATCATGAGCTACTACTACCTATCGCATCGGACGATCCGCTATCTGGCACGCCACGCGAAGCCGAAGGCCGGCCTGGCCGACGTGCTCGCCTGGATGTGTCACGCGGCCGAGTACGACGAGCTGCCGGTGCGCCACAACGAGGACCTGATCAACGCCCAGCTGACGGCACCGGCCTTTGGGCTGCCCTTTGCGGCCACGGCCTTTGGGCTGCCGCTGTGGGATCCACACGTCAAGGCGTTTCTGCTGCTGCAGGCCCACATGGCCCGGCTGGAGCTGCCGATTGCCGACTATGTCGGCGACCAGACGAGCGTGTTGGACCAGGCCGTACGCATCGTGCAGGCAGCCATTGACGTGCTAGCCGAGCTGAACCTGTTGTCGAGCTGTCTGGCGATGGTGGCGCTGCTGCAGGGAATCAAGAGTGCAGTGTGGCCGACAGGAGAGGTGGTGGAGATATTGCCGGGGGTAGAGATGAGGGGGAACGTCGACAGAGATCGAGACCGAGATCGAGACCGACACACAACTCTTCTACAGATTGCCCAGATGAACGAGCCCCAGCGGAAACAGCTGGCCCGCTCGCTCGGCGTGCCGGCCAGCCAGCAGGTCCGCTTCCTACGGGCGGCCACGTTGCTGCCCAACCTACAGGTGGCCATCGGTCCGGTCACGACGACGTCCGTCACCGTACAGCTACGGCGGGCCAACGCACTAACCAGCCGCGAGGGCCGCATGTTTGCACCACGCTTCCCGAAACCGCAGACGGAGGGCTACTTTGTGTTTGTGGGGAATCTGGCAAGCGACGAGGTGTATGCGGTAAAAAGAGTAGGCTGGGGGTTGGTGGGTGGAGGAGAAGGAGGACAGGGTGAACAAGGTGGAAGAGGCGGGAGAGGGAAAGATCGGGGAAGCCGAGGAAGAGGCGGACGAGGAAGAGGAGGTGCAAGTGCAAGTGCAGACGGAAATCCTTCCGAAAAATTGCCTTTTGCCAAGGCCGTCGTCAAACTCCCACCGGCTGCTGCAAAGGCTGGTCGTGTCGATGTGCTCGTCGTCAGCGATGGCTATGTCGGACTTGAACATCGGATCCTGGGCGTGGAGATTCCGCCAGCGCCGACGGTCGACGGCGTGGAAAAGGGGAAGAAGGGGGAGGAGAATCAAGAGTAGAACAACGAGCGAGGCGAGGAAGAAAAAAAGAACGAGAAACGAGCGAAGCGAGGACAAAATGATTCGTACTGTATCCAAACAACACGTGCAGCCGATTACTAAGACGTCATTGCAGTCCAGGGATCGTCTTCACATCAGCGAGACTGCCAGATGGCCGTGACAACATTGTCAAAGCTTCTTGTCTAGAAATACACTGCTAAAACCTGCCTTACACTAATCAGGTAAGCTCTGTAGGACAGAACCAGATTCACCGCGAATATAGTATCCTCCTTCCTCTTACGAACAGATACAAGTTGCTAACAGAGACCAAAATGGCCAAGTTCACCCCTCGAACGCCAAGTCAGCTATGGCTTCTGCGTTGGCGCCTGCTGACGAAGATGTGACCAGAAAGGTGGTTTACAAGGACACAGACACCTTTTTCGAGGTGATCAATGATGTCGATAGAGACTGCGACTGGCAGGTCTTCACAGGTCCGTTCTTTTATCAGCTATTAGTATCCACCAGCAGAAAGGGATAATAACCCATTGACCAGGCGTTACACAAAACGCCTTTGAGGAGATCAACCGCGAAAGGGAAGCCCGGGGTCGCAAGATCCGGTTTCGTTACTTCCCTGATGACGATCTCCTCCATGTTACAATCCCGACAGGTTTACACGAACGAGGTCATCTCAACCTGTATAACGCGATAACTACACAAATGGGCCAAATGAGCCAACAAACTCATGAATCGTGGAATTGCAGTGGTGCTACCACTTACGCGGGTAGGGTTGGCGCATCTTCGGGGGAAGGCGACTCAGGTGGCTACCCTGACAGTCGCCTAGCGGATTCCCAATGGCCTACTATTGTCGTTGCGTCAGGAGTATCGCAATCATTTGGCGACCTCGAACGAACCATGCGATGGTGGTTCTCTGCCTCCAACCACCGGGTTAAAATTGTATTATTGGTCAAGCTCCACCGCGATAATCGGACGATGGAGATCACAAAATACACCGAAGGTCCGGCTGGCCCTCGATTTGGGGCCACGAACACTAGGTCCTCCACCAACAATGCAGCACTGGCGCCGTTTCCTCGCCAAGCCATCAGGATAACGCAACAAAGAGGGAATGACAACTCCATCACTTACCACATCACTAGTGGGGCGTTGATGCTGGAGTTCGCCCTTCGCTTTTTGCGGCAGCCCAACCCGGATTATCATGAGAGGGACATCCTCATTTCTGTCCGTGCATTGCGGTTCATCGCTAGAAAAGTCTGGCAAGAGCCTCCCTCTCATCACTAGGCATGTGGTGGTCATGCCATGCAATCAGGGGACGTCTTGTATCTTGGTGTACAATCTTGCTATGGCACAATGTGCCGTGGCGTTAGTAGACGACGTCATCTCGGAGACTGCTCAGATATAGACGGCTAACAGCATACTACTCTTAGATGAAAGGTATCACAATCAACATCAGCCAAGTAGGGAAAACATTAACGAAGAGAGCGGGAAACATTAACGAAGAGGGTGGCGGCGGCAAGGTCGCCAAGCGATCCACAGCAAGTCCTTTCGCAACATACACCTGCTATTCTACTGCGACAGCAACAGCGACGACCAACGAGACAACACAACCGGGCTTGCGCTGGCCGCATGCTATACCCTCCTCCGATTCACTACCGACGGCACCGGCAACGACCACACAACAGGCGGCGCCTGGTTACAACCAGCACCGGAAGGTGCACTGCAAATTTTTTCTTACTTTGTCGAAGACTGGAACCGGGCGTACGTGGCCATGCGCTCGTACATGGACCGCCGGGCGGGACACCATGTGTTGTTTCCTGCCGTGACGCCAAAGCTGGCGAGAGAGAGGATTGATTGCATAAAGCCACGCAATTTTGGTGCCGTTTTCGCCATTGTTCTTCTCACCCTCCCCAAGGGCTAGACAGATATCGATCCACGAAGACTAAATACAGGAAACTGTTAGCAGGCTGAAGGCGGAAGAGAAGGAGGAAAGGAGGACAAGGAAGACAACTGCATGTGCGTTGAACGTGACCATTTAATGGCTGTGGTACCCGTACTCCCTACAATGTATAAATCAAGCCTTACGTAATCAACCAGCTGGCCTCAGCTGGTTGGTCCGTGCATGCAGCTGCTAGCCTGGTCCTTGCGGCTGTGCCATTCGGCCCAAATTGACTTCCTGTCCTCAGTCTTCCTCCACATCAGCACGTACACCTTTCCCGTCCACGATGCCGCTTCCATTCTTGGCAACGGTTGCTTTTGACGGGCTGCCGGCCTGGATGCCGCAGCCCTGGACGGTAGCGCAGGCGGTAGGCTCCGTGGGTGCGCTGGCTGCGATAAAATACTACGCGAGCGGCGCAACAAACGACTCAGAGCGGAAGATGCACGGCCGCGTGGTGCTGATTACGGGCGGCACGTCGGGCATTGGGGCGGTGGTGGCCTACGAGATGGCACGCCGCGGGGCCAGCCTCGTGCTGCTGACAGCACAAGCACCATCGGACCCGATGGTGATCGACTACATTGGCGAGCTGCGCGAGCGAACCGACAACCAGCTCATTTACGCAGAGCAGGCCGATTTGGCATCGCTGCACAGCATCCGCACCTTTGCCACGCGCTGGATCGACTCGCTGCCGCCGCGGCGCCTCGACATGGTCATCTTGTGCGCGGCCGTCGAACCGATTCCGTTGTCGGGCGGCGCCCAAAGCCGTCTTCGTGGCGCCACCACGCCCGAGGGCATCGAGGGTGCCTGGATGGTCAACTACCTAGCAAACTTCCACCTGCTGGGACTTCTGAGCCCAGCGCTGCGGTCGCAGCCGTTTGACCGCGACGTGCGCGTCATCATCACCACCTGCTCGGCCTACATTGGCGCTCCGCCTCTCATGGCCGGTACTTTATCGGAGTCTGAGCCGGTGATAGGAGGGAAAGGCGGGAAAGGCGGAAAGGCAGAAAAGGCGACAGCAGCACCAACAGCGACTGTGGCCGAGTGGACGCCCAAGAGGGCGTACGCGCGCAGCAAGCTGGCGCTGATGGTGTTTGCCCGCTCGTTCCAGAAGCACGTCGACGCGTACGAGCGGCCCGACAAGCTGCCCGGCAATGTGCGCGTGCTGCTGGTCGACCCGGGTCTCTCGCGCACGCCGGGAATGCGGCGCTGGTTGACGGGCGGCTCGCTGCTCTGGCTGGTGCTGGGCTACGTGCTGCTGTACCCGCTGTGGTGGCTGCTGGTGAAGAGCGCCGATATGGGGGCCCAGTCGGTGCTGTTTGCGTCTATGGAGGCCCAGCTGCGGCGGCTGCAGGGGCTGGGCAGCGCTGGCGGCAGCGGCAGCGACGACAGCAGCGGCAACGCCAAGGTGGGCGAGCCGCTGGCGGCCGAGTTCGAAAACGACCTGATCGCCGGTAAGATTATCAAGGAGTGCCGCCTGGTGGACGTGGCCCGGCGGGACGTCGGTGACGAGGCTGTGGCCAAGGCGCTGTGGGAGGAGAGCGACCGGCTGGTGGAGCAGACGGAGAAGCGGGCGGCCGCGCAGCGAAGGGCGGCACAACAGGCGGAAGAGGCGGCAAAGCAGGCGGAAGAGGCGGCCGCCAAGGCCAAGAAGGAGGCCGAAGCCGAGGCCGCACAGAAGAGCGAGATTGCCGCGCTGGTGGACGCAATCAAGAAGGGAAAGAAGCAGGCGGGCAAAGAGAAAGAGGCCGAGGCGAAAGCGACGGGCGCCGAGAGAAAAGACGATAAGAAGACACGGAAAAGGGCCTGAGAGCACGGAGGCAATCATAGACGTTTGAACTGGACGAATACTAGTAGACTGGATCCAGACGCAGAAACGCGGGGAATCCAGGCACTATAAAAACGGGAAGGCGTCATTGGCTAGCACGTGAGAGGTGCGCCTTTCCGTCATTATCGCTTCGTCTCCCCTCTTCTTCGAGTCCTGCCATTGCGACACGCACAAACAAGCTGCACTACAACACCCACACAAGCGCTTCTCACTCTTCACCTGTCGCTGCCTCAACCATGGCGTCCCGGCCCATCTCACCGCCGGACGGTATCCACCACCACAATCCGTCTGTGCGGCATCCAGTCTTCTTCACCGAACACCTACATCGGAGCCCGGCATTACCAACAGCAGCAGCGGCAGCAGCTACAGCAGCAGCAACGGCAGCGGCTACAGCGGCCGTGGCAGTGGCTGCCGCCTCCATCGCACCACCACCAGCCACACACCTTCGCAATCCGGTGGCTCACGGATACGTGTACCGAGCGGCAGTGGTGCCGAGGCTGTGAGGGGCTGTGACCGGATGACGAGCACGAGAGAGAGAGAGAGAGAGAGAGCACGGGTATGGGAAAAAGAAAGCAGAAAGCGTAAGGGGTATTCGTCCATCTCGTCTTGTTCTGCTGGCTACTCCGTATCTACTCCGTACTCCGCATTTAGATATCGTATTCCGTATCTTACCAAATTACAGCGTTCCGCGTGTTTCGGCGCCCCGTTCAGAAGGTCCCGCTTCGCTTTCAGTGCAACAGCCCCCGTAATCTCCCCCCCCGTAGCTCGCCAGCAAAGTCGCCACAGAGCGCTAGTCTGGTTTCGGAATGGCCCTACAGCCCTGCAGCAGCTCAACTTCCCGTCATTCCTTCTACGAGTAAGAATCTCCAACGCTGCCGGCGCCAAAATCAAGACTCGACAGCTCGCCAATTCATCCATTCCAGTCGCATCTCTTCCCAGCCTGGTCGTGCTGCATGGGCGTCGCCTCCGTCTTCGACCTTCCTCCCATCCGAACTCCTCGATCGAGACCGACTACCTCACCGCTGCTGTGTCGCAGGCCGCACACCGTTCTCGAAACGCCTTCTCCTCCGCAGGCTTTACGCACCGTCCCCCTGTCCATTGTTCACGGACATTGCCTCGTGTCGACGGCCCTGCCATCATGGCCTCTCCATCAGGACCGGCAACGCCGCTGCTCTAGTACGTGCATTTGCAGAAGGGTCCGTTCGCTGCTTCCCGTTGCTTTGGCCATGTTGAGAGTCCTCCCATCCGTCTCTTTGTCTTTCTTTTTTTCCTTCCTTTTTTTTATTTTTTTTCCTTCTTCCCTTTTTCTTCTTTCCTTCTTCTTTCGTCTCTCGTCCCCCGCTGACCGCCCGCAGCGCCTGCGTAGCCCACAACACGACCATCTTGGCCGAGTGCACGACGTCGGCAGCCAGCCAGACGTCGTCGCTCGCGTCGCTGATCCTGCCCAAGATCGAGCACCGCACGCCACAGAAGCTGACCTACACCCATGGCTCGCACCACATCCACTACATCGCCGAGGCGACGTCCGAGCACGCCGCCGACCGCGACGGCCACCCCAGCTCGGCCGGCGGGCTGACCTTTCTCGTCATCGCTGAGGCAGCGCTCGGTCGCCGCGTGCCCTTTGCCTTTCTGGCCGCGCTGCGCACGCGCTTCCTGGCTGACTTTCCGGCTGTTGCCACCGACTTTGCCGACCTGCCCAACTACGGCTGCGCCTCGTTCAACGGCACGCTGCGCGCCATGATGGTCGAGCAGGGCAGTGCCGGTGTGACCGGCGGCGACGTCCTCACCGGCGTCCGCCGCGACATCGAAGACGTCCGCGGCATCATGGGTCGCAACATTGAGAGCTTGCTGGAGCGCGGCGAGCGCATCGATCTGCTGGTCGACCAGACCGACCGCCTCGGCGGCAGCGCCCGCGAGTTCCGCGTTCGCAGCCGCGGCCTCAAGCGCCAGATGTGGTGGAAGAACGTCAAGCTGATGGGCATGCTGGCCGCCGTCGCTGTGCTGCTGCTGCTGACCATTGTCGTGGCGGCCAAGAGCTGAAGGGAGAGGAGGAGAAATTGAAAAGTATCCGCTCTCGTTCTTTCGGGTTCGTTTTCCTCTCTCTCCACGTCTTGCCTTTCTTCCCTTTGTCCTAGCATCGTCGTTTCTGCCGTCCATCTCTTACTTGTATTCTACTCCGTATAATCGAGACAGGCCTGCAATTTTGTGTAATTTCTAGACAGTCAGATGCCGTAACCACGAGTAGACATGCGGATTACGTTGTGTTGAAAGCTGCCAAAATGACGTCCGTGGCTCCTTCCCCCACGATCTCCACAAATCGCGTCGCGCCAGTAATATCTACTGGGCCTCTCAAGTCTTTCATGCTCGACCTCAATTGAACACACTCCTTTCTGTCCTCCATTTCTGTTTCATTTCGTCCCCATCTCGTCCCCGTTTCTGTCACCGATTTTTCTCCTGATCGTCTCCCACTATGCCTTATAACACTACCGCTATCCCGCCGCGGAAAGAGGCCACGGGCCAGACGCAGCTGCCATGTGCGTTTCTGTCCGCTTTCCACGTCTTCTCGCCTGTCTTGTCCTTTGCTGACCCTTATCGCAGTAACCCGAGTGCGCAAGATTATCTTGCAAGACCCAGACGTCGCCGTCTGCTCCAACAACGCCGCTTTTGTCATCACGCTTGCGACAGTAAGCCCCGCTCAGAACGCTCTTCCTTCTCCAGCCCTTCTGACCAGACAGGAACTCTTTGTCCAGTATCTTGCCTCTGAGGCCCAGAACATGGTCAAGCTCGACCGCAAGCCTCGCCGCAACGTCCAGTATAAGGACATCAGCAATGCCGCCTCCCGCATCGACCGTCTCGAGTTCCTCCAGGACACCGTCCCCGCCACCGTCCCCTACGGCAAGATCAAGGCCGACGCTGCCGCCGCTCAGGCGAAGCTCCGCGGGGGCGCTGTCACCGCCAAGGTCGCCAAGTCCGACCGCACGTTTTCGGGCACTGCCGCCGCGCCGACCACAATCCTGTCGCTGACGAATGGCGCGTCCACTGAAACTGGCGCCGGCGCCGGCGCCGGCAAGCGGAAGCACCAACAGCAGCTGCCCTTTACCGTGCTCAACGGCTCCAACTTCCGCCCGGTAGGTGGCCACACTGCGACGGATGCCAGTGTGGACGGCTCGGGCGTGGCTGCTGCTGCTGCTCTGGCCCAGGCTGCCGCCGCCTCGGGCACGACGACAGCGTCGACACCGCTCGATGAGGCCGGGCCCAATGACCAGCTGCAACAGGACATGCTGCGCATGCAGGATGCGAGAAACCACGGAAACGGCGACGTTGAGATGGAGGACAGCTAGGGCGGGCATAGACATGGCCGCAGCCTGGACCTGTCCCTTATCCTCTAATCAGCTCGAAACGAATATGCTACCCAAATTATACATGACGTCTATGCCCCATCTTCTTTTTGTTTGCAACTCATAACCATCGTAACAGCCAGAAAGGGCAGAGAAGCACACTGCCCTTTGTCAAACAACAACAACAAAAAAAACGCCGTCCCGGTCGGGTGCCCCTGATTCCAAAGTGTCCCAAGTGTCCACGCGCGCGCCACGCTTTCCGCTCTCACTGATTCCCCGGTTATCGTCCCCGTATCAGCGCATTGGCATCCCACAGCAGCACGCGCTCGTCCCAGCCGGCCGAGGCCACCCAGCCGCCCTCACCAAAGAGACACCAGTCCACGCCGGTCGTAAACTCGGTGTGCCGGTTCATGACGCCCAGCGGCCGACCGAGGCGCTGTGACGCGGGGGTGATGCCAGACGGCGGGGGTGGAGGTAGCGGCGGCGGTGGCGATCCGTCAGACCACAGGCGCACCGTCATGTCGTAGCTGGCACTCAGCAGCACATCGTGGGCATGTGGGCTCCAGGCCAGACGGCGCACAGCAAACTCGTGGCCCAGCATCAGGGCCTGCGGGCCGGCAGCCGGGCTGCGGATGTCAAACGTGCGGATGATCTTGTCGACGCCACCGGTGGCGATCAACGTGTCGTTGTACTTGTTCCAGTCGTGCGTGAGGATCTCGGCCGGAGCAGCGCCGCCGCCTGCGCCCGCACCAGGGCCGGCGTGTACGGGAATAGACGCCACCAGGTGGTACTTGGCCGAGACAGGAGTGCGCAGATCGAAGATGCGCAGGAGGGAGTCGCTGGACGCGGCCGACACGATCGCCGGATTGGATGGACAATAGGCAGCGCTGTAGGTGCAGGTGCCGATGGGGAGGGTGCGGAGGGCGTTGTTCCGAGTGGGAGACCACTGGGAGGTCAGCAGGCAGAAACGAGACGACGATATACGACGGACAAAACAAAAGAAACACACCAGCTTCACCGTGCCATCCCACGAACTCGTCAGAAATGTATCCTTGGTGGCAGGATTCCACGACACCGAGAGGGCTTCACGTTTGTGCTCGTGGAAGCTCATGACGGGAAAATCGTCGACGGAGAGGTCGAACAGCTTGAGCGAGCCGTCACCGCAGGCCACCAGCAGCTGGTTCTCGTTGATCTCGGACCAGGCCACGTCAAACTGTGCATCGTTGGTGTCGTACGTGCGGCCCACCTGCACGCCGGCAGCCGTCAGCTCCAGCACGAAGAGCTTGCCGTTACCGATGATGCCAAAGTTGGCCGACGCAGCCACGGCCACGCGCGAGTCGTAGTACGGCGAGTACTGCACCGCGTACGGATTGTACCCGGGCGTCCGGAACTCGAGCATGGGGGCGGCCATGGTGAAAGATTGCAGATAGCAGGAAGGAACGCAAAAAGGCGAGAGAGAGAGCGTGTCTTCTATTCCAGAGGGGCGGCTGACGTCGTCGTTGTGCTTGCCATCGGTCTCTGTCGAGGGACAGAAAGGATTGGCAGGATCCGGTGCGTCTTCCGTCCTCAAAAGTTGCGCCGTTGGGCGACACCAGCAAATCGCGACGACACGTCTAGCTAGAATGAAGAGCGGCGGATGTCACGCCGTGAGCCGAGGCTCACTACCGGTAGAAATCAGTAGCTCTAGTACTGTAGCAGTGGGGGTGCCCCTCCCCCAGACCAGAGGATAGCCCATGTGACATCATCCTACACGTGACATAGCTGAATCTAGATCACGTGTAAGGGTGCTCATGTAGACGAGGCGAGAATATGCAAGTTCTCTTGGTAAGACAAGATACTATGGAGTAGATACGGAGAACGGAGTACGGAATATTTGTTTGTATTCGCACCTTGGACTACGGAGGCCGACTGCCCCGTCCGGAGTACTGTGCAAGGGCTGCTCATATATTGCGTATTCGCAGATCCCTTTATAAAACTCTGCAACTGTGTTGTTACATACGCTGATCTTAGGAACATCCGTGCTCCGTAGTGCATGCTAAAATTAGGGTTGAAATAAGATGCACAATTGAAACGTCTTTTCGCATGATTGTAATATGAGCAGCTTGGCAGACCAGAGTGCACTCGCTTGTATGTACATGTATCTTATCTCGCCCATCAGGGTGGGTGTCCTCTCCAGGTCTGCCGTTCCGTACTTAACGCTAGCACACCCAAGTGACGGCGCCCCTCTAAAATGGCCAAAGACATGGGGAAGTGGCCTTTCGCGCTCAGAACGATTAATCACCGTGGCCCCCCCCTTTCGTACAGTACGATGCAGTGTTGGCACTCATTAGGCACTGTAACTGTGACATCCGACTGCCAACGTGGCTGCCTCTAGTTGGGACACTCGAAACAAAAAAAAGAGACAGAACACGCCAAGCTTACGTGTCCGACAGAATACGAAAATCGAAATCGTCGCACACTTTTGGACTGCCCTTTCTACTCCGGAAGTGCAGGTGCTCCAGTGCTCCAGTGCTCAGGTGCTGCCCTGATGAGGGGCGCCGTTCTGCAACGTTCGTATTCGGCCTTGATTGCATGCAACAGGCCAAAAGCTGCAACGGTTGAAAAGCCCCAAATTACACACTGTATACACACTGTATACGCAGTGCTCGCATCGTGGAAACACCTGCGCTAGGTCCGTCGTAAGGTGAGATCTGTGGTCGGAGAGCCGTGCTGGCCAATAGCAAGCTCCCACTGTCCGTTCTCCCCTCCCCGTTATCAACCTAACGGGGACCTGTGCCAGACCACTTCCTCCCTGAAAGTCGAGCGCGCGTCTCCACAGCCCGATTTTCCTATTATTTTTGGCGTTGTGTTGAGGCACGAACCCCTTTTTTAAATTCCCGACAGGGGTTCTTCACAACGGCCAGGTCCTCTCTCTTCTCCCCCTTTTCTCGCTGCTGCTCTGAAGCTTTAGCCCTTTTGCGCCTCTGTTTCCCACCTTACCCCCTTTTTCTGACTTTCGCAATTTCCCCTTCTAGAAGTCACCACTTCGGCTTCCCATCAGCCTTTTTTGTTCTTCACCTCTTTTTCGCAAACCATCACCGCCTCTCTCTCTCTCTCTCCTTACCGCTTCTCTTCAGCACCCCCCATTCGCTCCTCGGTGCTTCTTCTTCGACACGCGACGGCATTCAGGCTGACAACCACCTGCTTCTTGTCCCTCGCTTTAATTTCTATTTGGTACGTGACGCCGATCCTTATTGGAACCGGAATACGCCAGAACTGCTGCGAGCACATTGCATCGTCAGATACGGGATCTGTTCTCCTCTGCTCCTTCCCGTACACACCCCAGACGCGCTTTCCATCCATCACGTCTATACCTGCTGTCAGCAAGTCAAGGGCGTCATCCCACCAGTCCGCGCCATAGTTCGTGCAGCTTGCTTTTATGGACGAACGCTTTGCTGCCCTATCGGAACCTGCACATACCTCTCGTCTTGCCTGCTTTTCACCATACCTACTCCTGCAAGGAAAGAGCTAACTGTTGCCAATTCGTTCCTGACAGGATTCGATTTATTTCTTGCCGCGCCCCTTCCTAATTAGAACCGACCGTATTTTCGACGCCATCTACAGCTGCTACAATGGGTAAGAACACGCTTCATTGCATCCCCTTTTGTCTCTTTCCCCTTCAGGGTGCTCTATCCGGTGTTTTGGTTCCCGTCTGGACCTCTCTTGTGCTTGCTTCGACTCGTATCGACCCGTCCATAGTGCGTTTGGAAGGAACGAAGAGTTCGATGTCTGTCCCAAGCCGTCCATCGTTGGCCCTGTCTGGCTTTCCTCGCTCTGCTTTCTGGTATATCCCGATCCCGTTGGTAGTTGCAACAACAGCAACATTATCATCAACGACACATCCTGCCATACGACCAATCCGGCCATCATCAGCAGAGCACGCCCTCCACATACCGCTGCTCGCCTGACAGTTACGGCCGCGAATAGCCGTTCACCACCTAAGATATCGACTTTACGCCTTGAGCATCAACTCGGAACGAGATCCCCCTCTACTCTGCCCTCCCGTCTCTATTTCTTCTTACCATGCATTTCGACCTCGGAAACCACATTCGGACACGGACACGCAGTGCTCAATTTGAGAGAACTGTGATGAACATCGTCTCTCTCGGAACGAACACCATCACAGATGATCGGCGGTCCCTTCGTCCGCTGCCTGCACCGAGAGCCTCCAGCCTTGCTTTTCCTAAGGATATGGACAACGCCATTGCCATGGAACGCCATAAGATGCCAGACAGTGAGGGAGGTCCTCCAAAGCTTCGCCCAGTCAGACCTATGAGCTACGACGAACTCTACTTCAAAGCTGGACTGTACGAGGAAGCGTTCAAGACTCAGAGCTGTTAGATGCTTCTTCTGATTTTCAGCCCTGGGGCTTCCGTAACGCTTTGTGCGCCAATTCTCGAACAGGAGGCTAACATTTTTTTATTAGCTACAAACGGCTCATCTGCTGCTCCCGCAGTCATTGCCCCACAACCCAAGGCATCTTCTCCGACTCGTAAGCTGTGCATATGCATATTGTTCCTCTGGCACTGCGGAGCAAGCTGCTAACATCCATTTTACAGCTGCCGCAAACGATGCGCGGAACATTGTCCGGCGGAAGCTGACGGGCTACGTTGGATTTGCCAACCTACCCAACCAATGGCACCGCAAGAGCGTCCGGAAAGGCTTCAACTTCAACGTGATGGTTGTCGGTGAGTGGCACCGTCCTTGCCAACTTCTCGGTAAAGGGCCCTCTAACACGGTGTTTTAGGCGAATCGGGACTGGGCAAGTCGACCCTCGTCAACACCTTGTTCAACACTTCGCTGTATCCCCCCAAGGAGCGTAAGAGCCCCAGCCTGGAGATCATCCCCAAGACTGTGACGATCCAGTCTATTAGCGCCGACATTGAGGAGGCTGGCGTTCGCTTGCGCCTGACAGTTGTCGACACTCCTGGCTTCGGCGACTTTGTTAACAACGACGAGTCGTGGCGTCCGATTGTCGACAACATCGAGCAGCGGTTCGACGCCTATCTCGATGCCGAGAATAAGGTCAACCGCATGAACATTGTGGACAACCGTATCCACGCTTGCGTTTTCTTCATTCAGCCCACAGGCCACTCGCTGAAGCCTCTCGACATTGAAGTGATGAAGCGCCTTCACACCAAGGTCAACCTCATCCCGGTCATTGCCAAGTCTGATACTCTGACGGATGAGGAGATCACCGCATTCAAGCGCCGGGTACGTTTGCTGTAGCTATTGGACGAAGGGGTATAGTGGTAGGATTGGCAAGCTGACCATGGTTCTAGATTCTGGCCGATATCCAGTACCACAAGGTGCAGATCTTTGAGGGGCCCCGCTACGAGCTCGACGACGAGGAGACGATCGCGGAGAACAACGAGATTCTTTCAAAGGTCCCCTTCGCAGTTGTGGGTGCCACAAATGAGATCACCAATGCCGACGGACGTAAAGTGCGGGGCCGTCGTTACCCATGGGGTGTCATTGAGGTGGACAACGAGGAGCACTGCGATTTCGTGAAGCTCCGGCAGATGCTCATCCGCACCCACATGGAGGAGCTCAAGGAGAACACGAACAACATTCTCTACGAGAACTACCGCACGGACAAGCTGATCCAGATGGGAGTGTCACAGGATCCTAGCGTGTTTAAGGAAGTGAACCCGGCCGTGAAGCAGGAGGAGGAGCGCGCGCTCCACGATCAGAAGCTCGCCAAGATGGAAGCGGAGATGAAGCTTGTCTTTCAGCAGAAGGTTTCTGAGAAGGAATCCAAGCTCAAGCAGAGCGAGGAGGAACTCTATGCCCGGCACCGGGAGATGAAGGATCAACTGGACCGCCAACGTGCAGAGCTGGAGGAGAAGAAGTCCCGCCTCGAGAGCGGACGGCCCCTGGAGAAGGAGGGCAAGCGGAAGGGGTTCTCTCTTCGCTAAAGTTATCGCGACTCTATCCCCCCTCTCCCTATCTGTCCTCTGTCCTATCGGCGTCTTTCGACCTCGTCGTCTCTTTATTGTCTCTTTCCCATGACTATGTCTCCGTACCGTGACGTCTACTCCCCACGCGATACAGTATTAGCCCGCCGCTATTATTCCGTCCTTTGTTCTGTCTACAGATTCCCTCCTTTAGCCTATTTGTTTTTCTTTTGTGTTCCTTTATAATCACACTTTTCTAATTGCAAGGCAAAAAAACATCCAAAAACACATTTCCTTGTGGCGTTTTTTATTCTACGTATACCGCTGAGAGCCGAGTCGCAGGCGCGCGAAAAGTTGATCTGTTCGGAACGTCTTAAAGTGAGGAGGTCGGGGTCGGGGAGATTTGGCGAAATCGTGTGCGATTGTGGTGTGGCGATTCTAAAGATGCGGACTGTGGGATGGCCCCGGGGAGTGAAAGCTGGCGTTGTCAGCGCAACTATTTCGCAAACAACCGGGACGTCTTAATTATTACACCTAACGCTTTTCTTTGGTGCTCGGCTCGTCCTGTCGGCTGTGGATGGGGAGTTGCGCATATGGTCTGGTCAAGCGCTGGGATGTGGAGGGACGGGTCGGGTCGTCGGGCAAGGTGCGAGATGGCGGTTTCGGCTCTGAAGTTTTGTGAGGACCAAGCATGTGGTTTAACGGAGTTGGATCTGTTGGATTCTAGCTAGCTGTTCTTTGCAGCGGCCGGCCTTTGCATCCTTACCCGTTTCAGTTTGTCTTTGCCCAATATCCCAGATGCGCCATCAGCTTGTTACTTTTTTTACTTGGTTTCCTACCTGTGTTTGCCCTGATAAGCCGGTTTACACTGCCTGAATAAACATGACGTACAGAAAGCGCGGTATATCAAAGCAGAGGCCATGTGTTGTATATTTACAGTAGTACAGAGTACATCTAAAGAGTAGAAGGTTGTGTGTGGGTATATACACAGGCCCACACTGCTTAGTGGCGCCTCAGGTACCAGTTGAATGCCAGCTGGTTGATCTCGTAAGGGAAGGGCGTGGGCACTTCGGCCATGCCGGGACGGGCGACGGGGTGGCGCAGATAGACGGCAGCACAGATGTTCTGGTTCACCTCGAGATAGCGAGGGATGAAGGCGAAGGGAGCCATGAAGGGCCGGGGCCGCCACGGGGTTGCGTAAGGCTTTGAGGGGTCCAGCGGGTTCTCGGCATCGCGAGCAATCAGCTTGTGAAACCGGCGGCGTTCTTCGTCGGACAGGGATGAATTGGCGGTCTTGGCGGTCTTGGCAGTCGTTGCAGTCGTTGCGGTCGTTCCGGCCGGCTGCTCGGACACCGTAGCGGTGGTGTGGTCGGGTCCGAGGTTAGTGCTGGCGAGCAGATCGGCGAGGCGGTCGAGAATGGCTGAGGATGGCGGCGGGCTCGTTGCAGAGGGAGAAAAGGAGGATGCGGACGGCGATGCCTTGGCAACCCACTTACGGGCATCCTTGACGAACTGACGGAGGGCCTTTTTCCGCTTGACGGTCAGGTCGTCGCTGGCGTTGGCCAAGAGGTACTTTGCGCGGGCGGCAAGATAAGGCAGCTCACGGACAGCCTTTTTGTGGACGCCGTCGACAGCAAGGGTTTCTGCGGCTGCTGCGTCGACGTCTTCGGCTGCGTCGTCTTCGGCTGCATCGTCCTCGTCGTTCTCGGCCTGCCGGGCCTCTCGTGCGCGGACGTCGGCTCGGCGAGTAGCCTTCTTAGCGCCAGTAGCAAAAAGGACGCGCTCGACATCAACCTGGAACAGATCGCCAGGATTGAGGAGGTATCCGGGGTAGACCATCTGGGAGTGTGAGCGGGGAAAAGGCAGACAAGGCAAGAAGACAAGAAAAAGGGCTACCTTTTTTCCGTTGACGCGGACGGCGCCGTGGACGACAAACTGGCGGGCCTGACGGGCACTGCTGGCAAACAGCGAGCGGAAGACGGCAATGTCGAGACGCCGTTCCATGGGCGCAAAGGTCATCTGCATAAAGGGCGTCGGTTGGGTAGTCCGCAGATTGGTGCCGGCCCATGGGGCCAGCTGCGGGCTGCCAGCGCTGGGATCCCGCTGCTTTCCGCTGCCGCGACCCTCGGCCTGCTCGGATCCGTCAAACTCGGCCATGTAGCGCGGGTTCATGTCGACGACCGAGGCCAGACGACGGCTGAACATGCGCTCCCACTGGCGCTCCTTGATGTGCTCGCCGTGATAGCCGCGGGACAGCGCCTTGGCGTCCCATTTCTGCTGGAAGAACGTCTTCTGGATCAGGCGGGGCATCCGCAGGTTCTGGTGCAGATTGAACAGGTTGTACTTGTTCCATGTCTGGCGGATACGCTGAAAGGGAGAGATGTCAGGTCAGAAGCCAGCAAAAGCCAGAGCAAAAGCACGAGACGCAGACAGGTCAGGTCCAGATAGAACGAACCGGCCGCTTCAGCCCGTGAAACCGAAAGGTCCTCCGGAACTTCATCTTGAGAGAGCGCGTGCTGGATCTGGTCGGGACAGTGCAATTGCCTCTTCCCCTCGGTCGACAGCCCTGTGGTAGAAAAGCCTCTTTCCTCTGCTGCAGCCGAGAAAAAGGTCAGAAATTTCAATCTGCCAATCATACGGCTCCGTCGAGCTGGCCAATAATTAGTCACGTGACCCTGCGTCAGGCCCACGAGCTGCTCGCGATGACAGTGAAAGGTGAAACACGCTGAACCTGACAAAAATATGATAGCAGTTAGAGTGCAAGAAGCAGAGTGTCCTGTCTTGCTTCGTGGAAGGGCGCCAACGTGCTGGCTGCTGGTGCAGGACATGTCATGTAACGTCTATATATCACGTGATTCTCGATAGTGCAGTTCTACTAGCGTGGCTGGCGTACCCCGCTGTTTGCGCTGCCTTGGCTCCTGCATGGCGCCAAAACAAAAAAAATCCAGTCGCCTATTTTAATCTTGACTTTTTTTTTTGTTCCTTTCCATAGCTTGGATTGCAAACGGATCTGCCTCTCAGCTTCTCTCGCCCGCCCAACATCTGCTCTCATCACCTGCTCTCTCGCGGCGATTAGCTCTGCAGTCAATTGGTTTGAGAAAGGTCTGCAGGTCATATTTATAATTCGCCATGAGTGACGCAACAGTAGCTGTCGAGGCTGCGCAGCCTGCTGTCGCGGCTGATGCTGCGGTGGTTGCAGTAGAGGAGACGAAGGAGGAGACGAGGGAAGAGGCGAAGGAAGATGCAAAGGAGGAGACGAAGGAAGAGACGAAGGAAGAGGCAAAGGAGGAGACGAAGGAAGGGACGAAGGAAGAGGCAAAGGAAGAGACGAAGGAGGCAAAGGAGACGAAGGAGGGAGAGGCTTCGAAAGACAAGGGCGCAAACAACCGCAAGTTTGACCCGAGCGTGCTGCCCGAGTCGGAAGATCATGTGGCCATTCAGACGCAGGTGCACTTCTACTTCAGCGACAGCAACCTGCCGACGGACAAGTACCTGTGGGAGCTGACGGGCGGGTCGGAGAACAAGCCGGTGGAGCTCAAGAAGATTTGCCAGTTTGGGCGGATGCGGCGCTTTAAGTCCTACGAGACGGTGGTGGCAGCGCTGGCGTCGAGCAAGTTTGTCGTTGTTACCGGCGAGGCCGGCCAGGAGACGGTGGCGCGCAAGAACGCCTACAACGCGGACCGGCCGCGCAGCAAGATCGACGCGGCCACGGTGTACGTCAAGGGTTTCGGCGACGAGGAGCCGTCGACGCAGTTTGACCTCGAGGCCTTCTTCACCAAGCACGGCGCCGTCAACGCGGTGCGGCTACGCCGCACTGCCGACAACCTCTTCAAGGGCTCCGTCTTTGTCGAGTTCCAGGACGCCGACCAGGCCGTCCGCTTCCTCGCGCTCGACCCCAAGCCGACGTGGCGGGACAGCGAGCTCAAGATCATGTCCAAAGCTGCCTACGTGGCCGAGAAGTCGCAGCTGATCCGCGAGGGTAAGATCGAGCCCAGCAACAACAGCGCCCCGCGCTTCTTTGAGGGACGCACCCTGGGCGGCAACCGTCGCGGCGGCCGTGGCGCCGGCCACTCGGCCGACAAGGACGACTGGAAGAAGCGCCGCGACGAAGACCGCAAGAACGGCTTCCGCGGTGGTCGTGGCGGTCGTGGCGGCGGAGGCGGTCGTGGTCGCGGTGGCCGTGGCAACTGGCAGAACAAGGACCGCACCAACGGGCACAATGGCCAGAAGAAGTGAGTTTTTTATCTTTTCGTTTCTTTTCTTCTTTTCTTCTTTTCTTACTCTTCTTTATCTTCCTCTTTCTTTCCCCCGACACTAACCCCTTCAGTGGCAAGCCAGAAATCCAGTCATCCACCGAAGCCAGTGCCAAGCGCAGCCGCGACGACGACGGCGCCAACGGCGCCAGCGAGCCGCCCGCCAAGAAGATCGACAACAAGGCCGAGATTGCGGCTTGAGCGAGGCGACAGCCCGACCCGGCTGTTCGCCGCGTGTGTTCTAGAACCTTTTTGTTTTGCGTTTCTTGTCGGATATCAATCCTGCCGCTCAGTCTGTTTTCCTGTCGGTCCATCATACGGCGTTTTGTTTTCATTTGGGAAAGAAAGGGCAACTGAAAAAAGAAGGGAACTACATCAGAGCTGGAGATATCTGCACATGTGATTTGGCAAGTACTAGGTATTCAGTAGCTGCGGATATAATTCGAATGTCCCCATTTCTGTTTCTGGCCCGGCGAATGACGTTGCGGACGGATAACCCGTCTGGAGCCGGGCTCTTAAAGTGTGGCCTCGACGGGGAAGGAGCATGGCAATGCCTGCAGCCAAGTCGGCACCGGGGCGCTTTGCCAGATGCAAAGGCCTGTAAAGTTTCTTAATATTTTAGCTCCTCTGCCTACACCGCATGAAGAATAGGCGCTCATCCGCGCCTGCCTATTGGCGGTGCCCGGGGCTCGTCGGCGCTCGTCGGCACACCGCCGAAGCAGTACGAGCCATCCAGGACAGTGCCTTCCTGTAAAGGTTTTTCGCAATGGGGCCATGATCCCTGAATCTCCTCTCCTGCTGTCAGCGTGCGAGTCCGAAGCGGCAGCTATCTCGCCGCTGCGAAGCGCAGGGTCGCCGCTCTCGGCAGTTTTTCTTATTGTATTAGCTGGCATGGATGTCTGCTCGACTGCTTTTCTCTTTTCTCTTTTCTCTTTTTTCTCAACTTTCCTTTCCTTATCATCACTCTGTCTCTTTTTACTACATCTGTTTGGGTATACAACTCTTTTCATTCCTAGTGGGAATAATTTCAATAATATCGAACTGCCCCGTCTCCACATAGTAACACCGTCTATGACCTGTGATGCCGTCCTGCCGGGATAGCAAGGGACCATTCAAGCAAATATCCTGTCAATTATCAACCGTCTTTCAGGATGGAACACGCAACAGACAGTGGCTCCAAGCAGCCAGAGCTGCCGTTGGACGGCAACGCGAAACCCCAACAGCATGACGGTGCCGAGTCTGTGATCTCAGAGGTCTCCCTCAACAGCAGCAGTAGCAGCGGTAGCAGCAGTCGGAGTGGAGAGAAACAGAACCAGGCAGCGTCAAGGCCTCGGCCCATGTCGCGGGCGAGATCACTTCTGGCACGATCTCTGTCACGCACGCAATCACAGCCCCAGCAGCCACAAGCCGACCTAGCGCCGGTGACGAGAACGGTATCGGAGGTCAGGGGCGACATCTACTATGAACGGGACGTGGAGATCGGTGAGATCGAACGGGAGCGGGCGGCAGAACAGGACGGCGGCACTGGGGAAAAGGGGCCCTTTGCATCAGCATCAGCGGCAGATGGGCCAGACGGACTGCCAGATCCCAACCTGGTGCGGTGGGATGGACCAGACGACCCGGAGAACCCAAAGAACTGGCGGATGAAGAGGAAATGGGCGTGCGTGTTCGTCGTGAGCTTGTACGGGTTCCTGACGCCAGTGGCATCCAACATGATCGCGCCAGCACTGCCGGCCATCGCAAAAGAGCTGGACATTCACGGATCGACGGAGCAGCTGATGACGCTGTCGGTGTTTGTGCTGGCATACGCCTTCGGACCGCTGTTCTTGGGCCCGCTGAGCGAGGTGTACGGACGGGTGGGCGTGCTGCAGGTGGCCAACGTGATCTTCATCCTGTTCAACCTGGGCTGCGGGCTGGCGCAAACGCGGGGACAGATGATGGCGCTGCGCTTCCTGGCTGGACTGAGCGGATCGGCGCCGTTGGCTCTGGGCGGCGGACTGCTGAGCGACCTGTTCACGGCCGAGCAGCGCGGCGTCGCCATGTCGATGTACTCGCTGGCACCACTGCTGGGGCCGTCGGTGGGCCCGATCATGGGGGCGTTTATCGCGCAGCAGACGTCGTGGCGCTGGGTGTTCTACGCCACGACGATGGGATCGGCCGCGGTGCAATGCGTCGGCATGGTGCTGGTGCGCGAGACATATGCGCCGGTGCTGCTGGCACGCAGGCGGGCCCGGCTGACGCGCGAGACCGGAAACACGGCGCTGTACACAGTGGCCGAACGTGAGCGCGAGGCCGGCGGGCTGGCCCACACGCTCAGCATCGCTCTACGACGGCCCTTTGTGCTGCTGGGCTCGCAGATCATCGTACAGGTGCTGGCGCTCTACGTCATGTATCTCTACGGGCTCATGTACCTGATGCTGTCGACCTTTCCGACGCTCTGGCGCGAGGTGTACCACCAGCCGCTTGGCCTGGCCGGGCTCAACTACATTGCCTCCGGGCTCGGCTTCACCCTGGGAACTCAGCTGCTGGCGAGGTTGCAGGATCGCATTTACGTCGCGCTCAAGCGCCACTACGGCGTCGCTGTCGGCCGGCCGGAGTTTCGCGTCCCCATCATGGTGCCTGGCGCCGTCCTTGTGCCTGTAGGCCTGCTGATCTATGGATGGTGCGCCGAGTACCACACTCACTGGATCGGACCTGATATTGGCATCGCCGTCATGTGCACCGGTCTCATTGCCGGCTTCCAGTGTATCCAGGGCTACCTCGTCGACACATACTCGCGCTATGCGGCCAGCGCCGTCAGTGCCACCACCTTTATGCGCTCGCTCGCTGGCTTCGGCTTTCCCCTCTTCGCCCCCGACCTCATCCACAAGCTGGGTTATGGCCGGGGCAACACCGTACTGGCTGGCATTGGCATCGCTGTCGGCTGGCCCGCCCCTTTTCTGCTGTGGAAGTATGGCGAGCTTTTGCGCAAGAAGAGTCCGTATGCGGCAGGCTGAGGGTGGATGGCTGGAAGGGTGCAAGGTTAAATGGATGCCAACAATCTCTCAATATTAGGAGCACGGGATAAAATGGTTAGGTCTAGGATATACGAATGATGACTAAGCAATTTTACTCAACGATAGAAGCGTCTTTCACTGTCCACTCGGTCAGCAGAAATCCACCTCGTCTCAACGGCACGTTTCTATCTTACTAGGATCTCACTTTTTTCCGAAGTGCTCGTTCCCTAGCACACCCGCCTCAAGACAAGACATCGGTTGCCGAATCAAAGCACGGGAATATCCCGTATTCTGAGAAGTGCCCGAACAGAGAGCACTAAAAGCAGAACTAAGTGCTAGGCCAAGTCCACTTTCTGCCGTTGGGATCTACCTTGCTTCAGCAGCCGTTGTTTTTGCAAGATAGTGTACTCCGTATCCGTACTATGTATAGTCACACTCCTCTCCCGTCACCGCCAATTCGCCACCCAACACACTGCCTCGAGGACAGACCGACATTCCCGTCCTGCGTCTGGCCAGAGGCATCGCCTGTTTTTCCTTTATTTTTCTTCTTCTTTTTTTCCTTTCCCTTCGGACCAGCAGGAAAGCACGCAACTATCCCACTCTGCGGGGGCCCCCCTGCATTGCATGTGACGCATACCTGCCGTATCGGGAAGCACGTCTCGCACATAAGCTTCCCTTTTAGAAGGCGATACGGACTCGTCTGCATCGCAACTGCCGCAGCTCATTGGACCGTGCTTGGCAAGCGCACGCCCTGACCCCCACTAGCCCGGCCTCCCATATCCATACCCATAGCCCCACTCCCTTCTCCTCCCTCCCCGCTCTCCAGTCTGGCCACAAAGACGACGAAGTTTGTGAACCCAGTAAGACTTTTTGATCTTGCTCGGTTATCAAATCGCCTTTGCGATCTCGTCGCTTTTCTCGCGTTCCGTCTCCCCCAACCGCTTTGTGCTCTGCCTGCGTCACCGTGCTCTCAGCCGCATCTGCGACATTCTGACCACATGACCCGCAAGGCATCGCCCTCGTCTGCCTATTCTGTCTCGGCGAGCTCACCTTTCAGCTCGGCTGCTGCGTCTCGTCATCACCGGCCGGCCTTCCGAGACCATCGTCGGACGACGCCTCTTTAATACGCACCTTTTTGGCGACACGTCCCTTGCCCTTGGTGATCGCTCCTGCTGCCAGTCATGAACGACCGTCTGCAAGGGAAAAACGCCTCCTATGCACCCGGGCTCGACAGCCTCTCTGCCGGCCAGATCTCGTTGTCCACACCCTCTGCCAATCTCGCGGGCGTCATGTCGGCTGCCCCCGTCTCTCGGCCTGGTGCGGGCGGCAAGAAGAAGTCCCGGCGCAACGCCGACTCGTCGGCGCAAAAGCGACGCTGTGTCAGCACGGCCTGTGTTGCGTGTCGCAAGAGAAAGTCCAAGTGCGACGGTGCACTGCCCAGCTGTGCTGCGTGCGCCAGCGTGTACTACACCGAGTGCGTCTACGATCCGAATTCGGACCACCGCCGCAAGGGCGTCTACCGCGAGAAGGTCGACAGCATGAAGGCCCAGAACTCGACGCTGCAGATCCTGATCGAGGCCATCCTCAACGCGGACGAGGAGGATGTCGCCGCGGTTGTGCACAGGATCCGCACGTGCGACAGTCTGGACGCCGTGGCCGAGTCTCTCGTCATGGAGGACTTTGAGCAGAACGAGAGCCACGGCGGCCTGCTCGGCTCCGGCTCGGCCGACGCTTCCATGATGTGGTCCGGGAACCCTGTCGAGGGCGAGGTGGAGCTGGCGCGCAAGATGGGCGAGCTCCGACTCGAGAACGGCTCCGTGCGCTTTATCGGCGGCACCTCGCATCTGATCTACGTCGGCGACCCGGCCGACGATGAGACAGGCTCTGCACTTACGGCCAGAGACGCGCATGGCAGGGCGCTCGATGGCGGCCAGACCAGGCCCCAGCTCGAGCCGGCCTATGGCACGCGGGAAGAGGCGATTAACAGCTGGACCACGGTGACCAGCGACACGGCACTGATCGAGTTTCTCATGCAGATGTACTTCAACTGGCACTATACATACTTCACCACCCTGTCCAAAGACTTGTTTTACGAAGACTTCTACCGCGGCCGGCCGAAGGTGCTTCCGCGCCGCACCGTCCACTGCACCTCGCTGCTGGTGAACGCCATGCTCGCGCTCGGCTGCCACTTCACCAGCGTGCCCGGGGCCTTTGCCGAGCCGGGCGACAGCCGCACAAAGGGCGACCACTTCTTCGCTGAGGCCAAGCGCCTGATCGTCGAGAACGACGAGTACGAGAAACCTAGGCTGGCCACTGTCCAGGCGCTGGCCCTGATGTCGGTGCGCGAGGCCGGCTGTGCTCGCGAGGCCAAGGGCTGGGTGTACAGCGGCATGAGCTTCCGCATGGCCCAGGACATTGGCCTCAACCTGGACACCGGCGGCGGGCCAAACGCGGCCATGAGCGCGGACGTTGATGGCCACAACGGCCGGATGGACGACGGCGAGATTGACGCCCGCCGCGTCACCTTCTGGGGCTGCTTCTTGTTTGACAAGGCGTGGTCCAACTATCTCGGCCGTCTGCCGCAGCTGCCAAAGGGATCGTCCAGCGTGCCCAAGTACGAAGTCTTGCCGAAGGAAGACTCGGAAATGTGGGCAGCCCTGACGGATTCCGGCTACGACGAGGCCACGCGCCAGCCATGCCGCACCCGAGCTGCCGGCCTGAAGCTGTCGAAGCTCTGTGAGATCAGCAGCGACCTGCTCCTTTTTTTCTACCACCCGAACAACATTGGCCGGTCCTACAGCAAAGCCGTCGAGCTGAAGAAGCTCAGCGAACTGCACCGCCGTCTGGAAGACTGGCGGAAGCAGCTGCCGAAGGAGTTTGAGCCGAAGGAGGGCCAGCTGCCGAATATGATTCTGACGCAGTAAGTGGTGCCTGTGGGCCGAGTGCAGGGAGAGTGCTGACGGTCATATCTGTGCTTTAGCATGTTCTTCCACCTGCAGTACATCCACCTCTTCCGACCCTTTCTCAAGTATGCGCCCGACGTGTCGCCCCTGCCGTCTCACGTGTCACCGCGTCGTATCTGCACTGTGAACGCCGGGGCGATCTCGAAGCTGATGCGACTGTACAAGAAGACGTACGACCTTCGGCAGATCTGCAACATTGCCGTGTACATGATCCACTCGGCCTGCACCATCCACCTGCTCAACCTGCCGGAAAAGACGGCCAAGCGGGACATCATCCACGGCGTGAAGCAGCTCGAGGAGATTGCGGAAGATTGGCTGTGTGGCCGTCGCACGCTTTGCATCATCAGCGTCCTGGCTCGAAAATGGGGCGTGGATCTGCCGGAGGAGGCGGCCACCGTTCTGCAGCGGACCGACGAGAAGTACGGGACGTTCAATACCAGCGACGTGCCGTCGCCGAACCGTCCGATTCCTGCCCTGTCGCCACCGACCACTTCGGCCTCACCCCAGCTCGTCCAGGGCGCCGAAGCGGCGCCATCGGTGCTCATACAGACCGCCGCAGCCCGGAACACTGAACGATCGTTTGCTTCTACCAGCTCGACCAGCCCCTACGGACAACTGGCACAGACGTCGCAGCCGCCTGCCCACGGCATGTCCTACCTTGGCGTCACGTCCGACGGGTTATCGCCCCCGACTGCAAGCATGGGCACGATGCGGCGTGTTCTCCCGATGGCACAGGCCGATAGCGATCTGCCCAATATGGGCGCTTGGTCCGTACCGTCAACGATTCCGCAGACTATGCCGGGCTATGCACAGCCGACGGCGCCGGCCGTGTCCTCGCAGCAAATCAGCTCTCCCTTGTTTGCCCTGGATGGACAAGATTGGCTTCTAAGAGAAAGTGCCAGCTGGCAACACAACTTTGAAACCTGGGGACTGAACCAGCAACAACACCCTCGGTATCCGTCACCACAGGAACAGCAGCAGCAACAACAACAGCAACAGCACCTACAACAGCAACGGCGACAACAACAACAGCAAGACCAACACTCCAACTACACGACGCAAGCAGCGGTCAGTCCAGCCAGCACGGGCAATGCCAGTACTCCCTTGTCTGACAGCTATGCGCTGTTCTGCGGTGCGCACGGCGTGGACTTTGATTTTCCGTTAGACGGCCTCGGCGGATCTGGTGCTAGTCTTGATAGACTAGGACTGGAATAAGGCAGGGGGTTGCAGAGAAAATTGAATAGGTATCGCCCGGCTAGGTCTGGTTTGATTGTTGGTAATGATCTGATATGTCTTGATTTCATTAATGGATAGTATGTAAGCGTGAAATCCGGCTTTAGGCCACGAATACGATAAGATGAGCGCTCCAATAGTGGTCATGTTTTCAGTCTTGCGCGCTGTCACGGCTGCTTGCTGTCCTGCTCCAGCCGGGTTTGCTGAGTCAGCAGCTTTCGGAAGACGGCTGCCTCGGCCTCCATCTCGGCCATGGAGCGCGGCTTGCGGTTGCTGTCTTCAATATGTGGAAAGCGGCCGCCGGGTTTGGGGCGACTGCCGATGGAGGCATCAGCGGCAGCGTCCCACTGGGCGCCGCCGACATTGCCCGGCTCAGCGGCCATCTGCTCGTAGAGGGCGTCGCCGTCGGTGGTGGTATCCTTGGCGGTGGCACCGTGGATGCGAGGAATCACGTGGACATGCACGTGAGGCACGGTCTGACCGGCATCGGGGCCGTCCTGGACAGCAATGTTGAAGCCGCCGCCGGTGTGGATGAGGTCATGGTTGTGGCTGTGATCGGGGTCGCGAAAAAAGTGTGCGGCCAGCATCCGCTGGACGGTCTGGACGGCGCCGAAGAGGTCGGCCAGCTCGTCGGGGTCGAGGTCTGTCAGTCGGCGGTGGGGCTGGCGTGGACAGACGAGCACGTGACCGGGCAGCAGAGGTTTCAGGTTGACGAGCGCAAAGGACAGCGGGGTGGTGTAGAAGACCTGGGTGGAGACGTCAAAGGGGCCGAAGCGGAGGGGGGAGGCGGAGGCAGAAGAGGCGGAAGAGGCCATGGTGCGGGCAGCGAAGGGGAAAGGCAGTGGCAGTGGCAGTCGGGAGGACGACGGGCGAGAACCGACAGACAGCAAGCGCCAGCTGCGCATGGCTTCTGGGGGAAGAGGGAGGGCAAAGAGCTGACACTTTCGTGGTGGTGGGCAGAGGTGGTCAGATTCGACCATCTGATGCGGTCACTCTTCATCCAGCGCTAAACCGCTGCTAATGGCCCATCTCCACCTGAGATTTAGGGCCTGTAACAGGCTGAACACGTGCTGGGACGGTGCTCTTCCCATCACCTCGTGCAGCTTATGGTCGAAAGGGCGAAAGAGAGTTTCATCCACGTCGCTAAGATTAGTGACGAAGCATTGCATAACAAAAAGTATCGAGTGGACGAAGGTTGTCCCCCTCAACGCTGACTCACGACTCACGACTCTGCTGATGGACGGTAGCACCTGCCAAGATTTTGGTGTATTTCTAGACACATGGGGAAGGAGCAGTGCAGGCTCTACATTATACACCACGTGTGATGTCACGTGTCCTCACATACTACTTCACAATCCCTCAGCCACCGTCACGGCAGTCGTGTAGACCATGGCGACGGTGCCGATGGCCATGAGGACAACATCAACAGCACGGGCTCGCCAGCGGTCGGTGCCGACGGCGACACCGCGGCAGTGAAGATAGGGCGGGTAGATGAACAGCAAGGGCACACAGGCGAGCGAGCCGATGAGGGCGACGAAGCGGTCGAGATGGCCGGCGCCGGCGACGGCAACGGCGGCGCAGAGAACAACCATGGCGGCGCGTAGAGCGTTCTTGACCCACTTGACGCGGGGATCACGCTTGCCGGAGAGGCGATGGCCGGACGCCCGCGACGATTCAAGCCGACCGCCCAGCCAGCCGAACAGCTGTCCCTCCAGGATCCGGACGGCCGGAAAGAGCTGGACAGGAAGACCGGCCAGAACGGCGAGGGCGTAGAGACACTGGACAGCCTGGACGAGGGCACTGTCGCGCGGGTAGTTGTCAATGACTTCGGTGCGGGTATCGACGCCAAAGGCGGCATAGCCGAGCGCGCCAACCGAGACGTAGGCGACCGTGATGATGGCCATGACGAGACCCAAAAGCCGGCCAAAGTGCTCCGGTTGCGCCATCGAAGACTGGATCGGCAGGATCAGGCCGATGCCCTCAAACGTGAAAATGGCCGCTCCGATCGTCAGTGTGTAGCCACTCGGATTGAACCAAGGCTCAACCGTCTCGTGAGGCCTCCAATTGCGCGACGATATGGTCGAAATGTCGAAGCTGTACATGTATGCCAGCCCAACCGCAATGAACACGTCGCCCACCAGCGCCACCGGCCCCAGTCGTGCAATGTCTCGCACCAGTGCCAGTGGCACCAGCACTGCCGCCTCCAGTCCGATCAGCACCGCCGCCGAAGGTACCCCCTCATCTGAGTCGTCACCCCCGTGGCTCGCCCGAACTGCTGCCGCAAACGACGCCATGTTCTCTGCCACAAACACCATTCCCGCACACACAAACCCCAGCTGCGACAGCGTGATCGATCCCAAAATCAACCCGCGCATCCGTTTTCCCGCAATCGCCTCCCCGATGTCGCCGTATCCGCCTCCATACTGCTGTCGGCACCGCAGCAGCAGCTGGAACCCGGCCATCGACAGCACTGCCACCACCAGCAGCGTTGCCGTCGAGAACGCCATCCCTCCGTTGTTGTAGGCTTTGGGCAAGAACATGATCCCTGTCCCCACAAACGCCTTGAGCAGCGTGAAGAAGGCCTGCGCCGTCCCTGCCTTGGCCTTGCCGCTCTCGCCACCTGCTCCGCTTGCTGTCCGTCGCGGCAAAAGTGCCTCTCTTTCGTGCCGTCTGTCCTCGTCACCACTTCCCGCGCCCCTCTCCAGATCCATATCGTCCTCATCTTCTTCTTCTTCTTCTTCTGGCCCCCCGTCCTCCTCGTCCGACGTCTCCAGGTCCTCGTCCGCAAAGTGGCCGTACAGCTCCAGAAACTCGACAAAGTTTCGCGTGATCGGTATCCGCGCTGCTCCAAACGAGCTCCTTCGCCGCTCGTGCCGCAGCTCTCGGCGTCGCTGCATCGCCCCGCGCTGCCGCCGCTGTTGGAGAAACGCTCGGCGGAACCCCTGCGGCGCCATCATGTCCCGCACAGGCATCGGTTTTGGGTCCCATCGGTCCGCAGTGCTACCGTATTTTCTGCTGCCATCGCCGACAAGCGGCTCGTGCACTGTGGCCGCCCGCCGGTGGTGTATCGACGACGCCGATGACGAAGTTTCGCCCTGTGGCTGCGGCTGGTGCATCACATGTGTCCGTGCTGGTGCTTCGGCCATCCGGAACAGCGATCGGTGCAAGTCTCCGCCCTGCAGCGTCAACGACGACACCTCCTCACGCCGGCTGCCAGCTGAGACATTAGACGTCGTCGACGACGGCCGCATAGGCGGAGACGACAACTGCTGCCGTACCTCCCGGTTTGACGGCTCACCGTCACGCGTGCGCTCGCCAGAGATGTCAGCTCCGATCTCGGTTTCTCCCTGCACAAACTCCGCGGTATAGCCTGGTGGAAGATGTTCTGCAAGAGTTTGCGCATCGTGTCTCTCTCTCGCCGAGAGGCGTGAATCGTCCGGCGGAGAATGAGCCATGTTTCGTTGCTGGAGACATGCAGGTGAAAAATCTGCTGTTTGGGCGAGGAATGTCGCCTGTCTCAATAAGTAGATGAAGAGATTTGGGTCAGTCTGACGTCATTAAGAAAATTAGGTCTGGCCGCTCCACAGTGATCCACAGTATTCGCTTGTAAAAGTAGTGAAATGCTAGAAATATGCGTATATCCAACTCTATGTTTAAACTCGCAACGTGCATAAGAAACGAGCCTCCCAAACATGAACATTCCAAGGGGCAACGGATTTAACAATGGATGCAAAAGAGAGACACTTCAAGAGGTCAAAAAGAATTCATCCAAACGAGTCCACAGGTGTATCTGCACATCAGATCTGAGGAACAACAGTCTCCTCGACAAGAATGTCGTCTGCCTCGGCAAGACGGTCGGGCTGCGGCTCTGCCGCCTCCTCAAAGTCGGATAGGAACACTGAACGGCGTTAGCTGTGGGGCCAAGCGTGCACCGGACCGTCGGGGCCGACTTACCATGTGGACGAACGAAAAAGGACAGCAGCAGGAGGGTGGCGAAGACGGCGGCGACCAGCACAAAGACAGCCTGCGGAAAGCTGCCCACCGTTGCCGCGTAGAGGCTGTTGAAGACCAGCGGCGCAAACACGCGCGAGAGCGACTGCAGCAGCCCGATGGCACCGAGCAGCTCGCCGATGCGGTCGGCGGGAATGTGCTTAGTCAGCGCTGACTGCACCGTGGCCGATCCGAGGCCGCCAAAAGCCGTCACCACGCCGCACAGGACAAAGACGGCCGACGAGCGAGCAAAGATGTAGCCGGTCAGGCCCAAGACGTCTGAGAGGATTGCGCTGCGGATCAGCCACACGTCCAGCTCGTCGGCGCCCGTGTTGGCCTCGACCGGCTCCTCGCCCGAGAGGCGTCGCAGCCGGGCCGCCGGCCGTGTGCGCACGAGGTAGTTGATGACCGGAAAGATGACCATCAGCACGGCCACGCGCACCGTCGATAACAGCGACATGAAAGCCGACGTCTGGAAGTTGCCCCAGTGGAACTGATACTCGCTGTATAGCAGCGTGACGCTGCCGATGCTGATTGCCGCCGCCAGCAGCACCGTGTCGATGGCGGCCAGAAGCAGCAAATTGCGGCGCACTCGCGTGTTGTAGGTCCCCTTGGGCCACAGGATCGCCAGCGGCGCAAACGGGTTCGTCCGCCGCAGCCACGCCGCAAGGCGCAGTCCCAGGCCGCGCTGCACCGTGCTGCCGGGCGTCTGGCTCAGCTTCCGCAAGGCATCTTCCTCTTCCTCCTCCCGGGCCTTGGCCTTGGCTGCCTTGTCCTGCCCGTCCAGCGCGTATTTCTCTCGGGCAACCAGCTGGCGGCGCTGCGACAGCGACTCTGGCAGCAGCAGGCTGATGAAGGCGATGAAGGCAACGTGGCAGCCCAAGGCCACGTAAAAGATGGACACCAGCGAGCCGGTCCACTCGACAAAGTAGCCGGCCAGAAACGGGCCCGCGGCCATGCCGGTGAACAGACAGGCGTGCATGTAGCCAAAGGATACGCTCCGCCTCGACGGCGGCGTGCAGTCGCTTGTGTACGCGTGGCTGGCCACACTGCCGGTGGTGAAGGAGCCGGCCAAGCCGTCGATGACCGCTGCACCGATCAGCCAGTTGTAGTGCACCACGTCGGGATACTTGGCCGCCAGGATGATGATGATCTCGCCAAACAGCCCGCCGCACGATGCAATCACTAGGATCATCTTGCGGCCGTATCGATCCGACAGGGCGCCCAGGCGCGGCGCTGTGAATGCACCCAGCGAGCCGGACACAACGCTGATGGCTAGCGAGAAGGTGGCCACGCTGCGCTGAACTGCAGGCACCTGGCACTGCGGGTTATCGGCACCGGGCACGATGGGCAGCATCTGCAGGCCGTCGCTGTGCTCGCGGTCGGCAAAATAGCCGCGACAGACGAGTCCGATGATCAGGTTCAGACGCGGCACCAAGATGCCGCCGTAGGCCAGCGTGAAGAGCACGTATGGACCGATGAGCCAGTAGACCGATGGGCGCCTCCACCAAGACAGGCCTCTGAAGTCCTCATCGCCATTCCAGCTATCCTTGCGCGGCGGCGACGTCGACCCGGATCCGACCGCGGTATTGCTCTCGCTACCGAGCAGGGCAGACGTCTCGGCGACATCCTCCTCGGCCGGAATCGAGTCGAGGTCGATTGACCGGCGCTGTTGGCCTGCCGCGACAGACATGGCTCCGGGATGGGCAAGAAGGAAGACGAACCAGATGCCGACCAAGAAATGAAGGAAATGCAGCGACGGCCTCCTCTTCTTCTATTTGCGACAATTCGCGGCAATCGGCGCTATCTGAGGTGCGCCGATACGGCGGCCACGGGGTCCAAAGAGCGGCTGACACGTCGTCCAGGGGGCAGCCACGTCCGTTGGGCAGGTTGGGGGTCAGAGAGCCGCTGTTCCAGACAGGCGATCGGCCAATGAGTTTGTGGTTTGTGCAGCGGAAAACATGGACGAGATCAGGCAGAGGCTTGCAAAAGGGCGCGAGCCCATGCTGATAAGGTGAACTGGATGACGTGTTGCGTCAAGAACGAAGGGAGACAATCGCACCTTCTCCTGCCAGCTCATTGGGGGCGGGGCGCACCTTTGCGCGATAGCTGATGGTCAATGGTCCTTCCGTCTTTGTCCTAGACGTTTACCCCTCGGAGTACGGAGTAGAGCCCCTTGCTAGCGTGCCTTCCCATTCCCGACAGATCGGGGTATATCCAGCGAGCTATTAATAAGCTTTCCCCCTTTTCCCTGTTCGATTACTGGCATCATGCCTTTGCCCTGATCTCAGAATCTACGATTACACCGTGGCGAGGGTATGATCCCTGATGGCGAAACTGGTGCATTCTTCGCCGGATTAGCTGGCCGTTCGGATTCGTGCATTTGATATTCTAGTCTCATTCATCGTGTTCACTTGCAAGTCGACCAAAAAAATATCATGACGGATACATGGCGACGTATTGCCTCTGAGCCTTTCCCGTACTGTTTAGCGTAGGAAGCGCTCTAAGCCGTGGCCAGACTCTTTATACCCTGTTGGAGGATTGTACTCGGTGCCGTCTTCCCCAATCGAGTTACACCGCCGCAAGGCCAGCGAATAGAACCGCGCTCGGTCCATGCTATCCAGCTCGAAGGATCGTGGGCCCTCTGTCCTACGAGCCTGACATATCTAGGGCTGAACTGAACGTTCGCTAATGAGCTCTGCTCGGGTGTGCATTTCTAGGGAGGAAGAGTGTAGACCTTCCCCCTTTTATGCTTTCATAGTCGGCCAATGCCAACCGCCTGCTTCCTTCCTGGTCTTGCTTCTGTTTCCTCCCCTCCATCCCTCCAGTTTATATGCCGTACACACTCCAGCCATGCCCATTTCCGCAACGGTTCCAGAATCACAGCCAGCAGCCTCCCGCTCTCGCGGCCGGGTGGCATGGCAGGCCCCAAAGGCGACCGACAGTCCAGCCGGCGGCAGCAGTGACGACAGCAAGACTGCCGTGTCCGCGGCTCCAGAACCGACGCCCTTTCGCCGTGGCCGGACATCTCGTCCCGAACTAGCTGTTGCGGAGCTGTTCCGGCGAGGTGACGACTTTAGCATTTGTGGCTTTACATCAGGATCCAGTGCGTTTCCGAACCAGTGCAGCATCGCTGTCGTGAATCGCTGTCGCGATAATCTTTTTCGCTCACTGACAACCCGGGCTAGATGATGAATTTACCTGTGGCGGCTCCAGTTCCGTCTGTGCTATAGGTGACAGCGTCTTTGGCTGCTGCACTACTACCGATGCGATAGATGATTGCTTATCGACCATGCCATTGTGTCGCCTCCACAGACGTCGACGATGACGCTGATTCCGACTCAATGACGCATACTTGGTAAGCTGCCTGTGTTTCGTCTTTCTATATTCCCCTACTCTGGCGGCTAACTCTTGCTCAAGCACTGGCACGAGCAAGTCGGAATGCATCACCTTGGTGCAAACATATACTGCGGACAACGTTTGGTTTACTCACTATAGCTGTGGGCCCGAAGACCTCACCATCACGCTCGTTGCCCAAGCAGCATCTTCGCAAGTCTCGTCCTCCTCGGGGACCGGTCTCACCCAGCTGGACCCCACAACACGACACAGCACCACCTCCAACATCTTTGGCACGGCCACCCACAGCAGCACCACATCTGCCACAGGTGCTCACTCGACGAACAAGGCCGGCGATAAATCTTCAAGCGGTCTCAGCCCAGGCGCCATTGGCGGCATCTCCGTCGGTGCGTTTGTGCTCTTGGTTGCCCTGCTGGCCATGATCTGGCGGATGACCAAGAAGCGCCAGATGTCGAACATGGCGGCAGCGTCGCAGTCAGATCCATTTGGAGGCAGCGGAGGCGACTCCGGACTCAAGGGCGGACCCATCGCCGGCGCCATGGCCATAGGAAAGACCGGTGGCGCCTACCGGCAGATTCAGCAGCAGCAACAGGACCAGATTTAGCAGCATCTCCTGGCCCACGACAACAGCGGTGCGGCTGGCGGCAACCCCATGTCGCATCCGCCGGCACCCGCATGGGGAATCCCCGGTGGCCCCAACAACAACTAACTACCCGATGCAGGACCAGCGAAGCTCCGCCTACGACGGCGCAGGCTATGGTCACGGCGGTGCACCACAGCTCTACGACCCCCAAGCCGCAGCTTCTGGTGCGGCTGTTCTTACCTTCAGGCCCTACTAGCTACATAATCCGCTGGCAGAGATGTGAGACTGCGCTATGTATGCAAGTAGGTAGCGTTCGGGGGCATTGTTTTGGGCAAGAGTTTACAGGTGATCTAAAAGTTAGGCTTTCTGTATAACATCAATAATAGAGTTCCTATACAACGTTAGTTTCTGCCTGCAGAGATGCTGATTAGTCAGCAGCCAACAACTCCGCGGAGATGAACCAGTCGAAGTGTGCGCTCTCAGACTCAATGCTTCGGTGTAGAGACCGGAGAAGGCGATCTGTCCGTCAAGTATAGCTGTCCCGATGATCCTGCTACTACCCTGCGCCACGGCTGCTACACCTTCTGCCACCATGTCTTCTCAGCTCTAGTCTCACCAAGTTTCCTCAGGACGATCTACAAGATCAGAGGCAAACGTGTACATCCAGCAAGCGCTGGCTCTGCAGTACAATGGCCTGCCGGTAGTTTCAGAAAGTTCAATTTCGCGGCTTTAACCAGACCCGGTGTGTCTGAACGAGGGTTCTTGGAACAATACCAAAGACGGGCCGCAGTCTTGCATTGAACCGTTTCACAAGCTTGTGCGCTTAACATTCTGCAGAGTCCAACTACAGCGAACAATGCCAAAGGTCGCATAACCACGACTCTGACAGGATCGCACTCTGCCAGTATATTCTATTCCAACCATCTTTCTTTTTTCCCTTGAGTAGTAGCCATGCAAATTTGTCGACAGCTTTTGTTTCTCCATTGTGTTTCGATGTCCCCATCATTCCTCTTACGAACCAGACCGAAACCCCGTTAAAATTTTCAAACAGAAGTACAATGGCTCCCATCTCCGAAAGCACACAACCAGGTGGGACGCTCGACACGGCCAGCAAATTTCTCTTCTGGTTTTTCCTCTGCGTGACGGTGGCCAGCGTCACAATCGCCATGGTCACTCTGCACCGTGGAAAGAAGCGCGAGCGGGTTCTGGCGAAGAGCGACATGGAGCAGGTGGTAGTGCAAGTCCCGCCGGTAAGTACACGAGAACGCAGATCTAGATCTTCTGTCCCTCGCACTAATTCGCCCCAACGAAGGCAGCAAAAAGTCGACTCGAGACCATCTAAGGCCAAGCCAACAGCAGCTTTTTTTTGTCGGCCTTTTAGCCTTTTCTTGCCTCTTCAAGTTCGGCATAACAAAAAAGAAAGAAAAGAAGAAAAGAAGAAGTCTTATAAAAAAAAAAAAAGAAAAAAAAAAGAAACAGAAGTCAGGAGTCGCGGGCTTTACAGATGATGTACTCCACACTGCAGCTGACGTGTATTTGAGCAACGAAATGAACGTGGAGACAACATGATGCAGCTACTGTACGCCGTACGTGCCAGCAGACTTCCGGTGCAGGCCCCCAGAAGTATGTCCTCCGCTAAAACTCTGCCGTGCACGAGACGGGCTGTTATTTCCTCGGCTTAATGTTTGCGGCGCCTTCCGCGGATTTACGGCGTCTCTTAGGCCATTTCGGCCTCTGGCGCTAGCTTATCTTTACGTCACAAACTCACGGTCCTTCTGGCTTTGGGCTCAAGTACATTTCTTAAAACGGTTCTGCTTTTCCCTTCCAAAAAGCCAGATATATCGAGGACTCGCTCTGAGCAAGGAGTCTGGGAGCATTGGGGCCGGCCGTTACCCAGATAATCAAATAAAAATCAAACAATCGTTCTGCGCTGTTGGTGCGAATGACTTCTTATTCTTCTCATGCAGAGGACACCTGCTTAAACTACCAAGCTCCTGCTTTGGCCCGGCCTTTCGCCCCGGTGATCTTGCGTGGAGATGGGGGCTCAGAAAATCAGGACAGTCATGGGCTCTTTAACGACGGGCTGCCGCTGGCCCAGCCACAGGAGAAGGGCGTGATGCCGCGATCGGGCGCGAGCACGGTCGAGTCGTCCAACGGGTTGCCGGACGTCGACGTCCGCTTTCCTGAGGGCGGGGTGCAGGCCTGGCTCGTCGTCCTGGGCTCCTTCTCGGCCATGTTCTCGGTGTACGGGCTGATCAACACGGCGGCCGTGTTCGAGTCCTGGTTTTCGACGCACCAGCTGGCCGACTACTCGGCCTCGGCGATCGGCTGGATCTTCAGCCTGTATCTCTTCTTCGTCTTCTTCGTCGGCATCCAGGTAGGCCCGCTCTTCGACCGATTTGGGCCGCGCCTGCTGGTGGCCACCGGCAGCCTGCTGAACGTGACCAGCATCATGCTGCTGGGCCTGTGCACCAAGTACTACCAGATCCTGCTGTGCTACTCCGTGCTGGGCGGTCTCGGCGGTGCGCTACTCAACACGCCCGCTTATGGCTGCATCGCCCACTTTTTCGACGCGCGGCGCGGCCTGGCCACCGGCATCGCCTCCCCACGTCGGGCGGTCTTGGCGGCATCGTCTTCCCCATCCTGCTGCAGCATCTATTGCCGCGGCTGGGCTTCGGCTGGAGCACCCGCATCCTCGGCTTCATCCTGCTGGCCCTCGCCGTGCCTGCGAACTTGTGGCTGCGCACGCGGCTGCCGCTGTCTGGAGACGGTGACGGTGGCGACACGGATGCCACTGAAGTCGACCTCGCCGTCTCTGATGCCGCCAGCACTGGTGGTCGTCGTCGTTCTCGTCGTCGTCCCCGCGTCCAGTCAGTCTGGCCCGATTTCACCATCTTCCGCGACAAGTGCTATGCCATCGCCACCGTCGGGGTCTTCTTCATGGAGTGGGGCATCTTCGTGCCCATCACATTTATCATCTCCTATGCCAGCGCCCACCACCAGGACGCCACCAAGGCCTACACCCTCCTATCCGTCCTCAACGCCGGTTCTGTGGTCGGTCGCTTTCTGCCCGGCCTGCTGGCCGACAAGCTGGGCCGCTTCAACGTGATCATCGTCACCATCGCACTCTCATCCATCACCGTGTTCGGCATCTGGATGCCGACCGGCGACTCTCGCCCGACGCTGCTCGCCTTTTGCGTGCTCTTCGGCTTTGCCAGCGGCAGCAACCTCGGCCTCATTGCCGTCTGTCTCGGCCAGTTGTGCGAGCCTAGCGAGTACGGTCGCTTCTTCTCGACCGCCATGATGGTCGCCAGCTTCGGCACTCTCAGCAGCGTCCCCATCGGCGGTGCCCTGCTCAGCAGCAGCCTCGGCGAGAATGGCTGGAGGGCCCTGATCGCCTTTTCTGGCGGTTCGTACGCTATTGCTCTGGTTTGTTATGGTGCTGCGCGCGTCATGGCTGTCGGCTGGGGCCTGAAGACCGTTTTTTAAGAGGGACTTATCCAGAGGCAAAAGTGGAATTAGGAGGGAAAGCGTAAGAAGGCATGAAGTACTCTGTAGAACCGTGTCACACTTTCCCGATCTGTACTGGAATGTTGGAACAGCCAATGACGGAACCGGAATTAATTACACGCTATGCCCCGCCAAATGGAGGCAAAAAATAAGAGTAAAATAGAATTGGACGGAGTAAAATGAAAAGTCTTGCAACACGCACCCATGCAGCACCTACGCGCACGCCACGACCTGAGCAAAGAGCACGATGGCCGAACTGACGGCAGCCCCGGTGCTGTCGACACCGGCAGAAAACCTGTTTGAGGCGGCCGAGCCGCTGCCCGACTTTGCGACGCTGCCCCGCCGAAGCGACGACGAGCTGCGGGAAGTCTACGAGATCAGCCGGACGGCACGCGAGATCCATGCGGCCAAGCGGCGGCGGATAGCCCTACAGTTTCCGGACACGATGCTGGGCGACGCGCCGCGGGTGGTTGGGCTGCTGGGCGGGGAGCTTGCGGCAGTGCAGCGTAGCGAAGACGAGCAAGACGAGAAAGAGGAAGCCAAAATCTACATCCTGGCCGACACGTCCTACAGTGCATGCTGCGTTGACGAGGTGGCAGCTGAGCACGCTGACGCTGACGTGGTGGTGCACTACGGGCGGTCGTGTCTGTCGCCGACGTCGCGGCTGCCGGTGATCTACGTCTTCACGCGCCATCCGCTGGATGAGGCGCAAGTGGTGGCCGCATTTGTGCGCGAGTTTCCGGATCCGGCAGACGCTCGTCCAGTCATCTTGATGGCCGACGTGACGTACCAGGATCACGTGCCGGCCGTGTACGCCGACCTGCAACGCCGGGGCTATGCACACGTGCTCTCGACAGCCGTGGTGCACAACCCAGTCGGCAGCCTGCCCAACCGGACGATGATTGATGCGGACGGCCAGACGGTGGCTGACGAGGCTGTCCAGCTGCAGGACTGCGCCGTCTTCCACGTCTCGGCGCCGCCGACGTCGCTCCTGCTCGCGCTCGCCGCCAAGGTGCAGGCCTTTTTCGTCTATCCGACCGAGATGGACGGGTTGTCGGACGTGCTCTCGCCGGCGACACGCGGCATGCTCGGGCGGCGGTACGCCAAGGTGCTCCGAATGGCGACGGCCGGCGTGATCGGCATCCTCGTCAACACACTCTCGGTCAGCAACTACCTCGCGGCCGTGGACACGCTGCGGCGGCGCATAGCTGCGGCCGGCAAGAAGAGCTACATGGTGGTGGTGGGCAAGCTTAACCCGGTCAAGCTGGCCAACTTTGCCGAGATTGACGGCTGGGTCGTCGTGGGCTGCTGGGAGAGCAGCTTGCTGGAGGACGACGCCGGCTTCTACCAGCCGGTCGTCACGCCCTTTGAGCTGGAGATGGCTCTGACGAGCGACGAGGAACGCGTCTGGGGGCTGAAGTGGTGGGGAGGCCTTGAGGGGCTCAGCAGCGTGCCGGAGGCGGAAAAGAAGGGCGAGGGCGAGGGCGAGGGCGAGGACGAGACAGAGAGAAAGGACGGCTCAGACGACGAGTCTGAGTCGGAAGTGCCCCAGTTCGATTTGCGCACCGGCCGACTAGTCACCACCAGCCGACCTATGCGCAAGTCGGCCAGGACACGGAAGAAGACGAACAAGACAGAAAGCAGTGCCGATACGGCCGTTCTGTCGGGGGCGCTGGCGCTCCGCGGAAAGGCTGAGCTGGCCACCATCAACGGCGTGGTCAGCCCGGGCGCTGAGTTTCTCCGGTCGCAGCGGACGTGGCAGGGCCTTGGAACCGACTACAACGACGAGGAGGAGGAGCCGAGTACGCTGATCGAGGAGGGCCGAAGCGGCATCGCACGGGGATATACCGTGGGCGAGGAAGCTTCGAGGACGTAGGAAGTTGGACAAAGAGAATTGAGCAGGCTGCTGGTGTATGAATGGCGTTAGGGTTAGAATGGCCATAAAGGTCAAGGTGGAATGCATTGGTGTTTGTAAGAGACAGAAACAGCAAGACACTTCGTGCTTGTCTGGAGGAAATGCACGTGACACTGCGCTTAGCCGAAATTCCAAGCGCCACAGCTGGAAGCACCGACGTGGCGTGTTCTTGCCAAAGACGACGAAAAGCTGGAAGACTCGACGACGAGAGCACCGATGGTGGACGGCAAAGCAGACAAGACAGCAGCGGCAGCCAGCAGCGGTGCAGCAGTGCGCGGGGCGTCGTTGTTGATCGTGCTGCAGATTGCGGCGCGGGCGGCCACGTTTGTCGCCAACCAGCTGCTGCTGCGATATCTGACAGCGCAGCTGCTGGGTGTCGCCACGCAGCTTGAGGTCTACTATCTCAGCGTCTTATTTTTTGCGCGGGAGAGCTTGCGGGTAGCGATCCAGCGGCAGGGTGGCAGAGGGGAGGAGAAAGAGAAAAAGGGCCAGCCTGGAGACGACAGACCGAAAGGACAACGGTCGACGACAGCAATGGCCTCCCAGAGCGCCGTCAATCTGGCCTATGTCTCGATCCTGCTCGGTGCTGCTGTGGCGCTGCTGCTCGGCTGGCTCTACCGCGCCAGCACGGCCAGCTCGGCCGTTGCCGACACGCCGTTTCTGGCGCCGGCGCTCTACCTCTACGGCGTGGCCGCCGTGCTGGAGCTGCTGTCGGAGCCGGCATTTGTGGTGTTGCAGCTGCGGCTGCGCTTTGGCGCCCGTGCAGCTGCCGAGTCCGTCGGCACGGCGCTGCGCTGTGTCGTGACGCTGGGCACGGCCGTGGTGGCGGCACGAGGCGGCGACATCGACGTCGGCGTGCTCCCGTTTGCGCTGGGCCAGCTGGCCTACGCATTGGGACTGCTGGCCGTGTATGGGTGGCAGGGTGCGTCGCTGGCCCGCCAGGACGGCTTCTCGCTGCTGCCACGCTGGCTGGAGAGAGGGAGAGGCGAGCGAGAGGAGACCAAGGAAACCAACGCGACCAGAGGGAGAAAACAGTCAAACACCGTCCTCTCCCTCTTTGACCGCTCGACACTTCGGCTCGCCTCCAGCATGACGGCCCAGAGCTTGGTCAAGCACGTGCTCACACAGGGCGACACCTTTCTCGTCAGCGTCCTGTCGACTCCCACGGCTCAGGGCGTCTATGCGCTGGCTAACAACTACGGTGGCCTGGCCGCACGGCTGCTCTTTCAGCCGGTCGAGGAGAGCAGCCGGAACTACTTCAGTCGCTTGTTGGCAGGGGACGAGAAAACGGACAAGAAAGAGAACGCTGCCTCTCCGACCCCTCCAAACATTCTCCAGGCCAGCCACGATCTCCAGACGCTGCTGCGCATCTACTCCCTCTTTTCCGTCGTCGTTACCGCCCTCGGCCCCACGGCCGCCGCGCCCTTTCTTGCTCTCGTCACCGGCCCTCGTTGGGCCGGCTCTGGTGCTGCCGCCACGCTGGCTGCCTACATGTGGTACCTGCCGCTGCTGGCGGCCAACGGCGTGGCCGAGGCGTTTGTCGCGTCCGTGGCTGCTGAGGCTGACGTGCATCGCCAGTCCGCCTGGATGGGTGTTTTCTCGCTCATATTTGCCGCTGCCGGCTTCGTGTGTTTGCGCGTGCTCGACGCCGGCGCTGCCGGACTCGTCGCCGCCAACGCCGTCAACATGGCCTGCCGCATCGTCTGGTGCGCCGTCTTTATTCGGCGCTATTTTGTCGCCCGTCACGTGACATTCTCGCTTACCAAAGCCTTTCTGCCGCGCCCAGGCACTGTTGCTGCTGGCGCTGTTGCCAGCATGGCTGTCCGCCGCCTTGTGCTGTCGCCGGCCGACGCTGTCGGCGCTGGCGCCATCACGCAGATCCTGCAGCTCGCCAGGATCGCCGCCGTGGGCCTGCCACTCGTCGTCGCAGTGTGAGTCGCGTGCTCGTCAGACCTGTTGCATGCATCGTTCCCAATTTCCCGTTCTCCCATTCTCGTCTTGTCCTACACTCTCTATGTACGAATTGCTAATCGTAGTCTGCAGGGCCTTATCTGAGCAACAGTTCCTCCGGGAATGCTACCGGTTTGTCCGTGGCAATCAGACGAAGTAGGGTCGAAACCCGGGAATTGTACAGTCATGACAGCCAATAATAACAACCAACATAGCACGTGACCTCTGCCTTAGTCAAACGTGATCTTGGTGCCCTTCTGGCTCATGTCGACGTCCTTGAAGAAGGCGCCGTACGTGCCGTGAGCCTTCTTCTTGACGGTCGTGCCGAACTTGAGCAGGTCGTCGGGCACCTCCTGGTTGGCGCCCCGGAGGATGTTGACCAGCGAGCCAGAATGTGCCTTGTCATGTTCGGTGAAGAAGGTGATGGCCCGGCCATCCTTGCCAGCACGGCCAGTGCGACCGATGCGGTGGACGTAGTCCTCGATGGTGAGGGGGAACTGTATGGTCAGACGAGGACGGACGAGAGAACAGAACTGACAAAAAAAAGACTCACCGTCACGTTAATCACCAGCTTCACTTCCGGAATGTCGAGACCACGCGCTGCTACATCGGTAGCTACCAACACTGGCGTCTGGCCCGTCTTGAAAGCTTCAAGACTGCGGGTCCGCTGCTCCTGGCGCAGGTCGCCATGAATGCTGCAGACCCGAACGCCTTGGCCCTGTAGAAAGTTCTCGACCCGGACGGCCTCTTTCTTGTAGAGACAGAAGACGAGGATGCGGTCGTTCCGGGCAGCACCGCGCTGTTCCTGCTTGATGATGGCCAGGACACGACGTTCCTTGGCATGCTGGTCCATGACCTCGACTGTCTGCGCGATGCGCGCGTTGGCCTGCAGCTCGGTGCTGCCGCCACCGGCACCGCCACCCTCGCCGTCCTCGCCGTCACCGCTGCCACGGGTCCGGCTGCCGACCGTGATCTTGACCGGATCAACCATGAAGCCCTGGGCGAGGCCACGGACACTGGTCGGCCACGTGGCCGTGAACATGAGCGTCTGACGCTGTGTCCGGTCAGGACACTGACCCAGGATCTGCCGGATGTCTTCCTCGAAACCCGTGTCCAACATCCGGTCGGCCTCGTCTAACACGGCAAAGCACACATGCGCCAACGAGACTGCCTCGTCTGCCAGAAAGTCCTTGAGTCGTCCCGGCGTCGCCACGATCACGTCCACTCCTCCGGCTTGTCGCAGCTGCACCCGCTGCTCGTCTTTGCTCGCACCGCCGTACAGACACACTGCCGTCAGGCCCACACGTGCTGCCAACGGCGCCAGCGCCGCGTGTGTCTGCATTGCCAGCTCTCGTGTCGGCGACACCACTACTGCCCGCGCCTGCGCCACGTTGCCCTTGCCGTCCCACTTGTTGTTCAGTTTCGACCGGTTCGGCAGTTTCTTCGCCTCCATCGCCTCCGGCCGCGCCGCTCGCAGCACCGCCTCCACGCATGGCAGCGCAAACGCCATCGTCTTGCCTGAACCCGTCTCTGCAATTCCCACCACGTCGCGACCCGATAGCGTAAACGGCCACGATGCCGACTGGATCGGTGTCGGCTTCTTGTACTCCGCAAACGGCTTCTGTCGCGTCAACTTCGTCGCCGGCAGCTGTCCAAACTCCAAAATCGGCCGCAGCTCGCCCTGCACTCCCGCGTCCTTCTTCGCCAGCGGGTCTGTCACTGCCACCTGCTCCTTCTTCATAAACGCCTGGATCTCGCTTTCCGGCAGTGCCGTCAGCCCTGCCGTCTGCTTGTACTGGAGCTTCGTGCCTGTCGTTCCTGTCGCCTCAGCATCTGCCTCAACTTCTTCTTCGGCCTCCTCGGCTGCTTCGGTGACAGCCTCGGTCGCCTCTTTGGCCTTCTTGTCCTTCTTTTCCTTCCGTTCCTTCTTTTCCGTCTTTTCCTTCTTCTCGCTCACGTCTTCGCCCTCGTCCTTCGTATCGTCCTTCTTCTCTTTCTTCTCCCTCTTCTTCTCCTTCTTCTTCTCCTTCTTCTCCTTTCTCTCCCGTCTCAGACTCTCCTTGACCGTTTCCTTCCGCACTTCGCCGTCCACCTCCACCTTTCTGGCTTTCTTGGCCGGCGTAGTCGCCACGCGACCGCCGTTCTCCTCTTCCGCGCGACTGTGCTTTCCGTTTGACATGGCTTCAGCTGTATATTTTGGCGAATAGAGTATATACAGAAGTTGGGATTATGTGCAACCACCCTGAAAAATGGGTTACAAGAAAAAAGGCGGGAAAAAATTCTGCCAATCTTATCAAGTTGATAAGACAAAAAAAAAGTTGGAAAAAAATAGAAAAGTGGGACGGTCACCTACGTACGGAGTACGGAGTAAAGACCGAGAATTCCTCGCTGAAGTTCAAGCAGTCGAAATCGATAGAGTTATGTGTAATCAAGCTGATCCCAGATTTTAAACGGCTCGCAGCGAAAGCGGAGTTGCTTGGAGGTACAAAGAACATAGGGGAAAGCTATGCGAACCGACAGCTCACACGAGTGCTGGAAGAACTGGCCGTGCTGTGATAACCCATTCCATCTTTGTGATGTAGTCTAGATAGCCCTGAGTGCTGTCGTGCAGATCATCCTGTGCCCAGACAGCCGACAGTAAGAGGTTCACACAGTTTGTAGACGGATCGTCTATTCCTTGGGGTTGATTGACGAGGTCGAGGATAGAGCGACGACTTTCTTCCGTCCTCGCCTCGCTGCCGATCATAAACAGGGAAAAGGGCGTTATGCGGACGCCCATTCTTTGGATATGCGAAGCCATAGAAAATACGTCGACCAGCAGCGAGTCCATCGTAACTGAGGGACCGGAAAGATACCTGCATGCTCTCTGGAAGTAAATCCAACAGGCGGACAGAAATAGGAACCTCTGCAGCGCCACGTTGACAGAGGGATCCGACCCGTCCATATCCACTGCATTGCGGCACGCTTTCTTGCTTTTGCTGAAGGCTTCCTCTAATTCTGTCTTCAGGAAGACGAGTTTCTGCTGGGCATCTCGATCGCCAGGCCGGGCTCGTATGGACCATTTTGGACGCATTCAATACTGCTGACAAGAGATGTATTTCTGCGTGAATGTCTTCGCCCAAATATTGGTTGACAACCTTAATGGGACACGCTGTCAGCGAATGGAGAAAATTAGGACTGCGTGGGGAGGGAGACCGCTTACAATGTCTGATGCTTGAGAGCAGCGGAATTTCAGTTGCTTCCCTTTAAACATCACCGATAACTGGTCGAGCAGATCCGCCGGACGGCGCCAATGGTCTATGCTAAACTGGGCCAGAACGTCGTGGTAGTGAACGTAGCGGAGGAGGATGAACGCATCGGCTATTTCGCCTGCATTCAAGGAGAGCACAGGCAATGGGTCTACAAATGCATGAACCAGTATTGTGCGCAGGTTGCAGATATACATGGCCCAGAAGACAGTGGCTTGATCGCCCAAAGCAATCTGTGAAATGGGTCAGCAAGATTCCGTAATCTGTGCCAGAGGCAGGATCTCTTGCCTCTGAGCGGCAAAGCAGCAGCCCGGCCGCCACGTGTTGCAAGACCTGAGACACAGTGAGAGTTGTCTTGGTGGTAGCGTGCTGAAGTGCCTGAAGGGCCAGGGTTTTGAAGTGAGAACATTCCTGCACGTTTCCGTAGCGCCGTACTGCCGAGAGGCAGAAAATAGAATACAAGAGGGCCCGAGACGAAGCAGAGTCATCCTTTAGAGACATGCGCAGAAGCAGGTCCCGAAACTTTGTGGGCTTGGCGTCAAGTTGTGGCAAAGACATGGATGCCTCGTGGTAGACTAAAGAGCCACATAAGGGCGCACCAATAGCAAGTTTACAAGCAATGCATGAGTGAACCGACGTACAGTAAGATATCCAGTTGGAGCCTTCTGCTTCACACTTTTATACATCCGCATAGAGCGAGCTTGGAATACTCAGCCGGATCGCCGGTCTGACTTGCGGAATGTTGTTGTATTGGTGCCCAAAGAGAACTGTTCGTTTGCCTGTCGAAGTGGGCACCATCAGAGGAAAGAAAGACTGGAAATTACGTCAGCACTTACCATCACCACTTCCAGCATGGGGCATTAGATAATGGTCCGCCACGTAGTCAGACAGCACGTTCACAAAGTAGAAGCGTTGATTCCCCTGTCCGGATGCCTGTCGTGACCGCAGAGACACGCCGCCGTGATCCTTCCCTCTCGGCACCACCATTGCCCTTCGAGATCGTCCGTCCGGCCATGACAGCTCGAATGCGGGTGCCCTGCGGCACTCTCGGCGAGACTTTTGGCAGTTCTGGCAGACGGGCAAGACTCCGTCACACTTAATCCTCCGCTCTGGGAGGGAAATCCAAATTCGAGTTCAAATCGGATACTTTTCCAACCCAACACGTAGTGCATGCATACCTTTGCAAATGAGACATCTGTGAGCGATACCAGCCTTTCTGGACTGTGAAGCCATTCCGGCAATTACAGCAGTCACGGTAATGCTTAACCTACAGCACACCGTTTCGGACAAGCTTACGGGAAGAGCTACTTGAGTCGTGTGAAATGAGATCTTGTCCAGAATCCCCCTTCTCCTGCTTGCTTCTTGCTTCCCTTTATGGTAGACGGGCAAGATTGGCCGAAGGATCCCGCTGACAAACCAATCCGTCCTTAGTAAGGAACGGCCGGGCTGTGGCGCATGCCCGATTTGGAAAACCTGCAACTTTGGCCGAGCCATCAAACGCTACGGACGAACGAATGCCATTGGCCAGATTTGGATGTCACAGCTTACATGTTTCTTTTGCTGAATGTAACGAGTTTCGATAAGAGCAACCCCTCATCTCAAAAGTGGTGTTTTTGTTTTGTTTCCCGTTGTCTATTTGTCAGCTCGGGGATAGCCTCTTTGTGCTTATCAAGAGAAGCTTGGGATGGTTCAAGGACGTGTATATAAGGGTGCAGACACCTCTCTTTAAGACACTGGATTTTCCATCACAGCCAAGCCAAGCAGCCAAAAAAATTAAGAACTGTCTTGCAGAGTTTCGAGTTCTGAATCGTGTTCACCTGTGAAGTTCAGGCCTTACCCAATCAACAAACATGCCTTCTTACGTCGTGGTCGGTGCTTCTCGTGGCCTGGGGGTATGTCTCAACATCCTGTCCGCCATTCAGCAGCCAGGGCGATTTACTTACCACCCCAACAGTATGGTTTCCTAAACGTGCTTTCTGCTGAAAAGGAAAACACCGTGATAGGCCTGGTGCGCAACGTCCCCGGAACCAAGGCCCAGGTGGCCACGGACTTCCCGGACAGGAAGAACATCCACATTGTGCAGGCCGATCTGAACGACAGGGCCACGCTGGTGGTCAGTATAGGACATACCCAAGCCGTGTTGACAAGCAGGACTGACTGTGCCAAAAGGCCGCCGTGGAGCAAGTGTCTGCCATCACTGGTGGCTCGGTCGACGTCCTCATTTCGAACGCTGCTGTGGGCAGCAGCAGATTCCTCCCCATTGGCGAAGAGTAAGCACGAAGCCCGGAAATATGCTTAGCACAAGTTCTGACCGGCTATCGCCTGAACATAGAGCGAATGATGACCCGGCCGCCTTTGATGCCAACATGGAGACCCAGTTCCGCACCAACGTCCTCGGAACCATCCATGCCGTCGCCCTCTTTGCGCCGCTGGTCCAGAAGAGCCAGCTAAAGAAGATTGCCGTGATCTCGTCTGCCATGGGCGACGTCGAGCTAGTGCTGAACGTCGGCATCTCCCAGGGGGCTCCCTATGCCATAAGCAAGGCCGCCGTGAACATGGCGGTGGCCAAGTTCCACAACGAGTACCGCGACCGCGGAGTCCTGGTTGTGGGCATCTCTCCTGGCGTTGTCGCTACTACCTTCGCCCAGGACGGAACCGAACAGGGCAAGGCAGATACGCAAAAGGCCATGGCAGTGATGGGAGCCAAGTTCATGGTGTACGACCCCAACTGGCCCGGTATTCCATTCACCGCAGACGAGGCGGCCACGAACGTCATCAAGGTCATTACCAAGGCGACCATCAAAGACAACGGTGGCCTGATGGTCTCGCAATACGGCGACAGAAACTGGTTGTAAGTGAGGGCCACTTGCATCGTAGTGAAAGGTGTCATTGAGTATGTCATATTCGTGTATCCTATTTACATATTACTATCGCCTGCCATATTTACTTCGAGTCAATCGACTCGGGAATGTTCAAAATTAACATGGGAAAATATCCAAATCGTTCATGGGAATTTCTGCCCCGTGCGCCTCATTATGCGTGTCAATATAAAAACGAAGACATGCAGTGTCTTCCAGCCATTATTCGTCCCGATCAGACTTTTTCATGGTCTTTTTCGAGATGGTTCACATCCACCTGGTTCTTGTAGTTGCTGAGGATGTCGGAGCTAATATCATGGGCGAAGACGTCGACTGTTGTTGACTTGAACTTACGGGCGCTCACACCAGACTCGAACAGCAGGTCCAATTCGGCAAATGAGCGGCCCATGGGCTCAGGCACGCGGAAGTAGCTGTAGATGATACAGAGGAAGCAGATGCCGCCCCAAAAAAAGCCTGCGTAGTTGCTCCAGTTCCACGCACCGGGGTTGAGCATGTAAGGGTTAAGGACGCTGGCAACGATGCCGACAATGATGCTAAAGGTGTTAGTAGGCAGGAAAAGAGAAAGAGGGGACAAAGAGGCTCGAGCAGAACTTACTAAAGAGCGCGGCCCAAGACGACCGTCTTGATCTGCAGACGCCGCGTGGAGATCTCGGCAACCAGGGAGTAACAGACGGTGCCGACAGACAGCTGGTAACAGAGGGCCCAGACGAGCATGATGCTGCCGGTGGCCAGAGAGGCCTGGTCTTTGTGGGAATCGGGGACTAAGCCGAGAAAGCCCATGAGCAACAGCATGACGCAGAGCAGGCAGAGGCCGCCGACATAGAGGGTGCGGCGGCCGATGCCGCGGGCCATGAGGAACCAGGCGCCGATGACGCCGACAATGTTGAAGGCGTACTGGCCAAGGGCGAAACCGTAGGAGCTATGGGTGCTGAGGCCGGCCTGCTCGAGGAAGTAGGTCGAGTAGTTGCTGAAGGAGTTGCCGCTGAGGTTCTGGATGGCCCAGACCATGCAGACGATCTCGGTGCGGCGCAGATTGGTACCGCGGAAGCAGTCGAGGTAGCTGGCGCCCTTGGTGGCGTTGGCCTCGAGCGCGGTGGTGTGGACCATCATGGCAATGGTCTCGTCGGGATCAAAGGCCTTGCTGCCATCGGGGGCGTGGCTGTCGAGCAGGCGGCGGCTCGTGAGGCGCAGCAGCGAGCGCTTGGCATCGTCAATGCGGCCACGGCGAACAAGCCACCAGGGCGACTCAGGCGCAAAGGCGATGCCGATAATTAGCGGCACAGGCCAGATCCACTGCAGGGCGTAAGGAATCCGGTAGGCCCATTGGTCGTCGCGGTTGAGCATGCCCATGATGACGCCGATGCCAATCAGCTGGCCGATGCCCCAGCAGGCGTTGACGTACGTCGTCAGATGGCCGCGCAGAGCGACCGGACACACCTCGGAGGCGTATGTGACCGTCAGCGTCTGGAAAACACCCCATGGGATGCCACACAGGATCTCGGCTGCCAGCAGTGCGCCCGTGCTCTGGGCCGTGAAGAAGATGGCGATGAAGCCCGTCACCGCCATCAGACAGCCGATCACGGTGTAGCGGTAGCCCAGCCGCTCTGAGATCCAGCCGTTGAGCAGCAGCCCGATCAACTCGCCACAGTTGGCCCCGTTGCTGAGTCCGCTCTGCCATGCTGCCGACACCTGGTACTCGCCGCTCGGCAGCTGCTGCCCGTACTTGCGGTTGAACTGGGAAAAGCCGTAGAAGTTGTTGATCAGACACACGTCGTAGCCCTCCATCACAATGCAGGTGCTGATGAGCACGCTCCACGCAATCGCCTTTGGATACATCCGAACGCCCTCCATCAGCGTCATTTGTTGTTCCTTTTCTGCTGCAGATTTGGCAAAGCCGATCACGGCGTTGGCCGTTTTGGCCCGCTCCATCGCCTCGTCGGTCTCGGTCATGGCCGCCGGGCCCTGTTCGTTGACCGTGCCGTGGGATTTCTCCACGGTGGCACCAATGTCGGATCCTGAGGATCCGTCATCAATCATGTGTACATGCATGGTGGGCAAACAGGATATAAAGAGTGCCGAGATAGGGGCAGAAGATCGGAGAGGGAGATGAGGCGAGAAGAAGATGAAGAAAGGGACGAAACAAAAGAAGGGATAAGGTCGAGAAATGCCAGTTAAGTACAAAAAACGCACCGCTCCGTCCCAAAAGGAAAGAGAACCAGGGGGGAGAGGGCAGACTGGGAGGGATGAGCCGGCGGTGACCAGATAATCAGATAGACGTCTTGGCACAGAAGGTGGATGGTTATCGAGACGGGAGCAGTTGTCTTGGGCTGTCCCGTTATGCGCCGGTATGCTTATGGTCTGGCTTCTTCTTGCGTACGACGTATGTCTGAGTTTGTTTCTGGAGGGTGGCCGTCTCCATTTTTCCTGGTATTTATCTTGTGGGGAGAAGACCAGGAGGAAGGAGCTAGTTGACATGGCTCATGGAGAAAAGTCACCATTGGAAGGCACGTTCTGATTGGCCAATCGGCTCAACGAAAATCTTAGTTTAGTTCAACAATCCACGATCCACCGACCTGTAATTACAGATTGCGAACAATGGCCCCAATACGAGCCAGGGCAGCTTTGTGATTCTGCTTTCGGAGGCACCATTCCCGATTTGACACCACCTGCCACGCTGCGAGCGGGGAAGCAGCTGCACTTGCCGTCCATCGAGAGACGGTGTTCATTCGTGGAATCTCACTCTTCTCTTCTCGCGCCTCTCCCAACCGAGCTGTTGGAAGAGGGGGTTTCGTCGACGATCACCCCGAAGAAGTATCTACCGTGTTAGTAGCCGGCTTTCGCTTCATTCTACGTCTGAACGGCTACGCCGATTTTCACTCTGTTTGTGTCCGCTGGTTGATGCTTGATCCGCCAATCTGTAGTCGGACCAGGGGAGGGTCTGTGACACACCGCCATCGGCTTCGAAGACCTCACTGCAGCCTCGTTCGATGACATCTCCCGAGCTAAACTCCCGGCCGGAGCCAGATAACACAGCATCGTTTGGCTGGTAAGCTTCTCCTGCCATTTTTGCGTATTTCAGCTTCGAACAGGCCCTCCTCCCATCTGACCAAAACTACAGTCAGAATTGCCGAGACCAGCATCTAAAGTGCACGTTCACGTGATTCCCCGAGTACAACGTCCGTCCTGGCTGACACCAGACAAAGGCGACCGAAAAACGCCCGTGTGCAGTCGCTGTTTGGTAAGCGGAAAAGAATGCCATCGAGGCTACAGATTCCGAGTCAAGTCAGGTATAGCCCTTTGCCAGCTCCGTGCGAATTAGATAGAGGCATGTCGTGCTGACCGGAGTCCCGACTTCATGATTTTTGCCGTCTTTTTTTTCACATGTGCAGGCCCCTTCACCCGGACACAACAATGGGTCAAAACGCCCGCTACGCGTAAGTACCCTTAGCAAGCGGAGCTGGCATGCATGCTAGACGGAGCGCAAGCTGACACGTTACCCACTTTTGCCACTTCAGTTCAATTTGTCGATGGTGCGACAGCCGATGATGACTTTCCAGACGACGACGGCTTCCCAGATGCGTCGTCGTGGCAGCCAATTCGCAGCGATCGGCCTCCCAATGGGCCACACGCACAAGCATCAGCGCTGCAATCTGCGCAGAATAACGTCTCACAGGTGCCGGTATGGTCCACGTTGTCGCCGGACTCGACTGGGTCGACGCGGACCGACCAATCAACCCAGGCAGCAGCATACGACGCACCAGACAACCCGTTGCGGCTAGGCTTTGCTCCGGCACTGAACCAGGTGGCCCAACTGCGCTCCCAGTCGCCCTCAGACCGGTTCATCGTCCACGACGAGATGGGGCCGGGCAGTACCTTTGACCTGCACGAGGCCATCAATGCCGTTCAGTCGGTCCAATCGCGCATCTATCTGGAGAAGTCTGCCTTCCCGCTCCAGGACAAACAGGAGGCTTTGCTTCTTCGTCATTTTGTGCAAAATCAAGCCGGATGGGCAAGTTTTCGTGTCTCCACCAAGCTCGTAACGGTGTTTTGCACTAAGAAACAGCACTAACCGGGGTTAATGCAAGCTACACAGCTCGACATTTGCGATCCTGCCCGACACTTTGCTACCACAGTGCCTCTGCGAGCCGGCACCTGTACGGTCCTGCTCAATGCCACGCTCGCCTTAGCTGCCAAACACCTGGCACATATCAGCGACTTTGACCGCTATGCGTCCGACCGGTATCACCGCGAATGCCTCAGCGTGCTGATTCCGTTGATGAGCCACGAAGTCACGGCCGCGGACGAGAATCTGTTTGCCGCGACCATTATTCTACGCATCTGGGAGGAGATGGAAGGTACGTAGCCCGTATCCTGGTGGGCGGCCGGTAAGACGTAGAGTCCTGATTTTGAGGCGGTAGTAAAACACACTGGAGTCGACTCGCACAGTTACATCCTCGGCATACATGCCTTTGTCCACGGCAACGGCCATAATCTACGACCGAAAACGCTGGGTGCTGCCAGCTTCTGGGCTGGTCTGCGCCAGGAGATATACACAGCCACAATGAACCAGCAGCCGGTGAAGGCCCCCCTAGTCTCGTCGTTGGTGGATGGGTCCCGCGAGCTTGGACCGGCCGACGATGAGGACTGGGCCAACCGGGCTGTTGTCCACTGCGTCGACGTCCTCAACTTCTGCTTCGGGGAAGAGCCGCCGCGGCAAACGTGGGATGGCCTGTACGCTTGGAACGAGCGATGGACAGCGTCACTCCCGCCATCTTACACACCAACGCTGGACAAAGAGAACAGACCGGGGGAAGCATTTCCCGAGATTTGGTACCACGATACCTGGCAAGGTTGGTGCACAAGAGGACGACTGTGCCGGCCGGGACTGCAAAGGCTAACACGTGCACAGTCACCGGAGTGCAGCACCATATTCTTGCCACGTTGTTCCTCGTCAGCTTCGACCCCAGTTTTCCCCGTATTGGTGGCCGCCGCAGAGAGGCAGCCAAGCGAATGGATGTGAGTATAGTCCTTGGGATGAAGAAGGAGGAATGTAAAATGGGAAGAGGAGCTGACCAAATAGGAACGGATATGTGCCTTGGTGCGAAGAATTTGTGGAATTGGGCTCTGCAATCAGTGGTCACCACCCAGTATGTTTACGGCCTGTATGGCCATTTCGGCCTGTAAGTTATTTTGAAGAGCCCCACTTTTCCGTGTATTGGCTGAAGATGACGAACACGAAGCTGACGTGCGGTATGCTTGTCTCAAGTTGGGGACCGATTTCGCGAGCGGCCAGATCAGGAGGCCATTTTGGATCTTCTCCGCCGAACAGAAAGCGACCATGGGCGACCAACGGAATCGGTGCAGACTCAGATGATGCGCGCGTGGGACTGGGAGGGTGTGGAGTAAGCTGTCAAGGGAGCGGCAAATGGGTCAGCTGGGGATTAGGTTTAGGACGGGGTAGACTAATAATATATAGATGTGAGCTACTCATAGATGCGGGGGAAGAAGGCAGGGGCAATAATACCCGTTTGGGCAAAACGAAAAGATGGGGGCGTTGGTGAACCGACGGGGAGTTGTCTGGCGATTTTTTCAGTCTTCGTATGTGTGGGAATGAAGGATGATATTTGTCGCTGAGCCTAGCCGGCCGGACTCCTTTTTCCGTCTGTAAGAGGATAGATTTTCCGCTAGCGCTCGGGGAAAATGCCCAAATATAGAGCGTGCGCCAAGGATGGATAAAATCGCCGATTTTGCCAGGCTCGCTTGCGCTACTGGCGTGGCAGGCTCCACTTTTGGGAGCACATCGCCAAAGCGTCCGAGGCCTCGTTTCGGGACGGGAAGCCAGGCTGACCATTCAAGTAATACGCTTTTTGATCGGCGGCTTATTTTAGCAATGGGGCTCTGCCCACTTTTCGTGTTGTTGGAAGAGGCACTGCTGCTTTAGGAAATTCCTGACGTCCTCTGCTGCCGGCCGGCCTTTGCTTCAGCATATGCTCAACGGCAGAGATGGCAGGTTTTTCCACGCGGACGAGCGGGCTGTGGGATATTTAACGAACATGTTCTCATACTTTCGTGTTCTCATACTCCTTTCCTTGTCCTCCTCATCTTCCTAGCCAACGCACTTCCCACCGTCTTTGCCTCTTCTCATCACCTCACAAGACCAAAAGTAGCACCATGTCCCCCTCTGCACTCTTCGACGACGAGGTCGCGGTCCGGTCGGACAAGACCGAGGCCGTGCGGTCGGGCAAGGCACTCGAGGACCTGTCGGACGCCATTGACAAGGTCAATGTGCTCAAGGGCCGGCAGACGGCCGACGAGGCGGTGGTGTACACGGAGAAGTCACAGTTCGACCAGGAAAAGGACAAGACGCAGTTCCGGCAGTACGACGACGCGTGCGAGCGGGTCAAGACATTCTACCGCGAGCAGCACGAGAAGCAGACGGTGGCCTACAACCTGCAGGCACGAGCCCAGTTCCACTCACTGAGCCGGCAGCGAGCCGAGATGACGGTCTGGGAGGCGATCGAGAAGCTCAACACGCTGATCGACGAATCGGACCCGGACACGGAGCTGAGCCAGATTCAGCATCTGCTGCAGAGCGCCGAGGCGATCCGCCGTGACGGCAAGCCGCGCTGGATGCAGCTGACCGGCCTGATCCACGACCTCGGCAAGCTGCTGTACTTTTATGGTGCCCAGGGCCAGTGGGACGTCGTGGGCGACACCTTTCCCGTCGGCCTCGCCTTTGATCGTCGCATCATCTATCCCGACAGCTTTACCGGCAACCCGGACCGCGACCATCCCATCTACGGCTCCACCCTGGGCATCTACTCGGCCGGCTGCGGTCTCGACAACGTCATGCTCTCCTGGGGCCATGATGAGTACCTCTACCACGTCATCAAGGACCAGAGCCTGCTGCCACCCGAGAGTCTCGCCATGATCCGCTACCACTCCTTCTACCCGTGGCACAGCGCCGGCGCCTACCGCGAGCTCATGGCCGACAAGGACCACGCCATGCTCGAGGCCGTCAAGGCCTTCAACCCCTATGATCTCTACAGCAAGAGCGACGAGGTGCCTAGCGTCGACCTTCTCAAGGTAAGTCTGGCCGGATTCGGTCTTGGGCGCGTCAGACTGTCGGCCGTCTGCTAACAAGCACAGCCGTACTACCTCGAACTCATCGACGAGTTCTTCCCGCAAAAAGTGATCAAGTGGTAGACATGGACGGAGAGGGTGACAGGGATCGGCCTGTTCGGACGACATTTCATGACTTTCAAATTGCGAAAAAGCCTACTATCAGGCACTGCTCTACCCTTTCAACGGGACTTGATATTTAACAACTAAATAAATTAACTTCGAATCTAAAAATGGCACATTGAGCCCAACTTGTTGTCCATCCTGAAGTGAAGATTACCCAAGACTCCAACACATTTTAGAGGCAGATTAGGAAGACGTCTGTCCCATATTGTACAGCAGCAACAGGGAGCCCAAACAAAGAACAGGCCGCCCAACAATACCTATGTCCAGACGACCGACTATGCGACGGATTCCCTCTCGCCAACCTCGGTTAGAAAAGACAAGTCCTGCTTAAAGCCGCCCACAACGCTCGAAATTGGCGTCGACGGGATGGACAGGGTGCGGGACCGCTTGGAGTAGGAGCGGTGTCCAATACGTGCCATGCGGACTTCGTGGTACGCCAGGCTCGCCTGCTGCTTGGAGATCACCAGGCCCTGTGTGATGGGCGACTGCTCGCCGTTCTCTACCACCACCATGCTTGGCCACACCACCAGGATGATATCGCTTGGGTCAACCTCACTGTCCTCGTCCATTTCGCTGATAGGCGCTGCATTTTCATGCTGCATGTCCACATCTGCGATAATCTCAGGGACAGAAACAGAAACGGGAGCTAGAGAAGGAGAAAGAGCACAAGCCACCGTCATGTTCTCGTCATTCCTTTCGCCAGCAACATCGCCACTGCCATCCGCATCACCAGTGCCATCCTCACCGCTGCTATTATCGTAGACAGCACCACTGATATTAAAGATCCCGCCAGCGACATTGCCGTTGACGTCGCCATTGAAAGCATTGTCACCGGGAGCATTGCCATTGCCATTGCCATCGCCATCGCCATTGCCACGCCCATGATTAACACCCTCTCCACCCATGAAGTCTACCCAGCTGTCAGTCTCACTTCCTGATTTTCCCTCGACACGCTGTGGCGATGGAGTCCTTGACACAAGCTTGCTTGCCGCACTCTTCTTAGAAACGCCATCGCCACCTGCCTTGTCGTTTGCACCGGACAGCACCTCCAGATCGCTGTGCTCTATTCCACGTGCCCGAGACTCGCAGCGCGTAACACTACTGTCACGACTGCGGTGCCGCGTGGTGCTGGAGCGTCCGTCAAACTCTGGCAGCGGCAATTCTTGCCAGTCAAAATCGTCGTATGGCGGCCCAAAGTACGGCTCGATCTTCGTCCTGGCACGCTGGATCTTCTGCCATTCGATGCAGGCCACGGCACAGGCACTTCCCAGGCTGGTGCAGAAGCTCTTGTAGGCAATGGCGTCCAGAAGGTGCTGGACCACCCAAGAGACCTCCCGCACTACGTGCTGAGCACGAGCCTTGGCACTGGCCTGCTGGACCTCTGGCATCGTTGCCAGCAGTGTGGCCCGGATGTTCTCCTCCATGGTCGGGTTGTCGTCTTCGACTTCGTGCAGAAGGTCCGTGAACTCCTCGTCGTCTCGGAGAAGGTAGAACGGACGGAAGATGTATCGGTACAGTGTACGTGAGAGGACCGATAGGACGGCAGCAATGCGCATCGCCTTTGCAATCGGCGAGTTGGTCTGGGGTAGCGGGAATTGGGTTGGGCCCTTCAGTGCATCAGCGTTGCGAAGGTTGTTCCAGCGTGAAGCATCGCTTAGGACATGGTCGGCAAGATCCTGCTGGAAGTGTGACTCGACCAAATCAAACACTTTTGTCCAAACGTTGTCGAGAATTTTCACGCTTTTTTGTCAGTTTTGGAACGATCAAATAGAAACAGAACACAATAACCTTGAAATATACGTACAACACGTCTTCTGGCTCCTCTTTCATGACGACTCGATAGTTGTTCAGCTCTATCAGACGCATTGTCTTCGCTGTGAGCTCATGCTGGGTCTGGTCAAGGGTCTCTCTGAGACCGTCGCCTCTGGAAACGGCTTCCTGGAGCTGTTGCTCCGTCGTCTGGAGGTCGCTCTTGACTTTCTCCAACTCATCCTCTCGCTCGAAGAGCGAGGCCTTCAGTGTTGAGTTCTGTTCTTCGGTCTTAGCAGCCACGTGCTTTTGTTCCTCCAGTTTTGAAGTGACCTGGCTGAGGTCTTCCTTGAGAGTGGCAAGTGTGGTGCGTAGCCCATCAATCTCCGTCTTTGTAGTGCTCACGTCGGCCTCAAGAGTCTCTTTGTTGTCGATGGCCTCTCCCAGTGTCGTCTTTGTTTTGGAGAGCTCTGTACTGAGGCTGTTATGCGTGTCTGTCAGATCGGCCAACTCCTTGACTTTACAGGCGAGCTCCTCTTGAAGTGCAGCTTTGGCGTGTTCTATCTCAGCCCGTGATTTCTCAAGTTCATTGCGGAACTGCCAGTACTGCTCGAAAACGTTGCGATTTGTGTCGACGAGCTCCCGGTTTTTTGTACGGAGTTGCAACACTTCATTGAAGACATCAGCCAAGATTTGGTAGTTGGGATCAGCTGCAATCGACTTGATTGCACCGACCAAGCCGTCCACCACCCGGGAGGGATCTGCAGCTATTGCTGCGGTGTCGACACCCATCGCCTCGTATTTCGACATGTAAATAGAACTGGTCGATGGAAATTTAACAATTATTTCGAGAAAATACAGAAAAATAAAGACGTGTTAGGGCTGTCAATTGCTTGTGCAGATTCGGGTTCTCTTCCGTATCCTGATGGCCTGGATATTTCTTATATATGCCAGACTATGGTATAAGTACACCCCGGAGCAGAGCCCTAATAGGCCTTAGCCTGGACCTGGAACCTCACACGATCTATTGGGAAGAAGCTGCAACCCATATCAGGTGTCTGGCAGCTGGTCTGGCGAGGTGGAGCTGTCGACACCTCTGAGCCTGCCCGCGGACCGGCATACAGAGAATTTCACAAGCAGGCTTTCGGAACCGAATCAGATCTGCACCTTTGTTGCCCGTGTGCTGCGCTGTACTGCTGCCTGAAATCTTATCAGTAAATCGGAGAAAGCCGTGTGACAGCCCAACATCGGGGAAGCCCAACAGAGCGGCGGCAACCAGGCCGGTCATGGAACGCCGTGATTGGAGTGTCGTTCGTCGTGCTTTAGTGCCTTATGAAGTTTTGGTTAACTGTTGAAGGGCGGCCGAATTGTTATGTTTCGGAAGAGGGTTTTGTTCTACGTGGCAGTGTCTGATTAAGCCGAGGAAATCCACCCGATTGACCCACTGAGACAACTTCCCGCGGGCGCACCTTCCCTCGGTCTACTGAGTTATTTTCCCGGCACGAGAGTCTGCAACACCTCTTCCATTCGCTCCAATGACGTGCATATTAATATGACAACCGAATTAGAGGCTATGGGCTGCAGGGTTGCTTTTACCGCGGCAGTGGCTCGTTGGGCTGAGCTGAGGGTGTCTCTTTGCCCAATCCTCACGCCAAGCTTATCGACTTCTTTCAGAAAATACAAAGGAGCACATAAATGTCCGGTATTGTTCAGGGCCAGTGAAAGTGAAGACAGTGGTATGTGTTGGTTTTTGCTTGACCGTTTACAGGCAACCGTGAGGTGTGATTGGCAGCACGGGCCAAACTGATTACTTGTTTGCTTGTGTATCTGATCTAGCGCCGACTATTGATAAATTTAATACAAAATGTTATATATGCTCTGTCGTGGTTTTATTTAATCTCTGAAAAATAATTACTGATAGCATCAGATCAAAAACTAAATACGCAACAGCCAAGACTTCTTCTGCAGGATCCTCTAAATTATTTGTAGCACTGTTTCTGGGATTATTCTGTAAAACCATACCACATTGCACTATCTATACGGTACAGTGCACAATGGAAGGTTGTAGGCCGTATAACTCATCATCAGGAATGTTGACGATCTACATTGCTGCTTTCATCCTGGAATAAAGGGGAGGGGGGGATCAAAAAGATGGCTGGTGACAAGGATGTGACATTACCTGTACAAGTTCTGGTAAATGTGACATGCTTCTTACAGACCTTAATGGCACAAGAACCTTACTTGTCGCCAGTCTGGATTGGCCAATTAGAGTGCTGACCAACTTTAATACCCACGTGGCACAGATGTAGAGATCTTTGGATGACTCCGCGATTGTAGGCCCTTCTCTGACTGGTTGGTGAAAACGTTCTAGGTATCCTGGTAAGAATAAGTGTTAGTCTTTCCTCCCTAAACCGGTCAATCGAAACCCAGATTAGGCCAATTTCGACAGCATGACGAAGTCAGAGCTGCTTGGTACGGTGCAAGCTTCTTGTCGACAATCTGCATGCTGTGGTCAATATACGGCTGTCAAGGGGACGAAGACGGCCGTGCTCAGTTTGGAAGGATCTAGCGATCCTGACTATAAGATAGCAAACCTGGAGAAGTTGGAAAGATAACCCGGAATCATCTTTAAGGTATTGCAAAATTAGCATTATGTTAAATGTGATTTGAGCCTTGTCTTTGAAAAATCCGATTGTAGGCCAATGCCATTACTACGCTTCTCCAATTCATATTTTTGATCCAATCCAACAAGATCTTAGTTGGATCGCAACGGCACTCAGGAGGGTTGTATATATGTTTCAGATTGAAGCAAAAACTTTTATAGCCAAATTCACCGTGATAAAAGCCTTAAAATACTGCACCTCTGCCCGATCACTGCGTAGTAAAGCCGCCATCGACGACCATGCTGGCGCCCTGCACAAAGCTGCTCATGGGCGAGGCCAGGAAGGTGATAGCATCGGCAATCTCCTCTGGCTGGCCCATGCGCCTCAGGGCCGATCGCTCGACATCCTTCATGATGGGTGAATCGCCGGGAACATTTTCCAGCAACGGGGTGCGAATGAATCTGCAGGAGTGCGGATGCGCTTAGTAATATATTATATATACAAGCACAAAACACACAGACACCTACCCTGGACAGATGCAGTTCAGGCGGATGCCCATGGGGCCGTAGGCGTTTGCGTCAGAGCGGGTGAGGCCGATGACGCCGTGCTTGGCCGTCGAGTAGGCCGTCTGGGCCAGGTCGAACATCCCGACAACGCCGTACATGGACGAGGTGTTGATGATGCGGCCGCGACCGATGCGAGGGCCGAGGTCTCTAGGAGGGTATTAGCGCGTCGTGTTCCTGCTGCTGACCGGCTCACCATCACGCACTCCTGCTTCAACATGACGACCAGCTCCTCCTTCTGGCAGCGCCAAACACCGTCCAGGTCGACGTTGATGACGCGGCGCCACTCGGCTTCGTCGACCTCATGGGTCTTCCGGCCGCTGCCGCTGATGCCGGCGTTGTTGACGGCAATGTCGAGGCGGCCGAAGCGGTCGACGACGGTGGCGATGGCAGCGTGGACGGCAGCGGCCTGGGCGACGTCGAGCTGCAGCTCGAGCACCTGGACGTGGGGAAACTGCTCGCTCAGGGCCTTGCTGGATGCCTGCAGAGTGCCGATGTCGACGTCGGCCAGCGCGAGGTTCTCGATGCCATGGCGCGCAAAGGCGAAGGCGGTGGCCCGACCAATGCCTGTAGATGGAGAGGAAAATCAGCAGGAGGATGACAGATCGGGGCGGTTAGGACGCACCGGATGCGGCGCCGGTGATGAAGGCGGTACCCTTGAGCAGAGCAGTAGACATTCTGACTATTCAGGACCGGTGGTTACGGGAGAGGAAGTGGCGTGATCACCCAGATACACGAAGATTGTCAAAGTCGGGGATGCGTTTAAGTAGACCACCGAAGGTGGGGTGATGCAGTGATGTGTTTGTGAAGTGGATCAAATCCGGGAATAGACAGCTGGCATCTCGGAGACTCCAAGGAGCGTGTAGCCAGTGAGAGAAAAGACAGACAGCAAAAGTACCACCATGTGGTCACCACGGATAGATAGTTTTCCCCAGAGGATTCACCATAGGTTGGTATAGTCGTGAATTGGCATTGTCACCTACTTTATAGAACTAGATAATAGGAACACACCAAACATGTGATAACCGCATAGAATGACTCAATTACAGAGAAATACAGCTTTCCAGACTAGATGCACCGATCACGCCAAGAAATACGCTATTCGGTAGACATGCTCGGCGGCAGATCGGCCTCGGCCGTACCCCAGGCGCTCTCGCTGGGCCCGAGAGTGAGCTCGAGCAGGCCTCCGTCGGAGAAGAAGCGGTGAGAGAGCCAGTTGCGGCTGTAGGGACGGCCGTTGAGCGTAGCGTTCTGGATGTAGATGTTGGCCGGGGCGGGGTCGAAGTTGCGGCAGCGCACGGTGGCAATGCGGCCGGTCAGCCGGCTGGTCACGCTGACCTCGCGGAAAAAGGGTGGGGTGATGAGGTAGACGTCCTGGCCGGCGACGGGCCAGAGGCCGAGCATGGTGAGCGAGGAAAAGGCGCCCATGGCGCCGCTGTCGTCGTTTCCGGGGATGCCGACTGTTGTGGTGTTGAACTGGGCTGGGATGTACGTGTGGGCATAGCGAGCTGACAGGGCCGGCCGGCCGGCATAATGGAAGACGAAGACGAGCAGAAAGGCCTGCTCGTCGCCCATGTAGAGCAGCCCGGGCGTGTCGTGGATATACTGCAGCCGGGCGACAAAGGCATCGGGCCCACCGAGCCGGCCGATCAGAGCGGCCATGTCGTGTGGCGCGTAAAGCGTGTATAGCCAGCTGCCGCCCTCGTACATCTCGTGACCGCTGGTGGTGAGGTAGCAGGATGTGAAGTTGAGCAGCGGCTGACAGAGCGCTGGGTCCTGGAAGCCAAAGGTGCCGTTGAGGAAACGCGGCTGCAGGAAGCCGGCAAAGCCGCTGTCGGTGGTTTCGGCACTTTCGGAATTTTCGGAATTTTTGGCGCTCTCGTTGCCGCCGCCCGTCGGCAAAACGACCGCTGCTCGTCGTGGAACAGGTTCGCCCATTGGCCAGCTCGCCGTCGGTACTTTGCCGCATCTGCCGGCTTTCCCATGGCCGCCGCCATCTGAGCGATGCAAAAGTCGTCGTACGCATACTCGACCGTCCGGCTGATGCTGCGCGAGAACGTGCCCACTCCAGCCGCACTGTTTCCAGCTGGCCAGGCCTCCTCGGCCTTCGACGTTCCAGATTGGCGGTTCGACTGGAGGGTCAGCAAGTTGGTCTCTCTTCCTTTCTTTCCTCTTCACTCACCCTCTGCATCCTTCACAACTGCCTCGTAGCCTGTATCCCAGTCGATCCCGTCTGTCAGCCCCTTGAGATAGGCATCGGCTAGCACCACGTCTGCATTGCTGCCGCCCTGTGTCAGGCCCTTGCACAGGCTCATCCGGCAGTCAGGCAGCCAGCCCTCGTGTCGGTAGATGTCGATCAGGCTACGCACCATCAACGTCTGGCTCTGCGGGTCCACCAATGTCAGCAGCGAGTGAATTGACCGAAACGAGTCCCAGATGCAGTAGAACGAGTCGTAATCTGATCGTTAGCCTTCTATCTGACCCTGTCTGCCTTTTATCCACTCACAAGGCTCGTTGCTATGCCACAGCGGATTCTCTCCCGTGTAGTCCTGTGGTGAGATCATCGCACGATAGAGTCCTGACCAGAAGACCGTGCTGAGATTGTTGTCGACGCCGCTGTCGTCGATCTGCACGACCGCAAGTTTTGCGCGCCAGGCATCGGCGGCTGCCGTGCGCGTGCCGTCAAAGTCAAAGTCGGGCCCGGTCAGCTCGCTCTCGGCGTTGGTGCAAGCCTGGCCAACACTGACAAGCGAGAGGCCGACGCGGACGAGGATCTGGTCGTCAGCCGCGGGTGGCGCAAACTGCACCCAAGCGCCAGCAGGCACTGGTGGCACGTCGACGCCGTTGGCAAACGTGCGCAGCGACTGCGTCGTGTTGCCGGCACGGTTGTTAGCAAAGACGCCGCTGTCGCGCACGTCTGCGCCGTGAAAATCGACACAGAAGTGCAAATCGTAGCTGCCGACGCCAAACGACGGGCCAAAGGTGCCGTTGCTAGTGATGTGGCCCGTCTGCGCATCCACGGCGACGCTGCCGTTGATACGCGAGTCCGACAGGTCCTTCAGGTCGAACAGAACCAGCGGGCTGTAGCTGTAGGGCAGGTTGGCCCTGTCCGATGGAAAGGTGAACCGGTACAGCGCCGTGTGATTTGTCACCGTCATCTCCGCGCGAACCGACGTGTTGAGCGTTACGGCAAAGTAGCCCGGCTCGGCCACCACGCTGCCCGGCACCCGCTTCACGGCCCGGTCTGTCGCCGTAAAGGCACAATTGTTGAGAACGTCGCCAGAACAGCCCGTGTGCGCAAAGATGGGAAAGTTCCCGAGACGGGCGCCCTGTATGGGTTAGAAGCAAAAGACGACACGAAGCTGCTGCAATTCACGCAGGAAACATACGCCTCCCGTTCCTGAGTCGTGCATGTGGCTGAAACCCGTGATCTCGCCATCGTCCGACGCAAAGCCTCCCTGCAGCTCTGTGTTTACGTCGGCTACCGCTTTGGCCATACCAAACGGCAGAGCGGCGCCGGGAAACACATGGCCTATCAAGAACAACGGATGTGCCTGTCAGTGATTGAGGCAAAATATGCCGACTTATTTCCAAGCCAGCTTTGCCTGCAAAACACTCGGCCACGTCCTGCTCTTATTGTATGCTCGCATAGGTTTTGGGCTGACTATGGTTGACGTCCGCATGATTGCTACCTGACTGTGCATAGCCTGTGTCTGACTGTCCATCTCGTGAGATGTTGAACTTGTACCAGGCAAATGTGAGAATGATCGCGTCTGATTTTCGGCACTTCTCACTATTGCTGCCTTCCATTACTTCTGATGGAGGTTGGAGTAAAGTAAGTGGAGACTGAAGTCGATCCCGACAGATAGTGTTTGCGAACGAACGTCTCACATCACGTGATCGACACATACTTCTCGAGCCATCCCACCGATTTTTGTTTGCACACCATCAAGCGACGCACGAATCATCGCCGTCATGGCACGAAACTACAAGCCCAGCCACTGCAATACGACAGCTCAAAAACCAGCCAACTGGACAGACATCAGGCCACACAAGTACTGCGGGGCGCTCGACCTCGGACACGAAGGCCGGCCCAACAAAACGCAGACATGTGCAGCCTGCCAGGAGGTCAAGGCACATATGGCTGGCCTCGTGAAGCGCAATACGGACATGCGACGCCAGGCCAAGATGAACTGGACGAGCGGGACGTTTGAAGGCTAGACGGATGCAGATCTCTGATTCGGGCGTCGATCCCAGCATCAGAGCATGACCAGTTCCTCTGATGCCAAGCTCCGGAATAAGGCCGACAGTTCGTGGGGAGGGTGTGCGGCAGTTGTCCCAAAGGAGAAGGTCGACCGTGTTGGATGCATCCTGTTGCTCGTTTCCTGTCCACTAGGCGTCTTTGGGATGCGGAGCAGGCTTGTTGTTACCCCGGATTTCTTTAGCCTTCTGGCGCTAGCATGAAGTCCACTGAACGTCTAGAAACATGGCAACTCTGGTGATCATGCGTGTAGAGCATGGTTAGGTCGTAGAAGAAGGGGTGGCAAAGGGACATGTTGGAGGGTAAGACGAAGCACTATTACAGCATGGTAAAAAGAACGGAACAGTAAGCGTGGACAGCACACCAATGACAAACGCCGAAATCGCATCGATTGGCTGGCTCCTCGGCGCTTTCTCGCTCGCCCAGCCTGCAAAAGGAGGAGGGCACCACTCAGGCTCTATTCATACAGCTTCGGCAGTCACGGGGCCATCCTTGGCAGCGTGTTGGCATGGGAGCTGGCCCAGTTGGGAAGGCACGATCCTGGCTGGAAACAACACACCATCCCGCAAGAGCTGCTGCAGTTGTACACGACTCCGCAGGAGGAAGGCACAACCTGGTGGCTTACTTCCACCCTGCGCCTTCCTGCTGTGCACATAAGCGCCTATGTCACACGCGCACGATGGGTCAGGACTCTGTCACTACGACAACTCATTTTTTGTCTTTTGTTGCTTGAAAATTACAAAAGTATAAATATCTGTCATACTGCCGTATCTTCCGCTTCTCTCTCAGCTCCTTTTGGCTCTTTTTATTCCCCCACCACTGGAAATTTCACCTCTCCTTCTTGACATCATGTACACCTTTGGATTGAAGCCCGACACAGGGGCCGGAAAGGCCTGGCCAGCCATTGCCATCGGCATGTTTGTTGCCTTTGGCGGCGTTCTCTTTGGGTGAGAAGTCCCCTCATTTCTCGTTCTGGTCATACTCTCCCGTTGCTAATATTTCATCGCCATGCCAGATATGACACCGGAACCATCAGCGGCATCCTGGCCATGCGCTACTGGATGACCTCCTTTTCGACCGGTCACATCAACAGCAAGGGCGAGCTCGATGTTACCACGTCCCAATCTTCTGCCGTCGTCTCTATCCTCTCGGCCGGCACCTTTTTTGGTGCTCTCGGCACACCCTTCATCGCTGACTTCATTGGTCGTCGCTGGTCTCTGATCGTCTCTAGCTGGGTCTTCATTCTCGGTGTCATATTTCAGACTGCTTCCACTGCCCTGCCCCTCTTCATTGCTGGCCGCTTCTTTGCCGGCTTCGGGGTCGGCCTCGTGTCTGCTCTTAGTAAGGATGAATTTTGGTCTTGTAATCAACCACATTGCAGCTAACGCTGCTCGCAGTCCCTCTCTACCAGGCCGAGACTGCCCCCAAGTGGATCCGCGGCATCATCATCGGTGCCTACCAGTTCGCCATCACCATCGGTCTGCTCTTGGCCGCTATCCTCGACAATGCCACTCACAACCGCAACGACACCGGATCCTATCGCATCCCTGTCGCCGTCCAGTTTGCCTGGGCCATCATCCTCATCGGTGGCATGCTCTTCTTACCAGAGACCCCCCGCTATCTCATCCGCCGTGACAACATCGACGGCGCCGCCCGCTCACTCTCCCGTCTGCGACTCCTGCCTCCTGATCACCCGGCCATCACCGCCGAACTGGCGGAGATCCAGGCTAACCACAAGTTTGAGCTCGAGCTCGGCTCTGCCAGCTACATCGACTGCTTCCGCGGCGACATGCTCAAGCGCCAGCTGACCGGCATGGGCTTGCAGGCTCTGCAGCAGCTCACCGGCATCAACTTCATCTTCTACTACGGCACCCAGTACTTCAAGAACTCTGGCATCTCTGATTCCTTTCTCATCTCCATGATCACTACCGCCGTCAACGTCGCCTCCACCATCCCTGGCCTCTGGGCCATTGACAAATGGGGTCGTCGTCCGCTGCTGCTCTGGGGTGCTGTCGGCATGGCCGTCTCCCAATTCCTCGTCGCCATGCTCGGCACCTTGACCACTAGCCAGGACAGCCTCGGAAATATCATCGTCCACAACGTCGCCGCCCAGAAGGCTGGCATCGCCTTTGTCTGCCTCTTCATCTTCTTCTTTGCTTCCACCTGGGGCCCTCTTGGTTGGGTCGTCACTGGCGAGATCTTCCCGCTCAAGCATCGTGCTCGCGCCCTCTCCATTACCACTGCCACCAACGTAAGCTAGCCCTCATCCTCCCGACCCAAGTCCCTTGTCGTGATTACCACTTACTAACACTTCCAGTGGCTCCTCAACTGGGCCATTGCATACTCGACACCATACCTAGTCAACTACGGCTCCGGCTACGCCAACCTGCAGTCCAAGATCTTCTTCATCTGGTTCGCCTGCTGCTTCTTGTGCATCTCCTTTGTCTACTTCTTTATTTACGAGACAAAGGGTCTCAGCCTGGAGCAGATCGACCAGCTATATGGAGAGGTCAAGGTCGCCCGAAAGTCCACTTCCTGGAAGCCGACCATCACCTTCACCGAGCAGGCCCTCCATAGGGAGGAGGAGAAGATTATGGGTACGAAGGAACACGCCGGGCCGAGCTTGGAGCATGCTGAGCCAGCTACTGTCTAGGTGCATAAATCGCCTCTGATTCAAAACCAGCCATTGTGGGGTTTTCCTTGCTGTGTTTATTCTTAATTGTCGAAGCGGAAGAATCTCGGAGCTATGTCCTCGGTGACGTGCAGCAGGATGTCAGTTCTGATCTATATACCCCGATACGGTACGAGTAGTTTATGAAAAGCAGCAACGAGAAAACAGAAGACACATATTCACAGTACATTTTTGATCTCGCTCCGTGTTAAACACCTCTTTATATTCTCAGTGCGCTCCTTTGGTGAGAGACTGGTAAGCTTTCGCGGCTGTAGTTGCACCCTGGTTATCTTTAGCAAATACAGTCTTTAACACTGTCCTAACAGATAAAACAGCGCCTCTCATGATTCAAGCCTGTAAAATCAACGGCAACTGAATGGTGTTTCGGATATGAAAAAAATTAAAAGCAAAAAAAAACGCAAATTACAAGGAGAGTGTGGTACTCGAAACCACGACCTAGAGATCTGCAATCTCTCGCTCTACCACTGAGCTAACCCTCCGTGTATGCTGGGCGTGAAGTTCTGCTCTCCACACCCTTGCTTACATTCCTCGGCTAGCGATTAGGTTGACACTTGGCATTGTCTCAGCACGACACTGGCGACGAATTCCAAAGCCAGCTTTGAGCCAATCTGGTCCCACAATAGCTTCATTTTTCCACGGTGTCCAGATAAATCAGTCACGTGACTTTGAGATGCCCAAGTCACCGTCGTTTATGCGAACGGGCTGTACGAGTCGGCACAGTTATAGGTTCCTGTGCCTGAGGCCGTATCTGTTGGCTAGTAGGTTTTATACTTCGCTTCGGCACCGACACGACAAATGTTATTTATGCCTCCTCCACCACGTGGCCTCGTATTTGGCGACATCCGTATTTAGCTCCTGTTGGAATGGCAAACTCGGCGATCTAAATCTGATAGACCATGTACTGCACTGAGTACCGGCAATATATTGAAAGCATGTAACAAAAGTCAATAGAGCTCGCCATGGATAAGAGTCTCAGAAACAATCTGTTGAATGCGACCGGGACATCTAGCTTCTCCACGCAGAGGCCGAGGTCGAAACGGCGCATTTGCGCATTATATGACGAATCAAGAGACAAAAAGAGAGCGTATAGCTCCCATAATCTAAGATCTCTTTCGGATTAGAGTCCCGAACAATTTGTACACGGTTCTGACTGGCTGACTATGTCTATGCTACATCGCAGTCGAACCCGCTCATACACAGGACGAGAGGCCAACACAGCTGATAATCATATGCAGACAATTGTATCCTGTGAGATCCAATTGTCTATGCACACGGTAGGTGCGGTGTGGAGTGTTGATGTGATAAAGGGTATGTAGATGGTTATGGGGGTCGTAGATCGAAGTTGCAGTGAGAAGCCTGTTATTCTCTGAAGTGATATGACAATAAGACTAGTCTTTTGAAATGAAGGAAAGAAATATTTAGATTCCTTCTGACGGTATATACATGGCACAAATTCTTGATGAAGAAGGTGTTTGTGCTCAGACTGCCTTTTTGTCGCAGCCCACGAACTCATGAAAGAGTGCTCAGACAGAAGTAGCTGTGACTAATGTAAACAGCAGTAAACTCTACTATACGCCGAAAGCTGATAAGAAGTGTCTCATACGGATTTTTGGTTCGGAGTTTTGGGCTGGTCAGTATTCATAATCTGTTGGTATTAACAAATGTGACTGCTGGTGTACGAGAATTGGCAATTGTTACAAGGCACAGTATGCGGCGTGTGCACTTTGCACGACTAGTCAAAATTCAATGGCGGTGGAATCGACTGTGGAAGAAGTGAACAGTAAGCGCATATAACATATGCTTTCCGTTGCTTAAAGAACCACTTGTTTTCATACTTGCGAAGTTATGTACACAGTAGCAGCGGGTCAAACCAACTCAAATTGCATTATTCAAATAATTTAGACTGTGTCAAGCATTTGAAACCGCCGCATCAACTCATCAGCTCACAACGCACCGATCAATTTCCTAACTTTGAGGTTCAGACACCTCATTTAGTCCGTTTCTGAGATCCATTTTTGTAACCTTGTTTAGCTGTAGTCCGTAAGAGTTTGAGGAGCGCTGAGCGAGTTTTTCTTGTCTGTGGACGAAAATCCTCTCAAGAAATTGGGCATCAAGTGAGAAGGCTGAGGCATTGGGCGGCTGGCAATGCTACATCACGTGTCTGTATTGCACTAATACCAATTTGTCCCGGAGTTGACCAGTACGATGAGAAGCGCGACAGTCCGCGTGACTTACATGGCTGTCGTGCGATAGTGCAAGGACCATCTTTAAAGACTTTCAGCTTGGGCTTCCCTTTGGCCTCAGATGGATGTCTTCCTTAAGTACAACGATCTTCGCCAATCACTGCCTTCTGGTAGAAAGTTGTAGTAAGTGGTAATACTTTCGAAGTAAGATACCGTTTTTGCACGAAAGAAAAAGAGTAAGAGACTTTACCATATAAAACCGTTTACGCCGCTGTATTCTCCTCCATTAAATATAGAAGTTTCTACATATTTAGTCCTACTGGCACCAGCCTGCCGGAGAAGCGCCTCTGCCTGGGCTTTGTAGGGCTTTTGCATAACAGGCGACCCTTATATGTAATCTGCCAGAGGCAATGGGTCAAATAAAGTTACGTAGGCAACCACTCTATCATTCTCTATCCTCCATATACAAAGTACACTGAATTATTTAAAAGTACATTATATGAGACCTCAGGTTCTCTCAGCTTTGTCCGGAAGCTGTATAAAAAATTTCGTGCTGTGGAATCAAAGTTGAATCTGATGATTTTCGCGTGTTAAACTAACATGAAGATGCAAAACTTAATCACGCACTTGATTCACCAGAGAAACCAATTCTGTGATATTTAAGCGAAATATTGCAAAGAAATCCAGCAACAACGCAAGATGCTGTAGTTCGATAGGTGATGTACATCCCATGTAAATACCTTTGCAGTAAGTATCAACTTGAGATACAGAGTCGAAGGTAATAAAAACCAATCAAATACTGCTATTTTCTCACAATGTCATCGAGTCTACGTTTTCTGATATACTATTTTTTACTTTTTAATAATTTCTTTGACATTTCGCGCTCTGATTACAGCTTCAAAAGGTAGACCCTCATCTTAAAATTACAACACACTAATATCTACATGCACAGACATTTCTTAAGCATTCCGATCTAGTTAGTACCTCATAGCAAGTCATATTAGCTGCTACAACATGGTTTATAGACGATGATTTTCAGAATTGCGATAGAGAAACGCGGCCATTGATTTGACAATTCGTAGCCTCTTAATGATGATTAAAAACAGCCCCTACTCCTTGCCATAGGACAACCTGATCAGACCGGATCATTTCCCTCACTTTTCTACAACACAAAATCCGTTTATAGCCAGAAAATACCAGCCACAAAAAAGACCAAGCCGGCGCTGAGAGATGCCGCTGTCTTCATACCAGAGCTGGCAACCGTGGTAGTCTGAGATGCGGAAGCGGTAGGCGCGATAGAGGCAAATGTCGTTTTGGCGGTGTAGTTGCTCGTTGAGATAGTAACGTTGCCAGCGACCGCACCGGCCGCAGCACCAGCTGCCGCTCCGGCAGCAGCGCCCGAGCCAGACCCAGATGAAGCACCAGCAGCAGCGCCAGCAGCAGCGCCAGCAGCAGCGCCAGCAGCAGCTCCCGCACCGGCAGCAGCGCCAGCGGCAGATCCAGCAGCAGCAGTAGCGCCAGCGGCAGATCCAGCAGCAGCAGTAGCAGCAGCAGCAGCGCCAGCAGTGGCCTCAGCAGCAGACCCAGCACCGGCAGCAGCAGCAGCGGTAGCACCAGCACCTGCAGTAGCGGCAGCACCAGCACCTGCAGCAGCCGTGGCAGCAGCAGCAGCACCAGCAGTGGCGGCAGCACCGGATCCAGCCTCGGCTTCAGCTCCTGCGGCAGCACCAGCAGCGGCTCCGGCTCCGGCAGCAGAACCAGCCGAAGAACCGGCAGTAGCACCGGAAGAAGCTCCAGCAGCAGCACCTGAACCAGCCTCGGCAGCAGCTCCAGCAGTAGCTCCAGCAGCAGCACCAGCAGCGGCTCCAGCAGTAGCAGCAGCTGCTGCACCAGCTGTTGCGTAAGCACCGGCACCAGCACCAGCCTCGGCAGCAGCGCCAGCAGTTGCTGCGGCACCGGCACCAGCTTCAGCAGCAGCCCCTGCTCCAGCAGCGGCACCTGCAGCAGCGCCAGATCCTGCAGCAGAGCCTGCAGCAGCGCCAGCAGTAGCACCAGCCGTTGCGGCAGCAGCTGCACCGGCAGTTGCAGCAGCACCAGCACCAGCACCAGCTTCAGCTCCAGCTCCAGCGCCAGCTCCAGCAGTGGCGTAGGCAGTGGCGTAGGCGGTGGCATAGGCAGTGGCATAAGCCTCCTGGGGGCAGGTGACGGTGGTAGTGACAGGCTCAGCGCCACAAGTTGTGCAGGTGGTGACGGTAACGGTAAAGTCGGAAGGCACCTCGCCAGCAGTGCAAGTGCAGGGCGCGGCGTCACAGGTCTTGGTGATGGTGTAGGTCTTGGTCTCAACACCGGTAGAGCATAGATTCTCGTACTCGGTTGTGTAGATGTACGTGGTAGACGGGGTTGGCTCGGGACACTCAGTCAGCACCGAGGTGGTCTCCTCGCAGCGGGTGACGGTGATGGCCGGCAGAGTGCTGGTCAGCACGCAGCTGGTGTCGGCACGAGGGATGTAACGGGCCGAGGCCACGCCCACAAGAGACAGGAGAGCGATCTGGGCAGACTTCATCTTGATGATGGAGCAGGCAATTATGGGGGATGATTATCAAACGAGTGTATAAGCCGTTCTGCTGAGAAATGAATGTGAGGACACGAGAAGATGTCTTTGGGGTGTCAAGCAGAACTAATTAGACGACAAGGAAGTAATGGTGAAACGAGTGAAGACCGAATTATGTTCTCACTTGAGACGTCTGACGGCTGGGCGATGTCGATGTCGGTGCGGGAGAGAAAAAGGACCGGGAACGAGAAGGAAAAAGTTTATATATACGATTGCGTGCATGCCTCGCGTCCAGGACACAGACGCCCGGTCAGCAGGGCCAGCCAGGGACCGTTTGCAGAAGGCCAGAGGACCCATTCCGACTGCCCTGTTTTGAAAACAAACAACAGTACGGACGGGGGCAGAGGAATGGGCGAGGACGTGTGCGAGCACGGGCACAGAGCCAAGAGTCTAGGGCTGCAGCGGGTGAGTAAGGCACCCGGACGCGTTGGTGAGGCTAGGCAGAGGATGAGGTGCTGCTTCGTCTGGCACGTAGCCGATGAGAGGCAAGTCGCCTACAGAGTGTCAGTGCAAACCAACATGCCGGAGAGTAAGATGAGACGAGACAGCGGGGGAGAGCGGAAGCTGCATGCGTACGGCACAGACAAAGGAATAGTCTGGGTCTAGACTGGGCAATGGTATTGTGCATGTTGTCGTGTTGGTCGTTTACGAGCACTTGACACCATCTTCACGCTCTCCCTTCCCAGTTCTCTTAGTTGTCGCTTCTACCCTAATTTTACGTGTCGTCATGTCTCCACCTTTCATCAAACGGCCAGTCTGCTGGAGGGAGCCAGATGAGAGCTGACTGGACGCGGCGAGGAGGCCAAAGAATGGAAAGCAATAAATGCAGAACGGGCTATGGAAGTATCCAGGTCGTTTGCAGAGCTATGGAATTCAACCTTGGCACCCTGTATATTTATTTTCACCACCCTTTGCAGAAAAAGAAAGCAGAGGAGAGTAGACGGACAAGTAGATACAACCAGACCTGACGAGGAACGAGAAGAGACAAGAGCAGCTCTCGCTCTGGTCCCTGCCCTTGTCTCCCTTTCTTACTTTGTCCGTCTTTGGCCCGCTTTGTCCGCCTTTGTCCAGCTTCTATCTGCCCTTTCAGTCTTTTCTTTTGGAACTGCTACAGTCTGCGGTCAATAATCAATATATTGTGCTTGAGCCTGGAGAGAGCTAGGCCGCCTATAAAGTGTCTCAGACGTCGCAGAATCGGCTGTGCCAGTGACAGGCGAGCGCTTCTAAAAACAGCCCAGAAAAACACGCCAGCAGGGAAGGGCGGCCCTGTCATTGATTGTTTGTTCTGTCCAAACACCTCGTTTCTTTTCCCTATTCTTTTCGGCGTCCAGTCGCCATTGCTAACGGAGAAAGTCCCGGCAAACTCTCCAATCAGACTAGCGTAGATCGATCTTGTGAGACACGGCAAATGTGGGCCGCCGCGAGGTCCATTTGTGATTTTTGATTGGATGGTAGCACCAGCGAAGGGGTCGCTTCCGAGACACAGGTGCAGTAGCGGGGTGGGGTGATGGCGGAGGCGGACCAATCAGAAGCTGGCAGACGCAGATGGCCTATTTGCGAATAGAAAAAGAAAGCACCGCCATTGAGAAAGGCAGGAGAAGCAATAAGAATAGATGGACAGGAGGAGAAGCAGTACAGCTGAATGTGCGTCCAGGCGAAGAGGGGAAGAACACTGGCCAGACTCGTACGACCGGGATACAACAAAGGATCGACAACAAGGAAGATGATCTTGCACTGCAGATGCAGCAGCACCGCCCAAGCGGCGCTGCAGACTATGTAAGCAGCATGCCAATGTGTTTTGGCCAGTGGGCCAGCTGTCGGCTCCGTTTCTCGTGGTGTCTGCCCTACGAATACAAGCTGAGCGTCATATGCACCTGCACGCTTGGCAGGTGCGGACAGGAACGAGCGTAACCGGTGTGGAGCATGGCTATGGCAGGAGTGCCAGCGGTCCTTGGTACTTGGCAGATTGCAGCCCAATATGCAATACAGGGAAATCAGATTCCTCGCCCTGCCAGGAGGCATGCCGCCCCCCTTGTCCTTCCTCCTTATGGGAATGAGCAGCGCCAGGAGGCTCCCTTTGTTCGCTGCCGGAACTGCTGTTGGTAGACCGGCTTGGCCTGTGGAATTCGCGGATGCGTTCGTATCGTCCGCAGACGTGGGTGGAGCCACACGCTTCCGCACTCTCGCCCAAGGAGGCATGAAAGGGAAATTGCTCGTGTATGGGCGCGCATGCCTCCTGGTGTTGACATCTCGCTGGCTCTGGGCCCGTCTGATGCACCGGTACCAAGAGGATGAGCGGCGCGCGAATCGAGGGCGGCTTGGAAATGTTGATCGCGCGTAGAGACCGTCGTCGGCCCAGGTATATATTCGTACTCTGGGCTTTTCCTCGCTAGCCAGAGAAAAACCACTGCTCATCACTACCAACCGCCCATCGCTCTCTGCTCATCGACTTGAGCGCAGCCCAACACTCACTTGTGTAATTTGTGCTTTTTGGCCTGGCCCTTTTATCCATTCGTTTTCCCGCCGGCTTTCTTTCTTTTCTTCTTTTTTTTTTTTTTTTTTACTTTTGTTTACTTTTGTTTATACAAACGGCCAGCATGCGTATTGGTGGCATCCTTCCGGGGGCCGTAGCCCTCGGTGGACTGCTCATGCGAGAGGCCGTCGCGTCGCCGGCAGTCGAGCTGATGCCCGACGGTTGTCCGTTCCCCGTCTTCGTGCAGCCCGTCGAGGTCGTCGGCCAGTCGCCATACGTGATCGACGTCTACATTGCCATCAACACGACCGTCGCTCTCTGCGAGGGAACTACCGTGACTGTCACCGATGCCCCGACCCAGCTGTCGACCACCTTTATCAAGACTATTACGACGACGTCTACTGTTACTACGTAAGCGAGTCACGTGCCATTTTCGTCTATACGTTCCGTTCTAACCTGTCCAGCGGATCTGCTTCCTTCACTGGCCCCTTCACCACTCAGACCGGCTACTTCAGCGGTTCGGCCGGCTCTGGTCCGCGCACTGTGACGTTGCCACCGGCTGGCGGTTCTGGCACCGGCACCGTCATCGTCGAGCTTCCCAGCACCACCTTCACAGGCCCTTACACGACACTGTCGGGTGCCTATGGTGGCTCGGTGGCCACGACGGTGACGCTACCACCCGCCGGCTCCGGCACTGTCGGCACCGTCATTGTCGAGACGCCCAGCAGCAGCTTCACGGGCCCGTACACAACGCTGACGGGCCAGTACAGCGGCTCTGTAGCGACGACGCTGACGCTGCCGCCTTCGGGCACAGCAACGGTCGGCACCGTCATCGTTGAGTCGCCCGGCAGCTCTACCTTCACAGGACCTTTCAGCACTGTTACTGGCGGCTGGACTGGTTCGACCACGCTGACAATCTCCATTCCGCCCACTGGATCTGGCACCATCGGAACCATCATTGTAGAGACCCCAACCTCAGGCTCCTCGTCAGGTACGTTGCCTTCTTCTGGAAGCTCGACAGGTAGTTCATCTAGCCCCTCTTCATCTTCTGGCTCTGCATCTTCCCTTGGATCTTCGTCCTCCCCTGGCAGCTCCTCTACCCCTGCTGCTTCCAGCCAAGGTGGCTCAAGCACTGCCATGAGTATCTCTTCCACTGTTGGGCCTAGCGGCTCAAGCTCGGGCTCCGGTACTTCCAGCACCGGCTCCTCTGGAAGCAGCTCCTCTGGCTCATCCTCGACCCCGGGACTGTCTTCGTCTACATCGCAGAGCAGCGAATCAAGCACTCCTGTTTCGGGCACTGGTTCGTCAAGCTCTGGCTCCCCTTCCAGCACTACCTCTAGCATGGAATCGAGTGGTTCTAGCACTGGGTCTACCACCGGATCTAGCACAGGACCCAGCAGCGGTTCCAGCACTGGCTCCAGCACTGGTTCCAGCAGCGGTTCCAGCACTAGCTCTAGCAGTGGCTCTTCGAGCACTGGCTCTAGCACTGGGTCCAGCACAGGACCCAGTAGTGGTTCTAGCACCCGGTCTGGCACTGGCTCTAGCACTGGCTCCAGCACTGGCTCTGGCACCGGATCGTCCAGCACAGGTTCCAGCACCGGTCCCATCTCTTCGTCTTCCGCTTCCTCCACCCCTGGTTCTAGCACTGGCTCCACTTCTAACGTGAGCACAGGTTCGTCAAGCACTGGATCGTCTAGCTCCTCGTCTACCCCGTCTTCATCTGGATCATCTAGCTCCGCATTAAGCACTGGTTCGTCAAGCTCCGCCTCTAGCTCTACTTCCTCAAGCTCTGCTTCTTCCACTGGTTCGTCAAGCACGGGGTCCTCTAGTGCCTCATCTACCCCATCTTCGTCTGGATCGTCCAGCTCTGCATCCAGTTCTGCATCCTCAAGCTCCGCTTCTTCTACTGGTTCTTCTAGCTCTGGATCATCTAGTGCTAGCCCATCAAGCACTTCCTCACCAAGCACGAGTCCGTCAAGCAGTGCAAGTGCTGCTTCCACCTCTAGCACATCTTCTTCGAGCAGTGGATCTAGCTCTGCGTCGTCGAGTGTTACATCCAGCTCTGCTTCCAGCTCTGCTTCCAGCTCTGCCTCCAGCTCTGCCTCAAGCTCTGCTTCCAGCTCTGTGTCTTCCACTCCCAGCTCTAGCTCAGGCAGTACCTCGAGCACTTCGAGCTCGCAATCCAGCAGATCTTCACAGCCCACTTCCAGTGCGACGTCGTCTAGCTCTGCTTCTAACTCTGCTTCATCAGCGTCGTCTTCGCCGCCTGCTTCGTCCTCGAGTACTTCGTCTTCGCAATCGTCGTCCGTGACGTCGGCGTCATCTTCGGCTTCATCATCGAGCTCTGCTTCTAGCTCATCTGCCTCGTCGTCTGCATCTTCGTCGTCGGCCTCGTCTTCGTCGGCCTCGTCTTCGTCGGTCTCGTCTTCGTCAGCTTCGTCGACCTCGTCCGCTCCAACTTCGTCGTCGTCTGCTCCCTCATCGTCTTCGTCGGTGCCGTCCACGTCTGCGCCCACTTCATCAGCGACTTCATCGTCCAGCGCACCCATCTCTTCCTCGGCCTCATCTACGTCGTCGAGCCCATCGTCCAGCTCTTCCGCCACGACCTGCTCCACGACTGTGACGTCGGTGACGACGGCAACAGCCACAGTCTGCATCACGACTCTGCCAACGTCTTGCGCAGCCCTCGAGACGGCCTCAGTCTTGACATACGGGGTCGACTTCACAGAGTGTGTAGCTGCTTTTGCGTTGTACGATACAGGCGCCGTTGGAACATGCTTGGCGACGACACCGTTGTCGCTCTCAGAAGCCCAGGACGTTTACACCTGTTTGGAGACAGCCGCCTCAGATACATGCATCACCGCGCTGCCTTCTGACTGTGACGCCCTTGAGACTGCGGGCGTCCTCGACGTGGCTGCTGACGCCATAAAATGTCAGACCGCGCTGGGTCCGTTTGCCGTTGGGACAACGCTGACCTGTTTTGCCTCGTCGGCACTGTCTGGCGCCGAGATGTACTCCTGTCTCGAGGAAGCCCTGGGTCTTGGTACCACGACGACTACGGCGACAAGCACAGTCGCTTTGGCGTCTTGCCCAGTCACGTCGGCGACCTCCTCGTCGACGTCGGCGACCACGTCGGCCACAACCTCGGCCGCATGCAGCGTCACGCTGCCGCCGAACTGCACGCAGCTCGCGGATGCCGACGGCCTCGTCAATCTCATCTTGGAGGCAGCCGAGTGTACCACTGCTCTCGGAGCCTACGGCATCGGCAATGCGGCTTCGTGCTTGGCCACGACAGCACTCAGCACGAGTGCCAGCGGCTCTTCCGTTGTCGACTGTCTTACCAACGCTCTCGAGGCATCTTGCCCGACCTCCCTGCCGACTGCCTGTTCGGATCTCGCCACCGTCACAGATGTGGCAACGCTCGTCATCGACACGGCGCTCTGTGCAGTAGCTTTGGGTCCGTACGATGCCGGTAACGCGGCCACGTGTTTGGCAAGCGATTCCGGATCGACCACGGGCGCGTCGATCGTCAGCTGTTTGGAAACAGCCTTCGGTATATTGTCGGGCACCTCGTCTTGAGGGTAATGGTCTGAATGTAGCGAAATTAGGAGTTTTGTTTAGTTTGGGTGGAAGGGAAAAGACGATTGGTAGTATGGTAGTGTGATGGTGTGCGGGTGTGGATGGAAAGTTTTATGAAGGGATTGATATGTATGGTTTGCTGGGATTCGTTTCGTGAGAGTTTACCCTTAGTTTTCTTTTGTCTCTTTTAATTTGTGGTGGCAAGGAAAGCCTCAATGTCAGATATGTCTTTCTCTTTTGAGAGGAAGTCTCAGCATCATAATACATTGTGTTGAAGCTGCGTCGGAAGGTACAAGTGGGCAGTTTTGTGACATGTTCCTTCCACAAGCGGGTGGTTTATGTTGCTTACTAATCAGAGGTGGTGACCGTACAACAGAAAAGCATCTACATCGACTCAGACATTGGAATTGCAAACAACGTGCCCCGAACAACTTTACAAATGTCGGCCATTGATGTGAACGCCGTGGAAGCCAAAGCCGATAGCGAAGCCGACTTCGGCACGGCCCATCTCGGTCATGGTGTGTGCGTCCAGACACAACAGGTAGCTCGAGCCAACCTGTCCGTCTAGCACAACGGACAACAACACTCCGTCGTCCTCCTTCTCACCCCCGCCCTCCTCTTTCGGCCGCGGCACAAATATGGCCTCACCGGGCACGTTTTTTGGAGGGGCGGCCCACAGCAGCGACGTGCGGGTAGTGGTGTCGACTTTGGCAAGACCGTCGGCCAGGGTGGAGAGGCCGCGAGTGCACATGCTGTAGACGAAGCGATGTGGCCGAGTGGCATAGGCCGGGTTGATGGTGGGCAGTTCGCCGGCATGAGGACCAGAGATGGACCAGAGACGGTCGGCCGTGGCAGTGGTGCTGCTGGCGCCGGCAGTCCGAACGGGCAGCTTCAGGCGAAACCGTGACAGCGAAGGGATCACGCGTTCCACCACAGCCGAATCGTCGTACAGCTCTCTGGCCGCGCCGTTTCGATTCAGCAAGACGTCGTAGTAGAAGGCCCGGACGATGTCGAAGCTCGGGAAGTCGACAACGTCGCAGATAAGCGTGGTCTGTGGGTCATTGCCGCTAGAATCATGCTTCTCTTCGACCTCGTACGCGTTGACGCTGTGGAAGAAGAAACTGGCGTCGCTCACAAAATCGGCGACGACACCGCTGGTCTTGCTGGTCCGATCGATGACGAGCCAGCGGGTCTGTCGGGCTGGATCAAAGGGTTCGATGGCGTCGGCAATGTTGTGCTCCCAGAGGACCTTGAGGCCGTAGGCTGCAAAGTGTGTGCAGGGGATGCACAGGACGAGGTAATGGGCCGTCAGGAAGAGGGAGTGGATGTAGGCGGGGCGCGGCCCAGCGGCGGCATTGCTGGCGCAGCGGATGGTGGCGAGAATGGTGGTCTTGCCGGTGGCGGCAGAGACGCAGAATACACGGTAGATGGCCGTGGGCCCGAGCTGGAGGTTGAAATTGTACATGTCGCCGGTGAGGGGATCACGTTGAGCGTGGGACGCCGACAGCTGGCCCTTGAGATCTGGGTGCAGGCACTCCTGGATGGCGAAGCCGATGGGCTCGAGTGTGGCCGGATCAACCTGGCGCATCATAGTAGAATCGGTAGTAATCCAGACGTTAGAGGGGAGTGTATTGCGATGGCCGGAGGGAGATGAGGACGAGACAGAAGACGGTTTGCCGACGGCAGCAGGAAAGTCTGTGAGGACGACGACATTGGCATTGTCCGAGTCGCTGAAGTGCGACGGGCCGGGCCAGATGGCGGCATGAAAGGTGCTCATGCACTTGCCGAGAAAAGTGACACAGGGATTGCGGCGCTGGGCGAAGCTGAAGAGGCTGGCAGGGCCCTGGCGCTGGATGCGGCGAGCGACAGCCTCGGACTGGCGGCGTGACGAGTAGAAGACACGGACGCGGCCGTGGTGGTGGTGATGGTCGCTGCTGGCAACGATCTCGAAGCGGTGCGAATGTGCCAGGCCGTCAAACCAGTGGCTGATGTAGTGGGTGCCTTTGGGCGTGTCGTCGAGCTTGAGCTGGCCAGGGCCGGTGCGGTACAAGTTGCCGGCAGCCCAAGGCGGGATGATTCCGACGACAGGGATCTCGAGGGGACCGCGTTCTTCGCAGAGGCCGTCGAACTGGCAGAGTCAGCGGGGAAGAAGAGCAAGACGAGGACAACAGCTGCTTCATGTCTCGAAGAATATGACGTACGCCGGCCTCGGTTGGCCAGTCCTTAAACGCATGCGAGGTGAGATTGTGGACGGTCTCCTGGCGGTCGGCGACCTCGTCGTCGACGGTGCGGAGAAGCCGCGTTGGGGGGCCATCTTGGTCGGCCATCGTGGTGAGAGTGTGGATGCAGGATTCAAGACGTCTGGCGGACAGCGTGGCCAACCTTTTATGGGCCGGTTCGTTGGAGACGACGAGGGAAGGGGCGGTCTAGGCTGTGGCAGAAAAGGTACGACTGGCTTCCGACTTATGCGCTCTCGTTATCGCCATGTTTCGTGGACCTTTCCAGGATCCCCTGTGTCTGTCTCACTCAGCCAAAGGGTCCAGAGGTTGTAGCCTGCCGGGGCTGAAGAGGCGTGCAAGTAAACAAACGACCAAGATCCTGAAAGGGCCAGCCGGGGCGCATATACAGCGTGGCCGACGATTTCCCCAACCGGGAAAGGGGTCGAGCCTCTGGGCGTGCTTCACCAAGGACGACAAAGCGAATGCGAGAATGAAAAGAGGCGACTCGCCTATGATGACCGCATTGGGCATGGTGGCTGTCTGGGTGAATTGCGTGCGGGTCCACCCAACGCGAAGCGCTGCTTTATCAGCATCCACGTGACCTGGGTGTCACGATGACGTTGGTATTAATACGTGTATATCTATTAGTCGTGAAGAGCTGCCTGAGTCTATATGTACGTGGTGGCTCTGGATGTCATATTTCTCCGTTCCGTGCGGCCTGTCGCGCCTCAAGAGTATGCCGGCTGGGCGGCCGAGCCGTCTTGGCCGGGGAACATGACGTCCCAGAAGATGGAGTCTTCGGTCATGCCCATGGTCTGGAAGAAGTCGGGGTAGAACATGTCGACGGTCTGCAGCGGCATCATGGTGTCGACGGGTTGCTGTTGTGGTTGTGGTTGTGGTTGTTGTTGCTGGTGTTGCTGGTGTGCCTGATGTACCTGTGGACTATTTTGCTGCTGCTGCATCTGTTGGAGGTGCTGCAGCTGCGGCTGGACGACAGGGATGGTAGCCACGGGATCGGCAGCGCACCAGGTCTGGGAGACGGCGGGCAGGCCAGACGGAAACGCATTGGCGTTGGCGTTGGCGTTGGCGTTGGCACTGGCATGGACGGTGGCGGTGGCGCTCATGCGGCTCAGCTCGGACGCCCACTGGTCGCGCAGGGCGGCGACGAGCGAGATGGCGCGCTGGAAGATGTCGCTGCTGTAGTCGGGCACGGCGACGGCGGCGGCAGCGACGCCCGGGATGGCAGCGGCAGCCAGCGGCGGACGCGGGCTCTCGCGCAGGCGGACGATGAAGCCGTCGAGGATGTCGATGACATTGATGCGGCTGTGGGCGGCGGTGCGGTCCCAGGACGGGTCGTCGACGAGGGCGAGGCTATGCAGCAGCATGACGCAGCTGGTGAAGTAGGTGTAGTAGGCAAAGGGCACGACCGGGTAGGCATCGCTGGGAATGCTGAGAAAGTGGGTGCAGAAGCGCGTGATGGCCTCGACGCAGCGGTCCAGGTTGGTCGCGTTGGTCGCCGCGACGTAGTTGGCGTACTCGGCAAAAGCGGTGGCGGTGGGATGGGGGAGCGAGGAGGAGGCCGTGGCCGTTGTGGCGGTGATGTTGTTTGCCGGAACCGAAGACTGCAGCGGCATCGGTGCCGTGACGACACAGGCGGAAAGCAGGGCCTCGACACAGAGGAGGGGGCCACGAACGCCATCTAGAGATGTGAGTAGAGAGAGAGAGAGAGAGAGAGAGAGAGAAAAAAAAAAACTCACCGTGAGCCAAAAGGTCTGTGGGCACAGATGCCTTTATATCGTCAATCTTGCCGTGGAGCACGCGGGCAACATAGAGCGGCACGGCACGATGGCCAAAGAGACAGCGGAGGCCAGACGACGGAGGACTAGGCCCGGGCATGGTGCAGCTAGGGTCGGCCATCTGCCACTCGCTCTGGTAGATCTGGTCGGCGATGCGCTGGAGGCGGACCTGGATGAGAAGGATCTGGTCGAGGGGGTGGGATGAAGAGGAAGTGGACGACGCAGAAGAGGTAGAATCGGAAGAAGCAGACGCAGACGAGGCGACGGCCGCGCTCAGAGCCTGGACGTGTTCTTCCATGCGGGCGGTCCAGCGCATCGGATCGGTGCGTTTCAGCGAGATCGACAGGACGGACGACAGGACGTAGCAGCCGAGGGCGGCGCGACGTTCCTCGAGCAGCGGCTGTGGTGGCGGCAAGGCCTCTTCAACGACGACGGCGAGGCTGTCGCGCATGAAGCGAGCCAGCAGCGACTTGCACGAGGCCACGGCCTTGTGCAGGCCCATGTCGCTGACGAGCGATTGGGCCATCTGCAGCGTCAGCGACAGCGTCGGCCGGTCGCGCCGCGACGAGAAGTGCACCCACGATATGTACGTCAGCATGGCCAGCAGCAGGTCCAGGCTCTTCTCGCAGTCGACGACGGCTCGCTGCGCAAAGAGGGCGCGCAGTCGCGTCGATCGTGCCACCTGCACGCTCCACGGCACGTGACGACACACAACCGTCATAATCGCTAGCCAGAAGAGCGGTCGCTCCTGTCGCAACGCCGCTGCCGTCGTTTCTGCCGTCACGTGCACAAAAGGCAGATACGGCAGCATCTCGCGCCGGAACGTCTGCAGGCATCGCTCTGCCTCGGCCACTGTCGGCTCCAGCGCCTCATCCAGCTGCAGCAGCCCACCCGGGTCGGCCGACGCTGTCTGGCTCGTCGTCGTCAGCGGCATCGCGTTGTGGTTGAAGCTGTCGAGCGGAATCGTCGTCGACGACGGGCCAGACACGGCCGCTGCAGTCGGAGCCGAGGCCACGCCCAGTCGCACTGCTGTCGCGCCCGTCTTGCAGCACATCGATGCCGACGAGTCGGGCGTCCCGGGCAGATAGCCCGTCTTGCTGCCTGATACTGCCTGCTCCATCTTCTCCGTCGTCGCCGCGCTGCCGTTCCCACCATCGTCTCTCCTCGGCGTCGACGAGCCGCTGCCGCTCTCGCTGACCGTTGCTGTCGCTCCTGTCGTCCCTGTCGTCCCTGTCGTCTCGGTCGTCTCGGTTCTCGTCGATCCGCCTCCCATCGCGCTGTTGTGTGCCGTCAACAACGACACCAGTCCGTCCAGCTTCTGCTCAAGCTGTGCCGTTCGCGAGAGTGTCGTCGTGGCCGTCTTCTTGGGCACCGCTGCTCGTCGTCGCAGTGGCACTGCTGCCTGGCACTCCTTCTTCAGTCGGTAGCATCGTTCGCAGCCGCAGCCGTCGGATCGGTAGATGCACCGGCACTTGGCTCGCGAGCAGTTGCGGCATGCCCTTCCGTACGGCGCCGGTGTCCCACTGCTCCCCGCTGCTGCCCCTAGACCCAGACCCAGCCCCAACCCCAAGCTCAGTCCGCCACCTCCTCGGCTGCCGCCGCTGCTGCTCATGCTGCCAATGCTGCCGCTGCTATTGCGTGCTGTCCCGCTGCGATTGCCTGTTCCGCTCTTCACCGTCGCTGTCGCCTCGCTGCTGTCCATCGTCGTCGCCATTGACGGTCGCGCATATGTCGTCACCGTCGGGCCTGCCGTCCGTCGCACTCGGCGCACCCGATCGCTCAGCTCGCTTTTCGTCGCTCCCCGTCGCGCTTTTCTCAGCCTTGGCGTTTCGTCCAGCTGTACCACGGGCTGGGCGGCCGGAAGCACACGGAAAATACAACAGGGAATAAAAACCTAAGGCGAGGATTGCTTACACACCGCTCTGTCTTTGTCCGGGAGGACGAGGTGGAAAATTGGGAATGGAGACTCGCTCGTCTTCCCCGTCAGACGTCTAGAAGTGACGCAGTCGGGATTCGGCTGCAAGCTTGAATTCCGTGTCCGCGGGGCGATATTTCTTCTCTCTTCTCCACTCTAATCTCCCGCTGCGTCTCCTCATTGGCTTCGACCATCCTCAGCTGCTCTTTTAGAAATCAGGAATCAGACCATGCTTAATCATTTCTACACTTGTTTTGTAATCTCTCCGCACTTCCAACGTTCGATCCATCGCTACAGAATGATTCCTCAGCTCACATGCGCTAAAGCCCTACCAACGGCTCGCAACCCTATGGCTTCTGTCCCCACACATAGCGGACTGTGAAGTACGAATGCACCTTCTTGTCTCTCAGGGCCTTGCGCATTTGCATCAGGAAAATCTGGTACTCGGCTTCGCCCCACTTCAGTACCTCGTTCCACATAAACGTTGTGTACCCTCTCACTGTCAGCACCCGAGTTCGGGAAACGATTCAAGACTTGGACATACCTTCCAAGTCGTTCAGCATCGTCAGCTGCGTATACTGGCCGATCTGGGCTAATTTGGGGTCGGCAGGCCATCCGCCAACGGGCAGCTTAAAGTTTCTCTCTTGGATGTTTATGAAGCCAGCCGCCTCTATGGCCTTTTGCTGCGTGCCGTCGTTGGCCACCGTCAAGGGCCTGCCTAACTTTTGCCCGCTTACTTCATATAGATTCCATAATTGACCTAGGGCCGGTTGTAGTTTCGTCGTGTCATCGTCGCTCCGGAAGTCAACGTGGTACTCGCACGACTCAAACCAGCCGCCTGGCTCACAGCACCTAAATGCCTGCGCAAACAATGCGTTCCAATCAGAAATAGCTCCATTCAGGAAGCGAATGTGCACAAAGTCAAATGAATTCTCAGGCCACGTCCATGGCTCAGCCGCATCATCCACCTCGAACTTCGTGTTGGGCGGTACCCAAGTCGACTGGATCGGCGAGAGGTCGGTGCCGACTACCTCGGCATTAGGAAATTGGTCGGCGACGTCGCTAAAAGACTTTCATTAGAACCAGGGGTGGCGCGGGTGAGAGTTAGGGACCTCCTTACATTGCCCAGATGCCTGTCCCTGTACCAATATCCAAGATTCTCTAGACAACGTGTTAGGCTCAAGTATTCTAAAACGATATACGAAGTATCTTAGCTCGAACCTTGACAGTCTGTGGGATAGGCGCTAGGAAAAAGGCGCCGTCTAACAGCAACGTCAAATACTGATGTCTGTGCACGGTTGTCAGCAGCGTGTTGTGTGGGGGTACAGGCCTCCGTTATAATCGTACGTTATATCAATCGACGTCTGCTGCTGGTCGTCGTTTGGTATAAAGTACTGGGACGTGAACTTGTCGCTGTTGAAGGTCCGGCCATGAAGCGTGCGATAGTGTAAAATGCTACTGGAGACAGACGCCGTCAAGGCCGAACTACAGAGGAGCACAGGTCAGCTACTTGCGAGCGTACAAAAGGACGAATATACCTACATTTCGTCACCATAAGCTGAGTCGCTATTGTCGTCCAGGCCTTCATCCTGTCACACGTCAGCTTCTGAAGCGCAAAGTCTGCTGTTTTGATTGCCGTTGCTTACGTCGTCCACCTCCGCCGCAAGTATGGGTTCATCTGCCGTCAGAAATGCAGCAGCCACAGGGCTGGCGGTGGCCGATGCAGGCCCGCTGCTGGTATTCTGGGCAGCTGCGCTACTAGACATGGTGATCGTTTGAAGAGTATGTGGGCTCCTCTTGGGAGCAGAGCACACTCGGAAAGGGAAAGGAGGAGTTTCCTATTAGTACTTGCGCAAAGGATCGGAAGGAGGGGAACACCAGGGATCAAGTCGTCGGCCGTGCGAGGTGGTAGTGTCCGCTGAAGGAACGGAAGCAAAGATGTGCTCCACTGCAGGAAAAGCTTCCGGTTCGTTGGAGGTAGCGAAGCGACGTATCATATGCAGCTAGTCCATATCACAAGTGTTGGACACGGAATCTTGCTGGAAATGGACACCGGGGTGACAATATTGCCAAAGCATGCATGCATCACGCTATGCAAAGCAGATTAGAGAAGTCCGTCGTATTGGTGTCTTGTTATATTAACGCGCTGCTGAAGAGATGCAGTTGAGATTAAGCGCAACATTCGTTCCATCCCCTCGTAACACAACTTCAAAGTAGCACAGTCTATGGCATCGGATATCCTCGACCAATGCTGTGGACTTTGAAGCCGAGGCTTTCGAGGTACTCGGCATCGACGACGTTCCGGCCGTCAAAAACCCAGCGCGACTCGTCCATGGCCGCGGCGGCGGCCTCCCAGTTGACCGGACTGGCTTCGGACATGCTGTCGGCGGCCGTGCAGTGGACGCAGTTCTGGGCACAGCCTGGCTCGGGCAGTAGCCGGTGGAGGGGATCGAGGTTGTCGCCGTGAAGCTGCTCGAGCCGAACGACGTCCATCTCGGAAAGGGTCTCTGGCAGCTGATCCAAGGAGAGGGACGCTCTGCTTGCTGGCGCCTCCTCAGACTTGGCCTCCTTGGACATGCCAAAGTGTTCCCAGGCCGTGAGGATGCAGATGGCTGAGGCGCCGGCGACAGCCTCGGGCCAGTCGGCATAGACGCGTATGCGGCTGCGTTGCAACGGGTCCGAGACGACGGCGCGGATCTCAGCCTCGATGTCGGCAACGGCACAGCCGGGGTCGAACACGGCGATCTCACGCGGGATCTCGGCGGCGAGCTGGGCGATGACGTGCACGGCCACGCTGTTGCGCGTGTCGTTGGTGCCGTGCTTGAAGGCGAAGCCGAAGATGGCAATCTTCTTGGCGGCCAGGGAGCCGTGCAGACGGCGGACGAGAGCCCGGGCAAAGCGCTCTCGCTGGAATGCGTTGATCTGCAGCACGGCCATCCAGTAGTCGGCCACCTCGTCGAGCCGGAGGGCGCGGGCCAGGTACGCGACGTTGCGGATGTCCTTTTCGAAGCAGGAGCCGCCAAAGCCGATGCCGGCCTGCAGGAAGCGGCTGCCGATGCGCGAGTCGGCTCCCAGAGCAATGCTCACGGCCTCGACGTCAGCTCCCAGCTCCTCGCAGAGCGCGCTGACCGCATTGACGCTGCTGATGCGCTGGGCCAACATCGCATTCGCAATCAGCTTGGCCAGCTCGCTGCTGAACGTGTCGACGCCCAGCAGTCGCTCGGCCGGCACCCAGGCCGCGTACACGGCCTTGAGCACGACGGCTGCCCGCATTCCACCAGCCGTCTTGGCGCTTCCAATCAGGATCCGGTCGGGGTGTACCAGGTCGGCCACGGCCGTGCCCTCGGCCAGGAACTCGGGATTGTTGAGCACCTCAAAGTGCTCGCGCGGGCGATATTGTTCAAGCTGTTTGTCAGTAGGCGACAGAGATGGAGAGACATCGGGCCAGACACAGACACAGACACATAAACGTACAATCGATGCTATCATCCGGGCTGTCCCACATGGAACCGTGCTCTTCTCGACCACGATCGCGCCCGGCTTTACGTTCTTGGCAATCGTCACCGTGGCGGCCTCAAAGTAGCCGAGATCAGCACTGGCACCGGCCCCGACACCGTACCTCTTCGTCGGCGTGTTGACGCAGATAAACACAATGTCGGCCATGGCCACCTGGGCGGCCACGTCGGTCGAGAAGACCAGGTTGGGCTCGCGGGCCGGCAGGCGGTCTGCTGCAGCCGCGCGTGTGCCGTCGCGGGCGATGCGCACAACCTTGGACAGGCCAGTCTCGTGCACCGGCAGATGGGACGAGTTCCAGACCGCGATGCGAGCCGCATTCAGGTCGACCACATGAACGGCAATTTCGGAATTGTGCAAGGCTATCAGGGCAGCCGTGGGCCCGCCGACGAAACCGGCGCCAACAAAGCAGATGTTGCGCGTGGGCGGCGCCGCGATCGTGCAGAGCGAGCTGCTCAGCGTATCGGGGCTGATGCTGCGGCCAAGACACAGCTTGCATGGCGGTTGCTCGGACATTGGCGTCGTCACAGCCGTGCCGCCGCTCTCGTAGCCCGACTGCTGGCCCGAGACACAGCTGTCGGTGCTGTGGGTCGAATCTTTGCGCAGCAGCGAGGCCTCCCTGCTGGAGAAGTAACAGGAGGCCATTGTGAGGTATGGAGTGGTGGTAGAAAAGCTATAGTCGAGTCGATGATAGTTGATGGAAAGGCAACTGCCAGACGGAATGTCTCTGCACCTATTTGTATCCCAACCACAATGGCGGCTCTCTTCCGCGCAGTCACTCTCTGTGAGGCCATCGCAGTCGTTCCCAAACTAGACTGGCCGAAAAAGGCCCATCTTTGCCCTCGAGTCGGATTGCCAGCCAGTCCGGCCGGCCGTCTGGTCCGTGTCTAGACCCATCCGCAGCGCTGCTGTCTTATCGTCGACAGAGGCAATTCGTTCTTGTCTGCACGAGAGAAACTGACCTTGGGGCTAGGCTTACCAGAGAGGAACCCACGCGAGACGCCGCCTGTCACGCTGTGCCTTCCCCTTTGGGCCATCTGTGTTCCATTTGTCCACTTGCCAAGCCCCACTGCCGGAAGGTGTCAGTCGGCTCATCGTCCCCAGACTTGTTAGCGCGCATTCCTTGTTCTTGCGTGAGACAATTGCGTATTTCGATGGACAATCGCTTTGTCTGGCCCTGCCTTCGGCCCAAGACATCCACATGCTCCCAGATGCACGCGGCAGCGCATTCTGTCTTGCCGGATCCAGACCGGCAGCCTGACCAGCCCTCCAACTCGTCTGCGCTCTGGAGAATGGCTGCTTCCAACCCATTGCCTACGATGCATTCATCTTTCCTACGAGACGTGTTCGATTCTCGCTTATCTCTCCTTGAGACAGTTCAGGATTCCTGAAGCCACGATTATTGCCCCTTGGCCGTCGTTCGATTCATAGACCTCCATCTGCCTGATCTTTCCCGTCTTCCTCTTCACCCGAGATACTCTCGCCTCTCATCTGTCCTTTGGTGGTCTAGGCTTTCGTCTGCATCTGCACCTGTCGTCTACGCTTCTCCTCTGGTCATTCTTACTCCTCTGTCTCACCATCTTCGCCATCTGGCTGGCCTGTTCCTTCTTCCGCGCCCTCAGCTTTCCACCCGCAGCCATGGCGCATCCTGTTGCTTTCCTCGCTCTCTGCTGGGCTCTCTTTGCTGCCATGACTTCCGCCTACGATGCCACAATATGTGGCACTAACGGTTACTCTCCCCCGTCAAGCAACTTATCCTGTGCGTGCTTCTCTTCAGATCGTCGGACTATCTATTTCCCCCTCCTCTCTTACCCCCCCTTTTCTTTCTTATCTTCCTCCTAACAGCCCCAGACAGCGCAAACGCTTGGAACGCCGAGGCTGGCGGTTTCCAGTGCATGTCGGTAAAAATGCTCCTTTCAGAACCTTATCAAGGCTACCTACCGTCCCAGGCTAATTCCAAGACTAGATCACAAACTCTCCCCCGTCGTTCGATGCGCGGTGGAGCTGGCCGAAAAACGTCACCAGTTCCGTGCACTCGTTCCCCTACGTCTCCTTCATCGGAAACGAGCTACCGGCTGTCCTTTCCAACATTTCTGCGCTGCAGCTCGCCACTCAGTGGGGCATGGCCCCAGGATCGTCAGCCACCAGTTCCGTCGGCCATCACCTAGACACCTCAGGGCTCGCCACTCAAGCCACAAAAGCCAATGTCGCCTTTGACATGTTCCTCCATCCCAATGCATCCAAGGCTAATGATGCCACCACCGCATCCGTTGAGATCATGATCTGGCTGGCCAGTGTTGGTGGTGCCAAAGCCCTTGGATACGCGACAAATCGAACCTGCTATACCCAGAAAATGGGTTCTGTTGACTAGTAAGATTTTGCCCTTTTTTAGGTCGGAATCTCCTTTCACATTCCTCTCCCCCCACGCCGTCAGACCTTTCATTCCTCTTCTAGTCTGCCCGTTCCCCTAAGTCTCTGGCTCACGTCTACCAGTATCCTATACTCCGGTGTCAACCAACGTGGCCTCAGCGTTTACACTTGGGTGCCCGAGAAAAACGAGACCAGCTTTGACCAAGACATCTCGCCGCTGCTGCAGTATTTGTGGCGCAACCAGTTCATCTCGTCCAATCTCACCCTCGGCCTAGTGCAGTTTGGCTCCGAGGCATATTCTTCGCAGGGGAATGTGACCTTTTCCGCCTCGGGCTTCGCCATGGATCTGGAGCATGGCGCCGCTCCGGTGCTGGACGTCTCTCCCCTGCCAACCACTTGTCATTCATGGACGAATAAGAATAAGGCCAGACACTTGCGCGCGTGGGTAACCGCAGCGTCGTGCACTGTAGTGGCGCACTTGTTGAGTAGTTGAAGAACTAGACAACACTTAGACAAAGACAAGTCAGACAAGTCGTATGGAATTGCGCTAGCTGTAAGAAAGGGATGTTTTGTTCTCAGTCCAAAATTCGACTAGGACGTTATACAGCCAATCCGAGGTCTAGACCAAAACTCACAAACACTGCATCCATATCGTCCGTCTTGCGATCGTGAGTCCATTCCGCACTCACCCTGGATCTGGGCTCTTGCAGCGATGATAGTCTAGACTTCACGAATACGATAGACATGAACCTCGCCGTCTAGTGACGGGCAACCGGCCCAGCCACCCCGACGAGGCCCAGACCTCTGTTGTTTGGCCGGTCTTTTTCCTGTCCTTTCCCGTCATGATGCGAGCCTATAAAGAGGCATATCGTCACGGTCACTACGCCACCATCTCTAGTCATGTCATCTTTCTTTCTACCTCCTCTCTCGTTACAAAAACAACAGACGGAGAAAGGGTTTCTTTGATTTTCCATTTTCATAACGCTCAACACAAGGGCCATGTGTACTTCTCCCGTTCTCGCCGGCACGCCTCTTCCACCTGTGAGTCACCAAGCTGGCCTAGAGATTGTATGTTACGCCTCCCCTTTGCTCTCTCTCTTGTCCCTTGCCTAACATGTTGGCAGACGCTCATTCCCGGTACTCTGCGTTCCGACGAGACTGTGAACAACGAGAAGGCTGTGGACCCGTTTGACGACGATGTAGCATCTGCCTCGTCGCTGCCAGGCATCCCGGCAGCCGGGCCAGAAGGCACAGCCACGGGCAGAGACGCCGAGAAGGCGGCAGACACCGGCGACACCGGCGACAGCACTGGCAATGCCAGCCCCAAGCGCGGCTATCTGTACAGCGCTGCCGCGTGGACGCGCGAGACGTACTGCCCGCGGGTCGAGGCTGCCCTGGTGCTGCCGACCTGTCCGACCGATGCGGAGAAGCTGAGCTATGTGCACACGAACCGACTTCCACTGTACATCTTTGGCATCTTCTCCTTTTTCTCGCTAGCCACCGGCATGTGGCTGTTTGCCCTCTGCGACGTCATCTTCGTGTGGTACGCCCCCTTTGTGGCCTTTGTTAACATTTATCTGCTCATCTCCTACCTGGTCGGCATCGTCGGCAAGGACTGGGACTACCAACGCCACCTCGACCTAGCTGTCGCCCACCCTATCACCGACGAGACCGCGCCTACGGTCGACATCTACCTGCCCGTCTGTATGGAGCCGGTCGGGATCCTGGCCAACACGTGGGCTTACGTCGTCCGCCTCGACTGGCCTGTCGACAAGCTGCGCATCCACGTGCTCGATGACGGTGCCCAGCAGGACGTCCAGGACCTTGCCGCCCGCTTCGGCTTCGAGTATATTGTCCGCGACGACCGCCCGCGTCTTCGCAAGGCCGGCAATCTCCGCTGGGCCTTTTCCCGCACCGAGGGCGACTACTTTGTCATCTTTGACGCTGACTTCTGCCCCCGCCCCGATCTTATTCGCGAGCTCGCCGTCGAGCACCTCGCCGACCACACCGTCGCTATCGTCCAGTCTCCCCAGTTCTTCCGCGTCGTGCCTGAACAGACCTGGGTCGAGCAGGGTGCCGGCGCTACCCAGGAGCTCTTTTACCGTGTCGTCCAGGTTAATCGCAACCGCTGGGGTGCCTCTATCTGCGTCGGCAGCAATGCCATGTACCGCCGAGCTGCCCTAGAAGAGGTCGGTGGCACCGCCGACATTGGCTTCTCCGAGGATGTGCATACCGGCTTTGGCTGTGTTGATGTGAGCATTTGCTTTTGTTGAATTATAGCCGCGTTACGTAATCCTATACTAACTGCCGTTCTCACTCTTGCAGCGAGGCTGGAGGGTTAAATACATCCCCCTTTGTCTGGCTACAGGCGTCTGTCCCCCTACGCCGCGCTCGTTCTTCTCGCAGCAGATGCGCTGGGCTCGCGGGTCTACAACGCTGTTAACAAACAAGCACTTTTGGACGTCTAATCTAACGCTAATGCAGAAGATCTGCTATATGTGCGGTAAGTTACAACTATCTAGACTTGCTGTACAGAACCCGACTAACTCTGTCCCCGTACTTATAACAGGCTTCTTCTATTACTCTGCTATATCATTAAGCATCTTTACGTCTCCAATCCCCGGCATCTTCGTCTTAGCCTTCCGCGAATCCTGGTTCAGGTTCTACAACCTGGCCTTTGCCATCCCATCCATCTTGTATGGATTATTCGTGTTCCGGATATGGGCCAAGGCCAGCTATGGCCTGAACGTGCAACACATCATGTTGATCCAATCATATGCCTGCTACCTGACAGCAATCAAGGACCGTCTGTTTGGTATCGAACTGCTGTGGGCTGCGTCCGGCGATGCCAAGGCGCACAAGAGCCACAAATACCGCAACATGCGCATTCTCTGCTGGATCTGGACACTCCTGACCTTTGGTGGTATGGTTGGGGTCGTGTCGTGGCGGCTGGCCACTGGTTTCAAGTGGTACAATCCGATCCCTCTCATCGTGCTCAACGTCTACAACACGTATTTAGCGCACCGCTTTCTGTTCTGCAACTGGTAGTTCTGCTGTACAGAGTACGGAGCCAGTATGTCAACTATATAATTTAGATAGAGCCACGGTACGGAGTAGACATTTAATCTTTAGCAATATCATAATTTGCTTGTGGAATGAAACACCTTGATCGCTAGGCGATTGCGGAGACATGTCCAACCAATTGACATGTCTTGGCAGAACCACAAAATCAAATGCCGTGTACAAGTCTTCGCGTCTATACTCGTAAGCTCGGAAATTGCATTACTCTTCCATTCGTTCGCGTACAAGCCGCCGTATGAAACTGTACGGAGTACTCCTAGCTTAGGCCTGCTCGCTCATCAGCTTCTATTGGCCGATATCTAAGCTACTGGTTTGTCTGGATATATGCATATACCGTAACACAATATGCATGTATCGGACCCACTAACCCCGCCAGGAAGCCCAGCAACCAAAGTAAACAAAATCCAGAAGCATCTGAAAACGACGACAGGTCTAGACTGGCCATATCTCCCACTCCCAACACGACATTGACCCATCCCACAGCCATGGCGCCCGCAGAGAAGGAAAAAGACAAGTCCAAGGTGCACAAGCTGTCGCTCAAGGGTAGTGCAAAGCTAGTGTCTGAATTTGTACGTGCATTCTTGTTTGACGAACCTGGTGACACTGTTGGCTGATTGTGCCTTTGCTGCAGTTCCAATACTCCATCCACACGATCCTGTATGCCGACGCATCGTTTTTCCGTCCATTCCTCTTCCCTGTCCGGCCGTGAGGGAGCACGAGGACTGACAGACCGGTTCCAGGTTCCAGCGCGGCGTCTACCCTGCCGAAGACTTTACCGCAGTCAAGAAATATGGCCTGAACATGCTGGGTGAGTGGAGGAGAGTGGATCTGTGTCTGCTATCGGGGCCGCCGTCAGGCTGTCGAGCCGCCAAGCTGACCAGAGCGGTGCTGCAGTCTCCGCAGACGACCAGGTCCGCGCCTACATCAAGAAGATCATGGGCCAGCTCGACCGCTGGATGGCCGGCGGCAAGATCAGCAAGCTCGTCCTCGTCATCACCGACAAGGACACGGGCGAACACGTCGAGCGCTGGCAGTTTGACGTCCAGATCATGGCCGGCGCCAAGACCAAAAAGTCCAAGTCTTCTTCTGCTGCTACTGCTGCTGCTGCCACCGCCACCGAGACCGACAAGGAGAACGGACAGAAGCAGGCCCCCGAGAAGGAAAAGACCGAGGCCGAGATTCAGGCCGAGATCGCCGCCATTTTCCGCCAGATCACCGCCTCCGTCACCTTCCTGCCACAGCTGGCTGGCGACTGCACCTTCAACGTCCTCGTCTACGCCGACGCCGACAGCGACGTCCCTGTCGAGTGGGGCGACAGCGACGCCAAGGAGATCGAGAACGGCGAACGTGTCCAGCTGCGCGGCTTCAGCACATCCAGCCACCGTGTCGACACGCTCGTGAGCTATCGCTTGACCGACTGAGTGTGGCTGTGGCTGTGGCTGTGTACGACTACTTATCTAGGCTTCGTTCCTATGACGTCACGTGTTTCTTACGGATGTAAACACTGGCATCGTAATGGCGTTTTCTTGTTCTTTGAATGATTGATACACTAATGATATTTACTGCCTCCCTTAGCCGCGAGCTGCCTGTGCCAAATGTGTGCCAAATGCAAGTCCTTCGGGGGGGTGAGAGCTCCCATCAGTACCCCTCTCGCTGCTCTATTCCACGGCTGTTCGTAACTCTCCATACCAGCCATACCATCATACTCCCTGTAATGCCAGCGCCTACACGCGCTTGAAAAAGTATATGTAGGCGAACTTCTTCATCTCTTCAACATCCACAACTTCCACCACCTTCTCGTCGTTGAATAGCACCCAGGACACCTTGTCCTCGCTTTGTGACAGCTTCTTGCGGATAAACGCGACGTAGTGCCTAGAAATTGAATGAGTAAAGGATCATCCATGCTTCCATATAATGCATGATGGCAACTCACCCAGCGTGAATACTTGTTCCTTTGTGGCACACGATGCTCTGCAGCTGGTACTTTGCGGGCGTCTCACTGGATCCAGCCACGGCCTTCTCGCCACTTTCAGCTGGCACTTCGGTTTCGGCCTCGTCGTCTGCAGTTGCATCCGGATGGCTGAACACCCATTCAATCGCCCTCTCCACATCGCCGCTTGTTTCGCGCAACGCCCTCTTTGCCTGAGCTTCGGCAAATCCCATCGACATCAGCATCTCCATCTTCTCTGGGTCGGCTGTCGCAGCCGAGGAACCCGCACTGGTCAGAACGAGCGGCTCGTCAATGTCGGCGTCGTCCATGTGCGAAAAGAGCCACTCCATGGCAGCATTCGCGTCGCTGTTTCCAGTTGCGTGGAGCGCCTTGTTGCAACGCACACGCGGGAAACCCATCGCTTCGAGCTGGGCCACGGCCTCTTCATTCGCAACAAAGGATGGCGCCCCACCGCCAGATGAAGCCGCTGCATCTTCTGGCAGGGACTCCTCTTCCGGCTGCCGTCCCTTGGAAAGATACTCGTCCAGCAAAAACGGCGCGTCGTCGACAATGACCGGCACGTCGACCTTCACTGGCACCCAGTTGATGAGGGCCATCTTTCGTGCGTTGACGACAAAAACTTCTGGCAGCGTCTTGAACAGCGAACGCTTGGTATATCCATCCTTGCTTCCACACGCTGAACATGTCAGCTCCACGACCTCTTCGCCAGTGAACCTGTCTATGCACTCTTTCAGCGTCACAGGCTTGTAGGCCTCAGCCAAAGCATCTCCACCATCGGCATCTGTGGCCGCCTGCTTCTCCAGGGGAATATCAATAAAGATGTTGTCCTGCTCATTTGTCGTATACCGCACCTTCTTGCAGCTGAGGCATTGCAGTCTTTGCTCGAGAGTGAAGCGGAAGGACAGCGTGGGGTCCTCCACAGCCGATGGATGCTTGGAGCGTGTGATAAGCTTGAGCAGGTGTTGCAGCAGCTCGAATGCATCTTGTTGCCGCATGGTCGAGAATTCCTCGTGTCCACGGCCTATCAGGTGCTTGAGCATAGCCGGAGCCAGTCCTTTTTGGTACGAGAGTTCCGGTGTGTTCTCGGACGCGGTCACATCTGAGTCGGGTTTCGCGTACCGTCCAGACAGCAGGCCATCGCCCGTCTTCCGCAGCTGTGTCTCCAGGTCCTGGGCCGGATCGGCAATGTTGGACAGGTCATCCCCAAATGCGCCATACCGTTTCTGGAACGAGGGTAGATCAAAGAGGCACTGGAGGATGCTGGCGAGGTAGCAGCTGTTGCCCAAATTCTTGAGGCCAGTCAGGCCGGGACCAAAGAGCGGCTTCAGCTCCTTGCCGTCTTCAGACGTCATGGAGAACTCCCACCGCATGTTCTGCTCGATCTGCAGTTCCGTCAGGCTTTTCTCCGTCTTCTGGCGATCGGCCAGGATGATGCCCCAGTGGGCAAGGTGTTCGCCCAGGTTCTCGTCGACGCGCTCCTCGTCGCAGGCGTAGCAATACACGTCGGCACTACCCTCGGGTGTGATGGAGCCCAGCTTGACGGCCACGCCATGGGCAGAGCCGGTCGCGTGTGCCAGGCCGTGCGAGTTGCCACCGACGCCACCAAACTGCGCACGGCCGCAGCCGAGGTTTCCGCACTGCAAGCACAGCCAAAGGTTCCCGTTGAGCTCGCACTGGGAACAGTGACCGAGGTCCTGCGAGGCGATCTTGCGCGCTTCGGTCTGCTGCAGCGTGAGGATGTGCTCGCACGTCGTCAGCTCCTGCTCCCAGGCCTTAACCTCCTCCTTACGCGAGAACGTGCTGGCCGAGAGAATGCCGTCGACGATGGGGGCAAGCTTGGCGTCGGTCCGGTCGAGCTCCTTGTCGCAGTCGAGACACTTGACGGTGACGGCGGTGTCGTAGCGGTCGGCCTCAGTCTCGGCCGCGATGGCCAGCTTGGACATCTTGGGCGGGGGCTCATCGCGGACGATCTGTTTGCGCGTCCGCCGGATATTGAGAGCGAGAGGGTGGCTCCAGACGAGGTTGTGCAGCTTCGCGTGGTGCCGGTCGCCGGCGCAGCCGCCGTTGAAGCATTGCAGACAGACGTCGAGGCCCGCGGGGTCGTCCTACTCCCGAGAGTCAGCAAGACCAGCTTCCCCCGCCAGCCATACAGAGACAGATTAGAGAAGAAACGACGGGCTGCCGTACGATCGAGTCAAAGCATTGCGTGCAGTCTTCGCGGTACACAGACTGGGCTGGGGTGGGGGGACGGAGACCTATGGCAAGCCCGCCGGTTAGCATCTCGCTCGTGCAGAGGGGATCGTGCCGGACGAACTGGTAGAGGCGATGTGTGGGCAGGACATTGTCGCGATGCTGTTTTGGCCGAGATCGAAAAGCAACAGAGGCGAGGGGGAATGCGAAACGGAAAGCAGGAAGCGTGTGGAGAGAAGCAAAAAGTGCCCCCAATCGCTCTTTCCCCGGCAAAAAGCAGAGCTTTGGAGGGGCTAGGCTGCAGCTGCTGAAAACGGCAATGTTGCAGCTGCCTGGAATCCATACCCCACACGCCAGCCGTAAACGTCATCATGGTTTTGGCAGCTGTCGCCACCTGCATCTAACTTTCTTCAGCAACGGCAGCATTTTCTCGGTGTTTGGTATCCAATATGCTTCGTCCAACTATAGATCGTGATGCTATCTCGTGTGCTACCCGTCCAGCGGTGCAGCCCAGCGATTTCTATATCTATGCTTTGCCGACCCTCAAGCTCCTGTAAACCAACATCTGCCAAGTTTCTTCCCCTCGCCCACAGTTTCCGTACTTGGTGTTCACCTGGTGAATCGTGCACTATTGGTGGCCGAACGAGCGATGGTGGCGGATTTGTGGCCGGCGTCGCTCCCTACGGCACCGGCTCCGAAAGACAGACTGCACTTGATCGCGGCTTGGGATGCCGATGCCAAAGGCGCGCCGTCCGTATATGCAGACGATAAGGATCATGGCAAGGCAGATAAAAGCGCTGATGATGGACAGCACAACCACACGGGCATGGCCATCGTCACTGCCGGGCGTGTCGAGAGAGTCGGTCATAAAGGTCGCCGGCTCCGTGTTGTTCGCCGCGAGCATGACCATGCTTGTAATGGCCACCATGGTTAGATTAGACTTGGCTAGATGGATAAGTAGTGGAAGAGATGGCAGATAGTTTAGAAGTAGCAGATGTCTCAACTGCAGGGAGAGTAGCCTTTATACGCAGAGCTGCCCTTGCCGTCCGTGAAAGCTGTGATTTTGCTTGCTTCTCCTGCCGTGATATGTCACTCTTCGCTTTTCCTTCCACCTCAGCCGCCTTTGGTGTGCCGTAACGGCCTCTGGCAAGTTGACGGATCATATTTGCATCAGCTTTCTGCCAGCTAGAACGGCAGCGTATAATTCATTTGAAGCTTCGGCATCGCCGTCTCACCGAATTGCTGTTTTCATCTGTGCCACTGTTTCTCATTTGCCTTCTGAAAACGGGAGTAGGTGAGCGTTTAATGCATTCCATGGTATTTCTAACGTGAAAATACCTGGGACATTCTAAAGATATCCTGAGCCCCTTCCAATAACATGTGGACTGGCTGTAAACCCGACTGTAGATCTGTAAATAAAATAAAATTGGTAGGAAATAGACACCAAACTCCTCTGCGGTGCAATATTCAAGGTGCAATATTCAAGGGGTATATCCAACGCAATGGTCCTGACAGCTTTGGTCGGAGAGCTATTAATGACAAAGGAAACATGGTGTAGACGTGGTGAGATACGGTGGCGCTGTGCCTGAATCTAGTTGGTGTGGGTGTGTAAGCCGGTGCCTGTTGTTCTTCGTCACCGCTGTGGGGCAGAGGCTGAGGTGAGGCATCACTGGTTTTCTAGGCCGTCCCGCAAGGCCTCGTGATCGACATCATCTGGGTGTACGTTGCTGGGAACCCCTCGTGCTTGGTGGGTTGTCCAGTACTCAAAGAAGCCAGGAACTGGACCTGGCTGGTTGATGCCTGGGGCACGCAGCATGTCCTGTAGCGACTTGCCGAGTGAGGTATGACTGCTTTTTGCCTTGCTGTCTAGTTTCTTCTTGCTGCTGTTGCTGTCACCGTTGCTGACGGCAGTTTCCGCTTCACTGTGGCCACTGGTGCTGATCTCGCTCTGGCTGCCTGTCTCTGATGCTGCCACAGATACGGTGGCGCCCGTAGGCTCCGCAGTCGCCGCTGATGCCGCCGTAGATGACGAGTTGGATGCGGAGGATGCGACACCACCGCCGTTCCACGGCCTCCACCCAACAAGCTTGCTGAGTCTCCGAGCTCCCGTCAATGTTGCCGCGCCGTTAGTCGTGCCAGGGGCAAGCGAGCTCGATGCCACCCTTGACCTGGGAGTCGGCAGACCGCTGTAGAGACTGTCAAGAAGCATCGTGTTGCTCCTCGATGTGCTAGGACGGCCTTTCGAGATGATGGGCCGTGCGGTGACGGAGCTGATACCTGTGTTGGCCAACGAGCTTCCGTATGTCCCCAGCGGTCGCAACGTGAGCTGGCTAGGGCGCGTCTTGAGCGTGTGAATGTCCAGGCCGCCTTTCAGCGAGACGATGGACTCCTGGGACAGGGTCCGATGCCGCGTCCGACGCCCATTCTGTAGCTTGATAGGAGGTAACAGATCCGTCTCGTTGTGCATGTCGCAACCTTCCTCGGGGATGATGATGTCAAGGAGCGAAGCATCTGGCATCCGCATCGGTGTGGTCGCCTGGGAACGGATAGACGCGTTCGACGTGAAATCGGAAACGTCTTCGGAGGAGTCATCCTCATCATCTTCAATGACAGCCAAGCCGTGCCCCGACATCCGAGTGGGCGGGGAGGATCCGTAGGCCAGGGAGTCGTCCAGTGTCGCGATTCGGCAGCCCTTCGGCCGCCAGGATGGAGACATCGGGTCAGCACTCGTCGCCGGCGAAGTCGGGAGAGATATATCAGGAATGGCGACGCGGTCGAAAATAGAGCTGCGTCGGTACGTCCGCGGTGAGCTCGGAACCGACGACGGAGAGAAGTCGGACGGCCGGTCAGAGAATCCGGACCACCTGTTGGATGGGCCCGAAAAGGTGGTGGATACAGAATCCCTGCTCATGTGACGAGACGAGCTGCGAGACGGGCTGCTCGTGGAGGCCGATTCGTGGTTGAGGCCCACCGTCCGCGACAGCTGGGTGGTTGCAATCGGGGCGGGTGGCGTGAACACATGGGGCGACAGGCCCAAGCGTTTCTTCTTGGGTCGCAGTGGTTCGGCCCTCTTCTTGCTGACATGGTGGTGGTGGTGGATGTGCAGTTCCTGTGACAGAGCCGAGACGTGGCGAGTCGGCCGAGGGGTTCGTGGGCTCGCGATCCTCTCTGGGGTTTCCGGACTGTCGGGCGTCATGTCCTCCAGCTCCGCTCGCAGGGTCGAAGCGGCTCCAGGGTTGTCGTCTGTGAGAGGCTGGTGGTACATCAGCTGATCACGCAGCTGCTGAATCTCGTCGTTGGAGTTGATGAGCATCTCGCGCAGCTCGGCCATGCCCAGCTGCATGCTCGCATTGTCCTGAAGCAGGTCGCGGACAAAATGGGACACCACGCCGCTTCCACCAGCCTTGTTGTTGTCCTGCAGCGATTTGGCAGCCGCTGCACCCTTCAGTCGTCCGGCTGCCGTGCTGAGTTCCTTCTCCACGGCTCGCTGCCGCTCGACGCGGCCCATGACTTCCATATGGCGCTCCTTCTCCTGCTTGGTCTCCCTTTCCATCCGCTCCAGCTGGTCTTGCAGGTCGGCGATGCCGCGCTCGGCCCTCTTCCATCGCTGGATAGCCGATCGGGCTTCGGACTCGGAGGCTACCAGGGTGCTCTGCAGGAGGGCCTGCTCGGCCTCGAGGGCGGCGAGGTGTCTTTCCATGTCATCAGCTCGTCCTGCAGCACCTTCAAGCCGGCGGATGATCTGCTGCGAGGACTGCAGGGTGGCTTCGAGCAGCTTGAGCCGAGTGTCCGAGTCGGTGACGTTGGAGTTGAGTGCCTCCAGCTGGTCGAGCAGAGCGCGGTTTTCCTCGATCTTGCGCGCATTTTCGGCCTCGAGCTCCTTCTTGTCCATCTCGAGCTGGTCGATGCGCTTGAGGAGCTCGGCACGGTCGCGCTCAGCATCGGCAAGATACGCTTCGTGGCGTTCAAGAAGGGACTGGAGGCAAAGGGTCGACGGTCAGCCATGAAAAGCGAGGGTGGGACAGAAAGTGAAACGGAAAAAAGAAACGGTTAAAGGAGGAAAGCCAAAGGGCGAAAAAGCAAAGAACAGCAAGACACAAGGGCTTGGGCAGCTGAAGGAACATGCAGGCCGATTGGGCTTGGCACCAGCAGCGCTAGCCAGCTGTAAATTTCCGCTGTTCCATTCCAGCAAAGCCGTTCCGTGCGGCGCAGAGGCTTTTTTAGGAAATGTCGTGACATTGCACAAATCAACGCCGGCCAAAATAGGCAGCAACGGTGTACCCGCAGAACCGACTAACCTGTCCTAGCTTTGCCGCGATGCGGACATCGTTTTCGACACTTTCGAGCACCGAGCAGTTGTGTCTGAGCAAGAGGCATTCCATTTGCCCGCAACAACAGCGCAGTGGGCCCGGAGGCTGGTTGGTGAGCAGGACGGCAGACGAGACAGAGACAGCCGAGAGGACGGGCGCCTCATGGCCGGGCCTGTCCTCAAGGCCGCGGCGCGCCACTGCATGCGGCCTGGCCTTGGCCGGCATGACCGCCAGGGACGAAGCAGGAATGTGTTTTTGCGGGCAGTACATGTAGAAGAATACGCGCTAAGGTCGAGCTGCGCATAATGGGGTCGAAAAAAGGGATAGGCGAACGAATGGCTGCAGCAGAGTGAGACAGGAGGGAAATAGACAGGGTCGGAAGCAGTGCAGTCGTGCAGGTCGACTGCAGTCGATAGCCAAGGCGGAAGCTGGCCCAAGGACTCAGCCACCCCAGGCGGACGGCCAGCTGGCTCGACTCAGGCTGGTTTGGTGGTCTTGTGGTGGATCTGTAATTTGGGTGCCAAGCTGACGAGGCCGATGGGTCGTGGCAGCCAGCTCATGACCGGTTTAGACAGAGACGAGTCGTGCGAAGCAGAAGAGAAGCCGGTCGTGCATGTTGAGACGATGACGGAGAAGAAGAACGAGAGAAGGGCCGAGGGGAGGAAAAATGGTTAAATTGGGTGTCTAATAGTAGCAGCTGGTGGGGAACGGGTGCGGGTGCCTTGATGTAGCGCTCAGTACGAAGTGATACATAGTATACCAGGTGGAGGCTGGTTCGCCCTGAGAGAGACGAGTCGATCAGACGCGGGAAACGAAACGCGTTCGGTGTATACGGAGTATGGAGGCAGTTTAGCGGGCCAATTTGCCGGAAAGACACTAGCCAATACAAGGACGCAATGACAGGTATCGTCGTGTTGTTTGTTTGGCTCGAATCCGGAAGGTGGGGCTTCCCTATCCACACCGTACAATGTGCTCGCTAACACAATTCGGTGAGAATCATTCGTTGTCGTTTCGTCGACGACGGGGTGTCATGACTGTGCAGTTCGCACGCATGCCTAATGCGGGGGCGATAGGGGCCTGATGCTGAGTTGGCATTCGTACGGGGTACGGAGTGCTCGTACGGAGTACTCCGTACGTCGTATGCTCTGGCAAGCAGTTGCTTACTAATAATGCAGCAGAGTCTTCAATATCTTGTGTAGAAGGCGACGGCAGAGCAGGAGAGTGAGCTGGATCCAACGTTCTTGGTATTGTACGTGCAGCAGGAGTATCGAATCCCGAATCTCCTTTGCCAAAGTGGCGATCCTATTTGTCCGTAAGGTGCTGCGTGTGCATCCCTCGGCCATGCACAAAAAAGGTGGATTTCTAGTACAGGCTCCTCTCTGCGTGGATTTGCCTGCAGCCGCCAGCCACCGGCATCGCAGCCCCCGCACCAGCAAAGTCACCGCGGCCGACAACCGGCTATTCAGGGCGACCCAAGCGTGAGGACGTCGAGACCGGCAGCAAGCTGGCTCTTGGACGGCATCTTGCCGACGTTGATCAGCTCAGCGCTCTGGACCATGACGGGGTCCTTGCCCATGGTGGCGACAGCGACGACGGTCTCACCCTTGGTGTAAAAGGCAGCCCAGGCGCCGTCATCGAGGCTGCCCTGCAGCACGAGGTCGTCCCAGCCGGAAGCGGCGGTGTTGCCGCAGTAGCGCAGCTGGGCCGAGAGGGCCGACCAGAAGACGGGCGTGAAGAAAGAGCCCGACTTTTTCGCCTTGGCGGTCCGGCGGACAATATGCTCAGCAGCGATGCGTCCGGCCTTCTGGGCAACGTTCCAGTGCTCGATACGCACCAGCTTTCCCTCGGCCGCGGGGCCGTAGTAGGGAAACGAGGCGATGTCGCCGACAGCATAGACGTCCTTGAGGCCGACGACGGCAAAGGACTCGTCCGTCTCGACGGAGCCGTCGGGTCGCAGGCTGACAGCGCTGTTGTCGCGCAGATACTCGGTGGCCGGGGACACGCCGACGCCCAGCACGACCACGTCGGCCTCGAGACGCGTTCCATCCTTGAGCAGCACGGCGCCGACCTTGTCGGGTTCGGTCGCAGACGCTTCCGCCCGGTCGACCGACGCGGACAGGTAAAAGGACACACCGCTCTTCTCGAGCCCAGTTTGGGCTGCCTTGCCAACTTGCGAGCCCAGCACGCGCTCCAGAGGCACGGCCTCCATGCCGACCACGGCCACGGCGTGATTCTTAGCCGTGGCGTTGGCCACCTCCATGCCGATAAAGGACGAGCCGATGACGACGACGTTCTTCTTCTTCCGGTCGCCGCCGTCCAGCACGCCGACGATTTTCTGCACGTCGTGCACATTGCGCAGCGTGAAGATGTTGCCGAGCGTCTTGAAGCCGTCGAGCGGTAGCCGGCGCGCGGTGCCGCCAGTGGCCAGAATCAGCGTCGTGTAGGGCGTCGGCGTGCTGCTGGCCTGCTTCGTGGCCACTGTCTTGGCGCCAAAGTCGATACTCGTCACCTCGTCAGCCACCACGGTCACGGCTCCGGCATCATACCAGGCCTGATCGCGCAGCTGCAGCTTCGCCGGGTCTGTCAGCAGGGCCTTGGACAGCTTGGGCCGGTCGATGGGCAGGTAGCCCTCGGACGAGATCATGGTGATGCTGCCGGAAAAGCCCTTTTCGCGCAGCGCCTCCAGAGCGCCAATGGCACCCGAGCCGCCTCCCACAATGACGACCTTTTCGTCGTCGGCTGCCGTCTTGGTCACCAGCCGCCGGATCGTTGGCTTTCGCCGCCCCGACTGGATGGCCACCTTGTCGCCAGTCACGTACACGGCCCCGTCACGCTCGGCCACCTGGAAGGTCGGCAGATAGTCCAGCGCCGGGGCGTCCTCTACGTCTCCGGTCTTGGCATTGAAGCAGGCTATGAGGTGTCAGCATTGTTGGTGTGCGAGCATGTCCGGAAACGACGTGTCCTACCTCCGTGCCATGGACAGGTGATGCGGCCGTTGGCCGTCAGCACGCCCTTGGCCAGAGGCGCGCCGTAGTGCGTGCACTTGGGGCCGATGGCCTGGATCGTGCCGGCAGCATTCACCAGCAGCACCTTGGCATCGAGGCCCTCGACCTCGACCTCTTGCTTCTCACCCACCTTGAGCGCCAGCGACGTGACGCCCTTGAGCTTGAACTCGGCCATGGCGACGGCAGAATGGGATAGACCTCGATAGACAGACCGGCTGGACCGTGATACAGAGATGGGCTGCAGGATGGATTTTGCTGTTGATTGCAGACGGAGAGATGCCCAATTCATAGAGGTAGAATCTTGGGAAGAATGGTTACAATGCAGGAAGGAGCGACGGGCACCTGTGCCGACGCCCAGTGAGGGGCAGTCTTATCAAGTAGCAGAGGTGCTGAAGCAAACAAGGGCCGTTGCTGCAGTGGGGCAGCCAGCCCCAAGGCAATGCGGTAATGGGTCATTGTCTGCGCTCTGACTGGCCCGTCGCAAGTATGACGACAGCAGAAGAAGCCGGTAAGCTGGTTGTGGTGCGATGGGCGTTGCGTTGATGTAAGACGTTGAGCTGCATGCTTATTTCGTAGGGAGCTTCAGCCAATTGCAGTGCTGCGATTACAGCGTGTTCACGTGACGTCATAGTTGGCAGTCTAGACTGTACCTGGAATAGGCCGTACATACGGAGTACGTGCTGTTGTTCTACTGAACCTGGGAAAGTCAAGGCGCGATATTGTCGGTTGCAAGCTGCGAGTTGCAGCACGGCGGGTACAGCAGCTTCATCACGTTCTGATTGAGTTATGTTTTGGAATTCGCCGGGTCTCGACCGACCGGCATATTCGGCCGACGCTCGGACGAACAGCTTAGCGCTGAGTAATATGGGGTGGCACGTCTTTGGCAGAAGCCCCCTTCCTCATCGTCAGCCATTTTCCGAAACACACGAAACGACAGAGGCGAGCGCGTCAGAGGCTCAAAAGTTGCAGGAAAGCATAGGGAAAGCAGGGAATACGAGCGAGCAAGACCCAGCTATACCAGAGGCGAGTAGCATCGGCTGAAAGTCGCAAGAGACAGTGCCGATTGGCCCACTTGGATTCGGCCGTTTCGTCCGTTTCGTCCGCCTCTCCACCACCGGTCTATACTTATCGTAAGGTACTCTTCCTGCAGAGAGCGAGGAGGCTATGTGCCGACAGCCATGAGCGGCCAATCACACGCGAATGGCAGCGGCCCGGGGCGGAGAAAGGTGCGCAAGGGGACGCACAGCTGTTGGGAATGTAAGTTGCATGCAAGGCCCTGCCGTACGGCTGATGGGTGGGCGATGCTGACGCTGGCAGGCCGACGACGGAAGATCCGGTGCCAATACACGCACGACAATGACACGATCTGCATTGCCTGCCGGGCACGAGGCTCGGCGTGTCGCAGCCAGGAATTTGCGGACGAGGCCGTGGCCGTGGCGCCGGAACGCAAGGTGACGTTACGGCTAGACCGATTGGAATCGATGATGGAGCGGCTGATGCAGCACATCCTGATGAGGCGGTCGGGCGAGTCAGTACGCGGCGGCAGCAGCTCAGCGGCAGCATCACAGCGGTCGTACGTGCGGCCGTCATCGCCGGCCTTTTCCAGCGGAGACGCAGATAGAGACGGAGACGGAGACGGAGACGGGGACGAAAGCTTACCGGCTGTGAGCGACATGCTCACGGACCTGCCGACAGTGGCAGCCCGGGCCTGTCCGACAATGTTGAAGAAGCACGGCTACGCGCACATGGACGTGTTTGACACGTCGGCCGCGGACGACACGCCTGTGGCAGCACTGCTGGGCATTCAGCAGTCGCTCGCACACGTCGACGGATCCGAAAGCGGACGCAAGGACAGCATGGCGACAGATGGCAGCAGCAACGGCGGTGGTGGTGGTGGCAGTGGCAGCAACAACAACAGCAACAGCGGCAACGCAGCGGCAACGCCAAGCAGCAACGCAGACTCGGACGGCGGCAAATACGGCTTCCTCAGCAAGACGCTGCGGTCGCTGTTCCCGTCGCAGGCCGACTTGGACGTGATGGCACGCGGACCGCCGGCATACCACGTCGTCTCGCTCTTCCACAGCCAGCACGATCGGGACGCAGGGCGTGGCGAGACGCCCGAGAGCCTGGCCGAAGTGCCACCGGCCGGCAGCCACCCAACGCTGGTGGCACGACGGCTGCTACAGCTGACACTCTGCATGCAGCAGGCAGCGCCACAGCTGCAGCTCGCAGGGCTGCCAGACGGGCTCCGGCTGATCGACGTGGTCGGCCGCATCGCCGACATGGTGGCTCACACGGTGGCAGCAAGCGACGAGCTGATCGGCAACGTCGAGGGCCTGCAATGCCTCGTGTTGCTGGGCCAGCAGCAGTCCAATTGCGGACACCTGCGCCAGGCCTGGCTGAGCTATCGTCGCGCCCTCGGCCTAGCCCAGTTGATGGGCCTCGATCGCGGCAATACGCGCGCGCTAAGGTCATGTGACCCGCACGAAGACCCCAGCCGCCGGCCTTCGCCTGCAGCTCTGTGGTACCGGATCATCGCGTGCGAGCGCTACCTGTCGCTGATGCTGGGCCTGCGTGCCGGCACGCCCGACGGTGTCTTCGACCTGCCGACCGACACGCCCGTCGAGCGGCTGGCCAAGGCCCACACGCTGCTGACCGGCCGTCTGATCGAGCGGAACCAGCACCACCAGGGCAGTAGTCCTCCCTACGCCGTGACCCAGGCCATCGATGCCGACTTGCAAGCTGCCGCCACGTGCGACCTTGATCCTGCCTGGTGGGACGTGCCGGCCTACGACCCTGTCAGCGCGTCGCCCGCCTGCATCTTCGGCCAGACTACCCGCTCCATCCTGCAGGTCAACCACTACTGCATCCTGATCATGCTGCATCTGCCCTTTATGTTGCGCGGCAGCGACTCAGCCGCTGCTGCTGCTGCTGCCACGGCCAAGACATCGACGGTCGCTGGACAGCCGACGACGGCCACCTCGGCTCCAACTCTCCCCTTTACCACGTCAGCATCAGCTCCCACCACCGCTATGCTCACCTACAGCAGAGATACGTGCATGCGGGCCAGCCGTGCGCTGCTGCGCCGCTTCACCAGCTTCCGCCAGCTCGTCAGTTCGGCCAACTCGTGCCGCCACGTCGACTACTCCTCCCTCATTGCCGCCATGACCCTCATCATCGGCTACCTGGGCCCACGCCCGTCCACCAGCCTTCCGGCCGCCGTCCAGGCCGCCTTTGACGACCAGCTGCTCCAGGATCGCGCCATGGTCGAGCAGGTCCGCCTCCTCATGCTGCACTTTGGCAACACCAACAAGGACCGCCTCTCGCTCGAGTCGGCCGCCACCATCCAGAAGCTGCTGCCGCTCCTCGACCTCGTCTTTTCCACGCCCGAAGCTGCTGCCGCCACGAAGCTGCCGAGCACCGCTCCATTCCACCATCAACAGCAACAGCAACAGCAACAGCACACGACCAACAGCATCGGCACGTCCCCCTGTCCCTCCCTCTCTCCCAACAGCCATTTTGCCGCTGCCATAACATACGCTCCGGCACCGGCATCGGTCGCTGCTCCTTCCATGTCCCCCGTGCGCCTCAACGTGCCCTACCTTGGCACCGTTAACATCCACCCCAACATAGCTGCCCCGGCCGGCGTGCAGACCGCTGCCATCCCTCCGCACCTGTATCAGAATCAGAACCAGCATCAGCACCAGCACCAGCACCAGCATCCGGCGTCGGCCCTCTCCTCGTCCACCTCTTCGCCGTCGCCCTTTGGCCTGCTCTCTCCACAGCCGGCCGTGCTGTCCTGGCACGGCGGCGACCTGTCGATGGCCGAAACTGGACCGCTGGACGTCCCCGACCTCAGTACCATGCTCGTCGACTTTGACACCATGACAGACGGCAACGGCGCCGCATTCGACGGCTTCGGCGCCTCTGCCGCCTTCCCCGACATGACAGGCGCGTCCGACGACTGGGCAATGCAGGGCGTCGACACGACGTACTGGTCACTCCTCAACGGAGGCGGCGGCGCCTTTGGTTGGGGGGCATGAATGGCTGATAAAGGACACTAAGAGAGCGAGCGAGAGTGAGAGGCGTGTATAATGTAGCTCCAGATAAGAGCACGCGAAAGTAGAGTTATGTATGGGCGACAACTGCACCTATATGATTTGTATATACTTGGATGTCCTAAGAAGAAGCATGCCCTCAAAAGTTCGTCTGCTAAGCAAAGAGGAATCGACTCCCGGTAAGTGTAAAGGGTTTCATTATTGTGGCTTAGAATGGACTGGATTTGGTTGTGGTGTTTAAGCTGAGTTTGGTTACTAATCAAAATAAGTACCGTAATATACAGTTCAAAACATTACTATATGCTCTATTAAGTCAATTGGCCCTGCAATCGATCTATTTGCAATTCATATATAAAATGGGCCGCTGAAATTATTATCTAACCAGAGTTTACGGAGTACTGGGTACTCGGAAACCTATTCGCTTGCTCATATGCATTGCATCGTTGTTAAAACTTCGGCGTGTCGATTCTGCGATCTGCAGTGCATTCGCACTGTGCGATTAAAGGGCGGTAAAGAGCGGCACAATTTCTTCCATACAAGTGCAACTAGGTCGGTCATTAAGGTCAGGTTGTAACAAGCTTGAATTATGCAGCTTAAAGTCCGGACCTCCGACAAAGACTGCTTTGGTATTGGTATAGGAACATGGAAGATCTCAATACGGACTACAGCTTCCTCTTCGAATCGCCATCGACGAGATCTCGGTGAGTCCTCCCAAAACTCGTCTCTCCAGCACAGTTCTCCATTGACCAGCGTCCAGGCCAGCTTCTAAACTGAAGCCAAATACACGTTTCCTGCAACACATAGTACGAGAAGCAAACTTTCATAATGCGACATTGCTTGCCAAAGAGACAGCCGAAGCACGGGCTCGCTTAAGACAGCTGTCGCGCCGGGGCAAAGCCGGCGACGAAAGCTCGGATGACGACTCATCTCGCAGGCATGGTGACCACTCGCGGAAACGGAAGCCGAGGAGAGCGGAAGATGAGGACCGGTCACATCACCGAAAACGGCATCATGACGACGACCGAGATCGGGACGATAAGAGGGTGGAAGGAAAGGGGGACAAACGGAGCCACCATACGTCTCGCAGCAATGGCAGGCGCGAAGGCGAGCAGCAGGAGGAAAATGGGGAGCAGAGCCGACACCACAGAAGCTCCAGGAAGCACAGAAGCCGACATTCTCATCGCTCTCGGCGTGACAGCCGATCTAAATCGCTCAGCAATAGCGATACGGACATGGACGAAGAACGCCGACAGGCTAATAAACGTCGACGGGATCGACACGAACGCAGCAGGCGAGACGAGCGACCAAGGCACAGCAACCGGTCACGGTCACGGTCACCCAAGGTTAGAGATGGTAGGCTGGATCGAGAGAAGCGACATCGACATCGCGAGCGATCGCCGCTCTCCGCGTCGTCGGCGCACAGACTCAGCCGCGACAAAGTGACGCCTGGCAAGGCAGAAGCAGCAGCGGACTCCGACTCGGACTCCGACCCGCTGTCTGAGTTTGTGGGGCCCCTGCCAGCTTCGGACTCGCGTTCTGCAGCGGCAACCGTGCGCGTTCGCGGCCGTGGAACCGTGGCTGGAGCATCCAGCATGGACCTACACTTCTCCGCCGACTACGACCCCTCCCAGGACGTGGGACAGCCGGAAAGCGCCTACGCTGGCGACACGCCCACCGTCGAAGACGCCCGGGCAGAGATGCAACGCGACCGGCAGAGCATGTTGCGAGAGGGTGCGGCACGGCTTAAGGCAGCCGGGTTCACCGACCGTGAAATTGCCATCTGGACGCGGGGCGGCAAGAGAGACGTGGCAGACATCCAGTGGACCAAAAAAAGATGAGGCGCGGGAATGGGACCGCGGAAAGATGGCAGGGGACAACGGGTCGGCGAAGCCGGAATGGACGCGTTGAAGCAGCAGTCAACTGGTTGGATGGCATTTTGATAGAGATCAGAGCGTGTCTATTTTGGCTATGTAGCAGAGATCGTGGCTTGAGCTTTTGGAAGAAGATAAATTTCTAGAAAGTAGACATTGGGAAGCCATCTAAGGCGCAATTGGATTACTTTGATTGGAGGGTTGGTATATTGAGTTGGCTTCTTTTGGCGGCTTGAATTCTGGCTTAGCGCCAATAGCAGGGTTAATCGGGAGAGGTCTGAAAAGCTGGCAGACATGGGATCAGTAAAGAGCCTGAGAGGTGTCAGGGCATTTCTCCTGACCTATTGTTTCCACGCTTGCCGCTGTGCTTTCGGTTTTATTATGTAGGGCGAACAGCCTTCCTAAGAAGGAAGGAGGTCCCGCTAACTGTCAGGATTATCAGGCTCCTACTTAAAATGAGGGGAAGGCTACTGCGAATGGGACGTCGTGACGACACCCAAAAAGATAATAATATTGCGTCTGCTTTGATACGAAAAGGGGGACACACGAAGGAGCTGCATGGGGACAAATCAGAACACCGCAAGAGCGACCGTGCCGTACTTTGCCTGATTTGGCACCTCACAGTGACCAATTCTCTGATGTCTCGTTCCCCTTAATTCAACAACATCACCGCATTGCAGAATTGGCAAACCACAACGCGACAATGGCCACGACCCAAGCAAGGCAATTTCGGCACCAATGTGTCTGGCTTTCCGCAGACCTCGCCACCCAGCACCTCGACACCACCCAAATTTGGCTCCCGCTAGGCTATGATGAAAGCCCGCGCAGCAGCTCCTATGGGCCTTACGCTAATGCCAAACGAGGCACTCTCAGCTGCAAGATGCTATGGGGCCACCACCACCTACTCCATATGCAGAGGATTGCGGCGGAAGCACTCACAGCCTGGCCTTACATACATAGGACGGCCCGGACAGGGATATGAATCATACCCACCCATGCCTTCTTGACCCCCTGTCTTAGCTTTTGGGGCCGTCCTTTTCAGCCAACAGCCAGGATAGATGTGCGTGGCAGACAACAGATGGGCAATAAGGTCCCCAGCACACCAGTCACGTTCTGACATGAGGCATCAATAAAACCCACACCTGAGAGGGCATATAAAGCCTGCATGGAGCTGCTTTTCAGAGAGAGGCATGTAGTCTTTCGACTGGAGATTCTGTCTCATTGTTCACTTGGTTGTCTACGGAGTACCTGCCGTGCTCGTCCAGGCCAGAGGAGACCTGTCCAGCATATCCCAGCACTGTCATTGTTGCGAGCCGCCGAAAATGCATTTCCACCTCCAACAATTGCTCTTGGCCGGCATCGCCGTTGCGGCCTCTCTACCTCAGAGAGCACAGAGCTGCAACGGCTCGCCAGATCTCTGCGATCGGCTCTACAGCAATGTGGCATATGTGGGCTCGCATGATTCCGCCTTCGTCGGTATCCTGCCGACCCAGAACCAGTATATCTCAGTTGCCGACCAGCTCAGCCTTGGCGTGCGTTTTCTGCAGGCCCAGTCTCACAACAAGAATGGTGTGATTGAGCTGTGCCACACTACCTGCGCTGAGGAAGACGCCGGCACTCTGGCTACTTACCTTGCCAGTGTTAAGACCTTCCTGGACGACAACCCAAACGAGGTCGTGACCCTGCTCCTGACGAACGGCGACAGCATTGCCATCGCCGACTACGGAACCGTCTTCACGGCGGCGGGCCTCGACACGTATGCCTATGCTCCATCCGGCACGCCCGCACTGGCCGACTGGCCCACACTTGGGGCTCTCATCTCTAGCGGCAAGCGCCTCATCGTCTTCATGGGTAGGTCCGATCAGTTGCTGCAGAGCCCCGGCTATTCTGTTCGGCTAACACGAGGTCAGATTACCACGCCGACAGAACAAAGGTTGACTACATCCTCAGTGAATTCACGTTCATCTACGAGACGCCATACGACACAACGGATGCCGATTTTCCCGAATGCACCATCGACCGGCCCTCTGGCGGCAGTGCGACTGGGCGCATGGGTCTTGTCAACCACTTCCTTGATGTTGACATTAATCTCTTCGGCAACGATATCCTCGTTCCCGACGCGACGGCAGCGTCTACGACCAATTCCTTGTCATCCATCACGGCGCAGGCAAATTTGTGCTTGAATGAACATGGCCGCTTGCCCAACTTCATTCTGGTGAGCGAAAACACGTCTTGTCTTGCCCATAGTACCTATCAACAATAATCGCTGCCTGGCGCTCATCAGACGCCAGTTCAGATGTGGCTGTTTTGGTCTCATCGTTATAGGCAGAAATATAAGAACAGATCGAGCATGTGGCTAACACGTTTGTCGTTATAGCTCGACTTTATCAATAAGGGCAACGCAATAGCTGCTCAGAACCAACTCAATGGCCTTTAAATCAGTTATTAGAGTGAGACTGCACTGTCTCTGTTCTGTTTGTCTCATCTATGAGAAGTACTCTGGACTAACCTCCGTATAACCGCTTAGCCTGCTTACCTTGATGTGCATGAGCACTTGCCCCAGTGCCGCCGTAAAACCGAACGGACCTTTGAGTTGACAGCACTACCGTGCCTTGCCTTCACCTTGACCGCAGTCGGGCTGACTCGCTGGTTCGCGCTGTGCTTTTCCCTGTGCTGCATTCGTATATCGAAGATCGTTTAGGACACTGATACTCGGCTTGATTCTTGGTAACCGTCTTATCTTTGGGGGGCTTTAGATGATTTTTTGGGAGATATATCATACGTAGTACTGTTGACGATAAGTATGATCCATGTACATTATTTTGGGGGGGGGGGATGTCTTCCTTTCCCTTCATCACTTTTGATGCCCACATCACGCTTGTACACCCGCTCCAATACTTGGCCATAGGCATATGTTTTCTCCAAGCACCCCGAAGAACTTACCCATCGTCAAGTCAACAAGGAGGACGATGTGCGGATCGGATCTGATGGATTGATTGCTGTTGGCTAACGAAGCTGGGTTCAAGAAAGTATAACACAGAGACTGGATGACCGGTAACACCAGCTACCAAAAAGTCGTGGAAGATCTGTCGTACTCAGATTCGCGGCTCCGCAGTCGTGATCCCAAAGCAGTGGCACAGAAGATGCCATGGACGGCCATGGAAGACTTGTCATTCTGATGGGTAGAAGCGTAGAGTTTGGTCCGGCCATCAATTCGGGAGGTGGACAAGCTGTGCGAGTATTTTGCACACATCAGTAGTAGAAACATAGAGAACGGGGAGGAGAACGGCATCAGAATTCAAGGCGAAGACTTAGAGCTGCCACCTCGTTTAAGGCTCTTGATTGTGGAGAGCTGTATTAGGCACTTCCTTTCCTTTTCTCAACACACTCACTTCCGGCTCTAGCTCGGTCAGTAGACGGCATCCAGAAACCCTGGCTACTCTGGATCAATTAAATACAAGCAGCACCCTTGTAGCTGGAAGCGACACCCCCTCTCCACTGTCTGTTTCTACAGACGACACAAAGTAGCAGATAAATGTTTACGAACCTGAGACAGACAGACAAGGAAAGTTTTGTACGGAAGCCACGTCTGTTTGGAAAAAGTGACGAAAGAGGCCGAGCCCCGGTGATGTTTTGACTCAACAGTGGATCACCAAATTTCGTTGCCACCATTCTGTGAACTACAGCACCGCATCGAGTGTCTCAACTCGGCCGTCATGCATAGGAGTGGTATCAATCACAGGCGATCGACAGGCTTACCTCGAGCAGCAGCTGGCACTGGAAACCGCCCGTTTGCAGCATCTGCGAGACTAAGAGCTCCAAGGCCATAAGTCTGCTTGGCCTAATCTTCGTCCCGCTGACCTACACTAGTTCGCTTTCTAGCATGGCCCAGCCATTAGTCCCGATGGCGACAACTTCGGGCTGTATCTGGCTACGTATGCTTTCCCATTCGCATAGTCATTGCAGCAAGTACTGTGCTGGATGCTGGCTACACTAACGATGACACTAGCTGGTCTCTGGCGGTTTTTGTAGAGGCATCTCGGTCTGAGCGCCGTAAGATAAATAAATTTGCATGTATACATAATACGGAGTCTTATGCAATGTTGATTTCTGACTAGCGCATCAACCTCGATGACTCAGCAAAGCTCCGTTGTATCTGCAATAAGCACGGACACCTTTCGCGCTCTATGTGGATGCCCATGCAGCTGTGCAGTTTTGACTTCGACACCCTTTTGGCAACCTCGTGAAGGCCACTTCAGCTGTTTATACATGTTCGTCACTCGAGTGACGCGTTAATTTACGAAGGGCATTATTCTCTCGGTGATGGAAGGAGCCTCATCAGCGAAAGACACTCCAATAAAACCCGATCCAGAGTCAAAAACAACAGGTCCTGACATTGACGCACAGGCTGCTTGCAAACACAAACATGCTTCTTCTCAGCACGGTGGGCTTCCAGCTTCGGTGACTGCACTTGTGCGAGTAAAGCCAGACCCAGATGCAACTTCGAGCCGGCCAGACATCAAAATGACGGACCTACCTGATGCGAACGCGAAGATGGATGTGAACGCAGCGCTGCCAAGGGCACAAAATGCACCGGCCGAGACTGCAGACACTGTGATGGAGGGTACACACGAGAGCGAGAATGCATTGAACAGCGACAGCAATGCTGTTGCAAACCCGAGCAAACTACGAAAGTCGCATCTTCTACAGCGGCTATGGGAGCAAGAGCAAGAACAAGAGCAGGTGGTTGACAAATCGCTGAAGGTGCCATCCTTGGATGAGCAGGCGCGTGAGAACTTACGGCGTTCGATCGCGTTGGCCCTACAACACGTGGGCTTCCAAGCGGCGACGACCGAGGCTCTCGAAAGCTTTTTGCTCATGACCGAGACGTGTGAGTGAAGCCTGATACTCTGTTTACTACTTCATCGCCTCCTTGTTGCACTTACTGATTGATAATCGCATGCAGATTTACATTCTCTCGCCAAGGACGTCGTGAGCGTGGCCCATGCTGCCCGCCGCAGCCAGCCAATCCCAACGGACTTTGACCTATCGTTTGCCCGCTTCAATCTGACCACATCGGCCCTGCGGCCTCACCTGCGGAATCCTGTGGCCATGTCCAAGCTTGCACCTGCGTACTTTGACCCCCTGGCGCGGCTGGAGCTTCGCGGCCAAGAACGCGACCTGCCACTGTTGAGCGATGAGCTGAGTGGCAAGGCTGAGAAGGATGCAAAGCCTTACATTCCCGAAGGGTTCCCCGATTTCCCTAGCATCCACACATACCGGCACACGCCCATTGACGTCGACACGGTCACCGTGCAGGGCATAGGCATGCGGTACGATGATGGAGAGCCGGTGCAGTTCCAGGACGATGTCGGAGGTGCCGATTCGCAGCAGTTACAGCTGCAACAAACATCGACTGTCGGGGCAGCAACAGCGGCCGCCACAGCGGCCGCAGAAGCCGGAGCGGCAGGGAGCCTGCGCAGCGATCCTAAGAGGATCCGCGAGGCGGCGGCCGTCGAAGCGAAACAGGCTGAAGAAGCACTGCGCAGCCTCATGCGTGCCAGCAAGATTAACAAGCTGAAGGAGGTGCGAGCTGCAGCAGAGCGCAACTCTCTCAGCAAGCAGCGCTACTCGCTGTGGGAGACGGCTATGCGCGAGCTGATCGAAGAGAGCACGACCATATCACAGCCCAGCACGGTGCTGACTGCCGCGGCCCTACGGGAGGAGATTGCTGACCAGAGCATGATGGTCAACGCCGAGAAAGCGTTCCATCGGAAAGAGATACCACGGAAACCAGCAAAACGACTGGCACAAAAGACCTAAGACGGGCGTCTGTGATCTTTTGGGGGCAGGTCGTGACACGCATCCCGTCTCGTTGCATTTGTTTACGCAGGAAAAGTTCAGTTTGGCCGCTGGTACGACGTTTTAATGGGAGCAACACGACATCGGTTTTGAAGCGACCGGCATTTTATTTTGGACTTGCATTGGCGGAACTCCATCCGTCAGATTGGGAAGCGGCCAGCTGGCTCTCAGCTGTCACAGCTGACGCAGCCGGCGTGTTCCTACTTTTTGGAAGCCGTGCTGCACGTGACCACTTCGCCAAAAAGGCTGGTTGCCCCTCCGATTTTGACGCTAGTCAGCGATTGGCTGTACCCCCCTTTTCTCTTTTTTGGCCCTAAGAGTTTTTGGCCTGCACAAAAAAAATTGCAATAGGAGTGTGAAATCGGGCCCTAAAGTGCGTCGAACCCTCTTTTCTGCTATTTTTTTTTGTCTTGCTTCATTTGCCCGGGCTCCGACGATTCATCTTTTGAACCTACCCGCAACACGCTTCTCCAAGAAGAACTGTTCCTTCAGCCGACCTTTTCTTTTCCTGATCCCTTCTCCCTCGACAGCCCATCATGTCTGAGCAGCTCATCCTCAAGGGCACCCTCGAGGGCCACGTACGTTTTGCACCTCCCCGTGTTTTGTCTGGCCGGCTTGCATCTTGTTTCGAGAGACAGAGGATCTGAAGCATCAGAACTCGGAGAGGGAGGACGGGATGCTGGCTCTGGGACAGGAGAAGACGGACGGCCAGCCTGTTTTGTGGCACGGCGACATTGTGGCTAATTAGGGTTGTTGAACAGAGCGGCTGGGTCACCAGCTTGGCCACGTCCATCGAGAAGTGAGATACGATTCCGATCCTGTGGCGAGCCGATTTAGGGACAGAAAGGGAGCTTATGCTGACAAGAACAGCCCGAACATGCTCCTGTCCGGCAGCCGCGACAAGTCGCTGATCATCTGGAACCTCACCCGGGACGAGTCGCAATACGGCTACCCGAAGCGGTCTCTGCACGGTCACTCGCACATCGTGTCTGACTGTGTTATCTCTTCCGATGGCGCCTACGCCCTGTCTGCGTCGTGGGACAAGACCCTGCGCCTGTGGGAGCTTGCCACCGGCACGACCACCCGGCGGTTTGTCGGCCACACCAACGACGTCCTGTCCGTGTCCTTCTCGGCCGACAACCGGCAGATTGTTTCCGGCTCGCGCGACCGGTCTATCAAGCTGTGGAACACCCTGGGCGACTGCAAGTTCACCATCACCGACAAGGGCCACGCCGACTGGGTGTCGTGTGTGCGTTTCTCGCCGAACCCGCAGAACCCCGTCATTGTCTCGGCTGGCTGGGACAAGCTGGTGAAGGTACGTTTTTTCGCCCGTCTTTGGGACACGTTTTTGTCGTACCTGCCCCTCACCTTCCCCCCATACCAAATGATGCTTTGCAACCTATAAAGTATTTGCTACTTCAGAGCCTTTCGGCCATGAGACAACTATAACACCAATGCACTGATGCTATGTTCATTCTACCTCTTTATGTTGTGGATTCCAGCTTCTGGAGCCATCAATTCATCCTGGTTTTGGGGCCTGCCGCTAACGCTGTCTGGTTCGAAACACAATAGGTCTGGGAGCTTTCGACCTGCAAGCTGCAGACTGACCACATTGGCCACACCGGCTACATCAACACCGTCACCATCTCCCCCGACGGCTCCCTGTGCGCCTCTGGCGGCAAGGACGGCACCACGATGCTGTGGGACCTGAACGAGTCCAAGCACCTGTACTCGCTCAACGCCAACGACGAGATCCACGCGCTCGTCTTCTCGCCCAACCGGTACTGGCTGTGCGCTGCGACGGCGTCAAGCATCATCATCTTCGATCTCGAGAAGAAGACCAAGGTGGACGAGCTCAAGCCCGAGTTCCAGGCCGTCGGCAAGAAGAGCCGCGACCCGGAGTGTGTGTCGCTGGCCTGGAGCGCCGACGGCCAGACGCTGTTCGCCGGCTACACCGACAACATCATCCGTGCCTGGGGCGTCATGTCAAGGGCATAAACGTATATGTCTGCGGCAAAGTCAGGCGGCGGGGAGAGATGTGCCAGGCCCGTGTGTGAGCATGGGGCATGCGAGCATGTTTGGGTAAACGGCCCGGTCACTTCACCGGGGATCATTTAGGGATGGAGCGGCACAAGCGTAAAGACAGACCAGAGGGCCTGGCGGTCATGCCGTGATGACAGCCTCTCTGTAGTCTGTGCTTATTTCTGTCTCGACCATGCGTGTGTCGAGGACGGAGTGAGTGTTAGAAAGGGGACGGTGTGGGATGAAGCAGCGATGGTAGCGGGTCGGGGAGGCGTAACAAGGAATCCTGACGTCTTTGTCTCGTGTGTGTTCAATCGGACTTCTATTTCTTCTTCGGCAGCCATCAAGGAGGGGAAAAAATCCTTACGATAAAAAAAAGGGAAAAGCAAAATCTTCAAAAAATCAAGACCCAATGGGACGAGTGCGTAGGCAACTTTGTTATCAATTTGACGTGCTGGCAGCCCATGTGAGGTGCTTAGCTAAGAATTGAGGCACTTCCGGAAATGCCGAACATCTCCCCAGAATTACAGCGAATCGGCACCGTCTTGCAGTCGCGTTCGCCGATCAGCGGCGCGTGACCGCCAGATGACCCTAGTATTTGTGTTAGACCATTGGCCCGCCTGGAACATCGTCCTTGTTTTTTCTGTGATTTTTTTTCCGGCCTTTCTCGACTCCTGCAGATCGACAGGGAATCGGATCAATGGGCAACTCAGACACGGAGTCTCGCGATGCGTCACTTGACGGCAGTGCTGGCCAGACCGACAGCTTTGACTATGGCGAGACCGAGGGCCTGCTGGCGGAGAGTTCGGCCCTCTTGACGAACATGGATGGCGACGACAAGAGCTCTCTGCCACCACCGCCTTCAAAATCGCAGCAGCAGCAGCAGTCCGAGGTGGTTCGATGGCGCGACCTGCCGCACAAGGGCCAGCTGACGGTGCTGACGTTGGCGCGGCTGAGCGAGCCGTTGGTGCAGACGTCGCTGCAGTCGTACATGTTCTACCAGCTGCGGTCGTTTGATCCGTCGCTGCCAGACTCAACCATTGCCAGCCAGGCAGGCATCCTGAACGCCAGCTTCACGGCCACACAGTTCCTGACGGCTATGCTGTGGGGTCAGCTGGCCGACTCACCGCGCTTCGGCCGCAAGCACGTCCTCATGATCGGACTCTCCGGGACCAGTGCGTGTTGCTTGTAGGACGAGCCAAGGAGCAACGCTGACCCGAAAAACCAGTGCTCTCTTGCCTCGGCTTCGGCTTCTCCCAGTCCTTCTGGCAGGCCCTCTTTTTCCGCTCCCTGGGCGGCGCCACAAACGGCAACATCGGCGTGTTGCGGACTATGTATGTGTCGATGCATCTTATAAGTATCTAGATGACTAATTCATTCTTGTGTAGGATCAGCGAGATAGTACGGGAGAAAAAGTAAGCAGACCAGACCGTGAATTTGAGTGTTTGCTGGCTATCCGTCTGACAGAAACAGATACCAGTCGCGAGCGTTCTTGCTGCTGCCCATGACCTATAACATTGGCGTCATCATCGGGCCCATCCTCGGTGGTCTCCTGTGCGATCCGGCAAACAGTTATCCGACCCTCTTTGGCGACAATGCCTTCTTCTTGCGGTTTCCCTATGCGACGCCGAACCTGCTGAGTGCCTTCCTGCTCTTTGCTGCCACGCTGGCAGTCTGGATGGGCCTTGGGGAGGTGTGCTTGCCGTCCTATTCTCTCTCGGCCATTTTCTGACCAGTTCTCAGACACTTGATTCATTGCGTGGCAAGCCCGATTACGGGTTTGCACTGAGGCGCAAGATCGTCTCGCTCTTCCGACGTGCACCGACCGGCGACATTTCATACGTGCAGCTGGCCACAGAGGACGATGCGGGCGAGTCTGCGGCTCTGCTCCCTGCCGCATCGACGGCCAATAGGCCAAGACGAGCGCGGTACACGCAGCGGCTGTCTTTCCGGCGGATGCTTACCAAGAACGTGACACTGACACTGCTGGCGCAGTGTATCTTTGGCTTCCACCTGGGCGCGTTCAACTCGCTCTGGTTCATCTTCCTGTCGACGCCGGTATACGATCCGGCCAAGAGGCCGGGACCGGTCGGCGGGCGGTTCTATTTGCAGCCGCGGGCGCCCTTCTTCTTTTCGGGTGGCATCGGCCTGCCACCGGCACAAGTCGGCTTGGCCATGGCGATCCTGGGCAGCTTCGGGATCCTGATGCAGCTGTTTCTTTATCCGACCGTGTCAGGTCGGCTGGGCACGCTGCGGTCGTGGCGGCTCTTCCTCTGTCTCTTCCCGCTGACGTACTTTCTGGTGCCGTACCTCAGCCTCGTTCCGGGCGCGTCACCGTCGCCACACGCAAAAGACGGCCCGACCATTTGGCTGGCCATTGCGGCCGTGCTGCTGCTGCACGTCGTCGCCCGCACGTTTGCGCTACCGGCCCAGACCATCCTCATCAACAACTGCACGCCGCACCCGTCCGTGCTGGGGACGCTGCACGGGCTGGCCCAGAGCACAAGCTCGCTGACCAAGACGCTGGGACCGGTTCTGTGTGGCTACCTGTACGGCTTCGGCCTAAACCACGGCATCGTCGGTGCTGTCTTCTGGGGTCTCAGCCTGGTGGCCGTGTGGGGCTTCACGGCCAGTCTGGCCGTGTATGAGGGCAACGGACACGAAATCTGGCTGGAGGGCGACGCGGAGGAGATGTAGGGGATGAGGTGAAGGATTGACAGAGGCATATATGTAGATAAGATCTTATGTGTTTAGATTTGCAGATAGAATGGTGAAAAGCGAGCACATTGTACTTCTCGCAAGGAAGCGACGATGAGCTGCACGACACGTGCGTGATGAGTCAGCATTAAGGGGTTTCGACCAATAGTGTCACCGCCGTGAAATAACGGCCTTCTGGCGAGCTTCACGGTCTGCAACGGCTGTGCTCTGCAACGCGCCGACGTCCTTCTGTCCACTCTTCCGGTCCATCATGCAAACCCTGGCAACTCTACTGGCTGGCGGCTACCGCGGAGCCGGACTGACCAAGCTGAAGCTGGGTGAGCGGCTGGCAGACGGACAGCTGCCGCAGGCAATCCTCGACGATCTGGGCGACACGCTGGAGCACCTAGACCTGTCGGGGACGGGGTTGGCGTCGCTGCCGGCGGACTTTGGGGCACGGCTGCCGCGGCTGCGCATTGCCTTTTTCAGCAGCTGTGCGTTTGAGTCGTTTCCGGCGGCCGCCCTGGCGGGCTGTGGCCAACTCGAGATGGTGGCCTTCCGCAGCAACGGCATGGCGTCGCTGCCGGCGGAAGCATTTGAGGAAGAGGACGGTGCGGGCGGCAGCCGACCGACGCCGCTGGCGAAGCGGCTGCGCTGGCTGATCCTGACGGACAACCGGTTAGCGACGCTGCCAGCGAGCATCAGCCGCTGTGGGTGTCTGGAAAAGTGCATGTTGTCGGGCAACCGGCTGGAGGCGCTACCGGACGCCATGGCCGCCTGCCAGAGCCTGACGCTGCTGCGGCTCTCGGCCAACCGGATGGACCGCCTGCCCGGCTGGCTGCTGACGGCCATGCCACGTCTCGCCTTCCTCTCGTTTGCCGGCAACCCGTGCTCGTCAGCAGCGCCTTCGGCGACGACCACGCGTCCCTCGACCGCTTCCGCATCGGCGCTTCCGCACATCGACTGGAAACAGATCGAGGTCCACCACGTACTCGGCGAGGGGGCCAGCGGCATCATCTCCAAGGGGGTGGTGCGGAGCAGCAGCGGGCTGTCGGGAGAGAGCACGCCAGTGTCGGGCATGTCCACACCGGCACTACAGTCAGCGACGACGACGACGGTGGCTGAAGATGCCGTGGCCATCAAGATCTTCCGTGGCGCGCTGACGAGCGACGGCACTCCGTTTGACGAGATGGCTGCCAACATTGCGGCCGGACACCACGTCAACCTTGTTCGGGTGCATGGACAGATCCGGTTTGCGGAGGAAGAGGAGGGAGGGGAGGAGGATGAGATACTGGAAGAAGCTGAGAAAACAAAGGAAGAGATTCAAGACGCGTTCAAAGGCGGCATCGTGATGGAGCTGATCCCGCCACACTATCGGGTGTTGGGCCAGCCGCCGTCGTTTGCGAGCTGCACACGCGACCGATTTGACGACCGCGACGACAGCTCACCCTTGTCAGTGGACGCTGCCCTCTCCATCCTTGCCGGCGTGGCCTCGGCTGCAGAGCACCTGCATGGACGCGGCATCGCCCACGGCGATCTGTACGCGCACAACATTCTGGTCACGGGACACGACAAAAGCAGCAAGGACGACAAGATGGACACGCATGCCATTCTCAGCGATTTCGGTGCGGCCACGCTGTACGGCACTGCCGGCCTCCTGGACCCGCTCCTCGAGAAGATCGAGGTGCTCGCCTTTGCCCATCTGGTGGCGGACGTGCTCGGTCTGATTGGCGACACGGCAACGGACGAAACGACTACAACGGTCGGCAGCCGGCTGCAGGATCTGCATCGGCAGTGCGAAGTGGCCGAGGTGGCCGCCCGGCCGACGTTTGCCACGGTCGTCGGCCGGCTGACGGACATCCAGTCAGAGTGGAGCAGCAGGCCCCGGACATGTGCATGAGCACGAGCATGAAGAACTCCAGTGCCTGTGACTACGAGTACTCCGTACGACCCCCTCTTCTTAGCGCAATGGTCAGGAGAACGACAAGTTTGCGGGAAAACCACGCCTTTCCTCAGGCCACTTGTCGTCCGATTAGGCCATACTATGACGAAAAGGAGCTGGAGAAGGCGGGCTTGATTTGGAAGGAACTCTATTTTTGTTTTTGTTGTTCTGCTATTTTTGCTATTTTTTGCTGTTTTTGCTATTATTTCCCCATTTTCCTCCTTTCCTCATTTTCTTTCTGTCATATTCTTCTAGACCCCTGCATTGCGAAAGAGCATCTCCTCGGAGCAAGATATGCAACTTCACAACCCCCGTTCCCCTTCACAACAACCGTCTGACCAGTCTGCTTTCCCATTCGGGTGGGTTGCCTGCTCTTGTTTGCCCTTCCCCAACCCCGATTCCCCTTTACAGCCAGACGATAGAATACACAGACGTAGACAAGACGCAAAAATAGAGCGTAAAGTTACAGCAGAGATGCAGCCATCCGGGTCGTCTATCTACTCCGTACTCCGTAGCCTTGGATATAAGGTTGGCCAAGCGCAACTTGTTATTTTCTGGAGACCACGATCCCACGTCACCTTTTTGGCTGCAATTCCATAACGGCAGTGGGCCTCCTAGCTGGCGATCGCCGTGGCCGCCGGCATTTCCCTGCTTAGCACACTCCTACGGCATCTCGTGGGGTGGCATCCCCGATTGCGTTCCCACATCTGGCATAGCAGCATTGCCTCCGATGCACGTCTGAGGAAAAGAAGAAAAAGTCGTTGCATTCGAGATGAGCCGGCCGATCAGAAGAACAGCCAGCCTCCTTCCCTGGTCACGGCAGTTCTCACCACGTCTCGTATTACGCCTCCTCCTTAGTTAGATACGAGTACTGTCGCTGTCGGCTGCGGGCCGGCCGACATTACGAGACAAGGGCCTGCAAGACAGCAGCCTGCAAGAGCTGGCCCTCCTTGCGGTGAGCCTAGGAGATGCACCTAGGCAATGCACGAGCAGGTTAGAGCCGACAGGGAGATTCTTTCCGTTTCACCTTCTCATTGGCTGCCCGCTCCTCTCTGCCCGATCGGAACCTTCCAGTTGCAGAGGCTATTCCGACAGAAGCCGCTCTTCAACCCTTTTGGTAGGCTGATTTCTCTCGGCTGTCAAGTCATCCGCCCCCAATCTGAGGCATTTTGGCCGGGGACATGGACGAAACGAAACACGTCCTGCCAGAAGTGAGATATTGCCTGTACTATCCGTATGATCAGCCTCGGTTGTGCTGGCAAGCATCTTGCCCGCCCAGCCTGCTGCGGTCAGCGGTCGGCAGCACCCTGCGATCGGCAGAGACATGCAGCACGCTGAATTCCAGAGGTCGGATCGAAGATACTCGCTAATATAGTAGCGCTCCATACTCTTAATAACCCCCACCCCACCGAAACCGAAATTGCGAGTACGATACAGCGGGCTGCTGTGACCCTTTCGCGCTATCAACCGCCTAAGCGCTGGAGAGAGGCCCCTGCGCGCTGCTGCAATTACATACGTCGTACTCTGTAGGAACACCTGCATTTGCCAACGGCAGCCCTAGTGGGGAATGCGTCTTGGGGGTGGGTCGTGGCTGCCCAGTCTGATGCTGAGCTTGGCAGCAGAGGCCGTCTAGGGAAAGAGCGATGTGTTTCTTAAAGAGACTCCGTATCTTGCTCTATCCGAGCTGACGACGCCTTTCTGTCCAGCTGCCGGCCTCGTTTCTCTCACCCCGTTCAGGACACCAACCATGTCTTCATTTCGGCGGATCGCCTCGCAGAAAACTCTTCCGTCCTGCAGCCGACTTGTCGTGTGCGGATAAGACACGCATCGGCCTCTGGTGGCCCTTTGGGCACTAGCGCAGGGATCAAATCGAAACCACCACCTCGTCTGCATCAGGATTATTATGGGGAAGACGCAAAACAAAAGAGAAAAATTAAACAGACCATCAACATGGCGCAGGTCTCATTTGCACGAACACGGGCCTGATGCGTTCGTGAAGGATACATTCGGCTGCATATGATGTATCTTACGGAGTATTCGTACACAGCTGGCCTGGCTAGCCTGCTGCAAAAGGGCCCGGACCAATGACCAACTGCCGGCGACAGCAACCTCGCCAACCGCCCCCTCTGCACCGCGATGCTTTCTTCTTCCTTCCGTTCTTCTCTTCTCTTCTGCCCTTCTGCCCTCAGTAGCCGCAGCGGCCAAACCGCATCGCCTGTCCTACGACCACCCAAGTCTGCTGTCACTTGTGCGCATCCTGCCACACTGTAAGATACTCTTCTCACACAGTATCTCTGGCACGGTACTTCCGATCGCCTTACAACGGACTGCCTGCACGTCACTCTCTCCGTCTTCCCCAGCCAGCCTGGAAGACTAGAAAATCTCCGTGCTTCGGGGGCCCCCTGGGAGGCAAACAAGCAAACAAGAGTGCGCAGCTGAGGCCTGTCCGTCAAACGGTTGTCGTTGACCAAATCAGGCTCAAGCTGGGGGCGCGTTTACGTCTCAACGCAGCTTCCGTCCCCGTGCTTCTCGACCTCTGCAAATCTCCCCACCCTTTCGTCCTGTCTTCCCGCCGTCGTCCTCTCTTGTCCTTCCAACCATTTCGGCATTTGATCCCTTTTCTTATTTATCTCTCCTCCCTCCTCTCTCTCCCCAAAACACCTCTCCCTCTCGTCCGCCTCTCTTCATACCCCTCCCACCATGCAGTGTATCCATCTCTCTCGGATCCCCAAGAACCTCATATAGTCTTGGTTACACGCAATCTAGGCATCCCGCACGATATGTCTTAACCCGGGTGCTTCCTGCGTCCGCCATTTTCCCGACTGTCCATGGTCTGCCCCCAGAAGCTTTTAACATCATCGCCATACGTCCTCCTGTTTCGACGTCACCCAGCCTGTTTTGCTGTCTTTATTACTCTCGCCATCTACCCCTGGTCTTCCACTTGTGTGGGCTTATCAGCTATCTTGCGCGCCGTGCTTTATCCCCTTGCACATGCCACCGTTGTCAGCATGCCTCCTCTGTCTCTTTCTATAGATCTCGCCGACTTCCCGTCCCTCCGCACGCGGAAAGCGCTACTGATCCTCGACACCCAACATGAGTTCCTGTCCGATGGCGGTGCGTTGGCCATCAAGGGGTCTGCCGCCTTTCTGGAACGAACTGTGGCTGTGGCCCGGGCATTTCGCAAGTCCGGTTCGGGAGATGTCGTTTGGATTCGCAGCCAGTTTGAAAGCCACCGCCCGGCGGCAGAGGCACACATAATGACGTCAGACAAGCTCCAGGTGCTGAGGAACAGCCGTGTCCCGCCCGGGCCGCCGACAGAAGACCAGGATGCGGACCCAGAAGCATTTCTGAGCATCGGCGGAGAGGAAGTACTCCAGAAGGAGAAGGAGGCGCAGGCAGAGAAGCTGTACCCCGGTAGTATCGGCAGCGAGCTAGTACCAGATGTTGTATCTGCCATCGAGGTCCATCGAGACGTGGTCCTTGCCAAGTCTCATTATTCTGCTTTCCAGAGCAGCCAGCTTCTCGTGCGCCTCCGCACGCACTTTGTCACAGAGCTATTTATCTGCGGCGCCTTGACCAACATCAGCGTTTACGCCACGGCGCTGGATGCCGCCCGTCATGGCCTTGCTTTGACCATCATTGACGACTGTTGTGGCTACCGAAGCGAAATTCGCCACAAGAACGCCATCGCGAGTCTGGTCCGGCTGACGGGCTGCGAGACCATTGGATCCAACGCGGCTATTGAGTCCTGGACATCTGCCCCTCAAGCGGATGACAAGCCAATTCATGGCAACCGCACCGCCTCTGGCGCTGCTGCAGGGCTCCCTGGCACGGCTGGACGTCCAAAGATGCGTCAATCGTCGAGACAGACACCTGAGGGCCCTATCGGGGTCAGCAGGAGCAGCAGCGGCGGCGGCGGTGGCGTCTCCACTGCTCGCTCAGGCGGAAGCTTACCCGTACGTACCAAAGCTCCAGCTTCCGGCGATATGGGCAAGAAGGATACAGAGAAGGTGGAAGCCGATGAAGGTGCGCTGGGCCCCTCCGAGAGTTGCTCAGAGCTGCCTTCAGTGGATGAAGTCCCCAAACTAAAGCGTGTGCCTTTTGCAGCCGACGTTCTCTCAGAAACATCTCAGCCGCAACCGGCAATGCCGTTACAGCCCGTGGCAGCGATCACGCTAGACGGGGCGGAGCCAGCTACCACTCGTAAGACGACGGAGCCAACTGGTTCGATTCCCCACGTTGTCCCAGGCACCGACAAAGATTCTGGGTCAGCCAAGACAGACATCACGGTCGCCAATAAATCATCCACAGACGAGATTTCCGCAGTGAAAGCAGCGACCCAATCGTCCGAAAGAGAAGCCGGGACTGAAGGCGACGTTTCAGACGTGGACAATAGTGGAGGTGGTCTGCCACCTAACGCAGCAGACATGAGTGTCAAACCAGAGCGCCATGGAAAAGCTGCAGACAGCCTGGTACCGGCGGCGACAGACGAACAAATTGCGAACAAAGCCACTGCAAGCGAGCCTCTGTGTGAGGGCGACACCGTTTTGTACGGCAGCGTCTTGCCGCCATCGATCGAGGATGGAATATACGACCGGCTCTGCGAGGAAGTCCACTGGCTGCGGATGTCACATCAGGGAGGAGAAGTTCCAAGACTGGTCTGTGTTCAAGGTGACATAGACGAGGATGGAAACATGCCAATCTACCGCCATCCAGCCGACGAATCGCCGCCACTAGAGTCTTTCAGCCCAACGGTGCTACAGATCAAAGCGCGCATCGAGGAGATTGTTGGGCATCCATTGAATCACGCACTGATCCAGCTGTATCGCAGCGGCCACGACTACATCTCGGAACATAGTGACAAAACGCTGGACATTGTCCCTGGATCGTTCGTCTGCAATGTCAGTCTCGGAGCCGAAAGGCTCATGGTGTTCCGCACAAAGAGGACGGATAAAGACAAGAGCGAAGCCGGGCAAGAGACGGAAGCAAAGGGCGCAGAAGGCAAGGACAGCAGGCGGCAGATCTGCCGGGTGCAGCTGCCACACAACTCACTTATGCGCATGGGTCTGCAGACAAACATGCGCTGGTTGCACGCGATTCGACAGGACAAGCGGATGGACCGCGACAAGACGGCGGCAGAGCTGGCGTACGACAGTGGACGGATCAGTCTGACGTTCCGCCAGATTGGGACGTTTCTGAACAGCGACCAGACGCGAATATGGGGTCAGGGTGCGCGGTCGGCGTCCCAGAAGGAGGCCGGGCCTGTTGTCAACGGACAGACAGAGGAAGCGATCCGGATGCTGAAGGCGTTTGGCACGGAGAACCACAGCTCCGAGTTCGATTGGACGAAGCACTACGGCGAAGGATTCGACGTACTTCACATCTACGCTGCGGCGAGGCTGTTCGCCGGCGCGGACGCGGTGGCCAACCTGAGCATCCAGCTGATGCTGGCAGAGCTCGGGCTAGGCTATGCCAAGGGCAGCATCGGCAGGGCGGCAGGCGAGGATGAGGATTCTTCCAGGACGTCTATTCTAGACCTCCCAGTGCGATTTATGGATCGTGACGGTTGTGTAGTTGACGGCGTGCTGGCCATCATGTTGTACTTGAACAGCATATATGGGTCTTCCAAGTCGACGGCCTCGACACCGCAGGAGACGGCTCACACGTTCATAAGGCTGCAGAAGGCCTTAATTCTGCAAGACAGCTGGAGGGCCGCACACAAGGCAGCAACAAGCAGCAGTGAGGTTTTGCTTTCCAGTCTCAAAGGAGAGCTGGAGCGGTGGAACGGCTATGCCTCAGGTGGCAAGTTCATAGGCGGTGGCAGTGCTGCTTCACTGGCCGACTTTGCTTTCTGGCCAGTGCTGTATGAGCTGGACAAGACGTGTGCCAACGGCGAGGACGGGCTGACAGGCGAGCTTAAACGGCTCAAGCTCGACCATCTCGGGGAGTACTACGGTAGGATCAAGGCGAGGGAAAAGGTGCAGCATGCGTGTTCGTCCTGAGCAGCTTTTGACAAGCTCTGTGAAGGTCCCTGCACTTCGTCAGCGTTTGGACATGCAATTTCTGGAAACAGGTACGATCTGTTTGTGTTTGGCGGATCTTTTGATATTTATTTTGGCCCATTGAAGGATACAAAAGACGTGGAAAATATGTATACAGGATTAGGGAAGGGATATATTTTGGAAAGAATACTCGATGGGTACAGGGACATTTCTTCGTTCAGTCGTGAATTTTTGATGCTTGGAGCATGTGCCAATATCAGACGTCTCTGAGCAGCTGGAAAGCAAAGCTGCCCCAGGGCGAGCTGGCGATCCACGTGATGGAAGCGGATGGGGGGCGGGTCAGCGGCGAAGGCAGAGCAGCCAGAGCCGCGTCTATGCGCAGCCAGCCGTAGAGGCCCGTGCGCGCCGAGACGGAGCCGGAGCTGGAGGTGGTGCCGGCCAGTCCAGCGCTGCCGACGATGAGCGTGCCCCAGCAGGAGCGGTCGCGCAGGCGTTGGGGGCCGTAGAGCACGCGCTGCTGGGCGGCAGCGATGGCATCAGAGGCGGCCGAGGGCGACAGCCGGGGATCGACGCGGAAGACGTGGACGTGTCGGAGGTCATCTGAAGCGACAGGAGAGCCAGATTCGACAGGTGTCTCGGTATCGGTTTCGGCATCGGTTCCGACATCGACGATGCGTGCACGCATTCCCAGCAGGGCGGCAACGTCAAAGCGGGCCTCCAGGTCGACGACGATGACGGCCTGGCGACGCGGCGCGGCTACGATGGCGGCCACGAGCAGATACAACAGCGGCAGCGGATGGGGTCCGCCGATGTCGAGGCCGGGCGACCTGGTGGCCCGGAAATGGGCGGTGACGAGCCGCTGGAGAGCCGGGATGGGGATGCTGGGAGTGGTGGTGGTAGTGGCAGCAGCAGCAGCAGCAGCAGACGGAGCTCCCGCACCAACGTCCAGCGATGGGCTGGGAAGATCGGAATAGATGCTGGTCCTTGTCCGGATCTGGTGCAGAAGCTGTGGCAGAGGGAGAAAGGACAGTCAGCGGAGAGCAGAGAGCAGAGGACAGACAGCAGACAGCCGACAGCGAAAGATCAAGACGGGACACAATCGGAACAGCTACCTCTTCCAGGCTGGTTTCTTCAATCTCGGCCAGGATTCGACGGCCGACGGCCGCAGCAGAAGCTGCTGGTTCGCAGACAGTGGCAGCCATCGGGATTGGGGGCAAGAAGTGCGGCTGGTCGTTTTCGAGGTCGATTTCAGACCTAAAAAAGCCCCTCTCTTTCGGCGAATTCGAACATCCCAACCAGACACGACAACACACACACACGCATCGACCGTCTCGTCACAGCACCTGCTACAGAATGACGCCCCCCTGCTACACGTTCCCGGCAGCCGACCTGGCCGACCGCGTGCAGGTCGACGTGCACGGCCGCCAGCGCAAGCCGCCGCACAGCGACAGCACCGCTAGCACCACCGCCAACGGCCGCCCCTTTGGCGTCGACCTTGCCCGGGATTGCACCCTGATGGCGTCCATGGTGCAGTACAGCTGCGCGGTGGCGCATCCGCGGCAGCAGGACAGCCCAGTGCGGTGCTGGCCGGTGCAGCGGCTCTTTCGACGGTGGGTGCCTTTGTTCTTCCTTGGCTTTCTTTGTCTGACTGTCTCTAGATGCCAGGATAGGTCGGGCAGCTTCATGGTCGAGACGACCGCGTGGGAAGGCAGCGAGCAGCAGCTGCATGTCGATAACAGCAGCAGCAGCCGCAACAACAACAACAACAACAACAACAACAACAATGGAGACTCGTCTACACAAGAGCCACGGGTTTCTGCCTGAGGCAACGACGACAAGCCGGCCACTGTAATCTATCAAACGTCTCACCCAAGCCTTTATCAGCCTAGCTACGGTCGGATGCACGCATCGATACGGTTCACAATCATTCTCTGTTCTCTTCCCTTCTCCCTGTCTTTCCGCTATGTACACGCTTGGCTGTTCGCGCTCAGGCACCTGTCCGCTCGGCGCGCTCCTGCTCCAGCTTCTGGTAGTGGGTGTCGCGCGCAACGGTCCGGGGGATGTGGAAGCCGTACCAGAAGGCGCTGCCGGCCGCCGTGCCGAGACCTGGACAAATGTGTCAGCCATGAAGTTCTTGACGAGGAACAAAAGATAGCACGTACTGAGAGCCACGGTCAGGTCAACAATCAGCCTGCGGCGGAGCATCTGGAAAATCCCGCAATGTCAGCTTTCGTTCTCCAAGCCAATGCCTCATTTCGTGTCGTCCGCCGTCCCTCTCTCCTCCTCGTCTCCCAATGGGCGACCATGTGTCTGCTGCCCCTCTTCCCATCAGTCATACGTACGCCGGTGATCGGTGCGACAGCCATTGCGATGGTGTTTCGGGATCGAAAGAGACAAGTTGGCTGTTGCAGATGCTGTAATCGTCCGGCTGGACGATGCGATTTCTTGGTGGTGGGTGGTGAGGCGGCAGTCTGCTGTTTTCGGGTGTTCCAGGACGAAGCGAGAGAGAGGGAAAAAAAACACAGGGAGCTGCCGACAAATGGTCTGATGCTTATTTCCCCCAATTCCGAGCACTCGCGGTAGCCCGGTGCGTCACGTGTGGAACCATATCACGTGTCGCAATCCTAATTTATGCTTATGTCATCAGACAGTGAACCAACCGGGGCTCGAAAGCGAGGCAACGCATTTTTTATGGCAGCAAAAAACGCCCCTCCGAGCAGATACTCTTGTCCCGGGACGGCGTCGCCACAATGAGTCTCACCATGTCCTCGCGGAGGGTCCTAGCGACAGGTGCGTATGCGCAATCGGGCGATTGGTCGTGGCGAGCGGGGAGCTGACCGGTGTCTTGTGTCTTTCCTCTCTGTCGTGAGCACAGCCTCCAGCGGATTCCGGCCGGCAACGGCGACATCGACGACGGCGGCGGCCGTGCTGGTGCTGCGGCCGCTGCACACGACAGCAGCACGAGCGGTCGACTGGGGCCGGCTGTTTGGGCGACGGAAGAAGAAGCCGGCCGCGGCTGCGACGGGCGACGTGGCCGATGGATTGGCCGGCGATCTGGCGCGCAGCCGAACACGACAGGCGCTCAAGGACCGCATGACGAACCCGCAGCTGGACGCGAGCCCGTTCTTGAGCGAGATGGAGGAGAGCGCCGGACCGGCTGCCGACGTCCAGGCTGACAAGACCCCGGCTTCGTCCAGAGCAACAACGGCCCGAAACGATCTCGGCACATCGCTCGTGCCCGAACACCTGCAGCGGGCTCTCGACCCGGATCCGCGCAGCCGCGTCCGGTGGGAACGCAAGATGGTCTTGCGCCATGTCAGCCGGCTACTGGACCCCGCTGGTGCCGAAACCCGTGACGAACGGCTCGCCCGCACCGAACGCCAGCTGCTGCACAAGTCCGCGCCGCTGGCCACCAGCACCAAGAAGCTCACCTTTCTGGCCCGCCAGATCGCTGGCAAGACGCTCGAGGATGCCCTCGTTCAGATGCGCTTTAGCAAGAAGAAAATGGCTCGCGACGTCCTCTGGCACCTCGAGGAGGCCCGCGACACCGCCATCGTCGAACGCGGCATGGGCTTGGGACTTGTCAATGCTGACGTAAGCACAACCGCCCCGGCTTCCACCGCCCTCAAGATTCAGACCAAAGACGGCCGCTGGCTCGCCATCACCGATCCCTCTCGCATCTACGTCGACCAGGCTTGGGTTGGCAAGGGCGTCTGGCGCGCTGCCACTCCCGACTATCGCGCCCGAGGCCGCCGCTTCCTCAAGTGGTCGCCCTCTTCATGTGCGTTATCACCCCCCCCTCTCTTCTCTCATCCATGTCTGACCATCCAGTCCTCTCCGTCGTCCTCAAGGAAGAAAAGACCCGCATTCGCCTCCACGACGAGCGTGTTGCCAAGCAGGCCAAAAAGGCCCCTTGGGTCCACCTGCCAAACCGCCCCGTCACGGCCCAGAGACCCTATTACTCCTGGTAATCTGAAGCTGTCGCATCTGTATGCTGTATTGCTTAGCCTAGACTGGACTTCCCATGTAAAATAAAACCTATCATGCGCCTGCTGTCTGCTACCTTATTCAACCTCTCTCGTAGATCACAACCCAAGCTTGCTTGCCCACAATATACACGTATTTTTATATATACACGGCACAGCAGAAGCAAAGGAACAACGCTGACAGTGGTGTATTATCATTCTTATATGGTAGCACGTTGTCGTCCCTGACGAGCAAAACAAAACAAAAATATCCTCACACCATATTTCTTGGCACCTGTCGGGGTACCATGTCCTCATATCGCCTCGACTTCAGCTCCAGCTCTGACATACCGCTATCGTGATCCTCTGCAAAATTGCGGCCAGGACCTGGCGTCGGGTCCGAGATCTTGTAAGCGCCTGTGTGGTCGCGGTTCCGTTGTTTCCGTGAAAGCATGAATGCCGCGATTGCACCGATCACTGCCACAACAGCAACCGCAGCCCCGATACCAATGCCAGCCTTCGCCCCACCAGACAGCGTCGATCCAGCAGCCGCCGTGGTCGATCCCGACGCACTACTTGAGGTCGTGCTACTTGTTGAAGACTTCTGCGACTGCCGTTAGTATATATGCATGACAGCTGACTGCAAAATTCCTGCAACGGGTAATTGCTTACAGTAGAAGACGCAGCTGGCGAACTACCAGAAGTCGATCCTCCAATGCCCACAAGATTGTTCGTGCTCGTCGCTCTCGACGCACTCGATATCGTTGAATTGGTCGTCGGAAAGATTGCCGTCGGGATCGCTGCTGTGCTAGGGTAAATCGAAGGCTGTATGGTAGAAGCCGCGTTTGGAGTGGACGTGGCCGCAGCGAACGACGACGTCGTGACCGGTGTCGACGCAGCAGACGCAACCACAGCCGATGTAGGATAAACCGACGCGGCCGCAGCTGATGTAAGTACAGCTGACGTTACAGGCACCGCGGATGTGGCGGAAACAGCTGCCGATGTAGCCGCAAGTGTGGCCGCTTCATCTTGTTAGTGAACTATCATACAGGAAGTTTTCCCGCCCAACTTACTAGCACACAATCCGACCATGTAGTTCGTCACGCTCGAGAAGAGATCCGCCGCGCAAGCGTTCTGAGCACAGTCGTGCACACCATTCGTAAAAGCAGCAACGCCGCAGAGACAGCTTGCATCTTCCTGGGGGCACCCAAACGATGTGCCCTCTGAAATCAGATTATCAAGACATGTTTCCTGTACATGTATCGTCAGCAGACTTGTCTATGCGTATATTTGCAGGGTTATAACTCACACCACAACCAGGCAGAGAAGCCTCGTTGGCAAACGTCTGTGACTGAACGAGTCCTACGCCAGCGGCGAGGATAAAAAGAACGGAGCTCTGCGACTTCATATTGTTGCAAGAAACGAGAGAATAAAGAAGATAAGAAAAAGAGCGTAGAAGTAGGGGGATGGTGAGCAAAGGAGCCTGAGAAACAGGTGAAAGCCCCGCAAAGCTGTTGCTGGATAGACCGGCCGCAACAATAAATGAATGAGAGAAACGAAAAAAGATGCCAAGTCGTGACGGCGACTGCAAGCTGCAGCAAAGAAAAGAGCGAGAACCGATACGAAACAATCGAGAGAAAGAACCGTCAGGGAGAGCGAGGCGAAAGCGCCCACACCGGACCGCCGTGTATATATAAACGACGAGAGACCAAGCAAGCCGGCAACTCCCCGCCTAGTCGCGAAATATGTGTATCGAAAGGAGGGGTGGAGCAACGGAAGGCTAGAGTGGGAAGAGACGCTGCAGCAGAGTGGAATAGACTTGTGGAATGGCGCGGGTTCACCGCGGCGCCGGAGCAAGTCAACGAAGTCGCGCACGAAAGTGGAACTGTATGCAGAGCTTTCTGTGTGTGTACGGAGTACTGGGGTTCGTCTGAAAGTACTGGAGATGCCGTGTTTCTGTTTGTCTGACAGGGAAGAAAGCGACGTGTGCCGACGTTGGCTATAGACGAGGGTATTCGCCGAGAATATGCAGCTTCTGGGTGGCTTGTCGATAAAGAGGCTCGGAAACACCTGCAGATGCGACCTGGAACTGCAAGGGAGAGGGGGAACCAGAATCACGAGTAGAGGCGCGACGTTGCAGCAAAAAACCAAAGAGAGTGGATGAGTGATTGAAAAGTCTAACTGGATGATAAAAAACACAATGGAACAAAAAGAATCGAGTAGTCTGAAGCAAAATAAAGCACAGTGAATGAATGAACCGTGGAAGGAAGGAATGACGAGAGTGAGAGATGCCAACGTAAGGAAGGTACGGATTACGTTGACAGCAAAGCCTCTGCATGAAGGGAAAAAAAGGGGAAAGAGCGACCGGGGACGACGAGAGGACCCAGATTAAAAGAGGAAGCCAAAAGTCTTGAAGACATTTCTTCCCCCTCAATCTGCTCTCACCCTCTACTCTCTACCTTGGGCTAATATCCCCTGTCGTGCCTCGAGTCATTTGGCCCTACGGAGTACATAGCAGGCCTCCATCCTCCTATTGCCAGACTAACTTTCGAACGGGGATATAGAACAGACACGAGATTTTTTGGGACGCCGTCGTTTTCAGTGCAACGCTAGCCGTCCTTCTCCCTCAGATTCCAAGTATAATTATTTTATCTGAGACCTGCTCGCAGCGCATCCTGCAGCATAAAGCCAGGTACACCAACCACAGCCCAGTACCGGACGCGAGCCGTCCAACCCTGGCGCTCCCGTCTACAAGGGGGTCTCTGCACTAAACCAAGGCTGGTTGGCGTTCCTGGCGCAGATCGCGGTGACCCAGCGGCTGGGAAGCTTAGTCCAGGGGTGGAGGAGCACACAATGTTGCCCCCAAATAGTGCTGGCAGACGCTCGGCTGCAGGGCAAGCAGAGCCAGAAGTGTGCTGCAAAAAATCAACACGGAAACGATAAGATGCCTTTGATGAGACCGGCTTCGGATCAGAGCCCAGGAAGCTGGCTACACGAAACACTTCCAGCCATGTCGCATCTACGGCTCTCTGAGCTCCCTGAACCTGAGCTCCCGGCTGCTCCACCCTTTGCACCCTTTGCACCACCTTCAATTGCCTGGCATTCTCATCTCTCGGCGCCCTTGGAGCTCACGAACAAGAAATGTGCTGAACGCCCGGCATAACCGGCGGCGCGGACAGCTGAGAGCCGGTGTGCCATCGTACTGTTTGCATCGTGCGCCCAGGTGAACATACTCCGTACTCGTACTGCAGACAGACCACCGACCACTGGCGCCATCGAAAAGTACGGCGCGCTCCTGCGATTGGTCTTGGATGGGCGAAACCCTCGAGGCTGACGCAACAAGACAGAGAAAAAAGAAAGAAAAGCATTTGCTTGCCCACTTGTTCTCGCCAGTAGTGGCCGAAAAAAGATGGTCGCCTGCCCTTGCACAGACCGGCTGTCTCAGATTTCCATGCTACTTCAGCACAGTTGAACACAAGAGTCTACGCTTAGGCAGTGTGTAGCATCCGCAAAGATACGATAATATCCCGTCGCATTAAGATCCAGCATAGCACTAGCATTCACCGCCAGCGAGCTGCTGCAAGTTCTTTTCATCTTTCTTTTCCCCTCTTGGGCTGGTTTCAAGGTGCTGAAAAATGGCCCGCACTCCCAATGTCGATCACGGCGATGTAACTGGACCGCTGTAGCATGTGGCTTTTGCAGGCACAACAAAGCTGCGGTGTCACTGCCGAGCACATTGCACCCAAACAGCGACGGGGAAAAAGCGAACTGACACCAGGGTATTTGCTTTTGCAATAGGTCAATAGGTGTGATCAGACCGGTTGATCGTCGCCGGCAGCTGTAACCGCTGGCATTTCACCATGCTCCGGAGACATAGCACAAAACAGTTGTTCCTCATGCACCACGCATCTTGGCACTTCTTCCATGGCAATTTCTACGGAATCCTTCCCTGTAGGCGCTGCGCCCACTTCCAGGGGTACACTATACGGATAAGTACGAAATACTCTGTACTTCGTACGAGTATACAATACATAGATCTTGCTATGTAATAATATAAAATATGTACTCCGTACGCCGTACCTCCTGACTAACCTAGTCTTCAAACGGCAGCAGGGATTAGCACGGAGTACGGAGTACACGTCATGAGCTCGAAAATTAGACTGAAGATTGCAGGATGGGTTTCGCGAGTCACCCCACAACCTCGTGGATAGGAGATGTCTGGGCTAAAGCCTCGGTGCAATGCGTTACTTCGTACGACTACGAGTACGACGTAATTGTGTCTTTCACCGAGGCTGAGAGCGTCGTGCTGCGGGCAGTGTCCAAGACAAACCTTACGGCTTATGGCCGCCAAAAAAATGACCGTACAAGCAATGAGCGCTAAAACAGCTTGTGCCAGTTGATAACCTTGGAATGGAGGGATGACAGCTAGTCCATCGATATCGAATACCAAGGCTCGCTCGTTCACGCAATAAGCAAATGCTCTTTGATACACGGCCAGATTGAGCTGAAGAATGTCGCGTGTCGCGTAAAAACAGGATGCAGCACATTTTGGTGATCGCTCGTGTACCTTTTTAGATTAAAGAGGGGTAAAACGGTGCTGTGCCAAGAATATTCGGTCTTTGGTTATTTGGCTGCTGTAATGGGATGCACAGCTGCACCAAGCAACTTTAACAGCTTAATCAAGCAGCTGTCTCGTCCCGTCGGGTTTTCTTTCCTCGGCAGGGCTATACAGCCGCTGACGCGCTGCAGAAAGGTGTCACTTGCAACGGACACCGCGTTTGCTGCATCGCCGACATGCTGTCTGCTGGCACGACAGTGACGCGTACGCTTTATATGTTATCTCAACCACGTGAAGCCAAAGACGAAAGCATGAACAGCTTGTCAGAAGAGCAGCTAGGTGGCTTTCCGGGAAAGCATCGTGGTATTGTAGATGGGGACGATGCAGTCAAATGCTGCAAACAGCTGACACCAGGCACACCCGGCTGACTGGCTGAATAATCATCTCCGGCAAATATGATGATTTAACTTCATGATTAACTTCAGGAAGGTGTGAGAGTGTTATCACGTGACTGTGTACATAAGGTTCGATGCCCACAGTAGTTTCCTATGCAAGGGAGCATATGGCTGTGTGGTGAGACTGGAGAAATTGTTACGTGCGGGAAGGAGGAGAATGCAAACAGCTAACGGCAGAGACATCCACATATGCACTGCATCACTCAAGCAACTTGCAAACCCGACATGCATCGCTAGCTATGCTGAAACAGCAAACCAGTAATTTAAGTGGAAGAAATGCTAACTGCACTTCCTGCTTTCGTAGACTAGATATACACATGACTTGAACCGTACAGCACTCTTATGCCGAGAAATGTTGAATGTCATCAACGACTCTTTCATGACCTCTCTTTCGTCGTTTACAACTGTTGAAAGCTGGATCCCGTAAGAAGAAACGTACTTATTTAGTAAGGTGGCCTTATGTAGTCTTACCTACAATGTTCACATTCCATTTCTAGATCATGCCATTGATATTCGTTCCATATATACTCAAAAAGATATCTGAAATACGGCCACCTTTATTACGGCATGTGTTGGTGTGTTATTTACTGGGAGATGTTAGATAGTCAACGGTGTTGCTGCAGCCAATCTAAGGAGTTCTAGTAATCATGACTCTACAGTCACCGAACACAGCACTATCCTCAGTATACCATTAAGTAAAAGACAGCAAATCTTTATGACAACGAGTCTGTATAGCTATACAGCGTAACACTGCCAACCACGACCATAGTGCCCACCTCAAACTTATTGCCTTGGTTGATGTTGATACCGGTAGCAGACATCCGTATCTTCCAGCTCGCAGCATGTTACGTTAACTTTCATGGCTGCAAGTAAAGCAATTTGCTGCTTGGCAGTGCTTTAATCGGGGTTTCGATGCCGCATTGTAATTTGATATCTCATGTATCCTTCAACGCACAAACTTATAGAGCTCGTCCTCGAATGGCGACAAGGGAGTTGGGCTGTACATTGCTAAGTCGCCATTGCTTGATCGTGAGTTGCGGGTGCTGTAGAAAAGCGAGAAATCGGTTTCGTTTAAATCTCAAGATTGAGTCCATTTTTGGAGCCTGTGTCAGTGCGTTTTCCTGTACAGACTCACCATAATCAAGGTCTCCTTCTCCAGTGCTTTTTCTCCGATCGGAGCAGTCCCCTTCACGTTTGATTAAGACTGAACCTGGCGACATTTTTTGGGGGGGGGAGATTGTTGTAGCAACTGTTGTGCATGAGGCAGAGCGTAGGCACGCTACAAACTATGGCGTAACTTGTAAAGGCGGACCTCGTTTCATCTAGCAGTACTGAGGCATTGTACGGCAGCCTTTGAGATGAATGCCTTAGACCAGATGTCGTCAACCACTCTAAAGCTGGGCCGCAGTCATCCACACTGTCTGCATTGTTTGAAATGCTCGCGCCGCTGGAGCTGCTCATACTGTGTGAGCTGTTTCGATTGCTGCGGCTACCGTGCGGCATGGATGACTGTCGTTGCTGCTGCTGCTTCCTTTCTTTTCAGACAGAGCTACTCTACCAGTACTTTAGTAGCGACATGGATGAAGCTGGCGGCCGGCAACGACGGTTTGATCGTGTTTTGGTTATTTTCGGATGCTCTGTAGAAACACGGGGTTTCCCCCTTTTTTACGGCAGCCATAATGGTGTCCTAAAGACGAAGCAGAGTTGGCAGAGACCAAAAGGGTATAGCTGAAAGGGGCGTATGTGTACCAAAGGTGGTGATAAATCAGTGTCAAAAAGGATGGCCAAGAGGTGGACGTTGTGGTAAGACGAAAAATGAGTTGCAAATCAAAGAGAGTGGACGAGGACATTGGCTCAAGTAAGCACATCTAGAAGACCAGAGGGAAACAGCGAGTTGCAAAGAAAGCTACTGTGGATTCCAAAATGGGAAGGAGCAAGTCGTGAGTCTGAAGAGAGGAGATTTCGTCTTAGCGAGTAAGGACTTCGAGATGATGGACGTGTAATTGTGGCAGGAGTTATCTTGAACTGTTTACGTTCGATTTCTGACATATATCGCCAGCTTCCTAGGCGTCTAAAATGGTTCATATCAACATAGAAATCGTTCGTTCAGTCTAAGAGGACTCATGCAGACCAGTCTCAACTCCCCTCCAGAAACACGACACTACCAAGACAAGAGCGACGAGATGCAAAGAGTCCCAACAAATTGTCAGCGATTGAAGAATCAGAGCAGTCTCAAACGACTCAGCACGGCTCAGCCCCGGCGATCCTTGTGGTGAATGTCAACCCGTTCCACACTTTTGACTTCGTCTGGATGGCGGGTGATGCACAGCTCGCGGCAGAAGAGGCCCCAGTCCGACTGTCCGGTCGCATCCCGAATGGCGTCCTGCATGTCGCGGTCATAACGGCTGCGGTATGCGGCCTTGATGGCGGCCATGTGGTGGCTGTCCCAATGGTAGCGAACGAGACGAGAGATCAGAAGCTCGCGGCGCAAACCGTCACGCTTGGACGCTGTCAAGGCGTGGTGCACCAGCGAGGCATCTCGAACCGGTTTGTTGATCACGCCGTTCAGTATGTGGGCGAGCATTTCTCCCTACAGTCGGTTAGCTTGATGCACCGATGCAAAACAGACTGTAAGCTGTCCTTACCACCAGATTGCCGCTCTTCTTCAGACAGTCACGTGCAAAGTTGCTCTGATATTGAGAGCTGTACAGACGCAGCACCTCGCGCAGGTGAGTGTCGCTGCGCTGGACCACAACGTTGATCGTGGCCGTCTCGCCGCCGCGCTCGGAGCGAACAGCATGGTAGAGACTGACGGCGTCGTCCCGGACAAGCTCCATGTTCACCGGCAGCAGCCGTCCGTCGCGGTCATAGTCATCCATGCGCTGCTCATCCAGGACGAAGAGCACGGCGCGCTTGAACTTGTCCTCGTTCAGCTCTGTCCGCATACACTTGGTGAGGCTGTCTCCGTACTTCTTGTCGCTGAAGTTGCGCTTGATCTGGTGGATCTCTGCGTTGGTGCGGCCCATGAGAGACTCAATAAGCAGCTCTCGTCGCGTCTTGTCACCATGGTACCAGAAATTGGCCCAGTAGGCCTCGCTCTCCCACTTGCCGAGTGCCGTAGCGTAACAGACTTTCATCAGGGCCGGATCCTCGTCCTTGAGCCGTGCCTTGATATGCTTCGAAATATTCACGCCCAACCGATCCGGGCCCGTCTTGACAATGCGCTTGTACTCGATCCGTAGCTCCAGCACCTGGTCGTTTGTCAGGCCCGGCAAGATCTCGATGAGGGGCTCGACATCAGGTGGGTGCCGATCGCCACGCAGAGCTTTGGCCAGGCGCTTGGCATCCGTCTCGGGATCGTAGAACCGCGCACGGCGACGAATCTTGTCTCCGCCACCACCTCCACCGGCGCCAAGACCTTGTTCATCATCCGACTCTGGCCCGTTGATATCCATGATTGTCGGGGTGGACGTGCGCGGGCCTTGCGACGCCAACAACATGGGTGACGGCATGGGCGACATGGACTGGTAAGTTCCATGGTAGGACTCGAGAAGCGGTGATCCCGGCGCCGAGGAGAGCGACATCTTGGAGCTGTGGTGTAGTGCGCCTGGAGACAGAGTGCCCACCGAGAGTCTGGCCATGTCCTTGGTTGGTGCAGGCGACCTATCTCGGCCGGATCGGTGCCCAGTATCGATAGTTAGGACGTTGGAGCCACTGGCCCGCGGGTCGCGGCCAAACGAGTCGTGACGATAATGCCGATCTTCCCGGGCAGCAGATTTGGGGCGCCTGTCGGCATAGTCCAAGTCGTCGTCATCGTGGTGCAGCAGGTTGTGTGCATATCCCGTAGGCATCTGATGGCCAGTCGAACCAGCGGGCATGGCGGTGCCCCCGTACGCGAGGTCTTCGTCGTCAACTTCGTCTTCCTCATCGCTCTCGCCGATGCTGTTGCTTCTCATCTTTATAGCTGACCGGGGCATGTCTCGCTCTCGACCTGAAATTGGAGCTAGAGCTGGGGCCTGAGCCGGAGTCGGAACTGTTTTCACAGCATATTTCGCAGGCAGAAACGAAAGCTTGTCCTCCCCGATCAAGCGCTGCTTTTCCTTGTCCAAGTCCCGGCTGCTCTTGCGATCCCGCTCCTCTTCTTTCTCATAACGGTATTCCTTCTCCCGGCGGCTGTCACTGCGCTTGATCTCAACGGACTCGTACTTTGTTTGGCGATAGCTGGCATCGTCAGAAGGAAGTCGCGGCGATCTATCGCCCCTGCGGCGGCGTCCCCCACCATCACCGTCATCGTCGTTGTCGCCTGGGTACGGAGCACGTGCGATGTTCAGCGCATCCCGGTCAAGTGGATCTCGACTGCGATCACGGTCACGGTCACGGCCAGATGGAGAGCGCTCGATAGCCGCGCTGGGGCGACCGCTGGGGGACCGAGAGCGGCTGCGCCGGCCGGCGTCGTCAACTTGTAGAGACATGCCGCTGTCCTGTCGGTGAAAGCTTTAGTCGCCGTGAGCTCCGGCTATCAGGCCAAGTATCAAGTATCAAACTGAGGATGGACAGGGGACTATCCCGGCTTTTTCATCAGCCAATGAATGGATAAAAAGGTGAAAATAGGGCAACACACAAAAAGAAAAGAAACCCAAGCAGCGAAGAAAAAGAGGGTTCCGTGAACACGACAAGAAGGCTGGGTTGTGGAGTACGATCCGGTTATTAATGAAACATATGCCCCGCCAAGCTGCCCTGTCGAGCAGGGTATTGGAGAGGAGGGGGTCGTAATGGAGGGGGTGTCAGGTCCGCAAGTGGTGTGACCAATGGCACATGTACTGGACCCTGCCAGCTGTCTGCATATGGGGCGTATTGTGATGTTGATCGAGTCGTAGGTCACGGCGCAGCCAGATTGGAACGTTCAGCTCGGTCCAAACGTTCGAAAGCGGGTATTTCCATTCTGCTACTTGCCGTTGCGAAGACGATGACCAAGGCATTCGCTCCTAAAAATGGTTTCATGTCGCTTGTCGATCTGTGTCAGCCATTCTCGTACTCGTACTGGCAGGGAAAAGAAACAAAACCGGTTGTATTTGCGCCATACCATGTTATGCAGGCAAATTTGCTTTCAAGGCAAGGTGGTAATGCATTATAGATACAGCAGCAAAGCGAAGCTGGTCAGATAGGGACACAAGGTTCTGCGACGGCGGACACGAACGAATCAGCGATCACCGGTGTTCTTCACTCGGAGGAGACATGCGGGTATTTGTTTTTTGCAGCATGGAAAACAGAGCTGCGCCGGCGTTTGTTGAGGGGTCATGCAAAAAGATGTTGCCGAGATGAAACGAACTTGTTCGAACTTGTGCTTGGCGGCAGGAGCTCTGCACTCCGCCTTCCTTCCTTCTTTGCATTCTTCTTTGCAGTGTCGAGCAAAACAATAAAATAAAACGTAAAATAAAATATGTTTGTAGCACTAGTTCTTATTGTTGGTTGGGTGGCCTTCTATTGTTGGCCTAATCTGAAAAAAATGCCGTTGTATCTCGTGCAAGCTGCTATGACAGCCCCAAAAAGAACGCCGAGCCAGTACCAGTATGGCCTCCTCCAAAAGCAAAAGCAAAAGCACACCAATCCTACTGTGCCTTTCGTAATAAGGGGCTCCATCCAAACGCCATGCTGCTACGTCGTACCGACAAATACGACCCGTTTGTACTTGGTATATGCTTGGGGAGTTGGGCAAGAAAGAATGCTGACTCCAACCGTTGTCCCGTTGTCCCATGTACTATATACCATTTTCGATGTGATCGCCAGGGCCTTCACCATTTTAGTTGGTTTTTGTTTTTTCGTCGCATATCGGCGTCGCAAGATCTAATTGCGGGGGGGCTGCCTGCACAGAGAGTGGCTGCCTTTCGGAAGTCTGGGAATACTTGCCATCCTCCAGACGGATGGCCCCCAACGCAGGAGCAGCTTCGATATCCATCGATCTATACCGGTTAGTGCCTGTTCGATTGGGGGGGGGGAATCCATAGTAGAAGAGAGTGCACTCACTTTTGCCTATTGTTGTCCAAAAACTCGATCACCATAATGACCAGCAGGAAGACGGCCACCATGCTGATGACCATCATTTCGTCGTGCGCATGCCGAAGCTGTGTGTAGCATGGAACAGAGGCCTTGTTGGCGTTCTTCAAGTTGCGCTCCATCGATTCGGAGTACACAGCTGCGATGACGGCTTCAGCCTCATCCAATGCCTCTTGAACAACCACAAGGCCACCTGTCTTTGGTCTCTTGGCTTTATCGGGGTGATCCGTTTTGTTCTGCTTCCGGGCTGTAGATGGCTGGCTCTTGCTTGTGACAGGTGCTGGTGCGGGCATCGGAGGAGCGAGACCCATGAGATAGGAGGTAATGAGAGGCCGGGGAGTGGCCAAAACCACGGCCGGGGAGACTTTTGGAGACGGTGTATATGGTCGGTTGTCGATATCGGCAGCCAATGGCTGAGTGTGCTGCGAGACGGCCTTCCGTGGTGGTGCTGGGACTGCATCACCCACGTTTTGGTCAAGCACCACAGAAACGGGTACGGCCAGCACAGGTGCGGCCACTGCAGAGACAAGCAGAGAGATGAAGAGGGTATTTGACCGCATTTTGAGAGCTGAGTGACGAGCGATCGAAAAAAGTGACGATATTGCGCGTGCGGCAGTGAATATATACGCAAGAGACAAAGAGCACCTGTCTGAGACGAAGGGAGCTGTGCTTGACTTCAACAAAGACAGTTTGAGCAAGATGCCCTTAGTCAGTCGATGATCCTAATCATGCGTTCCCATCTAGGTACCCCGGACGACAAAGACGGACGGACGACAAGCACGCTTAGTATTCCGCGTATCGACACCAATCGTCAGACAATAACAGTCAGATCAAGATGGCAGAGCAATGAAGCAAGAGACAATGAAGTAGAACAAAGACAGACGGAACCGTATGAGGTGAGAGTGAGGGTTACAGTGAGTATCGGCAGAGACAATAATTGGATGTGGAATAAAGGATGCCTCAACTAGGGCGAGGGAGACAATGGATAATATATGAGCTGCCCGAATGTAGGAATACTCAGTCGTGAAGGTGGCTTGGACTCCAGTTCAATCGACCCGCCCAATTATATTGGAGCAGGCTAAAGTGACATACCGTTGTACGGCTAGCGGGGGGTGGTTAATCGAAGAGAGGGGAGAAGGGGTGTGTGTCTCAATCGAGAAGCTGAGTGGTGCGGCGTGGAAATACAGGTGGGCCAGCGGCTACGAAACAGCAACTGTCGCCAGTTTCGACCTGCTGCGATGCGATGATACCGCCAAGCAAAAGGCGGAGAGCAATAGCCAGAAGAAGGTGCGTTAGTCGATGGCTTACGACGTATCACTCCGTGCTCCGTACTCCGTACAGCAAAGGCAGGAACGGGACCTTTCCACACTTGGGAAGCCGCCCAGGGCAAGAGCGACACGGGCCAGGAACGGCACACATCGCAGCACACGCGCACGCCCCTGTGCATGATATGTGCCCGTTGGTTGCTGACAATCGTTCCTGCCTATATTCACCGTTCTTTATTTTGTCTCTGCCCCCTAGCCTCTCTTGCACACATGCAATAAACTGCGATCGGCAGGCTATTGGCTACTATGCAAAATGCCACAACGGAAAGAACAGACACAGCTGCTGTCTCACTGCTTCTTACGGCTTGCTGCAACATGTGGGAATGGCGCAAGCTCGGGCCAGTGTCAGCTACTACGGAGTATGTAACGAGGAGGTCTAGGCCCGTTGTATCGTATCTTGCATAGTACTCCGTACACTCTGACGGCATGAGGATGGATATTGCGTACATACTTTCGCCTTGGCAGCGCTTGGCCGTGAGGTGATTACTCCGTAGCGACCAAATGGGAATGGAGGATGGGGTGGCTCGACCAGAATAGTATGGTACCGAGCAGGGCAGCATGGCTTCTAAACCGCTTCAGGCCCATCTACGAGTACACGGAGTAAGGTCGGGTGCGCGACTGTGCCAAGCCTCTTCCAAACGGATCCAACGTCGCGCTGGGAATGGGAAACTTTTCTTGCCTCGGCGATCTCAGCCTGGCGTACGAGTATTCCGTACAGGCACAAAACACCCCCTTGCCGCCCATCATAGTTCCAACGACAGCGAAAGGGATGTCCAAGCTTGTCCGACGGACAACGGAGAACGGAAGATGCTGCAAAGCTTACGTAATTCCAAGGCGAGGCGCAGTCGTTAGCGCTAAGCATGCTATTAGCACGGGTGCTACAGTGGGGAGTAGCTTACAATGCGACCATCGAGGCATAAACTGCATGGTATCTTATGTTCAAAAGTCCACCCTTCCGCATTTGGCTCTGGCTAGGGTCATTTCTCCTGTTGTCTGCGCCGCACCTGGAAGACGACACTCGGAAGCACGGCAGTGACCTCGTATTCCCGTAACCCCGTAATATTGGTCCTATTTATTGTACTTGCAAAGCGCGAAGCCCTACCGGCGGATCGGCTGCCACACTACATAGTATGGCTAAGGCCGGTAGATTGCACAGCCTTGCCGGATGAGAAGCTTTTGTGCTGGGTTCTTCCGCTTTTCAATTATTTATTCGTATTCACATATTGGCCCAATCTTTCTCTCCCGTTCTTTTGTTCCATTTTTTATTACTTGTTCCATTACTTGTTCTATATCTTAGCTTCGCTTCGCAGTCGGGCTTCCCGCTATTATGCACGCTCACCGAAGCAGGCCGGCATGTCCGTTTAGAGCCGACGAGCATAGCCGACACAGATCCGCCTCATGCACTGAGCCCCCAGTATACTTACTATATACTATGTAGGATCTTGCCAGCGTGTGATACTATGTGCGGCACGTGGGCCGAGAAAATGTAGGCCTTAGCCTCGAGGGAAAAAGGGGCTATACGAGAAACTCGGAACTGGCGATAAAAAACGTGTCTAAGCTCGTCCGAGATTAAAGAAATCGTCGACCGCTAGAATTCGCGCCCAAGTAGAAAAAGTAGGCAAGCAGAGCGTGCGCATTGCACTGGCCCAAAGTAGAAGGTAAGATGCGGGCACAGACGGTGCCGAATAGAACCCCCTTTTCATATTGGTCCGGAGAAAGGAAAAAAAGAGTAATGGCATTTTCATTTGGCACTACGAGAACCACCATAGCCACGAGACTAGGCAACAGCCGAGGGCACAGGACAATAGGAACAGGGAGACCGGAAACTGTATAACGGGAAAATAGAATGCTCTTCCGAAATAGTAGAGATCGTATGATGCTGAGCCCTTCTCCACTATGCAGTTCTCTTGACAACTGAAACTTGACACGCATCTCCTTCAGACTGGCCATCCTGTGCTATGCGGGCCTGTGATTTGAATAAGGTGAGCCCGGAAAGTTCGTATAGATGCCAACAACGAGTCGACACTTGGGCATCTACAAGTCGGTGACGCCCATCGTATCGGTATGGCTCGGAGACGAGTAATTCCAGGCAGGCAGTACATTCCTGTCCCCCAGCAGTCTTTCGACGGGCTGGACGGTGTCACGACTTAATCTGCCGCCACAACCGATGGACACACTTGGCAAATACAGAACCGATGACTGCCTCCTGACTGAGCCTCCCATACAGGGTCATGTTTGAAATTACGAATAGAGGTACAGGAGGCAAAAAGGGATAACACCGCCTTATAAAAATGTGTGTGATTTGGCATGAGTGCATCAAAGGAGAACCAGCATGGACTACAAAGCGTACACAGACACATACCACAACGTAGTCTGCATGAATGTATCTATCTCTACGGGACACGGATGTCTGGTAGTATCCGTTTTGCACAGTAGACTTTCATACCCATAGCCGAGAGAGCTACACAGCCCGCCCATATTGTGCTGTCATCGTAACTCTTTCCTATACGATAGGTCATTTCAAATTCTGTAACAGGTAATTGAGCCGGTGTCGGACATCTGGTAGAATCGTTGCTTTCATCTTCGAGGTCTGAACTGCAGAGAAAGATACATGATCCTTTTCACCGAGACCACATGAAGAGCAGGTGTCTAACCGCGTTGTTAACCGCTGTTTTGATGAGACGCCGCAACTGCACTGTATACAATGGCTGCATTACGCAAGAAGAAATTCAGAAAAATTGTCTTCTGGCACCCTATTATGTAGAAAGAAACTCGTCTGGGTATGCTCTTCGGTCGTTCTTCCGATCGATTTCATGCGGCCAGTCAGACTTGGAAATAAGCTTGTATATTCTCCTCTAAGAATGAACTAAGGACTGCGAGAAAATGCTCCGTCCTTACTTTACGAATGGCACTGCAGGTATAAAGTGCTACTAACATGCATTTCAGCCAATCAAAAGGTAGCCTAGCGCAAACTCTGTCGTATATCTGCCCATATTTTCTAATATAGGATATAGTAAGTAGAACACTCCGTAATAGCATCGGCCGCCGGTTAAGTTGAAGTGGTGTTGTGATAACCATCTGCTGTTCCTTCTCAAATTCACGGGCGCGAGTTCAACTCTTGATCAGCAGAGCAACAGTGCAGTGGGAAGAGACAATATGCAACTTACATATTTGCAAATCACAGCATAGTAGCTAGGGCAATGGCAACTACGTATTGTTCTTGCAGCAGGAGTATTATACACCGACCCTGTGCTGCTTTAATATAAGATAATATGCGAGATATAAGGCAACTTCTTGCTCCAACTAGAGTTGGTATAGCCTTGGCACATTTGGTTGGCCAACTAGTAAAACGCACCAAAGCAAAGAAGAGGTTGAAAGGTGAAAAGAGACGCGGACTCTCTGATTAATGGGTTAGATAAAATTCTTACACGAGTGAATGATATTGAGAATATTTGGGAAGCAAAATGAGTCACTTCCCAAGATAGTAAGAATCGGAGCATATGACAAACAAGCTTTGGCTAGGAAATGCCAAGAAAGCAAAAGAAACAATACTCCGCAAAGCATGGGCACAAAGAAGTGGGACTATTGGGAGATGGGGTTCACGGAGTACTCCGTAAGACCGCTTTGGAGGAAGTCTCCCCGCAAGACAGGGGGTTTGCACTGACACGTGATGATGATGACATGATGCAGTGACAGCTTACTCGTTTGGGGATCTCACCGGCGAGAAGCAAGCCAAGAGTTGGAGATAAAGTTGAGATCACGATACTGTCATAAGACAAATGTGCGTGCTAGTTCTCTTATTCTGTCTAGCCCACAATGTTTACTAAAGCGAGAATCCTTGCAACCCAAGACTACTGCTGTATATGCGTGTATGTCATTCTTTTTATCATCTCAAAATCGGTATATACTAAAGGCTACATGTTATGATGAAATTAGGCGCCTTCCCATACCCAACCCGGGGTTCCGGCATCATAGCATCAGTCGTAAATGAAAATGAAATCCCACTCGTTCTCTTAGTCCCCGGTTCGTTTCCTCTTTAGCATAATACAGTAAACCATCTCCTCATTAGTGCCGGTCGCAAAGAACGGGTATCTCCAGATGACCGAGGCCTGGCAGGCTTTGGTCTAAGCATAGGAATTCTAGACGTTGTCAACAATCATGTTCTCGCCCATGGTGGCGGTCGGATGTGATGTGGACTCCTTGCGGGTGCGCTCCATCTCGTCGGCCGTCGGTGGGATCCACTCGGCACTCTTCCAGGGAAGGACACCCTGCAGGTACATGGTGTCGATCTCCTCGAGTGTCCGGCCTTTGCCCTCGACGACGAAGAAGTAGACCATGAGGAAGCCGAGCACGTTGCAGCCGGCAAAGACGTAGCCGTAGCGGAAGTCGATGGCTCCCGTGATGAAGGGGGTGAAGAAGGCGATCAGGAAGTTCCAGATCCAGTTGCTGGCAGTGGCGAGCGACATGGCCGAGGCACGGTACTCGGACGGGTAGATCTCAGCCATGATGGTCCAGATCATGGGGCCCCAGGTGGTGGCAAAGCCGAGAATGAAGAAGCAGGCAAAGACGATCAGGGCGATGCCGGCCGAGCGCGTGCTCTTGGGATCGGCACGGTCTAGGGAGAAGTGGCCGACTGAGGCGAAGATCAGGAAGCAGATGAACATCCAGATGGAACCAGTCATAAGCGACTTGCGACGACCAAAGTGCTCGATCATCCACAGGCCGATAAAGGTGACGGCAAAGTTGATGGTGTTCAGGATGATCTGCGTGACGTACGAGTCGATGTTGACGGACTCGAAGATGGTGGTGCCGTAGTAGAAGAAGTAGTTGGCGCCCGTCAGCTGCTGCAGTGCCTGGATGGAGACACCGATGAAGATGCGGTAGGCCATGCGCGGTGCGCTGAACATCCTGCAGAAGGTGCGGATGCGGCCGTCGTTGCTGTGGTTCTCCGCCTTGAGCTTGGTCTCGATCTCCTCAATCTGGTTGCGGATGGCGTAGTGGTTGGGGCTGGCGCCGTACATTCTGCAGAGCGAATCGGTCGCGCTCTGGACGTTGCCTTGACGGAACTCAAACCGGGGGGTCTCGGGCAGGAACAGGATACCGACACCGAGGATGATGGTCCAGAGCCAGCCAAGGCCGATGATGGTGCGCCAAGATGCGGAGTTGTTGGGCTGGTGGGTCACGGTGCCATAGTTGAAGCAGGCGGCAAGGAAGATGCCAAACGTGATGAACAGCTGGTATGTCGAGACCATGGCACCGCGGATCCAGGCCGGGGAGCTCTCGCTCTGGTACATGGGCACGAGCAGACTGAGGGCACCGACACCCCAACCGGCAACAAAACGGCCGATCATGATCTGGTACCACTTGTTGATCGAGGCGATCTGGATGACGAAGCCGACGGCGGTGACGCCACACCAGGCCGAGATGGACGGCCGACGGCCGACCTTGTCGGCAATGGGCGCCGCGATCAGGGCTCCGAAGAGCGTGCCGATCGAAAGCAGGCCGACGATGAGACCAGACCGGACGTTGCTGAAGTAGTAGTCGCCATTGGAGTGTTGCTGCCCGAAGCGGTGCATGAAGTCGGGCATTTGCATGAACCCGGAGATCTGTCCGGTATCGTAGCCAAAGCTAGGAAGATCTGTCAGCAAGAGGACGATGCTGGTGGCTCTGGGGGATCATTTGCTTACATCATACCGCCCATCGACACCAGGGCACCCATTACGAGAGACCGGTTGGTGAATCGCTTCAGGGGGGAATAGTCGATCGGGGGGCCTGCGGCACCCTCGACGGCCTTGTCTGACTCCTCGGTACGGTACTGGTCAAAGTAGACCGTTCCTAATCCTTTAGACGCCATGATGTGTTGAGTTAGCAGGAGACAACTGATTGGCGTTGTCCTCCGGCTTGGATGGGTGTGTTGTTGGGTCTTGTCAGATGAAATTGTGTATAAGCGGGATTGCTGATAAGCGGAATTGCTGATTAGCCGAAGCTGATTGCTGATGAGAGAAAGACGATGTGGTGGCACAGAAGGCCGGCTTGACGGGCTCTATATAGGTAGGGTTTCTTTGTTCTCCCACGAGATGTCATGCTGTTCCGAGCTGGCGTCAAGGCCGGGCGTGACATGCAAACTCTGGTTGTTGGTAGTCGCCAGATCCTGTCATCGGACCATTTCGCAAACGGACCGTATCCCCATGTTCTCCAGTGGCCCCGGTCTAGCGCCCCGGATGGCCCGGGGGTCGCAGCATGAGATGGCTGGGGGATTCGAGAACGCTGTGGAGCGGCGACGGCCAGGATGGCTCAAGTATCTTAGTCATCAGACAGAAATAAGGTGCACCCACAATTCTCTGGAGAAGGAGCCGGGGATGGTCCAATCAGTGTGGGCCGGGTCCCCCAGCAAGCCGAATCTAGTCACGTGACCGCTTGTATGGCCGCGCGCATTCTAGCCGGGCTGCGCTTTGGCGGCATAGAGGCGGAAACAGGCGGCAAAAGGAGCAGTGCACCCCATATTTTAGCGGCGAATTTGTGGGTTGGCCGGAAAACAGGTGCTGGCACGTGTCGACACGTCAGGGGCCCAAAGTTCCTGACGCTGCATCTGCTGTCCTTTTCTAGGCATCTGGGGCCGTTGTAGGGCCGACTGTCGGCATTAGGAGCCTATCTCCCAGGCTATCTTCCAGGCCTTATCCACTAATTTTGCGCACATGCGGATTTTTCTTTCTCCTGCTGTTTTCGCTCGGGTCGGCATACCCCAAATCACGATGTTTCTGTCCGCGCTAAAGCAGTCGGTCCGATTGTCTATCGACACTCGTCGTACGCTGGCTACCTCATGATCTGAGAGGCCGCAAGCCTGCCTGATCGTTCGTTTTGAGGCGGCTCGGCTACCCAAGCAGAGAACCGCCGCTTACCCGTAGAACATCCCATGGAAACTGAAGCGCAGCTTCGTACCTGGGATTCGGTACGACGCGGCCTTGTGGCCACGAGACAACTGCGACCGTCTTTCAGACAAAGCTCTGTCTTTCGTACGGACACGTTTTGCAAGTATGTGTCTTACTTTGTACGGCACGCAGCGAGTAACAGATCTGCGACTCTCCGGCCGCTCTTGCGGCAATGGCTCGGCTGTTATTTGTTTTGTGATAGCCGACAAAGCTCCGTGGTTGAGCTATCGAATCCCGAAACTACGGAGTACAAGCTCGTATCGCACAAAGATATGGAGTAAGCCCACCGCCACCCCTATTATTAATGAGTACGACGCTTTCTAAATTTGACCCATGTCACAACTGTATCTTGCTACGACGTACTCCGTAAACTCCAGTCTTGCTCGTTGCAGCTGCTGCCACACTGGCGGTAACATTTCCCCAACCGCCGATCGCACTTTGGGGTCCCCGTGCCCACTCGTATGACTTATCGAATCTGTACGGACTAACGGAGTATGCTTTGGAAGCGCGATCACAGTGTTGTAATAAAAGTTGACACCTTTTTCAAGTTGGTAGAACTCAAGCGAAGGTTTCTGGGTTTCAGTTTGCATCGCACCAGAGTTAACAACCCGTATCAGAAAACCAACTGCAAGTACGGAGCATTCCGCAGAACAAAGACTAAGGAGCTAAACCAAGTATCGACATGTTTTCGGATGATCACCTTGCTACATAGCATACTCCGTAGTGTCTTGGCGTTTTTGCATTGATTACTTGTCGAATAACCGCTACCCATAAGGTAGAAACCGGAGCAGCCGGAAAAGCCAAGTTGCTTAATCCAAAGCCACAAAGACTACGGAGTATGACGTGTTTTTCTTCCACTTGGCTGTTGATCGTTCACCGATTGTTGTAAATTTCGTGTTGGAGCGTCGATGCGGACGAGGGTCTGTGCCTTACTGTACAGCCAATAGAAAATTGCTTGCTCGGCACTAGCCGTAAACGCTCAAAGTCGGCAATGCGTGCACAATTTGACAGGTGAATATATCGTGAGGATTGGTTCTACCTCATTCATTGATGTCCAGTTTTGGTCCCAAGTCTGAGCGCTCAAATTGTTTTTGACTCAAAGGTAATAGCGACTCGTGCACACGCAGAAGATCGATTTTTTTGCAGCCCAGCTATAGGAATACTACGATTAACAAGTACTCGGGATACTCGCAACAGGGCTAAATAAGCCTACTGGCAGGCGATGCCGCGTGGCAATGAACCAACAGGCCACAAATATACCGCTAGAGGTGTTTTGCCGTAGCCGAGCTGGGTCAAAGATGGTGCGGTCTAGAATTGGTTGCGACTGACTATATAATCAGGCCGATTACTTGATTTAAACGAGGCGGTATGACTATCTTCCAATCTTTTCAGTAAGTGTTCCCCCCCCCCAGATGTCAGATGAAGACGCGCAGGAACTCGACCAGGGCCATGATGGCCATGGCCTGACCGTAGGGCATGCTCGTGATGGGGATGTCCTTGTAGTGCTGCAGGTCGTGGCCCATGCCGGTGCCAAAGGACGTGTTGCGCAGCTCGCCGGCATCGTCGACGTTGGCCAAGACGGCGCGAACAGCACGAATGGCGGCGGCATCGTAGGCGGGCGCGGTGAGGTAACGCTTGCGGCGGGCCTTGAGGAGGCCGTAGGCGAAACCGGCAGTAGCGCTAGCCTCGGGATAGGAGCCGTCGGTCTCGGGGATGTCGAGGAGGGTGCGCCAGAGGCCGGTGGCCGGGTCCTGGAGCGGCACGAGGGCGGCGCACTGGGCGTCGAGGGCGTCGCGCAAGACGGTGGCGACGGGGTCAGCGTCAGGGACGAGATCGAGCATGTCGAGGAGCTCGGGGATAGCCATGGTGATCCAGCTGTTGCCGCGGGCCCAGCGGGCGCTGGCAAAGTTGTGGCCGAGGGAGTCGTGGCTGCCGTCGGATGAGGGATCGGAAAACTGCCATCCGTGGAAGAGGAGACCGGTGTGGCGGTCCTGGAGGTACTGCAGGTGCAGGAGGAACTGGCGCTTGGCCTCGGCCAGGTAGTGGGGACGGCCGAGGGCGCGACCGATCTTAGCCAGCGGCAGTACAGTCATCATCAAGGTGTCGTCCCATAGCTGTTGGTGGTTTGTCTCGAGGTAGGTGATGTGCTGCATGCCGCCGAAGCGGGTGCGCGGCAGGTCGTGACAGGCCCACTCGGCCCAGCTGTCGAGCCAGGGCCGATAGGCGGCGTTTCCAGTGCGCTCGTAGACACAGGCGAGCGTCAGGAAGACGGCCATAGTGTTGATGTTCTTGGTGGTGCCGCCAGCCGCAAAGCGGTCGGCAAACCACTGCTCGATGACGGTCAGGTGCGCCGGGTCATTTGTTAGTTCGTAGTACTGCCACAGGCCGAGCAGGCCGATGCCGTGGGTCCATTCCTGGAGATATCAGTGTGTGTGTGTCTCTCTCTGTCTCTCTCTCTCTCTCTGCCTGTCATACCCAGTCATTCCAGCCTTTGGTGTCGATGACACGGCCGTCTTCGAGCGTCATGAGAAACTCGCCCGTGGTGTCCTTGATGTTGATCATGCCGTCGATGAGCAGACGGATCTTGGTGTGCACATCCTGTGCCTTGATGCCGTGCATCTCCAGAGGCATGATGAGAAATGGTGAAGGGGATGACAGAAAACACAGAACATGCAGCTCCTTCCTTTTTGTGTTGTTCTGTAGTCCCTGTGACGGATCGCTGTTTCCTCGACGAGGTTCTTGCAGACACGTGACCAGCAAAGACGGGTTGCCTTCACCCGAGCTTCACGTTTACAGCAGCAGTTGACGGTGCCAGCTCGACCGAGATGTCTTGGCTTGTGATATTGGCCGTTCGTTCTGGCGGCCCGTCTGGGGGAAATGCGGGGTTGTCATGGTGGGGCAGGGGAGCTTTGATCGGCAGTTCCTATTGACGGGCTGAACTACCCCCTCAACAACTCTCCCCATGGCCTCATGTTCTCACTGGCCATAGCAAAGGAGGGGAGAGAGAGGGGGGACTGAACATATGTGCTGTCGACGCGTAAATTATAAAGCAGACATGATGCAGTCAAGAAAACAATGCATTCTGGCCATCATGTACGCACTATAACGCTTTTATAATCATTTCTATAATCCTCTTTACCGAGCCCAGCAGCACCATGTCCAAGAACGACTCGACTGCCCGGGAGCCGGTGCAACTAGATGCCGTAGTTGGCGACAAGATAGCGCAGCAGACGACGACAGATATGGACAAGCTCGACATCCGGGAGGTGGAAAACGGCGTAGGCCTAGACGCAGACGACAAAGGCGGGATGGACCGAAGCAAGGTGGACCGGGAGCTGGCCCAGTACGTGTCGGACGTGCGGGTTCACGTGACGGAGGAGAAGAATGCGGAGCTGCGACGCAAGATCGACCGACGGGTGCTGGTGGTGATGATAGCGACGTATTTCCTGCAGGCGATCGACAAGGGCACCATGTCGTTTGCGTCGATCATGGGCATTGTGAAGGACGCGCACCTGCGCGGACAGGAGTACAGCTGGCTGACGACGTGCATCTACATCACGATCCTGGTGGTAGAGTACCCGCAGAACTGGATGCTGGCGCGGGTGCCGATCGCCAAGTACCTGAGCTTCAGCATTGTGGCATGGGGAACGGTGCTGGCATGCACGGCGGCGTGCCGCAGCTTTGCCAGTCTGGTGATCGTGCGCTCGCTGCTGGGACTGTTCGAGTCGGCCTGCCAGCCGGCCTTTGTGCTGCTGTCGGGCACGTGGTACCGGCGCGACGAGCAGGCATCGCGGGTGGCGTACTGGTACATGATGAACGGGGCACAACAGGTGGTCGGCGGGCTGCTGGCGTACTGCTTCAGCCGGATCCCGGCATCAGGCGCGCTGCGGTCGTGGCAGTGGCTCTTTCTGTCGTACGGGCTCGTGTCCGTCCTGTTCGGGCTCTTTGTCGGTTGGTGGATGCCGGACAGTCCGATGCGAGCGCGCTGCTGGTCCGAGGCCGACAAGCGGCTGATGGTCGAGCGCGTACGCGACAACCAGACCGGCATCCAGAACCGGGCCTTCAAGGAGGACCAGGCCATCGAGGCGCTGGGTGACCCGCAGGTCTGGGGCTACGCGCTCGTGGCCTTTTGCACGACGCTGCCGACGTCGGGCCTCGGTGCCTTCCAGGGCATCATCATCCAGGGCTTCGGCTTCTCGACGCTGCAGACCCAGCTGCTGGCCATGGTGCTGGGCTTCTACATTGTCGCCGTGCTGCTCGGGTCCGTCTGGCTGGTCCGTCGAACGGGCCAGAATCTGCTCGTCATGCTCGCCTTCTGCCTGCCGTCTTTTGTCGGCACCATCTGCCTGATGGTCGTGCCGCTGCAGACGACGGCCCAGAAGGCCGGCCTGCTCGTGAGCTACTACGTCACCCTGTCCTTCTGGTCGGCCCAGACGCTCGCCCTGTCGATGATCTCGCGCAACATTGCCGGCCAGACGAAAAAGTCTGTCGCCCTGGCCCTCAACTTCATCTTCTGGTCGGCCGGCAACGCTGTCGGGCCGCAGGTCTTTCTCAGCTGGAACCGCCCGCGCTACTTCATCGCCTTTGCCACCCATCTCGGCTGCTACTCGCTCCTCGTCCTCGTCCTCGTCGGTCTGCGTGTCTACCTCGTACACGAGAATGACCGGCGCAACCGGCTCGCCGCTGCCGGCCTGCAGGACGCCCACGATGAGCAGTACACCCACGCCTGGGAGGATCTCACTGATCGCCAGAACCGCAACTTCCGCTACGTCTATTAATATATCAATATAGCTTTCAGACCCTGTCGACGTCCATAGCAGACGGAGTGATACTCCGCAAATTCAAATTCGATACCACTGCCTCAAATGCTGCCGTCGTAATTCTGCACTGCGGCCGCTAGCTAGAGCTGGGCTAGACCTTCTGCGCCCAGACGCTCCTGCCCCCTTTTCTGCCGTCGGTGGGGCATTGCTCGTATCCTGCCCTAGGGAGTATGTACTCGTAAGATCCGTCGTAGAGGGACGCTCCTGCCCCGTCAGAGACAGTTCGTCAACACCAAATCTGCTAACTTGACACAAATCCGTCTTCTCCTTCTCTTTTCCTTCTCCCCGTTTCTTCTTCCTCTCATCGGCCGCCTTTCTGTCAACGGCACGCACTCTCCAAACATGCCCGCCTCGTCACGCCCCCGGACGACTGTCTCTTCCTGCTAGCCGACCTGTCTTCCCCGCCATGGTCGTTGCCGCGCGGTCAGCCGCGCTTATGGAGCATCTCGCCCTGAGGCTGCAACCGCTCTTTGGTGGCTCTACTTACCAGCCGCTGCCCACGATGACCTCTGCCTCTGTTCCTGCTGATCCCGTCGTCATCTTGACGGGCTCGCGTCCGCGCAGCAGCCGCCGCCTGTTGCAAACGCACCACCGCAAGCTGCTAGCCGCCGCCCTCCTCTCCTTTGTCGTTTTTGCGATCGTCGTGCCGATCTTCAGCCTTGGCAGCGGCCAACAGGCGGCCACCCGTCGCGCCCGCTGGCGTGTTGGCCGTGAGGCCTACATCGACGCCGTTGTGCAGAACCCGGTCGAGGGCCTGCTGGACCCTGAGCCCATCCGCCGCCAATGCGGCGAGACGTCCTTCCAGCTCGGCCTCGTCTGGCACTGCGACTTGGCTACTGGCGGCATTGCTACCCAGACAAACATCTGGCTCAATTGCCTGCGCTATGCTCTCGAAGCAGGAGGTTAGTCATGTTGTCTTTCTCCTCTCTCCTCTCTCCTTTCTCCCTCTAACCTGCCCAGCCACTACCGTCATCCTGCCTCGCATCAGTACGCGCGACGATCACGGCCACATCATCGACCTTGAAGGCCAAGGCACAGACCTCGCCCAGGTCTACGACGTCGACTTCTTTCTCACAGCCTGGCACGATGCCTGTCCACTGATGCGCGCTGTGCTCTCCGACGCTGACGTGCCAAACCTGCCGCCGCTCGCCTCTTCGCCCCGCCTGAGCCCCAGCGCCATCGGCCACTTTGCTCGTAAGCAGGATCTCATTATCGACCCGCGCGAGTGGCGTCACGCCTTTGACGACTGGCTGGTCAACAGCGCTGGCTCCGATGCTGTCACCATGTCGGCTGAACATCCTGTACGCGTCGTCCAGCAGGCTGCCCTGGCCCAGTGGAATCGCGATGCCCACTCTCCCGGCTTTACCAATGCTTTTCCGCGTCTTATCCGCCATCCGGCCGACATTCGCCGTGTCGCTGCCGTTGCACTCTGGGCCCTCGAGAACAGCGTGCACCAGGCCGTCGTCTCCGACGCCGTGCTGTTTCCTCATTTAGTAGACAAGTATGCTGCCATTTCGGCCAGCAACGCCCGCCTGCCGCTCATCAACGGCTCGCTCTCCACCAAGCTCGGTCCTCATCGCATCGCGCCAGCCGGCTTCCTGGGCGTCCATCTGAGCGAGCCCGACGACGTGACCACCCAGGCCGGCTGGCCTGGTTACCACGTCCAAGCGACGGCGTACTTTGACGAGGCCGTGAGCAGCGGCCTGTCGACCGTCTTTCTGGCCTGCGGCTTCGAGAACTACGCCAAGCGCTTCCGCGGAGACGCCTGGCACCGTTTTCACCACGACGCTGCCCACCGCAGCCTCAAAATTGTCAACACCGAGGAGCTGTTAGACGGCACCCCTGAGCTGGGCCTGCTGCGCAATATGACCTGGGACCAGCGGTCCGCCGTCGACTTTGAGGTCCTGCTGCATGCTAGTCGTTTTGCTGGCTTCGTGCGCAGCCGCTTCAGTTGGCAGCTGGCCGTCCGTCGCAGCCTCGTGCCCGAGGCTGGCATTCCCACCCTCTCGGCGAGGTCGCTTCCCGTCGTCCCTGTCGTCCCGGTCGAGGCCCCGACCGAAAACTACGAAAAGTACCGCGACGGTCTCAGCGTGATCGTCGGCAATGCCGATTCCATCGTCATCCAGGGCATCTGGCCATGACCGACCGCAAGACGAAGAGGGAAGAGGCGGTGTGCGTGGGAGTAACGAGAATAGGTTGTTAATTTTGCGTTTGGCAGGTGCTTAGGTAATCAAAGTGATACAGCAGGGGCTCTGGATCGGAGTATCCCTTTTTATGGTGGCACCTTGCGTGTTTGGGTATGTACATGTATATTATCTTACGACCTGTAAGTATAGCGAATAGAATTGGCACGCTTTGTGATGCAACGACGCTTTTTCTGGTTGCCAAGATGTGCCTTTCTCTCGTACCGACTGTCCCCACATGGGACGCCAAACTCCCAACGCCCCGTCCAGAAGAAGAGCAGAGAAAGGAGAGAAATATGCTGGAATGTGCAGGAGATGCACAAATACATGGACAGGCCTCACGACAGAAACTTTGCGTTTCCCTCTTCTTTGAACAGCCAGTCCTGGCTCGCGTCAATCATAAAGTCGGTAATGTTGAACTCGTTTGTGATGGGTGCGCCGGCTGGCCGGCTGTCGATCGTGCCGTTCTCGGTGTCTATAAGGACATTGCTATTGGTCGTATTGTTGCTGTTGTTGTTGTTACCGCTGTTGTTTCCGTTTCCGTCACTATTTCCAACCTGGCCGCTCGTCTCGGTCGGCATGCCGAACGGCAGCCGCGGCATGTTGAAAAAGTCAAAGACGTCGAGGTACTCGAGCTCGTTGGGCTGCGGTGTGCGTGCCGGCGTGAGGCTGGAGAGCCGTGTGGTTCCGCTGCTGGGCTGACTAAGCGACGACGTCCAGAGACTGACACCAGCACTGCCACCATTCGCACCACCACCAGCACCAGTGGCGGCGCCAGAAATGTGCCGCGGCTGGCGACTGATCAGCAGGTCGAGGTCAAAGGCGGTGCGGCGCATGTCGGCCAGGATGCGCACGCTGCTGGGCGTGACGCCGTCGCCGTGGCGCTCGCTGTCGCTGTGCTCGTCCAGGACGCGCTGCAGCAGGGCACAGTAGCGGGCGGCGACGGGCCAGTAGCGGCTCATGGAGCGCAGGGCGTCGACAAAGTAGGGCACGCGGGCGCTCAGCTTGTGCTCGACGGTGGAGCCGTGGACGAGCAGCAGGCGGGCGGCCACCCAGAGCGAGAAGGCAAAGGGCGGGCCCAGCTTGGGCAGCAGGCCGGCGCCGACGACAAACTCGGTCAGCGTAGCAATGTTCTCGACCGCGCTGTGGCAGCGCTGGCTGGCCGAGTAGCTCGGCGTGAAGATGGGCGAGCGGGTCGTCGGGTAGGCCGAAGACGAGTGCAGCCGGATGATGGCGGTGTGATAGGTCACGTGCAGCATGACCCAGCCACAGCGAACCGTCTTGGCGTAGTGGTGCTGGAAGAGGCGGGCCATGTTGCCATGCTCGGCCGGCAAGCCAAGCTTCCAGCTTGTCAGCAGCTGGTCTAGCTGGCGATACCGCATCTGCCACTGCTCCACGTCGCCGAGCGAGGAGATGTCGACCGGCCGCTTGAGGAAGTTGTGGATCTTGGTCAGGATCCCCAGGATCTCGACGTAGTAGCTGAAGGCGCCCAGGTTTTCCGGCCGGCCGACCAGGCCGCTGTGGCGACCGGTCTCGTCGGCCTCGAAGCCGTCTCGGCTTCCACGACTGCCAGCACGGCTGCCACTGCCACCCCCCTCTGCGCCACCAGCGCCGTCCACGCTGCCGACATCCTCAGGCCGGTCGGTCCGGAAAAGCCGGGTCTCGACCCGCTGGTTCTTCGCCCACAGGTCGTCGCGGCACGGCAGCGTCCGGTCGATCTCGCGGTCGTCCAGCGCAAACTCAAAGGCGGTCGCGATGGTGGCGTACCGGTCCAGCAGGTAGATGACCCAGAACAGGCGGCGCCGCGACTCCTCCTCGACAAAGTCGCGCGGCTCGGGCAGGATCATGGCCCGCAGCGTGTAGATGGACGTGTAGCTGGGCGAGACGGAGAAGGAGGTGGACTCGACGGCCAGGCCCAGCTGCACGACGGCTCGGGTGATCAGGGCCATGATGTTCCAGCCTGGCGGCCCGTTGCTGCTGCCGCAGAGATCCAGGGCCAGGATAACCATGGCCTGCAGCGCCTTGACGGACGAGTTCTCCATGCCGTACAGCAGCACGCGCTGCTTGGCGATGTCGTGGTAGCGCTGGCGCTTCTCGTCCGTCAGCCGGGCGTCGGTCGAGAAGCGGAGCGTGGTGGCCACGATGGCGTGCAGCAGGATCTTGTTTGTCTCGTCCGTCATCGATGGTCCGAAGAGCGCCTCGATCGTCGGGTTGCGCTGCAGCAGCGGACACCACGTGTTGATGTGCTTGAAATACAGGTCCACCAGCGCGTACGAGAGGTCGTATGGCGGCAGGTCCTGGTCTGACCCCAGATACGACCGGCTGGCCCCCATGCCCATGCTGGGCGAGCCGTAGAACTCGCGTGCAGCCGGCGTGGACAGGGGGGACTGCTGCGAGTGGTGTGAGGGCGATATGCCGCTCAGGGGCAGGGGTCCGGGACCAGGACCAGGACCGGGACCTGGTCCGGCTGCTGGCTGCTGTCCTGTAGAAAAAGCTCCCGTCGACGGCCGCTGCAGGAAGAGGGCGGCCTCCGCTTGTGGCGTGTGCACGACGTCGACACGGCCGAAGAGTGTCGCCGGTAGTGGTGCACGGTGCTGGGGCGTTGTGTGGTCCTCGCTTTCCGGGCTCCCGTTGCTGTCACGGACACTGCTTGGATGCTGGATGACGGCCGGAGAGCGGTGGGAGTCGGCTGCTCGGCCTTCCCATGGCATCTGCAGCAGCTCCGAGTGTTTTCGCAGGATGGACTCCAGCCGGTCCAGCCGAGCCTCGAGCTCTCGGCCGTAGCCTGCACGGAGACCCGGCTTCTTGCGCTCCTTGTACTCGCAGACGGCTCCATTGCGGCTGCACCAGCCACACGAAGGCTGTCCACGGTCACATTTCACCTTTCTCTGCTTGCAGAGCTCACATCTGTATTGTCAGCAGGATACTCTTGAACAGCAGATGTGGGGGGGGGGGGGGGGTGTGGCACTTACGACACCGAAATGGGTCGCTTTCGCTTGAGGCTGCGAGAGCTGCTGTCCCGTGAGTCGTCGCCGTAACCGTCGCCATCGCCATCACCGTCACTCCGGTCGTCTGCGCTGTCCTGATCGAGATCGTGCTGGCGTGAGAGGGGCAGCGTGCTGCCACCAACACTGCTTAGGCCAGGCTGCATACCGGCGATCACCCTGCAGCCGAGACGTTTGCCGAGCTTGGCTCCTCGAACAGACGGCAAGACGGACAAGCGCACAGCGAGGCGCAGCAAGCAAGCAAGCCAGCAAACAGGAAAAAGCCGTCTCACTCGTCCCTCTGTTGGGTGCCATGCACAAGTGGACCTCCGCTCGGGACAATGTTGTCTGGACCTCTCGGGCTTTCGGCTCGGTTATGGCTGAGCTAAAGAACAGGAGATGGATGTGCTCTGAATACGGATATTAAAAAGAACGGAGGGGGGCACACTGTGTCGCTCAACGGACTAAACAAAAAAGGGAAAGAAGAGAAAATGAAAGAAAGAGAGAAGAAAAGGGCAGAGAGGCCCATCCTCCTCTGGACGGTCCAGAATCTGGTCGGCAATGGGGAAGCCAAAAAAAGAGCAGAGCAGCGGCCAAGCGGCGCTCAGGCGTCTCGTGACTCGGTTTAGTACATCATTTCTCCGCAGTATGCTTGTATGGGGGCAGCCGGACCACGCTATGCTGCGCTAAGAAGGGTCGATCGGTCGGTGGAAGATGGCCCGACGTTGCGCGTAGCTTCCTCTTACCCGCTCAAGTGGCATGGCTGCGGTCGGCTGGCCGAGCTTCGTATCTTACGTGGAAGGTACGGCCGGCCATGTCGAGCTAGGAGTCAGCAATAAGTACTCGTGTGCAGCATTTCGACTTGACCCCTCTTTCTTCTCATCCTTCTTCTCCTTGCTGCTGAATTGCCCTCGACACTTTCATCATGGCTTCTGTACGACAATTTCCCACCATCAAGGCCGTCCGGTCCTTTGTCATCCACGGCGTCGGCACAGGTCAGCCAGGCGAGTCTCGTGATGTATATGCAAGCCCGGACTGACCGTCTTTTTCTGCAGGTGGTGACTACCACAACGTCAAGGGCGGCCACTGGTATGAAGTTCCATGATCGTCTGCTTTTCTGTGTCTGTCTTGGACTGCTGACCGACCAGGCTGATCGACACGCCCATCTCAACGCCGGCATCACGATGGGAAAAGTACCGGGCCTCGCGGACGAGCTGGGGCATCAACGTGCTGGGCTCGTTTCTGGTAGAGATTGAGACGAGCGACGGGACAGTGGGCTTTGCGACGGGCTTTGGCGGACCACCGGCGTGCTGGCTGGTGCACCAGCACTTTGAACGGTTCCTGATCGGAGCAGACCCGCGCAACACCAATCTGCTGTTCGAGCAGATGTACCGGGCGTCGATGTTTTACGGACGCAAGGGCCTGCCGGTGGCGGTGATTTCGGTGCTCGACCTGGCACTATGGGACCTGTTGGGCAAGCTGCGCAACGAGCCTGTGTACCGGCTGATTGGCGGGGCGACCAAGGAGCGCATCGACTTTTATTGCACGGGCCCGGACCCGGTGGCAGCACGGTCGATGGGCTTCTGGGGTGCCAAGGTGCCGCTGCCGTATTGCCCGGATGAAGGTGCGGCTGGGCTGCGCAAGAACGTGGAGTTTCTGCGCAAGCATCGGGAGGCGGTCGGGCCCGACTTTCCCATCATGGTGGACTGCTACATGTCGCTCAACGTGCCGTACACGATCGAGATTGTCGAGGCGACCAAGGACCTCAATCTCAACTGGTGGGAGGAGTGTCTCTCGCCCGACGACACGGACGGCTTCGCCCAGATCAAGCGGGCACACCCTGGGATGAAGTTCACGACGGGCGAGCACGAGTACTCGCGCTACGGCTTCCGCAAGCTGGTCGAGGGCCGCAACCTCGACATCATCCAGCCTGACGTCATGTGGCTCGGCGGCCTGACGGAGCTGCTGCGCGTCAGCGCCCTGGCGGCAGCCTACGACATTCCGGTTGTGCCGCATGCCAGCGGACCCTACAGCTACCATTTTGTCATCTCGCAGCCGAACACGCCTTTCCAGGAGTATCTGGCCAACTCGCCCGACGGCAAGAGTGTGCTGCCTGTCTTTGGCGATCTCTTTGTCAACGAGCCGATTCCCACCGAGGGCTTTCTCACGACGGCCGATCTGGACCAGCCTGGCTTCGGCCTGGTGCTTAACCCAGCTGCCAGACACAAGTTGATCCCATCGGCGTATCTGCTGACGCCACCAGTGCCGCGGCCTTTAAGCACGGAGGAGGAGTGAGTCAGGCGTGAGATAGTGATGCAGAAATGCAGAAAATGAGAATCTAGGGAATACCTTGTAACTGCTGTACTTGTCGTGCAAGCTATGTCTACCCCCGCTCGCTCACGTTCTCCATCTCGCTACAATCGACACCGAGCAGCTGCCCCGCATTAAAGCTTTAGTGTCGAAGCTCTGCTTTTGTCTGCGCATATATTCTTCTGGTCTGATGAGCGAACGGCTTGCTCAGGAGACACGGGACACAGTGTGACAGGCGTCTTGTTCCGAATTGTTGCTCTGCATTCCCTATTCTCCCTCATACCCTACACCCTACACCTTGTACCTCCCTACCACCACCACTCAAACCATGGCCACACAGTTGCTTGTTGGCAAGACGGCCATCATCACGGGAGGTACGACTGGCATTGGCCGGGCGATCTGTCTGGAGTATCTGCGGCAGGGCTGCGACGTGGCCGTGAACCACCTGGGCCTAGAGCAGGACCGACCGCACCTAGACTCGCTGATAGCAGAGGCCAGCCGACTGCGCGAAGAAGCCGCAGGCAGCGGCATCGTGATCGGGCGTCTGGCACATCTTGCGGGCGACGTGGCGGACGCGCAGACGGGTCCGGCGCTGGTGGCACATGCGCTAGCGGTCTTTGGCAGCGGGCGGTTGGACGTGTGTGTGAGCAACGCGGGGGTGTGCGCGTTTGCCGACTTCCTCGATCTGGCGGCGCCATTGTGGGAGCGCACGCTGCAGACGAATCTGGGTGGTGCCCTGTACGTGGTGCAGGCGGCAGCACGACAGATGGCCCGCGGCCAGACGCCGCCAGGCGGCAGCATCATTGGCATCAGCAGCATCAGCGCGCTCGTCGGCGGCGGCCGCCAGGCCCACTACACGCCCACCAAGGCCGGCATCCTGTCGCTGATGCAGAGCACTGCCGTCGCCCTGGGCCGCTACGGCATCCGCTGCAACGCCCTGCTGCCCGGCACCATCCGCACCCAGCTCAACGAGGACGACCTGGCCGACGACCACAAGCGCGCCTACATGGAGGACCGCACGCCGCTTGGCCGCACCGGCGTGCCGGCTGATCTCGCCGGCCCGGCCGTCTTCCTGGCTAGCGACCAGCTGAGCGGCTACGTCACCGGTGCACAGCTGCTCGTCGATGGCGGCCTGTTTGTGAATTTGCAGTAGGGGTCAGGGCGGACAAATAAAAGTGCATACATAAAGGATCTCTACATTTCCATAAAAGTGAAGCCTCAATGTCGAGCGGATACACTAAAAAGAGCACATGACCTCGATGCAGACAATCTAGGAGGGACCTAGATCGCACCTTCCCTGACCTCCATTTCCAAAGTGTGCCAACAGGCGCACCTTCCCTTTTGTCAGGGCTTCTGCCGCTCACTCATCCCATGCACCAGCATCACATTCTCACCAGATGCATGACAGTTTCGGTCGACAATTGGCCATGGCTGACATGCAGGCAGGCAGGTCACCTGTCACAGGTATAAAGCCCGGGTCAGCCGACACGTCGTGGAGCCCAGTCGCCTTTCGCCATTCTCCTTCATCACCCTCTTTCTTGACTCTCTCTTTCATCGCCATCATGCCTGGACCAAGCCAGATGATTCTGCTGGCCGTCGGGTTCTCTGTAGCTGCCTCTACAGCCAGCTGTCCAGACTACTCAGCGTACTCGAAGCAGATGCACGAGCCGCGAAGCAACGGCTCCTACCGGCTGAGCGCCATGCGTCCGGAGCGGGCGTGCCGCACGTTCCACTCGTCCGTGGTCGAGCAGACGATTGCGGCCGTGCAGGCCGACATGGCCGATCCCGACCTGTCGCGGCTCTTTGCCAACGCCTTTCCCAACACGCTCGACACGGCGATCCGGTGGCATGGCGTGGCGGCCGACAACGCCGCCGAGGAGCTGACCTTTGTCATCACCGGCGACATTGACGCCATGTGGCTGCGCGACTCGGCCAACCAGCTGCAGTCGTATCGGTCGCTGCTCAAGGCCGACACCAACAACAGCAGCAACAGCAGCCTGGCCTCGCTGTACCGCGGCGTCATCAACCTACAGGCCCGCTACCTGCTGCAGGCGCCGTTCTGCAACAGCTTTCAGCCGCCGGCCGAATCGGCCCTCGCTCCGGCCGTCAACGATGCCGCAGCCGACGATTCGGTCACGCCGTCTTACTCTACCGATCACGTGTTCGAGTGCAAGTTTGAGCTCGACAGCCTGGCCGCCTTCCTCCAGCTCTCGGCCGACTACTTTGCCGCCACCGACGACGCCGCCTTTTTCGCTCGCTTCCGCTGGCTCGACGCCGTCCAGGCTGTCCTCCACACCGCCGTGGCCATGCAGACGCCCACCTATGCCGCCAATGGCTCCGTCCTGGCCTCGCCCTACACCTTTCGTCGCCAGACCACTCGTGCCACCGAGACGCTCGCCAATGATGGCCGTGGAAGTCCTGTCGCCGCTGGCACCGGCCTCATCCGCTCCGCCTTCCGTCCTAGCGACGACAGCACCCTTCTGCAGCTCTTCATCCCCGCCAACATGATGTTCTCCCGCTGCCTCGAACAGGCTGCCGCCATCGTCGACCGTCTCGGCATCCGTCGCCCCCAGCGGCCTCGCTGATGACATGCACCGCCTCGCCGCTGACGTTCGCGCTGCCATCGCCCGCTTCGGCCTCGTCGACAACCCCAACCAGAACGGCTCGAGCGTCTACGCCTACGAGGTCGACGGCTTCGGCTCTGCCGTCCTCATGGATGACGCCAATATCCCCAGCCTGCTGGCCTCTCCCTTCTTCGGCTTCACCACCGTCGACGACCCGCTCTATCAAAACACCCGCGCCGCCATCCTCAATCAGAACGCCCGCCCCGGTAACCCCTACTTCATGCAAGGCCCCGTCATCAGCGCTGTCGGCGGCCCACACGACGGCCCCGGCATGGCCTGGCCCATGGCTAGCATCGTGCGCATCCTCACCAGCGATGACGACGACGAGATTGCCGCTCAGCTCAAGATGCTCGTCAGCAGCACTGACGGCCTCGGCCTCATCCACGAGAGCATCAACTCTTTCAACCAGTCCGACTGGACTCGCCAATGGTGGGTTTCTGCTTTTGCAATATTTCTGTCTGAGTTGAGTGCTTACTAATCATGATAGGTTCTCCTGGGTCAACGGCCTCTTCGGCCAGATGATTCTGGATCTGAGGGAGAGAAAGCCGGCTTTGCTGAAGCTGAGCTACCAGCCATGAGTGAAGGAGACAGAGAAACGCTTTGTACTTTGTAGTTGAAGTAGAACCTAGGGCCTGAATAGTACGGGACTACTAATCATTGCTCCACTCCTGCTTTCATGCTATTCCATTCGCCGCTCATTAAATAAATCATACACCTCATGCGATCCATCTCGTCTGAGCCCCGTATTATAGCATGCTCAGATCCGCCCAACATTCGTTTTTGCTTCTTCATCCGCGGCTGCGTTGCCGTCCGTCTTGCTGCCGTTGGCCGTCGCTTTTGCCGCCACAGGTCCATCCGAGCTCTCGTCCTTGGGCCGTCCACCGCCGAGAAAGAGCGCCCGAAACTCTGCGTTCGACTTCTTCGTCGGCGTCGCTTCTTCGCCGCTGCTCTTTGTCGCTGCTGCTGCTGCCGTCACAAATCCCGGCACCACCACGCCGCGCTTGGCTCCCTTGACTCCCAGAGTCGGTCGCTTCACGCGTGCTGGCATTAGAGCTGCCGCAAGTCCAGGCCCAGCTTTGACTCCGGTCTTTGGAACTGCCCGGTCTACCCGGTCTATCCGCACTGCAGCCTTCTCGTGGAAGAGCGACGCAACCGGTCCCGTTCGCAGCGTCTGGCCGTCCAGCTTCGAGCCCGTCAGCGCCAGCTGGGCTGCTCCGGCTGCTGCTGCATCGCCAAACTCGATGATGGCACCGCCGTGGTCTGCCCGCAGCACCAGCTTCACAATGTGTCCGTGAGGCTCCGCCAAGGCCCGCACCCGCGCAATCCCGACCGTATCCGGGATGCCTAGCAGTGCAAATGTCCGGTCTCGAGGGTGTGCTTTGGTCGCTCCGTCGCCTGTCGTCGATGCTGTCGTCGCCGTCGTCGCCGTCGTCGCTGTCGGACTGCCGCCCTCACCGGCTCCGGCTTCCGGCGTGGCCGACGCTTCTCGGGCAGCCGGCTTAAAGGCAGCCGGCACCGACAAGTCCACCGACAGGATCTGCGACCCGAACTTGACCTTGTCTAGCTCGGCCACTGCTCGCTCCGCCTCCTCCTTGGTCGCGAACACGACGAAGCCAGAGCCACGGCTGCGTCCGCCAATATTGCGCAGCAACCGCACCCTCTCGACATTGCCGTAGCGCTCAAACAGATCCTGCAGGCCCTGCTCGTCCACGTCGAAGCCGAGGTTCTTCACGTGCACCTCGCGGCCCTCCTCTGCCGCGCCCTCCCGCGACTTCTTCCGCGCCGGGTCCGAGTACTTTGCCGATAGCTTGTAGCGTCCGTCCAGCATCTTTCCGTCCAGCTGCACCGCCCGCGCTGCCGCCTCGGCGTCCCGGAAGGACACATAGCAGAAGCGCCGGTGGGCGTTGAACTTGAGGCTGGGCCACCGGATCCCAAAGATCTCTCCGCACTTCTTAAACAGCTCGTGGATGTAGGCGTCGTCGGTCGTCGGCGGGAAGTTGGTCAGGAAGAGCGTCACACCCGCTGCCGCCTTCACCGAGATCGTTTGGTCCCCAAAGTACTTGCCGTCGCGGATCAGCGCTGACTGCACGTCCTCCACCGACCGAAACTCTACCAGCGCTACCATCGACTTGGTCTTTTCCTCTCTCTGGAGCTGGATGTTGTTCACGTGACCATAGTCTCGGAAGTACTGCCGCACCTTTGTGCTCGTCACGTCTGCCGGTAGGTTGGCCACGTACACCGACGTGTTCTCTCGGTCGCGTTTCAGCTCCGTCTCTCCCCGCTGCTGCTGCTGCTGCGGTGGCGGTAGTGGCGGAGGTTGGTGCTGCTCGCTGCGAGCCCGCTTCGAGGCCAACTCGTCCATATCGTCGGCCACGTCTGTCTCTCGCTTCCGCTTGGTACTCGACGGCGAATCCTGGCCCTCTACTGTGTCATGGGCAGCAGCGATTGTCTGCGGCTCGCCCGGATCCTGCGTCGGCGTCTGCGCCTGAGCTTCGCTCAGCTCCTCCTCAGCCGCCGTCGTCTGAGCCGCCGATGCCGCCTGCAGAGCCGCCACTTCCTTGCGGTGCTTCGCCAGCAGCTTCTGCAGCTTGTGCACGTCGTCAAAGGCGCTCAGGAGCACGTCAACAGTCTGGAAATCGTTGCAGTGCTTGATGTATACCTCCATGATGCGCTCCGGCCAGTTCAGGTGCAGGTTCTGCAGTGCGCGGCGCAGCACCCGCGTTGCCTGCGAGGGCACCCGCTGTGACCGGGAATTCGTAGTCGCCGGCGTCGGACTGCGGATCCGGCCCTTTTGCGCCTGGAAGAGGCCCATCTCCCACGCGTGGAAGCTCAGCCAGAAGCTGTAGTCGTTGGCGTGCATGTCCTTCTCGGCCAGCTTCTCCCAGTGCTCCCGCGCCTCGTCTGCGGCCCCGTGCTTGTCCGTCAGGTGCTGGATCATGATGCGCTCCAGCCGGTAGTTCGGGTCGCCCTGGAAGGCGCTGCCGAACCGCCGCTCGCCCCAGACCTGCACGGCCTCCAGCGCAGCCACCAGGCCGGAGTCGGCCAGATCGACTGCCTCGTCGGACGCGTTCGGGTCCATGGCCAGCCGCCGCAGATAGCCACACCACGACGCGTACATCTCGACCACGGCCGCCATGCCGTCGCGGTCTAGCGAGCTGTTCGTGGCCGCGTGCTTGATGCGCTCAATGTCCGAGAAGCTCAGCCCGACCTGCTCGCCGCAGACAATGTAGCGCGCCCAGAGCGAGCCGGACCACGGGCAGTGCTGGACCGCGCGCTGGAGGATGTCCAGGTTGCTGGGCAGGTGGCGGAGCACCTCCTCGTTGCGGTTCGCGCTGTCCTCAATGTCGCGGCGCAGCTGCGTGGCAAACACGAGCACGTCCGTCCACGTGCCGTCGTCGGTCGCAAACACGCCCGAGAGCGCGCGCGTAAACAGCCCAAAGGCCACGCGCACCGCCGTGACCTTGTCGTCCCTCTCGGCCAGCGCGTTGGCCGTCTCCCAATCCAGGTAGTCTGACATGGCGTTGCGCTGCGCCTGCTCGCTGCCCGATCGCTGGGCTGCACGCTGGGCCATCTCCATGCCATCGCGCCGTTCGCAGATGTGACGGGCTGTGCGCGACTGTTCCGTGACCGCCCGCATCGTCTCCTCGTAGGCTGCCGGGTTGTATTCGCTCAGGAAGGACGAGAAGGCCGACGAGGTGTCGTCCCAGGCCATGTGCGGGATCGCGAGCCGGTTGCGGTACAGGTGAGTGATGCGCCGCACACCTTCGGCCGTGCGCGTGCGGTCGAGCAGCTCTCGCTCCAGAGCGATCCAGCGGTTCCAGAGCTCGTGGCTGTCGCTCAGTCGGAACTGTGTCGCCTCGTGGCCTTCGTTCCACAGGTGCAGCGCCGCGTCCAGCGAGAAGATGTCGGCCGCGGCCGCCTGCTCCTCGGCCGGCCACGTCGCCACCGCGCCGCTGCGCTGTGAGCACTCCACGTAGAGCGACCAGAAATACGTGCAGTAGGCGATCCAGACACGTATGCTGCCGGGCTCGGCGTTGACAGCCGAGCGGTACAGCTCGACCACGCGGATCCGCTGCTCAAGAGCGTTCGCATCGCGTCTCTGCTGTTCAAGGTAGTCGATCCAGCTGTCGTCGCCCACCGGAGCAGCCGGAGCAGCCGGAGAGCTGGCCATCTTTGCTGCCGTTACCGGATTCCGGGGTCATCGGTTTCGCGTCGACCCGAGGGTGGAGGAGCTTCGCATGCGCAGGTACGAGAAAATCGTGCGTGTCGACAAGCCGGCTGCCTCTTCGGCCTCGTCTGCCTGCAGGCTATTCGACCTGGACAAAGACTCAAACAGGTGCGAAAATGGGAGGCAGAACAGGAAAAGGTCGCGCCTCGGCCGAGAGGAAAGGAGCGTTCAGGCGCAGCAGAATTAAGGCAGAGCCAAACAAAAGGATGGACTGAGAGGAGATGCGGAGTGGCAGAGAGCGGAGGAAGAAAAAAAAAGTGTTGTGCTGGATGGACAACGGGTACGGAAAACGAAAAACGAAAAACGGAAGACGGAAAACGGGAGAAGTACCGAATGCAGCAGATTGGAGATTATCCCTCTTCCCACTTGCTCTCCGCTATGGCAACGGCAGCGAGGAAAAAGGGCAGGAGCGAGTTCCAGAGCAGCGGATTGGCAAAGCTCAATTTCCTGCCACGGCCTGCGGAAGGAACGAGTCTCTAGCAGGACGTCAGCGGGGGGCTCTAGCGCCTGTCTCTAAAAATGCTTTAACTCCGTGCACAGAGGCATGGGGAAAGCCACTTCAGGGGGTCTGGGCTGCTCTGAAATATAGCGCAAAGGCCGCTAGCGAGCGAGTGTCCAAGATCGGATGTTTCTGACGTAGCACTGAGCTCACGCCTGCCGCCATTGGTGCTTTCCGTGGCTAGTCGAAATTGAGTGGGCTGGAGTGTCATTCGCTCCCTCCCCATCAGCCATTCTGCTCGCTTCAAACTCGGCTTCGATCGCAGCTGCTCTCTCGAGACTGTCACCATCCTGTCTCGTTGCTGCAGCTTCACGATGCCTCTATCCGCATCGTATCGTGTTTTCGGCGGCGGCTACTCCACCGGCATCGCAACGGCTTTTCCGTGCGTTTTGCACATTTGCACAGGACACCGCCCGTGCCCTCTTCGCCTGCAATGCCACGTCCTGGCGGTCGCCATGGCCTGGCCTCGCTTCACAACTCTCCGAGCTCATGCAAGATACGGCCGGAGATTCTCCTACGTACAAGATGCGTTACAAATACGAACCGGGATCTTGTGCCCGGATTTGCCACATGTTGATCTTTACTGCTTCTTCTTTTGCGGAGCCCAAAATGCGTCAGCAGCAGGGGGTTGATTTACAAGCCGCCGGCAATACATTGGAAATAGCCGTCGACAGCTGTGAGTTTTTTTTTTCCCACGATACGGAGACGACACGACATAATTACTCCAAACAACAACCTGCTCCTTGTGTCATGCTTGCCTAACGCCTCTCTCCTTCGAAACGGAAGAACCGGTTTCAGCTTCACGGTCGCACCCGACAACAACCTGAACCAGGCGATCCTGCCGATCGGCCTTGGCAGTAAAAAAAGGAAGTTGTGGCCGAGGTGAAAAAAAGAACAGCTTCATGCCAGACGAGACTGCGAGTACGGAGTGCGGAGTACGCGTATTAAGCCTGTACGGAGTAGAAATACTCCACCCCGACAAGCCGGCGCTCCTTTCTTTCTCGTCTCGCCTTGGACAGCCGGCAGGCAGAAAAGCAGAGCCAGACGAACATGCGAGTACGAGCGCGCCTTTGCACGAGCTCGTCCGTAGATATAGGACCGTTGCATTTCTCATTCTGCGGCAACGTGGCGTCCCGTCCCCCAAGTAGCGATATCGACAGCCCAATTTCCCGTCCAAGGACACCCTGCAACGCTCGATGACGTCGTGGCGCATGACTAGGTGAAACGATCTCTAGCGTTCCAGACCAGCCCAATACTCGCACAAGGCAGCGACAGCGCAGCCAGCATGCTCGAGGACCCTTTTTCCCGCGAGCATTAGCCCTGTGGGTGCATCCTTCGCTTGTTCACGTGCTGTAGCACGTGAGCAGGTAGCATCAGCGGCGCAAGCCAATCTCGGCAGTTGCGCCGACTCCACTCACAGTTTCTAGTCGTCGAAGTCGAGGTCCGGCGTTCTTCGTATGATTTGCACATAAGCTCGCAAGCGCTGCGTCGTGGGGGAAGACCCACTGACAGCACAAGTGATCTGATAGTACGAGTACGAGTATGCGCGTCTCGGCAAAAGTGGCGGGAACGACAGCACTGCGTGCAGAGTGTCTGGCCATTGGCCGCTTACGAAAGGGCTGTTTGCCGCGTGTTCGAATAGTGAGCTGGAGAGGACTCGTATATGTGCACAAGGAGCGGCTATCCTTGCAATGGCTATCTACAGGGGCGAGATGAGGCTGTTTTCTCTCTTCTAGTGTATTGCCTCTTGGGTCTTTCCCAGACCTCTTGGGCCTTGAAGTTTTCGTCTTTCGTCTAGCCAATGGTGCTGCCGTCTTTGGTGGCCTGGTCAACGAGGCGGACCTCGTCCTCCCAGCTCTCGACGGTGGTCTCGGGCATGAAGCCAAAGATGCGCCACTCGGACGTCTCCCAGGTGCTGCGGTCGAGCGAGGCAACCAGCACGACGTTCTCCTTGGCGTCCTTCTCGACGACAGACAGCGATGGCGCCGGCAATGGCGACGGGCCGGTGCCGGGTTTGGCAGTGCGGTCGTCGAACCAGGTGAAGCGCTGACGACTGCGGATGGAGACGACGATCTGGCGGATGTACGTGGATGTAGGCCCGGGGATCATGACGACCTTGCTGTCGACCAGGCGCGGACGACCCTGGTACGACAGCAGCTCCCACTGGCAGCGGCGGCCACGCGGCCGGCGCGCAATCAGGCCAGCCACCTCGTCCATGTGGCTGTGGGTCAGCAGGCGGCCGAGCGTGGCGGTGTCGCCAGCAGCCGTGGCCTCGAGCATCTGTGCGTGCATCGTCTGGGCCATGGGCACAAGCGCCTTCTTGTGCGGCTTGAACCGACCGCCCTGGAAGAAGCCGGGTTTGCTCTGCAGCCGGACTGAGAGCTCCGACATGGCGTCGGTGGCCCGCGTCTTGAGCCGGTACCAGAACAGCTTGGCAAACGTGCCCGGCGAGCTGAGGTACTGCGTCATCGGCGGCGGAACAAAGGTGTCTAGGCGGTGTCAGCAGAGCCAAGAATCAAAGACCAAGAATCAAAGAACCCACGAGGAATGCGAAAGGAAATCAGAGAGGCCGTCCGCGTGGCATTCATCTGGGCCATGCCGACGGATGGCGACATCTCGCCACGACGACGCGGCGGCACCCTCCGCTGGCTCGTCGACGCGGCTCTCTGCTGCTTCTGCGGCTTCTGCTGCTGGAGCGGTGCTGGCCGCTGTCGAGGGCCCGCTGATGCCCCCAGACGGAGATCGCTCTCGGATGAGAAGCCACGGCCCGGCGTCGGCCGCTGCGAGCTGGGCCACGTCGGCTGAGTCGTGGCCGAGGCTGTGCGCATCAGCCGACTGCCCAGCGACAGAGGCGGTGGTGTGAAGAGTGGCCGGTGGCAGATGCCGGCCATAATGGCTAAAGAGGGGTTTTAAGGGGGAATATGGGTTTTCTTAGAGGACGGCACGCGCCGGTGGGATCGATGGGGTCAGTCGCAGCGGCAGTCGACCAACAATGTTGCAGGACGATGGGTGGCGGCTGCTTTAATCCCCGCAAGCCGCGGTCTCGTCACCGCGCAAAGAGGAACGAGGGAATTAACTCTGGCAGGACTCGGCGCTCGGAAATGGTCGAAACCGGTAGCAGCTCGACTGGACAGGAGGCGCTGTTGGGATGGGCAGGAATTGAGGTCGTGGAGTCGGTCTATATTAGCAATTTGCACACCGTAAGTTGGAGAGCATGTAGGACGACAAGGGGGCGGTTGGGGTGGCGTGTCGGCTGGACGGATGCGTTCTCGTTCCTTGGAAGTAGGATGATTCGACTGTTTTTCGAGTCTTAATTTTTCTGGCGTATCGTCAAGTCCCAAACGGGACTAGCTCGCCGTGCTGTAAGATACGTTGTAGCCTGGCCGGGCCTTTTAGGGTGTGTGGGTTTTCTGTCTGCTGCTTGTCAGCATTGCCCAGGGAAGGGAGGAGCGGGGGGCAGCGCTTCCTTCCGCCGTCTGTTCTCTGGCGAACGAACGCTATCATCCATTATCGCCGTTCCGTTTGTTGTGCCACGCCAGCTGCAGCTCCATTGACGATTTGCCCTGCTGGCGGTCTTCTTCTGTCTCTCTCTCTCTCTCTCTCTCTCTCTCTCTCTCTCACGCCCTTGTCCTCGCCCTCTGCACAGTTGCCGCTGCCTGCCACCATCGCTTGCTCGCCAAGGCTAGGCCAATTTCTGCCAGAAGAGTCATTTTCGTCTCTTTCTCTCCCTGTCAACCTTCTCTTCCGTCGCATGTCAGCAGCCAAGCACGTGCCGTTCTCCCAGCATCGATAGACGAGTAGACAGACGGAGTCTGCGCGCGAGACAGAGAAGGAGACCCGACCCGGACAAACCAGAACCAGAAACGCAATCGAAGACGAGGGGGGAGAGAGACAAGAAGAGAGGACAGCCCCTGTCCCTCCTCTTGTGGTCTCTTTTCTCGCCCTCCACGCCGGCCGACCAGAGCGACCATTCCGGCGAGTCTCCCCTTCTCCGTCTTCGCCTCTCTGCCTCTCCGCCTCTCCGCCATGTCCGTCCCTCCCAGTGTAGCGCCAGCCCGACCTTTTTACGCTTCGGCTATGCCGCTTTCCACCTCTTCGTCTTCGGCGCCGATGACCACGCCGACATCTCGCAAGACCGTCCGTTTCCAGGCCACTCACGTTCACGCTGACGACTCGGTGCGCCGCTCCAGCAACGGCGGCACGTCCGAGGCCGCAGCTGCAGCAGCCACTTCCAATGTGACCCCCACATCCTCCTTGGCCACTACCACCATCACCTCCTCCTCAATCGTTCGGCCAACCTTGCTGCAGCCACGCGTGGCCGTCGTGCTCGGCGTGCCCGGCCGCTGGCACCTGCCGCTCTTTGCTTGTCGCCTGCTCTCCGTCGTCCCCGCCATATGGTGGAGTCTTGGCATCCTCATCCGCCTGCTCATCCAGCTGCACGCCCTGCTGCTGGCTCATGGCAACTTCGGTAGCGGTGGCGGCGGCGATGGTGAGCCCCCCAAGCCAGGCGGTCAGGGCGTCGGTGGCAGCCATGGGCTGTCGCTGGAGAGCCGCCTGAAACTGACTGAGACTGCTCTGGCCATGATCTGGGTGAGCGATGTCTGGTGAATATGTTTGCAATAGGCGCTGGCCACCTGCTGACTGTAACAGTGTGCTGCATCCGCATATCTTTCCTTCTTCTTCACAGACTGTCTCATGTCTCGATGGTGAGCTCTTTCTTACCTTCTCCTCCTCTCTTCTGTCTTCTTCTCCTCCCCTCCCTTCTTCTAATCACACCAGGCTTCTCAACTACACCCCCCAGGCCACCATCGTCCGGCTGCTCGCCATCAACGCCCTCTATGGCTACCTCACGTCCTGGGTCATCTACCTCGCCGGCAGCAACCGTGACTCCCGCCTCCTGTTGCCTGCCTGGGTCTCCATAGCCGCCACCCTCACTGCTCTCTACCATGTCACCCAGCGCAAGATCAACATCCGCAAGGAGACGTCCATCTCCATCAGCGTCTTCTCCGGTGCCAGCTTCATCAGTATGGTCTCCCTGTTGGCACAGCTCTATTGGGACCGTCCCGAGTACGCCGATGTGCCCGTCATATCCATCGCCTACTGCGTCTGTACCGAGGTCGCCCGCATCGCCGGTAACCTCTTTGACATTGGCAACATCACTATGGATCTCTAGCCTCCGTTCTCCATCTTGGTTCCTTTCTCCTTATGCGTCTATTATTCATGCTTTTGGCACTGCTTTACAGCCAGCTCTCGTCAGCTTTTCTCAGTAACCCGTGATCATTTTGGTTTTCTTTTGTGCATGGTGCTTTTCTGGTTCCCAAGGGCATGTTCTTACTGCGCATCCCGCTTCACAGATATACCTCGTGCTTGTCCTCCCGTCTAGGTGGCCAGGCTTGATTCGGCGTTCTTTGTTCTCGGCGATTGTCCCGTGTGAGTCCGTTACAATTAAACTATTCAGGAAAGTGCCATATTGGTTTTTGATTTTGGTTTCCACAGCGTCACTATAAATTTGAAGAGCAGTTCATATCTTTGTATTTCGGCGATGGATCTTGGCTATTAGGCCGTAAAGATACCTAAATCAAGCGGTTTGTACATGATGATTGATGCTGGTGGAATGTTTTGCCGAGACCTGCAAGCATTTGCAGAACTGCTTTGGCGCTGTCTCGTCTCTCTTTAAAGGACTATATGGAAGAGAGGGTGGTATGGTCGGTGAAATGCCATCTCAAGAGCTGCTGGCAAATCCCTTGCGGCGAACAGAGCTTTCCTCGTCGTCGTGGAGTTCGGGCTGGCCGACGTACGGGTCCAGGACCGGTTCCTCCACAACGCTCGTGCCCACAGCCTGCTTGCCCTTGCTCACAGGGTCAAAGGGACGGCCGGTAGCACGAGCGCGGATGTAGAGGTAGGCCATGCGCAGGAGAAATGACGCGAGGCCAAAGAGCACGCCACCAATAGGCGCCGCCACAAAGGCACCAAAGGCACCCCAGTCGCCCTCGTAGAGACCCTGCTCAAGCAGCAGCAACTTGGCACCCGAGTAGGCGTCCTGGTAATAGATGGCGCCAAATGCAAAAACGGCCAGGAGACCGCCCAGGCCGCCAACAACGACGTCGGTGCCGTTCCAGGCAGAACAGCGGTCAGAGAGACCAACGACAAGCACGGGGATGATGGCGGCAGAGACCAGATCGGAGATGAGATAGATCTGCAGCACGCTGGGCGTGCGGAGAGCAAGGACCACGGTCGGCACAATGACAATAGCCACGGCAATGCGGATGTAGATGGAACTCAACCGGTTGCGGAATATGTCGTTGGACGCCGACGACACCATGGCGCTCTGCAGCGAGTCAAACGAGGCCGTCGACAGGCTGATGGACATGACCAGCACGAAGCCGACAACCCAGTTGGGTAGCAGCTGCAGCAGATTGAAAAAAGCAGTGCTGCTGTCGGCGTCCGAGGCGTCCTGGCCGGCGCCGGGCCAAGCGCCGGACCACACGGCCACGAGGCCGGTGCAGCCGACGAGCGTCGCGATCACCAGAATGGCGGCAGCTGCAATGGAAATGCCGATCCAGAGGTCCCTGTCTGTGCGCGACGCAAACGTGCGCAGCCAAAAGTTGGACAGAAAAAAATCGTTGGTCAGGATGGCCACCGGAAGAATATACAGCAGCTGCCAGCCCAGCAGATTGCCCTTGAGCAGACCGGACTCGGCGATGGTAGAGCGGTCAATGTGCGTCTCGGCACCGATGGCAATAGTGGCAATCACAATGAGGCCAAGCACCATGGCACCTTGAATGTTGTCGGTGACAAATGAGATGTGGAAGCCACCAATCGCTAAGAGGGAGCAGCCGTCAGCACCACATCCTGTAATCTTGCCCTCCTGCACATCCACCAGACTTACCCGTGTAGATCGTGGTGACGATGCATTCAACAATCACAGCAGGCAGACCGTCGAGGCCGGTCAGAGCCGTGACGACCTGTCCGATAGCAGACAGCTCAGCCATCATGTACAGGAACAGTGTGGCGAGCGTGACGAAGCCGAGGAAGATGGTGGCCGGGATGCCGTAGCGCTGGCGGGTCCATTCAGTCAGGACAAAGCCCTCGGGACACTTGCGGCGGATGATCGGACCCAGAGCAGCAAAAATGAACATTGGGAGGGCCGAGGCCAAGGCATAGACGAGGACGCCCTGGACACCGGAGATGACGGCCAGCTGCGGGTAGGAGAAGAGTATGCCGGAACCGAGACCTACCTAGTTAGCGATCCAAAAAGGGGACTGGGCTGGAAAGAGTGCAGTGACATGGAGGAGGAAGTGAGTGATGAAGGGGTTCGAGCGGAGTTTATCGGAAGAGCGGCAGCACTTTCCCACGCAAGCATTAACTTGATCGAGTAATCACGGTACAATCTCAGCTTCGTCTCGACAGGGAGAGAGAGTGAGAGAACGTCTCGCCCTCTTCCCTGCCTGACTTAGCGCCCGTAGCACGCCGCAGTCCCTTCCCGGCCTCTGCGACCACGGGGAAGCAGAGGGGAGGAGGGGACAGAGAGAGACGATGTAAGCTCAGTACGAGACGAACCTGGATTGGCAACACCCTCGGTGGATGAGCTGCGCATCGGCCATGGCCGGCTGTGCAAGAGCAGCCGTCATAGCCTTCCTTGCAATTGTGCCCTCGTTCTCATCAAAGATCCCACGTCGGTCTGCAAGGATGCCTGCTGTTTGGTCTCCTACAGCCGGGCACTGGGATCATTTCTGCTTTACGCTTTCTGCTTTCTGTAGCAGCAACAATAGCTGCTGCTTTCCAGCTCTTTCTTCACTGCCGCTCTCCACATGAGCCATGCTCTGTGCTTTCTCTTCACTCACCAGCCGCGATAAAGTTCAAAGCAAGCGGCAGTGCTATCCCCCGTCCCAGCAATTGGCCAGTGGTCAGCCCCAACACATGCAGGCAAAAAAGTAGAAAGAGTGGAGAGAATAGGAAAATATGCATGTTGAGCATGCAGAAGTGGACATAAGGAAGCAATACCGGACTGCGTTCGGTTGCAAGCCAGCATCTCGCCCTTGGACTGGTTGCGCAGCCGCCAAGCGATGCCAGTGCCGATCACCCTGCTTGTGTCAGCCTCGCCTAATTCTAGTTTTGCATCCGTATCCCAAGTCCCCGCCCCGATCTCTCCGTCTCTTTTTGTCTTTGTTCCCGCTAGCTCACAGAAATGCGCCGTAAGTCATGTATATAATGGCATTCGATGCCTGGCTTGACGGATAACCCATGGTGGCGACAGTGATGCGTTGAGTATTTGACTGGACTGTTGTTGATCGATGGTAGAAGGCGCAGATGTGTGAAGTCGGGATGTCAGAAGTATTGTGCGCTGTTTACGAAAAGCATGATCAGATTTTTTTCGGCGCTTTTCCGACTCATCTCGTCCAGGGTTCGCGACTACTCGCTAAGACCATACTACGTAGGTCGTGATTCGCCCATGCATCCATCACACTTTCCCTTAGTGATTGCAATTATCTGCTAACAGCCGTGTGGGGGCCACTAGGACGATCGTGCTTACTTTAAGCGAGAAAATGCGTCTGTGGCTTCCCTGGGAATGGCGCAAGGCAGCATCTACGGAGCACATAGTAAGATACGAGGACAAGTACTTGTAGATTCGTTCTGACACGGTCAGAGAACACTACCCCAGCTTACTATTTTGGTCTCGCCCTTTCCCGTAACTGCCTTACCTGACCGTTCGTTTCCAATGCACTGCTCGGTCTCTGCTGACCGTCGATCCACACGGCGTCCTAGAACCCCGTCGGTGTGTCGTTTTGGTCTAGCACGGCGACCCCAAGGCTGTGTGTGCCTTTCGTGGCAGCTTCAGTCAATCACCACATGGCTGGATAGGTGTGCGATATAGGGAAACACACTCTCCCGTCACCGAACAGAAACGGCAGGATGACTGACTTCCGCGGTAAACAAGCTTAATTATGTGTGTCAGCTGGTGCTCAGCCCTGAATATCACCAATGAGACGCAGCTTACTGCGAGTTAGTTGCGCCTGGGCCATCCAAATGGGGAATACGAGAATGCGATAACATGTACTCTGTACTCGCACTCGCCAGAGCTGAGCCTGCCAGTGGCCTGTCTCACACTACTGGACACCGCCGGAGGGTTCAGTCTGGCGTCGATCGAGCAGCTGCTTCGATCTTTATAAAGGTCTTGGCGACTTCCCGGGCAAGTGACTGTTCTTTTGGGGACGTGGTAGCGGTACCATCTTCCGCCGTTTTGTTTCTTTTTATTCTTAATAATTGGGCCCCTCGTAACGGCACTGTGTGTTTCTAATTTAGACGAGGCCGAACAGCCAAAGAGTTAGACGTTGCCGTGAATGCCTCGTTCGGAGTAATGCTGCTTCTCGTATCCCGACATCTCTGGATCTTTCCCTCTGTCATCGTCCTTCAACCGGTATAAAGCTCTGCTTCTCGGCAGGCTCTTGTTGCCGGCCAATTGCTCATCATGAGCCGCCATTGGTCATCGTCGCCTTCTCCCACTCCTACTGCTGCCCTCTGCAATCCAAGCAACATTATTACCGTCATGAGTCAGCTAGACAATGATACCAGCGACAGATTCCTCCAAGAGATGTCGTCTCTCCCCCAGTCCTCTACAGCCGTAGCCCTGGCTGCATCCACGTCAAGAGCACCCACGGCCTCACCTGTCGTTGGTTCTCCGCAGACAGAATCGAACAGGGCTGCTTCTACAAGGTGAGATTGTTTCCCAACGGCGCATCATGCAAAGCTCCTCGTCGTTGACATTCGCGTGCTTTTGCACAAAGTTTTGGCTCTGGCTCTGGTTCCACGGCAAATCCTAGATTTTTAACTAGGGTCATAACTGGTGCTATGGGTGACATTCTGTCCTCGTCCAAGCCCGCAACATCGTCTTGATCCAGGGGCGATTCTATGAGGCACGTCAGTCCAGCTGCTATTCTTGCTATTGTCTTAGCCCGCAGCTATTCCATGGCAACCGGGGAGGCAGATTTCCAGCAGCTCTTGATAGAGACCACTTGAAGCATCATCTGTCATGGTTTGAGGTCAATTTGGCTTTGATTTCGGGTTTAAATCTATCATCTTGGCCGTCTAAGTCACAACTAGGACGCAGCAAGGTGTGAAGAAGCCATCCAGGCGTGTGTCTTCCTGGCAGGTCGTACATCACAAGCCGGTAAAGCACACGCTCTGCAGAGATGTGCCGTCCGTGCGTGTTCTGATGATCTTGACGAGGGTGAGGCGGTTTGATGTGAAATTTTGTGTTTTTTTTTATGTAGTTAGGCACGCAACCCTGAAAAAAGAGTCTTAATAAACGTGTACCCTCCCTTGTATGCGCCACCGCCTATCCTCGGTTCCTTTTTGCACCATGCACATCGCTCGTCCTTTCCCATCCCCGAAGTTGTCGTCGTCTAGACGCAAGGCCTAGGTGCGTGCAGGCCCCCGCGAGCTGGTGGCCGCGCCGGTCTGGAAACCGTTCTTGAACCGCCGGGCAACGGTGCTGAGAGTCCGCATGCGGCCAGTGCCGGTGGTCTTCCTCCGCTTCGCCTTCTCGCTCCAGTTGTCTGTGGTGAATTAGTGAGCTGGTCAGACAGAACATCCCAGGCACAGAGACATACACTTCCGGATCTTGGCCGAAGGGAAACCGCAGCTAGAGCACTCGTGCTTCTGGACGTGCATAGAACGGCGACCTGTCCATTCGTCCCCGCATCAGCAAAACCATTCCCACTATCAGATACCATACTCGGGGCGCATTAAGCGCCGATGGGGGGTATGATCATACCGCAACGACGGCACAGAGTGTGCGTCTTGTTGTGGCGCTTTCCGAAACTCGAAGTACCCTTGGCTATAGAGCAGAAAGTCAGTCGTCATTCATTTCGTGTCGCCTCGTTCGTTGGCTCTCTTGGTGGCTCCCATCCCCCGAAATCCCTGTCGCCCGTCCCTTTCGCCTCAATCGCATGGGCTCGTTGAGCAATTGTTGCTGTGTCGTCGTTGACTATCGTGCGGCAAACGGTTTATCGATGCCCGCCAGGCGTAGGAAAGAGAGGTGGGAGCCAACAAGATTCATCCGGTTATAACGTACTCATTTTGTCGGTATGTCTGCTTCAGTCAGTGAAATCGAACAGCAAAGAGCAGCGGATTATTCTTCGAGTTCCGCGCCAAATCTGGAGGACACAGGTATCTCACCTTTAGACAAGAAAGAGGGTGCGGTTGGTGGTGATGATGTTTTGGGAGGGGAGAGTCAAAAAGACGATTCTTTTTTTTAGACCAGGTTTTCGCCGCACGATCAATGCCTCTGTAATCTCAAAAGCCCACACCGAAAAAACTCGTGTGCGGAGTAGGGCAAGCCTTCGGATTATTTATGGACCGGATTGAAGACTTATCGGTTCCAGAGATACAGTCACGTGACAATGTTATATTCGTGTATGAAAGTGGATCCATGCTTGTGGAGAATGGACACGGCTCTCGCACTGTCCTTGCATGAGGTATGACAGCTACTCGTATATATCAAGGCGTCCAAGTTCGCTCATGCGTTCAACTGAAGGCTGTACCAAGGGTACGAACTACAAGACGCTTGAGCACCTGTGATTGTTGAGCCTGAAAGATCTGTGCCGTCGGGCATTTATGATTGCTATTCGGGGTATTTAAAGTTGAAGTCTGTCCGTACCATAACTATGAACAAGCATAAAGCCGCAAATCAACTGAGCACAGCCAAACATCTTGAGCCTCGGGCACGATAAATAGTAAGTTTTAGTCGAAGCAGCTGTATTGAACAATTGAGAATCCACCAGCTGGCAGAAGGTCCTCGTAGTCTATCCCATAGATATCCGTAGAGAATTATCCATACCGCCAAAACGCCATTTTAACTTCGCGTCTAGTTCTGTGCTCCGAGTAGTTCAAAGGGAAGGACCATCAATGGTCACTGTGCGGCCGTCTGCCAAGATCTGATAGCCAAACGTCTCCTCGTCGCCGCTGACGTTGAGGCCGGACGCCTCGAACTGGCGCGTATAGGAGATGCGGATGGTGCCGTCTGTCTTGGAGTTCTGCGTCTGGTAGTGTCGCAGAACCATAGACATGTCAGCCTTGTGGCCGAGGGCCTTGACGCTTGAGACACGGGCCATGGCCTGCTCGAACTCGTGGCGGGTGCGGCCCATGCGCGGCGAGTCGAGCGACATGGCCACGATGGTGTGGTGGAATTGCTGAGCGACGGGTCAGACAGACTCAAGATCGTGGCCGTGGGAGGAAGGGGGAGTGATGCTCACGTGTATAACGCCTTGAAGCAGTGTGAGCCAATCTGAGCTGGCATCGTGGGGATTTTCGCTGACGAGCGTCAAGGCCAGCTCTGGCGAGTCAAGCAGCAGGACGGTGCGCGAGTAGGACTGTTTCAGCAGCTCGACCTCGTCGCTCAAAAGATCCAAGGCGGCGTCGATGGTCAAGGATGGGCTTTCGCCCAGAAGCTTGGCGTGGATGCCGCCTATGAACTTGAAATGGCCATTGGTCTCGTGGCGCCTAAGGTCGATGCCCTATGGGGTCATCAGCTATGTTCTCTGGGATGTGTTTGAATTGTAGGGAGGCTGGCAGGGGGGGATGCACGTACAAACTGGGACAGGCCGGCAGCATAAAAGTCAAAGTCACGGTAGAGGGAGAAGACGACGACGGCGATGTCGCTCTTGCCGTCGCCAGCAGGACCGGCGCATAGACGGATCCAGTCACCGAGCAGGCGCACCAGCAGCCAGCCAGACCCGGCATCGTCGACATTGGTGGCGGTCAGCAGGCGGGACGACTTGGCGGCGCGGAAGTGCGAGGCCAGCTTGGGGGGCACGATAGAGTCCATGACGGGAGCCATGGCGACGAGAGGAAGCGTGGGGCAGTGAGAGCAGCAGAGAGGCAAAGAGCGCGCAGGTCGGTTGGGCTGGAGCGATGGGGGGCGACAGGAGAGAGAGAGAGGAGCGAAGCGGTCTGGCCAAGGTCTTATAGGGGTGCAGTCGATGGGCGCCGGGACGGAGTCCGATCGGGACGCATGGCGCAGGCCGCAGGCGAGAGAGGCACAGTGGTTAACGATTAGGATAAATGCAAAGTCGGGGTCGAAAGGGTCGCCTCAGAGATTGTGAAGAGCACGGCAAAAAGCGGGGCCGCGCGATGAAAGTGTCGCCGTTGCCGCAAAAGGGTCTAGTGGCCAATGCTCTGGCGCGAAGGGAGCAGCGACAGCTGAGGGGGGGGGCCCCAGCTGAGGAGGCCGGCACATGCCTTGCCGGGCGCTGGCTACCAGATTGGGCGACCCGACCAAGCGGAACCAAACAGGGAGCAGGAGATCAGAGAAGTCCGTGCGATTGCACAACTGCCAACCAGCCAGACCAGACAGCAGCTGGCAGACCGACGCTACTGTGAACTGACAAAAGCAGGCAGCCAGACACGGCAGAACCAGCTGGCTGGATGCCCGGGATCCACGTCCCCGGGGCTTTGTCTGCGTCAGGCTGGGTGCCCGTGCAGAGAGAGAGAGAGAGAGAGGGCGTTCGCCGGGGGTCGGGCTGCACGTGGTGGTGTTTGGAGCAAGAGCTCGAAACGGGCTGCCCCAAAAGGGTGGTGCATGCCTGTGACTATCTCGCATGCCCGTCGTCTGGTCCTCATTTCATCTTTCTATCCTTTCCTCTTTTTCCTCTTCTTTCTATTGCGATATATTTTCGGTTTCTGTCTTTTCTCTTTCCCTTTTTACTCTTTCTTCTTTTTTCCTTTTCCTCTTTTCTCTTTCCTCTTTCCTCTCCCACTCGTCCTCTGCGTCGTTCTCTGTCGCTTTTCTTATTTCATCTCGTGCGTCGTAGTCCCTGGGAAGGATCTGGCCAGGGATAGATGCCAATACCCGGTGCGACCAGTGTGTCAAAACAGTTTCAGCACTTTAGCATTCCAGCAGTCAGTTCAGGCCATTCGAGACAGGGCCGGCCCCGCCGTTGGATCTATGTCCGAGCTCGGCGAGAGTGGCACAGCTGTCCATCGTAAGATTCTCTGCGAAGGCCGGGAAAGCGAGACGGTGTCACGTGTCGGCACACCGGGCACTAAGCTTTAGCGCCTGTCACTGATACGCGCTAACTAGTAAGCTGCCCGTAGCTTCTCTTTTTTTTTCATTTTCTGCTGTTCCATCTGGATTGGCAAGCAGCCTGCTGCCACCACCAACCCTCTTCCGTTTTCTCTCTATTCTCGCTGTAGCAATCGATATGGAGAGCGCATCAGGAGGCGGTGCGCGACCGGCAAAGAGGCGACGGACAGTGCAGAACAGCACGGATGCCGATGGCAGCACAGCCAAGGGGCCGACAGATTCGGTGGATCTGACGGCATTTATGGGCAGCTTGCAGCGGGAGATTGGCGACTTGCACCGGAGCATCAAAGCCAGCAAGGACAGCCGGGTGGAAAAAGCGTTCCAGCGGCTGCCGCGGGGAATGCGGAGACGGACGGCCAGCCACGATGCCAAGCGGCTACCGCGACGGCTGCAGCAGCAGGCACGACGAGACCAGGCAGCGGACAACACGCCCAGCGTGGCGGTGGGACTGGCGAAGCGGCGGCGGGGTCTACCGGCGTCGACATGGGTGTATGAGAAGACGAAAAAACGGATCCGGAAGCAGGAGGAGAAGAAGTTGAGGGGGGAGAAGGGGGGGAAGACAAAAGGGACAGATGAAGGGGTAGATCGTATGGATGTGGAGAAAAAGGAAGGGAGGGATGAGAGAGAAGGGGGAGACGGCATGGACGTGGAGAGAGAGAAAGAGGGAGGAATGATTTTTGACGACGAGACGAATGCACACGACTCGGATGCAGACCACAACCACAACCACAACCAACCACCACCACCACCACCACCACCACCTCCTTCAGGTCATCCTCTCCCAATCGACCAGCTGCGCCTACCCACGCACATGTGGCTGGCCAAGCGTGCTCACATGGCCTGTCCGGGCGCGCTCTGGCACGCCGTCGTGGCCAAGACGCCGGCCAACAAGACGTACCGGGCATCGCTGCGGTCGGCCGGGCTGCGCCCGGGCACCTGTCTGAGCTGGGACACGAGCTACATGGCCGTGCTGCGGCTGCAGGCCGACGATGCCGCCCAGCTGGACGCTGTCCTGGCTGCCGTGATTGAGCCGGCCCTGCTGCAGCGTCCGGGACTGCGCCGTGGTGCCTGCTGCATCGACGCGAAGCTGCCACGACGCTATGGATACCAGGAGGGCGGCCTTGCCGGAGGGCTGATGGCAGGGCCGGGAAACTGCGGCGCCATGACGCTGTTTTATAACCCAAAGGCTGACAGCACCGCCACAAACGCCACAACGGAAGCCCTCCTTCGCGTCCACCCGACCATCTTCTCCCACGTCTGGACGACGCTTGTTGCCGTCGTACGCCGTCGCCACCTCGCTGTTACCATCCAGGACCTGCGCATGGACATTGGCAGCATCGAATTGACCGGCAGCTGCGCCGTCGACGCCCTGCTGGCCCTCCTGCGACCCTGCCGGCCCGACGATCCCCAGGCAGCCGACTTTCTGCAACTGCGTGCCGTCGACGCCAGCGCCCTGGCCCCAGCCAGCGGTGCCATGCTGGCTTTTGACGTGCAAGATCCACGATACGATGTAGAGGAGGGAAACGAACAGAAAGTCGGCCATCTGGACCCCGCCTCGGCTGCCGAATGGCCGGCCAGCAGCAACGTCACCCGCCAGCCGTCTGGCCTCTTTGACGACACGCTGCGCCGACAGGCCGCCTGGATGCCGTCACAGCAGTCTCTGGACCGTCGCCGTGGAAAGCTGCCCGTCAACAGCCGGCTGTTATCTACGCCGTCTGACCGTCCAATTCCCGTCATTCTCGCCGTCGCCGGCGCGGCCATACCGCTCTCACCTGCTGCTCCATCGGTATCGTCTTCGCACACCAGCCCCTCTTGGACCCTGCTGGCTCCCCGGGGCTGTATTGATGTCTTCTGGCGTGTCCTCCACCGCCAGTCGCTTCGCAGCAGCGGCCGTCGGCCCCTGCTGGCCGGCCTCGATGAGGACCGCTTCGTCGCCCTCGAGCGAGGCCAACCCTGGTTCCCCGCCGACTTTCCCGGCACTCCCGCCGGCTGGGACTGGGAGCTCGACAGCCGCCGCGCCGCCAAGGTCGCCTGGGACAAGACCCCGCCTGCCAAGCGGCCCCAATGGTCCGCCGTCGACCTCGGCGGCACCAAAAAGGGCGAGCTCGGCTCTGGCTTCGCCTGCGACTGGGAACACCTCTTCGGTGTCGACCCCGTCTCTACCGCCGTCGCAACAGCCACGGACAGCAACAGCGCAAGCGCGGACTTGCCCCCAGAGGAGGTCCAGTTTGAGGCCCTCCGCCTGCCCTGTGATCTGGTGCGCGAGATGCATCACGTGACCTGGGCCGATCTGCGCACAGCTGCCGCCTGTCTGCGCCTCCCATCGCCACAAGAGCAGCAGCAGCAGCCGGTATGGCGGAAGCCCTTTGCCCTGGCCACCGTCTCGGTCGAGATGCTGGGCCGTGGCACGCCTCTCGCACGCGCCCGCATCTACCGCCTGCCCACCGACGACGCCGACCGGCGCCGCCTCTGGCGCGCCCTTGCCGACAACGACAGCCACCACGGCCACCAGACGCAGCAGAACACGATGCGCCGCATGCCACCCGGCGCAGACATGGCCACGCGCAAGCGTCTGCTCGCCCAGTCGCTGCTCGAAACCCCGCTGCCATACCCGGCCAGCAGCCTCGCACAGGCCCGCCAGCAGCATCTGCCTCTGCCTGACGCCACCGACCTCATCGGCTTCGTCACCAGCGGCGCCCAGCGCTTCCAGACTGGAAAGGGCTTTGCCATCGGCCACGTCGCCGCCCAGAAGCTCGCTGAGGCTATGGTCGCCGCCGAAGCCGACGTGCAGCAGCAGCAACAGCAGCGACAACACAAGAAACAGACTGCGGCCCGTCTGTGCATCGTGCGCAACGTCGGCGAGACCGTTGGCTGGCTCGCTCGCTGGACTGTCCTCAGTTGCTGATGGAGCCTTGCATTTAAAATCTTTGGTTTATTGCTGACTCATCACATGTTGTCCAACAGAGACCGGAAGGGCAGTAGTCATGCATGTGCAGATACAGATACCATCATTTTAAGCAGCAAATATCAGTTGTATAGACTGTAGAGGCGTCGAGTAAAAATTTCGACTTAATCAGTAATATACGGCCTACCAGCATCGGTAGTAGCCTTCATTTCCTCCTTTTTTCTCATACATCTGACATCTCACATCCCCTATCTATGAGCTTGCTCGCCACCCGGAATCAGAAGCGGGTGGCACTCGGTGTTGAAGACAAATTTGTTTGTGTGATCTGGCTGAACCTGGTAGTCGGCATCCGGTGCCTGGATGAGGAAGCTGTACTTGAGCACCTCGGCAAACCAAAAGCTCTCCTGGAAGTTCTGGAAGCCACCGCCACCGGCCTTGTTGACGTCATTGATCGAGCTGTAGCCGCTTCCCACCGCGCACGTCTTGTTGATCGCCAGGAAGGCATCCCAGGCCCACTCCTGGTACTTGGCGTCGCCTGTCGCCCGGTAGGAGTAGTAGTAGCTCTCGATGACCTCGGGCCTAAGCATGTACTGGCTGTCTGAGACCCAAAATCCGGCCTCCTGGGCAAAAGCCGCACTTTCCGCCGGCGGTGCTGGGTTGTTGGTCGCGTTGATGGCCGCCTGTCCACCGTTGTCCTGCCACTGGAAACCCTCTGGCCCGATGCCCGTGGCTGTGGCCCTGTATGTTTCACGGCATGCAGCCGTCAGGTTCAGGCCAAAGTCGATGTACCGCGGCACGTCCAGCGTCAGGCCCCCGAGAATGAAGTTTCCTCCATCAAAACAGGTCACTGGAGAGGATGGTCAGTCGAAGGAGCATGAAACAAACAAGTACCAGTCTACATACAGTGTCCAGACTGAAATATGCGCGTCTGGTTATCAAACGTCGCCAGGAAGGTCAAATCTGGCCGCGTGACAGGGCTGGACGCAAGGTACTTTATGGACGAGTCGGCCGCCGCAATCCATCGGTCCTTATATGTAGCAAATCGTACAGGATCGTAAAGATACATCTTGAGGAGGTACTCGTAGAAGCTGTCATCACCCCCACCCCAGCCCCCGGTGCCATCGGTGAACAGGCCGTTGCTGATGTTCAGATTGGTTCCGACGAGGCCTGGAAATGGTTCGGCCAGACCCTGTGGCTGTGGGTTCATGAGGTAAGACTGGCCCCTTTCGGCCAGTTCTCGGTAGAATTGGTTCCCCGTCAGGTCGCTCAGCCGGGTCCACTCGAGAATCAGCGTGCCAATGGTGGCAAGGCCGTTGGAGGTAGAGCCATTGGTGCGTGGTGGGTCGAACAGGAGGATGTTGTCCGGAATGCCAGTGGTAGTGTTGAAGCCTACCGCGAGGTTGTCGGCCAGGTGTCTTGCCTTATTCAGGATATTGGCAACTGCGGTCTCGTTGGTGGCATATTGATTGAGTGGACCCTGGAGCAAATCATAGGCTGTCCAGAGATCAGTATGAATGAAATCATCGTTGGCCGAGTCTCTTACCCGAAAGCAGACCGCCCAGATACCGGATAGTAGTCTCAAAGAGCGAGATGGTGCCGACCGAGTTATCAAAGTTGATGTTCTGAACGTGGTCCAAAATTTGTTGAATAACCTGACTGTTCTCCATTACCACTGCGGTGGAGAAAGCGTCAATGGCACTCGCACCCCAGCCATTACTTGATGTTTTAGCACACGGTACCCGCAGATCATTAGAGCAGACGGTCTTACCGGTCGTCCTTGTAGCTGTTGTTCTGTGGCTGAAGAGAGTCATGAGGAAAGGCGTATTTGTAGTAGCCATCCCAGCTCAGCTGGAAGGCAGCCTTGACGGCATCGGCGCGATCGGGGTGCGAGCTGTAGACCGGCTCAGAGCGGTGAGTCGGGATGGCTGAGCCCGCAGTAATGGCAACGCCAAAACTCAGTAGTCCTACGGCGTTTGTAAACCAACGCATGTCTAGACGGTTCGGACGAGGTGTTCGTTGCAGGAGAGTGATGAGAAGAAAATCAAACCTGATATCACAGTGGAGAACCCAAAGCGTAACGGCAAAATCGGATATACGAGCTTTTTAAAAGGGCAATCGGGATCAGGCAAACCCAAATTAGGCACATGACGAAAATTGACGATCACATATGACTGTAAGGAGAAACACAGATTTGAGACAGCATGAGTTATTAGTGTAGCGTCAAGCGTGCGCGAGGGTCATGAGTTTGTAAAAGAATGCAAAAGTGGGGGGCAAGCAAGGCGCAGAAGACAGGCGTGAGTGAAACCGACAATAGAGAGGGTGCATATTTTTGTCTCTCTCAGTAAGCCCGGTACAATCGTGGGGATGCGCTGATGACAGAGAGGTCCAGGTGGCACGGTCATGTTCACAGAATTGGCCGCCACTCGTGGGAGAAAGTTAGCGATCACGAGGCTGCAGCGAATAAGGCCATAGAGAGATGGCCGTCGCACGGCAGTTTGTGGCCACGGAGGAAGATGGAGAAAGTGCAGAAAAAGAGAGCGAAGCTGCTGTAGTCTGGGACACAAAAGAGAGAGAGAAGCGAAGTAGTTCTTGAAAAGGCAGATGATCGAGGAGTCGGGACAGCACGCTGATTGGAGGAGGGCTCTCGATCAGAAGGGGAAGGAACGATTGGCAGGAGAGCAGGTAGATCACTGTGAGTGATGTGTTGCTTACAAAGAACAGAGAATAGAGGACATGGAGCAGCGCGAATCAATTGTCTGTCTTTGACATGTATAGTATATTGATAACTCAGATATTAGCATTTCCCTGTAGTTCCAAGCCTCAGCCCGTCTGGACGTCCCGCAGCCGGGCCAAGGCCGCAGCCACACCGTCGCTCAGCGAAGATTCGGCCGGAGCTGCCGGAGGCTCGTCAACCTTGTCGGGGGTTTCTGGTGTTTCCGCCTCGACGACAGCAGAGAGGTTGTTGTTGGTGTTGTTGCGACCGGGCTTGGGCCGGGGGCGTGTGCTCCGGGCCTTTGTCTTCTGGACGCGGAACGGGGCCTCGACAGCGCGGCGCCAGCCCTGAACCTTTTTCTCACCCCAACCGGTGACGAGGGCGAGCTGTTCGGGCTCGGCCAAGACGGCACGACGGACGCTGCCAAAGGCGCTGACCAGAGCGACGGCGTCGGCCTTGTTGATGGCACGCGGCACGGTGGCGAACTGGACGAGGCGCTCGGCATAGCCGGCAGCCTGCTGGCCGCGAATGGCGGCGAAGCCGGTCGCGTGCTCAAATGTCTTGTACAGCTCAAGGTAGCGGGCAGCCTCGGCGACCGACCAGCAGAGCAGCAGCGTCATCTGGTTGACGAGCGATGTCTTGGCCAGCTCGCGCAGCGGCTCCTCGTGGCCGTCAATGTCGACGAGCGTCAGCAGCACCCGCAGCTGGTATCGTCCCTGCAGTCCTTGGATGCGTGCGTAGATGTATTCGGGGTGCAGCCGGTGGTACTTGAGGCTGAGGAAGAGCGCGCACGTCGTCGTGCCCAGCCCGTAGTCTGCCACAATGTCGCTGTACTCCCACGCCACCGTCCGCAGCTGCGACAGCACCGGGTTGTTCTTCTGCCGCGGCGACACCAGGATCGTCGACCCCGACGACGGCACCACTGTCGGCCGTCCGCTTCCGGCCGTCGTGCCCGGAGGCCCCGGGAGCACCTGCGGCGTCGGCTGCACGATGCCGGCCCCCGGCCGCTCTATCCGCTGTGGCGTCGGCTGCTGTATCGGCACGCGTGTTGCAGGTGTCGGCCGCTGTGCCACTGCCAATTGCTGACCAGCTGCGGCTGGCTTTGCTGGCCCGGCACTCAACACGGCCGGCTGGGACGGCTTGGCCACGTCGGCTGCCGCCAGGGCTGCCAGAAAGTCGGCATCGGCACCAAAGTCATCGTCATCCATGGTGGAGGCTGAGCTTGTCGTCTGCAGGCTCCAGCTGACTTTAGTTTGGGGCGAGGATACACTACAGTCTAAATACCCACTTTAAGTGGGTCATGTGAGCACTGACTGCATCTTCACAACAGCATCAACTAAACTCTATATTATAGAGTGCTCTGTTTCCATCTCTACCTTCCTATTTGTATCTTCCATATATCATACCCATACCCATTGTTCTTGTCGCATCAGCCGGATGCAATTATTGTAAACATTAAGGAGTGATAAGCCAGTCATTCGTCGTTATGTCCGTCTCCAGTCGTCAGGTTCAAACAAAACAGTAAGCAGAAAGAGGTGCGCAAAGAGCAAAGGTGCAGGGAGAAGGCCGATCATCGCTGTTCCTCGGCCGAATCGTATGCGCTCTCGCTCATCTGGCCGTCCTCATCGCGCCGCTTGCCAGTCGACACCGACGTCAGCTCGTCGTGGATCTTGTACAGCGCCTGCAGCCAGAGGCTGAACATGGCCTCGATCTGGCCGCTGCTGCCGTTGCGCTTGCGCCGTGCCTCGTCGACCAGCTGATCCCGCAGCCGCTCGTACGCCTCGATCATGACCAGGATCTGCAGAGCCGGGGCAGCGGTCGAGCCGATGGTGGACGCGCCGTGCAGGCCAGCCGACATCACGTGACGATCCACCACCGCCGACGAGAGCTCACGCGTCAGCAGATCCAGGCAGATCTGCAGGCTCAGGCCGTCGGCCTGTGGCGGCGGCGTGGACGGACGCACGGGCGCTCTGCTCTTGGCGTTATGGACGATTTGGACGTTGCTGCCGTTGCTGACGTGCTTGCTAAAGTTGGGAGGTGCAGCTGGTGTAGTCAGTGCGATTCGTGGAAACATGGGCGATGGAAGTGGCGATGTCGTCGACACCGACTCGGCCGTATCCCTCTTCCTCTGCGACGCGGGCGACAGCATAAACCGGCGCTGCTCGGGCACCAAGCGGCCATGCTGTCGTACTATTGGTTTGTCGGCCTCGTCGTCCGTCTCCGGCTCAAGCACCGAGTGGGCGTCTGTGAACATGGAGTTGCGCGACGCCAGCAGCGCGCGATACTGTTCGGCGATGCACTCGATGCTGGACTGTGATTGCAGCAGCGAGAGCTCTGCCGCCACCGTTGTCGTGGCCGCCAGTACCTGGGGCGATTCGGGGGGGGTCTGGATGCCGAGGGCGGCGCTGCACTCCTGTGAAAGGTTCTGAGGCTCTTTTTGCTCTTTTTGCTCTTTCTGCTCCTGGCTGTCGCTGCTGTCGTTGCTGCCGCTTTCAAGCTGGCCAATCACAAACACGGGCGTCTTGGGCTTGCGGCGAGGCTGCGAGAGGGACGCGCTGGACGCGTTGGACACAGTGGACACGGTGGACGTCGGCGAGTCGAGCGCTTTCGGCGGCGGCGCCGGCTCGCTGACGCCTCGGTAGTGCTTTTGGGTGCCGTTGCGGCTCAGGTGGCTCAGCTCGGGCACGACACGGCCGGCGTACGGCGAAGGGAAGTGGTTGGACGAGCAGGCGCTGCTCGGGGGAGTGCTGACGGAGGACGAGGACGAGTGCGGCGGCGACAAGGGCATGCCGTAGGATGTGGCGAACGACCGGATGGATGGCGGCGACAGTGGTGGCGGAGACATGGGCGAGAGTGGTGCCAGCGGTGACACGATCGATGCAGCCATGGAGTGGCGCGCAGAGAAGGAATAGGCCGGGTCGTTTTGACGGGAGAACGGGGCAATAGGCTGCTGGTGATGATGCGGCCGATGGAACTGGGGGTAGTGTCGGGGAACCGACTGAGGCAGAACGAGAGGTGCCGGCACCGGCCTGCTCTGGGCCCGTTCTTGGGCGTCGACCATGACCATAACGCGGGCCTGTGTCTCGGCTTGCGTCTTCTTTTCGGCAGCAGACAGGCTGACGGGTGGATGAGGCTGGATGCTGCTGATGACGATGCTATGACGGTTCGGCGATGTTGCTGTGCCGGGACGAGAGCCGCTGACGGCACCATGACGACTGGGCGACATTGCCGTGCCGGGGCAAGAGCTGTTGACGGTGGTTCCGTAACCGGTTGCAGGTCGTGTGACCGGGGCTGAGGCCGGCTGCTGCTGCGGCTGCGGCTGCCTCGCTTCGTACTTGATCGACAGGAAAGAACCGTCGGTGACGTGTGTCAACGGCGGCCGATCAGTCGGTTTGCTGGCATCGGCCTCGCTCGTCGACTTGTTGGTCACCTTCTGGAGCTTCCGTCTCAGCCGAGGCGTCCTTTCATTCGATTTGTCATTCGATTTGTCATTCGGCTTGTCATTCGGCTTGTCATTCGGCTTGTCATTCGGCTTGTCGTTGGACTTGTCCCTCGACTTGTCCCTCGACTTGTCCCTCGACTTGTCCCTCGACTTGTCCCTTGACTTGTCTCTTGACCGGCTCTCGGACCGGAAGCCAAACAGCGGTGCAAACGGCAGAGAAAGGCTTCTCCGGCGTTCTGTGAAAGCCATGGCGGATGGTGGAGCGAATAGCCTCACGTCCGTTCGATTGCTGCTCGCACACACCAATGGGGTGCGAAAAAGGTAGGTAAAGAGGATACAGCAGGAGAACCGGATGGCAGAATGGGGAAAGCAGAAGGGGCAGAAGGAGCAGAAGCCGAGGAAGGGACCACCAGAGCTTTATCAACCCCAGATATAGGGCCAGCCATCAGGCCCATCGCCAACCTTCTTTCTCTTTTCCTCCGTATGCAACCCTTTCTAGCGTCCTTTCCCACAAGGAAGAGGGGGGTTCGCACGCAGGCTGACCAGCAGCTCTCACGACGGCCAAGCCCTCGTATTCTCACTAACCACCATGCAAGGAGACACACCACCAGAACACCATTGTGGTGGGCAATAGCTGCTGGGAAACGAGCCACCTGCTAAGGTGGTACTTTGCGTTGCCTGTAGACGCCCACCAGCCACCACGTACTTGCTACCAGGGTCCGTGCAGTGAGTGTTTGTAAGGTGCAGCAGTAGCGTGATAAATTCAGCAGGTTGGGGGTCGAACCAGCAGAAGCTGCCAGCTCAGGCCCCCCCAACCTCGCCTTAGCTGGGTCTGCTCAGCGAATGGCCGCAGGGCGATGGATTCCAGCCACCGAAAGAGGGGAGGCGAATAGAAACGAGATGCAGACGGATGCAATGACACTGCAACGCAAATTCAATAAAGATGCAGCAGCAAGGAGGATCAGCAAGTCGAGCAGGTCGAGTCGAGCAGATCGAGCAGTCGACCAAAGTCGCATGCCTCGTCCAGACGTTTGCGTGGATCGGCGACGGGCCGTCTCGAACGGGTGCTGTAGTGCACATTCCATGAGGTACGAGTACTCCGTACTCGCAAAAGGTCCTTTGGCCAGAAGCACAGACCCGAGTCTAATAATATCAATCGCGTGGCCCACATCCGAGATCGAGCGATCCAGAAAAACCAGGGCTGCTTCGAGACCGATCCACTCTCGTATGTCATCCGATACGAGAAGTTGGCTGCGACAGGCCGTTGTCATAATCATGCATCTGCGTGCTGGCCGGACGACCATGGCTACGGAGTCGAGTACTTTCACGGCGTCCCGGACAGGCCCGTTGGGACCATGCAGCCAACGGCCAGTCGGTCCGGACAGAGAGGTCGCGCAAAGGCTGGCCGGCCTCGTATTTTGTCTGCTGCTGTTGGTTCTGCCGTCCGGGCTCGGCCTGCAGGTTTTCGCCACGCCGAGAGGCCCAGCCGTCCGCTTTCATTGGGCTGCCAAGCTTTTCTTTACGAGAACCGGTCGCGAGTGGAATACTGTGTTGATGCACGGTGCCTGGATTTAATCGCACTGTATTTACATCTTCACCAGGAGCTTCCCCGACAGTTCAGCCTGAGCCAAATGGGAGGTCGGACAAGAAACAATCTGGCAGCTCCAGCGATGTGAGCCGTTGTGCGCTGGGTCTCGTCAGACGCGGTAGCTCTTGTCAACGCATTTTTCCATCAATCAGAAGTCTGAATTGGCGGATTTAGTGTGTGTTAACGGTGTTACTGGACGAAGCCCCACGCCAATTGCTTCTACCCCTCATACGACACGGCGAATTGAGTCCGTGGAGGGTTGAATAAAAGGCAGGTCGAAGCCAATTGCTTTTTTTGCTTAAAGGCTCTTAAGTCTCTGTGTAGCTGCTGCCACTGTGTGCACTCGACTGCCAACCTGTAGTCTTCAGCTTGTGCCCATTTACAGTCACCATGACAGACATCACCATCACCGGATGGGTTACGCGGGACGTCCGCTTTCCCACGTCGCTCGACAAGACGGGATCGGACGCAATGAACGCTGCGGGCGACTACTCCTCAGCGTACTGCATTCTCCAGACAGATTCCGAGTACTCTGGCCACGGGATGGTGTGTTTTCTCTATTTCTTTTTTTCTTTTTCTTTTTCTTTTTTTTTCTTTGCTTTTTCTTTTTCCCTTTCTCTCTGTGTCTCTGACCGAAGCTAGACCTTCACGATTGGACGCGGAAACGACCTCGTGACGGCAGCCATCAACTACGTGGCAGAACGGATCCGTGGACGCACGCTGCAGTCGCTGGTGGCCAACTGGGGCCAGACGTGGCGACACCTAGTCAACGACAGCCAGCTGCGGTGGATCGGGCCGGAGAAGGGGGTGATCCACCTGGCGTTGGGGGCGGTGGTCAACGCGGTATGGGACCTGTGGGCCAAGGTGCTGGGCAAGCCGGTGTGGCGGATCGTGGCCGAGATGACGCCAGAGGAGTTTGTGCGCTGCATTGACTTCCGCTACATCACGGACGCGCTGACGCCAGCCGAAGCGGTGGCGCTGCTGCAGGAGGCGCAGACGGGCAAGGCCGAGCGGATGGTCGAGGCTGAGCGCAACCGGGCAGTGCCGGCTTACACGACATCGGCCGGCTGGCTGGGCTACGGCGAGGACAAGATGGAGTCGCTGCTGCGCGAAACACTCGCCCACGGCTACCGGCACTTCAAGATCAAGGTGGGCGGCAGCGTGGAGACGGACCGGCGACGGCTGGCGATTGCACGGCGAGTGATCGGCTACGATGCCGACAACGTGCTCATGGTGGACGCAAACCAGGTGTGGTCGGTGCCGGAGGCGATCGAGTACATGACGCAGCTGAGCGAGTTTCGGCCGTGGTTCATCGAGGAGCCGACGTCGCCCGACGACGTGCTCGGCCACAAGGCGGTGCGCGAGGCTCTGCGGCCGTTTGGCATCGGCGTGGCCACGGGTGAGATGTGCCAAAACCGGGTCGTGTTTAAGCAGCTGCTGATGGCCGGCGCCATCGATGTCTGCCAGATCGATGCCTGTCGCATGGGCGGCGTCAACGAGGTGCTTGCCGTCCTGCTCATGGCCAAGAAGTTTGGCGTCCCCATCGTGCCACATTCGGGCGGCGTCGGCCTGCCCGAGTACACCCAGCACCTCAGCACGATCGACTACGTGGCCGTCAGCGGCAAGCTGTCCGTGCTCGAGTACGTCGACCACCTGCACGAGCACTTTCTGCATCCAGCCGTCATCCGTGACGGCTACTACACCACTCCGACCGAGGCCGGCTACAGCGTCGAGATGAAGTCCGAGAGCATGGACCGCTTCGAGTTTCCTGGCAAGCCCGGCGTCAGCTGGTGGCAGTCCGATGAAGCCCGGACCATTCTGGACGGCGACAAGATTTAGGGAGGAGCTGAAGAGAGGATGAGAAACGATGGGGGTCAAGCAGCAGATTTGCTTGTCCGCAGGGCAACGATGGCATCCTGTATAGTGACAGCCTGTAACGATATACGACGTGGACGGCCGGCGACAGGCGCTATCCTTGGCAGCACAACAGCATATAGAAGAGAAACGGGTTCTTGGAATTGTATTCTGCACTGTATTCTGCACTGTCACTGCTACTTTTCCTCATGACCGGCCGTGGCGACGTCGAGAATGGCCGTCTCCAGGCCGGGAACGTGGACGACGTGGATGCCGGCAGCTTCGAGCGTGCTGCGACCGGTGTTCTGCGCCACAAACTTGTCCGGTTCCGTGACGCCGACATAGACCGTTACCGAGCGCTGGTGGCCGGCAAGCCGCAGCACCCGGGCGACACAAGGGTCATTGCCGCTGAGCCGTAACGAGCACGGCTCCATGGTCGTGTAGAGGGCCAGCTGGGCCGGAAGGGCGGTCAATGGCAGGGCGGACAGATCCTCCTCGGCTACACCGTGCTGGGCTGCCAGCTTCATGAAGCAGCACTGCTCGGCGTGCGTGTTGCCATGCAGCTCGAGCGTGAAGCCGTCGGCGAGGATGCGGCCACTGGCCGCGTCGACCAGCACAGCCCCGACACGAAAGTTGGACGGCCGCGGCGGCGACTTCTCTGCGAGCGACAGCGCATGGCGCATATAGGCCGGGTGGTCGGCCGGCGCGATCGGCTCCATGGTGTAAAGGAGATTTAGATGTGGGAGAGGACAGAAAATGGAAACGGGAAAGTCCCTACGGAGTACTTCGTACAGGCATACCACGCTAAGCCTTAGCGCCCGCCAGTGACCCCGCGCCCTGTACGGAGTAGAGAGACGCGCTAAACGCGTCTTGCTTCATTTACGGAATACTGCTTCTGAGCTTCCACCGACACAACCATCATCGACTTCTCACCTTCTCTCCTCCTCGACCGCCAACCCGATGGACTCGTTCGAAGAGCTTGCCGGCGGCGAGCCACCGATCATCGACCCGTACGCGGTGCTGGGCCTCGAGCGCGCGGCCACAGCCGACCAAGTCAAGACGGCCTACCGCAAGGCGGCGCTGCGCTGTCATCCCGACAAGGTCAGCGAGGACTGCAAGGCGGCGGCGCACGAGGAGTTCCAGGCGGTGGCGCTGGCATACGCGGTGCTGTCGGATGTGACGCGCCGCAAACGCTACGACGCGACCGGTTCGACGGCCGAGTCGATGTTGGGTCTGGACGGCGACGACGACACCTTTAGCTGGTCCGACTTTTACCGCGCCGCGTTTGCCGATGCCGTCTCGGCCAGTGCCATTGAGCAGTTTGCCCAGTCGTACCGCCGTTCGGATGAGGAGCGCGCCGACGTGCTGGCGGCTTACGAGCGCGCCCACGGCCGCATGGACGACGTGTACGAGTCCGTCATGCTGAGCAGCGTGCTCGACGACGACGTCCGCTTCCGCGCCATCATCGACGCCGCCATCGCCGCCGGCGACGTGTCTACCTTTTCGGCCTACACGGCCGAGACCAAACGGAGCAGGACCGCGCGCGTGGCCGAGGCGCGGCGCGAAAACAAAGAGGCCGAGCAGTACGCCCGCGAATTGGGCGTGCACGATAAGCTCTTCGGTCAGGGCGAGGCCACAAACAACACGAGAAAGACGCGAAAGACGAGAAACACAAAGACGGGGGCCGACGACGACCAGGCCGGCCTGGCAGCCCTGATCCAGAAGCGACAGCAAGACCGCTCGGCCACCTTTCTCGACAGCCTGGCGGCTAAATACGGCGCCACTGAGCCCAAGACCAAGGCTGGCAAGGGCAGGAAACGCACGGCCGCAGACGAGGACGACGGCGAGCCGTCCGAGGAGGCCTTCCAGGCAGCAGCCGCACGGCTGAAGAGCGGCAAGGCCAAGAGCACAAAGAGGACCCGGCGGTAAAGCACAGGCTCCCAGACGAGAGACAGGATTGGAATGGGTTACTACCGGCGTTTGGCGTTGATAGCAGAGGCAGACGAATACAAGGCACTGAACAAGGCACTGTACCATGTCACGTGCTCACTAGAGCTGCCTAAATCGGGAATCCAGTGGCATCGCCAGCAACGCGTCTAGACAATCTCCACACGTCCCCGGCCATGCCATGACAGAGACGCGGTCAGCCCTCGTCTACTACCCGCAATACTGCTTCCACCTGGCACCGACCCTTAACAAGTGGTGTCCTCTCCGCCTTGCCGATGTGCAGAGGCTGGCGACGCGTGCCGAATTCGAGGGTGGGTGGCCGTCCTTCTATCTTCCGATCTCCTCCGTCCTCTCTCCTGCTGACGGGCGGCATCAGGCCAGAATGTGTATTTTCACCGGAACTACCCGCTGAAATGGGTCCGTGTTGCCGGAGTTGTGGTGGCATGCGACGAGTATTACGGCCGGCTCGTCTACACGATCGACGACGGCAGCGGAGCGACGACCGAGTGTGTGACGAAGCGGGAAGCCGACCCAGGCGGGAAGCCGGCCGGCACGGACACGGCGCCAGAAGAGCGAGAAGACCTGCCGGGCCTGCAGGTCGGCCAGGTCGTCGGCGTCAAGGGCGAGCTGCGACAGTTCCGCGATCTGCTGCAGGTGCAGATCGTGCAGATCGTGCGGCTGCGCTCGACCGAGGACGAGGTGCGCTTCTGGGCCAAGACCCAGGCCTTTGCCGGCGTGTTGGGCCAGCCGTGGGTGCTAGGCAGGCGTGTGGTGCAGCAGTGTCGGGAGGCGGCCGAGAAAAAGACGAGCAGGCCGGCCGAGAGGAAGAAGACGGCCCGCAGCCGACGCCGGAAACAGGACGTCGAGCGAGAGACGTCTCCCCCGCCAAAGAGACCGGTCCCGGACCAGACGGCTGCTGTGCCGCCCGAGCCACCTAAGAAATGGAGTTTGGGATCGGGTTCGGAGGCCGTGGCATCTGGTCTTGCGGATGATTCTTCTTCTTGTCAGCCGCTCAGACGTCCTAAGAAATGGAATTTAGGATCAGGCGAGGAAGTCGTGGCGTCTGTCTCTGCGGTGTCTCCTCGTCAACGACCTCCGAAACGATGGCTTCTGGAGCCAGCGACGTTTCTGGGACAGAGTTAGCTCAGACATGGATTGGCGAGTTGCATCTTTTGTTTGGCATTCAGATGATAGAATAAGGATCCCTAGAAGAATAGAAGGAAGTTACGCTTGTGTGCGGCCGTTCCTTCCTGTTAAGCGCTGGGTTGTGGAGAATGTAAATGTATCTCAAAAATCAACTCGTTTTAATTTCATATCCTACTTCTACTATCCAACATAATCCATTACCACTCAACTCAAGAAGGGCAATCAACAAGAGCCACGACAGGTGTGCGTGACCGGGGTAGGCTTGAGGAGGGGAATAAGTGGGTTTCCGGGCCGTTATTTTAGGCGGTCGCCAAACCTGTCGATGCTCATCAGGCTCGACAGCACAGCAGACAACGACGACGGCCATGGACATATTCGCGACGCCCGTGGCGACGACACCGCCGCCGGCGCAGATCAGGATGCGGGAGGACCACCCACTGGCCTGCCAGGGAGTGGACAGGAGGACGCGGCAGGCCAGCGGGCCGCTGCAGACGAACAAGTTCTATGCGAACCTGCTGCTGGGCGAGCAGGACTTCCCGGTATACATGCTGCCGTACTCAGTGTCGTGGACCAAGGGCCGAAGTCCGACATGTGGCTGGGGCCTGACAGTGTCTCACGTGACGGCCGAGCAACGGGTATTTGGGCCGCCGGCAGCCGAGTGTCGCCATGACACAGCGAGCGGTGCGGCGACGGCGGCGGGCTACTACTTCAGTCCGCCTATCGTGCAGAACATAGTGCTAGACGCGGCCGAGCTAGGCGATGGGACGACGCTGGCGGTCGAGGACCTGACGCACATGTCGGCGACGGTGAGCGTGCGGCCGGCCGGCCAGCAACGGCCAGCCGTGCAGTTTCCGCTGGTACAGGGCCAGGCCTTTGTCACCGGGCTGTACGACGGGTCTCGACCGGTGGTGCGATCGGCCATGGCGATTACGTCGGTCGACGGATTGGTGCCGGATGCAGCCACGGGCGGAGCTGTGGGCAGCGGACAGGCGGTGGTCGGACGCGGCGGTGCTGTACGGCGGTTTGTGCTGCAGCTGAACGATGGTGCCACGTGGTTTCTGTACGCACGACACCGACCAGGAACGACGCCGCTGGTGCTGCAGCGCACTGCCGTCATCAGCGTGCTAGAGGCTCGGCAGCCCTTTTGCGGCCTGCTGCAGGTGGCACGGGCGATGCCAGAACCAGGCGGATCGATGGGTCTCAGCATGCTCGTCTACGACCGGTCAGCCGGCGTCTATGCCACGGGCGTGATGCTGTCGGGACGCACGGCGGCCACAGACGGCCAGGCCGACCGATCGGATGGCTCGTACCGCTTCGGATTTGCCAAGGCGCCGGCTGTGGGCGGAAACGACCAGCAAAACACGCCGCTGCTCATATTTGCGCTGCCACACCACCGGGCCTCGTTCGACCAGCAGACGCGCGTGGCGTCGACATACCTGCAGCTGCAGACGCCGACCAACGGAATCGCAAGGGCAGTCGCGGCCGACGCCTGGACCATGGTCGAGCCAGAGCTGCCGGTGGACATGGGCTTTCTGCCGTGGGACCCGCAGACGCGGCGGACGGTGCGCTCGCTCTCGTCGGCGGCCGTGCGGCAGACCATCTGGGAGGTGGCCCGGCAGGAGCTGGCCCAAGACATGGACGCGCAGTCCAACCTGGACTCGGTCTACTTTTCTGGCAAGGTGAGTTTTGTGCTCCGCGGATTGAAATGCCATCCGCTGACCTCCAGGGCCTCGCCAAATTCGCCACCATCGTGCTGTGCGCACGCGAGCTGCTGGGCGACGAAGCACTGGCAGCTGCCGGGCTGCGGAAGCTGCAGGCTGCCTTTGCCCGGTTTGCCGAGAACCGACAGCGCCACCCACTGGTATACGAGAGCGCATGGGGCGGGCTGGTGTCGTCGGCCACGTACACGACGGGCGACGCGATGGCAGACTTTGGCAACGCCTACTACAACGACCACCACTTCCACTACGGCTACCTGGTGTACGCGGGGGCCGTGCTGGGCCACCTGGACGGGGCGTGGCTGCGGACCCACGGGGCGTACGTGGACACGCTGGTGCGCGATTACGCCAATCCGAGCCGGCAGGACGGCTTCTTCCCGGTCTTCCGCAGCTTCGACTGGTACCACGGCCACAGCTGGGCACACGGGCTGTTTGCGGCCATGGACGGCAAGGACCAGGAGTCGAGCTCGGAGGACGGACTGGCCGCCTACGCGATCAAGCTGTGGGGACAAGTGCGCGGCGACGTGGCCATGGAGGCACGCGGCAGCCTGATGCTGGCCGTGCTGGCGCGATCGCTGCAGACGTACTACTACTACGAGCCCAACAGCCGCAGCAGCCGGGACGACGGCGGCCACGCGGTGGTGCCAGCAGCCTTTGCAGCCAACCGCGTCGTCGGCATCCTGATGGAAAACAAGATGGACCACACGACGTACTTTGGAGCCGCGCGAGAGTACATCCACGGCATCCACATGCTGCCGCTACTGCCGTGCTCACCGCTGATCCGACCGCCCTCGTTTGTGGCCGAGGAGTGGACCGACGCCTTTGGCCATGGCCGCGCTGACGCTGTGGCCGGTGGCTGGCGCGGCGTGCTGTACGGCAATCTGGCCACGGCCGATCCGGGCGCGGCATACGCGTTTTTCAGCCAGCCTGCCTTTGACCCCGGCTGGCTGGACGGCGGAGCGAGCCGGACATGGTATCTGTGCTATGCAGCAGCACTGCAGGAAGGGGGGGGCAGATGGGCGAGGTGACAAGGCGACGGCAACTAGGCAACGGGGCGACGAGAGCGACCAGATACGGCAAACGAGAGCAACGAGAGAAATGAGACGGAACTGAGACATTAGTCACGTGAACACAAATACGGAAGCACAACCATTGACAGCCACGTGACCTCACCAACAATACGGTACCCTACGTCACTCCGTCCCCTCACTCTACGGCCGTTTTACAATGCTACCCTGAGCCGGCGGCCTCCTCAAGTCTCACACAAGTACCCGTCCTCTGCCGACTCGCAGATAAGATCGGTCCACTACGATCTCGGAAGACCCCACCAACAGACGCTTGCCCCAAAGCGCTTAGTCACCCACCTCGCAGTGCCGCGATGCACACAGCCACTCTTGGCACGCTAAGCAGGACTTGGCGCCCATGTTTCCGTGCGAGAAGCAGAGAGGTTCGCGTCACAGCTTCAGCGAGTTCCACTTCGGTCTCAGACAAGCCCGCAGTGTCCGAGCTCCCTGTTGCTGGGCGCTATGTACTCCGTATCTTAAGATGCTTTTCCTGGGAAACCCCCTAACCCTCTTCTCCTAGCTCGCTCTCCTTTCCCGTCCTGTCACTCGTTTCACTCGTTTTACCCGGACTTCCAAGACCGTCTAGACCGCTTTCTGTCTCCTGTCACTCTCCCTCAACTCTTGGCAGCGTCAGTGTTAGCTGCAATCTCTGATCGCCGGGCAACAAAGACGCGCCAACCGGAGCGACGTGTACGAAGCCACTACCTACATAGTACGACCACTCAGATACCACGACACCAACAGACACCATGTGTAAGTATCCTAATGTCATTGCTGCCACGCTACTCCTCTACCTCCCGTCCCTCTGACGTTGCAGTCTCTTCTTCTGTCCTGTCTTTTCTCTCCTCCCCTTCTCAAACCAGTCCGTTTCTCTGCGCTGTTTCCTTTGCTCACGAGAATCAGCCACGGTTCCGCTTCGCAAATCGTTTCGCAAACACACCATGTCTGTCAGCAGCCGCACAGAAGCGACGGAGAGCTCGCCGCTGATCGCAGGCCAGGCGGCCCGTCCAAACGGCTTCCACCGCCACCACCACAGCCACGATGGCCGGTCTGCCTTTGTACGCCGGCTGCTGCTGGACAAGAAGCACACACCCGGTTTCGACAGCGACAACCGGGTCGCGCGCACGACGGCCCACGTGCTCAACATCACCAAAGCGGCGCTGTACTCGAGCCCGGTCAACGTGCTGCTCGTCTTCGTGCCGTTGGGCATCGCTGCCGGCATACTCGAGTGGAGCGCCGCAGCCGTGTTCACGCTCAACTTCTTCGCCATCGTGCCGCTGGCCGCGGTGCTCTCGTTTGCTACGGAGGAGATGTCGGCCCGCATGGGCGAGGCCCTGGGCGGCCTGCTCAACGCCACCTTTGGCAACGCGGTCGAGCTGATCGTCAGCATCGTCGCCCTCAAGGAGGGCCAGATCGAGGTCGTCCAGTCGTCCATGCTGGGATCCATCCTGTCCAACGCGCTGCTCGTCCTGGGCATGTGCTTCTTCTTTGGCGGCATCTGCAACATGCGCGACGGCAGCAACGTGCCCATGGAGCAGCAATTTGCCTCGGCCACGGCCCAGACCAGCTGCTCGCTCATGGCTTTGTCGTCAGCCTCGCTGATCATCCCAGCAGCAGTGAGTCTTCCCTTTTCTTTTCTCTTGTTTTTCTTTCCTTCCCGCTGACCAAATAGCTGTATGCATCTCTCAGCAGCAACATCGACCCGGACGAACGCCAGCAGGTCATCCTGGTGCTGTCCCGCGGCACATCCATCATCCTGCTGCTGCTGTACTGCCTGTTTCTCTTCTTCCAGCTGCGCACGCACTCGAACCTGTTCGACGCCGAGAGCACGCCGTCCGATGCATCCGCGGCCCACGGCGACTCAGACTCGGACGAGGCTGAGCCCGAGGAGCACATGAGCCCGTGGTCAGCAGCAGCTGTGCTAGTGGTCGTGACAATCATGGTGTCAATCTGTGCCGAGTACCTGGTCGACAGCATCGACGCCATCGTGGCCACTGGCAAGCTGTCCAAGAACTTCATCGGCCTGATCCTGATCCCCATCGTGGGCAACGCGGCCGAGCATGTTGCTGCCGTCACGGTGGCGGTCAAGAACCGGATGGATCTGTCGATGAGCGTGGCCATGGGTTCCAGCATCCAGATCGCGCTGCTGGTCACGCCGTCTCTGGTCATTGTCGGCTGGCTGGTCCTCGACCAGGCCATGACCCTGCGGTTCGAGTCGTTTGAGACGGTTGTCTTCGGCATCAGCGTGTTGCTCGTCGCCTATACCGTGCAGGACGGCAAGAGCAACTACCTGGAGGGGGCTATGGTACGTTTTTTATTCGGCTTCCGTCGTATCCTCTCACTTCTGCGTCTTGCTAACTCGCCAGCTCATGGGTCTGTACGCCATCATCGCCCTGGCTTTCTACGTCACTCCCAGCAATGCTCTGGACATGGTCAAGACGGCACTCAGCATGTAGGCGGCGGTTTTGGTGGCAGACGGCAGACGGCAGATATCAGATATCGTGTACGATACGGCACTTGGTTCAAATACTTTCTTTTGTACGAATAGTGGGAAGGGGGAGAGAAAAGCGCAGACAGGTTCGTCATGTTCGGCAAGCCCGACAGGTACGATAGGTGTCCGTGCATATAGTCCAACATAGCAGCGCAATCCAGTTTCTTTTGTCCTTCCACGTTCCACGGCAGTGAGTCCCCTTAAACCAGGGGCCGGGCCATGGGCAGCACGACACCCTGCTTGGCCAGCAGGCGTGGCTTGATGGAGTCCTGGAAGGCTGTCTTGGTGCCCCATTCGGGGCCGACGGGCAGACGCAGCGAGCGCTCGTACTGGTTCTTGGTCTCAAACTGGTGCGGCAGCTGTGAGGCGAGGTATTTTGCGTTCTTGATTATGTCATCATTATGTCAGCACAGAAGCAGAACAGAACAGAAGCAAACGGAAAAACGGATCAGAAGAAACAAACCTTTTGGACGCGCCGCTCGCTGATGATGACACGCTCCAGCTTGTCGTCACGCCGGGCCACCGGCTTGGGCTTCTTGTCTTTGGAGGCGGCCGTCTTGGTCTCGAGCCGGTTCTGATCCCGCTTGGCCGACCGCTTGCTGATACCTTCGCCCGACCAGCTGCCCCAACCAGGCAGAAAGTCGGCGCCGCGCTTCCGGCTGCCGCCCTGTGCCTCGGCTGCAGCTGCCTCGGCCTCCTCGGTCGCCACGCGCTGCTTCTCGCGCTCAAACTCGGCCTCGGCATCGTCGTCGCCCAGCGCCTGGCGCAACAGATCCGATTCCAGCACACGAAGATTCAACAAGGCCGGCTTGCTGCCACGGCCACGCACGCCGGCTTTGCCGAATCGAGCACTGTCTTCGTCTTCGTTTTCGTCCTCGTCACTGCTGCTGCTGCTGCTGCCGGAAGAAGACGTGTCCGAATCGTCTGCGGTCGTCGCGGTCGTCTCCTTTTTTGGCTGCTTCTTCGGCTGCTTCGGCTGCTTCGCCTCCTTCTCACTCGTCCTCTCAAGCATATTCTCCAAGCCGTTGCCCAACGTCACAACTTCCCGGGCTTTTGCTCGCTTTCCGGCCGCCTCCGTCTTGGCCTGTCGTCCGCCCGATTCCGGCTCTTTGCTGCTGGACCATGTATCCCCTTTGGCTGATGTTGCCATCGTGTCCTCCCGAAACCAAGAATTGGCTTCTGTACCCTTTTCTGCCTTCTCTGCCTTCTCTGCCTCCTCTGCCGTTTTCACCTTCTCAACCTTTCGCTTCGCTGCCGTCTTCGTCGGCTTGCCTGCTTTGGCCACGCCATACGTTCGACGGCCGACCGTAGTCCACGCACCATCTTCGCCGTCCTCGTCTCCGGCTTTCGCATCCTCCTCGCCGCTGTCATCCTTCACGTCCAAGTCGCGCATAATCTCCGCCACGGCTTCGTCGTTGGCCTTTTTGCGTGCCAGCTCGGCCCTCTGCATAAACCCAATGTTCATCAGCGCCGACTGCGGCCCTTTGTCGGCTTCCTTGCCGGCCTTCTCCAGCTCAGCCCGTGTGCGCTCCAGGAACGCCTCATCGTCTTCGTCCTCGTCCTCGTCCGACGAACTGTCGCTGTTGCCCTGTTCCTTCTCGTCGTCCGATCCACGCTTGGCCACTCGCTGCCGCAGCTCTTCATCCCGTCGTGCCATGTCGACCAGCCCTGACCGGAAATCCTCGTCCCACGCTGCCCGGCCCGTGTTCTTCGCCTGTTTCACCCACTTGCTCTCGCGATGCCGTGAGCCCATCCGCTCCATCGCCCGTCGCCGGTGCTGTGCTTCCCGCTCCGCCTCCGAGTCGACGTCTGAGCCTTCCTCCAGTTCTGCCGCTGCCGCATCGTTCTTGGCCTTCGCGCGTCGGTGAATCCGCCGGTATGCCTTGCTCTTGATCTTCTTAATCCGCCGCGCCCGCGCCTGCTCTCGCGACTGCACCTCCCGCTGGTGCCGCCGCTGGCTGACGAGCTGCTTCAGCTCTTCAGCTGACAACTTCTCCTTCTCCTCCGAACCACCGCCGTCGCCGTTGACGCCGCCCTTCTTCTTCTTCGACGATCCGCCGCTGGGCTCTAGCCCGCTCTCCTGCATAATCGACAAGATCGTCTTCTCCAGCTCCGTCTGCGCCGTCTTCTGGCTGATCGGCCGCAGCTCCATAGAGTCGAGCCCGGTACCTTCCAGCGCCCCGGCCACCGGAAAGGAGAGGTGCTCGGCTCGCCGGTTGTGCTTGACCGTGTCCACCCACCGCCCAAGCGTCTCGTGCGTCTTTTCTGCCGCCGCCTCGCGATGCATTCGCTCTTGATGGATCCGCGCCAGCGGCACGTCCAGCTTCTTGCTTGGGCCGCTCTCACCCTTTTCTTCCCGCGCCAGCAGCTTGAGCGACTTCTTCATCTGCGCATCCTTGACACCAAACAGCCCCAGGTCGCTGAGGCTGACCTTGTTCTGCCCAGCCCCAGACCCGGCTGCCACCTCGTCACTCTTGCTCTTGCCGGCAAACGCAGACGCCATGCTCTTCAGCTCTTCAAACGTCGACTCGTCGCTGGCATCGCTGGCATCGCTGTCGTCCTCCTCCTCGTCCTCCTCCTCCTCCTCATCCGACAATACGGAGGATTCGGAATTGCTGTCGTCCTCCTCCTCCTCATCTTCCGAATCAATAGACCCAGAGTCGACAGACGATCCGGCATCGCTGTCTCCCACCTTCCTGCCACCCGCCTTCTTCGGTTTCTTCTTGCTGGCCGCCGCTTCTTCCGAGTCCGAGTCCGAAGAGACCTGGTCCAGCGCCTGAGCAAGATCGATGGCATCTTCGCCAAGTGAGTCCTCGTCGTCTCCCAAATCATCCGGCTCGTCAAACTCTTCCGACTCGTCTCCGCCCTTGGACCGCTTCTTCTTTTTGCTCTTCGATGCCGACGAGCTTCGCCCGAATGCATACCCATCAAACATCTCGTCGTCGCTCTCCCCAAAGGCCTCGTCGCTGTCGATTTCCGAGTCATCGTCGTTGCTGTCAACACCGACGTGCCACTCGTTTCCATCGCTGTCGCTCTGCATCTCGTTGTCTGAGTCGTCTGCCCGCTCCTCATCTCCAGCTCCTTCTTCCTCGTTGCGCCGCCGACGCTTCGAAACACCGCCATCGCGACCGCCATCGTCTGCCTCGTCCTCCTCCTCGTCCTCCTCGTTTCCGCGTCGCCGCTTGCTCGGATCGCGCTCAATGTCCAGGTCCCGCAGACGGACTCCCTTGCTTTTTGTCTCGCCCACCTGCTTCTCGGCCAACGCAAGCACGTCGACTCGCCCAGTCTTTGCTCTGACTGGCCTGGCCGGTCTGCTCGGTCCGCCTCTCTGAATGTTCTTTTTTCGAGACCCCGGCTGCTGCAGCAAGGGCCTTCCGTGTGCCTGGCGTCCCGACATTGTGCGAAAATATATGCCTTTCTCGCTTTACTGCCGTATTGCTGTCGTAGATGTACACCAGAATTTTCAAATCCCCTGCAGGTAGACTTTTTTTAGTGGGGTTCTGTTTCTGCCACCACTTGCATGGCCATCATTATGTTGGCAGAAAGGCGGTGACTGTGGAAATATGGGGCTCTCACGACATCATCTAACCAAGAAAAATAAGGTGCACGAAGAGAGCAAGCGAAGCCTCCACGATTGGCTTTTACAACCACCTCCGTCTGACGAACTGTTTTGAATTAGACTAACTCCTACCGTCAATTGGCCAGGCGAAACGACAGTAATACTGTCTATCTCACCTATATCACGACGCCAGGCTCCGACGATTCTCCACCACCACATTCCCGCTCTCGTCTTTCACCATGAGGGCATCTGATATTCTGCTGCGGCCGTACCGCAAGCTGCGGCTGACGGTCAAAGACATCAACAAGGGATACTACAAGGGTACACGTACAGGCTCCATGGGTCGCCACACAAAGCGCGGTGGCTACGTCATCGAGTACGAAAAGGTCCGGACCTACGTGGTGCCAGGCCTGACCGAATTCAAGGTATGTCCGCCTTTGATCAAATCTGAGCGTCTTTACACCCACTAACTTGTGCATAGCTCACTCCATTTATCACAAAACGCATCCGGCCAACATTCGGTGTGTACCCCGGCTCCGAAGAGGATAACGCAGGCCCGCGGAGTCCCATAGCATATCTAGCACGGTGGAAGGCAGAAAACGGGCTGGATTGAGGGACGGTCTGCTCTGGTGTTCGATAGACGAACGATTCTTACGGACGGAACAGGCATTTAGGTAAAGGCACATGTCTTGACGAATTTATGCACCCCAGGCTACAGACCATTGTGGTTTTATACGTCCAATAAGCACTTATATCTGCATTTCAATTTTGATTTATGCTGGCTTATGCAAAGTATAATATCCAACAAACTGAGCCTAAAAATGAGAAGCAAAAGGATGAAGACAAGAAGAGAAGGGAAGAAGATAGGAAATGGAGAGAGAGTGTAGGTGAAACAAAATAAATGGAGAAAGGAGAGAAAACCAGATAAGAAACAACAAGAGAGAAGGAGAAAGGAGAAGGAACAGGGGTAGACAAATAAAAAAACAGTACAAAGGACAGTATAAAATAAACAAAGCGATCGCTATGCCGTCTGAGCGACTGCCGCTCGAACGTCACTTGCTGTGACATATGACTCTATCGGTGGTCTCGCTGCCAAGCCCTCACCCCCCTCACCGTTCTTGAACTCGTTGGCCAGCGGTGATGTCGGATGGCCGGTAAACCAGCTGTTCCTATTTGATGACGGTGACGTCAACGGGTCGACAGACTGGAGCGTGACCATGCTCGCCGTCTCTGCGTTCTTGTTCAGCGAGAATGGCAGGGCGATGCCGCCGAGAAACGGCCGCTTTCCTGCGACTCCCGTAGCAGGATCACGGTTAGGCGACAGCATCTCTGCTCCTGCTGCTCCTTCGGGTCCCGTGGCCGCCTGCTCTGTGCCACATTTAACCCCCTCGGCTTTCGCATTTTCCGCCTTTCGGAGGGCAAGCAGCCCAGCCAGAGGCGTGTTCTCGTCGCTGGGACCACTGCTGGCGTCGTCGTGCTGCTCGGCCTTTTCGGTCTGTTCGGCCTGTTCGGCCTGGCTCTCATCGTGGACGACACGGCGTCGAGATCGACTGTGGATTCTGTCTCGGGGCCGTGTTGCCTTGTCCGTCAGCGTCTCTGCTTTCTCGCCTGCCTGAAGCTGTCGCGCCACCGTCGTCTCGTCGTGCTTCGATCCCCACATGGACCACAGAGCAAGTCCGTGACTGCGCCCTGGTGGCTTCTTCTCCGCCATGACAGCGCCGATCTTCCGTCTGCCGGCGAGTGCGCTTGGAGGTGGACATTCTCCCGGCCCAAACGACTCGAATCCCACCGCAGCATCCCGTAGGCGCCTCTTGCGCACCTTGGCAATGTCCCCGGAGTATCGGTTGCCCCATTGCTGATTTGCCTGCAGCCACTTACCCACAGGACCCTTCTTCACAATGCCGACAGACTCGATGGCCATGGTGCATCCCGGCAGCTGCGAGGCCGCTGCCAGCGGAAAGACGTCGCCGTGTCGGGTGACCGACTGTCGGATCATGTGTGCCTTGAACGGCGGCAGCGGATCGCCTGCCTTGCCGACCTGCACCCAGCTCGACTCCGGCTTGCTCTTCGCGCTGTCTTTCCCGCTGCTCTGGACTTCGCTCCCCCTCGCAGTGTCTGAATCGGACCCGGACGTGGAGATGACCGAGATCTGGTCGTCTTCCGCAAGTTCCATTTCCGTCTTCTGGGCTCGTGCAAGGGCCCAGACGCCAAACTGGGCAATCGACCGGAACATGTACTTTGCCGGGCGCGTGAAGCTCAGTGTCGGAGCCACGTGGCAGAGATCGTCCCAGACTTGCAGCTGGACGTCTGTGGGCTTGTGTTGGGCTATGGCAGCCCGCGTCTGCTCGTCGAGCGTGTCTGCGCTGGGCGCATACTTTGCCGGATCCGCACATTTGTGCGCAAGATGGATCTGTTCATCGCGAAGAAGCTCGCCGCCACCGACCATAATCAGAAGAGGCGGAAGGCCGCCCAGAGTCGGTTGCATGATGGGGCTGACAAGAGGATGCGCCAGCAGCTCGTTGGTCGTGTACATCTGTGCATGTCGTGTCAGTTAACGAAGGACGGCAAGGCTTCGTCGTCGGATACACACCTGTATCTGCTCGTTGATGTGGACCTCCTTTCCGTCAACCATGCAAGTCAGACGGTTGACCTGGAAGTCGGCTGGGGTTTCTTGATCGCTCGCTTTCCCCGAGGCCTTGCCGCTCAGCCGATCCATCTCCACCAAGTCGGCTTCCGTCGGCGGCGGCCAAGACATCGACGGCTTCTGGTGGAACCCGTACGGAGGGATGTAGTCAAGAGGGCAATCTTCGGCGACGCTGGGGAACGAGTGCGTCAGGTCAACCCAAGGACTGATCAGCACAGCGCCAGCCGGCAGCGGAATACCGCGGTCACGCATGATTACGAGTAGCGAGAGAACCATGCCTCCACCGGCAGAGTCGCCAGCCATGATGATGGTGCTAGGATCCTGCAGGGTGAGCAGATGCAGATACGCAGCAAGACAATCCTGCAGGCCGCAAGGAAAGGGAAACTGGGGCGCCAGACGATAACGAGGCGCAAACACGCGGGCCTTGAGCTTGCGGGCATGTCGCTGCATCTGGTACCGGTGCTCGTCGACGCTGCCAAAGAAGTAAGCACCGCCATGGACGTAGAACATGACGCGGTTCAGCGGCACAGCTTGCTTCTTGCGCTCGCTGTAGTCGGCACGCATCTCGATCCATTCTGCCCGCAGCGGGCTGAGCGGCTTCCGCCACTGCCACCACTGCCGCCCGCCGACTTTCCGGATGCCGTCTGGGCCGAGTTGTTCCTCCAGAAAGGTGGCCGCGTGCAACAGCTGGTCATCGGGCACGGTGACTTCTTCGACGCGAACCCATTGTGGATGTGGCACCCATTGGGCCGTAAAGGCTTGCACCTCCTCGACCGTGTGGTGGGATGCGTACACCAGGAAAGACCGTATCAGATGGAGTCCTTCATCGTAGGATAGGTGTGCTGTTGGCCGTTGTCTCAACGGCTTCCGCTTGAGATACTAAACAGGCCGGGTCAGCTTCCGGAAAAGATCCAAACCTTTAGTCTGGGATCCAAGATGCCTACATGAGACAGCAGTGTCGAGACGATTGTCGGCGTCACCGCCAGAGATACCGTGGCTGTATTGAGGACCATTGTGCGCGGCTGGGAGGGACAAAGACGGGAGACGAGACGACAAGAGACGCGAGCCGACAAGGAGGCCCAACGAGCCCAAAGAGGTGCAGAATCAAAACTGTTGCATTCAAGCCAAATCGCAATTTCCTGTAAAAGGGGGAGGAATACCGATACTATCGAAGACCCGCCAAATCCAATTTTGTGCCTAGAACCTTGGCAGTGAGCTGCTCACAGAACTTTGCATGCCATCGGTTTCCAACTTGTTGGATTGAAGCCACATCGAGATGGGTTGTGATGTCATCTGCTAGTCTGACCGTTGGCAGTGCTGCCAACTTCTGCCATTAATGCAGGTCCATCATTGGCTCCGTATGGGTGGAGCTGCTGCTGTACTCGCGACGGAAGGTTGCATGCAGTAGCTGCCTATCTCAATGTACCGAGTACTTATCAATGTACCGAGTACTTAAGGCACGATCTGGCTTAGTCATCCGGCAGATCCAGCAGTGCAGAGAGCATGTGCCAGGCACAGCCAAACACCCTTGAATTCCTGCTCGCTAATGAACGCGTTTGCGTCATTGTGCAGCAGGGCTTACACCCAAGCAGAAAACAAGCGTATATGGCACATGCGCCGTGGCCGAATAGACCGAGATATGCAGTTGAGCGGTCAGTTTTACAGTCATGTACTTATCAACTTGTATCTCTATCCGGCTCCATGCTGTCGTTCCTTCTTCGCCCAGATCCTTAGACCCAGTCACTATTTTCGACATCCAGTGTCAAGCCCTCCCCATACTCCGTGTATAATCCGTATACTCCGTATCCCCGCTGACGGGAAGCCACGTAAGTTACTCCGTACATACTCCGGGTATCTGTAATCAGGGGGACATAAAAGATAGATTCGCAAGTCGCGAGGGCTTTTGCCCCATCGCGCTTGAACATTCTGGAATCCAGGAATCCACCAAAACGACATTAAATGGGCCTTCTCCCTTCTCTAGTGCCGGACGTAGCGGCTTGTTACAGCAAGCCTTCGCAGAGGAAGAAAAGCGAGTCAGTTAGGTTTGTCATTTATATAATTAAGCAGTGTCAAACACAACATTGCATTGAGCGGCTTAGCTTGATCTGTGGAGTCCTCCCAGCGCCCCCGTACTAGCCAGTATTTCCGCCAATCGCAGCAATGGCTAGCTTCGCGTCGCGGCGAACGATGACGGGGACTTGGGGCTCAGGTACGCACATGACGACCGAAGCTTTGTTCTGTGTGTAGGATAGAAACGGAAGGCACGGCGTCCAGATACACGAATGGGGCCTCCTTTCCTTTCCAGCTTGCCGCTCACACAAGCTGCCGTATATAGGTAGTTAAAGACTAGAAAAGAGAGCCGAAAGAATGGTTGTCTTTCTCAATCCTTCTTGTCTTCTTCCACATCTTGTCTCTTGTCTCTAGCACGTATCTTCAGCACTGCTTTGTTCTCCAGCTCAGCCATACTAAAGTAGCGTCTGCCCTTTTTCTTAAGTCGACAGCACATTCTTCAAATTCGTCTTGAAGTCCTTCAACTTCCGTGCTATTGCGTCAGCCCTCATATTGTGCACCGAACCCTCGTCACTGCATCAAATTCCGTCTCTCATCACGGTCCTTGATTATCATGCTCTCCGTGGCGAACGCAATCAAAGCCCGGTTGGCGCACCGGCCTGTCAATAGCACGATCAAAGATGACGAAGAGCCATCCGTGATCCAGGTCGAAAACCAAGTCGAGACCGAGTCTGAGCCCCAGCTGCCCCGTGATCTTGAACGCACCGGAGAACAATTAAAGGAGCAATGGTTTGTGGGCAGCATCGACCAGGGCACAACATCGTCCCGCTTCATCATTTTTGATGGTAACGGTGTCCCTGTTGCGAGCCATCAGTTTGAATTCGAGAACCTGTACCCAAATTCAGGGTAAGTTATTTCCTGGACGAGTACCGGACATGATACCGACATCGTATTGACTGTATGTCCTTCAGATGGCACGAGCAGAATCCCATGGAGCTCCTTGCATCCGTGAACCACTGCATCGACAAGGCCATGCGTAAATTCACTGCCTTGGGTCACCAGAAGTCGCGCATCCGCGCCGTCGGAATCACGAACCAGCGCGAAACCGCCATTGTATGGGATACCGTGACGGGCAAAGCGCTCTACAACGCAGTCGTGTGGCCGGACACGCGCACAGCCGCCCTTGTACGAGAGCTCAAGAAGCGCCCCGACGCCGACAAACTGCTGGACCTGTGCGGCCTGCCCTTGTCGACATACCCCAGCAGCGTCAAGTTGTCGTGGCTGCTCCAGAACGTGGATGCCGTGCGCGAGGCCGCCGATGCTGGCCGTCTGGCCTTTGGCACCGTCGACTCGTGGCTGATCTACCAACTCAACGGTGGCGCAAAGGGCAACAACGGCAAACCTGTGCATGTCACCGACAGCACCAATGCCAGTCGTACCATGTTCATGAACCTTCGAACTCTTCAGTACGACGACTCTCTGCTCAAGTTCTTCGGCATCGACCGGTCCAAGGTGCAGCTACCCAAGATCGTCCCTTCGTCTGATGCCAAGGCCTTTGGCGCCATTGCCGAAGGCGTGTTGGCCGGCATTCCCATCGCCGGCTGTCTCGGTGATCAGTCGAGCGCCCTCGTTGGCCAGTGTGGCTTTCACCCAGGTCAGGCCAAGAACACGTATGGCACCGGGTGCTTCCTGCTGTACAACGTCGGCACAGAGCCCGTCATTTCCCGCTCCGGTCTGTTGGCTACCGTGGCCTACGACTTTGGCCAAGGTCACCCCCCCATCTATGCCCTCGAAGGTAGTATCGCTGTGGCCGGTGCCGGCGTCAAATTCCTGACGAACAACCTTAGCTTCGCCACCGAGTCGAGCGAGATCACCGACCTGGCCGAGTCTGTGGAAGATAATGGCGGCGTCGTGTTTGTCACGGCTTTTAGCGGCCTCTTTGCCCCATACTGGATCGACGATGCAAAGGGCACATTATGTACGTTTCAGCCCCAACCCCTCGTCTTCTCCACACTCACTAACCCACATCGCAGTCGGCATAACGCAATTCACAAGCAAGGGCCACATCGCACGAGCCACACTCGAGGCCACCTGTTACCAGACCAAGGCTATTTTGGACGCCATGGAGCGCGATAGCGGCAAGCGGTTGGAGAGCCTGGCTGTCGACGGAGGCCTGTCCAACAGCGACCTTTGCATGCAGACCCAGGCAGATGTCACTGGTATTCCCGTCGACCGGCCAGCTATGCGCGAGACAACGGCGCTGGGAGCCGCCATTGCTGCCGGGCTGGCCACGGGCGTGTGGAACAAGCTGGAAGATCTCCGGGAGATCAACCGCACTGGCCGCCGTATTTTCCACCCGAGTCCAGACCGGAAGCAGTTTGCACGCATGGTGCGCAAGTGGGAACAGGCTGTGGAGATGAGCCGAGGCTGGGTGCGGAACGAGGCAGACGAGGCAAACGAGGCAGACGAGGCAAACGAGGCAGACGAGGCAGACAAGGCGGCAGCTTGAGTCCGGATAGGACGAGTTTCCAGGACGTCCTCGCAACCAAAGCCACAGGCATGATGTCGTATGACACTAGAACCAAGATTAGAACGCAAGTAGAACAGGTTAGCGTGATGTAGGATACAATAGTATGTCTTTCTATTTGGCGTCATAAGTAAATGCGAGACGAAATGTGGTGGCGTGCAAAGTCGATTCATTGACTTCAGGAGGTTTTTAGAGGTACAATACTTGACTTCTTGGTGCGGTTTTCGTTGGGGGGGGGGGGGTATTGAACAGCTATGCCGCCGTGATTGTATTGGCACCACATGCTTGATCGGGTGCTTTTGCTAACCCGGCTCCAACCCATCCCGGATCTTTGTTTTGTAATAAAGGAGTCATGCTTCGAATTTCTCCCACACAAAAAAGGCCAGGGCAAAGAGCAAGGCAGCACGCAAAAGAATCAGCGAGGACTGGAAGTAGCAAAGAATTCAGGCGTGGATGAAGAGTGTGCGTAGAAATAGTTCAAATATCAAAGAATATGGAGAGAATGTCGCCCTTTTATAGACGCAGATTATATAAACCGTATCGTTTTTTGCGTTGAAAGAAGAAGTATCGCCCAAGGAAAGCAGAGGGTATGTGTCCTCTTCCTGGGCGACAGAGTGCGCGAAAGATCATGGTCGGTCCAGCACATACTAGCCACCCGTCGATCAAACAATCCAACGAGCGTCGGTTACATGATAATAGCAGGCGTATCGACGTTCGCTTTGATGCTCTTATGCGGCAGAACGCTGCCGCCATTGACGTAGATCTCGTCGCCGATGGTGACGTCATCGCCAAGAACGGTCACGTTCTCCAGCCGGGCCCAGCGACCGACCTTGCTGTTCCATCCAACAATGGTGCTCTTGACCCAGGCATGGTCGTTGACCTTGGAGCCGGCCAGCAGCACGCTGCGCTGCAACCGGACACCGTCGCCGACCACAACGTTGGGACCAATGGTCACATTGGGGCCTATCCGGCAGTTCTTGCCGATCTTGGCTGTAGGATCCACGAGCACGTTTCCTCCATGTACGTATGGGGTAGACACCGGGGTCAGCAGCTCGGACCCCTTCTTGGTCAGCGAGGTCAGGTACAGGCAGGTGCCGGTCAAAAAGTCCTTCGGCTGGCCGACGTCCATCCAGTAGCCCTCCAGGTCAAAGGAGTGCAGCTGGCCGTCGCTGACCATGGACGGGAAAGTCTCCTGCTCGATCGACGTCGGCCGCAGGTCGATGCGGTTGAGCACGGACGTGTTGAGAAGGTAGAGACCGGCGTTGATGCGGTTGCCGACAAACTCGACAGGCTTCTCGACGAAGCGGTCAATACGCGAGGGGTGGTTCGGCCGGTGAACAACGACGCCGTACTTGGACGGCTCCTCCACCTTGGTGACCACGATGGTACCCTCATCGCCGTGTGCCTTGTGGAAGGCAGCAAGCTCCTTGAAGGGGAAATCGCAGATGATATCAGAGTTGAGGACGAAAAAAGGCGAATCGTCTTTGAGCAGCACTTTCTCCGCAAGCTTCAACGGACCAGCCGTGCCAAGAGGCTCTGTCTCGATAGAGAAGGTGATGTTGACGCCATATTCCTCGGCGATCTAGACAGTCCCATTGTGAGGTTAGCCATGTGTTGTCCTCTTCTCGTGACCTATTGCAACAGCAGAACGCACCTGAGCTAAGCGGTCCTCCATGACCTCCGGCCGGTAGTTGACGGCGAGCACGACATCGGTCACTCCTGCGGCGGCGAGAGCTTCGATCTGGTGCACAATCATCGGCTTGTTGCCAAACTCAACCAATGGCTTAGGGAGGGTGAGAGTCTGCGAGCGGGGAAGATGGCGAGTCAGTCACGGGCACGATTGTTCACAATCTCAACAAAGTATAGAAGTGGGTTGCATACAAGAGGCCGCAGACGGGTGCCAAAGCCACCGACGAGAATAAGGGCTGCACAAGATGAGACCACGTCAGCGGGTAATTCACAAGAGGCCGGCGAGTGGCCAGCCGTAGGCGCACACCTCTCAGACCGGCAGCGACGCTGAGCAAACAAAGACCCCGTCGTGGCCGTGGAAGCGACCACTAGCTTCAAGCTCTCTCGCGTTGCGTGCAGACGTACCCTTCATGTTAGCGGGTTGGTGATATTATTGATACTTCGTCTGGAGACAAAGGAAAGCTGTTTGGAAAAGCGGTGTTAATAACGAGCGTCGAAAAGCAAAGGTGAAGGACGTGAAGCTGAGTTAAGAGGGAGTGCTGGTAGACAGGTATGTGGTTTGAATGGAGTAGGAACGCGAAATCGCGAAATGGAGTTCGAAGATCGAAAGGCGAGGGAAAGGGAGGGGGAAGAAAGGGATAGCACTAAAAAATGCTGGGTACGAATCGCCTCCTGACTCGTGGGCAGTTGGGTAGTGCACGATAAAGCCAGATGGTCAAAAGAGGTTAAGATACAGTGCGGGTACTCGTACTAATTTTAAATGATCCGAACGAGACTCGAAGAATCAGAAATGGTCGAGTCAAACAGCTGCAGAGTCCTTTGACAAAAAGTAGCGAGGACAGAAACACGAGGAGCCCAATGCCCAGACCTAGAGAGGACAGGTTTCCTTCTTTTCTAAGCTGAAAGGGGCAAAGTTGGGCCGTAAATAGGCATGTTAGCTCTCGTATCTCGCTCACAAGATACCTTCGGGCTGTGGCGCAAGGCGTTGGTGTGGCTCAGCAAAGCTGTGCGCTGTCCTACGTGGTACGGAGTACTCCGTACGGAGTATAGCACATGCTGTCCCTATCCCCTCTTCAGATTCGCTACAGTGGGGCCTGCATGGGGGACTTCTGGCCTACGGAGTATCCGTATGTATGATGAAAACGCCACCTGTGAGCACGCATTTCGTCCTCGTCGTCCTTGCCCCAAACAGCCAAATTTTTTTCAGTGCGGCGGAGTAACTGTGCGAAATAAAGGGGAAGGTGTGCTTAATGGGAGCTCCGTAATAAAGGGGGAGCTGCGACCCTTGACCGGCGCAGTGGGGCGGCCAATCACTGCACGTGAATGCCAACACGAGCCAGGCTTTTCTGCTTTGCAAATTACCACTGAAATTTCGGCGCCCGATCAGGATATCGGCCGCAGTACGAGCAATGCGCATCTTACGAGTTACAGGTACGAGTACGTCGTATGTGTGGGCACACACATCTTACGTACAACAGGTGTCCCTCGTATTCTCATCCCGTGGAATGGAAACGCGCACACGACAATTTCTGCGCATCATTTTTTCCCTTAGTGGCTGCTCGAGGCGGGGAAGAGCCTCTTGCGTGTTTTTGCTCTTACGGAGTACGAATCGCCCCCCCCCCCTGACGATCAGTTGTCAAAGCTTGGGTTGCTTCCCGCTCGAGGGCAACACTAACTAATGGCGCAGTTGTTGGCTTGAGCCAACCGTCCTCTGTCTTTGTAAGATACTCGTGTCTTACATGCTCGAGGACGTCTGGGGGGCGAAAGAATATAGGTTACGCCGGTAAAGGCCGAGAATGGGCTCAGCCTCGTTGGGTGATGCCGAAACTACGGAGTACTCCGTAAATGTCAGAAAATTGCAGCCCTGAACCTCACATGTGTCAGAAAATCCATGCGAGACGTGACTCGGCAGGCAAAGCTTGCGGGCCAGAGCGAAACTCCACATCTTCATGCTCCGTCATAATCACAGCCTTGGTCCGATGTATCGTGAAATACCCCGAACGGCCTAATGCTCAGTGTACGAATGATGTCTCAGCCTGTCTGATTGGTGTGAATGGAGCAGTAGCATTTTAAAAGACCAATCGTATCTCAAGACAAGAAGACTTGACTAACTGTAAATGGAGAGCCTCGCCACTACCAGGCGGGCACAATAAGCAACATTTTTAGGAACTACAAGATTCTACGGAGTACGATGCGGCAAAGCGAAAACAAATAAACGTATTTAGGTTGGATTTATCGCTGGACATCTAATTCAGGTAGGGTCGTAAAATGGGGCATATTGCGAAACCAAGCTCCAGGCACAAAGAATGATTTGAACACATGGGATTTTTTCGTTTGTGTATCGGCTTCACTGCAAAGGGGCCTTTCCAAGCACTTATAAATGTGCCCATCGTGAGCAAGACACAGAAACGCAGGCCCGGTGGAACCAGAAAAAAGGCATAAAAAAGGGTAGCTATTCTTGGTAGAATGAGGATGTGCAGAGGTCGCTGACGGGCCATGTCTATGTCGTAACGTCATAAAAAGCTAGTATAAAAATGCAAGTATCCTGCCAACAGCGAAGTGCTTTTGTTTGCGAATTTTGTCGTTGTCATAACTCGTTATATTCCACCCGTTTGCCTTTGGAATAGCAGTATGGCTAACGGATATTTCTCGGAAGGTCGTAATTGCCGTGAAGCATGGTGTGAAGGTGTATTGTATCGTAGGCCAGAACAAGGAAAGAAAAGAGAGCGCTTATGTGAAACAGCGCGAGAGAGGGGATAAGACGAGAACTGGACGCAGAGTAGAAAACCCTCGGTAGAAGCCCGGCATAGTATCTCGTATCCAGACCGGCGGAAAAGAATGGCAAGCACAGATCAAACGTCGCGGCAGCCCGGGGAAAAAAGCATCCTCCAGGTATTCTCTCCCGATTGCCATCGAGCCTTCGGTCATTGATAGATGGATAATCCAGGTGGTCCTCCAGGTCATGATCCACGGCTCGTGCTCAACTCGGAGTATTTCTGATCGCCGGATCGCTGGCACAGGCACCCGCCTACTGCCTATTCGAAAGAAGCAGTGGACGAGCTGCTGGAATGGGTGCCCGACGATCTGCGGTTCTGGCTGGGCTTTGCGTGGCTGGACGACGCCTGACGTCCCCTCCTCTGCTTGCGGTTGCTCTCGTCGGCAGGAAGCCCTTGGACAATTCCGTTGCGGGCCAGCATACCTCCGTTGACCGAAAAGTTGCGGCAGACCATGAAAGCCCGCATGGCGGCGTTCTCCTGGGCCAGCATGTCTGATTCGTAGGCAAGATCCGTTTGGTATTCGCGTCCGTTCACCAACACCAAGCAAGTGAAGCCATTGTGGTCCTGGTAACATTCATACATGGGGTCCCGCCAACCTCGACGACGGCAAAGACCTAGACAGAAGAAGAGCAAGGTTAGCACCAAAACCCACGTCTCCCGAAAGTGATGCCATTCCACCATCGCCCATGCACTTCGCCAAGCCGTTGACACGGACACATCAGAAAATCGGCCCGCTGCAGCCTGAGGTGCGTTCGAGGTTGGACCCCCTTCACCGTGTGACGACGTTTGCCACATGCACATGAGACACGGACAGCAAAAACGACACAAATGCACTTGTGCCCCGCCAGCTCTGTACAAAGACACAGACAACGCTGCTAGGCTCCCACTGTCTCAGCCGCATAGGGCTTCAAGCAAGCACAGAAGGCCCGGCGGTGTGTTGCAGCCACAAATGTAAAAAGCAAATCAAGATGGTCGATGACAGGGCGACAACTAGCATTGGCACACTTACTTTCCAGGTACTGCATATAAAAGCCGAAACCGCTCATTTTGTCGGTCTTGTTTGACTCCGTGGTGTGAGAAGTCCAGAGTTCCAGACGGGTAGGTAGCCAAGAACTAAGTCTCGAAAAAAGGACCCAAGAACAAGCCTCAACGGCGTCAAATCACGAAAGTCTCCCAGAAACGCGACAGTATCGACAACAAGAGTGCAAATAACAGAGGGCAAAGTTTCGATATGGATCTGGCCAATGTACTGATGCCTGGAGCGGATGTGCTAGCGGCGAACAGCTGTTGTGACCTGGGACAGAGGATTTCAAGGGGCTCAATCTGAGTCAGGAGCAACCTGATCTACACAATACTGCAAAGAGGGCAGAGGAAGAAGAAAAGTCCGAAAGTCGACGGGCAATTTGGCACTGTTAAATGACTTTGTTCGTGCAAGGAGAAGAGCAAGTAGGAGTGCATGCAGAGGGTGAAAGGATGCCAACGTGTGGTTGCGGTGTGTCAAAAGTTCAAGGCTGGCTGTTATGCAACTTCGTCAAGCAGAGGTGATATATATATATAGCTCGAATCAGCAAAAGAGACATGTGTGTTCTATTGCAGAAAAAAGCCGGTTTAGTGCGGGGCTGGGACGGGACCGGCTAGATAGCAAAGTAGAAGGAAGAGAAGGAAACCGCGTAGAGCAAGCGGGACAGAAGATGCAAGTTGAGATGCGGCTCTCGAGTGTGGCCCCATGTTGATGTGTTGGCGCTGCTTCTACCAGTTGATAAAAACAGACGAGACTAGAAGGCTCCACCCAGCATTTGGAGGTGGGGAGGAAATATTTCGTAGAGGAGCAGCGGCGCATCAAAACCCGGCTTAAAGATCTATCTCCTCGATAAGTTTCGGCGTCTCCAATTTGGCGTGGAGGCCAAAGCCAGCAAGATACCCGCCGACTGACAAGGGGAACAGCAACCACAGTTTGCCGTCTGGCGAACCGATGTCCGGGGGTAAGTTCAGATGCAGAGAGGGGTGAGAAAGGTAAGGGGGGGGGGGGGGGGGGTGGCAAGAAGGAAAAAAAGCAGGGGGGGTGGTAGGGGCAGGATAGAAGCTACGGAGAATTCGCAGAGTACGGAGTACTCGCACTCATACATAGTACAGACGGTGATAAATTCGTTTCTTACAAATGGTGTAAATGGGAGGCATAAGTAACAGGGCAGACGATACGAACAGAGGGCAAATATCATGCAGGCCTAGGCGCAGTGAGGTGGCAAAATGAAACCGGGTCAAAAGCAGCCAACGCTGTGCGTTGCGAGACGCAATGGAGAGAGAAGCATGATACCCAGCAGGCACAGACAGGACAACAAAGACAGACATCTACGTTCCAAGGTCGATCTTCCGGCCAGCTGCCACTCAGGTTGTTTTTCTGGGAAAGCTCGGGGTCGGAGCTGTAGGCGAGCTAAGAAACCGGACGGCGTGCTGCTCATCTGCGCCGTTTATTCTCGAAAGCCGTTCAATTCGCTGGCTAGGGACGGATGGAGAAACACCTTGTTTTGGGGCGATTTTCCCGAGTCGCCTCCACACCTCTCGCTCCATGCTTGGGTAAGCATTCTGGGCCGGATATGGAGGATGGTGAGTTGGCAGGCGGTCACGGTAGGAAAACTACTCGTGGGATGCTGTACGGACGGAGCATAACGCTCCCGTCCTCCGTACGGAAGAGAGGGAAGGTAGCAGGCCTCTCCACCTGTCATGCAACCAAGGGCAGGCCGTGGCAGAGAGAGGCAGTCGTTGCAGGGAATCTGCATGCATCACGCATGTATTGGAAGCGCCCATACTCTGCTCGTGCTCGTACTCGTACGTAGCAGCAGAGGGCGGCAGGAGCGAGGTGAGCAGGACGGAATGCTGCTTGGAAACCGGCCACGTTAGCATCTCATGGTATTGCACAAGGCGGCGATTTTCGACAAAATAAAACACGGTAGTGCGGAAAAGGGGGTTGAGGAAAAAGAGACCGAACAAAAAAGAATGGGAAGAATTGATAAATGGAACTGACAATGAAAGGGGGGGGAAATCGTCGTGCAGGTGTAGGCGTAACGATGCAGAATCCCGAGGTCCACACAGCATGGCCAGGGCCGTTGTTCTCGGCCTGCGGAGTACTTGTAGGGCTTGATCGTGAGCGATACGCACACGTTGATTTGATGCGTCGACAGATGAGAAGCGAGCCAGTCAAGTGGACGAGCAGACACACAAGAAGACACGGAAGCCGCGAAGCAAGATCGAAGCATCGAAACCAAGTCCGGGTGAGAGGTCCCAAGTCGTCAGTAGCGCATCCGTAAGTCGGCAAAGGAAAGGCGAGCAAATCAAAGAGGCTGCAGGGGCTGTGGGCTAGAGCAACAGCTAAAGCAGCATGGGGGGCAGAGAAGCAAGGCGCTTGGTATGTGTATCGTACTCCGTAGGCGTGCTGAAGAAAATCCTACGACGTTGCCCCGGCGTGTAGTAGCATCGGAATGGCGCTTTTTCGTCGGACTTCGTACTCCGTACATGTACTTGTATGGAGAGGGCGCGGGCGCGAAGAGGAGACGAAAGTTGACAAAGGGAGGGGGGTCGAACAAAGGTATGACCAAAACGACCAGGGTTGCCGACAGAGGTGCAGCTACATAGTAGGCTTGGTGGGATGTGGGCCGTAGGCGAACCGCGAAGTCGGTGAAGGGAGTAGGAAGAAGAAGGAGGTAGTCGACTTCGACAGGTGAAGGACCAAAATGAGCTGCATGAACAGTGGATAGAGGCTGGCGAACCCTTACATGGCGATGTGTGGATGACCGTTGGCGTCAACGGTGCAATTGGCGGCTTCTGAATGGAGGAGGAGGCGTCGATGGGAGGCGAAATTGCATCTGCGGGCCACTGGGAAGACTGGCAGCCCTCATCTCATGCACGATGCGTTGGCAACGCTGCTTGTGTCGACAATGAACCCGTAGAGGGAAAAAAAGGGAGTGAGATTTGTGGTCTTGTTGGATTAATTGCTTAAAACTGTTGAAACTAGCTTTAGTTTATCTCTGTCATGGCTGGCCTCAATTGCTTGCTGTTACGACGGAAGCGGCGACCAGCCAACAGGCAGGCCCTTTAGCCGGTCTGCTATAACTACTACGGAGTACTGGTACATTCGAACTTTCATGGACCAAGAGGTTAATTTATAACAGCTCTACTATGCCGGCATGTTGCTTGACTGGGAAAGGGCAATCTGGCATAGATTGTGTTGTGTCGTTGCTCTGTTACTTAGTTGAATGCTACGAAGTGTATACATACGACGTACGAACACGGAGTACTCCGTACAATGTAGTATTGCTCCGTACATCGATGGCGGTAAAACGAGAAAAAGGCCATTTGTGTGGAGAGGAGGGGCAGGCAGACAAAGTGGGGGGCCGGCGAGGAAATAATGACGAGAAAAAACAATAATGCAAGGATGTATCGGTACTTGCTCGCAACAGCATTCTGGACGGACCACATAATCAATCCACCCCGTTGCAGAACATGGCAAGGCGACGGCAGGTACGAGTGTATTCGTACTCGTACCAGCCACTGCAACTGCCGTCGTGTACGGAGCAAGATACGTCGTAGGGCTTTGTCAACCTGATACGCGCGCCGCTTACATACCACACAGTGGCAGCTATCCGTCAGAGGCCGAGGAAGGCACGGCCGGTCGTGTTTCTTCCGGGACAGGGGAGGGAAGGAGCCACCGGTGGTCCGTCTGGTTGCGGTGGACCAGTCTGGATACCCGGCTTCGAGACCATTCTTGGCCTTGTTTGCAGCGGAGAGCATACGAGTATGTCGTTAAGTCTCTGGCCACCAAGAGGAGCTTCAATACAAACGGAGTCTATGGAGCAAGATACGTCGTATGCCTCGTCGCCCTGCCAGCAGCTACGTCGACAGACACTACGCGTATTTGTAAGATATGGTCCGGAGCCGTTGTCCCTCGCCAGGGTCCTTTTTATTTAGGCTTATGCACGTACTAAAAACGACAAGTTGGATTGCATATGCACAAGACGCACACAAATTACAGCAGTTGGCTTGCCATACGACGTACGCCCTGCTCGGTACAATTGAGAGACAGGGACGGCCAGGGACGGCCAGCGTATACGACGTAGAAAGACAAAAGCGGGTGCAAGGTTGTATCGGAAAGGCGGAGGCAGCAGGGAGCCAGACTGCGTCTTCGCCCAGCGCTGGGGGAAATGAGGTGAGGTCTTATTCTCACTAGTACACGCTGTATGCGTTGTGTCCATGCAGGTAATAGGCCCAATGTAACGCATGCTACGGGGTTGTGCATGTCTGTAGTAGACCGACGAAATAGTAGGCAAAGGCGATGCCGAAGCCAGCCAGTCCCTTTCTTCCCGTTGATCCAAGGACCATGTCCGAGGAAGTTGGCGCGCTGATACGACACACGGCAAGATGCGTACGTCGCAGCTGCGATACCGACGAAGCGAAGGGGCAGAGGAAGGGCCGGAGCGCAAGATGGGGGACAGAAAATCGTGTGGCCCAGATCCGGAGGATGTATATGCAGCGTGCAATGCAGAGTGACTTATGCATATATGGGGATGGAAGGGCTGGCCCTTCTCGTTCTAATCCCAGGCTTTCTGGCTCGGAATGCAGACGCTGACCAGCCGAGGCCATGGATGTGTTTGCGATCACATGCGGATATGAGCCGGTTGACCGTTTTCTCCTGTCAGTACGGAGTATTCGTATCTCGTTGTGTCCGCGAGAGGGCAAAGTCCAAGTGCATGCAGGGGCTCCGGCTGAAAAACGCCCTGCATGTTTTTGAGTGGTTGATCATATCCTGCAGTGCACACATGACTGCCTTCGCTCATCGACGTGTCGGAAGGCCTGTAAATAGCCGAATCAGAAATGCATATGTCCACCTCGTACGAGTGAGCGATGTGCTACCGCAGATCGGTTGGAGCCATGGCCGGGGAAAAGGCAGCTCCCATTGCTCGGCATGCATACTTCGGCAGCAGACAAGACATACGGCACATTCGCATGATCTGTTATACGAAGAAACAAACAGCCATGCTGCCCTGATTGACACACCAGCCTTTTTACGAAAGGAAGAATCAGATGAGTGCTGCTCTGTGACTTTTTCCAAGCCATCCCTCCTTGCTCCGACATGGTGTCCCAAATCCGGCCAGCATCAACCCTTCACAGCTGCCTAAAAGCCTGCCTTGGCCCGGAAGAATTCCTGTGTCCGGGCGACACAATCGGCCGGAATAGCGTAGACTGGATGGAGTGTGTTCACCCGGTCGGCCTCTTCAAAGACCTGCATGTCGTCACCCACGAACGGCGACACAAGCCAGGTGGGGCTAGCCGGCATGTCTGTATCTCCCGCGCTCAGTGCTGGCTCCCCTTCTGGTGCCACAAGCTCCCACTTATGCTGTGCCGAGCTCAGCCCTGAGAGGACATAGCAGGTATGGTATGGGTCGGACATGCTACATGCATTACACGGCGCAGCGCATCAGCGTGCATGAGCCACCCAGTTAGCAATCAAATCGAGTAGTGGAAAAAAACAAAGAGCAAGGGAAAGAAGAAAATAAGAAAAAAATGGAAGAAATGAAGAAATGAAGAAGAAAAAAAAAGGCATCACGGTTCCCGCGATAAGAAAGAGAATGTTCCATACCGGGCTGGCTTGTCTCTCAAGCCTCCGCGTTTCGTCTGATCCTGGCAGCAGCAGAGAATGTACCGGATCAGCCCTTCTCGACTGAAGAGAGACCGCGACGGCAGAGAGGGGTTTTCGTGTTCTGAACGCCCGAGGCAAGCCTCGACCAGCGGCCAGCAGGAGCCTACCCAGTGGCTGTAGCAGCCGTCGACAAGCTTGTTGGTACGCCCGGAAAAGCCGCCTTCGGGCGCATACTGGCGCGATGAGAGCCACGATACAAGACGCTGCACATCGAGATACCTAAGCCCAGACCGGTATGTCAGTATCGACTCGTAAGCTCGCCCGTCCGCCAGCCCGTCACGGCCAATGTCACCTCGCAAGAAGGTGGTGGTGGGAACGGTCCTTTGTCACGTTCGCCGCCAGCGGCCGTCCTGCGGCCACCTGCGGCCACCACCATCAACACCATCTTCGTGAGCACAGACCGGGCCCAGCATGCATTGATTCTTGTCAAGCTGTGACTGGACGGATGCAAAGGATTCGGATGGGGCATACCGTGAGATGGAACGGTCAGGAGAGTCCAGAATAGATAGACAGCCAAGCGCACAGAACGCATATCCTCCGTGTGCCTCCGACCCGGGCTGAGACGATATTCCGCCCTCATACGTCTGGCCTGTTTTTCAGCACAACCCACCCTTTGCGTTAGCAAAACCGAAAAAACCAAGAAACCGACAAACGCCGGCAAAGCGAGCGCACACCAGCGGGAATGGCTATACGCACACCTCTGGACATATTTGGCAAGTCCTGTAAAGAGAGTCGGATTGTCGGCCGTCCAAGCCGGTGATTCAGGGCTCAGGCCAAGGGGGATATTTAAGAGCGAGATCATGACTGCTGCACAATATGCTCCCCTAAACCATTAAGTTTGGGTTTCCAAAAAGTAGGACCGGGAGGGCACGCAGGCGCACATGCGCGCAACCACGACGCCACAGCAACATACCTGGACGGTCTACTTCGGCACCGATCGACATTTGGAATCCACCGTCCGGTTGCTTCAGCGCACAGAGCCACTTCCACAGACCACGACGGTCAACGACATCGTAGCACTCCTGCCCGCCGACGATGGCCAATGAGAGCACGATGGCGTACGTGGTGGCCAGATGTGACACCTGGCCATGGCCGCTGCCGAAGCCGCCGCTAGCGTTTTGCATGGACCTGGCCGTGTCGACCAGACGCTGGCGGTAGACCGTCACGTCCTCGCCGAGAAGTGTGAGCCCGTTGAGGCACCAGTACAGCAACCAAGGCCGGCTGGCGTCGTAGCTGACAAAGCTGCCCGGGAGCGTCCCCAAGCTGGCCTTGAGGAACTTGATGTGCCGCTGCCGATCCAGACTGGGCACCCCAAAGTCGTTGTAGTTCGAGAGCCCGTCCTGGCCTTCCTGGCCATCCATGAACGGCAGACAGAGCTGGACGGTTTCGTCCTGCACGTCAGACGTGTCCGTGAGAAGGACATCCCGGACCAAGGGCGGGCGAGTAAAGATGTCGGCAATCATGGCAGACGGCTCTATAAGAACTGGTTTGTAGGATCCAATAATGCTGCTGTGGGTGACGATCTCTTCGTCCACGTCGGTGGGATCTAGCTGTTGCAAGTCGGTTGTAGATGTGGCCGGCATGGCTGGGCGTCTTTTCGTCGACCTTTTAAAGACGGCGCGGTGGCTGTAGCGAGTCGCTTTTGCCTTCACACCTGTCATGTGGCTGGGACACGGGGCGTGCAGACACTATGTTCAGAGTAACCAACAGGCAGTAGCGTGTGAGAACAATAGCATCGCAGCTTGTGATTGTTTCCCGTTTCGTCCCTGTTGGGATGTCCGCTTGTGTAGATCCAGAACGCAGAAACAGACGGGGTCTGGAGGTACAGGAGACCGGAGCCGGGATGCTTCAGCAGAGAAGAGGCACGGAACGCGGCGGTTGTAGGTCGAGTGAGGTTCGGTGTGGCATGGAGCAAAGCTTCCCAGGACAGTAGTTTGGCGGATTTTGGAAGCCAATTGGGCGGTCACAAAAAATGGAGGCAGGCAAACAGGCCACTGAACCTCTGCTCCCCCCCTCCCTCAACCCAGCTTTCGTGCAGAGCAGAGATCGTTCAGCAGAGGGTCAGATCCGGCACAATACGGCAAGAGAGGCACAGGCCGACGACTCGAGCCCAACAAGTCCTTACGAAACGTCTATTTGCAGCCAAAGGCGACCATGTAAATACAGTATGCAGTTTCGTGGGCACTATTCCACGCACTGTACAAACGCACCAGCCACGGCTTGGCGCCACACCCCATGTTTCGCGACATCTTAAGATCTTGCGAAGTGTTGGTTGGGGCAGAGCCTGACAGCCGAAAGTCTGTTTTTCTTCCTGAGTCGCACGGAACTAAGCAGCGTCCATTCCAGCAGCCACCGCAAGCAAGAGAAAGACAAGTGCAAACGATCGTGCTATCCATGACTAGTCTTTTCCCGCCAAATGTGTTCTCCATCAGCCGCTTGTATGACAGCTACCAATCGAGTCTCCCGAATCGGAGCCGAAGGCAAGCAATTCGTATGTTCACACAGGCCTAGCTATTATGGGCTGCCGCTTCCTGTCGTCTATGTAGCGGGAAGTGTATGATCTGAGCTAGGAAGCCGCTGCATACTCACCAGCTGCGCCCGGGCGCATCCACGCCCTCTTCACCATCACCAGGCGGGAATTCTCACATTTCGCTCACCAAACGGTGACGGCTTCACGGCGCCGAGCGCACAGAAAGAAACCTCACCACCCCAACAGAAATGGCTTCCAAACAAGATGCCGCAGAGGCCGAGCGGCCCTGGCTGTATGTGCTCTCCCCTCGGCCAATGAATGGACGGTGGTATCTCCGGTGCCATTGCTCTGTTGACGATGTCGTGTCGCTGACCGTTCTGCGATGTACAGGGAAGCCAAGAAGATCATCCACGGCATGCAGAAGAAGCTGAGCCAGATGAGCAAGGAAGATAGCAGCAACAAGAAGCTGGCTGACCTTGACTCTGTGGAACATATGCTTGAGACGTGCGTTCTGGACCCCCATTTCTTTTTTCCCTGTGGTCAACCTAACATTGGGACTTCAGTCTCCGCTTGGCCTGCATGGCCACCACCTTCTCAGATTTAAGGTTTGCGCACGATAACCGTGTGCTCGACAAGCTGTGGCAAGTGCACTCCTTGATCAGCACCGAGTATAAAAAGGCTCTCCAACGCCATCGTGGACACGGGCAAATCGTACAGTTTCGAACCATTGAGAAGCAGTACGCCAAACACCTGAAGACGGCCCAGTATTTTTACAAGGGCTTTATCGAGCGTCTTTCCGCCCGATACCACCTCACCCCTCTGCAGCGAATTGCCCGGCTGATGAAGTCGGAGACAATCAAGCTAGACGAGGTAATTGACGCCCAAGAGGCGAATCTGAACCAGGAGCTCACGCTCGCTTGCTATCGTACGCTCCTGCATCTCGGGGACTTGGCCCGCTACCGGATGAATACCTCACGACAAAAGGGACACAATCCCGAAATGGCGTTGACGTACTACGGCTTGGCCCAGGACCTGATGCCACAAGAGGGTGATGCCCATCACCAGATGGCGGTGGTGATGGCGGACCAACACCGGGACTTTGGCGTGGTCTATCATTTTTTCCGCTCCTGGGCGGTCCGGAATCCCAACAACCTGGCGCCGCAGAACCTTGCGTCCGAGTTCAAGAGGCTTCTGCAGCCCCCGCCGGCACGCAAAACCGGCAATGCTGCGTCCGACCCGTACGACACGTTCGGGTCGTGGCTGATCCGCCTTCATGCCTACTACTACAAGGGCGAGGAGTTTAGCCAGCAGGATGAGCTGGAGCGCGAGGTTCTACATCGATGGGAGGTGCTCCTGAAGTCAGCAGAGCAGCCTGCCTACTTACAAAAGGCCCTTCTGACGAGCATTGCCGCTTACGATATCGCCCTGAGACGTGTCAAAGGTAAGGAAGCACCCGCAAGCTTTGTTGTGCCATGGTGAGCACAGCGACTAACATGCGCCTGCGCAGAGGAATGGAGTGCGGCCAGATCCAAGGCATGCCAGTTCGTTCTCCTCTTCATTGTACGGACCATCCTTGTTCTCAGTCGTGTGCTGGAAGCCGAGACACAGCGTCTGTTTGGCGGGCCATCTGTCGAGGAGAAGGCCCCCGGCGACAGCGCCAAGACGAGCGGCAAGGACAGGAATAGCAGCGACAAGGCAGGCAAGAAGAAGAACTCGGCATCGGACACGTGCCTGTCGCTGTTCCGGACCTGCATGGCTTGGATACTCATCCAACACGAGGACCTGGTCAAGTTCCAGGAGCACCTGAACCCGCACATTGTCGACATGCACAGGGCCGTGACGCGCTGCCTGTCGCTGTTTGTCGAGATCATCTCGGGGACGGAGGCAGCCCCTGCGTCATACCTTCTTCCTGAGGACGCCGAAGTGCTGGGTTTGGCTCCGCTGGACAGCTGGACGGCGCTCCATCCCAGCAACTCCCAAGACAGCTTCAAAATGCGCATCGACGAGGTGGGCGTGCAGCGTCTAGATCCTGCCCTGGAGACGCTTGCAAGGATCTACGACATTGTCGAGTCGGCGATTAAGCTCGTTAGCGATGACTCGTTCCCATGGGTGGCCACAACTGTGGTCGAGTCGAACCGAGAAGTGACCAGGATCGGCTATAAGGAAGATCACGTGACATATGCTGCGCCCATTGCAGCAGCCTCTATGGCGTCGCCTGTTGTGGCCTCCCCCTTGGTCACAGTGGCTGCAGCACCAATCGGTTCCAAAGGCCAGGTGCATCTGCCCAGTCAGCCGGCGGAAGAGCTGGCCAAGTCGCCATTGGCGCCTCTTATAGAGGCCGCGCCGGCCGTTAGCCCTAGCATACCATGGCTTCCCTGGACTGGCGGTTATCCGAACGTGACTGGGCCAAGCAGCTTCCCGGCAGCTGCAAGCATGCCTGTGGCAGTCGAGACGGACGCTGAGCTTGATTTGATGGACTCGGAGGCATTCAGCCGCGTGGAGAACTTCCTCAGTCCGCCCGAGTCGCACCAGCCCCGGACTGTCAGCAATGCAGGCAGGCCAGAGCCGGCCACCCAGTCGTCTACATCCTACGGAATGCATACATCTACGGCCGACGACGTTTTCGGACAGCTTAACGCACAGAGATCGCCGGTAGCAGCCAGCACCACTGCTGCTACGGCAGCTGTTGCAACTGCCGCAGCTGCAGCCAGAATTCCGACATGTGGGCCGAACAAGGCCAAGCCGTTTCCCAGCCTGCCCTGGGAATTTGTGTTCCAGCCCAAGCCATACCCACCGCTACAACATGCCATGGGCATGGGGGGCCCGACAGCGGCAGCGGATGAGAAGACGGCCTTTTGGTCGGTGTCACCAAGCGCGCGGTCGCCTGGCGGGCTGAACAACTCGTCTCGCGGATTTCCCACAGCCCTGTCGCCGGTGGGAGCAGCCAAAGCGGTGCCGGTGCTGGGCAGCAGTCCCTGGGGCCCGACGGACGGCCGACTGCTGCCGCAGCAGCTCCAGCAGGCACAGGCGGAGGCGTTGGGCTTTGGGACCAGCCCGGGACTGTCGTATACAAGCCACTTCACGGCGAACCCATCGTCAAGCATGCCGTCGGTGCAGAGTCCTCGAGGACTGCGAGACCCGTTTGTGTCCGGGTTTGGGAGTCAGAACGGGCCGTCGACGTCTCTGATGGGCGACAGCAGCTTTCTCGACGGCCAGCAGAACATGAGGAGAAAATGGCAGGAGGCGGCGACAGCTTGGGGTCGCGGCACACCGGCTTCCCGCGACGACCCGACACACTTCCGCAATGCTGTGCGGCAGACGAGCCTGATGGACGAAACGAATGCCTACGACCGGAATGCGCTGCTCAGCGCGCTCGGCAACGGTCACAAGTCGCCACAGTAGCATTGTCGCTGCGGCTTAGTCACAAGCGGACCAGAGCATTTTGTAAGATGATTCGGCATATTATTCCCGACAACATCAGAGTCCCAAAGATATCATAAAGTTGAATTACGCCATGCAATTCTGTGCCGCCGCCATATGTGTTGTTGAAACGTTTCGCATGCCATTGCATGCCCCTTGTTTCCTGTTGTTTCCTGTTCGTTTCATTTTGAGCTCGACCCATGTAATGCCGTTACGACGACGGGGAGAAGGACTGTTTCGGGAAGGGGTACCTACAGATTGTAAGACGTTAGTTTTTTTTCGATTAGGCAAAAGCAAGCAATTCTAAGCGACATACGAAGCGCCCAGCTGGGTGAGCGAGAGGCGGGCGAGCCACTGGCCCTGCTTGATGCTCTGTTCGAGCGAGCTGCCCTCGATGATGCCAGCAGCGAGGCCGGCAGCAAAGGCATCGCCGGCGCCAGTAGTGTCGACGATGTCGGCAGCAGCAATGGGCAAGACGGCGAACTCGAGCACGTCGGCGTCGCCCTGGACGGCAACGATGGTAGGCTTGCTGCCATGGGTGACGATGGCGACGCGCTTGCGCTGGGCATTGGCCTTGGGCAGGTTGGCGAGGTGCTTGGCGATGGCCTTGAGCTCGTCGGTCGAGACGTTGTCGATATCGGCGAGGTCGATGTTGCAGAGGCCGTGAGCGTTGCCGAAAGCGACGGCCTCGCCCTCGTTGCCGAGAACGTAGTCGAGGTAGGGCAGCGTGGCGTCGAGCGCGTCCTTGAAGGCGAGCGGGATGAAGGGGGCTGAGATGGACAGGATGAACGTCTTGTTCCGGGCAGCGGCCTCGTGGGCAAGTGCCATGATGGCCGGCGGGCACACGGTCAAGTGGTAGCCGCCAATGTAGTAGGCCTCCGCAGCCTCGACGAGCGGCCAGATGGCAGCTGACTGAAGATGGCCGAGATCGTAGTGGTTGGCCGCAGCCAGTTCGGTGACCATGCTGCGGTGGCCCGGGGTCACGACCACGGCGCAGCGGCCGGTGGCCTCCTTGTCGTCGACGCGGTACTCGACCCGCAGACCTGCCTTGGCCGCCGTCTCGGCCAGGATGTCGGCATACTTGTCGCGACCAACGCCGCCGAGAAAGACGACGCTGTCGGGGGACAACATGTACTGGGCCCCGCGGGCCGTGTTCTGCGCCGCACCGCCCGCGCTCAGGATCGCTTTGCGGTTCGTCAGCAGATCCTCGTAGATGGCCAGGTGCTGCGGCTCCGCCAGGATCGCGTCGTTGGCCTTGAGGCTGTACTTGTCCAGCAGCGTCTGGTCGCCATCGGCGATGATGTCTGGACGGTCAGCAGGAGCCAATTGGCCGGACAGACCACACCCCGTCACCCTCACTTACCCAGCAGCGGGTTCTCCAGACACAGGAGGCGGTACGTCTTCGTGGCGGCCATGGTGAACGGTCTGATATGGCGGGAATGGATGGAGGCAGAAAATGGGTGAGGAGGGAGAAGAGAGGTCGTTACCGCAGGAGAAGCTCGACTGCTTTTGGCGGGGTTAGTTCGCCAGCAAGGTTTTTTGGTGGGGCTCAACAGCGCTGCCACAGCAGGTCGGATCTTCAGCAGGCAGGAGCACATGCTGGACACAAGTTTGTATCTTATCTGAAGAACAGAGACAGAAATATCGACTGGCTGACATTCAATATATCTAGAAGTCGTTGGATCATCACACCAGGCCCCCGGACCATACACCAGACGCCCCGACCAATGGCTGTTCTCCAGATCATACGACTCGACATCCCAGATTGATTACAATTCTTTTTGTCTTTTCTTTGGTCGGATATGGCAACAGAACAGCGACCTATCGGGCAATCGGCCCCACTGTCTTACACTGTATGCGTCCACGCTCTCCTGCCGCCGCATCCCAACAGCACAAAACAAGCATGATGCAGTCCATTGAGCCCCCGAGCCATGACGTTGAACCCCTGTAAAACAAAGAACGGCACCCATTTTCCTCGCATTTCCGCTTCCTTTAGTCCTTCGTCTTCTGGGTACCACGCAGCAGACCCGTCCTCCTCGCGGCAATAAGACCGACCTTCTGGCCCTGGGTGGCGTATCTGGAGATGGTAGAGGCCTTACCGATGTGCTGGTGGTTACCACCACCGTGGGGATGGTCGACGGGGTTCATGGCCACACCACGAGTCCGGGGCCACTTGTTGCGCTTGACAGCGAACTTGTGCTTGGCACGCGACGCCTCTGTTGCAGGTTAGCGGCTGTGAGAGGAAGGAGAGAAGAAAAGAAAACGGAAAGGAAAGAAAGAGAAAAAAAGAAAAAAACGTACTCAGCAGGGGCTTGTCGGTACGGCCACCACCGGCAACAATGCCGATCATGCCGCGGGCCTTGCTGCTGACAACCTTCTTGGCGCCAGACGGCAGCTTGATGCGGGTCTTGCCCTCATCCGGGTTGTGGCCGACAACAGTAATGTAGTTGCCGGACGTGCGGCCGAGGCTACCACGGTCGCCAGCCTTCTCCTCCACGTTGGTCACGACGGTACCCTCGGGTACGACGCCGAGCGGCAGGATGTTGCCAATCGTCAGGGCGGCGTTCTTGCCGGCGTAGATGAACTGGCCCGTGTACATGCCCTCGTTGGCGATCAAGGTCTCGGACCGCAGCTTGAACCGGTACGGGTCACGGAACACGACGCGGGCGAGCGGTGCACCACGACCGGGGTCGTGGATGATCTCGCGCACAATGCCGCGGATGTAGCCGTGGCGCTCTGCAAAGTCGAGGCTGCGGAACTTGGCGGGGTTCTTGCGAAGACGGGTGACCTAGTTTGCCTGGTGAGCAATGATGCACAGCGCATGCCCTCTCTCCGGAATGCACGTACGGCCTTGAAGATGCCGCCAGCGCCCTTGCGCTGATTGCGAATAACGCGACCCATGGTGGCTCCGGTATGTGATGAACGGTCGGGTTTCGGAGTCCTGCAAATCGACGATTGGTCTTAGCAAATGCGCTCGTAAATGTCGCCGTCTAGGCAGAGAATGGCAGGCGCAGCGGGAAGCTCTTGTCTCCCTCGTTGACGGCGACTATCAATGTGCCAGGCAGAAGACAGGGGAAGGGTGGCGGACGCGTATTGCTTACCCTTTGTGTTGGTGAAGTGAGGAGGAAAAGTAGGAAGAAAACCCAAATTCTGAGATGCACGCCGTCTAGGCAAAAGTCCACACCAGTCCACACCACAAAATTATTATTTTTCCGTGCTTTTCTCCTTGCTCTTCAGGGTTAACAGCCCGCCCTTTGTTAGTCATCCGGGCGCTTACTTTGCAAAAGTCACGTGGACAGGGCCGCAGCTCCTTCGCGGTGCTCCACACAGTGGGGGGCTAGTCGCCAGAGTTCCCCTCGCGACACCACTTTTGAGACCTCCTGGATCGTCGTTCTCACTTTCAGGACCAAAACCCGCCCATCGTGGACTTGTGCCACTTTGTACCGGTCGGGTCGCATACGGCCGAATATGCAAACGCGCAATTGCTTTTTTCTCGCTCCCATAAACGATCGAGTCTCGCGTTCAAGTGCATCCTGCGTGTATGTGCCGCCACGAACAAGAGGCACCACATGAAGGTGGCATGAGCTTTGGGGGGTGCCTGGCTTGTCGGAACTTGGCCAACCATTTTTCTGTCCGCAGAGATTGGCTGTGTGTTGACGTTGGGGGCGGTGCTGGCTGTTATCGCCCCTACACCACATGTCCAGTGACATGGCTCACCTGCCGGGAGATGCCTGCGCATGCTGCCTCCCTTTCATACTATTCATACCACTCTCCTCTGCTCTCTCAGTGGAAAGCCGGTCAGGCCTCAAGCGAGGAGAGCAGTTCTGGTGGACAAGCCAACACGCGAGATTTGCAAATGGCGATTCTCGGCAAATAGGCAAGCGGTTGCTGCAACCCGCTGGAATGAACGCTGGCTTAGTCCGCACTGATCCAGGTCCTTGCTATGGCCCAGGATGGACAGGACACCCGGGAGTTGCTTCCATCATCTTCGCAATCGGATTTTCCGGTCTGGTCTGGTCGAAGCAACGACGACAGTCTTCGGCTTCCACAAGTGAAATTGCAGCTTTTCGCTCCGGGATTTGTTCTGGCTGGCTACATGTCTCTGGCTGCACAGCGGGGTTTTGGTCGGTACCTTGAAAAGCCGTCTTACCGGGCAGGTATGGCATCCAGTGCAGACAGGTGCAGACTGGCAGCGGCTAGTGAACCACAGTCTCCATGTGGACATGACGTAGGCAAACACGGTGGAATGAACAGGTGGCCGCCGACAGCGTGACGAGCGGCCGGGAAATAAAAGACGAAGGCGGGCTGAGTCGGACAGGAACGAAGAGGAAGCCGGTGGGGGTTGCAATGCTCTGTTATAGCTGGCCGCGAATTAGGCAGCGAATGCCTAACAGGGGCGTTGCGGCAATATCTTTTGTCCTGGACGAAAGTGGGAGGAGGCAGTCAGGACGCGGCTCTTTTTAGTCCAAAAAGCAACTTCAACTTTAAACCCTGCATTTTCTACACGACGTGGACCACTTGCCACCAACGAGACGCGCACCCAACCTGCTGCCGTCGACACGCAAGTAATCTCTGCCATCGCTGCGCGTCTGACTGCATCCATCTTGATTTGCTTCCCATTTTTCCCGTCGGCCACGCGCGCGTTCCAGCGCAGCCTCCTCTTCTCGCCCTGCAAGCCCTTCCACGACGACGCAGCCGATATCTCTAGCGAAAAGCCAGAGCCACCGCCATGGCCGACGACGATCTGTCCGACACGTCCTCGCTGTCTTCGCTGTCCTCGCTCTCGTCCGCACCGTCGGACGATGAGGCCGACATCCAATTGCGCCAGGAGAAGGGCGGCATTCTCAAGTTTTTCCACAAGATTCCCAAGGGCGCCAAGTCAGCCACTGGGAAGGCCTCACCGCCACCGCCCAAGAGGGAGCGGGCGGCCTCACCACCACACGAATACGTGCTTGCCGACAACCAGGACATTGCTGTGAGTTTTGCCGTGCTTTTGGCGCGTCGGGCGTCGCTGCGACGCGAAAGATCGCGTGGGTGCTGACAGCCGGCTTTTGGATCTGCAGTTTATCGTCATGTTCCGGAACCGGCTCGTGGAGGCGTTTCCCAAAAGCCTGGCCACCTTTGGCCCCCAGGAGCTCGAACGCGACGTTGTCGACAGCGTGCCGGGCGAACGTGTCGAACATTTTCTCTGTGCCCTGCTGAAGCTGCTCCTCAACCGGCAGCAGGACGTGAAGCCCGGCCACTACAACCGGGCACTCGAGGAGGCCGTACAGTCGCATTCCTCGCAGTGGGTGGCGGCCTGGAAGGATAACCCGCTCGCCGGCGGGAAGACGTTTGCGTCCATGACGCCATCAGAAAGGGTATGTGGTCCTGCATTGCGTGCGGGCATGCGCTCCAGTTCTAACGTTGAAGCAGCTCACGCTCCTGCGTGCTCTGATACTGTGGGCGATGGCCTCGTCCAAAATTGTGCACGACATCATCGACCACGCCTACAAGGGGAAGCGAAACGAAGACGACTCCAACGTGGCCATGTCCATCCAGCCGTGGGGATCGGACAGCGACAAGCGGCGGTATTTCCTCATTGAGGGCCGAGACGACACAGCCTTCCGCGTGTACCGCGAGAGCAACCCGGCCGGATTCATCAACCGGACGTGGCGCAGTGTTGCCGGGTCGATTGACGAGACTCGGACTTTGATTGAAAAGCTCGAGACGGGAGACGGGGGACCCAAGGCAAAGAAGCTTGCTAAGCGGCTGAGCGACGAGATCCCGCGCTTCGAGGCCACAGAAGAAGTGCGTAATGAGAGAGCAGCACATGGGACAAAGGCTGGCAGCTAACGGGTGACTTCTCACAGAAACGGCGGCGGCGAGAGTACCGGCAGACGCGCAAAGACCAGTTCAAGCGGCCAGATCCAGGCTTCTCGGTCTACGAGGGGCGCACGCGCGGCAAGCGGATAAAGTACACGTACTCGGACGACGAGGACTTCCTGACCGACTCGACAGGCCGGCGGCGATCGGGGCGCAATAGTGCGGTTGCAGAACACAGTGGGCCGACGACAACAGCCAGCGGACGACAGGTGCGAGCGCCCAACCGGCTCAATGCTAGCACTGGCGCTGGTGGTGACGGGGTGACGAGCTCTGCAACCAGCGTGCAGGGCGACGGGGATGTCGACATGGACGACGTGTCGGTCGGGCCTACCGGAAGGCCGCGTCGTTCTGCTGCCGTCAACCACAGCATGAATGGATGGGCTCAGAAGAAGACAAAGGAGGTGTACGACGAGTACGACTCGGCAGCGGAGGATAACGAGAGCGAGCCGGACCTTGGCGACGACGAGGAGGATGAGGAGGACGAGGGGCAGGAGGACGAGGACGAGGACGACGAGGACGACGAGGACAAAGAATTCGATGAGGACAAAGACGCAGCACTCGATGCAGAAGACGAGGAGCTGGAGCAGGAGCTGGAGCAGGAGCTGGAGCAGGAGCAGGAGCAGGATGCACGACGCAGTACCGTGGTCAAGCTTCCGGTCAGTGCTGTCCTGGACAAGGAGACGGGAAAGTGGCTCAAGTCAGAGGGCAAGGCCGATGTCAAGGCGCCAACAAAGGCAGAGGAAGGCGAGAAGGGCGTGCCATTAGATGTGCCAACCATCGCTGTGGCTACAGTGTTGTCTTGCAGGAAAAGCCCAGACAAGGCACTGCAAGCAGGCCGACCGGATGCTGTAGGGCTCAGCAATTAGGATTATTAATAGTAAAAGGAATGGCACACAGCACACGCTGTCTGGGGGGGTTGTTTGGATGTCTGCTGTTTGAGTTGTCACGTTATACAGGCTCACATTATACAGGCTACAAATAAAAGCACGTGACCAGGAGGCTTCCAGGTATGTCTGAACAGAAAGCATGTCTTGTTTCGTGAAGTGTGTGTATATACAGTGTACTTGGGCCTCGGTTCGGGATACCGTCCCTCATCACCACCCATTCGCCCGTCATCTCCTGTTCCAGGCCGTCCTGTTCGAAGTCGCCCAGGCGGTCGTGCCGCTGGTTCGTGACCGACCCTGTGGCAGAGACCAGCCATTGACGCCATACCACCAGCGCCGCACGCGAGCGCCAACGGTCTGGCCGCTCAGCTGGGCGTTGCGGTTCCAGAACTGCCAGCCGCAGACGGCCAGGTTGTAGAGCAGGCCCTGGGTGAAGGGCATGACCATCTGGTCGCGCGCCGTGATCAGGGCCACCTTCCACCAGCGATCTGCCCGGGCCACGCTGTGCAGGTAGCTCTGCTCGAATCGAAGATCGGGGAGAGCTGGCAGCTGGTGGCCGAACCGTCCGCCGTGGTGCGGTTTCCACGGCCGGATCGCGCTGTAGCTGTACGGGAGCAGGTCGTCGTCGTCCGCCGCCCGTCTCTTTTCGTCGTCGCCTTCGAGATCCAGATCGAGATCGACGTCCAGGTCCAAATCATCCAGGTCTTCCAGCACGACGGCCTCTTTCCGGTCGGCTGCCGTCGATGGCGCCGCGTCCAGCAGGACCGACGGGTTCGGGCGCATGTGCGCCGTCTGGATCGTCTCGGCCAGCTGCAGCGGAATGGATGTCGCCATGGCGGTGGTGCTGGTGTGCGCGCGCGTGTCTGCGTGGACGGCGTGTCTGTCTGGACTGTGTGCCTGTCTTCTGTCTGGAAGAACAGGTTGGTTGTCTGAACGTCATATGGTCCGTGCGCCAGGCTCAGCCGCCACGAGTGGCTCAGCTCAGCGCAGACCACCGACAGCAGATAGGGCTTCGTCGCCCGCCTCACAGGCCTCTACCCACTGGAACTCGACGCTCCAACGACGTCCTCTGGCTTTCTGGCTTTGCCTTTTTCCGGGAAAATAGTAAGAAATAAAAAATTTCACGGGCCAGGAAACCCCGCGTACGAATAAAATAATACTACAATAAGAACACCAGCACAAACCCACTTTGGCCGTCTTTCGCCCTCCCAAAAGTCAAAGGGAAAATTGTGCTGCCTTCTCTCTTCATTCCACGAAGCCAGAACAGCAAGCACCCGCAGCCGCTCGCGCACAGAACCACAGCCACACTGTTTTGCTTTTTCCCTTCTGTCTTCCTTCATTCGCCCTTTCTTGATTCCCCCCCCACATCTTCGTCAAGATGAGCGACCCGAACTCCAACGAGGCGGAGAAGAATGTGCGTTCCCCCCGCTTATGCTTGTGGCTCCAGCATGCTGACCCGGAGGCGGCAGATTGAGATATGGAAGGTCAAGAAGCTGATCAAGCGTCTTGAGGCCGCCCGTGGCAACGGCACCAGCATGATCTCCCTCATCATTCGTACGTCTGCCCTGCATCTTCACCTTCGCTGCCCGACCAGAAATGGAAGCGCGTCAACTGACACTGTCGGGCTCTAGCTCCCAAGGACCAGGTGTCCCGCATTGCCAAGATGCTGGCTGAAGAATACGTACGTGCTATCCGGGACGCATGCGGTCGCAAAAGGAAATGAACGGGAAAAACAGTCAGGCTGACAGCTCGTGTTCGCTTCATTTAGGGTACGGCATCCAACATTAAGTCCCGCGTCAACCGGCAGTCGGTCCTCTCGGCCATCACGTCGACGCAGCAGCGGCTCAAGCTTTACAACAAGGTGCCGCCCAATGGGCTGGTGGTGTACTGCGGCGAAATTCTGACATCTGAGGGCAAGGAACGCAAGGTCAACATCGACTTTGAGCCGTTCAAGCCCATCAATACGTCACTCTACCTCTGCGACAACAAGTTTCACACCGAGGCGCTGGCTGAGCTGCTCGAGTCCGACCAGAAGTTTGGCTTCATCATCATGGACGGCAACGGCGCGCTCTTCGGCACGCTGAGCGGCAACACGCGCGAGGTGGTGCACAAGTTCTCGGTCGACCTGCCCAAGAAGCACGGCCGTGGTGGTCAGTCGGCCCTGCGTTTTGCGCGTCTGCGTGACGAGAAGCGCCACAATTACGTGCGCAAGGTGGCCGAGCTGGCCGTGCAGAACTTCATCACCAACGACAAGGTCAACGTCGGCGGCCTCATCCTGGCCGGTTCGGCCGACTTCAAGAACGACCTGAACGTGTCGGACATGTTTGACAACCGGCTGGCCGTCAAGGTGATCAAGGTCGTCGACGTGTCGTATGGCGGCGAGAACGGCTTCAACCAGGCGATCGAGCTGTCGTCCGAGACCCTGGGCAACGTCAAGTTTGTGCAGGAGAAGAAGCTGATCGGCAAGTACTTTGAGGAGATCAGCCAGGACACCGGCCGCATGTGCTACGGCATCGACGACACCCTCAAGGCTTTGGAGCTGGGCGCTGTCGAGACGCTGATCGTGTTTGAGAACCTCGAGATCACCCGCTGGGTGCTCAAGTCCAGCCAGGGCAGCGAGATCGTGCTTCACACCACCAAGACGAGGGACAACAAGGAGCTCGAAGACCGCACCAAGTTTCTGGACAAGGATACCGGCCAGGAGATGGACGTCGTCACGCAAGAGTCGTTCCTCGAGTGGATAGCAGAGCACTACAAGGACTTTGGTACCGCGCTGGAGTTTGTGTCCGACCGTTCGACCGAGGGCAATCAGTTCGTCAAGGGCTTTGGTGGCATTGGCGGCCTGCTGCGGTACAAAGTCAACTTTGAGCAGTTGGCCGAGGTGGATGACGACGATGACTACTATGATGGTGGGTTTCTTTACTCCTTTTCTCCTTTTCTCTCTCTCTCTACTCATCGCTGACCAACAGATTGACAAATTGATTCCCTCGTTGATGACGGGGGACTATCGACTCAAATGACACCGTCGAAGGAGCAAGCGCCTGCTGCTGGCCATCAATCGTCGCCGTACGGACCCGACCGGAAGGCCGGCGCTCCGCCAGCCGCCCAGCGCCGGCTGGGGTCCGGAGTTCCCGCCGCCGCGGCGCCTTGGGGTAGCCATCTCAGCTACCAGGTGACGCGACCCAGCCCGCTTCGTTCCATGACGACGGCAACTTGAATTTGAGTCTGCACGACGGTGAGGGTGAGTGTGTCCCGAATCGCACCTTTTTGGTTGCTGCCTCTGGTCTGACAACAGAGATAGATACCCCTGTGAGCATCGCTTTGACGTTGGTTGGGGGGAAACCTGTTAGATTGAAGATTGGCCTGTGAAGAGTGCGGAGGATATGGGGAAAAAGCGGGAGAGAATAAAAGCGGAGGAGATGGGGAAATCTGGCAAAGGCGGTCTGGTGATTCCACAACTGATGTCTCTTAGGGCAGAGCCGGGCAATTGTATGCCGCCGTACTGAGCATATCGTATTGTCGGCCAGTCCGCTAAATGATGTTTCCCTGTCTAGACTGAATAATCTTTCTCGCCCAAGCTATGCACATGAAACGCGGGGAACATGAGTGCTGAAAGTAACGATCCACCAGGGCAGTTATCCACAGTGCGGTGTATTTCTCCGTACTGTTATTCTAAGTCATAGTTGCCGTAGAGAAATATTCTCTAGCACTTTCATCATATAAAAACCGGTGCCCAGTGCCGACGGATTCAGCAGCCATGGACACCGAACAGGGACATGGACCGGTGCCGCAGTCGCAAGGCAAGCATCCGGCAGTGGCCTTTCTGGGGCCGGTCTCGTCATACACGCACCAGGTTCGTTGTTTGTAAGCAGAGACAGAAGCCGAGATTCATGCTGACCAGCGCTTCCAGGCAGCCAAATCTGTGTTTCCGGGCGACGAGTGGGAGCTGCTGCCGGTGGCGACGATCAAGGGTGAGCTAGACGAGCGGTCTGAGCGGGTGTCACGGGGGGAAGGGCTAACCGGCCGGACGGACAGACGTGTTTGAGGCGGTGCGACTCGGGCGGGCAGCGTTTGGAGTGACACCTTTCGAGAACTCGACGCATGGGCCGGTGACGTTTACGCTGGCAGCGCTGGCCGACCGCGACGGCGCGTATGGGTCGCTGACGGTGTGCGACGAGGTGTATCTGGCCGTGCATCACTACCTTTTGGGACGACGACAGAAGCCGGCTGTCGAGGACGAGAAGAACGAGAAGAGCCAAGAGGACCGAAAGGGCGTTCCGCTGGCACGGCTGGACCACATCGCGCGGCTGTACTCGCATCCGCAGGGCTTCGGCCAGACGACGGCGTTTGTGCGGGCGCACCTGGCACCTGGCGTAGAGACGATCGATGCAAGCTCGACGAGTCGAGCAGCCGAGCTGGCAGCAGCCGATCCGACAGGCACGAGCGCAGCCATCTCGAGCGCGCTGGCGGCCGAGACCACCGGACTAGACGTGCTGGCACGGTGCATCGAAGACCGGGCCGACAACACGACGCGCTTCTATGTGTTGGGGATGAAGGGAGCGACGGAAACGAAGATCCAGAAGACCCAGAAAAAGACGATCCAAGACCAGTCCAAGTCGCTCGTCTCGTTCACGGTGCCGCATCGCAGCCCGGGCGCGCTAGCCGACGCGCTCGACTGCTTTCGCCGCGCCGGGCTCAACTTGACTAGCATTAACAGCCTGCCTAGCTTGGTCCAGCCGTTCCAGTACCTCTTCTTTGTCGAATTTGCGGCAGACCGGCCAGCCGACAAAACAGACGATGATCCGGACCAGCGCATCCGGCAGGCCCTGGCCGGACTCGCCGATGTGGCCGAGACCTGGCGGCTGCTGGGCACGTGGACGAAGCGAGATTGACTGCAGTAGGCCCGGAGGGACGGGTGCTTGGCAGCGTAGATCGAGGATGTCTGTAAACAGAGTAATGAGCATGAAATAGACAAAAAAGACAGTCTTTCCCACAGTCAAGAGGGCGTAGCAGAGGACAGCGAAAGGAGCTGGCCGTCCACAGACGCGCCTTCCCGTTCGGGCGATATTAATGCATGTCATGTGAGGAGAACAACTTCCCCACCTAAATCTAAGAACAATCGACATCAACGAGAGCAGCAAACAAAACTGCATCTCTGCTCCTCTGCTTCTGGCAGACATTGAATGCTGACCGTCGACCGTTGACAGCCATGCGTTGCACCAAGTTTCTACCTGCCGCCGCTGCTGTCCCGATGGCCCAGCTGCTCCGGCCGGCAGCCGCCTCCAGGCCTCGGCTGAAGGCCGGCCTTTTGCTGCCGTTCCGACATCATCGCGGCCTCTTATACGGAGCCGCTGTCGACATCGAGGCCTTGCGCGCATCCATGGCTGCCCGTCCGGCCAAAGCTATCTACGATGTGCTGTCACCTGTGCCGTCTCACCTGCTCAACATCAGCCTGTCGGACTACATTCCCCCGGAGTGTGGTGCCGTCCGGTTTCCTCTTTCTTCCTCTTCCTCTTCCTCTTCATTTTCACCTTCATCTTCATCTTTTTCTCCATCTTTTTCTCCTTCGTCTTCTCCTTCTTCTGCTTCTTCCTCTCCTCTCGCTTCTCTCCCCCCCTCCAATGACCCCTTCATCCTTCCCACCGCCCCCTCAATTCTCCCCCATGGCCACCATCTCGTCCACTTTCCTCTCCAAAAGCCCCCCTCCCTTCTAATGCCCGACGGTACCGACCCTGGTCAGTCGCCCGGCTCACCTTTTGACCGCCGCATGTGGGCCGGCGGCTCTGTTCGCTTTGACGGCTTTGAGAGCCTCGTTCTCGACGGCCGTCGCGCCGTCTGCGTCGAGCGTCTCGGCCACATCAAGGCTAGTGGGTCTCCCGGCGCCGAAAAGATCTTTGTTGATGTTTGGCGTCGCTACGGCCTCGTCGATCCTGCTGCTGCCGATCCTGAGGCCGCTGTTGAGGCCAGCCCTGCCGTCGAGGAGCGTCGCACCCTCGTCTTCATCCGCGATGTCCTCCTGCCGCCATCCTCTGCTACATCTTCTTCCCGGCCGCCGTCACGTGTCGTCAAACGTAAGCCTTGTCTCTTTGCTCGCCTACATCCTGCTGACATTTTGCTGATATCATGCATTTAGTCCCCTTTGAGCCTGACTATGCCTTCTCTCTCACTCCCTCGGCCACCCTGCTCTTCCACTTTAGCGCCCTCACCTACAATGCCCATGCCATCCACCTCAACCCTCAGTACTGCCGCGAGGTCGAGGGCCATCGCAACCTGCTCTTCCACGGCCCCCTATCCCTAGTTCTTATGCTGTCCATCTTGCGCTCCCAGCTTTCTGATCCTGCCGCCATCAAGAGCCTAGAGTATCGCAATCTCGCTCCTCTCTACGCCGATGAGCCTCTTCGCGTCTGCATCCGCAAGAATAACCATGGATCTGCCACTGATACCAACAGATGGGATGTCTGGGTTGAAGGCCCTGAAGGCGGCCTGGCCGTTCGGGGATCGGCCATAACTGCGTAAATCAAACCGCCTCCGACTTCTTCAATATAACAACAACTTTTGCATGAAAAATAATTCTTGTTCTGGTTACCCGTGTAAGATGGCTGTCGGTCCAGTATGTAGAATCCTTCAGAAATCCGATAGATCAACGCCGCTCTCCTCAAGACTGGTAGACATGTCCTTGTCCCATATCCTATATCCCGTACCCCACTCATTATCCCGTGATCCCACCCACCCAATTCCCGATCCCAGTATCATTCGCCTTCTAAAGCCTTAGAACCCAAACCCTGCCAACAGATCGGTACAACACCCGGTACCGGCCCTCAATCTGCTCTCAGACTTGTCATGTCCGTCCACAAACAACGTATCCTGGACTGCTGTCCAGCGTGAAGCTTTCCAGAATTCTTGTCACATCTGGCTCCGAGAAAAATGCCTTTTCAATGAAATCAGCCGCCGCCGAACTGCTCTCTGTCGCTTCGTTCGGCGCTGCCCCCGGCGTTACCGCAAGACTCCATCCAGCATTGCTTCCTTCAGTCGGACTGTGGAGAACCTCGTCGTCATGCGAAATTTTGTAGGGCTTCTCGACCGTTCCGGGTCCAGCACTCAGGGCAGAGCTGAGCAGCGACGGCCGAGGCAATGTCGCCTCCTGAGCCGTTGGTGCCGACGCCAACAAGTTCCCCAACTGTCTGTCTGTCTGCGTCGGATTTTGAACCTGCCTTTCGTTCTGTGCCTCGTCCTGAATCGCGCTTGCATAAGGAATCCCCTCCGGCATTATGAGCTGTAGACTTGGCCAGCCACCGGTCCCTCCAGTATCAGTCGCCTCGTCCAACTCCAATATGCAGCCCGTGGCGTGTTCCAGGTTTGCCCTGTTCCGTGACGTGTATGACAGTATCTCTGCTGTAGACGCTTCAATTTCTTCGCAGAGCATCGCTCTTTGGTTTTCCAGTGCCGTGTCCGGTACAGACTTTTTCTGCTTTGACGTCGATGGATGTGCTGCTGGTGCCGGCATGTCCTTGAGGCACGCCCTCAGAACCTGCTCTACTTCGTCCGGCGCAATGGCGTACATCAGAAGAGTATTGTTTCCTTCTAGGCTCTTCGTCATGAAGCGCTGACTGGTGAGATTGAACCCGTTATCACCACAGTCCAGATATCGAAGTGTCGAATTGTTCTGAATCAGCTCGCCCAATATCCCCGTACTGTCATGGAGGTTCTGGTTCCGGATTCTCAGATGCGTGAGCGTCTTATTGTTTGATAGTCCTCGCAGGGCTCGTCCAGCGCCTTTGCCCAACTGCCCGTCATCCAGCTTGCCGCAGAACCCCGACAAGTCCAGATAGCGAACCGACTGATTCTCTCTAAAGAAACTCTCCAGCACCGAGCACGTCTGGTCGCTGCATGTGTCGTCCGTCGTAGGCATTGGCGCCGAACCGACGAGGCTCAGGTAGTCGATGTAACGGTTGGTCGTAAGCGCCCGGATCAGGTCAATGTAGTTTTCCTCCTCCTGGAACTCGACCATGTCCATGTGCAGACCGAAGCGGCCCCCCCAGCACTGCTCTAGTGCTTGGATAAACCCCGCAATGCCGACCTCGAGAGGATTGCTGTTGAGATAGAGATGGACGCCGTACAGGCCCCCCATAGCACTAAATATACGGCCTGCACTGTCACCTGTTATTCCACAGTTATTCAGGACCACCTTCCGGAGCGAGCAGTTGTAGTAGTCCATCTGCTGGTTGTCCTGCCCCATCTGGCACGCAGACAAGTCGGTCATAAATTTCCCCAGTGCGTTCATTGAGTTCTCGTTCAGCTATTGCATAGTTAGTCTCCGGGCAAACTTGGTCCTGTTCCTGGCGAAGAGCTGATAGCCCTCCTGGCTGAACGCACCTTGAAGTTTGAAATATCTAGATGTTCAAGCCGGCTGAGTCGGTTGAGCGATGCCAATGGTAGAAGCTCGCCCTCGAAAGAGCCCACAAGACTTCCTGAAAGGTTCAAGTGTCTTAAGTTGTCAACAGTGTCCATTAATGACTGTGCCATAGGCGCTGGAACTCGTCCGAAGTTGTGCGATATATCCAGCTCCTGAAGCGTCCATGCAGACTGAGAGAGTGCCTGGAACAGGGTCTTCATAGCTTTTTCGGATAAGCTGCACTGAGAGACATCCAGGGCCTCGATGCCCACAGCTTCATGTGATGGCATCACTCTAGTTTCGATCCGGTCGCCGGCGCTAGGTGAGATATATGTCACTATTATCACCATCAGTAAAGCGTTCAGCGCAAACAATATACCGCGTATAAAGAGAGACTTGAAATTTACCGAGACTGTCAATATCGACATCTCCAAGTGCACAGCCTCGGAGAATAAGGCGGTTGCATCGCGTGAGGCCAGCAGCTAGCAGGTTCAGTATCGGGACTAAAAACTGAACACTTCGCTGAGCGTCGTTGCCCTGATTGACGCCATGCAAACAATTTGTAAAGTCGATTTGCCTAATTTTCCCAGAGGCAAATGCCAGGGCGTGAAACTCCTGGTGCATCAAGCTGGCTTTTTGCACCAGTGCCGACTCATTTGTAGTGAGGCAGACACCTGTGGGGGTTAGTGTCAGCCAGGCTGTCAGGAAGCATCGTGATGTGAGAAGCTTACCATAACGGCTCATATATGCAATGTTAGCCGTCCGAGTGCTGTCGTACCTGTCCAATAGACTGGAGAGGTCAACGTCACGGAAGGAGATTGCCTTGAAGTAATCGTTGTAGCGCAACGCCCTCAAAACAGCAAGGAGCTGAAGGTCTGTATATTTGACGCCTTTCGAGGACGGAAGCACACGGAACTCGGGGGACACTGTAGTCCGCCAGCTGATCTCCCAATCCACAGGATCGCATCGGTACCCGGCGCAAAAGGCCGTGAGAGTGCGCTGAAAGCCGCCAAAGTCCTCCCCTGCCGCAATCTGCTGGTAAATAGGCAAGCCCTTGACGTGGAACACTTCTTGCGTCTGCCATGGTGTTGGCCATGCCGGCTTGAGAAACTTGTCGGCTTTCGTTAAGGTCAATATGATCCGACGGTATTGGTGGCTTGCTAGCTCTAGCAATATGGGGTGCTTGAACGGGTCGCGAAATCGCATGGAAAATCGCTCATCGCGTGGTGCCCAGTCAGCGTGGAATGACTCGAGCGTGACGAGACCACATGTCTGGTACCTCACTTCGAGAGCAGATGACTGGGTGATGGAGGCTCGGCCAATCTCGATCATGTAGCACAGGTTGACGCCAATAGCAAGGTAGTGAGAATGAGCTCCTTCTTGCTGTCCCTTCTTTGGCTTGTCATCACCCTTTGTCCGATGGCGCTCAGGAGCATTTCGATAGGCGACCGGGAAGATTTCTGGCTCGCTCGACGTGCATGTGGGCTCTTCCACTTTGAAGATTCTCCGGATGCAGTCTTCAACTTCACAGCCAACGCGAAACGCGTCCGGCTGGTCGTGCCGTTTGGCTTTCACAGAGTGGACCAGATGATCCAGAAGCGCCTCTCTCGCCCGTTCGTCGTTGAAGAAAAGTCGAACACTGGAGGTCGCAATAGCCGGATAGGATAGCCTCCAGCAGATCTCGATACCGGACGGGCCGCGACCTCTGTCCCCTCGGAACATGGAGATCACTGCATGAAGAGAGATCACATGTAGCGGGTCTGCTGGCGGCAGCATGGAAGTAAATGTTAGGACTGGGTTGCCGTCGGAAGTAGAAGTATCGGCATCGGCCATGTGTGGGAAAGCAGCAAACGCGTCAGAACCGGTTCCAAACACAAGAATGTAGTCAGCAGTTGTGACTAGATACCCGGCTCTGATCCGGGAAGTTTGCGGGTCTGCGTAGTCAAGGGGAGTGTGCTTCTCGACAGCCTGAACCCTCCAGTCGATAAAGTTGCTGGAAGAGCTGCCACTCATGGTGGTCGATGCTCTGGACAGGCGGCTGAATGCATCCGAGCCGGCAGAGCCCCGACGACCCAGAAACTCGTGACCTGATGGCACACGTTTGTGAGACTTGCGGAGGACATTTCGTGAAAAGAACGGGCGCTGTGGTGAAGTCGAGCTCGGCGAATCGGGACGGGCGGCCGAGGGGTGAGAAGAGGAGGTCGAGCCCCGGCTGAGAGAGCGGAGAGCTTTGGGCATGTGAGACTGGAAGAAGTTGCTGTGACCGCTGTCGACAGAGCTTGCGGGAGAACTTGTCGTGGGGGTGGAGGTAGAAGTGGCGCTGGCTTGCAGCTTATAGCGATTGAGGGTAGCACTGGAAAAGGATTTGGAGATAGTAGGTGTGGTGGAGGCGGAGGAAGGCTGCTCCAGCAGCTGTGACCGGTTTCGCCTTAGCATGTCCATCTTGGGCATGTGGTGTTCGCCCGACGGGTGTCCGCGCGTGTGGCCCATCGACTCGACTCCGGCTCGTCAAAGATGAATGCAGCCGACAGAAGCGAAGTGTCGTGTTGACGGTAGATGGCCTTGGACAGGGCCAGTTAGCAACGGCGCGGTCGGTGTACTGTGTATGCGGTGTGATGCTAGAAGAAAAGATGTCGCCGGGGAAAAGAGATAATTTTTACACTTCATGCCCAAAGATGCATGGCAACGGCCACTTTAAAGAGAAGAGGGGAAGAGTGCGGAAAACAAACAGGAGGAAAGCCGTTGATCTCACCCAAATGCGGCCGACACTCGGACGAGAAGGCTGTCGAGTGGTTACTCGACGTGCTCCCACGACGACAGCATGAACGGATGAACAGGATACGGTTGCAAAGCTGTTCGCGGGCAGATTTCGCTCAGCTGGCGTGCGTTTCTTTCTTTTGTCCAGGTACTTTTTTCCTTCCTTTTTCTGGCTGCTCTCTTTGTCCGGTTCGAGTCAATGTCTCAGCTCCAAATTGGCACGCCTAGGTCGTTTACAAGCAAAAGGCAGAAGCCCGAATGAAGGCGACCAGGACAAGAGGCAGAAGAGGGCAGAAATAGAAGATTCGATCCTAAGATCAGACGATGGAAGGCATACAGCAGGATAAGAGCGGGCAGTTCGGGCGAGGAAAGCATGACCCAGCCAGCTTGGGGGGCATGTGATTTTGCCTGTTTCGACTTAGCTTGTGCGGACTCCCCATGGACTGAAATGAAGGGAATGGCTTCAGCATCGATAATAATAATTTGGTATGTGTATCGCAGGAAGGCAATCTTGGGTGAACTGATAATACGAGTACGAGCTATTGCGACCAGGCCGCGCGAGCAAAGCTGCATTTTCCCTGTAAGCGTACGTTTAGCTGGGCACAAAGTGGGCAAGTGGGTTTGGAGATCTCCAACCGGTTTTTGAGTGGTGTACATACATAGTAGTGTAGGAGCGATGATGTTATCAAGCCTTCCCGGCGGGGCATTGGCCAATGAGATCGGCTTGGAAGAGGGGATCGGTATGGCTGACTGATGGCCACGGCCAATCAGGCAACCAGCTGGAAGCTCGTCGTGCACGCCAAAGAGCAGCCGATTCCGTCGTGATTGCTTCTTCCCAAGCTTCGTGGGGGCACCTGTGGACTAGTGCAAATATTTTCCCGGGCTCCTGCTTCGTGTGCTTATTAGAGGACCTCTGTGCAATGCTTCGACACTGCAAGGCTCCGTAGAGGAGTCTGTACATAGTACTCCGTATCTTGCCGAGGGACGATGTGCACGTCTTGGCCGTGCATCCATGGCAATGCGGCGCACTCGTATGCAAGATACATAGTAATAGGGTGTATTCATCAGAACGGGCAGTCGGTATCTTACGAGTAGCGTCCGATTGACAGTGGAGCTAGCGACAACGTCAGCTGAAAATGTGCGTACTCCGTAGACATTCCTTGGCGCCACAGGCGGACGAAACCCTTGCGACGCGGCCTAAAAACATTTTTTTTCCCGCGTCTTCTCATCTCGCCAACCCCGTCAAAACTAGTAATGGTGAATATGTAAAAGTTTTGTCAGTCTGTAAAATCGATAGAACAGAAATGCGACCGCTGGAAATGCTGTTATAAGAATGTGCTCTGAATACGAGCTCTCTGGTGGAACCACGACAAGTGGATTAACAGCCGACATAAACAGCGATACTGTACGATACAAAGAGAAACCGGGCCTGACTGCGATCTTCCCGGATGGTTCCCAGAAACCATTGCTCGTATTGAGCGAACATGTTTCTGGTTGGGCCACATCTGGTCTAGTTGTGCACGATCTGGTGTCGGTTGGGGCATGCGTCATAATCAGACACAAGGCTCCTTCTTATCGCTGCTAAGATACATAAGATACTATTATTCCGTATGTTATGTATGTATTATTACATAGTGGCCCACAACAAAGAGCTCAGAAGGCGGTTACATAAGAAACCCTCTCAGCCAGTGGGTGTGCTACAAGATACTGCAGCGGATCGTCGAAACACGGTGAGTTTCAGAAACGGCAGCTGGGGTGTTTCCGCCAATCATCGTCTCCGGCGAGCGCCTCTTCAAGCTATCCTTTCCGACACCTCCAGGCCAAACCCCGAAAGATGCTGCAATAAGATTCGGATTAGTCCTCCACACCATCTCACATTCGCTGGTCATTTGCCGTCGTCTTCCCCTCTCTTGGCTACGAGTGAAAGTGTCTTATCATCGCTGTACATAGGACGTACGACGTGCGTACTGAAGGCATGTGGGCTGCGATGGCACGTCGCTTTTTTTCATCCCCCCCCCACCAGAGCGCCATTCGTCGCCTGGCAGCTACCAGTGCGATGATTGACGCGTCTTTGTTGCATCCATGTGATGTGCTTGGATGGCTTGTCTCGTCACAAAGACGGCGCCTTTCGTATCGCTCTGCCCTGCCCTCCCTTTGTCCCGCCTGCCCAGTAAGCCTGGCTGTTTCTGCATCCCGGCGGCAAGAGAGACGATGGATGAGAGCGGATATGACGAGGTGCTTGCAAGGGCGTTTCATAATACGCCGGTGGCAAACTAGTTGGGCAGGAAGGGAAACAGACAGGTTTTGTGGCCCGTGCCCGCTGCACGTTTCACACCAGCTGCCGCCCGGCTCTAGCTGAGGGGCAGTCTCCTGTAATAATTTCCCGCTGCTGCAGGTCGCCTTCAACATTCAGGGCACAGTCCACTAAACTATGCTAACAGCACAGGGTACCTGGGACTAGAAAAGAGCTCTGCCTGTATTTTAGGATACCTAGTATGGAGTAGTACGCCGTAGCAACAGGCGTACAGAGTAAAAATAGAAGGAAACAGCCTCACAACGGCCATTTCTCCACCACCCCTTTCACGAGCAATCTTGGCTCTTTCCCCTGCGGGACACACATCGCCATTTGCATCCGTCGTTCTTGCTGTTCCCGTGTAATGCCGTCTCCTGTCTCATTTTTTCTTGCTTATGTTCACTGCTCTATCGCCCCTGTAAGACTTTCCCGACTCTCCCGACGCTCCTCTCTTGCGTCTGGGTTTTTGTCGCCTGCATCCCAAACATTCCTCTCTCTTCCCGCTTCGTCCCAGAAGCCCCATCTGGCTACCTACGTGTACGGCCCTATGGACTTTCCCCCCCACCTGGCTCGACTTTTCTCTCTTAAGCCCCCCTAATAATATTACTCGTCTTCCTATTTGAAACCCGGTGCGCCCACAACATCCGTGTCTCTTCCACCGACCCTTTCGTTTCCATCGGAAAAGCAGCTCCGTCTTTCTGCGCCCTCGGACCACGATCCTGTGCTACAGGCCTTACGGTCGCGCTTTTCCCTTCATTTCCCATTCTCGCGTGCGATTGGGATCTGGAGCGCCCTCATCATCAAACGTCAGCGGCATCGAATGCCCATTTTTCAAGCTTGAAAACAAGACCGCTGGCGGCCATAGCAGGACGGAGCCAAGCCCCTGCTGTTAGAGCGAACGGACTCAAATAAGAAGACAGGCATAAACGACCAAGAATACAAATCAAAGTACTGACATCATGGCGATGCTGGCGTCCAAATCTCCTTTCCCGCCGTCTCTCGGTGGCCAGACGTCATCCCCGTCTCTCATAGCAACGGCTCCTGTACCCTCTATTGCCTATGCCCCCACGCGGCGTGCACCTGCAGTCCCGACTACCTCGAGCCAGTCCTTTGCCAGCCCGACGGACTCGGAGTTTTCCGACGCAGACAGCCCCGATGCCGTGAAGAACTGGGATGAGGACCGGGTGTGTGAGTATCTGCGGACCGTCAAATGCGGCGAGTATGAGAAGATCTTCCGGAAAAACAACATCAACGGCGAGAATTTGCTGGAGATGGACAAGGATGTGCTCAAGGAAATGGGCATCGACAAAGTCGGCGACCGTGTCCGCCTGTTTCTCAGCATAAAGAAGCTGCGCACCAAGACGTATGCCAACCAGAAGAAGCGGAATAGGGTAAGGATTGCTCGACTTCTTCGGGTTCTAAGGCTCTCTTGCTTACACAAGCCACCAGGAATCTTTTGGTGGGCTCGACATTCAGTATGTCCCATCGGCCGGGTCTCCCCGACCGCTCAACTCTTCCAGCATGAGAAACGCCATGTCGGCGTCCTCTGTGAACAAAAGATACTCCCGCCAGATTGATCTGTCCTCGATGGCATTCGACAGTTCCTCCACAAGACCGAGCTCTCCGATGAACAGTGCTGAGCACGTTCGATCTGCTCGGGCCAGATACCCGGCCGGTGCCCCGGGCTACCCCGGCGCAGCATCGGCCCCAGTGTCTGGCCGGTTTCCGACATCCCCGCCAGATACGCAGACTGTTCGGCTGACGGCCGCTCACACCCGGAACAACTCTAGCATGGACGGTTCTCTGATGGCCGCTTTGCCGCAGAACCAGGATGTCATCCGTGTCATCTCGACGGGCGGCGTAACAAAGGTTGTCAAGATCGCCGACTGCAAGACTTGCGAGGAGGTCATGCGTGTGACCCTGCGCAAGTTTGCCCTGCGTGAGGACCACGAGCGGAACTACTGTTTCTGGGTGTTGGCCGGCATCGATCCAGACCCAGGCCAGTGCATCCGGCTCAGCGACACGGAACTGTGGCGCATAATCAAGGACCAGAAGCGGCCTGAGAGAAACCGCCTGATTCTGCGCCGGGTTCCCGCTGGGGAGCCTGGGAAGTCCGAGCTGGACCGGGCAGCGGCCATCGCCATGGAGGAGAAGCAGCAAAACATCAGCCAGAGCTACAAGTCGGTCGACAAGCGCAGCCAGCTGAAGGTGCAGAAGGTGCTCGGCGAGACGTGGGACAACCTGCAGCAGATCCAGCAGCCGCCGCTTTCACCGGTCACGTACCAGGATCGTGAACGCAATGTGAGCAACGCGGCGCGGGACCTGGAGCGGCCAGCTCCGGCCGAGACGCCACGCCCGGCTGTGCGAAGGAAGGTGGCGCTGCGGCAGTTTGGAGGCCTGCGGCCTCCAAGCGAGCTCATTGCGTCCGACCTGACCACGTACTTCCCAGACCACCCACGGGAGGACATTGATCGCACGGCACGTCTGTCGATGCGGAGGTCGGCGCGACTGAGCAAGGTGAACAGCCGTCTCAGTGTGGCGAGCACGATCAGCTTCGCCTCGAGCATACAGGACGCGCCGCCCATTCCGACGATTGCCGACAGCTGGCTCAACGCCACGAGCCAGCTCGCCAAGGTGCAGTCGCGCGACCAACGCACCATGAGCCGGCTGCCACATGCATTCCGGGACTCGGTTGCGTCCTCGGTGCTCGACACGCTGCAGGAAGAACAGTCTCCGCTGGAGCCCAACCGCAAGTCGTATGTCTCGTACGCAGACAGCGGGTCGGACTCGGCCGCAGTCAGCGTGACCGACCCCGACGGCAATCTGGTGCGGCACAGCTTCTACGACGACACGGGCGCCAGCGTGTCCGGGTCTGGCTCGCTAGCAGAAGTCAGCCAGGCGCTGGACGAAGACGGCGAGGGGGCAGACGAGGAGCTGCAAAGCTTCCTGGCCGGCGAGTCATGGGACGAGAGCAAGTGGATGAAGGGAGCACTGATCGGCCAAGGCTCGTTCGGTTGCGTCTATCTGGCTTTGCATGCGGTGACGGGCGAGCTGCTCGCCGTCAAGCAGGTGGAAATGCCGTCTCCCGGTGCAAACAGCCAGACGGATGCTCGCAAGAAGAGCATGATCGACGCGCTGAAGCGCGAGATCAGCCTGCTGCGGGAGCTGCGCCACTCCAACATTGTACAGTATCTAGGCTGTGGTTCCTCGTCCGAGTATCTCAACATTTTTCTCGAGTATGTGGCCGGTGGCTCGGTGCAGACGATGCTCAATTCGTATGGCGCATTGCCAGAGCCACTGGTGCGCAGCTTTGTGCGGCAGATCCTGCAAGGCCTGTCGTACCTGCACAACCGCGACATCATTCACCGCGACATCAAGGGCGCCAACATCCTCGTGGACAACAAGGGCACGATCAAGATTTCCGATTTTGGTATCTCCAAGAAGCTGGAGGCCACCAACATTCTGAATGGGGCCAACAACAACAAGCACCGGCCATCGCTGCAGGGCTCCGTGTTCTGGATGGCGCCCGAGGTGGTCAAGCAGACGAGCTACACGCGCAAGGCAGACATCTGGTCGCTGGGCTGTCTCGTTGTGGAGATGATGACGGGCACGCACCCGTTCCCCGACTGCACGCAGCTGCAGGCGATCTTCAAGATTGGTGGAAGCAAGGCTGCCCCGACGATTCCGGATCATGCCAGCGAGGAGGGTCAGCTGTTCCTCAGCCAGACGTTTGAGATCGACCACAACAAACGGCCCAGTGCGGACGACTTGCTAGTAAGCCCTTTCTTGGAGCCCATCACATGAGATGGATGGGCATCTAGTCGGCTGTGGCTGCAGCTTGGTTTTTTTCTTGCTCTCATTTCTATTCTATTTTTATTTTCTTCTTTTCTTTCACTCTTTTTGGCTTTACTCTGCATCTTCATGAACGAGACACGAAATTAGGGGATGATCGTCCACGAGCATGTGCGGGGAGTTGGAGTCGGATACGCACGATATACAGACACGTTCACAATACTACATGCATGGAGATATAGATATAGGGTGGTTGGGGCAGAAACAGTCAGTTCAGAAGGATGATGGAGGATGGCTGTTTGTAATACTTGAGGTGGCTTGGAGAAGGGAAGGATCTGCTGTGCATCACATCTTCCTCGTATTTCAATTCTTGCCTTGGACACGAAACAAGACTGGAAGCTTGTTGGCTAAATCCTATTACATTTTATGACATTTTGCCATTGCTGCCTGTTTCTTGTTGCAAGCTGCAATAGATGAATTTTCGCTAAATTCGACAGGAAAGAAATACAGCCAACGATGACTTTGTGTAGACCAAATGCTTTTTAGGTACAAAAGTGCCAATGCTATTTATATCCCCATATCCCCAACCCCTTGTTTCGGTGCCATCATTTCGCATAAATGTAATTTCAAACGCCATCGAGCTCGCCAGGAGGTATATCGTTCTCATCCCCAAATCTGATGCAATATTATTCAATGCCAGTCTACAGAGACCATCCAGCCATGACAGATGCTGCAACGACAAAGACAGCCAAAGCGGCAGGTGTACCGGGGAAGGATGGCACCGCAGCAGACTTAGCGGTGTTGCTGTTACCGAGGATGACGAGTCCCTGGGTGGCCGAGACAGGGTTGGCGACAGCGGTAGCGTCGGGCACGCCGGTAGTGCCGGCGGCGATCTCGAGCACATTGGTGGAGGTAGCGTTGAAGCTGGTTTGGGCCAGAGAGATCTGGTTGTTGCTGAGGTCGTAGACGACGTAGGCCGAGCGCAGAAAGGTGTCACCCAAGACGTTGGTGCTGCTGCCGGCCGGAGCGACGCCAAAGAGGCAGGCGTCCTGGCCGTTTTGGAATTGAGGCCGCTTGCCGCTGGTGGTGAATAGGTCGAGCACGAGCTCGTCCATGCCGACGGCGATGTGGAGACCGGAAAAGGAAAAGGTGAGGCTGGTGTTGGAGCGGGCCAGCGAACACTCGACGTAGGCAGCACCTTCGGACGAGTCGTACGTGGCGCCGACGCGGTTGTAGAGAGTCTCGACCGTGTTGTCGGGCAGGTAAGTCAGCGACGAGCCCGAGTCCAGCAGCACGGCCAGGGCCAAGTCGTCGGCGAGTGTGGCCGAGCCCAGCTGCAGGCCGGTCAGAGTGACGAGGAACTCGGAAAAGTCGCCGGCCTGCTTCTGCACAGGCAGCGTCTGCAGCTGGCCGACGTACTGGCCCGTGTCGACGCCGCCAAAGAGGATGCTGCCGGTGTTGGCGTCCAGGTCGTTGAGCCAGAGGCTGTAGGCGTTGCTCGCAATCTGGCCGTCGGCCATCAGCTGTGCGGGCAGGTTGTTGTAGGCCTGTCGGCCAGCACGGCCCACCTGCACCTCGTTGGCCGCATAGCCGATGCCCAGGACGCCTTGCGACGACGAGCTGGCATAGCCGATGCCGAACTGCAGCCGCGCCAGCGTCGCGTTATCGCCAAAGCTGATCGTGTCGGCCACGTAGTCTCCGCTGGCACCCGAGCCGTCCACGTACGAGATGTTGAAGTAGCTGCCGACGTATTCGTACGTGGACGAGCTGTTGGCCGTGTATGTGCCCGCATACGAGCATGGCTTTGTCCGCGACTGGCACAACGTCGAGCTGGGCGTGTTCACCCACAGGTCACTGCTGCCCGTGTCGATGTGCAGACGCAGGGACTGTGGCGGTGTGCCCAGGGTTGCGTTGATAAAGTATAGCGTCTCCTCGTTGGCCAGTCCGGCCGCTACTGCGCCACGGCGACGGAGACGGTCACGCTGGATCGGGTTGGCCACGTGTCTGCGCTCCGTCGTCATGCCGACAACACGGGCAGCAGTGCCGTCTCGCCGGTGCTGGAGCGACAGACTGAGGGCGAGCTTGACCCAAATTGAGGCCGCGATGGCCAGTGCCGCCGCTTTCATCGTGTTCGGGGAGGGAGTGGGAAGGCGGAGAGGAGCAGAAACACAGGAGCCTCACAGAGGCAGTTTAGATGGTGGAGAGACAGAAGAAGGACGGGAAAAACGAAAAGAAAGAAAGGCCGTTGTATAGGAGGCAATGTATCCATATGGTGGCATCTGCCAAGGCTGGGCGAAATGAAATGAAAGCCAAGAATCTTGGAGCCCAGCCGGACGATCATGCAGTCTGGGCAGAATCCTCGTGGCCGTGCAGAAGCCCTGGCCAGCCACCGCATCCTGCAACGGCAGCTGTGAGAGAAGTCTCACAGGAGGAGGCTCAGACGCAGGCCAGGAGCAGCTGATGGGCCAAGACCCCATAAACTGCCAAGACCTGGGCATTTGCTGGGCGCCTGTGCCAACAGCCTTGGCCCCAGCTTGGCCCGGGCGGTGTTTCGCACTTGAGGCTGGAGGAAAAGGAGTCGGCAAATCGGCACCTGAAACCGAAACGGCCAGAATGACCCCTTGTGACAGATGCGATCTTCTGTCCGTCCATTTTCCCCGCCGGCTGTCGCATCTGACACAGGCCCGGCTGCTGCAACCGTCTAGGACGCAGTGCTCCGTGTCCGCCTCGGCCGTCACCTCGTGGCATTGTGGTGGACAAGTAAGAGATGAACTGTACGAAGTAAGATGTGATGTACGGAGTACAGAGCAAGAGATGTATTATACGTTGCTGACTAATCAACATTTGGGTCGTGCCTGCCCTCGGAACAGCTTCGTTCATTTCCACAATGTGCATCGTATATTGTACTTCTTCCACGTGATTCATTACTGCAGCTAACAAGACGAAACCGCTGTGCAAAACACCAATTGCACTCCTACAATGCCCATTCGTTCTTGTTCTCGTCCGCGCGGATAAAAGGCTCGTCAATCTTCTTGATGGCAAAGTCACTGCAAAGGATGCTGCAACAAGAGTCAGCACACGTCTCAGGTGAACACAGCATCCAAGTAGCTTACCAGGCGGATGCAACGAGCGCGTCGAGCTCTGCAACCATGGCGTCCTTCTTCAGCCCGCTGACAAAGCCCTTGGTGATCTGCACCTGCAGCTCCTTAATCTTCCGGCTGGCCGCCAGGCTCGACTGCTCCAGCACGCGACGGCCGAGACAGTCCGAGTGGAAGGCGTGCTGACACGGAAAGACAAAGAACTGGCGGCTCAGCAGCGGCAACCCGCACACCGAGCACTTCTCACCCGGCTCGACAATGGCATATCGATGGTCTAGCGCGGCAATGTCGCCCTTGATGTTGGCTGCCGTCTGGCTGCTGTCGTCCATCTCCTTCTTCAGACCCTCGATCTCGCGACTGTAGTCCTCCAACGCGGCGCAGATCTCCTCCTTAAAGTCGTCAATCACGACAAAGTCGGGGAAGAACGGGATCAGGTCCTCGATCTTCAGCAGGTCGCAGCGCTTGAGGAAGTCGATGGCCGTCTTGATGCTGCTGTTGGACTGCTGCGATATCACCTTGCGCGCTACCGCCAGCCACAGCCGCTTGCGCAACGCCGTGTTGCCCATCGGCCGGTCTGCCACCACCGCTGCCAGTTCGATGGCGTCGTGCGAGAGCGCCAGGTCCACCGCCTGCACGTACTGCCCCATGTTCGTGTAGATGTGCACGCACGAGAGCACCCGTCGGTACTGGATGCACAGCCGCAGCGCAAAATCCGCATCGAAGCGCGGATCGTCGCCCTGCGACTCAAGATACGACAGTAGGGCCGTCTCGTCTGCCGATGGGTGTGCCGCGTAGATTGCCACCATCGTATTGTGCACCGCTGCATCGGCCGAGTGTAGCTGGTTGACCACGTACTGCAGGTACCGGATCGCCTGGTTCTGTGCCAGCGGGCCCTTGTAGTGCTCGTCGTATTCGAGCAGCGCCGGGATGATGCTTCGCGGCTTGACCCCGCCGCCCTGCCGCATCAATACGTCCACCAGGTCTGTGGCCACGTGCATCATGAGCACGCTGCTGTACCGGTAGAAGGCCTCGGCATCCGTCTGTCGCTTCAGCACGTTCAGCGCCTCGGCCCACTTCTCGCGCTGCACCCAGTACGCGAGCACGTAGTGGTAGTCATTGATCGTGTTGGCAAAGAACAGCAACTCCTCTTCGCGCCCGTGGCTGCTGATGATGTCGTACACCGTTTTGCGGTCCAGGTCGGCCTTGTTCCGCACCACGAACGACTGGTACTCGTCTCGCACCGTCCTCAGCTGGTCGCGCGTCTCTGCCGGCGTCCGTGTCGCCGACAGCTCCGCCCTGGTCGTGATCGAGTCGTCCAACGAGTTTAGCTTGGCCATAAAGATCTCCACGAGCCAGCTGGCTATCATCATCCGCTGCATGATGGCCGTCTTCTTGTACGTCCCCAGCTTGGTCAGGAGGTACTTGCGCAGCGCATCTGGCTGGTTCCGGTCGATCAGCGCAAGCGCCACGTCTTCGAACGGCTTGCTGCTCTTCCCGTAGATCCCCGACGCCTCGTCGAACATGCCCTTTCCCATGAGATAGTCTCCCGAAGCCGTGGCCACAGCGTCTCGCTGGGCTGCCGAATGGGCGTACTGCATGGCCGCGTCAAACTGTTGCAGCTGCAGCATGATCTTCCACACGTCGCGGTCCTCGTCGCGGACTACCACTTCAAAAATCTCCTGCGACGTGAAGAGCCAGAACGTGCTTTTCTGCAGGTCCACGCACAGCCCGATCGCTTTGTCGCCTTGGTCGAGGATGGCCTGGTCATACACGACCGTACCCGTCAGCCGGTTGGCAGCGACAACGCGGCTGCCGACAATGCCGATGACGTGCCATTGCGTCAAGGCAATTGCCTCTATCGCTTCAGGACCTCCCCGCTTCCGCCCCCAGCTGGACGTGTCGGGAAGGGACGTCGCCAGTTGTGTCCTGGGGATCAGCTTCGACTCTGCAAACACCATGGACCCCAGCTCGGGCTTGGTCGGTGCCACGAGGAGCTTGCCATGGTACACGCCCTGAGCTGACAGCCAAGCAAAGGCACGGTCGGGAACTGCTTCTTCGTACGGCCTGCTGGCCTCGGGATCGGGGGAAACCACGAGCGCAGAGGGAGAGAGCGAAGAGGACGCGGGCGCCGGACTTGGTGTCGAAGCAGAGGACGCCACAGAGCCGCTACCGCCAGAGGGCGTGGCACTCTCGTGAATGACCGGCTGCTCGGCGTCAAACAGTCTGGTGTAGATCGATGCGCCGCCCTCTTGGGCACGGCCGATCTTGCCAGCCCAGTGAAGCAGCCGTGATGGAGTGCTGACGAGAACGCGGCGATACTGGTCCGTTCGGGCAGGCAGGGCATCTACCCAGAGCCCCGTGATGGGACCATCCGACAGGTGGGCCAGGTTCTTCAAGTACTTGTCCTCCTTGCGGTAGAATTCGGTGGACGTCTCGAGGTACGTCTCGTATATGTTGCCATCGGCCGCACCGATGAGAATCTCGCGCGTGGACGATGTCGGCAGCGACGGGTTCCACGCAATGCTCTGGACAGAAATGCCACGCAGGCGGGCTAGCTGGCGCGGCTGGCGCGATTGAGAATGGAGGTAGTAACTTTCGCCCAGTGCCGTACAGATGATGAGGTGGGAAGCTGTCGGGTCGAGAAACATGCGCTGGATCACCCCGACCTCGGACGGGCGCTTTGGAAGATCGATGTCTGAGATGGAGTTAGAAGGATGACCAGAGGCCTGAGACGCCGGAAACACTCACCGTCAATGTCCTCGGGCCGGTTCAGGTCGATGCGGAGGATGCGCCCATTGGAAAGAGCGAGGACGAGGACGTTGTTGGCCACCTGGGCGGCAACAAAAGAGGCGGCGATGGAGAACTGCAGCTGGACGCGCTGGACGTCAAAAATAGGCAGAGAACTATCATCTTCAATCTCTGCAGCGGCCGCAAAGCCGCTCGACGGGTCCAAAGCCATTTGCAATCACCAGATCACATCGCCATCCGCAAGAGATGAAGGAACGACGGGGTGAAGTTGAAGCTTTGGGAGTCAGATTATTACGTAAGGCACGTGCAGCAGTTCCAGACATGGGGCGGTGAAGAGCGGCCTTATGGTGCATAAATGGCACAAATAGTGTATATATAATTCGTTGCACTACCACAACGCTAAAAGGGGTATCTAAGAAAGAAACAGAAGAATGCATAGGTTCGGAGAGGACGCCGTTTCCAGCGGATGCTATATGAACATGAAAGATATGCAGCAATGAGAACAAAACATATGGGACAGAAGCAAAAGACAAGTAAAGCTTGTTGGTATAGATGAACGTGGATGCTCTTGGCTCTAAAACATATGCGATAAAGTGGCGAAGCGGATCAGCCGTTAATGGTGCTCTCGTCCGCGCTGTTTTCAGCCGAGCTGAAATTGCTATACTCGGCTGTGGTTGCCATGGGACCCGAGAAGGGGAGGTCTGGCGGGCTGGGCTTCCGCGCCGTCAGGATGCGCAGGCAGACCCGGGGCGTGTTGTTGGCATCCAGATTGAGGGCATGGCTTTTGATTTCCTCGCAAACCTTCTCGCAGGCGCTAAACGCACGAGCTGGCTCCCAGCCCAGGTGCTTTGTAAGGAGGCGCAGCGACGTAGCTTCGACGCCATGCAGGCAGGAGATGAGCCACAGCTTGCTGATGGCATCGTTGAGTGGGTTGAGCGGTATGGCGCGCTCGGATATTCGGATATCGACAAACCCAGCGCGGCGCAGTCTTTCGGGGCTCATGTGATGGATACCACGTCGGCGACCAGCCTGGATCGATGCCTCGTCGACAGCCCGGAAGAATGTGTGGATCTGTGCATTGGGCGGGAAGAAGGTGAAGAAGGCATTCTCGCTTGTGTGGTCATGGAAGTCGAGGATTTCAATGTGGCCGCCGGGCTTCAAGCACGCAAACGCCTGGCAGTAGATGAAATCCCAGTCGGAAAACGCGCCAGCCATGTCCCTCAGGTGGACTAGGTCGACAGAATCGTCGGGGCGCATCCAGTCGATCTGTCGAGCACTATTAGCCGGGATATGCCGGGCGGTGCCCTTCTCACGTCTCCACTCACCTCGCAGTCGTCGACCTCGAAAAACACATTGTGTGGGACAGCTGTCGGCTGGATGGCCGAGATGTCGACGCCCACAACTTCGCAGTGAGGATAGGCCTCGCCCATGCCAATAGCCCATTCGCCCGTGCCGGTGCCAACGTCCAGGATGTAGCGCGGGTTGTGTAGCCGGATGGAGGTCAGCTCGAAATCAAAGATGTTGAGAAAGACCTGATGCACAACACGGAGACGATCCTGCTCAAGGTCATCATTGGGGAAAAAGCAGTCGCCACAATACCGACGGCCGTTTTCGATCACGTAGTCTAGATCCTCGACATAGAGTGAGCGAGAAGAATTTCTGAAGATTGCAACGGTCAGCCAACTTTTCGGCCAGGACTCCATAGGAGCATCACTTACATCGTCGCGGAGTCAAAACGCCCCACCTGGTATCGGGTCGGTATGATGGGATATTGGCTGGCGGCATAGATCGACCCGGTCTCGTTTAGATCGTCATCCACCTCCAGCACGGTCCCCATCAGGCCTGGATCGGGTTCGAGTGGCGACATGGCGTCCAGGTCGGCAAACTCGTGCTCGCCCATGTTGCGACCAGGCTGTGAGACAGCAGTTACAGTCGATTGCCCTCCGTGGTCACACTCTTCGTCGCCGCCACCACCATCAGTTGTATGTTCATCTGCACTGGCAGGCCCGTTGCTAGAGCCGGCTTGCATTCTCTTCGATCCAAGTAGCGGGCTGCTTCTATAAGCGCAAGCGCAAGTGCCACTGGCTTGTTCGTGGCTGCCAGAGCGTCGTCGGCGCTGCCCCCATCACCAAAAGCTTTAAAGTATTTGGTGTAGGGGTTTGGGAGCTGTTTTTAGCCGTGACGCAATTGGTCGGGCGCACAGCAGACAAGGCAGGCTGCCCGAATCACGTTCGTCTGTGGAGGGCAGCAAACGGAGCAGAGTACATGGAGCGGACCTCTACTATGTAGGAAAGGGAGAAGAAACGAGAGCCAGGGGGGGTATGAGTTAGTCAGGGGAGAGGGGAGGTTAAATACACAAGATACATAATAGCAGTAAAAAGGGTTCGGCAGGGATTGGCCGGGACAACGTACATACGACGTACGAGTATGTACAGGAAGAATCTTACAAATAGACCAACAGGACGGAGTACCAGCAGGACATGGCCATGCAGCTTGTGGAGAATACGGGGTACAGCCAGCAATGGTGAGATGTTTGGACGGACGGCGAATGCAGCGAACGCAGCGAACACTATGTATTCATACAATGCTGCAACGCTCGGATCCTCCCTGACTTTGGCCTGGTGGCGGCTTCAACCGGGACGGATGGCCCTAGTGTGGAAGCACTCGTACGAGCTGCAGTGTACGCGCAAGGAGGACGAGACAAGGTGGTGGGCAGAAGCCGTTATTGTGAGATGCTTGTACGCGAAATGCAGAGCAGTGTACGGAGTAATCCGTACCTGGTATAATTATCGTGCACGGAAAGCACGCTGCGGTGCAAATTGGAATATCTTTGGATTTTTAGGAATTACGGAGCTTAGCACTCAGCACTCATAGCCAGTGGTCCATTAGCATGCAACCCGCCTATAGACTCCACTAGCAGCGGAGAATACCCCTGGAAGAGGACGGTTCCCCGGCGGCCTGCTGGGAACGCTAGCAAGCGAAACGGAATATCCGTGCCTCCTACCCCTGGCTGCGTGCAGGAAGCTTGTCTGTGCTGGTACGTTGCGCGCTCATCGGTGTTTCGTTTCGACACAAGATACGAAGTAAGATACGGAGTACGGAGTAATCCGGCGTGCTCTGCAACACTGTTGTGTCTGTTTGGCAGCAGACTGGCTGACTAACAGCTAAAGTCCGACTACCCGCTACTACGGAGTACGCCCGCAGCCAATCCTCTTTCAGCCGAGAGATCACATAATGATATCCTGTACTCCGTACATGGTATAAGATATCTTACATGGCACAGGACTCACAAGACGGCCCAGGACAGCGCATGCATCCATGCAAGCACTCGTACGGGGCAGAAGCTGCCAGCGTCTTGCACGACTCTCCGGAGTGGGAATCACGGCGCTCGGGCTGGCCAGTCTATTCATCCACAGGCCATCGGCCCGCTCGCACTCGTTCCGCAACACGTCACAGCTGAGGGCCCATTGCCACGGGCGAGAGAACCGCCGAGAACGACACATGCTACCGGCTCCAGCTGCAATGGTTCCCCGGCTCATCGTCTCCGCTCTGGTGCGGCAAAAATACAAGAAGCGTGGCATGTGCGACAATTAAATTTCTAATTCTGTGAGCTGTATCCAAAAGCGAGAGCATATCCTCTTTTCTTGATTATAAGCCGTCTGGTCTCACCGATTTCCAGTGTCGTCAAATCATCTCTCACGGCCTACACCCCCCCTCCAGTCTTCGGTCTTCTCTATATCGCTCAAATCAGCTCGCAACTATATGAAAAACACCAAGACCTTGGCATCGGCAGCACGGCGACTGCTCGCTCGCTCCCTAGGCCTAGGGTTGGACTGCCAGACCGAGCACTTCTTGTCGCATCCGACGCAGCTTTCTACCTCAACCAACACATGCATGCCAACGGGGCCAAAAGCAATATGCATCTGCCAGCGAACATCTAAGACGACGTGTTCTTTCCGTGGGCCTCGGCCGGCTGGGGGCTGTCCGATACCGGCTCCTTGTCCGACATGACCAACCGGTCAACCACAAGCGGGAACGGGCTAAGCACCTTGCTGATGTTGCCCCACCACTGCTCGCCATACTTCCGGTACCAGTCTACCGTGATCTTGAGGCCATCGGCGAAGCTAGTCTTCTGCTCCCAGCCCAGCTGGCGGAGCTTGGTGCCATCAACAGCATAGCGGTGGTCGTTGAACGGCCGATCGTGAGTGTACTTGACCCACTTCTTGAACTCCTCTGGGGTGTCGTGCTTGATGCCGAGTTCCGTCAGTAGGTGACCGCACAGGTCGAGGTTGGAGATCTCGTCGTACGAGCCGACGTTGTAGATCTGGCCAATGACGCCCTTGTGCAGGATGGTGTCGAACGCGTCGGCCGCGTCACCGGCAAACAGGTATCTCCGGGTCGGGCTGCCGTCGCCGTGCAGCACGACAGGCTCGCCGCGGTTCAACAGGCACGAGAACTTGGGGATGACCTCTTACAGGACGGGTCAGCACAATTGAGAGGGAAAAAGGGGCAAAAGGGGCAAAAGGAGAAGCGAAAAAGCGAAAAAGCGAAAAAGCGAAAAAGGGAACATACTCTCGGGATACTGATGTGGGCCGTAAACGTTGTTGCTGCGCACAATGATGACCGGCAGCTTAAAGCTCTTCTGGTACGAGTGGACCAGCATCTCGGCCGCAGCCTTACTGGCGGCGTACGGGTTAGTGGGGGCGAGAATGCTCGACTCCAGCAGATCGTCATCGTCATCCTTGACTTCGCCATACACCTCGTCGGTGGAGATGTGGATGAAACGCTTGATGCCGACCTTCTTAGCACTCTCCAGCAGGACGTGCGTGCCATAAACGTTGGTGTGCGTGAAGCCATAGGAGTTGCCAAAGCTCAGATCGACGTGCGACTGGGCAGCAAAGTGAAAGATGGTGTCGATGTTGTAGCGCTCCAGGCAGTCGACCACTTCGGACGGGTTAGTAATGTCGCCCTGGTAGAAGGTGAAGTTGCGCTTGTCGTTCAGCGCGCGCGTGTTGTTGAGCGACGCGCAGTAGTCGAGCTTGTCAAAGGAGACGATGTTGTAGGCGTCCGGATAGGTGAGGGTCAGGTGGCGGACAAGCCAGCAGGCAATAAAGCCGGCACCGCCGGTAATCATGATGTTCTTGACATCCGGCAGCGGCTCATACCGGGTGCTGCCCTTCAGCACCGGGGCGTCTTGCCAGACGCCAAACTCCTCGAAGAAGTTGCGACGGCGAGTGCCTGCAGAAGCGGTGAGGGTCAGTCGACGGCGGGGGAGAGGGGCCACACTGGACAACGAGGGGAGAAAGCCATGGCACGGGGACTCGATGGGGCCTACCGTCTTGGCTGGTGTTGTTGTTGGATGCCATGGTGATGCAAAAAGGCTACTGTGGGGGATAGAGCGACTTCGTCCTACGACGCTGAGAGGCTGAGAAGATGGATAGAGACCGAAAGCGAACAGAAGAGAGGAAGGAAGGTGCAATGGACAAAAAGGCGGGGGGTCAGCCGAATTTTGTCAGTGAATTGATTCAAGGAAATGTGGGTTTCCGTGGGGAGGATGCTTTGCGAGTCAGGCACAGACGGCTGAATGTATCTTAGCAAGATATCTGTCCTCTAGTGGCAGGCAGGATATGGAAGGTATATACTCGTATAATGCTACGGAAGCGGGCAGTAATCGTAAGTGCGGATAAGATACGTCCGGCTTTACGACATAGAAGGGAGCAGGGTGACGCGACTAATGCCATACAGTGTGTCGCCAATTTTCGATACGGAGTACGAGCAGGGCAGCTACGAGCCTGAGTACGAGTGTTAAAGAACGCAGCAAGGGGTGTAAAAAGGGGGGGCGGAGGAATGATGAAGCTTTGTCGACCGTGCAGGACCGTATCTCTCGCCGTAGATTTCAGAGGATCGGCGAGGGCAGCGTAGAGAGATGTGATACATATAGTAGCCGGTCCGGCCAAGTACGTCGTAATCTCAAGTGTAAATGCGCAAAAAAAAAAAAAAAAAAAAAAAAATCGGTGCCAAGCGCTGGCACCCGGGCTCCCTTGAACCCCTTTTTTTCGACGAGGCTGAAGGGAGAGGGTGCTGCGTCTGTGCTAAGAGATAGTGGGATTAAAAGTGAAATTAAACAGCACGTGTGGCGTCTGTGAGCAATGCGTGCTCCTGGATATCTCGCAATAAAGGGAGCAACGTGATTGTGCCTGGAGCGGCCGGAAATGGCGTGGTGCTAGTCAGACGTGGAGGCTTGCATGTATGGACGAGTACGGAGAACGACGTACGTGTTCATCTCAGACCGGTTGAGACGCGCCATGCCTCGAAGACGGGAGACAACTCGGACAAGCGCGATCTCTCGTCAAGTTGCTTAACAGGCAGGCGAGCCATCGACCCTCTTTGTCCTTGACCAAGGAAATTTGCTTCAAACTTGCGCCGGCTTAGCGCCTGTCAGCCAATGGAGATCACCACTGTTAGGGCACTGCATTTTGTATACTGCGAGACGCCTTCCCACACAAATTAGCATGACAGTACTCCGTACGGAAGAAGTCTCCCAAATCGGCAACGATTCTACGTCGTACTGTGTACGGTAAGACGCTGGCACGTTATGCATGGCTCGTATCCTAGCTGGGTGGGTTCGTGTTAACCTTACCACGCTTTTACAAGTGCGTGCCAACTACGGTTCGGAGCAGGATACACGTCGTATCTTCGTAATCCTGACCCGTATTCATTTCGGGCCCCGTTTGCCCCCCCCTTGTCAACCCCTAACGAAATAGTCAATATGGGGACGCCTGCGACCAAGTGTCGAGGGTTGTGGCGTGGCAACTGTGTTTTACCCTCTAAGCCATCTCTGCGTGGTAGTTTGGCTCGTATCGTTCTGTGCAAGCATTATTACGAGTCGCAATGCGACCCTTTCAGACAAGCTCGTACGAGTACACGCTACTCCATACTTGAGAAACCCAAGATGCAAGAGTCGCAAATTTGCCTACCCGTGCGTTCCAGTGAGGCTATGACCTCCCCACTCTGTCTACGAGAAGGCGCAGTGCTACATAGTACGGTGACGAGACGAGACGGTGACACATTTGTGGCATCTTACTCGACCACCGATTTTTTTTCATTGAGATAGCAGATAGTATGGCGAAAGAACGGAGCACTCCTTGCAGCCGAAGGGATGGCCCATTCCAAGCAGCTCCAGCAACATTAGGGGCAAAATTGGGGGTGTATCCGGCGGCCCGGTGCCTTGGCTTGTAGCTGACACTGACGCAATGGGTGCTACCCCTCTACGGAGCGCCTGTAGGGACAGCCAAGTCGCTGAAACAAGGCCCTCCACTATTGCCCTCCTGGAAGCCGCTAGTCTAGTTAGGGCTGCATATGGGAATGTGTTGTAATAACTGACACGCGTGTCTTTCGTTTTCGCAATCCCACTTCTGCCAACATCCCTTTCCAGCCGCCGCTGCTCTCAGGTCCGAGGTACCGACGCGATCATATTATCGACCGCCCATACTGCACGCTCGTTTATAGAATAACCTATCGCGGGCGCTCTGCCGGATTGTCTCCCAACTCACCAACCCTCAGAATCTCGCACGCTTCGTCATGGCTCTTGAATCCGATCACGCCGAAGGCTCTGCTGCCGCTGCCGGCTCTGCTTCTATCGATCTCGAAAAGCGGGTAGAGAATGAGAAGCTGGCGAGAATAGACCAGCACTCCGAAGAGCACCACAGAGACTTGAAGCCTTCAGAAGAGCTGGAGATCAGCGATGTCCGCGAGGACGAGGAGCTGCTGCTGCCGCAGCAGGGCGAGAAGCCTGAGCCTCCAAAGAGCACAATTGCAGGAACTCTGCTGTGGACTAGCATCAACACGCTGGCCACAATTGGCATCGTGAGCCGCCTCGCTCTGGTAGCACGTCGTCGGGGACTGTCTTGCTAACGCCTGTTCCTGTTTCTAGGTCTTCACCAACAAAGCCATCTTCTCGGACCCGTCTCTGAAGCTCGTGCAGCTCACCTTCGCCTGCTTCCATTTCACCGTAACATGGCTTACGCTCTACATCCTGTCGCGCCCAAAGTTCAACTTCTTCCTTCCACGACGCACCACCATTCGTGAAATCCTCCCCCTCTCTGTAGCCATGGCCCTGAACGTCATCCTGCCCAACCTCTCTCTGGCCTTCTCGACTGTCACCTTCTACCAAGTAGCTCGGATCCTGCTCACCCCGACCGTTGCTGCCATGAATTTTATTCTCTACCGCGCCACCCTCCCGCGCGCTGCCCTCTTAGCCCTCATCCCGGCCTGTGCTGGTGTGGGTATGGTGTCTTACTACGACTCTCTTCCTAGCGGCGACGCGAAGGTCAAGACGACATCGGGCCTCGGTATCATCTTTGCCTTCTCGGGCATCTTCGCCTCGTCTCTTTACACCGTGTGGATCGCGAGCTACCACCGCAAGCTGCAGATGTCGAGCATGCAGCTGCTCTTCAACCAGGCGCCTGTCTCGGCGTTCCTGCTGCTTTACGTTATCCCCTTTGTCGACTCCTTCCCCACCTGGAGCACCGTTCCTGCCAGCCGCTGGATGATGATTCTCATGGTAGGTTTCTCTCGCATTTTTGTCCAGGTGCCTTTGATCTTGTACTGACGCTGGCCACCTTCCAGTCTGGCCTATTTGCCGCCTTGATCAACATCTCCCAGTTCTTCATCATCGCACAGACCGGTCCGGTATCTAGTACTGTTGTGGGTCACCTCAAGACGTGTACTATCATTGCCCTCGGATGGGCTACCTCCGGCAGAGCCATTGGTGATAAGTCCATTCTTGGCGTCATGGTTGCCGTTGGTGGCATCATTGCGTAAGTTTCCTATTCCTCAGGTCGCGACACGTTGGTGGCTCGTCTTTCTAACTTGCAGCAGATACTCTGTCATCATGCTGAAGGAGAAGCAGAAGGCGGCTAAGAACACGAAATAGAGAATGCTTGGAAGCAACGTGAACATGGACGAAACAGTTTTGACGACACAGTCGCTGGCTTGGATAGTAACATGGGGCAGTATCGGAGGCTTTTTGACTTTCCCTTCGTCTGGCATAAAGTGGACGTGTTTGTTGTTTCTCTTACACATTTTCGTCGTTCTTATATGCTGTTCCTGCCAATCTTCTCAACCCATTTGCGGACGGTTTTTTTGCTTTTATGGAGTTTGGAAAGGCGACGAAGTTCACAGGGAGTAGGCTGTTTGGTATATAAAATACAGTGTCGTTGGGTAGTTGTGTTGTTATAGATTGAGAGGTCATACACGATAAAATAGAAGCACGTAGCCTTACTCTGTTGTACCACAAGTCTTGGTACTATGAGGACGGTGTATTGTTGCTCCGTTCCTAGGAAGGTTAGATTCGGGCTCTACCCCTCTGTGGGGCCTTTCCAACCAGAAGCTCACAGCTGAATTACAGGAGGGTCAGAAAAAAACCCTAAAAGAATCGGGTGCGGCAATCTAGATTGTCATTGAATGCCACCAAAGACGACAAGTCTGACTCACAGAACCAGCAACCCCCAGTTGTGTCTTTCAATTGATGCGGGCTTTTGCACTTACTCGCTATTTGCCACAAGTTGGTTTTAGTTCAGGCCGTTTTTGCTCTCTACAAGGACGTGCTCGCTCATCCGTCTTTCTACTGCAAACCAGGACCATCACCAACCGATTCAAGTCGCAGCCTCAAACACCAAGCGCAACCACGATGTCAACAACGGCCACAACTCTCAAGGGTCAGCCCCTTGACAAGCAGTCGCTAGACTCGCTCCTCCGGCGGCGTCTGTTCTACACGCCCTCGTTCGAAATCTACGGCGGTGTTTCTGGCCTTTACGACTACGGCCCGCCGGGCTGTGCGTTGCAGGCGAACATCGTGGACACATGGCGCAAACACTTCATCCTGGAGGAGGACATGCTCGAGGTTGACTGCACGGTGCTGACACCGCACGAGGTGCTTAAGACCAGCGGCCACGTGGACAAGTTTGCAGACTGGATGTGCAAGGACCCCAAGAGCGGCGAGATCTTTCGCGCCGACCACTTTGTGGAGGAGATCCTGGAGCAGCGTCTGAAGGGCGACAAGGAGGCCCGCGGCCAGAAGCAGGAGGAGAAGGCTGAGGACCCGAAGAAGAAGAGGAAGATGAAGGGTAAGGGGCAGGAGGCAGTCCGGCTGGACGACGCCGTCGTGCAGGAGTACGAGGAGATCCTGGCTCAGATCGACAACTTCGGCGGCGATGAGCTCGGTGCGCTGGTCAAGAAGTACGATCTGCGGAACCCGGCCACGGGCATCCAGCCCGAGCCGCCTGTTGCGTTCAACCTCATGTTCGGTACTCAGATCGGTCCCAGCGGCGGTCTCCAGGGCTATCTAAGGCCCGAGACGGCACAGGGCCAGTTCCTCAATTTCTCCAAGCTGCTGGAGTTCAATATGCAGTCGATGCCGTTCGCATCAGCATCTATTGGCAAGTCCTACCGCAACGAGATCTCGCCACGCGCCGGCCTGCTCCGGGTGCGAGAGTTTTTGATGGCCGAAATCGAGCATTTCGTCGATCCTGATGGCGGCAAGAAGCACCACCGCTTCCACGAGGTAGAGGACGTCGAGCTGGTGCTGCTGGACCGCGACACACAGCTTTCCGGCAAGACGACGCCCAAGACGATGTCTATCGGCAAGGCGGTCAAGGAGGGCGTGGTCGACAACGAGACGTTGGGCTACTTCATTGCACGCATCCACCTGTTCCTCAAGAGAATCGGCGTGGACATGTCCAAAGTCCGGTTCCGGCAGCACATGGCTAACGAGATGGCTCACTATGCCACGGACTGCTGGGATGCCGAGTTGCAGACATCATCCGGCTGGGTGGAGTGTGTCGGCTGCGCCGATCGCAGCGCGTATGATCTGACTGTGCACGCAAAGAAGACGGGCGCGCCACTGGTGGTGCGGCAACGGCTGGAGACGCCAAAGGTTGTGGAGGAATGGACGCTGGAGATCGACAAGAAGAAGTTCGGCCCGCGGTTCAAGAAGGACGCCAAGGCAGTCGAGACGGCCCTGCTGGCACTGTCGCAGGAGCAGCTGGAGACGCTGGCCAAGGAGCAGAAGGAGAAGGCATCGATCTCTGTGGACGTTGCGAGTGTTGATGGCGGCAAGGTCGAGCTGGCCAACGAGCTGGTGACCATTGCGTGGACGAAGCGGACTGAGAACGTGCGCGAGTTCACGCCCAACGTGATTGAGCCGTCGTTTGGCATTGGTCGGATCCTATACTCTCTGCTCGAGCACAACTACTGGTCTCGAGGCGCAGAGGGTGGCGACGAAGCACGGGGTGTAAGCAGCTCCATGAAAGCCCTTTCCCATATCTTGTGTTTCCCATGTCTTCTTTGTTTCTGTCTCTCTCTCTTCCCATGCTAACAGAAAGATGCCTAGGTTATCTCGTTTTCGCCGGCCGTTGCACCAACCAAGGTGCTGATTGTGCCGATCTCTTCCAAGGACGAGTTCAAGCCCGTGGTTCGCGATCTCTCGCAGAAGCTGCGCTCGTTGGGTCTTGCCAGCCGTGTGGATGACTCGACTGCAAGCATCGGCAAGCGGTACAGCCGCAACGACGAACTGGGCACGCCGTTTGGCATCACGATTGACTTCCAGACGATCAAGGACGGCTCGGTCACGCTGCGTGAGCGTGACTCGACGCGCCAGGTGCGTGCCGACGAGGCGACAATCCTGGCTGCGGTTCAGTCGCTGGTGCGTGGCGACAAGACGTGGCAGGACATCCAGGCAGAGCTCCCGGCTTTTGAATCCCAAGAGGTCGAGGTGGCCATCCGCTAAGGGCAGGCTGAAGGGAGGGGAGGAACGGAACGCGGCGTACAATCTGCTATACTGCTCTACCGCTCTTCTCAAAAAGGGATCACGGCAATATATGACGCGTGTTGAGTGCAAACGTTTCCAAAGGCTCAATGGCTCAAGCCCTGCAGGCACGTATCGTACGAGTCTGATGCCAAGATTTGGCAGATCTCCGCAGAATAACACAGCTGTCGAGGGTGTCGATAATAGCATGTGTGTTAACCTACGAGAGCGATGTAGGTATATGCTACATAGTACTACGTCGTATGCGCTCCGTACTCGGAACCGCCATACAGCTTGGAGCAGCACCCTTGTCATGACCATGCAGGCAGAGCCAATCTGTAACCGCTGATCCACAGACCGGCATGAGCTCGGCCGACCACGTACTCCGTAGCATTTTGAGCCAAAGAGGGGGCATTCTCCCGGTCGAGCCCTGGTCGCGAGAAAGAACACGTCTACTTGGCTGTTTTCCCATCAGGTTAGCACTCGGCAATCTTTCTGCAGTAGCGGCACCGTCTCTGGTGAGGCTTACCATGCCGGATCAGGAAATTGGGCATGGCGGTACTCCATATCCTGGGCGGCTACTCCGTACATACTCCGTAATAATAGCGGGTAACGTGCTTCCAGGGGATATCGACTAGTATTCGCTAACAGTTGGAGGCCCCGCCGTGCCTTGTTTCAACTGTAAGATGTAAGATACTAAGTATGTACTTGTATCACCCCTGCCTCATAGGCGACCGATGGCAGTCGTTGGCAGTCGTTGGCAGTCGTTGGCAGTCGTTGCTGCCGCAGCTGCTGCGCACAGCGTCAGGTCATAGCGCGTCGGTGCAGGGGCAGGCGCAGGTGCAGCGTGCCTGCCTCCTCGGCGGCTTGCCAGCCATTCAACTTTTTGGCCACCCCACTCACCACGCCCCCCTGTGTTCCAACAGCAGGACCCTTTCACCCCTCTCCACCTCCAGTCCACACCCACGCCCACCAACCAAAGCCGGTTTGCCATTTTCCTCCCACCGCTCTTACGTCCCTGCCTCTCCTCTCCTCTCCTCTCTGCATCCCGTCCTGTCGGCCTCTTTGCGTGCTCATAACCGTATCATCGATCAACACAATCTCACGCGTCACAAGCGAAGGGCAGCTGGATCCCGCCACGAGCTCATCTCGCGCGCCGTATGATACAGAGGCCTCGTCTCCGGTGACTCTCCTCCTTTTGATAAGGCCCGCGCTCTTTCACGCGCTGCTTGCGCTGCTTGCTCGGCTCTCAGCCTCTCGCGGCCTCTCCATTCTCTTCAAAGACTCAAAGCCCTCGACCACGTCCGGTCTGTCTTCCAACCTGGCAGCCTGAAGGTCCAATTTCCCACAAATCTTTGCGGTAGTGGATCAATCCGATCGAGTCGTTGCCGGACTGCCAATACAATCCAATACAATTGTCCTGTCAGCTCAACGGCTCTCCATCGGGTCCTCTCCGCCTCTCCGCTCTCCTCTCCACCTGTCCTCTTTTTTCTTCTTCCTCTCTTTTTCTAATACGCCCTGCTCTGCACTGCTGTCTCTGTAAGTCTCTATAATATACCGAATGGGACCTAGTTCTAAACCCCCTCCACCTGTCACGTCCACCGCTTCGCTGCAGCCCTGACGAGGTCTGCCCCATCGTCCCCCCCTCTGCCCACCCTGCATATTCAAGGGCTCCTTTATTACCCACCGCCGCTTGGGAGATTGCATGTTGCCCCTTTCCTGCCTTGGATGAGAACACGGCCTGACTATCTTCCGGTCCAGCAGCGCCGCTCGCACTCTGTACGAGTACTTTGTGGTCAGATCGCTCTTATCTGCAATGGCAACCCAAAACAGGTGGGAACCTGGCGATTTTCTTCCAGAAAGAAATCGTCACAACTAACACGTCGGCAGCATCTACACCACAGGGCAGTTTATGAACCCAGGTCCAGCCCCACGCCCACCGACAGACAGGCCACGCCTCAACATCACCCCAAATACCAGCCTGTCCGGAAGCATGTCGAGTCTAACCGTTGGCTCGCCCATCCAACGCTCCACGTCTTCGCAATACGCTGGCTCTACCATATCCCTCGCGGCGAGCCGCCAAAACTCCAACATTGACGGCCAGGGCGGTGTTGCTGTCATCAAGGAAGGCATTGCACAGGTGAAGGAGAGCAAGAACTTCATCCAGCCATGGAAGCAGAAGTTTCTGGTCTTGCGGAAGGAGGCGCTCGATTTCCACAAGGTCGAGGGCGGTAAAGTCTCTTACACCCTGCATCTCAAGGATGTCATCAATGTCGGCCGCGTCGAGGCCGCGGGCACCATCTTTGAGATCAAACGCCACTCCAACGGATCGTCTACAAGCCCAGGCGACGACGATGGCTCTACCCGAACACTCCAGATCCGCGTCAAGAGCGACGATGACCTGTACGAGTGGATTGATTTCATTTACGCACGCTGTCCCGGCATGGGCGGCGTGAGCAATCCCACCAACTTCTCCCATGCCGTCCACGTTGGCTTCGACCCAAAGACCGGCGAGTTCGTTGGCCTGCCGCCCGAATGGTCTAAGCTGCTCAACTCCTCTGCCATCACAAAAGAAGACTACGAGCGCAACCCACAGGCCGTCTTCGAGGTCTTGGACTTTTACTCTGATCTCACAAAGCGCGCTGAAAACCCGACTGAATTCTCCAGCTTGACGCCCACTGGGCCGTCAGGCGGCATGCAGAGCAACCAGTATGTGGGCGGCACCTCTGTTGCGCCGCCTCGGCCACTTCATCCCTCCCAGGTTGCACAAAATGTACAATCAATGCAGAACCGCAACCCGAACAGCGGCTATCCCACGCCATCGCCCTCTAGCTCGCCCGGATCCAGCTCCCAGCAGCGTCCCTTGCCCGCGGAGTCGCAGCAGCAGAGGCAGCAGATGCAGGGCATGGCCTCCAACTACAACAGCGGCGTCTCTTCCCAGGAAGAGCTGCAGCGCCAGAAGCAGCAACAGTACGAAGCGGCACAACGGCAACGCATGGTGGAGATTGAGGAGCAAAACCGAAAGGACCTGGAAGCTTACAACGCATCCTTGCCCAAGACGAAGACCTCTCTCGCACAGCAAGAGCTCGGTGGCTACTCTGGCAGCTCATCTATTCCCGCAACCGACCGCTTTAACCCGAGCCGTGCCGCTCCGCCAGCTCCCAAATCCGCTCAGGCAGCCGCGTCTAGTCTTCGTGCCCAACGCCCGGCTCCGCCGCCACCGTCGAGCGCCGGCGCTGCCGCACGCCCTGCCGCGCCTCAGTCTTCATCGGGACAGAACAGCCAGGCATCACGGATGCAGACACGCCCGGACCAGGCACAGACGTCGGCTTCGGCAGGTGCTTCTGCACAGCGCTATCCGAATGGCAGCCAAGCAGCTGGCGGTGTCCCTCGCAGCAATGGCCAGCCGCAAGGCCAGTCGCAAGTCCAGTCGCAAAACCAGCAGTCTTCTCGCCTGCCAGCGCCCGTCAAGCCACTGAACGTCGGACCGAAGGCCGTACCACAGAGCGACAGCGTGAAAGCTGCCGAAGCTGCTCTGACCGCCAAGCCGCCTCCGGAGCGCAAGGCGGATGTTCGCATGTCGACCATGTCAGAGGGCGAGGTCATGGCCAAGCTGAAAGAGGCCGTATCCAAGGACGACCCGAACTTGTCTTACTCCAAGCAAAAGAAGATCGGCCAGGGTGCCTCTGGCTCTGTGTATGTGGCTAAGGTCAAGGAAACTGCCGTGTCTCCTGTTGCCCGCGCGGTTTTGCGTGAGCAAGGTGCCAGGGCCCAGGTTGCCATTAAGCAGATGGATCTCGCCCACCAGCCGAGAAAGGAGCTCATCGTCAACGAAATCATGGTGATGAAGGACAGCAAGCATCGTAATATTGTCAATTTCCTCGATGCTTTCCTTCGCAACAACAACTCGGAGCTTTGGGTGGTTATGGAGTTCATGGAGGGTGGTGCCTTGACAGACGTTATTGACAACAACCCCGTCATCACGGAAGACCAGATTTCGACTATCTGCCTCGAGGTACGGTGCTCCTCCTGTCTTGTCGATCGTCGTCGTTTCGAGCTCTTGCTAACCAGATGGTGTGCAGACATGCCGTGGTCTTCAACACCTGCATTCTCAAAACATCATCCATCGTGACATCAAGAGCGACAACGTTCTTCTAGATGCTCGTGGAAACGTCAAGATCAGTATGTACTTTCCAGGCTTGATTCGGCTGTGCCATTCCCAGTGGACAGATTACTGACGCGTAAACTATAGCCGATTTTGGCTTCTGTGCCAAGCTCACCGAGACGAAATCCAAGCGGGCGACTATGGTCGGTACCCCGTACTGGATGGCGCCCGAGGTTGTCAAGCAGAAGGAATATGGCCCCAAGGTCGACATCTGGTCTCTGGGCATCATGGCCATTGAGATGATTGAATCGGAACCTCCTTACCTCAACGAGGAGCCTCTCAAGGCGCTGTATCTGATCGCTACTAACGGGACACCACGACTTAAGAAGCCAGAGAAGCTGAGCAAGGAGCTCAAGGCATTCTTGTCTGTCTGTCTCTGCGTCGATGTGAAGAGCCGGGCTTCGGCGCGGGAACTGTTGGAGCATGACTTCCTGAAACATGGCTGCCCACTTGGCAGCCTCGCCGAGCTGCTCGCCTTTAAGAAGCATGCCAAGTGAAGAGAAGAGCCGGGACTTAAGTGGGTTCAAGTTTTTTTAAGGAAAAATCTTATTGTCATCTTCGAGATGTCCTGCATACTACTTCTCTTTAATGGCGACAGCCTTTCCACGATACGTTCTGTTTCCGTTTCTGTTTCCCGTTTTGCAGTGGGGGCGTTACCGGTTTTGATATGGCATCCATTTTCGATATATCCAGACAAATCGGAAAATATATACACTGTTACTACTCCGTACTGGCCAGGATCGATCGAGCGCCGTGCAAAGGTTGAGGCTTCGTCTCCATACAACGAGAGGGGAGAACGCGTCTAGGTAGGCAGACAAACGGAGCAAAGGCGGACTGACGCTTTGATTGGCTGTACTTCAGCTTGACCTTGACCCATGCACTGTAGCCGCCTAGTTTGTTGGGCCCGTGGAGCGCCAAAGTCTAGTCTACAAATCGCTGGAGGGGTGAAGAGGGGTTGTTTTTTCTCTACCCCGGACAACCAAGACAAAAAAACATAGTTTCAGAAAATTTGAAGTAGACAACCTGAGCCTTCCATCTATTTAACAACTTCCAACTGCAAGCTCCGGTCCTACATTCCACGGCCTGCATCCTATTGGACATTAATAATCTATCTTGCCAGTCTGCTCGACAAATTCCTTGAGATACTATAACGAGACTCTAGCCTTCCTGTTAGCAGCAACCAAACAAGCCACGATGTCGACTGCTGAGGGCACCACCGCGGCCACGGCCCCGAAGGAGGTAAGATGCCATATCCCAGTCCGGTCGCGACGGGTGGGGTATTTCTCATCTATTGCAGTGACTGACGATGGATGTGTGTTTGGCAGGTTACCGAGGCCGAGAAGCCCGTGACCTCTTCCGCCGTGTTTTCCATGTTCGGTGGTGGGGCAAAAAAGGAGAAGAAGGACGTCGAAGAGGGCCGTGGCGATGTGTCGGGCAGCAACAAGGCACAGCGCGAGGCAGCTGCCGCTGCCGCTGCTAAGGATGGAGACGAGGTGAGTGTGGATTCATTGTGGAGATGCGAGGCCAGGGCAGAGAAGATGCTGCGAGCCCGTACATTTCATGACCAGTTTCTGCTGACACGCTCATAGGAGGACCAGGCCCCCGAGTCCGAAGATGTCCACTTCGAGCCTGTCATCCGGCTGACGGAGAAGGTTGAGGTCAAGACCAACGAGGAGTCAGAGGAGCAGGCCTTCAAGATGCGCGCCAAGCTGTTCAAGTTTGTGCGCGAGAGCAGCGAGTGGAAGGAGCGCGGCACGGGCGATGTTCGTCTGCTGAAGCACAAGGAGAACGGCAAGACTCGGTTGGTCATGCGCCGGGACAAGACGCTCAAGGTCTGCGCCAACCACTACAGTATGTCATCATTACGGGGGAGTTTTTAAAGGGGGAATTGTTTTCTGTTTTCTAATCCGTTTCAGTCCTGCCCGAGATGAAGCTATCGCCCAACGTCGGATCTGACCGAAGCTGGGTCTGGAATGCGACGGCGGATGTGAGCGAGGGCGAGCCAGAGGCCGTGACCCTGGCTATTCGCTTTGCAAACCCAGAGAGTACGTATATCCCTATTTGGCCCATGCTTGCAGCCAGTCAGTCGACTCTGTATGCTAACTTCACCAGATGCGAACCTTTTCAAGGACGCCTTCGTCAAGGCGCAGGCGGATAACGAGGCCATCTTGGAGGCAAACAGCCCTGCTGACGAGGAAAAGGAGGAAGAGAAGGCCAAGGCAGAGCCAGCCAAGGATGCATAGATCTACATCCGGTTTGCATATACAATGTCAAGCTGAGGCTAGCATTGCTGAAGAGACACCTTACGAGTTTTTTCGCGTCGAATTTTCCCTCTCCCCTACCCCTCTCACGACACTGCCGCCACTTGTTTATGTTCCCGAGCTTAGTCGAGTTGGAAACTTGGTCATCTCATCAAGCAGCTCGATTTCTGGACTACTCTGGCATCGACTGTCAGTATTGCCAAGTATTATTACACCCTTATCCCCCCCTACTATTGCCTTCTTCGATGCCCATGTGCCCTAGAACGATAAGGTGCAAAGGGCATCTAGACGGTGCATAAACGATCACAGGAGAAGCTATCTGGAAGCCGGTTTAGGCGAGCCTGTATGCTGCCGTTTTGCATGGTCTCTCGAAGAGAAAAAGGACAAGACACCAAAACATGGACGATGCCATGATGCGCAACCTGGTTTAGATAGTTGCAGAATAAACAAAGTCAACAGTTTTCAACGATGCTAATGCCGGTTTGCAGAGGTATCTGGGCCAAGGCGCAAAGGGAAAAGGAAACTTCGTACGACACTGGAGTACAAGTACAGAGTACAAGTACAGAGTACAAGTAAACAAAGCGGTGGGGTGGGCTTTCTTAGGGCAACGCCCCACTACGCCAGACTGGATTTGTTATTTTGCATCTCCTAATGAGATTAGCGGAGCAGGACTCTATCCCCCTTAGGAGAGCAGGCCCAGCATCAAATCACATCCCAGCACTGTTGCGCCACAAAGGATCGCCCTCAGCCACAGAGTACTTGCTGCTAGGAAGGTCCTTAGAAGAGACCGCGACGAAAAGATGGGGCGGAAGGTGACAAAAGTCGCGGTGCAGCGCAAATCGATACGAATTGTCAACCGCAGAGTGCCGCCTCATGAGCAGCAGAGCAGCAAACGACAAAGTACCGGTGAGTGCGTCCGGCGTTTTTTTTTGGCAGCGTTCCCGTTTTTTTATCTGTTGCGTCTGTCCGGGCCGCCGTCTTTTTGCTCTGAAATGCGCCGAGCTGTAAAGGCAGCAGCCAGCAGCGCCAGCATTGGAAGCGCAAGTTAAGGGAGGCAAGCAGAGAGGAGCGCGCTAGATGGAAACGAGGCATACACATGTGGGCATCGCTGGCCAGCTTGCGTCAGGACGGTGGATGTCATTAGGGAGGGTGTGGGCGATTTGGTCCAGTCGTGCATTGCGATCTGTCTTTCATTGCTCCGTCGTCCTCGTCCATGGCTAACTGTCGATTGTTCATGCTGCAATCTAGCCCTTATTACCGACGAAGAAGATCCGCTCCCCGCAGGCAGCATGATTGTCGAAGTACGTCGAACAGCCGCACGCGTCTACTTTGATTCCAACAGCTGACATATGGTCTTTCCGCCCATGCAGCGCCGCATCAAGCTCGTGACCGAGCAGCACAACATGTTCGTCCCCGTCCGATGCATGAAACAGGTGGAGGGATGTTCAGGGCGTAGTGTGGCTAACATTGTGCGCGCGCGCGTGTGTACAGCCCGAAGCCGCCTCAGATCGAGGGATATCCCATGAAGGAATGGACGGTGGAGGTTTACGTGCTGGACGAGAGCGGCAAGGAGAGGCCGGCGAGGTGCTTCCAGAAGGTGGTGTATAACCTTCACCCGTCGTTTGAGAACCCGGTGCAGAGTAAGTACAGCTGCGGTGTTTCCTTGGACGCGGACCAGACTCCTGTGTCGGAATTCTGACGGGACACAGCCTTCCACGAGCCGCCATTCAAATGCACCAACGAGGGCTGGGGAGAGTTCGAGATGACGATCGACTGCTACACGACGGAAAAGGGCGGCAAACAATCGATCTTGCACGATCTCAACTTTGCCAACGCGACGTACGAGAATGTCCACACGGTGCAGTTCAAAAACCCGTCGCAGGCACTGCAGACGATTCTGCGCGAGACGGGCCCACTGCCGACGGACGAGGAGCGCAAGGTGCGCAAGCCGCAGGACGGGATCAAGAAGAGGAAGACGTTTGATATCGAGAAGATGGCGGACGCGATTCCGCGGCTCGGCGAGGATGACTTGCTACACATCATCCAGCTGATCCACGACAACAAGAGCGAAGATACATACTTTGTAAACAATCCTGACGGTGCGTCTCCTTCCCTCTCTCTGGCGTCTGCGCGGTGGGTGAAGCTGACCAGGCCTGCTCTTTGCGCCGACAGCGGGAGAGTTTTCGTTCGACCTGTACACAATACCCGACAGTCTTGGCCGGGCAATGTGGGACTACATTGTACGTGAAGGCCGATCCCTGGATGCGCTCTTGTGTGTGGACGAACACGCTGACATTGACGGGAACAGCTTCAAACGTCCGAGGGCCACCGCCTTCGATGAGCTGGCGCGGTGGCAGCTGTGTTTCCATCTTCTGTTCTGTTTTCCCGTCCTTTCATCTTTCCGTTTTCCCGTTCTGGTTGGGCCTGGCACAGGGGAGGGGATCGGACAGCTACTTTCTTCCCGTTTTGGTCGCTGTAACGTGCGTCTTGTTCGAGTCCGCCGTACGTGTGCATCAGGCATTCTCATCAGCCGAGAAGGACAGCGGAAGTTGCATCTGCCGTGTATTTTGGGGGCTGGCGACCTTGGCTGGCCGTGTGATTTATTTTACCGAGGAGCAAAGGGCAATACAATGCAACAGGTAGCTTACGGCACTAGGCGAGGAAAGAGCGATGGTCGCGCCTGCTGTGTCCCTATTCTAAATGCGAGTGACTGCACATGACAGATCTGCCAAACTTTAGCCTCATCTTCTCGGTCATGCCCATTGATTGCCATACCGATGGCCATTCCCATCAACAAGTCAGCCGGTGGACGCCTCAGCACACCCCAGCACCCCGGCACGGCAGGACTCATCAGCAGCGTTGCACTGCAGTATCGGCGGTCGCAAGCGTGCGCTTATTATCCCACCGACAAGAGGACAACTCAGCTGGCCAGGGCCGTCGTGTTGGTCCGCGTTCGAGCACAGAGTACTCGCACGTCGTACTTCATTCTCTGTGCATAGCCTGCCCCTTTTTATCGCGGGCGGCCATTCTTTTCATCGCGTCCGATCTCGAGGGGTTTCGTTGCAGCCATCTCACAAAAAGCGGATCTCGTGTGCACCACCGCTCTTTGAGGCTTGAAGCAGACCCACCATTATCCCCTCGCCCGTCTTCATCGAACTGACGTTTCCTGAGCAAACCCGTCGCAAACCGAGGCCAGCCTTCTAATCCCGACAGACCCCAGACGGACGACGCCAGCGCGACGGTAGTGGCAATATGTCCACTCCGAGGACGTCACGGCAGCCAGACGACAGCCACAGCAAAAGCGAGGCGTCTCCGGCGCTTTCGTCGGCGACGGGCGTGCAGGAGGCTCGACAGGAGCAGGCGCCACAGGAGGGCCACAAGCGCGTGTACCAGGCGTGCATCCCTTGCCGTCGGCGCAAGGTGCGCTGTGACCTTGGATCGGTAGACAACCCGCACGATCCGCCTTGTGTGCGCTGCCGGCGGGAGAGCAAGGAGTGCTATTTCAGTGCGACACGCCGCAAGCGCAAGACGGACGACGATGACGACGACAACAGCAACAGCAACATCAACCGTGTGGACGGCAGCGACTATGTGATTCGCAACGGGCGGCGGAAGCTGCACGCGGACGAGACGACAGGACTGCCGATCAGCCGGGTGCTCTACAACGAGGTCCCGTTGACACCAACATCGGCGGGCATGAGTTCACAGCCGCTCCGGCGACCGACTCCCGATGCGCGGGCGATAGCATCGAGGAAGGGGATGACGGCAGAGCGACGAAGCGTCCCAGCAGCCGACGAGTCGAACACACCGCTTGAGAACCTCGAAGCACGCTCGGTGATGCGGCGAGAGGTTTACGGCCATCACGACGCGCTGGATCTGCTGTATATGGCGGCAGAAAGTGGCAAACATGCGACCGGGCCGGTGCTGGACAGCTTTGGCAAAGGCCGAGGTGGCGAAACGTCAACAAACAACAACCTGTACGACCCGGGCACAGGTGGTGGCTATGGGGCGAGTCGCAGCGGCGATGCTGGCGGCCCGCGAACAGAGCAGCTGCTCGATCCCACGCTGTCCCATAACTGCTCGACGGGCCAACCGGGTTATGCCGAAGCCGTGCAGCTGTGGGCGCGATTCCGGTTTGTGCGAGCCGGCTGGTTCACAGCCCAGGAGGCCATCGAGTACATTGACTAGTAGGTGTCTGGTGGAGAGTTTGGCTGGTCTGGGGGATTCTGCTAATGCACGCACAGCTACTACAAGTACCTCTCGCCGCTGACGCCGATCTCGCCGCCGACATTCAACAACCCGGCGTCGCACGGGACGCTTCTGAACGAGGAACCGATCCTGGCGGTCACACTTCTGACGGTGGCATCGCGCTACAAGGTGCTGTCGGGGCCGGGGGCGACGTGCCGGTCGCACGCGATCCACGAGCAGCTCTGGACATACCTGCGCGGCATGATCGAGCGAGTGGTCTGGGGCCAGGAGGCCTTTGGCGGCGGGTTCTGTGGGTCGGGTGCAGACGAGGCGCAGACGTCGAGCACGGCACCGTGGCGCGGACTGCGAAAGGGCAGCCTGCGTACGCTGGGAACGATCGAGTCGCTGATGATGCTGACGGAGTGGCACCCACGCGCACTGCACTTTCCACCGGCCGAAGTGACGGACGAGCTGCTGCTGCCATCACAGCGGACGACGGAGTTCCAGGCGGCCGAGACAGCAGACCCGCGACCGGTTGGTGTTGGCGGCAAGCGAATCGACAGCTGGCTGGAGCCGGCGTGGCGCAGCGACCGGATGTCGTGGATGCTGCTCAGCACGGCCATGGGTCTGGCCTATGAGCTGGGCGTGTTCGACGATCTGGGCGAGATGCTGGCTGCTGGCGCCATCATGCGGCCGGAATACGAGGAAGAGACGTATCGACTGCGGGCAAACCGCATCAAGCGGCTGATCCTCATCTATCTCACCCAGCTGGCCGGTCGTCTTGGCTGGACGAGCATGGTGCCCGAGAGCCTGCGCAAGAAGGATCCGGCCTCGTCTCGACGACGACCGACGTCCGCACTCGACGGCCAAACACCCGGCACCAGCCTCTCGTCCGTGTCGACCGCGTTCAATTACATTCCCGATCTCGAGCTCGACGACCAGATCATCCACTGCTGGGTCGGCATCAGCAATGCCATGCACGCCGGCAACGAGAAGCTGTTCCGCTCGCGCAAACACACCACCGAGATCATCCAGACCGGCAGCTATATTGAGCTGCTCAAGGACTTCCGTCCGCTGCTGCGCGACTGGTGGACCGAGTTTGAGCGCTTCCGCCTGCCGACGTTCATCCGCCACATCCTGACGATCGAATACGAGTACGTGCGCATTTACGTCAACTCGTTGTCACTGCAGGCCGTCGTCGAGCGGTGCACCACCAAGTCAGCCGGGGGAGGTAGTGCTTCCTCGGCCGCTGTCGGCAGTGCTTTCGGCAGCAGCAGTGCCGCGCCACAGCTCTCGCCGCAGACCCAGAACTACTACGGCAAGCTACCGCTCGGTCAGCTGGGCGGCTTTGGTGCTGCCGACCAGGAGTATGTCAAGGAGGTCGTTGAAGGCTGCCGCAATCTGCTCACCACCGTGGTTGACGGCCTGCTTCCGGGCGGCTACCTCAAGCACGCGCCTGTGCGCACATACTTCCGCATCATCAGTGGCGCCATGTTCCTGCTCAAGACCTTTGCCCTAGGTGCTCCCAAGGCCGATGTGGAGCTGTCGATTGCCCTGATGGACCGCACCGTCGATGCTCTGCGCAACTGCGTCGTCGATGACGTCCACCTGGGCACCCGCTTTGCCGACCTGCTGGAGTCGCTGACGAGTCGTCTGCGCAACCGCTTCATCCATGCACCCGCCACCATGTCTGCCGATGGCCGGAGCCCGAATCCACACTACGATGCCGGCAGTCCGGCCGTGACCGGCCATCATGGAGGTCATGGACCATCGGCGCTCTCATCTGCCATGGCAAACAGTGATTTAGCCTGGCCGAAGACAGGTCTTTCCGGTATGTTCTTATCTTGTCTTTCGCTCTTGTTTTTCTTTTTCTTTTTCTTGCTGTCCCCTTGTCCCTCCGCTAAGCCAGCTAGCTATGGACCGATGCAACACGCCCGCCAACATCTCTGCCACGCCCTTTGATCCGGCCGGCGGCAGCTTCCCATACCCCTCGGGCATGGCGTCCACGCTGGGCCCTACGACACCTGCTGCATCGGCCGCTGTCGACAACTCCCTGGGCGAGCACCTGTTTGTCGATGGCGCCGACTGGAACAACAACGAGATGTGGTATCTGCCCGCCGGCCCGGCCTTCTTCCAGAACATGGGCGAGTCCAACGTGGCCATGACGGCCGAAGGCGTCAGCATTGCCGGCATAGACCTGCTCGACTTCATGACCATGGATGTGCCCGCTGATCTGACTTCTACCATGAGCGGGAATGGCTTCTAGGGCTCGTAGGCCGTTCCCATGCTTTGCTTCCGCACGTCGCTCTAGATAAGGGCGCACGCTTTATTAGGCTGTGTTATCAGATGAAAGCCGCGCGGATCTGTGCAACTGGCTGACGTTCTGACGTTCTTTACACTAACTATGTATACACCAAAGACTATAATATAAGAAATAGAAATCCTGAACACCGTTCAAGAGCCGTGTCTGTACAAGCCTCTGGCTAGGATCACAACAAAAGAAAAAGGGGGTGTCTGGCAAAAGTAGGGAACGCGCAATCTCTGGACGACTGCAATCCAAACGGCAGTCAAAACGGCCTCGTCGTCGCTCCTGTAAAATCAAAGAGTCCGAGGAAGAAAGAGGTAGATGGTGAGACGCGAGAGACCAGAGGGTGCTGGGTCACGGATGAAAGTATAACTGGACTGTGGAATAATTACAAATGAAACAAAAGAGTTAGTAAGTGTTTGTCGCAGGCCGGCCGACGTCGAGGCCAAAGCCCGCCTACTGGCCAAACTGCGTGTGGCTCTGGTGGGCTGCTTGGAGGACTAGAAGACAAGAGTCAGGCTATGCGGTCAACCAGAAAACAGGCTTGTTAACTCACTTTGGAGGACACTGGTCTGACCAGTCCGATCTTCACATGCGATCTGAAGGCCGGACCCGTCGACAAAGTCCAGACAAACGCTGTTCGGGAGCTCCTGCACCTCCATTTCCGGTATGTACGGAAGCCGGAATTCGCTCAGGTGGTATCGCTTGACGGCGCCCGTCGGCACTCCGTTGACCGTACAGAGGATCAGGAACCCCTGCGAGTCCAGCGACATCGTCCGCCGCTTCCACAAAAGATTGTCGGGGAACTGCACATTCACGTCTCCCATCAACGACACAATGCTGGGCTGCTGGGTCGCCGCGCTCTCATCGGCCGCCGGTATCGCGTTGAGAACCTCCTCCTCTTCGGCAACAGTCGGCGAGAGTGTCGGGGTTGTCGCCTTCCGGCCCGAACTGAACGAGCTGGACAGCCTCTTCATAAACCGGCCCGCCCGGCTCTTCGACGGCCTGCCTTCGTCCCCAGAGTCTCCCGTTTCTGACATGAGCGAAGGCGAGAGGGGGGCCGTCAGGGGCGTATTGGCATCCCGGTCCTTGCTGATCGAGGAGCGGCGGCTAGAAATGCTCAGTCGTCGGGACAGGCTCGCAGTCGTGTGCACCGACGGAGGTCGCGATGGCGACGCTGAAGCCGCCGGCCCATGGGCATTGTCGGTCGACGGAGACCGCCCACCCCGAACAGATCCGCGGCGCTCCTTGATAAAGTCCTTCATCATCGACAGCGACGATCTCCTACGACGACGACTGCCCTCGGCCTCGTCCGTGTCACTGGCCACCGACCGGTCTTGCGACTGGGACCGCCGACGTTCTTTCGATCGCCGACGCTCCTGGATGCTCTTCCTCTTGTCGTGCGATGGACGGAAGCCATCCGCCTTCTGGTGGTCCACCACGAGTGGTGACTGCTTGAGATCCAAAAGACTAAAGTCCGAACCGTCGCCGCGAGCCTCGGGCGACATTGCCGATGACTGCCCAGGATCCCGCAGTATCCGGGCTCTGACCTGGATGGACTCCGGTCTGCCCCTCGGCACGTTGCCTCCTTCAAACACGGACAGCCGGCTGGCCACTGATCCCGACCGCTCTCTAGCCGCCAGCCTGGGCACTTCCGGCGACGACTCCTGCGAGCTGGGCGGCGACAGCGCCTTGTCCGCCTTCTGAGAAGACGCGTGCTCGGCAACGGACGGGGACCTAGAAGACTCGCGCACGCTGGGCTTGCGCACCGCAAAAAAGGTCGACGAAGGCCGTTCGAGACGCGTCGAGCTTTCCGGCGTAACGGCACGACCATTTTCCGTCAGCTTCTCCAGGGCCTTTATGCGTTGCGAAATGCTTGAGCCGACGTTGGTCGCCTTTTTCGGCATGTTGTTGGCCGCCGTCTGCTGCGCAATCTTGTCCATGAACGCTGCCCCAAACGATGCCGACCTCGCAGAGCCAGTCGTGCCGTCGCCCGGCGCCAGGTAAGACGCTCGAACCGGATTGGAGGCCGCCCGGCCAAGGTGGTTCACAGTGTCACTTGTTCCGGGCCTGGACATTGGTTTGAGAGGGCCCATGTTGGGGAAAACCGGCGTCGCCGGAGACTTGGACACTGTGACTGGCATCGCCTCCTCCACCGTTGCCGACTGTAGTTCTTCCATGAAATCTTCGTCGTCCAACAGGTCGGCTTCTTTTTGGGTGGCTGTTTTGCCCAAGTCATGTCCCAAGTCTGTGCGAATAGGGTCCACCATTACTTTTCGTTTGGCCTGTTTCGCGTCAGTCGAAGGGACGCCACTGTTATCGAGGTCGCCTGTTGATGTGCTCTCGTTCATGTTCGGCTCTGCAATGAGTGGAATCTCGTCGGAGACGACAGACGCGTCTGGCTTCTGGTCGGTCGACTTGGTACAAACTGTCTCGTCAGTGGACTCGGACAGCGACGACGCCTTTGTCGAGTCACCGACCTCTGACGGCATTTCCAGGGGCGAAGCTGGGTGTGAATCCGTTGTCTGCGTATCGACCGACGCATGGTCTACCGCAAACAGACCAACGTCAATGGCAGAATCCGCCGAGTTGGTGTCGGGCAAAGGGAAGCGATCAACCAGGCTCTGCTCGCCACTCATAGCAGAGGTGGTGTCAGCGGACTCGTCGACCGGTTGGGAGCTGCCAGAGTCGAGGTGCATAGCCGGAGCATCGATAGATGGACTGGGCAGCGGCGGGTGACCATGCATTTTCATCTCTCGCAGCTTCAAGGCCTTCTTCAAGCGGGCCATTTCAGGGGTTATGGGGTTCCGCTTCGTTTCAGACACGGTTACAGTTGTAGCGGTAGACTTTGTGGAGAGCCCGGAGCTCGTTGTGGGCCGGCCGCTGCTAGTATGTGGCCGCTTCAGGTCGCTAGTGTTTGTTGGACCCGTTGAATAAGCAGCAGCACCGAGCATATCGCCGTCATCTGCTGTTGCGGACAAGTCACTTGGCGTCTCTTCCCTCAGCGGATTGGACGATTCCGCCACTGCGTTGTCTCTGCCTTTCTTAGATCCCTTGGATAGGAGCTTAAAGCCTGCCGGAATAGACGATATAGGCCTGCAATTTCCGGCACTACCAGACGTCCGTGGCCGCCCGCTCGTGTCCACCGAGGGCCGTGGGCCAATCTTTACTTTCGGTTTGCCGTACGGATACGCGTAACTGAGCAGTTCGGCATTGGACAGCTGAGACAGCTGTGCCGAAAGGTGCCCAGCATCGTCAGATCTGCTGGGAGAGGGGGGCTGATCGACGCCGAGAAAGGGTGGTGGTTCTGTCGTACTAGAAAATTTGGAGGCTTCGGGCGAGGAGGCAAGCTCCGAGTTCAGCACGACGGGCGAAGGTGGGGTCGGATGGTCTTCCTCTTTCAAGATAGACTGTCTCTTTGCAGCTTGCTGCTCCTCTTCTTCTTCCTCGGCAATCTCGATCAGGCGCCGCCTCCTCAGCGAGCTTGTCGAAGACGAGGTAGAGCTTGAGGCCGTATGTAAAGAGCAGGCAGCAGAGAGTTTCGTATCCTTGAGTTCCTTCGCAGTCGAGATATCAAATGTGGTGTTGTATGGTACGAGCTTCTCGGACACCGCATTGAAGTGAACCACGGACCGTGCTATAGGTGGTCAACAAAACCGGCACCGGTCAGCACCAACAACCGAGGACCTCCTCCCATATGGCAGTGAGACAATGAGACAAACCTTGGATCAGCCTGGAGCAGCTCTCAGGTAGGTATTTGATAAGCACGTTTCTCCTCCTGTATTTGAGGAATCCATAGAGCGGAGATGGCTCTTCGTACTGGGAGATGGCATCTCTGATCTCCACGATGCCTCCGGTTCCTTGGCCGAGGATGTCGACCTCGTCACGACTTGCATATTTTAAGAGAAACCTGGTAGATAGCAAAAAGAGTGGAGTTAGACACGTGCCTCTTGCGTGCTGTCATGTTTCTAAAGAGCCGGGCAGAACGTACCATCCTCCGGGCTCCGAGGCCGCAGCCTCATGAGCTTCCTTAACAGCCGGGGCGTCCAATCCATTTAACGACATCTCCGGCGGCTACAGCCCGAATTCGGACCGTCGGGTTCGAAGGGCAAAAGGACAGAGGGCGAGCGACGAACACAGCGACCGGTCGTTGCGCCGCGACGAGAATGCATACAACGCTTTGCGTGGAAAGGCTCGGTGTCAAACGACCGACAGGGAGTTTCTGCGACGTCGGCGGGCTGTGAGGTTGAATCGGTGTTGTTCCAAAACGGCGGCAAGCGATAGTGGCCGTCAGTTTCGTAACTTGTAGGTCCTGTTTTGAATTGGCCACGGGATATTACATCCACCGATGCCAAATTGGCGAAGGGTGAGGGGCTATTGACATGACCCGGTGCGAATGACGAGAAATCCAGAGATGCGGCGAGAGATGAGGGGGGGGTCGTGATGTGAAATAAGGCCAGGAAAAGGAGAGCAGGCCGAAAACAGCAAGGCTTTTCCTCTAGCAAGACCTGGGCGCACCTCGAAGGGCAACACGCAGACACCACAAGAGCATTTCCCGGTAGGATCGCCGGGATTTGCAAAGAGGGAAGCGGAAAAGAAGAAGCGAGGAAGAATATTAGAAGCAAGGAACAGAAGAAACAAAAGAAACAACCGAGAGGCTTGATGACAGCCGTTTAGGGAGAAGCGGAAATAGGAGTCGCGGATTTGCTTCTTTTTTTCTTTTTCTTCTCTTCTTCCAGGGGTTCCCATTTCATAGTTGGTAGTCAGAGACGCCGCTCTGCCCCTTTCCGACTATTCGCAGACTAGCGTGACCGAGCCCATTATGGTTTTCCGTTTTGGGCCCGCTAATCCATCCAGGCACACAATTTCAGGTGGTAGCGGCCGCTCCGTCCCTCTTCCAAGGGAACGTGGAGTTCGTTGCGCTGGCCCAAATAGCGAGTGTCGGGGGGGCAGCGAACGATCAGCGTGCCTGCGTGGTGCTCATCAGAGGCAAGCGAAAATACAACGCTATAGGTCAGCAAGTCTCCTCAACAGGTCGCCCAATCTCTATGCACCCGCTTTAACCCCATATTAATCCACACTGCGATACGGGGGATAGGGGAACTCGTGCAGCGAATGTCCATACCGTACGGAGTACTCCGTACATACGGGCAGTCATCTCTGCTTAAACTCTACGGGGGAGACGCATTACCATGTAATGCAAACCCGGAATTGCCCCCGAAATAGGCGGTGCCGGAACTGCCAGACAGCGTCAGGAACAACGATGTGAATACAATGTATGCAGGATAACGCTACTCCGTACATCAGTTCTGCCAGCGATGGTGCTCCTCTCTTTCATCCCCTGGGTTATGCGTCTGCCAACAATTGCAATATCATGGCTTGACCTCTAAACTCCCAGCTGCCTCGGCCTCGGCCACGGCCACAGCCACCGATCTGTCCGCTCTCAGCCCCGCCGCATCATCGCTTGCCAGACTCGGCTCTTCCTCTACCGATCCTTTGATTGCTGTACGCTTGAACGCCTCATCAGCAGAAGGCGGGCCATGGCCCCGTCCGCTGTTGGTCGCCGACACCCCAATGGCTTGCGCTTCCCCGTCTGCAATCTTCTGTTTGACACTGTTGACGATCGTGTCAGCTTCGCTGGGCGTGGTGTCCCACTTACTGCCGTCGAGGACTGTCGAGGCGACGCCGCCTTTGCTCTTCTGGCTGTCCACGAGTGCATCTCGGTCGAGCCGGACAATCATGCACGAAAGATTGTCTGTGCTGAAGTGGGCAAGCGCATGGTCGACCAACATTTTCGCAGCAGCCGCGGGGTCCTGGACATTGCGGACCAGGTTCACTGCGTCCTGGTCGGTACAGACGTCCCAAAGCTGCAGTCGCACGTCCGTCAGTAAATCAGAGTAAAAGGGGGAGGCGGGGAGCATGGAGAAGGGGAGGTCCGTACCCCATCACAGGCGATAATGATAAACTCATCCGTTTCTGGTTGTATCACCGTTTCTGTTGTATACGGATGGCCTGTCACCAGGTCTTTGATATACGTGTCGCCCAGGGCTCGCGTGACCGCAAGGACGCCGTTGACTCGGTTATTCAAGATCAAGCCCCCAGCATTAGCAATCCGCCTCCCTTCGTTTTCATCGCTGCCCTTATGGTCATAGGATAATCGCAAGGCCTTTCCGCCTCGGCACAGAATGATTCGGGCGTCCCCGACGTTGGCCGTGTACAGGACCCGCTGCCGGGTTGCACTGGCTTTCGGCTTGGTGTGCGTCGTCTCTGCGTCTGCAGGTGGGCTCACGATCTCGGCCGCCGCGGCGGTATTGCTGGCGACGTTCTGGGACCCGGTGACCGACTGGCTGCTGGGCACCCGGTCTTCCCAACGCAATACAGCGATAGCGGCGGTGCAGCCACTGTTCTTGATTGGCAGCTTTTCCAGCTGGACATCAACAGAGGTAAAAGTCTGGTCTAGGAGTTCTGGTATGGGTGCGTTGGGATTCTTCCGGATGGTGTCCTCGAGAATGAGGTGCAGCTTCTTCCCGCACCAGTCTGCCGCAAACGTGCCCGCGTGCCCATCAAAAATAGCAAAGTAGCCGTTGTCGGTTTCCAACATGTCTTCGTCTGAATTGCCGGCGCCTGCGCCGGAAGGTACCTCACTCTCAGTGTCCGCCGATTTTATTGAGCGCGCTCCTCCCACATCGGCACTGCCAGAAACAGTGCCAGGAGTCCGGAGAAAGTTGTAGAGAAAGGCGTGTGTGTCTTCCATGGTCCGACGACACTTTTTGTTTCTGTCTTCCCAGACGCCGACCCGGAAAGTTGAACTCGGTCCCGGGATCGACTCTCCAGCTGAATTGTTGTGCTGGCCCTGGGGTACCGCAAGGGCGGCATCTTGTCTGCCAAGCTTCTGGAGCGGTGTCTGGCTTGACGACGCCTCACTGCTTGCCCGGCCTGACTGGGAGAAGCTGAAGGTGTTCTTTGCAGAAGCCAGAAGGCTGCTGGCCCGGCTGCTGACACCACTGCTGCGACGCTTCTTCTGTTCGGAGGAGCCGCTTGCAACGGACGAACTGCCGTTTCCGCTCCGCTTCTCGCTGCCAGAGGAGTGATCGGCAATCGCAGAGGTGGAGGCTGTAGACGGTTTATCCGATTCGGGCTCAGGAGAAGGCGGCTTGTCAGTGACGAGCCCACTGCCACTGGCTACAGAACTGCCGGTTGCGCCACCATTGCCACTCTCGTCGACTGTATTGACAGCACTGGTGGCTCCGGCACCACCGGCAGCATCAATGCTTACGTCCCCGACTGCGCCCTCAGATTTAGAGGCCGACGGCGAAGGAGTGCCCCCGCCGAACATTCTGTTCAGCAGGCCTCCTTGGGAGGAAAGGCTTCGTCTCTTGTTGCCTGCCAGATTGGTTGGTGGGGGGGGATGGCGGGGGGAGGTGTGAGGGCCTATTCAGCTTCTTTTGGGACTGAGATGTACGCGCTGCCGTGTGAGGGCAACTTTGGAGTAGGGGAGAGTGCGGTAGAGGGATGGGGTAAAGGCAGAAGACAATGTGGAGGTGACCGATATTAGGGAAGAGGAAACATTTTAGGATACAGGGGACCCACGCCAGAAGTGCTAGTTACCAAAGACGGGCATCTGGAAACGCCGAGCCCCACGCGAATTGGCGCTGTATTATTAGGCCGTAATGTTGGTCTCTACGAATAACTCGCATGTCGGGTCAGACAGGCTGTGTGGTACGTCGCAGGGAGCGGCTATTCAATTGTGGGGGGGAGGCAGCGGGGAGAAGGAGCTTACTTGAAGGAGGGGTTTATTAATACGGCTAGGCTTTCGTTTTGCGGCACAACACGCCAAACAGATGATGTAATAAGAAATGGGAATCTTGCTGCTCGCCAAACAGGAAGAGCAGGTAGAAAGGGGTGAGGTGTGGCAAAGTACGTTTGCCATAATTGACAGGCCATAAGAGGATTCTTGTTTATTGTACAGAGTACAACGCCCGTCTCGAAGGCGGTCTTGCAGCAGGCATTCAGTCACTAGCCGTCCCGTGCAGTAAAGCGAAAATGTTGGCGATAAAATGCTAACACAACCGCCAAGTAGCCGGAGGTCTCGGAGAGAGATTGGGGCGCAGCAAACGTAGCAGCCCTTGTACTGTACGGCCGTGTGCAAATCATACTACGACGTATGTGTACAGAGCACATGCACATGTACAAGGATAGAGGCCAAGGACGTAGTGGATGGGCAGCAAGGCGAGGGGGGTGGGAAGTGAAAAACCAGACAGCGAGGACAAGTATTGACCTGCGGGAGCCAAAAGAACTGGTTGGTATGGCTGGCACATAAACTTGTTACATGACCAGAAAAAAACACAAGATTGGAAAGAGTGAGGCTAGACAAAACCAGGGCGGGAACCGAACACAAGATAGATGGTGTCGGCAATATGCTTCCAGGCCCAGCACCTGGAGGGCTACCGCCGCAAACTGTCCAGGCGCGCTTGGAGATCGTCGTCGCCTGCATCGCCGCCGCCGCCGCTGCCGCCGCCAGTGTCGCCGCCACCCACGGCTTGCGCGATTCGTCCCTCCGGCACGGCATTCGACTGTAAGCCCTGTGGTGTTTCTCCGAACTAAAACGCGGTTAATGTTAGCCAGGTCGTACACGAATACGCCATCGTCACAACGGTCAGAGGATGCGGCTCGCATACAGCCTGGTTTAGGTCAATCCCAATCTCTTCCAGAACCTGTTCGACCACCTCGTCACCTTCCTCCTCCACCCCGACGTCCATGGCATCGTCTATCGCATCGTCCATCATCTCTTGTCGCTGGTCCATGATGTCGTTCTCGCGCTCAAACTCCATCGCGATCCGCTGGAGCGAGGGTAGGTTCATGGTGCGGTTCATGCTCCCGAGAGCCATCGTGGCACCTTTCATCGCTTGCATCATCTGTTCGTTTGTCCGGTATGTCTGCAGAGCTTTGGTCAGTCAAAGCCCACAGCTCTTTGGACAGCTGTGATCGGTATACCTGAAGCCGAAGTGATATCTTTTGCAGCTGGCTCCGCATGCCATAAAACTTCTCAACGTATCTACACAGTGTCACTGGAGTCAGTCGCGGGCGTGCTTGAATACTTGCGGCCAATACGTATTCCCATACCGTCTTGTTCGGACCAGGTCTTTGGCTTGAATCTTGCAGGCGCCCATCTGTCCGTTTTGGGCACTTTGCTTGATCTGTGCGACGAGCGTCTTCTCCTGCTTCTCCAGCTTGACGCGCTGCTGGTCCAGCTCGCGAATGGCCTTGTCGAGCATGCGCTGATTCTTGCGCAGACGCTCGGCTGGCGTCACGCGCTTCCCAAAAGCCCACTCGAGCACCTGCGCCTGTCAGCAAGGAAAAAGGAAGAGGCCGGTACTCGGCCGAGCCCCTCGGCCATTCCATGAGCTCAATGGGTCGCTCTCACGTTCATGGTGTCCGCTTCCTGCGTTGGCAGGGGGCAGCACAGCTCGTCAGCAAGGATTCTGTGGCCAGCAGGTATTTTTCTCGGAGCTCGATGGTGCGGTCGTCGTCGCTGCCGCGGCCTTTCGTTGCGTCTGACGGCGTTGTCTGGTGGGTGGGATGGGTGGATAGCTAGCACAGACGATCGCGAGGCAAATTGAGATATCTTAACTGAGGCAGCAGTTGTAAGGGCGATAAGAGTGCGCCAATAGAACGCTGCCGTTATTACGACCCAGGCCAGTAGCCCACTTCGGTAGCGAGTACGAGCTCTCCGCAGTACGTAGTAATACGTAGTACTCCGTACTCCGTAACCTCTCTTGCATATTTTATTAGTAAGCGACCGGCGGTCCCAGTCGCGCCTGCGAGATGGCAATAGATAGTAACTGTCCACAATACTCATGCACACCGGATTCCGGGGGCAAAGTTCTTTTATTTTCCGCTATTTCCTAATACGGTGTGATGTATCTCGAGATTTACTACTCGTAGCACTCGTGCTCAACCCCCCCCCCCCGCCGTAGCCAATCAGCACTCTTCGTCGGCCATGGCACGATCGGGAATTCGCCGCCGTTTCTCGCCTTAAACGTACGGAAAATATCAAGTTTCAGAAAATATTGCAAATCGAACCCGATCAGTCGACACCCAACTCGCTCGCAGCCACTTTTTTTCTATTTTTCTGTCTCCCAATCCGTATCCAAACTCGATCCACTGCGCCGCCCGACGGCTGCTGTCTTCGAACATGAGCAGACCGTCCACAGACAAGGGCAAGTCCCCCAATAAGCGATCAGTGATAGTCGGTGAGCCTAGCGCCAATGTCACCGACGACGACGACGTCGGGCATCCGCAACCCTCGCAGCCCGCCTACATGACTGTCGGAACAGGCTCGACATCCAAACATGCTGCCCACCTGCAGTCTCTCCTCGACACAGACTCCGGCTACGGTGGTAGCTCCACCGGCAGCGACGGTTTCCCGCCGGCGATGCCGCCGTCTCTGGCCTGGGGCTCGGCTTCGCACGAGGACCGCCAGCTACATCCTACCGGCCCGTCGGCGTCCCATGTTGCCCCCGAAGCTGAGCGCAGGCTGCAGGCTGGCGCCATCCACCAGCTCTGGTACAACCAGCATCGCGTTGCTCTCGGCAAGTCTATCACCCAGGCCGTGGAGCTGTTGAAGGGCCTGCAGACAATGAATACGTCCTGGCCGGCGCACTATCCGAGTGTCCAGAAACTGGGTGTCGCAGCCTTTCCCGATACTGCTCTGTCCGGACAACCTCCGGTTCGTCCCGGGTTTCAGCGCGCCCTTACGACTGTTGCCGACTTCATTGACTCGTCGTCCGGTGGCCGGCCAAACCGGGCACCAATGCTGCGTCGGTCTGCAACGGTGTTGGACGACCCCGTCGATGCGGAGTCGAGCAAGGCCGCTGAAAGCCGCGTCTCCACCACCGAGCCCAGGCTGGTGACTCCACAGATCGCACAGGAGTTCTCTGTTCTCAAGCTCGACCTGAAGCTTGGCGGGCTGCACCAGGCGGGGCTGGTCCACTCCCTGGAGAAGGGCTCTGTCGCTTCGCTGCTGGACGAGAAAATCCGATCCAGCATCAAGCACCTACTGGCTCTCCGGGAGCGCATTGAGGACACTTCCAGCAAGGTGCTGGTCACGGGCGACCTGAACGCCGGCAAGTCCACGTTCTGCAACGCCCTCTTGCGGCGAAAAATTCTGCCCGAGGACCAGCAGCCCTGCACAAGCATCTTCTGCGAGGTCTTGGATGCCGGTGCGAATAGCGGCGTCGAAGAGGTCCACGCTGTCCATATGAATGCTGTTTACAACCGCAACGACGAGTCCACGTACGATGTCTTCTCTTTGCTGGAGCTGGAAAAGATTGTCACCGACAACTCTACCTACATGCAGTGTAAGGTGTATGTGAAGGACGTCCGCACCATTGACGAGTCGCTTCTCAACAACGGAATTGTCGACATCGCCCTCATCGACGCCCCTGGCCTGAACTCGGATACGACAAAGACTACGGCCGTATTCGCGCGTCAGGAGGAGATCGACGTGGTGGTGTTTGTCGTCTCGGCGACAAACCACTTCACCCTGACCGCGACCGAATTCATCCGGGCGGCTGCGGCCGAGAAGGCCTACTTTTTCTTCGTCGTGAACGGCTTTGACGTCATTCGGGACCGTGGGCGATGCCAAAAGATGATCCTGGACCAGGTGTCCAACCTTAGTCCCCAGACACACAAGGAGGCTTCTGAGCTCGTGCACTTTGTTTCGAGCAATGCCATTCCTATACCGCCTGGGCCCCCGGGCGGCGCAGGAGGCAGCGGCACCGGAAGCTCGTCGGGCGGCGGCGGAGGGGACCCCGATGGCGACCCGACGGGCAAGGGCAAGGGTAAGGAAAAGCTGCGCGACTTTGAGGAAATGGAACAGTCGCTCCGACGCTTTGTCCTCGAAAAGAGGGCGCGATCGAAGCTTGCGCCGGCAAAGAACTATCTTCTCAATATTCTGAACGACGTCAATGCTCTGGCAAATGTGAACGCCGAGGTAGCCCAGTCCGAGCTTGCCCGTGTGGAGGAAGAGCTGCGTGAGATCGAGCCGTTGCTTGAAACCAACAAGAAGGCCAAGGCCGAGATAGCATCTGAGACCGAATACGTCATCGAGCAGACCTGCACGGATGTCTACGACCAGAGCCGCGCAGCCATTGGCTTTGCGATTGGCCATGCCGGGGACGAAAATCTCGGCGTGCCGTATCCAGGCATCTTGTCTGCTTTCCAATATGCTGAGCAGGTGAAGCAGGAGATGCTGTCTCAAATCTCAGCCTCGGTGGCCGAGTGCGAGGAGAGTGCACGTTTCAAGACCGCGGGTGGTGTAAACTCTCTCAAGCAGCTCGGCATCATGCACCTCGGCAACGATTACGTGGACCTGAACTTCCGACCCGAGTTCATGTTCCGGCGACGGAGAGACGAGCTCGCACGACAGATTGACATCCCGACCGAGTTCTTGGACTTCGTTGACCTGTCCACCTTGCTCCAGCGCCAAGAAAAAATGGCTGGCACCGGAATGGCCCTGACTGTCGCCACGGCCTTGGGAAGCCGCATGATTGGTGCCCATGGATGGATGGACCATGCCTTCTCGGCCGTGAAGCTCGTGGGAAGCAGCCATACGCGTCGCTTGCTAGTGCCAGCCTTTGTTCTTGCTGTTGTGGCGGCTGCCGGCTACATTTTGGTGCAGATTCCACAGTCCTTACCTCATCGCCTCTCTCTCAAGATAGCGTCGCGGCTGGCCGCTATCGACTATGTCCACAACAACTCGAACCGCATTGCGGGCACCGTTCGCAAGGTTCTGCGCGTGCCGGCCGATGCAATCCGCGATGGGCTGAACCGTTCTGTGGAGCAGCTCGGCAATCGCAAGGACGAGACGCTCAAGACCCGTGGCGAGAGCCAGGTCGCCCTAAAGTACTTCAGCAACCTCGTCACGGATAGCTCGAGGCACCGTGCAACAGTGGGAGCATTGGACCTCGAGGCTCCCCCTCCCGGCGCCCACTAGGTGCTGGGGATTCCTTCAAAGGTTGAGAATCGAACGTCGGATTGTCAGCGCAAATCAGCTTCAGAGAGCCGGTCCTCACTAGTTTGCCGACTCAGAGTTTCGGTCAAAGAGCAGGTTGAAGGAACTTCGCGTTAATATGTTTCTCCCCTCTCCCTCTTGCGCATGCGTTTCTCCTGCTTCATCCCCTGTTTCCGGACATCGTCTGAACACGTGCACAGCACATATAACAGCAGCTTTACCACCGATACGCAACGCGTCTTGTGCCAATTTTTCATGTCACTTAACTCTGAATGCTTAGTGAAGGGTGGGTGTTTGGGGCAAGTGTATGTGAGCACTCACCGCTCTCATCTGCCAGGTCAACGTTGCCGTTGGCCATTGACGTGCTCTTGGGAACCGGATATCCATTGAAGGCTGTATTGCCTACTGCCCTGGTTCCCTATATACACAATATATACATACAAGTGCGCCGAAATCCAAAAGCATGAGAAGAGAGCCAAAATAAAGAAAAACCATCCTGTTGCCACAAGTCGTGTTTTGTCATCCGTGCTATCAACCGTGTCATCCACCGTCTCCTGAAATTGTATGATGTCTTTTGTAGAAATGCCAGCCACCAGCCAGCCACCAGCCGTGGGCTCTGAAAAGTCAGGGACATGCCGAAGGAACCAAGTAGCTCGGCATTCTACTTTAAAAGCGAAACGTGCAAAGACAGCTTTATGAGATTTCCCCTCCACAGCCACTTTACAATCTCGCTACTATCCGCCTCCATCTTCTTTAGCACTTAAGATCTGATCTCGCCCTTGTTGTGGAGTGCCATCCTTTCCTTTCATCCACCCGCACGCCTTCGCTTGCGTTTCACGGCCGCCTGAAAAGCCACTCGCTGCTCATCTACAACGCCGGTCTTGCCCCGGTGCCTCCCAATGCTGCGCCCACTTGGGTTGCGGTGTCGCCCTCACGCTTTTCGCCAGCACCTGCCGTCAACAGTTCGCTTCCCATCTCTCTCATGCGCTGTTCCTGCTCCATGGCAACGATGTTTTGCTCCTCGGCCCAAGACAGAGCGAAGGGAATACCAACCAGTAGAGCGCTCACAGAGATGGTCCAAGCGGCGCGGCCGAGAAAGCTAATGCTTGTTCGAACAATGTGGTTCCCAAACTGGTATTTACCGTAAAACCATCCTCGTGCTGTGGGGGGGACAATATCACGTAGAGCGAAGAGCCGGTCTGCAAAAGTCTCGCGGCTTGGATCGAAATCTGAATCTGTCGAGATTTCCGAGTCTGTCCAAAGGCCATGTATCAGCAGTCTTCCGGAGAGACGTTCAGAGCCAACGGCCCGGAAGGGTACGAAACGTATAAGGCGCGTTTATGGGAGTCCCAAACTCACCCGTATCTGTGAAATCATCTTCCTCCTCCGGCCCCGGCTGCTGCTGCTGGAAATGCTCATCCTCCACTTCTACTAATTGGACCATCTTGACTTGTTTGTAATGCACTGGCGCGGTTTGTGTGATCTTTATTCTGCACAGGGCCTGTTCCTTCGACGTGTTATTTGCGGTGATCAGTACTTGGAAAGAACCAAGTTCCGATCGCACCCCAGTTATCGTAAGTAGAGGGAAGAAAAAACTTTTGCGAGGCCACGTGACCCGCGGTGCACTACAGCTCGTACTTGGTGTCAATCAGAATTCGCAGATATTTTGTTCGTAAATACAAAGCCGTTGACGGCAATCAGTCTTGACCCTGATCGCCGCTCTATTATCATTATCCTCTAAAGACACACACTTCGTAGGGAGAATCTCCGACAAAACCATCCCCTGCTATAGAAAGTACTTTGCAACCTCAGCCCTGCAACTTTCTTGGCGTGTCGGCAAAGCGAATACCGCGACGAGTAGGGGGCACTCTAGGAGTATCGTCATCGTCACTGTCTTCGCCTAGCTGATTAGACATTCCAAGGGCGGCCTCTCGGCGACGTTTTTCAGCCGGCGTTTCCCTAGATTCGTCACGTTTGTCGTTACCATCGCTGCCGTCAGCGACACTTCGTAATACCGCCAAACGGCGACGCCTTTCCACGCCAGTTTCAGCATCGTCAAGAGTCGATGAGCCGACATTGGTATGAGAACCGGGATTCCCTTTCCGTCCACGCCTAGGCTCGATAGGCGTCGCAAGTTGAGAGCTGGATGACTGGCGACTAGACTCGGCATCGCTGCTCGAGTGTCTACCAGCGCCCACTTCTCGCCTGTCATGACCCCTGGTCTTTGCTGTGGCTTCATCGATGGCTGGAACTGCTTTCGCCCTGTCTTGCGAGCTAGGCACGCCGAGACCAGAAGCTGCAGAATTTTGCTTGGCCAGCGTCTTGACAGTGTGAGATGCACTCGACTTATCGATGACCTCCTGTCTGGTGTTTTGGTCCAGCTTTTGCATTTCGTTGATAAACCCATCTTTCGTCATGCGCTTGCCAACTCCCCCGATTGTGAATCGGATGTGTCGATCATCCTCTTCCTCTTGCTCCGCAGCTACACTCTTCTTCCGTTGCCTCTGAGTCGATGGTTCGCCTGGTGTTGCTCGGGTAAAACCAATCCAACCGGACATACCAGCTGGCCTGCTTGCCACTCGCGTTATGGGCGTCGCATCAGCAGGGATATCTCTCTCTGCATCGTTGTCTCCATCGTGCTCCTTAATTTTCTCGCTGGCCTTTATCAAGTTGCCCATGCCCATATACTTCAGACTCTGGCTTACGCCAGTATTGGTATCCTTCTCGTTCTTCTGAGAAGGCAGTTCGTATTTCTTGACAACTTCACCATCCTCATCCTCGACGATAATCTGCGAGCAGTAAGCGTTAGTCTTCATCAATCACATACAGCGAATATAGGGCTGCACCGAAGAGGGTGTTACGGGGAAGATCTTACGGTATTTCCAAACTGATAAGCTCGCGCAAGCTCGTGTTTTCGTGGCTCTTTCTGCCTTTCTTTGCGCTTTTCGATCTCTTCGTTTTTCCAATTACCAAATCGGGTTTTCAAGGCATCGTAAGTCCAACCAGAGATTCCTGCGTCTGTTGAGGCTTCCGATTTTAGAGTGTGCGAGTTCAGCTTCTCTTGTAGCTTTTCAAGGTCAAGTTTGCCATTTTCGTCTTGGTCATCGTTTCCAGGAGAGACGGGCTCAACCGCTATGACATCGCCTTGTTCGGTTTCCACAATTATGTTGTCGCCCTCGTCGTACACCTCAAGTTTTGGCCGAGCCGTCGGTGACGATGAACTTTCCGCATCATCAGACAAATGACTATGTTCCTGCCTCTCATTCTCCTCGAGAGCGCTGCCGTCTTGGGTGGCGGCATCCGGGCCCGTAGGAGATGCGGGTTCAGAGGTCAGGAGAGCCTCCTCACGCCTATGAGGCCGTGCATTTTGATCTGATGCGACGTCGCCCTGCGACGTTGTTGGCTGGTGGCCCTGGTTCCGTCGTTGGGGATAGATAGCGGATTGGCTGATGGGGCCACCAGGTCCAATTCCATCATCCCACCTCTTTCTCCGACGGCGGCTGACGAGAGAAGACGCTCGGCTTCCCTGTCTGCTTGAGACTTCCTCTTCTTTCAAGCGACGCAGGAACTGGCCCGGCATGGCGACAGGCAACAGAGCTCCCGGAGGAACCTCAGGTTTGAGGTCATCAAAATCGGTATCGGACATGGTCCGAGCTTGAGACCGTGACTGCGACGAAATTCGAGGCAAGCGGTTCATCCAAGACGGCCCATCTTCCGGGGCGGTGGTGTAGGACATGGTAATCGTGAGGGTATTGATTCGCTTACCGAGGGTGAAGACAGCAACAGACGAGCCATGGATGATTATTGATGCAACGACCAGAAACGATACTATGGGCCAAACCAATGTCAACAGCGTGTAATGGTCTGCGTCTGGAGAGGGTAGCTCCGATAGAGGGACTGGATTGTCGGATTCCAGTTCTGCCCTAGCCATAATAGCAACAAATATGGCACCGACACCGATAGGGCCAAAATGGCCAGCGAATAGAGCCTCCCGCCATGTCTTGATATCAGGTATCAGCGGCTTGAGTACCATCATAATGGGGATGCGGCGGAAAAGAATGACAAAGATGGCAATGATGGTAAGCCGCCACGCAGAAAGACCGATTGCGGTGTCATTAAACATCTCCCAGGGTATGATGGTGCCCAGGTACACAAAATAAGTCAGGTTGAGCAACAAGTCGATGACATTGGATACATGCGATTCCTCGGTATTGTGGCCGAACCAGCCATCGTTGGAAAACCCGACGCCAGCAGAGAAGCCAACAAGAAGGTCGTCCATTCCGAGGATGCTACCAGATCCAGCGCAAAACAGAGCAAGGACAAAGTAGAATACAAGAAAGCTCTCTCGATCGATAAGGTCGTGGCGTTCGGCGAATTTGATTCCATGGCGAGCGATGTAGCCTATCATGAATCCGTAGAAAGCCCCGAAAATGCATTCGTAAAGGATGGTGTACACGATCCAGTGGAAGCTGACTAATCTAGCGCTTTGCTTGTCCTGGATGAGATAGAGCGAAAGATAAATGAAGGGGAAAGCCATGCCATCATTACAGCCAGACTCGGCAGAGAGAAGATCCCGCAGATGCTTGGGAACTCTCTTGGCAAACTTGCCCTTTCCAACAACGGACGAAGCAAGAACAGGGTCGGTGGCAGTGACACAGGCGGCAATGACAAGGCTCTCAAGCCAATTGAGTGGTGGAACCATCCACCAGACAAAAAGGGAGGTCACAAGCCAGCCAAAAGCCATAACGGGCAAAAGCAGGAAGACAACAGACTTCCAATGGCGTTCCATGTAAAACTTTGGTAATTCAACGCCAACAGCGAAGCATTGGACGACAAGAACTATGCGCGAGAACTCGATGGTAACAATATCAACACTGCCCCAGGACTGAGGGTTGATGAGATTCGCGGCATGAGGCCCGAAAATTAGGCCGCATATGGTTGCGACAGTAGCCTCACCGATATACATGCGCTCCTTGATGATGGAGGAGCAGAGCATGAACAGGGAGGTAAAACCTCCTAGAATGATGTAAACCAGGTGAGGCCTGGTAATAGAAAGGTGATCCCACGCCATGACGGAGGTTTGACATGCGTGGTGCCGTGATGAGGAGACAGACGTAGGTACCACAAAGGAAGTCAAACCTGACGGGATCAAGGAGTGCCGGGCGTTGAGATATCGTTGCTAGACAGAAGAAGATAGCTATTCCGGAAGGCGCCGAGGCAATGGAGGAGGTAAGTTGGGCCGTCAACCGGCCAGACCGGACAATCGGATCGCGAAGTCGGCTGTCAGGGTTCCAATCAATCGGCTCGGTCCCGTGTACGTGACGCGATTGAGGCACTCAGCAATGGGTCTGCGGCTGGCGAAGTAGTGGAGACCGGGAGGGTCGTTCGGCAAAAGACGCCGAAGGACAAAGTTGGCCAGAGGCGCTATAGCCTGTGTAAGAGAAGGGAGAAAGGCATATACTGACTTTTGTGTATCCGGCGATGGGATACAGCAGAGGAGTGGCTGATGACACTATGGCAGGAATATATGTAGAGTGGGGGAAGGGAAAGAAAACGAAACAGACGGCTGATAATATGCGTGTAGTTAGAAAGAGATAGCAAAGACAATAGCTATGTGCAGCACGAAGTATTATCCCTTCAAACTATGTATACTCTGTACATACATTTCTTTTTATCAGCTCGCTAGTGCCAAACTTGCCGGAGAAGGTCCTTACATAATGGCTCTACAAGGTGCTTAGTGCGGAACGAAGTTGCCACCACGGGGCCCGGAATGCACGGCCGTTCGCGCACCGCCACGCGACAGCCAGCCTTCAAAAAAAATGAGAGGCATACATAATACGAGTGAGTACGTAGCAGATCGAGTTCGCCTTAGTCCGTAGTTACTCTACCCAAGTTGCATAGGACATTGAGAATAAAATACAGACGCGCTTACAAGTGAGGATATATTGGGTGCGAGTCAGCATAATGCTGGCCAAGACCCGGACGAGCAACGCCGAGCAATTGCCAAGCAGCCAAAATACGAGCAAAAATCTAGGTAAACATATGTACTAGTATTTTGACTCTGATAGCAAATTTACAGTCAAAGGCTCTCCAGCAGGGCGGGGCCATTGCAAACTTGTTGTCCCGCCACTCACGACAATTTGTAGGCGCTGATGCTTGCTCGTGCATAAGCCCCGTTTTGGGGTCTTGGCACCGCTTTGCCTAACATGCGTACAAATATTGACAGCCTGTGATTTTATGTAAAGTACAGCTGGTTGGGCTGGTTCCGCACCACTACCTGCAAGCTACATAGTATTGGAAGAAGGCTTGCCCGGCTCTCTCCCGAGACCGGACCACACAAATGCACCTGGAAAAGAGCAAGGGTCTTTTGACTGCAAACACATAATCATGCAACCGTGTAGCATATTAGCGAATGCTCTTGAGACCACACCGCGTTAGTTTTGGCAATAAGTCGGTAAGATACACGAAAATGCACGTGCACAGTGCTATAACTCACACGTGACCTTATCACTATGTGGAAAAGACGCGACGTGTTGAGGCACCTTCTCTTCAGACTCTACGCACCTAGCAACAGACGGCCAACACAGCAAACTAAATTACTAAAGCCCGCCTCGCATTTCGCTGTCTGTATGAAAAGAGTCACACACGGGACACTGTCGCTTCGCACTGCAAAAGCTACAGCAAGGCGATCGGCTGTTGTCTCTCCCGCTACTATCAGCTTCCTTTGCAGAGACAACCAGCCGGTTTGTTCGACAGAGCCAATGCTGGGCAGGGCGAACAAGACGTACGCGGCTCAAAACCCCGCCGCATCATCTGCAACTCGGCTGGTGCAGAAGACAAAGGTCGAGCAGGTTTTGCGTCCGTCCAGTAGCCCCCGCCATGAAAGCATCACCAGCTTCTGCAAGGATACGACGCCCGTGACCACGACGGGTGTCTCAACTTTCCGACGACTTCCTGCGTCTAATACGGCGATATCTCGCCCTCAATTCTCTACCAGTGCTCTCAATGCACGTTCCCCGAATATCTCCACTGGCGACAACATGGCTTCTGCGAAACGTAGCAGCAGCGTCGTGACTCTCTGCAATACGCCCGACTCTTTCCTGGACAACTCACTTGCTTCCGACCAGCCACAAGCAAGCAATGCCAAGGTACAACAAGTAGAGGAGAGTGACTTACTCGCCTACGGTATCGACCCAGATGATTTTACCGATGATGAAAATCTTGGCCTGGACTTCAAGTCTCCAAGTGCTCTCCCCGCCCCTCAGGTCCTGAAAAGCGAGGAGAAGCAGGCAGAGAGCTTATCTGGAAGTCAGCAGGCCATTGTGCATTCCAGCCTTAGCTGGCTGCCCTCGTCTCCGTCTCACCATCTTCCGCCTCTCTCACGGTCGGCCAGCGCGACTGCGCTTTTAGCCAAACGCAGTGCGTCGAACGACTCTACTCGTCCCTTCCCACTGCCAGCCGCCAAGAAACGCACCATGCCCAAGCACTGGTCCAAGGCTGAGAACGAACGCACTGCAGTCAGTGAAGCTGGAATATCTCAATTGCCTACAACACCGGCTGTGAAGCAAACAGACGCGTTCTTATGGGATGCTACTACAAGTGCCGTGAAAGCTCAAAAGAAGCAGTTGAAGGACAATACAAAAAAACAAGCGATAGGAGAAGCTGCACCGGGTGCTCGTGAAGACAGCTCTCTTGGCCCGCCTGGTGGGACAGCTAAACCGCATCGCAAGCCCACCACACCGGCGGCAATCAGCCTTAGCACCGAGCAACAGCATGTCAAAAATTTGGTGTGCCACAAGAATGCGAGTGTTTTTTTCACCGGCCCAGCAGGGACAGGAAAGTCGGTTCTTATGAGAGCAATTATTCGTGACTTGCGGAAAAGGTTCGCGAAAGAACCAGAACGGTTAGGAGTCACCGCTTCAACAGGCCTAGCTGCGTGCAATATCGGAGGCATGACCCTACACAGTTTTGCAGGAATCGGACTGGGCAAGGAAGATGTTCAGACTCTCGTGAGAAAGATTCGCCGCAATCCAAAAGCCAAAGCACGCTGGCTCAAAACTAAAATTCTCGTCATCGACGAGATCTCTATGGTGGATGGCGACTTGTTCGACAAGCTATCGAGTATCGGACGTACTATTCGAAATAACGGCCGGCCATGGGGCGGCATTCAGCTTGTTCTCACGGGTGATTTTTTCCAGTTGCCGCCTGTTCCAGACCGCGAAAAGAGGGATGTGAAGTTTGCCTTTGAGGCATCAACGTGGAACACCTCGATTGATCACACAATTGGCCTCAGTGAAGTTTTCCGGCAAAAGGACCCAGGTGCGTTATCAAAACAACGCACGGTTTGTGCGTCTGGATACTGGCTAACGAGAAACCCGCTCCTGAAGAATTTGCAAATATGCTGAACGAAATGCGCCTTGGACAAATAAGTGACAAGACTGTACAGATTTTCAAGTCGCTGTCCAGGCCTGTTCAGATCGACGATGAGCTTGAGGTCACAGAATTGTGTGTTGCCCCTATATGTTGCGTACCCTCGAATGAGGCGCAAAATTGCTGACCTATCGCTCCAGGTTCCCTACGAGAGCCGAGGTAGACAGCTCCAATGAGAGACGTCTTCATGCCCTGAAGGGAAAGCCACGCCGATATGACGCACTCGACTCTGGCGAGCAGGACAAGCGAGAAAAGCTGTTACAGAATATGATGGCGCCCAAGTCTTTGGTACTCCGGGAGGGTGCACAGGTAATGCTCATCAAGAATATGGACGAGACACTGGTCAACGGATCCGTTGGGACGGTCGTCAAGTTCATGACAGAAAGCGAGTTCGAGCAAGTCGGTGACAACTTCGAGTGGACGACGGACCCTGTCATTAAAAAAAGAGCCAGTATGCTCAATCAGTATCTGAATGACGGGGACAATGGATCTGGCTCGCCGGTGTTTCCTTATGTTCGGTTCCACGCCGTGGACGGGACACAACGCGGTATTCTCGTTCGTCAAGAGGAGTGGAAAGTAGAGCTACCAACGGGAGAGGTCCAGGCGTCACGCCATCAGCTACCGCTCATCTTGGCGTGGGCTCTTTCTATCCATAAAGCCCAGGGTCAGACATTAGAACGCGTCAAGGTGGATCTAGGCCGTGTTTTTGAAAGGGGCCAGGCGTACGTGGCTCTAAGTCGTGCCACGTCAAAGGACGGACTACAAGTGTTGAGGTTTGAGAAGCACAAGGTCATGGCCCACCCTCGGGTAGTTTCTTTTTACAGCAAGCTGTACAGCGCAGAAAGCGCTTTGAAGAGCATTGGTGGCAGCTCATCCATTCTTGCGTTCACCCGCAGCACTGTGCTCGAGCCGGAATCTACGACCAACTCGTTTGCACGTCGATGGTTGAAGCCGCAGTAAGGGCCGAGGGGCCATATACCAGAGCATAAATTCAATATATTGATAAGCTGGTACACAACAGGTTTGAAGGCTGGGTGATACGATTCATATAATGGATGTTGGCGGTACAGTGCTTTTGATTGGTTTATGGACATATTTGACACTGTTCTAATCGATAAGCCCTTACGGTCGCAACCAAAATAGAATATATAAATATACGACATACAATCCTATGTAAAGTCACCCCTGCACTGTAAGCGTCACAAGCGAACCGGCCAACAGCAATTCTGCCTCCGGGCGTAAATCTCGAGTCTGTGCAACCATGGCGAGCGAATTTCTGCGGATGGTCGTCATAGTTGAGTTGCGAGATCCGCCAGAACGACTTCATGGTTCTGTTACCGGTGTTGAGGCCGGCCAGAGCTTAACTTTAAGTAACGGTATGTTGGGGGAAGTGTCTCTGCCCGTTGCCTGTATCTATGTGTTTATAGAGGACTTCTTACGATGCTCTAGCTGCTGATAGTCGAACAGTTTGGTCCCTTGACACTCACTCGTGGAGGCCTCAAGTCGTCGTCAACCCGGCCAACATTGTTGAAATCTTCGACGCGAGCAAGGACCCAGCTAAACCACCCGCACCCGCTTCCGACCAACAGACATCTACACCGCCGGTATACGATGACCCAGCCATTCTCTCGTTTAAATTTGGCACCGTGCGGCCCGATTCGGGCCCAGGAAGTTGTGGTCGGCCGTCCAGCAAGACTCGGCAGGCTGCGAGTACTGGGAGTACTGGGACAAACCATCCACAATTCTCCCGGGCGGCGGTACAGGACGCATCCATTCGGGGCCTTTCTGTGAAAGCACCGGCTGCTGATAGCGGCCCGTTCCAGGCAGATGATTCTAGGGTAGCCATCAGCCCTCTGAATGCTACTGGCGAATTGGACACTACGACGACAAACCCCCATGCGGTGCAACCTGAAGACTCACAAAAGGCACGCAGGCGACCGCGGCAACCACGCATGTCCAGGGCGGACCACTCGGGCGAGACTATTCGCGCTCCTGTGGAACGACAGAAATTTCAAGCAGGCAGAGGTAAAGGCTGGAGGGAAACTCCTATGCTACAGGACACTGCCTCGTTCCAGCCATTCAACGCACTGAAGAAGGGCGGCCAGAGACGACGACAGCAGCCTAGCCAGGAAAATGGGTGGGCCTCTGAAGATGTCACCGATGTGCAGGAGATGGGTGATTTCGACTTTGAAGGCGGTCTGGCGAAGTTCGACAAGCGGACGCTGTTCGACCAGATGCGCCGGGAAGACGAGGTTGCCGTTGCCGACCGCCTCGTCACACACAATCGTCGACCGCTTCCAAAGCCGGGCACGGCCAGTGGTAAAAATCTGCACTATTCGGAGAATGTATTAGACGTGCCGCCAACAGCGGCATCTTTGACGCCAAAATCCATCGTCAGAGAGCCTCAGGCCGTCTCACATGACTTCTGGAATAGCGAGGCTGATGACGTTGGCGCTGGAAAGGGTGCCAGTGGTGGGGGGGGAAGGTCGAGCGGACGAGAGTTTGAGAGCCGGCAGAGTTCACGTCGGGACGAAAGCAAGGCACCAAACATGAGGCGGTCGCAGTCCCGAAAGGCAAGCGCCAGCACGGCCGGACAAGGCCCAGCGCGGCCGCATGCCACAAGCGCACGTGTGCAACATGGATCTGTCTACTCCGAGAGGTCACAAGCTCAGACATCTTTTCCGGCTTCGACCTGTCCGCGGGGCTTATACCTGCTTCCATCGAAACGTCGGCTGGAAACGGTGTCGGCATTGCAGATGCTCAATCTGGAAAACATTGCTCACAATGAGATGGGGCTCACGGAAGATATGATGGCAGAGAACGCCGGCCGGGGAATAGCCGAGGCTACACTGATTGCACTCGCCGACCCAGCCATCAAGATCCGCACCGGTGCAACTGCAGTCGGCAGCAAAACAGCCGTGCAATCCTCTGCCAGCAGCTCACCGGCGACTGTCGTTGTGCTGTCGGGCAATAATAAGTCAGGGATACGAGCAGTGGCAGGCGCACGGCATTTGCGGAACAGAGGCATCAATGTTCTTGTCTGTGTGGTGGGTATTGAGCGAGGGGAACGCGAGCTGCTTGAAGACTTTCGGCAGCAAATACGACTATATCGGAACTTTGGCGGTCGCATATATACAAAGAGCGAGCTGTTTGAATACCTGCGGAAGGCAACTATACCTACGCTGACAGTCGACACTCCGCGTAGTGCAGTGGTTGCAAGGCCACCTGCCGTCGCGCTGATTGTTGATGCTCTTCTTGGCCTGGCCATATCCTTTGATGAATTGCGTACGGGAGACCAAGCGACAGTCTACGAGCTGATCAAATGGGCAAATCGCAACGAGGCGTTTGTTCTGGCTGTAGACGTGCCCACTGGCATCGATCCTACGTCGGGCAAGGTCAGTATCATCGACGGTACTCGGCTTTACGTTCGTCCACGATATGTCATAGCTATGGGCGCTCCCAAGCGCGGCCTCCTCGAGGCTGTGTCGGCAGGAGAGGCAGAGGACGGTACATTGACCGAGCCGGCCGTTCTGGATGATCCAGCTCTAGACTGGAGGCTGTTTATTGCCGACATTGGCCTGGGGGTGGCAGCTTGGAAAAAGGCTGGGACAAAGATCCGGCGCGGTATTGATTTTGATGACAAGTGGCTGCTCGGGATGAAGTATTTCGGGGATGCATCCGGCAGAGAGCTTGATTAGACTGGCGGGAGAGTGCAATGGGTTAATGTCATTTGATAGTTTACGCCTGGTCGGGGATATGGCTGTCTTACGAGCCTCATATTGCCGGTGTCTTGCCCAACTGGACGGATATGTTGTGTTTTCTTCACGAAACGCTTTTGCTTTGCTGATATCCCGTCTGCAAATGTGGCTTGCTCGTCCGTTTGGCACAGAATTTATGATAGTATTGCACACGATTAACGAGTTACTTTAATAGTTACACATACCTAGAAGTGCAAGTAATTAAAAGAAAAACATAATCTAAAAAGAGAGAAGGGGTTACAGCTTGAAATAGATAGAATACAGCGGGTATCATATTCAGGAAACCCTCGGAATGAAATCATTGACTAGTCCAACCGGCAGTAGCCACAAGTACACCTGTCTGAAGCCACTACTGCTCGCATCACTCGCATCACTCGCATCACTGATAAAACTGTCTGGTCGCGGAGGGCGCTGTGCCACCCATCTTGGAGGCCGCGGTGGAGGCAGTGTCAGCCGCGTCGGACACTGTGCCAGCCGCCGTAGACGCTGTAGCATTCGGACTGATTTCGGCGAAGTCCGTGTCATTGATGCCATAGGCTGCATTATTGCCCGTGCTGCCCGCCGACGTGGCGATGGCTTTCCTTTCAACCTTAGGAGCTGCAGGAATGTCCTTGCTTCTAGACGCCGACCCGAGAGCGAAGACAGGGCTGTGCCATGCCTCGCCTTGCCGGGCCATATCTCTAAATTCGGTCGCCTTGGAGCTGAAACCGCCAGGCAGCTGGATGTTGGGGAAAATGCTGTCCTCCTTGGTGAAGGCATAATTCATCTTTTGGTCCGATTTCTTCCCGGCTGCAGCCTTCTTCTTCTGCTGCTTGTTGTCGGTGAACCGCTTTTGGGCGGCTTGGTAAAAACGGCTATATGAGTTCGGAGTCGGGCTGTCGGGATCACCCTCTGCTGCCTTGCCAACCCGATCGGCATCCTTTTTGATATCGTAAAGGGCCGCATCAAACTTGTGAAAGTTGTCTCTGATAGCCTTCTCTAGGACCTTCTGCAACGTCGGCCGCAAAATCCTCATCAGAAGAGGCTTGAAGAGATTGAACAGCATCTTGTGACGGGACTTGTGCAGCTTGATTTTCAGGTAGTCAATGTCGACGTGTACGCTGTCTACCTTGAAGAAATGCTGTGCGTCGACAGCATCAGCCGTGCTCAGGCCCAGTTGAAAGCTGAAGCCATGTCCGGCCATCAAGACGCTGAATATTCCAATGTCCGTGAGTGAAGGAAACCCCTGCTTTCGCTTCACATAGTAGCTGACGTTACGGAGGTCTGTCTGAATGCCAGCTACCTTCACCTGTACAGTGTGCTTGTTCTTGCCGACCTTTGTCATCTTGCGGCCCCAGGACATGTTGTTGCTGTTGAAAATATGTACCATGTTCGGCATGAAATTGTCGCTCTCAAACACGAGGTTCTCGATGACGGCATCAATCTGAGGGTCGGAGTACTCAATTCGCGGAATTGGAATGTACGAGATGTTCTCCAGGGCGGTCGGGATGATGACATTTGTGAGGTCCTTCACAAGATGGGGCTTGAACTTTGGCTTCCCGTTCTCATCGTTGCCCAGGTCGATAAGCAGTCTTCTCACAGACTCGCCAAATGCCTTGTTTTGAGGGTCCTTATCGAATTGCTCACCGACGAATTTGACCTCGTCGAGAACACGGTTTGTCTGGGAGTTGTATTTGCCCCTGAGGAGATATTTCCCATGATCATATATTTTGTCCCAGTCACTTGTCGAGCTCTCCTCCAAGATGTACCCCTTCTCCTGAAGGCAGCGCCGAATGTATTGATCGAGTGCCCTGAACCACCCCTTCAATTCGGGGTCTATTTTGGCTGCATCATAGATGGCGCCGATGGAATCCCAGAGACCGTTAGTCGAAGTTCCATTGGCGAACCTCTCTATGAGGGTTTTCAAGTCGGCCTCCGCCTTGGCCAATGCTGATCTGGCGCCCTGAACAGTTGACGCAGAGCTTGAAGCCGTTGTTTGGGCGTGGCCCTGGTATTTTTCGGCGAGGTCGAGCAGTGTTTGGACTGCCTGCTGATAGTCTGGGTGCTGTTGACACTCGATGACCATTTTCTTCACATCTTTTAGTATGAGCGATCGCCGAGCGGGACGGATAGGTTCTTACTTTTAGGCGCCAAACGACTTGGTCCCTACGCTCTTGGGGAATTTTGGTACTAAGGTAATCCCTGCCACGACTGCGGTAGTTGGAAGTCTTATTTTCCACCACCTGGTCGACCCCATCGGCGGCAGGCGCATCCGTAGTATCACCAACGGGGACATCGACGGAGTTGTTCTTCTTCTTATAGACGGCCTGTGCACGGCTCCTCATGTTCTCCTTGGAGAAATTCGGCGCTTCATGCCAGGTGTTGTCCGCGGCAGGCGCATCGATTTGCGCCAAATCATCTTCTCCCGGTCTAACCTTGGAAGTGAACTTAGTAGCTCCATCGGCAGCCATGTCTCTAATGATGATAGAAGCATCTTTCACTACACCATCAGCCCATTCAGTAAGCTTCTACGCTCATACAATTTAAAAAAAAAACAGCACATAGCTTTCCAACTTACACAGCTTGCGAAATTGCCCGTTGGTGATGACCAAGTTTCCGACCGTTTTGAGGCCCTGAAGAGCCTGGTCGCCATCAGTCTTTGCCACTGCCTTGTCGACGGAAGAGCCAGGCGCCTGTATGCTCTTGTAGTCATGGTTGCTAGTCTGCCAGATGAAGTCCTGAAGTAGATTTCCCTGGTTCTTTGATAGAACCAGGTACTTCGCCTGGCTGACAACGTCTCGAAATTCGGCCACCAAGGCTCGGCCCTCAGGAGAAAGTTTCCCCGAAGGACTTGAGAGTGCTTTGGAAGAAAGAAGGCTGTTTAAGGTAGTGTCAATCTGATCATTTGATGGCAATTTTCCAAGCCCAAAGGCGTTGGCGATTCCATAAAGCTGAAGTTTCCGACCAATATCCTCATCCCGCTGCTTGATGTTTGTCGGCCGATTAACCTGGCGTGACGACATGGTTGTAGTAGCCAACTAACTACTGTGTTACTGTAAGGCGACTTATAACTCTCAATCGATTATTTCCACATGTGATGGATGGCAGTGATAAGTGTGTTATTTGTAACTGATTCCCTGCGACAAAGGTCCGTTGCTGGACCTTTATATACTTTGCAGACTTGCTGATTGCAATACGTCATAGTATTTGGCCCATTGCATGGCTTAACGTCTAATTCTGCGTTATGTACTCCGTACTCCGTACAACATATACATAGTAGAGAGCAGAGAGAAACAAGGGAGGTATGCAGATCGCACGAAACGTGATGACGACACAGGTTTGCGGCCGCACTAATACTCTATTCGAGCTGAAAGCGAGTGTAATGATATCACAGGAATGTGGAGCCTCCATTCGCCCTATATTCAGTGATCGCATTCGGCACATGTGCCCGTATCGCTACTTCTATCATTCCGTCACTAAGTCTATTAGTAAGAAGAAGTCGAAGACGACGAAACAAGAGCAGGTCGCAATAGAGTGGGGCCGGATCTGCGAGACACCCGGTATTTTCTTATCTAGCCTGCAAGGTACATACAATATGTACAGAACGCATTAAGTCACTTCGTCTCCACCATAGACATCGGACCTCGAACGCGGAGATGGAGCAAGACACAGCACCATTAAGGTCTAGTTCGCTAGATAAAGATGCAAGAACAGAGGATACACTGCAATACAGCTATGGACCTGGCCTCGACTCTGGTGCCCTCGACGAGAGGTTAGCTCTTGCCCCCCTTCAGCTAGGCTGCACTCTCCTGTTCTTCTTACCTGCTCCTCGCTTTCTACTAAAACGTTGCTATATCCAGGTATCCAAACCGCCCACACAACCACTCTGTCACCCTGCCCTTCTCCGCGTTGTTTCATAACCTCCTTAACCCCCTCGCGGAGATCAAGGCGCAGCCCGCCTCTCGAGGACCGCCACGTGCCAAGCAAGGCCATGGCCGTGGCTCCTCTCGAATTTCCCCCCACGAGCAGCGTCGAGGTGTTATCATGCGCTTCATGTCCCGCTGGCGGTCGGAGGTCGGAGATGATTTCTATCCTGTCCTGCGCCTCATATTACCAGACAAAGACCGTGACCGCAGTGTATATGGTCTGAAGGAGAATACGATTGGAAAGCTGCTTGTGAAGCTCATGAAGATCGATAAGAACTCCGAAGACGGATACAACCTCCTACACTGGAAGCTGCCAGTTTGTGCTGCGGCTAGCAGCTTGGCTGGAGATTTTGCAGGGCGCTGCTATGAGGTCCTGGCGAAGCGGCCGCTGCGAACCGAAGTTAGTGATTTGCGGATTGGCCAGGTGAATGTCCTGCTAGACAAGCTTGCCGACTGCAGCGGCGAGATTGAACAGCTGTCAATCTTTGAGGTATTCTATCAGCATATGAATCCAGAGGAGCTGGCCTGGCTCATCCGCATCATCTTAAAGCAGATGAGGATCGGTGCCAGCGAACGGACAATTCTCAATCTCTGGCATCCAGATGGCGAGGCTCTCTTTAACGTCTCTTCCAGCCTCCGACGCGTGTGCTGGGAGCTTTGCGACCTGCAGGTGCGCTTGGAACAGGACGAGGCTGGTGTGGCTCTCATGCAATGTTTCCAGCCACAGCTGGCCCAGTTCCAGATGCCGGCTTCCTTCCAGAAGATGGTCGAAAAGCTAGGGTCAACCGAGGATGACCGGGAGTTCTGGATCGAGGAAAAGCTTGACGGCGAACGCATGCAGGTGCACATGATGGAGGATCATACGTTGCCTGGTGGAAGACGCTTCTGTTTTTGGTCTCGAAAGGCCAAAGATTACACTGACCTCTACGGACACGGCTTCGGGGACAAGAAGGCGGCCCTTACACAGCACTTGCGCCTGGCTTTTACCGAAGGGGTTCGTAATCTGATTCTGGATGGAGAGATGATCACATGGGACCCAAAATTGGACAAAATGGTGGCCTTTGGTACTCTCAAAACTGCGGCTCTCGGAGCACAGAACAATCCGCACGACTTGATGGCCCCAAGGCCGTTGTTCCGCGTCTTTGATATCCTGTATCTCAACGATCAACTGCTGACCCGCTATACCCTACGGGATCGGCACCGGGCTCTGGAGAAGGCGGTCATTGGCGTTCCGCGGCGCTTGGAAGTTCACTCACACCTGGCTACAACAGATCCAGGCACGGTTCAGCCCATGCTCCGGCAGATTGTGGCCGACTCTTCGGAGGGGCTTGTATTGAAAAATCCGCGGTCGATGTACCGGCTCAATAGTCGCAACGACGACTGGATCAAGGTCAAGCCGGAGTATATGACTGAATTCGGGGAGTCCCTCGACTGTGTCGTGATTGGGGGCTTCTTTGGTTCGGGGCGCAGAGGGGGGATGCTATCTAGCTTCCTGTGCGGACTGCGCGTAAGCCAAAATCAGATAGACTCTGGCGCGAATCCGGAAAAATGCCTGAGCTTCTTCAAAGTAGGCGGTGGGTTCAAAGCTGAAGATTACGCAGAGATTCGGCACCTGACCGAAGGTAAATGGATCGAGTGGGACAGTTCCAACCCGCCACGCGATTATATCGAGCTCGCCGGCGACGAGGCTGGCCAGGCCGAAAAGCCAGATGTTTGGATCAGGCCCAGAGACTCCGTGGTGCTATCTGTGAAGGCATCCAGCGTCTCGCCGTCAGACACCTTTGCCGTGAGGGAGACGTTGCGATTCCCTCGTTTCCGCCGGCTACGCCTCGACCGGGCCTGGGACACAGCTCTTGACACAGACCAGTTTCGGCTGCTGCGGGCTCACGCAGATGAAGTGACAAAGGAGAGGAAGGAAATGGAGATCGAGAACCGACGGCAGCGGCGACCAAGCAAGAAAAGCAGGCTCGACTTGGTCGTGGCAGGACAGAGCCGGCAGCAGGGCCAGGATGCCGAAGCCACAAAAGCGTCTAAGCCTGCCGCGGCATCCACCAGCAACACGTTTTCTGGCATGGAGTTCTGTGTTCTCTCGGAAGCGGCCAGGCCACTGAAGAAGAGCAAGGCCCAGATAGAAGCGCTAATCAAAGACCACGGAGGCCGCCTATGCCAACAACCGAATGCAGCATCGGGAATGATCATCGTGGCGGATAAAAAGGTCGTCAAGGTGGCGTCTCTCATCCGGGCAGGTGACGTGGTTATCGTGAAGCCGCAGTGGCTTTTTGACTGTCTGTCTCAGAGCGGAGGGGGGTTTCTGCTACCTTTTGAGACAAGCCACCTCTTCCATGCCACTAAAGCTGCAGAAATGAAAGCCAAACGGCAGACGGATGCATTTGGCGATAGTTTTGCCCGAGATATCGGAGTCGACGAACTGAGGGGCATCTTGGATGGAATGCATGTCAGTAGCAACGATGCCGACGCATTGTTAAAGAAAGACGTGTTCCTTGACCAGCTCGAAGAACATGGCCACGATTTGGGACAACTGAAAGGACTCACATTTAGGTGTTGCTCTGTATATTTTGCAACTACGGGTGCAGCGCCGGCAATAAACCTGCTGCAGCTAAAGAATTACGTGCTCTTTGGTGGAGGCAGAGTGGCAAACAGCTTGGAGGATGCAGCCTTGACGCATATCATTGTTCTCTGCCGCGATGGCAATGATGTGGATGAAGATGGTGGCGCCGATGGAGGCGAGTTGGCAGCAGAGATTAGACGTCTGATGAGCTCGAGGACGAGACAACCACGGATCGTGAGTACAGCATGGGTCGAAGCGTCGTGGAAAGAAGGTACGCGGCTCGACGAGGAGCGATTTGTTCATGGATGAAACAAGGCGGCAGTAACATCAACATTGACGCCAACGGTGGCAAGTAGGATGCAATGCAAACAAAATATAAATAACCTAGAGGCTACAATAGTGGCTGGCCAACAATCCACCAAATCTAAGTTAATTGGCCTCTAGACGAACAATAAAGGCCGTTGTGCGAGGGTTCAGCACTACAAGTGCAGAAATATGGTATGATCCAGCGAGTGGCCCAACGAGCCTCATGATCTCATTTCCCGATAGTCAGAAATAGTCGGTCGCCAATATCACCGAGACCGGGCTTGAGCATCCCCTTGTCGGTAAGCTCATTGTCGATGCCGGCCGACCAGATCTCGACACCCTGGGGCCATTCAGCCGCGGCTCTCTGTACACCAGGGAGAGCGGCTACCACAGAAAGCACGAGGATACGGGAAACCCCCCATTCGCGTAGCGACTGGATGGCCGCTGCACATGTGCCGCCTGTAGCGATGACGGGGTCGAGAATTATGGCCAGCTTGCCCGACTCTGGGTCGTCCTGGTCGCCGATGTGATTGGGCAAATTGTTGTAGTATTCAACTGGTTCAAGCGTGCTCGGCTCGCGATAGAGTCCTAGATGATGCACAGGGACGGGCTCGGGGAGAAGTGTTTGCAGTGCGTCCACCATCCCGAGGCCAGATCTCAAGATGGGAACTAGGCATATCTTCTGCGGATGGACCATAGTAGTGGTGTACTCGAAGCCTAGGTTGGTGACTTTCTGTGGTCCGCGAGTCAGCCTGACAGAAATGAAACCGGTAGCACCGTGAAAGGGAAAGGAAAAGAGAAGAAACCTTGGGGCCGGGGGTTGCGGTGAGAGCGTGCGATAAAGCCTCACAGGCTACAAAGAGGGAGATTTCATGGACGAGAGACTGAACCTCCTTTGCCGACGTCGTTTCTGAGCGCAAAAGACTCAGCTTTGCCGCGAGGCACGGGTGTTTAGAAACATGCACATTGCTAGGAGCAGCGGCCATCTTGAATATGAAGGCAGATGGGAACGACAGGACCGTCAGTCAGAGGCAGAGGAATACAGTCGGGGTGATGATAATAAGCAGTACAGCAGGAAACATCTGCCACGCCCGCGATACATAGTACGGCAGCCCAGGACTGCGGGCAGAGGGGCTGGCGATAAGAGCTATGATACGTCGTCATGATGTATCTTATCGTACCACTCCCATGCGATGACTAATCATTTTCGTGGGCCTGGAAGCGCGGCACCACTTCATAGCGCCTTGGAGGAGATGCAGGACCCGGCACCATCTGATGATGCTCTGTACCGACTTGGTACCAGGAACCTTTCGGGACCCCGAACAAGATTATGCATCGTATCCTTCCTCTAAAGTGAGATCATCAAAAGTATAGCAATTCCACGTAGGACAGACAGGCGTAGTACGTCACGCCGACTGCATACGCGAACCGCAACGAGGCATGATTGAAAACATGCAGCTTAGACGGTCTGTATCCGAGCCCAATGCTACGCTTGCAATAGCGAACACGGTCGAGGTCGAGAAGCTTAAGCTGCAGGATGGCAGAAGTCAGAAGTCAAAAGGAGATCTCGCGGTGTGCCATGAACCTCTACACGATTTTCTACCTCGTCTGATCCCCCTCCTTGGCACGTTGATCTGACTCAGCCTGCAAGCTATCACCGACCATGTCGGCGCACCCATGACTTCGACTCTATCTGGCCCAATTTCGCCGGCTGCGTCGTCGTGGGATATCTTGCCGAGGACCGTAAGACATTCCTCTTCGACGGGGGCAGGCCAGCGTACGAAACCCTGATTCAGTCGGCCTCGAAAGACTCACGGCGAGGACAAATAACATCAGTCATGCCGTAATCAATATCGTTCCTGCAAGCAAAATGTACACGTCCGTGAAGAAGACGATTACATTTTATATTAGTCTCTCAAACGGCTTCTGTGGCCCCTTCACGTCATTCTCTACCCTCATCCGCGACATGTACCTTGCACTGTCCAGGAGAATTTGAAGTCTCCCGGAACAGTGGCTATTCGTTCATAGCCACTGTCGCCGTCATGGATCCTCACTCTCCGCCTTTCACTGAACGGCACTTAGCCATCGCTCTAGCGCCGACCGCACCCTCGCTTCATTTCCCTTTCATCCGCAAAGGTACGCAAAGATACCGGATCGCCTTGCTGTTCTTATGGAATGAAGCTGTTGGTTTGACGCTGTTCTCATGAATCTCAGGAAGGAGGCTCTTTTTCGCTAGAATTTGCTCCCCTGGGTTGTTTGAGCTGCTTTTATGTAGCTATGTATCTTATCTTACCTCAATTCCCTTGAAGCCTTTATGGTCAAAGTTTTCGGCACTTCAGCTCTTGGTACGCTATCGGATCTTGCCCATGTTCCTCTAGGTGGTGTGATCGGGTGCCAGGTCTTGCGAGGCGTGGAAGAAAGAGGCTTTTGCGGCTTTTTTACTACTGTATCGACAGAGGCTACCGAGCTCTCCAAGCAGACGTCACCATCCTTATCGTTATGGTACTACACGCTAACTAGTCTCTCTTGCTGCCATGACGGCTTGGATTGGTCGGGTGGTTTCCTTCGTTGACGTGTACTCATTTATACTTGTATATAAGTTAGAGGTGTATAGGCAACATAATGGCCGTCTAATAGCGTTTCTCTCAAATCCATTAAGCACAGTGAGGCGAGCATAGGCTACATATTCATTAACACCGGACCGCTCGCCACAAAGCCACAAAATAAAAGCTGTCGTACTGTCTAGGTATGAATCCGCATGTTGAGATCTCGTTTTCCGGTGCCTTGTAGCCAACACACAACATAGTGCAAGGTCTTTACCATAATATGGGCTGGCCACATAAAGTGTTTTTATAAGTGGTTTATAAGTGGTTGGTGGCACGTCTCCGGTTTATAGAAAACCCATCGCTTCATGGCCTGCACCTCTACTCTTCTGCTTTGTGGGACTACAACTCCGTAATCAGCCACCCGATTTGTATCCCCAGGCACAACTCCCCCGTACAGTTGCATGGTTGCACTTTTGCTCATCCCGGCACCATTTTCCGTTAGAAGCTTAAATTCCATGTGCTCGTGGTGCTCAAGCTCGGATCTGCGCCACTCTCTTGGACATGCTATTTTCGAGTCAGAGGACCATGTCTCGGAAAAAATAACATATAATTCTCCAGTCTGGAAGGGAAGAGGTAGTGAAGACACTATTAACTTACAAGTCAAAAAATGCGAACTGGCTTGGTGAAGACCCAAACTCGTACACAAACCGACTGGCCAAGAAACTGCCAAAGATGGCTCGCAAATAGGCATCTGGCACACGCTGCATGATCGTTTCCAGGCCGATTTCATCAAGCAAGAGCCGGGGAAGTGCGTCGTTTAGAACGCTCTTTCGGATACGCTCGTCTTCCCAGAGATCTGACTTTTGCAGCTCCTCATCCAGAGTCGTGATGGCCACGGACAGCTTATCTGAAAGGACAGAACGAGGCACACCGGTCTGCTCATGTTCGCGCCATATGGCCTCGAATTCAAGGCGGGCGTTTTCACAAATCTTGTTCTGAACCTCTTTCACATAGGCCTTGTAAAACTCCGGAGCTTCGCCTTTGGCATTGTGGCACATGCTCTTACGGAAGCCGTCATCGTCAAAGGAAAGAGAGGCAAGAACCTCAAGAGACGAAGATGTCACGCCGCCCTTGTTTGCCGATGCGTCCTTGATCAAAACGCAGCCGGCAGCCTCCAGATGAAGCTTTGCATCTTGTGTTATAAACAAGTTTGCACCCTCGACAATGTATGGGAAGATGGACCTGCCATCCTTGATGACCTTGTTCACAGAAACGAGATCGATCGACTCCGGACGACCACCACAGGGCACAAATATGTCGGTCATGCCCGTATCCCGAAGGTGATACGTGTTTCGGAAAGCAGTGCCGTTTGCAACAACCTCTCCGCTAGGAAGAATCGTGTTGGTGTCGTCGCACAGCACTCGAAAGCCGTCCTTCGATAGCTTGGTCTGGTCAAACTGGGAAATCATGGCACGGCTTTTGGCCAGGCGGACCAGTTCTAGCTTGTCCAGACCATTGGGATCCACAAGAACGCCGGAACCATCTATAACAGATGTGTACTTCTCGTCGCTGAGAATAATCTCGTTGCTGCCCAAGTCTCCATCGGGGCCACCAGTCTGCATCTTCTTGACGTTCGCAGGGTCAAGACTCAGCTTGCGGTAGATCCCCTGTACATACTCACGCACGGATAGTGTTGTCATTCCGTACGCGTCATGTGGAATACCGCCGAGGGTGGGTGACTTGCCCGTGAAAAACGACTTCCAAAACGGTGCTCCGCGCTCGAGGGCGTGTTTCGTAGCCCAGTCAACCAAATCCGCAGTGTTCTCATCGGGTCCCATGAAAAGAATTTCTTGTTTCCCATATAAGTCGACGATTGGATTTTTTATTCCGGGTGTCTTGGCCGGCAGGAGGAGGTCCAGAATGCTGTCAATGTACTTCTCAAATGCCTCCCGGCCTTTGTCCTGTTGTTTTGGGTCCAAAAGGATGACGCCTTTGGATCCGCCCTCCGGAATGTCCTTATTCTTGCGTTGTTGGGTGCTTGCCAGTCCGTAGTTCTCGTCAAAGAGATTGCGAGCATTGATTCTATAGGCCTCCTTGCTGCGGGACTTGACAATCCGAATACCACCCCGGGCGATATCACGGAAGCGAAGGTGGAAACCACGCGATTCAGAGCTGATTACAAGAAACATACCGTAGAGCCGCCGCGGATATTCAAACTCGGGCAAAAAGGACGGATCGAGACGGAAGCTCAAGGCCACCTTTGTGGGTGTGAAGTAGTTGGTTTTCAGGATGGCGTTGTTGAAGACGCGAAACGCAGTCATAACCATTTCCTCGTGTTCGTTTGAAACCTCCTTTGTGATTCTCTGCTTGAGTCCCGTGTCCGAGAGAACCTCAATTGTAGGAGTAGGGGCGATTGATTGTCGCTCAAACCCAGCACCAACGGCAAGATGCACATTGGCAAACGATGCATAGAGAGCTCGGACGAGACCCGGATATGAAGAGACAATATCCAGTATGTAGTCAGGTGTGAAGGTCTCGGTTCGTAAACGGCGCTTCAGTTTTGACAGCAGTACCATGTGCACATTGTTGCTATCGTCTAGTGCCTCAGAGAGCGACGCATACTCAGATCCCAGCCGATTAAGGAAATGTTGGATGAAGACCCAGACGCAGTGGCCGTAGATCGCTTCTTGAAGGCTGAGTTCGCCGGACGCAAAGAGATTGTGCAGCTTGTTGTGGGGGACGCAGTACAGCAGTGAAATTTCCTTGGTGATCTGATGGATGGACTGCTCCAAGGGAGGAAATCCGCTGTCGAGGTTCACAGCCGGTCGAAGGTAAATGCTCATGACAGTAATGCCGTTGGAAAATTGCTCTACGTACTTGCGAGAGCTTGTGACACCGTAGTAGTGGTAAAGGTCGCTGAGAGCACTGAACATGCCGCGGGCAGTTCTGGAACGAAATGCCACGACTAGGCGTTTCTCCTGCGAGCCTTCGATGTCGAAGACCTCAATGACAGGGCCAGTTCTGCTTACTGCCAGTTCGATTATCTCTTGGTAAATCTGCTTGGTGTTCTTCGTTGCCTTTGCAAGAAACATGCGGTCACTGATGACCTCGAGGCGCGTCTCGGTAGGAGAAGCTGTGGGGTCGACGAACTGGCATTGGTAAACGAAATAGCACCGCAGGGATGTTTTTGGCGAGGCAGAATCGCCCAGGCTGACAGGCGAGCGGAAGGTCTCGACGCGAAACGTTTTGTTGAGGTATGACCCATCAAGGTACTTTGTTTCCAGCCTGGTTTCAAATCGTGGTCCACCGATGGCGCTTTTTCCGGGTTCGCTGGTGTCAATATAGATAGCATGGTCGTAGGCCTCCATGTCTAAGCGAATCTCCTCGCGCTTGTCTTCGCGCGCATGCGCGGCTACTTTGGCGGCATAGAGAGATGTGATATGATTGGCAATGACATCAACCTGCTCCAGCTGGAAATAGACATCATCAATTCCGAGCTCGTTGTAGAACCAGGCAATCTGTTTGTCGACAAGAGCATCCGGGATCCAGCCGCCTCGGCCAATAACTTCCTTGACTACCGAGCGCATTTTTGTTAGCACTGAGGTTACGCTCCTTGGCCGGAAAGGCCTGAACAGCGGCACTTACCCTCCGTCATCTGCTGTGGCTTTCCCTTAAACTCAGGGGCGACATAGCCCACAGTCGCAGATCGAAGAATGCGGTGGCCATTGCCATAGGCCTTCGAGAGACCGGAACTACTAATATGGCTCGGCTGTGGGGACGGATGCCGTTCAGCGGACTCCCTCAATTTCCCAGCCAGGTAATCGATCGGAGGTATTGTACTTGACGAAGACATAGTCTCGATTTCAGGTATGGTAGAATCCACGTAGTCTGGGAATCTGCTAGCAATGTCAGAGGTTACGAGTGTCAACATCTTGATGATAGCGTACGTCCATATGGGGTTGGTAAGTAAACGACAGTTGTGTTTGATGCTGCAAGAAACACACTAGTGGCAATAGATATAAGATGACGAAGGGGGCAGATAGCAGGTAACAAGAGGAGTAACGATGTTGAAGAGGACTGTTGCTTCAGCTATACATAAACAGACGCCTTGGCTTGATGATTCACTCGATCCGTCTGTTCGATCTTCCGAGTTGGGCAGTATTGTGATAGGCGGTATCTATACCGCAGTCCAGCAGTTGGTGTAAGATATTATGTCGATATGCAGAGGCGTCAGATGGATGCAAATGGCGGTCACAAAATCAGAAGAGGCTTATTCGGCATCGACTCCATCGTTAAGACAACGGAAGCCAGTGCACTTGCAACGCTAGTCAAAGACGTCTGAGCAACGTAGCTCGGCTCGGCATGTATCTGTTACTTTCCCCGTCGTAGCAAATCCTCGTTGATGCTGATTCGTGGCCCACGATTCTTGCACACAATCGCTCACCGCCTGAGGCCGGTGTCTCTGATAATGATTTGAAAACAACACCCCTCGCAACTGTGTGGTGGACAAAGCAAGAGTACATACAGCATCCACAGTACGTATGTATTTTTGCACCAGATTGGTGCTGTTGCGATTGGAGCTATAGGCGCTCCCACTTAGCTTGTCTGGGACAACGCTGCCTCTAGATTTCTTAGATCTTCGAAACAATGGATGCTACCTTGCCTCGAGTGCGTCAATACACCTCCTTTTTCAAGGCTTGCGAGACTAGTCTGCTTACTGTTTCTATGCTGCTTGTCGTTGCGGTTTTCTTAGCCGGGTTCCGCGGTAAGAGTGTCAATTTCAAGTTCGTCCTAGCATCCGCCAACTAGAAATGTTTTGAAAAAACACCGAGAAAGTGTGTATAGATGAGGACAGAATATTGGTTGTAGGTTATGGGCCCAATGGAGCGAAGCAAAGTATGTCTTTTTACGAAGAGATAAGGGGTTGGGATGAGTACAGCCTCACTCAGCTTAGCCATAAGGAGAAGCTGACACTAGTGTACTCCTTGTGGCGTAGAATGGGATGAGAAGGAGATAAGACATAGATAGAAGAGACTCACAATACTGGGATGACAGCAACGACACGTGCATGGATGAGTAAGAACCGGGTAAAAATCGAGTTGGTGGCCCAAATTTTCTGAGATCGAAGGGGTGGTAAGATACGAAGTGAAGGCAATTCACCGTACTGGTTGGTATGTCTTCCCACGAGACAGCGGCTAGTGGCAGGCGTGCAGCTATTTATATCATTGGCACAACCGGTCTGCTTGCCGGGAACCAGGGAGCGGTTCAGCAGCCATTCGTATTCACAAAGTGCTCGGGTTTTTTGTGTGCTATACCCAGGCTCCGCATGATCCTCCAAATTCCCGTTTAACTTCGGCAAAGAAGCCAGTTTTTTGTCTCGTGGCTTGCTGGTTTTCTCTGAAAAATGCGTGTCATTGAGGCTGGAGCTCAGGTGGTGCCTTAGCGGTCCACATGCCCCACCTACCCCACTCGATGATTGGACTCAAGCGCCGTTGGTACCTGGCAGAAGACCCTTCGAGCCTTCGGCATAATAGCGTACAGAGTAGCTCGTATCTATACGGTGTGCTGTACGGGAACTCGTAGAGGATAAGTCCCGAGTGTATCCGCACAGTGCATGCGAAGTGCTGCATTTGGCCGGCTATCCGAGGTCCTAATCCGTACACCGTACGGAGTACAGAGTTCAGAGCATGGAGGAAGATGCTTATCGTTATCATATAGTAAGTGGGTCTGCCTAGCCTAACACTGTGCTAGGGGCGTAAAGTTCGGGTTAAATACGGAGTACAAACAGCAAGTTTTCGTCATGTACCCATTGATTTACGATACTACTTACCGCTTCTTCCCGTAAGAACCCCAGTTGCAGGTTCTAGACTAGCAAAGAACACATTTAGCGCTCTCGTGATGTGCCAAAATTGCTGATGGTACGTAACTGCTGATGAAATACGTAAAATGCTTTATTCTTATCGGGGCTTAAGCAAAAGCCCCGCGATTGACAACGAGTATAGAGTATTCTTTACCCTTTTATTACGAGATATACCTTGACTACGGAAAATCCTTCCGTGAAGCATCTTATTGTATGTAAGAGTACGTACGTATGTAAAGATACTTCGTACTTGCACGGTCTTAATAGCCTGGCGCAAAACTACACTGTACCGGAATACAGGTACTCGTATGTATCTTATGTATGGAAAGCAAGTGCGAAAACATGGCCTAGCAATGAGTAAGCAAACACAAGACCGGTGGGGTATGTCGTGATAACCCCCCTCCATGTTGTGTCGTAATAGACTCGAAATGCACTTTTGGCTCACGAAGTACGGAATAGCTTCCCTGCCTCTGTCCATGGAGTCTCACCGGTCGCCGCGTGAGCGGGCTATACGTCTCGACCGATATGACAACATTGAACACTTCTGCCAGTATTTTTTAGTTCCCACCGATGTGCAGGCTCACAGCAACCACGTGCCAAGGTGGCGATGCGACAACTGGAGCTGACTGGAGTGGACTGGAGTGGACATTCTTTGGGTCGTAAGCCCAGACTTAAGATACCGTAATACGCCTCTAACACCTTGCTAATATGGGCATTACAGGGCGTCCAAGACCACTTCAAACCATTGCCAGACAATCGTGGGCTGTGATGTTTCGGAGGTTGCTCAGATGCAGACTCTCACTGCTAACCTCCATCACCTGCTCTCTACCTTTATTACCCTCAGGGTGGTGGATGGCATCAGATCACCCTAGAAAGCAAAGCTTTCACCGGCAAAGCTGTAAAATCTGCGAAGAGGGAACACTGTCCACTTGAAGCCAGCCAAAGAGATAATAACCACAGAAGTTTACTTGTGCTTTTTTGCGCAATTTGCTACCGATCGCAGATCTGCCAACATGGCATCGATCCTGAGACGTCTATACTTGCAATCAAGTATCCAAAACTGGCAGCGGTGCCGGGACGACCAACATCATCTTCTCTGCTATCTTGGAGCATTGTCATCTGTGTCTCCCTTCTGCTGCCGGGTATCCAGTACTACACCGATGAGCTCTTGGACATCCGCACTAACACACAAATCGTCCGTCGACGCGGAAACTTCGTGTTATGTGATTTAGCCGATGCCGTAGACAATGGCCACTCCAGCTACAGATCTTGGATGATGATGCTGCGGTCTGGTGCAGCTACAAGTACCTAAACAGCGGGTCAGGAGGGACATTACGAGTTTGTGTGCGCCGCTGGAGGTGTTCCAGGAGACGGGAGGGGTGGACAAACTACAGAAGAACCCAATTAGTCTCACCATCTTTTTGGAAGAGCTTCTGCTTGAGCTGCCGGATGCTACGCGATAAGAGTTATACATATCAACCCCCTCTCACTCGGAGCAACGCGGAGCACAGCTGGGTCTCCTTCTTGCGGATGGTCTCTCGGGCCTCGTAATGGATGCGTTTCTGCAAGACCAGTTATCATCGACGGCAGGAAGCCTAATGTGATCTGTGTTGCTCCTACTCCGTACGCCACTATACAATACTCACTCAGACTGGGTTGCTTTCGTCACCACACTCAAAGAGGCGATGACCGAGACCCGCGGCATATCTAGGGTACCATCTGACTAGCTGTTTGCCATGTGAGCTCGGTACTCCGTACGGTGAGTCTTCTTCACCAGTGCCAGCAGTCGATCGGGGTTGAAGTGTATTGACGGATTACGAGCCTGTTGTTCGGGTTGCACAACCGTGCGAACTACTCCGTACCCGAATGTACTACACCAAGCTGCACTTTGAATGGACAGACCGATTGATACTAGCTTGTACGGAGTAACCGCGCGAGTAAACGGGTTGTGCAGATTGGGTTGTGCTTGTAGTGCCCCACAACCCCTTGCTACCCCACATACTATCTCGGTCCACGAGTCTGGGACCTAGACAAAACACATATCACCGCGCTCGTCCTCGTTGTAATCAACACCCCATTCTACAAATCTTCTGGCCGCCAACTCTGGGATCTGACGACAGCGAAAGCAGCGAAAGGGCAAAAGTCATCGCAACTGTACTAGCAGCTCCAGGCTGTGTTCTGCGGTTGTGTGTCAGCGGCTTGGGCATGACCAACGGATAACAAGGACCTTAAACGGACACTGTCTTGGTTGACTCGATTTGACCTCCTGCTCGTACAGCTAACTATACTCAATTTACACTTTGCCGCCATAACTCGTCCTTCTGCGTCAGGCTCCTGCTGCTGGGCGGCAATCTTGGTGCTAGTTATCTCGATGCTTGTTATCTTTCGACAACACCTGCAAACGGCCATGGTTCCCCACTGGATGTCATTTGTTACTGTCGCATGTATTGTTGTCACTGTCGCATCGTCTTCGTCAAGCCAGCAGCAATTCCTCGACTCCAGTCTCAACGATTCGGCCTGGCAGAAGCATGTAAGGTCCCCTTCCCGTAGAAGTATAGCACCTGTCGGCATTTTGTCTCAATATTCTGCCGGCAACGTGTCGAACGAGGATGGGCTGGTTGGGGCTAGTGCTGGCCCAACTGTTCTCACCCGCCTAGGAGCCGAAGAGGACGTGCCCACCGTTGTTATCGACTTTGGTCAGAATGTTGCAGGGCTCTTGTCCATCAGCTTTGCTGGATCCCAAAGTACCGGTGAGGGCCTTCCTGGTCTTGTTCTGGCCTTCTCCGAGACATTGCAATACCTCACAGACCGGAGCGACTTTACCAGATCCGACAACGCTGGTGGTGTAGGTCATATGCTGCGCAAGCATCCACAACCCATTGTCAGTTGTCTAGGCGTTTGAGCTGACGAGAGCACCTGCTATGTAGGCGGCCAAATTGACATCGGGAACTGATCAGGTAGGGTTTATTTATCAACTGTTTCACTCCCTCTGGTTCTGATCAAGTATACAATTCCTTTACGTATGGCACCTATGCATGCATTAACGTTATGCATCACCGCTGCAGATTGCCGTCGAATCAGATCCGTATACTTGGGTGAATCAGCTAGGCTGTGAACATGGCAACCAGGTGTGTGCAGACGGACTTCACGGCTTTCGCTATGTGAAAATCCGCATGGGAGCCTTGCCTGAAGATGCACCCTATACCTCGACCTTTGGTTCCGTATCTATCTCCTCGATTAGCCTTATATACTCTGGCTATCTTGGCACGCCTGACACTTTTACTGGACACTTTGAATGCTCCGATGCCAACATCACGCAATGGTGGTACGACGCAGTCTACACAAATGATATATGTACAGACGTCTTCCTGGCCAACAATACCGAACCTCGAGGTGCAGCAAGTCCTTCGCTGTTGGGAAAGCTTGTGCTGCACGACGGGGCAAAGAGAGATCGTGATCCCTACATCGGTGACCTTGCGGTGTCGGCTCTAACGACATATCTCTCACACGATGCACCGGAAGCCGCCAGAAATGTCCTCGAAGACCTGGCGCTACATCAACGTGACGATGGCTGGATCCCGCCTGCTAGCATGTACGTTTTTTTCAATCCAAGTATAGACGGGATTTTCTTTGGCTCCGTCTCTAACCTATCAAAGCAATGACTACACACTGCCACTGTTCGATTACCCTCTTTGGTGGGTGGTCTGCAGCGTGGACCATGTCTTGTATACCGGCAATACAACATATTTACATACATACTACCCCAATATCGTCAGAGTCCTGGACGTCTTTTACGTCTCACACATGAATCCGGAAACATCTCTAATTGAACGTCCCGGTGGTGCGGGCGATTACGCATTTCTTCCCAGGACAGGGCCGGTCACATACTACAATGCCCTCTATGTGCACGCTCTGATACAGGCCGCCATTCTCGCAGACACTCTCGAGTATCTTGATGACAGCTCACGATGGCGATCCCGTGCTGCTATCATTGGACCTTCCCTCATCCAACGCAATTTTGACAACGACGCGGGCGCTTTCTTTGATGGCGGCTCGTGCTCCAGCATGCCTATCTGCCCGACCCATGCTCAGGATGGCAATAGCCTCGCTATCCTTTCTGGTGTTGTCCCCGTGGGACCCTTTTCCAATAGTAGTATGGCCGAGTCTATACTGTCCTATCTCAACCGAACAATGGCAAGACCGTACGGAAACGCTTTTTACGACAACAATCTTTTGGACCCTGGAAGTGACTATGCGAACCGGGTATACGCGTTTATCTCTTATTTTGAAGTTGCTGCTCGTTTTAAAGCATCGCCAGAAACCGCCCAGAGCGCACTTGAAGAGCTGAGAAGACTTTATGGCTGGATGTCGACCCACGATCCTACCGTGACTTTTTGGGAGGGTATTGGAGCCGACGGTGCGCCCTACGAGGGTGGGTTTACATCCATGGCTCATGGGTGGTCCACCGGTATCGTACCGCTTCTGATGAATTTTGTTATTGGCGTTTCCCCCACCGCCCCTGGCTTCCGGGAGTGGAATTTGAGGCCCGTGTTAGACACGATTGACCTCACATGGGCTAGTGCTCTTGTGCCGACGCCAAGTGGAGGAATCTGGGTTCAGTGGGAGAAACTTGCGGATGGCTTTACGCTCTTGGTAGACTCTCCTGCAACTACAAAATGCACTATTTCAGTGCCTTTCGTGGCGGGAGCCTCTCATACCGTCAGTGTTGATGGCACCGTTGTTTACGACGAGGAAACGGAGCACTTTGTGAGTGGTACAGGCTACCACAATGGGTACATAACAATGTCGCTTAGGGGCGGCAAACACATTGTGTCTGTAAAGTGAAAAAAATATTGGTTCGGTTTGGGAGAATATGGAGGCACTGGTGAATTGGCGTATATCCCTCAATCATCATTAGGTATCGATAATCCCAGATGCGTCTCATGGCATGTCATCGCAGGTGTTCTATTCGACATCGCCTTTAAGCTATACGCTTGTGGTGATTTTGGCAGATGCATAAAGCGGCGTGGTTGCAAGAGTAATGCGCCATTAAAGCCATTGGCGTATATTGATCGCCTGTCCTTTTATTTCCCTCTTTGAGTCCAGTCCGTACAAAATGCTGATCACCAACATAGACCCCGTCTCAACGGCCCTTCTCAAATCTCCGCTGTCACCTTCGCCTTCGAATTTGTGACCTTGACGCCCAACTGCTTAGCCCTCGCGATGATGTCGATCCGCTTTCGGGACGAAACGTTGTGGGCAATTCTATTTGTCTCCAATTAGTAGTGATACTCCTATAGCCAGGACATAGGGAACGTGGGCAAGTAACCTACTCTGCGGCGTATGTCCGGTTGTGCATCAAGAGAATCTCGACATCGTTGACGTTGCTCACAAGGAATGCCTTGTGGCCAGATGGTATCATGTGCCGTGTCTTTTTGTTGGAGCCAAAACCGATCTATTACGAATAAAAGGTCAGTGAATCCAAAACCTCCAATCTTCACGCCAAGAGAACAGAGTCAGAAAACCACCAGGGGGGAGCATACCGATGGCAAGACCTGGTTGCCCTTAAACCGTCGCCGGACTCGGCTGTCGATACCCTTGGGCTTTCTCCAAGCCGAGTCAAGGCGCATAAACCGGTCACTCTGGTGCCGGGTGAAGTGCTTGGTGCCTACACATCATAATTGTCAACAAAAAAGCACAATTGCTTATACGCCCAAACCATGTCGCGAAAAGGTCGGGTGTAAAGTGCTTCCTTATGCAGGAGGGGTTGGGCATACGCTTCTTCACAATAGGGACGTGCTGCTTGGCGGAAACCATCTGATTTATTGCGAGAAAACCGTAAGTTGATATTCAATCGTATCGGATTGTGAGAATGGGTTACCTCGTCGAATTGTCAACCTGAGTTTGATGTCTGGGTGGTTGCGTGGGGGAGAAAGAAGCTTGGTGGTGATTTACAGATTGAAATTTTTACTATCGAACCAACAAAATTTCGACATCAGTAAGAAAGGGCATGGAATTAGGGCTTAGTTGCTGATAGAGTGCTGTGGCTGTGCGTAGGGCTTTTGTGAGAGCATGAATGTAACTAAACAATACAACTGACGCCGAGGGATAGCGTCCCGTTTCTCACATACATTAGTCATGCAAATAGGTTTCCGCTTTTTGTCCCGCATTTTACGGGTATCTACTCCGTAAGCTACATGTGTACTCCTTACAACCTACGCTTTATTATTATAATCGTCTAAACATGCATCCCATCTATCACACATATACTCAGTCACTCGTCAACTAGAATGGATGACCCGACCAGTCTCTGGAGCGATGGTAAGGCTGGCTATTCTCAAAAGATATTACGGCTCAGATATACGTCGCTGACAGCATTTAGTAGGGCTAGACTGCAAACTGGATCCGGTTCGTGATGCGCTTTACAATTATGACGCCGATGCCCAAAAAGCCATAAATTCCGATAAGCCGTGGGCCAGAGATCCCAACTACTTCAAATCTGTCCGAATCAGTGCAATTGCTCTGGTGAAAATGGCCATGCACGCTCGCTCAGGAGGCTCCATTGAAATCATGGGATTGATGCAAGGCTACGTGGATGGAACTGGCCTAGTTGTAACTGATGCATTCCGGCTACCTGTCGAAGGAACAGAGACTCGCGTGAACGCCCAAGACGAAGCAAATGAATATCTCGTTGAATATTTGAAACTCTGCCGTGATCAAGGGCGCATGGAAAACGTTATTGGATGGTATCATTCTCATCCTGGCTACGGTTGCTGGCTGAGCGGCATCGACGTTGGCACCCAAGTGATGCAGCAGGCCTTCAATGATCCGTTCGTCGCCGTTGTCGTTGATCCCGATAGGACGATAAGTGCTGGGAAGGTGGAGATTGGTGCCTTTAGAACTTATCCCGATAGCTACAAAGCATCAGAGAATGGTATGGCTGTCAGTTCTGATGGCTTCCAGGCGGTACCGCTCAGTAAAGCGAGCGACTTTGGTGCCCATTCGAGTCGCTATTACAGCCTGGAGATTGAGCATTTTAAAAGCTCACTTGACGCACACCTTCTCGAACTGCTCTGGAACAAATATTGGGTACAGACACTCTCTCAGAGTCCGCTTCTCACGAGTCGGGACTACGGAAACAAGCAAATGCTCGATCTTGGACACAAAATCAAAGATGTGACAGCCAGTATCCAGAGGTCTGGTCGCGGTGCTGCACAGGCTGGCGGAAGTGGGTTAACAGCGGCATACAGCGCTGGGCCAGCCGGAAAGTCGTTACACCATGCTGCCGAAAAGGTTGAGCATAACAGCAAGACGCTAGCAGCGACACAGAGGTCGGGGTTGAAGGCTGGCGAAGTTAAAGCTAGTATATTCTGTGGGGGTTCTGAAGTCTGCACAACTAGTACAGGACCGTGAAAACAGTTGCAGACAATGGCATCTTACAGATCGGCACTGCGTCCGACCGATTCCACTGTGTATGCTTGGCTGCAAATAAGCCCCAATGTTCACCTTAACGTTGTAAGGGTTTAGTCACAAGCCATGTAAACAATTAACACGGGCGATACTGCACCTTACTCGTGCGGTACTAATCATTTGCTATGCCTAGTGAAAAAATTATCGACCCTTTCCCACATATGTATACCGTTCTCCCATCTTTTTGCTGGCAGGTGGCGCCAGAATCAGCTCTTGGGCAATGTCACCTCTGTTTTGTTACCTGGTTTCATAGTGGGATCAGCAACCAACCAAGCGGTTTGAAGACGTCTTATCGTTTCTTCCCTGCCCAAATATTCTACCACAGAAACAACTTGCGGGCCATGTGCCAACCCCAAAAGAGCCCACCGAAGATATTTGTATACAACAGTCGTAGAACCGCGTATTTCCCCGTAGCGCGCGGCTAACTCAACGGTTTCGCGGAGTATAGATTGTATGATATCGTGTGTCCAGCGAGGTTCCGAAGTCTTCTCAATCGTTTCTATGAATAGCCGCATAATATTTGTGACGAAACATGTTGTCTTTTCATATGCGATATCGTCCCTCGCTATGGGAAAGGATTCGCGAATGTGTTGAGCGGACGGCTGCCAGATCAGAAATCTGTTTGCATCCACTATCTCTGTAGCTGTAACGCACTCATTACGGGATATCTTGAGAATGGAATAAAGCTGTGGAAGCGCTACCTCCCGGTCCGTCTCCTGAAGGTTCACTAGAGGGTTTCCTAGGAGCGCAAGAGGATTCCCGGATTCGCCGTCTTCCTGTCTTGTGGTTGCCTGGAAGTTCTGCCTCTGAATCTCTATTTCTCGCGCTCTCTGCAGAATTGGGTCTGCCAGTATCTCGTCGATCATGCAAGAGTCTGCCGGAAGAGCATCGATGGCTTGACGAATATGCCTTTTGTGGAAGAAAGATAGTTTCTCCATGTTCACAACAATGTCGCCTTTGGTGAATTTCAGTCCAAACTGCAAAGTCCTGTTAGCAGGCATTGTGTGATTCGAGCTTATACCCTCAACCAGTGACGCACATTCTTCACCATCTCGTCCAGATTCATGACGCCCTTGTTTTGTGCTGTGGTCGGATTCCATCCAAGCAATGCGACAAAGTTCAGGAGAGCCGGCGGAGGTATGCCATCGTTTCTATACGAATCTATGCCGATGTCTAGGTTGCGCTTGCTCAGCTTTTGGCGGTTTGAGTCTACGAGGAGCCCAACATGGGCAAACTTTGGCGGTTCCCATCCAAAAGCGGCATATAGGCTGACATGCTTAGCCGTGGATATGAGCCATTCCTTAGAGTATATTGTCAGCTTGAGAATTGATGCGATTAAGTGTGGATCGATAGCATTCATACCGCGCCCCTTATAACATGTGTAATATTCATGAGATGGTCGTCCACAACGTTGGCAAAATGATACGTCGGAAATCCATCACTCTTGATTATGATAAAATGATCTTCTGGGAGTTTCTTCCGGTAAATCCCATACACCAGGTCATGTACTGCCATAGGTGTGGGGCTGCTCTTGAATCTTATAGTATGTGCCTCACCATTTGCAGCTCTCAAAGCAGCTTCATGGGGGGGTATAGACAGGCACCGCCCCGGGTAGCCACCGAATGTGCCATCTACTTTGAGCGAGTTCCAGTTGTGCACTGCCATATCATCATGAGAGCAAAAGCAGCGGAAAGCCTTTCCCTCTTGAAGGAGCCTGTCTGCATGGTCTTGATAAATTTGCAATCGTAATGACTGCATGTGAGGGCGGTTAGACAGCTGATTTCGTGTTAATGCCCATGTTTGGTTCATGTATCACACACTTGCTTGTAAGGCCCAAATGGTCCCCCGGAATCAGGACCTGATTCATAATCAGTCAGCGGTTGATTTCTGAACACGAACGTGTCAGGAAGCGACCTGAAGAAATGACACACCTTCATCCCACAAGAGGCCTGACCATTTCAGGTCACCATACATGCGCTCCTCTGCATCTGGTACAATTCGTGACTGTATGATTGGTCAATCTTGCATATAGTAACCAAATTAGGTGCCCAGGCAGGGGCAAACATGTCCATACCTGATCTGTGTCCTCTAACCTCAATACAAATTGTCCATTTGTTGCACGTGCAAAGAGATAGTTGTACAATGCCGTCCGAAGCGACCCGAGGTGAAGATACCCAGTTGGAGACGGGGCGAAGCGCGTCCTCGCAGGTTGGATGTGATCGTGTGTGTGTTTTGATTGGGCATGTCTCGTGAGATTTGCCATATGGCCTGCATATGGTATTGAGCTATAACCTTTACAGCGGGTACGTAATATAGGATGTTCTCTGCAATAGAGACCTGAAGCAAATATTCGGCTTGCATCCGAAATAGCTCTAGGACTTCTTCGGGAGAAAAAGAGGTGCCCATAACAGCCGTAGAGTCGCATGATTTGGAGCTGCGTCTGGTGTGGTGGATGTGATAAATTTTGATATGATAGCTCCTTGGTCCATTTTTGGAAAACATTAAAGATAAGATTCCAAGCAAATCATTTATCTTATCAGCAGTAGCGAATTGGCTGAGGCTCCGGGGGAGGGGCTAGGAAACTAAAAAAAATCAGAGTACTCCGTACGTGGAAAGCGCATACTAAATTACAAACGCTTTCGACCGTTGTAAATACAATCACCCACCGTTTTCTTGGGCCTTTCCTTTCCAGCCATCGTAGCTTAGCACCTTTTGTCGTCTGCAGTTTTCAACGACATAATGGACCGAGGTAGTCCCAACCAAACGCCTGGCGAGCCCGATGAGGTGGACCTTTATGGTAAGCATAAGCAGTCCGGAAAGCGAAGGAAAGCCGATTGCTCCTTTGAGTCTGAAAACTCATACCCTCTCGTGAGAGACCCAATAATATGCTGACATGGACTGGTAGAGTTGTTGGGTGTGGAAAAATCGGCGGCGGATGCTGAGATCAAGAAAGCGTACAGAAAGGTCGGTATATGCGCTCTGAATAGAATAATACTCGATAACCAGGCTAACATGCTCCCATTATTTTTAGGCAGCTCTCCAACACCACCCGGATAAGGTGCCCGAGGAACGCAGAACAGAATCTGAAGCTAAGTTTAAAGCGGTCACGCAAGCCTATGAGATTCTACGGGATGAGGAAAAGCGGCAACTTTACGACCAGTATGGCATGGCTGCTTTCGACCCGTCCCGCGGAGGCCCTAGTGACGCTGGGGTGGATCTGAATGACATGTTGGCACAGATGTTCGGCATGAATGTTGGCAGTTCCGGTGGTGGTAAAAGACGTCCGCGTAAAGGACGTAGCGAGGAGCAACAGTACAAGGTCACTTTGGAAGAGCTCTACAAAGGAAAAACTGTCAAATTCGCAGCGAACAAGCGCATCACCTGCACACAGTGTAAGGGGACAGGCGCAAAGGACAAGGTGAAGCCACAGCAGTGTGATCGTTGCAAAGGCGCGGGCGTGCGAGAAGCCTTCCGCCAGGTCGGCCCAGGTCTCATACAGCAAGAGATGCTACCCTGCGATCATTGCCAGGGCTCTGGCATGTACTATAAAGAGAAGGACCGCTGTAAGAAGTGCAAGGGCGCAAGAACCGTGGAGGAGACCAAGGCACTTGAGATTTACATCCCCCGGGGTTCCATGCAGGGGGAGCGCATTGTACTCGAAGGCGAAGCGGACCAGTTTCCCGATCAGCTGCCCGGTGATATTGTTTTCACCCTGGTGCAGGAACCGCATGAAATATTCTCTCGCGATGGCAACGACTTACTGGCAGAATTGAAGGTCACCCTATCAGAGGCTCTAACCGGGTTTTCTCGGGTCGTTTTACGGCATCTCGACGGCAGGGGAATCTACATCAATCATCCACAAGGAAAGATTCTCCGACCAACAGAAATTATTAAGGTGGCCGGAGAAGGCATGCCACTGAAACGTGGCGAGCTTAAGGGAGACCTGTACCTAAGCGTGAAGATCGGGTTTCCTGAAGATGGCTGGCTTCAGAAAGATTCTGAGTATGAGGCTTTGCGGAAGCTATTGCCCTCTCCAACTCCTCCTATTTCTGCCAGCGAGGTAGCTGAGGTAGATGAGGTCGAGTATGAAGCCAATGCCGACATTGAACAGGTACGTACTTCCCTGCACGACACGTACTTCCCTGCACGACATCTGGGGTTTCAATACATATTTTCTAACGTTCGGAAGATGGGTGGGCGTTCTAGTGACCCTCGATTTGGCGGTGAATGGGAAGATGCCGACGATGATGAGCAGAGTGCACCGCAGTGTGCGACCCAATAGAATCAAAGTTTTCAGTATCATACCTATTCCGATTTCTTACGAATGGTAAGAGCCGCGAAGCAATGCATATTAAATACACAGCCAAATTAGGTTAGCATGTGTAGTAACCGCGTTAAGGCTAGCGCAGTTATTCTGTTGTATGCCTTGCTGTTTAGGCAATGGTATTTCTAACATATTTGTAACGGGCTATGGCCCGATGTAAGTCCTCGGCTCTGCTCTCGGCCCGGAATAACTAGGTTGGCTGAGCTACGTGACCCGCCACGCACCTTGCGAGAAACCACGGTAGGATACCTCGATTAAGCACAAGAACTAAGAGGCACCGTTCCCCCCCTTTTAAGCTCCTACCTCTCGACCACAGACCACTCTACACTATGCTCGCCAGTAACTTACTTAGACAGAAAGTAGGAGCTAGATAGAAGGGACTTAGTAAAGCATAAAGGAAGGAAAGTGTAAGGGTATTCTACACACGCGTCCCTACGCACCGGTTCGGCAACCCGTCGCTTACCAAGCGGCGGACTTAACGAACTATCTTAACACGTTGCACGGGACCGGCACAGCTACTTAGCTGTGCCACGCACTACTAAGGTTGCGCTACACCGCATCTTCTAGTTACGTATAAATTAGCTAGCAGGCTGTCGCCTACTAGTCTACTATAGTTTGTTAAGTTAAAGTCTTAATATATAAGTATAAACACATTTAAAGCCTTTAAAATTATACATTGCACACTAACCCTTACATTCTTTAACTTCTTTTTTATAAGGAGCAATGTTTGATTATAAGGCGGCTACTTTGCGATCTATACGCGAACTGTTAGAAGTAGAGGACGTGCTAATGCTACCTTTTACGCTAATGTATAGTAGCTGCACCTTGCGTATAATGTTTGTAAGCACTTTAACCTTGTTTGTTAAATTAAATATAAGACTAGTATATATACTACTTAATAATACCTTGCTAGCTAATAAGTAGCTATAAAGTAATAAATATACTTATATTATATAAATGCTAAAAGTACTAACTAATTTTATAGCTATAAAGGCTATAAGGCTACTACTTAATAATTACTACTATAATAATAAGCTACTATAATATAGTATTAAAAAGCTAAAAATTAGTATTACTGCTACTAAGATAAAAGAGTAGTTAGTAATAAATAAAGAATGCTTATAATATTAATATATATAGTAATGTGTTAAAAGATATAAAGATTATTTAAGTAAGTAGTTAGCTAACTACTAAGCTAGTAGCTAATTAGTAAAAGTATTATATTTACCTTTATACTAGTAAGCTTTTAGTTATACCCTTTATATAAATATACTTTATTATTAAGAATACTTAAACTTTAAATTTTAAATATACTATATTATAAAAAAAGCTAAATGCTTTAGTAAAGTAGTAAGTTGCTAATTATATACTAGTAAAAGTAGGATTACTTATAATAAAAGATTATTAATACTTTAAACTAAGTAAGTAAAATTACTTAAAAAGAATTAGTAAAAGCTAGATAACTACTTAGTAAAGTAGTATTAAAATAAAACTATTAGTAAATCTTTTAATATAGTAATAAAGATTATAAATACTTATAAAAAGTATTAGTCTTAAAGCTAGAAGTAAAAGAAAAGATAAGATAACTAAAAGTAAGCAGTAATAGTTAATAGTATACTAGCTAATAAGCTAATAAAGAAATAGTACTATAATAATAATAAAATAAAAAACTATAGTTTTATAAAAAGTAACTAAATCTTATATCTAGTTATTAGCTAAGGTTAGTTTACTTAAGTTAAAAAGCTTTAAGTAAAACTAAAAGATAGTCTTTAAGAGCTTAATAACTAAAAGGCAACCTACTTTAACTAAGACAACTAGTGTAAAGGTTAGTGTGTAATGCGTAGTTACAAAGGCTTAACTAGTTTATACTATTATATTAAGACTTTAACTTAACAAACTATAGGAGACTAGTAGGCAAAGGCTTGCCAGCTAATATATACGTGGCTAGAAGATGCAGTATAGCGCAACCCTAGTAGGGCGTAGCACAGCTAAGTGGCTATGCTAGTCCTGTGCAACGTGTTAAGATAGTTCGTCAAGTCCGTCGCTTAGTAAGCGACTGGTTGCCGAACCGGTGCGTAAGGACGCGTGTATAGAATACCCTTACACTATCCCCCCCTTCCTAGGTAACGCCCCCGTCAGCCTAGAGGTGCACACGCGGCAGCCACTTACTCGTTAAAAAACCTCCCTTTGTAGAGTTAGGAAAAAGAGTTAAGCGCTCTAGGTTATTAGCTATCGCTAAGCGGTCGCGGACCGCTTGCTTGTATAACTACATTCGGGTAACGTAGAAGCGCACACGTACTGCTTAGTCTATAGCGGCAGTAAACGCTGGATCCTGCCTAATGCATAGGTTGTTTTGTTTGTTAGAGCTCTCTAAGAGGCGTGCAGCTTAGATCCTAGTTAAGGAACGCTTAGGTTGCCGCCGATAGGTGTTGCGAGGGGGCTAGCCTTAGACACTAGGTGTATAAGGGTGTAGTATATACTAACTAAAAACAGCGGCGTAGGGCTTGCAACTTTTAACTACTAGTAGGGCAGGATAAAGGCAATAGCAGCCGTTTGTTGCTTGCTAATTGTAGAATTATTGCCTACTAAATAGCAAAGGTAGTCTGCTGCTAAGACGTTCTTTTATTTAATTTTAGACGTTTCTTACCTTGCTATTAAAGTAAGGTTAAGCAAGTTCTTAAGATGTATTTAAACGTTTAATAACATAGCTTCTTTATTACCTTAAGGTATAAAAGAGTAAGTATATTCTATAATTTAAGACGAATTTGTCCGCACTTATAAGACTACTCTTGCCTCTTTAGCCCTTTTTTCTTTAATCTTACTTGCGTAGTAAGTTAATATAATAGTTTGCAACTTTATATAGCAGCTAGCTAATAATTGCTTATAAACAATGTTTAACTAAAGCTACTCTTAAGTCTTATTAGACTTTTTTATAGATGTAAACCTTATAAAACGCTAATTTTAGGCATACGCACTATCTTTTAAAAGCGTAGGTCTTTACTAGTATAACGTCTACTAAGTAATAGATAACCTTATAGTAGGCTTTATATTTAAACTGCGTTCTTAAGGCTTATTTAAACGTCTACTATAAATTCTTATATATAGCTATACTAAAGAACCTAGCGCGCTATATTAGTTATATAGCTAATAATACATTATGCTTACTAGTAAGTATATTAACTTATATATACTAGTAGCTAATTACTAACTAATAGCTTTTTAAAGAGATTAAAGGCTTAGCCTAATATATTTAGGAATTTCTAGCTAGTATAAACAAGTTACTACTTTAGTAGATAATAGTTAATAATATTGTTATAGCGCTAGGCAATTACGCAGTAATCGCCTAAAGGTTAATAAGCCTTAATAGCGGTAACTAAAGAACTTAGCCGCGCCTTATAAGAAGACAAGTTAAAGCCTTTAGCAACTAACTAGCGCTCTTAGTGCAAACGTTTTAAGACGGCATAATAGGCTACATTACGCCTTAGTGTTCTTTACTAGTACTAGTAAAAGCTAGAGCTTACCTTAACGCCTGCGTAATAGTTAGCAAAGGTAGCCTAGCTTTTACTGCTAACGTTCTTAGACGTAAGCATACTATTATAGGCGTAAACCTAAGTTACTACTACTCTTAAAGTAATAGTAAGTCTCTTAATCCTTATTGTTAAGTTATTACTAACCTATTACCTAGGCTAATCCTTATTCTATTATACTTAGCTTAGCCTAGCACGCTATAGCTGTCTAAGCCGGCTATAGCAGCACGCTTTACTATACTATAGAAGTAAAGAGGCTGCCTAAGTAGATCCTGCAAACTATAGCAGCCTTAGTTAAGCTAGCCTAGATTAACTAGGCAGTAGTCTTTCCCTAGCTACTACTTTTAGCAGCGCTTAGCAAGTAACGGTCCTATGCTAAGTTGCTAACCTTAGCTAAGCGCTAGCGTAGCGCTAAGACTGTTCTTAGTGCTATAGCTAGCGGTAGTAAGGTAGTTATAGTAGCTAGTAGTAGTAGTATAGTAGCATTTAGTAGAAGTGCGCTAGTAAGCGGCTAGTTAGCGGCTAGTAGTAGCTATATGCTAGCTAGCAAAGGCTTGCCTAGTAGTAAGAAGAGGGATAAAGAGGATAGTATTAAAAAGAAAGATAAGAAGGTAAAAAGGACGTTTATAAAGAAGAATAGTAATAAGTAGCTAATAGCTAAGCAATAGCCTACTAATAGTATATTTTAAGTTTATAGCTTTAAAAGGCGCTCTTAAAGCTAGAATAAGTAGTTTATAATGCGCAATCGTGCAAAGATAATAAGAGTAGTTAACTAACAATTAGCTTATATATAGCTAGCTATTGCCTTATAGTCTTTCTATTTCTTATAAGTACGCTTTATAGTCTTTTAGTAAGACTATAACTTATAGCTAGCGTGCGCTAAGTGCTTTTCTAGTTCTTAGGTATTATACTTAGCTAGCTAGCCTTTTTATTTTATTAAAAACTAGGTTTACAACCCTTTACTAAGGTAAGTAATAATGTCTTTAACCTTATACTCCTCTTAGTCTTCTACTATTTTTAACAATAAAAGCTCTTCCTTATCTTTTACTATAGCAGTCTACAGCTTAAGGTAAAAGACGTAAAACATATTATATTAGCGTGCGTACTATAATAGCAAGGCAACCTAATATATAACTAGGCCTAGCTTCTTTATAATGTAAACGCGTAGGAAGGTTAAGTTTAGCTCTTTTAAGCCGGCTAGGTTTAAGTGCTTTATTAATAAACCTATAAATTTGCCTTTAATAAAGTTCTTATATAAGCGTTGCTTATTATAGCCTTTCTTTTATTAGCAAATTGCTTTTTTCTATAACACTTTTAGCTTCTACTAAATAGCTTATAGCTAACTAACACGCTCTTATACGCCCTTTACTATAGCCTTAGTAAAGAGGAAGTCGTCTATAAAACAAGGGTAGTATACGTATAACGTATAAA